AGCGCTAGCTACGTATCGATATATATAAATCCGTCTGCTCTAGTATCACTAAGGGCACGAATTAAGAAAGAGTGTCTATTATAAGCTATTTAGGTATTAAAAGACAAACTACTTCCTCTTCCTAACAACTTCTGTAGATTTAATACGAAAAGTAACATAATTATACTACCTAGGAAGGAGACTTTCCCTAGGCTTAGGTATTTCCCGACTCAGAAGCGACCTTAGCGGTAGGAGCTTCGTAAGCAGCGAGCTCGGTAGTAGTATCGATCGAAGTAACGGTCGGTAGCTTCTTTAGGTAGTCGCGAGAGGTATATCCTTACTTATAGTATTTAAAGCATCGGCCTTCTTTTAGGTAGGTAGTACGTTCCTCCGCAGTTATCGGTTTAAAGGTCGAAGCAGCACCCTTACGCTTAATAAAAAGGGATATAGTATATCTACGGTTAGCGGTAGCGGTGCTAGGTAGATTTCTAGAACTAGAGCTAGGACTAGAGCTAGTCGTAGCTTAGCTACAGCGAGATTCCTTCTACTTATAGATTAAATTTAGGCTAAGGGCCAGAGCTTAGCAGCGGTTAATAAAGTACTAATAGCTTACGTTAGGGTTAACGAGTATATATAACATCTACGTCTAAAGGGAAGTTAGTAGTTTACCGTAGAGATCCCGAAGTCAATCTTACTTAGGTCGTTTCGCTTCCTAGGTAAGACGGGAAAAATCAGCTAGGAAGTCGTTAAAATCATCCTTTAGCTTTATAGTCAGATTAGTATATTTATAGAGAGCTTTAACTACTCGGTTCGGGTTCGAGAATACTCCCTTAAGGTATTAGATTATATCTTCTGTATCGTTATAAGGGTTAGTTACTCTAGCTTCTATTCGAGAACTAATATATAGCTAGGCCTTACCCTTAGTTTAGGTAGATATATAATAGACTCGGTCAGACAGAGTCGGGTAATAGTCAGTATTACTACGTAACTTATATCGCATCTAATTCGCCTAGTAAGTAAAGCGAATAGTCTTTCTATCGCTTAGGAGAGGGGGGTCAAGGAGCTTCGCAGTACGACGGGCTCTAGTCATAGAGGACTTAATCGGAGTCGACTAGTAGTTCGGCAGCTATCCTCGTAATATACGGTCTTATAGATCTATAACTTTCAAGGCCAGTTTACCTATCTTAAGAGTAGTAGTTACAAGCTCTCGCTCTAATTCCTCGTACTTAGCACTTATAGTATCCCGTTAGGTAATAAGAGCTTAGTTATCATAATATACCCGAAGCAGGAGGTTATATAGTTACTTAGGCGTCTAATTCTTAATAAAGTCGACGTCGACGTTCCCTACAGAAGGGAACAAGAGAGGGTCGCGCAGTCTAGTCTATTTAGGTAAGTCTTCACCAGATTCAGGGTCAGCGGCCCCAGCTTCATCGGGGTTATCCGCATCGGTACCTCGAGTCAGGTTCTCTAGAGTCTGCTCGTACGGCTCATCAGATTCGATGCTCTAACGGTTTCGGGTTCGAAGGGCTATAGCGTCGGTTCGTCTTAGCAGGGGAAGGAAGGTTCGGTTCGGTCGGTCGGAATCGCTCAGGATTCGTCAGTTCGGTTCGGGGTAGGGCGTCCTATAAAGCGAGACGGCGACAGCGAGCTACTCGTGTCTGTACGGCTTCAACAGAGACAAAAAGGTGAGAAGATGACTTTCGTTCTATGTTACGAAGGAGCCAGCTGTAAAGGAACAGGTGCATTCAACGAAAGAACGAAAGTAAGGAAGGAAGAAACTGTGGGGGAAGCTGCCAGCTATCTGAATGGTCACCCACGTGACCCGTCCCAATCCGGTTAGTCCGCCTCAACTCCGTCAGTCCTCCTCTCCAACAGTCCCTTATATAAGCCATGCGTCACATCAGGCTCCCTGCATTCTTAGCTGGGCAGCTCACCACCGAAGAGGGCAACCCACAAGCTGAAGTCGTCAACGCTTGAGAAATGCTTGATGCGAATGTCGTATTTAACTGTGCGGCACAAGGATTTGGACGATACGTTGGAGACATCGGCGCTACAACCGCACATGTAGTTATATAATCCCTACTCCCTACAATATCCGGACTTTCCGTAGATACTTTTTTAAGCCCCGTAACATTAAAGGTAAAGCTCTCTGCGCTAGTACAGATATCATCGGCCGTAGCAGTAACGAGGTCAGCCGCTTACGCGCCGTTCTTGGTTATGAAGATAATGTGGTTTCCTTGGGTGTACTAAGGCAGGGTATAGTTATTGACTGGGAACTGAGTGCAGTTGACGGAGGAGACGGTCCAGTGGAGTGACTAGGTGCCTTCTATGGTAGTAAGGTTGTAAAAACTGCTGTACTGGTAATATTGACGGGCACCAGGTAGGATGTAATATGTCTCAGGTATGAGTCTATTTACAATCACGTTTCCGCCCTCGAGTTAGTAGAGATACTATTACAGAGCTAGATTAAGAGATACGGCGGCTGAAGGGTTTTGGATACCGATTACCAAGGGTATAAGGACTGTAGGCGCGTATGTATCGTTTCTGGGGAAAAGCAGGTCAACTTCTGTAATTGATAGAAAAGTTTGCGCAGAAGACCATCCTATTGATACTGCCAGGAGGAGGCATGCCGCAATATTAGAGGGAAACATTTGACCAAGAGCAAAAAAGGGTATTTCTAGGGTAGCAAGAATAGCAGGAGCAGTAGGCGAGTAATAGTAATAATAATAAAGAGGCTATTACCGAGCTAGACTCTGAGTTAAGTGAACAATGCAAGTTCACGATATAATAGACGAGGAGGGGGAGAGGGAGATATTCTTGGTTATATGTACGGAGTTAAATCTCAGCGAGGGTTTAGGCCGTGTAGCTACCGCCGTACCTTGGTGGCCAGTGTTAGCCTTGCCTACTTAAGTACCCCACTCTACTTAGGCACTCTTGGAAGATTTTGACGAAGGTGCCCGGGCGGTGGGTCTGGACGCTAATCCGTACCCATTGAACTCCACTTCCCCAAATTAAGCTATAGTGGTTTTTACGACAGATCCAAAATCCCCCATTATTCTTAATATCGCTTCTCTACTTATACAGAATCAATATATAGCTATGATATACGTATATAGCTTAGCCTTGGAGTTGATTAGATGCTGCAAAAGGCTGGCTAGGTAGTGTGTAAGTAGTTATTCGCGGTGGCACGTACCGTCGGTATAGCGATGAATAGTGCATTAGCATGGTCCGCCTAGCCCGGATTTACTAAATCCAACACGGTACTGACTACATATCTACGTGCCCACCTCGGGAGCTCCGAACTATCTCCGTGTCCCTGCAAGCTAGTCCAAGCTAGGACGCTACTCGCAGGAGAACTCCACTGAGCCTAGGGTGTAGTATTCATTGCTACGCTAACACCTAGTTCCTAACAAGGGGCTACATGTGGCAATTTCTGGTTGTCCTTAATAGGAAGGAGCAATCGCGACTTTTCCGGCAGGTGGGAACCGCCGCCGAGGTAGCTGATAGATAGGCCCGAGGTTGGAATCTTTGGACGGAAAGAGCACTACAAGCAGCCCGTCGCTAGGGGAAGGTTTCTAAGGAATCTCTATGCAAATTAGAGAGCCCCAAACCGACCGCGCTTGGTATCTAAAGTTCAAGAAGCGTCAAGCGCTGTTGGTGATAGAGGATCTTTGACCTCCAGCGGGAGGGATTTATCTTTGCTTACGATATGAGGAAATAGACCTACAGATAGACGGATTCTTAGCCATCGGCACAGCCTAGCAAGGCGTTTTCCAAAACCCTCGAAAGTCAATTGAAGAAAGTATATTGGTCTACCAATTACACTAGAAAATAAGATCGTTATAGCGAGCGCAAAATTTCGGGGAGCACGGAAGGTCAAGGCGATATAAAGAGCTTATCCATAAACAAGCTTTCGGGGAGACTTGGCCGCGGTAGCCGCGTAAGCAGAAATGTCGCGCTAGAGCCCTTTGGTGTCTAGTAATTGGTTTCCTAGCTCCCACACCCCCTTCTTATTAGTTAGTTAAGGGCTTTTCAGCCGACTCAAGGGAAGGAAGTAACTAACTAACTAACTAGTTAATCCTTAACAAAACGAATGGGTTGTGGCGCGATTTTTGAGAACCCATATGCCACAGGTTGTTAAAGTCTGTCAGAACAAGAAGAACCCGTATAGACTAAGAATGTAGCCCATGGAGCATTTTTGGTCTAGCGGTATTATACCCAAAATATGTGCGACAAAGTCTAAAGGAGAGCGAAATCTCGTGTGCACATTCCAGTTTTACGCAGCTTGTATACTCTGGACAGGGGAAACAAGCCTCAGAAAAAGGCATTAAGATTACTACGTGTATACTCCGGGAAGTAACAGTTCATCATGTATCCATCGGAGCGTTAGGTGCCAAAATTAGGGGCGCGGTTGAGCTACGCTTTTGATCCGTCCTATGCGGAGTACGATAAGACTGTTTATCGGTCGGCCGCGCTCACGATCATCCTCCCGTGTACTTGAGGATCATGCCATAGGAAGAAAACAAACAACGATATCGTCCGCCGTAGCCTGACTCTGAGCGCCCTCATAAAAGCGGCGGCACCTAAAATAGGAAAGCCCCACCCGTCAAAGAAAATCCGGTACGTAAAGCGACCTCTGTGTAACCATTGTTGGTAAAATAGAATAATTGGGAAAGATGTCCCCACTAGATGCGCTGTCTCGTTCGAGCGGAATGCCTCACCTAATAGGCAAATAGGCCTACCCAACGGGAAGCAACAATGGCCCCCAAGCCGAACCGAATAAGGGGATAGAAACAACATACGAAAGTGGTCGAATGATTTCTTCTTCAAAATCGAACTATCTTGAAAGGAGGGTGAATTGACAGGCACACTATCCACAGCTTACCCGAGCAGGTCGTTAACTATATAACAAGGGTTCCGGATTTTCATATAAAGAACCACCCTGCGGTCACTTCTCTGCGTACCACGTCTTGCAGATCGCCTATATACAATTTTCCCACAAAGGCTCAGCGATAGGAGCCCTAAAATCCATCAACATGCGTCCCTAGCCCACTCGCGCTCCCAACCTCGAGCACTTTCTTTCCAACCACAAGGTCCATCAGACCCATACCAACACACTTGTAAATGACATTACAGCCCTCTGGGATATCTATCGCATCCGATGGACCGAGTTCTCCCAGAAGATCTCCCATTTCGGTCAGCTGATCCTCCGTAATCTTCGCCGTAATGAGCTCGCCCGATTCTTGCAAGCAGGCAGCCTTCGAGTCGACGTAAATTTTGCCCCCACCCGAGAGTAGGGTCTCTGTATCGACTTCATGCATAGATGGCTTGTAGGAGCCAATAAGTGAGATGAAGCGCTGTTTAGGTGCGGACTGGAGGGCGGAGTACGAGAAGTTTGGCGCGACGGAGGGTGTGCAGCTAAAGATTACGTCGCATGCGTGGAGCTCTGAAATGAGTCGCTGGTCATAGTTCGGAGTGCCCTCTCTAGAGAGCGATTTCACCTTTACACTGGGATAGCGCTGGCGTAGGTCACTGAACAGGCTGGACTCCAATTCTTCTAGCCGTTGACGGCCACGGTTGATGAAGGTCACTCGCTTGATTTGGTCTGAGTACAAAAGCAGGGCCAGTCGGGTATGCCACTCGGCTTGACGACCCGATCCAAAGACCAGCACGCTTTCTTTGCGAATGGTAGTGGTCCGCACGAAGAGAGTCATTGAGGCTAGTGCCGTGCGGAAGGCTGTCACCTCCGCGGCCGCCAGGAGGCCCTGGAGCCTCCCTTCGGGTGAAAAGATGTTGATGACACCCTGAATGCCGCCCTTGGCGACTGTCACCACCTTGATACCTGTACTGGCGGTGTCAGATACTGGCATGAAAATGCATGAGTTCTCAGCTTTCGTCGCAAAGACAGTGCGTAGTGGCTGGTGGATCAGCTTTTCTGATGCTGGGACACCGGGCTTCGACTCGGCGGATATAGCGACCAAGGCATCACTTAGCACGCCAATGAATTCATGGCATTGCGCCTGAGTCAAGCCGCGGAAGATCCGAGCCACGTCAGGCTCCGAGAGGATATGCATCTTTAGTTGAGCTTTGATAGTGTTTTGATTCGATAAGTGGATTGCTTGTTAAATGGACCGGACGAGAAGGTCGGAGGGGCTCTCCGACAAGCGCAACCTGGCGCGGGGTTGGGTGGATCTTCCCCGAAAAGTCAAGGACTCTTCTGGCGGACACAACTGCAATTGGACGGTAAATGAAAACCCCTTCCTCTGTAATCAGCAAGTCGCTTCCGGACATCTACATTCAAAATTTGGGAATAAAGATGATAGCTAGATTCTTTAATTCATCGCTATTAATGGCTAAAGTATATTTCATGAAACGTGAACGCCGTCTATGGATGCATCCCCAGCAAACCCAATGCAAAGTAATAATGATAAGAATACTCCCAGGTGGACCCTTGGGGCCACAAAACCGGAAGAAATAAGCAAGGAGGATCATTTCCGAAAAGGACAAAAATACCCTCCGTGACGAGCCACATCGAGATGAAAAGAAACCAACGCAAAGCCTAGCTGCTGCCTCCAAAGACGTTGCGGCAGCGGCGCTTCAGTTCGCTAATCATGGCGATCTGAGAGTCCTTCGTGCGGCTAACAGCCTCGGTGTTCTCGACAGCGCGACGCAGTAGGAAGCCCATGCACTCCTGGACGGAGCCCCAGGTCAGCAGCTTGAAGACATTCGGAGCCGCCATGGGTGTAGTGCCAACATCGGCCTCGGCACTCTCAAAGCCTTGGAGCAGCTCGCAGCTGACTTCATCGGCCATGCCTTGGAGCTGCGCATAGCTGAGGTCGACGCCATAGTCCTCGCCCTTAGCAGCTTGCTGGACGCGGATGGCGTGGGCCTTGCGCACCGACTCGCGGTTGTGAGTGGCGATGATGACATTGACCGGGGGCAATTCAGCGGGCGTGTCATTCGAGGGACGCTGAAGCATGGAGTTGTACTTGCGAGTCAGGAGACTCTCAACAACCTCATCGTAGCAACGATCAGTGTCCTCCTTTTCGTCCCAGATCAAGTGACGAGGCTCGGTCTTCATGTAAGCACCACGGACAAGCTTCACGCCCAGAGTGTATCCCTCCTGGCGAGCGGTCTCCAGGTGGCGGGCCAGAGTGGCAGGTGTAGACCGAAGGTATGCCTGATATGTACCATAGAAGATGGCGCGACCCGGTGTCTGCGAGTTGCAGTACTTCTGGTACTTCATAATCCAAGCTTCGATACCGGGCTGCACGGCCTGCTCCTCGGCATCCACGAGCAGACGCACACCACGGGAAATCGCCAAGTCGCACACTTTCTGAATCGAGGTATCCATGAACGCAGAAGGAGGCGCTTCCTTCTGCAACAGGCGAAGAGCATCGGTGCCCATTCCGGTGAACTTCAGAGCGACGAAGTCTCCCTTCTGGGCCATATCAACCGTGCGGAGAGTACCATCCAACCACATCTCAACCTCCGCCAGAGCAGCCTGTTCATCATAAGGCGCATCCTGGTTCTCGCCAACCAGGACCTCACGCGCATAGCCCAGAAGCACACCACGGCATCCCAGATCCTTGATGTTCTGGATGGACCGCTGGACCTCGATCTTGTTCTCACCTGCATTGAACTGCTTATAAATAGTATGCTTGACAAGCAAGTTCAACAGTGGGTTCTTCGATACATCCCACAGCGCCGAGCGAGGGTGTGCCAACAGAGACAGGGTATAGATGCATGGTTTAAGCAGAAGAGGAGAAGAGGACACGGAGAGGATCAGCAAGGACCGCAGGACCGATGATAGGGGAAGTTTGGAAAGAGGTGCTGTGGGCGCCTTGTGTGGTGGCGACACTGTGGAAGATGGTGACTTGGAAGATGGTGACAGTTGCTGGAACAAGTTGCTGGTGACGACGGACGATTTGGCATTGCTTGTGCCGCTCACAAGTCGCGTGTTGGCCTGAGGGGCAACCTGGACGCGGGGCACCCGCACTACACGTGCAGCCCTCATGGCTGATAAGTGATGATAGTGATAGTGGTGGTTGGTAGTTGAGTATTGGGAGTATATTTGATCGGGAGATGAGGCTCTTGATAAACGGAGTGACGAAGGCAGGGGCAACCAGATCTTAGTTTAGGCAGAAGGGAACGACCGCCTGTCCTATATAGCTACGTCCCCCTCCATCCGGTTCGTCACCTGTGGCCAACAGTGATGGAATCCTATCGCCGCAACAGCTACTCCGGCCCGAAGACGACCGGCACGAGAGCCGGCTGAAAGAGCGGAAAGGCGGACCCGCCGTCACTAGCCGACCGCGTGCCAACGCCCCCACACGGTCACACGGCACGTGATCCAGATGCAATCCATTGGCCGGACCTCGAGAGTAAATATGGAACTAAATGATGGGTCTGGAATCAGATCCAGGTGCTCAATGCTGCCAAAAATGGACATGGCTAACAGTGTTTAGGGCCAGAGGACCAATAAGTCAGTCATGGCTAAAACGACCTTTGTCTGCTAGTTAGGCGGCGCTCGGACTATTGAGAGAGCCGATCAAGGCCTTCTGAGGGGGCCCATTTTTTTAAGCGTGAAAGTGGTCCTTCACCACAGCAGGGTGGAGAACTCTTAGGTAAGTTCCGGCCCTGTGCAAGTATCCCGGTATCCCACGTCCACCTTATGTCGACAGTAAATTTTGGGTCATCTCTCCTTAGCGAGAAAAATGCTGGTATTATTGTTGAACCACCGGAATATTGCGCTCAGCCAATGCGACTGACCCTAAGATGCCTCTGACCAAATACTTGGACGCAAAAGATGGACTTGGATTCCGATACTGAGAGCATCCCGGCGCCTTCGTTGAGCCGTACTTGGTACCGAATGTCAATACTGGCCGGTTTCTATAATTCTGGACTGCGTTGATCAAGCGGGGATTCTCGTTCATATTCTCTCCGGGGCTGATCACTACCGCCGTTGGTGACGCTGATTCTCCTCGTCGCAACATTCCGAAAGCCACCAGCCGGTTTCTTCACCGTCTTTTTGCGTTCTACATTCTGTAGGCCTTGGTCACACGTTATCATGTATTCGCTAGCATGCGAGGGACAGGCACCCAAGATCTTTATGCATTACCCAGGAACGGCGTAACCTATGGGGCTATACTGATCATCTGGTCATTACGAATGGCTATGCGTTGTTCTTCCTAGGCTCATTCACTGCCTTAGGCTCCTTCGTATCCTATGTTGTCTTTGCCATCTTCTTCGCGCTTTGTTTCGGCCACAGGACTTGGTATCGCACATCCTGGATGGGCTCAGCAGTAGATATTTATATATTTTCTAAAAAAAGGAGATCGACCGTATCCGTGAGATTGGCGTTGAGAAGCAATCGCGCAATTGGCTGGAAAGGGGTTTGTGGTGGATTGCGTAGACGGTGATACTTCGAAATTTGAAATTCTACTAAGAGCTTTGTTGATGGATATATCACACGGGAAAGGGTAATAGACAGAATAACCTGGTTATTTTCCTTAGAAGCATAACGAACCTTTAGTCAATCGTCGACCGGAAATCACCTCTGCGTTGGAAGCTGTCTTTCTCTCTCTCTCCAGATCAACTCTTCAAGCTGTCATCCCTTGTTTACCCCCAGGATTCAGTCCGTGGGGGATTTACTACTGGACTCTGTACCTCCTTGCAGGTACTTACTTATCTTTGGCGCACTCCACCGATAGGCAAAAAGATTACAGTTTTACGACTTGCGCCCGGCCCGGTGCTTTAGACCCACCTAAAATTGTCGGGATCGTTGCTAATCGGGCAGGTGGGGCAATGGCTGGCTTGGCGCATCACCCAAGCGAAGTAGAGCGATAGGCGCGAAGATACTGTTGTAAGAGCTAGCCACGCCTTTTCATGCTACAATGCTCCATAACGATGATGGGTGGGTCCCTTACCTAATATGTGTGGTGTTCTGGGCCAGTCCCCACCCATTTCTGGTGGATCCTCCTCTGCACTCCATTCGCCGCGAGGCTCTCAGACAGCTCGCTGGGATGGCCGGGCGGGATCAGTGCCGGTGACGAACCGCCTTTCATCATGCGGTCTCCCCGCGATCCTGCGCTCTCTTATATTCTTGTGCAACTTCATCTTGAATCCCAGGAAACGATCAAATCCTCATTCCTATTATTTTTTTTTCCGTTTTAGCCACATCCGACTTCCAAAATGCAGTCCTCTCTGCTGCGCTCTGGTGCGCAGCTCTTGTCTCGCCGGGCATGCCGCGTTCCTAGCTCGAGCTCTCGCGCACTCGGTACTTACGCCACTTTCAAAATTCCACAGATCAACAATGAGCCCAATGTGAGTCGCTCGTCTGTTCCGTGTTTCTGACCTACAGATGGCTTACATTAGTGATCTTTCTAGAAACACTATGTCCCCGGCAGCGCGGATCGTAAGGCCTTAGAAGATGCGTTGGCTTCATACAAGCAAACGGCACCTTTGAACGTGCCTTTGGTGGTGGCCGGCAAGGAGGTAATTGAATATTGTGCAGAAATTTTTCAAGGTTTACTTTCTAACCCCTAATAGATTAAGAGCTCCCAAACCTTCACCCAGAGCAATCCGTCCTCCCACGCGCCCGTTGCTACTTACTCCAACGCCTCCTCCGCCGATGTGGAGGCTGCCATTGCTTCCGCGCTCGCGGCCCGCAAGTCGTGGGCTGCCACACCCTTCGCGGAGCGTGCCAGTATTTTCCTCAAGGCTGCCGACCTGATTTCGACCAAGTACCGCTACGATATCATGGCTCTGACCATGCATGGCCAGGGCAAGAACGCCTGGCAGGCGGAGATCGACTCTGCTGCCGAGTTGATCGATTTCTTCCGATTCGGTGTGAAGTATGCCGAGGAGCTCTATTCCCAGCAGCCTGTTCACCACGCCCCTGGTGTGTGGAAGTGAGTTACATCTCAGAATGCCTCTGTTCGTTCCTGGTGGCTAATTTCGATTCTAGCCGTCTTGAGTACCGCCCTCTGGAAGGGTTCGTTTATGCGATCAGCCCCTTCAACTTTACTGCGATCGGCGGCAACTTGGCCGGTGCGCCCGCTCTGATGGGTAATGTTGTGCTTTGGAAGCCCTCGCCTTCGGCTATTGCTTCCAACTGGCTCGTGCACCAGATCCTCCTCGAGGCCGGCCTGCCCAAAAATGTTATCCAGTTCGTGCCTGGTGAGGCGGAGGAGGTCACCAGCACTGTCCTCAACCACAAGGAATTCGCTGCTCTCCACTTCACCGGTAGCACTGATGTCTTCCGTATGCTCTATGGCAAGATCTCTCAGGGTGTGGCGGATGGCAAGTACCGCAGCTACCCTCGCATCGTTGGCGAGACTGGTGGCAAGAACTTCCACCTGGTCCACAAGTCTGCCGATGTGCGCAACGCCGTGGTCCAAACCGTCCGCGGTGCCTTTGAGTTCCAGGGCCAGAAGTGCAGCGCCACTTCCCGTGCCTACATTCCCGCCTCTATTGCCGATGAGTTTGTTAAGCAGCTGGTCGCTGAGGTGAAGCAGCTCAAGGTTGGCGAACCGTCCGACTTCTCCAATTTCTGTGGCCCCGTTATCCACGAGGGCTCCTTTAACAAGCTTGCTGGTGTTATCGAGGAGGCCAAGAACGACCCCGAGCTTGAGCTGCTTGTCGGTGGCACCTACGACTCCTCCAAGGGATGGTACATTCAGCCCACTGTGTACCGTACCTCCAACCCCGATCACCCTCTCCTGTCGCGTGAGCTTTTCGGCCCTGTCATCGTCATCCACTCGTACAACGACGCTACCGAGGCCGACTTTGTTGAGATTTGTGAGAAGATCGACACCACTGGTACCTATGGTCTGACCGGCTCGGTGTTCGCTCAGGACCGGGAGGCGGTGCAGGTTGCTGATGACCATCTCCGCAATGCTGCTGGTAACTTCTACATCAACTGCAAGAGCACTGGTGCCGTTGTTGGCCAGCAGCCCTTCGGTGGTGGCCGTGCCAGCGGTACCAACGACAAGGCTGGCAGTGCTAACCTGCTGTCTCGATTCGTGAGCTTGCGCTCGGTTAAGGAGGAGTTCATCCCAACCTACACCGTTTCCTACCCTAGCAACGCCAACTAAGGAATGAGCGAGGAGGATCTTCCCATCTGGACTATAGCTACTGCATGCCTTATGACAACCCGGCGTCCATTGTGCATTTCATCATCGGCGTTATTTTCATCATCGGAGTTACGACTGTTTTTTCCGAGCTTTGTTCCTAAAAGGACAGACACGTGTACATGTATGATTCAAAAGGAGCTGCATTCTATCAATCTACAATTCTAAAATTCTCTTCTCAAGCATCCGTAGCACAATTTTTCAACAACTTCTGCATGTTTTCCATCGCCTTCTTCGCAAACCCGTCCAGCTCATACTTCTTCCCCTTTCCTTGTGGCCCAGCGTCAAAAATCTCCATAGAAAACCAACCCCGGAAACCGGTTTTCAAGACTGCCCTTGCCACATCCTCAATGGGCAAGTAACCACCATCATATGGCATGGGCCGATAATCATGACTCCATTGGCCTCGCGGTCTCAGCCCCCCAACGATCTTATCCTCCAGCGGCGGTGACACCTTGTACGCATCCGAGATCTGGAGTAAGTAGATCTTATCCGGTGGCACAGTTTGCGCTAGTTCGTCCATGCTCGCGCCAAACTTTCTCGTCAGCTCATCTGGGGGTACACCCTTGATAAGACCGGTGGAGGAGGTTGGGTCGCCCCATTCACTGCCGGCTGTTTGGAATGTATCCAGGCACAGCCCAACATTAGGGCGATCGACAGCGCGCACGATCTCCCAGACGTCTCTCCACCCGGGCGCGTGAGTAGACCAGCACCAATTTTCGTAGGCGAGGCGGAAGTGGTGTTTAGCTAGCATTTCTCCGAGTTCGCGCAGGTCGGAGACAATTGTTGCGCGATCTGTGTGGATCTTGGTCGCTGGGGTATCGGTCGCTCCGACCTGTATATGCTCTTAGCTTGGCAATGTTGGTTGGAATGGAATGGAATGAGATGAGATGAGGATTTACCTGTAGTAGATCGGTCCCGACAACCTTCATGATCTCGATCCAACCTTCGGCTCTCTTGAAAGCGTCTTCCCGCTCCGCCGAGCCTTTCGGCCACCCTTCAAAATTGGAGAACGGCTGAAGCATCATGACGGTTAATGAATTGGCGTCGCATAGTTCGCGGATCTCGCGGGCGACGGGGACCAGCTCCGCGAAGTCATTCGGTGCGATTTGATGACCAAGAGTGTGTTCGGCGTGGTCCAGGATGTCCGGGAAAGACAGCTCGATTGAGACGAAGCCGGCTTTGCTGATTGCCTCGAGTTTTCGTGGAAGCGTGTCACTAGCTCCACATCCAATTGAGCAGGAGGCATAGGAGAGTGGGATTTTCTCGAGTGACGCGAATGTTATCGGCACCATTGCGGGCGGCTGGACACGATATCGCTGAACTTCTATTCACGCTGTTGTCTATTCGGCCCATCGGGTATGTGACGGATACACAGACGCCTTGATTGTGTTTAGTGAACAACAGCCATAGGAGCCATTGGCCGCTCTGTTCAATCTACCCTAAGATCTTCTAAACTTGATCATGATGCAATGTTGAGCTGCCTGTGAAACGCAATTGTCGTCAACCCGACGTCATCGGCTCCTGGCAAAACAGCACCTTTTTGATCAGAACCAAGTCAGTCCTCCCATAGTTGAATTTTGCAATAGACTGCCACTTGGGAATCTGGTTCGTCTCGATGTAGTTCGTCTCGTGGCGTGTGGCGTGGGTATAGCTGCCTCCACTGATCGCACGCTGACGGATATCTCGGACTTGCAATCCGGTTGCCACCGACCATCTGTTCAAGAGCCTTCGAATAGCCATTTGAATTCGCGTGCTTTCTCTTCCGAGTAATCACCATCTGCACTGTTCTTTGCGTGAACGAGACACAGTCACGGCCAGTCACCTACTCATCATCATGCCATCCGCCGACGCAGCCCAGAGATTTAAGCGTATTGGTGTCGTGGGAGCCGGAAGTATGGGCTCGATGATGGCCTTTGCGTTTTCCGAACTCGGCCTCGACGTCTCCGTATGGGATGTGGAAAAAGCGAATGTTGACAAAGTCATGGGCTGGACGAAGAAAGCCAAAACCATGAAAGGCAAGATCGAGGGATTTTACTCGATCGACGAATTCACGAAGAGTCTCGAAGGTCACGGACCTGAGAAACTGTTTATCTTTTCCGTCACACATGGCCACCCCGCGGACTCTGTTCTGAAAATGATCAAGCCGGACTTGAAGAGGGGCGACATTATCCTCGACGGAGGCAATGAGAATTATCGTCGGACGGAGCGCCGCCAGAGGGAGTGTGAAGAGATTGGGGTGACCTGGATTGGAATGGGTGTCTCTGGTGGATATCAGTCGGCGCGACATGGCCCGAGTCTGTCCCCCGGTGGAGATGCGAAAGCCCTGGAGCTCATCATGCCGCTGCTAGAGGCCTATTCCGCCAAAGATCCCAAGACAGGGGCGCCGTGTGTTACCCGAATCGGCCCAGGAGGCTCAGGCCATTTTGTCAAGATGGTCCATAATGGCATTGAGGGCGGCATGCTGTCTACACTTGCTGAAGCTTGGTCATACATGCACATCGGCCTCGGCATGGACTACGAGCAGATCGGGGATGTATTTACCGAATGGAATTCAAAGGGCGAGCTTCGAAACAACTACCTGGTCAGCATCGGCGCCGATATCATGAAAACCAAAAGAACACCTGAGGGCGATTGGCATGGTGAAGGGGCCGGCAGAGATGGGGGGTATGTCTTGGATGATGTCCTCGACAAAGTGGTTCAAGACGATGATAACACCGAAGGAACACCCCTCTGGTCTGTCATGGAATCGGCTTCTCGACACGTCTCCACTCCGACTCTGACAGTCGCGCACTACCTGCGTATTGCGAGTGGAAATCGGGCTGAACGAGACCGCGCTGCCAAAAAGTTGCAGATGCCCACTCCCCGGCTAATGGAGAATACTCGCGATCGCGCGGCGGTCCTCGAAAAGCTGCGCAAAGCTGTGTACTGCTCCTTCCTGGCTTCTTTCTGCCAAGGCCTCGAGGTGATTGCCCGAGCTTCAGAAGACGAAGGCTGGGGGATCAATATGGGCAACTGTTTACAGATTTGGCGCGCTGGTTGTATCATCCAGTCTGAATATATCGCCGACATACTTCAGCCCCCTTTGGCGACTAACAAGCACATGATGAATATGAAATTCATCGATGAAGTGGCTCTTGAGCTGAATAATAACTTCTCAGCTTTGAAATCGATTGTTCTGGAGGGTATCGTCTCCGATCAGTATATGCCTGCACTCACAGCGACCCTCGAGTACCTCAAGTATGAGGGTGGCATGAATCTGCCGACCAAGTTCATGGAGGCTCAGATGGATTACTTTGGTGCGCATAGCTATAACAAGCCGGGCATTCCGGGCGAAGACCCGGGCCCGGTTCGGAAGGGCCCTCATCACTACGAGTGGAAGCCGGCATGATTGATGGATCGTTTCTGAACACCCTAGTAGATTATTCTGTACGTTTGAACCGGACAATAAATGAATTTGGAATAGAATATCCTGCAAATAGACCATCATATGTACAGATATTCCTGCCCAGGGCTACGATCATGTGGGTTTCTTTGGTCCCTTTCGACAATTAGATAAACCCTGTAAGCTCCGCCATTTGCCGTATAGATCGCGAACACTCCCGAAGCGGGAACTCGCGGCCTTAGGAACACATCCGCACGTGGTACGGCGGACAATAGTGATCACTGGGCAAGTGCACAAATTAAGCATATTCTAAGCCGGCAGAAAATTCAGATACCTGAATTACTATTACAGCGCTCATATTAAATCATGTAGATCTCTCTCAAAGGCTATTTACCTCGCTGTCGCTATCTTGAAGCGATTTTTATAGTGCATCTTGGTCATCTCCGCTGATTTTAGGTGGTGCGCCCACATGTGTCTCTCTCAAAGGCCATTTACCACGCTGTCGCTATATTGAAGCTATTTTTATAGTGCATCTTGGTTATCTCCGCTGATTTTAGGTGGTTATGTGCGTAATTGAAGCTTTCTATCCCATTTGAACTACTAAATATGTGCATCTACCCTCGCCGCGGCCGCCGAACCCGCTGGCTCCGTCGTAACGGAGACGCTGCTCGCTTTCTCGATATAGTAGCCTTAGTAATATCCTCCGTAGCTACTGTAGAAGTAGCAATATCCTCCGTAGCTACTGTAGAAGCAGTACCGTCCTCTACGGCTACTACAGAAGCCGTACCATCCTCCGTTACTATTATAGAAGCAATATCGGTCTGATACAGATATAGATCCTTATAGTCGTTATCCTGCGGCTGTATACGTAGCTCTTCCGCTGTATCTTCCGCTATCTACTCCGAGGACTGTATAATTATAACGTAGATATAATACTCTCCCTTCTCCTTCTGGAAGCGCTTATATAGTTCACTAAGGCTTTTCTCTTCGATGAGAGATTATATAGAGAGATATTATGCGGTCTACGGCCCTTTCCCCTATTATATTATAGTCTTAGCTAGATAGAACTTATCTCGCGGCCTGCTTTAGTATCCTGATAGTTATTATAGACTCTAGGGGACCTTTAAGATAAGGTGTCTCGCGAAGAAAGGGATAGTGTAGAAGGTCTCGGAGGAGGGGAAAGCGTATAAAACCGTTACTAATCGATAAGAGAGAGGTTAGCTAGCTACTTCTATAGTAGTAGTCGTACTTACTTAGTAGGCGCTCTATCTCTTTTACCCCCTCCTAGAGATAGAAGGATGTAGATATTTAAATATCCTCTGGCGGCGGCGGCGGCGGCGGCGGCGCTGCTAGTAGTAGACGTCTCTCTCGCTAATGTTAATAAGCGCTCCGGGCTACGCTTACTGTGCTAGAAAGATCGCTAAAGTGCGCGTTTAGCTACGCTGGTACTGTAGTTACTCGTAAAGCTATAGCTACTAGTAGTAAAGGTATTAGCGTCGATAGTGTAGGCGTTAAAGCTGCTACTACTAGAGCTAGAGAAGCTGCTATTAATAAAGACGCTAGCGCTAGCGCTGCTAAAGATAATATAGCTATAATAGTAGTAGCTAAAGCTTCCTAAGGAGAGGTCTGTTAAGATGCTATTTCGATAGCCTAAGGACGACTGACTAAGGACCTAACTGACCGAGGACCTAACTGACTAAGGACCTAACTAACTAAGGACCTTTTAGCTTAATATAGATAAAAATTCCGATTTAAACTAGCTCTTAGCGGTGTAGGCTATACCTTAGCTATCTCGGCCGCCTTAGCTGTCTCGGCTGTCTCGGCTGGCGACTATAAATATATACTAATCGGCCTTATATATACGCCTAGGATAGGCTCCGCGCCTAATTCGTGGTGGTATAATATACGACGCCGAAGTGCTTTATATACTGTACGGTATAGCTAGTCTCTTTCCCTATAGAGCTAAAGTAGTAGATCTTTAGGGTTAAAGCTATCGCCTATAAGCTACTGCCTAATCTGCTAAAGCTACGAGCGATACTATGCTAAGGTCGTTAGTAGGAGATATTCTATAGGATTCTACTCTTATACGTCTCGCTAGATATATCTAGTAAGCTACTATCTAAGACCCTTAATAGTAAGGAAGGGGGTAATTTACCTGTAGTCTTTGAAGGAGTTCTTGGTTAAAGGATTGCTAATAATCTTGAATAGCGTTAGGATAGTAGTAGTAGTTTATAAATGGCTTCCTAGGGATAGTATTTAGCCGCTTAGACTGTCGCCGAATTAGATATGTATTCTAAATATTCGTATATAAGTATATGCGAGCTCGGAGGATAGGTATATAGATAGTAAGAAGCGATACCTAGTCTAGAAGAGACTGCTTCGAAAAGATCCCATCGCGGTAAAGTATATAGAAATAGTTATAGTAGAGGAAGATGCTTAAGCTTACGAGCTGTCCCTACTAGGCTTTAATCCGTTAATTCTCTATACTTCGGCCGTAGAAGAAGCAGTCTAGAAGCTAAAGATATAATACCGACGCTAAGGCTTCTAACACTAACCGGCGAAGGGCGAGATACGTATTACTAAGTATTAGTGTTTCTAAGCCTAGATTAGCGTATATATTACGTAGTAGAAAGCCCTTCGAAGCTACGTTATTAAGATACTAACGGAGTACGCTTACTGCTATTCGTGTAGAGATTCCTGTTACGATCATGGAAAGAGCCAACTGGAAAGTAACCAGGTGCATTCACGAAACAACGAAGGTGAAGAAGGAAGAAACTACGGAGGCTCTGGTAACTATCTTGTAGAGAGCTTATGCAAACAGGCCCTATTAGGTTAGCTCGGTCGGGTGTTTCTATCACTCCGCGTCTATCAGGTGATCTCCGTCCATCGTTCTATCATGCGTCATATAGCCCTCCTTTTTAAAGAGGCTCGCCCCGAGACTCTAGGATATTATCGTCGATATGGTCACCAACGAATTCGTCGACTTCTGCTGCAGCTAGCCAGATCTGTAGGTTCTTTGGGGGTCCGGGGGAGTTGGGGTATCGTCGGTGGAAATCTATCAGTTTCAGCGGCGCATTTTTAAAGTCGGCTGCGTAATACTAAGCGTCGTCCTTATCGTGGCCTAGCTACTTAATCTTATACTGTAGCTTTCGGTAGTGTAGGCGTGACCGTAGGACCTCTTCGACTTCCTATTCTTGCTGATTATTGACTAGGACTGGCGGTAGAGGATCTTCGATCTGACCTAGTAAGGGATCGGTCTTCGATGTACGGCGTAGCTTATTTGGCGAGAAGACTAGGTGTACCTTAATAGATAGGGGTAGCTCGAGCCTAAACGTATAGCCTTCTTTAGCGATAATCTTATACGGCCCGCTGGCTTGGTCCGATAGCTTCCGGCTTAGGCGGTCTAGTCCCTAATAGCGTGTAGTAATATAGACTATATCTCCTACGTCGAAATCTACCTCGCGGCGGTGTTTATTCGCCTGTGTACGTTAGAGCCCTTGTGCGTAGTCGATTACTTTAGTAGTCTCTTTCTAGATTCGTTCGATTTATTCTATAAAGTTTTGTGTATTACTAGTTAATTACGGCGAAAGAGAAGCGTCGGTAGGTAGGTCCTAATCGAATAACATTCTAGGCTCGTATCCTCTTTCTATAAAGAAGGGGGACTTTTTCGTCGAGTCTTGGCGTAGCGCGGACGCGGCGAAGTCAATTATCGGTAGCTATTCGGACTAGTCATCTTAGTACTTATTAACTATTACCCTTAGTCGTTAGGCTATCTATTAGTTAGCTATCTCGGTCTAGCCGTCGGTCTGCGGGTAGTAAGCGGTAGATAGCTTACGCTTGATATAAAGAATTCGGCAGAACTTAGTCTAGAACGCCGATATAAACTATCCTCTACGGTCCGATATAATTAAGTTAGGTATACCTACCTATCGGAAGAGATGTATAATAAATAATCGAGCCATTTCTACGGCTGTAGTCGTCTTATAATAGGGGATAGAGGCCTAGCGCTTACTAAGGCGACAGTATACTACGAATACCGCGTTGTAGCTATGCTTATCCTTAGGGAATGTCCGGAAATCTATTATGATATACTGCTATAGCCGATCGGGGGTAAGGAGTAGTTATAATAACCCTAGGGGTCGGTCTCTCTATATCTTTATCCGCTTATAAATTCGATAATTATCTACGTATCGTTCGACGTCGGTTACCTAGTTAGGCTACTAGTAGCGACTTAAGAGAAGGGCCTTTATTTTAGTCTCGCTAGGATGCGTAGTGTATAGTTAACGATAGACCTTATTAAGTAGGCGCGCCCTAAGGTCTCCGTTATCTAGCACTACTAGTCTTCCTTTATAGAGCAAAAGACTACCTCTTATCTCCTAATATCTATCCTCGCTTATTCTTACCTAGTTTCGGTTTACGTCGAGGGAGGGATAAGTCTAATTAGTATAGAGAACACGTACGACTACCCCGGTTATATCGGAGATAGTCTAGGATCCGTCGTCGGGGTTTATTATTATTACCGGAGCGATTCTAGCTAGAGGGGGTTAAGGGTTATTATTATCGGGGTATATATCTTATTCGAGGTACTCGCGCGGGAGGAGGATTTAGTTCTGCCTATTATAAGTACTAGGGTCCTTTCGTAAGAGGGTATTAGCGATAATATTTCGCTTTCCTGTAAAGTAGCGTATTAGGAAGTGAAATCTCGACAGGAATTCTCCCTAATGCGCCTAACGGGCGTTTAGCTTCTTTATAGTTATGAAATATTGAAGCGACTAATAGTCAGAGAAGATACTAAATCGGTCGTCCTATTATAGTCCCTCTAGCTCCGCTCTCTAAAGATTAAGGGCCTTAACGATTACAAATATCTTATAGTTATATGTGTCCTATCGCTGCTCCGTAGTAGTTAGTTTTAACGAATAGAAGTAGATAGGGTGCTAATAGCTATTAGGCTGGAGCTATAAGAGGACTCCTCTGATATACCTATCTAATGCGTCGGTCTCGACCTTTATAGGGGCCGATGCGTCGTAGTAAGCTAATACCGGAGCCGTTATTATTATCTTCTTAAGTTCTTAGAAGGCTTATTTATACTACGTACTCTACTCGAACGGTGTCTTATCCTCGGTAAGGCGATTTAGTGGCTTCGTAATCCGACTATAGTTCTTTACGAATTGTCGATAGAACCTACAGAATCCTAGGAAAGATCGTACCCCGTAAACTATAGTAGGCTACTACCAGTCGACGATCACTGCAATCTTTTCCGGATTAACCTTAATACTATCAGTGCCGATGATAAAGCTAAGGAACCGGGTTATCTACGTATAAAACTCGTATTTACTTAGGCTTACCTATAGTCCGGCTTCTCGAAGCTTTTAAAGCACCTTCTTGATATATTCGATATATTCCTCTATCGTTTCGCTATAGATTAGGATATTATCGATAAAGGCGGTAGCAAAGTCGTCGAGGTATCCACTAAGAGTTATATTAATAAACCGCTAGAACGTGGCGGGTCTATTCGTCACTCTAAAGGGTATCACTTTATACTTATAGGACCTATATCGTATACGGAAGGTAGTAAGGTCTTCTGAGTCAGGATCTATACGAATTCTGTGAAATCCTTGCCGGATATCTAACTTTATAAAGTATCTAGCCTTACCTAGCCGTTAGAAGATCTTATTAATTAGTAGAATTAGATAACGATCTTTCTTCGTAATCGAGTTAAGCTTACGGTAATCGACGTAAAACCGGAGTCCTCCGCCGGGCTTCCGGACTATTAGGATTAGGGAAGTATAGGGGGCCTTACTTTCTTCGATAAACCCTTACGTAAGGTTCTTTATAATATAGGCCTTAGCCGCCTAAAGCTCTTCTTCTGATTACTTATAGAGCGGGTAGTATCTAGGGGTTAGGCCTTCCTCGAGGACGATTCGATAGTCGGTAAACTCTCGGTATAGTAGTAGTATATCGGAGTCTTACTATAAAAATATATCGGTATACTTATAATATTCCTTAGGAATAATGCGCTTTATCTTACGTTCTTCTAATTAACGCTTATATCGTTTATTCTCTAGGATCCGGTCAATCTCCTCGAGTAAGGTTAGAAAGACTTCGCTGCTACCCCTTTATATATATCGGTAGAATCCTACAGTACTAATCATTGCGATAGCTTCTAATAGGGGGGTATAGATCTAAGGAGTTAGTCGTTATCTTTCTAAGGAAGGACGGGGTTACACCTCCTTTAGTATACGCTCTATTTTAGCTAGTATACTCTTATAGTCTTCGGCCGTAGTCTTTATCGGCTTATATTACGGTAGGCGATCGATCTTTTTAAAAAGCTAGTCGCGTCGATCGGTATCTCGTTAGTGATTAGGATTAGGCCGTCGTAAGATCGTCTAGGGGAGGATAGTAGATAGCTAACTAGCTACTTCATCCTATAGGCTCTGTTCTTCCGGCTAGATTAATCGGCGCTTTACGCAGTCGGGAAGGACCTTGTACTCTATAAACTACTCGCGTCCGAGGATTAGGTCGTGCTTACTAAGATTAGCGACTAATATTAGTAAGTAGTGTTATACACAGCTATTAATTATTAGTGTTAGTTTAATAGTATAAGTGATCGGCTTTCTAGGGTAGTCGTTAAACCCTCGGGTCGGTACCTCCTTTTCTAGCCGTATTACTAGCTACCTAAAGGCCTTCGCGGCCTATAGGGCTAATCGGGTATCGATATATATAAATCCATCTACTCTAGTATTACTAAGCGCGGAAATCGAGAATAAATGTCTATTATAGGCTATTTAGGTATTAAAAGATAAACTATTTCCTCTTCCTAATAACTTCTGTAGATTCAGCGCGAAAAGTAATAAAGTTATACTACCTAGGAAGGAGACTTTCCCTAGGCTTAGACATTTCCCGATTTAGGGGTATTAGCAGTAGTAGGGGCTTCGTAATCGGCGAGTTCTTTAGTAGTATCGATCGAAGCGACGGTTATCGGCTTCTTCGGGCAATCGTGTGAGGTATATCCTTGTTCGTAATATTTAAAGCATCGACCTTCTTTTAGGTAGGTCGCTCGTTCCTCCGCGGTTATTAGTTTATAAGCCGGAGTAGTACCTTTACGCTTAATAAAAGGGGATGATATAGGGCGTCTATACGAAGCGGTGGTCGTAGCTAAGCCTAAGGCTGATCTAGAGACGGTTACGGCCGCTTAGGTACGACGAGATTCTTTCTACTTATAAAATAAGCTTAGGTTTAGGGCTATACGCTGGTAGGTAGTAATAAACCTCTAGAAGCTAACGTCTAGGTTATTGAGTAGGTATATCGTCTAGGTCTAGAGCATCGGTAGTAGCTTACTATAAAGGTCGCGGAGTCGGTTTTACTTAGGCTGCTAAGCCTCTTTAGCTAAGCGAGAGAAATCAGTAAGGAAGTCGCTAAAATCATCCTTAGGCTTTATAGTTAGGTAGGTGTATTCGTAGAGTACCTCCGTAGCTCGGTTTAGGTTTAAAAAGACACTCTCGAGATACTTAATTATATCCTCTACGTCGCCGTACGGGTTAGACGCTCTATCTCTCATTCGGGGACTAATATAGAGTAAGGCCTTACCCTCGGTGCGGCTTGAAATATAGTAGATTCGGTCGGACGGAGTTAAGTAGTAATTAGCGTTACTACGTAGCTTATATCGAATCTAGTTCGCCTACTAGTCGAAGTGTACGGTCTTACCGTCGCTAAAGAGAGGGGGGTCGGGGAGTTTCGCGGTACGGCGAGATATAGCTATCGGGGACTCGTAGGTCGACGGACGGTCTTACCTACGCTCCTATAGATCGATAACCTTTATAGCGAGCTAACTAGCCCTTAGGGTAACAGTCTTAAGATCCCGTTATGCCTCCCCGTATTTAGCGTTTATAGTATCCCGCTGGTTAGTAAGAGTTCGAATTTCGCAGCACTCTCGACGGAGGAGGTTAAGGAGTTATTTAGGCGTATAATTCTTGATGAAATCAAGGTTAAGGTCCCCCTTAGAGGGGAAAGAGATCGGTTCGTCTAGTCCCTGCCATCCGGCAGGTTCGGCGCTAGCGATTTCATCGTCATCGCTGTTCGTTTCGTGCTCTCCGGCCAGGTTCTCTGGGGTCTGGTCGTAAGGCTCATTAGCCGCAGTGCTCTGACGGCGTCGGATCGTTAAACGGGATCGTACTATAACGTCGGCTTATCTTGGCAGGGGAAGGTTCGGTTGGAATCGTTTAGGATTCGTCGGTTTCGGTTTAGGGTGGGGCGTCGCTCTAAGTGAGACGGTGACAGCGTGCTGTCTATATCTGTACAACTCAAAGATGACAGGAAAGGGTGAAAAAGGACCTTCGTTGCATGTTACGATCATAGAAAGAGCCAACTGGAAAGTAACCAGGTGCATTCACGAAACAACGAAGGTGAAGAAGGAAGAAACTACGGAGGCTCTGGCAACTATCTTGTAGAGAGCTCATGCAAACAGGCCCTATTAGGTTAGCTCGGTCGGGTGTTTCCATCACTCCGCGTCCATCAGGTGATCTCCGTCCATCGTTCTGTCATGCGTCACAATTCCTACATAAATCTATATAATATATCGAGAGTATCTATCGATAGTAGTATATATCTCGAATCTAAAGGGTTCTAGCTTTATATAACTATCTATATACTATATCTAATTCGGCCTAGGGCAGATATAAGCTCCTCTCCGGCGCTAGAGGTCTGATCGACGACGTTCGACGGCTTCGGGGTTAATTATTTTATAGACCTTATAGATTCTCTCTCTATAGAGAGATTAGTATTAGTATAGCGTATCACCAAGGATAGACTTACCGAGGATACTAAATACCTTACGTATAAAGGAAGACCTATTATAGCCGACGACTATAGCCTTTAATATCTCTAACCTAGTCCTCCGTAGTTAGAATAGCTTTAATCTTAGCTTTCTGTCGCTTACGTTCTTTAAGATCGTCGACCCGAAGCTATATTCTAAGCCGCTGACGAGCTCTACGAAGAGATATCTTAGATAAGGGCATACCCTTTCTTTTAAGCACTTAGAGAACCTCTGTAGTATATATAGTAAGGAGGTAAAGCTTATTAATAAGCTTATCTATAGCTTCGATTGTCTCGGTTATTCGACGGAGATTCGCTGGGTAGATATTCTATGACTGTAGGCGGTTGGTGATAGTGCGCTTTGAGACGCTGATGCCATAGTTGGTAAGTAGGGCGATGCGAATAGCTTTAGCAGAGCGTCTACGGTGGACGAGATCCTCGATCTCCTGCCTATACGGGTCAAGAGGGATAGGAGGTATTATGGTGGACGGCCACAGCGAGGGCGACCGCGAGGGTATTTAGGGGTATCCAGCGACGGCCACAGCAAGGGCAACAGCGACGGCCACGGCGAGGGCGACCGCGAGGGTATTCAGGGGTATCCAGCGACGGCGACAGCGCGGGTATGAGGGTATTCAACGCCTAGGGATATCGAAAGTTAGTAGATTGTATGAATAGCTTCACCTTACCACCTGCGATTAGCGGTGAGAAATAGCGGTCAAGATGGGGGTCGGCAGAAAATAGTGAATCTCCTTTTGTATGGGAAAGACAGTGTAAAGAACGATTCCTGCGTTACAGAGCGGTCCCTAGGGCGGTCTAGAATATGCATAATTGTGCACTTGCCCAGTGATCACTATTGTCCGCCGTACACGTGGGGCAGCGACCCAATCGGAGCGGGGCAGCGCATCTAAAATTTGTCCAGAGATGCGCTGGGCCGCGGGGCTTCGTCAACTTTCCTCCATCTCCAAGCCCTTCATAAGAATTGAGTCTGCGAAACAATTGGCGCGCAGAATGACTGCTCTTCCCACCACCTACGATGGTTCGTTTCTCCCGTGAGCCGGTGCTCAACACTCTCTTCTCACTTCTCCCTTGACCCCACTTTCGGGCAAAGCTGACAGTCGCAAACCGTACAGGGCCCGTCCCAATTGCTGTCATCGGTGGCACTGGCCTTCGTGAGCTCCCTGGTTTCACCCAGGTTGCTTCGCTGAACGTCTCGACCCCTTGGGGCGAGCCTTCCTCCCCGATCACTATCCTGCACCACCAATGCAAGCACAACAACAAGACCGTCGCCGTTGCCTTCCTCAGCCGACACGGCCTGCATCACCAGATCGCGCCACATGAGGTGCCGGCCCGTGCCAATATCGCTGCTCTGCGCTCCATTGGTGTCCGCAGCATCATTGCTTTCTCCGCCGTCGGCAGTCTCCAGGAGGCCATCAAGCCGCGTGACTTCGTTGTCCCCGATCAGATCATTGACCGCACCAAGGGTGTGCGCCCATGGACCTACTTCGAGGGTGGTGTTGTTGCCCACGTTCCCTTCGGCGATCCCTTCGACGAGGGTATCGCCAAGGTCGTTCGGGAATGCGGACACAGCCTCGAGGGTGATGGTGTCGTCCTGCACGACCGAGGCACCATTATCTGCATGGGTACGTGACTGATCCCGCGAAACGAATCATCATCGAAGACCAATTTTCCGCTAACGCCTTTCTTTGATCTGTATTAGAGGGCCCTCAGTTCTCCACTCGCGCCGAGAGCAACATGTACCGCTCCTGGGGCGGTAGTGTGATCAATATGTCCGTCCTCCCCGAGGCCAAGCTGGCCCGCGAGGCCGAGATCGCCTACCAGATGATCTGTATGTCCACCGACTACGACTGCTGGCACAACTCCGCCGATGTCACCGTCGAGCTGGTTATGGCCAACATGAAGTCCAACGCCGACAACGCCCGCCGCTTCGTGACTGCCGTCCTCGACGCGCTGGCCGCCGATGAACACGCTGACCTCGTCTCGGCTAAGCACCTGGCGGGCTCCGTCAAGTTTGGTGTCAGCACTCCCCAGACACAGTGGAGCCCAGAGGCCAAGAAGAAGCTGGACTGGCTGTTCCCTGGCTACTTTTAAGACTTGAACTGGGTTTGACGCACATACATTACATGACGCATTTTGATATATAGATATATAGGGAATAGATAAGACGACCTGACGAATGTCAATATCATCATGACCTTTCTGCGGCATACTATGCACTGTTAATTAAAATGGGCACCACTGTAGTATCAGGAAGGGGTTGTGGTCCCCAGAGGGTTCCAACACCACATCGGAGAACGAGCATAGAAAGTCGTAGAAACAGAGACGTTGGGTCGCTCTTAAATATCAAGATGAAAATTTGGACCAGGACGTATGGACCAATACATGGTAAATGTTGTTTGGCCATGTCTTGGAACACGATGTTTGCGGTATGCCATGTTCCGGCAAGGCAATCATCGTCTCATCCGCGGTAAAGTTGCTCTCTGTGCCCGCTCCCGCCTTCGCTGTTGTTTCGCTGGGCTTCATGAAGCAGTATGCTCTATCTTTGAACATGACAAGACGACTGCATGACAATTTCGAGGGCAGGGCCTTCCCACGCTGTTCTTAAGTTCACGCGCAGTGGAAAGCGCATACAAAATGTCGCGTTTCATAATTCTCCATACTATGCAAAGTGGGTACCACCTGAGAATGCGGAACCCAGTCATCCGGGCGTTATTGCTACCTGAACTTGTCTCAATGGACTACTATGAGGGATCGACAGATGGGCAGGTGCATGGCTGCTTCGCCTTTCTCAACAAAAGAAATGACCCTGCCGCAGCGCTTTCAACCTGGATCACTCAGTGTAACTTACCCAACTGTCTGCAACTACTCTCTAGCTTGAACACGGATAATGGGAACAGCGTTTAAAGACTCTTATGCCATCCTCTGTGATACAGAAATACATTCACCTGCTTCTATTGGCTTAGATTCTTTCCGGTATCTACAGCAACAGCCTCGTCAATCTTAGTCAACATGAAGTCATTGTTGTCATACCTGCGCTTCTACAATCAAAAAACGTCATCCTTCACATATAAGCGCCATGGCTGACAGAACCAATGTGTTCATTCCGGGATCTTGACTTCTTCACCCTACTCATCATCACCGACGAAGACCCGAATGGGCATCCAGGAGTCCCCCACGACTTTAGTTCGAGTTCTGATCCCGTTTAGATCCTCCATTTGCTCATCCGTCAAACACCATCCATCCAATTGATAGTTTGAGTCGATTCGAGCTGGTGTCACACTCTTAGGAATCACGCTGGTACCACGTTGTAGTCCCCACATCAAGCTAAATCCAGTTAGCATATATGAGGCAGATACAACCGGGATCCTAGCACTTACACTATTTGTGCCGGTGTCTTTCCCTCTTTTTTTGCTATCTGTAGGACGGTCGGGTCCTCCATTAAACTGGTGTGAGCGTTGATGGCCGATGCTGTATGCCCACCCAGGCAGGAGTATGCGGTGCAATGGATTCCTTTGGACTTGCAGTACTCCAGCAGTTTGGGTCTATATTTTGATCAGAAGTGATGTTTTCGCATTTCTGGAAACTCACTTACGATGGATTGTGAGGATGGAGCTGCGAACGGAAGTCTTTGTTAGCGAAATTCGAAGGTAGGGGAAGGCCCTAGAATATGTACCTCGATTTGATTAACCGCTGGGACAACCTTGCAAGATGGGTCACTGAGAAGCTTCTCGAGGTGGGAAACCTGGAAATTTGAGACACCGATAGTCTTGACCTTGCCAGTTTCAAGGAGGCTCTGCATGTCTTGCCTACAGCGTGTTAGCGATTGGAATAAGAGTTAACATCGCCCCATGTGTACCATGTCTTGACAAAGTCCCAGTCTTTGAGATGCTTAGTTCTATCTTCTGGGTCTGTCGAGCAAGGGAAATGAACCAAGAATAGATCAATGTAATCCACGCCCAGGTCTTTGAGGGATGATTCAAGCCCCTCGCGCGCTCGGTGGTGCCAATGGTTATCCAACTTGGTCGTGAGCCAAATCTGCTCTCTCGGCACTCCAGAGGCCCGAATACCCTCTCCGACCTGTCTCTCGTTGCCATAATTCAACGCCGTGTCAATGTGCCGGTAACCGTGCTGCAAAGCGTACTTCACCGCTTCTCGGGTGTTATTGTCGGTTGACTGCCATGTCCCAAGCCCAATGGCCGGGATATGGGCGCCGTTATTCAGCTGGTACGTATACGACGTGAAATTGAGATTGCCCATGGTAAAATAATGTGTTGTACAACAGGCCAGGGGCTGTTCCTTGGCTGATAAGGGCGTGTATTTGTGTGGCAAAAGTATCGTGAGATCGGCAATTCCGAGAATGTGAACCCAATTACTGCTCGTAGTTGGCCGATCGTGACATGAGGGGGTCATGCAAGTTCCTCGGCCAAATTGCTTTCTTCAATTCCATTGCTAATCATGCGAGTGTCTACCCCCACACCCCAGTCACAGTGGAGGTGATCGATACGCGATCCGGGTTAGTGCGTCGGACCAAGTTGTGGGGCTGATAGGCGAACGTCTTTGTGATCGGTTAACTCAATAATAGAAAGCATGAGAGCCCGAGCCCGTGAGGGGGACAACAACATCAATGATCCCCGCCCTGGAGCAACAGGCAATGATAAGCCGCAGAATATGTAAGACGAGGTTGCACCCCGCGGTCTCTCGCGCCCCATAGCTCTCCGCCGAACATTACCACATCTTAGCACTACACAATGGGTTGGTCCTGGCCTGAGATCAAGGAGAAGCTTCAATGGTGCGTGTCTAGCGGGACTGCATGACTTACTCCCATCCCGAGCGTTCTAATATGTTTATAGCCCAAAGGACGAGGACGCTCAGTATGAGAACACCACCTGGTGTAATCGTGATTTGATTCCGATTCCCCCAGACCGACGAACTTATGGAGTCTTGTCCTATTTTGGTAACAAGATGCTCGTGTCCGATCGCCGCAGTGACCCACTAATCCATTTTTTAGGGTACTGGACTGTGTCGGGGTCCTGCATCTCCGCGTGGTCGACGGGCAGCACGCTGCTCGCCTTCGGGCTAAGCCCCCAACAGGCGATTGCGGTCGTCGTAGGTACACATATGCTCCTTTCTTTTGGTTTATGCTGAACCATTGGTTAGGTAGTTGGTGGTGTTCTTGCCGGCCTCCTCGCCGTCGCGTGTGGGTGGATGGGGGAGAATCACCATATCGGGTTTACTGTGGCGAGTCGGTTTTCTTGGGGGATGCGAGGATCATATTGTCAGTCTGATGCGCGTTGGGGGGTCTGCGTGGGGGAGTGACTATTGCTAACCCCGAGATTTCCAGTTCCGGTCGTGTTACGCGTCTTCGTTGCTTGTATGTGGTTTGGAATGCAGGCGTTCTGGGGCGGCCAGGCGACCAGCGTCATGATCGGAGCTATCATTCCAGGTAAGCCTCAAGCCTGCGGACGGTCTTGATACCTTACTAACTGCGAAAGGGTTTGCCCATATGCCTAATTACTTCGCCGCTGGTTCTCATCTCCAAACAAAAGACTTTATTGGCCTCGTGATCTGGATGTGTGCGTTCATTCCTGGTCTACTGATTCGTCCCGAAAAGCTACAGATCCCGTTTGTGATTTGCTTTACCTTTTTCTGTGGCTCCTGCTTTGGGATACTCATTTGGTATGTCTTGAGATAATTAGAGCTTACAATTCGCATTGCTAACGAGAGGCTAAAATCAGGGCGGTCTCTCAGGCACATGGACCAGGAAAGATGTTCCACGAGCCTGCCACAGCTCCTAATGTCGGATGGGCATTTATGTTTGGCATTACGGCTATTCTTGGATCATGGGGCTCTGGCACTCTCGGTCAGTCAGATTGGACTCGTTATGCGAAACGGAGGTTTGCGCCGACACTCTCCCAGCTCGTCGCTTCTCCATTAACTATTGGGGCAACGGCCACCATTGGCATCGTCGTGACTAGCGCAGCGCGTGATGTGATGGGTGGTGAAATTGAATGGAACCCCATTTACCTACTAGCCGAAATTCAAGAATATTACCATTCGAGTCCCGGCGTCCGCGCTGGGGTATTCTTTGCCAGTATTGGCATGGTCTTCTCTCAATTCTCGGTATGTCTAGCGAGAGACTAGAACCACGTGGCTGACAAGACTGACGAAGGGATAGATCTCGGTTGTATTAAACTCCGTATCCTGTGGCATGGACATGGCCGGGTTGTGGCCCAGATACATTAATATCAGACGTGGGGCATACATCATGGCTTGCATTGGCATTGCAACACAGTATGTCTCATGGCAATGGCATTGTTGAGGCAGTATATTAACTTGCATTCGTTAGACCATGGCAGCTACTATCCACTGCAGAGAAATTCCTTTCCGTCCTGAGTGGATTCGGCGTCTTTATGGCACCAGCAACGTGAGTGTACCCGCAATCAGCCTTTTGGGGGTTATCTAATAGGACGAAAAACAGGGGCATTTTGCTCGCAGACTACCACATTGTGCGGCATTATAAGCTGAGACTCGGTGATTTGTACACTGGGGACAGTTCGTCCATTTACTGGTTCTCAAATGGCGTGAACTGGAGGGCATTCGTTGCGTTCTTAGCAGGGATGTGGCCACTTCTTCGTACGGAACCCCCTCCTGCTCCCATATCTCATAATGTCAACTAATGCCTTTATACTTTATATAGCGGGGATGGTTGCAACAGTCAACTCTTACTCTGGAGGCCCATGGACTGGTTGGGTCCGTCTATACAACTTAACCTTCCTAGTTGGCCTTGCCTTGAGCTTTTCTGTGTTCTGGGCACTGAGTCGCTGTTTCCCACCGACTGGCCTCGGGCTAGAGTCTTCTTTCACTGGGGAGGAGGTCATCTATGGGGTTCCAAAGTCCGATGTTGACAATGAGAATGAGACCCAGCGTACGGACAAGAAGACTATAGCTGCTAGTCTCGTCTGAAGCTTTAACATTTGTCTCATAGGCAGATGATACCGTATTCTTGTTTCTCTTTAAATGAAGGTTTACTACAACGGGGACCCATTAATTATTGTCCGGATACTATGCTTTGGATTGCTACCTTGTATGAGCAAGTTTGATTCCGATCAGCATTTTTGTACCTGTTTCGCTAGAATGCGTAAGTGTAAATCGCATACATATGGCCAATTTCAAAATAGACGATCTTCTTGTTTTGACCGATGTTGAGGCGGGCCCCGCGACAGCGGCGCCTTGACTCTGGTTGCTTTCGTAGTGTACTTGGCAGGGATCTTCCCTTCATCCTCTCCTCTTATCTCACCATTGCCGAGCCGTGGTCTCGCTTCTCCACATGCAACGTCTGCTTCACTGCATTTCGGCCTGATAAATCATATGTCCCCTGACAATATGGAACGCCTGTCTCAAAGGAAACGAACGTTTAAGATACGAACCAAGTTTGGCAGTGCCCGGCCGTGGAGAAGCCGCAAGAGCCGACCGTGTGATACGTGTCGCCGGAGGAAGACAGCGTGCATTATAGAATCCACCCCACCGTGTAGGTCCCTGCTCGACTCACAGAACGATGTCAATTCAGTAGAATGCTCATATCTCCAAAGGCAGGTTTTGCCGAACCAAAGGGCTGATCTGTAGATCGGCCGAGGATGACACAGAGCCAGTGCAACCCGATGCGACAGCTGGCAGCAGCCGCCAGGGACAGCAGTCCGCACGGAACTTGTCCTCCACGGCCGACGGGACGAGTAGCTCCTCTTTAAATCTGGGGGCTACAAGTTCCCCGGCAAATTCATCTTCCTCATGGGCGAGGCCGCTTTCGGGCGAGTTGCTGTCACCCCTGAACCACTCCACTGAGGCTGAGCGGTGGCTAACACAGGGAACATCGCCAACCGCACCTTCAGCAGGGCCACTTGGCTCCACGGATGAAGAGCCGTTACTCTTATATACCCTAGAAGATAACAAGAATCGCACCGCCCACAGCATGGGCCTTTGCGCTGAGCAGGACACAGACTTGCTTGCTTCTTTTCGGTCCGTGATCATGAACGAGACCGATGGAGTCAGTGCCGATGTCATTCAGATAAGTGCCGGGAATCCTGCCTATAAGATACCTCCAGTACACTTTAATGTGCTGCATGATGAGTTCCAACCCGCCGACGATGTCGCCAAAACCCGGGCCTCGGAGAACATTGAAGCAATGGTATCCCCGCATGGCCCAATCCTTGTTCGGCTCTTTTTCAAACATGTCCATCCGGTATACTGTGTTGTGTCAAAAGCTAGGTTCCTGCAAGCTTATGCGACTGAAAAACTTCAAATTCCTGCCTCGTTGCGCGGGGCTATCTACGGGCTGGGGTCAATGTTCTGGCAGCAGCACCCTGATGCACCACGGCCCTTGCAGTTTGATCTGCACGATCTATTTGAAGAGGCACATTCATCTCTACAGAGGGAATTCCATGCTCCAAATCTTTGGAAGTTGCAAGCCTGTCTACTACTTCTGTATGAAAGACCAGCGGACAACGCTACCATTGAAACACCACGAACGTGGATTTTCTCTTCTCATGCCGTTGCATGCGCCCAGATGATTGGACTGCACCGAGACCCAGGATCCTGGCAGATATGTCCCTGGGAGAAGAAAGTTAGGAAGAAATTATGGTGGGCAACTTACATGGCGGACATCTGGTCCTCCGTCTGTCATGGCAATCCACCTCTAATCTACCCAGCCTCATTTACGACATCTAAACCAAGTATCGAAGATTTGGCATTTGATGAAGATATCCCGAAAGAGTTAGCTCATATGGTGGACGATTCCAGCACATCTGTTGATATTTCCACCACTGCACGCTTTCTCCAAATGGTCGAACTGAGTCAGATCTTACATGATCTAATTGATTCTTACTAGTAAGTTGGCTCAACCTTGTAGAAGAACTGGCGACTGACGATCATTGTTAGCCTGGATGCTGGCTATGAGAAAAGCATGGCGGATCCGGCGGACCGGGAATCTAGATTATTGGAAGTCAAAAAGAGGCTGGAGAACTGGGCCGCCATGGCTCCCCAATGCGTGACCATGCGCTGCGCCGAGGAATCCCTGGCCTTCAGAAATAATGGTACCGTGCCAATCCGCCCTCCGAAATGCTGATTCCTAACAACTGAATACTTTCCAGCGCCATTGCAGCTGGCATTCTTCGCCACACAGGCTTTACTCTTCCGGGCGTTAATGAGCCCTGCCAAGCCGACCTCTAAAAATGACCCTGATTCCTCGCTTCGCCGCTATTTTGCACAGGCTGTTGGTGAATTCCAAAGGTTTACTCTCTTCATGGACGAGATAACTCTCGCATGTTTGCATTCTTTCTGGGGTGGACGTAAGTCACTTCTGGTCATGATCTGAAGCAGAGCACTGACTCAAGCCTCACTAGATGCCCGTTCTCAATTTACCCTATGTGGTAACTTTTTGATATACCTATTCCTGCTCGCTTCCACGCCTGAGCAAGTTCACGCAACCTTCCAACTATTAGAAAAATTCCATGGATCACTCCAGCGGCTGAGAGAGTGGGCTTACGATGATGCCTCCCTGGCTCTTGTCCGGCCTGTTGCATTACGAATTGATTCCTTCTTCATTCACGCAGCGCGTAGAATGAGAACTGGGATGGGCCCACGATCACTTCCAGGACCACTATGATACCGTTATTTTGAAGCCGTTTCTCACTCTATTTGGGCATCCTATGGTCTATCTACTCTACCTTAAGTGAAGAAAACTCTGTAGCACCCCTACCACCACTTCCACCAAACACCTCAATCACACTCCGAGGTTTGGTGTATCTTCCGATCGGGGTATACTTAACCTCGTCAAAGCCCATCGACCCTGGTCCTCCCAGCTCCATTCCTCTCTTGGTATCTGTCCAGCGTGGGGAGGCAGCAATCGCGATGATGACCACCTTGAGACCGTATTTGTACTCGGGAGTCCCCAGTCCAGACCCCGTCTCCGCATCGATCACAGCAATAAGATCCGGCACTGATGCCACTATCCTAGACTCTCCGTTGACTACCGCTTCCACAAGGGCATTCTCATTCTTGAACGGAACCTTCATCACTGCCTTGGTTCCGTCATGCAGTGTTCCATCCACGTCAAGAACCCCATACGTATGACCCGTCTTGAGAACTCGCTCCACACTGGTGATTTTGCCCTGGCCGAGAATCGCCGCAGTGTCGGAACCACCAACCGCATCGATGATGCGCTGAGCCTTATCGGCCATATTCTTCTCCAACGCCACGGCTCGGCCAATCCACCAAGCTAACGAGACCGTATTCGTGACTGCTTGTTCCCGCACTGTCGACGCGAGCTTCGGCGGTCCAGCACTTCCCGCGCGGCAGCCCATCTCCACACAGGAGGCTCGCAGGATTTTATCAACCAGTCTATCCGTACGAGATGCTGTCATGGTGATAAACGATCCATCTCCACTTGCAATTGTTGTCGGTACGAGCGCATCACCGTTGGGTGACCCATACACGTTGGGCGTAACCTGCCATATTGTCGGGTAGGCGCGGCCCATGTAGTCGGCATCCACGCAGAGGGCTCCCAAATACGCCGAGACGCTCAGGTTGACGACGCCGTTGCCACCTCCGATTTCCAAAGCAACGAACCCAGATACCGGTGGGCTGCGTGTCACTCGCATCAGTTCTTCGTGTGCCTTGAGACACTCATTATTTTCCAGGCGTTCCATGCTGACTTCGGGGCTGCCCATGCAGCCGGTCCAGCCCACCAATGCCTCATCCGGCAGATATTCGGGTGCGACAACCCTGACGATACCGGGGTTGTCCCGAATCATGGCCATTGTCTTGAGATACTCCTGGTAAGGATCTCCACCGCCTCCACAGCCCAGGATCTTACACCCTTCGGCGATAAATGCCAGATCGGTGGGCGAGATGATCCATTGATGGTCTTTTATCTCCGGACGGTAGGCCTGGAGATCCAATTTCTCGGGTTCCGCTTGGCTCCCACGCAGGTTCGGACTCGGAGTGGTCTCTTGTCCGTGATTTTCGAGGTCATATAAAGCAACCCCCTCGCTTGCTGATCGGGTTGGAGTCGCTGCTTGCTGGGCGACGATGTCTAATTGCCCCACCGCTTTAATGATGATTCGAGCTTTGGCGTCGACATATTGGATCGGCAGCATAGTAATCTCGGCAATTTCAATTGTGTCTGGCTTTGCTCCGCTCTCAATCGCCTTGTTGATGGCTAGCTTTGACACTGCATCCTGGGCTTGTTTGAGGCTTTGATTGGACGTATCCACGACGGTGTCAATGACCCCCGATACTCGTGAGATCGCAGCCCCGACGGCGTTGGCGACTTCACCTCCCTTGACAGTCCTCACCATGCGCACACCGGCCAGAGGCTGGTCTGTTTTGATGATGGGTGCACCACCCCCGACGATCAAGACGTCGATATCGCCTTTCTGAATCTTAGTTCGGTCGACGAGCTCTTCGATTTTCTTTCTCATGACCGCTTGAGCCTTTGCCACCACTCCAGGTGTGATATCTGCCAGGTTTCCGGGATTGCCCATGCCTTTGAAAGGGCCGTGCTCGGTCGGCGAATAGATTTCCGATGCCGCAACAATGTCGGTAGAAGTGAGATACTCGCCTCCAAATAGCCTTGCTTTCTCAAGGAGCTCGAGCGCCACACTGTCTGGGCCGACAGACATATGGCCATCTTCCTGTTGACGGATGATCGAACCACCACCCAATCCAATGCTCTCCACGGCCGGAAGAGCAAAGTTTGTGCGAACGCCGCCAACAAGACTCATGACGGAGCTCATCTGCGGCATGCCATTTGGTAGTAGCAATCCACTATCCGAGGTTGTTCCTCCGATATCGATCACTGCGAGGGCCTCCGTTCTCTGGCCATGTTGGCGACCATCTGCTTCGGCGGCAGCACGCCAGAGAAGCTCTCCACCGCGGATTGAGTTTGTCGGGCCGGAATTGAAGGTGCGGATCGGAAGTTCAACTGCTTCGGACGCACTGAGGACACTACCGTCGTTTTGCGTCAGGTAAAGTGTATAATTATTTCCCTGGAAGATGTCCTCCATCGCCTTTTGAAACCCAAATATAGTTCTCTCTGCCAGCGGTCGCAAGGTCGCATTGAGAATCGCAGCATTCTCACGAGCAAGAAACCCCAGCCCCGAGATCTCGTGTGACATGGTGATGCGTGCCTTGAGCTCCGATCCAGCATGTTTCGCCATGCTGGACAAGATAATATCCTTGGCCTGACTTTCTTGGAGGTGGGATAGGGGCGCATACATCCCCGAAATCACCACGTTGAGAATGTTGTTCTTCACCAACTCTTCCGCCACCCGCTCAATCTCCTGCCGGTCCAATGCGCTGATCTCCCCTCCAGAGATCTGATATCCCCCATGACAGAAGTAGTTCTGCGACGATTCGACGCACGCCCGTAGGTCTGCAGGGAAGTCGACAAAGGGCGGGATTCCTCGGCCGAAGCCTTCCTCGGGGCCTCCACACAGCCGTACCACCGCGACGCGTCGCAGCAACGGCGAGCGCTGCACGACAGCATTCACGAAATGAGTCGTGCCGACGATTACACAGCTAATGGAAGCCAAGGAAACATTTGATGTGCCGATGACAGCTTTGATGGCATTGGTGATGCCGGTAGTGACATCGGGCGTGGTTGGTGCTTTGTGTGACGCAACAATAGAGACAGGGTCGAGGGAGATGAGAACCGCGTCGGTGTTCGTTCCTATCAGCTCATCCTCTTAGCTTCCGCTGTTCTACTATTTTTCGTCTTCAAACTTACCTCCCACATCGACTCCAATGCGATATGTTGGGTTGATGCTGGCCATGATTGTATGCGGTTAGGTATCCCGAAACTTCTATATCTTAGCTACATCATCGACAAGCCTTGACAACGGTTATATTCGAAATGTCTCAATGTCTCCAAGGTCTGACCAAAGCGGGGTACAAGCTAGTTGAGAGTAATAGAAAGTTCCCCGATCGCGATAGGCGATCGGCAAAGTAGCGGCACAACGCCTATCCCGTTTGAGAAGGTCGCAACGAAAGCCCTCGGGGCGCCCTTGCTGGAACATAAAAGACTTGACAACAACCTTCTCGTAATCACCGAGATCATCTTTTCCTTGATATTAGCCTTGGCTCATACACCATGGTGGCACTTGCTATCGACAACCTCAGCATCCCAATTATTGACTTGGAGCCAGCACGAACCGGGACTCCCGAACAGGCTGCCCAGGTCGCGCAAGACGTTTATCAGGCTTTCAAAAAGGTTGGCTTCGTCTATATTAAGAACCATGGGGTTCCGCAGGACCTTTTAGACCAAGCTTTTGCATGGGTACGTGTCTGCATAGTGAATATGGGAGTACTGCGATGAATGCCCTAACCCTAGAGATGTAGAGCGCCAAATTCTTCGCTCTACCTCAGAGTGAGAAGAACAAAGCTCCCCATCCGCCCGAGGGCTGGTACCACCGGGGCTATTCGGGGGTGGGCCGCGAGAAAGTCATTCAAATGGTCTTTGATAAAGATGGCATCGCCGAGAAGCGCAAGACACCGGATGTCAAAGAGTCCTTTGAATTGGGCAACGAGAATGACGAGCGAATGCCGAATATCTGGATTCCCGATGAGACGCTCCCCGGCTTCCGCCAATTCTTTACCATGTTCTTCGAGACTTGCTATAGTGTTGAGCAATTGCTCTTGCGAATAATTGCCGTGGGCATGGGTCTGGATGAAGACTACTTCGTGAAGTATCACCAGAACAAAACCAATCAATGCCGATTGCTGCATTACCCGGCCGTAGAAGAGGAACTGCTCCGACTAGGAAAAGCCGAGCGCATTGCCGCGCACTCTGACTTTGGAACCATGACAATTCTGATCCAAGACGAAGTCGGGGGTCTTGAAGTCGAGGATATCCACGAGAAGGGAAAATTCAACCCAGCGCCTTATATCCCGGGGACGGCTGTGGTGAATATTGGAGATCTCCTTATGCGTTGGAGCAACGATGAGCTCAGGTCGACCCTGCATCGGGTGCGTGCTCCACCACTGGTCGATTCCGATGATGCCTCGAAGGGCCGTATGACGCGCCCGCGATACTCAATTCCGTACTTTATCACCCCCGATCGAGAGCAAATCATTGACTGTCTGCCGGGTTGCTATGGACCGGATCGGCCCAAGAAGTATGAACCGGTCAAAAGTCGGGATTATATTGCTATGCGCATGAATGCCACATATTGACAGCGGAATGACGAGAGGCTCTAAGAAAAGGGCGCGGCACTTCTATTCATTCAATGGAAACTTCGATTCATTCAAAGGAAAACATGACTGCCCGGTGAACACTGGAGGTGCTGTCGGGTAAACAAGCCACGAATAATATCCCAAATAACTGACCGGCTACCTAGTTTCGACAACATCCACGACCATAATATAAGTTGTCATGAACAATCAATATGCCTTTTCATTTTGCCAAGTCATGAAGCTTCCCAAACTCAGCAGAGAGATGTATATTAAAACTGAGTCCTAGGTACTTTGTGTCCTATGAACAAAGTACACCCGAATCAATGCTACTGACCTCGCTACCGAACGAGCCTACAAACTAGAATGTTAGTTGAACGTAATATATGTGTAGGGAACCAAGCTTCTGGTAGAAAGGAGGGCCGTGGATACTCTGAAACCCGGCAATGATCATGGGATTGGCTTACAGAAGAGGCAGACTCAAACTCGGCCGCGTCCTGAGGCCGTGCGTCGCTAAAATTACGCTACTTGAGGAAGTTTTTCCTTCAATAGGGGTATATCGGTCGTAAGGCATTGATCTCTAGGTCATTATGAAGGGTCGAGAGGGGCCACGAAGACCGTAGAAACATGCTTTGATATTAAGTATACAATGCTCCAACACGAACCCTCCAGTGAGATCACCAAATCTTCTTCGCCACCATCTCGTACCGATGGACATGATCTATCTTCAAATCTTTGTCTTTGTTCTTGTCCTTCTCCTCCTTCTCCTTCACACGCCGCAGACCCTCCGGGTCATCGCCATAGATCCACCTGCGTTTTTCATCACCAACCTCGACCATACCCCACCCGCCGGCGCGTCGGCTCCCTTCAACACTGAAGTCGTTTTTTCGAGCCGAGCTTTCATTGGGAGGGGGGTGAGAGGATGATGGCTTGCGCGTTTCAGTCTCCAGACCCTGCATTTTCTTGTAGCGGGAGCGGGCGAAGGCTAGCAGGCTCATTCCCAGAAGAAGTTTGAGAATCAAAAGAACAATGTATCCGGTCAATAACAGAATGACTGTGAAGATCTGTACAGACTGCGCAGGTGATGGCATCGTATTGTCCACGAGGGTACTGAGAAAGGCACTGACATGGGCGACGGACGCGGGAATGATAGTACGCAAGGTCAAAGGGGGCATCGATGGGAGTGGTGCGGGGGCGTAATGATTGTGGATCGATGACAAGGATGTTGACTGCATTGCCGTGGAAGACGGATGCTGAGGAAGCAGGGAGGCCAGGAACATCTGATACGTCTGCACGGAGACACGAATGAAAAGACAGGACAGTGGGATGACCGGAAGACCCAAGCGACGAGTGAGGTTTTGCTCCCCAAAGGCGTTGGTATAGTAATCCTTGGCCAGTACATCGAGATACCGGCCGTACAAAGCAGGCCGGTAGTTGTTGAACTTGTTGATATACGCGTGCTTCAGCCAGTCCACAAGCATCTCAGATCCCAGGACAACCAGAAACGGCCCCAGTACCTGGCCAAGGGTCGGGAGGAAGGAGTTGACACTGCTGACGGAGGATAGAAGTGATGAAGGGAAGAAGGTAAAAGACTGGGGTAGGATCGATGATGCGGTCCGCGGGGGAGTGGACAAGGGCGTGCTATTGGTGATGGTAGAAGACTGGCCAGAAAAGCCAGACCCTAGCCCGAGGTCACCGATGAAGCTGAATGCGCCCGTTTCGACAATATTGCGCGAGGCGATTATGGTGAGCATGAGCCACAGTTGAAACCTCTCCACGACATCCGCGCATGTGAGTTGGAATAAGTTTTCTTTCTCGAATTTGCGGAAGACGGTAGATTTGATCTCAACGAACTGATTGGATAGTAAAAGTGTCATAAGGGCATTGGAATACGAGTTCACAGCCACGTTGAGTGTCATGACCTGGGAGAAGAGTGAGGTTGCATGCGCCACAGTGTAGACAAGTGCCGCCAAGAACAGTCCAAATGGACGTAAAATTTTGCTCCTTCCATCTGGGCGGCGCTCGAGAGCTTCCCGTGAGAAAAGGCACTCGAGAACATCCTGCCCAATAGCAGCCAAAAGTCGATCAAGCACTTCAAGCACGTTGTAAATGACATACAACTTAATAGCAGCCTGTCCACGAATCCAATGGTACATTCGGCTGGCATCGATGTACATCAAAGCCCAGCAAGTCGCAACCATGAGTAGGCCCGTCAAAATGTCTGCTTTATCGTTTGGAAGCAACGTCGATGGTATCGACTTCTTCCTGCGGTGATGCCGGCGAGATTCCGACGCACGGTGTCTCCTTTTTGATGGCTCAGAGCTCCGATGTCTGGGTTCTCGTTCTATTGGCGTCGCATCTTGCCCAGTAGAAGATCCATTGGGCAAGCGAGGTGTCGCATCAGGCTCACTTTCGCGTCTTTCACCATGATTCCTCCTCCTCTGCCATACTCGCCCAACGCCAGTGACAACGAATTTCCAAAGAGACCAGAACTCAGCATTCAAGTTCTTCGCCCAAGATTCGAAGAGGATATAAACCGCTTTCACGAAGCGTAGGGGAAGAATGGTGAAGGAGTAGAGCCATGAGTCGAGACAGGCAAGAGAGCCAAAGCCTAGCACCTGTTCGAGTGCGCCAGGGAGTATCAGAAAATTCATCAACCTTTCAATCTTCGCGCTCGATGATTCATACGGAAAATCGTTGGTCGATGGCCGATGAATATACAGCGGTGATGGGCGGCCAGACGCAAGCTCAAGCTGGAGATAAGTAGGTATCGAGACTGGGGGAATGGGAATAGAAGGCGGCATTGGGGATGACATTGGGGATTCGATGATTGGAGGAGACGCTGCCAGATGGCTTTTCAGATCACGATCCGGGGCGTTTCTATCGTGCTTTGAGCGTGAAGCCCACGTTTGCGCCAACCGTTCATCATTCGGCGGAGCGACGGATTGCCGAGAAAGACCAGGGGTCGAAAAGGTTCGAGACGTGTGCGGTCGATTGCGAACTGGGCCATTGTTACCGGATCGTGGAAGAGCCAGGCTTGCAGGCAAAGACGATTCATCCAGAGTAAAGTCCTTAGCAGGCCTCTTTAACGGATCATCTAGCGGAGATGCCTCGCTAAGCGATTGTATAATAGACTCTCGGATCTCTGGGCGAAGTGTTCTAGTCGAATGGGGGATATCCGATACTACCCTTCGCTCGGATTTTGTATCTTGTGCCACTGCGCGGTAGGGAATCGACTCGGGTGAGGATGTAAGCTTCTGAATTTTCTCAGGTGACAACTTCAGGATCCGCTCCTTCTCGTCGGCGGGTCTTTGAGACACGTCTCCAGCAAGTTCGGCCAGAGCGGCTTTCACTTTGGGTCCTTCTAGAACAGACGCTCGGCCGTTCTTGTTTGCATCGTCTGCCGAAAGTTCGACCAAGATACCAAGGCCATGCCCATTGGTGACGTCTCCATTCGTAGCCCGTTCCTCAGAGCCACCGTTCAGACTCTCCTCGCCATGTTCGGTTGTTCGGTCATGAGCGACGGCTGGGCTCTCACTGACGTCCGTATCAGAGGGCGTCAATATCCCAGAGACGTTGTGATCTTCCTCGTTGAAATGAGACGCTCCACCACTTCCAGTATCCTCCATTTTCTCATGTCCATTGAGCTTCCACTCCTCGCTTGGAGTAGCTCCGCTACTCTCCGCCGCAGGGCTCATCTTCGCCGCTTCTTCAAGAGCCGCCGGTGACAAGCAAATATCCTTTCGGGTCTGTTGGCACTCAGGCCGTCGTTCATATTACCGCGTCAAGGACTGCTATTGTTTGCATTCTTGGATTTGACTCCGGCGTCAAAGACCGCTGAAGGTGGTCACGGTATGTTGCTAGCCGAAGGGGCGGTGAGATGAGAACGCCGACAATGGTACCTATGTATCGATGCAAAGGTTTCGCGCTCATCCAACGTACGTTTTTAGCTGGAGAAGACGTTCAAGGTCAGGGACATGGCAATCGTGTAACCGGGGAAATTGAGCTGCAGCTGGGGAAGATAAGGGAGATTATCTGGCAAGTCGGTGAGGTAGTCGTTATTAATGCCTCAGGCATTTATGCTTATCATCACATGACAGCCGCAGAAGGAGTATAAGATTCTGGAGATATTGATTGGCAAGAACTCATAAAATCAAGCGTAGACTCGCAAAACAACTCTTTACATTCACAGTCTACGAGCTCTATCAGACTACACTACGGCTCAACATATATAAATCAAAAACATTTCATTCAGATCCAAAGAAATCGATACTAGCTCAGACAGCCGGATTCAACAGAAGGGGTATGATAGGGAGATATGATAAGGGTATGTACAACATCACATTATTCAATACAGAGATTGGCTCGCCGATCGCTGTTTATGAGGGGTTGGATATTGACAACCCGAGCATGAATTGAAAAAGCCGGTCATCATTGGATTGCAGAAGAAAGGGCCAGCTATCCTGCAGTCTGTCATAACAAGGTTTGAAGCAACCCTCGTAAGGGGGGAAAATTGAATCGCGAATCAATCCAACGGTCTCCGCGTAGGAAGCACCTTAGTATTGATCTGTATTTGCACGATTGAAGCCGTAACCCGCAGGTGGACCGGGGCGGTTCATTGCTGAGGGGGACGCCGTATTGGCGCGTGTGAAGGGCTGGTAGCCAGATGGACCAGGGGGTCTTTGCATGCGAGGTTGTGATGTTTGGGAGGACATTGGAGGATGGTTGGGGTTGAATGGCGCGTACCCGCTCTGGGAGCCAGCTGGACTGTCGGGGGTGAAGGGTGTGTAGTTTCGCGGTGGGGGTCCCATTTGTCCGTCTGGTTCGCGGCCCGCCATACTGCGATAGCTCGCTGGAGTCATTGACCGACCTGGTGGAGGACGGGGTGTCGCACCGGTGCTGGCTGGTGTATATGACCTGTCCTGTGGAGGGCGGGGTGTCGCACCGGTGCTGGCTGGTGTATATGACCTATCCTGTGGAGAATGGGGTGTCGCACCGGTGCTGGCTGGAGTCATTGACCGACCTGGTGGAGGACCGGCTCTCGCACCGGTGCTGGCTGGTGTATATGATCTATCCTGGTATCCGTCTTGGGGCGGATAGCCTGGCTGTGGGTAAGACGGTGCCACCCTCTGGTTGTAGGGGGTCTCAGAACCCATCTCGTATTCATCATCTTCCGGTGCACCATAGTAACCCGCAGGAGGTCCATAAGGATCATAGGGAGCGGTCGGGGCGGCGGGCGCGGCGGGGGTATGTGAACGACCGATGTAGTCGCTGGAAGGCGCCATGCTGGGCGTATTCGATCGAGCATAGGGATCAACTGCAGGGCTGAACGGGCGGTATGGCTGAGCACCGGAATCGGTCAGGCTGCGCATTCCAGGTCCCGGGCTGTTGCGACCAGCTTCATTGGCGAACGGCGGCGGCCCAGGCGTACGGCGCGAGTGGGCTGTGTCTGTCCTCGAGGGAGGCATAGTTGCAGGAAGAGGCGGAACAGGAGGCATCGGTGAGGTTTGGCGATCCAGAGGGCTATATCCCATCATAGCCGCATTACCAGTCAACGAGGCCGACTCAGACATGGCAGATGACTGGGTGGTCGTTCGAGTGAGTGACGGTTTGCTGTCAAAATCAAGATTCGGCAGGGTCGGGTTTTTCTCCATCGCAGTGGAGTTTGATCGCGTATAAGGAGGTAAAGTAGTTTCGGTGGTACTGCGCGACAAAGTAGTCACTACAGGGCTCTTGTCCATGTCGACAGAAGGTAGGGAGGGCAAGGTTGGTTTTGCGTCCGCACCTCCCAGGCTAGGCTGTGTCGGTGCGCGATCCTGTAATTTGAAGCCTGATGCGAGAGCCTTGTTGACCTTCTTCCGGACAATGAGCGTCAGTCGGCTGCTAATCTTACGACGGCAGTACACCTTGAGTGTGCCATCCTCAGAAGGAATATGATGGTAAAGGAATATGAGGTAGAGGATGACTGCTGACGCCAGTTTCAAAACTGACAGGACCCAGATAACTAGGGTAAACAGCATACCGAACAAGACCACGGCCTGCAGGTTGTTATCCTCTGCGAGAATCTTGACGTTGTTGAAAAATTGCAGAATATCTGAGCTGCCATCGTCCTTAGCCGCATTTTTACCTCCTGGGAGAAGGTCGGCCTGCATGACAGAATACAGCGTAATGGCATTGAGGACTTGACGTGGTCCATCGGCGAAGATCGTGTTCATCCAGGACTGAAAGGAGAAATATGCGTATAAAGCCACATACTCAGCCCCCTTCTTACTCTTTGTCAATTCAGCAAAGACCAAGAACCGCCTCCAGCCGTGCCCTTCCTTGGTGAAAACACGGAAACACTGAACGCGAACCGCCAGAGGGTCCAAATAGCTCCGGGCGATGCTACCGGAGCGCATCGCGCGAATTGCAAGCATCCACCGATAGATGAGAAGGGTGAAAGAGACAAGGATACAGACAGCGAAGATCCAACGAGAAATCTTGAACGGAATGGCGGGTTCGACGCGGCCGGCCCAGCGAGAGAAAGCCAGCAAATTGACGGCGGTGAAGGTGTCGACGCTATAGACAGAAATTGAAACAAGTAAGAACACCCAGAGGAAGAAGTAGGAGACAGGCGTCCAGCAGGAGTCGGACTTGAAGTCATGGAGATTCTAAAACAAGATTAGTTAGTATGAGAAGCCACCCTTTCCGGGGTTACCAGCATCCGTATTATATACGCACCACATAGTCCCATTTCTCCTCCATTCGAACCGCTCCTTTTTCACGATCACCACTGCACCCCATTATGCTGCTGGTTCTGGGCCTGCCAGGTAGCGATGGAGTGCAATTGAACGAGTGTACGGATTTAGCGACGAGTGTGGACTTCCACGGACCAGCCGAGGGAAGTCACGATCAGGTTAAACGAGTCAGGTGCAGAGTCTGAGGGATAGACTGGACGACACAGCAGGTGTCAAGAGTGGCCGAGGGTCGGTTGTTTTAATCGCGTGACTGGCGCATAACTATGAGCGGCGGGGGGTGTTAGGGGGCTGGCGAGAAGTCGAGGGGCCGAATTGAAAGATCGCCCAGGCAGGCCACAACAGGACAACGAAGCACAGCGATCGTGTTTCAGAAAAGCATTCAGCGTGTTTCTCAACCGAGACAATGTACGAATACGCAAGCAGACCGTGGGCGATCTGAATGCCAAGCGCGTGAGGGTTGGATCGCCTTGTTATCCGAGCGCCAAGAAAGGGGGTGGATGGAACAAGACCCAAGGATCGGATTGCGGAGAATGAACGCGTCGTGCGTCACTGAGGTTGGGAGTGAATGAGTGAATGAGTGCACTCGCAACAGGCGAGGGCAAGAATGAAAGAGTGAATAGTGGGTGGGTTGAGGGCGTGAGTGGAGGGAGAGTTAAAGATTGAAAGGGGGAGGAGGAAGATGAAACGCGATCCCGCCAAGTTCGAGTGGAGTGCCAACGCGGGAACCTACAACGAACCCTTTTAGGGCTGATGGCCAGGCACGCTTTGTTTCCCTTTCCATTCTCCCTTTTTGATTGGCACTGCTATTCTTGTCATGAAACTATCACCTCCTGCAGACTCAGGCGCCTATGGCTGCCCGCGTTTCTACAACGTCGCGCAACGAGGCCTTCACCCAACACAAGTCCCCTGCGTTCCATACGGAACCCTGCGACATCGGCCTCGTTTCTCCACTGTCCCGCTTTTTGAACCTCTGAGACACATACAATGGGGCATCCCTCAGGCGCTTTCAGACAGCAGCCAGTCAGTGCGTGTTTTCGCGATTTGGGGTCCCTGGCCCTAAGCGCCGATTGTCTTCGGCGCTTCCGCGCTGCAGCCTGGCAGCTATGAGGCAGGCAGGGAGGTCTTCTAACCGCCCGCCCAGTTGTGTGACAATCTGCCCACGCAGCCGGATTCTCATAGCTATCCTATTTGTGGCTGAAGGGCGCATTAGATCTATTGGGGAATTACGTGGCCGGTCTATCTCTACTTGCCGGTATGTATACAACGCTGCGGTCGCAACAAAAGTGGGGTTATATACGGATAGATATCGGGACCCAACCCCGACATCACACCCAATGGACTGTCTCGAGGCAAGAATGGGTGATGAGAGCGGAGGACCGCCCAATTGACTTCTCAGGTCAATCCGATGCTGTGTGTAGTCTTGCGACCACAGTAAAACCTCCATATAATGACCCTCTTTTTGGCAAATTCCCCCTTGCAACGAACTCACAGCTGGTTAAAAGTCAATTTCTCACCTACATAACGAATATCCTCCGTAGTACATAATTTGTTCCTTTTCCCCCTAAGGTTTGCCAGATCCAGGGGATTATTCGGCGATGACCCCACCATGCCTACCAAGAAGAGATTAGTGTGACCGAGATGGAGCTATCGATTACATCATCCGAAGCTGCTTATCTCCCTCCTACCGTGAACAGCAAAATACACCTGATTTAGCCTATATTAGGCGTCATCGACAAGATCAAATGAATATTAAGGGTGGAGGTTCGGAATTGCCAGCAGGGCGATATTCGGGGTATTGTACGGGAGAAAGTAGGGAAAAGTCATACAGCGAATTTCTGGGCATACAGTACGTCCCGAAACTGGTGCATCAACCTACACTCTTCGAGAGATTCTTTTGCGGAATATCAAGATTCCCGTATCAGTCTCAGTACTATGACTTACCCTTATTAAAATACGTGATTTGTCTCGTAACTGTATTGGCAATGCCAACAAGCCAAGCACCAGGGCTGTAATCTACCTCGAGAATCTGGCGAGCTGTCACTTTCCACTGCCACTCCCATCCAAGAGACAGTCTGGGGGCTTACTCGGCACCTGACAGCAAATACTGACTTGCACTACTTGCGTCCCTGCAGATTACTCATGAACCTGCCTAGCATAATACTCAGCCTGTCTACCACGTCTTTCTCTACTTGACGTTCTGTAGCATCATTGGAGGAAGCTAACACACACCATGTTATCAGACTCCTCAGCGGCATCTTCTGCCTTGGGGGGATGACTTACACTCCTTTCAACGATGATGATACATACTTACCGACCCAAACTGCGTGATGTCTGGGAACGGACTCCCTCGTATGCCCCCACCCCGGTTACCCAGCCGCGAATGGACACCATCAGTAATCTGCCCTTCCGACCCCGAGGACATAGTTGGTGAATGTGCACCTTCCTTGCATCAATATCCTTCCGACCGGCTGAGTTTTGATCCTGTGGTTGAACGTACAGATAGAAGTGCTTGGGGTAAACAATCTCTAGGCCGTGCCCACTACAGTACCATATCCTTTAAATCGCGGCGCTTCGGGTGGGTGTTTCCTCTTGCGTCTTTAGGTGGCTCTCCCTCTCCTGATGAGGTTCATCTCTAAGCATTCTGATTTTCTCTTGTAGCGGTTGGAATTTATGGCTAACGGCTTTCCGGGGCTCTTCAAAAGCGTTATCCTGATTATTCGTGAGACAGAAGGTTTTGTGAGGAACTGGCACAGTACCAAAGCAGCCGGCTCTTCGCTTCGGTCCTTTGGCGTTCGCGCGATGGCGTCGAATCCGCCTCATCATCGACTGTTACGGTGTGGGTGGGCAGAAAGGCGCAGATACTTCTGCACTGATTGAGCGGCTATTGCAGGCTTGTCGTTGGCTGGGTTCAGTTGATTGTATTTCTTGCTTATGCCCCGTCACCCACATTCCCCGTGCTCCTAGGACAACCCTACGGCAGCCATATCGAACGACAGAACCTGCTTCAGACTGCGGAAAGACAAATTAAAACAGGGCCATCGAGCTTTATCTGTCGTTTGCGCTGACGCCGATTCTCTACGAAACCTTGCGACGCGCTGGGCTGTCCAAAAATACGCCCTAGAACTCGTGATGAATTTGAGATAGCGATCATCTGCGCTCTTCCTCTGGAAGCCGATGCAGTGGAAGCTCTATTTAATGAACACTACGATACACTGGGCTAAATATATCGCAAGCAACCTGGGGATGCTAACAGTTACATAACAGGAAGGATCAGTCAGCACAATATCGTCCTGTGCTATATACTAGGAATAGGAAAAGGGAGCGGTGCAAGTGTCACTTTAAGTTTGCGAGTTAGCTACACCGGAATCAGTCTCGCTCTAGTTGTCGGAATCTGTTAGGGGGTCCCCTTCCTATCTAGAGGTTCCACAATCGTTCTAGGAGACGTTATTATCAGCGACAGCGTTATTGAATATAATTTCGGCAGATAATATCCTGATGGATTTTGACGCAAGAGTGATCTAAAAAATACGCTTAGACGACCTAATCGAGAGATTCGAACCTTTCTCGCCGGCCTTAAGATACGCAAAATACGAAATAAAGTATAAGAGCAAATCTCTCAATATCTTGAAGAGCTTTAAAAGCACGCACAGAGCGAGTAGCATTATCTAGGTATCATGGAAGATGTGCTATTCGAAACCTCTTACCGCTATAAGCATCATCAGCGACCCCCGACTATTAATTGCCTTTGTACCCACTTCACGCCCAGCGTAGATAAGGTTTGTAACAAGGCATTGACGAGCGATTACCGGGAACTTAGATGCGGAGGAAAGCCAATCCGTCGCGACCGGTTGAGTGTAGATAACCCAAGCCCTATTGTGTATATTGGCACAATTGCATCTGCTGATACTATAATGAAATCCGGTGAGCATCGCGACAAACTAGCCGAAAAGGAAGGGATTATCGGACTTGAGATGGAAGGAGCTGGGATCTGGGACAACATACCCTGCGTTATTATCAAAGGAGTTTGCGACTACGCGGATAGCCATAAGAACAAGATATGGCAAGATTATGCTGCTGCAACGGCTGCTTCTTGTACCAAAACCTTTCTGGACTATTGGCTACCTATAAATAAAGAAAGCCGGTGAGTTCGGCTACAATGATACCACTTTAATCAAAGTTATGAAGATAATGATAACTAATCATATTTCCGTAGCTAGATCTAACTGGCTTCTGCCTGAGCAAAGTACAGACCTAAAAGACCTTAAAGTCTCTATCGATGATCTTAGTGCGCGGTCTCGTGCCGCTGCTTTATTAATTCTGTATGATTCTAGGATGTTAAAGAGAGATCTACATGCTAATATCTTTACGTAGATTCACTTTTCTCTATTGTCGAGAAGTGCTCCTAACAATTAATACTCGATTAGCCAAGGCTATAAGCCCCTAGTCTGAACGACTAGCATTTCTTGAAGATGCCCATTTAAGACGCTTTACAATTCCTCTTGACACCATCAATTCTTGGAAGGTATGAAATATCCCGCAAACCTTCTACTTATGCAAAGCGTGGTTATCTAACAAAAAGGTTCATAGATTTTCGATCTCATACTTGAGCACAACTTTGACAATATGCCAGGCTACCAAAAGGTGAAAAGGGGAAGCTACCTACTTGAGGACTGGATCACGCGCAAAGAACTCAAGCGCACCAGTCCATTCAATGTGTGCTTCAGACCGGGGAGACAAGTTCTTATGAGCATGCGCTTTTATCATACTCGGCATGAAAAATCTAGTTGTCCCTCTTGTCACGCGGTCAATCCAGAATGGGGACGCTCCGATGTGTGCTGGTACGACCTTCGGAAATAATATTCCTTGCATTCAGATCTGTCTAACTGGTGCGACAGTTCCATTTGTGGCATGCAGTATCGCAGGATAATAGAAGTACTTGAAGAGGACGAAGAGCCACCTTCAGTTCGTTCTAGCACCGGGCCTAAGATTCCTGCCGAAGCTGTTCCTGCAGATGAGGATATTACCGAGTTTAAAAGGATTCAAATAGTGGCCCCACGCGATTTCACGCGGCCTTTTGATAAGAAGCGCAGTTCGAGGATTTCGAACCTTGCCAGGCACTTTGAACAATTAAGCCGCAAGTTTGAAAAGGACCGACAACGTGAAAGACGAGCACGAGCTGCACGGGGCTCTTATTCACGCGCATTCCCCCTTCCATCCTCAAAGCCAATTGTTGAGGTCTACCGGAACGTGAAAGAGGCTGTTGAAGAACGCTAACCACCTGTAGACGGGGATAACTCTCTTCCGGCACCTCCAAAGCGTACTTCAGAGGAAGCCGGACGAAAAGAGTGACGATCCCATGAGCCAAAGAGAGCACGAGGATCTGCAAAAAAGTCTCCATCGCAGGTTGCTCCCTCTTGCGAACTTGTCATACAAAGGTGCAAATAGCGTTACGTCTCCTGGCACACTCACTGGAACAGAAGCAAGCGAATACATGTTTGTAATTAATGTGTAATCTATGTAAGAAGCAATACTCCTCTAATTGACAGGGGTTACTCCGGAAAACTCCTAAACTAGACTAGCATATTTTAGCGCTGGGTCAAGAGAATCTCTCGAAGAGTGTAGGAGGGTGCGCCGGTTTCGAGACGCTTTGTAATTTAATTGTTGACTATGCTCATAGTTAGCTTGGTATCCTTAGTCAGGCGCTTGGTCAAATAGCCCGCGTCCCTTCCTAGTTTGCGACGGGTAGATCTCAAAGCATGATCATTCATCTATCTCTCAGTTTCTTCGGATATTGCGAATAAAAAGAATTAACGAAGTAACCTCTTGTAAATAATAGTTTGTTGTAGAAAGGATTTACTGTACTTTTAACAAAGTGATGCGATGACTTCAACCCCGTTGTTCCCCAGAGAAACCCCCGCGGGGTTTCCCAGTAAGTAACCGGTGACAGAGAACAGCTCGCATTTGGCGTAATTAGCCTCCTCGCGGACTTTTTTGCAACCGAAACAAACCGCGGTTGAGAGATATCCAGACATGCTCGATGTCTCCGAAGAATTTAGAGTCGCCATTGGCCCTTCCTGACCCTAATGGTGACGTCGACTAGTGGCAAGTCGGGAATGAGAAGCCGTACTAAAGCTGCGTGCATTTATAAGCCGGTGGAGTTCCCCAAAAGTATGCGGTAAGTAGTTGGAGTCCAACGGCACTTAGAAATCAAGTCTCATCATACTGCAACCCGCATCCGTGGAAGCATTGCCCACTTTCCTCGTCGGGGTTTGCTCACTGCGTACAGTTCGACTATTTAAGTGGGCGAGGTAGCATTCGCCGCCGAATTTCTTTATCTTTTTTCTCTCATTGCTATTCCCACCCTTTCTAGTCAACCTTCTCTCGTAACTATGGCCCAAACGAACGGCCCAGATATCGAAAACAAACCCGCAGAGGGCATCTCCTACTTCACCCCCGCTCAAGTCCCTCCTGCGGGGTCTGCCGCAATCCCGCAATCCGACGGGTCGCAGCCCCCAAAGCTCTTCCAGCCATTTAAAGTGCGGGGAGTGACGTTCCACAACCGCATCGGAGTGAGTTTGAGTCACTGACAGATATCTGGACTATGGGACATTTTTGCTAATTAAATTTAATACGGCAAACAGCTTTCTCCGCTCTGCCAATACAGCGCCGACGATGGACACATGACCGACTGGCACATGGCCCATTTGGGCGGCATTGCCCAGCGTGGGCCTGGTTTCCTGATGGTCGAGGCGACTGCAGTGCAACCCGAGGGTCGCATTACACCCCAGGACCACGGGCTCTGGAAAGACTCGCAGATCGAGCCCCTCCGCCGGGTGGTCGAGTTCGTGCACAGCCAGAACCAGGTTATTGGTGTCCAGCTGGCACATGCAGGCCGCAAAGCGAGCACCGTGGCGCCCTGGCTGAGCATGGGCGATACGGCGACTGAGCGGGTCGGTGGATGGCCGGACAATGTCAAGGGACCCTCGAATATTCCATTCAGTGACAAATTTCCCACCCCAAAAGCTATGACGACGGCCGATATCGAGGCGTTCAAGAAAGCCTGGGTGTCCGCTCTGAAGCGCGCTCTCAAGGCAGGCGTGGACTTTGTGGAGATTCACAATGCCCACGGCTACCTGCTTATGAGCTTCCTGTCCCCTGCGACGAACAAGCGCACCGACGAGTACGGCGGCAGCTTCGAGAACCGCATCCGCTTGTCTCTGGAAATCGCCCAGTTGACTCGTGAGAACGTGCCCAAGGATATGCCCGTATTCTTGCGCGTCTCAGCCACTGACTGGCTCGAGGAAGTCATGCCTGACGAGCCCAGCTGGCGGGTTGAAGATACAGTCCGTTTCGCAAAGGCCCTCGCCGAGAGCGGCAACGTCGATGTGCTGGACATCAGTAGCGGAGGCAACCACCAGAAGCAGCATATTCACGCGAAGGCAGGATTCCAGGCGCAGTTCGCCATCGAGGTCAAGAAGGCGGTTGGAGATCAGCTGATGGTTGGCTCGGTTGGCATGATCAACGATGGCCACTTGGCCAACTGTCTCTTGGAGAACAGTAATTTGGACTTTGTCCTTGTCGGTCGCGGGTTCCAGAAGAACCCGGGCCTTGTGTGGACTTGGGCAGAGGAGCTCGATGTGGAAATTTCCATGGCGAACCAGATTCGCTGGGGCTTCAGCAGCCGGGGTGGTGGTGTTTACCTGAAGAAGAGGCAGGACAAGATGTAAAGACGTCACTCGTTGGCGTCTAGATTTAGATCGTAAGAGATGACTGCGAATGATAATGCATGACGGTACGAGCAAAAACACGGGAGAACTCACCCTTCCGTCTTTGACCACCTAAACTTTCGTCGAAAAATGAGAGTTGAATGTATGGCAATCATCGGTTTTCGGCGCATCTATCTAACCGAGTGTATACGAGGTTTTAAAGCGTCCAAGCGAGCCCGGAGTTGAACCAACCCGCGTCCCTAACGCCGAAATTCCTCCTACCCCAAAGAACGGAGTATAGGAATGCGGGTGAACAGAATGACAGGCCATAAATACATTGGCGCTCCCTTCATATTTCTGGAAATTCCTCGTGTTGGCTCGATTCAATCAACATGGTCAACCTAACCGACGTCCAGTCGTCTAATGCGCAAATCCCCACAGCCCTCCCACCAGGCCTCGTCGCAGTCTTCGTCGGTGCGACGAATGGCATCGGGGAGATATCTCTCAAGGAGTTCGCGCGACATGCGCGCCAGCCCCGCGCCTACTTTGTCGGTCGTTCACAGGAAGCCGGCGACCGGATTGCAGCCGAGTGTCACAAGTTGAACTCGGAGGGCCAGTTCGTGTTTATCAAGGCAGATGTCAGTCTGCTTAAATCCGTCGACGATGTCTGTCGCGAGATTCAAAGCAAAGAGAAAACGATCAACCTCCTGTTTTTGACCTGTGGGTCGGCGCTAGCACATTTTGGTCCGTATATACCTCCCTGCGCAGGGGAGCCGGGCACCTCTACGCTTGTGATATTAACATCGGGCCCATTTCAGACACGAGTGAAGGCCTCCATATTTTCATGGCACTGGCATACTACGCCCGTACCCGCTTCATCCTCAATCTTCTGCCACTGCTCCGCCAGGCCCCTAACCTCCGACGGGTCGTCACTGTCCTGGCAGCCGGCCACGAGGGCCCGATCTATGCAGACGACTTCCAGAGTCGCAATGTCCCTCTCCACGGCATACGGGGACACAGCGTCTCCATGACGGACCTGATGCTCGAGCACATCGCCGAGCAAGCCCCCGGAGTCAGCTTTGTACACGACTACCCAGGCGCCGTGAAATCAGGCTTCGGTCGGGAAACCAACGGCTTGTTGATGAAGGTCGCCGTCACGATCTTCAAGATTATCGGCCCCCTGGTCTACATCCCGACTCGGGAATCTGGGGAAAGGCATCTATTCTTTGCGACTAGCGCGCGGTATCCCCCGCGGTCGGGTGCCGGGGCGGAGGGCGTGGCTGTGGGGGGCGATGTCGCTGTGTCTGGTGGGACAGATGGGAAGATTGGAAGTGGTGTTTACGCGGTCAATTGGACTGGTGAGAGCGCTGGGCCGAAATCCCTGAAGGTGTTGGTGAAAATGCGCGATGAGGGTATGGTTCAGCGATTGTGGGAGCACACGCTAACGGAGTTCAAGCGGGTCACGGGGTCAGAGAGCTTCAATAGTTGAGGATGGGCGATGAATTGTATGATTGTTTGATTGCAGGATTGTACTTCGTACTAACAAGAGTGATGCTGCCTATACAATAGGTCATGGCTCAGAGTATGGCGTGGGATCTACTTAGTTACTTGCAACGTGTTCCACCCAAGGCCCGTGCAAAGAGCACGGTCGGTGTTCGGAAATCCATCTTGTGGTGGGCATGCCCCCTAATGCGGTAGTAGCATAGCGAGGCTAAGCTCCTTAGTAATCATAATAATAATCATAACAATAATGCAAGGATGGGAGTGGCGCTACGACGCGACAAGCCGACGGTTGGACCCGCCCGGTCGAATCGGGTATCCGTTGCGAGGTGGAGGAATTCCGTTTGATGGCGCATTGAAATATGGGTGCCTCCACATGTCACTGAATGTGGGAAAGTATTTCATATATTTACTTTCGCGTGGCGCTGGCAGATCCAATCTAATTAAAGGACGTCAGATCGAGCCTGACGCCAGTGTTCGTGTTGGTAAGATCGCAATCGCTGCCTGTCAGACACTCGAGGTCCCGCCGAGGCGCAGTCAACCTGAGAGCGCATTCCATTTGAACCAGGTGTCCTTCCATGTACACTTCCCCAACTCCTGGGACTCAATTTATTTCTCACCCTTTACATATCTCAAGGGTATTTGAATTCCTGTATTTCGGTTGGTCTCTAGGGATCTGTTTCTGACGACTACGACGTCAATACGTCAATATTTTCGCCCTCAAGCGTTGTTGAGATTTTGTGATACTAAGAGGGGCCCGTATTGACATCTGCCAGGAGTGGGCCTTTGCATATCGTGAACCAGGCTCCTGCAGCAACCTGGTTCGCCCAACCGTCACCATGGGGGTTCTAAACGACAATCTCAGTGTACTCTATGTGTGCGTGGCTGCGGCGACGTTCCTGAAGCCTGAATTTGCCATCTATGGTTCAAGGATCGCAACGATGGTGATTTCATTTGTGATCATCGCCGCATGGAAGGTGATCTATCAGCTAGTGCTGTATCCTGCAGTTTTCACCCCGCTCAAGCACATCCAGACCCCATCGGTAAGCTAGGATTTCTCCTATTGGACTAATCTCGGGCTAATATCACCCAGGGGCGACACTGGTTAACTGGTAACACCGAGTCATTCTTTCTCGAAACCCCCTATACACAGATGCGGGAATGGACCGCAAAAATGCCAAATGAAGGCCTTGTGCGATACTACATTGTCGGGAACCTGGAGCGAGTTCTTTTGACCAACCCCAAAGCATTGAGCGAATTGCTGGTCACCAAGGTCTATGACTTCGAAAAGCCTAAGACCGTGCGGCAGAGCTTGCGCCGTATTGTTGGAGATGGTATCTTGCTTGCGGAGGGAGATGATCACAAGGTAAGTTTCATGTGCAATCCATGCCATATCGTGTGCCTACTAAGATAAACAACTCAGCTGCAACGGAAGAATCTGATGCCTGCCTTTGCCTATCGCCACATCAAGGACCTCTATCCGATCTTCTGGTCCAAGAGTGTGGAGATGGTCAAGCTGATCCAGCAGGATCTGGAACAGAGACAGGCTAGCGGAGATGAAGGCAATATCATCACAGTCCGTACCTGGGCTAGTCGGGCTACGCTGGACATTATTGGCGTGGCGGGCATGGACCACGACTTTGACTCGCTGCGCGACCCCTCCAATCGACTCAACCAATCTTACCAACAGATTTTCACGTCACCAAGCGTTGCTACTAAAATGCTGTTTATCCTGGGAATGATGATGGGAGACCTGACTCTCCTACAGAAGATGCCCACGCAACGCAACAAAGACATTGAAGAGGGCGGCGGTGTCATTCGGGATGTTGCCCGACAAATGATTCGGCTGAAAAAGGACAAAATGAAGGATCCTAACACACAAACCGGTGTCGACATTATCTCCGTCGCCATGTGCAGTGGTGTTCTGGACGAAGAGAACTTGGTTGATCAATTGATGACCTTCCTGGGCGCCGGCCACGAAACCACCGCCACGGCGATGCAATGGGCCGTCTACGCACTCTGCAAAAACCCCGAGGTCCAGACCAAACTGCGCGAAGAGATCCGCGCGAATCTTCCACCCATTTCATCTGAGAACCAAGGTCCAATCGAGGCCACCACGATCGACAACCTGCCCTATCTCCACGCCGTCTGCAATGAAATCCTCCGCTTCCACCCGTCGGTCCCAGGCACCGTTCGTACGGCCGTCAAGGATACGTCACTTGTAGGCAAACCCATTCCTAAAGGCACGACTCTTATCATCTCTCCTGAAGTCTTGAATCACATGGAGGAGCTGTGGGGTCCGGACGCAGACAAGTTCAACCCGGAGCGATTCATGGGCCCCGGCATGGCAAATACTGGCGGCGCTAATAGCAACTACGCGTTCTTAACTTTCATCCACGGCCCGCGCAGCTGTATTGGTCAAGGCTTTGCGAAAGCAGAGCTTGCCTGTTTGCTTGCTGCGACTGTTGGCCGTTTTCATATGGAGTTACAATATCCCGATCGCAAGTTGGAACTTCGAGAGGGCGCGACGGTTGCGCCGAAGGATGGTGTTCTGGCTAAGTTTACGCCATTGGAGGGATGGTAGAGAACCTATGGTCTTTGATCATTCTCTTTATTTGTCTTATCAAGATGTAAGTATCTTATTGCTGGTGGCATCCGTCTCGTTCGAACATGGATCTTTTGCTCTTCGAGCGAAGGACTTTTCGTGTACTATACATGGCTTTCCCCTTCTCTCATCAGTCAATTATGACACATACATAACTCGATGGTACCTTTTCTACGTCGTAGCTCATGAAACGTTGATTGCTTGATTGATTGCTCCAAAGACAGATTATTTCCAGCGGTTTTATTCTACATTCGAAGGTCTAATTTCTAAGATTTCTGCACCACTGGGGATTCTTCAATTAGAATTGCAATCAAATTTCGGCTGAGAATAATGCTGGATTATGAAACAAAAAACAAAAATCAGGCTTGATAGTGTAATTTGGGGAAGCAGTCCTAATCAGCCGAGATGGTATAAACAGAGGTGACGGTGGAATAGCCACGATTTAGCGTTGTCTTAAGTCGACAGAATTGTGGTCTTTTTACCTGGTCGTAGCGAACGGAATCTAGCGCTTCCCCACTTTATGCTCTGACCGCCGTCTTAGACCGCCTTTTATATCAGTATGTGTGCTATATATGTCAACGCGTTTTGGATCAATTTTCGCGATTTTCTTATTCAATATTGCCTCCTATGCGTGGGAAAAGGGTTCTAAAGCTTGACTACCTTACCAGATCTAGAACCTGTAAACTACAAAGTGCCAATGTTTTCGCTCGGAGGTTTCTGCAGGCAGTATTAAAAAGTGGGTCCTGGGCCGAAGTACCCAAGGTCAAATACTCATGCAACCACTGTATATTGTATACTTAATTTTTCACTATCTTTATTTCTTATTTTTTTTTTCATGCCGATAGCTATTGATAAGACTTGCCAATACTATATATTATTTTAAGAGAAATCCAAAGGCAATATTGTTACGGTATCGAAAAGTACAGTCGCTGAACTGTATATATATTGCAAATGGTTAAGTTTACAATTGTGCGCTACTATATGTATCGGTCCTGAGGATGTCAACCTTGAAGGTTGACATAGTGGTCTTTTTGGCTAATGGGAACAATCATGTGACTCAGGAATGATCTGTTACATATATATATATCCCAATCTCTCGTTAAATGATTAAATTTCTTAAAACTCCTTAAATTGGTGTTAGCACCATAGTACTAAGCAGGTCTGATAACAAATATCTCGTAGATTGGGATGATCTAGGAGACTAGGCCACGCAACCCGTGCGGGGTTACGATCTATAATAGTGGACGATGTGTCTTATCGCATTGCCTCGCTTAACTAGCCATATGATCCTATAAGTAGGAGGTTTAGGCTGGAAGGATTATAGTTAGATAGAGGGCATACCGGACTCTTGGTCAGCCATGGAATAAATGACAATCGATGCAATCTACGAGCAGATCACACAAGCTGGCTTAGGTTGCACAATTATCAAGAGGGATATTAAGGACGCTTTCCGAATAGTCCCTGTTGCCGAGGACAACCAGCATCTCCTTACCTTCTAGTGGAACAATTCCACTTACGTCGAATGCTGCCTCCCCTTTGGCCTCGCTAGGGCCCTATTTCTCTTTAACCTCTTCGCGAGGCTCTCTATTTGATACTCTAATGCCTCCTTCTGGTATTCTATCAATCATTACCTAGAAGACTTCATCGCAATTACTCGGTCTCCCTCAGTGTCCGCCCCTACGGGTCCCTTTGACGAGGTTTATAACGGAGTCACCGACTACTTACGTATCCCCCGCAATACTATCAAGGACCAGTAAGGGACTTGCGTTACAATCTTGGGTATCTAGATCGACTCTATTGCAATAGAAGCTCGCCTATCACCAGACAAGTTGTGCCGCGCTATATTAGACGCCGCAGCTGCCCTGAACGTAGCGAGTCTCTCCCTAAAGCAAACAGAGCGTCTTATAGGCTCATTAGCCTTCTATTCAAGAGTTGTCCGGCTTGGGAGAACAAGGCTACAGTCTCTATATACGTTCCAAGCCGCCTTCCTACGTGGGAGGAGCGCGCGCCGCCGTATCTCCTACGAGGTACGTAACGATTTGGAATAGTAGAGGGACTCCTTATCTCTCTTCAACGGCGTACTCCTAATTAACCCCTGCCGCCGCTCTATTACGTATCTCTACACAGATGCCTCCAACACAGGCCAGGGGCTTTTCTTCTTCTCATCTAAGTCTATATCAGGCTGCTGGCTGGCCCATTATCACTAGCTTCATCTAAGCAATGCTGCATCACTGGCCCTTGCCCAAGTCGCACAAGATTCAACCCCTTCACGAAAGTACAAGTCAGAAAACCGATCTCGCGTATTATTATCACAAAACTATCCGTAGGCCTAGCTTCACTCCCGTTATAGCCCCTAGAGATAACTACGAACCTTCTAGACGACTTGAATTCGCAACCGCCTACTAGGTAGCATTTACTAGGTTCCTCTACCTCGGAGAATTTACCCAGAAGACAGAAGACCTCAACACACGCTCTATCTTCTCAGCTATAAAGCTTACGCGCTCCGACGTTAGATTCTCGTCCTTACTGGATTATAAGCAACTCACACTCAAACAGAGTAAGACGTACCACCGCCACGAAGGAATATAGATTATTCTCGCAAAAACAGGAGATAAAGCGTGCCTAGTAGACGCGCTTTAGAAGCTACTACTACTCGACCCTAAAGAGCCCGATACCCCGTTATTCTCCTTCTACCAAAAACTATTTAGCCGCAACCATTTCCTCTCTACCTTGTCCACTAAGCTAAGAGCACTTGGTATTTAGACAGACGGCTACTAGGGCCATAGATTTCGGAAGGGTACGGCTCAACATACGCACAACAATAGGGTCCTCAACGACCAGATCCAGGTGCTCGGTAGATAGACCTCGGAGGCATTCAGGGTGTATTTCACCACGAACACGTCAGTTCTATACAAGCTCAATCACCAGTATCAGACGGGCTCGCCCGCTCCGCTATCCCTACTGCTTCCTCCACTGTCCCCTCTACCATCCTAGTTTAGCCTAGGTCATTTGGGCCTTCTCTGACGCTACAGTCTAATGTGTTTACGCATAAGACCGCAGCGACAGGTGACCAATTACGGCCAAACTGTACACGTTCCTGTTCCCATCTTGACTGCGAGAGGTCACCAATAAATGTTTTTTTTCTGCTATTTTTCTCTTCTCCTGCCGTTGAAAATAACATTCAGATCTTTATTTAGTTAAAAGGGCAAGTACATACCATACTCGGGGCTAGCGAATCTCATAAATTAAATCCCTATGGCTTCCATGCTAAACACAAAGAAAAATACACTCGATGGCAACAAATTAGCTGTTTGTGGGGAGTGACGACTCTATGGGTTGGATCCTACGAAGTATTTCACGCTGAATGAAACCTCCCTACCAATCCCCAAAATCTCTGCTAGCACAATCATGAACAATCGAAATCCTCCCTTGTGATGCCAGATCGATCACACATCCCCCGAAAGATACCCCCGTCGCACTCCCACAGCCGCAATGGCGGATCCGCCTCCGCAATCTGGCCCTGGTCCATCACGACAATCCGATCACACGAAAGGACGGTGTGCAGCCGATGCGCAATGCAAATCAGAGTCCTTCCCTGGAACCACATAGCGATATTTTGTTGAATACGACGATCCGTAGCCAGATCCACTGACGACGTAGCCTCGTCCAAGACGGTAATGCGCGAGTTTCGTACCAGAGCCCGTGCAAACGCTAGCAGTTGTCGCTGTCCGATTGAGAAATTCCGGCCGTCATCTTCAACGACCGTGTCTAGCTTTAGGGCTGCTGGTTTGCTGTGTGGGCCGTCTTTTTCTTCCCCCTCTACTTCTTCGTTTCCTTCATCCCCTGCTAGGTAGACTTTTCTCAATGCAGACCATAATTCCAGATCCGTGTGTTCATTAAACGGATCGATATTCGACCGCACCGTGCCCCGGAAAAGCGTTGGATCCTGGGGAATGATCGCAAGGCGAGAACGGAGGGAATCTAGCGGGACGGTCGTGATGTCAACGTCGTCTATCTTGATCGTACCCACTGCCAATTCGGTAATGCGGAACAGTGCCGATAAGATGCTTGATTTCCCCGCGCCGGTGCGACCAACAATCCCAATGCGCTCTCCACTACGGACCTCGAGGTTCAGGCCACGTAGTGCGAGCGGAAGACCTGGGCGATATCGCATGTGCACGTTTGAGAACGTGATAGTCCCATTTTGCGGCCAGGTGGGAGAAAGCTGGCTGAGTGTGCCCTGCTGGCCGCACGCGTCTTCCTTTTCCTCCGTCTCCAACTGAGTAGCGTACGAATGTAGTCTCTCGGTAGCGTTCATGTGATTCTCTACCTCTGCAAGCTGGCGAACGGTAAACTGCAGGGTCTGCACAATCATCAATATGTATGCGAGGACCAAACCCGCGATGCTGGGCGAGACACTGAATCGAGAGGTTACGACCAGGATGCCCGTCACGAATACCATCGCAGTTCCCACGGCATTGAGTCGGACACTGAGCCAGCGCTGGTTGGCCATGGTGAGGAAGTACGTGCCGTCCATTTCGTCGATAGCTGTGTTGATACGAAGGCTAAATTGCTTCTGCAGCCCGTATGCTCTGATACAGGCTGCACCGGAGATGGCTTCAATGAATTGGGCGAAAACGTGTGATCGGAGGATGGAATCATGTCGCTTGATATCACGGGCCGAGGCGCGGTAGTAGTTTGCGGCAAGGAGGAAGAGAATGAGCAGCGGGAAGAGGGCGATGGCGAACTGTGAAGTGGTTAGAAGAACAGACTCCTACGCCCTGGCTCCAGGGAAGGGAAACGTACATAGTGGTAAAATAAAATGATGAGTATAATGACTGAGATGATGGTCGTGATCGTCACAGCGAACGTCCGCAGGCCTTCTGTCAACTCATTGTCCATGACCTGGATATCCTTCGACAGACGATTCATAATACGTCCGATAGGGGTCGTATCGAAGAAGGTTATTGGCGCCCTGATGACTCTATCCACGGCACGCTGGAGGATCAGCTTACTTGCATCTGTGCCCGCCTTAGCCAGCATCAAGGCGAATGTGTACATGAACAAGACCTGGGCCCCGCCGAGGCCTGCGTAGATGCCGATATACTGCCCATTGGAAAGATCCCACTTGCTGGAGGTCCAATAAGCCAGCCATAGATTCGTCGTGATTGTCGCGCCGCCCGTGGCCAGAAGGCTGAGGGTTAAGATCAGCATGTATATGAAACTGGAGCGGGGCCCGGAGGCTAAGATATAGGCTTTCCAGACGCTCCAGCTAACCGAGTTGATCTCCCGTCCTTCCTTTTGCATGATTGCCTTTCCAGTCCGAGGGGTCTTCTTCGAAGTCTTTTCCGTATACCCCTCGCCCATTGTGTCACTTTGCTTTGTCTCCTCTCTCTCCTGCGCCATCCCGGACATGAGCTGGTGGAAGATGTAATTATCCCGGATCAAATTGTCGAAAGTATCAAAAGCCTGAATACGCCCGTCATCGAGCAGGACAATCCTATCGCAGCGACTTGCAACTTGTAGTTGATGTGTCGCTAGAATCCTGCATTTCCCCCGCAACAGGCCGCAGATTACACGATCCATAATATGACGACCAACATGGGCATCAACAGCGGAAAGCGGATCATCCAGCAGGATTATGTCTGTGTTCGAGTAGACCGCACGCGCAATGTCTAGGCGCTGCTTCTGGCCGCCTGACAAGGTGATGCCTCGTTCCCCGACCTCCGTTTCGTCACCTGCGGGCAGCATCTCGAAATCTGTTTTCAAAGCACACGCGTCCACGACGTCGTTATACCACTTTTCATCGTACGCCTTGCCGAACAAGATGTTGTTTTTGATAGAGGTACTCTGAATCCAGGCCTGCTGTGGGCAGAATGCTGTGCTGGACCTGATTCGGGCCTCGCCTGTTGTTAACCGCATCTCCCCGGCCAGGGCTGATAGAAGGGATGACTTGCCGGATCCTACCGAGCCGATGACTGCTATCAGCTCGTTCGGCTTGATGGAGAGGGTGAGTTTTGCCAGCTTATAGGGCTCCGGCTCGCCTTTCTCATCCCTAGCTTGACTCTTTTGCGATTTTGACCACGGATGCTGTGTATTTCCACCTTGCTCTTCAGACGACACCTTTTCCCAGGTAAAGGACACATTCTCCAAACGGATAGCCTGGTCCATCCCTTCGTCAAACTTCACATCCTCCCTCCGCTCTTCCGCCTGCAGGAAATCCTGAATGCGATGAATCGCTGTCCATGCATCTGTCACCTGGCTAATGACCTGTGGCAAGAGATTTAGTGGATTCCTCAGCCCATTGAACAGCGCCACAGAGGAGAAAATACGAGATGGTGTAAGCGCATGCCCGGACAGCGAATACGTGATAAATGACAGCATCGACGCGAACACGGGCAGCGAGAGCGAGACACAGAGAATGGCGTTCCGAATTGCCAGAAGTAGCCGGATCTCCTTAATCTCACGACCACGGATTTCCGTTAGACGGGACAGGAAACTGGATTCCCAGCCAAGAAATTTGACAATACGGATGTTTTCCAGGAGTTCCTGGGAGAGGGATACGCGCTGGTCGGCGAGCTTGTTGATAGTTTTGCGGCGCTTTACGAGAGAGCGGATGGAGTAGGCCAAGAGGGGGGTGCCGATGACGAGCAGGGCGTAACCGGACAGAGCGCTGTACCCGATATTGATCGCGAGAATGACCAACGTGAGAATTATGGTAAGTGGGGCAGTCCATAGAATATGAAGCATGCCCGACGCGATATTGATGCGGTCGATGTCGACACTGAGCAGCGTCAGAATCCTGCCATTGGTCCACCTGCTCTTCGCACGCCCAGATAGCTTCAGTGCCTTGTTGAAGATCACGCTCGTCAACACAGCCTTCGCTTGCCCACCAACAATCATCCCCTTATACATGAAATGGTTATTCCCCAGGCTCTGGAGAACCTGCATGCAGGTTATTCCGATGACGATGCCGATGCCCCGCCCGATGCCCGGGCCTGGCAGGCCACTATGTTTGGCATTGTAGACATCCGAAGCAAAGGAGATCAGATACCGTGTGGCCAGGGGAGTGAGAACGGAGATGATGGCACTGATGAGCTGGCAGATGCCGCCGACCCAAATTTCGTATTTAAAGGTCTCGTACAGGGAGATGAGGAGGAGGTTCCGATGCTCATTCTGGTTTCTCTCTCCCTGTTCCAATTGTCGGCGGTACGCGTCTTGGAAACGTTCGACGAGCCGGGCAGTGGCTCGATCTGGATTAACCTTCCAGATATCTTGCTGCTCGATAGGACGTAAGTATCCGACCTTCATGTCAGCCCGTGTCAGCTTGCTCTTTCTTTCCAAGAACTCAGATTGTCATTGTAGGTGGTGAAAACTGACATGCATCAAAGAAGCAATCCACTGGAAGCTAATGATACTAAAAATCCCCGCGCCATATTCAGGGCAGACAGACCGCTCCTCGGGAATGGGAGGGATCTTCTGCAGCCGGAGGGGGTTCAGCCACCAGGACCATTTGCGTTGGAGCCGCGAGTCGATGAGGTCGCCGATTTTTTTCTGGGGCTTGCTTTTTGAATACACCGCGCTAGAATCCAAGGGTGAGATTAAGTTACTAGGTGGCTTTTCCTCCGGGTGTGGGCTGGTCGCTGCCGCGACGCGCGTGGGCGAGTGCGTCGCCATCTCTCACTGGGAGTGAAACTGGGAAACGAGGTAATCTGAGGTATATTAAACGAGGGGGCAGGCCATGAGGGATTATGTGTGTGTGTATGAAAAGACGCTGCACAATCTGTACAGTGCGTTTCTGGAGTCGAGCGGAGGAAGATGAAATGGCCATGACACAAAATTTGTGAAAGGGGTTACCTTTTAGCTGGTTAACCTTCCGTGGCAGGGACCGAAACTCCGCTCGGGCGTGAACGCCACGGAACGGGTGGATGGGGCCTGAATTATAGAAAACGTAAGGTACGTATAGGCACGTAGCATGTAAAAAATAACGAAGGTACGTAGGATTGATTCGCCTGTAATAACAGACCCTCCACCTCCCCATCCGTTTAGTCTCAACTATGGCACCAATCTGCATGCTAGCCTTGACCATGCGATGGTTCTGCTCCGAGCCGTCCGGGTGGGGAGGATCTTGGACCAAAACATAAGGTGGATAACCATTTGCATGTGGATGTAATGGGATTTGATGGTTCTAAAGACGCCCAAATACCAGACCGTGCCTAACTCTTACATCTACAGTTGATCGCAGGGCTCTGATGCTTCCTAGCATGCACAACCGGAATCGGTTATAGAAGTAATTATAGACATAAAAGCAATAATGTGTTAGATGGGAAGGACGTCCAAGGTATGCAAAAGCTCATTTCAGTGATGCCCTTACATGGCAGCTGCCCTTCCACAGTGCCTACTCCCTCTCGCGAATATTAATCATCAACGGAGGCTTCTCCCAGACCAAATACGTTTTCTGTGTCGTAGACCAGGTGTCTGACTTATCCACAAGCTCAAGGTCAAACTTCCAGAGGATATGAGCTAGAATCAGTCTCATCTCGGCGTACGCCATACTATCGAGCCAGGCAAGAGTTACTATACTGACATCAATAGGGGGAAGGAGCGATAACCCCTTGCACTCACCTTTTCCCGATGCAATTCCGGGGGCCGTACGAGAAAGGCTGAATGGAGGTCCTGTTATCATTGGCGAATGGCGAATCCGCAGAAACATCTAGCCAACGCTCAGGAATGAACGACTTCGCCTGCTGAAAGTTCCATTCCATGGAGCCTGCCGAGAGCTGGTGGACGCCGACAGCGATCTAAATCGTATGGAGCAATCAGCCAAGGGAAGTTTAATCAAATCAAGACTTAATACACCACCTACCCCTCCTGGAACCCATTTACCATCAATCTCCTCGCCCTTGCCAGGCACGAACCGCGGCAGGGAAGACGGCGAAGGAGGGTACAATCGTAGCCCTTCCTCGATTACAGCGCCTAGGTATCGCAGCTGGCCCGTCGCCACCATGGTCATGTCCTCTTCCTTCTGAAAGGCGGACCGGATCTCGTCAACGAGACGACGGTAGACCGGAGGGTTGCGAAGCAGGAGGAACGTCATACCCGACAGCGCTGCAGCGGAGGTCCGACTGCCCGCAACGATAAACGCGGATGCCATGATGACGAGCTCCAGGTTCGACAGTTTCTCCGATTTGTTGTCTAAGATGTAGCTCATGAAGTCCTTGCGGTCCTCCTTGAGCTGGAGTCTTCTCCGGATTTTCTCCCCGCACAGTTCGATGTGCTTCTGCCGCGCCTGGAGCATGTATTTCGGCGCGATCCACGCGATCCAGTGGTAGAGCCCGTAGTAGACGGTGAATTGGAGCCAGACGATAGACTTTGCGCGTAACCCCAGGACTGCCAGCCAGGGGCTGTCGGCATTATCTGAGCCATTGCCCGAATGTATTAGCCTTCGCGCCAAGGCATCACCTACAGACAGACATACCGAGAGAGAGAGGGAAGGAGCGATGGATGGACCTACCCAGACAGCCCGCCGCCTCTCCAAAGGCCAGATCACTCACGATATCGAATGTCGTAAAACTGTACCATCGCACCATGTCCTGCGGTCCACTTTTACACACTCTGCTCAACTGGGCCGTCAACTTCCCCGCATACAGCTGGAAGAAGCTCTCCTGCTCGCGGAGTGCTCTCTCCGAGAATGCCGGCAAAATCGCCCTTCGCAGCTGCGCGTGCTTTTCTTGATGTGCAGTCACGATGCCTCTCACCCCCATTCTCGATGGCGGAACGATGCCCCGTCCATCAAGGCACTTGACAAACTCTGGGCTGCGCTGCCCGTAGATTTTCTTCCCGGCGGTACCGGTCGTGTAGGAGAGTTCATCGGGCGCGATGCGAATCACTGGCCCGTACTGCTCGTGGAAATCGCGGATAGTCCAGGCGATGTCGCCGCGAAGACTGGTCCAGATCCACGGAAGGCGAGTGAGAGCCCAGAGTTTGGGGCCAGGGTATGCGGAAAGTGGGTGGAAAAAGAGACTGTAGAGTGTCCATATAATCCAATACAGACAGACCTGCAAAGGGGAGTTAGAATGTATACGGACATAAACATGTTGGGGGGGGGAGACGCCATCGCGGCGAAGAGAACTTGACCTACAGAGCAGAGCAACCCCAGAGCAATGCTCGCTGGTGTCAGGACAGCATATGATAGCGGCGGAATATTCGCCATCTCGCGAAGGCACGGTGGCAAGAGGATTGAAAGGAGCAAGGGCTTCGGGATCCGGGATCAATGCATGAGTTATGGGCATAATTTGGTTTATGAGAACCTTCTCGCAGGCCTGAAAGGGCCACTTGTCAGGGCTCGATCAACCATCTGACATTCCTGTGGAAACGTACTACGGCTTGTTTTCAGGTGGCCTGTAACACATACGGGAAAACGCTAGCGTGGAGGTAATTTTCAATTTGCAATTCACTCAATAAGGTACCTCTCCTGCGGGTCTACTTCGGGTGGAACTCTCGGATAGTTTCTCCGAAGCTTATTCTCTAAAGCTTATCCACCCACGTGGAGGAGGCGCATGGTGCCACTGGGCGAAACAAGGGTGCTGTGCCTTGCGGGGCGTAGGGGTAAATCCAGCGATCAGGACTGCATACACTATACCTTGTTTGGGTCAGCGGCACAGAGCCTCGCTGGGAGATAATTGGGGCGGTGAATATGATTGATCAACTGATCACTAAACGCTACTGTTACTCGTGTGACCATATTGTCCATCTGCCTGTTCCATTTTATTTTGTCAAAGTGTGAAGGATCAATCCAAGCCCAGAAAAAAAAAAAAAAACCGGATACCGCTGCCTGGAAAATGAGGTCTAGGATATTCTCAGAAAACAATCCCCTTTCAAAGGTCCACGTGCGCATACAACCACCAAGCTCCAATCCCCACAGCCACCCCCGCCGCAGGCCAAAATATCTTCCCTATCACCCACTTCACCAACCGGATTTTCCCTCCCAGCAACAGCCGATCCGAGACATCATTCCCCTTGTTCGCATAAGGAAACGGCTGATTCGGGACTGGCCTCCCCAGGAACTTGCAGAGAGGCTCCCATCCATCTTTTGGCTCCCACTCTAGTAGGTTATCGTTGGGGACGATTTCCCGGATGTGCGCGTAGTGCTTCGTATAGCCTTCTCGTAGCTTGTCACGACTACGCCAGTCGCCGCCACTCCAGTCGTGGAGTACAAGGTAAAAGAGTTCCGAGAGGGCGTTTAGGGCCTGTGAGATCAATCCGATATTCAGCCCAAGAACTACCATGTCAAGCAATCCACGATGCCTCTTCACGTGAGGGAGGGCATTACCGGATCAAATACCGCTGCAACCCTGAACCCCTTATTCTCCAACACACGGTGATACGTCCGGAAGATCGAATCGAGCCATTTCTCTGGATCCCGGTTTGTGAGAATAACCTTGGCTTCTGGATATGTTGCCAACAGCTCATTGGAGAAGTTGACACAAGGGGCATCTGTCACGGCGTTGTACCGCCGGAGAAGTGTGCGAAATTCCGCTGCGTCGTAGCGCTTCCCGCTGTTGTAGAGCTTCGCGATGAGGGCTTCACGCCAGCACCAGAGGTGTCGTTCCGAAACGTTTTGTGGACAGCCACCGATTTCTTTGAAGTGGTAGGTGTTGTATCCGAGGATCTTCAGGGCCGCCCACATGGCTGGAAGATGTTAGATACCGAGCGAAACGGAGCATAGGAGGCCAACCAGACACATAGTCGCAGTGCGGGACAGTCCTAAACAGAGGACTTTCATTTCTTGTGGCGCAGTGTCCTCTGCTGGGATCTTGTCGATCCATCGCGCTGAGGCGGACAAGGCGGTGGGCTCTATGACTGACATCTCTGTTCGTGTCGTAGAGTTTTTTTTTTTCTGCTAATGATTTGCAGTGTGTCTCTCCAAGTCTACATATATGTGAATGGTCTCAAAAAAGTACTAGAAACAAGAACACATATGGGAGAATGCAGGTCGCAAACCTGAGACTTCCAATCACATCCAAAGGAATAACTTTAGGTCCAGGAGACAGGGAGGAAGCGATAAGAGAGTCAGGCCAGGCCCAACAGCGCCGAATCAGAAAGAAAGTTGAGACTAATGCGCAAGATCCACTTAACTGGCTGCTCCGCTCAGTGGCGGAGGTGACGGAATTCGAGGACGGGGCGTGTACTGTATGCAGATTCAGTGTAATACTGCAGTGATACTGGTACACAATAACGAGTGTATCTGTAGATCTCACACGCCAGGGATATCCGTTCAGACCTGCAAACATCTGGGAAGTCGAAACATGGCCAATACGCTTTCCTAAACGAGGCACGCAGCGTTGCTCGGTGCCCCATTGTTCTTAGTCGTTGTGCGAGTATATGGTGTATTCTGCGCAGACGTTTGATTACTTCGAAGAGGAGATTGAGGCATTCCCCTTCTCTCTCAGACTGATTCTACCATGTTTTCCAGCAGCTTGACGTATATACTCGTCACTCGAGTGCTTCCGTTGCTATTGCTTGTTCGCATCAGTCACGGCTTCCTACGACGATGGCGGCAGCAGCACAAGGCTGGACAACTCGGATGCAAGCCCATACCACTTGAACCAACACGATGGCCGTTCGGAATTGACGTTCTGCTACGCCTGCTGGAGGCAGATCGCCAGGAGCGGACACCAGATTTCATCGTTGAGCGATACAACGCAATGGGCCCTCGGTATACCTGGCGAACGCGGATGCTGGGCAGCGAGCACTACACCACAGCCGACCCCAAAAACATCCAGGCGATCTTAGCAACACAATTCAACGATTTTGGGATGGGACAAGCTCGCAGTCGGGGGCTGAAGACCGTCCTTGGCCGCAGTATTTTCGCCGTCGATGGACCGGAGTGGCATAGCGCGCGCGAGGTCGTCCGACCAATCTTTTCGCGTGAGCAGGTCTCCGATCTCTCTTTGTTGGAACGACATCTGCAGCGCATGCTGCTATGCATGCCTGGCGAACCGGATGGCTGGACAAGACCCGTCAGCCTGGCGTCCCTCATTCCGTGCCTGACCATCGATTCGGCCACGGAACTCTTCCTGGGGAAAAGTTCAGATTCACTCCTGGTCCGTCTGCGAGAGGAGCAGCACCATCAGCAGAAAGACTTCCACTGGGCCTTCGAGCGGGTGCAGGAATTGCTCAGTAAACGCCTGCGGCTCCGGAATTTGTACTGGCTCTATGGGACCCGGGAGATCAAAGAATGCGTCAACATCCTCCACGAATTCTGCGACCAGGCAATCGCAGATGCAGGACAAGCCGACCAAGGAAACAAGAAGCGTTACGACCTCCTCGAGGCCCTGATCTCGCGATCTCCAAACCCAAGCGAAGTCCGCGACCATGTTCTGGGCCTCCTCGCCGCGGGCCGAGACACGACAGCCTCCCTTCTCAGCTGGGTCTTCTACTGTCTTATCCGCCATCCGGCCATCTTCGACAAACTCCGTCGGGTCATCCTCGACACCTTTGGCCCCTACCATGAGAACCAGGTTACCATCACCTTTGAGCGTCTCAAGAGCTGCACCTACCTCCAGCACGTCCTGTGTGAGACCCTCCGCCTCCACTCCGTTGTCCCGTTCAACAGCCGCCGTGCACTACGCGATACGACTCTCCCCAGTGGTGGTGGACCAGACGGTACAGCTCCGGTTTTCATCCCCGCTGGACAGGAAGTGAACTTCAGCACTCATGTCCTGCATCGCCGTCACGATATATGGGGGCCCGACGCGGACGACTTCATCCCGGAGCGGTGGGAGGGCAAGCGACCGGGCTGGACGTACGTCCCGTTCAACGGAGGGCCCAGGATATGCATTGGACAGCAGTTCGCGCTGACGGAGGCAGGGTATGTGATCTCACGGATGCTCCAGCGGTTTGACAGGATCCAGGGGCTGGATGTTGATCCCACGAGGGATTGGCATCATTTCACGATTATCTGCAGTCCGGGCCCCGGCCACGAGAGCGTCAAGGCGAGATTGCGGATTGCGCGGGATGATTGATCGGAGCCCTGGGACCAGCCGCCCGACAAATAGCCCAACCTGGGCAGGACCGAATGGAATATTTCAAAGATCTTCCTCTGCGCGGCCTACAGTGTACTCCGTACATGGCATCGAGATTGTTCAGGTCGGAGACAGCATGGTCAGTCTTCGAGGTAGCGTAACCTCGAAAACAAACCAGTTTTGTTTTCTTTCTTTTTTCCTCCTACATATTAAAATAGTTTCTGGTGTCTGCTGCGGTAGGTAGGTAGACGCTTAACGGCCTGGTTACAGAATGTCTGCAATAACGGGATAGTGCAGGTGTCCGAATACTAGACCAAGACCGAGGAACAGATTGTCGGCGGCAAGGTTGTACCTACGAAAGAAAACAAGTGACCTAGTCAGCCTCGAGCCCTGAACATATATCATGTAGATAAAGCTACAGATTCCACACAAAAATGCTCGCATACAAGTCGGCACGAATTAAAGCCATAGCTGCATTCCCGAGGTCGCTATCAGGAACTCATAAGTTTGATACGTGGTGGAAATATATATTGAATTTTCCTTGAATGTTGGATGATACTGTAGAAAGCCCCGGGTGTGGTCAATAATCTATAGGTCCCTGGATTATCTACTCCGTACCTACAAACCATCTTATCGTGACAAAGTTGTGGTCCCAGGACCTCTTACGGCCTCAGGCAGGCCACCGGCGGTGATACAATGATCCGGACGGCCCCCTGGCCGTCCGGCTAACTAGTTACAGGCATCGTGTTACACAAGCATCGTCTGAAGTAACGTAATCCACGACCGGGCCGGACACACGGTCGGGCCCGACACTATCTTCAAAAACGCGTCTTTCTCACTGCCTATCTTCTTCAACAACCAACCATGCCACCAAAACGCGCTGAATCTCGTTCAAAATTGATTGAACAGGAGGGCAGGATACTATTGGCCCTCTAGGCTATTCAAAAAGGCCAATTTCGATCGATTCGCGCAGCAGCTAGGCAATTCGATATACCCAATTTAACGCTAGCCGACCGCGCTAAGGGTGTGTTACCCAGCGTGGATATACGCGCCAACGGACATAAACTAACCCAATTGGAAGAGGATTCGTTTACTGAATAGATACTCTCTATAGATTCACGTGGAGCAGCGCCTAGACCCTCTACTATGCGAGAAATGGCTAATATTCTATTAGCTACGCGTAGAATAGACTGTCCGCCTACCGTCGGCCTAAATTGGTCATCAAGCTTTATGAAACGACGCGATAAGCTTCGTACACGCTTCTTAAGACGCTACGACTACCAACGCGCCCTAAACGAAGACCCAAAATCGATATAAGCTTGGTTTACGACTGTCTAACGTATTGTTGATGAGAACGGAATCTAACCGGAGGATATCTACAACTTTAATAAGACTAGCTTCGCTATAGGTCTTATATCTATACAAAAGGTGGTTATAAGGGCTGAGTATTATAGTCGGCGATCAATTTTATAACCGGGGAACCGCGAATAGGTAATAGTAATCGAAGCAATCTACGCTAATAGCTATTCGCTTCCGCTATGCGTTATATTTAAAGGCAAAATCTTTATCGCCTCTTAGTTTGATAATCTTCTAAACGACTAGCGATTCGAGGTCTCGCTAAATAGGTAGACTACCGATAAGATTGGCCTTCGCTAGCTATAAAAGCTTTTTATTCTAGCGATAACGATATATACGAAAGGGAAATATCGATTATTGATTCTTAATAGCTATAGTAGCTATCTTATACCTTAATTCGATCGAATCTGCGAAGAAAATAATATTATACTACTTTATATATCTCCGTATTTATTATATCTTTTACAACCACTTGATATTAGGTGTTTTGCTATACTAAAACGCGTATATAGCCGCTTCGTAAGCGATCTAGCTCGCGTTATATATAACTATATCGGTAAACTCGACTTTCTTGCAGATTACCCTCGGGTGCGTACAGAGGCCTTTTAACCACATGTTCTTTAAAATGCCTTCATAGCTATTAGTCTTTATCTAATTGACGCCGATTGGGTACTTTCGAAGCTTAATATCTTACTCCGAACGCTATTACTACCGAATAGCCGGCTAATTAGTAGATCTAGCCAATTTACCCTAAAAACGCCTAAGACTATTATTCAACTATAGAAGCAAGCTTCGATGCTTAAGGATCTACTTAAGCAACGGTTCCATAGCCCTCTAAGCCTATCAAAAACCATGCTAGATCAGATCATCCAAGGCCACTATATATCGCTTCATCACATAGCGCTATTAGCGTAAGAAAACGCTGATCTACGCGTAGCGAATGAGAAAAAACGCCATAAACGCGTACGATCAAATCGGCAGATACCACACGAAGGTGGCCTATCGGTTAAAGAGGGCCTACAGCTAGTTCAGCAGCTAAATCAGCCAGTTGAAGCTGATCGGGTCGTATCGCATAAGCAGGCCGATGAGGCTATTCAACCAGCTCGGCCAGCCAAAAGGGCTCCACCAAGGTGTAGTGGGTGTGGGGGAATTGGCCATCAGATCAATTGTTGTAAAAATCGCTAGATATAGATGAATTGATACGTTTTGGTTGATATATCTTCATTCGAAATTTGATGATCAGAGATAGTGTGTCCGGCCCGGTCGTGGATTACGTTATTTAGTTAGATAAGAGTCCTTCCCACGTCGGGAAGGACAATCAATTATTCTGTTCTGATCTCTCAAAGTCTGAAAATGGGAGTCATGTGAGGTGCACCTTTCTGGAGGCCACCTGTGAATCTAGCTTTGCTTAGCAAGAAACTGGATATTCGTACGAGCAATACCTTGCGTATCTGAATGCTCGTGGCGGTCTGCGAACTATGAATGCGAAATGCGAATACGCGAAATACGAAATACAAGTGCGAACCCGGAACGAAGGGGAATGTCTCAAAATCCGGGATGCGGTCCAACGGTGCCCCAAAACCCACTTTTAGGCTTTTTTTCAAATTCAGGGGTTTAGCGTGCCGGTTTTTGGGTATGTACCTATTACTTTAAAGTTACTAAAACCGTTTTAAGAAAAGAGTTAAACTCTTTCTGAAAAGAGCTAAAAACCTTAAAACTTCACGCTACCATGGTTCATCGGTGAATCAGTGATCACTACCCCTGAGACCGTCCATTCTCCAGCGTATGTGGCGCTGTTGGACTAAGCAGCAAGCGGCGAGACTGAAACATTGCAGGGGGATCGTCCTGTTGGCACACGTGGGGGATCGGTGAGTGATTTACTGTGGTTTAGTATGCGACATAAGCGTTGCACTTGATACACGTGGCAGCGCACGTATTAGCTATGTAGTAGGGAAGACCCGCTTAGGCTGCGAAGGACCTCAAGAGTTTTGGACAACATCACGTTACATTATCGGTTCGAATATGTGCTGTAACCGTGGCACACCCACCCACAACGCTTCCAGTCAGATGTGGAACTGCCCATCTGTTTTTCCGAAAATAGAAAGAAGTGTGGTTTAAAACGATACTTGTTGCAAACCGGTCTAGGTTTCTGCAAACTCTGAAAGGTTCCATACAAAAGCTAATAAAAGAACTTAACTATAGGCCGACAAGAATGACAAGTCAGCTGTGACTGTAAGTAGCCCGCTATAAAAATTCTATTCAACTAGTATAAGTTATGCGAGATTTATACTCGATAAGGTTGCGACTTGTCCTGCCCACACGCGAGCGGGGTCGGGTTCCTGAGATCTTTTGACCCCTTCGCACCGCCTGCCCAAGTCTACCTGTATGCACTCATATCTACAAACCGCCGAACTATGCACGGACTAGAATATAATTATAGGTCATGTAGGTCGGAATTGCATACAGGTGGCTGAGCATGCATTCAGTCAAAAGGCTGGTACCAAGAAAACAATCCGTCAGGATCATATCGCTGCTTCAACTCCCGCAGTCTCTGTAGCCTCCACGGGTCATACCCGTAGAGTGCCTCCACTGGGTCCGCTTTCATCGTCGTATTTCCATAATTCACATACTGCTGCAACCGCCCATATCCCGAGGTTTCTATGAAGGCAAGCTTCCACTTCTCTAGCCATGCTTCGAAGATCTCACTATCCTGGGTACTCTTGGGCGTGGCCGTGATCATCCTATCAACGATTAGTCGCTCCCACTTCTCTCCAATATGGATTTGCAGATGCTTTTAGGTTTGAGAGTGTTAAACGACGCTTACAAGTGATGATTGGTCCCATGCCGCCACGGAAAGGCCGTCGCGTCCTCCTCAATAGCCCTCGTCTGGTGATGTGGCAGACTCTCGAACATTGTTCCAAACCAGCCTTTTCCCGCAAAGCGCTCATTCATCTCCTTGACGGACTCAAAAAAGGCCTTTGTCGTTACCAGATCAAAGGATTTCACGCTAACGGCACTCATCATTTTGTTTGGAGCCAGTTTCCAGACCTCCGGTTTGCTGAGCAGCTTGTTTTGGGCACCATAGGTGATCCAGGGCAGCTCGTCCCAAGTGGCGGTAACATTGGTGGAGCGGACGGGATTGAGGTTCGAGAAGTGAGCGACCCAGGGCATAGAGTCGCGTTCGGGGCCAGAGTAGACAAGGTTGACGAGGATTAGATGCTGCGTATATGGTATACCAGTTAAAAAATCGTAAAAGCGTCCGGAACGTCACTACGTGAGGACGGTAAATGGAGAGGGGAGACACTGCACATACCGACTCTCCACCCGACTCGCGCTTCCACACTACAAAGATCGCCAGCTCCGGCGGCATCACAGCATGTACCTTGTTCAAGACTCGGAAGACCTCCTCACATTGTTCCAGTCGATACTCCAGATCCCAAGAGTAATGGATCCCTAAATTAGTCTGTGGATAGACGTGGAACGTCGCCTCCAGCGCAATACCAAAGTTATGTCCCGCCCCACGAAGCCCCCAAAAGAGATCCGAATTTGAGGAATCGGAAACCGTGACGATAGACCCGTTGCCTAGGAGTAGCTTACAAGACACGAGCTTATCATTCAGATAGCCGTATTTCCCTTGCAGTCTGCCCAGACCGGCCCCGAATGCGACGCCGATTACGCCTGTTGTTGGACAGGAGCCAACGGCTGCCTATGTGGTTATTATCTCATTGTCTGGGGTTGTGTTGGCTAGAGTGGAAGATACGACCAACTTACTCACTTCCATCCCGAGGCCATGCACGTATCGTGTGAAGTCATCCATGATCGTACCCCCGCCAACGGTGACCAGGCGCTGTTCGGCATTGAAAGTCATATGCTTTAGAGGGCGCATGTCGATCACGATGCCATTTCGAAGTCGCCTCATGCTCGTTGTGACGCAGTGATGCCCGGAGCGCGGGGCAAATGGGATCCCCTTCTCTCGCGCAAAATTAACGGTGCGGACGACGTCATCTTCGAATGCGGGACGGACGGCAAGCAAATAGGTCTACGAGAAAGGGGAGAACAGTCAGCCGTTGATATATTATCTGGTATATATATATGGCTATTACTATACCGGACGACCGTACTCGGTGAATCGTAGATTGACGCTCTCAAACTCCTGGGATGGCGGTAGTGCAACCACAGCTCCTGGGGAGAGAAGAGAAGATAGCTCGGACTGAATGGAGTTTTGGAAAGAGCGTATGTCTTTATCATCTAGCGTGAAATCTGTCATACTGGATGGCCAGAACTATTGCGGTAATTTCTTTTTAGAAGAGGAGATGGGAAGAAGTTGTGGACGCACGCAAGATAGTGAATATCTTTTAAGACTACTGACGCGTCAGACCCCTTTCCCCGCCCTCTGCCTCGTCTGGCTGCATGCATCAATCGATAGGCTACCGCTGCAACCCGGAACTTCGCGTTTCTCGATGCCGCGAAGTTGACAGTCAGAAATAGGGAAATCGAGAGAGGAAAGTATCTGCGGCATGCATGCCTACCTGTGGGGCGCTGAAACAAGCTTACTTCGCGATGGGGGCGTTTAGGTGACCTACTCTGCGAAAGGCCGACAGAAGGATATGAATCAAGCGATTCAAGTCTGCATGAGTGCGCACCTCTAACACGTGCGGATGAGGCTTCTTGCTATTCCACGGCTCGCGACCTTTTGCTCTCCCACTTGTCTCAGATTCCTGTAAGAGATGGATGAGCCTTATTCGCCTGTCGATCATGCAGGATTGCTCGGGAAATCAGCAGGATCCATTAGGTTTGTTTAAGGTTCGGCAGCGGTCAGCCTCCGCTACAAAAAACTGGAAATTATCTCTCCATACTGGTAAATTTCAAATAATTGTAATTTTCAATCGATGGTAATTTCAACCGGTGGGCTAGCTTCGCTTTTAAGTGGGCCTACCAGTTAGATGCTTATCTTCTGAAGTCCCTGGGCCCTTTGAGACATTGAAAGCCCATCTATGCCATGAGATGCCACGAGGAACCTCAATTAGCCCTTCGATACAGGCATCTCGCTTGACTGCCAATAACCGCCTAATGTCTGCAGCGGACTATGTGTAACGGAAAGGCTTTTTCCCGAGTCTGTCTAGATACACAGCATAATACCAATGGAGGATTGATGTCCCCGTTGGAGGACTAGACACCGGAGCAAAAGGTTCAGCGCTGAGACCATTTCCGCATCTTTCGCTAGTGAATGGGCCCCTAGGGTCGGAAATTCAGATTCGTACGCGTTGATGGTTCCTGAAACGTAATTGGATCGTCGTCATTTCCCATATATGGGGAAACTTACAGCTTGAGTTGGCGAATATTTGATAACACAGTGGGACCTACGACTGTCAAAACAGCACCAATTGAACCTAGATATCGAGATCAGTACGAACCCAGTTTCTGCCGTGTTCGTTTCTGAGGGATCTCGACAAATTCTGTATCAGTATCGGTGGATGGGTCTGTAGGGGATGAAATAAAAAAGGTATATATACTTTGCTATAGTCGGTGCACCTTATAACGTATTACAGAAGGAGTTCCAGTCGGAACAAGTAGAGCCATCTCGTTTCATAATACCCTTTTTTCTACCCACTCAGCCGGCCTGCCAGCCTCCTCGTTACCGTCAAAATGCCGGGCAAGCTCCTAGATACGTCACCAACGACCCCGTCCATGCCTATAGCCATCGTCGGCCTCGCCCTCCGTGGGCCAGGTGACAGTTCAAACTCGGAACGCTTCTGGCAGATGTTGACGGCTGGCCATTCAGCGCGGTGCGAAGTCCCCAAGGACCGATACAATGTCGACGGCTTCTACCACCCAGACTCCGACCGACTGGGCAGCATCCAGCAACGACATGCTCATTTCATGAAGACGGACTTCAAGGCATTTGATGCGCCGTTCTTTTCTATCACGCCCAAGGAAGCCAAGGCCATGGATCCTACACATCGCATGTTGCTGGAAGTTACATATGAGGGATTTGAGAATGGTTAGTTCCGCATATTCTCCCGTGGTCTATTAGACGGCATGCACGGAGGGTCAGGGATATAGGTATACTGACGTGCGGTTGGTGCTTAGCCGGCTTGACATTGGACGCGGTGAAGGGTTCCAAGACCTCGTGTTATATTGGCACCTTTACCGGAGACTTTGAAGAGTTACAGGTGAGAGACAATGAGGGGCCGAGTATGTACCATGCCACCGGACTATCATCGTCGCTGGCGTCCAACCGGCTGTCGTGGTTCTACGACTTGAAAGGACCCAGTATGACGATCGATACCGCCTGTTCTTCCAGTTTGACAGCGTTCCACCTCGCCTGTCAGAGTTTGAGAACCGGGGAGGCGACTATGGTGAGCGACTTCTACAGATCTTTGTTGGGGTTGAGAATACACCCGCTGACTTATTACGTAGAGCGTGGTCGGCGGTGCAAATCTCATGTTCGGCCCTGACATGAGCATCCTGCTCGGTGCGGCGAAGATCCTCTCGGCGGATGGCAAGTCACAAATGTGGGATGCTAAAGCAAACGGCTTCTCCCGAGGAGAAGGAATTGGCGTCACGATCCTCAAACCTCTGGACGCCGCGCTGAGGGACGGTGATACGGTCCGAGCGGTGGTGCTCGCATCCGCTGCCAACCAAGACGGCCGGACGCCTGGGATTAGCCTGCCGAATGCCGACGCCCAGGAGGAGCTGATCCGGACCGCATATGCTCAGGCCGGGGTCGATCCGGTAGAAACGGGCTATGTGGAGGCTCACGGAACGGGAACTCAGGCGGGCGATCCGCTGGAGGCCCGCGCGATCATCAACAGCATTGGATCTGGGCGCACATCAGATCTCTATGTTGGGTCGGTGAAGACAAACATCGGCCACCTGGAGGGCGCGGCGGGTGTGGCGGGCGTCATCAAGGCAGCCCTGGTGGTGGAGCGAGGGTTGATTCCTCAAAATCTTTGGTATGGTCTCACGAAACGCACCGTTTTCCTGAGGGGTTGGTTGGCATTGACATGTGACATAATAGGTTCGAGACTCTGAATCCCCAGATCTCTCTCCCGGATCGGGTGAAGATCCCCCAGCAGCTGACGGAATGGCCATCGGAGGGTCCTCGACGAGCAAGCATTAATTCCTTCGGGTTCGGTGGCGCCAATGCCCATGTCATTCTCGAGGATGCAGCCCATTACCTCAGCCGACAGGGACTGAATGGCAGACACACGACGACGCTTCTTCCTCGAGCCTCCAATGATACCGCTAATGGGCAGGCCACGGGCCATATGACAGAGAATGTGAATGGAGGCATCAGCAAGCAGTCCAATGGTGACCATGGGGTGAACCTGGCGGACTCAAAACCCAGCCTCTTCGTCATTTCAGCCCAAGACCAGGATGGAGTCCAGCGCTCGGTGAAACAGCTACAAGAATACCTCGAAGAGGAGCGCGACGAGAAAGATCCCCGCTTCATCTCGAACCTCGCCTACACTCTGGCCTCTCACCGGTCGATAATGCCTTGGAAGACATACGCGATCGCGTCCGATGCGATTGCCCTCAACGGCGCACTTGGGGAAGTACCCGCCGCAGTGCGTTCGTCTGACTCCCAGACTCCCACGGCTGCGTTTATCTTCACCGGCCAAGGTGCGCAGTGGTTTGCCATGGGTAAAGACCTGGTTACATTTGATGTTTACAAGGACAGTCTGGCCGACGCAGAGCGTATCTTGCAATCACTCGGTTGCCAGTGGAGCTTGCAGGAAGAATTGAACAAGACCAAGGAGACATCCCGCCTGCACCTAGCCGAGCTCAGTCAGCCTGTGTGCACCGCTCTCCAGGTGGCGCTCGTTGACCTCTTGCGATACTGGGATGTGCGCCCCTCTGCGGTGATCGGTCATTCTAGTGGTGAGATCGCGGCGGCATATTGCATCGGAGCCATCTCAAAGGAGACAGCAATCCGGATAGCCTGGCTACGAGGGAAATACGCTACGTCCGTCGCGCAGGCGAGGGATATCGATGGCACCATGATGGCGGTCAACGCTGATGGAGAGTCGATTCGTTCCGAGCTCACGGGCCTCAACGGGACAGCCGTAGTATCGTGCCTCAATAGTCCCAACGCCTGCACTGTCTCCGGAGATGTGAAAACACTGCAGGAACTGGAAGAGGTTCTGAAGGTGAAGGGGATTGCGGCCAAGAGGCTGGAGGTGCAGGTCGCCTACCATTCCCCCCACATGAACCTCATCCGGCAAGAGTACGAGGCCGCGTTGAGGGACGGATGGATGACTCAGAGCGGTGCCGAAGAACTAAGCATAGAAATGTTCTCGTCCGTAACAGGCTGCCTGATCACGCCTGCAGAACTGGATCCATCATACTGGGGAGAGAATCTCGTGTCACCAGTGAACTTCGTTGGAGCCGTTGGGTCGCTGCTCAACCATTCTACAGACACAAAGCGGCAACATGACCGCACGGCATTTACCAGCATCTTCATTGAGGTTGGCCCACACTCTGCGCTGAGATCGTACCTCCTGGATATCTTCAAGGCCCAGGACAAGTTTGTCAATCTCTCCTACGTCACTGTCCTCCGCCGCAACTACCCAGGCACTCGCACCATCCTGGACGCCATGGGCCAGCTCCACGTCAAGGGACTCCCTTTCAACCTGAATAAGGTGAATGGTGTCGGTCCCAAGGCACAGATGCTGGTAGATCTTCCCCCGTACCCATTCAACCACTCGCTCACGTTCTGGGAGGAGTCCTACCTCAGCCGCGACTACCGTCTGCGTGAACATGCTCGGAAGGACTTGCTCGGTTATCGCGTCCCAGGAACTTCGGACCCAACTTGGAGAAACTTTCTGCGCTGTTCAGAGAATCCGTGGATCCGTGAGCACCAGGTTCAAGGCAATATCCTCTATCCTGGGGCTGGAATGCTCGTCATGGCCATCGAGGCAGCTCACGAGCTCGCCGACCCGAACGACAAGATCGTTGGGTATGAGCTGCGCGATGTTTCCATTGTAGCCGCGCTTCGTGTTCCGGACGATGACAAAGGCGTTGAAACCATGGTGCAGTTTCATCCTCGCCGGACAGGGACCAAGGCGGAGCCATCGTCGACCCTGAACGAATTTACAGTCTCAACTCCTTCCGAGGACGGAAAGACATGGACAACCCACTGCAGAGGATTGATTTCTGTGACATACCAGTCTCAATTGAGTCCCGCTATGCGGCGAGAGCTGGAGCTGGAGGACAAACGATACCGCACATCCTTCCAGGCAGCGAAGAAGCAATGCTCCCGACCCGCAAGAAGCTTCCTTTACGACAACGTCGAGACAATCGGCATGAATTATGGCAAGATTTTTCGCAATATCACCGACCTGTATGCAGGTGATCAGACCAGCTACGGAGTAATCACAATCCCCGACACCAAGGCCACCATGCCGCAGAACTTTGAGTACCCCTGCATCATTCACCCCGTCACGTTGGACTCCATCCTACACCTACTATTCCCCTCCATCGCGGGCTCAGAGCAGTCTCTCCAGGAAGCGGTGGTGCCGTTCTCGTTCGACCGGATCTTCGTTAACGCTGATATTCCATCTGCACCTGGAACAGAACTCCACGGGTACACCGCTGCCCAGAAGACGAGCTACACGACCTGGATGAGCACTATCGCTGTGTCAACGGAGGGATGGTCCACACCACTGATTCTGATTGAAGGCCTGGGCCTGGCGTCTCTAGGCGCAAGTGAAACTGCTCAAGGTCCGTCAGAAACCAGGGCAGGGTGCTTTGACATGATCTGGCACGAGGACCCGGAGTTCCTGACACCTACACATGTCAAGGAGTTGATCTACAAACGAACCACTCCTAACAACGACGACGAGTCTGTTTTAGACAAGTTAGAGTTTGTCTGTCTCGTTTACATTCACCACATCCTGGACTGGTTCCAATCTAACAAGGGAGTGGATTTCGTGCCCCAGTCAGGTTTCTTCAGACTCTACTATGAATGGATGCAGGATATCATCCAGCAATTCCCCCCATTGCCCACCCCTGTCGCCAGTCTAAACGCAGCAATCCAGGAGGCGCGAGATAGCTGCATTCTGTCCAAGTCGGGGGATATCACAGTACAGATGGTGGACCGCATCGGACAGAATTTGGAAAGGATCTTCACGCAAGAGATTGAGCCGTTGCAGGTGATGCTCGAAGGCGACCTCCTTTACGATTTTTAGTAAGTCATTCCCTACTGAGTGCTGTACAGGTTGAGCTCTAACCCAGATTGCCAACAGCCGTGGTGCTTTCGGAACGAGCTTTAACACCAACGTCGCCGAGTACGTCGGTCTGATCGCTGACAAATCCCCCGGTCTTCGAATCCTAGAAATCGGTGCCGGAACTGGGGGTACAACCTACCATGTCCTCGAAAGACTGCGAAATCCCGATGGGACAAGCAAGGCGCGAAACTATACCTTCACCGACATTAGTCCTGGTTTCCTGGCAAAAGCCGCGGAACGGTTCTCCGAGGACACAGCAATCCTAGAATTTTCGGCGCTGAATATTGAAGAGAATCCCCTGGCGCAGGGGTTTCAGACCGAGTCGTTTGACCTGATCGTGTGTGCAAATGTCCTGCACGCCACGCGGTCGATACAGGAGACTTTGGCCCACTGCCGCTGGCTCCTAAAGCCGGAAGGGAAGCTCGTACTATCAGAGGTGACGATCAAGCGGATTTTCTCAGGATTCATCATGGGACCGTTGCCGGGGTGGTGGCTCGGAGAGGACGATGGCCGCAAGGGGGGTCCTCTTCTCAATGCCGAGGAGTGGGATCTGGCCTTGAAACAGGCGGGTTTCTCCGGCGTTGATCTGGATGTCCGAGGAGACTGTGACACCTCTTTAGAACCAGTTTCTTTGCTCGCCTCAACAAAGACATCTGGCCGGCCTAATCCATCGCAGGCATTTGCGATTATCAAACCATCTGGGGATCCATCGAACAAGCTCGCAGCACATATTGAGACCGCTTTCCAGTACCTCAAATCGGAGGTTTCCGTTTTCGACTGGACTTCGGTGACTGAGTTTGATATCAAAGGCAAATACTGTGTATGCCTGTCCGAGTGGGCGAAGCCTCTGTTATCAACGATCAGCGACGAAGACTGGAACAAGTTCCGTACGTTAGTCTCGACGGCCAGTGGCGCACTGTGGGTGACGGGTGGAGCGGCAATGGAGTGTTCTCACCCGCATGGTAGTCTGATGGTTGGGTTGTCCCGAGCAATCCGCAACGAGAACTCTAACTGCTTGCTCGCAACCTTGGATATCGACCCACAGGACTCTACGGTTGATCTTGCAAATTCTGCCTTGGCGATTCGCAATGTCGCCGTCCGCCATAGTTACGGTGATTTGGTTGACCATGAGTTTGCTGCACGTGGACAGACCGTCTACATCCCTCGCGTGGAAAGGGCGCCTCAGCTGGACTCTCGCGTACGGCTGTACCAGTCCAAGGGTGAGCCCGAAGAGATCAACTTCGTCACATGCCAGCGCCCGTTGAAGCTGACCATCAAATGCCCCGGTCTTCTGGATTCATTCTTGTTCGAGGAAGACATGGAGTATTATGAGGCTCTACCCGAGGACTGGGTGGAGATCCAGGTGAAGGCCGTGGGACTGAATTTCAAAGATGTGCTGGTCGCTTTGGGCAACCTGAACGAGAACAAGCTTGGCGTCGATGTCAGCGGAGTGGTGACGCGCGTGGGATCCGCCGTATCCAGCATCAGCGTTGGCGATCGTGTCATGACATCTTCGTGCAACACGTTTGCGACATTCGTCCGGTTCCCCATGCAGGGTGTCATTCCAATCCCAGACGATATGAGCTTTGAAGATGCCGCTTCTATGCCACTGATCTTCCTGACGGCTTACTATGCCCTAGTCACCGTCGGTGGACTGCAGCGAGGCGAGACGGTCTTGATCCATGCTGCTGCTGGTGGTGTCGGGCAAGCTGCAATTGCCGTCGCCCAGCACATCGGAGCTGAAATCTACGCTACAGTTGGCTCCCCAGAGAAAAGACAGCTCCTCATCGACCAGTATTGTATTCCAGATGACAACATCTTCAGCAGCCGTGATACGAGCTTTGCAAAAGGAGTTATGAGAGCGACAAATGGATTGGGCGTTGGTCAGTATAGTCATTATAATATTTGCTGGGGGAAAAATCGACACTAACAGGAATTGACGGATAGATGTCGTCCTGAATTCTTTAGCCGGCGAGGCACTTCGCCTCTCCTGGCACTGTCTTGCCAAGTTCGGGCGTTTCTTGGAAATTGGTAGGTGATGGTTCGTCCTACAACGCCAGAGTGGGTTCTGACTGTAACACAGGAAAAGCGGATCTCTTTGCAAACACAGGGCTAGACATGTTGCCTTTCCTCGAGGTGAGATCTTCTTTATATTCACGGATTCAGACCCTTCCGCTCACACGATGACAGAACAAGAGCTACTGTGGTGTCAACCTGATCGACTTCGAGAACAATCCAACACCTCGTGCCGTCGCTCTCTTCCAGAGTGTCGCAGGGCTGATCAAGGATCGTGTCATCAAGCCGGTGAAGCCGGTCCAAGTCTTTTCGTTCTCGTAATACCCCTCTTCTCACAAGTGGTATTCGTATCTTTGAAGGATAGCTAATTCTTCATGTGCAGTGAAATTGAAAAAGCCTTCCGTTACATGCAAACCGGCAAACATATGGGCAAAATCGTGGTGCGTGTCGATGAAAATGACCTCGTCCCTGCCATCCCGCTCGTACCAGAAGCACGGATTACCCCTGAAGCCACATATATCCTCGCCGGCGGTCTCGGCGGTATCTGCCGGGAGATCAGTCGCTGGCTAGCGGAGAAGGGTGCGAAGCATCTCGTTTTCCTTTCCCGGTCTGCAGCGACGGGTGACGCAAATATGGCATTTATGAAGAATCTTCGTGAGACGTATGGAGTGAACGCGATTGCGTTTGATTGCGATGTAGCAGATCGGGCTTCCCTGGAGCGTGCTCTTGATGGGTGTAAAGAGCAAGGTCTCCCACCAGTGCGTGGTTGTGTGACAGGAGCAATGGTGCTCAGGGTAAGTGTTCTTGCTTTGCTTTTTACTGTATCCTTTCTCAAATATTGACTGGGATGCACGCAGGATACCCTGTTTGACGGCATGACCATCGACCACCTCCGCACGACCGTTGGACCCAAAGTACACGGAACGTGGAATTTGCACGACATGCTTCCCAAGGACCTGGATTTCTTCGTCATGCTAAGTTCACTGGCTGGTGTTATGGGTTCGTACACTCTCCCTCCCCCGGCCCTCCCACTAAAACAACACTCTAATCATTGGTATAGGTCATCGCGGTCAAGGCAACTACGGCGCGGGTAATATTTTCCAGGACTACTTCGCCAGTTTCCGGCGCAGCCAGGGCTTGCGTGCGATGACGATCGATATTGGGTACCTCCTCAGTGTTGGGTTTGTCGCGGAACATGACGAATACGTGGATCATGTCAAGAGTATGGGTCTGAAAGTAATGCAAAACAGCGACCTCCATGCCCTCATGTCCATCGCCATGGAGGACACCCCTGCGCATCCCGCACAAGTGATGTGCGGACTTCCAACGAACGAGTATTCTGAGGCATGGTACTGGATTCAAGACGGGAAATTTGCCTCGCTACTGAATACTGCCCAGGGCGGCAATACCGCAATGGGGTCCTCGATCTCGTTAGGCGTAGAACTCGCCCGTATGACAGAAATTACAGCCGCCGTGGATCTTATTTGTGAGAGTTTGGTGGAGAAGCTGGCGAAGCTTATGATGGTACCGATGGTGGACAGTAAGTTTGCTCTGTTTGATGTTGCTTGTGACTCCATTATGTTCATGACTAATGAGGTGACTTATTTACATAGTTGACCCCGGAAAACCACTGAGTGCGTACGGTGTTGACAGTCTAGTTGCCGTGGAGGTGAGGAATTGGATCGCCAAGGAGATTCAGGTAGAGTTGAGCGTGTTTGATATTATGGCTCTTGTGCCAATGAGGCAGCTCGCTGCGGATCTAGCGGCGAAGACCAAGCTGCTATCACGGGAGGGGATCATGTAGTTATTGAGCGTAAGGCTTCATAGGCCACGATGGTGCGTGGTACGCTCGCTTTGTTGGAGGTGGTGGGACACAACGGATCAGGTACTCACTGGACATTGCCGCGTACGACTTGCGCCAGAAAGAATTTCAGAAGTCATTGGAGACTAGATGCGTCCGATTTAGCGTTCAGATTGGGAGTTTCGTTTTTCTAAGAAATATGCTCCTGTCTGTGGCAGACAAGGCCAGGCTCTAGATGAACAAAAGAATATTCCGGCGGAGTAAGGTTGAGGGGTGGGGAGTGAGGTTAGCGATACTAAACGAGGCGGGGTTCCAGGTGGGGCGTGCAGACGCTCGTCGACAGAATGGGCAAGGAGTTCCCAAGCTGCCTCATAATCTGCCAACTTGGAATGGCGATTGTGTGGCTATGCGCAAGTGCCAAGAGACCGAATGATTTATATAGATCAAGGAGATGTCATTGTTATTCTTCAAATTTTAGCTAGGAGGCTGAGTGCGGCAGTCCCGCGATGGAGGATTCTCACCTTTGCCCTTGTCTATTAGGCACTAACCCCGGTTGCGCGACCATGAAGCGGCACTCACCATTCTCACTTCTCCTCACCCAGGTGACACCCACCAGTTATACTTGGATTGTGTTGCCGAAAAGCAAAGTGTATATGAATATATCAAAGTCCCTTCCTAACACATACGACCATAGAGTGTGCAGAGCAGGGATTCCCGTCCGTGAGCGGGACTCAGGCTTAGCTATAATTCTTCTGAGTCCCACTGGGCTTTTCCTGAATCCTGCTCAGCAGGAACCCGTTTTCACCACAAAGACCATCTTTCAGCAAGAACTTTTCCCCATCATTATAAGAATATCACCAATAAAGCGCAAAACCCGATCACGATTTGCTAAACCACTGGAGACAAATTTTTCCCTGTCACGGAGAAGAAGAAGGAAAGCAAGGCATATAGACTGCCAGCCGGAAGAACTGATATTAGGCGAATTCAACTCAAAGAGCAGACCACGTTTATCGGTTCGCGAGCGGAACCTCCATCGTTCATCAACCCGCAATCGTAATTCCCAGAAGGATTTAGGAACAATCCACCCAAAAGCTGCTAGCATATTGGATGCATTTTGGACGTCGGACTCCTCATAGTTCACAGGACACACAAGTTGAGCAATCATGATTCTGAGTTCCAATGGTAAGCCAGTGAAGTCGGAAGTGCTGTTGCTTTTAATATCTTTGGCAAGTTCGATTGCACTCTGAATTTCAGAAACAATCCATAGGCTGTGGCAAAGGTTATAACCATAGATGCGGGGCCCTTCTAAATTTCGAGTGTCTTCATCAGTGTGTAGCGGAAAACGGTCGTCCTTCACTCCCCATGATTTATGCTTGTACCAGTACTTCCGAGAAACCCGAACGAACTTTTGCAATTCAGTTTGGTTGAACGGAGCTCCTAAGATTTGGTTAAGAAGTGCCCAACAGTGAGCATGGATAACATGTCCGAGTGGTTCCCCACTAAAGCATCCCGGCTGCCTGGTGATGCTTGCAGGGAGGAATCGAGTAAACGTGGCACTGTCGTATCGCAGCTTCCTGCCTTTGCTACCGATTCGCACGATGTTAATATCCTTTGGCATATAAAGAGCCTCGTCAAGGCGCCAAGAATCCACGCAATTTATTCCCGTAAGGCAGTATTTCGAGGTAGGCGGAAACCTAACGACTGTATTTCCCTTTGTATTAGAACGAAAACTTAGTACTTGCGGGATGCCGTACCAGCTCGAAAGAAATTTGAGGACAGTGTGGGTAATTCGGAGAGGTGCATAGCTTCGACCTCCTTTGATGACACCATGATATTTCTTTTTTTGAACGAGAGTTCATATGTTTCCTCCATCGATTGTCTCTTCGTAAATAACTTGCTACGGACTTCATCCGGTGTTCGAGTTGCACACCGCATAAGAGGCATGTGGGTGGGGTCTGGATCGGAATACCAGCTAGGTGTCATAGCGGACAACAAGATATAGTTGCATGGGCCTGCTCGTGTGAAGTTCCCGAGTGTGATAAGAACAGCGTAGGATCTTGATGCTGGAAAACTTGGAGTTTTATTATTACGTATAGTATGACGGAATGTCGATCAGTTGATTTATCAAACCATATAAGACTACTATCCTTCCTTTGATTGGTTTTTCCCTGGCTCATATTCTATCGTGTTGCTAATCATGACCTCACTCACTTGAGTGTTGACAAACTCGTAGATTTCTACTCAATTTTCTGTAGTAGAAGCGGGTCTATCTAGATAATCAATTCCACTGTGCTTTTAGCAACATAAGAAAAGGAGTCTAACTACGGACGCTATATGATTTCGTCTACCGTCACTGTATTCACTTAAAGAATACCCCATGGAACAGCCTGCGGGAGAATATTTTTAGTATGATATAGAGCCGGAGTTTCTGATGGGATAAACTGGTAGGACATCTTCCAGCTTCAGTCCCTGACAAATTCGACGTGTCTATCTCATTTCTGGAGATCTAGGCCCGGCCTCTGAAGCGAAACGAGGAATTTGCTGGCTTTTCTGTGGTTGGCGCACGACTGGTATTATGGGGAATATGACTAGCGAGCTCAGGCGGGTTGGGGGGTTTGCCGATCTTGCGGAGGCGCAGCGTAGCCGCTAAGCACGGAGAATTGCCATGTCATAGAAGTCCAACGCAGGGGGCCCTGGGAAGAGGACTGATAGAACCACGTACCGAGATGCATGGGACAAGTTATTCTAACCTCTTAATGGTAATAACCTAGCCTAAATACATAGTTCATCCGATATGGTGTAGTGGCTAACATCGCCGTCTCTCACACGGCAGCCGGGGGTTCGATTCCCCCTATCGGAGATATCTTTTTGGGTTTTTTGTCTCTATCTACCACTTGCCTCATTTGTTTTAAAATATATATTCATTTAGTTCAATCTTTCTTCCCCCTCGAGAGTTAGGGATTTGTAGGCGTAGCTGCATAGCAACCTTCGTGGTGAGGGGGAGGGAAACCTCCCCAAGGCTCTCCTGCGGCAGCCAAAAGAAAGGCACAGATTCTTCACTACATTACCCATAATGGTTAAGTATTGCATGTGACCTGGGATTCTCTAGTGGTGCTTATCGCCTTATGGTAAGTCACGGTCGAGGGTGGACAGTACCCCTGATACTATAAATATTTGATCTCAAAAATTTTCTGAAAAGACTATATATATTCATCGGCTGATAGATTCTAGCGGTCCTTTCATCCACAGGATCGAGTGCCCAGCACACCCGGAAAAAGTAAATCCTACCTAATACCCCATACCTAGGTACTAGGTAGACATTGAAAAAAGTCAAGCCAGCATCTAAGCTTGCCAAAAGAGGGTCTAATGATTGAACTTCATTCGAATAGGAAGGATCCTCTAAATATAGGCTTGGTTGCTGTAAATCAACTTAACAAGCAATGCTGGAGATCCATGAATCAATGCCATATAGGTGCCAGATACCTAGGTACCCAGGGTGTACTGGTGCTAAAGCGTCTGATGTAGAGCGGCTTTTGAAACCATTTCATCTTGATGAGTGCTGGGCGCACTTGACTCAATCTGTTTATACTCCTCTCGAAAGACCATGATCTTCTCGATGTCCTTTCCATCCCCATCCTCCTCAACCCAAGCGCGCCACATCCCACCACAATTGAAGTCAAAAACGATACTGCCACAACGGAGCTTCCGTGTCGCAGCACCAAGACACCCTGTATCAACATTGATCCCAATAAACCCACCTTCGCCCTCACCCGTGACTCCCCATCGCGGTCCAGCCGATCGTTGTAGTTCACCACCTGGGCCTGCGATAGTATGAATGGCAGTGTAGAGAGAATTATCTCGATATTTGGCTAGCGCGGCGACTGAATGTGCAGCAGCGAGGCGAAGGAACGAATCGCCATTCCCAGTTCCGGAGATGGCAATGGCCCTCTTCGCGAGTACTGGATTTCGACCTACGGCGCAATACTTGAGATGGACCTCTCCGGTACATGTCTTCTCCGGTGCCTGGACCAACACACTCGCCTGTGTTGGATGGCATGGGAGAGAGGAATAAGCTGGAGGATCAGAACTTCTGAGATCTGGAGCTAGGCAGCTCTTTAGGCTATCCTTCAATTCCGCTAGCGAGTAATGCACATCGGCCGCAATATCAACCACAGCACCATTTATGTAGTCCACGGCGCGGGTGAGTATACCGTCGGTTCTGGGCAACACCACGGGAGGACCAGTCTTGGGAGTGAGAGGGGATCGCCGGGGAGTCACATCCCACGACTCAGCCCAGAACCCGGCGCCTAGAGTCGGAGTATCTCCAATGCGACCTGGGAGTTTGTTTGTCTTGCCCCCAGTGCTGGTTGCAACGGCCAAATTGCCCCATTGGTCTAGACAGACACAGCCAACAGTGCCCTGACTCAGTGAGACAGGTTCTTCCTTTCCTTCCAGTCCACGACGATGTTCGTCCCAGCGACGTTGTGTCCAGAACCATTCATCAGGCTTGAATTCAAGACCCCACTCACGAGCAAGTGTCTCCACGTGAGGCCCAGCAAGTTGGGGGTGCATGCTACCCCCGTCGTTATTCGGCTTCCCATCGGGTGTATAGCCGGTACGTAGGAGGGATTCGCGCGCGAGCTGAATAGGGTGTCGTACATTCCTCACGCCCATCACGGCTGCCGCCTGTTTCATTTCGCCAGGTCGGCTCTCGTCGGGTTCTTGTACGGTCGTGACCATCACAGAAGCTTCCATTTCGATTGTGCCCGCGGTGGTGAACACACTGCCACGTCCGCAATTGAAGAGCTCGTCATCTTCCATCAGGGATACGGCATGTACGGCGGCATCGAGGGCAGAAGCACCCCCCTTGAGGAGCGCATGAGTCGAGCGGAGGCAGGATTGGAGGGATGCGTGGTACTTGGCGTACAGAGTTGGAGGTAGCTTGTCACGTTGAAGGTTGCCTGCACCTCCGTGGAGGATCAGTGTCGGCTTGAAAGTTGCCGGGGTTTCGGACATGTCGATTGCTCAGGGAGATGGGTGGAAGGTGAAGGTGGGGGAGAAGGAGGAGCATTCGGGGTGCGGGGAAAGATAACGGAGAAGACGCCAAAGTTCGCACTGCGCAGTCCGAGCTCTGCGCTAATTTGGATCACATCGCATTCTTCGATGGGAGAAAATTGCTCTGCAAAGCTTATCAGATGTAGCAACAGTACCACTGAGACTGGCATTCGTCATCTCGACGGAAGAACCAATATGAGAAATCGTGGCTGGAGACCCAATATATGCAAAAAAGTGCGTATTATGCCTGCTACCAATGCGTTAATGTACAAGAATCCCCCACGTCCCCATCCGAACGCTTTTTGCAGCAATGAGCAGAGAAATTCTTTTGTGAGGGCCTTTTGGCCACAAGAAAAGAAACCACACGCCGGTCCTGGGAACCAGCCAAAGGATGAGCCCGCCGTCCACAAAATACAATGCTCCGATGACAAGGGCCGCGGAAAGGCGGTATAAAAAGCGTAATCGAAAAAAGAAAAAACAGAGCAGGAACCTCTATGCCATGTCGTTTAAGAATGATGACCAAACCGAACACCTGAGAAGGGAGATTCAACGTGGGAGGAGTTTATGAAGACAGAGATCGAAGGTGGGTTGTCGGCCACCAGAGTAATGGATCGATCGTGAGAATGGTTGGTAGGGGGAATTTAAGCAAAGGCCTTCTGCTCGGAGGGAGGGGGAGGAGGAAGCTAAATTGGAACCGTGTTAGCGAATCCGTAAGCCATGATCACTGCGGAAAAGGTGCACCTACTTCGAGCTTGGTGTTATCGGCCATCATACGCTGGAAACCGATACCAACACCCTCAATGACACCCAGGAAGACAGCGCACATGATGGCAGAGTTGCGAGCAGCCTTGACACCACCACGCACAGCCAGAGAACCACCAGTAAAGAAACCAGCGATAACTGGAAATCTGTTAGCATGGAACCCTGCAGTTATCAGGGACACAGGGTAACGTACTGCTGTTCCAGGGATCTTCCGTCTTGCGGATACCCTTGATGGCGCAATCGAATGTAGAGAACTAGAACTCTGTTAGAATGCAATGCTGCAACTATCGACCGTGTTCCGGCCACTCACCATGCCACCCCAAACACCGAAGTTACCACCAAGCACGGGCGCGCGAGCCTTGATGGCAGTCAGAGCACCTATCCGGCGCTCACCGTAGGGGCTGTTACGGAAGCCCTTGACACCGTGCCAGACGGCACCACCGATAGCACCCATGCAGAAAGCACCGCCAAAGTCACTCAGGGCGACCCAGGGGCAGGGATCTCTCGAGTGATCCATTATGTGTAAGGTTGGAGGAAGAGGAGGAAGGTCGGATGAGAGGGCGTTCCGAGGTCGAGGATGGACGGAAGAGGTATCGCAATCGACGAGGAGGCTGGATCAGGAGAAGTTCCTGAGATGGAGAGTAGTTAAAGGAGGCCTCGCGATCGACAGAGAGGAGGATGGATGGCAACAGCCCAGGGCGAGAGACAGAACTGGCGATGAAGCGATAAGGTCGGGGGTGCGGGTGGATGACTTTTTCTTCGGTTTGCTTGACCGGGGGAACGTGACCTCACGTGACGATAAAACCCGGTCGCCACCGAACAATCGGGAGCTTCAGGAGCTGGACCGGCGTTGCTGGCAGGGAATTGGCTTCCTCATCCGGGGGAGGCAAGAGAAATTTCCGGGCCAGCCAGGATGACATCTTCGTGATCGGTGGCAGTGCCACCAGAGTTTTTTTGAGTTTGTACTTTGGCCACAGGTGTTAGTGGTGTTTAAGGGGCTATCTCGTCGGTCTCTAGATAGAAGTGGACCCTGCGACCGGTCGCTGGGCATTTCTAAACAATGTTCCCTTAAGAGCGACCGCTTGCTTGGCAAAAGAATGTATATCTCTACTTGTAGGTCGAGTTTCTTCCGGGAAATCATGAACTGATCTGTATTATGATGCTAATGTGGTTTTTTCTTCTTTCTTATCTCTCTTTTCAAATGTAATGAACGAGAAATCGACACGTAGATGCTTCGATCCATGGCAAGTAGAAGACACAAAGCTAAGAAATGTATTGAGGGTCCGGTCCCCCATGTAATAAATGCTAATCAGTACCAAAAACATATGCAGGAAGAAAATTTCCAAATGCCCAATTTTTAATATTGCGAAACCCGGATCCATCAAACCAGATTTCCACGCAGCTCCTGCTCGCGCTCAATGGCCTCGAAGAGCGACTTGAAATTCCCAGCACCAAAGCCGGAGAAGTTGTGTCGCTGAATGATCTCAATAAAAACGGTGGGGCGATCCATCAGGTGCTATCGTTACAGGTCAGCTAATCAGACTCTTTTCTTCTGCTTCTATAGATGTGCCGGGGACTCCACATACCTTGGTGAAAAGCTGGAGAAGGTATCCACCCTCATCAAAGTCAATCAAGATATCCAAGCTGCGAATAGTCTCAAAGTCCTCCTCAAGGACCAGTCCAGACTGCTTCAGACGCGTCCGCATGTCCGTGTAATATGTCTCTGGAACCTTGATGAACTCCACTCCGCGCGCCTTCAAGTTGGTAATGGCGCTGATGATATCGTCCGTCAGCAGCGCAATATGCTGCACACCGGCGCCGTCGTAGAAGTCCACGTATTCCTCAATCTGGGACTGCTTTTTGCCCTTGGCGGGCTCGTTGATGGGCATTTTGACTACTTCGTTGGGCGAGGCCATGACGATACTCTTCAGAGCAGAGAATTCACTGGTCAAGTCAGCTTAACAGTTCCAAACCCTTTGGCAAAGGAAATCAAACATGTTGACTCACGTGCAAATTTGACTGTCGTCAACAGACCAGAAACGGTGGAACCCAAGGGCCTTCTCGTAGCTGCATACTCGTCAGTAATCTCGAACTTTATGCTTTTGCCGCAGCCAGAAGAGCAGAGTAAGCTTACTATTCGCAAATTTTATCCATATCATTCCAATCCTGATTGCCAACGCAGTGATCAATCCGCTTGAGTTGAACACTAGGCAAGAACTTGGACACAGGATCCTCGTGCCCCGCCTCGAGACGGTATCCAGGCAAGAATGCACCGTGGTACTGGCCTCGCTCAATGAGGGTATGTGTCGTCTCACCGTAAGTCTGAATAGTAGCGACTTTGACCTTTCCACCTTCATCCTCGAGAATGCGAGGCTTGGAGACAGCCTTGGCGCCGTTCTTCACGGCAGCGAAGTAAACCGCATCGACGTCATCCACTTCGAATGAGACATCCTTCACGGCGTCGCCGTGCTGCTCAAGGTGGGCATGAATATCGTGCAGCTGTGCTTGCTCCTCAGGGCTGAAACGGTCGAGCTGGTTCAGGGAGCGAAGAGGCGAGGTCAGAATGAAGGTGATATCGCCATTGCGAATGACGTGAGAGCAGAGGCTGCGGCTTCCAGTCTCAAGGCCACGGTAGGCGATGCGCTTGAAACCCATACGGGTGATGTAGTAAGTGGCCGCCTGCTTGGCGTTGCCGACATACCAATGAACATGGTCGTAGCCGCGGTAGCTGGCGATGGAGGCTTCGCCGTTGGCCGAGGGCGGCGGGCTGGTAGAGATAGCTGAAGGAGCCATTTGAGTTTGCGTACTCTCGTCCGGGGCTCTTTATTTTCTGCCTCTGGGTATAGAAAGCTCTGGTGTTGTAGTGTAGTTGTAGAAAGAAGGCGAGGAGAAGGACTTATGGTTGATGTGAAGGATACGCTTAGAGATGAGAGACGCCCTGATTCTGGTCTTATACCGCCCCCATCACCTTTCAGAGCGCCTCTATTAACCGCAGCGGATATCTCTAGAGTTCCATCGTCATCAGTGGCTCTTTCGTGTGGAGCCTTGAGAGTGCCGAGCGCGCTGAGCTGGCTCCGTTCCTGCGCCAGCCTGAAATATCCGCCAACAGCCGGGCGGAGTCGTGCCGCTTGGTACCATCGCCGCTGGGGAGCTTCGGTCTACTATGAATGTTTCATTGGGCTTCTTCTCTTCAATAATATTTTTCAATCATCACAGCTTTGGGTTGAAGTCAAATATTTCACTTTCTATCTCACATTGTGACCTTCTTGACTCCGCGAGACGTCAACGACACCTATCCTGAGTTCATACATAGCCGTCAGAAATCAATACAGGTATCATGACAACCATCGCGCAAGCACGTCCTTCGTTGACGACAAACGATGCCGCTGTCCTTCAAGCACTATTTGATGCTGAATCCTCACCTTCATCCGGCATCACCGTTGACTCATCGCTTCCCTCCTGGCCGGCAACCGTAAATATCTCCGAAGCCGACCTCAGCACTCTGAGGAGCCAGGAGACGGAAATCATTCACAGGCTTCAAGCGAGCGAGTCCCCAAGTCAAGAGACAATACAGGAGGCCCTCGAAGCACTGAACTCTCTTTTGGAGCGATACCCAACCTACCCCTCCGCATACGCCAACCGCGCTCAGACATTACGCCTCCTTGTCGACCCTAAATACAACGAGAATCCCCATGAAAATACCGAATCCATTGCAGATGATTCGCTTTTTACTCCACAGGCAGCGCATCTATCATCCAAGATCTTTGCGGACCTAGGCGAAGCCATCACGCTTGCCACACCAGCCTCGCCCGCAGACCCAGTCTCCACGGTGCAGGCACGATTATTAGCCGATACGCACACACACCGAGGCTACCTACTGTTGAAAGCAGCTCGAGTCAAGAAGACTCGCTCTGACCAGGAAACAGAACCAGTTGGACCGGAGCGTCTGCGTGGGCTTAGCGCTGATCAGCTGGAGGAGATGGCGAGTCGAGATTTCTTCTTTGGTGGTCGGTATGGAAACAAAGTTGCACAGCAGCTCGCTGTGCAGACAAATCCGTACGCGAAGATGTGCGGGGCGATTGTGAAGGAGGCGATGAGGAAGGAAATGGAGGGTTGAATGTACTTGATACTTGGTGAATAATAACAACGGCTCTTTTGGAAACACATTATACAGTATTCCTTTGGATCAAGTTGAATTGCAAGCAAAGAATTCTGAGGTCAATTCAGTTTTCACTTTTGAATGTGGAAGATTCACATCTCGGGTGATTTAGGTCTCGTCGATTCGTTTTCATGCCATGCCAAGCCAAGCCGCTATTTACACATACAGATCGCTATTTTCCACCAGAAGATCTACTATTTCCATCTACACCTTATTGGGGTTCTTGAAGTGGCGCTTCAGAGGCTCCCAGCTGTGGCGGTTGTACTCCTCTTGTACCTTCTCGCAGGTCTTCAGTCCCCATTCCGAGACACCAACCATGAGAGAACTAAGCGAATGATTAGCGCAGGGAAGGTAAAGATCTTGCGAGTGTAGATATACCTCTCAAACATAAATGCCATGCTGCCCTCGCCAACCTTGCTGGGCTTTAACTGAGCATTGCTAGCACCCTCGAAGGCATTCGAGTCCGGACCGTGAGCACTCATCACGTTGTGCAAACTGGCACCGGCGGGCTGGAAGCCACCTCCGGTCTTCGCGTCGTAGCCACCACAGATCAGGCCCATGAACTCAGACATGGTGTTGCGGTGGTACCACGGAGGCCGGAAGGTGTCCTCGGCAACCAGCCAGCGAGGAGGGAAAATAACAAAGTCGGCAATGGCAGTGCCAACGTGATCCGAGGGACCGGTCAGGACGGTGTAGATGGAGGGGTCGGGGTGATCATATGAAACAGACCCAATGGTGTTGAAGCGGCCCAAATCGTACTTGTATGGATAGTAGTTGCCATGCCAGGCGACGACGTCGAAAGGGGTGTGATCCTGGAGGGCCGAGAATAGGGTGTTGTTGAACTTGCTGAACAGCTTGTACTCGGTGGGCTCCTCCTCGTCGTCAAAAGCAGCGACGGGAGCTTGGAAATCCCGAACGTTAGCCAAGCAGTTGGATCCAATGGGACCCAACTCGGGCAGCTGGTAGTGGCCTTGGTACAGCTCGCAAATGTAGCCTCGTACTGGACCGTCCGGGAGAGTCACACGGTATCTACCAATGTCAGCCACGAACTATACTCAGTGGCAGAGGGGACTTACCGAACACCACGGGGGATGACGGCAATCTCATTCGGGCGCAAGATAATGCGACCCAGCTCAGTCTGAATGTCCAGAACTCCATGCTGAGGCACAATCAGGAAGTCTCCGTCGGCGGAGTAGAAGGCTTCCTTGCCCATGTCTTTGCCGGCCGCGTAGAGCAGGATCCCGAGGCCCTGCTTCAGGGTGGGGTCTCCCGAGCCAGCCACCAGGTGCAGGCCATGGACCCAATCCACCTTCTCGTCCAAGTCGAAGGGGTTCCACCGCAGCTGATTGGGGATGTGATGCAGCTTGTGGGTTTCGGTGGTCATGCGAGTGTGATAGGAATCGGCATCTTCCGCGATGAACTGCTCGTGGGCCGCGGCGGGCAGGATGCGGTAGACCCACGTCTGCTTGTTCTCATGGCGGGGTGCAGTGAAGGCCGTACCGGACAGCTTCTCGGCGTAGAGGCCATAGGGAGCCTTCTGCGGCGAGTTCTGGCCGATCGGGAGAGCTCCCTGGATGGCTTCGGACCTATCCCGCTGTCAGACCTGAGATATCATCAATCACTGTCTATCCGAGGGGGATGTACTCGTGGTAGGAGTCGAAGCCGGTCTGGTAAGTATAAGGATCGGGGTGAGAGAAGTTGGTGACGGGCATGGTGGAGGGTGGTTGGGAAGGGGGCAGAAGCGAAGCAGTCGAAGGAAAGCACGACGGGCGTCTCTTTGTATATTCAGCGCGATCGAGGGAAGAACACAGAGTCGACACCCGAGGACGTTCGTGCATTTGCATCACGTCCACCCAAAGGCCATCCCCCCACGTCACCGCGGTACTTCCAAACGGATACCCGCGATTATCCCCGCCCTTCCTTCCGCGGTCCTGTTGCCGGTTGGAGGCGGTACCCCAGACCAGGACGGACGAATTCCGCGGTACCAGAAGCCCCGTGCAAGATCAGGAGCGTCAACGGTTAAGTTGGCCGGCTGGCATTCTCTGTTCATCTTTCATTCGTGTCATCGATTGTGCCGTGCATTTCATCATGGCTTCCTGGTTCCAGATTCCCAAGAACTCGCCGTTCTCGCTGGCCAACATTCCGTTCGGCATCATCTCAGTCCAATCCGCCTCGCGAGTGCCCGCCATTGCGATCGGTGACCATGCGTTGAACTTGAATGCCTTCGCCTCGTCGGGAGGGTTTTCGCAATTGCCCGCAATTCAGCAGCATTTGCATGTCTTCAACCAGCCAACTCTCAATGCATTCGCTGCGTTGGGCCGGCCCGTACACCGGCAGGTGCGCGAGTACTTGCAAAACGTCTTCCGCGCCGACACCCAGTTCCCCCAGGTGCTCAAGGACAATGCGGCGCTGCAGAAGTCCGCGCTTGTGCCGCTCTCCCAGGTGACCAACCACGTCCCCATGCAGATTGGCGACTACACCGACTTCTACGCTGGGTTGAACCACGCCTACAACGTTGGAGTACTTTTCCGCGGGCCGGAGAATGCGCTGCAGCCCAACTACAAGCACCTGCCAGTGGCTTACCACGGCCGTGCCTCGTCGGTCGTTCCATCCGGGACTCCCTTGCACCGTCCCAACGGCCAGATCCTGGCCAACCCCGCTGCCAATCCCAAGCTTCCCACCTTCTCACCGTGCAAGAAACTAGATATCGAGCTGGAGCTGGCTTGCTTCATTAGCAAGCCCAATGACCTCGGCAAGCCCGTCTCCATCGATGAGGCGGAAGATCACATCTTCGGTCTGGTACTTATGAACGACTGGTCCGCCCGCGATATCCAGGCATGGGAGTACGTCCCTCTGGGTCCCTTCAATGCCAAGAACTTTGGTACTACCATCACCCCCTGGGTGGTCCTGATGGATGCTCTGGAGCCTTTCCGTGCAGCTGGTCTGGAGCCCGGTAACCGCGACTCTCTCCTCCCCTATCTGCGCGAGAAGCGCGCTGAGAACGCCTATGAGATCCCGCTCGAGGTTGAGATCACCAACCAGGGCGGCCAACCTACCGTGATCTCTCACAGCAACGCTAGAAATTTGCTCTACTCCTTCCCCCAGATGGTTGCCCACCACACCATCACCGGCTGTAACCTGAAAACTGGTGACCTGCTTGGCTCTGGTACCATCTCTGGCACTGAGCCTCAGACGGAGGGCAGTCTTCTGGAGCAGACCAACGGCAAGAACCCCCTCAAGCTTGCCGATGGCTCAGAGCGTCTGTTCCTCGAGGACGGCGACACTGTCGTCCTGCGCGGCATTGCTGGCACAGAAGGCAACTATGTCGGCTTTGGCGACTGTGTTGGTACCATCCTACCCCCCGTCTCGCTGTAATAGGGCTGCTCCACAAACAAGGAAAGGAAAGGATCTTGATGAAGTTTCACGGATGTTTTGATGACCTTGCTATTTGGGCACGTTCCATAGTCACTAGAGAGCTCGCAATGGCATGCATGAATATTCCGGCGATCGATCTACCGGAACAACAATCAACTAGGATCTAGGTTTGAACCCACAAAGACCGTAATCATTACTGTTCTCTCCCCCATTTTCCGGCGTATCTCTTTCATCTCCCACTGCCGCATGATAGAATAGTTGCAACCTACTCGTGCTTCGCCCGAAGCTCGTCCGGAGTATCAGGTTGTGTCTGCCAATGGCCCTTCTGCACCGCCTCTTCCCTCTCCATATTCTGCACGATTCCATTAGTCACCGGGAACGCAGTCATGTCGACGCCGACCCGCTCAGCACCCCACACCGCAGGAATGAGACAAATATCCGCAAGGGTGATCTGGTCGCCGACGCTGAACTGGCCCGCAGAACCAGCGACGATAGTCTCGTACGCGTGCAAGCCATCCTCAATGAGGTCCTTGGACCAGGCCGCTCGGTCCATGCCCAGCGAAGCCACGCGCTTGAGGATGCGCAGGTTCGTGACGGGCTGGATGTCGCAGCCGATGATGTTTGCCAGGGTGCGCACGAGCGCGCGGGTCTCGGGATCAGACGGGAGCAGGCGCGGTCCTTTGTTTGGAAAGGCCTCGTCGAGGTACTCGAGGGCTGCGAGGGACTGGGTGATTGTCACTGGAGCGCCCGTGTCGCGCTGGATGACGAGGGCTGGGACGGTGCCAGAGGGGTTGATGGCGCGGTGGGCGGGCGAGGATTGCTCATCGCGCAGAAGGTTGACGACGATGGGATTGAACGGGATATCCTTGAGGTACAGCGCGATGCGGAGGCGCGCTGCGCAAGAGGAGCGGAAGTATGTGTAGAGCGTCACGGCGTCGGACATTTGGACGGCGGTAAAAAGTGAGGCCTGTTCAACTGGGCTGGGGCCACTTGAAACGAGGTTGAGATTGAAGGGACATCCGAGCGACCTCCTACTACAGCTTTGCTGGTCTGCTCTCATTTACCATGCTGTGATGCCACGGACCTCGACGGTTGCATCGCGTGCAACCAAACAGTCGACGGCGCGGAAATTCCGCATTTCCCAGCCGTTGCTTTCCGCCCGTGGAGACGTGGAGACAGGGTGGATCACGGCACAGCATGCGGAGTATGGGGGGACACAGTTACATCATATCGTTTGTGGAGTCACGAGAATTGGGTCGGGCCGATGGAATTAGGTTATCTCAATCGAGAGAGATCAAAGCGTTCATCGTCACAGTCAGCACGGCTGGACTGACGAGGCTCATTTTGTTCCCCAGCTTGCTATATCCAGCGGAACAATTTGAGAACGGAAAGCAATTGAATGTAAGATAGAAAGCTATATAACCGAGACTGTGAGGCTGGCATCTCACAGCTAGCCCATCGCGAATTGGCGTTCATCGTGGTTACCGAGCTAAGGTGAGCTATTTGCTCAACAGCTCGTTTAGCAGTATAAAGTCAGTTCACAGCACGGCTACCTCAGTTTAGAAAAATTTCGGTACGCTGTATACGCTGTCTAGAATCCTCTCTGGCAAACCTCAAAAAGAGTATTGTGCGCCTAGGATTTCTGGGGATCGTCTGCGCCCACAGATTGGATTACCCCCGTTGCCTCGTGAGTCGCCAACTGGTCCCAGCTTAGATCCGCTCAGATCTATTAGTTCCAAGGACCAGTCATTCTCCACCATTTATTGGTACGTGCAATTCTGAACGTCAGCCGTGCAATCAATGCGTCTCGAAGCTAAACAAAACAAGGATAGTCAAGCCCCGTCGGCGTCGCGCTTGCTTCGCTTAACTTTGTGCCATCAACGGTGACTTCTATACCCAGAAGGTAATCTGCATGAAACAGAAGCTTACGCCTCATTCGATTCGTTGAATCAGATTCAAGGCATCCCAGTGGCCCGCATTGGAGCAGCTGTAGACCTCTTGATCAAGTAGACCTTGAAGGTTGCTTTCCTCAGGATTACTCCTCAGAGCATTGAATACCTTCAAGCATGACGCCAAGACTGTTTGAGCTTCATGCGACGTGAAATGCTTTCGCAAAATGTTAAAAGAAACTCTAGGCTGCAGACTATTAACTCGACCTCTGCGGACTATTCACTCGAACCCTTGCAGACGATTCGATCTCGGTCTCGATCAAGAGAGCAAGGCGATCAGATTTCTCTTGGAGGACTACCCACTCTCCGCTGAAGCTGCGATGTTCATGGGTGTTTCCCTTGAGAATTTTACCATCAAGGAATGAAGCTCTTCCAAGCCTGTGTTGCCGCCTACATCTGTCTCACATCCAATGTTCCACTGCCCCATCTACCCCCGAGGTATCGATACCGATTCCGAGCTAATTAGCTATTGGTATGACCTAGTTGTCTTTAATACCAGCAGAATGGCCCAAGAGACTTGCAGAGACCTGGAGCACACTGGGTATGGGATGGCGTCTATTGCGCACGTAGCCGAGCGGTCACGAATTCACGGGACAGACTTGGACAACACAACGACTGGCACTCGACTCCAGGCAGGCAAGGCCTGGACTTTCACGCTCCGCTCCTAGAGATGGAATATACTCCCTCATAGGTATATAGTAGGTCTCTTGATTAGAGGTTATCCGCTACAACCAGAGTTGCCTTCTACGCCCTTGTCACTCGCCTAGGTTATACTAACTTGTCCTGTGCCAAAAAAACAGAATGGGCTATGTCCCTTCGGCCAGCGAAGAGCGATGGACTATTTATGGTTTATGAGAAGTTAGCCCATGCCATAACCCTATATATATCTTGTAACCCAAATAAAGCTTGTTTTACTGGTTCTAAGACGTCGGTTATTTCATTCGGCTTGGTCGCGGAAACAATGAGGACTTCGTAGGTTAACGAGAAAACAAATAGCGTGGACCCTAGGGATCTGTCGTTTCCAGATTAGGATTGCTTGAGCGCGGCTGAGCTGTGGCTCGATGGAAAACCCCATGGCACGAGAGCAGGGGGGATTGTCCACCCCATTGTGTTTATCCTGTGGAATTGTAGACACCCGTGGCACTGCCGTTGCAGGAACAACCAAACTAAAAGCAACACGTTTGACGGCCACCAGATGAGAGCCAACTACCTCACTGGATCTCGCGATGACTTGGCCTCTTCAGGAGCTCGGTGGTATACGAGGCCGACTCCCAAAGCAGCCCCCCGGCTAGCAGCGGCAATTCAGTTTTCGCCCCGTCACTCCTCCCTTTCTCCAAACATCCACTCGCTCCCCCACTGAAAATACGGATTGCTAATTCCGCCTGATTCATCCGGCCTCGGTCGACTTGCAGTCGCGGAAGCTTGACGATGGATGGGGCCAGGCCATCCCGCCCCGACCGGCCGTATCAGCGCACCTACAAGGCATGCATCCCTTGTCGGCAACGCAAGGCAAAGTGCGACCTGGGGACGGGCCCAGACGGGTTACCGATCGGCCCACCATGTGCGCGATGCCGCAGGGAGATGCGAGAATGCGTGTTTCCCGAGAAACGAGCCTGGGAGAGGTCCCGCAAGCGTGGTAGGAGCCCCCATCACTGCCTACTCGCATTTCCTAAACAGCCTGGTCTAGCGCGATCACTCGAGGATGATGAGAACGACATCTCGCCGGAGTCGGAACATTTACCAAGTTCTGGTGTCTCGTCCGATGGGGCCAGGCGACAATTCACGCATGTCCGGGAGCCTGTCCAGTACCAGGAGTCGACAAGTCCCTTTCAACAGGGATGGACTCTTGCGCGACCCCATGCATCCCAACATGATGACCATCGTGCTCAGATTGGCATGAGCCCCCAGCACGCCGCACGTGGTAGCATGCATGCACATAGTTCCTCAGCCCACGCATATCAAGAAAATCAGCACCCGTCCAATTCCGCCTTGGCGAGCTCGATGATGCGGACAGTCGTCGCCAGTGGAAATGATGCTTTGAATATCTTGTTCGAGGCGGCCACGGCCGGCCAGGAGGACCATGCCCCGAGCGATGATAGTCCTCCTCGGGGAACGGGATCAAAATCGGGAGGCTCGAATACTCACCCGCGAGTCACACCGAGGAAGTTTGAGAGCCCATCCGCCTTTGAGACAGTGCCACGAATAATACGACCTGTCGAGATTGTGGATGCGTCACCCGAAACATTGCATATTTGGGAAGCATGTCGTTTTGTCAAGATGGGCTGGTTTTCTGCCAGGGAGGCGGTTACTTTCATCGACCTGTAAGTCCAGCGACTCGAGCACTATGTGATGAAGGGTTCGGTTCCCTGCTGACGGAGCACAGGTTCTATAAGAACATGTCCTGCTTGTCGCCGATCTTGACGGACTTTTATGCCAATCATCAGAATCACCTCCTGTTGATCTCACGAGAGCCGGTGTTGTGTTCCACTATTCTGATGATCTCGTCTCGCTATCACGTCCTTCCTGGAGCAGGTGGCGAGTCGAGGAACTTCTTCATTCATCATCGACTTTGGCAGCACTGCCAACAATTGACCATGCGGCTTATTTTCGGGCAAGAGAAATCCACCAAGTCTAAAATCCGAAGTCTCGGAACAGTCGAGGCTCTCTTGCTGATGGCTGAATGGCATCCACGCTCTCTCCATTTCCCTCCCGAAACGGACGGCTGGGATGATGATCTCATCTCTTTGGGCCCAAACCCTTCTGGAGGAAAATCTGACCCCAGTGATACATCGGCTGATCGGTGGATAGAGGACATGATTGAGCCTTCCCGAAGGTCCGATCAGATGTCTTGGATGCTCCTAGGATGCGCCCTCTCCCTGGCCCACGAACTGGGTATCTTTGAGACCGAGGGAATCGATCTTCCGGGTGAGGATCAACAATGGAGGGAACAAATCACCCTTCGCCGACAGCGAGTGCAGCGTCTACTATATGTTTATATCAACCAACTCGCGTGGCGCATTGGGTGCATGTCCCCGATTCCCCAGTCGCTCAACCACGCAGTGCTCGGCGGACGCAAGCCTCGGGGGTTAAGCCAGCCTGGCAGTACCTGGTTGATCTTCATGGACTCGTGGATTGAACTGACCAAGCTTGCGCAATCCGTGACCGACATGTTCTTTCCATCTGCCAAGTTTGCTCGCCAGCAGCTACACAGTGGTCGCTACGTTGGCCTCCTGGAGCATTTCAGACCTCTACTCAACCAGTGGAAAGACAAGTATCTCCAGCCACATAATCTCGACACGGCGTTCTACAACGATCTCTTCATCGAGTACCACTTTGTGCGAGTGTACACCCACTCAGTCGGAATGCAAGCAGTTGTCGAACGCGCAGTCGCAGACGCCGACCTGAACAACTTTGACGAGGTGCGGCCGATGACCATCGACCCCACCGACTACGAATATATCCAAGAGGTGATTGACGGCTGCTGTCAGATCCTCCAAAAGGTCACCCACCTCGCCGAGGTCGGTGCCTTACGATTCTCGCCAGTCCGGATTGTCCTGCGCATTACCAGCGCCTCGATCTTCTTGATGAAAGCACTCAGTCTGGGTACCCGTCAGGCTACGCTGCGAGAGTCGCTAGAAGTACTCGAGAAGAGCATCAGTGCACTCAAGTCCACTGCCCTAGACGACGTCCACCTCAGCAATCGCTACGCTACCCTGCTGGACATGCATGTCTCGCGCTTGCGGCGAAACCTGCTCGCATCTTCCAGAACCATGAAAATGAATAACAGTCGAGCTGCCACGCGCCGGTCATCAATGGGCCCTCCGTCCTGGCCGGACAATGGCGACTGCTCCAATTCCAATTCCATGAATACCCCCATGCCCCAGGATCTAACGTCCGATCTGGGCTTCATGCCATCCTTGAAGGACATGGCGGACGACTGGCTGTCATTGCCATTTGACCCTTCAATGGCGCCATTTGGAATGGGTACCAGCGGCCAGTTTCCGATGTATGAAGGAGGCGGATTAGATTTTATCTGGAATCTTCCCTCATAGATGTTGATATCTTATGTAAATAATTAAATCACGAGGGACCTACAAGAACCCATAAATCATTCCTGTAGACGGGTACTAGAACATATTGATATATTCCTGCTACATATGGGATCTTGGTTCGCGAGTAGAAGCTGCCCTAACTATGCAGCTTAGTATTTTTTGCAATTATATTTGTACACCCTTGAGGCCTAAATACTAGATAGTAATGCAACATGCACAAAGCTCTAACTCTATTTTTTCTTCGAGCTCGATCCACCAGGCACGGTCCCTCCTCGGCGCTTGTACTTTCGCGGATCTACTATTTGTCAAAAGAGGAGTACTATGCGATAGGGGGACTGAACATACCTTTACGACTCATGAGAGCCCGATTTCTCGTTCCCTTGCCACCTTCCCAGAATCCACTACCAGTCTTGCCGGTGAGCACTGCCCTGCAAATTCCGCAGCTCTCTGGTCTGTAGAGTTGCTCTCGGGAGCAGAAACCACTATCTTGTGTTAGCTCTCTTTCCAAGGGTTGGAATGGCATTGAAATCGGGATGCACGTACCAAATCATCCGGTTGGCATGTTCATTAGGATGATCCGTCTCGATATCATGGCACCTGGAAGATTGAATAGATTAGCATGGCGTCCCACAAAACATCTCACTCCAAAGCCTCCGATCAAAACACATACTTATCGCACGGAAACACCTTTGCACAACAACTAAACCGGAACCAGCGATAACTCTTCCCATAGTGCTGGCACCGGCCTCGGCGAGGAAGTTCCTGTCCCGCAACGATACCGAGGACCTCCCGGGGCCTCTTCTTCAACGGAAGCGCCGCACGGGAGGAGGCCGCCGCGGTACCTACGACCAAGAATTTGACCTCGGGCATCTTGAAGACCATTTTTCGGTGGCAATGCCGACAGATTGCCATGGCACTTTCGCCACGAACGGCAGATACACCGGGGGCGTGGTAGGTAGTTGAGCAGTCGGAGCAGGTTGGGATGAAGTTACTGTATTCAGATCAGCCAAAGAACGTAGTGCAGTCTATGGGCGAGAGGTGGAACGCACCTTGGAAGAAGATCCAGCACCGTGCAGCCGTCCAGGTCCAAGTATCCAGCACGGTTAGCATGCGAATGCATCAACAGTTTCCGGAACCCGATGCTCATAGAGTTGGCGCACTTCTTGCACGACTCGGTTTTCGGCGTGGCCTTGGGATCGGTGATCTGCGGCACGTTCTTGATATCCATCGGCTCCTTGCATCGCTCGCATTTTATCGTGATGGCGAGGTGCATGACTTCTAGCAACTCAATGCCGTAGAGCTCCAGGAATGGGAATGAGAGGGCGATGCCCCGGCCGGGGGTATCCACCACTGCGGGAACGGGTGCGCCTCCGTCATCCTCGTCCTCGATGTCTTCTTCGGAATCCTCCTCGTAGCTGGATTCATCTGTAATATCGCTGTCGCTGCGGTGTTCGGGGACGGACCACTCGGGGGGACGGGGGATGACATGCAAATGAGGCTTGTCTCCAGCGCTTCCAAGAGGTCTACCTTCCTCGGGCTGTTGCGCAGGGGTGTCTTCGTCTAAATGGAGGTGTTCGTGCTGAGCCTGCTCGGCCACCTCGGGAAGGGGAGTCTTGGCAAAGTTATGCAAATTGTTGGCCAGATAGTTGATCTGCGATACTAGGTTCGTCTGCACATTCTTCTCAAACCATTGCGCAAACCCGGCTTCCACGGATCTTGCTTCCGGGCAGTCCACCCCCTGCATGTCAACGGAGCTGTGCTCCAGTGGGTAGAGCTGAGGCACCGAAAGCTTTAATGTTTTGACGGCTTGAAGCGACCTCGGTAGACGGTCCGGCTTGCTAGGCTGAATTGGGACGATGAAGGAAGTTTCCGTCCGTTTTTGGAACAGTGGCAGTCTCCCGAGACGAGCTTCAAGCTGCTTCGTCTCCATTGACCTTCGCTTCTCAGCTTGGGCCTTTTGCTCGGAGGTGTAGACTGGCGATGCAACAGGCGCCTTTCTTGCTGATATCTGCACAGCAGTGGCAGGCGCGCTGGGCATTGGCCGAGGAATCACGGGTGGAACTGAGCTTGTCTGGCGTTGTGCCGGTTGTGGATTCCCAACGCCGTCGCCCAGGTTTGCCACAAACTTCAGCGTGGGGCCTCTTTCCAGGGTGGTCAGCAGTCGCTCGAGCTGTCTGTCCAGACTATTCACCCAATTGAGCAAAGTCCCTCGGGCATTAGTCCGAATGGCGAAGTCAACAATGTCATCAAACCCCCTGGAAACATTGGCCTGGAAAGCAGATTCCATTTCAGAATTAGTCACTGTAAGCGTTGGCCGTCCCTTTCCAGGGTATGAGTTTGGGACATGCAGGACACATTGCAAAGCGTCCAATTCGAAAGGAAAATCAGGATCGGAGGGAACCAGCCCGAATGACAGAGTTAATCCATTCTCATCACTCTGCTCTTGTGGACGAAAGCGTCGCCGCAACTGATTGATCTGGAATTCTCTCGGGTCATTTATCTCTACCTTTGAGACTGGTCTTGGCGTCTGGGCGACTTGAGAGGTTGCGACGGCCTGCTTCGAGCCATTTCCACTAATCGTCAAGCCCCGAATCGCAGTATCTGCACTGTGGTCTAAAGCCTCGGCATTCTCAGCCGAGGGCGATGGCTGGCTCGATGCAGTCTTCCGCTGCTCAATGGCAGTTATATCGTGATTGTAGGGGCATTCCGCACCAGCACGGCAGCCTAGACCGACGTTAGCATCAAGCTTGCTGGATCATCCATGTGGCATAGACAAGTAGCCGAGGTCAACACGTCCACACGCAATATCACACACATGTCCCAACATGGCGTTTGACCTGAATCATGGGCCATCACGCCTCATCAGGCCCCATCGCTGGACACGCGATATCTGCGATATCCCTTCCACAGACACACGTGCACGCCCAAAGAGAGGCGTGCTCGAGGACCGCGTGCGTAAACATTGCACCCGACACCAAGGCCAAAGGCAACAATGACTCCAACCTAAAACAACATGGACTCTCCCCGGATACGTACCCTTCCTGGTCGCGACATAACGACATTTGCCCCGTTTCTTGGGCACTGATTGGCGTGCCACATTCGCCTCCTGCGAGGGTGCAACGCCATGCGTCGACGCCGGGCCTGCCAACTCATCACCAGCGACGGGCGACTGGAGTTCGGTGCCTGCGCAAAGTCTCGGGGTGAGCGTGTGATCAAAAAGGTTGCGGGCCGTTGGGATCCGCCTCGGGCATTGGGGGATGGTGGCCCTGAGCGCCGGCGAGGGCAGAGCCACCTGCAGGGTTGGTGGCAGGTCGGTGGCGAGTGCATTCCATCGGTGAATGTGTGCATAGACAGTGGGGGCTCAAACTACGGGCAGGGCGCGACCCGTGTTTCATTCTGGGAGGGCGGCCGTGGTCGAGGCCAATAGAGATGGGGCTGTCACTCACGCTGGACTTGGAGCTCTGGGCCCGCTGGGCTGTCAGTTGACCAGGTCTCCATGGCGAGATTGGTTCTGTCGGGCCAGTTGCGGGAGTTGGACTAGCTGGACGATTTTTGGGGGTGGGCGGCGATGGCCGGTGGACGAGGTGACGTTTGAGTTGCCAACGCAGAGATCGGGTGACTGCCCGGAGATCGACAGGACCAGATCTGCGGTGCGCGGTTCTGGATAAGCCACAGCGCGGAAATCCCGGGACGAGGGGAAAGATTTGGCCAAGGGGGGTGAGAAAGTACGAGGCGGGACAGGTAGGAGGGCCGTACGGCACGATTGAACTGCCGTTCTGTGGTATGGTTGCAGTCTGAAGTTTTGGGATGTAGTTATAGATGTTGACATCCGGGCGGTGCCAAGACCGCAGGGAATTTTGGATCTCACCGCGGGGTGAAGTGGGCCATGATTCAATCTGACTCACGATCGCTTCCATCATTTCCTCAGCGTATTGAGAAGGAGTGGTCGGTGACTCACAGTGGACGTGGGATACGACATGAGAGTGTCCATGGGAGCAGAATACCTTACTGTAGTTATGTCTAATGTGTAAATGTAATCTTCAAATTATGTCGACCTGTTCCATTCATGTCCTGCACGTCAGAATCCGACCGGGGCCTGGCTCCATCAAGATAGTTATGCACAACACAGCGCTTCACACTTGCATGCGTAGTACCCTCCTAGTATTAAATACTCGCACCTCCTGCCCATTCTCTCTCTAGCATCACCACACGAACCTTACGTGCGCCAACCTTCCTAATATATAGTCAGTAGTTCCATGCTGACCGACACGTACCCAGCCCGAACCAGATCGCCCAGTGATCTTCATAAAAGCATTCAAATCCAGCAATCACATCTCCACCAGGCCACACGATCCTTCCCCATCTCCATCCTTCGGCAGCCAGTCTGCGGGTTACGCGGAGAAGGTGAGGGGTACGGATTCCAGTCGAGAACAGCGCGCCACCTTACCTACACACCCGGCTGTCGCGGTTATGAGTTTACCCGTGTCTGCAACATCCACCAGAATGGCGAGGTGGCGATTCACAGTTCCTAGGAATTTGACAGAGGCGATAGGTGCTCCTGGGTGACCAATAATAATTATATATGCAGTATACAGTGTTCATGCAGGGGCCGTGAAAGCCAAGCACACGGCATACTTCTCTGGGTACTCCGGGGGCGAGTCTGGTAGATACTGTACACTGCCGAAAGTACCCCGTCTTTCCTTTACCATTTGGGGGAGCACCCTCTGGCAGAGTTTCCCTGAGTAATAAAGAGAAAAGGTTAGAGTAATTCAGTCGGGTAAGACAGTTAATTTAAGTTAATGTTAAGAATCCCACCGCTTTGTAATCGGAAGATGACGAGCCCTCCAGTTTCGCACTGATATTCCTCCTGGAGAAGGCCGGGTTTACCGCGCTTAAAGGATCAGCTTCCACGCCGCGGACAAGGGTCAGGCTGATTTGGAGGAACGGAGTGAAAGCGTTTGCGCCATTGATCAGAGCAAATCGTGTCGGCCACGCTGCCTCTTGATCCCAGTCGATCCCCTGTCGGTGGCTTTGATAGACTCTGCTAGTTGCAGCGGTCGGGATCCCAGTCCCGGGGGAGGCTAGTAGTCCTTGCCCCCAGCGCCGTTTCTAACGGTTGGAGAGGGTGATACTTTCCGTGTCCCCCGTACAGCTATGCTCTCTCCATCTATTTTCCGGGCGGATCCAGCGTCAAAATGGACCATGGTGTCGCGCAAAGCTCGTTGCTTCTTTTTCCATCGCGTCAGGTGTCCCCGGGCAGGCTTGAACAATGGGCGTTGTGGAGGTGACCGGGTATCGATGGCTCCACCGTGTAATACCAGAATGCCGTTAGCGGTATGTTACACGTCCAAATTAGGAAGATCAGGTTATATGCGGTTGGAACTAATCCCAGATAGGACTAGCGCATATATACCGTCGAAACCACCCAACCGGATCGCCCTTCCAGAACCCTTCCAGAACACCCTTGGGCCGCATGCAAAGACCATGGGATGGTTTTGCCGGCCGACCATGGGGAATGCTGAAGCAGACACAAACTCAAGCATTGCAGATGGTCGTTTTCAGGCATATCGCCGGTGCGAACAGAACTTGCTTGAATCTCCTAGATCTGGAGATTTCATGACCATGTACATGTCCCCCGCACGCACAGCGGCAGTGGAGTGGGCAATCTCGGACGCGGCGATTCGTCGGAGGACAGCGCTCCCCGATGGCGATGCACGTGAGGGCCCACGAGGAGAATTGACTGAGCCAATCCCGGCCCACGCAATTCATGTCGCGGCCATCGACCGAATTGGTGGGAGGAAATAGTGGAAGGCGTTGCGCCGCGGCGCTCTGTCCACCTCTGTCCACCGCCCCCGCCCCCCAACGACTTTTGGAGTAAGTGGAATCCGGCTTAGGCTGCCAATCCCGGTGCCCAAATTCTCGGCATACCACAGCGTCGGCAGAGTCGGGGTTGGGAGAGAGGTTGATATATCGCATGAAAAAAATGGGTGATTTGTCTAGATTCATTAGTCGCCGCCGCAACTCTCCCCGGTAGGCGACGGGAATATCGTGGATGATGGCGAACGACCCCAAAAGCGGATTCAAAGAGAAAATATCAGGCGGATACGCCCGGGAGTGAGTACGGAGGTAGACGTCGAGAGCCTTGAGGGATTTCCAGCTGTACCATAGACCAGGGTCAACTGATTTTAATCTCTGAGTAGTTCTCGAGCCTAATTGACCGAAAGGGAAGCCACACCAATCGCTACTCGGTTGATCGCTCCGCTGGTGGAGGAGGACCCAGTACGCGGAGCTTGTCTGGCAAGCCACGCACCGCGGATTCTAGGATGCAAGACATCCACGACACAAATGCACAGTTCCTGAAAGGCTTCAGGGCTCGGTCCAGGGAGAGTGCATGTCCAGCACACTTGCGTGACACCCCCGGACCAACCACTCCCGAGCTTTCCCGAACGTTACCGCCAGTTCAATATCAAAGCCAGCCCTGCAGCTGCCCGGAAATGCATCGGCTTGCCGAGCCCTGCAATGCACAAATTATCTCATCCCGCCCACAGCGAACAGGAGGCTAGCCTCCGGAGCAACTTTGCAAGCCCACTTTCCGCGCTGTCATGGCCTTTCGCCGTCTCCCGTGGGGATCTAGCACCCAACACGGTGGGCGTCGGAACCACTGTGCGCTCCTGACTCCAATACCCGCCCCGAAGGAGAAACTACGGAGTACCAAAACATGTCAGTGACCGTTCCATACCGGTGAAACGCGCGAGGGAGGCTCGCCGAATCACCGCTTCGGTGTGATGGACCCACACGCCTCCACATGGCAGACCAGGAGAGCTGAGATCGCGGCTTGTCACAGCCGTGCTGTGGGTTTCCGTGTCGGGGATCATTTTTAAGATCACTACCTGCTATAGGAGGCTTAGCTTAGTCTGGAGGTGGCTGGAAAGGGCCATTTCAAGGACATCAATGATAGTCGCCAGCGGGTCAGCACCGCTGCGGCAAGAGTCTCCATGTTCAGTTCGATTCACTTCTATTAACACCCTGCGCCCAAATAGTGGACTACTGACACACATTATGGTAGTCTGGGTGCCAACCGTGTTCGCGGCACCCAGAGCCCTGGCTCCCCGTCTCCAGCTGTGAGCCCATGAAGGGCTTTTTCCGGGTGACGCCCCACGAAAGTCGGGGGTGGTCGGAGGCAGCAGTCCAGTCAGCTCGGACTGGAGAAGAGGAGGCTCGGGGAAAGCCAGCGTCGGGCGTTTTAGGAGCCTAAGTGTGGGGAACTCTTGACTTTTCGTACGCTCTGGAGCTTTGGGGTCCACTTTGTTTGGACCGGTCCATTGCTTCCCATGCTGAGGTACCAAGTGAAGGGGCTAGTCCGGTTCAGGATGGGATGCAACATTAGGACAAAGCTCCCGCGCGAGTGCTACGTCATGGGGGGCCGTTTTGGCGGAGGGACGGAGAATGGAAGTAAAGTATCATCAACGAGGCGTTTCCTTGGGTGAACTGAAACCGTCGAGGGGGCGACAGCATAGTTGGTGCGGATTGAAGGGCATGCGAAAGAGGAATCTCTTCCCTGTTCCCCGGAGTCATGTGCACCCCGTGATCCACTCGACCACCTGACCGAGGCCGGAAAGCATGACATCAAAGATGCAGTTCTCGTTATGGTACCCCGTACTTCGTACCACGAGTCGAGTCCTCCCTCCGTTAATCCGACAGCTGGTACTTACATACGACGTACCTGACGGGCCGTGTTCTAGAAGAACCCGGCAAAGATGTCCCCGTGGCTCGCGATATGATGAAAGCCGTGCATCATGACTTGTCATGATGAGGCTACACCGGGAATGCACCTCCTGTTCCCTAATATGGTTCCCTCAGCCCTGGTACGGTACATAGCCACTAAGCTCACTCCCTACCTCCTTCCCAGGTTATGCAGTGCTCTTTGATCCCCCCCCCCCTAACCAAAGTAGCCAACGCGCTCATATGCACCGAGTCTGGCAGGCCCGGCCAGAGCAGCAGCGACACCGCTGCAGAGCTACCATTTCCAAGGTCGTCGCAAGCACCCAGACAGGACTGAGCGCTTATCTCGTCGAGTCGCACTGGAGCCACCACCACCATCTCGATCCCGGGCCTGCTCTGGCGCAGGAGCTAATGTAGAGCAGATGTCATGACTTCGCATGTGAAGCGACCAGTGCTCACCAACGGTGGGCATGGGCAGGGATCCTGGCTTCTGGACTCGAGACTCGAGACTCTAGACTCTGGAACTGGACTCTAGACTCTGAACTCTGGACTCTAGACTCTCGACTCGAGACCCTGGGCTTTCCTGGCTTGACTGGGATGAGTTGCTCTTGCAGCTCTTGCATATGCCCAAATAGTAATCTCACAGTCGTTCGATTAAATCGAATCTCTCCCGTAGGCTAAAACAACTCGACCGGAATATCCGCGCATGCTGCCCCGGCCCACGTACTTTCGTCCAGCCCAGTGGCTCATCCCAGAACAAAGCGATCGGGGCCTAGTCCTCGATGGGCTTATTCGGCCTCTCTCTGTGTTCCTTTTTCCTTTTATTTCATCTTTACCACCTGACACCCGCCCGCCCCCCTTTCAGGCGCCGGCCCTGATTTTTAGCCCTAGCTTGAGCACGGAGGTGTGCCGCACGGAGGACGTGCAGAGTACGGAGTACAGAGTACACACTCACACTATTAGCAGATCGGAGATCTGAGCTCCTCAAGTCCCACCATGAAACGCAAGTCGCTACCCACCTAGGCAGGTAGTATAACTCGGGCGGCCCCGATCGAGCACAATCATACCCAGCTATCGCCGTATCTGGTGCCGCTAACTACCAATAACGGTCTACCCCTCGACTCTTGACTCCCCCTAATTCCCACTCACCATGAACCATTCCCCAACCTCCTGCTCAGAACGGTTTCCCAACATAGTCACAACATAGTCACAACATAGTCACATAGTCACATAGTCAGGAAATGATGACTCTCGAGCCACAGGCTGATCCATCTATCTACTGTATCTATCTATCCGTCAAACAGGTAATCACCCCCCCCCCCCCCCCCATCCCCCCTTCCACATCTCTTACGTGTCAGCGCCACCAAATCCGCCGCAGACCTGGAAACCCTTTCCACATGATAGTTATACAGCGTCGGCAGGGGCAGGGATGCCAGCCCTGGGAAACCTTCTACGGACCTCTGGGACCCCCGGGGCCCCGGCTCTGCTGCACCGAACTTCCTTCCGGCGGAGTCCAGAGTCCAGACCGCTAATTCACCGATGCGTGGCGCCAGCCATCATCTGGGTTTCTACATGTGTGCGCTTCAGTGCGCACTTTTCAGCTCGACTCGGGCTCTGGTCGACTTACACTGTACTCGACTACTCTGGAAAGAGGGGGCAAGGGATGAAGGGGGCAGATACGAGAGGTGAATGCACGAGAAAACCAGATTAAGTGATAATTGGCTTTTTTTTCTTCTTTCATTGCCAGTGCTTTTTTTTTTTTTAAGATGCGCTCGGGGAAAATTCATGAGTTGCATAGCGTACATGGAACAGGGGGTTGGGTGGTTCCCCGGGGGTTGCAAGTGGGCAGGAGAAGTGCAAGTTTCCAGCAGCGCACCACCAGGGAGCCAGAACAAACAGCACAGCATGTGGTATCTGGTATCGCAGAGAAAAGAAAGGAAACGAAACAAAACCCCCGTTCCTGTTCCCAGGGAGGTAGCCATGAGTGAGATGCACATTATCTGCAAGCCATCTATTGTCGGTGGCGAGAGGCTGCAGGGTGAGACAGCGCTGATGGAGAGAACCCATTTTTTGGAGAAATTTTTGGATGCAAGAGACGGAACCGTCTTTGGGAGAGAATAGGATTAAGAGTCCGTGTTTCATCAACCGTTTCGAGCGCCCGAAAGGAGGAAGGAAGAACTGGTAAAACTGGGATATGGGATATCGAGCTGTACATGAATATTATGATCGTAAGGGACACGAGAGACCTCCGGCTGGGTAGGATGGTCCAGAAAAAGAATCCAGGTCGGGACAACGCCCAGTGGGGATGTGGTTGCGAGAGAACACCCCGAAACCCTAGAACCGATGAGACCTCCCCCACCCACGACAGTTGAGAGAAACAAAAAAACCAAATCCATAGAATGCGCCTGGATGCAATGCATGATCATAATCGTAGAAGAGGAATGACTGGCTCTGTCGCGAGACAAATCATCAAGTGGTGAGAGGTGGCGGACAAGTCCGAAGAGAGCGGATTGGGTTCATGGTGCGATCACCATCCCTTGACGTGGTACTCCCATGGTCCGTAGTCCGTGGCGTAGTTAGTCCAAGAGCCGTTCTTCGCAAAGTCCTTGTCCCGCGCTGGGTTACCGGCCTGGTTGTCACCGGCGGTGGAAGGGCCCGCGGCGCCCGGAGTCCGATGTGGTCCCTTCGGTCCCGGGTACTCCTGTAGGTTCTTCACGTCGTGTGCGGTGTGGCGACGCTTGAGGAAAGCATTGGCCGTCGCGCTTTTCTGTTGACGCTCCCAGAGCAGGTGTCGGCGGAGGGACTCGGTCAACTCGGTCGCAAGCATGTTGCGGCGGGTGGTGCGCGGCGAATGAGCAACGGATTGTGGCGGCGGCGGCTTCATAACGATGGGCTTCGATCGAGGCACATCCGGACCGCGCATAGTCAGACTCTCTTCGTCGTTCTCGGGAGGCGAGGCGGGGATGGAGGGGCCATTGGGTGATGTCAAACGGGACCGTTGGAGCGCAGGACTGGACCGGAATGCGTTTCCTTGCATCCGACCCGGCTGGTGCATCATCATGGTCAGAAGCGATCGCCGTGACACCAAGTTGGGTCGCGAATCAACGCGCTGGAAGAGCTCCGGTCGCTCGTCCACGCTGGATTTGCCGCTCTCAGTCACCGAGTCCTCCCAGTCGGAATCCTCATCGTCTTCAATGGCGCTCTCGGAGACCTCATCGTCCGTTTCGATGGCGTCCTCGTCAGAGCGGAGTGGGCTTTTCGACGGTCGGATCGTAGCTACGTGGTCGCTGAAGGAGGCCACCTTCTTGGATGGGCTTGGATTGCTGCCGGCCGGCTTCAACCCGCCAGCACTTGTATTGGCCGGGGGAGCCTTGGGGCCCATGCGATCTTCGAAAGAGCTTTCATCGTCATCACCAGAAGATCCGCCCAAGGTGAACATGCCACCCTTCTTCTTAAGAGGCGATGGCTTAAGCTGTTGGAGGGTGGCACCAGAGGGGCTTGGGTCGGCCGCCAATTTGGTGTGCGACCGGAAGGAAGATGAAATGAGCGATGGTGAGAATCCGCGAACGATGCTGGGCGAATTGATTGGGTCAGATCGAGTGGAGAGAACTCCCGAGGAAGAGACGCTAGTATCCGATGCGGTGACGTTGGCCGAGTCGCTCTCGTTGCCTTCAGGCGCCGTAGTCGAGCAAGACTCGGTCGATTCATGGGGTTCGGGTGTGGGTCGAGGGAAGGTAGGAACCCGGCGAGCAGTAGAGACGGAGGGGGAGTGGGAGTCGGGGTCGAGGGCCGGGGGGTGATATCAACGACAGGAGCAGCAGGCTCAACCATGGAGGTCAAAGGCGCCAACTGCTTCCTCTCTCTGATGTTCAGGACCATGCGCTCCAGGTCTAGCGAGGTGATGTGCCTCTCCTTGCCACGGCCCAGGCTGGCCAGAGAGTCCTCACGGACCACAGCAGGTCGGTAATCTGATAATTGAGGTCGCTTGATGTGTGCTTCGATGCGCTCGGCCTGGTCGGACGCGGCCGACTCAACACTGCCGGAGAGCTCCGGAAGATCAGCCGCCTCCGATCGGAGCTTCGGCAGGACGGAGGTGTCATTTGAGCTTTCGGGCTCGACACAGAAGGTTTCGCGAGTCCAAAGACGCCAACTCAGGTTCTCCAGTCGTCGGCCTTGGTCCATGTAGTCGGCACATTTGGAGAATACTGCCCAATCGGTTCAGTCAGCCTCTAGTCTCGAATCACCACCAATGCATGCACATCCCGGACAGCATGACTTACCCATCCACATTCCATGAAGAGACTGTGCATTTGCGGTATCCACCTTGTGGATATTGTCCGCGTCCACCGTCAAAACCGGTGTTGTCAACGGCATGGTAACGGCGCCACAATTACAGATTGGGAGAGCGATCGAGCGACGTCAAGATGGTGTTTCCGGGGTCGCCGTCTTCCCCGAGAGTGGTCGTACGGCGTGTGGAATCGTAGGCGAGGGTTCTCGAGAATCTGCGGTCAGGAAGAAAGCCTTGAATATTCGAGTCCAGGCCCTGCAGAGTGATGTACAGAGTCGATCAATCGGGACTCTAGCACCGCAGCAGCAATCGAATGCTAAAACACTGGATACAGCGGGTCGCGAGTGAAGCGAGTGAAGGATGAGCGAGAGAAATCGAAGTTTTTCGCCGGCCGTGGATTCGTCAAAATTCCGTCAGGGCGCCACCGAATCAAGAAGCCGAGATCTAGAGCTGGAGGGTGCGGCGAGAGAAGATCGGGGGTGCGGAACGCGTTGTAAGAGGGATTGACGCGTTTCCCAGCGTTGAAAAGATGGCGACGGGGGTGAGGAGTGAGGTCCAAGGACGGAAGGATGGGGTGGAGGGAAAGAGAGAGGAGGAGATGGGAAGAGGCAGTCGGAACGATAATAAGGATGACGGGGGCGGCAGTGAGTGGAGTGGGTATGAAAAGCACGGAGAGGGGGACATGGTATTATTAAAAAAAAAAAAAAAAAGAAAAATCAGAAAATCGAAAAAAGGGAATTAAAGGCTGAAAAATGAATTAAATTGGTATGGAGGTGACAATACATCAATACAAGGGGAGGAGAAACCACCCAAAACCACCAGAATAAAAATAATCCCAAAAATTCCAGTGGCCCAGCAGGGCCCAAGACCGCAAAAGGCCGATGCCGGTGAAGAAAACTCAGTCGCATCACGGGGCCTTATTCTTTACGCAATACGGTACACCGTCATCGGTCGTCCCCCGGTATCTCCCCTCTCCCACTTTCCTCTCCTGACGTCCGCCCCCCCACCAGCAGTACGAAATGAGTGAAATGGTGGGCTTTGGGCCCGGAAAGTACGGTAACCACGCTGTTTCCGGGTCTGCTCGGTGCTCTACACTACCCGAAGATGGGCAACCCTACAGTACAGTCAACATATTATGTACCAGGCCTGTACTGTAGTAACCATGAAGGGGGCGTTCAAAGGGCCTGGGAAAAGAAAAGTCCATGGGAACCGGTGACCGGTCCGGGCAAAATACATCAGCGATGGAAAAAATAAATGAAATCAAATTGCCTAGGATATTCCGAGATTAGTACTCCTAGATAGGATTGTTCTGCTTTGTCTAGCATGCAATGTACTGGTCGAAAACAACCAGAAGGTGACTGGCGTTCTGGACTCCTCGCCCAAACCCTCACACGCCACCGGCTTGTCGTTTGCACATTACTCTCGCCACTCTAGCCATTTACAGGGGGGTGACTATGACCATAACCATCACTATGACTACGCTGATGATTATGATCCTGATCCTGCCCTTGCTCCTGATCCTAGCCACAGCCTGGCCTACTGACTGATGAACTGTCGCACCACCGATCATTGGTCGCCCAAGTAACCCTCCCAGTCCGGCTGACTCGCCTCATCGTGGGAGGTAGGGTAACTAACTACTCCATACCTCTCTCAGAATAGGGTCAGTCCGTAAGATATCCCCCGTCGCGGTTAAACTATTTCCGTCACGGCCGGGGGGCTGTTTCTGGGGGTGGCGAGTATGTGGGAGGGACCCCCCAAGCAGAGATCGCCTTGGCCGTTCCCCAAGATCTCTCCAAGCCACGTTTGGTCACAGATTCCCCGACGGCCCCCGGCCGTCCTCTGGACTTGGCTGCTTCCAGGTGAACAGCCGATAGTTCTCAGCTGGAGGAGGGGAGAGGGCGAAACGTTCAGCCCCAAGTTTTCGTCTGGCTATAGTTACGCAGTATACGGAGTAGCCAACTTATACTGACGACTGACTTGGAAGACGTGGCGATGAATGATCATAATTGTTATCTGCTAATTGGCACGAACTAGGCGGATGCTAAATTTTGCCAAATAGGGTTTTTGTTAGGGGTGTTTTGGCCCCGGGGGGGGGAGAGAATGCCGGCTGAAATGCGACCCCCATCTCGCCCGCACCCAGCGATTATCCGGCAGGAAGGGGGCGGTCGATCGATTTGATTCCTAACCCGGCTGCATACCGGGGAACCTATACGCTACTTCCGTCGATCGCCCTCACCTCTCCTTTGGGGGAGGGTATCTTCAGCCTACCACGTCAGTATGAATGATGGTCATCCCTAATGCAAAGTAATGTGCGAATCGTGGAATATGACCCGATGCTTCCTCGAACAGGCATCAGGTGGGATGGGAGAATGGAGAGAGGAAGAGCCCGCCACGCTAGCATCACCCCAGGGCGGGCTCGACTCCGCAGGCAATCCTTTACCGCCCCTTCGCCTTCACAGTCCTTATCGTCCGAGGGGCCACATCCTGGCCGACTCGTTGGCCTCCAACAGGAACACGACAGTCCAAGTGTCACAGCCGGTCACGAGCCTGCCAACTGGCGAGGGTTAATTTGTTACACAATTTCCTTTTTCTCATTTGCTTGGAGGATCAGCACGCGGGCAAGATCACCAAGGCCACGGCAGAAGGGCCTTGGAGACGGAGTCCTTGCCAGCCCCTTCACGGGGCCAACCCAGTAGTCCAGTAGTTGAGGATGTGCGAGCATCGTCGTCGCGTCAAACCTTCCATTGCCCTGGCTTACTCCGGACTGGCGGAAGGCATCAGGGGACGTGTCGGACCCTCGAAGGGAAAACCCCTTTCCCTCTCAGCGTCTAAACCCGCGGACTGGGGCCTACAGGGCACTCGGCCGGACGGAGTCGCACAAGAGGCACGTTTCAAACATCATGTGATATCCCTAGAAATGAGCGGCCTCGAACATGTGGAGGATCATCTGTGTTTTGCTTGACGCCACTTAAGTTGATCATCTGGGGATTTCCGGTGGGGCGTCAGGCAAGCTTGTGCGGGGGACGTGAAAAACCTCCTCACAGTCTGTCCAGGAAATGGCCCCGGCTCCACCTGGTCCCGGCACACTGGGCTGCTGGCCCGTTTGAGGTCATTTAACGTGGCCGGCGAAACGGAGCAAAGGCTGGCGAACCGCCGGTGCCAATATGTCGTGAGGTATCATTTCGTCTGCCATCTCCCCGACCCAATTCGCGGGGAATCCACTCTTCCCTGCGTAGACGTGGTATGACACGAGTCTTGATATCACCTACAGGGATGCAAAGCAGTTCATCCGGGCTGCAGGGCTGTCAAGCTGCTGACCACTGTTGACGGTCATCTTTTCGGCACCTCCCCCTTTGCAACCCCCCCCCCCCATCTTGATGACCTCAGAACAGGCTGCGAGAGCTGCTCGACCGAGTTCAGCATGAACTTTGATGTCTTAGTCTCACCGTGCCTACAGTTCGGGGGGTACCAGATGATGGCAATCTGGCAATCTGAAGCGGTGGGAGAGGCCGGTACATGGGGAGAATCCACCCAGATTCCAAGAGGCTGCCAATAATGCTCTCCCAGCGTCGTGAGGTCATCTCCGCGACACTATTCTGGCATTTCCTTTCTGACTGGTTACTTCGTTTGGGGTTCAATTTACGGGGGAAGACGTCAACCGTCTCCCGTCCCGCTAAAATCGACATCCATGGCTCGCTCCCCCGGCGGAAGATATCGATGCCGAGGTTCGACTAGGAACGGGAGAATGCTTGCCGAGGCGAGGTTGGACGCGTACGGCATCCAGTACCAACCATGGGACGTAGCAGATGAAAGGTAGACAAGAGCCGCCACCACTGCCGGGGCAGCCATGCGCAGAACCGAGGCGTGGATCAGGAGATGGGGCAGAGGGACAGCTGACTGCGCCTCCAGGAAATCGCCGAGGAGCGCGCTTCGGGCGATCACGCCAGCTTGGACGGGACGGAGTACGGAGTACTGCAGCGGAAGGTCCCCGTGTCTTAAGCCAGTCCCAGTCAAGAACGCGGCCATCGGTGTATTCCCGGCAAGTCACGGCGATCCACCGGGGAGAGGGGCGGAGTGGAGTCGAGAGTCCGACGAGTGAACTGTGGCGAGGTCACAAGCACTCATCACATGACATATGGAGCAGGCACTCGGCAGGGATCGTCTCGTGTTTCTCACGGGCTCCAGTTTTGGAATCCGAGCTATTGGGGCCTATGAGTGAACGGACGCGCCTCCCAGCGGTACTGCATATCGTGTACGGAGGACACCGTACGGTATATAGTATGTACGTTTGGACGTTATGGGCGGAGCGGCTGTGATGGCAGTTACCTGTCGGCTCCAATAATGTGGACGCAGTGGGCCATCCTGTCAGCTGGCCCGGCCAATTTGATATTCCCCAGAATTCGGGGCTCAGGGGCCGGCTGTGCAGCATTAGGCCATTCCGATTGTGATACAGGGTCGGGTGAGATCCTCCTATCCGTTGGGATGCCGGAGAACCTCCAGTTTGAGCCATGTGCAGTGACTGGATGGGACGCCCTCTTCGCGACGCTGGAGAGTCGCCGATCACCAAACCCTGCTGTTTATTATCCTTGAAGTATGTGGCTGGCGTCAACTGAATACCTTCCAGCGTGGTCTCCACTTTGATAGGGCGCTGGGAGCCCTTTCAAAAGGTCCGGGGATATCACTCCGCGAGACATCATGTCGGAGCCAGCGGGCGCTTCCCTTCCACACCCCAACTCCGCGAACTGACATCCGTCCAAAGTGACCGGCGAGCCGCTGATAAAAGTCAATACCTGCATCTCCGACCAAACAGGAGTTGGTTCAGGTGTTGATGTGATGTAAAGGAAGGCACGAAAGGAAAAAAAAAAAAAAAAAGCAAAGATGAAACTGGTCGCACGGTTGTTGTCTCGTGTTTTTGTTTTGTCCAGTAGATAGATTGGATGGACAGAGAAACGAGTCCTCGATGTATACAGTTCTCAGCGAGGAACGACGCGCCCTGGGATAATCGCTTGGGTATCAGCTCGAGAAGAGATGGCAAATCACATTCCACGTAGCCGCCCTATTTTCGGCCCGTCTCCCCCGGACTTGGACCATGTGCAGGCAAACAAACAAACAAAGGACGAGCAGAGGGGTATTTTTGCATAACTGTGCAGCACTCCCAGTATCGTGGGGCTCGCTGATTTGTTTACTCAAGGGATGCGGGGAGGGCGGGACGAGAATCCGGACATAGTTTCTAGACGGTCAGGTGAGCCGATCTGGGGAGCCGATCTGGGCCTTCATGCCAGCTCCTTGGGAAATCCGATCGGGCCACTGTCGCCCTTGACCGACTCTGCATCGGCTGGGTCTATGGTCTACTACATCCATTCGGACAGACGGAATCGATCTGTCGGCGACCAAGGTCCATGTGATATCGATTTTCTGCTTTGTTTTGCCAAAGGGCTAGACGTCGAGGGGCCTCTGCTACGTCGACACTGGGTGATTGCAGTGTATCTCGTGAAGCGGGGACTCGCTGAAACGAAGATGGGGAGCAGTTGATGTTCCCAGGCTTGCAGAAGGCTTTTACTTATATCCCGATCTAGTTATGTGCGTGGCCAGGGATGAGATGCAGTTGGCATGCCCAATTGACGAGAGGTAACCTGACATCCATCACGCTCAACTGCGATATTCCTGTGTTATTAGCATTATAGCCATGATCAGCCCTGCACGTCAGTATGGCCGACATCCCTTGCGCTTCGAGCCCAGCTGTGTAGACACATGCAGGACTCGACGTTGGAGCTGGTGACGGCTTCACAACCTCGATCCTTCAGTCCAAGCAATTCAGAACCAGTCAATCCGGGGCATACCTGTAGGAAGTCTGATCGTACGCGGAGACTGGATCTTTTATCCCCTCCCTTGTTTCGGATGCGGGCGCTAATCTTCCGTCCCCTTTCCTGCTGCAGATCAAGTCTTCGGGTATCTGGGAGCCCTAGCATGCCTCTCTTGTCCTGCTCCGATGCTGTAGGTCTACAGTAGAATGCACGTTAGACAAACGTCCTCCTCTCGCTACTTTGTTCGGGGTCTGTTTGCTGCGCTTTTATATGACTTCTCCCCCGCGTCAGTGTCGATTATTTGTGTTTGATGCGAGCGCATCAACCTAATGGCGTTGGTGGTAGGATATTGAATACAATTTTGGAATTACTTTACACTCTGGTATGTTCGAGCAGAACAAAGAAGAAGAAAAAGTAGATTTTGGTTGCCTCGGTGATTCTACCCTATGGAGTATCGTAGTCATATCTTCCCAAGTTACTGATCTACTCCGGGACTTTGGACTCTTTGTGTTGACTCACAATCGGATCAATTTACCAAAGTCCAGCCACCGGAATGGAGAAACGGGCCAATTGCCCCCGGGGCAGCTTGGGGTGATTCTGATTCCGACATGACAAACACCGAAACCAAGGCCCCAACTCGGAGCCTATGAATTAAGAGTCTGACTTAGAAGATCCGGGACTGAAGATCGGCCTTTGCGCTTTCTGAAGGTCCGGTTCGAGCCCAAGCCGCGTAGACTGATGCATCAAAGCCAGGCTCGCCATTAACGCCGCGAGACAACAGAGCATGGCCTGTGTTGGGCCATGTGCAGCGGTCGGCGGGGGCGGCTATCTTCTGACAGGTCGCGTTGCTTTTTTTCCCTCGCATTGGACGGCTGCAGCGGCTGGCGATCAAAGACATTGCGAAACCTACGCGATTCGCCCTCTTGCGGTGTGCTCGTGGCTGATCGGGCTTGCGCTTACTGTGTGATGGGGCGTCACTGTTGGCTGATCGCGACATGGCCGGTCCGGGTCATGAGGCTTCCCAGGGTGGATCGATCTAGACCAGTCACCCCTGGGGCCCCGTGTAGCCCCAATTTCGGGACGGGAAGACGGTGATAGAGCGAAGGTGGGCGCCACAATGGCGTTGATTGCCCTGCCCCTTTGGCTTGTGGGTGTTGGATACAGCCGGAGCGCGTGGACGCCCCAGGATCAATGGTTGCCTGGGAGTTTCTTTGAGGAGGCGGCTAAAGTATCTGGACGGGAAGGATTGGAAGGATTAGAGGAATAATGGTTTGAACATTCTGTGTCAATTTCCCGCCAACCACCGGGCGAGAGGCGGGTCAGGGGGCCATCCTACGCTGTGAACGGCTGATGGCTTGCTGCCTCGATATATTAGTTCTATATTTCTATGGGGCTACTGGAATACTCGGCAATCCTGCCGTAGGTACCAGAGGGTAAGAGATTAGCAAAAATGACTCTCTGGCGTTTCAGTTGATACGTGGAATATCCTTACCATCAAACCATGAGTACTAAAAGTCTATGGCTGGATATTTTGCTTAATTGGAGCAGATGTTCAATCTGAATCTTGCCAGTAGCGGGGCCAACGATGCGGGGGGGAAAGCATAGCCCTCGAAGAACCGCGACTCCAGGCCACGTCCGACTAGCGGATTCTCCCACATAGCCTGTCAGTCCACAGGCAGGATTCTGTCATATCCGTTTGACACAAAGAGTAATCACAACGCAAAATTCAGCCTTCTGTTCCAAATGGAAGGAGTACAGTTAGAAACTACGATTACATCCCTACCCGGTCGTCTAGGCTACCGTAAAAGTTATAGCTAAGGCGACCGGGTATCTACCGGTGAGACTGCAGCAAGAGACCTCTAACAGGTCGTGATAGCGATCTGAATATCGAGCAATCACTGAGGCGGCGACATGTAAATGGTGGACAGGTTCCTCGCTGTCGTGTGACGGGCCCAACAATATCCCGAAGAAGCGGTATAGAGAGCGCTGGTGACCCCCGAAACCTCCGCAGTGGCCATGAAGCGCCTAGAAAGATCAGAAAGAATGGTCGCATAATTTTGGCAAGACGTATCGTCACGAGTAAGGAAGAAGACACCCCGCCACCAACAGACTGCAGCCACGTCAATCGGCCTTGTCCATGTGAGCAGGGCGGGTTGCGGGCTGCGCCAACAATGAGGCTGATGACCGAAAGGGCCCCCTTTGTACACCGAGCAATATTGGTTGTCGTTAGATAACGAACACCACTTTTCGCTGAAATTACGTCTTTATTTTTAGCCTCTCGTGGCTGCAACTGCGCTTTTCTTTCTGTCTCACCCTGGTGTTGAGTTTACATGCCATCAGGTCATCTGAACCGTGGTTTGTGTGCCCCAGCGAAAGGGCAAAGGGCCTCTAGCTTAGCGCGGCTAAATGCTGATTACCCGAGGGGCCATGAATAGAACAGAAATGCAGAGGAGAAATGAAGAACCTCCAAACCAATACAGGGATCGAGTTTGAAATGTTAGATGTTGAAATGCACACTGCAGGGGCCATACTGCCTTGCTGCATTGATCTAGAACTACCAGCGTCATACATTAATTTATCCTAGACCAGCCGCAAACACACCGGGACACCGAGTCTCACGGATTTCAATCTCTCCCCCATTTCCGAAAAGCTCACCAGATCAGATGTGCGGGCTGTCAGTGCTTGTCACACCGCAGTGATCGGTTTGCATTTGGACCGGATGCCGGAGCTTCAATCCACACCATTCTCAATCCAAATACTGAAGCTGACGTTCTCCCCGAGGTGGCGCCTGACGACTGCATCTATACATTCTTTCCAAGCGGGCCTCCTACAGGTCGAGTGCATCACATTGAATGATTTGCACTTGCGGGTACGGAATACTCTGATGGGCTGCAGATGGTGTATAGATTGAGATGCAGCGTGAGAGTTGGTCGTCCCGTGGACAAGGTAAGGCCGCCCCCATGCCCAAGGAGTGTCTTCTCATCTCGTAAATGTTCTGCAGGAGGTATTTTCAGACTGCTACCTAACATAACCATGTGCCTCAAGATACGAGATGAGATTACGAGATTACACTTACCCTCATATGTCTCGGCCCCAAAGGCTTTTGGGGCTAAACGGCCGAAGATCAGCCGATCACCCCGAAAATAAATCTAGAATTATCTATGAATCAAATACCTATTCAATACCTATTCAGTGCATAGAATTCTGACCCGACAGATCGATCACCCTGATAGATCGATTTTTGAGAAAATAGAGCCAACCTTCCACTTCTCCTGGGCTAGCCCACCAAATAAGGAAGGCATCAGAATGTAGTCGGGCCGGGCAGGGTATCACAGCGCGTGGAAATGTGACCCTAGTTCCCCGCGACTCGTGGTTCACAGAATTCAAAACTTTGCGATCCACAGCGGCTCGACTAGGGCCGAGACAGGCGCGGGCTTCTCTAGGTCTTTCTCATTTCTTTTCCTCGGGATATTTTCACAGCAGGTGAAAAGTGATATGAAGAGGTTAGTAGAATACAGAGGTTCGTTGGGGAGGCGAGCTTAGAATTGGAAAGTAGCTCTTACTCCTGCTATCTTCCTTGAAGGGGCTAGAGGATTGTTGGGATTGAATGGGAGAATGCGATTCGAGAGCCTCCCATGTCAAACTGGCTGGAGATTGCTCACACTGATGTTGTGATTTGGCCTTGCTGGTCAACAGACATAAATTTATGGTTATATTGTTCTGTCCTGTTCCCTAGACACCTAGAGGCCCAACCTTAACGACACGATTTATCACCTCAGATAACACTATGTAAGATAGTCAAGCTTCGGAGAGCGACACGCGGGATTACTGGAGAATAGCCTCTCTGATGCTGCCTCGGGCAAGCAGCAGGCCCCCCTTTGAAGCGATGGTTTTTGCTATCTTTAATTTCTTTCTTTGCAGGTGATCCCTACGGGGTCCAAGATTGACAAAGATGACGGCTAAAGGTGTAGCAGGGGAGATCTGGGAAATAAAAGAATCGTGGACTCAAGCTCGAAGTCCTGGAAATACTTTTTTGGCAAGTGGGGGAGCTAACTCAAGTTTCAAGAGCATTCGATCTACACCCTCGTATCGGAGTAGCACAGCAGCAGCAACAAAGCTCTCACGAGACCACCAGGTTACGTACTCGATTCTCAAATATGCACTGTGAAAAGAAGAACCTAGTGATCTCTAGGGCCGACCGAGGCAGAATAAACAGAGGCATAAGCAGGATTGGGAATGTTGAGATTTTCGTGCTCTCTTCCTCGGCTCTGTGTTGGGTGACCCTTGTGAACGCAGCTGCACGGCCATCGATTTCTGCCGACGGAGAATGGTCAAGCGGTATGCCTCGTGCACGAAATCCATGCATCTGGAGGCCGGAGCACAAGGCTTTCCCCTTGGTATTTTATCATATGCAGATCACGGGAGTGAAACGAGCCGGGACTTCGATCTGCCAAACTTTCATAGTTGGGATGATCCTCGGTACCTAAGTCTACAAACTGGTTAGAGATCGGGTTATGCATCTACCTGACGGTTCCGGGGAAGCATGTGCATTAATGAATCTTTGGTCGACACCAGGATTTGACCAACCTCTGATGCTTGGATTGCTATTACAGGCAAGATCTTGGAACGCATACCCGGTGCTTAATATGGCTAGGGATAGTGATAGGGATAGAGCTGGACGAAATTGCGGAACAATAAGATGAGAGATCGTAAATCCTTTTCTCATTGCAACTCAAAATATTCTATGTAAGGGACCATGTTTTACATAGGAGTCCAACCAGGATCATCAGAATTCTTTTCAGCCGACGCACCGGACCAGGTACTCCAGTGCCGTCTATAGGGCATTAAAAGTATGTGCGGGTAACCTAGAACTCGGCATCGTCATCGCCAGAGATGATAACGTTGTTGATCTAGATAGATGTTAGTTCATGCCTTAGATCTAATCGAGCAGGCAGAAAATCGAACCTTGAGAACCATGCGGCAAAGCTGGGTAGCGAGCAGAAGCTGCTGGCGCTTGCCAATGAGGGGGTCAATGGCAAAGTGCTCGCGCATGTCTAGACCGTTTAGATTAGTTTAGGAACATCAAGATCGTGCATGAGCGTAGGGTTGCTCACCGTTGCTGCCAGTCAGCATGCAGTCGACACCAAGGCGAGTGTTCTTCTCCTTGACCTGGCGCGACTTGATGGAAGCCAGGGTCTCGATAGGGCTCAGACCAGAGTTTTCGGCGAGAGCCAAAGGCACTGCATCCAGTGCATCGGCGAAGGCACGCATAGCGTACTGCTCAATACCAGGGCTCTGTAGAGAGGAAAGATAAGTATCTTGAAAGCAATGTCTACGATTGAGACAGGACGAACCTTGACAGCGGCATCCTCCACGGCCAGAGAGCAGGCAATCTCGGCAGCACCGCCACCATACACCACACGGTTATCGCGGACCAAGTTGCGGACGACACACAGAGCATCGTGTAGTGACCGCTTAGCCTCGTCGATGATCTGCGAACCAGGTTAGTGAGAGGCCAGCACCTAATAGATCAAACAGAAAATGCATGCATACCATCTTGTTGCTTCCACGGATGAAGACGGTGACGGCGCGGCTGTTCGCGCACTCCTCAATAACCAGCATCTTTTCTCTTGTGGTACCAAAGGTCATCTCACGCACACGGCCAGCGGTACCCAGCTTCTCGGCGGTCAAATCCTCGAAACGCGGTACAATGCGACCGTTTGTGGCAATAGCAATCAGCTCAATCTCGGGACCACCAACCCACCGAACAGCGGGCAGCTTGTTCTGGAGGAGCAAGTGATTGGCTTCATCGTCGAAACCCCATTGACAGATGACCAGGTTGGCACCCGAGTCCTTAAGCTTCTGAATCATCTCAGCGAACTTCTCGTGCTCGTAGTCCTGAAGCTTCTTGAACTCCTCAACGGAGGTGATATCGAGCTTGTGCTTGGTCTTGGGCTTCGGGGGTTCGAAGGGGCAGGTCAGGATAGCGAGCTTGGCGTCCAAAACCTCATCGGGCATCTGAGGGTGAGAGAAATCTTTGTCGACAATAACTCCCTTCACAAGCAGAGAGTCCTCGAGCGCACCGCCGACCTTGCCATCCACCTTGATCAACTCGAAGTCAACATCCTTGCGCTGCAGATCTGCCACTGAGAGCACAGCATCCACCGCGATCTTGGCGAATTGGTCGTGAGACTTGGACACACTGGAATCCGGAGTTAGATGAAGCAAACCAAAGGGCGGGGGATATCTGGATCATACATCTTGCTGCCCAGACTAGTCTTGGCAACCTTGAGCAGGTTACTGGTATCTTCGAGTGAGAAGGGGATTTCGTCACTGATCTTGTCCAGCTCCGCAATGGCAATCTCGCAGGCCTGGTCGTAGCCATCAGCTATCCGAATGGGGTGGATGCCCTTGTCAATCAAATCCGCCGCTTGCTCCAGCATGGCGGCAGCCAAAACCACGACACCCGTTGTTCCATCACCAATTTCCTCATCCTGTGACTTCGACAGCTCAACGAGCAGCTTGGCAACGTTGTTGGTAATTTCCATCTGTTATTCGCCCGCGCATTAGTGTTTGTCCGGCCCGTGGTTGATCGATCGAAGGCCAGAAAAGGGGGGGGGGCGAACCTGGCCGAGAATGGTTGCGCCATCATTGGTGACTGTGATATCGCCGTCCGGGGAGATGAGAATCTTGTCCAAGCCACGCGGACCCTGTTATAGTCATTTAGATATAATTGCAATCAATGATTCTCGAGAAACATACCAGAGAAGTCTTGACAATTTTGGCCACCGTCTTGGCGGCGACAATGTGAGCCTTCACGGCCTCCGTGCCATGCTGTCTCTTCTTTCTTCCTTGGCTGTATAGTGAAGGGTCCGTCGGTCAGTTTCACGTTCTCACGCCTTTAAAAGGCTCAATATTGTAGCGGCGAAGCGGAGCGGGACGGTGTGTCGGTGAACGTACTCGCGAACAACAATAAACGGACGGCCATGCTCATCCTTCAACACCGAAGCTGTCCCTGAGTGTCAGTTGCTGTACACAGGAATCGACTGAGAACGCATTTGGCTGTTGTTCACCTTGAGAAAGATCAAGCTCTATCGAAGTCCAAGGACACGGTCAGTCACAGATACGGGGTTCAATGAGGGGCTCCTGGGGGAGAGACGAGATTGTACGTACGCATCGCCATCTTCACGGTGGTCTACCACCTGGCAGGAGATCAGAATACCAACTGGAAAAATTGGAAAACAGGAAGAGAGAAGCGAACACAGTTGGCAAGGTCCTTTTCCACAACAGCGATGCGGAGGGGTGCAGCTCTGGGGCTCGCAGCAAATTAAATTCTGGCCCCCCAAAGCGGTATAGCGTTGCCCTTCCGCCTTTCCAGCTTCCCGCGCCTCCCCCAAACCTCCGGCCGCGGGCCAGCTCGCGATCTTCGATCTACGATTAACAGTGTTGCTTGCCTGAACGCGACTGTCTGAGGTGAACACCTCCCACCGCCAAGCTGTTCTCCCGACTGCTTAGTCTCGCATCGCCATTCCGCACCAATATGCCGCGTAAGTAAACGCGCCGTGTTGATCCCCTGTTGCGCACGCGCCTGAGCTGATCAGTCCATACTTAGCTCCCGTCGAAGACATGTCCGACGAGGAGACAGGCGACATCCCTTTTGGCCAGAATAATGGTGCCGCTAAGGACACCGAAGAGTCGGATCAAGAGAAGGACGAGGACGAAGCGGACGAGGAAGAGGAACAAGATCCAGACATGTATATTGTGCACACCAAGGACTTTTTGGGGATTAATTGATCTGATATATTCTAGTTACATCGTCGAGAAGATCAATGAGCATGTCTGGCTAGGTAATGTGAGTTGATTTGCTCTTGCAATCTATGTTGTTTGCCTGGATGCGCTACTTACCCCGCATGCAGGGGACTCTTTCGCTGCTGGTGAAGTGGAAGGGCTGGGAAAAACCCGAAGACCTTACCTGGGAACCCGAGGCCGAATTGAAGTATGTATCTCGCAGAATCGGGGGTGTGGTGCTACTCGGTCACTGACGCTTGCTTGTAGGAAGGGTGCCAATATTGCTCTACAGGAATACTACAAATCAATTGGCGGACGTCCAAAGAACCCACCAAAGGCCGCGCCGAAGGCTGGACCAGGACGCAAACGCAAGTCGCTGGGCGAGACGAAGGCGAACTCTACTCCTGAATCCACTGAACCCAAGAGGCGACGGAAGTCTGAGGCTCTCACGAGCGAGGAGCCGCCCGCGGAGACAGCTGCGGAGAGCGAGGAAGACGATTTGAGCTGGACTCCTAAGTCCAAGGACTGGGATAACCAAATCGATAAGATTGACACTATCATCCGGGACCAGGAGAGTGGCAATCTATTCGCATTCCTCCTTTGGAACAATGGGAGGCGCTCACGAGTCGCAATTAGCCTCTGCTACGATAGGTGCCCTCGGAAGGTCAGTTCATCCGCCCGGTAGACTCATGTGAGAGAAAGACTAAATATTTGATGGTAGATGCTTGCCTTCTACGAGCAACATCTGTAAGCTCCATCCAGTCCACCCCATAACCGATTACAAATGCTAACTTTTGTCCAGGGTCTTCAAGGATGGCTGAGCGTGCCACATCGATTATCAGCTCGTATAGAGCGACAAAGCCTGCGCGGGGCTTGTGGACCGACTTTTTTTGTTTTTCAACAGGAAGTGGTGAATATCATTCTATTTGTGGAGCTCATAGGAGTTTGGATGTTTTTTTTTGTCTTCTTTCTATCTCTGCGCCGGGCTCATAATGTAAGATAGGGAGAGCGAAGGTCAATGGATATCCTTGGTTTCTGTTTTGTTCGGACGGAGAACCCGCGATGCGAGCACCATGCCATTCAATGGCCCCTGATACCTGCAAGCTGATGTCTTGTGTTTTGTCTTTATTTTTCGGTGCGCTTTGAGATATTACCTCCAGTTCGCAAGCGAACTAATCTCAGGTAATCTAAGCAGCATGTCGCTAGAACAAGCCCCTTTCTCGGGCCAAGCTGAGATATTCCCATCTTGCCTTGAATAGTCTGTCTCCGTGCTTCTTGAGTACTCGCTCGATGCCGTGTGAATCTCCTCCCTCCAAGCATCGATCATCTTCCTCCGTCCAGACTCCACGCATGTCATCGGGGACTGGATTGCCAGCAAGTAAGATTTCCAACAACTTTTTGGCCAAAGGTGGTTCCATGCTCGTAAAGCGCAGTGCGTCCAAGACTTTAGATAAGTCCGCACCTCCTGCCACTTGTGTGGCGACCCAGCTGTCTATGTTGGGGTATTCCTCCGAGCTGCTATCGTCGTCATCATCACCATCATCATCCTCATCTTCTGGTTCTGGGCTTGATGGAAAGTATGGCAACTCGATGAATAACGGATCTACCATTTCCCTGGGAATCTCGTTCGTTTGCGCGGCGCTGTTGCTTTGTGCTTGTCTTGTGTGTTCTTGAGGGGGTGCGGGCTCAGGATTAGCCTTGGACGCATCTGTACGTGGGCCAAGGGCAGTCCGGGTCGGTGGTTTGGGTGATTGTGAGGTAGATTCGAGTGTCTGACTGGGCTCGCTTCGTGCGGCAGAAGCAGGTCGTTCCGGTGCGTACACCAGTTTCTTTTTGCGGGGGAACCCGCCCTAGGGGTACGGGGGGATGATTCAGGAGGTGGCCCGCGTTTCCTATTGGGCTCTGCTGGCGTACTGGGCGGCAGCCTGGGCCTTGGATTAGACGGTGCAGGAGTTACAGCTGAAGTTGGAGATTCCACAGGGGTAAGAGGAGCCGGTGGCGGTGGTTCTCTCCGTGGCACTGCCTCAGAGCTCCCATACACCAAATCAGGTCTCGGGATGCCACCCCCAGGACGTGGCTTCCCACTAAGAACTTTCAAATATCGATTCCGCCATGACTGCCAGGTATGGTGGGGGAACTGTAAATCTGGGTCAGTCCATCATGGGGCATGAGGGTTTCCACGTTTCAAGAATTCGAAGAGGAAATAATTACCCGCTCGGCCAGAGCCTGATAGATTTGATTGCCATGAGTTGGCGCACCTGCCTCTTGCTCCCAAGGATAGAGCCAGTCAAAAACAATTTGATCATCTTTCAAGGTATAGCTTCTTCTGGTGCTTTTCTGGGGAATATTGGACGCGCCCATCGGACGGGGCGCAGATGCACCAACCCGATGGGACTCCGGATCTTCTAGCCTTCCACGACGAATAGACTGCTCCACATACTGGTAAGATAGTCTGCAGAGAAAGTTAGTAGACCGTTCACTCTCCAAAGCGATCAAGGCTGGAGCATACGCATTGGCAGGGTGGGTAATATTCTTCTTCATATGATCCACCAGAATGACATCAGCATCCTTCTCCAGCAAAACAACACTGCCACCATGTTGCTAGAGAAATGTCAGCCCTGCTGCCCAAGCATTGAAGTGTTTCTGGAGAGGGCCAAACCTCGATCTTGTCCTTCAGCTGTGTTCGTTGAGGAATTGCCCGGGACATGAAAAATCGCGCCCCTTTGAAAAGGCTGGATGGATCCCTCACTGTCCCTTGCTCTGCCATTCTCAGAAAGGCATGAAACCAGGTGAAGGGGAAAGCCGCTTTTGTGTAGGTCGTTAGTTATGCATAGGGTGCACTCTGTCTTTGTGACGCGTTATCACGTGTCTATGTGTTGCGGGCGACGTTTTGTTGTTGCTCGCAGATCAGGCTTTTGGATGGGGATAAGAAGCAACCGGCTTTTCAAAAGACCCTGGTGCCAGTCTGAAACCCCACGAAGAATTGAGACGCTGCGCCAGCCGATACACAGGCAAACAGCAAGTCGGCGCGTTTAGTCGGGATGGGTTGGCGACACGTGACCGTGTCCATGGTCAGCCCGCGGCGAGCGCTGACCAGTCAACAACTTTAAGGGAGGCAGGGCCACGGACTTGGAACATGGAACTCGCCTTTCAGACGTGAGAACTTGTTCTGCGGCTATCACAGTCCCCTCGACCCGAAAGGCGGAGGCAACGGGGTCCTTTGTCCACCTGTCAACATGGGGGTCCTCCGCACGGTTGCTCTTGTTATCTTGGGCATCTCTACCTTCACTTTCATTGCCCTTTTTGGCCGGCTACCCGCCTTTAGGTGAGATATCTCTCAATATTGCCGGACTTAAGCTAAAAAAAACCAAGGAAAACACCCATTGCCTTTCTATATCGGCTGTTATGGGTCTATCTTCCTAATGGGATCGCCTACCTCGACTCGCATCTGCTGGGTGGCTGGCTGGTCAGAGCGTGGAGCCGGTCTGGCAGATATGTCTTGCATGAAAATCATCCTCTGGTTCTTGTAAGTCCTGCATAAGTTCTTTCCCAAACGTCCTGCTCTAACACCGGCCAGATCTTCTTCGTGGGCTTGCTTGCGGTTGGGGAGTGTGTCTTTCTACCGGCTGCATGGCCTCGGATGTCTAGTACTCACCATTTCTGCGTCCCTGGAGTTGTCATTTTACCATACATCTTTCTATACCAGTGTGTGGTAACCAAGTCCTTCGTCACCTCCGATAACCATGAAAAAGAGATGAAACGGTATCCGTATGACTACGTTCTCTTCCACCCAGGCCATCGTTGTCGCACCTGCAATTTTGTCAAGCCAGCACGCAGTAAGCATTGCAGCTTCTGCCAGGCCTGTGTATCCCGACATGACCACCACTGCGTGTGGTTGATGAATTGCGTCGGGGCCAATAATTACGTTTACTTCCTATCGCTGCTTCTCTCTGTGTCGGTACTATTGATCTATGGTACCTTACTTGGATACTCGCTTCTCTGTCAGACTTTGCGACACTTCATTCCACTGGACATCCAGGCAGCCATGAAAGGGTGGACGATGTACTTCCACGTCTGGTCGATTGTCCTCACTAGGGACCCGAAGATTGGCACAGTCACATTACTGATGCTCATGACAGCACCGCTGGCGGCTGCGTTTCTGGCTTATCATACGTACCTCATCTGGGCGGGTATGACGACGAATGAGAGTGCCAAGTGGTCTGACTGGAAGGAAGATATCGCGGACGGATTGGTTTTTAAGGGCAAACGGAGTCAGATCCCAGGCGCCCCTGCACACGTCGACCTTGGTGATCAACCGTGGCCAGTGCAAACCGATCAGATCCTGGTCACTGATAGTGGGCCTCCATTGGAAGGCTGTCTTCTTGAGGACACCTCCAACCGAGTTCATTACCGTGGTGACGCAAATAAACCAAGGACAGTTGACCCGCGATGGACAGAACTTCACAACATGAGTGATCTTGACAACATCTATGACCTAGGGTTTCGAAAAAACCTCATAGATGCCTTCGGCCTACCAGTCCGAGAGAAAGTTTGTACATAGTCGGCCTTCCTCATAGAAGGCGAACACGTATTAGTTTCCATACTTTGGAAAGTGTATAGCCAAACTTGGACTAGAACCTGCATTCATATATGCTCACATATCGTTTCTGAAGATAAATTATCTTTCTAAATGCTAGCCCATGCGACAAATCTTAGTCCCGACCAATAACCCCGAAGGAAGCTCAAGTGTCACTTGCGTTCCTGGCGTGAAGACCTTCCTAATCGAGCAGGGTACAGAGTCTATGTAAAGCAGGCGGTGGAGTGCGGGCGGTGACAGAAATGTCCGTAAAACCTCATTTTGCCCGCCGCCATTTCTCATTTCATCCCACCGCAAGTTCGCGACTTGTGTTTACTTTTGCCAACGGTATTTGCCGCGAAAATGGCGGACCAAAAGCCGCTATGCACACCGGCGGAACTCATGCTGAAGGTGATTCTGGCCGGAACGTTGAGCCACTATGAGACCCGCGGGATGATCGACGACAAGCGTCTGGAGCACATGCTAGCCTCTGGAAAGCAAATCCTCTACAAGACGCACCAGGAAAGTGAGGTTCGGTAAGTAATAGCCCCGATGATGGAAACCATGACTCCAATATGCTCATGTTATTCAATGGTAGACACAACTTGGGCATGTCCCCCGACATCTGGGTTGGCCTCACAGACGTGCTTACCAAGGCGATTCCGGTTCTCGAGTCGCAGTCTTTCGCGTGGAAGAGTCCCAGAGCAGCACTTGAACACTCATCATCAAACCTCATCGCCTACAACTATTTTTCGTTGGTGAAAGACATCGAGCGCCTCAATGACCTGTGCACCATTGCGCGGAATCTGCTAGCGACCACAAAGAAGGCACAGAACCTGGCTGCTGAGAAGGGCTTCGATCAGCGAATTCTCGCACTAATCGACACCTGTGTGCGGGTGACCGCAAGAGGATTTGATGGCGAAACGAACCCACGAAACGAGGAGCGCTGGCAGAAGGTTGTGAACCTGTATAAGCGCCTTCTCATAACCTGCCTCCAATACCTCCACAACTTCATCATGCACAATGAACACCGAAAGATGGTTCTCTGGCTGGATCTTTTCGGCTACCATTCCACGGCTGACACGAACATCATCCAGCCCAAAGAGCCTCTGGACTCCACGGCGCGAATTGAAGGGGTTGCGCCAATTGTGAAGATCGGAGAGCGCGTTATCAATCCTCCCATCCGAGCGCTGTATGACCAGACCGCTGAAGATCTGCTGTTAGAGACCATCGCAAAGTTCCCACGAGAGCCCTCCACAATTAAGGAGGAAGCTGCAATGCTACTTCTGGCGAATATCAAGGATCACATGGAGAAGATCCTGGGGCGAGATTTGACCGATATCCAGGAGATGGGCCGCGACCCCGAGCAGGTCAAATACATCCGAGCTGCTTTGACTTCCATCCTAGGCGCCAAGGTTGACGGATGGTCCGATCTTCAGGACAGGGCCCGTGAATTGCCTCCTGCTCTGCCTGAGGAGGAGGAACACGAGGTCACTAAGAAGAAGACGATCCTCACAATTGACCGTAGCTTGACTGCTGGCTTCCCACGCCTGTGCTGGGCTGACCTACCTGAAGTCAACGATTATTCAGTAGATGCACAGGTGACAGAGGATGATACTAGCATGCCTCGATCATCCCAGTCCGCAGCTGAGACCCTACAGGAAGCTAAGGACGAATTGATGGCTCGGCTGCAAGATTCTTCCCATCTCGGTGACGATGGTGCCGATTACGATCACGGCGATGCAGGAACTGTGGGTGAAGATGATGCGCACAGCTTGGAGGGACATGCGGACGGAAGTGTTGATGGGGATGAAGAAGAGGATGACGATGATATTGACCGAGGCGATGACGGTGGGGACGTGGACGATGATGAGGATGACGATGACTACCGTGGTCGCCCTGGCGATCAGCAGCGCGGCCTACTGACCGACATTCCTCTCGTCCTGGGCCCTGCTGAAATTGAAGCCTTGCCCATGATTGTGCAAGCAGGCATCGTGGATAGCTTTGGATTGAAGGGCGGCGAGCGAAATGGATCGCGCAACATGCAAGCCCTGAGATGCCACATTCTTCTCACACAGGAGACTGGCCGCAACCTGCTCCGTGAGCTCCTGATCTTCATTGCTGCGTGGGACCTTCCCGACGATGAGCTCTACTTCAAGATGATGGTTCAGATCATGGAGGCTGTTCTCCGTAACGGCCTGATGTCCCACGCATACTCTGATTTTGGTCAGCCCAAGGACATCATTTCCCCAGCCCAGGCTGTGGTGATCAAAATCCTGACGAACATCTTCCGTGCCAAGTACTCCCCAGCCTCTGTTACTGGCTCCATACAGGCCAATGCTCCGCGAATCCCATCACCCCTTAGCCGCGTGGACATTCTTACAGTGCGATACATCTTCACAATCTTCCGTGGGAACATTATCCCGGAAACTTGCGCTCTTATCTACCTCCAGGGCCAGATCCGCGCCGAGCGGGCTTTGCCAGAGGACTTCCCACTCAACCTGTGGGACATGGAGCGCGTCTACGAGGGCGTGTACCAATTCCTTGAGTTTTTCGCTGTGCTCACAGAGAACAATGACTGGAAGAACCTCCTGGTGAAGTGGGAGATCGTCTACGACCTGGTCACCCTCATCAAGGAGCTGGAAGCTAGCATCCCCAAGGGCCAGCTGAGCTCCCTTTCCTTTGGTTCTGTTCCTCCGCCGCCCCCTCCGCCTCGTAGCACCTCTCCTAGCGACCCCTCCAAGCCTGCGTCACCTACGCCCGTGGCTGTTGAGCGTCCCTATGACCCTAGCGATCCTGCAGACCCTCTTGACAGCGGTGCAGGCAGTGTGGACTCCCGCCCTGATTCTCCCCCCATCACGGAGGATCCCTCCGAATTTGAGTGGCGCAATCTCAAGAAGCTTGTCGTTCTGGTACTATCCTCGCTGGTCTGGAAGTGCCCCGACGTCCAGGAGCAGATCCGTCGCTATGGTGGCGTAGAAGCCATCTTAAGCTGTACTGCTTTTGACAGTCATAATCCTTACATCAAGGAGCATGCTGTGATGTGTCTGAAGTTCCTGCTGGAGGGCAATCGCGAAAACCAGCGTCTGGTCGAGGAGCTTGAGGCTCGAGAGGTGGTCAAGGATGACGGTGGCGTGCTGGAACGGAGTGGTTATGAAGCTATGATTGACCAGGCGGGCAAGCTCGCTATCCGGACTAAGGAGACTTCTCCATGTTCCTCTTCATGATTTCCTACGCCATTTAACGTGAAATGAGTGCATAGCGCATAGCGCACAGCAGCCAACTTGCTATTTGCTAGAGTGTAATCTACAATGAAATATTCGATTTGACACACTTCTCGCGTACGGACATCTGTTTATGAATACTAAATCAAGAATTTTCTTTCTGCTAGAAATAAAATATCCGATCAAGCTATGCCAATGCCGAACGGGCGCATCTTGGAGCCCCGTAAGCTTATGTAGAGACCAACAAGCATCTATTGGAGTATGTAATCTTCATAGACGTATAACGTATGCGCTCATCTCTCCTCGTAAATGCATCATAATTCATATGTAAACACCAACCAGGCCGAACTCCACTGCGTCAGGGGCCATTCATCCATACATGCCATCCCACTCATCCTCATCGTCCTCCTCAACAAGCTTCTTACGCGCTTCAGCCTTCTCCCTCAGCTGCTTGGCGAAGTCGGTCCGGTCCAGAGGGCAAGTTCCGCGCAGCCGGAGCCAGGGACGCACGCATTCCAAGTCAAACAGGTGGGTGGGGTGGCAGGGCAGCTGGACCACGAGCGGATACTCGTCTTCCAGGAACGGGTTATTGCAAATGGGACAGGTCTGGGATGCGTCCAAGGACGATTTCGGGACACGGTCGAGCACTGTTCATCATGAGGGATTCGATTAGCATTGTCCAGCACATCTTAGGAGAAACCAGTTGTTATACGTGGGGCGCGCGATACGCTGGAGAGGCTACTTACTGTCGCAGAATTCCTCGCTAACTCCCTCGACCTCCCGGGGAGGCGTATCAGCATCGCTGAGGAGTGTCTGAATCATCTGGGTCAAGAGATCGTCGCCAATAGGCTGGCTGTCACCGGTGTTGCCAGCCTCGTCTTCCTGAGCCCCTGTAGCTCCGGACTCGCGGCGCATGACCTCGAAAGCTTCCGCAAGTGAGTAGAAGGCGGCGCTCACATCACCCGGTACGGGAACTGCATGGGGACGGTGGTCGGGCGCCGGGGTGATCTCAGAGAGGGTTGCGAAGAAGGTGGATAGATCGGGGCGGCGACGACGCTGGGTGGAGTTTGCGGTGGCCGGGTCGGTGGTATTGTGCTCAACTTGAGAGAAATGAAAAACGTAGTTAGCTAGAGGTTCGGTACATTATGCTAATCCTTAGCGAGTACGTACTCTCGTATGTCGACATCGTGGTGGGTTTTCGTGAGTTCGGCGGGGGTCGAATCGGAGGTGACGGTGAAGGAAAGGACGAGAAGAGATGGTGCGGGGAGACCCCCTTTCGCTGTCTGTGCCACCCGGTTGTTTGCTTGGTCGCACACTGGAGTATTGATGACAGACCGATGGGGAAGAGCTGCGCAATTGAGGAGGGAATGAAGGAGGGGGTGTGCGGTGGATTGAAATAGCCGGCGCAGAGATGATCGGAGGCAGCAGAGCGATAACGCGGCGCGGGGAATGGTTGGGCCGTGCGTCAGTATACTAGAAGCTTGCTTTGCGATGACTCTGTTGCTTCGTTCTTCCCTATTACTTTTATCAGGATACAAACACAACAAAATTTATTCGGCTTGGTTATCTTCAGTTCGTGGGCTTGCGTGAATTGCTCTCTGGTATTTTCATTCTCCTTCACTCTATATATCGTGGTCGCTACCCTCTTTCGTACCCATTTGGAATTGTATATATCCAGCTTCCCCATCATCTTAACTGTCACTATTGAGATCCTAAAAAGTACAATTTCTCACCAAGTACGATTGACGTCAGCTCACGTTAATTTTGATCTTCATTTTGGGAATCGATCTGTGTCTGTCACCCAGCTTGGAACATAAATATCACGAATATCTTTATGTCCAGACTGGAGATGTCGTACTGTAATGGATAGAGCATGGTGCTCGCGTTGGTCGAAGAAAATACTTGGAGCAATCTCGCTAGAGAAACGGTTCATTTCTCATGATATGATACGGTCAGTTTTGTATATGAACCAGGTCGAGGGGCGATCAATGCGGATGGAACACAGTGCCAGTGGGTGCGGAACCGTGGCCACCGGAGCGTCGTAGGATGGAAGATGCACTCGGAAGAATACAACCAAAGTCGATTAGCGGAAATTACCTATGTTTAAAGTTAGAAGTTTATCCACGGGAACAATGATATTTTATTCTCCGATTCTTATGGTGGCTTCTCCCAGACCCGTCCTTCAGCCATAGATCGGAGAGTGGCCAAACGTGAGATAACGGTTTTCTTATATTTTCTTATATTTCACCGGTACAAGAAAGCTTCGAAAGGAAAAGCCGTTTTTGGTTCCGGAGGAGGCCTGAGAAGTGTAAATATGATGAATGATTCGAGAAGCGGGCAAGTCTCGGCCATGTATTTCGACAAACCTGTTATCCCGTTTGTGAGGACCAAAATCGGACTGGTCATTCCAGGTCGATGTTGTGGTGAGTGATGCAGCAATCCTCGAGATTTGGGGCGATATCGTAATGTCAAGCACTTTGAAGGGGGCGAACCTGGCCTGCGTCTGGTGCTACCGAGCTCTGCGTTGGAAACTTGAAGAGCTGCGTCCAAATCCCGTGCGATGAATTTTTCTTTTCTCACTTGATCTGGCTTTTCGCACCTGGTGCCCCTGCCAATGTTGATCTTATTCCGATATATGCCAATCCGCTCTCCAAATCTTGGACCTCAGCTTCTTTTGCTGTCCCGAATCAAAAGAAACCACCCAAAATAAGTTCCAGGCTTTGTTTATATTGATTTATTCCTGAGGATCTAGGCTATTTACGAACGTTGGGTGACTTTGCCATTTGAACTGGCTTTTTAGCAGCTGCGTCATAAGCGGCTGCATTTAAAGTCGACACTTCCATCGGTTCTTCGTTAGCCAGATTATCTGCCGCGAATGATATCGGCTGTTTAAATAAGGCGAAGGATCAGGAAAAAATCAAAAGGTTTCCTCAACCTCAGAGGAACCATGATTGCCGTCGTCACAATTCCCTGCAAAAACCTAGCACCGCCAAGGCTGTACGACCCTATCAGCTTGTTTGTGTCAGGATTCTGAGAGTTGGCATAGAAAGTTGATTATTTGAAGAAGCTAGGTGATAAAAAGTTCGCGACTATGTACAGGTTTTCATACCACGCGCAACGAGATATACGGCACCTCCGTAAAGTTCTCCGGCATGGTGTACGTGACATTGTAGAAGATGAATTCGTTGACCGTCTGATCCACGTCAAACAAAATGCTGAAGTTTCCAACAGCATTGGTTTTAACCTTCAAGTTCAAGCCGGGCAGACCTTCCAACCCAGTTATATCGATGTCACCGCGGACATCCAGACCACTGACAAGGAAATTGAATGACACAGGCCCATCCGATGATGTGGTGTTGGGGTATGAGATATCGAGTGCTTTGGGCGAGGCCACAGCATGAATGGATGACTCGGTCACCCAGTGTGTGATACAGCCAATCTGGTAATCATCAATTGCCCACTGAACGACCGCGGGGCTGAATTGGCTAGGATTGATGCTAGGTCCACCGACAACGTCCTCGGCCAAGGTCTCAGCACCGATGATCACGTCTTCAGACAGCCATGCTGTCACGTTCCGCGGGTATGTATCATGGGGAGGAGAATAGGCCTGGGCCGAGTAGGAGTGCTCGCCCGGGAACTTGATCAGGTTTGCCTTCGAGGCCGGGGACAAGTACTTGAGCATCTCGGGCATCGCAAGAGCAAACAGAGGGTAGAATGCGAAGTCTTCTTGATGATACATGCCGGATAGTGACTTGGGCATCGGTGTGAGCTCACGGCCAACAGCACCCCAAATGACGGGTGCAACAAGAGAAGCATATTGCTTCATGTTGTATCCATAGGACCGATCCCAGGGACCAACTATGTTCTGGAGTTTGGCGTTATATAACTGAGCCAGCTCATCCCACGTCGCGGTCAGGACCTCGGGCGCGTATTTCTTCAACAAACTGTCCTGGGTGGCATATTGGCCCCACAGCGCCAAAGCCCACATTGCAACGCCGCCGTAGGTGGGGGAGTTGAATTCCGAAAGAGTGCGGTGCATGCTCCAGAGGTCATAGAACTCTTGAGCAAAGGTCTCACCGGACCGAGTCAGGTTCGCGTCATTCATTCGTGCACCAACCCAGTTCTGAAGGATAGTCCGCATCAACCACGGATTCGAGTAGCACGGGTAGAGATTGTCGTCGTCGACGCCCCCGACACGATAGAGATCTCCCTTGGCCGCGACGAGAAGTGAGTTCTCGACTTTGGTCACCGTCGCAGCCGGAAGCAGGTGGTCGTAGTCGTTCAGAGCTACGAGCCAGGCGCAGCCCACAAAGTCTCGAATGTTCGGGTCCCACTATCAGTCTCGCGTTAGTGCAGTTCTTTTTACGAGGACGGGGTCAGGCACATACCGAGCTGTAAGGTCCGTCATTGGGATATACGGAAGTGCCAGGTTCGGGCTCCGCCGCTGCTTGCTGATAGTCTCCATACCACTGCTTCGAGGGATCGAGGTACTGGGCTCCAATGACATTGTCGAAGATACGAACGGCCCGCGCAACATCCCCCGGCCCATTCCGGGCTAGGAGTTGTGTCGCATACCAGGCGGTATGCCGACTATCGTGTCGGCCGCGATTGCCCGAAGATGCAATCAGGTATCCTGCGTTTTCGTCCCAAAACCCATCATTCCACTCAATGGCCGTAGTAAACATGTCATCGGCATATGTCGATTTACCGGGATTATGTTGCCCGTTGAAGGGTACCGCAGAGGCAATACCACTTAGATGGGCAACATTTAGCCCTAGCAGGGCAATAGAGAGCTTCATGGTGGCGAGCTCAGTGGCACTCTAGTAAAGTCTGAGTCGGACGTAGATTTCCCAGTTCAAAGCAGGAGGGAATTTAATGATTAGGAATGGCTCCACATGCCCAATTGATGATCACAGGCTTCCCCTGGGGTACAATGGCTGTATTTAAGTAAACCCCAAAATTGAGTGGGAGAGGCCCCGGAGAAAGCCCGGAAGCTTTGATGGTGCCTACGGACGATTTTCCGTCTTCGCCGGGAGTGAAGATAGCCGGCCCTGACAAGGCAGATAAAAGAAACCTTAGATGACTGACGCAAGCCCGATCCAATTTATTCAGAGCCACTGATAATGCCATCAAGTCCTCCGTTATCTTGTTTACAACCACTATAGAACGGAGGGAGCTTATCACGAAAGACCGCCTTCACCGGTTTCCCCGGTTTCGCCGATGCTCCCCCCCTTTCCAGATCGAACGAGCTGCCACGGCTCGTGGCGCTCTTCACCCCACTTTAGATTTTGCGGAACCGTGAATTTGGGCCCAGAAAGCTTCTGCGATTGGATCGATAAGAATTTCCACCTATTGCACAAACGTTAGTCGTGGAGAACTAGTGTACCCCGCATCTTCACCCGGCTCACTTTGTGGGGAGGCTGAATACCCTCCCTCTTGCGCTTCAAACTCGCAATTGTGTCAAATCTTGGCTCTCAATTAGTCGACCCGTTCTAGGATGTCTCCATCTCAGGATATATTTGCCAATCTGTCTGGTTCGGGAACTCCAACAGGCGACAGCAACTAAGCCGACTCGAGTCCCAAGTGTTCGGTAGCTAGACGGGGGTTTAGTCTTGGAATTCAACGAAATAACTGGGTATTGTATTCCTGGAAATAGCTGTCCAGGGCGAGAAGCTTGAGGAATACGGAATTTGGAACCAGGAAGTCAGGCAAACTTCTTCGATCCAGCCTGGAGGTATGATGCTGATCTTCAGGGGTTCTTTCGTTGTAGAAAAAGTCCGCAAGGGCGACGGGTGCCATCCACGACGTCATTGGTCCGATCCTCGGGAAAGTAGCCTACACTTAAAAACAGCCGACCAATTCTGATGTCGATAACAAATGATGATGTGGTAAGCCAAAACAATAAGCCTGAGGGCTAGAACGTTCCAAGCCACAACTCCCCGGATTAATAATGGCCCACCCTGGGGATATCTGACGACCCTCATCGCCTCCGCTGTCTCATCGCACGTAAGTCTCTCGATTATAATCCAGATCAGCTTCTATGATGGTATCCATTCTGGCCGGAGCCATACCCTGGCATGATGGAGAGGACAAGATGCATCGGTTACTCCGGGTACCTGAGCAAGATAACCCGACTGCACCATACCTGACTGTAGGTGCCCAGGCGTTGGTGCAGAGCTGCCCTCTTGTTGCAGTAGGGACGGTGGACTCAGAAGGGCGACCGTGGTCGTCTTTATGGGGCGGCCAAGCAGGCTTCGCAGGCCCAGTTGCCCAGTCAATGATTGGACTTCGGGCACAGGTTGACGGCAAATACGACCCGGTGGTACAAGCGCTTCTTGGCCATCCTCACGTCAAGGAAGCAGACGAACTCTTCTCAAGGAATACCGGAAACATGGTATCGGCGCTAGCGATTGATCTGGAGAGCCGTCGTCGAGTGAAGCTATTCGGGCGGATGGTCGGCGGATCACTGGATGGTGGCGACATGGGAGAAGCACAGCTCGTTGTCAAGATCGAGGAGAGCATGGGAAACTGCCCCAAATACCTGAACAGAAAGCACATTGTACCGGAGCGGCCATCACCCAAGCTGATATCAGAATCAGCCCAGCTTCACCCCGCAGCCCTTGACTTGCTATCTCGTGCGGACACCATATTTGTGTCCTCTTCACATGGAACAGCCAGTATGGACACGAATATTCGCGGCGGGCCACCAGGATTTGTCCGGGTTGAAGCCAATGAAGCCAATGGTGCAGTTCTTGTATATCCTGAGTACTCCGGGAACCGGCTCTACCAGACACTGGGAAACCTGCAGACTACGCCTTTAGCTGGCTACGTTATCCCAGACTTTGAGACCGGTGACGTCCTATACATCACTGGCCACGCAGAAGTGCTTGTCGGCAGAGAGGCAGCGGCCGTTTTGCCTCGCTCGAACCTCGCCATTCGAGTTATAGTCGCCCAGGCGATCTTTGTTAAGAATGGGCTGGCATTTAGGGGTCAACCCGGCGAGCCCTCACCATATAACCCAGTCGTGCGGTATCTCACGTCAGAGAAGAACGTCCCTGGCACAGCACCAGAGCCCAATAACGCGAGCACGATGGTCCGATTGATGGACAAAGAATATATCACCCCGAGCATCATCCGATTCCGATTTCGGAGCACCAGCTCGAACCCAGTTTCATGGGCTCCGGGCCAATATGCCACCCTCTCCTTCCAAGACGAGCTTGATATGGGGTACAGTCACATGCGAGACGACGATCCTACAAGCCTTAATGATGACTTTATCCGGACCTTCACAGTGTCTTCCTATCCTGGTCGGAACATGCCAGTTAACGAATTCGAACTGATGGTCCGCCGGCACGGTAATGTCACCAACCACCTTTTTCGAATAAGCGAGCGGGCCGGGCTGGAAGTGCCCCTGAAGGGTTTCGGGGGCAGCTTTCGATTGCCAACCGATGGCAAAGCCATTGTGCCTTATATTGCGGGCGGAATCGGCATTACACCGTTGCTAGGCCAATTAGCGGACCTGGAGATTGCTCGACTCAGGCTCTTCTGGTCTGTCTCGATACGGGATATCGGGTTGGTCCAGGATACCTTCCAGCGCTGGCCAGAGCTGCCTGTGTCCACGACTCTATTTCTCACCGGTCCTGCTTTGGCCGCAGCAGATCCCAATCAAACTATATGGAGCACCGTACAGTCATCTGGGGCTCGAGTTGAGCAACGCCGCATGCAGGCAGGGGACCTTGATTTGAAATTAGCAGACACTTGGTACCTGTGTTCTGGGGTGGAGTTAAAGCGCAATGTTCTGAATTGGTTGGTGGGAAAGGTGGTTGTTTATGAGGATTTCAACTATTAGTTGCCACCAGGACGTTGCTAGGCTGGATGTTAAGTGACTTCTACTTGACTGACTAGGGTCCAGCGATGGGGTGATCATGGCTGCTACCCGAAAGCATAGCTTCGGCTGTTGGTGCTCACGACAGACTTACTTAATTTCTTGCATTATCATACTTTTATTATCAATGACTTCGTGATCAACCATTTACTGAAACACATGAACAGTGTTAAGAAGACTATTAGCGAAACGCTGCCCCTCGACTCTGCTCTAGACAACGCAAACACTCGTGCCGCAGGCGATAAAAATAGCCGTGACCCACGCCCCAAACGTGTCAAGTGGAGCGCCGATCGCCTTATGCTGTGTTTACGGCCTGATAACCTGAGAACCTCATCCAAATAATCCCCGGACATTCCTCCTCCTTCACCTCCCCCTTGCGACCGTCCACGACAGTCACAAACATCACATCATGCGGTCGCGAGCCTCCGTTAAGCCGTCCGACTACCCGGCGCTGCCATTTCACAGCATCCGCTTTGTGACGTTCCTGTCGTCCCTCGTGGTCGCTATCATCCTGGCCGTGTTTACCTACCATCTCCATGCCGACGGGTACAAGTTACCATTTGCCTTCCTGATTGTAGGCACACCCCCTTCCACCACAATTAAGACGTAGCAAGAACGCAATCACCCCCTTTGATAGCAGCAGATGCTAATAGATACTCTGACTACCAGCTCCTCGTCGCCTCCTTTCTCTCTATACTCAATATCATCCTGACCGCCGTCGCCAACTGCGCCTGCGGGCTCTCCGCTAAGCTCTCCATCGTGCTCAACGCCCTCCTGCTGATCCTCTGGCTTCTCTCCCTCGCCCTACTCAGCTACAACATGTCCGGTACCATCCTCACAAAGTGCACGACCGAGTACTGGGCCACGTCCACCGGCATCTCGGTCTGCCGCTCGTACAAGGCCCTCTTTGCATTCACCGCCGTGGGGGTCGCCGGCTACATCGCAGCGATCTGGTTGGATATCATTGTGCGGCGCCGCCAGACCCGTCTCGGCGCCTATAATCCTATGGGTAGCACGGCAGCCGTGGGCGAAGACCCCTGGGATGTGAAGCTTGCCGATCGGCGCGACTCGGTCTCGAATGCGAACTACGATGCTGTGTCGCATCCGATGTCTGGGGCTGCCAATGGCCCGTACTCGCACTCCCTAGAGCATGGGCATGCGGGTGAGGCGGCGCAGTATTATGATTCGGCGCCCGCGGCGAGTGGTCGGCGCGCTCCTCGAGTGCGCTTCAGCCACGGCGGGTATCAGCACCCGGCTGAGCAGACGGGCTATGATCCTGCTGCATATCGCTGATTTGAGCAGGTTTAATCTCCTTTTCTATGTCTTCCCCTTGCGTATTGAATTTGCGCCCTTGAAAGATTGTTGTTCAGCGGCGTCTTATGATGGCTTTCCTATTCCCCATTTTGGTTGCACTTTTGAGGATCGGTGCTGCACCGGATCGGTTCAAATTGACATTGACATTGACTGCATGGGCATGGGCATAGCGGCGTTACGTGGGATGTTCCTTTGATTATATGACATGAGGAGTGTTTGGGATAGGCGATAGATAGTTTAGATTTCTCTCTAACGACTCTTCAATGTGCCCTGTAGCATTCTAGCGTTGAGCAAGAGGGGCGCGAACAATCAAATAAGCATCCCAATGGCGAAGAAAACAGTTTATGACGCTCGATATTGACAAAGAGGGGGCTGGTATTTTTGAAACAAAATCAATGACCAAGGCGGCGGGCATTTACATGATAACCTCGTTGGCGACGTCCTAAAAGAGGAGATATTGGATCAGTAAACGGTAAAACAAAAAGGTAGGAGTGGATGTAACTCACCCGCTTGAGCTCCTTATACGGCAAGCAGACACAGTTCTGCACGCGGACCTCGTCACCAACGCCGCACTCCTTGCCGAGAATCGTGATGCTCTGCACCTTGACGCCCTGCTTGATGATGCTGGTGGAGTGGCTGCTGATGGGGATTGGGGTGCCTTCCACACGGGCCCAGGCACCGACGCGACTGCTCCAGCCGATGATCGAGTGCATCACACAGGCGTCGTGGCGGATCTCAGAGTCCTCGAGCACAATGGAATCCTTAATACGGGCACCGGCACCAACCACGACGCGGGCACCAATAGAGACATTGGGACCGAGCTTGGCGGTGGGGTCGACAGTAGCCGTGGGGTGGATAAAGACCGGGGGCACGATGGTGGCGGAGGGAGGCATGAGCTCCTCGGACTGGGCCTGGAACGCCTTCTGGAGGTAGAGCGCGTTGGCAGGGACAGCGGAGCCAGCAGACTTGATCTGTCGCCAGAAATCCTTAGTTTCGTGGACGAAGAAGCGGTTGCTGTCGGCCAGGTCGGAGAGAATGTCCTGCTCGAGGCGGAGGACCTCGCTCCTCTCGGACTCATCGTCATCTCCAGCGACAAAGGACGATTCGAGGTTATCGGAGGAGGGGTAGGAGAGGAGGCGGGGGCGGGTGGTGCGACGCTTGATGGCACTGCGGATGGCGGGAAAGATGCACTCGGTGGCGAACAGGTAGACACCACAGTTGATGAGGTTGGAAATATGCGATTCGGGCTTCTCGACGTAGTGCAGCACACGCTTGGTGTGCGAATCGGACACAATGCAGCCAAAGTTGGTCGCAGCGTCATTTCCTACCCGTGTACCCAGGATCACGGCCTCCGCATCCTTCTCCTCGAACAGGCGCAGCATCTCGACCAGTGGGAATGAGCAGCAGACATCCGCGTTCAGCACCAGCAAGCGCTCGGGCTTGCCCTTCAGGATCGCATCGCGGAAGTGGTACAATCCGCCTGCGGTGCCCAGCGCTGTGTACTCCCGCAGGTACTGGATGCGGAACTGGGGGAATTCCTTCGCAGCATCCTTGATGAAATCCCGGAAGACCGTCTCATCGTAGTATCCGACCAGAATAACCTCGCGCACGTCGTTGACCTTGGCGATCGCCTTCAGGCAGTGGTGGATGATAGGGTGGCCGGCGACTTCGAACAGGGGCTAGATGCGGGGGGCATCCCGGTTAGAATGGTTTCTTGCACGTCGCGGCGCATGGAATAGGATGGAAGAATAACACGTACCTTGGGCACATCAAGCGACAATGGGCGGAAGCGAGTACCTCTGGAAGGACCTCCGACCTGGCGACCTGGTCAGTTTGTGTACAGTTCGGTTGGGCGATCGCTGCGTCACTTACCAGGATCACAGCCTTGGTAGAGGACTGGTTGGGGTGTTCCCGCAATGGCAATTGGAGCATGGTGAAGTGTGTGAGAGAGAATCAGGGGCTGCGAACAAGAGCAACGGACTCGAGAAAACAAAAGGTGGCCAGAATCAACGTCGAGAGCTTCGGGCGCCAAGACGACGCTTGCGGTGGGGGGCTCACCTGACGCGGTGGGAATTGGGAACGTAGAAACGTGGGCAAGGAGTATACCCGTTAAAGGGGGAAAACTAAATCCTGCAAAATCTGCCGACAACAATTCGTCGGAGGGTGGGCTTCAACATGGTAATTACTGTATAATTTCCATTCGGATCTACCACAATTAGAACGTTCTGAGCCGAGATCAAAGGCCCCTACTTTGATAACTAAGAACTTGTGATTTGCGATAACTCTGCACCAAAACAGAAGTTCTAAACACAGGTCTTCTGACCAAGGGAAGGCAGCAACGTAATATCTGGATAAAACATGTCGCTGATTAGCTCGCCTTGTCCTCATACTGCTCATGGCAGACTATCAGAGTAGAGTAAGGACGCTCTGTTCTAAATCCGCTCATAACTGTCCATTGCAGAAATCGAAAGGCCTTTTTCTCTTTGTGGACAAGCGCCAATATCAGGCATCTTGTGCCCAATGGTATAGAAGCTTGACCGTCCGATATTTGGACGACATCCTAATTGAAATAAGTGCGCGGAATCTCCTCCATTACTACTATTTTGAATCTTGGAGTACAGATAAACGACGGCCATTCCTTTCTATTTCGAGCACTTTGCAGATAAAGATGGCGTTTACAAAGCGGGCATTCACGCCATTAAGAGATGTCACTCCATTCTGATTCTCTACCAACAACCCAGTCCTTTATTGCGTTGATCTCCAGTCTAACGCAACACTCTCTCCCTTATCCATCCTGATGGTCTATTGCCCAGCCAGATCAAGCTTTCAGTGTTCGAATAGCCAAAGCCGCGGGTGATACCTCAGTCTTCGCGAAATCGGATACACTCAACAGTTGGCCACTCAAAATCCGACCAAGATGCGTCCGTCCAATCTCCTGGCAGTCTTTCCTCATCTGCGACATGAGGATTGAGAGGAACTTGAGGGGGCTTTGATGGAAAGTCGATTTAGCCCCCACGCCACGTTGCTCGATGAAACCATCTGCGGCAACAAGAAGATCATCCGGGGTTTTCACGGACGCCACACCAAGAAATTCACAAAGTTGCTGGTACTCAACATATGATCTGAGATACAATTGCCCGGAAAACAGATTTAGCTGTATTCGAAGAATCTCGGGGACACTGATATTTCGAGCATAGTCGGGCACATTGTACAATCTGAGATGATCCAGCGAAGCAAACCCTCGATTCTGACGTGGCCTATATGCGTGAAGTGTAACACTCCCCGATTTCCGTATCTCTGAAATCAGGAAATTGGCCTCATAGGGGCTGATAATCATCATGACAGTCACAGTATCTTCATCCGAAGGGTGCACACTTTTGCTAGTAGACAAGATCCACCTCACGGGTCGTTGGAAAGAATCCGCGAAGTTTTTCACTCCCGCAGTCACTTTAACGGTAGTAGCATAGTCCTTTGTGACGAGTAAATCAGACGGGAACTGAGTCACGTCCAGGAACGCAGATGCCGACGTATTTTTTAGCACCTGAAATGCTGGAGTGAAAGCGTCCGAAGATTTCTCGAGGATCCCAGTCATAACAAAAGAACGCAGATGTGGATGAATTCGGTGCGTCTCTGGTACGGCTTCTGGTGGTCTCTGGATCTGGCGCTCACATTCAATTTCCGGTGCGAGCTCGCGTTCTTGCTCCTCTTGAAGCGTGGACGAAGCGAAATCCAGGGTTTCAAATTCACGACAACGATCCACTATGAGCTGCAAATTTGGACTTTCCCCCGAGACAGTATCATTTCTTAAGCTTTGTTGGTAGCCAGGTCGATATCGGTGCTCAAGAGTCTGGCTTTCTGGTTCAAGAAAGGCTTGAGCTTGGCTTGAGCTCATTGTGGCCGGTTTTTTGTTGCGACTGCTCGGCCATAATTCCTTCTGACGCTCAAAACGCGTCCCTTGGACGGCCCACAAAGGCATACTTCGGCGGGTGTCAGCCCAAGTTTCAGAGACTGCCCAAGTGATGACGTCCGAAACCTCGATTTCTGTCTCATTTTTTTTATCACTCAGGGATAGAATCTTGCGGTTGATTTCATCGGGGATGCAAAAAACCACAGATTGGCCTCGGCCCAATTTTCTCATCCTCATGCACGCTATGAAATTCGTCAACTCTGGGTCATTGTCAGATTAAACGTTATTCCAGATCTTACCTTGGACTAACTTGTCCTTCGTGATATGAGGCCCAAGCGTGACCGCCGCGCGATAGGTGACTGGAAGTTTCAAGTCAATCCCACGCGTGTGTGCTTCATCAAGGAAAACAAAACATGCTTGCAATTGACGTGCAAAAGGTGAGGTTTGCAGAGGTTCCACACGCTCCTTTCTATCAAGCACGCAGATCACGTCTTGATCGTTAACAAACACGACAGCTTGTATTGGACCTTGTTTTGGAATCGATTCCAGCCAGCGTGCTGCGACCTCTTCATTACTGAGCTCCAGAATTTGGGCACCCACGTCGAGGATAACCTGAGCTGGAGGACTCAAGTTCATCACCACATCCAACAGGTGCTCGGCGTCTGTCTTGATTGGCTCTTCTTGGCGAGTTATGAAAGCAACTGAGTTTTCCGGCCGTAACAGATATTCAAGCACCAGAGCGTTTGTGTGGTTCTGCTTGGGAAGGTCTAGCTGCTTGATGCTCAACGGTAAAGTTTTTCGCGAATCGTTCGTCCCGCTGAAACCGACCGTGGGGGTTGTCTTGATTTCTCCAATGTCCCAGCCAGACGCGGATAACTTCTCAGGAAACTCTTTCATTTCTCTGGGGAAAACGAATTTGTGAAGGAAGTAATCGATGGCGGTCTTAGAAAACCGAAGTGCCGGGAAAATATGCTCTATACAGTGAATCCGGTCATCGAGGTTCAAGCCTACCAATTGATGATACTCGTGGGGAAGCATTGGCGCGTTGTCTACCCACGTTTGGTACTCTGTATCGGCTTGATCCGATTTAACAAGGTCATTGAAGGCGAGAAAAAGATCTTCGTCGGCGAGTCCAGCATAATAGTAGTTCAAGCAAGTGAAGAGAACGACGACATCGGGGTGGCTGAACTCGGACCGGAGCGAAGGATTGTCCTTGGCGCGATACGGCACACAAAGCTTTGTCGGGGGGACTCTCTTCTCGTCAGGCCCGTAATTGACGCGCCAACGCTTTTCACCCAAACAAAACGCCAACACACCTCCTGCGAATAGACCACGTAGCAGAAGAAGTGGACTCCGAGTGGTCTCTGTCCAGAACCCGGTGGGACTGTCATCTTCCACAGTAGCAATTTCATCGGCTGTCAGATCCGGTTTCAGCATGTAGGTACGCACAGCTTCTCTGACCTTCAGAGGTTGTCGAGAGATCGGCAGATGATCAATCCCACTATCACATATGTGCGTTGTCATGAGATCGAATAGCCGTTCTTCCGCATCACGGTGAAGCAAGCGTATCCTAGGGAAACCACCAACTTTCTGCTCATCCACTTCGATCGAACGAGGAAACTCTCTCTTGACAGCGGAAGCAAGTTGACACAGGAAGCCCAACAACTGTTGGATCAAAGTCCACCGCTGCGGGCTGAGTTCAATGGGGCGCTGGGCTCCCATGGTGTATATCAGCTCGAATTTGACGTTGAAGTTTTCGTCGCTTTCGTCCACGACATCGCGGGAGTATGTCTCAAATAACTGTAACGTCTGAATCAATGATTGACCCAGGGTAGGCTTTCCAACAATGAAACTTTCAAGGCACATCAACTTCAAAGATAGAACATGCTCTGGCTGGACGAGCAGAACTCCGCCCTGCAGCATGCACTCTGTACACATGCGTCCAATCTCATCTGCTTCAGCCTGCTCAAGTTTGAGAGACCGTGAAATAGGCATGTGATACACCTGCCGATTTAAGAGGCCACCGAGCTTTGAGACCAGCATCTCAAACATCTGCCGGGACTGCGGCTTGGCCACAATTATCCGGACCAGGCACAACCCATTCGCAAGTCTGGTGGCAGTGACAGGCACAATGACGGATGACTTCCCCTCACCCATGTTCAACTGCATGACAACATTCTCCACTGGATTACTCATGCGTTCAGTAATGTCTTGCTGAACCTCCCGAATCAAAATCCCACTTTCAACTTCCAACAGAAGTGTTTCTGGGAATTCGAAAGGATCCCAGTTTGTGTGGCCTGGATTACGAAGCTCTTTTGACAAGTCATCGTGGTGCCCGATCAGACCAACCAGTCGTTTCGCCCACTGGAACTTCGTGATTGCACACGCGTGTGCGACAAAGCACCTTTTCCATTCAGTCTGTAACTGATTCCATCGATGGCGCGATAATTGCTCCAGAAAAAGACCCGGTGAAAATCTTGGGCATTGTTTGATCTCCACAACCGCACCAATGACTTTCGCTCTGAAGCGGCTGTTTGGACTTGTTTGATCGGTCGTTCGAATATGACACATTTGTGAGACAATCGATGTGAACACCGTGCCGGAAAATTCCTGGCATCGAGAGAGATAGATACGAAGGTGCTGCTCCTGGTCCTTGGTGTCCAGTTGTATTTCTCCTTGGGCATGTTCCAAGGAGGCAGCACTGCTTTGCAGCTGTTCAACATACCATCTCTCGTGATTTGATCTAGCCTGTAGGCTCAAATTCTCGACCAAACTTAGTAGGTCGGCGGGTAGTTCTTTCTTCGGCGATGAACTATCGGGAATTCGGGGCAATTGTGGTCCTTCTATATCGATGTATGGAGAGAACTCAACGAAGTCATCGAACGAAAGGAATCCTGAATTCCGTTGTGGGACGAGATGTGTGCGGCTCGGGGTGAGATACTGTAATTGCTCCTTACTCGGGACATCTTGGGAGAAAATTAGAGCCGCGAGATCGTTGACATATTGTCGAAGCTCTTTATTGTCGTACCAAGCCCTGAATGCCTTGCGAACTCTAGTCATAAATTCCTGCACATCAATATACTCGTCGATCTTCGGATCTGTCTCGGAAAAAGGCATTGAAGGTGATCGGGTTGGCCACTGACTCTCCAAATGGAGTAGTATCTGTGCGCAAACTTTCTTCCGATTGATGTCCAAGGCGTTCTTCCTCCGTAAATTGAAGAATTTGAAGGTTTCGTGGGCAGTAGGTTCAAGTAGCCCCTCCGGAGTCTGCGGTAGCTCTCGGTGCGTGTTTCCAACCAAAGCACGGGTTTTGACGGTGTCCATCGCAAAACCAGCGCTTGGTTTAAACTTTAGGCAGTTTGGAGGAGATATCGATGTCAACTCAGGTATCACACGGAGAGATGCGATGGTCTCCAAGACAACCATATCAGTAGTTTCTGAAAACGCCATAGTTGAGAGCCAGATCATAAGCTTGAATTTATCAAGACGATGGTCGCGAGAGGTGACAAGACCATGGATGCGGCACCAGTTTACCGCAACGAAATCACTCCAATTCATCACCCACTCGGCGCCATATCCTATCTTAGCAAGATCAAAGTGAGCCTCGGGGCCATGTATCGCATCGGGTTTTGAAAGGAAGTTCCAGAGATGGGCAGTCAATTGCTCCGTGGGATGCCGCTGAATATAAGGGACTTCATTGTAGAGCATCTTGCACAAAGAGAATACCCGGCAAGCCCCCGGAGATGCACGGGAACTGTCTAGGCCTTTGTAGAGTTGATCATGTCCCGACGTGTGAGCCTCCGCGCCGTAACCCGTCACTCGGAATGAAGAGTTCCGTATATTGTCGCGCTTCAAAAGATCCCGTTGCATATGGGGCAGCGGATAGGATTTTTGATTTCCACCGTAAAAGAAACTTGTGCGGCGATCTTGATCGAATATCTTTTCAACCTCCTCGAAGAAGCCATTGTGTTGGGAGAGGGAACCGAGTCCACTGCGCCAACAAACCTCTTGCATTACTCTTTCGTTGGCAGGGTAATATTTTCTCTCTGGAGTTATTGATGCAATTCGACCAAGAAGGTGTATGTGCCCTTGTTGAAGTTGATCAAAGGACCGGATCGAAGCTGAACGAAGGATAGAGAGGGCTTGCTCCGTCCCCGTCTTCTTGGTGAGAGGGTCGGCAAGGCAGAACGAAGTGAGTGCGTGCAAGTAAGCCAGGAAAAGCTTGCTCTGAAGACTCCCGTCGTCAACGAGCCAGCCGAGCTGATCATCAACTGTATATGCATGAAGCCTGGTGTCAAGCTGCCACTCGATCTTCACGTCCACATGGTCATTGGCTTTCGTCCACCATAGATGTCCTTCGGGAATCAAGACCACTTGGTCTTCAGTGTTGTGGTTTGTCAGGAGGAGTTTGTTGTGAAGCCCAGTCAAACAGCGTAATAATTGATTGCTGTTCACTGACATGCCGGGGTATTGTCGAGATTGAACCGCAGAACATTGGGATTGGAGACTGAATTCCAAACGAAGGCGTGGCAGCTCGATTGTCAGAGATTCGGAATCCTTGCCAAAAATGCAATGCAACTTTGAAACCTTTTCAATAGGTTCGAAGATATTAGACATCAAATTTGCCGTGTGGCTTTTCATGTTGACCAGGTAACTTCCTTGCTTCTCCAGGTACCATTCTTCCTTCGGGGAGTTCCTTCGCAAAACCCAGCTCTGACTTGAGGACAGCCATGGATTGCTTGCAGGCCTGAATTCCACTTGATCTTCGTTGACTGCATACCAGTGCACACAATCTTCAACAAAAGCATCGGGGAAGAATCCTGCAAAGAGTCTGGACGGCACAAATTCCCAAATGGCCGTACCACTCATTGCCTTTACAGACAAGTTGAAGTCGCTGGAACCACGTTCTCTTTGTTTTCCCAGATGTACGACGTGGCCCATGTGTTCTTTCTGACAAGAGAATTGCATTCCAGGCGAGCTGCTCGGCATGACTTCCAAGTGCGATGTTCCAAAAAGCCTGCGATAGGTCTTATGGCATTGATAATCCGAAGGCAAACGAGCAAGGGGAAGGCCATCGACAAGAAATTCGCCTGTTAGCAGGTTATAATGCACCGCCATGACCTCTTCAGCCAACCCGGGGTTAAAATGGGTCATTAGCCAGTAACCAGCTTCATCTGACGCCTTTGACCATTGGGATTCGGCGCGGTATGCGGCCCATGATTCTTGAATAGCCTGGTTCAGGCCTGGATTTTGTTGATGAATCACTTCCTCCGCCAGAAGTGAGTGGCAACGATAGCTCAAAACTTCCCAGCGATGATACAAAATTTGGGACAATGGAGTCGTGTCAAGTGACAACGAAGTCCGCTCATTCCAGATTATCATACAGCACTGCACAAAAATGGCAAGATCGGATGGCGCCGAGAACATGGGTTTCAGGTCCTCCGCATTGAAGGTTTCCGCACAAACCAGTGCAACATGAGCGTTTTTTAAGCTCAAGCAGGTTCTTTGAGTATCATCCGTGGCTTTGCTGACTTTCTCCCTTATGATAATGATCCAGCTCAATGCTGTCTGGCGGAAGACTTTCAGGTGATGCACACACAAATTCTGGATGTGTTTTGAAGATGAAAGAGAGAAAACTCTCAACACCAGAGAGATGAGGCTACTGAGCCCATGCGTCATCTCCCAGTTCTCTCGAATTCGTTCACCAGCCTCCTGGATACGTTCTAGCAAAGTAGCCGCGAATACGGGATCCTCCACAACTGCATGGCCTTGTCTCTGAAATGTTCCAAGCTGCGAGGGACCCGCCTGATTGATAGCTTGACAGAAGAAAATCTCTGTTTCTGGTTTTTTGAAATCCACTGAAGGCGCTGACAATTCCAGAAGAATATTTTGCCATTGAATCTCAAGCCCTAAAGGGAGCTGTGCCAAAGCCCTGTACTCCTCCAGTGGCATGTGGGTGGGAGCTGCAAACTGCGATGCGATGACGGTATTTGGAGATAATCCATTCGGTGCTTTGGGTGGCCGAAACAAGAATTGCTGTAGGGATGAGCTTTGCTTTGGCAGCCGGTATGTACACAGTGTTGTGGTCTTAAGGCTTGTTTTGACATCTGCTAGAAAACAACCAACGGTGTTGTCAAAGTATTGGAAATCAAGTCCATTGTTGAGACAAATGTCGGACTCGGTCACATGCACTATCGGTTTTTCCTTGCGGTGAGTCCTCTCGTGAGGCTTATTTTGTGAAAGAAGCCCGATACGTTGCTTTTGCCCAACGGGAGTGGCGAAAGCAGACAGACCGCGATATTTGAATAGACGGTGCTCAGCTCTGGGGCGCTGCTGAGTAGTATACTCAATACCCAAAACGTCCAATAGGAAAAAGAGCGTTGTATCTCGCCAACTTTGGAAGGGTTCAACAAGTTTTAGCTCAAAGACCGTGGATTTAGCTTTCAGATGGTTGGCCGACAAAGGCCATTCGTGAATGCCTATTTTGATGGACTCGGCTTGAGTTTTATATGAGCACCGTGCACATGAATGACTATGTCGAGATTCTCGGAATCCGAACTGATGATCCACGATGACTTCATTGTATTGACACTCAGTCTTCCGTTCTAGATCCTTCAGGTGGCGATACCTTTTCTGCTTCTCCTGGAGCTCGCTCATCTTCTGCGCTCTCTCACGGTCGGCGTGCTCTTTGATTCTTTCGTACAGATGCCGATGCTCCTCTGACTTGTCAAAGTATCTGACCGAGAAGCATGTCGGCTTCCCGAAATCACGAAATATACCCGGCCCTCGACTTTGAACAGCTGTCTGGCGTTGCCGGAGATACGCCTCCCCCTGAGCTAATCTGAGCATTTGTGACTTGAATGGCAGCAAAAGGGGCTGAAAACAATCAACCGGGACGCATGGGTCGTATTCGCTCAACATCTCGTGTGCGAGAATTGCAGATTTATCGCAAGCAATCCACAGCTCCAGAAGTGTAAGGAACATGACAGATGAAGCCTCTGGATTGCTCTTGTAGAGTAACGATGCGGCATGATAATAATCAGTTATCAAGCGGCCGAGTTGACGGCAGGTAAGTTGCTCCCGCTCGTGATGTTCCATCCACGCATCAAGGTGCAACGCAACCCATTCTTCAAAGGCAGCAAGGTTGTAGGCTTGATTATCACTACCGCTGGAATCGGGGCTCGTGGGCAAATTCGACGATGGGTATTTGAGAAGCTGCGGTTGTGGTTGGAAAGCGATCGCAGTAGAGCGGCTAGATTCTCGATTCCTAAATCCTTCGATATATTGGTCAAGTTTGGGGAATGCGCAGTGGGCATCCAGATTAAAATCCAAATCCGCCAATGACAACATGTCATGGTTGCACTGGTTCTTATCCATGATATCAGTCCACCGATTTTCGACCGTGTGTGTTGCTTGGCTCAAAATCCGCTGAATTGATGGGAACCAGCCTGGCTCTTCCGGCAGCTCGAGCTTTAGCAGTCGGCGCGCTATCTTAGCATTCATTAGATAGATTTCCTCGCTAGACATTGTCTTCAATGATGCTTGAAGGAGGGAGCCCATGAAATAGACCATGAATTGTTTGTATAATCTGTTGGTCCATTCTTCCCCAGATAGCCTTCGAAAGACCAGTTGAAGGCTCACTCGGATGAACAGCCACAAAGCTGACCTCCGCCAAGGGGATCGGCTGTCATGCCACATCACCTCTTCACGGGTCTTTTTTTGGATTTGCAATGTGTCAATGCCAGAGCAACGAGGATGCAGAGCTGCCATGAGGAACTCCGTCACCATTTTAGGATGCGTAGTGTCTCTATCTTCGTCATGCGTCTGCTTAGCCTTTGTGACTATTGGCTTGGTACCGGGAACTGATTGATGGCTCATTCTTGCAAGAGTCTCGGCAAGTGTTTTCTGCAGACCAGGCTCATTGAAAGTATCCAGATCCATAGCAATCGCTGGGCCAGGGAAGGTTCGTATGAGACGACCCATGGTTGTTATCACGGGCTCATTGCGAGGAGATAGTTCGAAGGTCTCCACATGTACCGCATCTTTGTACCGACTGAAGAGTATTCCTGCATTCTGCTCGCGGATATGGACAGGCAGGAAGCCACCTAAGACTTGGTGAGACATCATGCCATTTTGATTTTCAACGCATGCTTACCCTTCTCATCCAGGCTTCCAAATGCATCGAAAAGCTCATTTTCGGTCGCATCGCCGTGAAGTCCGCAAATGCTCTTCAGGCGAAGAGTCATCGTAGTGATGGCGTCAAGAGTATCAGCGCTCTTGTTCGCGGAAAGACGACTGAAATCACGAAGAGCTCCGATGACGTGCTCAAGAAGAAGTTGTTCATGCTCGGGCTCGTAATCGTCCGATTGAGGAAGTTTTGGAGGGAGAAATACGTGATGAAATAAAAAAAGACTCTCCTCGCGGGTCAAGATTCTGGGAGAATGAGGTATCGTCATCGTGTTTGGAGAAGGGGGTTTCCCGAAGGTTGACTTGCTGTAGAAGATCGTTCGTATGAAGAAGGTTGTTTTGATAGGTTGAGGTTGATCATCTTCAAAGTCAACGGAATGACTACTGCATTTATAACAAACAGTGTTTGCTCGACACCTCCCACACCCGCGTCATCCTTACAATGTACAATGCAAGCTAAGAATGTGGACCCTTAGGCACGTCTTCTTTACTTGCCCCTTTCAGGATTGGACTAGGTACTTTCTGTAACGGTCACATGATATGGAAGGCTCCGATGTGGAAGATTCCAATAACGGCTCTTTCGAATATTGCTTGATGGCTTGCTGCATGAGTTAGTCCGCCCCTGCATGAAATTGGATGGTCTCCCACGTGAGGTTGGATGTCCTCCTGCATGAGGTTGGATAGCCTCCTGCATGAGGTTGGATAGCCTCCCGCATGAAGTTGGAGGGCCTCCCGCATGAGGTTGGATGGCCCCCCACATGGCTGGTCAACCTCTGCATGAGATGGAGTTGCATCATCCATGGGCTTACGCAGTGGGTCCTGCAATCCCTGCGTTGGCAGTGGTACAAGGATACGTATTTTTGGTAACCGATAACAGCCTCTCGCAGACCGCCTCTGAGGCTCTGCGACTGGTCTCCCACACGCCAAATCACAAACAAATCGTGATCCTGACAAAATAATCTTGCACAGACTAGCATATTCTATGCATTTATAAGCTTCATACCTCCCACGTTTCTACGGCCTTGTTCAGCTCGACGATATCACATTGCGAGATATCTACTTCAATGTTCCACCACGATGCCAGATCGCCTGAAATCGGCACTTTCCTACCTCAATTCGGTGTAGAGCCTAAGAAGGTCGGTCTGCCAAGGCTCAATCCTTACCACAGACTTCTCAGTAGGTTCTACGAACCATTAGTCCTTTTGCGAGTCCTTGGACAAAGCGGTGGAGACCCCACGCCGAGGCCTACCGATCTAGACGCAGCCCAAGCAACTCGTCGAAAGTTTCTGCGAAACCTTTCTTTTGTTTGCGATTATGACAGAGGAGGTACAACGTGTACGGCAGTCGGACTTGAAGATCACAAGACATGCTATATATTTTGGGTTGCGTCTAACAGAGGAAAAGATGAAATAACCGAATTCTTGAAGGCGGCCCTTGGCTGTCTGCGAAATATCGAACTTTTGCCAAAGGCAGAACTCGTGGACAAAGCAGCAGATTTCTCAAAACGCTGCGTTGAATTCGCAACCAAGCGAATTGAGAAAGAAAAGAACTGCTTGTTTGCGGCGGTGCATGGCTGCCTCCAAAGGCTCCTCCATCAGAATACAAACAGAGGTATTTGTCTCATACCTGCAACGCATACTGGGCGGTGTCTAAACTCCTGGTAGCCAAAATACTGAGCGAGTGGCTTGCCTCACTTCTAAGCTATGATGATAATTATCAACTTTGTCTATTCGCCTACGAGACCCGGCAATCAGAATACCTTTCTCAGCTGCAAATTCAGTCTGCAGAAGAGGCGAGGGTATTTCACCCTGAAAGGGAGTTGGAATGTTTTGCCTCTGCTAGACACCTTTTGGGGCGACTCGGCCATCATATTCGAGCTTCTGAGGAACTTTTTGGGGATGCGACAAGTGTCAATTACATACTTCAGACTTTTGAGGTTTGCGCCATCGGCTCGATGTCATGTGTGCGTCCACCAGCCCCTGACGCACAGACACATCTCAAAGGCTTTCTCAACCGAATGTTACGAAAAGATTGCAACGAGAGGCTTGAAATTGAGAATGGCCTCTGGAAACTCAATTCCATCAAAAACATTTTCGCAAGCTTTACGACCAAATACGCACGAATAAAGCCACGAATTCACGCGGAGGTGCAAGTCCTTGAGTACTTTTACAACAATCAAATGGCATTTGCGGGGAATGACCGGTATATTGCTTGCAGCAAGCCGGCTTGTCTATGTTGCGAATTGTATTTCAAATACCATCCGGCTCGCATGGTGGTTCCTGAATCGCATCGAAATATCTGGACAAATTGGGGGCTTCCTGCCGTGGAGAATTTTTCGAAGGCGATTCCTGCAGGCAGACAACAGTTGGACATTCTGAACAAAATAATCCACGAGCTCCGCGAGATGGTCATCAAACAAGCCCTTGGACATTCTCCAGCCGGGAACTGGCATCCCGATTCGAGAACAGGGATTACGGAACCTCATTACTCTGGCCAAAGCCAAATGCCTTGCAACCTCTTTGAAAGGAAGCCATTTTACTTATCCGTCGGGGCTTCCTTTGGCCAGCAAGACCAAAAGTCAGAAAGCGATACTGAGCAAAGATTAGTTGACTTTGAGGAATTGGGAAATGTGGATGAGGACTCTGATTTTGACGATGGAGGTGTTCCAATCTATACTTGAATCATTTTACAGAGTTGCGTTTACAAATTGTTCTGCTCTTGATGTCGATACAGTAAGTGAGCTGCAGTATTTTATGTCGAAATGGAAAACGGCCGATGGATTAAGAATGCTGCCTATAGTGCATTCTTGGACTAGCGGTTACATTGCCTAGCTTTGTGCGACAGTTTACCATCCTTTGACGGCCAAAGACGAGTCCAACCCTTTGAAAGCATGCTTATTAAATTCACTGTTCACCGTCTCTCGTGCAGATGGCATTCTTTACGTGCTTTCCAAGATTGTCTTCTCTTGTAAATGACACACCGCATCGCTTGCATTCAAATCCATCAACCATTCCTCGATTATTTCGAGGCCTTGGCTTATGCCAAGTTTCAACATGCCGACGAATATCCATCTGCCCAGCCGCACGGTGATCACACCAGGTAAATGGACATTTGACTGGCTTCTCATGTTGCCGAATATGCTTTCTGATGGAAATCAGCTATCACAGTGAGTGAATTGAAGAGGCAAGTCTTTTACCTCAGAAGGCCTAGCTTCTCATATCCCTTCTTTGATTTGCATCCTTGATAGGGGCAATGATACATTCCATCAGAAGAAACCACAATGTAGTCAAGTGAAGGCATTTCGGCTTCTTCAAACTCTGCCACTCGTGGTTCCCTAGTTGATGGTACTGAAACACTTGCTTCCTCAATTCCCTCTGCATTGGCAGCCGCAGCAGGTGCCATACCCTGAATAAAATCTCCGAACGTTTCCAACTCATCAGGAAGCTCGCCTGAAGCAGCACTCTAAAGAGGCTGGCCTTCGGTATATACTTCAGGAGGTAGGAAGTTATCCAGTGAAGTTTCATTCAGAAGATCGAAATTGTTATTCCACCACTGAGGAGAATCAAGGGTCGTGTCCGAATGAGGTGCAGCACCTCCTTCAGCACTGAAAACCATTGGGAAGTCAGTCGTTTCAAAATGATCAAAATGACAAGCTGGCACAGTCGGCAAATCAACAAGAGTATCCCAAATCGACCCTTCATCATCCTGGTCCTCATCCTCGCCTGAAAGTCCGACTTCCATGGTCGTCGATTGAAGTGCAGATGAAGACTCAACGAAGAACTCATGGTAGGACCGTCGGAATTTATACTAAAGCCGGACCTCCCTGGCTTAAGCTTCATCATGTCCGCATACACGGAAGTGGTAAACCACATGCAAAGTAGCAACTTTGGCGCTTGCAGCCAGTTTGGCAGAGGTATTTTTGTAACGACGACGGCGCACGCCAATCAGGTTCTACTATGCTTATCTTGTCTGACTCGTCATCTTTCAACACCGAATGAAAAGATCGTACTCAATCGGCGATATTCAAGTTTTACCTACAGATACCCATTACGTGGGCTCAAAATCTTCCCAGAACCACCTTGCTTAGCCGATACTAAAGCTAGATTTCTGGCATGTCGGTGTGTGCCGCTTGTCCGAAATGATGTAAATAACGTATTTGATCTAGCTATTCAGTGATAGCATCCTCATGCATTCTACCAAAAAAGGTGTGATCGAGGAATTGATATTCTGCAGGTGAGCTGGCAAATCCCCAAATGTGAGCCCGATACGGACTGCATCCAGAGGCCCTAAAAGCGACCAACCAAGCTTGTCCACACTTTTTCACTACTTCACCGCTTGTTTTATCGGCTTATCAGTCTCAAGCCATCGAGATGAGTCTTCAATGAGCGGCGCCGTGTTGATCGGTCATCCGCAGCCACCAAACTATGCTAGCTGATCCGCGCTGATTATACCTCTTTGGCCATATGATGCGAGATTACGTGGCACTCAGTTAAGCCAAGGAAGCTGGGTAATATAAAATGCACCTGTAATGGGCTTTTGTCGGTGAAGCAGAATTGACCGTAGCCACTGACCAAAGCCATCTTCTCACCAGCTGGCCAATCTGTGCTGACAAGAGTCCAACTCGGTTACAGCGCATGCCCCAGTATGAGCCATATCTGACGCCATTATACATAAGTAACTCATTCAATCTTACTTCTTTTGTTGGAAATCCCACACTGAAATAGCTACCCAAGCCCTACACTAAGCCTGCCAATTGTCTGAACTTTTAGGGTCGAGCCCAAATCTCAACTAATAGAGACGTCCAACCAATCTCTCACAATTAAAATACACTCAAGTTGCTCATCTGCTTGAATGCATTGCTATGGCTACTTTGCAAGATCCAAGTAGCCCCGATGCTCAAATTGGTGGGTTTTCTCTCCTGTCACATTCGACATAAATACTTCTCTCACGCCGCTCACAGATCAACTCGTGGGAAGATTGATGTTCCGAGCGAACGTCACAGCTCTCCTTTCCCAATCAACCCGATTTCCTAGCTTGCTGGTTAGTTGCCTTATCTTTCAGCCCAAATAACAATACTTTCCTAAAGACTAAATGAGTAGAAGCTGGATACTAGTCATTTTATAAAGACATATGACTACACCACAGCAATACAGAATCTGCAAGCAAGGGATATTGTTTCATTGGACAATACTCGAACAGAGCCGCAGACAGCTGTCTTTCAGATCCTTGGTTTTACATATCGCTCACGCACGGTACCGGAGGCATATGCTCTGATGTGGAGCCTACTATGCTCTGGTCACGGAGGACGCCACATGGAGACTTTTAGGGACACAATGACTCCCTTTACTGCCGACCACCCAAGTTTCTGGCCACATCGGACAGAGCACACGACTGGAGCAGGGTCACAATCTGATTTTCACAATGGCGACGATCTACCAAAGTACACGTCTATATTGTTCGAAAAGGGACAAGAATACGGCAAGGTGCCTGAACGTACAAGTTCAGTGCTCAGCATAGATCCTCCGCTGTTTAGAGTGACGATTCGCTTTAGAGGCGTTAGTGGGTTAGGAACTGGGCGGAATAAGAAAGTCGCTGGCCATTTGGCTGCAAAGGATATTTGCCATCAGCTGGGATTCGCAACTTAAATGTAGCGGCGGAAATTTTCGGATCATTTTTAGTGCCACAAATTGCATCACTATATTGCATACCTTGCTATGAGATGATGACATAGAACGGTTCGCAATCTGGGGATATTATCCCTACTGTATATCATGGTAGCAGGTCGACAGTAAAGTAATCTACTTACCTCTGTACGCGAGGTAAATCAAAGATCCACCTTAAATCGTCGCGTGGGCGGTTAAATTGTCAGCATCTAAACTCTAGGGTGGGCAATACGCCTTTCCCAGTCATTCCGTCGCGGTCGATTTCCAAACCGGCCAACCTAACTATTCTACCCGAAAGAAGAACCCAACTCTAAATATTTCCTGGAGATTCACTATCAAGAAAGGCAGACAGTCTCACCCTGTCACAAGAGTGTTGTGGTTACAGTATCTTGCAACAATTGTTTGATTAAGTCCTAATACACATATGTATCTTGTTACCCAGTATTACGCCAAAGCCAGTTCAACGCGAACAAGCATAGCCTCCGTTTGAACAGAAGACCAGAGCAGTCAAAATTTAGAAGATTTGGTCAGCAATATTCTGGACACCGTGACCGAATTGGGAGAAAAAGCCTTCGTGCTCCGATCGCTGTTCTGATCGCTGCTCCAATCGCTGCTCCGATCGCTGCTCTGGTAGCGGCTCTGATCGCTGCTCAATTTTTCCAGGCGCCGGTTGTCCAGACATGTCCCGAAGAAGCTGCAGAGATGGCGTGAAAAAGTAATCTCCGCCATTGGCCTGGATAAAGGGAAGGAAGCTGGTAGTGGTGTTCTGACCTTTGCCGTCGACCAGACTCGTGGTCAAAATTTTGTGTTTCTCTTTTTGGGGGTTCTTGACGAGTTGTCCTATAATGGCATCCTGGCCCGGGTTCGTCCCGCCAGTGTAGCGGGTCTTTCCGGGCGGGAATGTATCCATATTGATCCAACCTTGAGAAATAGTGAGTCAGTGCTCGATTCCAATTACCCATGTGAATGATCACTTACTCCTTTTCAGAAATTGAAACCCATTGGAGATACTGGATTGGTAGCAGGTGAACAACAGACCGCGGTCGCGTTCGGTCTTGGTCTCATTGACACCTACTTCCGGTCCATAGGGGATACCACGGCGCATGATATCATTCATATCTCTGTTGCTGACAAGGCTTCGGGGCTTGACCTTGCGCATGTGTGAAGCAAATGGACAGTTGGTGTGGCTTGTCGGGGAATAGTCAAACTCGTTTAGCCTTGCATCCTCTGTACAGTCGTCCTGGGGATGAAGCTCAACCGGGGCACCTGTAATTTGTCTCAGTATCTGAAAACGCAGAGCTGACTACCAGGTTGCAGCTTACCACTCTTCCAACGTCCCAGCAGTCGTGCTCCTAACTGCCCTTCATTGAGATGGAGTTTGGGGGCTTCGGATTTCAGGTAGCTGCCGTTGTAGAGTCAGATCACCGTCTCGAAGATGCGAAGGAAACCACAGGACGTACTCGTTGAACTCGGGCACAAGTTGTCGGAGCTTACGGATAACAAGATAGCTGCCATCCTTGGCCCAGCCGGGGTGCTGGAATTTTTCTTCATTGTTCAACTCTCCATCGTGTCCAATCAAAATGATGCTATATTATTTGTTAGCGTACCAGCGCCATCATCCTCAAGCCTAAGCTTCAACATACCCTGGACGAGTGAGATATTGGTAATTTCCATCTCCTTTTTGGGGCGGATTATCGAAGCCCTTGAGTTTAGGCTGCGAAATGGCATCCAGGAAACCAAAGCTGTGATGGGGTTAGGTTGAACACTTAACGTCGACCCAGAACCGGAAGACTTACTGCTCATGCCCTTTATGAGCCCCAGGCCTCTCTCTCCCATCCAAGGTAAGAAGGTGCCTGATTCCTTGCTTCGAGCTCAGGTATTTGTAGGCCAGCTCCGACACCGTGTCCTTGACCATCGATTCGGTGCCGCACACCAGCAGAACGCCATCGACGCCGCCTTGCTTGTCCTCTCCTACTTTGAACTCGTCAATCCAGTCCTCGGCCCTATCTCGGCCCTCATTCACCATATCAGCCTCCATGCCCTTGAGGAATGGATCATCCCTGAATCCGCTCTTGGACAGCTACACGCAAAGTGACGGGTTAGCCTGGTGAACCGATGCTGTGAAAGCAGACCCTTAGGGTTACTTACCTTGTCCATGCCCTTGTTGCTGAAAGCTATATTCACTCCAGCCAACTCATGATCTCTGTCCGACGCCGACGCTTTAGCCTGATGTATGGCCTTTTTGTCGTTCAGAGCATCCGCTGCGGACGTAATCACTTCATCCGCCAGCTTTCGGAGACTTGGTTTAAAGGCATCGGGATCGTGAATCTGAAAGAACCAAAATTCCTGGTATCTTTTCGACAAACCAGGCCTAGAAGCAAGTTAGTGTGGAAATTAGGAGTGAAAAAGCGAACTGGAAACTCACCAAATATCTCCTTGGATGTTCTCAAAATTGGGAGTGTCAGACATTTTTCACTATGAAGTCTCCCTGGGTGTAAGTCAAAGATGTGGCCGAGACTAGGTTTAGAAGATAGTAGTGCAGCCTCACGTCGTGCTTCCTCAAATCGCCCTTTATAGCCTACTGGGCTGTAGCTGGTGCGACCGGCTCCCAGTGTGACCTCACTGTTAGTCGGCAAATCACAATGTACTTCTCGTCTATGGGTGAGCTGATCAGATGCGACTGTGGAGACTGGCCGCTTGCTTCCGCTCATCATAATCATAACTGCTTGCGGAAAGGTTTGAGGCTCATCGTACACTGCAGGTCTTAGGCATCGGGCCCCTAGTACTCTGTGGAGAGCCTATCCAAAAGGCCTAGCACCTCATTCTGTATAAACCAGACAACCTAAGACTGCAACTCCGGGCTCATGGTGACGACATGAAGTTGAGATGAGCGAGTCAGTTACGATAAGGGCACTTCCTCCCCATGAACATAGCCGTGGCTGTGAAATTTAGAAATTTCCCGGACAAGTATGGCCCAATGCAATACTACATGAATTGCATTCGTGGTATCATGGTGGGGCATGATGTCTATGTGGTGAGCAGTACTCCTTCTCCAGGAGCCTGTTGCGGTCTGGTCTGGTCTGAGAATGCGGTCCCAGTTGCATGATTTTCCATTTCCATCCATAATGGCACATACCGCTAGGGCTTAATTGCAATTACTCTTGGCTCCGTCGCCATTTCATGGCCCTGTAGACTTATTTATTGGGTTTCTTTAGGCTGGCCGCTGACAGTCTTTGAATCTTTGAAGGTGAGATGCCTCCCTGGCCAGCAGTGAGTAACCAGACTGCTCTGGCAGTGGATGACGCACACTTACCCCACGGAACTGGTGGTGAAAAAGGAAGTAGGAGAATACTTCCGCACTTGAACCATGTACTTTTGACATGCAGCATTGCTTGCGGGCTAGACCTAGATGAGGAGTGATCCCCATCGCCGCGATGTTGCATAATGTGCGCTCTAGTCGATTCTGCAGAAGTCACACACGTATGCATTCTTGTTGCCGTTAAGAATTCACTGAAAGTAAGCAGTCTGGGTCGTGAGACCACCTACTATAGATGAAACCTCCAAATGGTGTTGGGCGTCCCCAGAGAGGCCTGTGCCTCCTTGCCGAGATGGTAAAGGGTTCGTTCCGAGGCCCGGAATGTGACGGAAATTTTCGGCACACATTCCCTGCAGCACCAATGGCCTCATGTGCTTTATGCTACGACCAATGCCTCATACGGGAGTCAGGGTGGAGACATGGCCGCGCTAGGGATGAATCAGGTTTTGGGGCTGCTTTTGGGCGGGTGGCGGGCGGGCTGCGCCGGCCCGCTGAACTTAGCGTAGACTTCATTCAACTCTGCCGTTTAGCCGCATTCCGGCCTCCCTGTCTTAGCCAATACTCTCTCTACCCTCTTCTATCAACAATGCTCCCATCCCTCCCCATTCGATCCAGGCTGTTAGTTGTGATTCAGCCTAGCCGAACAATCCCCCCCAGGCCACAATATGTTCACCAAGATCCCTCCGGAGGACCTGTGCAGGAAAATCTCCTATACCTTTTACGATCCAGGCGATCCACATGGGATCCTCACCCGGCTTTTCCCCAGCATTCCTGAGGTCAGAATCTGTGTCACGTTTCTTTATCCAGAATTGGGTGACATAGGAGAGATGACTATTCCTCGACCACATTCTACACCCCCTGCTGAAGAGGGCAGCTGAATGTTTGTTCTGTTGCCCACGACATAAAATGTCGTGAGCCGATCCATTCCAACGATGCTCTGACATGGCCCTACGGCTACGACCCTTGCGCCACGAGCTATGTTCGCCTCGTTCCCCCACAAAGTCTGGCCTGCTGCGCTGACAATGCTGGTGGACTGTGAAAATGTCAACGGGCTCGGCAGCATTGCACACGGAAGTTTTAAAAGCATTGGGCGCTGCACTGGATTGATCTGGGGCTCTCATTGCATCCATTGATATCGTCCGTCTGAGCGTATGCCTGGCTTGTGCGGCCGTACACCCGCCGCTCCAATCTCAAGATGAAAATTCATTGGCGTGCAGCCGCGCTTCTGCTGGGGACGGCGAGGGCGAATGATGTTATGCAGCTCGAGTCCCTTTACCGCGAAGGAACGACACCCGACACTGCTCCGATTGGCGGCCGCGAAGTTTTGACCCTCGCGCAGCCTCTTCCGCAAGGCCAGCCGATCCCACGTGCTGAATGGTTCGTTCGATGTTCCACAATTAGCAGTGGCGACGATTGCGACCAAGCCATCGATGACACAACCGAGACATTCTGGAAGAGCGCGGACAGCAGTACCACACAAAGTATTACCATCTATTTAGGAATGCAGGAACGTGCCGTGAGCGGGTTGACCATGGTACCCAGACAGGATCAAAACGCAAGTCTTATTTTGGAACATCAAATACTCCTCAGTACCGATGGCGACAACTGGAACGAGGTCGCTTATGGAACCTGGTGGCCAGATCAGGCCCAGAAGCTCTCGGCTTTTCAGCCCCAAAAGGCCAACTACGTGCGACTGTCCGCCCCGGCCTCAAATGGCATTGCCATTGCAGATCTTCAGATCTATGAAAGCGAGTTTATCCCTCCAAACGCAGCCCTAGGTGCTTGGGGCCCGACCATTGATTTACCCCTGGTTCCCGTGGCTGCAGCCGTCGATCCGATTTCTGGTGCGGTGGTGACTTGGTCCGCCTGGGGCCATGATATCTTTACCGGCAGCCTCGGTGGTGAGACGCAGACAGCCACTTGGAATTCCCGAGATCATTCCGTGACCCAGAGAGATGTTGAAAATACGCACCACGACATGTTCTGTCCTGGGATCTCGACCGACGCGGATGGGAAGATTGTCGTCACTGGCGGAACCGATGCCAGCCAGACCAGTATTTACAACACCAGTGGCGCTGCTTGGTTCGAGGGAATGCCCATGAATATCGAACGTGGCTACCAGGCATCGACAACCCTGTCGGATGGGCGCATCTTTGTCATCGGGGGCTCGTTCAGCGGCGGAGTTGGTGGTACGAACGGGGAGCGCGTCGAAACGACGAACGCGGATAACGCCAGCGGCAAGGACGGGGAGGTCTACGATCCAATATCCGACGAGTGGACCGAGATTTCTGGCGCAAAGGCCTCAGCGATGCTCACCGACGACAACCGAACCTACCGGCAGGATAACCATGGCTGGTTATTCGCTTGGACCAACGGCTCGGTGTTCCAGGCGGGCCCCAGCAAAGCAATGAACTGGTACGGCACGGCAGACAGTGGCAGCACCACTCCTGCCGGAAGCCGCACAGGGGATGAAGACGCCATGTGCGGCAACGCGGTCATGTATGACACGGGCAAGATTCTCACCTTTGGTGGATCTCCCTGGTACGAAACGCGCAATGCGACCACAAATGCTGCCATCATCACAATTGACAAACCCGACCAGAACCCATCTGTCCAGCAGGCGGGGAATGGAATGTTCTACCAGCGCACCTTCCATTCGTCCGTCGTTCTTCCAGACGGCTCAGTGTTTGTTCATGGCGGCCAGGATGTTGGACTTCCTTTCAATGAGAGTGGGGCTCATCTGACTCCAGAGCGCTTCATTCCCAATGCCACAGATCCTCAGGGAGGCACCTGGATCGAGCAGCAGAAGAACAGTGTTGTCCGTGTCTATCACAGCCTCGCACTGCTGCTTCAGGATGGCACGGTATTTACAGGCGGCGGTGGCCTGTGCGGAAATTGCTCTGCCAACCACTTTGACGGCCAAATCTACACGCCGCCTTACCTGCTGAAGGCCGATGGAACTCCTCAGACAGCACGTCCTGTGATCAAGAGCGTGACGCAAACCGCGGTCAAACCGGGCGATACTGTCGAGGTCACCACTGAGGATGCCGTCGACACGCAAGCGTCGATAATCCGCTACGGGTCCGCGACACACACGGTGAACACTGACCAGCGACGCATTGGCGTTCAATTGAGTACAAATGGGTCTAACCAATACACGTTCCAAATTCCTGATCAAGCAGGCATTGCCCAACCCGGGTACTATATGCTCTTTGTCCTCAAGGATGGAGTCCCTAGTCATTCAGTGAATGTTCATGTGTCTCCTTAAAAATCATATGTGATGGAAATCAATGTGATGGATTTGACGGCTGTTGAGGCTACACACGTGGTAATAAACCTGCGGCCGCGGGCTGGTTCATTTGGAGTGGATCGAGGATCGGGTATCTTTAATTCTTGGTCTCCCTGTCCAGTACTGTACTTCTGTGGGAAATAATAAGGCTGGTTCTAACATGGTATGTTTCATTTTTTTTTCTGTTCTCTTCTAGGTTCTGAAAATTATAATAGCAGCTATTTGATTCGAACTACATACACTGGTAGCGGGCTCTGCCTCTCCTCATCTAGCAGAGAGCGTCCTAGTTGGTGGGCGGGAACCCATCAAGCTTTGATATCCCCAATTGCCTTAATCCGAAAGGCATCGGTTTATGAGCACAGCGTCTAACTCATTCTCTAGTCCAGAGTCTCTCTCTGCGCGCTCATGTAATTTGCTGCAGAAACAGGGTTACGACCATAAATATCAAGGCCTAGATACGGCCCTGGATAATGCTCTCCTGGCCGACGCATATAGCCTCAATGATGGATTCACTGAACCCCGGGTGATCGACCCCTGGGCGTCAGATCTTGGCTTGCCACATCGTAAACGCATCGGCGACTTGGGCACCAGACTCAACCTCGGTCTTGTAGTCTGGCCATGCTTGGAGTGGTCCGATGAACATTTCTGGTCTTAAGGCGTCTAAACTAGTGGTATAAGGACCTTGCAGCCTTTCTGGAAGACTGTTGTTGATAGCTTGGGCGGCTGGGACTGATTTCTCCACCAGCAGCCATAAATAAAGAAAAATACTCTCACGATAAAATACTGGACTCAATGGAGCGTGCTACAAGACATCTGCAGATTGATCCTTGTCGTCGTTACCGGGAGGGCCGAGCTGCGTCGGCGGAGGTCAGTCTAGATTTTGAACTGCTCGGCACTTTACTGAGCGTATCACTTCTGCGAAGCCTGTTCTTCTGTTCATGATAAGACAACAATATTTACATGTCGCCTCTGTGCCCCAACCTGGGCTGCTTCTTGGCTTCTCAGTATATTACTCTGTCCACTCGCAGTGTTCGGGTGCCCACCCTTCGTCATAATTCCATCAATAAAGTGATCAGTCAAACATAGTCTCCATCCCACTCCTCAACAGGCGGGAAACTATCTGCCAGAGGGCTATCTGAAACGGCCATTGTAGCCTCCTCAACTTCCTCCTGGTGATAGATCGAATCGATCCATTCCTGGGCCTTCCTCAGCTTTGCACGGTCTCTAGTCAGGGTACTGCGCCGTAGCTGGCGTTCCGGATCCTCGGCCATTAACTCCATGCAACGTTCCGCCGCTAGCATATAGTCAGTAAAAATAAAGTCATCTTATAGCGAGGTGGATTGGCACTCACAATTTGCGTCTAATTTGATGTTGATAACGTGAATCAGTTCATCCCGACACTTGCAGAAAAGCTTCGCGTGGGCAGATTGACACATCAGGTCCAGGAATCTCGAGCTTGCAATCTCATAATAGCCGCGCGAACTCTAGTGGATCCTTTAGCAATCTTCTATCAAACTTGTGGCAAAGTGACTGACCGCCATCATCTCGACTTCCTGAGAATAGGCATCGGGACTCAGGTGATCCTTTATGACCTTCACGATGTTCCCTTCATCGTTCGGATCATGTCCCCCACGCCGTAGGTATGCCTTGGCTCGGGAGCGGCTGCGCCCAGTCACCAAGAGTTGGTGATGGTTCTCTTGGGCCTTCTTGTGCTGGGCCTGGGCCATCGTGAACGGCACTTCCTGCTCAATTCGATAATGAGCCATGGAATAGGCAAGGTAGTCCGTGCGTAATTGAAGGAGAAAGTCATTTATGATGTTCCTGAGCTCTCGGTACAGACCTGTCTGGCGATACTGAGCGATCACCTCATCAAGGTTCATCATCAGAACCTTCGCTACCAGGCCATGTGCAGTCATGACGAATGTGCTGGTCAGGGAATCCCAATGGGTTACGCTCTGGCGATTGAGCATTTCAATTGCACTGGGGTCAATGTGATTGGGTATTCCAGCACGGTGCGATTCTTCCTTGATGCCCCGGATTTCTTCCAGGGTAAATTTGCGCCCCGGTCCCATCCATTTATTGAAAACTTCCATAAAATAGACCTTGCTGGTAGGCAACAGTTGAGAATCCGGAGTTTCAGCATCTGCTCCTGGAGCCTTTCGCTTAAAGCGAGGTGGAGAAGGTATAACGAGCATATCGGAATCAGAGTTAAGGCGTTCCGTATGCATCTCGTAATCAGAGATGGCGGTTGTAATCAACGTTGGCCTGGTGATTGCCAAAGCCTTTTGGAAATCCATGGCAAGATGATTCCAAAACTTCTGGAGCATGTTACCCGAGCCGTGGCCCAAGCCTCCATCAAAAATGCCGCGGAATCTCAAACCAAGTGTGGTGACCTTCTCAGTAAGGATCCTTTGGAAGTTTTCGCTAGGAGGATCCGGCAAGGTAGCCAGCTCTCGATCTATGCGATCAGCCTTCTCGTTAATTTTGTCGATGATTGATGGCAGAGACTTCTGAATTTGATTCATAAGTATTGTTGAGAGGGCCGTCTGGAGCCGTCGAACGCCGAAACGGTTCTGGTATTTTGAAACGATCCAGAATGGGTCAGAGAAGAAGGCCTCTTCTTCCTCTCTTGCCTGTGCGTGTTCCACTGTCGGATCTTGGTTGTTGCGCACAACAAAGTATCCATGACCCAGCTGGAACTTCTGTCCTTCCAGTATTTCCTTCCATTGGTCGAAGGATTCCATTTGAGAGATTCGATCGGGCTTTGTCAACACGCCCAGGGTGCGCTCTTTGGCAGACTTGATATCGCGAATCAGTCTAGCGGCACTAGAGTTGGTCGCGTCGTCCGTCATAGTCAAAGTCAGAATGACAATGCAGTTCTCCTGAGAGACATATTGCTTGACCAAATTCTCAACAAGACCAACGAGGTATTTCTCGTCATCATGCTCCGTTTGACTGATTACCCCGGGCAGATCATAGAAAGATAGTGCCGGAAACCCAGGCGCAGAGATGTCCAAGCGAACAACATTTGGCGAGAACTTCGCCGAGGTTGTCTCATCAGCGCCCTGGTTTCTGCCAGGAACATAATCCTGTGCATCTCTCAATGGGTTTAGAACCGCAATCTGGGCCCATTTGATGGCGTCCTGAACCTTTGACTTGTCGGTTAAGGTAATGAACACCTCCTCGTCCTGACCTCCGCTGGGTCTCCAGGGGCCAAGAGGCTCAGCCTTCTTGGGGAGATTCCGCAGCTGCTTGCTGGGGTCGAACCAGTATCGACGAGACAAATAGACGACACAATTCCAGGAATCGCCTGGCTCGCTCTCGGAGAGGTTGATCTCCATTGGGCATCGTGTGCAAGTGCCTGCACTTCGCGGGACCTTGATCTCAGAGATGCCTTCAATCAGAGAGCTTTTACCAGTACTCTGGTCACCGACAACACAAATCTTTGGGAGGGTGATTTTGTTATCCTCGATACCCAGATGACTGAGCTCTTGGATCTTCTTGACCAAATCCTTCATGTCCATGGTCAAAATATCAAAGCTACTTGTCATTGCTGACACTCCCTCCTTCAAGGCACCTGTTTGCTGTTAGTATCTGCTGCAGTCATCTCAGCAAGGAAGGTCCTACCTTCGTCCTTGGGCTTCATCTTCGTCGGCTGATGAGACGACATTGTTGGCCGGGTCGTTTTCAAATGTTTGTTCTTTCAGATCCTGACAGGAGTCGATCAAGACTCAGCGGCATTTAGAAGGGCCAATAGTTATGGGCAGAGAGAACAGAGTTGAGGGGGGTTGTGGTGAGAGTCAGGAAGGTGCCAGGGAAGTGAGACGAGGCAACAAGATGTTCAAATTGCCGACCACCACCAAACCTGATTCAAGAAGGAGATGATGTCTGGCCAAAAATATCATGAGCGCGAGAAGGTGGAAAAAGGCTGAGATGGAGGAGGAGGGGGGGGAGGGAAGAGGGGGAAGTTGAGGAGTGAAACGAAGTGAAAGAGGTGAAGGAAGAAAGGAGTGTGGGAAGGTGGTCAGAAAACCGTAGGCGTCAAAATCCTGAGTCTCACCTAACTGGGGAGACTTAGTCTCTCTGAGTCCTCTCTTCAGCTGTTCCAACTTAGTCGGTCCCCCTCATTACTGATCAAAGAGGAAAGACTTGATCTCTCAAGCTTCCATCTGGGCCCTCAACCCTCTTGTGAGTCAAAGAAATATGGTGATGGATTTCGGTGGAGTTTCAGATAGCTGCCCCCAAGGCCAATTTCGGAGGTTGCCAGCTTGCGCTCGTGTTGATGCTCCATGCCGGTCAACTCAACAAGAAGTGCAACGAAACAGACGGGTCTTCCATCACGCTGCACCTTCGCGATGAAGTATCCATTGGCCACAGCAAACAGAAGATGGGATACGGTTCTATAAATAGGCATTCCTGAACTCCCCAAGAGTGTGCCTGGGGAACGATTGCTTCACATACGATGCGACCAACGGCCCGAGTCAGACTCGTTTCCCATGTTTGAACGCAATCCAAATCGCCACTGGCGCTGTCAACGGAGACCGGAAGTCAACCCAACTTACTGCTCTAGCCTGGTCAAGCTGATTCTGATAGGGAATATTCCCAACCATGTACCATACTCGCGCATCCAACCTTTCTCTCGAGTCGACCTCAATCCTGAAGGACGCCCATCACAAGCAGACTGGTGTCAGAGGGGTCGTCTGCGCCATCCGCAAACTCCAGAAATCCATCCTCGCTGAGCAATTTAGCATCCGACAGTTCATGAGCGACACCGTCATATTCGCCTATAAACGCTTGAACCTGGGGATGCCACTCCCCGAGAGGGCCAACTACACCAAGCGATCTACGTAGCCATTTCTAGTGCGCTAGCTTGAATGATGCAACTCAAGCCCCTATATAGAATATCGCCCAAAGCCAACAGCACCGGGACGGACTATCGATCCCAGATGACAGATCAGAATACCAGAAGCTTTCGTAAATGGAACATCACATATTAGAGCCCCAGCCACTGCATACTTCTTTTGTAGGCTCGGAACGCCTCAATGACACTAAATGTGGCCAAACTATGGGCATGAGAACCGCTAGACCAAATGCTCCATAAGCCACATGTTTAATCTATACAGCCATTTCCAGTTCGACATTCATGGATGGGTAACTTCATGTGCTGCACGGAGTATGTTTATGCTGCTAATACTACCAAAAACGGTATAGCGTGGCAGAGCCCCAATATGGTGCCCTAAGCCCTATTTCCAGATTAAGAACAACTATGCGCGGGGGAAATTACGGCCCATTGACGGCTTCAACTAGGCGCAACGGCCAGGACTGGAAAGGCCCTAGGAGCATTCAAGTGAGGGCTCTTTACTAAGAAGTTCTTCGCTAAGGCTAATCACCATGGCCATGATAGATGAGTCACTCGGCCGTGGCGGGGGAGGGCGCTGTCTTCTCGACTCGGCCCAATCGGGTAAACCCCGCCATGGTTCCCGCCCAAAATTTCGCGCGCCCCTCCGTCCCTCATCCCACCATCCACTTTGATCCCTTCTCTGCAAGCAGACAACATGGCGGATCAGAACGCTGTCAAGGAGGTTGAGGCCTCCATGGCCAATCTCCAGCTTGATTCAGTCACTGGCGAAATGGTTTCCAAGTCAGAGCTGAAGAAGCGCCTCAAGCTCAGGGAGAAGGAGGCCAAGAAGAAGGAGAAGGAGGCCGCTGCTCCCCCCAAGGCCCAGAAGAAGGTGTCCGCTGAGGAGGAGGAGGCGAACCTGACTCCTAACGTGAGTAACTAAACCCCCGACATGTGCCGGCTTTCAATGTCCACACAAGCCGCTGCGCCGTATCTTGCGCGCCTTTTTTCGATCTCCAAACTAATCGATACTCCAACTCTTGCAGCAATACTTCGAGATCCGTAGCAAGAAGATCCAGAAGCTTATCGAATCTAAGAATCCCGACCCCTACCCCCACAAGTTCCAGGTCACCAATGATCTGCGCGAGTTCCTGAAGGAGTATGACGGCCTCAAGAAGGGCGAGCAGAAGCCCGATACTCCCGTTCGGATTGCCGGCCGCATCTATACCAAGCGCACCTCCGGCCCTAAGCTTATCTTCTACGATGTTCGAGCCGAGGGCAAGAAGGTCCAGGTGATGTGCCAGGCTCAGAACGCCGCTGGCAGCGTGCCATTCGAGGAGCAACACGAGCATCTCCGGAGAGGTGATATTGTCGGCATTGTCGGCTTCCCCGGTCGCACGTCTCCCAAGAACCGAGATGATGGTGAACTGTCTATCTTCGCCACCGAGGTCATTCTCTTGGCCCCGTGCTTGCACGCCATTCCCTCCGAGCACTACGGCTTCCAGGACAAGGAGCTGCGTTTCCGCCAGCGCTACCTGGATCTGATCATGAACGACAGCAGCCGTGAGATTTTCCGTACTCGTGCCAAGATTGTCAGTTATATCCGCAGCTTCTTGGACAGCCGTGACTTCACCGAGGTCGAGACTCCCATGATGAATCAGATTGCCGGTGGAGCGACCGCCAAGCCATTCAAGACCTACCACAACGACTTGTCAATGGATATGTTCATGCGTATTGCCCCAGAGCTTTACCTGAAGATGCTTATCGTCGGTGGTCTCGAGCGTGTTTATGAAATGGGCCGCCAGTTCCGCAACGAGGGCATTGACCTTACTCACAACCCGGAATTCACCACTTGCGAGTTCTACTGGGCTTACGCTGATTATGCGGACGTCCTCCAGATGACGGAGGAGATGGTCTCCGGTCTGGTCAAGCATGTGACTGGTGGCTACGAGACTAAGTTCACGACCCAGTCTGGCGAGGAGTACAATATCAACTGGAAGGCTCCTTGGCGCCGAATTGAGATGATCCCTGGCTTGGAAGAAGCCACCGGTGAAACCTTCCCTCCTGGAGACCAGCTCCACACCGCTGAGACTGGCGAATTCCTCAAGCGGGTGCTCAAGAAGATGAACGTGGACTGCTCGCCGCCATTGACCAACGCCCGCATGCTGGACAAGCTGGTTGGCGAGTTCCTTGAAAGCACCTGCATTAACCCGACCTTTATCATGGGTCACCCGGAGATGATGTCGCCTCTGGCCAAGTATCACCGCAGTAAGCCTGGTCTGTGCGAACGTTTCGAAGCCTTCGTTGCCACAAAGGAGATTTGTAGGTTTCTCTATTCCTTGTTTTTCTCTCCTCTATGCTAACTTCATCCTCCAGGCAACGCATACACTGAGCTTAACTCATCCTTCACTCAGCGCGAGCGATTTGAGGAGCAAGCACGCCAAAAGGAGCAGGGTGACGATGAGGCTCAGCTCGTTGACGAGAACTTCTGCACTGCCCTTGAATACGGATTGCCCCCTACTGGTGGCTGGGGCATGGGTATTGACCGCCTTGTCATGTTCCTCACCAACAACTACAGTATCAAGGAGGTGCTGGCCTTCCCCATGATGAAGGAAGACAAGACTTCGGAGCATGGCAAGCCCACTGTGGACGGCGCTAGCAGCCAGCCCCAGCCCGAGGATGGCAATCGTATGTTGTTAGTTTCTTGCAATTTCCATGAGCCGGTCTCACTAACCTTGAACCTACAGCCAACAAATAATTGAAACGAACCCCGCAAAGCTAGAACGTTGTCATATCCTTGAGTAGATGTGGACTCTCCGGAAATGTTATTTGATGGATGTTTCGTGATGGTTGCATGGCATTTCCAATGTCTTTCAGGAGAAATGCATCAGATAGAAAAAGATAGGTCTTACAAAATATACCAGTCATGTCTAAACATTTGTTTAAAGAGAGTCTTTTGCAACCGTGCAAGATTGGAGTAATTGGTCATGCACTGGCCGGCCTGTGCTGAGACAACAGAGGAGGTATATATAGGGTCATGGAGAGGCCGAAAACCTAGGCATTCGAGGGATAACGAGAGTATGCTTGCTTGATGGAGGTTCACGGCAGTTTCCAGAGCCCGCGTTTGCCTTTCTTCACTTCTGTTCCAGCATAAAGAGGAGACAACCCATCTTTCGACCTCCCTTAGGTTTCCCTTTCCAAAATCTTTTTGTTCCTAACCGTGACATTCATCTCTTCAAAACTTGCAACAATATCCAGTCTTCCCACCTGGATTCTTTCTATCAACATGGATTACAGAAACAATCTATTCCCCGATCTGTCGGACACTGAACGACATCGTTCCTCAGGCTCGCCGGGGCAGCCTTATGAGGCAACCAACTTTGAAGCTGGGAATCCAACTGAGATGGTCATCAATAAAGATCCTGGTACTGCAGGGCCATCTATCGACATGCATGAACACCTTCCCACCGTGGATCCAGCTTTCCAACCACAGGGTCCGGAAAATAATGTCTGTTAACTTCCTCCTTGATGGTTTGATGTCGATACCTTCGAGGTTCCCTGTCAGCTAACTTAGACTGTCGAGGCCAATAAACTTCTGCGGCCCTTTGTTCGTGCTAACGATAGCGTTTGTCTTTCTATCAGGTCTCTGGGCTGTTAGGTCTACTAACATGGTGGTTCGACAGGAGCCATGGTATCCACCAAATCAACGAACCAGCCCCCCTCCACCGGAGAGAAAGGCAACCAGCTTGACAGAACCATTGGCCCTACTTTACAGAGAAGTGTGCCCATATATCCCCAAGAAGAAGCCATGCCCCCGATCATGCTGATCGCCATCGCAATCAGGACCGGTCACCCGGCCGTCTGCTGAACCCGAGGACACCGATCACACGCAGCAGACCTCGCCTCCCACCAGCACCCCCACGGGAACTCGGACGGTGAAACTGCCAATTCGACTACGTGTGCGCGCGCGTCCGCTGGAGAATAATGTGAAGGACGTACACTTCAACGAGCTATCTGCTCACACCGCAAAGTGTGATTTATGCGACAGACGCAATACAGACGGTATGGTGCGATGCTCATGCGGTTGGCAATGTTGCCGTCGATGCCTCATAGAACGAAGCGGAGACTGTTCGCATCCCTCGGCTTCAGAATTCCATGTACCAGTGGACGGGGTCCGCGTACTCATGTCGGTTACCAGTCCAACCACGCCTACCTCCAACGCAGATGTCACGAATACCGGATCGGATGCCAGTCCCGAAGAGGCGGCGGTGTCGGTTCTCCTCAATCTCAAGAATTCCCCTGGAAACGCCTGTGAGAACGCCGATGGCGGTGGACAATGGCCTGGTGCAAATCGGCGTTTTGCGAACAGCTTCGAGAATGGTGTTGAGCCGGAGGGTGATACGGAGATACTGCCCGATGATGACACTGAAGAGGAGGCGAATCTGCCTGAGAACCTCGTGAACGTTCGGCGAAACCCGTCACGCAGGGCGAGACCTACGGATATGAAGGAGTAAGGGCATGGTCAAAGTGAAACAATCTTTCTGAATGCAGTGAGGTGGGAGAGAAGGAATACTCAGCACAATTTGAATAGCTAAAAATTGGAATTTGTTTTTTTATTTGCGTTGATGATAAGTTCATATATTTTTACAATGCGTAGACAATGGTACTTATACAAAAGATCTATGGGCCAAGCCATGGGTCTGAAGAGGAATGGAGATGGTATCGAAGCACCAAGGCTATAGATCGCAAAAGTCCGCCTTGGTCAACATATTCGTACAACTGGCTGCGATGGTGTTCTTCACAGCCGCGTCGCGGCCGAGGCAGTGGAGCTTGAAATCTGCTGGCCACGAGCCTTGGCAGCCATCTGCAGAAGCTTGGCTGTGCGCGAGGGGTGCCAGATACGGCTACCCAGCACGAGAACCCAGGTGAGGAGGAACAAGCTACCAGCTTGGTGGGCAGAAGCCAGCGGCGTGGGAACAAGATAGAGCAGAGTGGAGATACCAAGGCCAACCTGCAAGCAGGCAAAGCCCACAACACCGTGCATACCCTTGCGAGCAGCAGGCGGCAGAATGCGCTTCAAGGTCGGCGAGCGGCGGGAGTAGGCCCACAAAGCCATGATCGAGGTGAAGGTAGTCATGGCGAGGATGCGGTGGTCGAGTTGGACAAGCGAGGGGTTCTCAAGCATGTTGCGCCACCACAGGTCAGAGCGATCCTCATGACGAGAGTAACGCGCATCCCAAAGCTCAGAGCTAGGGGGCGCAAGACCGTTGCCCATGTAGGGGAACTCGTTATAGATAAGACCGGCATCAAGACCAGCAACAAGGCCACCAGACATGACAGTAGTGAAAACCAGTAGAGCAAGACCAGCAACCGAGCGGCGGAAGATCGCAAGGCGAGGGTCACGGAGAGCATCGAGCTGCTTCAAGCCAGAAGCAGCATCCTTCATCAGTCGGTGGGAGCGCAGAATAGCAAGGCCATTCCAGAACATGGCAACATAGCAAGTAAAGGCAGCACCCAAGTGAGCAGTAAGACGGTACTGGCTCACACGGGGGTGACTACCAGGTGCGAAAAGGTCATCCTTCAAACCAGACTTGACCATCCACCAGCCTAAGAAGCCTTGGAAACCAATCAGACCAGCAATACCAGCCAGACGCCAGGCCATGGGCGTCGAGACCTTTTTCCGGGCGACGAAGTAAACAGCAGGCAGGACGAACGAGAGGCCTACGAATCGGCCCCAGAGACGGTGAATCCATTCCATGTAGTAGATCGACTTAAATTCAGAGATGTTCATGTTGGGATTTAGGAGCTGGAACTCGGGAGATGCGCGATACTTCGCAAACTCGGACTCCCAGTCCTCGGCGTTCATGGGAGGCACGGAACCAGTAACAGGTCGCCATTCGGTGATACTCAATCTGTCCACAAGAAAGGTTCCGTTAGCTTCTGGGGTTCAATCTCTTTTCCAAAGTAATCAACAGTATGAACGAACCCAGATTCCGTCAAACGGGTCAGACCGCCGAAGACGACAATACCAAACACACTCGCTGCGCTGCCCAGAAGCCAGTATGCAACGGACTTGTCGCTGATCTTGGGGAAGCTCGACTTGGCTTTGGCGGCGCTCTCCTCGGCTACAGCAGCCACTGCTGGTGCAGCCACGGACCGTCGCAGGCTCGAGGTGAAGAACTGGCGGTTCTTATCGGTGAAAAGGAGCGAGCGGGTCGTGCTGGGCTTGGGAGACGGGATTGCGGCGAAGCGACGCACGGATTTGGCGGCGAAGCCTTGGTTCCGGAGGCATTGTCGGCAGGTAAAGAGGTCTTTGGATAGACGAGGTGCAATGCTCCGCCATGCCGGCAGAGAAGGACCCGAGAATGCCATGGTGACCGCTGGGTGGGAGCAGACGCTCTTGGGGAAAGAAAAAGAGGAGCCCTTCCATTTCGCGGATCGTAAGACACCGCGCGGGATGCCGAGCACCAATCAGCGGCCGGGGATTTGCTGGAGTATAACAACAGCAACGCAGACAGCGCGATGGAGAACCGAATGCGAAGAATAGTATGCCAAAGAATAATGGCACATCTCGGGCTTTTCTACTCAACCGAAGACATACTAATTACGAGTGGCGACGAGTGCTGTTGTGAGTGCCTGAGGCAGCGACATCATCTTGGGACCACAGCTCCTCCGAGCATCGATCCGCTCTTTACGCATCTGCGTCTACCGCACTGCTTTACGTTCACGGTACAGCGATGTCGTATGCTGTCGAATCCAAGAAGCGGAAGTTCCATCGTGTCTTGGAGTCGATCTCCAAGCCCCTTGCGACCGACAATGCCTCGAAGACATCCAGCGCTGGGCCCGCCAGTACGACCCAGGACCGCATTCCGGCCAACCTCTCGATCAAGAAGGTCCGGCTAAACAACAACGATTCATCTGACCTAACATCTGTGCGCAACTCGATCCTGAAAAACCCTCGACCTGCCAACCGAGCCGCCTCCTCTTCCTCGACTACGCGCCCGACTTTCGTCCCTTGGGATCGCGAGCGGTTCCTTGAGCGCCTCGAGACCTTTCGTCGCGTCGACCGCTGGACTCCCAAACCTGCCCCGATCAACGAAGTACAGTGGGCTAAGCGCGGGTGGATCTGTGCCGATGTGATGCGAGTCAGCTGCATCAGTGGCTGTGGCGGCTCGGTAGTGGTAAAACTTCCTGATGAGATCGATGAGCTTGATGGATATGATCCGGAGAAGGTTCAAGAGCGACAGGAAGTCCGTATGTTGACACTTCATATGAGTGGATTTGGATTTGATCGCCGCCATGCTAATGAACTTAAAAAATAGGCGCCAAGTTGGTGGAGGAATACGAGAGGTTGATCAGAGAAGGACATGGCGAAAACTGCCCATGGAGGAACAGAGGCTGTGATGGTATGGCTTGCAGTTCTCAGGGAAAAGCTTTTTCTTACAATTTCGCAGCTACGATTCAACACCTTCCATTGACAAATCCGGATGCAGCCCTCTCGGGTCTCCGCACTCGCTACTTCCACCTGGCTAAGATGGGCGACAAACTACCCGCCGATGATTGCATACAAACCCCAGATGGCTTCGATATTGATAACCTCATCAAATCCCTACCCGAGGACTGGTTCAGAGCGTCCAATGAAGCTTCAGAGACAACCAACTCACATACTAAAGCGAACGGTAAGAACGAAGAAGCGGGCCCACAACCAGCAGCAGAGTCGCCGCAGGCTATCAACCAGGCAGCACTTGCGATGTCCTTCTTCGGCTGGGATTCCACAGTCGACGGGTCTGCTGACCTGGTTGGGTGCAGAGCGTGTTTCCGCCGCCTCGGTCTGTGGATGTACAAGCCAAAAGAAAACGGAGATGTTTCTGTTTATACATCCCTAGATGTGGCCGCTGAGCACATGGACTACTGTCCATGGGTTGATCGACTAGCCCAGAGCGGAACCGGCAAACCGAATGAAAAGACAATCAACTTGCGAAATGGCTGGGAAATAGTCGCCGAAGCTGTCAAGGTGAAGCATCGCCGACGGATACGGTCTGTTGCGTCGGTGGACACCCTTCGCGCCGAACCAAGCACGCCCCTTGCGGAGACACCAAGCGATGCGGGTGCAGAGAACGAAGAAACGAAGAAGGCCGTTGAGCGTGAGTGGTGGGCCAAGATCCGACGCATGAGGCAGGTCTTGTCCCACAAGTCACCGCGGCGCAAGCCTGTGCTCCCTAAGTGATTGCCTTCTAATGTCTATTATCATTCTCCATGTCTCATAGGACCTTTCTTATCATTTGCAAGGCGTTGCGGATATTCTGGGCATACTTTTCGGTCTATGTTTTACATCACGTCGATTTTAGCCTCTCACATTCTTAAATCAGCTCCCTTTAACCCGCTTGATCGGCCGTCCTAGTTTTGACACCAGTACCATATACTCTTCGAGCTGACCCCATCCGTTTCAGGATACTTAACTTGTAGTCATTCCACCTCATGAAGCCTTTAGTGCCGGAGACTCTTGCTATTACATATTCTATCGTATCTCTTCAGTTTCATGCACCCTTTCCACTTCCCTTGTTCCCCCATCCCTCGCCAGCAGCTGCCACAACGTCTGCCCAGTATCCAGGCCGTTATACATCTGCTCTACATTTTTTGCTCTTTTGCAATATCAACTAGGACATACGCTCCAGCATTTGTCCTGATACACATATACGCCTCCACGACATCTTCTCTTCCACATCATTTACATTCGCTGTATCAATTCTGCAACATCTGCGCGATATCTACTATGCAATTTCCACTGCACATCTTACAGTACAATACTACCTACTGCCACACCGCACTTTACGACCAATCCAATCCCAACTTCTGCTTCATCTTTATCTCCTTTGCCAGGTCGCCCTGATACTGCATTCTCATCCAACAATTGCCGGTGATCACGGAAACCACCACACCTCTTTGATCACCTCTGATATACTCAACTCTCACATTCTCTGCAGCAAGCTCTCCAATTTATCCCGACTTCCTCAATCTACCGCGATCTACTTTCCCTTCATCTGCTCAGTGTCTGCTACGACAGTACCGGCTTCATATTTGAACTCTTCTATTCTCTACTGTCCATCATCTGCTACGCATCCGAAATTTCCGTTCTTGGAAATCTATCCTCACTTCAAGGTCCCGATGGAGGAGCAAAGCACAAACCCGATAGAAAACGATATGTCAACGAGCATCTAGCAAGATATTGTGGTGTCTCCTATGACCACAGAGCAAGAGTTCGCTACAATGGAAATCGAGCCCCGCGTTTCTCCGTTCAGCATCTACGATAGCACTACTCCTGACGCCGTCGTGCGTGCCGATAGTGCCGCCCAAGTTGCCTTCACCGAGGATACTTCTGCTCAGGGGCCGGTCGTCATAGAGGGCGTTCGTGTCACGCCAGACATTATTACCATTACAGAGGCTTGGGTTACGAAAACCGCACCAACTATGCATGATAATCCCGTCACACAAAACACTTCGCTCACAGAGTTCAAGATTGCCTGGAATGCTGCCATCACCAATTCGGCAGACAACCTTCCTGTCACGAAGAACGCACCCATCACAGATCCTGAGGACACCCAGGATACTCTGACTACCGATGATGCTGCCATTCAGAATGACAAAGTCATCGGCGAAGATTTTGTGCAGGCTAGGCCCCCCAAGGCCGATGCTGTGGCCCCTGATACGGGCCCTATTGACTCCAATTCTCCCGAACGTGAGCTGAGTACCTCCACTGCCATAGGTAAACAGCCTTTAAAGCGATTGACAGCAGCTCCGGATACCCAAAGCCTTCCAGGTCAGACCGACATATTGAACGACGCTCAGATTGCAGATCTCTGCTCCCTGCCTCCCAGGATTCGTCAGCTCTATTCCCTTTACTTCAATCATCATGGAGTTATTCGCACTGAATATCTCAAGAACCTCTTCGAAAGGCTTCCGAGCGGTGAGCTGCGTCACCCTGAGGATATTCTCAGATCGTGCGTGCCCAAGTGGAAAACACGCCTAGAGAACTTTGAACGCCAAAATTCTTCTCAGTTGGCTACTGGCCAGACTAACGAGACACAGGGGACACTTATCCCTGCCAAGCGCGGCATTGAGAACACCACTTCTCCAAAGGAGGGCAAAAAGCCAGCTGCATCAAAGGGTACACCAGGAGTGTTATCTACTGGTTCTCGGAAACCTGGGGCTAGTCCTTCAGCTGGCCGTCTCTCGCTTACTCTTTCCGGCCCTTCGGGTAGCCGTCGCACTGCTCTCACCATGGGCCCTCCTCCACCTGGCGCTCTTTCTACTCAGAATTCCAGTGCCCTTTCTGCAAGTCACCCTGGATCACATCCTCGGGATACTTCCAACCTTGCTCTTGAAAATAATCAGGAGATCAAAAGTGGATCCAATGAAGGACACGGCATCAACCAGTGTGAGGCTCCTGTCATGGACTTTCTCTCACCCAACTTCGAAAGATATCCCGGCCACTTCACGCACAAATGTCAGGCTGGTGGTATCCAGCTACTAGAATTGGACAATCTCTCGCGGTTCATCAAATGGCTCACAGGTGAAGTCCACCAACTAGACTACTTCATCCTCAGTGCTGCACAGCTTTCACACGACCGCCACTACCTGGGTTGCTTACGAGATGTCTGGGATCGCCTGGTATATTTACGGGATGCATGCATGGAAATGGAGGCGCAACTCAAAGACCGCATGGACTCGAAGAATTGACATGAGATGGGCGCAAAGTTCGGCCGGAATCTTTGCAAGAAGGCATAGTGGGTGGTTTAAGTCTTGTTATATTGCTTCTTCTTCTTCTTATTCTTCTTGCGGATTTGAATTTGGAATTAATTGAGAAGATTGATGGGAACGCGACTGAATCATCCACATCTAGGTACACATGTTGATGGTTCAATGAGCGCATTGCTTACTTGGTTTTTCTAGCCCATATCTATCTCCGTATTTATATAGTTTGGCCCTGCACTCTATTTCCCAATACGAAAACCCCATAATTAAGAATGTGCTGTAGATTGTCGAGACGACCAGTAATCTTGATCAGGATTCCAGCGATATCGACGCTGAACTTCATGCTGTACTGGGTTCATGGCCCATCGCCGACTCCTCACATGCGGACGCAGGCCCATTGGAGCTTTTGATTACGGCAGCTGTGGCCAAGACCCACCCAGCAGCGGAGCTCCCTTCTTCCACCACAGTCACATTCAAGAAACCCTTTTCAATCTCCAATCTAAAAGAGTGTCAGGTCGAGGACCAAGGTCTGCCACATTTCTGATCGATCACTTCTACTACTCTTTCCCCTGTTTGTTTCTTACAATCTCGACTTTTTCGGATATTAATCGACACCCACTGCAAACCCGGCTTCCCGAAGAAGACCGCGCCTTTCGCTTTTGATTCACTGGCGACGGACAGTTTCTGAGCAGAATGGAATCTTCACCGAGCTCAGGACCTCCCAAGCCTCCTACTCCGACCTCTACCGCCGAGGCAGACAAGAACGGCGCAATCCGTTCGCCCGGCTCTGCGGCGGTGCAAAATGGATCTCCCGACGACAGGAAGCGCAAGCCCAACGAAAATGATACCCCGGCAGCTGATCAACAGTATCAGTATGGCCCAGCGGCCAAGCGAAAGCGAATGCAGGAGCGACACCAGGCACGGAAGCGTGGCCGCACACCCCCCCCATCCGTCTTCTCCCGACGCAACCGTTCCCGCAGCCCTAGCAATGCCACACCACGCGGCGACCACTCGAGACGCTCTCGATCTCCTCTGCCGCCTCGATCACCCGAGCCCGAGGAGCAACCAAAGCAGCGCAAGCGGCCTGGCGGCGGAGCGCGAGCGGGCCTGCTGAGCAGCGAGCAACTGCGGCGGCGACAGGAGGAGCGCCAGCGCGCAATGGAGGAGGATGCACTGCGGACATCACGAGACCGTGGTGTGTCCGACGTCGTGCGGCAGCACTACAACGCGGTCCCCGAGCGTGGCCGCGAGTGGCGCAAGACCGAGAGCAAGATCAAGGGGTTGCGCAGCTTCAACAATTGGATCAAGAGCACGCTGATCCAGAAGTTCTCTCCTGATGAGGAATTTACTGCTCGGTTCAACGATAGCAAGGACTGGGCTGATGATAGCATTGGCCCGCCCCCCAATGAGGAGAAGCAGCTGCTGGTGCTGGATTTGGGATGCGGCAAGGGCGGCGACCTGGGCAAGTGGCAGCTTGCGCCGCAGAGGGTTGAGCTGTACGTTGGACTTGACCCGGCCAATATCTCCATTGAGCAGGCGCGGGATCGGTATGGCCAGATGCGGTCTCGTGGTGGGCGGGGCCGCCGGCCGGGTCCGCCTCTCTTCCATGCGGAGTTCTCGACCAAGGACTGCTTCGGTGAGTCGCTGGCTGATGTGGACATCATCCAGCGCGTTGGATTTGATCCCAATGCCGGACCCGGTGGCTCTCTGATGGCGTCGCGATGGGGCGGTGGTGGCTTCGACGTTGTGACGTCCATGTTTGCCATCCACTATGCCTTCGAGAGCGAGGAGAAAACCCGTCAGATGCTCAGCAACGTTGCTGGCTGCTTGAAGAAGGGCGGCCGCTTCATTGGCGTGTGCCCGAACTCGGACGTGATCACCAGCAAAGTGAGTACGTTCCACCAGAAGCGGAAGGAGCGCGAGGCCGCCAAGCCTGCTGAGCCTGAAGGGCCCGAGGATGGTGAAGTCCAAGAGGAGGAGCGTTGTGGATGGGGCAACGATATCTACAGCGTTCGGTTCCCGGGGGATACCCCCGAAAGTGGCGTCTTCCGCCCGCCATTCGGATGGAAGTATACCTATTATATGTCGGAGGCGGTTGAGGGAGTGCCTGAATACGTTGTTCCTTGGGAAGCATTCCGAGCGTAAGCCATCCATTGGGTGTGATTTGGTTGTCCATATCGCTGACTCTCGTCTAGTTTGACCGAGGATTACAATCTGGAGCTACAGTACCGCAAGCCGTTCTTGGAGATATGGGAGGATGAGAAGAATGACCGCGAGCTGGGCCCGCTGAGCGAGCGCATGGGGGTGAGGGATCGGAATACTGGTGAATTGCTGATGACGGAGGAGGAGAAGGACGCAGTCAGTATGTGCTTTTTCTCGATGATTCGAGACCGTTGCTTGTTGCTAACCCTCCTCCAGGTTTCTATCATGCATTCTGTTTCTACAAGGTCTAAACTTGCATTCTTTATCTCTATTGCATGTACATACTGTTCAACAGAAATTATAGAAAGACCTTTGTGGGAAAACAATATAGCGAACATTGCCATGGGCGAACCTGCCGTCCGAAGCGATAAGCTTATCGGGGCACTGTAACCTAATCGGGACTAGTGTGGTCGCGTCGCGTTTAGGATTTCCAGTGCTTGGTCTATCGGCATTCAACAGCTGTGACCTACCGATTTTCATCCCTCTAACGCTTCGCCCTGAGGAATATTCTGGACGTCCCTCGCACAGCACTCTTCATATAAAATCCCATCACACTCCTGCCGGGATGCTCTCCGCAACCCCGGCGCGTCGGCGCACCTCTTTGGCCCAAAGCCGCCCTCCGCCGAGTGCACGCTCGCGAGCCACCCCGCGAGCCACCGACGCCGCAGAAGCGCCCGAACTACCACCCTACGAGGCCCCCGAGGCTCCTCTCACAGCGGACACCCACCGCCAGCTTCGCTCGCTCCTCCAATCGCAATATCTCCGCGTCACCACGAGCAACCTCCAACACGCAGCCGAGAAACTCACCGACTCAGCCGGCGAAGTCAACGAGCGGCTTAGCGATGCCCGACTACGATACGAACGGCTGAAAGAGCGACGGCGCACGTCCGAAGAAGATACCCAGGAACCAGACGGGGATGATGATAATGAGGAGTACCAGCGTCTTGCCGAGCAGGAGAGGCGAGTGGATGCTGTGACAGGCCGGATGGAGGAGAAGATTCGCCAGCTCATTGATGGCGAGACGCAATTGCATGCACTGACAGAGAAATTGGCGGAAATTGATCGAGAGGAAGGAGATGCACAGAATGCTGCGCTGGGCGCGCGACAAACTCGGGGTCCGCGACGCCTGCGACGGCGGGGCGACGAGGATGAGGATGAGGATGGGGAAGACGAAGAAGACGAGGATTATGAGGCTACGCCCGTGCGAGAATTTCGAGAGCGCAACGCGCAGAATCCTCCTAGCCGGAGACTGGACGACTCGCTGGTCGAGGGGCAAGATCAGTGGAAGGAGCTGTCGTTGACGGAGAGGTACGCTACGATCTCCTTGGTTACGTGGGCTTTTGCTCTTTCATGAGGAGCCGTCTAGGCTAACCGACGCGATGCAGGTATGCCGGACACAACACCTACATCGGATTCTACCGCATCGTGCATGACTCCAAGTTCCCGGGCGACGAGGTCCCGCCCCTCCCCCTCTCTACTACGTGGTTCTCGCATCTAGAAGACCATGTCGCCTCTGGCAGCCCGTCAAACCGCCGCACTCGTACCCGCACCCACACCCAGCGGCAACCCTCACCTGCGGACTCGGATGACATCGCGATTGAGCGCGAGCGCATCTCGCTCCACTGCCCGGTCACCCTGCTGCGGTTCCGCGACCCGGTCACCAGCACCAAATGCCCGCACAGCTTTGAGCGCGACGCCATCATGGACATGATCGCACGCTCTCGACCCATGCCCGGTGGTCCGCGCCGTGCGAAGGCTGTCAAGTGCCCTGTCTGCTCGATCCTACTGACCGCGGACGACCTGCCCCGCGACGCGGCTCTGCTGCGGCGGGTGCGGCGGGCGGAGGAGCTGGAGGCGCGGCGGGCGGAGGATGGGGAACTGGAGGATGATGGGCAGCGGCAAGGAGACCGGGTAACGCTGGCGAGCGACGCTTTGGATGCTGATGAGGATGCGATGGATGTGGATGTGCCGACTGAGAGGCCGATTAAGTCGGAGCCGGTGCGGGTTAAGGCGGAGCGGAGGCAGACTATGGAGCTAGGGAGTGATGAGGATGAGGATGAGGATGAGGAAGAGGAGGAAGAGGAGGAGGAGGATAGCGAGTAATGAGATAGAAGCATCATCACAATCTTAATGATCCGCAATCCAGATTGCGATCGTCTTCAGACGATCGAGACCACATGGAGCCGATAAGGCGATAGGGCCAGTGGGGTTGATAAGAGACCGATCAGGCGCGGCCGCTGAGTGGTGGAGATAAGATGCTTTGCCGGGCCGCGAGAGAATTGCAGTGCATTGAGGAAAGGCGGGGGATGTGTAAGATATGTTGACCGTGTTCCGATCATCGTCCAGTGCTGTGAGTCCCGTGTTACCATCACCCTCATTGTCAACCGGCGAACCCTCACCTCACATGTCTCAGCGTGTCACGACTGTTCTGATAGCAAACCACCCCGCTAACCCCAGACGGGCTAAATCAGACCCGCCCCGACGACTCCCCCACACCGTCTAGACTCGATGCATCACTAGCCCCGCGCCAATCCACCCCCCCTCCCCAATCTTTCCAATCTCTCCCCCAATTACTCGTCCCAGCGGTTTCTCCTCTGCCCTAATCGGGGCTTAGTCTGCCTCGGCAGCCAATGGCCCGCCATCCCTGCCCCCTGGCCGGCGCTGATGGCTTCAGCAGCTGCTCGGGATCAGCCACCATAGGACACCATGCAACGACAATACGGCAGGGTCACATAACCTGGTTTCCCTGTCACCTCTCGCTTCTCCAACGCTCGACAAAGAGGGAGGCAAGGAGATACCACATCGTTTAGCCCGTCACGCGACTAATGTACCCTCCTCTTTGTGCGAGTCCCGTCGCATTGCCATCAGCTTCATGAGTTCCCTTTTCTCCCTCGCGTCGGCCGATGCCATGTTCCATCTCCCCAGGTGTAACTCTGCTATCAGAGCGGCCCCTTTCCCCCCTCTTCCCCCCAAATCAGTCCCAGCTCGTCGTGCTGTGGCCAGCGCTGGCCATCAGAGCCCCCGCAAAACCAGACCTTCCCTGAACTGGGTCCTTTCACATTGGGCTCCACTTGCCAATGGCTGACTGGTGCGGTTCGCGGCTCGCCGCTGGAAGCTGAGGCGATTCGGGGGCCTGATGCTACCTTGCCTCGTGGTAGCATCCTGGTGATTCTAGTGCTGCTTGGACTGCTCATGATTCGGACCGGCTGTTCATACTGGACAGCTCCCAATTAGTCGTAGTCATCCGTCTCAGCTAGCCTACCTGCTTTTTTTCTCACTCTCACGATCTTTTTAATCCCACGCTCCTCGCTCATCTCCTCCTCCCCTCTGTGTCTGTTCCCCACACACACGCGCGCCCTCTCTCCGATCAACCACCCCCCAACTCCACCCTCCCTCTCACTGCTCTCGATCGCGGTCCACCTGCCTCACAACCCCCTCCCCGGGTTTCCTCCTGCCCATCGTTCGTCATGGCAGAGATCGAACCCAAGGCCCCGACCACGCAGGTCGGCACCGAAACCACCTCCTTTACCGACGAGATCCCCCGCCCGCGAGGATGGATGTACAAGCGCATCGGCGTTGGCAAGTACAATCTCGGCTGGTACGCCTCTCCCAAGTTCCAGCTGGGCATGGTCGCCTTCGTCTGCTTCATGTGTCCCGGCATGTTCAATGCGCTTAGTGGGCTGGGCGGCGGCGGCAAGGCCGATGCGAAGTTGGCCGATGATATGGTCAGTGAACCCCCTTTTAGATGCTGAACGCTGTAATGTGGTCGCGTGCGCTGGACCCCCGAGTCGCGACTAATTAAGCTGTCCGGATAGAATACCGCTCTCTACAGTACCTTCGCCGTCGTGGGTTTCTTCGCCGGCACGTTCGTCAACCGTCTGGGCGTGCGCGCCGCGCTTTCCTTCGGAGGCATTGGCTACTGCCTCTACGCGATTTCCCTCCTTGTCTCGGTCCACAAGTATGTCCCTGGATTTAACATTTTCGCTGGCGCATTGCTCGGAGTGTGCGCCGGTCTGCTGTGGGCTGCGCAGGGCACCATTATGATGTCCTACCCCCCCGAGCAGTCCAAGGGCCGCTACTTTTCCTGGTTCTGGGGTATCTTCAACGTCGGCGCCTGTATTGGCAGTCTGGTCAGTGCTGAACATTGCTCCCCGTGCGGAGTCTCCCGCACGCATCTTGCGCCGCAGGGGGCGGGAGTGCCAAACTTGGGGCTAATATTCATTTTCCTCCTTAGATCCCGCTCGGCGAGAACATTCACGTCAAGACCAACAGCACCGTCGGCGACGGCACCTACATCGCCTTCATTGTGCTCATGTTCTTCGGCGCTTGCCTGGGCCTGTTCATCTGCGATGCCGACAAGATTATCCGTGACGACGGCTCCAAGGTCATTCTGATGAAGAGCCCCAGCTGGTCCACGGAGATCTACGGTCTGTGGGAGACCATCAAGGCAGAGCCCTTCATCGTCCTGCTCTTCCCCATGTTCTGGTCCTCCAACTGGTTCTACACCTACCAGCAGAACGGCATCAACGGCGCCTACTTCGACACCCGCACCAAGGCCCTGAACGGTTTCTTGTACTGGTTCGCTCAGATCGTGGCGGCCGTCATTATTGGTCCCCTGTTGGACTCCAACCGCGTGCGCCGTAGCGTCCGCGCCAAGATCGCTTTCGGCGTCTTGTTCACCCTCACCATGGTGATTTGGGGCGGTGGCTATGCCTGGCAGAAGCACTACACCCGCGCGGATGTCAGCCAGGATGCTGTCGACGCGGGCACATTCACTCCATGGGACTGGACGACCAAGGGTTACCTGGGACCCATGTTCCTGTACTTCTTCTACGGCATGTACGACGCTGTCTGGCAGGGTGTTGTCTACTGGTACGTTTTGTCATCACGATCACTATAGTTTTCCCCGCCTCCCCCCAACAACAACACAGACTAGGTAACGCTAACATCGATTCGGACAGGTTCATGGGCGCCCTCGGCAACTCCGGCCGCCGCCTGGCCAACCTAGCCGGTTTCTACAAGGGCCTGCAGTCCGCCGGTGCCGCCGTGATGTGGTCCCTCGACAGCAAGAAGACTCCCTTCATGAACGAGCTTGCCTCCAACTGGGGCATCCTGTCCGGCTCCCTCATCATCGCCCTCCCCATCGTCTTCATGCGCATCAAGGATACCGTCCCGTTGGAGGATGACCTGGTCGGCACGGGCGAGACTATCGAAGATGTCCTCCCGGCAGAGGCGATTGCCGAGAAGCGCGCCGCCGGAGAGATCTAGGTTCGCTTCTGTCTGGGGGCTGGCCCCGGCGGATCGTACATCATGCATCATGCGCTTTCACGAATGAGATCTCTAGCGGACTTGACGGCTTTGATGGGGCCGTTGAGGAGGCCCTTTGCGGCAGTAATGCAATGACTCGATACGGGTTGTTAGGCGTGATGCTTTTTTCCCCCCCCCTTTTTATTTTAATTCGCGAGATGCATATTTTATCTCCAACATACCCAGTTTTTCGATGAATGAAAAGCAGTCATGAATCTTTTATGTTCTTTTAAACCGAATACCCTCTGTGTACCTACCCCTTAACGTGTGCTGTATTCGCCCGCGGGATTTCCCCCTTCCCCCCTTGTTGGTGCTGAAGGAATCACGGCTCTAAGTTTTCCTCCTTTTCCGCCTACTGTAATACATCCTCTATCGGTCTGCGCTGTGCTTGTGGAACCTGTGCGGCACAACGGTGGCACAGCTTCTACCACCCGTAAGCAGGAGAGACCACCGTAAACCCGGCAATCAGGATGGGGATGGGCACATGTGATGTGGCGTGGAGGGAAACCGTCGCCAGCAGGAGGAGCCCGAAACATGCACAGCATGGCGAACAGTCCCAGCCTCGGACTCGGTCCTCGCGAGTTGGGATTAGGTTTCTAGAACGGGAAAATAAAATAGATTAGGTTCGTCAGGGAATACTGTGCTGAGTCCATGAATTGGAATAGTATTGATATTGTCCCTAACACGAGCGAACAACGGACATACATGGAGGACAGCTGAAACCGGACCACGGCGAACAAGACAAGGCAGCACTAGACAATTGGTTTTGGGGGGGGAAGGGGTATTTCGCTTGTCGAGAAAAGAAAAGTGACGTGACACGACGCAGAGACAAAGAGAATAACGTCGGTAATTCAATTGCGCGGTCCTCGAACTCGATCCGTTGCTTCGCTCACTCATCGCTTTCCTTTCCCGCGGAGACGGAGAACGCCGGAGGACCAGACCTACAACGCGGGCTGTGCGACGCAAACCGCACCTCCTAGCAGGTCACCGGAGAATGGCGCATACTCCGAAGGAGCATGACGATGATAATGGTGCTAATGACGGAGAAACAGAGCAAACTCGGAAAGTGCCGAGAATGTTGTCTTGGTTGAGAAAGACCCAACAGAATCCACCCCGGTCGTGGTCAGTGCGCTGTCAGCAGAATCGGGAAATCGGACGGAATGCAGAGTGAATGCCTGCTATTTTCAGGGCCCGGCTCGTACTCCTGATCGGGGTTGGGCTATACGGGGACAAAGGATAGCTGGGTCAGAGAATGAGATGATCAAAGGGAACCATAATCTGTTTTGTTGGGGATTCCTGTTGCGCGAATCGAAAGAAGTGCACCGGTATGCGAGATTGGTAACAGAACAAAAAATTGAACATGGCAGCACTTCGAACAGGGCGGTATATCTTTCAGCGAGAAATACTCAACCCTCCAGAGACACATCTATTTCGTGATGAGGTTGAGATAATCAGCCACAATAAGGGTGACCATCCTGTCGATCCGGTCCAGTCAGTCAGCGTTCAGAGTGGGTCCAATAGTAGAAGAAAAGAAAGGAAATAAGTGGGGGCAAACTAACGCATGAGGAGCGATCCGCACATAGTACGTCCCAAAGCCCCGGTAAAAGCGCAACCATCCCTCATCCTTGACCACCTTGCGCGCGCAGTCCAGGACCCCCTTGTACGGCACCTTGCCCGTGGCCGGATCCTTCTGCTGCTTCTGCAGCCGCGTCTTGATAAAGTCGAATGGCAACGAGAGGAAGCTCGCGAAGAAGCCCGCGATCGCAGACGCCGCGAACGTCGTGGTCTGCGGCGACAGGCTCGTGTGCTGCTTTAGCTGCGCCTTGCTTTCCGCAAAGAACGTCAGCTGTCCCACGTTCAGCGCCATCGCGCGAATCACCGTGGGCAGCGCGCCGGCCCAGAGGGCCGTCAGGCCTTCCTGTTTCGGGATGCGGGTCAGCGCGTCGAAGACGGAGCGGTAGTTTGCGCGCTTCTCGGGGGGCTTGAGGCCGTCTGATTGCATGCGCACCAGGGCCAGGTCGGCGGGGTTGCCGATCATGGCGGCGATGCCACCGGCGGACAGGCCGGCGACAGCGCGCTCGGCGAAGGTCACTTTACGCTGTTGCTGGTCCGCTCGCGCGTTCAGGCGCTGCATGAGGGTGTCGAAGAAGCCCAGGCGCGCGGTGGTATAGACAGCCTGACGGAGAAGGCCAGCAGACAGGCCGGTGTAGAGGTCGAGGACTTTGCCGGAGGCGATGATCTCCTTGGTAATGCCCAGGGCGGAGGGCTTAGGGCCAGTGCGGGCGCCTTCGCCGGCTAGCTGCAGGCGCACCTTCACCATGTCGACGGGCTGAATCACGCTGGTGGCGGTCATGCCGGCGAGGCCACCGTTGATAAACGGGAGCGCGGCGCGCATGTAGGGGTGGTGCAGGATGGTCGAGGTGGTTTGCGCCGGGTGCTCGATGGCGGCCTTGGTGCTTTGTTGGGCGGAGACCGCCGCTTCGTGGGCGGACTCCTTGACCGGATTGGATGCCATGGTCGTGAGGGTTATGCAGAATAACCACACCAGATCTGGAGGAGAGGTGTTAGCTGGGGGTTAATGCGTGGTGGTGCTGCACTAGTGGCGTGGAGGGAAGAGAGATATGTAGACGTCGAGGTCGCAAGAACGGACGTGCATGACTGAGAGCGGGTAGAAGTACCACTGACCGAGGGAAGGTTCACGGCACACTCACCAGGCAGGGACTGAGATACAGACAGCGGAAGTTTCTTTCTCCTGGCTGTGAGCACGTTTTCTTTGGCGGGTTTAGAAGCCACGGCGTGACTGGACCGGACCAAGGACGCTTACCGATGACGTACCGCGATCGATACAATAGTTGAAGTGATGAAGCGATAGAGAGCGTAGCTAACAGACGAACGAGACGAGAAAAGGGATGAGGGGAGAGAAAAAGACAGGAGACGGAAGGTGCGGGGGGATCGTCCAGTCACCCGGTCATACACAAGGTCTTGGAAGGGCCGGCGGAGAGTGGCAGGTGGAAGTATCGGTACGGAAGTTGGAGTAGCACTGCGCGCCGAGCTAGAAGTAGAGTACTCCGGTGTCCGGACGCGGGGGTGCTGCTTGTCTATATAATGCTCTACCGGCTATCGCAGTCGTCAGAGCTGCTAGCTTGGTCAGCCGCCAGCTACCGTATGCTATCGCAGGATCCTGCTTTTGAGGATGAGGACCGAGAACAACCGAAGCTGAGTTCCGAGGCCTCGCTGGATCCGAGACTGACCCCTTTGACCGATCGTTTGCCGTGAAATGGGGTGCCTGGACCCTCAGCTACTCTAAGCTGAGTCTGAGTGGGACACGAGAATCAATAGGACAGTCCCGGGCCTAGGCTAACCCAGCATGACTGGAGCTCAGCGAAAATCCTAGTGGCATCCCCACTCGAGCGCGATGAGGTGGACCAATTGCGTTGATCAGATGCAGCGCTGCAGAGACGAGAATAACTGGCTGGACGCGAACGTCTCGCGGGTGAAATGCGGGGATGGAAGCTTGATGTCACGAGTCTTTCCCAGCAGACGCTCTTCTCAGCGGAAGATCCCTCTTAACAGCAGCAGCCGATCTCCTCCTCCTCCTCCTCCTTCTCCTCCTCCATCATCTGCCTTCCACACGCTCGCGCATTGCTAGCCCTTGCGTCCAGACGTCGCGCAACCATGCTTCTCGGCTCCACGTCATGGAGCCCGTGCTCCAGACTTGCGACGCATTAGTGGCACGAGCTAAACTCGGAACCCCACTGCGCCCCGCTAAGCCTCTTTCGGGGCCCAACGAGAACTGCTCGGGACTCCGCTCAACGGGCCTCTGTGCTCCTGTCCGAGGGAAACCACCCACACTAGAAGCATAACAGAAGAGCGGAGATCACGCGTGGCGCCTATGGAGACTCGGTACACTGAACAACGACTCCTGCAACCGTCCTGACACAGACTCGCCTACGGAGTACTTCCCTCCGGACGGGGCAGGATCTGGGCGGCACGGACACACCGGATGATCTATGTCGGCTATTCCATCTCTCCCTCTACAATATTTTCCCGCTGCCGCTCTCGGGACCGTATCCGAGAAACAGGCCCTGAAGCCACCATACAGACTGAGGATGCTAGCCAGATTGCCCAGGCACTACTAACAATGCCTCTCTGGGCACGGCAAGTGCCGAGGGCCCCCTGGAATCCTCCGAGCGCCCTCTTCAGCCCGCCGTCTGTTCGAAGATGACCGGCATTTCTGTTGATGGAAGGCACTGCATCAAGATGCCGTGATGTTTCAAGCCACCCGCGGATGGACTCAACTAAGATCCCAACGAGTAGAAGCGGGGCCATTGGAGCGCATACCTCGCGAGGAATGGGCCACTGCAGCCTGTCAGATGATGATGATGCTTGAGGAATGCCTTTCCTGGTGATTGTCTACATCCACCGGCCGAGGCCTAAGGTGTATACACCTATACCCCATCCTGGACCCCGATGTGCCTCGTAAATCAGGTAATCCTTCGCCGACGGTATCCGCCCATATCAGAACCGCAGTTGCTGCTGGGGTTGGCAACTATGGCCGTCGCGGAGGGCCATACACTGATCTGCAGGACCGGCAATGCACCCCAACCAAACATCCCGCCAGTCTAGCGAACCCAATTGAGTAATTGAGTACATACTCAACAAGCGCCCAAAACAGAGCCAACGCCAAAAAGCGGAATCCACCCGCCCCAACCCCTAGTCCCCCTTTGCTCGTCTCAGCATCCGCCGAAAGGGTTCTCCGGCATTTCGGAGAGCGTAGTCTGGCAGTTCCGACCTGGCCTCGGCACGTAGGGTCGGGAGCAGAGGGTATACCGGCGGCCACATGGGCCCGAGCATCTTCGGCGGGCGTAGAGCGGGTGTTATTGGTGGGAGGGTGGGGATGCCTCGGCCATGGTGGTAGATGGGGTGGGTTGGAAGAACTATACCTCGACATGGATGACTTTTAAAGCCACCGAAACAACCACATCAATCAAGTTATGAAACGAGTTATACATGGCCTTTTTTCTGTCCCCAGACGACTATGCATAAAGCTTCGTCGACCAGGGCCTCTCATCCCTCGGTGCATGGCACGCAGCACTGATAGCAGCACTAAAAGGCCCCGCCAGTGTGAGGTTCTGCCACTGATAGTACAGGAGTACAGGGGTCCATTGCTACCGGGGGCGCCTAGAACAACCATCCGTGCGCCGAATTAATTTCTTTCTGAGTTGGTATCATCCGGCCAAAATCCGGTATAACTATCTGATATGCCGGACTGATAGCCGGAAGGCGTCAAGATGGCATTGTTACCGCCTCCTCAACCGACGCGCAAAGTCCGCCAACATAACTGCCCTGCCCATCGCTCCAAGATCGAGGCAAGGTCTTTCAAACCTTCCGAAATCATCGTTCTATATAGTGTTACCTAACAAAAAAAAGGGGGGGGGGGGGGGGGAAGAACTCACCTTAGTGTTTGTTGTTGATGTTGGCAATGTTGATTCACGAAAGGAAAGACGAAAAGAGACTAGTGTCAAATTAAACAGTCTGTTAGGTATCGTACCGTCCATGATTATATCAGTTTAGTTGCTTAGGAGATAGGGGTCAACATAAGTTCAGAAGAAAAATGCAATCTACTCCGTTGTTATGTAGATACTTAGTGACTAGGACAACAAACGAGCTTATACAGCGGCGGCACCCCGATCGGGAAAATCGCGACCGCGACCTAAAATATAGTCTATATAGCTATAGTAGATTATTTATCGTGACTTGAAACCTATTTTTGAAACGCCCGCTATTGTCACCCCACTTAGATATTGTACCTATCTCTATCACCTCAACGACCGCCTCCCGAAATAGCGCTAGTATCCACTCTACTAGAGGGACCTTTATCTATAAATATCGACTTCCTCGTTTCGAATAGTCGTCTACGATACTCGAACTACAGTAGGACTATAACAATCCATATATAGCAATTCACAGGTCCTTGGTTTACGAGCTAAGTTACTTCTTGGTATAGTTTTGTAACCCTATGGTCTTCGGCTTAGTAGCGACTACCTATTGCTAGATAGAGTTGAAGCCAGCGCTAAGTCGGTTAATCGACATACCTGTGCCAATAACAGGCCTTGTATCTACAAGGCTCAGACTAGCCCTCGGGGCGGTCGCGGCCATTGGCTGGGGGCGAGATGCTCCGAAGGGCCCGATCGGGCGCAGGATCAGACTTGCTACGCATGAGCTTACCATGTACTCCGTTCTTAGTATACAATCTCACGGACAAGTCGCTCGCGAGTGCAACGAGCGCTTTTGTCGCGAAATCAACCGCTCGAAATACCCCCGGGTAATGTCCGAGGCAAACTGGTGCCAGGTCAAATTGCTGGGTACATTAGATGGAGTCGCAAAGCATTGTTCCAGGGCCGGCGTCGTCAAGTTCATGACGTCGAGGCTGATGTCGCTCGGCCCCGATGGCGATGCTATACTCGGTGGTTCCAAAGACAAGAAGACCATCGAATTGTACCAGCCGACATGAAAATCAGTACAAAGCCTCAGCCACATAGGATCCGGAGCATATACAGTCAAAACTCGCTATAACGAATCAATTATTTCACGCATGTAAATCGTTATAACCAGGGATTCGCTATATCAAACTACCCCCTATTATACATCAAAATAGCCTCGAATATCGCTCTGATGCCTATTATTGACCTCCTTTCTCTGCATATCCATCTCATCTTGCCGCAGGCGCCTAATATATGCAGTATCAGGCATTTCCTGCTGCTCATGAAACGATATCAGCCCTCGGAGCACGCGGAGTGCATCAGATAATTTAATCAACGGCTGTGTCTTAATATCCTGCCTAATATCTTCCTCATCAATATCGTCTATCTTCGGCCCCTGGATCTGTGACAAAACTAGCTCATCAATAGTATCGTATGTGTTATCAATATCTTCACCCACTGGATTTAGAAATTGGCTGATATCTATCACATTACGAATTAGAAGACGCTGAATATCCCCCAATATCTCTAAGCGTACTACAACGATATTAGTATTCACTTAGTCTGTCGATTTGTATAGACCTTTGCGAAAGCAGTTGGTGATAACCGAAGTAGTTATATTAAATTCCTATACCTTAATAGCCCAGCGAAGGGCTTTCAAGATATCTATAGTTGCTAGGGGATCTCTTCTAGCTTTATATTCCCAAAGTATATAGCGAACCTATTCCTTACGCTAATAGATCTTCTAAGTATTAATAATCCCTTAATCCAGCGGTTAATATTTACTCGTAGTATTCGGTAGAAGCTAGATAATCAAGGTATTTTATAATAGGACGTAAGATCTTTTAATTTGATTCACTACGGCTTTATGAGCGGAGAAATTATCTATTAAAAGAACGACTTTCCGGCTACTCATCCGCTTATCAACTAATATAGCTACTCGCTTATAATATCGGTAGTTATCTAAGCCGTACGATTATATCGCTAGTAGATATCGAGGGCTCGGAGATTAACCTAGGCAGCTTAGAACGCTCGCGGCTTTATAGCTCGTCCGATTACCCACAGTAGTAATTTCTCAGATCCATCGGCGTTAGTGCAGAACTTAATAGTAATACGCGCCTTCTCCTTCCGCCGACCAGGTAAAGAACGCGTAGAGAGGCTTCGATTAGTTATAAGCTTCTAAAACAGTCCAGTTTCATTACAGTTAAAGATATCCCGAGGCTGAAAACTTAAGAGAGCCTGTCAGATAGTATCTATCTCTTCCTCAGCGCTCGCTGCGCTCGCAAGCTCGCTATATTACTTATAGCTTTTGATACTACGGCGTTGCTAGAAGCCCCCTAGCCAACTATTGCTAAATATAGGCATCTCCTAGTCTTTGTATTCTACCAGATTCCTCCAAAAGAACTGTGCTTTCTCGCGGACTGTAGCACTAGTGATAGTGATATGTTGTTCGGCGCGTTATATCTACTCTAGTAGCGCATCTTCGAGCGCTAGCCAGTGCTCACTACGGTAACGTTACTGAGCTAGCCGTCGCTAGTGTTGTTCATCAAGGAAGGTATATCGCTTCGAGAGGATTTCGGAGACGGAGGAAAGGGCAATCGGTCGTTGGAAGGTGGTTTTAAACCAGTTACCAATAGCAATATTGGTCAGTGAAGGATGATCTCGCTTGTAGGCTCGCAGCGCCTTTTTCTGTTCGATAGAGATAGCTGAGCGTGATGGGGGAGGCATTTCGCTGGTTCGACAGAGATATTAGCCAATAGAAACGATGAAATAGCTGAGTAATCACCTGGGTATAACAGATATTGGGTAAAATTAGGTCGAATTCGCTATAGGGGGGATATTCGCTATATATATGGCAATTTGAATTTTTACCGGCGATGTGGGTCGTTATAGCCAGGAATTCGCTACAGCCAGGTTCGTTATACGAAGGATTGACTGTACAGTAAATGGAATGGCGTAGCCGTCATCATAAGAATAAGCCATAATGCGAGTCGATACCGACCAATGGCACGCTAATTCCGAATACTCGCACACCCGATGTCAAGCCATTGCCGCGGCGTATGGAACTCGTCGATATCCGGTCGAGTCAGAGCGACCAGTGTCTGCATGTAGTAGTTGCTTGCCGCGAGGATGCACGTACTCAGGACATCAATGATCAACCGGAGCGGAATGGACCATCACTTGGCTCGTGCGCAGCCACCCAGTAGATAACCACTTCCAGTGGGATATTCCTGCCTATACCAGCCGCAACGACGATGAAGACCAGGTTGATCAGGAGCATCATAGCCGACGCCTTGGCACATAGATACACGCCCTTAATCCAGCGGCGCTGTGATGGCTTGAATGATGTGCCATCTCTCTGTCTTTTCAGAGGCCATCTCGCTGCTTAATGCGCGCTCCTCGAGGAGCATATTAGCTTCATCAGCTTCCGACTTCTGCCTGGCTGGCGACTGCCTTGGTTTAGTCTTTCGTGACATGGACGACAAAGGCGCTCTTTTATCGCCAATATTCATTGATTCTGTCTCATCGTGTCAATTGTTTGAGACACCATGGTATCCCTTTGGTAAAAAGAAGGCTTGGATGCGTGAGACTGCGGGATCCCTCGAAGGCTGTAGGACCGCTTCGTTTTCCGACATAGGCTCCGACGTCGACCTGCTCTCGAGAAGTTATGCTCGAGAGCTCCGAAACCCCATTGATCGGGAATGGAAGGGTCGGCTTGAGATCGAGTTCGCTGATGGAGCCACAACCTGGACTAGTGGAGTAGTGCGAAACGTGTCGTGGGAAGTCTACCGCGACTTTCATGTGGATGATTTCTGCGTTGCCGTCGTGCTGGATAACGATCATATCTTTGGCATGTCTGTTTTCTTGACCCTTGCAAAGTATGTCTTCAATTTCAACATGGAAGAGGAGATACTCCAGCTCTGCAAGGCCCCGTCTGATGGGTCGATACGGATGGGACTTGGAACTTTTCTAGAAGATGATTTCAATAATTAGTGAGTTACAAGTGAACGTCAACACTGCTAACTGAAAGTCTATCAAGTCTTACAATGGTTTGATGGCAGTGAAACACGAGACACTTCGGGCCAGAAAAGAATCAAAGGGAGTTGGCAAGACGAGATCAGATTCGCGGCCAGATACCGGCCCTGCCGGAGGCTCAAGGTAGAAGAAACGAAAGGCACGGAGGAATATGTTGGACTTCTCGTGTGTTCGTTGAAACAGATATACCCACTTTAACAGCTTGTAGTGTCAAATGAGCTGTATATGCAAAAGCAGCGGATCTACGAAGCACTTGACAATTTTCATAAGATATCTGATTTCATTGGCTATTCTTAGGATAATCCATCGAGAAACTCCACTTCAGCCGATCGTCAAACATGTCCATCAAGATAGGTAAGGACAAAATAGAAAAAAGATAAAAAAGAAAATAGACGGAGGCGGAAAAAAAAAGGAAGAGAAAAAGAAAACCCATATCGGGAGAACAAGTGGGGGAATAAATCCTCACGCTCGTCCCGACCCAAGCGCAAGGGCGAAGATCCATAGAAAATAGATCATCAGGACCAAAGCAAACGCAGCACGCCATGCAAATGACTTAATGTCTGAAACAAGGAAAACAACATGCCAATTTTGTAAACATCCATCGGACCAACCCAGGCCCAAGCATCTACTGCTTGGTTTGGGGAGCGGCCGCCAGAACCTCGGGGGTGGCCTCGTCAGAGTACTTCTTGAAGTTCTCGTTGAAGAGGTTGCCCAGCTTGTTGACCTCGTCAGAGAAGGAGGTGGAAGCGGTCCAGCTGTTCTTGGGGTTGAGGAGCTCGTTGGGGACACCGGGGCAGGCCTTGGGGACGGGCAGGTTGAAGACATCGTAGATCTCGTACTCGGCGTTGGCGAGTTCGCCAGAGTGGATGGCGTCCAGGATAGCACGGGTGTACTTGAGAGGGCAGCGCTTGCCGCCGGTGGTAGCACCGGCGCCGACCCAACCGGTGTTGAGCAGCCAGGCGTTGGCCTTGTGCTCCTTGATCTTCTCGGCGAGCATGGAGGCGTAGCGCATGGGGTGCAGGGCCAGGAAGGGCTGGGCAAAGCAAGAGGAGAAGGTGGCCTGGGGCTCGGTGACACCGTCCTCGGTACCAGCCATCTTGGAGGTGTAACCCGAAATGAAGTGGAACATGGTCTGCTCGGGAGTGAGCTTGGAGATGGGGGGCAGGACACCACGGGCGTCGCAGGTGAGCAGAATGATGTTGGTGGGGTGGTTGTCGCTCACGCAGGGAATCTTGGCGTTCTCGATGTACTCGATGGGGTAGGCGCAGCGGGTGTTCTCGGTGAGGGAGCAGTCATCGTAGTCGACAACACGGGAGATAGGGTCGAACACAACGTTCTCGAGGACGGAGCCGAAACGGATGGCGTTGAAAATATCGGGCTCCTTCTCGGCGGAGAGACCAATGCACTTGGCGTAGCAGCCACCCTCGATGTTGAAGACACCCTTGTCGGTCCAGCAGTGCTCATCGTCACCGATCAGCTTACGCTTGGGGTCGGCGGACAGGGTGGTCTTGCCGGTACCGGACAGACCGAAGAAGACGGTGACATCGCCCTTCTCACCCTCGTTGGCCGAAGAGTGAAGGGTCAGGACGTTGTGCTTGACGGGCATCTCGTAGAAGAGGACGGTGAAGACACCCTTCTTCATCTCGCCGGCGTACTCAGTACCCAGGATGATCATCTCCTTCTCGGCGAAGTTGATGGCCACGGAGGTGGCGGAGGTCATACCCTCAGTGAAGCGGTTGGCGGGGAACGAACCAGCGTTGTAGATGACATAGTCGGGGTGGAAGTGCTCGAGCTCCTCCCGAGTAGGGCGGATCAGCATGTTGCGCATGAACAGGGCGTGGTAGGCGCGAGCGCAGACAACGCGAACGCTGATGCGGTAGCGCTCGTCCCAGCCGGCATAGCCATCGATGACATAGATGCGGTTACGGGTGTTCAGGTAGTCGACAGCACGCTCACGGTTGATGCGCCAGACCTGCAGGGTGCATTGTTAGTAAATGACGTCATGCATGTGAGAGCCTCGGTCCGGTGGGGAAGTGGCGACTGAGCCGAGCAATGCGGGAAAGTGCGAGGGGTAAGAGGGTTGGTGATGCGCCGAAGAGGGACTTGATAGTATCTCCATCAAGACATCCTCGGCGAAAAGGAATGCACCAAGCAGACTGCCAGAAAAGCTTGACCCCCAGACTGCACGTGCCAGGCATTCTGAGTGGAGCCAGGATCGGCCGCATCTGCAAGGGCCCTTCACCATGCAGACCAGGCAAATATGCAATGCGACGAGACAACCAAAAAATCACGCATAGCGGGAAAAAGTGCAACTGCAACTTACATCAGGAGTCATGGGCTTGTTGACGGGTCCCCACCAGATCTGGTCTTCGGAGGACTCCTCCTTGACAATACGCTTGTCGGAGGGGGAACGGCCAGTCTTCGCGCCCGAGTAAGCGCTCAGAGCACCGCTGGAAGTGATGGCAGTGCCGGTCTCGTAGACGAGGGCATCCTCATAGAGGGCAGGGACAGAGGGGTTGGCAATCTGTTACACGGAGCGGTTAGTGACTGTGAAAAGCACTTCGCCAACGACCATGTTGAGTCTCAAGCGTAAGGACAGGGAAGGATCTTCCTTACAATAGCGACCCGGTCATAGTCAATGTGCGCAGTCTCGTGGAGCTCCTCCTCCAGCTCGGTGTGACTCTTGACAGGCCTGTATAGACGAGCAGAAGGTTAGCGACGAGGTCAGATGGGGCCGACGAGGTGGGGGGCGGCCAAGAGAAAAACAAAGTGGAGCGACGTACAGGACACCGCCAGGGTGCAGCGCAGTGCGATTCACAGATGCGGCAACCATGTTTCTGAGTGAAGTGGAATGGTAGTTATTGTTGCGTTGTTTCGCAAGTTGCTGTTGAAAGAAATCCGCAGCCAAAGGACCTGGGGAGGCCGGGCGCTCAGGGGGTATATAATCCTTTCCAGCAGGGGCCATCGTCTCGTTAGACACTTGGTATGAAGGAGGTTTCTCCACAGTTCCACGGGTGATGTCGGGGCTGAACGCCGAGCTGAAGCGGCGGATGCGGCGATGGAGGGCGGTTGCCGTGGATTGTCAGAGCCTAATGCTTGGGGAGGCGCAGGTCCGACTTGTCCCGAACGGCGGTAGGGCGAGTGTGGACACGAATTGGAGCCGGAAGGGGAGAGCGTTCGGGTAAAACAAGGAGGGGGAAATGGTAGAGCCAGTAAGAAGTAAGGGCGTATGCGTAGTCCAGGCCCTAGAAAAGACGCAGGTTGCGAACAGCTATGGAGGGGTGGTCGTGGTAATGGTGCGATTGGAGTTGGGTGGCGGTAGCGAGAAAAGATCATGCTTTTTATCCCCAACTACAAAGCCCAGACTATAGAGTCCCGCTGTCTACCTAGGTTCAACGAATCTTGTACTGGTCAATCATCTTGTGCATTGCCGAAGTCTGTCTGGCTGCAAAACCAAGCTACGGACGAGAGGAAGAGAGGAATGACGCGCGATGACTTCACCAGTGGTATACCTCCATACATCCTTCGACCGTCCCGGCTTTCGACCTGCCATCGACGGGGCTAAACCCGAGTGAGAAAATCGCGGGGGATTATGTCAGCGTCGATCCCGTGGTCACCTGGGTTTTTCGAGCCAATCGGCCGTCTTTGGCCGCTCAAGGCCCTTGAATTTTCTCGGCTTCCCTCGCCCCGAGTATTCGTATCGGAAGGCCGTGGAGAAGGAGGCCCAGCGACGAAAACCCCCGTCTTCCCGAATGACGACAAGGACCCGGCTGCGCAGGTCGGAACCTATGCTGGGAACAGCAGGATCATCCGCCCGCACGCCCCCCAATTACTCCAATAACGGCGTTTACCAGCCGAGGCTGATGCATCTGCGACATCGATCGCGGCGCAGCCGGCCAATCACAAGCCCCACATTTCCACCTTTTCCGCCTCTCAAGGATGGTCGGGTGGGCAGAAGACATTGCCGCTGGGTCCTGTCCCTTGTTTTCGCCGCCTGCACGATAATCGCAAATTCCCGGGCGGTGCCATAGTGCAATGAGATCGAGGCACCGAAGGGCCGCGGGCCGATAGGTGGTACCTGGTTCCCCGCCAGCTCGGAGTATACGATCCATACAAATCCCTTCAAGCTCATGCATATTACGTGCCATATTCGGTCTCGGCCCAAATAGTTTCTGGTTTCATGCCCAAGGAAAGAAATCCCTCAAGTGACGGAGGAATGGAAACAAGCGGTCTGCAAATGCTGAAACCCATCTGGAATTCCCGTTGCGCCTGTCCTGGATTCACCCGGTCGCTCTGCTACGGAGGGGACCACTCGGCCCCCGTGCGGGATGAGTGTGGCTTTGCTCCGTCCAGCATTCACAATCCCAGCAAACCCCAGATCCTCTTTGCCGATGGTTAGCGGCGGATCCCGACCCGGCTGCGGCCTCGGGCAGACGAGACCTCGAATTTCTTGCCTGTGCAGCTGCTGTGTCCATTTTTCACTTGGGGCATGCAGATGCCAGTGGAACCGATCGTCGTCGCCCTTGTTTTTTGCGCGATTTGTTTCATTTGCTTACGGAGGTTCTATTCCTGGCATTCAGCTGATCAAGTGTGACTCGTTTGTAAAATTTCTGCACTTGCGCGTGACTCGGTTGCTGGATAGTTAGTTTGTTAGTGTGTTGGTTACGAGCCTGGCGGAGTCTGGACCATACCTTTTTTAGGCTCGGCTTGGGATTCACAATGCGCTCGCTGGCGTTTCCCTCAGGCCCAATGGAGCAAGGGCGGGTGGAGAAGGGGTTCGCCCCTGGCCCTCCGCAAAATGGCAGTCACTCCGGAGAACGTGGTCCTCTCCTATCGCCTCGGATTGTCTTCAATTGTACTACTCATAGGACCGCGACTTGTCTCTATAGGATCCGACGACGAACATCGTTTCGGTCTCTTTCGCACCCGGTTATTTCCTCGTCATCTCGGTTCCCGGATCAACTTCCGGGTCAACATTCATCAACATGAAGCCTCGTGCGCCGTCCGTCGGCACCCCGCCTGCGGCATCGCTCTAGTATCGGTTGCCAATCACGTCGGTCTCTCCAACTTCCTAATTCACCCGTGATATGGTTCTTGCTTTCCATTCGCATCTCAACCTATTAGACGGCCGGGCTGCCCAACTAGCACGGGCGGTTTCGAAACGGCCTGGGCCGAAATGCGGAATAGGGCACAACTGATCGTCTGGCCTCCTAATTTCCCCGAGGTCAACCCCCCTTCAGAGCGAGCCTCACGTCATCGCACTTCCGCGCCGGCGTATTCCTAATGGTCGGCAGTCTAGGTCGGCCCCCCCAATATCCGATATGCACCCCCTCCCCCTCAAGAGGTATATATTACGATAAGAAGGTGCCTCGACTCGCTCGGGAATACCCCAAGGGCTCCTGGGCCTCCGAGGCAGATTCTCTTGGCGTCTTGGCTGTCCGGGGAAGCTGTCGCGTGGCTCGCAGATGCGGGGTAGAGCGTGGAGGGGATTCCTCTACCGAGTTACGTGCAGCCAGCCCAGTGGCATCGTGACCTGATGGCCGGATGTTGTGGGCCAGCGCATTGTCTCATCGGCTACATGCTAATCTGCTGAGTAGAAACGGCGGCCATTATTACCGGGGACCCGCGCGCTATTCTTCTTGGACGACAAGGACTGCGTCCTGGTTTATTCGTAAACACTACCAACCTAAATTTATGATCTACACAAACAATGCTACATAACATACTCCGTAGAGCCGACAAATTTCATTCCGTAATGGGGTCAAACGGGACCTCCCCACCTCTCAAACTGAACTTGATCCCACCCCGCACCTACCTACTCCATACCCCGACTTCCGGATATGAGGAAAAGGGATCGTATATATTAATAGGTAGGTATAGTCACGGAGTTCTGGGAAAGCGCGGAGAGGGAAGCCAATTTTTTTGGTATAATCTCCAAATGAGAGAACTATATATATTCGCATGTTATCCACCCGTTGCTGACGTGAAGATAGCCACACTAAGCCCACCCCGACACCTTGGACGGCAAGAATGACAACATACACCACTATATGCGTTCTTAGGCTGAAGAGTAGATCTAAACCTACCCGGAGGTCACCAAAAGCCCAACGCGCAGGAAGCAAAAGGTGCTTTACGAAGACTGGAGCATGTTAGCCTCAGCATTTGGCCATTTTTGATAGTTGGATAGCTAAAACTCACCCTCGGCAGGTTTACCGGTAGCTCAAGTACAAGATGAAAGCAATATTATACTTGCAAGTTCGGAATCGCACTAGGGTAAATACATCCCCGAACGGGCGGGAGTCAATACGAACCTAAGAACCCCCCTCTCGGAGAGAAACACATCTTCTACTGTCTTGTTGAGCTCATCGTCATAACACATGGAATTCAAGACTGAATACAAAAGACGAGGGGGGCCTGGCTATAGAATACTTCTATTCTAGCCAATATTAGTATGAACCGCCCTAAACTCCGCTTATAAGCTGAATCGACCGTCAGTGGGAGGACTCTTCTTTTGCATGTGCATCTTTATCTGCTGGAGTCTTCAATGACTCACAACTGTGTCTCCAGTAATCAACGTCTCCTGAGTATCGCCAGCAGTTTTGCACCTATTGCACCGGACCTCAAGTGGACTAGTGCCAGCCAACTCGCAAAGGTGAGTGGTCAAAGTCGCCCCACTCCAAAGTTTATGCTCGCTTCGAACTGCCCTCCATCAGGAAATGACATCAGAAATCAGTGCGTGGGCTGGACCCAAATGAATATTAGTGTCAAAAAGAGTAGAATGAACTTCACTTTGTACTAACCAACCATCTAGCCCCGCCAACAATTCTATCCGTCCTTCGCGGGACTCCTAATCGCGTGTTTGGTTTGGTTGCAATATTTTCGCCTCTCGGAGTTGGGCCGGCCGAGGAGTGGTCTGCCCGCTTGATTAAAAATCCGCCTCATAGGAGACAATCCAACGAGGCCTCCGCCAACGTTACATTCTAACCTGCCTTCCTGGTTGTTCTGATGTCCACATTACCTCCAAGGCTAGGAGACAGGATGGAAGCCAAACTTCTACCACATTGACACTCCATCAACGGACCCAAGGATACCTCAGAAGCGACTGATTTATTCTCAGCGAGGACTGTGCCGTCGCACCTGAGCAGCTTTTCTATCAAGACAATAGCAGTATCCAGATCTGATACTTTCTGGGCACATGGGACCTTTTCCAAAATCTCTGCCTCTGTCAATCATTACTTGACTTTGTCATGAACTCCAGAGCAAAAAAGACTGACCGGGAGACAAGAACACGATCTCGCCAAGGCTGCGCGCCCTGTCGCCAGAGCAAGGTGAAATGCGACGAGCAAAAGCCAGTTTGCACCAGATGCTGGCAGAAGGATCTGCCTTGTTCCAAAGATGAAATAAGACTCAAGTGGGAGTCTGATTTCCAAGACCGCGGAATCGCGTTTGGCAGATCTGGCATTTGGAGCAAATCCCATGAAAAAAGTCGGACCCGAAAAGAAACTGCCGGATCGCCTCGGTTTCCACCAGAGGGGACGACATGGCTGGAAACACCCGAGATTCAATCCTGGGCCTTTGTCAGTAGCGACATAGCCTTAGTCCGACGCCTCTATGACGAAGAGGAAAACCATATTGAACCACGTCTTTTGCGGGCCTGCGAAAGGGGAATGCACGCCTATAAGCAGGACGTAATATCTCAGGGACCTCACTTATCCTTTCTGTTACCTGCCTCATTCCGATCTCCAGGGTTCGCAGAATTTGGAACCCCGAACATACAGCCATCTCTCTCCCTATTTCCGTCCTTTAAGGAACTAGGAAACCCGGTATTATTCGACTATTATATCAATCAAATCTGTCCACGGACAGCCCCCAGCCCTACCTCGCAGTCTCCCTTCGCATCTATCATTCTTCCATATTGTCTTTCCGCAACCGCAACGGTCCTAAAAGCGATCCAGGCAGTGGCGGCCTGCCATTGGTCCCAATACGACGCACGATACAGCAGACTTGGCCTGCAACTGAAGTCTAGAGTTCTGTTCGAATTGAGGAAACAACTAACCACCCAACCACATTCTCTTGTCTCAGAGGACCCAGAAGTCTTGGTAATCGTGATGCTGTTGTGTCTCTTTGAAATTGTGGATCATTGTGATTGGCAGTGGATATTGCATCTTCAAGGCGCGAAAGACATCATTCGCCTTCGAAGACGGCAACGACAATTGCCAACCAGCCCCTCATCTAGCCAACAGCAAGATTCAGTTTCCACGTTTGTGGAGCTTTTTTTGCCTTCCAGGATGTTATGGGACGCACAGCCTGTGCAAAGGCAGACCTGTTCGGAGCTAGCTACTGGGATGAAAAAGATACGGTTATCAACGGATGGATGGGCTGCAGCCCGGCCCTCGTCTCTATATTATTCGCGGTCATGGACCTCAGCCGTTCACGACACCTCATGGCCTCGGATTCGGACAGGATGACTTTCGGTATCAAGGCTTCTGCTTTAAACAGCAGGCTTCAAGGCCTCACTCAACAGCTCAACACCAACGTCGAAGACGCAACCCTTGAGCGAATCGCTGCGCTCAAGAAGCTCGCTTGCCATGTCTACCTTCACTGCGCATTGCATGATGGCAGACCGACTGATTTCATGATTAAGACTCATGTACGAGAAATCCTCAAAGGGATCCTCGATCTTATCGAGCAGAACTCAGCCTCTCATGTCATTTGGCCCCTGTTTGTGGCGGCCGTAGAGTTGGATCCACTTGACTATGAGCTTTGGTCTGACCCAGACACGGGAGCGGTTACCGATGGGAGAAAACTTGTGTTGGATCTACTCGCCAGGATAGCCAAAGTCAGTGTCTCCAGTGTTTCTCGGACACGTTCGGTCATTGAGCAAGTGTGGCAAACCCGGGACTTCCATCTGTCCAAGGCTGCTGGGTCGATTCGAACGCCGTTCCATAGTTTGAATGACTGGGAACAAAATGTCGTGCCACTGAGCGATGCTCTGAGCTTAGTATGAACCTCTTGCTTAATATACACTCGAAAGACTGTCAAGTCTTCGAAATTGGCATGAATTTATTCGAGAGATATCTGATTGTAAACATGCATTGGTAGATATAATCTGCTGATTGCGTTGTTAGCATCGAGAAACCTAGACTGTCATGGTCTTGACTATTAATAAAAGCTATCAAAGACGTTACCAAAATAAGTAAGATATTGTGATGCAAATTTCAAACTCTTCGAGATGTGCAAGGAAGCCTTTTATGTGCCCAAACAAACAGGTTCAAGCCCGCAATCATCTACCATAGAATAATGCCATCCTTAGTAGCACCCTCATCCCTCCATTTATTCAGCTTCCCTTTCACCTGCTCCGCTGCAAACTGAGCATAGCCTGGTCCAGGGGGAGGATCATTGGGGCCAGGCTTCCTGTTCGGATCGCCAGTAATCCAAGCCACAGGGTGGACATTACTTCCATCGCTTGCCTTGCGAAACTGTTCCACTTCTGTTATATCATATCCTCGCCCAAAAATGACGGCACGCGCGGTCTTGCTGTAATTCTGCGTGCCCACGCCACTCTCATCAGCGGACTGAGGCTTCTGGCCCGACAGAAGGCGAGGAATGTCACTCAAGCAAGCCTCGTTCGTCGTAATGAAATGAACAACTTATCCATTGGTCATGATTAGACTGGTCGTGACAACCTTTGCATACGCTGCCATTGGTGGAGAAATACCTTCATATTCAGGAAGCAATAGCTCTGCCACAGGCTTCCCTACCTCGGCACGTCTGCCACATAGCACCACCGGCAGTGGATTCGGCAGCGAAGCCATAGTTGATAGTTAAATAAAGATAGACGAGTTGAAGCTCTTGAAGACGTGGTGCAGAAAGTTGAAGCTTGTTTCGGGCAGTTTTGCTTTCCCCGCCACCACCCCGCTATTTATAATCTGACGCAAAGTTCGGCCCCCAGTTTCACCCTATTGATAATCCAATGTCAGATCCAGGCTAGAAGCTCATAGTCAACAGACCAAATGATGTTAGTGCTGACTGTTCCTCTCTCGGGGATTCGTACGTCCTCGGCCTATGGCCACCATGACTTCTGTCATCCAAGGGCTCATATATTTGGAAGCAGCCTCTTGGCGTGCGAAAATACGAGAGCTACTAGACCCAGTTGAGGGATTCTTGGGTTGTCCATCCTATCGATGCATACCCTGTTTGCTGAATAAGGCGGTGATGATCGACAAAGGTGATGCTAGTACGGGCAGTCTATTCGGATCGTTGATATGTATCTTGGAGGGCCTAGAGTCAAACCAAGGCGCAAGCAGCCTAAGTCATCGCTCATTCGGTTCAAAGAAAGACAGTTAATTGTACAAAATAAGGTAAACCGGTCCAGCCAAATGTTCAGTGGCGATGATTATGATGACTGATAACGGATATTCCCATAACACCAGACTTCGAGGACAACAGGATAGTCATGTTTGTTGTATCTTAATTCGGGAGTCAGCTCCCAACCCGTACCGTGGATCTCTCAGCAGTTTGCAGTATAAGTTCGACATACGTCCTCTGTGACGACCTAGCGCTTGCCCCATTCCTGGACAAAAATACTTTCAATAGATTTGATAGTTGAGAGTTGAGGAACGGCTCCAGGCACAATTTCCTGATCTTAGTCTCCCAAACAAATTTTCCCACGGATCTACATCCGCGCCTGTTGATCAACACCCCAGCCCGATTGCCATAACCCCAAACAGTCACAAGCATCCCGGCCCCATCGAAAGCCATCGATCACCACTTCATTGTCGCATCATATGAATGAAAACCCTATGCTCATCATGATCGTCAAACCACACCATGTCGCAACCTGAAAAACTACAGGATAGAAAGTATCTAGATGACCACCTACTACGTCATCCCATACCTGGACTCACACACTTCCTCACATCGTAACCCATTCATATCTGGCATCTTTATCACGACATCTCACCAGTCTATGCATGCTCCCAATCGCAAGACAATAGATGACTACACCCACGCCCATCCCATCTCGAGACGACCTGGCCAAAACGGCAAGCCGATACCGCCTCTTGTCCGGTGTGATATCCTGGCTGGACCGGTATTTATCCTGGCCGCTTCCCTCGCGCGCAGCACTCGAGCTAGCCATCCCAGCCACAGTCAGCAAGTCCCCCGGGTATATCCAGCTATACTTCTTCACAGCATCGGGGTCTCTAGACTCGCCCGGCGAAGACGAGGAGCAGCCGCGCGCAAAGCAGCCCGTGCTAATCAACTTTCACGGCGGCGGCTTCTCCATCGGACATCCTCTCGATGACGCACGCTGGGTCGCAGCTGTCCTGCAGGCACAACCTGACGCAGTCGTGGTGAGCGTCGGCTACAGGCTTGCGCCCGAACACCCATACCCCGTGCCCATGGAAGACGGTGTCGATGCCGTGCTCTGGCTCTGGCAACGCGCGGCGCAGTACCACCTCGACAGACGGCGTTTCGCGCTGAGCGGCGACAGCGCCGGCGGCAATCTGTGCCTGGCGATCCCGCTGCGGCTTCACGAGGAGCTCCGAAAAAGATATCAGCACCAGGGCGAAAGTCCAGATATCAAACTCGCCGGTCTGATCGCGTTCTACCCTAGCACGGACTGGTCACGCAGCCGGCTCGAGCGCGACGCGACGAATCCGATTGCGCCGCAGAAATCGATGATCACGCCGGCTGTGTTCAAGTTCTTTGATGACGCATACTTGCTGCCGGAGAACTTGCCTAGGAAGACGGGCACGGGGGAGATCGATATGTCGCATCCGTACATGTCACCGGGCTTGGCTCCGGATCATCTGATTTTGGCTTCGTATCCGCCATATGTTGCCATCTACACCTGTGGATGGGACCAGCTACTGGTGGAAGGGAATGAGTTCCGGGAGCGGCTGCGGAAGCTGGAGGGGAAGGGGCGGTTGGTGCATGTTGGGGGGATGGTTATTGAGAATGTGATCCATGGATTTGACAAGAAGCCTTCCTTTTTCTTGGGAAATGGGCGGAGGGATACAATGTATGGGGATGCGGTGCGGCAGCTGGAGATGATGTGGAAAGAGGAGCCTCCGAGGGGTTTTGTTCTTGGTGACAGCGCACGATAGACTCAGTAATGGTAACCGCAGTTGCCGGGCCATGTGGTTCTTTTCGTAGCACCGTAGAGAGTGATATATTGTCCGACGTTGCAGTACACAAACCCAGTGTGTACTCAGTTCCTACCCAACACGCCCACGGCTTATCGCCAAAGCGGGGCTGACGAGGCGGGGTAAACAACGACTTATTTTCTCCCCTCCTCGCTGACCTTTTTCCTATCGATCACTCGTCCTTCTCTCTGCGCTATTCTCATTCCATTCTTCAACCCACTTTCAGGTGCGAGACAGTCTCTGATATTCTGCCATCAGCGAGAATAGGTCTCCGTGCTAAAACCCCCCTCCCAGATTAACCCTCTCAACATCATGTCTGGACACGCCAGTTGCCCCAAGTGCAGTGCTACTATCTCTGGTAGCAGCAAGAACTGTGGCTCGTGTGGCGCGGTTCGTTCGCTTCTGATTCCATCAAGGTCCTCTTCCACTAACACGCTGCAGACCTGCCCCGTTTAGCCCGCTTGATGGCATCGTGTCGTGCTCTTGTGGGATGACGGTGGAGCGGGAGGATGACAGAGTACAGGCTGGCCAGTATTATCTAAGGAGGGAGAAGGATTCGTTGGAATTTAGGCTATGAGATACCCGGTGCTAGGTGCACGTTATGGCAGGGAGAATGAAATCTATTTCATCATAACAACCCCCACATATTCAGCGTATCCAGGAAGACAGAATGAGGTTTGCAATATGCTCAAAGTACAAGCGAGCATCTAGACATTGTCCGAAAATAAAGCAGCAGAAGGAAAAGAAAAGGAGAATACAGGTTTGTTCATGAATGCAATCGAGGATATATAAACGGCAAAGAGGCGCCACGGCAGAGCTGAGGGATATTACAAGATCCCTCGCCCGAAATTGTTACTGTCTTTCTTCTGCCAAGATGGGAGCACACAGTTCTCCCTACCAGCGGGCTGGGCTCGACATACCCGTGGCTCCAGCGGACCCTGGCGGTGGTGATGGCTCCGTCACATACGTATTGTTGGGGCCGTTTAGGCGGTCTTGCGCCACTGCGACCACACGCCGATCAGCGAGCTGAGGGTACCGGCAAGACCGACCAGGCCGTCGTCAAGCTGGGCGAGGCCCAGAGCGGAGATGGGCACGGTCAGATCGCAGAGGTCGGAGATGAGCTGTATCCGGGCGGCGGCGCGCTCCCTGTAACCACACGATTAGCACCAACACTCCGTCCAACAAGAAACAACAGTGCCAGAACAGCCCTGCCACTGAGGGTAAGATAGTTCAAACATACTTCTCAATCTTCTTCGCCTCAACAACACCCTCGCCCTCTTTCCGATCCACAGTCTTCTCCTTCTCCTGCAGCCGGAACAGAGTATACACGCCTGCAACTGCACTGCACACCAGTCCCGCCGCCCATGCACGGTAAGCCCCGTCCTGCAGGCGCTTTGCGCTCGCCAGCTTGCGGTACCCGATGGCGTCGACGACAGTCACCGTGTCGAGGGTCAGGTAGCCGGCGTAGCCGAGCTGGCGGCCGACGGCGAGGTAACGCAGGACCGGGTCGACGGGGTTCTTGTTATCGAGGGCGACGGAGGCGGCTTTCAGGTGCTCCGCAAACTTGCCGATGCGCATGATCTTGCGAGTCGTGCCGAACTGCTTTTTGACCGCATTGTAGGAGTCGATGGCGGACTGGGGTTTGTTCGTACGGTATAGGTACCAGGCGTAGAAGCGGGAAAAGTACTGGAGTGTGCGGAGGAGCTTATCACGACCGACTGTGCGCAGATAGGGGAGATTAGCGGGATGGTTTGGGATGCGTCCGGTTTTGAGACTGAGGATGGGGATGGGGTAGGCCAATCTGGGGTAAGTGGTTGGGCATCATGTCATGGCCTCCGCCCCAAACCACCTGGTTCATCTTCGGAAGGCTGAGGATCACGGTGCCGGGTGATGCTGTTAAGAAATACGTACCAGTAGTTGCGACAAAGCGCAGCCAGTGCGCCAGGGCCGGGTGGTAGACGAGAGCGTCGGCGACCATGATTCCTTCAATTCCCAATCACGCGTGGTGTGTATCCGGGGTAGCTTCGGCGGGATCCGAAGTTAGTCGAGAATGTGGAGAGAACGCCGAATCCAATCGAATGTGGGGGAGTACCAGCGATTTAAAGGGGGAGGATGGATGGAGATGGTTGCCGGTGACGGTGGTAGGAGTCGGGAATTGACCGGCGTCTGGAGCCGCGGACGGTCAACCTCGGCTGAACGGACTGGGTGGAGCTCTCCCCGGAGTGTCTCCGTATGGAAATTACCCTCCGGCTGGGGCTCACAGCGCCAATATTCTTTCATGTGAAATGCTTGAATTTCTCTATTTTATTCCCGGACTTCCATTTTTCATCATTTTGGTCTGGTTGTCTGTGTTATTTGGCTGTATCCTGATTGGATCCAATCCCTCCTTCCCCGTCCCGGCCGATTTTCGTCACGCCAGCCTGCGTTCAGGCCTCCGACACTCTCATGATGGGCGCCGAGCGACCCTCCAAGCTAAAAATCTCATAAGAAGCATTGCATACAGTTCTCTCATGGACGTTATTACCAGCCACGCCCATCAACTATTAAGGCGGGCTATCAATAAAAGCAAAAGGGAAAAAAGCATCGGAATTGCGCGGGAATTGCACCCCCGAATCAGATCACCGGCAGATCAGCACGGTAAATGCTCGCCATCTTGGTTCATATGTTGCTGGGGCCATCAGGTTCTTCTCATTCATGTCGCAAAGGGGGCTTCTCACGGGACCGTCTTTGGATCGTCGCAGGGCCTGGTCCAATCTCACACGGGTGTACTGCCCGCATGTTGCCGCCTTGGGAGTCGGATCGACAGAAGTCGCATCATCGGAATACATTAATGGGTTGCTATGGCTGGATATGGTAGAAAGGATGGCGCACACGGGATGTCGACATACGTTGCTGGCGAGGGCCAGGTGCGATAACTGCTTACTCCAGGTCACGGCGGGTGGTGATTTGGCCCCGGTTACCCATGGTCGAGGTATCGTAGCCGTTCTGAGAGAGGTACTCGCGGAAGCGGGTGTCCTCGTTAGTGATCGTATGCTATGGCGGAGGGTTAGCTGCGAGCTCTCAGGCGGCAGGTTAGAGTCGAGACAAACCTGGGTGATCTGCGGGAGCAGGAAGAACGCTAGGAAAGCACTGAAGATGCACAGGGCGCTGGAAACGAAGAACGGATCCTGACCCGCGCGAACCTCGTTCGGGGCGTTCTTCTGAACAATTGGGAGAACGTAGGTGCCCACGAAAGCGCCGATCTTGCCGACGGCCGCAGCATACGAATAGTATTGGCCACGGATGGCAGTGGCGCTGGTCTTGGCGGCACACAGGCCGAGATTATCGCCAGGGCCAAACTCACCCAGAGCCAGGAAGATACTATATCATGTTAGAAAGGTAACAAACAAGTAGAAAAATTGCAGATGGCTAAAGCATACCCGTAGACCACGACGAAGCCGGCCACGTTCTCGGAGGTTGCAAGCCACTTGTAGCATCCCGACATGATGAAGCCGACAATGCCTTGGAGGAGAACTCCGATGGCAAGCGTTTTGCGAGGGCCGATCCAGTCACTCACAAATGCTCCGAGCAGAGAACCAGGAAGGTAGAACAGGTAAATCAGGGTGGTCCAGCCGAATGTCTGCCACATAGGTGCATCATCGCCAGTAATGATGGAGATCGTTGCTGAGGAGTACAGACCGAAGGAGTAGGATGAAAAGTCGTAGATGAACCAGATCAGAGAGACAACGGCTAGTCGGAACCAGTAGAACCTAAAAGCCGAATCAGTATGGCATTGACATCCCCATCGATCCACTACCAGCACTCACTTGATGATCAACCAAATCGGGAACTTGTGCATGCGCTCACGGTTGAACTCCTCGGGCTCATTCACCTTGAGTCGAAGGTAGAGGAGACTCAAGGGCGGGATAATACCCAAGCCCAGCGACACGCGCCAAACCGCGCGCAGATGATCCTCCGTGAAAATCAGCAGGAGGATCATAGGAACCAAGGCCGAGAGAACGAAGGCGAAGTCGATCTGGAAGTTGGTGAACATGATAAACCAGCGGTTGCGGTGTCCCTCCTTGAGTTCGCCCGTGTTCTCCGCCGCCGCGACAGAGCCGGCAGGGTACTCGCCTCCGATACCGATGCCGATGAAGAAACGGTACGCGGTCAGGGCGGCGAACATGCCGTACTGACTCCCACCTGCGCCATAGGAACCCGCACACAGGGCAGCAAAGATGAACAGAATGATGGTGGAGATCATCAGCGACCACTTGCGCGACCAGTGATCACTGGTATAGCCGAAAATCAACATGCCAACGACCGTACCCGCAAAGGCAATGGCTGAAACATTCTGGCTAGCCGGGGAGTTGGCGTAGGTGTCTGGGTAAAGCTTCTTCAGTATGGTATTGACTTGACCGATGACCTAACACAATATGGGTTAATCTGACGTTCTGCAGATCGCAAGGTGATGTGGGACGAGGTAAAATTGCGCAAGTCGCGTCTGGCAGCGTTAAACAGGATAAAGGGCAAAGTACACATACCCCATTCAGGTAGCCGTCAGAAAACAGACCAGCACCGCAGGCGATGGTGGGCCAGGTTCGCTCCCAACGCCCCTTCTGCAGCTCATCCAGCGGCGGGACGTCGAGGGCGGCCTCGTCCGTCGGGGCAGCGCCCTTCTCCTCCGAAAAGGCGTGCAGCTCGGGGTGGGCACTCATGGTGAATGACTGGCGGTAGTAACGAGAAGTTGGTGAGTGGTGATCCAGCGTGCAATTTCAGGAGAGCGATGAGGGGGCGGGGAAGTAAGGAGCTTATATCTACCCTCGGGGCGCGAAGGACGATCGCGTGGTTACGAAAGCAGGACGAGGATACTGTCTGACCCGCTGGCAACACAGAAAGGATCAAGACGCAGAGTGAGAAGCAGGTCTGAGCAAAGAAGAGACGAGCAGAGACCAAAGAAAAAAAATAAACAAGCAGCAGGCCGAACTATGGGGGGCAGATGTCCTGCCTAACCGGGAATCGCAAGTCGAAGCAGGCTTTTGGTACCTTCAGATACCTCGTGCCAGCCATTCAGCGAGGCACCACGTACTAGCAAAGTAACGGGGTAACATGCAGACGCCGACACTCATTCGCGGTGGAGCCCCAAGGGCCCGCCGAATCTCCATCTGGTTAAGCATTCGGCCTCTAAGAATTTGTGGCCTATCAAAAGCCGTCTTTCTATCATGGCCATCCACCGGCGCACCGAATCCCCGTAGTGGCGGCTTGGTGGCTCAAGCCTGGGATTTGTGGGAGTGGTGTGTCTGCATGTTCGGCACGCGGATGATCTGATAACGGCAGCGCGACACACAAGCCACGACAATGCGATCGAAGTCAAGCGCAGCCAGCTTTCCCTCGTAGGCCCCATGTTAGCTGCTGCCATCCAACGAAGTGAGGCACGTGCGGGCCATTCGATCGGGGGGAGGCTCCACTTGCTTCGGTGGAGGCCGGGGGGCTGCAGGGGAGGTCGGAGACCACTTGTGTCCGTGAGGTTACAGAGCTATGTAGCTTCGAATCCAGGACAAGTGGGTAGGGAAAGAAAGGGAATCTCGTGCCTCAAGGTGGTCAGCAGTGGCCGGAAAGTTCTAATGCGTGGAATTGCGGACTCCTCCCTGAGCAGGCAGGGGATGTCGTTGGCACGAACCCAGCCCTATGGAAATTAGACTGGCAGGCATCATCTCAGGAACAAAATCAGTGGCGTCGGTTCTTCAAAGCAACAGTGGGCGGTTGCCTAATTCCCATGGGTACTATTTTCATACTGTTATAATCTAGAACGGCTAATAAGAGATAAAGGAAAGTCGGCATCTGCATGGGATCATACAGTCTGAGTACGCGACCTCTTCCAGGTCGGCAGTCAAGGCGTGGGAATGGGATCGACCTGGTTCGGAGGAATGTGCATCGTCTGTATATGAGGGCGATCACGAGTCATGCTCATGCAGAATCACCTCGATTAGAGATGCAACAATGGAGTAAGCCAGGTAAACTTAACTTGACTGGCCATCAAGTAAATATCCAGCGCCGGTATGTATCGAAAATGGTGCCTTGGGTATCAGGCCTTCAACAAACACATCCCGGCCAAGGCACCGGGCGCGGAGAAACATTCCGCCAGCTGAGCTTGGGACCAGCTACGTGATGCATCGCCGGCCATCCAACAATCCCATCCAACGCCTCCCCCCCGCCTTCTCCCAGATATCCTCCATCCTCGTCAAGCTCTACACCCCATCAGTCCCCATCCTCAACCATGGGGTCTGATCCGCAGTACATCAAGTACCCCGACCTCCTCCTCGCCCAACATGTCTTCAATATCTCCAACCCTGCATGCGTCCCATCCACCCGCCAGGCCTCACTGAAGAAGCTGCAAGATGCTATCGCCGAGCGCAAAATGGCGCCGTTCTACCGCCATTTGGCCCACCCGGTCGAGGGCATCCTCAACAACTCCGGCGAGGGCGTGACGCAACACCCGCACCCGCACAGCGCAGGGTCTTCGAAGCCGCTCATCACCTCCAACATGCTCGCCTCGCGAACGCCGTCCAAGATCGACTTCCCGTGGGATGAGCAGCTCTACCAGTCCCTGGTGGAGGATAACAAGAAGGAGCTGGAGGGCATCCAGAAGGAGGAGGATGAAGCAGAAGAGGCCGCGGGCGAAACTGAGGTACAGGCTGCACGGGGAAAACGGGCAGAGTTCTGGGCTCGCGTGGGAGACAAGGTAAGAATCAGAAACCAGACTGGCTGGATTGCGTGGATATGGTATGTCTGACTACCCGTCGTTTGTATAGGACAAATCCATCGAGTCACACGAAGCCCTCCTCGACAAGATCGGTTTCCTCGGTACCAAGATCGACCTGGTGCTCGCAATGATCCGCATTGGACTCTTCTTTGGTGATCGTCTGTTCGTCAAAAAGACCATCGAGCGGGCAGAGGCTCTGGTGGAGAGCGGTGGAGACTGGGACCGGAGGAATCGCCTCAAGGCCTACAAGGGCTTACACCTACTCACTTGCCGCTCATATGCTCTCGCAGCTCCTCTCCTCCTCGACAGCCTGTCTACATTCACCAGCTACGAACTCTGCAGCTACTCCTCGTTGGTGATCTACTCGGTGCTTGCGGGATCCTTGTCCCTCAAGCGCGTAGACTTCAAGGCCAAGGTGGTGGACGCGCCCGAGATCAAGGCAATCCTGGGTGCCGGAGAGGATCAGTTGGCCGCGCTGTCCGGCGAGATCTCCTCAGGTCCTGGTGCTCAGGACGAGGTAATGAAGGATGAGACGGTATCGAAGTCGACCCCCACTGGTGGAGCCACCACTGTCATCAACCTGACCACCCTGGCCACGGGTTCCACTGCCCAGGCCGAGAATGAAGCCCCTGTGGACTTCTCCCCTCTGGCCAATTTGGTCACCAGTTTGTATAACGGTAACTACCGCACGTTCTTCGTGGCCCTGGCAGCTGTGGAGGACCACTTCTTGACACAGGACCGGTACCTGCATGAGCACCGGGCCTGGTTCGTCCGGGAGATGCGGCTACGCGCTTACCAGCAACTCCTCCAGAGCTACCGGGTGGTGGGTCTGACCAGCATGGCGAATGACTTTGGAGTGACGGTGGATTTCTTGGACCGGTATGTACTTCCCTGGCGACGGTTATTCTCGGGGTGCCATTACCTAACGTGCGCCATTTTAGGGACTTGGCGAAGTTCATCTCCAGCAACCGCATTGCATGCACCATTGACCGGGTCAACGGCATTATCGAGACCAACCGGCCCGATGACAAGAACAAGCAGTACTCGGATGTCGTCAAGCACGGTGATGCTCTGATCACCAAGCTCCAGAAGTACGGACAGGCCGTCCGCCTCCGGGGCAGCGAGCGCAGCTAAGCGGGTCTATTGGTGTATTTGGAAGGTGTCCGTTTTAGAGATGACTCGGTGATACCACCATCCGTCCAGGTTCGAACGCAGAAATACTATCTAGCATGTCCCAACCGTGTTTCTTTTAGAATTATGACCCGATCAGCCATTTCTTGCCATGATACCGCCTTCAATGGAGATTGTATCCTATCCTCCAATGCGTTCCTAGGGCCGTAAAGTAGAGTCTCCCCCCGCACGTCGGGCGGCTCCGGAGTGACGATAGGGCGTGGCCGCAGCTCAACTTCATCGGGCAACCGGAGGCTTCCCGAGGGGAAGATCGACCCTGCTACTGCGCCCGCGAGGGACTAAGCACACAGAGCCTACATCATACACGCTGCACTCCTATTCGTCTATTATTCTTGTTGCAGCCCTACTGCCACCCCCTTTAGCAACCTTCTAAACTGTAGATAATCGCGCGCACACTCTCTCGCGTCCGCTCGTCTCCGCATTGTCTCCCAGTCTATTGCGGGGAAGGCAATGCTGAGTCACAGTCTCACCGCCCAATGGGCCCTGGACTTTTTTCCCTCCCTTCAATCCGCCGTGAACAAGACCGAAAGGCACCAGCCAACAAGGATTTGGAGATCAATTCAAGATCGTCACTTGTGCCGCAATGTCCTGGCAATTAAGGCTCGCCTCTAGCGTGCGGGCATCTCCGCGGGCGTTCGTGACCCGGCCGAATGGAGGACCCCTACTACGCCCGACTACACGCGGCGTTGCGGGGGACATCTCCGCTGGATCAGGTACGTGGGATGATTTGCGTTTATATATAGACGGGGCCTTGGTCTCACCTTCCCCTCAAGCGCGGTTCCCGCTGCTCTCGTATGGTCACATCGTATTGCTTCTTTCCATGCTGAATCACTTCACCGGCCCACACCTTCCTCGCCGTCAAAAGCGCCCTACTTCCCTGCCACTGCTCCTACTTTTCGCTTCTGTTTCAACCTCGCTCACTCTGATTTACCTACTCCAATCCTATATCACTAACATTGACCCCTCGGGTCACTTCAGTGCCCTCCATGACTCAAACCAGCGTCGCGTATGCCAAGCGCACCCTATCCACCACCCAGGCAAAATGTCTCAGCGTCGATAATATGAACCCCTCCATCAAGGCGGCCAAGTACGCCGTGCGCGGTGAGCTCGCTGTCAAGGCTGAGAAGTACCGCCAGCGTCTGGCCGAAGGCGACAAGTCGTTGCCCTTCGACAGCGTCATCTTCGCCAATATCGGCAACCCCCAGCAACTCGACCAGAAGCCCATCACCTTCTTCCGCCAGGTCCTCAGTCTCGTCGAGAACCCGCTGCTGCTGGAGAACCCCGAGGCCCTCAAGAACTCCTTCGGATATAAGCAGGATGTGATCGACCGGGCCCACACCTTGCTCGCCAATGTGCAGAGTGTCGGCGCCTACAGTCACAGCCAGGGTGCTCTGGGCATCCGGAACAGCGTCGCCAAGTTCATTGAGGAGCGCGATGGCTTCCCCGCCGACCCCCAGGACCTGTTCCTGACTGCTGGTGCCTCGTCTGGTGTCAGTACCCTGCTCAATGTCATCTGCAACGACTCCAATGCCGGCGTACTGGTTCCTATCCCGCAGTACCCGCTGTACACCGCGACCCTGGCGCTTCTGAATGCGCAGTGCGTGCCCTACCTTCTGGAGGAGCAGAAGGCGTGGGGTACCGACGTCAGCGCCATCACCCAGTCCATCAAGGACGCCAAGGCCGCTGGCACCAACGTCCGCGCCGTTGTGGTCATCAACCCCGGTAACCCAACTGGTGCCTCGCTGAGCACCGACGACATTAAGAAGGTCATCGATGTTGCTGCCGAGGAGAAGCTGGTCGTCATGGCCGACGAGGTCTACCAGACCAACGTCTTCGAGGGCGAGTTCGTTTCCTTCAAGAAGCGCCTCCGTCAGCTCCAGCAGGAGCAGCCCGGCAAGTATGACGCCGTGGAGCTGGTTTCCTTCCACAGCACCTCCAAGGGCATGATCGGCGAGTGCGGCCACCGCGGTGGCTACTTCGAGTTGGTCGGCTTCGACCCTCTGGTCCAAGAACAGATCTACAAGCTCGTCAGCATCGGTCTGTGCCCGCCGGTCGTTGCACAGTGCCTCCTCGAGACTATGGTCAACCCCCCTCGCCCTGGCGAGCCCAGCCACGAGCTGTATGAGAAGGAGTACAACGGTATCCGGGATGGTCTGCACAAGCGCGCCTTCGCTCTGTATGATGCCTTCCAGCGCATGGAGGGTGTCGAGTGCCAGAAGCCCCAGGTTAGTCCTCAATCAAGTTCTCCCTTTCCTAAATGACCATTGACTGATCGTACCCAGGGTGCCATGTACCTCTTCCCCACCATCAACCTCCCCACCAAGGCCATTGAAGCCGCCACGGCTGAGGGCCGCGCCGCCGACGAGTTTTACTGCCTGCGCATGCTCGATGCCACCGGTGTCTGCGCCGTCCCTGGCTCCGGCTTCGGCCAGAAGGAGGGCACGTTCCACTTCCGCACGACCTTCCTCGCTCCCGGCACCGACTGGGTTGAGCGCATCGTCAAGTTCCACGCGGAGTTCCTGGACAAGTACCGGTGAGGGGGAGTATGCCAAGCAAGAGAAGAATAAACTGACGAGCGATGCGCAATGCTAGATGACTGTGCTCCTGCTTTTTTGCCTTGTCTTTATCTCCCTCTTTCTGCCTTTGCATCATGCCATTATGTGAAACGAGTCTCTGATGGGCCCTGCTGGTTCTTTTTGACCTTCTCTCTCTTGGTGCGGGACGCTGCGATGGTCCAGGCTTTTGTGATACCATACCTATAGACTACAATCATCGATTCATTGTTATGTGCTGCATTCCTTGGGGTCTGGCGATGTCTAGTGGAAATAGTTCATCGTGATAGTGGGCTTGTACATTACACTCCCTTTTTGAGAACCCTAGGGTACTTTCCTAAGGGTTGCATAGTTAAGATCCTACCTAGGTAGGCAGTAAATATGGTCATTATCGCGCTCTTGACTGATTTCTAGGTATTAGATGTCAAAAGTATATTTTTTCTTTGTATCACTAAGTGATCTCAGAAGAATATATAACAAGGCCCGTCTGGACTGACCTGCAGGTTTGATATCAAGACCCTAACAAGTATGCAGTAGAACTTCCATTTGGAGAATTTCGAGTTGGAGAGTTCGCTTACCCTTGTAATAGACAAAGGATTTTCACCATTCGATCATGGACAAAGAATAAGAGAGGTTGAATTGCTAAATCCATTGATAGTGATATGTGAGCCTGAGAAAACTGGCAAACATAAATACAAAGATGACTTAGTTAACTTATTCTTGATATTCTGAAAATTAGGTAATTTCTACTCATAGAAATCACATTGAAGCTCCACATGATCGGCATGGGGATGGCAAAAGATGCTGGAGGCGAGCGCACGATCTACGATCGCTATGGCCACACCGAGCTGTGTTCCTTGAACGCCGAAATATGTTTACTGGTATAGTCACCGTAGGGACGGTGACACCTGGTATGCTACAGTGAGGTGCCGACCGATCCGAGTCGGTCGTAAGATTGTACATTCGAGAACGTCACTTCCAATGGGCAGCTATGTGAACTTCCGAGAAACACGCCAGGTGTGTTGCATATCCCTTGCGTTGACCGTGAATTTCGGCCCTCAGCTACAACTTTGGCAAACTTGTGGGAGCGAAATCATAGGTCGGTGGTATGTCAGACAGCTGTCGAAGGTTAAGTCTTAGCGTACCCATCATCGGGTCCCAGGGTGCTGGAAATGTATCTACAGTGCATCTACATGGAATCTATCCAATATTCATTATCGTAGAACGAACGCTGAATCTAGGAAGGAATCACTAAACAGTGTATCTTCAAATCATTCTGCCAAGCCACCAAATGGCCACGTCAAGCCCTCCCCCATCCACCCCCATTTCAGTGACAGGGACACCCCTGTACACCGAGAGATCGTGCAGAGCTAAGCATTAGCCAAGACCATGCAGACGAGGCTTGACTCGCGAGGCACCGACGCAGAGCGAAGGTAGCTGCAGCGTCCGCACAGCGTGTACTTTGGCCGGCTTCGGTATGCGGTGCCTTGTACAGGACCGGCATGTGCGATGAAGCAACCAGATGGTCGGCGGGTTGATCCGGCGGCTGGGCAAAAGGCTTAGCTTGTGGTATGTATGCAGCGCACGAGCGTTGTTTTGGCGGGTGTTCAGCTGGCATGGACGGATTGGTCATTAATTCATCCATACCGACGGTCATGAAGGGCTAAGAAGTTGTCTGTCGCGGACTTGATCTGTCTAGCTTCGGTAATGTTGATGGCCCGCGGGTGCTCACCGCTACTTGTTTCTCGGAAACGAGGCACGTGGGCACATATCCGGTTTCTTTACGTGGTATACTTCGTACAATGTATAGTTAGCAGACTCAGAGACAAAAACCCCTTTCTATGGCTGATGTTTTCCACGGCACGACGAGTAGTATGGCTAGCCATGACCCGCAGGGGACCAATCACGAAGCACGACAAAATAGGGAAAGAACCAAACTCCTAAAGGAAAGGCCGCAAAATAGCCACCTCCTTTGCGATCGAACCCCGATCTACCGCACGCACGGCCAGCATTGTACTTGCCAGTAGGTATAGGCAGCAACTGGAGCCAGTGGCATTGGCCGTCTGAGATCGGGCTTTGACTTTCCTCGCCTGCAAGCCGCGCAAAACCTGCTTGCCCTGCGCTGATCTGGGAATCCCGGGGTTGCTCCCACTCGGCATGTTTCCTCACCGCTACACCCGCTGTGAAACGCATGACTTGAAGCTGACTGCGCTTCGTGGGCTCGGGTGCGCGGTGTGCAGATTAGGTATTGCCGGTGAATATTTTTCGAAGGTGGCTGGCTGCGTACACGCTGGGGAGGTATGAAGAGCCATGTCACGTATTTCGCAGTGGCTCTTTGTATTGACCAGTTGAGTTTACAATGGGGAAAGCCATGCTGTATTCAATGTGGCCAGGTAGTTCATTTGGAGGGGGGAAAGCAACATAGGATCTAAATATTGGCATTTGAAACGCGCAAAGCAGTGGGAGTAGGCCATGTACATGTACCGAGCACGTATATCCAAATCGCAGAATCCCTCTAGATTGAAATGCTATCGTGAGAAGATCTAGACTGGCTAGCAAAACAAGTGGACAATAGTAAATAAAATAGGACAGGCATTTATCATCATCTCTCATCAAGGTCATGAAGACGGTGTGGAGGTGGTGGTAAGTACGGACGGCAGATCCCCAGGGAGGAAGAGGGAAATCGAACTAGCATTGCCAAAAGAGTGAATCAACGATGCGCTATTGCGTCCACGACTGGCGGAAGTAGTCCTCGTCCAAGGGCGGGGTGGACGTCGTGTCGAAGAGCCCGGCGGGCCAGATGGGGACCGAGTCAGGCGCCTGCGACATGGAGAAGACATCCTGGGCGGGGGTCGGTTTCGCGTCGATGCCCATGCTGGCCTGCAGTTGATGCTCGAGCGCAGCGGTCGACTCATTGGCAGACTTAAGGAAGTCATCGATGTTGATCGACCCCAGGTCATTCGACGACAGGAGCTGCGCTTGGGGTAGACCGACCAATGAGGAGGCAGAGCTGACGCGGAGGTGGTCCATGTCCGACGCTTCGCTCACACTGTGGAGGTCATGCATGTCATTGGCAGCATGTCCCAGACCCGGCAGCGGCCCGAACTCGTCAACCTCGGAGATGTCACCCGATGACGACGGCGGGGGCAGGCCCGAGGGATACGACTGGTAATCGAAGCTGGCGTAGGACGGCGTTTGCGTGCTAGTGGAAGCAGGAACATCCGAGTATAGCGGGAAGCTTGACCAGTCGACCGATGGAGCACCCGCGCCGGTCGATCCCAGAGGCACATCCGAGTCCGGGGATGTGAAGTAAGGGTCATGGTACGGATCTTGGAAGGCCATGCAGGCAATAGGCGAGTTGGTGGTTGTAGTCGGGAAGGTGGTAAAGGTCGAGACATCGAGAGGCGGAGGAACACTAGTGATAATTTGCTCCAAGGGAAACTTGTCCATAGTGGCTGGGGTAGACGTCGGATTGGAGGTAGCGTCTGTTGGCGTATCCATTGCGGCAGTCACCGGGAGGGCAGGAGCTGTGAATTTGTCCAGGAATGCTTGATCGAGAGAAGTCGCAGTCACAACAGCCTCCGCGCCGGCAGCAGGGGCGCTGTTGGGGGAACCATGCTGCGACCCAGGTTGCGACTGGGGGTGGGGATCCATCGAGAGGCTTAGAGGTTCTTGGACAAAAGCGGACGCGGTCAACGGAAGATGGTCCACAGACCGGCGAGGCATGTCGGAGGGGTGGTGGATGGTATGTGATCGTGGGATTGTGTACGGCAATCCGCACTTGTGGGCCATGTCGTTATGCTTGTGGGCGGGTTTATGGTGACCGTCGCGGAAGATTGTCAGCGTCGACTCAGACTTCGTCGACGTGAGGTGGGGTTTCCGGGGAAGTTCGGCAGGAACGGACGGCTGGGACGGGGGCAGCCCCGTCTCCGGCACAGGATCTAGATGCGTTTCCTTTTTCAGCGCACAGGTACAGCGCTGGCCATGACTGCAGCCACAGCGGTGAAGGGAGTCCTCTGTAAATTCAGATCAGAACGGGGGAACTGAGTACACCAGCGCCATAACATTATATGCTCACGCTTGAGATCTCGCTTGTCACCATGGCAGTCGGACGGGTCGGATTTCTTTTTCTTGTCGCCACAGTCGCACTTGACGTGGGTTGTCCGAGACTTGCGTAGGCCGCGGCAGTGGGTACATTGCGAGACTGGGCGGCCTTTTTTGTTGATGTGGGTCAAAGGGCGGTCTATCGCGGAGCAGAGGTCACGTTAGTTGAGTGGCTTCCAAAGGAGTCTATTTTGGGGAATTCGAGGCAATTGCGCAACACGAGATGAAGGGGAAAGGGGCGAGGGTGACATACCGCTGTGGTGACAGCTGCTGACCCGGTGACCCCGGACGCAAGCTTCACAGGCCCACTTCTCACCATCAATGAGCATCGCTGTGGTTACTGAGAGGGACACATGCGATGAATCGCGGAATGGTTATAAAATGGGTGAAATGGTAGATTGAAGTCGAAAGAACCGGTCGCAATGCGGACCGGAGAGCCGTCAAGGCGGGGGGTATATTTCAGCCGCTTCGTCGAGAGACGGCGAATTGAACAGAATGAACAAAAGGGTATCTTGGGCGAAAGGGTGTCCCAATGCGCGGAAGTCCACTGAACGCCGTTCCAGCAGTATACAGGGGGTAATGATGGTATCTTATTTTGCACAACTGGAGTCGATATATCGCGGACTCTGGGGCAAGGTCGAAACCGAAAGACAAAAGAAGTAATTCCAAAGGGTATCGAAATGTCGGGAGATCGAGGAGATCGAGGAGATCGAGAGGAGGTCAAGGAAGAGGGGGGGTGCAAGGAGGGAAAAAGAGGAGCGAACTCGAGGGGGACCAAGCCTACGCACCGTTTGGCGCCGGCCGTGAGACAGGACACCAAGTACCGGTAGTGGCGGCCAAGATAGAAAGCGATCGATATAAGGAGCTTGAAGGAACACCCTATGCGGGAAGAAGAAGAAGGGAGGGAGACGGAAGGGTTTAAGGACGGTAACGAGTGGGATTTTCATTGCGCTCCTGGTCGCTGCCGTCCGCCGCAGCGAGGTACAAAGGCACACCTGACAAGACCAGTACTGTGTTACGGTAATCAGGTAATTATCGAATTATGTAAGGACATCGGCATCGAACCCCCAGTCTGACTTGTTGAGTTTTCCTCTTATATCATCCTGCAGCCGCACTTCCCTGGTGGTTCCGGGCATTCTCGTGGCCGCCGTGCCCGGCAGTTGGCCTGGTTCCTGTCGTGGATTGCGACCTACAGTAGGTTCTGACGCCGGTATCCCTTTGTACTCCCCCTTTCTTCGGGCCAGCGAAGCCACGGAGTACCGTACCCACCATGGTCGAGTCCAGGACGAGGCCAGTCTCCACCAGGAACCAAGCCTCGTACAGCTCTGGTTAGGGTTTCGTGCTGATTACGATCGACTCCCACAGTCAGAGCAGAAGCCTAGTTGCTCGGAGCAGCCAGCATGAGAGGCATCCGATCATTGTTCTATCTCCTCAGTCGCCGGTGGCTCCCGACGGATTCATGGGTTCATCGGTACATCGCATCCATCCACTGCCTCGTCGAGCCGACGCGCATAGCGACGGGAGCCGCCTTACGTGGCAACACGAACAAAATTCCCGAGGACTCCGCCTGCTACCAGCCTCCCATGACGGAAATGCAAAGCATGGGAACCAAACTCGAAAGCATGGTCCCGTCCCGCACCGTACATACTCTTACCTTCACTAGAATCCTATAGACAAGGCTACAATGCAAAAAGACCGTTCTCAGTACTCCCGGGCGTCGAAGGTTGGGGCAGCTCTCCCTCGGCGGAGCACCGGAGCACGGTCTTTTTCCCTGCACGAACGAGAACCCCACCTGCAAAATGGATCTCGCTAGTAAAATCTGGGGCCGCACATCCCAAGCCTTGACACCTGGCCCCTTGAGAAGTGCAGAGCCGGGCACTAAGTGTCGCGCGATTGTCGTCTCTGCGCTTGGTTCTCACCGATCACCCGGGTGCTTCGGGGGTCCCGTTTGGGGATGTTTCAGTGAGCCTGGTTGAGAGGAATGGCGACCTCCACGATATTTTCAGGTACCAGCTCGTCCGATCGAAGAAGTTTCCACGATCCCTGCAAGGCGCACCTCCGATGTGCACATCATTGGTCAAATAACACAACTCCTGACCTTGGCGCTGTCAGCAAATGGCAGGGGCTCAGTGAGCATGTTCCGGTAACTGCTGCGCAACAGAAGCCATAATCAGACCCTTCTACGAGCCACCAGTCGCTGGTGGTTGCAGGCGAGCAGCAGGATAACTTACAGTGCCGTACGGTACCGCATGTTATAGCGCCGTTCGACGTGGCCTCATGGCGTCACCGTTCCTGCTTCGGGCGGGCTGCAGAGGGGTTGGCGCCCGGCCAGCGGGTGAGCCCTGATCTGCGCATGCAACAATGCGTTCTGCCGCCCAATCGCAGCCCGCCTGGATGTGGAATCCGGTTACAGAACCGTACAAGCACGAGGACGGACACGGCTTGCGGCAAGCGTCTCGGTGGATCGCTGAACCGCTGAACCGCTGAACTGCTACGACAAAATACGCTCGGGGATCAACCTGACAAATGGCGTTAGAGCCATCGGGCAATTAAGAAAGTCAATTTGGGTGGTGCAATATTCAGACCATGAGTCGAGTCCAAACACACCACAACCGTCCAGTGACGGTAAACTAACCACTGAAACCTGCTACTTTTGACGCCAGTCTAAGCGCTCTTCGTACTAAACTCGTAGCCATGTATTAATCACGTGATACGATCGAACCTGCTTTTCATCCAGTGCTGCTCATTGGGTTTCCCGCACAGTCTACTTTCAAGCTGCCCAATGTGAATGAAAATGCGGTTGGACTAATCCCGACAATATAAGCTGATATAAACCACCTTACGAGAGCAACGTGGGGTGGATGAAGGTCCCGTTCGATGGTGTGATGGTTGTTCCTTGGTATTACTTGCGTGACGCGGGTTGGGAGCACGAGTATCGTCGTCCGCCCAGGGTTGCTTTTGACCGCTAGTCGACTTAATAACGCTTTGGGGTGGTATGGGAGATGACAGTCGTTTCTCCAGACCAGACCTTATCAAGCTTGAAGACGCGGAATCAATCCACGAGTTGGGCATGCTTGTCAGTTTTGTCTGGAGGTGCCCAGACGCTTCGATCAGAGACGTACCTGTGGAGGGGATAAGGTGAAGACGGGAATATGATAGATCGCGCATCATATCGCTCACTGTGTTACGGCCTCCTCCCATCGACTCTGAGAGCCTAACTTAAGTATTCAAAATCCCCCTTAAATTTCCCTATTTATAGTTCGCAGGATAAGCAGACTGATACCTGACCGGCTTGAGTATAAATTCGGCTGTGTCCTTATTCGCGTTCGGTATAGTCTTCATTCACATACTGTCAGAAAACTGGACATGCCAGGTATTGTATTTCAAGGTTGCCTTGCCACAGACAACTGTGGCAGGTCGAAGTCTATAACCTGAATATATCCCTATGACACGGCTATAACATTCCCCAAGTCCAGCCCGAGCCATTCAGTCTGTTGCTAACTACCTCTTCGTCCCCCTCGAATAGGCAGGCGGCGGCTCATCCTGCCCTAACGACGGCACATTCTCCGAACCAACCACGTGAGCCTTTGCTTCCCTCGTTCGACGGTAATACCTCAGCCCAAAGAAGCCCAGGAACCCCAACAGTGCGACGGCAGCCGGGACGCCAATCCCAATTCCCACCTTAGCATTTTTGCTCAGTGAATGGTCCCTCGGCAGGTTGAGAGAATCAATTATTATAGGAACAATACTGGACTCGGATGCCTTGAAGCGAATCTGGATCCCGGTCGCGGTGATGGCTCGCACTGTCGTGACGACGGAGAGCGTGGCATCTGAGTAGGTGATCGTCGGCGCGCTGTTGAACGTCTTTCCGCAGTAGTCTCGCCCGTTGCAGTCGAAGCCACTGGATGTACATCCATTCTGTTAATTTCAAACTGTGGGAATTGAGAATGGATCATGGTTCACTCACGTTGGGCAGCAGATAACCGTGGTTTCGTCCCGCTGCGTGGTCGTCGGCAGCGTGCACGATTTGTATCCCACTGGACACACACCGGGACTAAAGTACATATTGTAACGCCATCCTTCTGGACAGCACTCATCGCCGAACGGGCCTGCGCATCCTTGGATTAGATCGGGTCGTCCGTATAGTAGTTCGGTGTGCGGGGTGGCGCATGATGCGGGCGGCGTGAAGGTGGTTGTGAGTGGTCCGGCATTGGTTTTGGTTGTGTCGAGGCGATTGGCGTAGGAAGTATCGTAGATATACCCAAAAGCTTTAGTGGAGATACTCGATAAACCTATGGCGCCGAGAAGGGATTTTCTTGATGTCGGAATCTTCATTCTGTCCGACGTCGTGTATATTCCCCGGCCACAGAAAGAGGATGCAATCTGAAAGCAGTATGTGGATTCTCCGAGGCGGCAAAAATGTTGGAATCTGTTCCTCTGTATCTGCAACTAGTCGCACTTCAATACTTATACCATCTCACAGACTTACCCATCGCGTCGTTGCGCGACGATCGCCACCAAGCGCCATGGCGCCAAGATCAGCCTTGTCCACTTCTCGTATTCAGACCTAATTTTGTCCCTGAATCTCTCGGAGATTGATTGCTATAGGCTCGGGGTCGAAGTCAGGGCACCAGTGTCCGGTCATCGCCCTGCTGCGAACGATCGTGGAGACGGGGTCAAGCTCGAAGAGGCTCTATTCTGCGATGCGTGGGCGTTTGCGCCAAGATGCGTGGTGCCCAGAGGTAGACCCTGCATGAGCCATGTGTTAACTATTTTCTCTTTTCAACCTCGCTAGTTAGCGTTAGCATTAATCAATTATAGCAGACTTAGCAGATGAGGCTTACCTCAACTTAGAGAGACGTCGGATAGCAAAGGCGGGCGGTATTACTTCAGAGCGACTTTTAAATAGACTTACTCCCCGTTCTCCTGTTACGTGGTGCCTGCTGGTCACTATGAGTAAGTGCGGAAAGGATATAGTTACCTTAGTTGTAATGAGGTAAAACTACTATAGGTGCTGAGACGGCTGATTTTGACCCTGTTGGCACAGACTCAATCCCAAAACTATCTCGCAACCATACCATTGCTATGCTAAGCCTTACACGGGCCCTGTTGAGTATCTTGTAGGAAGTGCCAGAGTGCGCGCCAAGTAAGTCAGTCACCAAGTGTTGCCACGAAGTGAGCTCCCAGTCAATGAGAAGGTACAGCACATCAATCATATTCCCTCCGATAGATACCATTGAGCATCCACAGTGGGCCCTATCCGACAGCGAACAGATAACCCAATTCCAAAGCATGACCAATAATGGCAAGGAGACCACGACCAGCGTTACAGCCCCAGCGGTGGTGGTGACCGGGCCGAACAGCGATCTCAACATCCTGATGATACCAAATCTCCAGAACAGGCTAAAAGTTATGGCGCGTCATCCACACTGCTATCTCAAGCGAAGCTCTACCTGTTCGCCAATGACATTCCTGAGGAACATCGCGTCAAGCCAGGATAAACTGGTTCAGAACATGGTCGAGGAACTGAAGTTCATCCGAGTTCTCACCAAGGCGCTTGCTGAAAGCGAGGAGGTCAAGGCGATCGTTAACTCCCTCAAGATTGCGGGTACACGGCCGAAGCCCTCGCTTTGGTGTCAGATGTCGGTGTGTCCCCCCTGGCCCTCTCCTCATACTAGCCAATGCATCCTTTGGAGTGATGCATGACCTCCACTCCGTCTTTTACATGTAATATCTAGCATTACTCACCAAGTGCCTTGACCAGGGCAAATACATACAATGAGAGTGTCTCCCAATGGCCAAACCCATCGGCCATGCTTTCAATAAAGGCTGGTTCGGCCAGCAACCAAAAGGTTCTCCAGTCTGCCTTTGATCAGGTGACAAATGCAAAGCTTCACGTGGAATGCTGCGACGATGACTATAGCAAGGCCCTAGCGATCGACAAGTCCTTCGTCACCGAGCTGGCCAAAAAGTTCTGCGAGGGGAGTCCAAACAAGAAGAGTGCAAATATTTCGTAAAGACGCGTTAATTAACGTTAGTCGGAGGCTCACGATCGGACAAACCCGTCCCCGTCCGGAGAAGGGGGAAATAGTATTAATCCGCTGGAACACGCAGAAACAAAAGGCCGTCCTCCGCGCGATCATCCCGAGCATACAACTATACCAAGAAAGTAAAAACAAAATGATCGAGTGCCGCAGACAGGAAATCCAAGTTGTTCCAACTGGTGTTGCTCAAGGCGGCGGCGCTAAGCCCCTGCCAAATTCCCCGCGAAAAATTAGCCTGTAGAAAAAACCTTGCCTCCGCTGGCCCAGCGCGTCCTTCCCACCTCTCCTCCATCTCCCGGAAGCTCGCTTTTCCCCCAACCCATCACTTTTCGTGTGTTTCTGGGCTTAATTTCACACGATGAACTCCCGAGAGCAGTCTGATATGCCTCCGGCGCCCTCCTATCCATCTCCCAACAGCGCGCAGATGGCCCAGGGCGCCATGCCGTACTACAGCAACCGCCAGCTCACCACAGACGAACTCCTTTCCGCGGAACTGTCGCGCGAGGCCTCTGGCCCTGGCCTGGGCGATGGATCGAGCAATGGTGTCCATCATGGCCAAGGAATGGTGTTGGGCTCATCGAATGCCGGCGACATGGGTCGTCCCTCGTCCGAGGACCAGCACCAGCATCAGCACATGCTGCAGTTCCCCCCAAGCCAGCAGGTGGGCGTTGACCCAAATCACGACTTGAGCTATGGGGAACAGAGTGCGCGTAAGCGTTCGAAGATTTCCAGGGCCTGTGACGAATGCCGGCGCAAGAAGGTACGTCGTAAATACCGCCCTCCTCGCGTCAAACGAGACGCGCTGGTTCCTGCAGCTAACATTGTTACTCCCCACGAATAGGTCCGATGTGATGCAAGCTCGGAAACCGGCCTCGAGACATGCTCGAACTGTCGTCGCCTGGGAGTTGTATGTCAATTCAGTCGCGTGCCCATGAAGCGCGGACCCAGCAAAGGGTAGGTGGACACGCGCCATCGCATCATAACAATCGAGATTGACGAGAATATGTAGTTATATAAAGGAACTCGCCGAACGATTGCATACCCTCGAAAGCCAGATGCAACCAGGCATCGTCCAGCCCGACGTTCCCTACCAGTCCATGAACGAGGTGAATCTCTCCCGAGGCTACCAAGACTTCACTTCGCCCGTGGATCCAGGCTCTGCCAATCGCAAGCGAACCTACTCTGTTTTCGAAGGTCTCCCAAGTTCTTCCTTCGCCCAGCCCTCTTTCAACGGCCGCGGATCGCAGAATGCCTTCGATACCTCGGACGCAACAGCCGACCCATATAACCCGACGATCGCGAGCGGCGGCGCGTCCAGGCCTGGCAACCTCTTCTGGAACCCGACTGGCAACGAGCAGGACCTGCCGAGCGGCCTGGAGATGACGGACCTGCCCAGACACGAGGGCGATGATGATATAACGCCTGTCAACCTTGACGAGGGCGCTTTGGATGCGTACTACCAGAAGGTCCACACTCTTTTGCCTATCCTGCCGCACACCAGGGAGCGGACATTGGAACTGCTCCACCAGTGCAGTCGTGAAACCCAGGAGATCTTTTGCTACGCGCTATATACGGTTACCCGGACTGACTTGTCGCGTGTCGCGGGCAACTTTGAAAAAGTCACGTCATTTGACAATGCCCAAGACCTTCTCCTATACCACACCCGCCAGCCATTGATTGTCCACTCTACCGCGGTCAACCTCATTTGGCTGCAGACTCTGATCCTGATGATCATTGACTGCGACACGCGTGGCCCCGATAATTTTGTCCTCAAGGATGGCATTCCGAAGCACACCTTGGTCCAGGCTGCCAGCAAGCTGGGCTATGACCTGGCCAAGAGTCAGGGCCAGCTAAGGAACAAGCGGGTTACGGATCCGGATGTTGACTCGGATTCTAACCTCACTCGTCGTAACTGGGTCTCATTCATTATCCTGGCTCGCTGGTACGCTATTAGTGTGGCCGATGCGACTGTCATCGGAGGACAAGAGATTGGCGGCCGTGAAGATGAGCGAGTCGTTGGCCAGATTACTACTGGGGTCGCTTGTAAGTTGAACTGCTTTCCGGGTTACATGCACATAGAATAAATTGCTAATACGGCACTCTAGCCTACTCAACCTTCCTCTCCGAGATGGTCACCCTCGCCACCGTTGAGCACAACGTCTGCCAAACCAACACCGGCCTCGGTCGCATGGTCGGCGCCAACCTCGTCGCCTCGCTTGAGCGCCTCGCCGAGATGGAGGATGTCTTCAAGGTGCAAGAGCTGCCCGAGAGCACCACCCGCCCGCTTTTCGAAAGCCTCCAAGCCCAGCTCTACTGGACCGTCCGCCTCCTGATCAAGCGCCACGTCTTCGTCTATAGCCCCTACGAGATCATCTACTGTGCCCAAGAGGTAATCAACGAGCTGCACAGAGCAACCCTGCAAAACCGCCTACCGACACCCTTCGATCTGCATAGCCTGGCCCTCGCCTCAATGACTCTCCTTGAGGCCACCGTCCTCCCTGAACACGGCGACGACTGCTGGAGCTCGCTGGAGAAGGTCGAAGATATCCTTGACCACCGCTCAAAGCGTGCGATCGAGGCGACCGAGTTCGACAATATCTTCGGCACACCCGGTTGGGACGCCAAGATCCGTGTCTTCCTCGAGTGGCGCCGCGCGAAGTCCCAAGAGTCCCTGCTCCATGAGGCCGCCGGCGTGGGCAAGGTTGGCGCGGGCGGCCAGCCCCCCGTCATGGGGCCGAATGAGCAGCGCTCCCTCCAGCATCTAGCCGATCTGGCTGTTGGAGCTGAGGGCTCTGTTGGCCAGAATGCGTCGACACCACCTCCTGGGCTGTCTGCCGATCACGGCGAGACGTCGCCGAACCTTGCGCCGCAACTGGCGCAGGGGGTGGCGGGACTGGTCGTGTTGTGGTGGACTTCACCATGCTCACAAAGGAGGGTTATCTGAACGTGTTCTCGGGGTTGATCTATCGCCGGAATCGCTAAGATGCTCTCGCTGCCTGAGTGGTCGCTCTCGCTCTCTCTCTCCGCTCTGGTTTCTTTCCCATTGCCAGTTTGACCCTGGAGACGGGGCTGTTCAGCAATTTACCTCTCCCTCGTGTGGCTTTCCCAATTTTATATATCCCGCCTCCCCACTTGATGCTTTTTCCTTTTCATATTTATTATGGGTAGTGGATTGCCGACAAATTTTAATTATCTTATTCTAGCATGTGTTCTCGTCGCGTGTTCTGCTTCGCCGCATGGCGATGACCAGGTTGCTTTTGCTCTCTTATAAGGTTGTAACCTACCGATCAGTGTAGCTCAATTTCTCCAATCAAATTATTTCAATTGGCCATACAAGATATATTAATTGACTAAAGTCTCGGGACATATGGTATATGCCTGCTGGAAACAGAACGCAGATGTCCAACAGAGTAGAAGACATCTTGGTAACAAATATAGATAGCATCATAGCCCCAGTCAGAAAATAAAATGGATGCTCGCATCTCAACATCATTGCTTCACTCCAAATGCGAAACGCCTCCACGTCCCCTCAACATCCTGACACAAGGTCATGAAATTATCGTCTTCAATCAACTCACACATCCAGTTCTCGAGGAAAGTGACACGCTCCGGGGTTGGCGAGTTCACGTACAGCGATAACTGCTCCTCAACAGAGACAGGGATTGATTGTGCTGCATGCCGTACCTGGGTGGTCTGCTTGTTGTTGAAGATGTTGATCTGGGGACTCTCAGTAGACTCAATGGCCACCGAAGACCCAGACACTGGCTGTTGTGTTGTCGTGTTTGACTCGGGATAAGGCTGGGTAGCCTGCAATTGTGGAGATAGGTAAGTTGAGTGGGTTTCCTCTGGATAAGGCTGTGTCTGGATCAGTTGCTGGGACGGGGGGTTGGACATGAATGAATCATGTCGATCAAGCGCATTGGACTCTGCAAATGAGGATTCGGGGACAAGCTGCTGGCTGGACCTTCGACTGGACGTGTCCGCTCGAGACATTTTAGATTTGAGCGTTGTAAATGGCAAGTCTCGCTTTGGGGGTAGCATCTGGTTGAGTTCTTGATCGTGGTAGACAGGCGCGGTGGAGAGACGTGATGGGGCCTCCTGGGTGCCCTTGTTCCCTGCTTGTGCTATAAGTGCGCGAGGACTATCTCTAGGCAAGGACTCGGGGCCGGCGCTTGTATCTTGGAACGTCGATGGAACCTGGCTAGCACCGGAGACAGGAAGATGAACATTGTTTGAGGAGGATGACGGAGAATTGGAGACTACTAGAAATAAGGATAAGTAGGCCAGTCTCACTGACGCGGAGAATGTCTTGCGTACTTTTCTCGAAGCCAGACACGGTTCGTGTCATGGGATACAAAGGCACTGGTGCATTGCTCTCCGGTGTGATCACAGCCCCTGTACCTCGTGAGGGGACATTTGCCATGTGGACCGTAGGTACTGACGCCCAAGATGCGGAAGAGGGTGGCCGATGCAAGGCCTGCATGGCGCCCTCCGTCAAAGGGCAGTCAATACCGCTGAGCATGGATAGGGTTGTGTAGTAGTCACACTCATGAGCGAACTTGATCTGAAATCGACGTATCTGTATTGAGCACAAAGATGGTGCATCAGAAGATGTTCCACAATGCTCTGGATGTAATGAACCAACATGGGTGTCAGTCTGCAAATACTTGATCGCGAGACATGGTAGTTTCACCACAACAGCAAAGGGTGGTTTGGGCAATGAACCATTCTGGAATGCATGAGCCTGGTCTCTGGTTCCGCGGACGTAATGGGCGAGATCGATTCGTTCCTGCGCCCATTGTCAGCGCATCTGGAGCTTTGATTTACTAATCTGAAAGGGAACATACCAGAGTTCTGCGTTTATGGACCACCTTCATGATCAAGCTTGGTGGGCTCACTGCAATACCAGCGTGCTTTTCCAGTTCACAGAATAGATCATCATTCCCATTAACGTGGGTCCAGACAAAGGGACCGCTGTGATTGATGAGGGTGGTCGTGTGTGAGAACTTAGAGAGTGGAAAGAGCATCCGAGGGGCTTGATCCGGAGGCTGTTGCATGACTAGTTACCTGAAGTGAACCGCAGGATCAAACGAGAGAGAATGGCTGGTTGCAGAGGCTGCTAGGTTTGAGCGGCTGATCAAAGAGGGCATAAGGAGAGAGAAGGATGGAGGTGGAGGGGGAGGCGGAGGGGAGGAGAAGGGAAGTGCAGCTGATGGCAATCCTGATCACTCGCTGGCCCTCACACAAGATAGGTGCTCTACACATAGCATACATGGACAACGATACAAGAGGACCTCTGACGGCGATGAAATCAGAAAGCAAAGGACCAGAAGAAGGATTCAACAAGGTCAAATATTGTTCCCGGAAGAGGGGGAGGCTAAAGTGGAGGATCTCCCCGGTTTTTGTACGGCCAGGATATATAGACCTAGTATGAGGGATATTACTTTGGAGGCAGGTTCGATTCATTAAATGTTGTTCGCACGACACCATCACGATCCAGTCACACAAGGCCGCTTGCCAGTCTTGCAATTTTTGAATACCAAAAATCAATAATGACACTATATCTCCTTTTGATATCTTTCCATCTTAGAGTGTGAGGCTCGCCAGCGAGGGGACGATGCGTGTTCAACTCCGGCACGAAGTGAATCTTATCCGTTCATATATCCCGCCTCTGCTCTGTGTGACACTGTTGGAAACCATCCAATAGCACGTCCATTCAGGGCTTCTAAGTCAAAGATACCACCACCTCTACCTCTCAGACCAAAAGCATTTGATGTTTTTCAATGTCAATGCCAGGAGAGCTGCCGTGTGATATTTTACTGATATAGAAGTGCAACTGAAAGGGGAGGGGGGTTCAGATTCAGTGAGCCTGGGTAGCAAAGGAACTAACTTTTCGGCAGGCAGTTGAGGTGTTACTCGGACAGCTTTTTCGTTATTCGTCTATTCCCAGTACTAATAATATGAACAATGGTCGCAAATTTTTCAAAGCTATGGCACGATATCAAAACGGGGGTGCTTTCGTTTCATTTCAAGACTTTGCCGCGGAGCTTCAAAATTATCACAATTCTTACAACGACCCTATTCACCATTCTAATTTCATTACAACTCCCGTCTCTAATTGCGCACGAGAGACAGGCTGGGTCCCCTCTACAAAGTGGCTGTTCCAGGGCCAATCTGCGTATCTAGTATCGTCGACAATGACTGTTCAGTAGCATGCTTGTGTAGTTGAGGTTGATTCCCGAGGCACGATAATCAGCCCAGCAGGGTATAGCGCTAAAGGGCATGACGGCCACGGAACAACTATCCTCCGGCAACGCGCCTGGAGAAAGCGCGGACTTTTGGCTGATCAGTCCCATTGATCGCAAAGCCCAGTTCTTCTCATTGCCCTCCAGGGCTGCATACAAGGCATTGACGGCTATCCACCCCGTGGCATCGGTCGCCTGAGTCTGTCAAATCTCCCCCCTTCACGACCCGCCTTGAACCCCTGCTGCCTTGCCATCACTGCAGCTTCGTGTTCTAAGAGTTCGGCCTCGCGCATCCTTCCAAGCCTTTGCCCTCAAACGCGTCCGACGATTCCGCCAAGTCGCAACCCACTTGCGGGAATCGAGGGACCGAATCGTGGATCATTGAATATTATCCGACGATCGATTTAGCGCATACACAGAAGGAGGACGGTTTAGAAACTGCCTCCCTGCAATCCAGCTTCGAGGGGGCGATCCTATCCCGCGCAAACCCAGCTCCAAGGGCGACAATCCACGTTCGACCACCTTTCCTGGATGCCCATCGCTTGGTGACAGGATGTCGGCATCTACACCCCAAAGGACCTCTCTGCGTCGTAAGGTTTTCTCCACCGAACGGGGCTGGACCGTACTAACATTGTTCCAGAGGGCCTACGCCAGGCCCCAAAGGTCAACCAACCCTTCATCCCGGACACAACGTCTGGTCGCCGCTCGCATCATCAGAGCTTCACATCTCCACAGCCATCGATGTCCCCCCATGCAACCCTCAACCCGGCAGCTAACCCCCAGAGCGCCTCTTTCGCAGTCGAAAGTTGGGATGGGAAGGTCCAGACACAGCTCCCGATGTCTACGCGCGAAGTACCAACCCCAGGCAACCGACCCGCTCTGTTCGCCAGTCTTTATGACCGCACCAAATTTGCCAAGCCACCCGATTTCTATGACCCGTACTTTCCATTGAGATTCTTGGAAGTCCCTCGCAGTGAGTTGCACCCCTTTCGCACACAGGATGAAATTGACGTACTAAATCGGACATCAACCCGCAGCGGACCACATTTACAAGCGTGCCCATTATGGTCTCCAATCTGGCATTCCTGACGAAGTCGACTTTGCTTTATACCATCTGGTTCAAATTTCCAACCAGCGTTGGGATAAGTTTAAATTCGAGGGGTTCCCATTACTTGCCGAGTCTCTCATGCAGAAAGCTTTAGACATCACCTATCTTTGTACTGGAGTGCGTTGGGAGTTCGACTATGATCCTCGACAACGATCCGATCGCGTCAATGTGTTGAATTCAATCCATGGAACTCGGAATATCTTCGACAAGATCCGGAAAATCCCTACAAACATCCCGACAGATACACTTGAGACAACAGAGTTCAACCACACGCTCCGAAATATCAAGGAGGCGACTCTCGTGTTGAGGAATATGGTATTGCTGAAGGAGAACGCCTTTTATGTGTCACGTTATGCCAGCGGCCTCCTCAGAGACTTCCTGGTCATTATGATGAATGCGCCAAACCAACCGCGTCTGAATGAAATCAAGAATGATGCACTTGATATTGCTGAAGAAGTCACCAAGTTCATGAGGACCGACCCCCAGGATCCACTTTGGATTTCGTTGGTCAACTGCCTCGATTCACCTGATCGTGCACATATCGTGAGGGCTCTCTGGGCTTTGACTCACTTCTCCACCGAGTTGAATGAGGCAGACGCGAACAGGGCCATGGAGAGCTTATCCAAACCCACTTTACAACAATTGTACTACCACACACTTCTGGATCTCGACAAGGACATTCTGAGTGGTGCGCTGGATTTCTGGTACCAATATACGCTCAGTCACGACAACATCGAGACTTTGATGGATGTCATCAACTTCCCGATTGTCTTTGTACCACGTATGGTCGCCCTTCTCACCTACGAGGCCCGTCCGATGAAGAAGGAAACGGTTCTGCAGGAAGAAAAGATTGCACCACCACCATCCGACATTCCCCGTGTGCCCCCTGAGCTCTTGGAGAAATTGATGGAGCTTTCAGAACCGGAGCGTAGCTCGCAATGGCTGCGGTGCTGCTTTGTTGAAGATGCGGACTGCGAGATCACGCAGATTGCGCTGTGGCAAGCCTACCAAAGCCGTTTTGCCGACCCGCGAGTCCCTGGCGGAGGTGTTCTTCCCGCTGCAGAATTCATCAAAAATGTCAGCAACACATTCACGAACGCGCAGGCTCAGGTGATTAACGGTCCGGGCACGGCGACCAAATTCATCATCAAGGGAATTCGACCCTTGGAGACCGCCTACACGTTCGATGCCTTTCCGTACCTATACTGCAAGTGGGCAGATAACTCGAAGCCCTCTCAGACGTGCCAGCGCGCATTTACCTCGCCCGCCGATCTCCGCAATCACGTCTTTGCGGACCACATGAACCTGGAAGCCGCGGACACTCCTGGCGAATTCAAGATGGAAGGAGCTGAGACACCCATCCACACCTGCCAGTGGGATGGCTGCACGCGGTTCCGCGCTTCCGGCCCCAGCACTAACACGGCGATGGTTGCTGGCCACGTCTCTTCTCATTTGCCCGAAGACCGCCCTGCTGACGCTGAGCCTCCGAGCACCAAGCGTGCTATTCTCCAGGAAAGAATTGTGCGCAAGTGGTTCTACATGGACACCCCGGTGAATGACAAGGGTGAGCCTATCGGGGTCGCTTACAAGGCTGCCCTGGTCCTGCGTAACATCGCTAGAGGTCTCCCCCAGCGGGTCGCTACGAAATACGGTGGCGTGTCATGGAAGAAGGCATGCTTCTTAAGCCAACGTCCCAAGATCGTGGAGGTTTGGGACCGGAACCGTGCTCTCCGCAAGGAGCTGACTGAGCTTATCATGGTCATGGAGAAGGAGGATGACTACTGATCCCATGTCCTTTCCATGTCCCCCTCGGTTCTTCCCCTTCCTTTTCCGCGCATTTGTCTTGTACAATTAATACCCTGTTCGCCTAATCGCTCCATATCGCCTCGATGATCACCCGATCACGAGAGTTACAAGAGGCCCGCGCTAGTGAGACGGTTATTTCCCATCACCTTATCTGGTCTTCATTTGATCAGCCAGCCTTGCACGCAAAAAGTACGGCGGAGTTTTTCCTACGGGATTCGGGGTCAGCGATCTTTTTATCTTTCTGGCGTCTCTGGTTGAGGAAGATAGAAACGGGACCCCCAGTGTTTGTGCCCTGTCGTCGGTGGTTGTTGGAGTTTCTCTCGGTGTCTTTGATGCTTTGTCCGTCTATTTCGTTTGATGTCTTCTTCCATGAACGATGTATGTATACCATAGGTATGGAGTAGGGGAGGTTCTGGTCTTGAGAGGCCCGGCAATTCTGTTCAACATTTTTTTCTCTATTATCGATTATCTCATAGCAGTTGCACACAATTACTGTGTGCGTAACTTCTGTAAATTCCGTCGTAACCGTAATGATCCACAGTGTGATTGCAGATTGTTTGGCGGGACCGTCGAGCGTTTGGAGACTTACAGGAGGACATTTTCCCAGCTCTGCTTTGCTTCATATTAATCTATCACGAGCCGAGACTAGGCCCTTGAATAGCTCCAGCCCACAATCACCACCGGACAAAACGGGCTCAGTTACGTTGAAACTTGTCTTGCAGCTTGGGAGCATTTTCTACGTCCTCCATTATCAATTTCACATTCAATACTAACGAGACTCGAATTGTGAAGGACGGAAACCGGGACCAATCTCGGGGCACTTGGCAAAGCACCGTGGATACTCATATGGCAAATGCGTGAAGGAGTGGAGGCGAAATTGATAGAAGGTTGTGGTATCTTCAATTAAGCTAATCTACTTCGCAGCCTGGAAGGATCGTCGTACGAACAAGACAATATACATTTGCTAACTTTGCGCGTCCGCAATCAACCGCGCCAAAACCTGCATTGCGTCCTCCGCCCGCTCTGCAGGGACGTAAATGTGGTCGTGATAATATCCGCTCACAACGTTCGTGCTAATTTGGTGATCCTTGAGGCGATTTGTGATTGCTGCAATCAGCCCGATCGCCTCTAGGCTCGAGTGCACCGTCAGCGAGATCTTCTTGCATGGGAAAACCCCGTCCAGGCCGTGCGATGCAGCAAGGTCCTCAGTCGTCACGATCGTGGTGCCCTCCTCTTCCTGGACGATGAGTGCCGGCTGGAGGGTTGCCAATGGGAGGGAGTGCAGGGCCTTGGTTGTGGTGATAAACACGTAGACTGCGGGGTCCAGAGTAGGCTCCATTGTTGCAAGGAGCACAGAGAGGTTTTGTTCGCCTGGTGCCATTGTGGCCGAATGTGATGATGTGACTGAACTTGTGGCTGAATTTTGCGAGGATGGGAAGAGGTGCAAGGTGATGGTGGTTGAGTGGGCGGGTCGTTCAAGTACAGGCGCGGTGAAAGAAAATCCGAGGCGAAGCGGATGTCGCCCGCAGGGCGCGCACCACCACCGCAATTGAAAGATTTGGAAAAATAAATTAAAATCAAGACGGAAAAATGATAAAAATAACATGAAAATAAAAAGACAACATATTGTTGTGAAACTAACTATTTCCAGCGGTGATGCAGCTCACATCAAAACCGTACTGATAGGTACAGATTTACAACTATGGTCGTCAAATGTACATCCTGAGCAGAGACAAGTCGAAAACGGATCAAATCAAAGACTCTAGTAGTCCCCAGTCGGCATGCCAACGAATGGAACATGCTGTCCATGGAAACCAAAAGCAACAGCCCTCTTGACATTCGCTCGGCCAAGCTCACTCAAGTCGCGGGCGTCAAGACACAGCAGGTAACTGTTGCCCGCCAGGCCGTCAAGCACAACACTGAGAAGAACACCATCATCTTCGTCTATGCCGTCGGGGTTAGCAACGAAGATCGCCTCACCGGGAGAGTGGCCATGATGCGCCCACAGACGGGTCTCTTGCGTCTCGCAGTCGAACTTCAGAATACCGTCGGTCAAAGTTGCCTCCCCACGGAAAGTTGTCGAATACACGTATCGGTGCTTCTGCGTGACGATCTTGGGGTTCATAGTAGGCAGCTCGGGGGAGAATGACTTGCAGGCAGACCATTCCACGGTAGCTTTGAGAATATCAGAGTTGGGAGACGATGGGAGTCCGGGAAGACGGAAGCGGGTAATAGTCGAACACAGGGCATCGCCTCTCTTCGCGGCAAACTCTTTCGCACTAGACCGCGAGGAAACTATGTTGTCGTACAAGAGAGAGGAGATGAACTCGGTGTTATCCATCCGCACCAAGTCCGCGACAATATCCGTTTTGGTAGGGTCTTCCTTCGAGGGCTCCTGCCAAGAGTTGATAGTGTGGAAGCAGAAGAAGGCGGGGCTTTCATAAGTTGCAACCAAGCCCTTTCCGTGCTTGCGGTCCACGACATACCAAGTTGCCGGCTTCGAAGGATCCGTCGGCAGAATCGCGTCCATAAAAGACTGGTCGGCAAGCGCTATCGGGTTAACATGGGAGTTCCACACACAGAGCAGGACATAGTCCTCAGTGATGAGCAGGGAGTGAAGATAGGCGGGTATTCCAGGGAAAGTAGCGAGGATTGTGGTCTTCCCAGTTGACGCAGAGACACCAAATACGCGGTATGTGCAGGTGGATCCCAGTTCGAGATTGAAGTTGAACATGTCGCCAGTCCTGGGATCCGATCGAGGATGGGATGCCGCCAAGCGACCGATCAAGTCGGGATGAAGAGATTCCTGCGTAGCAAGACCAATTGGCTCTAGAGTCTCCGGGTCCAACTTTTTGAAGCCGCTGTAGTCAGTTTTCGCGTACAGGGTGCGAATACCCTGAGATGTTCCCCAGCGCTCTGTTGACTGTCCATCTGGTTGAACATCAAGACCGGGCATGTTGACCGACAGAGTGACGCCGATGTTCTTGAAGGAGGGGCCGCTGGGGGGAATATAGTCACTTTGGACTTTATTGAACACGGTCTTGCATGGATCGCGTTTCTGACCGAAGCTCAGCCCGCCGAGGGACCCGGTCTTCCGTACATGCTCGATCAGCTCATCGGTTGAGTAACGAGAGTTGTACAAGACGCGGGGTGGTTCAGATTCGCCCGAATCCAGGATCTGGAAGCGGTGCGTTTGGCTGAATCCATCAAACCAGTGGGAGACTTGGAATGTCTGGCCTCCTTCGGTTTCGACGTGGCTTTTTCCGGGTCCAGTGCGGTATAAAGTCCCAGCAGCATACGCAGGAATCCTTCCTGTCACGGAAAGCTCCACTGGAGTGCGTTCCTCGTATTCCGGGTCGAACTGGGGCTGCGTTAGGACGGCGGAAACGGTGGCCAAGGCTGGGATCGGAATGACTTACACCCTTCGCATTTGGCCAGTTATTCCAGTGCTCCTCGGTGTTTTGAGAATCACTAGTCACAGCCGGAGCGGATGCCTCGATGATCGTGGCCATGTTCTTCAAGGTATCGTGTTCTGAGTGGCGGAGATGGCTGAGGTTCGGAACGGTTGGGAAGTGGCACAAGCAGGCCCCCAGTTTCTTTTATAGCCCAGGCTCATTTCCACAAAGATTGAATTGGCTGCGTTGAGCCACTCAGAAGCCCATCATAGCGAGCCATCCTCGGTTCTTTGGCAAAGGCGTTGGATTAAGGCGATGGAAGTGGGGGAATCGCGACGGCCATAGAGAGGATCGGCGGTGGAGCGACGGCGCAACTCTGCCACCTTTCACCATCCCCAGCATTTTCACGGACGCCACCCCGACACCGATTCCGTCTGCCGTGATGTTCATGAGCGCAGCTGACGCGCGTCTGAAAACCCCATGCGCCTTCCCTTCCCCCCTCGTCTGACGTCTTACGGCTGCGAAGCTGCGGGGGACTAGCGACGCCGACGCCGACGCCGAAAAGCCTCTGACGGGATTCATCCACTTCCGATAACATCATTCACCAACATTTCTCCGGGTCGCACGCTTAAGGAGCTCTTATTTGGACCCCCATCGGACTCGGGGCGAATCACGGTGGCGCATTAGCAATCCCGGGCCTCGTCGTCTGCTTTCTCGCCTGCTATTCCTCGAAACGGGTTAGCAGGCCGACAGGCGGGCATGGTCCACCCACCGCCCTCACGCGCCGAGACGGAGGGAAAACAGTGGATATGTGATCAATGCACGTCCACCTTCGGACGTCTGGATCACTTGAAACGCCATTCTGCTACACGTATGTTTATGCACCCATCGTCCGCATGCGCTTCAGCGGCTGAGTTTGCCCCCACAGACAATACCCGGAGAAGCCATGCCTGCCATTTCTGCGGTGCGGTATTCAGCCGAGGGTAGGTATCGACATCTTTCTTTCTAGGCATGCCCTAATCTATGTACCAAGGGACGTGTTGCGACGACATTGGAAATCGTGCAAGACCCGACGGGAAAATGGCATCGAGATCCCCAAGGGCCACCGAGGGGGGAAGCATAAACGTGCCTGCGACAGCTGTGCCAGCCTAAGAAAGGCTTGTAACGAGGGGAATCCCTGTTCTGAGTGCAGCCATCGTGGGCGACCCTGTACTTATCGACGACTCTACGAGGATGTTGGTGTCCCAGCGTCAAATTCTCAAACCAACGCAGCGAACGATTCTGTGACACCCGAGCCCCAGCGACCTGAAGTAGATATCAACGACCCAGACGGACCATCCTGGGATCTTGGTCCTCAGAATTTCTACCCTTCAAGGGAAGCTGGGAGGATTGTCTATGCCCGGAACAGCTTTGGTCTATTGCCTCGTGGGATGCAGGGAAATACTCGCATGCTCTAAATGATGTGCGCTCTCCGTCGGTCGATAAATATTCCTATTCAAGCCTCTTGGAGTCCGCTGAAAAGAGTATGGGATGCTTACAAATTGGAAATGGCACAGACAGTGACACACAATAAAGTACTATGGCATCCAAGGGCTATCAGGTGCACACAGACATGTCCACGGCGGCGATCTATATGATCACTGGAACGATCGGCGTTGCCACGAATACCGTGGACCCTGGATATATGAGTGCTGTGCCGGAGTGCCAGCCCGTGCCCGAGTATTGTGGCCTATTACCGTGGGCTAGAAGGATGGCCGACCAAGTGATGGAAGATTCTTGGTTACATCTTGAGCAAGGGGATGCGGTAGTCCGACGCTGAAGTCTCTGCGTATTGCGAATTAAGAATTGCACAACATGATAACACTATATCTATCCCAGTCGTATGAGATACAATTATATGATCCTTCACGATCTCTGCAACAGAACCTTACCATCCGTGTCGAGTACCTGTGCCAGCTCTTTGAGTCCCGTATGATCGCGCGTTGTTGTCATGCGATGGCACCACGCAATCCTTTTCGCTTCTCCGTCCTCACTCGGTTCAAAGAGGAACTCACCACCCACCCGTTTGGAATCACCTCCCTTGGTGGCAAGCCCGCTGGTAAAGTGCTTGAACCCTTGCACGAGGGACTCTGAGACAATTCGCACCATACTCTTGCGGAAGTACTCGGGGCGCGGTCCGAGAGCGTACGTCATGGACATTCCCAAGTCGTCATATAGTGTGTTTGCTGGGTCAGCATAAATTGGGAATGTACAGCCTGTCTCCTTAGCGTAGAAGTCGATCAGGCCGGGATCCCCGCAGCCGATAATGGCGAACGACGTGGGTACAGGTAGTTGCCGCAACTCGTCGGGCCGGATTGCCTCTGAGATTGCTCGAATGTATTCTTGACAGCTCTTTGGGGTTCAGATAAAGTTAATAACACTGTAACAGCCTCAAACAAGTTTTCTATCGTTGCTGACGGGCGTGTAGTAGGACCGGACCTCCGCATGTATCAAGAAGAATCACCCCCGAGAGAAGCTTACCCCACAGAAGAAATGGCGAATGAAAATCACCAATACGCGGCCAGTTGAATCGGGCCCATCATAGATGCTCTGGAAAGTGTGTTTTTCACCCTTGCTATCGAACACCATATAGTCCTCAACTTTGCGAATTGCATCTGTAGATGGCGGCTTATCATTTGACGGCACTTCGGCGCTCTTGGCATCAGCGACCTTGACATCGTCTGCAACCGGGCGTGCTTCCGTTGGGACATTTGAGTCCGCACTGGACGCCATCGGTGGCGTCGAAATAGAGACGGGGTTTGCGTCGCTGGTCATGATGCTCAACAGCGTGCTGCTACTTCATCAGCAGCGGCAGAGTGGGGAGAGGAGGATGACGGGGCGGCCAAAGAGCCAAAACAGTCGGGCGCTCGGGCCCAGTTCTCGGTGCCCCTGCTTTTACACGCATGCTAAGCGGAGAAGCAGTATACAGCTGTTCACCGTTGCGACAGTTGAGAAACAATATTTATGGTGCTCCGAATTCTATAGATCTAACTTTGCTTTCCCTCAATTTCACTCGCCACACCCTACCGCTCGCGCGTCGCACGGTGCATCTCACGGCCTTACCGGCCGAGCATTCGCTTCGGATTTCCACCATTCACAACAATCCAGGCCACCGCCGTAATGGTACAGTAGATAACATCCCAGCTAACACTGCTCACTGCTGGATGCTCATATATCACGCTGGGCAAACGCAGAGCCAATGTACCGACTGACTCAACGCCGATATCTTTCCCCATATCTTGCAAGACGAGGAATGTGGAGTGAGCTTGCACAAGAACGCAAGCCATCGTGTACCACTGGAAGAAGGTAACATATCTCTGCGTAGTTCCCTCTTCACTCGATCCCTGGCCGCGAGCCTTTGTGCTCGAGGAGCGGCCCGGGCGCAAAATGGCAGGAACGAACAGCAGAAGATGGGGCACCAGCAAGATCAGCATAAAGTACCTCGTATGAGCCACCGTGGGGACCAAAACAGTGCTAATCAGCGAGATGGCAACCGGTAACACTTCGGCGTACAGAGGCGGGGACCATGCCGCAAGAGACTCTGGCCAGTCGTTCTGGATTTTCTTCTTGCTGTCAGTGGGTCGCGGTTGTTGCGACACCAGGATGGTCGCAATAAATAAGTTCTGAGCGAACGAAATAGCGACGATCTGGCCCAGGAGCATATACGTCCAGACATGGGGGATGCGATACCGCCGAGCTATGAGCGAGGATCAATTAGTCGTGAAGCTGAGATAACCGAAAGATGATCTACCCACCCATAATACCGAGGAAGACACTCCATCCTGTCGTCCACAGGAATATTTGGCCGCTCCACCAGAAGCGGGCGGGCGTCTCGATGACGGTCTCCCAGGCTTCGCGGAACAGCTTCGCGTTTTGCAACCAAAGTTCCAATCTGGCGAAAGAGGACATCTCTAGATCAGCAAGATCAGCTAGAGATTGCTCTGCTTCCCAATTGCGATAGGAATGGGCAAAAAACGCAAACATGTAGTACCATGTTGCACCGAGGCTCAGGGCCGCCAGAGCCGCGAAAACGAGGAAGTGTGCGCGTCGTTGAGGATGGGCCCAGTCCTTTCCCTTCTGTCGTGCCTGATACCGAACAACGATGGCTCGACAGGCATTGAGAGCAAGAGAGCCAGCGAGGATGAGGTAGCTGGCTAGAATAGGGAGAGATCGATAACTGAGCTGAGGCGGCTGGCCAGCCGGAGGCGTGGAGGCGCTGAAAGTAGACATGTCGCTTCCACAGACTCTTTACGGCATTGAAGAAGGATTTTGGGGTGGTTCGCTTCTGTTGTCGGCTCGGCAGCCTCTGCTGTGGACTTGATGAGAATGTTGCGGTCCATGCACGAGCGGCTCTCGAGCTCCCAGCCTCCCGCTCTCGCCAAGAAACGCGGTTGCGGGTTGAGTCCTTGCCGTCGGAGCTTATGGCTGAGCATTAATACTAAAACACAGAACCGATTGGACTTGATATTTCCGATAATCCTTCCCTCGCTAGTATTCTTCGTGTGTTTCGCTACATTGTTAGTGAAGATCCTTCCGCTCTTGCAGCGAGATGACGGCTACCGGGTAGCCAAGGTGCGCCGATCTAATCAACTATATAGGTAGTGGTTAGCTCGGACATCGACTACCGAATGCGTTCACTGATTCAATTTGATGTACATAATCCCTAGCAAAATTCATAACACTGAATTCTATACGGACTTAATCGTGCTGAATAGTGCTAGCCAACGACGAAAGCAACAGGCCTTGTCGCGACAGCCCTTCCGTCCTCTACTTGTGCAGCCGCTCCCTTGCCAACCTTTTAGTCATAGCACGAAACAGGGCCCTAATCAAGCCCTGCAAGAATAATGACATGAAAGCATTCGCCCTCAAAACCCCGGACAGTAAGCACCAAGAATGATGCGGGGCTGGCATATGACGTTATGTGCTTCGGGGATCTTCGCATTGCTCCCGGCTGATTGGAGAACTTTCCACTGCGACCCCATGGGGGCTACATGCACACTGTGTGGGAGTGGCGATGAACTTGTTCAAAACCTACCAGCCCTACAAACATAAATAGCGTCACAAGGAATGCGTAGGATATATATCCAGATCCTGCAACCAAATCGGAACAAGTCTTGAGAAAGTGATCATACTTCCATGAAATGTACGTGCGCCGGGACCCGTCAAGGAAGATAACTCTAGTACACCGTCAACCCAAAACCAACGCCCAACCCACCAGGGGAATTGCGGAAAGCCTATGAGAATAGAACCCGCCGTGGCTGTGATCAACCGCGGTGGATCTACGAAAGCTACATAAATTGCAAAATCGGGTCCAGTCGGTTCGGTATTCCATCCCTAGTCGACAACCCATATGGCTCTCACATTGCCAACATCCCACCTGGCCACCATGTCTTACAGTCAATTCCACATCACCGAAGAATCCTGGGGCCACCACTACCGCGTGGTTACTACCGACGGCGCCGGCAGTACGCACCACTTCTTCCTCGAGAACTCGCCGTTCGACCGGAGTCGGCCAGATTTCCGCATGCACGAGGGACCCGATGCAAACGGGCCTGTCGTCGGGTTGTCCTGCTACAGGCGTTTCTCACAGGATTGTCGTGTCGTGTTAGTCGAGAACGAGGAAGACGCTGAAAAGAGCGAGTGGGTGACTTTGGCCAAGAAGGGACACATCTCGCCGGCCTATTCGTTTCAAGCGCCTCTGCACGGGGAAATGGGCACTTTCTGGTGGAAGAAGACGCGGTCGATGGGAACCCATGCGACGCCCCTTGGGAATATGAAGCTGGTAGATGAGAAGAGCGATGCCGTTCTTGCGGTGTTCTCGTCGGATTCGTATGCGTTGGTGCCGGGCCGGCTCGATATGTGTGGCGAGTACGGCGAGACGTTTGATCGGATGGCGCTGCTCACGGGGGTCTCGGTGAGGGAGAAGCAACGGCGGGCACAGGGCAGGCCGATGAGGCATGGGATGGACTATACGTTTACTGCTGGGGTGGCAGGAGGTGGGATGAGCGGGGGTTGTTGAGAAGTATGATCACAAGAATGGAGATGGGATGTTCGATTATAAATTATGATCAAAGTCTCGCGGGCGATGATCGCAGAGCACAAGAGCATATAAACTGATGGTAGTAAACCTGCCCAAGAAAAATCCTCCAATCCACAAGCCTCCGCCGTCCAGCCAGATAAGACTCCGTGCAATCATCCTAAGGGTATCGGGGTAAAAACATGCAATCCACGCTATCATATACATCGCCCATGAAGTTCTCAAAATTAAGCCAAGCGTGGTTGTCGGCCTGTAGCGGGAGTCCGGTGTTATCGAAGTCCATTTGGTCCCAAACATTTGGCCACGGTTCCAGTGTGAAGGTCGAAGATGCCATGGTAATGGCAGGATTAAATTGCTGGCCAGCAGCAATATTCGGCGCTTCCAGACTTAGTGTGAAAGCGTCCGCAGGATATGTCGGCGTCTCGGCTTGACGGTTGAATTTCGCAACGATAGGTGAGCCAGGGGGAGCGCTCCGTTTCTCCATCCCGGGCAGCCCGCCTCGCGTGGTCTGGCGGATTGTCTCGCTGGGGGATTCGCTGCCTAGCAGTTGCTTCCTGTGCGCTCGTGCCTGAGTCATGAGCTTCTGCAGAGGCTTCCACAACATCCCGTGCTGCGAGTCTGCAATGACGAAACTGGATTGGTAGTACACTTGTTCTACCACCGGCCAGTGCTTGGCGATAGTTGCCGGGTCTCTGCAAACGCAAAGCTCGGCCAGGGCGACTGCCAGTCCATGCCAGGGAACCCACAAGGAGCCAAACCACATCCACGGCGCCATCGCAGGGTCACTGGCAGTCTGCATGAGTTTTTGCAGATTATCCGCGGCCAGGCTGAGGAGCACGTCACCCGTGACAGGCGGCGGGATCCAGTTTCGGCTTCGTTGAATTGGCCGAACACACCCAAGTTGCAGCCACCCAAAGATGGTAAGGGCGAGACGCGACACGTAGAGGTGGTAAGAAGAGAGTTCAGGTCTGCATCCTGCCAAAAGAGTATTGGCAGTTTCTCGGAAATTCCCGAGGACTTCTTGGCGCTTCTGCGATGACCTGACGGTAGGCTCAATGAAATCGGTAAAGCCGATGGTTCTAGCAACAGACTGGGCTGCCGCGAGAATGGATGTCTGCGTCATGTCGGTGAAAGTGCCCTCTGGATGTTCTTCGAACGGCACGTCCATGCCATGCCAGATATCCTCATCGTTGATGTTTGCCGGCAGAATATGATCTAGCCAAGCAGATTGCATCATCGGTTCGGATGCTCGGTCGAGAGAAGCGGCCAAGTCGAGAACTCCGATAGCCTGCCATGTACGTCGTCGTAGTTGCTGCTCGAAGGGACTGACTTGAAATGGCGGGACCGGCATGTGGAGACACAAGGCTTGGCCTACTCGGAGGGCCATAGAGAGCATGGTCCACACCCGTCGGCTTTGATCTTGGCTGCGGGCAGCAAGCTAATCACAATCAGTCTCAAATTTCAAGGATCAAGCACCTCGCTTCAGCTTACCAGTGAAAGTACATAGGCCTGCAAAACTGCCAATTCGTTGGTAGTCACAAAATCTGCCCTCGACAGGGCAGCATCTGTTTCCTTTTGAAGATCGGCTGTAACAGCCTTCTTGTCCATGCCAAATAACAACTGGCACTGTGGATCGTCAATGGTGCAGACAGCCGCATAGTAAACAGCTAATGCGAGGGTATTGGGGACATGGTGGTCGGGTTCATAGTCAAGATAGGGCTGCTCGTCCCGAAGAAAGGCCCGAAGCGTAGGTCGATGTAGGATTTTGAAGACCGGATCGACATTGCGCAGGTAGATCTCGCAAAGTTGTCGCCTTGTCTGAAGCGGGATGCTAAGTCCCTTGTAAGATTGAGGCGAATTGGACATGCTCTCTGAGCTTTCTGAGCCGACAAAGGAAGCTCCAAAGCCTGGCTGGCTCCTGATCTCCTCTTCATTTTCCAAGCGGTCATCCAAAACTGTACGAAGTTCTTGGGTCTAAAGCACAAGTCAATAAATTGGGCTTCCTGGGCGGGTGCACAGCATAAAGGACCCAAAGCCAGCAACACCAGAATTGGACTCGATCATAAAGAGCTTACCTGCTGCATGATATCTTCCCAAAACGAACTAGCCATGTAAGTTGTCGACCGGCGCGGCCGGTGCGGCAAGACAAAGGTGTTTTGCTGTGAATCCTGCTCTTGCCACGTCTCGACATCGGCCGTCTTAATCTCGAAGCTGTGCTCATTGTTCGTGGCCGCTGATTGCAGCGGCTCCGGGTGGGGCTCGGCATCACGCTCGGCGGCGACCTGTCTCAATAGCTGTTCCAGCTTCGCCACTCGGTCCGCCAGCTCCTTGTCTGAGCCATGCGCCCGCTCGGGGGCCGTTCTGGTGCGCCCCCGGGGCAGACGGGCTCGCTCCACGGGAACGCAGACGAAGCCCAGACGCACGCAGCTGGTGCAAGGACTCAGTTTGTCGCATTTGACTTTGCGCTGGCGACATGCTTCGCAACTGAGCCGGACGCGCGGAGCAGACGACCGAGACTGCGCAGCAGCTGCAATAGCCGCAGCAGCAGCAGGAGCCCCAGTGGCAGCCGTGCCCTCCGTTCGTTCAGGCCTGGTTGCGGGGTCAGCCCGGTCCTCCATCCTGACACATCCACAGCGCAGCTAGTGGTGTGGATGTGAAAGAGATGCAGCTGGAATGGAGATGACTCGTGTGTTTAAGCCAAAGTAATTCGAGTGCTGGCAGCTCAAGGCCCCCGCTGCAAAGCTTCTAGGGTGCAGCCGCGGCGAGAGTCGAGAGGGCCAGGCCGCCGCCCAAGGTTGCCCGTCTTGGCGCATTTGGGGTCCGGCCTTATTGGCCGCGCTTGTCAGTCTTCGACCGAGTGGCCTGGCCGGCTTCCCGCGCCGCGCCCATTGGAGGGTTTGGCTTGAGCAGGCACAAGCTCGTGGAGAGTGAATAGAAAGCTGATTCAACACAGCTAAATGAAAGCTATGGCTGATATTCTAGGAGTCGCTAGTAGAGCATCACCAGCACATGTTCCTTGCTACCCATTAGGAAACACGTCGCCACCAATTAGATAGACTGGGAATGGGAACCATCAAATATAGTGGATTCTAACGCATCTGCTAAATTTAACCCAAGATCTTCAACCCGCCCTTGGTCTTCCCGGGTTTCTTTACTCCGTCCTGCTTCACTTTCAGCCCCACTCCACGGCCGCCGCCGCCATTGCTCTTCTTCTGATTCTTGTTATTCGAGACCGGGCGCACCTCGGTGTTGGCTCGCCGCAATAGGATGGGATGCGATCCGATGTACTTGCCCTGCATCTCACGAGCAGCTTTAAAATAATCATCACCATCGCTGAAGCTGATAAATCCATATCCTTTGCTTTTCTGTGTCCGCTTCTCACGAATCACGCGCGCCTTTTGTACAGAGGAGTAACGCGCAAATGCCTTCAGCAACGAATCGTCGGTCACCTCGCCCGCAAGGTTACCCACAAAGAGCCGGAAATGGGCTGGGTCCCATTCCAAAAGAGTTGAATCGGTCCAGTTCTGGCCACCGCCCGACCGGACGACAGTTGCCTGTGACTCTGGTTGGGGAATCGGGGTGGGGGTGCCGACGGCCGATGGTGTCACGGCGTTCGAGCCCTGCAGTTTCCCGGTCTCTTCAGTGGGGTTGGCGTACGCGCTTTGCCATTGCGCGATCTGGGCTTCGGTCTCCGGGTCCATGCTGGAGTTCGGTCCATTCCGAGGGCCGTGAGGTTGATTTGGTGTGGAGCCAAACGGGTTCTGGATCTGCGGGACGCCCGCGCCATAGTAGGAGGGCCCGCTTTGATAAGACTGAGGCTGAGGTTGTTGGTAGTAATTTCCATAGCCAGGCGCAGGTGACGCATACCCGGCAGACGAAACCGGAGGTGCCACTATCGTCGGGTTGGTGCGAAAGGGATGCGGCTGTGGCTGCGGCTGGGTGGATGCTACGGCGCGCGGCTGGAACGCCGTAAAGGCGCTATAGCCCGATGGCTTGGAAGCATTATTCGAGGGAGGTGGTCGAGGAGGGAGAGAGGTGGGAGTCTGTTTGAGACCTGGAGGTGGCGGGTAGGACATGATGAACGGGGAAGTCCGCGAGAAGAGGCTGAGCTATTGTGCAGAGCAGCAGCTGCAACGTACCTTCAGGACCGGAGCGAAAATGCAACCAAATGAGCTCACACTAAACAAGCTCCCTCTGAGCTGACTGTGGGAAGGGAGAATGGGAGGGTGGCGTTGTAGACCGAGGAGTGGTTATGTGTCGCGAAGGGAGGTGAAGACTTGAAAAAGCCTATGGCGTTGAAAGAAAGCCTGGCAGAATTGCGGCGTGCTGACCGCCCGGAACATGTGGTCCACTTGATGGCGGAGGGGGGACCAATTCCAAGAGCTTCAAGGGAGAACTATACGATTCCTTGCAATATTTATGAGTATTGCGGCGACTTTCAAAGATAAGGGCCTACCTTGAGTGCTTAATCATTTGGAATCTACTTCTCAGCACTTGAAGGGGGTCTTGACAATGCACTATAGAGACGGTTTATCCATTTCGGGGGTTCGTGTGGTTATCGGACGATCGACAGGTGCGTAGACGCTCGCTGTGGGCCACCGTAGTGGCCGTGACCACGGTGTTGACTCAGCGATGATGCAATGGTCTGACTACGCTGCCGTTGAAAGGAAGAAGCAACCCCCACCCTAGGCCGCAAACAGCTTAGTGCGGGCGAGGCCGGATGGGGGTGGGAGGTCGGCAAGTGAAGAAGTTTCTCCGTGCAATCTACGCCAGAACAGTTCACCGATGCGTGGATATGCTCGTGGCTGTGGGATACATGGAAACCTTTCCGGAAATTGAGCTTCATATTAGTTGCGGTGTTTCTACACGGGCATCCGAACTAGCATCATATCCCAGAAGCTATAGCTAAGCCAAGTTGCCCTGGCAGTACTATACAGGAAGGTGCCGTCTCTATGAAATCACTACCCCTCCATGCCCCGCGCCTCAGCACCGTGATTTGCGGGCATGTTCCCAACAAGTCTTATGTCACCCATTGAATGCCCTGGGATAGCAGTCAGTGCGACGGTAACTGTAGGAACCAGGTCGGGCCGGATACTGCCTTTTCATAATGCGTTCTGCCTCCGAGAGCAGAAGCCGAGTGGGATGACCCTCTTCACCGGAGGACTCTACTCCTGTACCGAATACTTCCATACTTGGCGCTCACCGGAGTCAGCACCTCGGAGTACCTGGAACGGCTCAATTTACCCGCCCAATCCGAAGTACCTACCTATGAGAACCCAGTATTATTGACTGTACTGCCTGTCATCCGTACCTCCCGTAATATTCTAGGAGTCGCTCCCCCCGCCGGCCTGTCCCACCATTATGACGGAAGAGTTGCTCCGTCAGCCGGTTGGGCTCGGACATCTTCTCTCCCCTCCCTCCTTCTTCATCCCTCCATCTCTCTCCTTCAAACTGTAGAGCTTCCTACAGCAATCCCTCCAATCTTGAATTCTATACCGTCATCATGGCTGACCAAGCTGTGTAAGTCCTCTCTCCCTCCTTCCTTCACCATCCCCTCCCCCCACACTATCACAACCAATGCTCTCCCCAAAAAGTCCCAACGGCTTGACCTCACGGGAAACTGTTGGCGTGGGGTCTTCAATGCTGGTTTCCGGGCAGTGCAGCCATGCGTGGATCAATTACGGTTGATTCGGATGTACTGCGTCGCCAGCAGGGGAAAAAGAGGACGATGGAGCTCACGAACGCGAGTACCTTGGGTTCGCGCGGGTTTCACGAGTCACCGTCCTCAGCATTGCTTCATGATTCGCGTTTTCCCAGCTATTGACCAGAAAAACCGGCCGCTGACAATAGTGCCCGTCTCGCCGGCATTAATGTCGGCGCTCCGGCGCACCCTGCTCCCAGTGCTGATTTCGGCCTCATCGGTCTGGCTGTCATGGGCCAGAACCTGATCCTCAACGTTGCCGATCACGGTTTTACTGTCTGCGCCTACAACCGCACAACCTCCAAGGTTGACCGTTTCCTGAGCAATGAGGCTAAGGGTGAGCATCCTTCCCGAGAGATTTTTCCCTTGATCCGCAGGCGCGGATCCATCCACTAACTCATCCCGTTAGGCAAGTCCATCGTCGGCGCTCACTCCATCGAGGAGTTCTGCTCCAAGCTCAAGCGCCCCCGTCGCATCATGCTCCTCGTCATGGCCGGCAAGCCTGTCGATGACTTCATCGAGTCCCTCCTCCCCTTCCTTGAGAAGGGCGATATCATCATTGACGGTGGTAACTCCCATTTCCCCGACAGCAACCGCCGCACTCGCTATCTCCAGGAGAAGGGCATCAGCTTCGTCGGCAGCGGTGTCTCGGGTGGCGAGGAAGGTGCTCGCTACGGCCCCTCCCTCATGCCCGGTGGTAACGAGGCCGCCTGGCCTCACATTAAGGAGATCTTCCAGAGCATCGCCGCCAAGAGCGACGGCGAGGCCTGCTGCGACTGGGTCGGTGATGAGGGTGCCGGCCACTACGTCAAGATGGTCCACAACGGTATTGAGTACGGTGACATGCAGCTGATTTGCGAGGTAAGCTTTCTATCTGATCGAGCCCTAGCGCCAAGCGGGGGGATGAAGGGGTAGTACTCCGGTTTTCGTGTACTGATTGAACTATCAATCAGGCCTACGACATTATGAAGCGTGGTCTCGGCATGTCCTGCAAGGAGATTGGTGATGTTTTCGCCAAATGGAACACCGGTGTCCTCGACTCTTTCCTCATCGAGATCACCCGCGATGTTCTCTACTATAACGACAACGACGGCACCCCCCTCGTCGAGAAGATCCTCGACAAGGCTGGCCAGAAAGGTACCGGCAAGTGGACCGCCATCAATGCCCTGGACCTCGGCATGCCTGTCACCCTGATCGGTGAGGCTGTCTTCGCCCGCTGCCTGTCTTCCCTCAAGGATGAGCGTGGCCGTGCTAGCAAGATCCTGGGTGGCCCCACCCCCAACTTCACCGGGGACCGGGCCGCCTTCATTGATGACCTTGAGCAGGCTCTGTACGCCTCCAAGATCATCTCCTACGCCCAGGGCTTCATGCTCATCCAGGATGCTGCTAAGGAGTATGGCTGGAAGCTCAACAAGCCCTCTATTGCCCTCATGTGGCGCGGTGGCTGCATTATCCGCTCCGTTTTCCTCAAGGACATCACCAACGCCTACCGAAACAACCCCGACCTCGAGAACCTGCTGTTCGATGACTTCTTCACCAAGGCCATTCACCACGCCCAGGATGGCTGGCGCAACGTTGTCAGCAAGTCCGCTCTGTGGGGTATCCCTCTGCCCGCCTTCACCACTGCCCTCAGCTTCTACGACGGCTACCGCACCAAGGACCTGCCCGCCAACCTGCTGCAGGCCCAGCGTGACTACTTTGGTGCTCACACCTTCCGCATCAAGCCCGAGTTCGCCAACGAGAACTTCCCCGAGGGCAAGGATATCCACGTCAACTGGACCGGCCGTGGCGGTGATGTGTCTGCCTCGACCTATGTCGCATAAGCGCCCAGGTCGGAGATAGAAGGGTAAAAAATTGGGTTCAATGTATTTAGATGCCACCAACGGAGCGTAACGAATTATTCTCATATCTTCCTGGGTAGAAGACCGTAGAAGAGAAGCGGTGGCACATCAAAGACTGTAGAGGAGTCTAGGAGAAGAGGAGTGACTGCCTGAATGCCTGGAGTATGAGGTGACTAGTCTAACTTAATCATCGCCGTGGATACCGCTAAACCAGATCGGGAAGTCCGAGCAACGTCGCTCCTGCCAGCTTATCGGGCCTCTCCCCTCTCCTTCCTCCAAACATTTCCGGGGACGTGGTGCTTCTCTCTCCTCTCCTTCCTTCCTCCCACCCTTCATTCAACCTCTTTCCTTCGCTTCTCCACCTGAAGTCCGAGCAATTGGGAAGCGCCCTTTCTGCCTGAGGACAGTTGGGACTTCGTTCCTATACACAGGTGGCCCCGAAGTCAAGCTCCTGGCGGAACCGGTCGCGATCAATTGAGACCTTTTGGCTTCCAATGTTCTAAGGATATCCGTTTGGACTTAACAAGCATCCTTGGCTCTCCTTCACGAGCGTTCGGGGGCCGACTATCGACGTGTGAATCACACCGCCCGGAGTCATCCCACGCTGCATGGCGGAGAATAAGCGCCAGAGTTCCGGTGCGAAAGGATCTCAAGCTTCCGCTGGCACTGCGACTGCGTCCGGAATGGCGGCGAACATGGTGCCCTTGGAGGCTGCGTTGAGCGGCGCAATCGGTGCTCGGTGAGTGTGCCCCTCCTTTACCATTCATTCATTGCGTTCACTCAACTGTGTGCTTACCATGCCTGTGCTTTGGTAGTGTCCGCATCACAACCGCTACGCCAAACGCCTCCACCTTTGAGGGTCTACTTTTCACTGCGTGCCCTATCACCAACCTAGTCGCGATCAACACATCCCCCTCTCCACCGGCCGGAGATGCTAAGCAGGCACAGAGCGGCGACTACCACGTCATTCCGGTATCCCGCATCCAATCGTTCCAACTGCTCGCTCTTCCTTCATCAAATTCCTCCGAGTCCCCTTCCTTCACCGATGCGCACCCTCCGATCCAGGCGCTTGATACCCGTGCGCTGAAGGCACGCGAGGCCAAGGCCATCGGTGAGGCGATGGATCGCGAGGCGCGTCGTGGAAAGGGTGTCACTCGCGAGGCTCAGGATATCTTCGATGCTTTCAGCCGGACCATGCCTGCTCGTTGGAATGGACAAAACATCGTGGTTGCGGATGCCGTGGCAATTGCCCCTCCCTACCGGGTCGACGATTGCCGTTCATTGGTAGAGGGCGACACGGCTGCGCTTGCTCGAGTGCGCAAGGTGGTAAGTAGACACAGCTCCTATTGAGATGTGGAGCACTATCAGTACTAACTAGTCACCCCGATTGTAGCTCGAGATGGAGCGCAAAAAGATCGAGCTTCGCAACGCGAGCGCAACCATCGGATCGACCAGCACTTTCGCCCGCAACGCAGGCGACCAGCGGAAAGGCGGATAAAGGTCTGCTCTGATACTCCCCACTTTCGAATGGCGGGACTCGAAAATATGATACAATGTGTCTGGTCTGGTTTATCGAACGGTGTTGGCTGACGCGGCGTCGCCTGTCATCAAGCGTTCGATACACACTTCATGGGGATACCCTCGGTGATGAGGGAGATTTGTAGGTCGCAATGAGACCAACATGGTAGATGGGTGCCTCCTCGATGTTGCTTGTCAGGTGTTTCGAGGAATTTAACCAAGAACTACGCATTGATTCCCTAGATCCAACTTTGTATGGTCACGGTGGCTTTGCGTGGCTGGTGGGCGGGACCTTTTTGCCGAATGCAAATGCATGAGCAGAGATGCTTGCAGTATGTTGCGGGTTCGGTATAGTCTGGACTCTGCGATACTCTGACTGGGCTTCTTTCTTTCTCGGTGGGTCTATCGTGCCTTGCCGAAGATAAAATGGATAGGAATACAGGGCAATTGCTTCAAGCCTACAAATATCTCCGGGATTTCTACTCCGTGCATTCTTAGACCGAGGAACATGGTCCTGGATATGTACACATACCGTCAATTGTCGTAACTCCAACTCGAGATGCACAAATTTCATCCACATAACTATGGGCATGCCCAAATAGCAAAATGCACGCCTAATGCAAACATATCAATAGTCACGTAATCTCAAATTACATCCATCCCTTCCGCTCTCACTTCTCCCACCGATCTTCCAGGCACAACCTCGCAAACTGTTCCCACAAATCCCTCCAGCCCAGAAAGTGACACCGTGCCAGTGCCAGTGCCAGCACCAGCTTCGGGTGTTGATGACATCGCGACCCCAGAGGAAGCCGCCATAGACACGCCCGGCATCACTAGGACCTGGGATCCCAGCTCAATCCACTCGACGGACGTCACGAGCCCAAAAGTAATCGTGACGTTCTCCTTGAACATCTCGGCAGATGTCCCCGGGTCAGCAACCGAGGATCCGGACACTACCTTGCTGATATCGGTGGCAGACAAGCGCCGCTGAACAGGCGTGTTCATACCATTCGTGCCATTCGTGCCATTCGTATGCCTGGCAGTTGCATCTTTCTCCTGCGTAGGCGAAGGTGATGACGGCGCGTCACCGTCGAAGCTGAAAAACTCGGGCTCTGTGGGAGACGGTGAGGGGGACGCTGGTTCGTCGCCCGTGCCCGCGAGCGCCATACATACCACACGAACGGTCGTTCTGATATTGGCAATGTAGGCGATCGCGTTCCCACCCAGGAGAAGAGGCGGCGAATTAGGGGCTGAGAATTCCGACGCGGGGAACGTTGCTGTGAAGCCGGTGTGGAATGGTAACGGCAAAGTTGACGGGAGAGGCGATGGGAGCGGAGTGCTTGGAGGCAGAGAGGTGTGCAGGTCCGTTAGCACCATGCCTTTCCGTATACGGCTGAGTCGAGGTAACCGGCCGTCATCCGACGATGCGAGCAGCTCGATGCCTATTGTCCCAACTTGGTCTTCCTTCAGGCGACGTACCGGGAGCCGGAGGTCTCGTACACTGACGACGCGGACGCGCTGCCATTTCACTTGTGTGGAGGCGTCTTTGCCGGAAAGGACGCCGAGCGATAAGGACGTTGGGAACTCGCCTGATTGACCTGGCCCGCCGCTACGAGAGAGCAGGCTCAGCGGTGCAGGGTCAGTCCCAGTCTCCGCAGAAGTGTCGACCAATATTGGACCAATGGTCATCTCGTCGCCAACGGAGATGCTGCCGTGGCGAACTAGACCGCATAGAACCATGCCGCGGCTGGCGCGGCCATCCTTCTCGGTGGATACGGAGTAGACTTTGGACGGCGGGATGGCGAAGACCTCATCCACGTCGAATATTATTGTAGGGCAGTGAGTTCGGCCAACTGACTGCGGGATGTGCAGTTTCCTTTGCGGTGGTCTTGCAGGAATAGGCAGGTGTCGAAGGAATGCGTGCAGCTTGCCTATACCCGTGCCATCAACCGCGCTGGAGAGGACAATGGGCACTATGCGAAGCCAATTACCGCCGGCCGCTGCGATGATCTTTTGCACTTCATTGCTGTCGGAAACGCTGATCTGTTGTAGATCAAGTACTTTATCTCCTGCTGGCGAAGCAGGAAGCATTGCCGGTTTGCGGCCAGCTGTCTTAAGCGCAGACAAGACCTTGGCTAGATTCTCACGCAAGCCTCCACGAGAGGCTACATCGAGTTTGGTGATGACAATCAGAATATGCGTTTCCAGCTTTAAACAAAGATCCAGATAAGCCAAGCATCGATCGATTTCCGCAGCATGCTCAGGGACCGCCTCGGCCTCGGCAGCCTCGTCGCCGCAGTTGGCGGGAATGCAGAGCATAACATAGTGTGGAGCCCAGCCGACCAGACCTCGCAAGGTGGATTTCAGGTATCGGACCGAACCTGGTAGGTCCGATGCGAAGGCTAGACGACCCCCACGCGACGCGGCATGAATGTCATCCCACGCCGCCACGTTTCCAGATGCGTAATTGACCACCGTGGGAGGCACGTTATCTGCATACCCGATCAACTCTTGGGCCACTGAGCTGGTGATGCCGGATGAAATCTCATGGCGGTGTTTAAGCAGGCTTAGTCGACTCTTTCCTCTGCCGTTATCAAGTGATGAAGACGTCAAAGTACCCAGCAGGGAAGACTTTCCCGAAGTACTGGGTCCGGTTATAGATATCCGTATTTGCTCTGTGTGGGAAGAGTCTTCCTCTGCATCCGACTCGGCTCCAGGGTCCACATTGAAACAATCAGCGGTATTCCGCCTTGTACGGGTAGGAGATAGGTTGTAAAAGTCCAAGTCCGGAGAGACTAGAGCTTCCGCAACCCAAAGGCTCTCTCTTTGGCATTTGCTCGGGTTAGGAAGTACGACAGGTGAGTCCTCGGCCCACTCGCATTTGCCGACGATAACCCGGCGCAGAATCTCGACCTTGCAACCAAGACTGGCAGCCATGGCTTGCAGATTGGTCACACTCTCATCGAGCTCATCTTCGGTGAGGCCGACGAAAGTGCCATCGTCGGCGACTCCAATCTCATACAGAGCTCCCTGGCTCTCTTCCAGACCTGGAAGTAGACGAGCAGGTTTCGAGGGCACACCTAACTGAGGGTTAGCTTCGGGGAGCACAGGTACGACTAGGCTCGCCGTGGTAGACGAGTGGAAGGGCGACGACTGCTGCAGGCGCCATAGCAGCTGCGTGGTCAGTCCCTGCAGCCGTTGCTGGCGGCTCTGCGTCGACTTGGCCTGCATGGGCCGCGGGGTTGCATCCTGGGCCGGAGATACCGAGTACGAGGCCAGGGTCGAGTTCACACGGGAGTGGTACGAGCCTGCGACTACATTCCCTGTCGACATGGAGAGGTAGGGCCGTCGCGGGCGGAGCAGCAGATGCAGCTTGTACTCAGTGGGGCCCTCCTGGGGCTCTGGCTCTAGCTTGGTGATGCCATAGTCGGACAGCAAGTCAGGGTCGGCGCGGTCCAGCGCAGAAGTCGATCGTGTACGGATCGCCAGTCCGATCTTGCTGGTCGGGTTGACTTGAGGCGTGGATGATCCCGACGTTGACCAGGGCGACGAAACCCGGGGCGGGTCAGGATCATAGGTGAAGATGGATGCCATGGATTAGGCCGATGCTTCGATGAAATTTCACACTGGTAACAGGGGTATTCGGTATGACGAAGATTTCCAGCAAAGACGTAGTGTAAAAGCAATAGAGACAGAAGCAGGCATTCTTGCGCCAACGGGGATGGTTATGATTGTTGAGGTCGTTCCGGTTTGGAGGGCGACAGACAGCTGGGGTTGAGTCACAAGTGGGTGGCAGCTGCCTGAGGCCTGAGGCATCACGCGGGTCTTTCCCCGCGCAGTGGATTAATTTCCTATGGACACTATTTGCTGCAAATCTATGTGCAGAAAAGAAAATGAAAAAACAAAACTTGGGCGTTGAATGTACAAGAAGAAAGGAAAAACCGCCGTCTCCAGCATATATGTGTCCTCCAACACTCGTTATTCTGTCGATGATTCTCGCCCTGGACCCTTACACTTGCCCTGTGCCACGTGGATGTTTCGCGCCGTCGTACGGGTGAACACCGCTCCGCAGACGGGGCACTCTGCCTTCGCGACGACTCCGGACTTCTCACGTTGGTGTCGCAGCAGATTGCTGAATGTTGAGAACTCGCGACCGTTGCAGCCGTGGTCCCAGCATTGTGGCCGAGGTCGCGAACTGAGCACGCGCAGGGGGCGTTCTTTGGAATCCCCTGTCGCTATTGAGTCGGGGGAGGAGAATACAGGTTCGGCGACCATCGATGAGGCTTGCAAGCTCATAGAGGACGGATGAGTGGATCTGATGACCATGGTTAGCAGCTTCACTGAGAGGCTTCATTGCGATTGGCTCACGGAATTGGAGGTGCTTCGGGGAGGTAGTAGGCGGGTTGGTTCATCATATAGGGGGGAGAACTGCAGATATGTCAGCGACTTGAGCTTCAAGATTCCGCACCATGTCTGTGATCGGCCCTGTCAAACTCACGAGGTCATAAGAGATTGGTCAGGTAAAGCAGCAGGGTTTGGCTGAGGGTGAAATGGACGAGCCATTGACAGCGCCGGTGGACTAGAAAGCAAATTGTTAGTGATAGGTCCCGACAAGCTTCAGTCCAGAGAGGTCTTTCCACCTTCGAGATTGCTGAAGTCGAGCGGAGCCCCCGTGCGCTCCAGGTAAGTATGAAGGCGGTGCCGACGCGTCTTGGTGATAGCTAGGTAATGACCCGCTTGGCTGACCATTATAACCGACAGGAAATCCTGATGATGGGTATGGTTGCGAAGGCGGGAACTGCTGGTTCATATGGCCAGGTGGCGACTGCAGCGGTTGAAATGGGCGGTTACCCCAAATATAAGCTGCTGCATCGTTAGTAACCACTTTTTGCCATTGAAAGGGACTCTTCTTACGATTGTTGTTTGGCTGCATCGGGCCCGCGAAGTATGCGCCTGAAGCTACTGACATAGGGTATGATGTGATCCCAAGACCTCTGCGGGGAAAAGGTCAGATATACCGCATTCTTATCAAGAGAGGACCGCCAATCAATATCAAGAAGAAAGGATGAGCACTCACTGAGGATTTTCGTCCGTCAACTGCTCTTCACAATTGACACTGTCGAAAAATTGCTCGGATTCGTGACCCGAGAGTGGCGTATCCAGGTCGAGAATGGTACCAGTAAGGCTGACGCTCGAATTCAAGGAAAGGGTCGAACTATGTGACTGGAGTGAAGACGGAAATGCTCGCTTGGACTGCGAGTCGTTTTCTAGGCTTTGCACAGGGCTATGAAAGGGCCAAGAGGCGTCCGAGCAAGGGAAAGCGCCTTGTAGTTGGAAGCCCGGCGCGTGTACTGAGTCAAACACCGAGGAGAGAAGGTCAACGTCTGGAAACGGGCCTGGGGCTGGAAGCAGATTGGATTGGCACCTGTGATGAGAAGGTGAATAGTGTGAGCTTGAATCCCCGCGCGACATCTCCGATTTGACTTTTTAGGCCATGGACCTGACTGGCCCACGACTTCGCTCAAACAGCAGGGGGCCGGAGGGGCCAGAAAGCATAGGGTAAGGGGCGGCAATTGCCCAAGAAAAAAGGTGGAAAGGCAAACATACAGTTCAGTCTCTCAAAAAGTGACGGGTGCGATATTGGCAGATCCGAGGGTTTTTGTTCCTGCGGATGGCAATCGGGCTACGCGACGGGCGCAAGAAGTTTCTTAAAGAATTCTTCGAACTGTCGAGCAGGGCGTTCGTGTACCCAGAAGTAGTCCCCGCAATTCCTGGGATCGAGAGCCCGGCGTCGGGTACGGAGTAATAAGGTATGGACACTGGGTACTGCGTACAGAGAGATAATGACCCACCAAAGGCAGGGCCACAATCGGGCTTCTAGAACTTAGACTTGCAACGCCAATGGTGGTGTGGATACGGAGTAGTTCGCGGGCAACTCAGGAGTTCTCCGAGTAGATGGGAGGGCAGGTCGTCTGAAACACACTTGTGCTGGCGACGTCTACTCATTAACCCTTTTGATCGTTGCGTTCTGCCACGGCGGGTAATGCTGTAATCACTTCCTATCTCATATGACGCAGGCGAGAAAAGGGCGGCCGTAACATTCCTATAATCTTCGACAAGTGGGCCGAAATTGCTCTATCATCGCGAGTCGGGACTGGTGCTGTCTTAAATTTTGACCCCACAACTGACACTGGATCCTCGGTTTTCAGACCAAAAGCCTATATGGGAGAAAAAGCTCAGTAAAAGGGGATGTCTGGTCTGGGGCCAGGGCGTGTATTGATCCTGAACGGCGTAGGGAGCTTTCAAGTCCGGGCAGAGTGGGTTTTAGCCCCATCAAGGAAAACGGGGCAGGGAGGATGATTGGGGGCCATGACGCTGCCTCGTGTGTGGCTGGCAGGCAGTTGAACAGAAAACTTAGTCTCCATCGAGTCAGGCCGCCATTCGATGCGCCGATCCAGGAAAATAATTAAATTGGAAAAAGAAAAAAAAGTCTGACGGGGTCGTTTCCGGCCTTTTTCAATCTTGGGTCGTTTCTTTTCGGCCCCCACGGACGAGCCGTTGGATAAATGAAGTCCCCATCATCAGTTGCAGGCGAAGCCTGGAACCTGGAAAGAGCATAGTCTGAAGCAGAAAGCGATGTTGGTGGGCGCTCGAGAAAATTACATTCTCGAGAAGGAAAGACCGTATTGGGGCTGGCAATTGGCTGGAGTATACGAGTATAAATGAATCAACAGATGACGGTGAACCAGGGGGAGGTTCAACCTAGCCTTCCTTGGTGGCTTCGACTGCTGGACCTGAAAGACCCTATCTGGCTGGTGGCAGGTTCGCAGCTTTAGCCTTCTCCGGGTCAGCCACGATTGGTCTTTGATTGGTCTTTCGTACTCGGTATAGCGGGCCATGTCGTTGTCGCACCCACTAGTCTAACGCCCTGGGTGGGACCGGGTTCACAAGCAATCATTTGGTGGATAGCGAGCCAAGAATCGGCAGATAAAGCCATTATGGCTAATAGGCATGGTGTCAACCCGAGGGCAGGGATTTCATAGCGCCATGTCGTCGCCAATTCGCCATTAAGCCACTTAAGCCCGTTGAGCGAGTACCCCCGTGGCCGCTGCGCACCGGTTGGCTCCGCGAGACCAATCACGGATCGACACTCCACACTCAGAACTTCCGGGATCCGCATTTCGGCCATGTGCCCAGGGGCCATGTGTTTTTGCATCCAGGTGCATTGCAAAACTCACGCTCCTAAGGGGGTGCTGGCTCTGGTTGGATCGCCCATGAGCAGGTTCGTCCCGGTTTATGCAGAGTCAATCGGCCTGATGCACATTGCGCACAATGGACGGTGTGACTCGGCTCTCCGCCCTCGTATACTCTAGTATGCGTTGCAAAGCCTGCGGCGATTTGATTCGGTTCAAAAGTGCACGCGGCGAGCCACTGATGGCGGTCAAGACTTGCCGATATTTCACGCCAGCCTGGGTCCAGTTGGTGCATCGCAAGAGCAAGCGGCCGTCGTGAGTCACCCGCTCGCCGACACGTTCGATGAAAATGGCTTGACTGTGTCACCGATATAAAGGGGGCCCCTAGTTGTAAGATCGAGGGCGCTTCGGCCATGCGTGCGTGCAAGCAGGGATGTGTCTGAGCAGGGACCGGCCGGCTAGCGATATGACGATTCATTCGTTGGGAGTTTGCGGTCAGCGGGGTTGTGTAGGAAGGCAGATCGACTGCGGCGTTGCTACTTGCTTGGCTAGTGTATTGTTAATGTACGGATTCTAACTCGCTGAAAATCCAATCGCCAAAACTACCGGCGGCATTTCTACAATCACACAAGCTTGCTGCCGGGCTGGAGAGCGATCTTAGGCTCGGGCCCCACTGCCGAGGATCTCCGTAAATATTTTACTTGTCCATAAGTGGTGGGCGTACTCCGTATTCCGTATTGATAGAGCACCGCCCGCCTCTAAGCTGCCATCAGTATATACGTTTATTCAAATCGAGTCCGGTCAACAATCGTTTGTCGCGGCGCCGGCATCGACAAAAGCCATCGCTAGATTGAGATCCAGTGTTGAATGATTCACCGTTCGAGTTTAATCTGATCAACAAGCAGGAATCACAGTTACCGGAGCAGACAGAGGGAGCTGATGTTGCAGCGTCGCCAGTTGGCCCTGCCAGTTGGCACCTGCCAGGAGTATCACGTGGCCACTTCTGAATGCAGGTCACATGACACCAGCCAACTCTGCACTGTCATCCGACGGCATCATCCACCGCGATTGCACACGGTCATTCACCACCAACCTTGTTAAGTGCTGGGACCCGATTTCGAAATATCAGTAAAGTCCTGCGCCTGCAGCTGAAGCATCTACCATGAAGCTCGTCCGGTAAGTCGCCTTACCGAGAGGGCGCGATCAGCTACCGGCTGCGACACGCGCCTTCTTAGGGTTGGAAATATCTTTTTGGAGATCCCAACTGACCTACCATCCAGGTTTCTGATGAAATGCGCCAATGAGACGGTGACAATTGAGCTCAAGAATGGTAAGTTCAGCCGCTCAATCTCTTCTCTCCTCGATATCCAACTCCCGCGATTCCTGGGCGGGCCACGATTTCCAGACCAAGCCTCAGTTCTGACGCTAATCAAAACCCATGCAGGCACAATCCTCCACGGTACCATCACATCGGTCTCCCCGCAGATGAACACTTCCCTCCGCACCGTTAAGATGACACCCAAGGGCCGTGACACCGTGTCGCTTGATACCATCAACATCCGTGGCTCCACGATCCGTTATTATATTCTCCCCGACAGCTTACCGCTTGATACTCTCCTCGTGGACGACACCCCTAAGCCGAAGAACAAGGCTCGCAAGGAAGCAGACCGCGGCCGCGGGGGCCGCGGCGGTCCCCGTGGTCGCGGCGGCCGTGGTGGTGGCCGTGGTCGCGGGCGGGGGCGAGGCTTCTAGTTCATTTCCTGTTTTCTTTCTTTCTGAGAGTACAGATCGGCGTTTTTCTGTCTTCATAACATTCGGTTTCTTTTTCATTATGCATGATTATGGGATCTACCATCCGTTGTTACCCCGGGGCCTTTATCAATATTGGAGGGTGAAAGAAAAAAGCAAGGCCGTTTTTTCTCTCTTTGATTCTCTGGCTTGTGCTCGCCAAGTCTTCCTTGTTTAGATCGGGATGTCTACGGGCGAAAGTTGCGGCGGTGAGGAGTTTGCTGGATCCTGACGACTTGGAATAATGCAGATGGACAGCAATGGTCGAAAGATGCATGAGAAACTCAAGTCTCTCCATGCGAGCTGCTAGTGGCGTTTTGAGTGTCAACCCACCGAGGCCAGGTTATGCGTTTTAGCTCCCTCTCATGTCCAATCAATGATCTCTTCGACTCTAATCCATCACCTGACTGTGGTACCATCACACGTGACGGCATGCATTCAGCGTGCAGCTTGCCCTAATCTACTGGATACGTACGCTTGTGGGGACGTGACAACTACTTCTCTCGAATATGAGCTTCCGGTCCCCTATTTCAGGAAGGATTCTACCCCTGCTTAGTTGCGCCATGTGTGGCACTCATCCTAGTAGACCGTCGAGAGATCAATAAGTGAGATTCCCAGCCCCCAGGAGATCGACGGCAATTCCCAGGGAACCTACACTATGATAGGTATCTCCTGGACCTGAAACCTCCCAGCAACACATTCGTACTTGGCCCCCATTTACTCATGTACACTAGCGGGTCAATTGGCTCCTGGTACGCCCAATTTTGCCCTCTGCCCCCCCATAACCCGAAGCGCTGGGATCCTCCCCCCGGTCGATGCGGGCGATGGGTATGAAATCAACCAACCTGTTCGCCCCAGAGAGCCCAATGAACTATCATCTGGGCTGCGCCATGTAATCGAGTACGCCCCATTGGATATCCGATGTCTGTGCAACTGGATGCGTCTGCTACATCGTAGAGACAAAGATGGGGACAATGAGCCGGTGCTGTCTACCAGGTCCTTTGGCCGTCCAAACGGGCGAACGGAGGCGATTTAGGTTGTTTACATAGCTGATGATCCACTCTTGAACCCTGCGCCGAACGCATTGACGCCCAGGGGCGGTAGAGCAGGGGTTCACCTCTGTTACCGCAAGTGGAATATGGCCTGCGTATCTTTTGCGGCGAATACGCAATTATTGCTTTGCCAGGAGCTTACATTAATCGTTTCCCCCCCACCGGAATGCATATTCTTGCTTACTCGCGCAATTTGGATGCAGAGGGGTCCCATTCTATAAAACTATAGATACAATAACAGGATGCTGTGGAATTGGGTGTTTCAGGCTCCTAACACTGACTAGTAAAAAGCATGTGCCCAGAAAAAGCCCTGCATTCAAACCTCAGGGAGCGAACGAGAACTTGCTGCCTCGATATCCCCACGGGAGCCCCTCGCTCGGATACACCGATGGCCCCCCGGGCGGAAGAATCCAGGATTGGGGGCTCCGGCTTTCGGCCTTGGAATTCGCCATAGGAACAAGACGGTGAGTCATAATTAATCACTCTATACTCTTAAATTTGACAAGTTACCTTCAATCGTTTTATCTAAGTTGGGTATGCCATTCTCTTGGCCCAATTCCCATCGCAAACCTTGTCCATTCGGGTTCCAGAGCCAAGCCAAGGTCCAGATTAGGCGTTGGCGCGGTTTCAAGGCTTGAATTCACAGACCGATACTACCTATGTGCCTTGTTGGCTTGAACAACCGGGTAATTATCTAAGGCCGCCAGTTCGGGACAAACATTCATTAACTATCACCTGGTAAGTATCACAAGGCTAATACCCGCTCGAGGCAACCGAAATAGTTCGCTAACCAGTTGTCCGAGGTCTGTCATAGAATTACCACCGCTTGGTGTAAGTGTAAGTATCCACCCACTTCCTTTCTTCCAGGGCTTCGCTCCGCATAAGGAACTGACGTGACAGCCTTGCCCCTAGGCAGCAAGTTAGGTCATTAGAACAACCACTGTGAATATGCGTTTGTTAGGATAGCCAAGACTCCTTAGTATTCACTAATCACTGGCTGATTCGTGTAATCACCCTTGAGTTATTCAAGATCATGTATCAAACAAGGGCCGTTGGGGTTTGGATCCCCGCATCAATGAAGTGGAGCTTTTGGCTAGGAATGGGCGATTTCCAATCGATTATGAACCCCGAAATACTGTGCCCTACCGTTGAGATGACTTCAGACCGAATAAGGCATGTTTCGAATGCTGCGCCCTGGGTTTCTGCTGACGTGTAAATTGCTCTTCCGCAAACCTTATATGAGTAAAGCCCCCGTGGATTGGTCAATTCGTCCCACCTTTTTCACCTCTCGTCCACATATCTCAGTAATTTTCATCTTGCCGAATGGAAAGTCTAGAGCCAGTGGGTATTATTACCACGCGTATCTGCTGACATGCAGAACATGCTGTGGCGGGCCGCTTGTGGCTCTGTTCAATAATACTGGTTATCACATTATGTCTATGTAGCTGCCTGGGGTTTCGTTCTCTCACTCTTGAAATTTTGAAAATGGAATAGCCTTGGGCTTCTAATCTGGGGCCGTTTGTCTCCCAAAAGGACGCGTCTTAGGAGTCATGTCCAGCCGAGCTAGAGCAGTAGACGGACGTCTCGATACAAAACTTACGCTACCTGCAACTAAATCTACGACATAGGTGATGCCAAAAGCCCCAAGTCCACCCCATGCGGGGGCGACGCTAGCCATGCCACGTAGCCTGAGCAAGTTCATGAACACTAACTTGATGTTTGATGCACCCTGGTTTGCCCGAGGGGCCCACAATTACCGAGGATGAAGGGGGCCGTGGACAGGAAATGGAACGTGTCAAGATTATATCAGAGCGGTGGTCAAACAAAATTAGCTATGTCATTGACATCGATCAATGATGTGTGCATAGTGCTTACTGGAGCAGTCGATCCGGGCATATATCCCTCCACATACTTGCCCAGAGAGCCTACCTGCACTGGGTAACCCACGCGGTATTATGTCAGATTTACTGATTTTGAAAGAAATACACAGTTGTTAATATAAATAGGGAAACAAGTGTATCAAGCCCCATGGAGAACCCGTAATGTTGACAGCCAATACCATGCGGAAGTCATCTTAGACTGCTGCGCCCTGCTATACGTTACAAGGGTCATCGGCTACACTAGACCAACGGGCTCACTGAGAAAAGAGAAATAACTAGGGTAATGAAGAACAAACGGAATTAGCCCGTTTCATGCTGCTATGGTTGGAATTGTCAGATTGGATGCCTTTGTCGGGCACCGCAGGATGCTGAAGGGACATCTGCGCGAAGTGCGTTATACATAAAACAGGAGTGATTTCGGGCTTCCGGTCCTTGGATTCTTGGACCCTTGGGGCCGTCCTTGGATAGTCCGAAAGCAAGAAATGAAAAGATGAATTTCTCGGTGATGCAATGGAGGCCTGTAGATCCGCCTCTGCCCTGTGCTCTGCATTTCGGGCGAGTTTAGCTTGAACTATTGCCCTGAATCCATAGTAGCCATTACGCCCATCTCTTTACGCTATTCTTTTATTCCTCGATTCGGATCACTTAGGTTCAGACACTGTTATACCTTGGATGGTTTATAGTTAGTGAGCCTGCGTATCCAAAGACATTAGTCATGCAGCATCTGCGTTGCCATCCAAATTCTCGCAGGTATACAAATAATATATCGTATAGAAATTCCAATACATGCTAATGTGGTCTCAAAGACCTTAAAATATTTATCTTCTTCTAAGAATTTTCCTGCCTCCATATGCGAACAATGACTAATTTCTCCCACCCTGCCTGCATACCACTCGACCCAACAGTCTCAGCGTTCCAACCACCCCAGGCGCGAATCCGCTCCTTCACCTCATCAGGCCGGTTCTGTTTGCAAAGAAGCACATAAGCCACTCCACGATCAGACAGAATGCCGGGTATAGCGTCAAGTAACCGGTTCGTCGTCTCCATACCATCTGCGCCGCCCGCATACGTCAGCGACAAGAAGTAGGAGTCGCTCTCAAACTTGGCAGAACGAGACACGGATAGTGACATTGTAGGATCATTCTCTGATGCTGTTGGCAGACGAGGCAGCTCCTCTGTTGGAACGTAAGGAGGGTTGAAAAGAAGGACGTCTACGCTTCCCGGGCGCAGCGCCGTGCAGAGATCACTTGTGATAGAAGAGATGTGGACCGTCTGCAGATTCGGGCTGGTGGTGGTGTCTGTGGCCGAAGATTCTGGCTTCTGTTGCTCGGTCTTGATAGCCGTTGAAACGGTTTCTGTAGTTGCTATACAAGCATTCCTGTTCACGTCTATTCCCAACGTGAGGATATCCTTTCGTCCGAAGATTTGTTCCGAATGCGCTGCTGCAAAAGCTAGCACCACGCCGGATCCCGTGCCAGCCTCCACGATTAATGGTACGGAGTTGGATGAAGAATCTGATGATGTGCTGTTATTTTTCTGAAATCGTCCAGACAGCCACTTAGACTCTGAGGCTGAAGCGAGCGTGTCGAGGAAGAGATACGAGTCCTCGGCAGGCTCATAGATGGTGTCGAAGGAAACATGCGAGGTGTCTGGTGTGGGCAACATCTTGCCAATGAGGTCTGAAGTTTCAGATGATTCGAATCTCTCTTGCTGCTGCAATGTTTCTTTTCGGGAAACACAGGCCAGTCGCTGCTTGTAATGTGCCTTTTGACCCTAGTGCGGCTCAGATCAAGTTTTCGATCTGTCTCGGAACTCAATACAAATAAGACAAGTGGCGATATTTTTCAATCCAAACGTTCCAATAGAGGCATAGACTGTCGTTGACTGGCATCAAAGCTGTAGGGTCGCCAACACGGAAAAGCTCAAAGCGCTCCAATCAGCCCGACCCCACCGATTCGCTCCGCCGACTCGCCGCCTTCCGTCTCCAAAAAGTTCCCCAGGAAATTATGTCATTTCTGCCTCCGTGAACCTCGGCGAACCCAGCAACCATGCGCCTCACCCACCGTCTGCTCATGGCCACGCCGGCCTCAATTGGCTCCAAATCCAGCCTCAGTGAAGCTCTCGCTCTCCTCCCCCCGCTACAGCTCTACCGCCGCATCCTTCGCGTCCATCGCAAGCTCGACCCGGAGATGCGCGTCTTGGGCGATTCGTACGTGAAGAAGGAGTTTCGGGCGCATCGGACGGCGGAGAACCCATTGCATATTGTACGTTTCGATCGATTATGCCTGGGCCTGGACGGGGAATCAAGGGAGAGCGAGAAGAGCCGGAGGCGGCCTTGCAGGACTGCGACTAACGTCGACAATTGCAGATCGGATTCTTGACAGAGTGGCAACTATATGCGCAGAAGCTGGAGGGTGAAAACTGGGCTGGAGAGAAACTTGATAAGTCTAAACTGGACAAGCTGAGTGGTACGGTCGTTTGTGACCATCGGGCGGTTCGGAAGTGGCTAACATCGCACTCGCTCCAGACCAACAAATCGGGCAGCTCTTTGAGCTGATGCAGGCCATTCGAAATGACGGAGGCGAGGGTGAGGGTGAGGGTGAGAAGCAATAAGCAACTGAAACAAAGATGTTCGGCTTTGAGTTATGGAGTTTGAGTTGTTATGAGTTATGGATAGCGCCTCATGTTAGAGTCACGAGGGTATATGCCCCCTTCCGGCCTAAACACTGCGGAACCATTGCCCTTAGATTTATTGCTGGAGTGATACCTAGTAGTTCGGGGACTATTGGTCCTATGCTGCATTGACTTTTCGAGAACTCCGAGAGAGCCATTGGGAGATGCGGGCACTTCTCGATGCGGGCGCGGCTTCCGCTGTATATATATATTTACAAAATTAAAGCCGCTTCAACTGGAATTACCACAATCTGGAGCCCGGTACCTTCCAAGAAATTTGGACCAACATGTCCTCCTACCTCTCCATTTAATCACAAGGTGACCGCAAAATCATCTGTACACGTTTGCCTCTACTCACTTATCTACTCGCCCCTGGAGGCAACCTTAGGTAAGTCTGATTTCGACGAGTAGCCCCGGTAGTGATAGACCAGGGGGCACGCTTAAATAGGTGTGAAGCGGCAAGTGGGATGCGTTGAAATCGGTCTCATAAATCAGAAGAGCAGGATATTTGACATTCATATGGGCGCGCTTGAGACTGACTAACTGGAGGATATCGTCCTTAGTCCAGGGATCATTTCTTGCCAGTGTCTTGATATTCGTTAGATCATTCATTTCAAATAGGAACTCGAGAATGTTCCATATAATATTTTCCAGTAGATGCACCATCTGCATTTAGGTCAATGGTATGGATCCTAAGCAGCTTGAGCGATTCGCTTTGCTCCTGTAGCGAGGTGTATGAGTATCTCCTCGCCTAAAGTAGAAACAGTTGTATGCGAAGGCGCCAATGAAATTGTATTCGTCTCCCATTCCACCGGGATCCATTTCGAAAAGATTAGTGACACATGTATATGCGAAAGATATGAATGCCCAATAATAGGCGCATGGGCACAAAGATTCAAGTTCTGATAGTCTGACTTCTAAGAGGAAAACCAGCCACCGCATCCATTCGATCAAAGACTGGGATCATGGATAGTGCGATGATATGAGCAAGAGCATGCTGAGCTAGGAGCGTGTATCTCATGAACTGAGCCGTCGGTGGTAAACTGGCCTCAAAAAAAAGCGTCCGGGGGAGTCGAAAGTTTTTCGAAATCACCGCCATGAGAAATCATGCGTAGGCAACATTGCATTGCTTGCGTAAAGGGATATTTTGGAGCATGAGTCATCATCGATGTTCAAAAGTAAATTCATTTACCCAGCGGCACAGCCCTAAGATCAATAGTATTAAACCTAAAATGAGATCAAAAACCAGGTGCTTTGATGAAGGGTCTGTAGTTGGGATTGAGCAAAGTGAAAGTGTGTCGCTTAAAACTTCCACGTGCGCCTTCCTTTCGTGACCTTGAACGACTTTCCAGAGCAGGGTACGAAACTGCTGAACGTCGCAAGTTATATAAGGTGACTGCCCCTATCCCAGTCATAAGCTTACCAGGGATGCCCTTATCTACCCGAGACCGAAGAACACTGCACGACTGACACCAATCACGACTCGCAAATTCGTTATGTAATCTCAAACTCGGAGCGCGGGCCCGAGGGTCGGTGGGGAAAAGCCCGATTTTATACATCCGCGCCCTTCCCTTGACAATCGTCCCATTTGATATAAAATAGTACCCCCGAGCCCCAATTGCTCATTAAGAATCTTCCAACTCTCCTTCTCAAGACAAGCAGAAGGGAAAGAAAACACAAGTATACATCCACAATGCCTGCCATCCTGGAGGACCCCTCCTCCCGCAATGTCCCACCTACAGCCCACACCACCGCTGCACCCTCGCTAACCCAGCGACACACGACTCTACCCAAGGCGTCGGGGGTGGGCATGACTCTGTACCCCATTGCAGCGGGCCCGGCAAGTCTTCCGTGGGAACTGGTCAAGTTTCTGCACGCTGAATTCAGCGCTGAAATCGAGCGTGGCAGTACATATCCCATGGAGCAGCCGCTGGGGCTGGAGCAGTTTGCTGATTACTGGTTTGGCACGTTTGCGGTCGTGGCTGTTCTTGATGAAGAGGGTGATTCTGCCCCTGGTGGCGGGCTGAAGGAGGGTCGGGATTGGGCGAAGGTCTGTCTGGGGACATTCTATATCAAGCCAAATTACCCCGGTAAGTGCGCTCGATCGGGGTCGAGATTGAAAGCCGCACTTGGAATACATACTGATTGCCGCAGGCCGCTGCTCTCACATCTGCAATGCGGGGTTCCTTACTACCACCGCTGCGCGTGGCAAGGGGGTCGGGCAGCAAATGGGCGAGGCCTATCTGGAGTTCGCCCCGAAGCTGGTATGATTAGCCAACATGAGTGGGACGGTGTTTGCCGGCGCTAATCTGTAGACACAGGGTTACAAGTACTCCGTCTTCAACCTGGTTTTCGCCAACAATCCGGCTTCTATCCGCATCTGGGAGAGACTTGGATTCAGCGTGATCGGACGGGTTCCCAAGGCGGCGCGCCTCGCTAACAGCGAGGAGCTGGTAGACGCGTTGATCTTCGGACGTGAATTGGGGAATTAGGCGGCGTCATTTCAATCGCGCTGTAAATGGGAAATAGATGGGGTATTGGGATAGACATAGAAGACGGACATCTGTCGTCTACATGAATGTTGACAAGATGTGTTATACGAAGAAAGTTGTACGGATTTGGTCGTCTATAATTCGAGTTAACTTCTATAACCGAGGACAACAGGAATAAAACTACAGGGGATGATATTTACATCGATAGAAGAGAAGAAAAGCGGGATGGAAAAGCAGAAACCGCGAGTATAAAGCCCGAAGATAACACAAGAGTAAGAGGAAATCCAACGCTTAGACCATACCATGCAACAATGGGGATATCACGCAAAACCTAACCCTCAAGATCATCGCGCCATGCCCGCCTGCCAGCAAGTCTAGGAACTGGTAGGGGCGGGGCGCAATGCACAAGTGCAATAAACATAAGACAATGGGATAGAATAAGAGAAGAGGATGGGCGGAGGATGATTGGTAGAGAGGTCAGAGGTAAGTAGGTAGGTAGGTAGGTAGATGAGCAAGGCGACCGGAGGTGAGATGAAAGGAATAAGAGGCAGGAGGACGGGAGGAAGGGGGACGAAGCGGCGATTTATGGTCTCCACGGCGGTCGCGCATCGAGCTTCTTCTGCACGGCTGTTTTTTCTTTCTCGGGTCGCTTCGGCAAGGGAAGGAGACTGGTACGTCGGCTGCTAGAATGACCGAGGGCTGTACCCGGGCGCGCGGGTTTGCTGGGGCTCTCCGTTAAATCCTGCCCTTGGTATTGGGAGGAGAAACTGCGGCTGAAAGATGAGCCCATGCCGGCGAAGCTCTGTCGGCTGCGAGGAGTAGCAGACATGCCAGATGGTCTGCGGAGACGACTATAAGGTGGAGGGTCGAGCAGAGAAGATCGGGCGGGTGTGGGAGATGAGATGTTGCGGACTGGACTGCGAGATGAGGACGCCAATCGGGTTGACAGACGGCTGAGCGACCGGCCAGGACTGGCGGCTGGGGAAGCAGACATATCTCGACGGAACGGAACAGTCGACGACGGACGGTTATACACCGGGGTAGAGCCCTTCCGTTGAGTGCCTGGGGTGGTCGTGCTCAGATACTTATAGCCCGAATCCACATCATTCAGGTTGGTGCTATTGGTCCAGCGAGGTCGATTGGGTATCGTAGACGGCTGTGGTACACGAGAGGCCTTCCGCGTTGCCGGCGTGGGAGTAATAGGCGCCGTTGGTTTGGGGATGGAAGACTTGCGCCCAGTCAAGGTTGAGGTCACCTGGGGCAGACCAGATAACCGGCGGACCTTGGACATGGCCGAGCGCGCCGTAGAACTACCGACTGAGCTTTCACGGCGGCTTGAGCTACCCATAGGTGTCTTGTATCCACTGCCGCTGAGAATGACTGAGGAAGCAGGTGAGCTGCCGGGTGTATCGATAGCACTGCCGGTAGCCGGGCTGTCCATCGTGACGATACTGGAGATGGAGTCGCGCAGTTGCTGACCTCTCACGATCTGCACATCCTCGAGAGAGGCATCCATCACCCTGAGACTAGCTTTGAGGGCATCTGTCCGCGAAGTCATGTCGGACAGAAGTCGCAGCACCTCACCGTTCACGGTCAGTCGGTCATTGACACCCTTCTGGATGATGGAGATAACCCGCTCGATGGCCGGCACATAGTGCATCTTTTTCGCCTCGTAATTCTCGATCCGCTTGGTCAGGCTGCCAGGGTTATGCACTTGCGCGTTCGACTCTAGCCCTTCCTGCAACTTGGAAATACTCCGTTCAACCGAGTCAAACATCTTCTGTGCCTGGCTGCCCGCGTTGCGGAATACTATAATCCACTTGTCCTCGCCCAGCTCCTTTCGCAACGCTTCGGCATCTCCCTCGAGAACCTTATAGCTCTTCTCCAGACGACTTCGTCGGTCATCGAGCTCCTCACAGGCACTTGGGAAGAGACGATCTGCCCGCGATTGGAACATCGACAGTCGCATGGGCAAGAAATCCAAAGATGCCCGGAGCGGCTGCATACGGGCAAACAGGGCCATGAGATTGGAGTGGCTGGAGTCGTCTTGCGGTGTCTTGATGATCGGCGTGCCGGATGCTGTTGCCAGGATGGGGCCGATGTTCAGGCGATTATTGGCAGGAGACCGTCCCTTGGTGGGAGACTCCTCCACGATAGTCTCGAGCTCGTTGATATCAAGACCACTGCTGGAATCGCCATTATCCATCAGACTCTGGTGTCGCTTCTCCTCCATCTCAAAAATCATCCCGCTCAGGTTATCAATCTCCATGCCGACATCACCCAACACATTCGACCATAACTCCTCCCATTCCATCGCTAGTTCCACCTGCTCCTTCACCCCACGCAGTTTGCTCTTAATCTGAGCCCAATTCTGCAGGATGCTTTCCATCTGGCTCACAATTGTCTTCAAGTTCTCGGCATCCACGTTGGCGATATCGTCTCGAAGCTGCACATTCTCGATTGCCTTCACGTAGACATTGACCAAGGACTCAAAGCGGGTTATAGCCTTATCCACCCCTTCAAGACCCTCTCGCCCACCAGCCGCAGCCCATTCCACGTCATCCTCGGAGTCGAGACCACTGAGCACATCGGACGCCTTCCTAATCCAAATCTGGATCTGTTCCGCCGCACCGTTCAATGCCCGAACCGCGGCAAGGGCGGTGGAGATGTTCGCTATACTGGTTTCGAGTGCTGCTGGCTGTGGCAGAGGGATCGACGTGAGCTGAGACAGCTGGTTGCTGAAAGAGGCACGGGAGAAGGAGTATATTGATTCGGCGCGCTGCAACCCCATCGGATTGAAGTACGACTGTGAGTTAGAGGACGAGGAGAGCGCGTAGGCGGGCGGGGAATCCTTGAGTGGGCGCACAGGCACGGCCTCCACGGACCGCTCCTCGCTGCGTTTTGTGTCATCGACATATTTCTCGAAGTCGGTCCGCGTATCCTGGGCCTTGTCATTGGGGAGTGCTTCTGGTTCAGGGTCTGCGCGCAGCTGCGCGGGCCCGGGCTCCGCAGCAGACATGGATGTCGCCGGGGGTGGGCTGCTCGGTGTGTCAGGGACCGACACCGGGGGGTGAACAGCGGCCAGAACGGGCGGTTCTGTGCTGTCGACGACCGTGTCGGCGTAGTTTGACCCTTGAGTGTGCGCCTCGATAATCTCCTGGAGGAGTTCGTGGCTAGGGAGGTCGCGAGTGTTGGACGCACTCCGTGTCAAGTGGTGCGCTTGTAGGGTCGGGGATGGGGGTATTGGGCCACTCCACGCCTGGCCGCGCCTCTCAACCTTGATCGACAGGTCTTGGTGCTGGCTATCAAGCACCTTCAGGTGTTCTTCCGGGATCCGACCGACGTTGTTGGGGTTGCGGGGTGCGCTGTTCGCCTTGTTGGTCCCGTCGAGCAGCTTCACGCGGGCCGCGAGGGCGGGCGACAGGCGGCGGAAGATGCTCGGTTTGGCGGTATTTTTCTCGGCGCTGGATGGCTCTGTGGGAGGAAGGTCGTCGTCCGGGCCGCTGTGGTTGCTGCTGCCAATACTCCAGAGAGACGACTTGGGTTTCAAGCGGCGGAGAGGGGAGGGTCCGCGTTCATTTGGCGAGCTGGCGGCCGCGGGGGGCGGAGGGGAGGCGGACGTAACGGACACGCTGGCAGACGGTGCGATGTCACTCGCGGAGGCAGTTGGGCCGTCGACTGTGGCATGCATGGGTGCACCGTGGAGATGGCCGGTTCAAAGGGACAGGAGAAAGGTGAACGTTTCAGGCAGGGATGGACAAGGAATGTTTGTCGTTCGGGAACGTATCCCAATGATAAGAGATGGAGGACAGTTTTCCGCCTTCTCTCGGTAGCGGTCGATGGGTCAGGAGCTGGACACTGAAGGCTACATGACCAGGTTGGTGCACAGCTGAAGATTAAGGAGGATTGTCGCAGGGTGCCGTTAAATACTGGGTCGCAGTGGCGTGAGACAGAAGGGATGGACGATTAGGCATTGACTGCAGAAAAAGGGTACTTGGAGCTCCGCCTGGGCGACTCTGCCGGAGCAAGTACCCCCTCGGGTTTGGAGTCGATGTACTCAAGGGATCGGCACTGGTCGATCATAGGAAATAATCGGCCATACTTCGTCGCCAGCAGCGGCGTGATTACACTACTCTGTCATTTTCGGATGCTTAATGCTTACTGCCCTGGAGTGATTTCCATCTCCACGCCAATCAATCTAGCTCTCCGGACAACCCACATCTCAGAAAGGAGCCGGCATTTCAAGGGGCGCTCGGATCAGCGACCATGTGCCCTAGCGTCGCAAGAAACCGGCATTCACGGAATCACTGCGCGGTATGAGGCAGGGTTATACTCCGTCCGCCATCTCGCTATTAGCTAGAGCAGATCCAGCTCGGAGTCAACAACCAGGAACCGTCCACGGAACCGGGGCACGGGGACACCTTCATCCACGGGTTGCCAATGAGTGCAGCACACAATTTGTCAATGCTTGCGCATGGATGCAGGTCTCCACTCCTGCTCCTGCGAGAGGCTGGTCTCCAAGGACAAAGACGTCTAGACTATTAAAAGAAACAAAGGGAAATAATCCGTTTCTTTCACTGGGGGATATGATGACGCCATGTTCATCATCTCTTTCACTAGAACAATATGCATCGCGATTCCGAACTAAACCCACAAGCGGAGAAGAAAACCCAACACCAGACGCGGAGATGGGCAGAAACGGTCGGAGCCAATTCAGGGGTATCTAGCCAAGTGCCGTTGGAAATCAAGAACAATCATAGAAGAAAAAAAACCCAAAAAAATGAAGAAAGCCAAAAATAACAGGAAGGGCCGAAATGCACAGGGAACTCTTCATCCGCTTCAAATCAGTCCGGCACTCGGGGGCCGCCCCGGATTGGCCTCCATCCAATCCCGCACCAGCTCCTCGCGCACCGTCTTGCACCAGGCCAGCATCGCCGCGTCGAATTGTCTCCAGGCGACGTCGCTGGTGCCCTGGACTACCCCCATGACATCCACCTGCTGCCGCATCTCCCACCGCAACTCGGCAGCTTTGAGCCAGAACCGCAGGTTCTCCGCCTGCCGGTAGGGTTTGGCGATGTCCTGGTGGAAAGCCTTAATCTCACCGAAGTGGCGCTTCGACTTCTTGACCGCGATGTTGTGTAATTGGACCAGGATGCGGCCATCCACGAAACGCTCCAGGAACGGAGTGGGGAGCGAGTCGAGGGGTGCATCGTCGATGGCAGTCCATTCGGGCAGGGTGTGGCCGCCGGGCATGAGACTGCGGAGGAAAGACTCCTCGCGGGCTCGCTCCCGTCCGGCCCAGTCGCCCCGGGCCCAGTCCCAGTTCTCTCGCTCTTGCGCCTCCAGAACCTCCAGCGCCTTCTCCCGCACAAGCATCGAGCGGACGCCCGATATCCATCCCTGAATCACCTTGCGCTCTTCGTCCCGGAGGCCGCAAGCGAAGTGCCGCGCAGCCCAGCGCTTCAACACATCGAGCACATGGAACAGGTCCTTGCGAATATCGCGCTCCTTCTTAATTGCATCCAGGCGCTCTGGTTGTGGGTGGGCAGTGTAGTAGATCTTGGCGGCTCGGATGGCCATTGTCACATCATCCAGAATGCACATTCCTTGTGCCTCCTCTTTTGTCTGCGGGATTGGTGCCACGCGCGCTGCATCGTCGTCTAGACTCTCAGGGATATCCCCCGGTGAAAGACTGGCGCGTAATGGTGCACGGGGCGGGGGCTCCACGCCATTTTCAATCGCCTCGATATTACTTTCCGCCCGATCCAGGGCGACCTGCAGATCGCGGCGCAAAGAGATCAGATCTGGTGGGGGAGGAACGTGGTGTGTCTTGATGCTGTATGTACTGACGGTGGGGGGCAGCATAACCTCCCCGTCCTCCTCCTCGATATTGTCATCGTACCCCGCCGAGTCGGCCAGATCCGTCGGGCTGGCCACCAAATCCTCCATATGCTGCTCGTTCGGGGTGATCAGCACCCGTGGGAGATTGTCCCTGCCCTTCTTCTTGAACTCCTTGCCGCGGCCAGTCTTCCCCTCCAATAGGCCCGTGCGGGCAAAATAGTACTGTAGGTGGGCAATGCTGCCCAGACTCATGACACTGTCGCGGTGCCGGGCTGAGTCCGCGAATTCGGCCCCACAGGCGCGGACGTATCCATGGCGGCGAGACGAGGTCGAGATCGTCGAGCGGGCGTCGGTTGAGGTCGCGGACGAGGCGGAGTGGGAGGAGACGGAGGAGAAGGTGCGGTCCGGAGAGGAGTATGAGGAAATGGCCGGCGTGGCGGGAACAGACGGTGATGGCGATGACGCCCGGACGGGCACCGACGTGACTTGGTCGATGGACTGAGGCTCCTCCATGACTCTGTGGCGAGAGATTCTGAAACCGAACCTGTTGTCGCACCAGCACCCAGGTCAACGGTCAACGGTCAACCGTTCGATCGACGATCGCGGGAGAGTACACGCGATCTGTGGAATGTAGTCGCTGTGGACTATGAGGGTGACAGGTTCAGATGAATTCCAGAAAGAAGGCAAGAGCAAGTTCAAGCCCTGCTTTCTCGGTCGGATGGCCAACGGCGGAAGAGACCAGATTGAATGGAGGTTTAATGAGACGTGCAGGATCGACGGCCGAGAATCTTCTTTAGGCCAAAAGGGGTGTCGACGACTAACGGTAGTTAGTTTAATTAGGCACACGGGGGGTCGAGGGGGCCAAGGGTGAAAGGGGGAAAGCGGGTCGGACGGTACAGCACACAGACGGAAAATATTAATGAAGAGACTCTCAAATCCATTTCCCTTTAATCTGTAACCGTAGCCGGAAAGGCGGTTGTCCAGTCTAAACAGAATCCCCTGGATCTTTTTCACCATCTGAAGTATACACCCGCTACCCCCAAGAAGTATACGCCACTACTCGAAAGGACCAGACGAACCTGTTGCTGAATTGCCCGGTCGGGTTTAGCTCCGCGCCCCGCGTTCCGCGTCCCAACCGAAGGCACGAAACGGTCGGCGCATGGATGATTCCATTAGTGAACTAGTTGGTTCCATGCTGATTTGACGATAATCCATGAATCTAAGTCTAGAGAGAAGAGGTTGCATATGCCCCGGCCAACACCGTACCACCCCCCAAAAAAGGAAACGCAAAACACAACCACAACCACAACCACAACCACGTTTTATGGGCATCTAAAAGATGTCCTTCCGCTCCCAACCCGTCTGCTTCAGATTCTCGATACCCTTGCTCGGATGACTCTTGCTCGGGTCCCGGTACTGTGTCTGATAGGGATTGGGATCGACCTCCTGGTTGAGGTTGCCCAGTGTATGATTGACCTCGCGGTGCTTGGCCTCGTCGGCGCGGATGTAGAGCAGCAGGTCGCGCATAGTGCGCTGGTTCTCAGGCATCTGCCAGTATTGTACGGCGATCGCGGGTGCCTTGAGCTCATTCCATTCAGGCAATTGGCCATTCTCAAGATCCTTGATGGCCCGTGTGTAGGTGAGCACCGCCTCTTCTTCCAGATAGCCTACGAATCGGTGGCAGATGCGTGGGGAAACAAGGTAGGCCAGGAAGAAGCCGTTGAAGAAGACGCCCTGGGCGCCGAGAACCATGAGGCGCATGAACCAGCCCGGCTCAGCCAGTTTGAGGAGGGTTAGCAAGTGCATGCGCTCGTTGAATGCTTCTTCCAGGAGGGTTTCGATCCTAAAAGTACAGTTCTCAGTACATAACTATCGAGACTGTGGATTCGGCTCGGTGGGCACATACCATCCATTATCGCGCTTCATCCGTCGCAAGCTGCGCAGATGTCGCAGCATACCGCCAACCATGCCAGGCACACCCGCTACACTCTCCAAAAAGATGAACCGGGCCAGCCATTTTTTACCTGTCATCTTGAATTTCTCCGACGTCTCCTGTCCCGGCTCGGGGTGTTTGTATCCCGTCGCAAAGTCCATACCCCATCGAAAGACACGGACTGTGCCCAGGGCGATCCAATCAGACCAATTGGTGGCTTCGCGGTGTGCAATCTTCACGCTCTCCATCTGAGACTCGGTGTATCTGTGTATCTTTAGGTAAGCTCGTATCCGATATTGGCATGCGGGGATCTCTGCTTACACCGGGTGCACCCATGCCGACGTCACCTCTTTCACACCTGGGGTGGTGGGAGGTGGGAAGTATTCTTTGATCTGGGATCTGGGCGTTGAGGAGATAAATCGCTTGGAGGTGTAGGTGAATGGTGAGGAGCGGTTTCTGGCGAGACTGGAGGTGTTGAAGGTCGTGACTGCGACTCCGGAGTATGTCCTTACGGCCAGATGGAGAAAGGTCTGTGGTCGTGCAGCAACCCACAAGGGCGCTGTCGTCGAGAGTGTTGATAGCGAAGTCATTTTTGATAAGCCACAATGACTATCGACCGTGCAGTTGATGTTCGATGCTGGGTAGTCTTACTTCGGTGGTTGTTGTTTGAAGTATCTTGAAGATGAGCGGAAGGCTAAGATCTCAGGCAGCGTCTGTATCACATTTTATACTTCCAGAGACATGTGGCGTCTCACCCCCGATTTAATACGAAACCCGAGCAAATCCCATAAAAAATAAAAATAAAAAGGGTAAACCCGATCCACAGCGTCCCCGACAGCATGAGCCTTGGAAGGACCGCGGCTGTGCCTGGCAACAATGACGCTGGTGCTTATTGGCGGGCTATACGAAGGCGGCGATCGCCCTGTTGTAAGGACGATACCGCACCTCCCCCCACTTGGCCGGTGCCCGCTCTGCGGCTCCGATGACAGGCCATCGGATCCGACAGCTGGTGAGCGTGCCCTCTGTGAAACGTTCACGAACAAGAAGCAGCATCAACAAGCTTCCCATTATCTATGTGGCCGCTGTTCAATTATGGCCCTGATACGCACCCGTCATCCGATTACCGTCAGGCAGACCCTTTGGATACGCAGGTGACCTCGGGAAGAGTCGGGATTTGGCGCGCGGTTCAGCGTGGTCGCCCCGTCCGTCAGGCACTGAGTCATGGCCTCCCGAGAAAATATCGGGCTCAAGAGAACGGTCACTGCTTACGGGATCTTGATTTTTTTTGGGATGGATCTCACCGGTGGCAGATTGGGCAATGCCTTTTTCTTTTCGCTCGGTCACGAGGTAGGGAAGTAAGATGTGCGCGTCCGGTACTTGCCGATATCTTGCTCATTGTCTCTCATGGTGGGGATCCGAAGTAATGGATCCGGTATAGTTGCAATTATAAAGGCTTCCATGGGTCTCTCTATTCTAACTATTTGCGCGAAAGAAACCCCTGTACGCTTATGTCAACTTCTGTAACTGTCATAATCAGATAGCGTGGAAGGCCAAGGCCAAAATAAAATCATTATTGTTAACATAAGGTATTATCGAAGAACGAAGGTATCAAGGCCCCAACTTGAACCTTTGCCTTCACTAAAGAATACCAATCAAGCCCCCTGGTGAAACATCGAGTCCGCCGTCCGCATCACAAGAAACCGGTCCTCGCCATCTACCAACTCCATCTCTCGCTTCTCCAGTTTCACAACGTGGGCCATACGTGGTCCCTTATCAATCTGTTGTAGTAGCTTCTGCACGGTTTCTCCATCGCCCTGGACTTCACCCTCAACCTGCACAGTTGATTACGAGCAGAATCAGCACTAGAGCGGAAAGGCCCGCTCAGAATTCACTTACTTTTCCGCAGGTGGTGTTTCGAACCCAGCCTCGCAGCCCATGGCTTGTTGCGCACTTTTGGGTGAAGTCGCTATGGCGTAGCAAGGGTGGTCACCGTTAGCTCACTACTTGAACAAGATATGATGTCATAAGCCGGTGTGGGTGATGGAGTGCTTACCGGAAGCCGACTCCTGGAGGTGGACGTTAGTATAAAATTCCCATGGATTTTATTATCCAAGTAAGGACGATGGAGGCTGAGGTGGTGCTGCTAGGTGCATGAGCTTACCTTGCACGCTACCGTGGACCTTGAACGCGATCTAGAAACAGTCAGTTCTGCGGGGAAAAGTCATGCTGTGATGGCAACAAAAAGTTCGATGGCGATGCCAAGAAGGAGATTTTGAGAGAATTGGAATTCATGAATACATACCCTCTTGCTAGACATGTTGGGATGTGTTTGTGATGTTAATTGTGGAGTGGCGGATGGGTGGTGAGGAAGATGCCATGTTTCGTGGGGCAAAGCGCAGTGTGCTGATCTAATCTACTTCTACGCCGCGCCTAGGCAATGCAGGAACCATACCATCTCATTTTCTGATCTTGATACTCCTCAATGTCCTTGAATTTATTCTAAAAAGGTCGATGTACTTGACCGACACGTTTTTGAAAGGTGGATTACAACGAAGAAATTCAATCTATGTCATACATAGTACGGTGGAAGTGTACAGGATTGATGATGAATTTGAGTGAGTTCCACATTATTTGCAGTCGGTGCCTTGAAGCGCATGGCTTTTGAAGAAACAGGCAAAGAACATATCAAATCATATCAATAGTGCAAATAGGCGCAGGAAGAGAAACACACAGTCGAAAGAAATCAATCATCGACATCGCGAGGTTCATGATCCCTCCAATACTGCTCATACTCCTCTGGCGTCTGCCCGGGGACAGTCTCATAGCGAGTAAGGGGAGCCAAAGGAATACCAAGCTGCTCGTACTTATCCAGCCGTTTCTTGGTAATCTCGCGACTCTTGTTAATACTGTAGATTTTGATGCGATGCGCCGAGGAGGTGACATGCAGGCCCCAGTTCCATGCCGCGCGGACATTGAGAGGCTGCGTATTGAGCGAGTTGTCCCAGCATCTGCAGACAACCTCGATCCAACCCTCTACATCACATGGTAGATCGTATTCCCACGTTCGCCAAGTCCAACGACCCTTCTTAGACAGTTTCTCGGGGGGCACATCGTACCAGGTGAAACCTCCATCAGCGGACAGCTCGACTCGTTCGGGCCATCGACCTCCGCCCGAGTAGGCCCAACCCTTGCACTTGATCTTACCCATGTGCATAACAGCCTGCTTGGTCCAGGGCGACATGATAGCTGAGCTGACAGGCATCTCTTGAATCTGAATGCCGTCCGTCGGGCGCTGGTTGAACTTGCCAACCTGCTGGTTGAAGTACAGATACTCCCTGGCCTGGACTGGAGCGTGAGAGGGTTCCGCAATGGCCTTGATGCGATACAGCCACTTGACGCTTCGAGCACCGATGTATCCTAGAACGACGACCCGCAATGGGTAGCCGTGAATCTTGGGCAAGGGCTCACCGTTCATCTCCCAGGCCAGAATGACCTCGTTGGCCTTGACCTTGGACCATGGAACACTGACAACGTAGTTGCCCACCTCGAGGTCCTTGACATAGGTTTCGGCGCCATAGAGCTCAAGGTGCTTGGCGGGCTTGATCAGGCCACCACAGTCTTTGATCAGCTTCTTCAAGCTGATGCCCACATAGCGGGCGGTTCCAATGGCACCCTCGGCCCACGGGGCCTGAGGTACTTCGTCACCCTGACCACCGTATAGAGCGATCTGTTCGATCCGGCGGGTACCCGAGCACTGGATGGTGACAGTCTTCTCCATGCGGGGAAATCTGGACTCATCCATAAGATCGCTGAGGGAGTATGATTTGGGGTGTTGCACTAGTCCATCCAGCGACAGGTCCCACTTATCTTTGTCGATGATCGGGATGCCTCCATGGTTACGCACGAAGTGGAGTGGGTTCGGAGTGATCACCTTGGAGGTGACCAGTCGCTTTGGGGGCTCTCCATTGTAGGGGAACTGCAGAAGGTGCAGCATATCGGCATGCTTCTCACGAAGCACCGTGCGCCAGGAGTCGTCAGGGACAGTGGTGAGCTCTCCACCAAGAGCTGTATGCCACGCCTTGAAGTCATCGCCAGGAAGGACGGGGTTGGTGCCGGGGATGGGACCGAACATAAAGTCAGGGCATGCCGGGAAGGTCTGCGCAGTGAGGATCTTGTGGGCCTTGGCCTTTTTCTCCGGGTAGTTTTCCCACTCGACATATCTACCACGCCAAATCGTAATTCGTCAGCGACGGTGGTTGAGGTTATCCAACCTCGCCTAGGATAGCATACCCTTTCCAGCCCACTCGCTCTCGAGTGAAGAGCTTCTCGCGCTTGCCCACCGACCGAATGGCTTCTTCATCCTTGATGATCTTGGGAGGCGGTGGAGGATACAGATTGATAGTATCACTCCCGGTTTGATCAAGGATGGGCAACTTGTGGCCCGCCATGCCCTGCTCAATCTTCCACTCATCGGGACGGTTGGTGGTGTCCAATTCCACGCTGATCTCCATGGTAAATGAAGAATTGACAAGAAGTCACTAGATAGGGACCGGTTCAATCAAAACAATGAAGGCAATGAAGGGGTGAATGATGCGGAAAAGAAAGTTGGCTCAACAGACTGCTCCATACTTTAAATAGCTCGAGTGACACCCATGTGGTTTCCAATGCCGGCGATCGGCCGTGAGACATTCCACAACCCCCCTTCCTTGGCTTGATAGCATTGCGTCCTAGGAACCCCCCCGCGAAGATAGTTCTGAACCAATTACGCATCCAGGACATTCCGTCGGATACATTCATCTGGTGGCCCGGCTAAACTAATCAAAGGTTGTGATGACCTCACGACTCGTCACGCTGACTCTATATCAGTGGCGCGCAGCTACCCCCAGTGAGCAATCACATTGTGATCCTGCTTTTCCATGGCGATTGAATTCACATCATGGACTTCGGAGCTTCCAGACTTGAACCGAAGCTCAGATTTGGGAAGAGTCTGATAAGACATGCATCCAATGATATTTTGCCATTAAACTAGAGTGAGGTGATCGAGCCAGCATCATCCGTGAGGTTTGGAAAATCCAAACGTTGTGGTAGGTTTGACCAACTCCGGTGTAATTCCTTGCCAGGCTCAACATGACAGCAGAGCCACTTACTTGAAGTGGCATGATTGCAGTTAAACGAAGAGTATGAGGGACGATGGAAAGTCAAATACAAGCTTCTCGCCTTCGTCCATCGGGGTTGAGTGCGACTCCCAGCCCACTTCTGGCACCTTTGGTGTCCGTGCTCTGAAGCGGGACTCTCCCGGAATGCAGGGAGAGGGTCCCACATTGCCTGAGGTGGCAAACACTGCGTAAGACAGACACATCTGCTTTCCATCGGATGAATAGTACTTCCGAATGTAGACATTAAAACGGCTTTCAGTCCAGTCGCTCTTGTTTCTGATTTCGAAGAGTATAGGGCATCTGATCTGGGCGGGGCTAGGACGCCCGTCTTACCCCCTCTAAAAGCCTCACATCCAAGGGTTTAGGTCACGGCCCCTTCGATCGGCACGGGAAACACCCTAGGACCCACGAGGGCCGATTGATCTTGTAACCGCTCACCGACAGGTCGCAGTGAGGGGTCGATTCGTCTGGTTCAAAACCATTGTATAATACGCGACCCTGATGATAGGGCTGGACGATGGATGACAAGCACACACAACTTGGAAGTTTGCATATACTGAATTTCTTCTAACCGGATAGTATGACTCCAGGGCCAAGCTTCAGGGAAGCCATGCTATTCTAGGCAAATAGCCTTGATCCTTCACGGCACTCTCACTAGAGTTTAATTCAAACCTAACATAAACTGCCCGGAAATTAGTGAGTGGTACGACGACCATCATAGAGATCCCCGTCCAATTCCATTTCGTTAAATTCAAATACTACGCCATGATCATAGCGCTTATCAAATGCAATCGCTGCCAATTGGGACTCAAATGAGGGGCTTTGTAGAATTCACGAGCTCACACGCAGAGATGCAGGGATAATACTACCCACTGCTCATCGGCCTAATGCTCACTCGACAGAATCATCCGCCTAGTTTAGTCCCATACAGGGTACTTAGAGACTTGCTTACGTGGGTCTGGCGAGGGCGGGAGAAGCCTTCCGTTCTAACATTCCCCGATCCAGGGAACACTGACATCTAGATCTCCAACATCCAGCCCGCACCGTCTGTCGGTGAATTCTGGCCGCATGCCGCAATAGCCGACTTTTGATCTTGTACGAGTAATATCTCGTTCATTTATCCTTGGAACTAAAGGCTCATCCGCGTCCTATTGGTGAGAACACGAGCGCGTGCATGCAGCTCCGAACCATCCAAAGTCAAAATAGAAGGTCTCCGCACCATGCACGGTTCGCTAAAAATCCGTTTCCCTACGCCAGAAAGAGTCATGGACTGCTGCATTTCCCCGCTTAGCACCTGAGTACATAAGACTGGAGGTTCCCTGACTTCGTAGCTGCATCCTCGGATAGGATCCAAACCGGGGCGTTTCTAATTTAGAGCAAACAAACATCATGATGCTTTTTACCCTCCTCGCAGCTTCTTTCCTCCCTCTGGCAGATTTTGTCAGCGCAGAAAGAGTCCTGGGAGCTTATGTTTTCCAGCGCCACGGAGACCGGACGGCCAAAGCCTTTCCACCCACCCAGTTGACCGATCTCGGCTACGCGGAAGAGTATTTGACTGGCAGCTTTTTCAACAAGCGCTATATTCTGTCCGGCTCGGAGTATCACATCGAGGGAATTAGTTCTAGCGTCGTCAACTTAGCCCAAATTACCGCTAGCGCTCCACAGGACCATGTCATCCAGAATTCTGGCCAAGCTTTTCTCCAGGGACTTTACCCGGCTGTCGGTTCAGCTGCAAATGAGACTTTGCGCAATGGATCGACGATTTACTCCCCTTTTAGCGGCTACCAACTGATTCCTATGTCGGATGTGCAGTCTGGAAGCGGCAGTGAAGACAACACATGGCTCCCAAAGTACCTCTACCTGCAACAAGGCAGAGGTCAGCAGCAATGACTATTACTATTCGAGTTCATACCAGCAATTGCTGTCCTCCACAAGCAAACTATATCAGTCTCTCACACCTAACGTCAACGGCGCCATCTCGTCGAGCCAGCTGAGTTTCAAGAATGCATACACCATCTGGGACTTGTTACACGTGGCCACGATCCACAATTCTTCTGCCAACTTGCCATCCAATCAAATCATGCAAGAGCTCCTTGTCTTGGCCAACAATCACGAGTTCAACCTCGCATACAACAGCTCTGAGCCCATTCGTGCAGTGACGGGCATGACACTAGCCGGTGAAGTGCTAGCCGCTCTGAACCAGACGATTACGTCTGGTGGCAAGTCCAAAATGAGCATCCAATTTGGCGCTTATGCAACATTCCTATCTTACTTCGGACTCGCCGGTCTCAGCACCAATGCGAATTTCGCTGGAATGCCCGACTACGCTTCCTCGATGGTATGGGAGCTCGTCACAAATGCAACTGGCACGGGGATTCCCTCCCAATTGGAAATTTCCGTACGCTTCCTATTCCACAACGGTACAAGCATCGCGGGCTCAACGCAACTGCAAAGCTATCCGCTCTTCGGGCAATCCGCGGTAGAGATCCCATGGATGCAGTTCGTTAACTCCACAAACAAGTTTGCAATCACCTCTCAGCAGCAATGGTGCCAGGCTTGTGGAAATACCACTGGTATCTGCGACTCTAGCTCTGACGCTAGCACAAGTGCCTCCTCGACTGGATCGTCGACCGCGGGAATGAGTCTTGCAGTTGCCGGCGTCATTGGAGCTATGGTTACCTTGGGTGTTCTTGCAGGACTGACTGCACTAATAATTCTGGCATTTAACCTCCGGCTCGTGCGCAAGAGTACACTTGCTGCTATTAGTCGAGGTTCTGAAGCTTCTATCGTGCCCCTTCCCGCCAAGGCCACTTCCGCCTAATGATGTCGGGTACGAAACGGAAGCATATTTGATGTTCTCTTATTTGCTAGCTGTACCTTATTTGATCTCTATACCAATGACAGTCTGGCTTGTGGTTAACCCATTTTACGTCACCTCTTTTGAGTTGCTATTTTGTTGTCGGAAAATGCCGCGAGGAAGATAGGAACTTTCTTCTATTTCCTGCCTCTTATCGTAAAATCTTGCATGAACCTCCGATCATAAAGACATTGCTTATCGGCCGTGTGCGGTATGACTGCAAATCAGTATTAATGTCGTTCGTTTATTCATTTGAAATGGTCTGCATAATCGAACATTCTCGACAATATCACAGGTTAAAAAGTAAAATTACATATAAACGCCTCAAGGGCAATTCCAATAGAAGAAAACTACTACACAATACTTATATGGATTGTAACAATCCCTGAACTTTTAGCAATGGGTGCATTTTCACCGGATCGAATCCTCTACTTTGGACTATTACCTTTGACAGCTGACCTTCAGATTATGGTATTGATCACGATCTAGGTAGACTGGCTCCAAGAATTTTTAAGTGGAGCTCATTTTTCTAAGAGGCAGCATGGGTAGTGCACCCCTATATGTAAGCTGATAGATTTCATGAAGATGAGTAGTTATAGATCGATGTGCTATTCGCGGGAGGTGATTGGCTCGGGCCACCCTCCAGTTGGCACTGCCTCGGCCCCTGAGTAAACATCATCCCCAAATTCCTTGGTTCCCGAATCACCCTCACCTCGACTAGCCCTCGCTGCGCCATGCCCCTGCTATAAAATGCCTGCCTTTCTTTCCTGGCTCCGGCGCATCTATTCGCTAGACACCCTTGACACTCGCTTCACTTCCTCTGCCAGCACCCCGGCCAACGCTGCCGCTGACACGCGACCTCCCTCCGCGAAAGATGCCCGCGCCAATGCCATCGCCCAGAGCGCGCCGGCACCGCTCTGGCGCACGCCCGAGTTCTTCATCTACTACCTTTTCTTCATTACGCTCGTTCCATTGATGTTCAAGACCGTGGTGGATGCCTCGAAGGGTGAGTAGATGCTTGTCGGGGACATTGCGGGAGCACAGGGCGAGAGATGCTGACTGCAGATCCTCAAGATACTCACCCTATCTACTCTACCTACTCCCACCTCCTGTCACCGGGCTGGATTCCTGGCCGTCTAGTGGTGAGTTCTCAGACTTGTTCACCCGTAGACTCTGAGGCAGGTCTAGCTAACATCCACTGCGTCGATGACGGCAGGACAACTCCGATACCCAGTATGCGAGTTTCCGCGACAATATCCCCTATCTAATCTTGCTCCTGATTGCCCATCCTATCGTCCGCCGATTATACCAGCATTTTGGGAGCCGTTCAAGCCCTGAAACCAAGCGCGTCCACCCTTCCGCGGCCGCCGCTGGAGATGCGCAGCTGGAGCAGCGCATGCGCTTTGACTTCGGGTTTGGGCTAGTCTTCGTTACTGCGCTCCACGGCATCTCCGCGCTTAAAGTGCTGCTGATCTTGTTCATCAACTACAAAATTGGCAAGAACCTTCCCCGGTCCTACGTACCCGCGGTAACATGGACATTCAATATTTGCATCTTGTTTGCCAATGAAGTATGCGGAGGCTACCAGTTCGAAGCGATTGCAACAATTTTGGCGCCAGGATCAGCATTATCGGGGGAGAGGCACACCTGGCTTGTCGAGTGGGCAAAGAGCCTGGATGACTTGGGTGGTATCATGCCGCGATGGGAAGTTCTCTTCAAGGTCACCGTGTTGCGTTTGATCAGCTTCAACATGGACTACTATTGGAGCGGGGACTATCCTGCGGCGAGCCCAATTGAAGTAAGTCGCTTTATTCAAGTCGATATATAACTTCCGTCGCCTGAAATGAGCATGACTGACCGAGTTTTACAAGAAGAAACAACTCGACCCCGCCTCCCTGTCTGACCGAGACCGAGTGAAGATTCCCGCCGAATCGGCTGCATTCAGTATGCGTAACTATATTGCCTATGTGCTCTACTCGCCATTGTATCTGGCCGGCCCCATCTTGACCTTTAACGACTATGTCTCACAGCAGCGATACAAAGCGCCGTCCGTGACAAGCACTCGCACCATCCTTTATGGAATCCGTTTCCTCCTCAGCCTGCTCTGCATGGAGCTTATCCTCCACTACATCTACGCTGTAGCAATCTCCAAAGCCTCGCCTGATTGGTCTCTCTTCACCCCGGGCCAACTCAGCATGCTGGCTTTCTTCAATCTCCACATCATCTGGTTGAAGCTGCTCATTCCCTGGCGCTTCTTCCGTCTTTGGGCCCTTATCGATGGCATTGACCCGCCGGAGAACATGGTCCGCTGCATGTCAAACAACTATTCTGCCCTCGCTTTTTGGCGTGGCTGGCACCGATCTTACAATCGATGGATTGTCCGATACATCTACGTTCCTCTTGGTGGAGGCGGCGGCGGACGGCGTCCCGCCGGGGCAAAGTCATCTTCATCACCGCCATCATCAGGCCTCGGTGCCAAGTTCCAAAAAATCCGTAACTTTTTGCTGGTGTTCACTTTCGTCGCGCTTTGGCATGATATCAACCTGCGTCTTTTGATGTGGGGCTGGCTCATCACGCTCTTCGTTTTGCCTGAAGTCGTGGCTGGTATGCTCTTCCCTGCGAGTCGCTGGCGCTCGCGCCCGACGACGTACCGCGTCCTAAGTGGCATTGGGTCTGTGGGTAATGTCCTCATGATGATGATCGCCAACCTGGTCGGCTTTGCTCTTGGGTTGGATGGATTGAAGGATCTGCTTACAAGCCTGACGGGATCTTACTCAGGCGTTGCTTACATGGTCTCGTGTTGCGTGGTGCTGTTCGTGGGAGTGCAGGTCATGTTTGAGATACGCGAGGATGAGCTGCGTGCTGGTATCAACCTGAAGTGTTGAGCGAAAGTGGTATTTCTTAGATTTGCCCACTCAACAGGCTCAATGGGATCCTACTCTATAGTCGAGCCCGAAAACAGAACATTTATGAAGTTTGCGCATTACCTATTGTACAGTCGCCTTTGCCTTCATATTCATAAAGTCATGAAAGAGAAGATAGGGATAAATAACTCCCTCTTCCTGATAGTATACAGACAAGCCCCTCCAACTCTCATCCTAGAAGAAGGCACCACACCTTGAATCCTCGTGAACTTTATAACATTCAAGGCCACAAGTGCGCAAATGACAGCTCTTGCACCGAATCTTGCCCCAGTATCCACACATACAGCAGAAAGCGCGCGGCAGTTGTGTCGAAATCGGTGGTCCCGCGCGCGACGCATTATAGGACAAAGCTGGCTCTGCCAAAAGACGCTGCATGATGCGGTCTGAAGGCATAGTTGGAGCGTATGAGCGCAGGAGGGGATCGTCGTCGTGTTCGGTCTTGATGAGCTTGTGTTTCCGCTCGGAAGTAGGCTCTTCCGCTTCGGCATCCGTAGTGTCGGGTTGTGAGGGTGCGGGCGTAGGGGTAGAGGTAGTAGCTACAGTCAATGTGCGCTTCTTGCGTGCGGCCGCATTAGATGCTGGCGTCAAGCTCCGCCGCGCTGCCTGGGCCGCTACCGCAGCTTTTGCTCTCGATGGTACCGCAGGGCCAGCGGCTGCTCCCCCCTGCGGTACACTCAAACCGCCACCCCCAGCAGCGATAGCAGCCTCCTCATCATCGAGGTGATTCCGGAATGTCTTCTGCGATACGAGAATGCGGCGCACGTTCGAGGTCGTTTTCGTGCGCGAGACGCGTGCGCCAGCCTCTTTGGCCGGCTTTGCGGGTACGGGTATTTGCACGTCGCGCTGGTTCTCACGATCTAGCTCGGCGAGGTGGCGGACGATGGCATTCGCGCGCCGTGAAGAGATGTCCCCGCCTTTGCCGGCATGGTGGATTCCGCGTTTGCGGCCTAGTGCAGGGGCCATGGCTGCTTTCGCAGGGTCAAACCCCCGGTCTGCGACATAGGTGTAGCCCGGGGTGGCATGAGACGAGGAGTTTGCAAGAAGTTCGACACGGAACATGATCCCCTGTAGAATATGAAGGAAGGTGCAGGGTGAGTGCTTGAGGAAGAAGACGAGGGCGTGAGCCTGTGATTTGGATGGCCCGACGATAAGGCGGTGTTTGTCTAGTTTGCATTGACCCAACAGCTCTCCGGCTAAGCTGTCATAACATGGGGGAGATGCGAATGATGAAGGAGCAGCATGGCTCCGAAAAATCATTGGAAAATCTAATGAGAATAAAAGGGACTTGCAGAAACTGATATATTCCAGGTAGTTGTACATCTCAAGATCAAATCGATTCGCAGCGAAACCAATGCAAAAGAAGACATTCCCAACGCCAGAAACCATGAGTACAGACGTAGACGGATAAAAGATACAAGGAAGAATAGCTTATTTCTTCTTCAGTTGATCAACTCGAGCCTCCAGCTCCGTTATATATGACTGAAGCTTGATCGTAGCTTGCTGAAGTGCCTGTGCCAACAAGACCGTCCTCTTCCGGGCACACCGGAGAGGAAAAGGTCATGCAATCAGCCGCTGAAAATATAATGTTTAGCAATAAATAGCTGTTAGACGTACAGAAATGTCGTCATTCAGCATCTCGTTGGAAACGCGGTAATCTCCAAGCACATAGTAGTAGACGGACGCGCTGGCAACTACGGCGCCAGTTAGGAAGCCGAAGACTCTGTTTGACGTCAGAAGAGACCGCAATACAAGACAATAGCAGAGAACAAGATGCATATAGGAGCAAAGCCAAACAAGAGAAAGAAAAAAAACAAGACATACCCTCCTCGGAAAGCTCCCACTGGCTTGCGCGCAGGCAACGGGGCGGCTTCCCAGCGGGCGCGGGAGACGGAGAAAGGTCGGGCGACGACGCGTCCGCGGAGAGGGAGAAATAGCTTTGTGCGCACAGTCATCGTGACTTGGTATCTAAAATCATCAGAGAGAGTTGGTTAAGATTCGAAGCATGTGTAGCTCTTACGTTCTGAGCTTGACGGTGGCGAGCAAGCAGTTGGAGGAATGTGACGTTGACAGGCGGGAAATCCGGCGTCCCGGCGGTGGCGTTGGGAACAAAAGCTTCTATACACTGCGTGGCCGAATATTCATAGAAACATTTTGATTCGTATTTAGTACCCCCATCTCTGTTTTCCATATTATTATTCAATGACCCACATAGTGAACATATCCTTTTCAACGCTTTCTCCCATTTTGTTTTGCAAAATATTATCTTATTTTTCATGTCTAAACTCATCAAAATGTTCTGGGCCCGATTTAGAAAGACTTTCTTCTGAGCTGACCAGCGCGGCATGGTAAATCCCTTCTGCCATTTATGACATTTAATCCTTACACTTATGACATACGGTCTTTTATAAATAATTTGGCTAGGGTACAGCTCGATCGTTTACTACAGCATAACACTGGGCACATAGCAACAGAATAACCCGCACAACAGTGGGAAGTGGATGTATTTCAGAGTAAAACTACATGAATGAGTAAGTGAAAGCCGCTATAAGCTACACCTAGCTATACAAAAAAATCATTCCATTGGGGTTAGTTCGCCATCGTGCTCTCGTTGAACAGGTCTGCCAATAGGTCATCCCGGCACACCCCTAGATCCGCGCTCTCCATGCCATAAGTACTCTCAAACACATAGATACTTAATCTGTCAAAGAACGGTCGCAGGACCCGCTCGACAATCTCGTCCTTCGCTGTTTCTCGGATCTGGTCCGAGATGAGCCATGGGCGTTTAAGGCCACCGCGTGACGCAGGCTCTGTGGCATCCACATGCATGGCAGGGGAGAACACACTACGGGGGCCAAAGCTCTGTGATACCTCATCGGCTAGAGCGACCGGTTCCCAGCGGTTGGGAGGGTAAACTGCATCGATCGTGTCCGTCACGAAGAGCCATTCCATGAGCTGGAAGTCGTCCGGAGCAATCACCAAAAGAATATCGAGCAGCTTGGAAGCCTGAAGCAATGAATAGGCGTTGTAGAGCTCAGACTGCGAGTTTCGGGGGATTGCTGCGACTGCTCCTTGCAGCTCGGCGTTGATTAATGGCCAGAACGGTGCGATGGCCGTGGCAGAGGTCTTGAGCGCTACGGCGCGAAGAACCATGAAGATTTCCGCCCGTGTTGCAGACGACGGCGAAGTTGAATTAGTCGCGGCTAGAAGGTCTTCAATTCTTTGTAGCAAGGCTGGTAGCTCGGCCACAAAGTAGTCGTCATTTGCAGAAAGGATCAACAAGGCAATACGACGAAGGTTGAGTTGCGCTTTGCGATCCGCTTCCAATCGCGCAGCAGAAGCTCCCACGCCAAACATGATTCCTGCTGTGCTAGGAGGTGGAAGACGACCTAATAGTTCCGACAATCGATCTTTGTCTGCAAGAGTCCACTGTCGCAAAAGTGCCATCCAGTAGTTCTTGATCAGATCCAAGTGGAGTCCGAAGAAGCGCGTGTCATTAAAAGCATCGGAGATGTCTTTTTTCCACAGCTTTGCCGCTGTGGGTACTTTAACCATTTGCTGTAGAAGCACCATGACGTTGCGGTTGAGGTTGTTGGGGAACAAGCGGGAGCGAATTAGCGGGCCAACAACATTGGTTGACACAGCACCGATGGCAGTGTTGATACGATCGGAGTCGCCTAAGGTGGTAAGGAATGATGGCATGGAGACCGCCAGAATGCTCAGCATATCGTCAGGGCCGGTATGAGACACTGCAGTCCGATCATACTCCAGGGAGGATCTCGCCAGGAGACCAGAATCTTGGTTCAGTCCGAGGGGTTTGCTGGTGAAGACGGCCGTGAGCAGTCGCAAAACAACGTCCTATAAAGAGAAGAGTCAATTATGAACACTTAATCAATCCAACCGGGCGTGTATAACGTACCCCGAGTTCCTTGCGCATACGTCGATCTTCGCCAAAAGTCGTGTTCTCCAACTTCGCGCCCAAGATAGCCGCAAATTCGATCAGACGGGGAAGGATTTGACGGTGAGGGAAAGGATTGCTGAGAACATCGCGCAAGAATGTTGTACAGTCGGTCCAGATTTCGTCGAGAACATCATCATCCAAAGAGCGTGCATAAGCAACCAGAAAACTGGCAAGCTCAGACTCAGACAGGCTGGAGGTCAATGAAGACTTGCGGTTGTGATCTAACGCGGCCGGATTTGTACGCGTGTAAATCGCATTGAAGACGGCCGGTATAGTGATCTTGGGACTTGATCCATCAAGGGTATGCAAAAGATTAAAGATGAGCGATGCAGTCTCCTTGTCTGACTTAGTCCAGAGCTCGACCAGCGTCTCTAGACATTCGAGGGCCTCGGCAGTGAAAAAGTGCTCTAGAATCCTCCGCGATCTGTTTCGCATGCGCAGCGAAGTGTATTGGAAAGACGCCACCGACTCAGAGTCAGGGGGAGTCTCGCCTCTATCCCCTGCTCCCCAGGCCCAAATGGAAAAGCAAAGGCGAACAGCATCCTGGAAGCAGAGTAGGACGGTCAATCGGTCATTGGCGGTATTAGATCGGCCTTGGCTGCCATCTGAATTGAAGACCCCTGATACCATGTTACCAAAAAAGCCCTGTGGTTGATCTGGACTCTTGGCTGCGGGGGCGTTTGACTCCTCTACGAGAAGCCGCTCGTGAGCATTGGCGATACATGTTTCCATACCAGTGAGCAGAGCGATAGTAACATGCTCGGAGCGGTCTTGAGGCCAATCTTCAGTTTGCTGGAATGCAAGCTGAAGTCTCCCAAATGATGCTCTGATCTCCCTGCAGAAGCATTCCACAAGCATTAGGAGAATCTGGAAGATCGTATGGGAGTAGAGTGGAAGCACGTCGCAAAGCAGGCCAATCCACTTGTCCACAATCTCTCGGGATTTTGCGGAGCTTATTCCTTTGAGAAGACAATCCAGGAGCCGCTCCGGCGGTCGTGGAAGCTGAGGCATCGATGGCGCCCTGTCTGCCTTGTCACTGGTGAAAGACAAAATCGAAGGGCTCGTCAGACGTTCACGAGAAGGGGCTCGCTGATGCTTCGGCCGAGGAGGAGGCGGTGGTAGATAGGCTTGAGCAAATCGTACCTTGAGAACCGCCAGAAGCGCATCAATGAGGGCACCCTGAACTGCAATGCTACCGCCTTCGTTCGCTGCAAGCAGAAGACGATCCACCAGAAAGTCATCGATGCCGGACTCGACCAAGTCCTCAGCACCGGGGCCCAAGATAAGTTGCCGCATAAGATAAAGAGCCTCCTTTTGCAGCCTTTCTCCTTCGGGATTGACCTGCGTAGTGTCCGGGGCTTGATCGCTAATGATTCGAAGGGAAGCCTCAAATATTGTGGCATGAAGGCTTTTCACGCTGGAATTATCCTCCGAATTAGCTGCATCCGGCCGCTTCTCCATCTGGCCCAACGTATGCGTAAGGATTGTAATCCAGCCGGGGTGAGAAAGGGTGGATATGATATTCGAAGCCGTTCGCAATAAGTAGATGCATTCCTTGTGGTCGTTTGGAGAGATCGCCTGATTGTCATCGTCGCCGGGGATATCACGCTCAAATAGTTCCTCGAGCTTGGAAACAACAACATGGAAAACCCTAGAGCAATGTCAGCTTACAGGGCTCCACGAACCGCTCTGTTGGATTATTTACCTATGAATGGACGGTAAGTCTTGAAGCCACTGTTGAACGTTGTGAGAAACATCCCCGGGCTCCTGTGAAAGAAGATCGAGAACGATAAACAGCGGGCGCTCGAGCATCGAGCACTGGTAGGAGAACGGAGTCCCTCCAACATCCACTACTTGCTTGGGAGGCTGTTCATGCGCGCCGTGATGGCTATGATTCCACAGGACATAGAACTTTTCGGCTTGCTCTTCCGACGAGAGATGGCACGAGCCTGCTCCAGGCACGCTGACCATTAAGGATGTAATGGATGCCTCCACAAGGTGGTCCGCCCAAGAAATCGAATGCAGCGACCACAGACAACGTACAGCCTCGACATGAAACTTCGGGCTCAATGGCGATAGATATTGCCACAGATTTTGAACTAGACTCGGGATGAGTTCACATGCATCTGAATAGCTGATGTAGAAACCAGGGCTTTGAATGAAAAAGAGGTTGGTGACTACAGAGGCAATGGTTGAAATGGTTGCAAAAGAGGCCGTTGTAGAATCGCCATTTTTTCTGGCCAGTCTTTTCGAGATTGCTTCATAGAATCGCCTGTCTCGAAGGACGCGTGACTTGGGAAGTTTCTGAAGCAACGTCACCAGGACATTGAGTTTCTTATGAAGGGATGAGGTGCTATCATCGCCTTGCAGAGAGTGAACAGATAGTTCATGGGCTTCTCGAATGATCATCTCGCCAATTTGTTTTGGGGCAAATGGCAGAGGAGGAAGCTCAAGGCTGTTCTTGCTGCTTTCGTAGAAATAGTGAACCTTTTTCACAATTTCACTATTTCGGGCCTTTGCATCGGCGCCGGTAGATTTCTCGGAGCCTGTCTTTCTCGAGAATGCTCGCTCAGTAAGCAACGGTGTTAAAGACTTGAGCACTTTATGCAGTGCATCAGATACGAGCTGTCTGTTCGCACTAGTTTCTGACGGTGGCGCTTTCAGAGAGGATAGTTCACCCATCTTGAAAAGCAATGACAGTGTCAAAAGAGGAACATGAATCTGGATCATGTCTTCTTCCCGCACATTGAAGTTCTCGAGAATGAACTCTGCGAGGCTTAGGCTGTGCAAAACTTGGTTATTATCGTTGTCAACATCTGTCAGGCTGAAGTCAATCAGGCCCAAAAGTTCCGCAAAGATGACACTGCTTTCCACGCCATCGAAGAAAGCACTGGCACTTCGAAAAACTTCTTCGAAGTGGTTTTTGGGTGCCTGCTTTTCGAATTCTTGGACGCTATTCATAATTGGAAGGAAGACGGCTGGCACGATGTATCCGCCAATCTCCCAGCGATCCATCAAGGATAGTGCAGTTCGGAAGGGTCTTGTCCTTTCCGACGGAGCTTTAGGCGCCTGCTTGATCATGTTGAGAAGACCATTGACCAAGGGCCGCAAGCCAACCTGGCTGAAATATTGGGATTGCGAAAGCTCCTTGCCATCAGCAGATGCTGGTCGAGCTCTTTCCGAGAACTTCTGCCCGTCCAGAGAGGGTCGCTCATTTGCAGGCTCCGGCCCCAAGAACCACGCCCATAATCGGCGATTCAGGCTCATATCTCGTCGAGTGACCACGCCAACTGCAGCGACAATTAAGGTTTGCAGATCGCTGTCAGCAATCCGAGATTGCAAAATAGGAGAATTCAGAGGTAGGTGGGTAACCAAGAGATCAAGGAAGTTTCTCTGCACCAGAACTTGTTCGTCAGAGAGACCGGACGCAAAACAACGAACCAATAGGCCTGGTTCAGGTGAAATTACGGAATCGGCTGCCGCAAACATCTCAGGCGGAATGTTCTTCGTGTCGTTGCTATCCGCGGTGCTCGGTCGACGATCAGCGATGCCCAACCTTGGGAGATATCTGTTCAAGTACGCGAGGACGCCGAGCCGTCGGCTCGAATTCGTGATTGAAGCCAGAAAGAGGCATTGCCAGAAGTATTGACCAGAAGCCGCAGACTCGGACGTTCGCTGGGTCTCCAGATGGCCAGATGCATCCCTAAGTTTGTTGATTATTCGGAGAGTTGGCTCGAAGTCATCGCTTGTCTCCTCCTCCAACCCTGGAAGCAAGGCCAGCAGGATTGCTTTCATGGCAGGGCGAATGGCCCATGGTTCCAGATCAACAATGTATCCCTCCACCAGAGATAAGAACAGCGGTCGAACGGTGAGCGAAGCGAAGGTCAGGGTCGGGGCAAGGCCAGGCAGGTACAATGGTAGGTCGTGCGATAATCCCTCGAGCTAGATGTGACACCAAACTATCAGTCACCACATTTCGCGTCTGCTTCGCGTTTTGAAATACCTTGATTAGCCCGAATATGTACGTATAAACTTCAAGTGCCTTCTGATGGACGCCCGACGGCAATGATGGATTCAAGCATTGGGCCAGTCGTTTCGAGACCAAGGCCTTATGCGGGACGACTGGTTGGTCGAGAGGGTGGGATTGGAGCGCCTGGTCAATAGTCAGTTATATGACCTCTTGCGATCTCGCGCTTGCACTCACCTTTAGTAGGCGACTGAGAAAGGAGATATAATCGGCCCATTCTTGTAAGGCGTTATCGAACAGTGACAACGCTCGCTCGACGCTCGACGCATAGCGGCGGTAATTCTTGTCTTTTTTGAGGGACCCTGCATTCACCAGAAGTATTTAAACATGAGATTCTGTTAAATCGAAGCTTTGCTTGGGGGTTACAGACCTTCCTTTCCTTGTAGCCGTGGACGCGTCAGGGAGCTTTCGGAGCTTGCGGGGGAGCTCGACCTCACAAAGGCACTAGGATCAAGGCTCATGGTGCCAATGACGGACGGTGTATTGATGCAAGATTTGCAGTGTGCACTCCGTCATATTTAGGACATTGAGAGCAACCCTGGTGGAAGGGGAAGTTGGTGTCCGATGACTAGGGTCGAAAGGGCCACGCAGGCGGCCACATTGATGTTTTGTCCGCCTTGCGAGCTTCTCCGACTCGCCGATCGACGTCAGCGTTTACCAACTCCGCATGACAACAGGCCAGCCAGCACACTCCGTGGTTCGGCTTTCGCAATTTTGACGATGCGTAACTTATGATTCAATGCCCCGCGCCCAGCGATCGCGTCCAGAAGCGCACGCCCATTGCGGGGATGACTACACTACTACCAGACCCTCAGAGCGATGAGCCCCTCGACGAGAACTTGACGCCCTGGTCAGCTTCCAGCCCTCCCCATGGCGAGTCCCGGGATCGCAGTCCCAGTCCAGAGGGTCCGCGGCCACCTTTGCCTCCGCGCCCGAACACCTTAAGCTTGTTAAACGACGAGACGGCATCGCGAACCGCGAATTTACAATGTGAGGCGACAACAGCCGTTTCTCGAGGGGAGATTGGTACGCAGTCACCGGAAGCCGCAGGTAGTGTCTATTCGACACTGGCAGTGCGTGGCTTGTCTCGAGGGCTCAAGGCGAGGGCCAGCCTTAGCCATTTAGCTAGTCCGAGAGGCAGCGAGGCCGGAGACTCGGCGAGCATTCGAAGTTCAATCCAGAACAGTGATCCTGGAGATGTCGAAGCCCTGTTCAAGGACTTCGTGGCGACAGCGCCTGTAGATCAGCCGGGTACCGCAAGCTTGCTTCACTTTCCCGAATTCCCCGCCGATGATGTGGACGATGACGAGTTTATGGGCGAGTTTGAGCCGGTCGGTGAACTAGATGAAGATGCTGGCAATGAAGAGTTGCTCCTTCAGCGGTGGAAGTCAAGGCAGAAACACTACATGATTCTTTCGGCCGCTGGCAAGCCGATTTGGACGCGGCACGGCGACGGAGGGTTGATTTCAACCTATGTCGGGGTCGTTCAGACCATCATATCGTTCTATGAAGATTCGAACGACCATCTCCGTAGCTTCACAGCTGGGGATACTAAATTTGTCATTATGACTCGAGGGCCCCTACATCTCGTCGCCATCAGCCGCATGATGGAGAGTGATGACCAGCTGCGGCTCCAGCTAGAAGCTTTTTACATGCAGATCCTATCCACTTTGACGCTGCCTTCCCTCGCTCATCTCTTTTCCGTGCGGCCATCTACCGATTTGAAGCGACCGTTGCAAGGCTCAGAAACTCTCTTGTCGTCATTGGCAGACAGTTTTACCCGCGGATCACCATCTACTTTGCTATCTGCTTTGGAATGTCTCAAGCTACGCAAAGTACATCGCCAATCGATTAACAATGCACTTTTGAAATCCAAAGCCAGCAGTCTGCTCTATGGATTGGTGGTTGCAGGTGGGCGACTCGTGAGTGTTGTACGGCCAAAGAAACACTCGCTCCACCCGGGTGATCTACAGCTTCTCTTCAACATGGTATTCGAGGCCGATGGCGTCAAGGCTGGAGGCGGAGAAAGTTGGATCCCCGTCTGTCTACCTGGTTTCAACAGCAGTGGCTACCTATATATGTATGTCAGCTTCCTCGATCTCCGAGGCGACATCGACGAGAATGAGGACATTTCGAAAGACGAGTCAGTTGCCATTGTCCTCATCAGTCCGGACAAGGAAAGCTTCTTCGAGATGCAAGGAATGCGTCATTCGTTTGTGGAAGTAAGTGCCTTTCGGTCGTAGGAGTGTGAATGAAGACTAATACATAGTTATAGCAAATGGAGAAGAATGGCAGTCTTAAGGTGATCGCTTCTGCAATTGACCAGGGTCGGCCGGCAACCACGGACATTGTGCCCGGGACGGTGCTGCACCATTTTTTGTATAAGTCCCGGCCGAACGTTCAATTTACCATGTCGTCTTACTCTCCTGAGTTCACTTCGATCTCTCGCCGGCGAAGGTCAACACCTGTCTTCGTTCCCTTTATCCGACCTATGTTCTAACCTTTTTTCAGATTGATGTCTGTGTACAATAACATTCACTCCAGCGTCCACGCCAAGAACACCCATGTCAAGGTACACCACTGCGTATCACGGTCAGCAAGTTCATTTGCATGGGTGACCCCGGTCTTTGAGTTATACTGCGTTGCTGAGCCGAACGCGAACCGAAACGCGCTGGTGCAAAGCGCCAGCAAGGTCGCTCAGTGGGTACAACAAGAGGAAGAAAGACTATTCATCATTGGTGGTGCCGTACGTATCATCTGACTTGCCGTCATTATTGAATGGAAACTAATAGCGGCCTCAGGTTTTTTAAAACCCCGAGCGCCCAGTTCTGTTCGACTGAGAGAGAGAGATGCGATGGTTCGGGATACTTTGTACATAGCTTCTTACAATCATACCCAATGCCAAGCCATAGATTCGTGTCCTGTTCTGTCTTTCTAGACTCCATCCTCCCCATTGCACCTCATAAATTCGACCAAAATTTTGCTTGAAAGGGAAACACGATGTATGCTTTTGCAGCTAAGGAGATCACGCAGAAGATCCAGGTCGTCAATCAAGAGAGTCATCTCGAAGGTTCAACAGCTGGCGCATAACTTCGCCCGACTTGCTGCGCAGGGCATCGTGGTACATAGTGTTGGTGATGAACTGCTTCGTACCCTTGATTTTGGCGGCTGTGTTTGAGGCCAGATCAAAGTGCACATACATGTCGTCAATATATGTGGCAGCATAGACAGGCACTTCATTCTTGGCCAATTGGGCCTTGTCATACAAGTCAGGCCAGTCGCTGGTGGTAGCGAGAATCTCAGCTACCTCCCGGATCTGCTTGAGCTCAGTGTACGACTCGAACATATCTTTGAAGACCTATATATTGCAATGTGTCAGGAGCGCTTGGCATGATAGTTATGTGATATAAGATGGATATTTTCGTACCATCTCCCCAGTGAAGTAAATCTCCGGTTGGGAGTCAGTGATTTGAAATCGAGGGTATTCGGCCCTCAGTCTATCTGCCGCCCAAAGCGAGGGTTTGCTGCGGTCAAATGATCAGCAACTAACATCTGATGGATTCACAAAATTGGCATCATTCACCCTTGGCAATAGATTGCCTCGTGCAAGACGGCGTAGATAATGTTCTTGTCCATTCCGCCATTGCTATCAATAATAGCAAGCGTTGGAACGGTGAGGGAACCAAAGATCTCCAAGTCGTTCCAGACTCGTACAACAATTTCTAAGGCGGAGGTAAGTAAGATCTCCCTTCGCATGATGCCCATTAGGGAATATACATACCATGCAGAGAATCGATACCGCCTGGTCGGAATTAGAACTAATTCCAATACGCTCAACAGATAGGACTTACCATGGAAGCCGAAGACGATTCCAAGTTGCTGAAAACGGGCTGGTGTCAGCCAGCCTGAGGGCAATGCGACCTGGTTTGCTGCCAGGTACTGCATGATCTTCTTAACGCGCTCAGCATCCTCCGGGAATTTGGCATAGTATGCCTCATTTCTCTCCACAACCTTCTCTGCTCGCGTGTCAATGAATGCCACACGCGTTTGATGAACAGAAGTACCTACCATACGTCCGTTCATAAACAGGGACTGGATCGTTGACAAGAGGTGGCAATCCACCACAGAGAAAAGCTTCCCGCAGACCCTCGGGACTTAAATTAGATGACAAAAATCAGCATGCAGCTCGAGAACGCAAATTTTGATTGGAGATTAGAACGAAGGCGACGCACAATTTGGACAGATAAGTGGCAGCACAGAAGCCGCCAAAGCTCTGGCCGATAATGCTCCATTTGCGCTGATCCTCGGGATAATCCAGAGTCAAAAGTTTCCGGATGGCCTCACAATCGCGGACAATGTTGTCAGCGCGGAATTTCTGGAGGTACTCGGCCTGCCTGATTGCGTCCCCCTGACGAGCAAGAGTTCCCGCAGTGATGGTAGAGCTCAGGCCGGTGCCGCGCTGGTCTAGGAAGAGGACCTATCTAATATATTAGGGGGAAAAATTCCTAAAATGAAGCACAACCGCTTAACTGGGTCGGAATCGAGGATCACAAACTTGATACCCCTTGCTGAGGGCTGGTTCAACCAAGCCGTAATTCTGCGGGGCACCACATCCAAAGCCCGGTCCCCCCTGGAGGTAGACCAGCCAGGGCAGCTTGGACTCTTCTTTAGTGGGCTCAACTGGCTTATTCAGTCGGGAGACGCTGCGGGCAAATAGTCTCAATGTGCCATCGCTGGGCTTGCTGTAGTCGATTGGGACATCGAAAAACAGCTCCGCCACGTGGAGCTTTCCTAAAATGCGGTCAATTCCCTTTATTTCAGTAGACCCCAACCGGACAATAACACAGATACCCACCTGGCACATTGTGGAATCGCCGATCGATCAGCTTCGCGGCCATTGGTGCGAATCCTCGAAGTAGCTTACATGCAAAAGAGTGTTGAGTTTGAAAGTTCGAGAGGGCAGAACTGCGGAGAAGCAGTGCCGCACCACTCGACCCGCTTGACTCCCGCTTGACTCCCGCTTGACTCCTGCGATAGCGATAACCTCGCGCCTGGACTCAATCCTCCCGTCGTTCCAGTGACAACGTGCTTAGCGCCTGACGTGACTAATTAATGCATTTGACAGCCTTTCGACCCAGCAGATAAAAATTAAGCCGAGCTCCACCACCCCTCTTTCCGGAAAGTCCTGCCGAAGTTACCATCCTAGAGGATTCCGTCGCAGACCCCGGCCGGCCTATAAATTGAACTGAAGCCCGTCATTTCAGCCAAAGGTATATCAGCCATGCATGAACAAATTTTGCAAGATCTGTGGAAAGTCGCTCAAGGAAAATGGGAATCCGGTGTCCTCCCAAGCGCGGAGAGCTTGGCTCGGGCGCGGGCTTCTCTCCCCACGACGCTTCCAGCGACCGGCGCGAGCCTCGAGTCCATCCAGCGACATATTCTTGATGACATTGTCCCAGGATTTAATGGAGGCAGTATAAGCCCTAACTACTACGGCTTCATCACTGGTGGTGTCACCCCAGCTGCACTATTCGCGGACAATGTTGTTTCTGCCTATGATCAAAACGTTCAAGTGCATCTCCCAAGCCACTCCATCGTTACAGAGGTCGAGTTCAACGCATTAGGTCTCCTCGCAGATCTCTTCCGACTGGATCGTTCCACCTGGCAGAATGGTACCTTCACCACCGGTGCAACCGCAAGCAATGTCCTCGGTTTGGCTTGTGGGCGTGAATGGATTCTTCGCAAAGCAGCAGAACGAAAGGGAGTTCAAGTGAGCAGTGTTGGGGAGTCCGGCTTGTTTGAAGTATTGCACGAACTAGGTCTTTCTGGAGTCCAGGTGCTATCAACCCTGCCGCATTCATCCCTGGTGAAAGCCGCCGGTGTTCTAGGCATTGGTCGTGCCAATGTACGCAGCATTTGTCGTGCCCATAATATGCTCCATTTTGATCTTGAGCTGCTAGAAAAAGAGCTGGCAAGAACAGACAAAGTCACCATTGTGGCTGTCTCCTGTGGAGAGGTCAACACTGGCCGCTTTGCAACCACCAAGGAGGATATGACGCGGATTCGCCAGCTTTGTGACAAATACGGGGCATGGCTTCATGCAGACGGTGCTTTTGGCATCTTCGGTCGTATCTTGGATGATGATCCGGAGTTTGCAACAGTCAAGACAGGGTCTGATGGGATTGAACTGGCAGACTCTATTACTGGTGACGGCCACAAGCTTCTCAATGTGCCCTATGACTGCGGGTTTTTCTTCTGTCGACACCCAGACTTGGCAGCTCAGGTCTTCCAGAATGCCAACGCGGCCTATTTAACACCAGGTCCCTCAGAGGGACCTCCGATTCCATCACCTCTGAATGTTGGAATCGAAAACTCTCGCCGTTTCAGGGCCTTGCCAGTATACGCCTCTCTGCTTTCGTACGGGAGAGATGGGTATAGAGAGATGTTACAGCGCCAGATCCGCCTCGCTCGATGCATTAACGAATGGATCTATGACCACCCGGAGTATACAGCATTGCCGGAACCAACATCCAAATCAGATCTAATAGACCAGACTTTCATGGGTGTTTTATTCCGTGCCAAAGATGCCCAGTTGAATTGCAAGCTAGCAAAGAAGATCAATGATACTTCAAGGATCTTTGTGTCTGGCACGAGCTGGGACGGCGCGCCCGCTTGTCGAATTGCCATCTCAAACTGGAGAGTTGATGTGGAAAGGGATCTAGAGCTTGTGACTGGGGTTTTGGCCGAGGTATCTGAGCTTCAAGATTAAGACTAAATTTTACTGATGGGTGGATATATAAGGCTTCCATTAGTATTATCTTTCTTTTCTAGTTGTCTCGTAGTAGAATAATATTTACAGTAATATTAATAATAAAATTAACTTTGAATCGAAATTAGCCCTTTTCTCGAGAGTTCAAATATGTCTTTCTTTAATCTTTGTTATATTATAGCTTATATAATCTAATATAGCTATATTAGTATAAATTTCTTCTTAATATATAGGATTAACTCAGAGCGAGATAGATGCGCAGATGAAACAGGAAATGCAGAAGAGTCGCGGTCGTAAGCCAAGTACAGAAACGAAGCAACGGCGCTGTGTCGTCTGCGGCGAGCCAGGACACAACGCTAGACTTGTCAGATAGTAGAGGAGATGTCTGAGGAAATTTTGATTCGATTGATTTAATAGATCTAAACGTTGTGGTTGATTTGCTACCGGAGAAGGTTGCCGGATCGCGGCCAAGTGGCCAGCTTGCTTATCTGGCCACCTCACTTATCAAGTACGCTATCCCTAGTTAGCCTACTCTAATAGCCCAGCGCTCACTCAGGGAATCTCCTATCTCTGCCAGGTGGCCGATGTAATTCACGTATCTCTCATACCATTAGTTGCCTCTCATACTAGACAAACCCGATTTTTCACGCTTTGACAGACTTGTAACGATCGCTCACGTTAATAACCCATATGTGGTTACCTCCATAAAGGTCCCCGTACCTCGCAATCCAAGTGTATGGTACTGAAAAATGGCATATAAACAGCTTCTTCCAGTCTGGAAGGTTCCATGCAAACAGGCTAAACAGTCAAGGCTAAAGAAATGACAAAAATGGGAGTCTCCCAAATTTTGCGGGCAAATAATCAGCCATCATGCCGCGGATAAAGCTCAATTTTATCACAGGAAACGCACACAAGCTCGCCGAGGTGCAGGCGATACTTGGCAGTACGGTCGAGGTAAAGAGCCAAACAGTCGACGTCCCTGAGATTCAAGGGCCTATAGAAGATATTGCGAAGGAAAAAGCCAGGCGCGCCTCCGCAGCAGTAAGCAACATACCCACAGATTCCCATCAAGGAAGCATGGCTTATAAGTCAAGTAGATCAATGGCCCTGCTTTGACTGAAGACACGGCGCTAGAATTTCACGCGCTTAATGGACTTCCCGGGCCCTACATGTGATTAATCCCTACATCTTTGTCTTTCTGTTCGCAAGCTCATATAAACTAGCAAAGAATTCTTCAACGCATTAGGCAATGAAGGCTTGAACAGAATGCTGGATGGCTTCAATGACAGAACGGCCGAATCGGTGTGTACGCTTGCCTTCTGCAGCAAACCTGGGGCCGAGCCTATAATCTTTCAGGGAAGGACTAAGGTAAGAAAACAAGTCATGACGACGTTCATTCAAAGCATCTAATTTCATCGTGAAGGGCGTTATCGTGCGGCCAAGAGGCCCGGCAAACTTTGGTAAGTAATTTCCAGACTTCAGATCTAGGAAAGTTCATTCTGATACATAAAAATTGTAGCCTACGACCCGATCTTTGAGGTTGGAGCAAAGACATATGCCGAAATGGAGAAGGAAGAGAAGGTAACGCATCCCAGTTATTATTCGTGATTACTGCCTTGCACCGAACAAAAGTGATATAAAAGATAATATTCATACTAAGTTTACTAGAACCGGATCTCTGATCGATACAAGGCCCTGGTAAAGTTCCAGCAGTGGCTGATCGAGAACCACCAACAGCAGGTGTAAGGAAGTGATACCTAAGGACTATAAGATATATAGATTATTAAAAATCCTTATCATTTCATAGTAATCCTCTTTATATTAGAACTTTAGCTAGTATAATAACTAACGTATAATCTCGGGATAAAGAGGGTATTTAATATAAATACTCATGTGAAGCAATATCCACGTATGTACAGCAAACGTCATCTAATGGAAGTAATTCAAGAGGATGAATTTTTTTTTAATGAAAAATCACCGACGGCGACCCGCTCCACCCATGTTCTCAGTGCGGTCATTCATGCTAACCACCTCTCCAATGCCTGCCGCTTCTTGCTCATCCTCCAGCGCCATGATCTCCTCGCGGCTATCCCACCATTTCTCTTCCGCGATATCGAATGCAGCCTTTCGCAACTCCTTAACAGTCTTGCCCTCGGCCTGACCCTTCAGCCTCAACGCTTCGAGTAGTATATTCTGCCAGTCTTCTGAGGTTCGAGTGAAGAACTCCCGCAAACTCTCGAAGGGGCGGGGCTGTGGGCGCGTGTCATCCACAGGGTGCTCTGCTTCTTGCTCCTCAACTTCAAGCTGCTCCATGCCCTGAGTGACTGAAGGCACGGTTACTTCGGTGGGAGCGAGCGAAGGAGTATCCAGAGACATGGCATCACCTTCCTCCTCTTCCATTTCCTCATCTTCCTCTTCCTCTTCATCTTCGTCCATCTCTTCATCGCTTTCGGCCTCATCCAGAAGATTCCAATTTTCGGGCTCAGTGTAGAAAATCTCCTTAACACCGTCGAGCTTGACCAGGTCAATAGAGTACATGTCATTGAACGTGAATTCCCGGTCACCCTTCTCAAATGTGCCACCGTAAATGAAAAGAGTGTCGTCTTGCACTGCAAGTTGAGCATTAAATCTCCTGTGCGGCATCTCAAAGCGGACAATCGCGGGCTTAGCAGGTTCGATAGATTCCTCGGTCTTAGGCGTACTCGATTGCATGAAATCATCATCGTCGTCATCAGAATCGCGGATCCCTTGCTTAGTTTCCAATGCCTTCAGATTCTTCAAAAGTTCTTCCTCGTCTGCTTTGCCACGGTTGCGAGACTTGCTTGCCTGGTTTGCTTGCTGCTTCTTGCCTGGTACCCGCGGGCGACGAAGACTCAATGGGAAGAAACGGTTGCGGTCAGTGGTCCAAGCAAATAACGTGTCGAAAAATTCACTGTCGATACCCTCCTCTGTCAATTCGACATCATGCACTCCACCAAACATGATGCCTCGTCCTTTGTGGTACGCCATGGTGGTGCCCACACGAGGTGGGTTAGGTGTATTGGCGGGCTTCTTTCTTCGTTCCCAGCGGATGATTGGGCCTGCCGAGGCCGCTGAATTAGATTCAGGGGGTGTGATTCTCAGGAACCAGGTGTCTTGGTGGACCATGGGCCGCAGAGCCATTTTCTGAGGGCCGCCTTTGCCTTGCTTGCCGCCGGCACTGCCTGTAGACTTCACTCGCGAGTAGCCACCGTAAATCACGGCACCAGTCTCATGAGGTAAGAATGAAAATGAGGAACGAGGGTCAGGCTTCTGCGAGGCCGTTGTCAGGACGGGGTTGAACCAGGTATACTTCGAGCAGTCGTAGATCCACAAGTCCTGCAAATACTTGGTCTGCTGAGAAGTATCTTGGAAGCCACCGAAGAGAACGATGTAGTTCTATGTTTCAAATTAGATTTGACACTCAGGGTTCCCATATTTTCAGCACGCATACCTTGTAGTAGGTCATTCGGTGGCCGCTTCTTGCAGGAGGGCCTTTGCCCTTGGTTTCGAGACGAGTCCATTCCCTTGTGGCAGGGTCCAGATGCCAGAAGTCATTATAGTGGTAGAATGTGCCCTGCTTTGGTGACGAAAATTCTCCTACTCACTGTTAGATCCGTCTTGCAGAAACTAAATGTTGTGTGGGCACCCATGAACTCACCTCCGAACAAGTACACGCCTCCTGCGTTGCCTCCGCGACACCAAGCATGCCCACTTCGAGGCAACGGGCTGTTAGGACTCGTTACCTCCCTCCATTCGCCTCGATCGATCAAATAAACGAAGAGATTGTTGAAAAATGTCGCATGGGTCCCATCGAAGTACTCTCCGCCGAAAAGCAGAACTTCGTTCCGGTTAGATGGGGATGCAAGTACTGTAGCAGATGATCTGGGTGCTGGAGGGCCTGAAGGCACCTCGGTAACCTTCAGGAACTTCGCTTGCTCCTCGGCGTACTGGGCGAGGATGGCATCCAGGTCCGCATCCTCGGCGTCGCTATCCACATCCTTGCCCTTCGCTTTAGACCTTTTCTCCTTTTGCGCTGTCTTCTTAGTTTGTTTGGCCGCTACACGCTCTTTGTGCTCGGCGGACTTCTTGTTTTTCTTGGCCATGGTGAATCGTGGCTCTTTGCATGGATTTTTTGGACGCTGCAAGATTCTGGCCCGCGGGGCATAAAAAAGCTTTTCCCCACATACACTTATCTAGGTGGGATGATCATTGACTACGACTACAAACCCCAACACGGTTAATATAAATACAAGATCTGCATATTCATCGATATGTAGTTTTATTCATTAACCTATTATCATAATTTATCTCGATTCCAGATTCAATTGCAAGCGTAATGGAGGTCGTGGGCAAGCATCGACGCCGCTTATCAGTGGCCCTGACCGCTCACGTGAAGGACGCGTCGAAGGGCTCGCGACGGCGCGATGCGTCGACAATGAAAGGACAACGACAACAACCAAAGGCCATGAGCGCCATACGCCCCCATGACGAAGAATAATCTCGCCGTGCACCTCAAATGGCTACTGAAGCAAGGCCCGTCCCTGTACCCGACGTTGTCTGCCGATATTTTCCCGATTGAACGCGGCAGTCGCGTCTCTCAACAACCTACTCCACCATCTGACGAAACCGAGCTATTGGACGACATTTTGGAGCGTGCAGATGATGTGACAGACGAGAATATGGCAAGACTCATGCTTGCCCCCTCTTCGGAGAGCAAGCCCCGACTGCTAAGTCGGGGCAACACACGGCCACCGAGTTCACCTGTCACTGTCAAAAAGCCGTCTTCGTTAACAAGTGTGATTCAAGGTATGCAGCCAATATAAGGGTGAACCATAGGGTCTGGGCCTGACGTCGACTTCACACGAGCAGACTCGTTCCTTGAACCGCCGCAATCATCCTTCAAGAGTGTCCGACCGAGGGCCACTCCTCAACGATCAGACCGTAAACCTGACATGTCCCTGTTCGGTGCGATCGAATCCATTGATCTGACTGGAGAGCCTGATCGATTCTTCCCGTCGTCTTCAACCACCGATCTTGGAGAACCGCGACGCCTTTGGACCGAGGATGCTGCATCGCGCCAATGGCCCAATGAGAAACGAGGAAAGAAACGGACAAGTGATGAATATACGTCGGATCTTCTGTCGCCTTCGAAACATGCGACCAAAGTACGAACACCTTCGAAAGCAAGCAGACTCTCCATTTCTGAAGACACTATACCGGAGCTCTCTCAAATAATGAGTCGACCCAACAAGGTAAACCCCCCGAACAGAGCAAAACATGACAAACCCGAGTCTCCTGATCTTCCACGAAGCAACCGAAAAAGGATTATTGCGGATTCCGATGAAGAAGATGTATTCGACGACAGTTGGCTTCATGATGACGATATGATCATTGATGCCAATACAGGGTTGTATCCAAAGCTTCCCCCACTGAGCCCAACAGAAAAAGGGAAGGATGTGCTCGAGCCTGCTGCTGGCTGCCCATCTCAGGTGCCAGCTTCCAGAAATGTGTTGCCACCGCCAGCGCACAAAGAGAAGAAATCGACATACAAGCCATCAAGACCCCCACAGCCTTCTCCGGAGCCAAAGATGCCAAGTTCGCAAGCCAAGGATGAAAATATTCTGAAGTTCACGTCTCTTCCCGCAGACTTCCTTGGAAAGGCGGTTTTGCGACTGAAGACGACCCTTCAGAAGAACGCTGAGATTGTTTACGAACAGGCAATGGAGGGTCGACCGGCACCGGAACTCATTGCCGCAAACAAAGACCTTGTCGCTCAAATACAGGCGATTGAATTATTGCAAACGCATAAGGGATCACACAGCGAGTGTGTAGCTCGCAAGGAAAGCCTGAAGCGGGACGTTATGTGCGTTATATCCCAAGGCCTAGATCCAACAACTCTGCCGGAACTCGCACAAAGCCGAGTGGCTGAGGCGGAGCTGGAACAGATAGAATCCAAGATACGCGAAATTCTCCCCCGAGCCAATATCTTCGCTATGGCAGCCGAGCTTGGATTGGATGATCCAGGTGCACCAGCAAACAATCTGAACCCGGAACCAATGCGAGCCTCTTTACACAGACAACAATCCGAAGACTGTGCCCCCGTGCGAGAAGTATCACCACCTGTCTATCGAAACCCCCAACCGTCTGAGGCAAAGGAAAACTCGTGGATGCCTGACCAGAGCAGCCAGACCCGTCACAAAGAACCCTTTCTTTCGCGAAATATGGGTTCGCCTGTGATGGACTTCGACGAATTCGATTGGAATGCTAGCGACGAGGAGATGCTGGAGGTGGCTGGAAGTTTTGACAATGAACCCCAGGCTCCTGTTCGGGAGCAAACCCAGAGTCGCAAAGTCTTCGCAGAGACATCAGGAAACACTCCTCGCAAGCCTATGCCTGCTCCGAAGAAGTCACCTGGCCGCAGCACCTTCTGGTCCAACCATGCATGGTCTCAGGAGGTGAGAACTGTCCTCAAAGATAGGTTTCATCTGCGCGGCTTCCGCCCAAATCAACTGGAGGCCATTGACGCAACCCTTGGTGGGAAAGACACCTTCATCCTGATGCCGACTGGAGGTGGAAAGTCTTTGTGTTATCAGCTTCCCTCTATCGTGACAAGTGGCCGTACCCATGGCGTGACACTTGTGGTATCACCGCTATTGAGCTTGATGCAAGATCAGGTGGACCATCTGCGAAAGTTGAATATCAACGCCTTCTTGATGAACGGAGACTCGGATAAGGCTGAACGGTCGTGGATTCTCGGTCAATTGTCTAACGGAGACGGAGAAGGCCTGGAGCTGTTGTACATCACACCTGAGATGATCAACAAGAACCAAACTTTGGTGAGGGCTCTCGAAAAACTTCACGGTCGAAACAAGCTCGCGCGACTGGTCATTGACGAGGCACACTGTGTCAGCCAGTGGGGGCATGACTTCCGGCCAGATTACAAAGAACTGGGTGAAGTCCGAGCAAAGCTACCAGGTGTGCCCGTTATGGCTCTGACTGCTACAGCTACAGAAAATGTGAAAGTGGATGTGATACATAATCTAAAGATGAGTGGATGCGAGGTATTCTTGCAATCCTTCAACCGGCCGAACCTGACCTACGAGGTGCGGCCTAAAGGGAAGAACGATGAAGTACTCGCCAGCATCGCCGAGACGATCATAAATTCTTACCGAAACCAGTGTGGGATTGTTTACTGTCTGTCACGGAAGACATGTGAGAAAGTTGCAGAAGATCTTCGAAAAAAGTACAGACTCAAGGCCCAGCATTACCACGCAGGAATGAAGTCGGATGAGAAGGCTAAGGTGCAAAATCTCTGGCAAAAGGGCAGTTGCCATGTTATTGTCGCCACCATTGCTTTTGGAATGGGCATCGATAAGCCTGATGTACGTTTCGTTATTCATCACAGCATCCCAAAGAGTCTCGAAGGATACTACCAGGAGACTGGACGCGCTGGCCGAGATGGCAAACGTTCTGGCTGTTATCTTTACTACGGTTACAAGGACGCAGCTACCCTCAAGCGTATGATTGACGAAGGCGATGGCAATTACGAGCAAAAAGCCCGCCAAAAACATATGCTTCGCAATGTTGTCCAATTTTGTGAAAATCGCAGTGACTGCAGACGTGTGCAAGTTCTCGCCTATTTCAATGAATACTTCCGTCGCGAGGACTGTGGTAATTCCTGTGACAATTGCAAGTCAGATCTGGTTTTTGAAGTGCATGACTTCTCACAGCATGCTGCCTGGGTCATTAATATTGTCCGGCATTTCCAGAACCAACCGGGTGAAAAGGGCGAAAAGGGTGAAAAAGTGACTGTGCTCCACTGCGTGGATATCCTTCGTGGGGACTTGAAAAGGGCCAAGTCTGCCTCGCACAAGCAATTACCATGGTACGGAAAGGGGTCTGATCTTGATCGAAGGGAAGCAGAGCGACTTTTCTATCGGCTATTGGGAGAGGACGCCCTCGCGGAAGACAACGTCATCAATGGGAAGGACTTCGCAGTTCAGTATATCAAACTCGGCCGGCGTGCCACGGAATTCGAAACCGGTCAGCGCCAGATGAAATTACAAGTGCGCGTGTCTCCCAATGGCAAAGGCAAGGCAGTAGCACGGCCGACACAGAAGACAAAGTCCGGCAGCCAGGCTTACCCCCAATCCACAATGGTGTCGTCCCCTGTTCAGTCCGCTAAGGATCGCCGCCAGGCACGATCTCAGCAGCGGAGCATGCGCGTCGACCACTCCTCGGACGACGAAGACAGCGATGGCTTTGAGCGCATTCGAGTGGCGGGTAGATCGCGGAATGAGAACACTCGTGAAGTGGGACCTCCCATCACGGCTGATCAAAAGATGGAACGATTGGACCATCTCCACCGTGCTGTGGTAGAGGACTTCGAGGTAACAGCGAAGAGGTATCTCCAAGAGGTAAGTAACCCTGTCTATCCTACGCAGAGTTTCGCGATGCTCACGTACACTTCCATGCAGATCGTTGTAGAGAAAGGCCTTCGGTCCCAGCCGTTCCCTGATCACATCCTGCGGGATATGGCCATTTCTTTCCCCAAGAGTAAGTACTACCCAAGCTAGGCTCCCACGGGCATTGGACTTGGTCCTAATTTCTGTATAGCTCCCTCGGAACTTTCTGCTATTCCCGGCATCGACCCAGACAAGGTTACACGATATGGTCGCCAGATCTTAAGGCTGGTAGATAATGCAAGACGACGCTACCACGAATTGAAGGAAGAGGCGGAGAGTAATGGCATTGTTCCGGATCCCAACCATCACAATGTCATCAATCTCAGCAGCAGCGACGAGTACAGCGATGACGACCTTTTTGTTGACCAGGAGACTAATCTTGACCTGGACTACCCCATTGATATCCCTGCCGATAACATCACCAGCCGCTATTTCCCTCCCGCCCCATCGCCCGGCTTTGATCCTGAAGATGATTTTGAGTCTGGCCCAGCAGCGTCGAGCTCGAAGGGTCGCAAGCGCCCATACACCAAGCGACCTCGACGAAAGAACGGCAGTTCCACAGGCACTTGGAAAGGGAAAGGCGCTCGACCAAAGGCCAAAACCGGCAGTGAACGCGCCCCCAGCAGGTCTTCTGCTGCACCTCGAAGGACCACCAAATCCAAACCCCCTAAATCCACGATTGGAATGATGCCTGTGTAGAGGATGTTGTTTTAGTCCGCAAAGTTTCACGATTGGGCGTTTTGTATGCATGGAGCATCTACAGGCGTTTTCTATTTCCTCCACTACGGTTCCGGGGCTGTGACTACCCACGGGCTGAAGCATGGACTCTCATTTTCTTCTGAAGGATTACGCCAGATTAGGATATAAGTAGACATAATAACCATATTCTATGTTAAGAGTTTCATAGGCCGCACTCCTTAGTCGCCCAACGATCGACCAAAATCGATTAGCCGTAGGCGTCGTGCGTCCCTTGGGTGAAATTGGGCCACCCTGGCTCGCACAAGAAACCGGGAGACGGCCGAATCTCGTTTCAAATCGACATATGAGGTCCCGGCTTCTAGCAAAGCATTGAGTAGATTGTGTACTTCCGCTGCGGCAGCTTCTCGCTTGTTTGCGGGGTTCGAGCCATCTGTGCTGCGACGAAGCATTTGATCAATTCGCTGCTGGTTTCCATCCTCTTGCTCAGCGGGCTCCTTCGGCTTCTTTGGCTTCCCATGAGCTGTATATCCCGCCTTCAGCGTCGTGTCAGACACCTCTAGAGCATCGCCAACCGTGGGACCACCTAGATCCTCGGCCGCGAGCATTGGTGCCAGTGTCTCATCAATGAATCTATCCAGAAGCTCCTTGAGCTCCTCAGATGCCCGGTCCATGCCCTTGTTCTTGTTCTTTTGTTCCCGAACAACCTCTCGGGCTACTTGGGAGGGCGTCTGCTCTTGCTTTCGTGCGTTGGCATTGCGAATCCGTTGGATTCGCTCGCGAAGGCCTGTGGAAATTGCGCGGGAGTCACGCAAGTTGGCCTCTTCTATGCGGAGACGCTCGCGATCGGCAGATAGCGTGTCTGCAGTTACCAAGACTGACATCTTGCCATCCTTGATGAGCTGCGAGGTTTCTTCGGTTGCGATAAGCGAGGGTAAGACAGAGTCTACTGTTGGCAAGTCATCCTCGATCTGCAACAGAGAGTCGTACGCCTTCTTGGCGCACCGTGCTCGGGAAACGCGGGCCCAAGGGTCGTTGTCATTGTCCCAAAGGTCATGGGAGCGAATTTCCCGAAGCTAAAGACCGCCTGAAGATCAGCTAACATTGATCAACGCTCCGTCGGGAAGCAGCGCGTACTTTTTCCAACTCCTCCTCTTGTCGTCGGACTTGCTCCTGAAGCTGTTGCAAGGTCCCATCCAGGCGTCGTGCATAGGCATGCAGGGCCGTTGCACTAAGCGGCTCTTTCGCGGACTCGTTCTCCGCAGTCTGCCGGTTCTGGACGAATTTCTGAATCTTCTGCACGGTGTCCTCAGAGACCTCCATATTTGTCTTTGGGCATGCCCGTGTTTCTCGAATGACCAATGGAGGTGTGTGACTTGAGCAGACGTCAACGTGCCAAACAGCCGCGTCGCGTTGATAGCACGTGATGTGCCAGTTGGGTTTAGCGGGGAACCTCCCGACTTCGTCTCGTCTCTTTCCTCTCGGCTCGTCACCCTCAACTTCTCTCACCTCTTCCTCCCGCGCCTTCTTTCGGTTACTCCTCCCCTTCCATCCCAGCGTGCCCTTTCGTTCTCCTTCTAGCATTCCTCTATCCCGCGATTAGTCGCCTGGAGGTAGCTGTGGTTCAGGTTGCGCATTCCCTGGTTTCCTACTTTGGACCCTCTCCCTACCCGTCGCATCCAACACCGACACCCTCCACCTCCCTTCCATCCTCTTCGCTTTTTCCTCTCGAGCGATCCCCGGTAGCACATCCCGTGAAGCATTTCTTGCTCTTCAACTGAAGGGCCCCATCACCATTGATCTGCACTTGCTCTCGGCACCAACACCGTCTCTTTCTCCACTTCCAGCCTCTCCACAGCACCAGATTCCCCCCCGTCGATCGCCAAGCACCAGCACCTTCTGTGGGAACCTCTGGTGTACATAGACGATCATAAAAGAAGAAAGCAGATTTCATTCTTGACATCCCGACTCCTTTCACGTAAGTGAAGACAGAACAGCACAGTGGTTACCATGTCGGCCTCTCCATCCAACCTGCAATCAACGAAGCGTCCTCTCGAGGACCCCTCCTCTCCCTCGGGCCCCAACGATCAGCCGGAGGCCAAGCGTCCGGCCCTGGACAAAGTAGCACGCAGTGACGCTGAGGCCGAGACCGACGTGTCGACCAACCAGATCCCAGCCGTGGAAACCTCCAAGGACACCCAGGGCGACACTGTCGTCCCCGATGCTCCCAATGGCAAGAGTCATCCCGAGACTCAGCCGATTCAGTCGACCGCTTCGCACGGCGAGCGGGCTGGTTCCCAGTCCGACACCCACGCCCCTCAGGACGAGTCGAGCTGGATCCATATCCGTGCCGTGATCTCCAGCCCGGAGGCTGCTACAGTCATTGGAAAGGGAGGTGAGAACGTGTCCCAGATTCGTCGTATGGCCGGTGCCAAGTGTACTGTCAGCGACTATTCCCGGGGTGCCGTCGAGCGGATCCTGACCGTGAGCGGCGCCCAGGACGCGGTAGCCAAGGTAGGTCTATTTGTTGTCTAGTTGTGGACCAAGGAACCCTAAGAAGCTAACCCATGTAGGCCTTCGGTCTCATCATCCGTACCCTGAACAATGAGCCCATCGATGCCCCTTCTACTGCCCAGTCCAAGACGTACCCTCTGCGTTTGCTAATCCCCCACATTCTCATCGGCTCCATCATCGGCAAGGGTGGTAGCCGTATTCGTGAGATCCAGGAGGCGTCCGGCGCGCGACTGAATGCTTCCGATACCTGCCTGCCTCTGTCGACTGAGCGCTCGCTGGTGATTCTTGGAGTCGCGGATGCTGTGCACATCGCGACCTATTATGTTGCCGTGACCCTGGTGGAACAGCTGACTGAGCGTTTTGGCGGCCCTGCAGCCTCGGCGTATGCCACCCGCAGTGGTGGACCCGCTGGTGCCGTTCCTGGCGGCATGCAAGTTGTCCCATACGTGCCCCAGCCCGCCGGTGGCCAGTACGGTCACCCGGACACCTTCAAGCGCAACCACCCCCACCCCAACCGTGGCCAGCCTGGAGCTTATGGCGTTCCCTACCTTCAGGGCCAGGCCCCCGCCCCCGTTGCCCAGCCCGCCATGCCTTATGGTGCTACACCGCACACTCCCTACGCCGGTGCTGCCCCTCACCAACCTAACCCCTACGTCGGCGGTCCCCAGGCTCCTGCCGGCCGCGGTGCTCCCACTGCCCCGGCTCCTGTGGGTGGCGCTATGCCTGGCCAGCCACTGACCCAGCAGATCTTCATCCCCAACGATATGGTTGGAGCCATAATCGGCAAAGGTGGTGCCAAGATCAACGAAATACGCCACCTGAGCGGTAGTGTTATCAAGATCAATGAACCTCAGGAAAACAGCAACGAGCGTCTGGTGACGATTACTGGTACCCAGGAATGCAACCAGATGGCCCTGTATATGCTTTACTCGCGCCTCGGTTAGTGACCTTCCATTAACAGAGAACAAAGGTACCATATATGATTCTAACTTCAATTTACAGAAAGCGAGAAGCACCGCGTTTAAGTTCAACAACCTCTTTTATCTTGGGAGCCCTACCGGCGTCGCGCCCCAAAAGTCCACGGTGGTTTACGATGATTCTGTTCTTGTTTCCAATCTCACACGGGTGTTTCTTTTATTTTCTTGTTGTATCTTATTTGAGGCGCGTGCCCGATCCCTGCCTCATAATAACCAATCCACCCATTCTCTTCCACCTCTTTACCACCCTCATCCCTAGCAGTAGCCCACAGCCCAGCTTCTACATTTTCCTCTTCCCTCCAAGTAACCATCAGTCTCAAAATCTGGCAAAGCAGAACAGCATTCAATTTCAAGAAAATACCCGTTGCCTTGCCCTCCTGTTTTCCTTAATATTACCGCCACCTAAAGTTTCTGGAAGCTAACATGCTTCATCTCCAACCCAGGCACAGGCGGAAGCATCTTCTCCCGGATCGGGGCGATGGCTGCGACAAACTGCTCAGTTTCCTTCGCTTTCTTATGTGCCTCCACGCTCTCCCAGCCCACGGCCAGAAAGTGCATCATCGCTTGCCCGCTCGGGCTTTTTGCATGCTGCACCACACTTGGTCGGTCGACGTGGCCCATCGCCCAGGACCGCGGTCCCGCTGCCTGCGGCAGCTGCTCAACCAGTGCCGTACGGAAGTTGATCAGGTCAGCGTTCAATCGCCGGGTCTCAAACACTGACATATTGCTGGGGAAAGGCAGGGAACATAGCTCGGTCACCGGGTTCTTGGTCAAGGTGTCGGTGCTAGAAATGGGCGGGTTGAGGGTGGTATAGAGTACTGTTGGAGGCTGGAGGGTTTCGGCGAGGAACGGTTCAAGATGTGCAACGGTGGTTGAGCTGCGGGCATCCGTCCAGTCTGATAGACGTTGGTCAGGAGCTATTTCGAGGCATAGAATTACGAATTGGAGACTAAAAAGTGCTGAGCTCACCGATCACCCACACAAGCGTATCCTCATCCTCCACCGTGCGTCCCCAGGCGGAGCTGTGGTGACCGCTCTGTTGCTTGGTGGCGCGGAAGACCCTCAGCAGCGCCTCGCCCTGCTCGTTGGCGGGGTCTTCAGGCTTGACCCCGGGCTTCACCTTGAAAAAAAGAAATTCGCTGATATTTTGCGACATGATGAAGTATGTAGGGGGAAAGAGAGGCAAGTACCGAAAGAGTGTTGGTTTTACGATGTTGTACGATGCGCCAGACCAATCGAATCAATCGGATGTCAGGATTGATGTCACCGCGGAATGATGTCAGTATCCGCTCTCTCTTCATTAAATCCGAAGGAAACACAGAAACACATAAAAAGCGAAGAAACTATGTACATCTCCGTGGGTGCCAGAATGTTTAGCTCCCGGTCCGATTAAACCACGCCTGGGACATAAAAAATATGAAATTCAAAAAAGTAATGTCCGGATGCCAATTCGGGGAACGTCATCCAGTGCTTGTTGTTTTCCCCGCGTAAAACTAAGTGGTCCGACCGACTAGAGATCGTCCACCCCGCGCACCTTAACTTCTTTCTTCTCAATCGCATCCTTCAAACTACCGATCAGATGCTTCCGACGTTGAGTCTTCGCCTTCCACTGAGAGTTGTCTTCGCGGTTGACTAGAGGCGCGACGATATCGACACTGCGCAAACGGCTGTGCTTTGCGGAGCCGTTGATGCTGGCCCGGAAGTTGACGCCGCGAGAAGCAGACTCGGGGGTGTGGTATGCACTGCCGTCAATAGAGCCGCGTGAGCCCGGGGTAGCAGGGAAACGGCTGATATTCTTGCGAGGAGTTGTAAAGGGCGAGCCTTCGCGGCTGGCGGGGCCAGAGGAAGACGTGTCGAGCCCGAGCTTCCGCAGTTGAGCCTCCAGAACGTCAATATCGCTGCTCTTGTTCTCGGCCATGCTCATCATAGTGGCAATGGTCGACGCGACGGCTTCCACAGTAGGTCTTTTCCGAGAACTGTTGCCACTTCCATCGGGGTGCGGAATGTCAGAAATCTTGGCCCGGAGCATCGAGACTCCCTGCTCGAGTTCGGCCATTTTAACCTGGAGACCAGTGAATGTGGCCCGGAGGTCATGCTGGACAGTAGCTTGTTCAGCAGAGAGCGGGGCCGAAAGAATAGCCCCAGTGTCAGTCAGCGCATCGAGGGTCTTGCGAATACTAGCAAATTGAGTGCGCAGCATGACGATATCCTTAGTGAGCAGCTCTCTGCATTGGTCCAGCTTTTCCTCAACACCTTGAACACGCCGTTCGTTAAGAGAACGGCTAATAGCGGCGACGACATCTTCGAAGTTGTCGATATCCTGGAAGAATGCCTCCTCGTCCAGAACACTTGCAGGCTCGTCACTGTTCAAAATGCGCACCCACTTCTCCGCCGTTGAGGTTTGGGTAGGTTGCTGGAAAAGAAGGTACGAGTCGAGCGATCGGGCATTAATACCTAGAGTATCCACCATAGAGTTGATGTCGCGGTACAGTCGTTCAATCATACCGGGGATACCCGGCTTGGCCGTCTCTCCGGTGTAGTTTTGATGGGGTAGGAATGGATCCAGTGTAGCAACAGGCTCGACCGGGAGAGTAAGATCAGCGCGAAGTCTCTCATCCTCGTCATCATCGGACAGAGCAAGAGCTTCTTCCTCTTCCCGGCGCTGAGCGGCCGCCTCGGCGCGGGCCTGCTCCTGCCGGACAGCGTCACTAGCCTTCCTGATCTGTCCCTCACGCTGAGCAATCTGTGTCAGCGAAGCCTTCCGTGAAGCCAGGGCACTTCCAGCCTCGCGGTTCCCTGTCCTTTTAGAGAAAATTCCGCTCTTGTGCGAGCTGATACGAGTGGGACTGGGTGACCGGTAAGGTTCACGGCCAGATTTGGCGGCAGATCGTGGAGGTGGGAGCAGAGGCTGCTTGGGAATTTCACCAAATAGCGGCCGAGGAGGCTGACTTTGATTTTGTTTCGGTGCAGCCTGTGAATTTCCACGGAAGAATCCACCCGTAGAGCTCTTGTCTGATAACCCACCGAAGGAAGTTCCCGCCGAGAACTTGGGACTTGGGATGTTAGTCTCATCATGCGTAATCTCCTCGCCGCTATCGCTGAAATCAGACTCGTCGGCATCCTGAGACTCTATATCTGAGCCATTGGGAATAGGCACGGCCTCTTCTGCAGGCTCGGCTTGAGCCTTGAAAGTAGTCGGGTCAGGAGGTAAGGGCGCCTCTTCGGGAGCTGGTGGAGGTGGACTCTCAGACTTCTTGGCTTTGGTCACAAAATCTGGCGGGAGGGGTGCATCGTCAAACTTGGGAGAATGCTTCTTCTCCCAAACGAAGTCTGAGGGGAGCGTTGCGTCTTCAATTGAGCTTTTGGAGACATTAGAGGAAGCCGAAGTGTCACCGGGTGCGTAACTAGCTCTGCTGGTAGGGTCAGGAGGCAATGGTGCCTCGATTGGAGGGAAGGTAGGAGAAGTAACAGACTGCTCCTTTTTCGGTGTGGCGGTTTTATCCGAAGGTGCTGAAAGCGGGCTTGTGACCTGGTTCTGAGAGGAGGTCTGGGGAGGATGCTGGGTTGAAGTAGAAGAAGTGGAGCCAAAGAATGAGAAGCTTGAGCTCGACTTGTTTGTCTCCAGAGCAGGCGGTTTGGCGGTTTGTGTGCCGAACAAGGATGGAGCTTGAGCCGCAGGTTTGCTAGGGGCGCCAAAGATTGAGAATGGCTCGCTCGTTGGTGGCTGTTCAGTAGTAGTCGTGTTCACCGCATCCTCCATCGACTCTGCCGGGGGACTGAGCTTGCTCGGTGAAGCAATCGAGTCGCCAAATCCACCAAAAGAGAGCGTTCCCGAGGAAGATTCATCAGATTTAGGCATGTCATTTCCAGCTGTTCCATCAGCCTTGAAAGAAGAACCAAGAACAAAGCCACCAGAAGAACCAGGCCCAAATGGATTCTTCACTGTATCAGACTTTGCAGGAGCGAAAGCAGTTTCATTTTGAGGCCTGGCTCCGAAAGGAGAGGGCGCGGATGCCTTTGAGAAGGCGTTGTCTTCTGAAGGCTTCCCGAAAGGCGACTCTCCCGAAGGCTTCCCGAAGGGCGACCCTGTTGAAGGCTTCCCAAATGGTGACTCTGCTGAAGGCTTCCCGAATGGCGAGTCTCCCGGCTTGGCTGCCGCGAAACTAGCAAACCCACTTCCTCCACCTCCTCCAGAGAAAGAGCTAAACCCACCACCAGAGGCACCAGGTCCAGAAACTAGAAGACTCTTGCCCGAATTACCGTCCGGATGACTAGGCTGTCCAAAAGCTGCCCGCGAACTCGCGTCGCCTAATCCGGTCGTGCCGAATTGGGGTTGCTGTCCGGGGGTGTTGGTCTGTGAGAATGCCGCGCCAGGCTGAGAGGGAGTTCCGAAAGAAGGTTTCCCAAAGGCTGGAGCCGCACCACCGCCAAGACCAGAAGGGCTTCCGAATGATGGGGCAGACGGCTTTCCAAATGCCGTTGCTCCCATCGTGGACGGACTGCCAAAGGTGGCACCGCCTGATGGGGCAGAGCCACCGGATGGTTTGCCAAAAGCAGATCCGCCAAACGGAGAGGGGCTGCCAAACGAAGACTGACCAAACGCAGGCTGTTGTTGGACGGGTGCTGGGGCAGGAGGTGCAGGGGTGGGTTGAGACGGCGTCTGTGACATCTGGTCGCCTGAGGCTAGACATGCTAGACCAGAGTAAGGGATCTTCTGGCGAATCGACTCGGTGTAGATAACCCACCAAGAGGATAGGATACCATCATTATTCAGGAGAAGCAGTCCCGGTAGAGGGGTTGAGCTCTCCTGGATATCCTCACCCGGAATAGGTGAAAGAACATTCTCGCCACAGGATAGATCAGGAGCCAGGCCAATCACCGAGGTTTCGTCCCCTGATTCCTTCAGTGGAATGGATGCTCTTTTGGTATCATCATTGACATTGGCGGTCGTAAATTGGCCGGCAAGGGCGTTTGATGTGTCCTCCCTGTCTAGTGTTTGTTCAGCTCGAACAACGAGACCAACATCGGCAGAAGCAGTTGAAGCGACCATCAACACATCCTTTAGGTGTGGCTTATAGTCTCGCAACCGCACGATGAACTGATGTGCTGGCGCACGCTTCATCATAAACCCAATTGTCGAGCAGATTTCGGGCAACTTCTGGATCAAGAAAGGGGCCTGTTTGCGTCGCGTGATAATGTAATAGGAAGACGCTGGAATTCCCATGTCATCCTCAGGGATATTTGGGGTATAGACCGTGAAGAAGACGTCGTTCTCCAGCCATGCGATAGAAGACACTAGAGAGTATTAGCAATAGAACGTAAGTGGTGCCGAAAAAGAGAATGTTTGCGCACCATGACACTCCCCTTCTAAATCAGAGGGGCGAGGGATATGATCCTTCTTCGTTCCATCTGGGGTCATCTGCTCTGCAGTTCCGTCCGCCATTCCAGCCACGAGCTGCTTGCCTTTGTTACTCCATGCGACACAGCTAACGGCATTTCGGAGAATAGGACCGTTGGCGCCGGAAACCAGGCTTCCAGCCTTCAGATCGGCGACTATAAGTTCACCATTGGTAGTGACGAAGGCAACAAAAGTCGAGTTGGGGTCTGGGTTGGGGACAAGAGCCCGAATCGATACACCGTTTGTCGGAACCGATAAGGCAGGCTGCGCATTGCCCTGCAGGAGACTGTCTGTCTGGAAAACCGAGATTTGTGAACCGTTCTCTGTTGCGAGAATCAACGCATCGTCACTCGCGGTAAAGGCCACATGTGTTGGGCGCGCAGGAAGGGGAATTGTTGCTTGCGGTTGGAAGGGCTTGGTTTTGACTTTATCTTCTCCGGTAGGAGCCTCAATAGCTTTCCTGACGGATTCGGTAGTTGCGACAACTAGAGCATCGGGGCCAGCACCAACAACGATGCCCTTGCTTTGTGCGACAGCTAGGAGTGAGGTGTTCGGGGAGGGAAGAGCATCTTCGGGCCAAGGGGTGGGGAGGAAGCGGACGTTGGCATCACCGGAGATACCTCTGAAGCCAATATCCTAAATTTGACGTTAGGAAAAGGGATCGTATAAAGACGCGACAGCGCTGGCGGGGGCCACATACATCAGTCAGGACCTCTGAGAGCTCTGGCCCAAGCTCCGCTGGCGCGCTCCCTCCGGCGGGGGCGGACGACCCGAAGCTGAAGGCCATTCTGAGACGGTCGATGTCGACGGAAACTGAACGAGAATGGCCGCTTAGAGGTGAGCTGGACTTGGGCGCATTGAGCGATGGGGAGCTCGGCGGCGTTGGAGAGAAGGAGCGTCGTTGGAGTGCTTGCGGACTCCGGTTGAATAGGGTGAGGGTACGCGTGAAAATCTTGACACAGCTCCTCCTCGTATAGAGAAGGCGCAGTTACGCGAAGGTAGAGACCCGGTGCGGATCGGTGGTGAAAGAACCGAGGAGAAGCAGTTGTGAGGTTTGGGCTATCGGAAAATGCCACAGGCAAAAACACCAAGTTGCGGCCTTGAATGCCTGGCGGCTAAGGCGTCCACAAACAGGCTGCGGGAGCTTCGTCACTCCAAGCAGCTCACGCTCGACTTCACCTCTCCCATCAGCTTGCTCCTCACCTCCGCCACCTCTCTACGCCAGGTCTCTCCCTTCTTCTGCCTTCAGTCTGATTACAGCACTCCTGCCTTTTGCTCTTTGCTTCGGTTGTGCACCCTCCGCGTTGCCAAGATGCCGGGCTTCGACTTCTCCAACTACAACCGCAACGCGGCTCTTCACGCCAGGGGCGTTCCCCTTCCCAAAGCCACCAGCACTGGTACGACAATTGTTGGTTGCATCTATGATAATGGCGTTGTGGTATGATTCCCCAAGATTCAAAGGCTTTGGATCCCGCGCAACCAAGGAGACGCTGACTTTGTCGGTGATTGCAGATCGCAGCAGATACCAGAGCAACCAGCGGCCCTATAGTAGCAGACAAGGTACGAACACAGCAGACTGGGAAACCCAGTTCCCTGGAGCTTTATCAGAGACTCACAGATGCCGGGAATAGAACTGCGAGAAGCTACACTACATCGCACCCAAGATCTGGTGTGCCGGCGCCGGTACAGCCGCAGACACCGAATTCACCACCGCCCTGATCAGCTCGAATGTTGAACTGCACTCCCTATCGACTGGCCGCGATCCCCGAGTGATTACGTGCATGACTATGCTCAAGCAACACCTCTTCCGATACCAGGGCCACATTGGAGCGTACCTTGTGGTGGCAGGCGTGGACCCGACCGGCGTTGGACTGTACACTGTGCACGCGCACGGCTCGACAGACAAGCTGCCATACGTGACGATGGGGTCTGGTTCACTGGCAGCCATGTCGGTGTTCGAGTCGATGTGGCAGCCTGACCTGGACAAGGAGGGTGCCATTGCCTTGTGCTCCGAAGCCATCAAGGCTGGTATCTTCAACGATCTGGGCTCTGGTAGCAATGTCGACGTGTGTGTCATCGAAAAGGACAAGCCTACTCAGCTTCTCCGCAATTACGAAAGGCCCAACGAGCGTGGACAAAAAGAGCGCAACTACCGCTTCCCTCGCGGCACAACTGCTTGGTTGAACCAGAAGGTTATCAGCAAGGAGGATATGAAGAAACTTGTCACCATTGAAACCATGTCTGGGGACGACAATCTGACTGTCGGGGAGAAGATGGAGGTTGACGCTTAGGGTGTGCGCGGGTCAGGAATGGATTGAGGCGCATGCTAGTGGTCTTTTTTGAGGTGATTCAATATACACTTGGACCTGTGTCTCATTCTTGTACCATTGTATTCGGATCGGCATACGATACTTGGGGCTTTCGCTACAACTGGAAGTATAGAGCCATCACAGAAATCAATCAGTAACCAGATACAACTTCCCCTAATAATGCCTAGGTTTCCCTTGGGATCCTAAGGCAGTTAGGGGTCCTAACAAACACCCAAGTTGGTCGAGTAGGATAACGAACCCTTTTACCGGACGGTATTTGAAGGCTGAGCAAAGCAAAATGACCATACACGAGGCTAGACATGTATTGGTCTCGCAGACGCCCGCACTCGATCTGCTTGCCCGTAAAAAGGCGAATTCTGTGCCGGCCTGCGCGGCGGTAACGACGATTCAAAGGAGGCAACCGATTCTTCCTGCTTACCAGTACCCCAGGCTCCCACCACAATGAGTCGACATTGAGGCAAGTTTGAAGCAGGCTGATGCCGGCATCATAGTCTATGAATTTCTTCGTTATTGCACGTAACTCCATTGTTATTATCACATTTCATGGTAAGGGTATCTCTACGGTACAGCTATTCTAGGTAATCAATATGAAGGATCAACGAGTAAATTCTCCGAGGCTAGATGTCATCTCGCTGACCAGGTTTACCTTGCCCAATCTGCGCTGGGGCTCTCAATTGTCTGGCGACCTCGCGCCCTTCAAATTTGCTGACAATCCAGACGATGTACTCGTACTGCGTAGGCGAGACACGACGCCCCTCACGGCGATACCGCACAACACCAGCATGGTACATGGCCTGAACCAAAGACGGGTATACAGGCCCACCATGTCTGCGCAGATAGTCGTAGAGATGGTGGATAAGATGGAAAGACCGAGAAGCGGTCAGATTATGGCAGCAGGAGATGGCGACAGCCAGTTGGTGAATAAAGTCAACAGCAGCATGAGGATCAGGGCACTGACTATCCCGAGGCTCTGCGTGATAGCGCACAAGGGCCTTCTCGTCAGGGTGAGGTGGAGGCATCCAAGCTTTGTTAAGGCAAAGCTTAAAGGGCGTGTGATTGCGGAGGAGTCTCAGAACAGACCAGATGCTCTTGGAGTCTCCTGCTCTAGCAAAATGTAGACATTCTTCCACGGATTCAGGGCTGGTGAGGTCCACGCGGCGGAACATATGCTCAAATGTGCCGTAGAAGAGAGTTCGGATCCCATGATAAGTTGATGGGTCCGCCCAGGCATCTGCCAAGGAAGTCTGCGAAGTTTCCAGTCTCTCGAGTGTCCTGCGGGTGTTCTTTGTGGTGAGTTTTCTCAACTTAACATTCACCGCAAGTAGAAGAAGGCTGTTGTGTGGGAGATTCAAGCTCTGAATACCACGCGTCAGATCCGACAAGAAAGATCCGTCTGTACTCTTGGTGCATGTTTCGTAAAGGCCGAACAAGAAGTAGATCGGTTGATCAGTAGGCCGGGGACTTTGATAGTACATGGGACCTAGGGACCGGCTCAAGGCTCGCAAAGCCCATAGGCGAAGAATGATTTGTTGTTGAACGGGCAAGATCAATGGGGCCTGCCTCGCATCTGGAGGGCTGTCGTTGTAAGCAAGTGGCATGTCCAGCCATGCCTGCGAGTTTGCGATTGTCGATATGTTTGACACGTGTAACAGGCAATCTCGCCATCTCTCCAGTAGTTGGTTTCGTCTTTGGGTTTGTGTGGCAGACAGAGCCAAAGACTCGGTAACGTCGATGATGCATTTAGTTGCACAATCTGCGTGGAGCAGGCTCAACATTTGGTGTGCATATGACAGAGACCTGGTCTTTTCAGCCTCGTTTATAGGTTCCAGCTGCGCCATGATCAAGGCCGAGGGCCAGCGACTATCAGAGGTCGCATCATGAGTAGCCACAACAATTTCCTCCGCAAAACGAAAGCAGCGTAGGCTTAGAAGCTCAGCGAGCCAAGCATCCACAAGCTCTTTGTCCAAGTCGTGATAACCGAGAATGTTGCAGCGCCCGATGGCTTTCCACATGGCCCGATAATGCTTCAGCAATGCTTTCGGATCCCATTCTCTGAGGGTTTTGTTACGTTCAACAAGGATCCCTGGCAGGGCCTTGACAATCAGACAGAGCTCCTCCGTAGGAACCAATCCCAATTCGAGGCCCCGAGAGACTGAATTGAGCACGGCGGTTCGGTTGGCTCGCTTTGCTTTCGCTTGTACAAACTTCACGGCAGCGAGATAATTCCCAGAGCCTCGGGTGTTCAAAAATGGGTCATCTAAGAATTGAATCGATTGCTTCAGGTCCGTAGCGGAGCGCCCGAGCAATTTGTTGAAGATCTGCCGGCTGTGCTCCGGTTCCCGTTGCAGGTCAATCCTCAAATGGCGCGCGAAGTCCCTTGCATCTTCAATACCCCAATCACCCCGTTCCAAAAATTCATGGAGTAGTTCAGCTCGGGAGGTGGATTTTGACTCGTAGGAAGAAGGGTCGGGGTGGTGAGAGACGGATGCGTCGGCAGGTTCGGAATTGTGGTCATAGAAAGGCAAGGAAGCGTCCGAAGCGCTGAGTGCGTAGCTGCTCGAGGCTTTTCGAGAATTAAAATCTGATTTGTGCCGAGATCTGGTCTTGCTTGAACGTACCTTGAGTATCCAGCTGCGCCCTCTGCCACGGGTGGTCGGTCCACTTCATGTGCTCCCTTCCATTGCGTCCAAAGAGACATGCGATATCTTCTGCCGACCCTGCACCAAATCCCGCAAGCGCCGTATTCCTCCGCCTGGCTAAGCGCCTCCGTGCTTCCAAAGGTCCGGGAACACAGCTGCCATGGCGACGCTGCCCGTTCGCAAAGCGACGGAAGGTTGCCGCGAGTAAGTCATCGCTGATCCAGTGGTGATCGAGACTTGGAGCAGCCGGGTGCTTCAGCGCATTCCGGTAGGCATGCCTACCAAAAGACATGGCTCTATTTATGACATGGGCGAGCCAATTGCCGGCGATGAAAATGATTGAGATGGGTCGGAAGCGTCGACAACTTTTGACAAGTTGGGGATTCTTGGTGTAGGATGACTAATCCCCGGGCTTGGCGAATGCATGGTTGTCATTTCTGTACCGCCATTAAAGAGAGTGACGACCATGCTCTGAATTATTTGTTATTTTAAAATATCTCTCTGATGTATTTTCATGATGCGTCGAGTATTTACACAACTTCATCGTTTTGGATACTCATGTGCAGGCCACTGCCCCATGCCCACCGACATCTGGTTCAGTCCCTATTTTGGAACTCCAGTAAAACACATAAAAAGAAACAAAGACTAGAAAAGTGGATCAGCAATCCACAAGAAGACAAAAGTCAGTCAAATATGATGATGATGATGATAATAGAATACAGCCATACGCCAATGTAATGCATGCAAGAAGTCTTCGGCCAATGGCACGTCATGCGAATCATCTTAGCCAAGACATCATCAAACGGTGTAGAGAGCGTAGCAAGGTCGTCAATGGAAGAACGTTGTGTTCACTTCCTGGAAATTAATTCCAGATATCTATTCATTGGGTAGCGGTTTTCGGCCGGTAACCACGAAGAAATTCATGTAGGCATGCACACTCCTGTTCTGCACGCTTTTTCTCACATCGGCGAGGAAGACTTCGATCTCGGGTTTCGACCAACCCAGTGCGAGGAAAGGTTTATAGGACCAACCGGCCAACGCTTCGAGCCAATTGCTCTCGCTCCATTTCCCAATGTCTTTCAACTTCTTGTCGGATGGCCAGGTGTTTGTCGGAACTTTGAACACCCGCTGTTCAACATCAACAAACCCAACTTCCTTCATCCACCGCTCAATTTGAGGCGCGATCCGGAACTGTCTTGAAGGCTCAGTTTCCTGGCTTGCGCGCATGTTCAGGTCGAACCAGTCGTGCATGGCATATGCACTGTACCCGTCGGGGTTTTCAGGCGGCATGGTGCCATCGTCACATTTTGGCTTTGGGTCCATCTCGTGGCATTCGATGTATGCCCCTGGTTTGAGATATTTAAATGCCTGGCGTAATAGGCGCTTGAAAGACTTCATGGCACCCGTCATGTTTCCGATGTGTATGAAATCAAAATGGCCCGTGTCCCACAGCCATTCATCCTCAGTTGCATCGTCAACGAGAAAGTGAACGTTTTCAGGGACCTCGGTTGGTTGGACTGGAGAAAGATCCGTGCCTATGATTGTAGCGTTTGGGAATATGGGCGCTGCAGAACCAGAAAAAAACAATGAGCTCGGGCACATGACACACGTCTATATTGGGCTGCAGAAAATCATACCCATGTCTATGGGCCAGATACCAGAGCCAGTACCGATATCAAGTATTTGTTTGGGGGCGTCGAGCGGGACATGGTATAACTTGCCACCCATGACCAGTTTGAACATGTGATGTTGCATGTCCAGACGATCCAGCTCTTGTTCATCATTCGGGTATGGATAAGCTACTCAGGAAATCAGACAAATGCAGTCAGTGGTGGTCGCATAGACCACTCAACATACCTCCTTCATGGTACTTGTGGTACCGTCTGCCGTTCTCCACGGGATAGTCCGTTACACTGTCAGTCAGCGACTGCGTGTCACTGTCATCACAGCGTTAGTATGGCACGGAAATTGTAATTTTGAAGGGCCACGGTGACTATTACCATTCGCCTTTTGGTTCCTGCATAGATCCGGGTTAGCAGCCAATTTAGGTGAAAGTAGAGGTACAATAGCATGGACATAAGTCTACAACGTCCACCAGGTCACGGCGAGGAGATATCGCCACAATCATATAGTGGACGGTAGGAGCAGAATGATGGAACGCGGGCTTACAGGAGATTTAGTACACATCCTGGCACCCTGGATCTCTATCCAGTGGGAGCCACAGAAAAAGAGTGGGACGAATAGTATGAAGGGCTTTCAAACGGCAACTAGGAATACGTTGCAGTCGAAGGCTTTTCAGGGGGACTGTAGAAAAAGCGGTTAAATCTTCGGTTTTCCAATCAACTAGGAGGGTGTTGCGGGTGTAGGGCCCACGATGGCGAGGAGCTAGTACTTAGTGGATGTACGAGTTGGCCAGCAAGTTTGGCGATACTCCATTTTATGTCACACACCGAGTTGAATTGCCCACACGAACGGTGGGCACGCAAGAGCAGGATTTGGGGGGGCGAGGGAGGAATTCTCAGTTCCGTCCTCGTTGAGCCCGACAGCTTGGGTTAAGTTATAATTTGGCAGGGCGGGAAGATGATCCGGACAACTATAAATCAATCGCTGGTGAGCTGCTGGTGCTGGGATCGACATTGGAAATGCCGTGAAAAGCAGGGCCCGCAGGGGGGGGGGAAAGTGGAGTACAAATGCGCGCATGGATGGGGGACAAAGTTGAGCCAGACTATACGAGAGGTCCAGGGACGCCAGAGGGTCCGGCGTGGAGGATTGGCGGGGAGAAGGCCCCGAGCCGACCAGAGTAGGGCGTTACGGGCGGGCCATCATGGAATAATTGCAGTTACCAGCGCCGAACACACAGGGAGAGCTGGGTTGTTCTAGGACCAAGATGAGAGTGCAGGTGGCACAGCCCGAGTCCGGTCAAATTTCGCTTCTCAGGAGATGATTCTGCTTTCTAGGCTTTGGGGTTTCGAATTTCCGATTTTTGAATTTTGCCCAGAGGGTGGGATTCACTTTGGATCTTCGGAGGAGCTGAAATACGCAATACCGACTGTATACTACCAATACTGCTACTGTACATGTACCGAGTCCCTCGTATGTGCATAGGGTACAGGAGAAACCGCACATCCATTGTGTTCCCTGTCGGGCACATGGTGCGAACACGATCGATCCGAGTCGTAGCAACTGTCAGATCGAACTCAGAGACTCCCTCCAGCCGCCTGGAGTAGGAAGCACTTACACAGGAGATCACTTGGCCCCCCATCTAATCGCTGGGCGCTGAGAACCACCCGGCCGGCGGGCGTCCCAGGGCCTCGGTGTCGGGGGCTTCCCGGGCCAGGTATACCAAGGTATGGAGTAAGTCTGTCAGAGAAAAAAAACCGCCCCACTACCAAACTCTCCTGGAGACTGTCTCCGCTAAGCTATTCGGCGGTCCTCTTCCTCGGGTACGGAGTACAGACCCTGGGTTGGCCAAGGGGGTTGAGGATAACTTTCCTCTTCTTTTCGTGCAAGAAATGACCCCAAGGGCGGTGCTGCAGGCCCACGGCCAATAGGCACCGGTACCATTTCGCTGGGAATTTGGCAACCAGCCCAGCCTGGGGCCGCTTCCTCCTACGTGCTGGAACTGGAACTCGCCACTTTTTGACCAGAAAAAGAAAATCCTCATTCTCAAACACCTATGTGCATCGTACTCTGCAAGGCCATCCCGGTGGCGATTAATCCCCGACTATCCGTCGAGTGGGAAAGGCAGCACCGAAGCGGAGGGACGATGAGACCGACTTATTATCTCATTAGTGTGTAATGTTACATGGCCTAGGTGGGCATGTGCCTCTTCAGTCAACTATCAATGCCTTTTGGCTTGCTATGCTAGTTCGTGTGACTGGACGCCACAATACTCCTCTGATGAGCCACTGGCCGCGAATGCTCAGCTCCGCAACGATTGGAGGAGAGACGCTATGGAGAACTATCAGCGACTTCCATACAAGAGGCGGCCACAGTACTTTGCGAGTCATACATGACATGACAGCCTCGTTACTACAGTATGTACCCTAGGCCTCATGCCAAGAATCCGCTTCTCACTTCTTTTTTCTTCGCGTGTCATCCCAAACGAAGATGATCCTGGGGGTCTTGCGAGGAAAGATACCGCCCGTCAAACCCCCCGTCCGCCGAACCCCGTACCTCAACACGAATCCGGCCTTGCTAGTTGGGTATGGCCCCGGATAGGACGTGGGATATGAATTTAATTTAGATTTTTACCCCTCCGGAAGAACAGCTAGTCCTTCGCCTGACTGGGAACTAAATGCGAGACTCCTGCCGCTTTCAGGTCTAGCGGTGGACAAGTCGATATGTCAGAAGTAGCGTCTCCTGCAATGTGGGAGTCTGGATATCTGGGCTTCTCCTATTCCTTCTTCCTCCGGTCGCAATTGGCTAATCCCGAATGCTCCTGCAGTTCTTGTCTATGCTGTTAAGTGCAACCCAGCAAAGTGTATCACCATAGCAAAGCTCCCAGTAACAGAAATCAAGTCCATGGTGAAGCCGGCGCCCGGGCCACGTAGGGCAGAAAGGAGGGGTTCCATGGCTGGAATCTGGAACATGCATCGCGGAATACGCGAAATACTCCGGCGATCCGTGTGGTCCTCCGGCCCTGCACATCTTCCTTGCCCTTACGACACACAGACTGACTCACCATAGCCCAAACATGAATCAGCCATAGCAGTCAGGGCAGCCCACTTGTTTTGCACCCAGGCGTCACTTTTGATTCACTTAATTCGCTTGATTCCATGTCCTAATTCAAACGCAATCAAACTATTACTGCATTTCTCCCACGCGGCAAAACTTCGGGTTGAATGTCAGGCAGCCAGGCGGCCTCGCGTGGGCGCGCAGTGATTGGCAGAAGCCAGAAGTCGCGCCTTTCCCACACCCGCGTCGCAATCTCGGTCCTGGCTGAACTATGGCGGTAGTACCACTCAACAGGCATTATTACAGTATGAAAATACATCTAGCAGCATAGGGGTGGTGGCAGTTGTACTCGGAGTACCCCGAGTTCAAAGTACGAAATAATCATCACCAATCATGTAGACAAGGAGAACCAAACAACCGGGTAAAGTCAGGGCCAAAAAGGAGCCGTGCAGAAGGTCAGGGCCGTGATTGCGGCCCTGCACGAGCATGGAACCCTGCAAACTCCCCAAAATAAACCCCTAGCGACCATGGTGCTGGGATCCCGGATCCCGTTCATAGGGAACCCGGGGGCTTTATTAGCAACTGGACGAGTCAAAACAATCCACCCCGACCCGACTGCTGGGAAAGTCTCGGGTCCCAAGGGGTCGGTAACGCCAGCGCAGGAGCCAAAATTTGGAGAACGGGGGTCCCGAGGGACTGGTCCTGTATGCCCTTCTGGGTATGCTTTGTTTTGTTTGGCTTACGTCGGCTACCAGCAACATATCGGGGTCGTCCGATATGACTGCGATTATTTATTTGGCTTGGGATGCAAGGTTCCTTATTTGGAATTGCAATGGCGCGCCTGCTATAGCTGACACCCACTAGGGTGAGTTTCCGCCCCGGTGGAGACGGTTGTGTTTGTGCTGATGACCTCGCTAGGGGAGCCTATCCAACCTTTCGCTGCGGGTTTTTGGTTTTCGATGGAGCTCTCGGATGGAGAATCCGCTTTGGCTACGGGCCGGGTGGGCCTGGGTGTTTTCTGTTTACTCCGTACATTCCCCCGGTCAAAGGTCAAGTGTTATTTCGTACGGTTGTACCCGTTACTGTACTTTGTTACGGGAGTACTTATCGACCAAGAGTTGATTGATTGTCGGGGTACCTCGCGAAATTTATGGCTCCCTACCCTACAAGACCTAGGCTTCGTGAGAACCGAATTCCAAATTCACATTACACCGACGGCCACGGCTCTGGCGATCAGATAATACCCTGCAAATTTCCTCAAGGGGATGCGGCGAACGAGGGTCCAACTTAGCAGACGATGGCGTCAGCAAGAAAGCAGGTTGCATCGGACCAGGCCCGGTGCGAATGTAGCGCGAAGCACCCCGAGCAACCTGTACGTACATTAGCCTTATCTGACGTTTCCCCCAATTGTACTCCGTACTCTGTACTTACAAAGAATTAACCACCCGCCGTATACTCGTACCTCCTACCGAATTTTTGAAACTCCGAGAATATCACCCATCTGGCCGAATATGCAGGTCATACGGAGTACTTGGTGGCTCGTCCTCAATTACTCCGCAGTCAATGCTCCGTACACTCTCATTCAAATCCATTCAAAAGGAAGGCTACGTGGCTTACACCCAAAGGATGCATAATTCCGGTGGCAGGATAGACCGCTCCTGTGACAAATACTGCTTTCTCCACAAAGTAACCCGCCATTGGGTGAGAACTAGTCTCGTCCACTACAAATGCTACCAGGCACATGAAGAAGAGGAGTTCGGATAATTTCAGCACACGCATGAACAACAGTTTGCTTACTTACATCGTGGTATGAAGAAAACCATACAGTTGATGGAGGCTGTGGAGGCTGAGGGCGATCAGCTGGAGATTCGTCCTCCCAGGCGGAGCATTCTAGCTGTCTCGGCTGTCAGCACGTTCCAACCAAAGTAATGGAACAGACGATCACCCAGCGCTAAATGGTGGCGGAGGGGCTCGTCACCAGCGAAACAAAGCGGTAGAAAGAATTATCATTGAAAGAACTTAGCGGTATTATTTGGAATTGTCGACGGTGCGGAACTCTATCACAAACGGCGCTCCTCCCAAGTGGAGGCGTCCGCCAATCGGCGCGCCGCGTTGTCAGGGATGCATAAATGACACGGGCCGCTCGCTGTCAATTGCGAGAGAGCGGGCGCGTCTACCAAAGTATATAACTCTTTTGGTCAGCTAATGACATCTGTTCCTTGTCACTTTCCAGGTCAGCACAGGAAACACGTCCGAGCGAGCTCCGCTAAGAGGGTTGGGACGGAGGGGCTATGGGCGGCTCTCCAGTGTGTTGGGAACCAATGATGATGACGATGATGAGAGAAGAGATATGATTTGTCATTGTTTGCCTCGATATATCGAATGGCCCGGATGATTTGAAGCAAGCTTCGGATCATCTTATCTGTTCCATCGTTTTCTCCACTAGGAATGAACTGAGCAAGCAAGGCCCACAAACTACACATCATCTTTACCCATCCTAGCCATCAGTCGGATGGAAGTTTTCGATTACTGAAAGAACAGCAGATCAGGAAACAGACAGGATTCTCTCCACTGACGCTACTGTACCCTCAATCGGTTGCACCTTGTCGGTTCTGCCAGATAGTATGAGAATCAGCGCGGCCCGGGTATCGGAGCATCAGATAGTATATCCATACCTAGTTTGAATTCGAATATCTGTTTGGACTCGAACTATCCCTTGCTGGTGGGTGAGGGTGTGGGCAAGTCCAATCAACTGGACAACTTGATCCCATGGACCTTCTGTTATTAATCGCATGAGTAAGTCCTTTTGCACATTGTTCGTAACACAAATGACTCAAACAAGGGGCCTAGATTCCGAAGGGGCCTATGCACCTGTGGCTTGCTTCAACGCAGCAGCTTCAAGTATCATAGGCCTTCCGTAAGAATTTGTCAGATGGCATCGACTGGGATACGCACCAATTGTTGTTCCAGTAGCATGCATGACAAATTTCAGGCCCGATTCTCCCATGAGGCGCTGGATATCTGCGATTTGTTGGGCAAATGACGGGCTCGAAGATCCAATCTGGAAAGAGCTGGTTAGACGAGGGATTGCGAATTCTGCCTGAAGGAATTATACCGGAACCAGAGAGAAGTCTGCTGTGCACCGTGAAGGAGTCACTAGAGCTGCAGGAGCGAAAGACATCATCGCAGGCGTTAGTTGCAGTTTTCCGACTTCTCTTGGAAAACTTGAAGCTTGATCGATTCGATATTCCTGCTGAGTTTGAGTGCTCATATTTCTGAATGAGCCAATCATTATGACGTTCCACTGTGATCATCTAGTGTGCTATTGTAAGCGGAAATTGACTCGCCGAGCTCTCGTCGTAGCACCGCGGAACTCTGGGGGAGGCTCGCAGCCATGGCGGTAAGCAATGATTGACTTATGTCTGTACCAGAAATACCCTCCTATCAGTTCTCAATAGCCATGAAGGTAAGGTTCCGATAATCCAATTCCGGGCCTAGTAGGTATGCGAGGTACCCGATTTTAGCTGACAGAAGGTCAAACAAAATTTTACAATCTCTATATGGACTTTTGATTCCTACATCGTACCACTAGAAGTTATGAATCGTTAGAGACTAGGTATCCAGGTGGGAACATTTTGTCATGCCATTCGCTATTCCTTTAAAGATGAAGGAACCTCTGACCTAAGTTCTCTTTATGGCTTGAGGTAATTTCCATCTTGGTAAATTAGTATAATTGGACACCTGCAAAAGCTGGAAGAAATATCGACCTGCCAATATTGCTACCTGGAAGACAGCAGAAAGCTTGTTATAGGCGGCTTGCGCTTGAGCCTGCTCTGTAGTCGCTTCGCGCACTTCCTGGCCGTAAACAACAGCTTTTTGAAGGAACTCGTCTGGGTCTTGTTTATCATAAACGTCGAACAGCGTGTACTCAAGCTTATTGTAGAGGTGGCGAGCTTCGGTGACAGACATACTGAATGGTTCACGCAAAGCATCATACCATGCGTCCATGGTCGAGGCATGAATGAAGGACGATCGTTCCGTGTCGGAAACGCTCTGCTCGCATCAGATCGCGGCCTTGCCTAAGAAGCACGGGGCGAAGCGGTGCGTCATAGAGGACAATCGGATGTTGACTTCGGCGAGTTTCGTGGCGCGAATGAAGCTATGCATATTGCGATACACACGTAGCTTATCACTTCACACTCATCGAACTCTCACTGCACTACATAATCATGGCACCAAGAGCTCCAAAAACTCCAAGCGCTCAGAGGGCTCGCGCTCCACGCTCGGCAGGCCTCACTGCACGGAATGAATCAAGCGACACCCAAAAGAAATCGTGAACCTTGGCGCCACAGCTAACGCTGTCGACGATCCGACCGCGTATGCGCTCATCACCTCGCACAAACGCAAGCAGTGCTCTGATAGTGTTAAGGACTTCGAAGATAACGGTATTATCCATGCGAAGCGACCGGCTCGTGGCAAAGGCGTCGCGATCGAGGTAAGTCATTGTGCGCCCGATATATATATCGGAGTTAACCCATAGATAGCGCTGGTAACAGCGGTCCCAGGGAGTAGATGCAACGACCACCTCTGTATGCATGCCTAGATATAGATTTTCTCCTGTTTGTCCCCTTCCCTGAACATGGTATTCAGCCAATACACATTGATTTGGCAAAATTTGTAGTGCAACAAATCCTCCAAGTGACCTTGTTGACACCCCACCTAATTAGAACACGGCCGGATAAACCCGGACTCCGCTATGACGCACCAGACCCCAATCGGCACCTATCAGCGCTAAGATCGAACTCTTTCAAACTCACAACATGAGATATTAAGAGCATTTGACTCGTTATTTGGCTGAAGGGTCCTGTGGCTGTATAGTGAGCTTTATAGGGCTTTCCTGAATTCAAAAGACGCGTCGCTTGCGACGCGTAAAGCCCTTGGTGCATCACCATTTTGATGCACCACCCAGCACAACCCAGCACTACATGGCACGCCAGACCCCAGCTCGCCCTCCGCGGGACAGGGCAGCTCGTGGCCATCCGCCAAGGTGCGAGACTACGCGGGAAAGTCATCTCCCAGAGGTATACCAGGAGATGTTGGATGAAGCTGAAGCTCGTGACCCTGGACAATTTCGGTCAGATCGACCGATCAAAAGGCGCAGAGTCGGAGAAACAAGGTCCACCCAGACAAGAGCTATCCCGCTTGAATCCTCGCCACTGGAATATGGCAACAGGGCCCCGCCTACAAACGAAGATACCACTCAGAATGTACAGACTGTTTATGATTTAACCACATCTGATGAGTCGGAGGTTGAGTGGGAAGATGTGGATGTTGTACCATCTACTCAAGGGCATCGTGGTGCAGCCCTCACACCCCAGGATAAAGATGAGACATTGCAGATTATCCTGGACCGAGAACCAGAGACCCGCAAAAAGACAGTCCCGAGAAGAAAGCCGGTCACGGCGGCCGAGAAAAAAATTGCGATTAGATGCTCACAAGGCACACCTTCTTTGTCTGCTGGCTCATGTCCATCTACGCAACCGATGGTGCAATGATGATGAGACACAGGTATGTGTTGTTAACCTGAATTCTTTCTAAGCTTCTAATGTGTAAGCAGCGTTTCCTGAAAAGGATGCTACCAAGAAAGATTATTGCTCTTTTGAACCCTGATGAAGATAAACCACAATTCACTAAATCTACTACTTTTATCGATGGTCTTAATCAAGCTGGCGATATCTTCAATCGAAGGTTTCGTGTTACTAAACCGGGCCTGAAGCGCGCCCATTGGGCTGAAGATCAACAACAGTTAAAGCAGAGGATGGTAAGCCTGGCCGCACACGCCTTCTGGCCGAGAGATTCTGATAATCAAACAGGACTCTATAATGGCAGATGCTGAAATCTTTTTGTCCCAAGAAGATTTTCAGTCCCAAGCAAAGATCATGCAGGGTTCTCGCGATTTTGGAGCCCAGCTGTTCTGTGCTTTGTTGCGCTCCGCCGCCGTAGATGCGAGACTAGTATGTTCTCTTCAACCGCTACCGTTCTCAGGCACCACCAAGGACATGACAACCCCCAAAATGGCCCCACAGTACATCTTCATTTCTTCTGATGACCATGAAACATCTACCGATGAGCGTCAGAATTCATCAGGGGATTCGCCGGCTCCATCAAGGACGCGACGGCTTGGGCGACCGGAATTCACTTCGCGTCCCGCTCAAGCATCCGTGCGCTTAGGTATGTGACTCCGGCCCTGTGAGCATTCTCGATTTTCTTTGCAACGGCTAAACTTCAAAGGTTCTCGACCAGTACCTCGAGAATCCACATACCCAGTATTTTGGGTAGAAGCCTTCAACGACGCGGTGCAGAAATGGATCCCCATCGATCCCTTGGTGACCAAGTCTCTGGCAAAGCCATATAGATTCGAACCCCCGGCGAGTGACCCGTACAATAACATGAGTTATGTGGTCGCTTTTGAGGATGATGCGTCTGTGAGAGATGTTACTCGACGCTACGCCAAGGCTTTCAATGCAAAGACCCGCAAGTCTCGAGTGGAAACTACACGGAATGGGGAAAAATGGTGGAACGATGCACTGATCGCATATGAAAAGCCATTCCTTGAAGATCGAGATGAGGCCGAGGTAAGCGAATTGACTTCCAAGTCTGCGGCCGAGCCTATGCCACGCAACATCCAGGATTTCAAAGATCATCCGGTCTATGCACTTGAGAGACACTTGCGCCGGAATGAGGTTATCTTTCCTAAACGTGTCATTGGACATGTCGGCTTGAGCAAGAATACCTCGAAGAATGACAACCTTGACTCGGTCTACCGTCGTTCTGATGTACACACTGTGCGCAGCGCTGCCAAATGGTATCGTTTGGGTCGGGATGTTAAGGTAGGCGAGCAGCCTCTCAAACATGTTCCTGCGAAAAGACCCAAAAGCGGTTTCGCCAGCGACGAAGATGACAACGAGTCCGAGGAAACTGCTCTCTATGCGGAGTATCAGACTGAAATATACCGGCCGCCACCTGTGGTTCAAGGAAGAATTCCGAAAAATACTTATGGGAATCTGGATGTCTATGTGCCAAGTATGGTTCCTTCTGGAGCAGTACATATCAAACATCCTGAGGCAGCTCGATCCGCACGAATCCTAGGTATTGATTACGCAGATGCGGTCACCGGTTTTGAGTTTCGTGGACGGAGGGGAACTGCAGTCTTTGGTGGGATTGTAATTGCTCAGGAATACCAGGAAGCTCTCGAGGAGGTTCTGAGAGGTATCGCCGCAGAAAGACACCAAGCTGCAGTCGAAACAAAATCTGCAGAAACTCTTCGACTCTGGAGACTTTTCCTTGTCAAGCTGAGGATTGCCGAAAGGGTCAAGGCCTATGCAGCCGCTGATGAAAGGACGGACGATGTCTATGAGCCAGAGATGGATATAGATCATGCAGAAGAAAGTGGAGGGGGATTTCTTCCCGAGGAGGGTGGGGGATTTATACCAGAAGGCCATGAGGGAGTTCTTCCGGATGGTGGCGATGGTTTTACTTCTGAAGAGAGAGCATCCACCGCTGCGCGTGAGGGGGGAGGTTTCATCCCTGACAAGCCTGACGAGGACGGAGGCTTCCTTCATGATAAATACACAGACAACCATCCAGCTCCGCTTGCTCAGCCATCAACTTCGGCTCAATCTCATTCAAACTCGCAAAAGGTCAATAGACCGAAACTCTCCAACACTCCTCGCTATGAATTGATCGTGGTGCCGAAAACATCTGAATCTATATCCGAGGAACCACCGCCCGGCGACAAGCCCGAGACTGTTGAAAGCTTGGATTTGAAGGAGCTCGAGGGGTCATCTGTGATGGCACCCATCGCTGTCGATTCGTCAACCAACGGCGACTCAAAATATGCTAGTGTGGACATCCCTTCCCGCCCACCTTCTCCCCCACAGGCCTACCAGGCCGCTCCACCAGCTCCGGATGTTGATAGTGACATCGAGAAAGGGTCTCTGCTATCCGAGGATCCGGAAGATGAAGACGCAATTCCGGAGTGGCTCATGTGATAAGACTTTATCTACTTTATCCATAGAACAAAGACGAAATGGACTGTATTCGAGTCATCAAGGAAAATCGCTTCTTACACTTGGGAGGAACTCCTCATGCCTCTTTCCCAAGAAGTTTACAAAAGTATGCCGAGCGCATAAGATACAAAACATCACAATCAATGATTTGGAAATGAAACACCCCTCGTAAGCAAAATAGGCAACACTGCCCTAGGACAAACTTGAATAGATCAATCTAAATCCGTCACGTGGGCGTGCGCAGACGGGCGACGCGTCGACGCGGTACGCCTCAGGCAGCAGTTTCCAAACGTCATGGTCCCGATCCGTGGCTCTTGTCAAGCTTATTCTGCGTGTGCTCATATATTCTCAGTGGAAGCTGCGATGAAACACCACCAGAGGCCCGATAAAGCGTCAGAAACACCCCGCGATCAATATCGAACCCCGAAGCGACCCAGTGCCCAGCCATTATCCAGTTCCTCGAAAAGTACCACATCGAAGCGCAAAGCGTCTCCGAGATTGTCACTATCTGGGCGGCCGTGGAAACGAACTTCCCTACCAAATTCATCTCGAGAACAGTCTACACTTACTCAGATCGACTTTGTGACCCAGACCCCATGCTCGAACCACGACGAGCTCGACTACATCGATGAAAATGGGGTGGGTGGAAAAGCACTCGGAGCAGCCGAATCTGTGCACATAGGCGACGAGTCTGGTGACGATTCCGACTACCGACTACCTCCGCAAGTCCGATCAGGCTTTCCAAACCTCGAGATTAAAGACGACCACACAAAAAGGCGAAGAAGGAGCGCCGAGGTTCCTCGAGTGCCCGAGCGAGGCAGTATCCTTAAGAAGAGCCAAAAGCCTAGGCCGAGCAATGGCAGAGGGAAACGAAAGTCTACCGACAAACCACCGCCAAAGCGCGATAAGACCCTTACACAAATGGACTTCGTGCGGCGCTATATCACAATCGATGATGATGACGATAATAACGTGAACATGAAATATTTACAGCCGGCTCCTCAGAAAGTCTCAGGAGAGGGTGGTCAGCAGGCAGAAACGGCAGGAAACCAGGGAATCAAGACTCAGCTCCCCTCGACCTCTACAAAACGCACGCGCGGGGTCGTTGAAGAAGAAATAGACCTATCCACGGGCGAGCTGATATCTCAGCCGGGTGAAACGCAAAATACCAGCAAACAACATGACACCCAAGATCCTCCCAAATCCGATATTCCAATCACGCCGCGAAAACCGAGGAGGCTTGAAATTCCGTCTTCGCAGTCACCAGAAAGTCCAGGGCTGGCAATAATCACATCATCTCAGTTTCGGAGTGCAACACATTCGCCGCAGAAAACTATGCGATCAAACATTGCACATCCTGATAATTGCATCAAGAAAGAATCTCCAAGTTCATTAGGGGCCGCCGACGGCTCCCTAGATCAAGATCGCTCAATTCAGGACAAGCCCCCAACACCAAATCTACCTACCGGGCACGATTTTCTTAACCGACAACCATCGCTATCCACAGGCAATGCGACTTCCCGCGCACTGTTTGCAGCAATAGTATCCCAGGAACTGCCGCCAAGAGAGGATGAACCCCAACCTGAGCGTACTCAACGCGAAAGAATCGTAGTTTACGAAACAGATGCGGAAACAGACAATGACGAATTTGAGGATGACAGTGAGAATGAACCGGGTACTCCATCTCGACCATGTGCCCCGCTGGGCGATTCAAATGAGGCTCAAATCAGACCGCAATCGCCGAGTGATGACTCTCAATATCTTCCTCTGCCGGGCCCTCAATCTTACGACGACCCAGACTCTGCACATACCTCCGAGGCTCCGATGTCAGATGCATCGTTGTTCTATCAAAGAGTGCAGCCGGCAACTCAATTCCCACATGAACCCATTCCCACTTTGAACACACAAAAACTCTCCGAGCTATTCCCCAACGAAGGGAGCACACAACATCCTCGACGAGGAACCGCAAACCATATTCCAAAACATCCTGTTCTGTCTTCCCAGACTCAACCGCAAAGCCAAGAAACGGATCAGATTGAACTCGTGCCCGAGTCATCCCCTGCTCGGGACCAGGAGAACAGTGTGGATGCTGGAGGGGCTGGCTTTCAGCGACCTCAGCCCCTTGGGTCAGTGGTCCAGGTCGAGTCATCTCAACCAGTTGACCGTGGTCACAATGGCGGGGGAGTATCATCGCGCAGTCACCTTCTGACTTCCAGCGTGATGGAGAGTATTCCCCTCCCCAATTTCTGGATGGGGAGCCAGGACAGTGTAGGGGAGCCTTATAGTCTCCCTGAACGGTGATATACCTAGATACCCCTGAGCTTATGTATCTGAATTAGCGACAATCTTTTGATTTTTTCTCTCTTGCAATTCAACTATATGTGGTTTATTGGTACGTAGTTTGACGTACAGTTTTTTAGATTTCGGGTCAAGCACGGGATGAGCGGGGGCGGTCGGGCCGCCGACCAACGCGGAGGTGCAACCTCCATTAATGTTTCGGTTTGGGACTTGCTTTCCTCTCCGTCCACCTCACCATGGATTTCGCGTACGACCATATACAGGAAGAGATCCTCACCTCGAACAAGGACGAGGCTTCTTCTGAATCGAATAATGAGAGGTCCAACAGCAACCTCAACACCGAGCTCCAAGAAACCTTCCGCGCCTTTTCCGCTAGTCCGTGGGGTACCCGAATCGGAGGACTCTGGGACAATGTACGCAAGCAGGGAGAAAGCTACTACGAAGGAGCTCAAAAGGAATACACTGCTGCTAGCGAGGAAGCAGTGAAGGGGTTCTCGGACCTGCGGGACAGCATTGTTGATCGCACAAAGGGGCTGTCTCTCAGCACAGTCGGGCTCACAGGTGGCAATGAAGGACAAAAGGATGGAGGTACTACACCCACAGCTGCAACAGAAGGAGAGTCCAAGGAACAATCGCAGGAAGCTGGTGCTAGCGGAGAGGGTTTTATTTCACGCTTCAAGGCTGAAGCCGCCCGGCGATTCAAGGAAATCGAGAAGGCCGAAGAGGCCGCCGACGAAGCAATCATGCGGTTTGGCCTGAATATTAGCCAGAAGCTGCGCGAGGCTGTGAGCATTGTTCCACCGGAGACTGATGATTCTGGCAAGCTTCTCTTCGAGAGTAAGGACGCCGACGGCAAGCGAGTCATTCATGCGACTCGGTTCGAGGCCCAGCTCCACGTCATCCACTCCAACCTGGACAGTTTCACCATAGACCCTGTTAGCGACAAGTTTCCCGAGTTTAAGGAGAATTTCAACGTCGAAAGCAAAACCGATGAAATCGCCACCGATTTGCAGAAGTACCCCGAGCTGCGATCGGCCATGGAGAAGCTTGTCCCGGAGCAGGTGGAGTATGCAGAGTTCTGGACTCGTTACTATTTCCTTCGTCTCGTCATTGAGACGGAGGAGAAGAAACGCAAGGAGCTTCTGAAAGGTACGTTAGATCATTGACCAGTTACTTTGTATGTCGTGCCGCGTACACTAACTCTCGCTCTTACCTACAGGCGCTAATGCTGAAGATGAAGAAGAAGTTGGCTGGGATGATGACTCCGGGACCGAGTCCGAATCCCCCTCCACTCCCCAGGTTCGCGCTGGCAATCAGAATCTCGCCGCCAAGGATATTCGGAAGGCTGAGCCTCGCCGATCCAATGACCAGCACTCCCAGGCTGACAGTGAATCAAGCTACGATGTCGTGAGCGGGACTGCCAGCCGGACTCCTGGGAGCCCCAAAGAGAAGAGCCCGACTACCCACGCCAAGGCGGTTGACAGTGATGAGGATTGGGAATAATCTTCTATGCCCAAGACCTTAGGCAAGAACTTATGAATTAAGTCCTCTTAAGCGTGTTCCCAGGGTCAAATGTTGTTTCTCCAAGGCGAAAAATGGCCTTTTGCCCTGGTTGTGATATTTGCGTCGCTTATTTTGCCGGAGTTGGGCCGTTACTGCTGGTTCATTGGCGTTGTTAGGACTCTTATATCCTCATTCCCGGATTCTTTATGTTTTCGTATCTTGGCTTCAGCGATCGATGCCCTGTATTGCCTTTTCCACCTGTGCCTATCTGTTTGTACTCAAACCTGCACATGATTCGCTCTATTCACATACCATTCTGCTGACATTAAGTGTACTCATTGTGTCTTACTTTGTTTGATCGCGCCTATAAAGTTTGATCTCTCGTTGATTCTTATTGCTGCTGTTACTTAGTCGGGTAGCCACAAGTCTCTTCAATGGACCGTCCTGTCGTCCTCGGACATAATCATACAAGCTCACGACGATCCCATACTTCAATCTAACGTTCCAGATCCAGCATCTTCCTTCGGGACATGACCAGCCTTCTTCGCCAATGGTGAGCTGTGCCTCGAGCTCGCGTCATCTATATATGCAGGTGTTACACCTCTCAAACCGCTTGGGCGCATCGCAGGTGAGCCCCTACGCTGTGGTGTCTCTGGCGTGTTGTCGCGGGAACGTAGCTGGAAACCTCGAGACCCTCCCCCGGGTGAGTAGAGCTCATCATCTTCTCGTGGGTAGGCTGAAGGACTACCAGGTCCCCATCCGTACTGATAGTCCTCCCCGCGGTGCTTGACCGGGCTCTCATCATAGGGATCCCATCCCACGCGACGACGTGCTTCAGAACGCAGACGCTGGCGATGTTGCTCGTCGCCACCGGCACCAGTCGAAGATGATTCTTCAAGGAAGAAGTTAAGAAGTTCATCACTGATTGAAAGATGAGACTGCTGTTGGAATTGTTGGAGGGAGGTAAGACGGAGGAGGGTCTCGAGTAGCGAGAGCGATGTGCGGATATGTTCAAATAATGGATTGGAAACTGTGGTCGTGGCTGGGGCGGGGTTTGATGATGTCGTTGCGTGAGAGATATAGTGGCGGCCCCCGGGAGAGGGTGATTGGGATGGTGAATGCTTTTCGTCTTTCAGGGACAACTTCGCCATCAGATTCTGATCAATGGAGCTTTCTAGCGTTGGCTCTGCTTCGGACTCGGTGTCTGAATCCTCGTCTTCATTGTAGACCTCCAATGCGATCCATTCTGGGTCTAACCCAGAAGGTAGTCGCCATTCTTCAGGAATTGATTCTTCATGCAAATAATTGAAATTGGGCTGTTCCGAGGAGCTGCCACCATTCAACTGTGCATCCAGCTGCTCTTGTTCTTCATCTACCAATCCCCCTTCTTCTGTTTCCGAGGCAAAGTTATTCTCGACATCCTCACGTTCCATCATACGACGAGGTGGTAGAGCATTCAAATCTCTCTTGAGTAAAAGGACGGGGTTGTTCGTCTCCCCTTCAGTGCTGATGTTGAGAATCCTGCCTGTGTCGGCGTAGAAGATTTTGGAGATTTGATGAATCGGGAGAATCTCTCTGATACCGGCCGTAGCAACCCCCTCAAAGCTGTGAGGCTGAGGCTCATTGTCCTCAAATGTGTGGATTCTCCCATCGTCTATGTCCTCAATGATCAAGACTTGATAAGCATATTCGTCAACACCTGGCGGCGCTGGAAACTGTGATGACTTTGTTTGATCCTCTGATGAGTAGAGATTCATTGGAACGCGTCGAAGTTTCAGTCTTGCCTTGTGCATAACCTCTTTCCATGTTGCCTCACGAATGGATTCCTCATCATGGAGACGGAGGTGGCTGGCGAAGAGCATGTACATCGAAAGCGTAAATGTCGGCCCAATTTGGACCGCCTGAGACTCTAGGGTTTGCAACATCGAATATTGAGTGTCGCCAGCCGTAAGGAAAGTGCTGGCTTGTAAGAGTCGCGATGGCGACACTGTCGATGGCAAATTTGTGGATAATTTGGCCCCAGAGGTGGTGATTGCCAGGTTCATGAGCGGAACAGCATCCTCGATACGGGCAAGTAAGTTTTTGATGTCTTTGATGATAAACTTAATTTCCGCCTCGTTCTTCGGTCGCTCTTTTGAGGACTTCGAGCCTTTTCGCATAGCTTCTTCAGACGCCGCGGCTTTTGCCAATCTTTGACCGAGGGCCTGAATATCCCATCTTAGGGATTTGGTAAGGGCGACCGCGGATTCGAGAGATGTGTTCCCACGAGCAGCACTACATATAATTGTCAGCCACTGGGCGTACATAGCTAATTTCAATCCTTCCAAGTGACTCACATGAGTTCAATCATATCAATTGACGGAGAGATAACCTGCGTTGCACATCAGTCAAAAGCCAACGCGTCGAGGATCGATGATCACACAGACCTGGATCTTGCTTTCAAGGCGCTGTTGCAAGGATAGGAGTTCTTCACGGTCCTCGCCATCGACATTCTGATTAACAAAAGAGATGTCAGCAAACTTCCGCTCTGTATGTGGCCGCCAGAACAGACTGGGCATACCTTGAGCAAGCGCGATGATTGGCGCATGGCATAGGTTGCCGTGATAGCAATTCCCGAGCTATATAGATTTCTCAGCCCTCTTTCATGTCATTCGAGAATTTTCGAACTTACCGAATGGCATAGTTCATCGCCTGCTGGGTCAGCTGCTCGTTATAGATGCCATTAGCGGACTGCCACACAGTTTATCAGGTCGATGGTATCAGCATACACGTGTCAAGAGGACCTCCATTTTGAAACAGCGTTCGCTTGAATACTTCAGACCACGTCAACTCGATTCGGCTGGTAAGGGCCCCTGAGGAACAAGCATGGAGGGGCTTATCGATAACCGTGTCGTGCCCAACGATTAGAGAGTCACAAAGTGGAGCCCAATCCCAACGATGAATTGCACGCCACCAGGAACGCGACACAGATAAACCATAGACTGTCCAGGCATCCAGCTGATTAGAAAAAATATCCCATCCGTCAAGAAGAGGACGAGAAATCTGACCTCCGGTCACTTTGCATATCAAACACGTGACACCATCGCGGGGTGCTGACTCAGCGGTGCAAAATCAAAAACGCAGGGCCCCTCATTGTTTAACCTCCACCCTCGACTCTCGTGTCGCTTGCACCGTGTCCTTGATTGCGTCTCGGAATCTTTCTCACGATGTCGAACCAGACTCCCGAATCTTGGGAGGATGAGCTCTCCCGGCAGGCGGAGGGTGTCAACCTAAACGCGCAAGGCCGCCCTCAAGGTCAGGCGCCTTCGTTCCAACCTGGTGCGGCGAGCTTCCAGCCTGGCGCTGCCTCCTTCACCCCTGGTGCCTCTTCCTTTGTACCTGGACAGCAATATCAGAACTACGGCGGTGGCCAGCAGTATGGCCAGTACGGTCAGCAAGCATACGGTTACCCACAACAGGGCTATGGCCAATACGGCGCATATAACCAGCAGCCCGGTGGTTACAACCAGTACTATAACCAGCAGCCCGGTGGCTTCCAGCAGCAGCAGCAGCAGCAGCAGCAGCAGCCCCGTCAGAATGCGCCCGTTGCTCCTCAACAACCTGCCCAGTCTGCCCCCAAGTCCGCCTCGAATACCTCCGCCGCCCCTCCCAAGGCAAAGGTTCTGTCCATCGGCGCCACCTCCTCCAGCGCTGCTCCCAAGACCAAGGTGCTCTCGATCGGAACCCCTACCCCCGCCCCCGTACCCTCCCCCCGCTCAGACCTCGTCGGATTCCACGAGCAAGGGTGACTCGATGGGCACTGCGGCTGCCGATGCTGGCGCCAAGGTGACCGCTGCCAAGGCAATTGAGAAAACCGAGAAGAAGGCCGACGCAAAGACCGCTTCTAGCGGCCAATCTTCCCCCACCGCCTCTGGTCGCTCCAGTCCCGGTCGCTCCAGCCCTGCTCGTGGTGAAGTAGCCAAGGCAGCTCGTGCTGCTGATGCTGTGGCCAAGCAGCAGGCGGCTGATGTCGATGAGGCAACCCTGAAAGAAATCTATGGTGAGAGGCGAGAGCATATCAACGTCGTGTTCATTGGCCACGTTGACGCTGGCAAGTCCACCCTGGGTGGTTCTTTGCTGTACTGCACTGGCATGGTGGATGACCGGACTCTGGACAAGTACAAGAAAGAGGCCAAGGAGGCGGGTCGTGAGACCTGGTACCTGTCATGGGCTCTGGATTTGACCAACGAGGAGCGTGCGAAGGGTAAGACTGTTGAAGTCGGCCGTGCATTCTTCAAGGTGACTATCCCCCATCCGGATGGCCCCATTGAACGACAGTTCTCCATTCTCGATGCACCCGGTCACAAGTCCTACGTTCCTCATATGATTGGAGGTGCATCTCAGGCCGACCTGGGCTGTCTCGTTATCTCTGCCCGTAAGGGTGAGTACGAAACTGGCTTCGAGAAGGGTGGTCAGACCCGTGAGCATGCTCTTCTTGCCCGTAACACTGGTGTCCAGAAGCTGGTCCTCGTCGTTAACAAAATGGACGATCCAACTGTCGAATGGAGCAAGGCTCGTTTCGACGAATGCACCGTCAAGGTCATTAAATTCTTGGAGGCTCTCGGCTACAAGAAGAGCGACATCTTCTGCATGCCTATATCGGCTCAACGCACTATCGGCATCAAGGATAGGGTGCCTAAAGACCTCGCTCCTTGGTATGACGGTCCGTCTCTTCTTGAGTTCCTGACGGACTTCAAGCTTCCTGAGCGTAAGATCAATGCTCCTTTCATGATGCCTATCAGCGCCAAGTACCGAGACATGGGTACCATGGCCGAGGGCCGTATTGAGTCAGGTGTCATCAAGAAGAACGGCACTTATATCATGATGCCCAACAGCACCGAGGTCCAGATTTCTGCTCTCTATGGCGAGACCGAAGATGAAATTCCGAATGCTACCTGCGGTGACCAGGTTCGTCTGCGTCTGCGTGGCGTGGAAGAAGAGGATTTCTTCCCCGGTTTCGTACTCTGCTCGCCTAAGCGCCCTGTCCACTGTGTGTCTGCCTTCGAGGCCAAGATTCGTATTCTAGATCTCAAGAGTATTCTCACTGCCGGTTTCAACTGTGTCATGCACGTTCACTCCGCCATTGAGGAGGTTACTTTCGCCGCTCTCCTGCACAAGCTCGAGCCTGGTACCGGCCGCAAGAGCAAGCGCCCGCCCCCTTTCGCGAACAAGGGCCAGACAATTATTGCCCGTCTCGAGGTCACCAGCACTGCTGGCGCAGTCTGCGTCGAACGTTTCGAAGACTATCAGCAATTGGGACGTTTCACCTTGAGAGACCAGGTATGTTTACTCTTTGTTCATCATTTCTTGCTGGACCATTCAATTTTCTAACAGACGTATGTAATCTAGGGCCAAACCATTGCTATTGGTATGATCACCAAGCTTATTCAGTCCGAAAATGGAGAGTAAATCGTGGCTGCTTGGAAAAAATATAGCGGAATGTGCATATTGCCATGATGCGGGAACGAACATCTAAAGAGGATACCAGCACCGAGTCTATGGTCGTTTCTCAAACTCTCATGCAAATCTGCCAGGTTTGAGCAGAGCCTCTGAACAAGGAGTTTTGATGGGCAGAGGTCGGGCGATGATATACCCAAAAGCGTCCGCTTCAACTTGACGATTATGAACCTGTTTACCCCTCCCATATAGACATTTTTGCTGTCCTTCTATTCACGAAAGCGGTCAAACTTGCAGTGCCGTACGTATATTCCCGTAATACTATTTTCTACCTTGGAGTGTAGCGTAGTAAGCTTGCATTCCCATCTGCATCAAATTGTCTAAGTATGTAAAGCAGACGAATCCATGTGCTATATCCACTCACCCCCACTAGAGGAGCCATAAAACAGAAGCAACATTATGAAAGAGAATCTGCCCTCGGGGCTGTTTTTTCTGTTTACCGCTTCTTCTTCACCATAGTGAATCCGTCCTCATCCACCTCTGGCTCAGCTTTCTCGCGAGGCGCCCGAACCAGAGCAGGGGCCTCTCCCATCTCGACATCCTCGCCCTCGGAGTCGTCCTCCTCACCATCAGTCTCCTGATCCTCGTCCCGCGCGTCAACCTCCTTGAACATGCTCGTCGCCGTAGACTTCTGCTGGCTCTTCTTCTGCCAGGTCTCCCACAACTCTTGGATAGCGCCGAACTCTCCCTGTGTTGTCTGTTCCCTGAATTCCATAATCTGAACCGCCACGTTTCCAGCGCTCTCGTCGTCCACAACTACATCGAACTCGTCGTTCATAACCTGGATCAAGACATCCTCCAGATCCTCAGCGTCGGTTTCGGGTCGGTCACTCAGCATTTCAGAGATGGCGCCACAGAGCCAGTCGCGCTTGTCGCTAGAAGTGGGACCACCCCAATTTGACTGGACAGCTAATGTGAGAGCAGGCCAGCTGTTCAGGGCAAGTGTAATGCCCAGGTCGAGGTATGAGGCGGCGTCCGTGGCCGGAGCAGCGGTTGTTGATTGCGCATCCATTGGGAAATGCGGCCAATCGTTACCCCGCGGAGTTGGTGGGGAGATAGAGTAAAAATCGAAAGCGAGGCAAGCTGACCAGAGCTATCAAAGAGACAGCTACAGAATATCAGATGAAGGGATCGTTGCGGAATATCGAAATGGAAATTTTGGTCAATCGAAGGGGGAATGTAAAACCAGTATCACGCTCATCTCGTGCGCCAATTGACCAAAATTTTTTGGATTCCGCGATTAGATATGATAAGCCTGGTCATGTGACCCTATCAACTACTCAGTCTGTTAGCGGAGGCCGTCTCTCATTTATCAATTAGTCATCAATTGGATGGATTGAGTTGGAATTTGCCGGGTTCCAGCTGAGCGATACTCAGAAAAAGTTGAACAGTACTCAGAAGAATTATGACTAATCGTGAGTACTGCTCAGCTTCCACACCTGAGCGATACTCAGGATTTTCTAGGTCGTATAAATGAAAGTAATTCACTATAATAAAAGGCATAGAATATAAAGAATATTCGCAAAAGCCTCAAACAGGGGTAAATAAAGATTTTCTTCCGCTAAAAAGGATTATATGTAGTAATATAAAATCCTGAGTATCGCTCAGCTGGGTGCCCGGAATTTGAGCTCCAAATTAGATTGGAGGCAACAGAAAGGCAAAAAGTCTAAAAAGTTATCTCCGATAGGGGGAATCGAACCCCCCGGCTGCCGTGTGAGAGACGGCGATGTTAGCCACTACACCATATCGGATGCGCTATGAATTTAGTTCTAATTATTACTACTAATATTCTAACACAACTTGTTCCATGCATCTCGGACGTGGTTCTATAAAGAACCCCCCTCAACGCGTCGCACCCTTTGGCTTGTCGATGTTTTTCGCCCGCCCGCTTCTCAGCTCGCCTCTGCCAGTGAGGTATTTTTCTTATTGATCCGGATCACCGAGTTCCGCTCACCCCCGCTCACCCCCCTCATGTTCCTTGTTCCACTGCGCCCCCTGCGAATCCGTCACCTCAAATGTCAACCGGCTGGTCCATTATGGAACTTCCGCGCAAACGAGATGCGTTCCCCCTACTCTCTCTGGACGATCACCTTTGCACAGTGGGGCTCCAAATCTGCCTCGAGGACGCATAGGTCGAGTCAGAGCCTTGCTCGGCTTGGCTGATAGCGCTCACGCTGTCTTGGAACCGAGGACGACCGCGAACTGCTCAGCTTATTTGACGACCAGACTGTCTCGGCCGTGATTCGCGTCGGCTAGTGGTTCCGGAGTTTGCATGAGTTTACGAGACGACCTGATTGACACTCCGTCCTTTCGCGATGATCGCAAGATTTCACGACGGCTATATCGAGACTCCACGACGGTCTCTTGTATCTGATCGTGGAAACCACAAGGCGACGCTTTGTACCGCCTGCAAATATCCGAGGAGCGACGAAGATTATTGGATCGAGCCCCAATCCCCCATATTCCTCTCCTACCCGAGCTATTACGGGGGACGCCAATGCTCCTGAAGGGTTTGCCAGCATCCCTCGTCCCGGGTGTCTCAAATGCGCATATGGCATTGTTGGCTGCATGGGAATGGATCGATTGGTATATGAGAACAGATGAAAGGACGACCCAGGTTCCAATTCGTTGAAAACACTGTTGGACCACTTGATGTTGGCTCACTGCGTTTCGTCTTCTCTACTGGGCGATAGAACGACTGGCAAACAGACCTCACTCGGCCTCGGGAACTACCTGCTTGAGTAGACGGTGCGTAGACATGCAGCTCTCCGGAAATAACAACGTATCTACACCGCCTCTGTCCCCCAGTGCACCTTGTCCTAACGATGGGCCACCGAGAGCTAAGCAATCCCAGGAGCTGTGCATAAGCTCCAAATCACGCACGAATCCTGTTACTCAGGCATCCCCCGATGCCCGACAAGAACCAGTTCACCTGCTCAGGGAGCAAGGGTAGACACTGAAACCAAACTGGCACAGGAACGCGGGAAACGGCTACCAATTTCCCGCCCCAAGGCTTATGATTTGACTTCGCTTTAGTGGAGGATAGGTGAGTTGAATCAGGTTAGGTCTGATAGCACCATAGAGATTACAGAAGCCTCCCCACTTTCCTGTTGAGGTATGATATGCCGTCTGAGAACAGCATTGTGTCGTCAACAAGTCCCATAACCACCAACGTACGAGGGGTGGTAAAGGCACAGCGGGCATTGTTTTATAATCCTTAATGTGATCTATTCCAATTGATTGTTCACCTGTGATGAAGAATCTTCCATTTTATGATATTGTATGCTGATGCCTGACGGCCCCGGGCGAAGTTGTCCGTGCGTCCACTTGTCACTTCGCGGCAATGTATGCAGCTGAGCGGATCCTCTTCAAATCCCGAGCGGTAGAGTAGTCGAGTGTTTGGACGCGCTAAATTATTGAGTGCCCACGATCTATGCCGATCCATGCGGCCCGGACGAAGACGGACCCTGAATCCCTAATTTCCACACCCCCTGGAGCAATCTCTCAGCCTCATCCTTTCCTTTTCTTCCTCTGGGGGCCAAGGAAGAAATCCGGTTAAACCGCTGTTTTCCTCTATGCTCTCTCATGCAAATATGAGCACCTGGTAAGCCATTTCCCTTGCTTTGATCCTGGTAGACACTGCAGCTAACCGTTCCATAGAACTACCACTCCCACAATCCAGCCCATGAATGCGTGCCCAACATGACCTCCGCGCGCGATAACCTCGGCCCCCTAATAACCCCTTTCACCCGCCCTTCGACCTGCGCCTATGTTGCTCTGGGTTGTTCCACATGCTCCGAGGCCTGGCAAGCGCAAACATGCAGCGATAATGGAGGCGAGGGTGATGCCCAGGATGACCCTGACTGCTGGCCCCCGCGCATCAATGGAAACCTTTTGACAAGTGTCCCCTTCATGGGCGGTGGGTTTTATTCACCAGGCATCTCGTGCCCAGTCGGATATATATCTGCATGCTCGGCGACAGGAGAAGGACATACAGGCTATTCGTTTCAATATGCTTTGCTAGTGAGTGAGACTGCTGTAGGGTGTTGTCCAAGGTATCGACCACGAAAACCCCAGACTACCACATGGAGAATGAGAGACTAATCTTCAACAGTGGTTACACCTGTGGCTACGTACCGTATGGCAATGCTAGTGCCCAGACCTGCGTCTCTGAAGTCTCTACTGGGGAATTCTCTGCAATACAATGCTACGGTTCAACAAGCGTCTTGACCCAGCAGACTATACCCGCTACTGTTGCTGCGTCTGAGACTGTCACCACGTCCTACACGACACCAAATGTCATTGTGCAGACCATGACAATCAAAGCCCCTCTTTTTCAGATCATCCACCAATCCACCGACCTGCCAAAATCCATGTCAACTATATCAACAACGCAGACGTCACAGCCAGGCACTTCCTTGTCGACCGGCGCGAAAGCCGGAATTGGTGTTGGTGCTGCCGCAGGAGGTCTGATCCTCATCGGAGCCGCCCTGTTCCTGCTTTATTGGAGACGAAAAAGGGATCAACGGCTATTTAACCCGGTCGCTGATGAGCCCCATGATCTAGCAGATGAACCCCATGAACTAGCAACAGATACATCCAAGGCGGAACTTCCCGGTCATGCAATTCCAGTAGAGGTGGATGCATTGAAGGCTCGCCTGCCGCCTGCTGAGCTTGGTTGAACCGGTTGGAAACTTATGTTTACAACGGAGAGTCGATTTGTATAGCTTCCTACGCGTGGCCCGCACATATTTTATCTGGAAACACATTTGTGTTAAATACCCGCAGCATGTCTGCAAGTACAATCAAATATTAATAATCTGGAATTTTGATGATCTCTGATATGGATCCTTTGAATATCTGAATAGCAGAAGCCGTTTCTCGGCCCTAAAACCCCAATAGTAGAGTGTAAGGCAACAGGCCAGACCAATTCCTAACAGACAGTATCCTGAATCAACTCGATTCTCCTTCTCAATTATCCTGCTAGCTACGGGACTATTGTTATTAAACTAAAAGTCATCATATCTTAGCTATCGTGGTTGTATCACAGCGACAAGCCCCAGATCTCTCCCCACCGCAATCTCCCGCGCAGGCTATTGGGGCCCCATGATCCAGAATTTGCTTCTTATACTTATTGGCCTGGCCGAACAGATACATGCATGTATCTACCTACGGTACGCTGCAAGGGACCAATGGCTCCCACATTGCATGCAATATATCATCGCACGTTACTTCGGTTGCTCAGCATATGCAGTTGCAGTGAAGTAATATTTTTCCCCTCCCACCTAACAGGGGAAGGATCCCCATACTCAAGCGCACCAGACAGACCCCTGTTAAATATACCGCCATGGTCCCCCGTAAACTGAGGCCATCCTATTGATTTTCGTTCCCCGCGTTGTCTGCTCACAATGGTAAAATTGCTTGAGACACTCGGCCTTGCTGCCATTTCTACTTTCCTGCTGCAGGGTCAATATCTAGGAGTGAACGCCCAAGGAGTTTCCAAGCGGGGATGGACTCGGCGGTGCTCGCTTTAGGCAAGGATCGGGTGGTGGTAGATGTGGACGTGGACGTGGTCGCTGTTGCTGCTTGGACGCTGAACCCGAGGAACCGCCGCCAGCAGTTGAGTGCAATCCCCAGTGTGACACTCAACGTCCCATTTTGAAATGGGATTGAACTCTCCTTCTAAAAATATCTAGGTCCCTCTGCCCACCAACAGGTCCTCAGTGCAATGGTCGAAAATTCAAACAATTCTGTGGTATTCGTATGCGTCCCTCAAATTAATTTAATACCCTGACAGGCTGTGTTTGCTGACTCCAGCAGACGTCGCAACGGACACGCTTCGTGAATTCGCTGTTTCAAGCTATCAGGAGTGCTTCCAGCCCTGAATTGACGATTCTCAATGCAAGTCTCTGGATTATATGAATAACTATTGCTGGCTGAAGGAGCAGGGAGTGGACCCGCCTCTTAAGATAATGCCAAACAATCAGGATATTAGCATCATTTTCCTCCCTTGAATACCAGACCGGCTTGGGACTGCCCTCTGAGACTTATTCAGTCATCTCGGCCATATCTTCCACTACGACTATTTCCAAGGTTTACCAAGGCCTAGGCGGTCATTTATCTTGTTAGATAAGATCTTTCGTATTTCGATTCGTGTCTATCTCTGATACTCCGCGGAAAAATAAAAGCTCATTTCAAGGTGAACAGACTAAACCAAGGTCTATGACGAGGTATGAAAATAGGATATTGGAATTGAAATGATGGAACCCTCTTCCCCCCTTGGAAGGGGGGCCTGCAGCATGGTGTATCATTGGCTATTTCCACTTTGTCTTGTCTTACTTCTTAGAGAGGAGACAGTGCAGCATAGACCTAGCTGGACTCGCGAGCACCCGCTCGCAGGTGGGGCCGGACGATCCGCGGAGACTCGGAGGGGCAATACTCAAAAAGTTAGCCCTGTAGATCCCTAATGCGGGCCAACTATCCGTAAAGTACGGGGCTATCGTAGGGTAATACCACTAGTCTTTTCTAATGTAGTAGCTCCGCCGCGACAATGCCACTATCTCTGATTTCAAACGCAACATACTTGTTGATCTTTCACAGTCACCCTATTTTATCCGATATCGGCTTGCCTGTTGAAGCGGTTGAGTTTGCAGCGTTTGAAAAGTTCGCGTAGCCCTTACCCTTCAACGCCTTGTGCGTGTACGTAGACCGTCAACCATAGAATACAAATGCCGTATTTTCCGAAGGGGACGGACCTGAGCGGGCCAAATAGCGATTCATTAACCATTGTCCTAAAACTCAGGTGGACTTATTTTAAAAGGCCAGTGCGACGTGCATCAATAACCTAGAAAAACCCCTCTCATCGACATGTTGTTGAAAATCAATTCAGGCAGTATAACATAAATAGTACAATTTTGTGTCCTTATCGCCTCGGTCATCTAGATGATGCCCAGGTGAAGGTGGCCCGAATGGCCGGCTAGAAGTCTAGAGTTAAACTTTCTTCATAAGTGATCTTTAGCAGAAAGTTTTCTCTTGCGCCACATTGGATGCCTTTGACGTAATACTGATATCTTGAAGCACAATAACGTAGCTAAGTATTTTTCCTTTCGCAGGACTTTGTACCTCACTGAGAGATGGACTACGTCCGTGCAGCCGCAATTTCACAACTAGGTTGAGTTGTCCTTGGAGGCGATGCAGGATACTCAGCGGAGACGAAGAATCAATTAATTTAACTAACAAAAGAGTAAAGTGGGTTCTCGATGAATCGGCCCATTCTTGATGGTACGTTACTCCTCAAAATATTTCGACACATTCCCAGACGACCGCAACCTACCCGGAGAAGCAGTGTCTAGGTTTTGCCTGACGATCAATGTCAGAGATACGCTCGAAGAACAAGATCCAAGATCCCCTGCACAAGATGGAAGTCAGAATAATTAGCGCCAACATTGGTCCCTGTTTTTTAATGACCGACCCGGACATCGAAGATATCGATGACTTCATGAACGAGCACATAAACTCCGCCATCCGAGACCCTTGATCCGGGGGAAGGGGAAGGGGCAATTTAGCTGGTCGCACTGTCCAGATCGGGATATGCAGCTCACATAATCGGACGGTTCGTGTAGTAACCATCATCTTATTGGGAAACCAACTCCGTTTTCGCGACCGGATGCCATCGGACTTAAGCAGATCGTCGGCACAGCCGTCTTCCGAGCCCCGACGGTCATGGTCTCTCTGATGCTATGATGTTTGACGTCATTGCTGCACATCCTGAATTACTGTCATGTTCTCTTCCACCTCAATATTAACCAGCTTCGTCTCTTTCTCTGATCACCTTGAGTACATCGGACTTGCAATTCCGGAACCAACTTGTCACTCACAAACCATCCTTCGGGAGCACGCGACAGTGTATCGCGAATGGTGTTTTAGAGTTGCGATATTGCCATTGTCGCAGTCGCAGAAGTCAACATGAATCAAAATCAGTCCGTCGATAGCGAAACAACTTTAGGAGTCCGACAAAATGCAAGCCCCTCATCCGAATCTATTCCCGCCAGTGCCAGTTCAGCTTCCCGGTCGAACGCGTCAGAGAATTTTGCTCCAATACAAAGTGCAACTTCCAGGGGACCCGATGGATATAGCGAAGGCGAAAATTTGAATGATGCGCAGCTCGCTAAGACTTTATCTCAACGACGCAGCTATGCTTCTGGTCATGAGGGCGAAGAATGGGCGCAGATCGAGCGACTTATCTCGCGTATGTTCGGACACGAGCGGAAGGCTAATTCAGAAGAAGAGAAGACTCGACACGCTGGAGTCGTGTGGAAAAATCTCACAGTGAAGGGCTTGGGCCTGGGGGCAGCTCTCCAACCCACCAATGGGGATATATTTCTTGGCCTACCAAGACTTATCAAGAGACGGTTGACCCGCGGGAGGAAAGGTGCTGGAGCTGGTAAGCCAGAGATACGGACTATCTTAAACGATTTCACGGTATAAATCACCCATTAACATGTCGTCACATATCTCTCTGACTGTTCATTAAAGGGTTGCGTGCGCCCTGGCGAGATGCTCCTTGTTCTAGGCCGGCCCGGGTCAGGATGTTCAACCTTCCTGAAAGCGATTGGAAACCAAAGATATGGCTATGAAAGCATCGATGGGGATGTGAGATACGGAGGAACCGATTCTGTGACTATGGAGAAAAACTATCGCTCAGAAGGTGTGTGCCGCCGAGTTCTCATGGAACGCGTTGCTAACATGAATAGTCTCCTACAACCCCGAGGACGATCTTCACTATGCCACGTTGACTGTGAGAGATACTTTGCTGTTTGCTCTTAAGACCCGAACTCCGGATCAGCAGTCGCGTATTCCTGGAGAAAGTCGAAAGGATTACCAGCAGACATTTCTTACCGCAATCGCCAAGCTGTTCTGGATAGAGCATGCGCTGGGAACCAGAATTGGAAATGAGCTGATACGTGGAATTTCCGGCGGGTAAGAGAACCGGTACTCCAATCTCCGTCGACTTCACTAACAAATTTCGATATCTAGAGAGAAAAAGCGCGTGTCAATTGGTGAAGCAATGGTGACGAAAGCTAGTACGCAGTGTTGGGATAATTCGACCAGGGGTCTTGATGCAAGCACAGCACTCGAGTACGTCCAGAGCTTGAGAAGTCTTACCAACACGGCCCATGTATCAACACTGGTAGCACTCTATCAAGCCTCCGAGAATCTCTTCAATCTGTTCGATAAGGTGATTCTCATAGAAGATGGAAAGTGCGCGTTCTTCGGTCGTTCTGAGGATGCGAAGGCCTACTTTGAAAATTTGGGTTTCGAGTGTCCGTCACGATGGACAACCCCCGATTTCTTGACATCAGTCAGTGATACCAACGCAAGGAAAGTTAAGCCAGGATGGGAAGATCGAATCCCGCGAACTGCCGATGAGTTTCAGGTAGCCTATCGACAAAGTGATGTTTTCAAAGCGACGCTCACGGACATCGAAAAATTTGAGGGTGAGATAGAAGCCGAAGAGCATGAGAAAGAAGCTGCCAGGAGCAAAATGCCCAAGAGGAATTATACTGTTCCTTTCTGGAAACAGGTGGCAATCCTTACCCACCGACAGTTTCTAGTTATGTTCGGTGATAGGGCCGCTCTGGCTGGGAAATGGGGAGTCGTCGTTTTCCAGTCTCTCATTGTAGGGAGCTTGTTCTACAATCTTCCTGATACAAGGTCCGTATTTGCCTGCATGCTTCGGCAATTTTTATCTGACTGATGAACCCGGCCAGCTCTGGAGTCTTCACACGAGGAGGTGTCATGTTTTTTGTCCTTTTGTTCAACGCTCTACTCGCGATGGCTGAACTCACAGCTGCATTTGAAAGCCGACCTATTCTGATGAAACACAAAAGCTTGTTAGCACAACTCAAACCAAATATGCAAGCGACACAACTGACTCATTCAGCTCTTTCTACCGACCGGCGGCATACGCTCTGGCGCAAGTCGTCGTGGACGTCCCTTTGGTATTTATCCAAGTGGTGCTGTTTGACATTATCGTATACTTGTATGCCCTCTTTAAGGTACGCTTTTTTGACCAAGCTAATCGATGCCTTCAGTATGTCGAACCTTGCACGGACAGCTTCACAATTTTTCATCAACCTGCTCTTCATTTTCATACTTACGATGACCATGTATTCTTTCTTCCGTGCACTCGGAGCTCTGTGCGCGTCATTGGATATTGGTAAGAGAGAAGCGACTATTGAAACTTTCAGATATATTTTTACTAAGTTTGTTCAAGCTACTCGGCTTACTGGAGTTGCAATCCAAGCACTCGTTGTTTACACTGGTAAGAAGGACCACTTCCCTTTTTTAGCAGCTTTCCCATTAACTTCACCATTACAGGATACCTGATTCCTCCATGGAAGATGCATCCATGGCTGAAGTGGCTTATTTGGATTAATCCGGTTCAATACGCATTCGAGGCGTTGATGGCCAATGAGTTCCATAACCTTGGGATAAAATGTGAACCGCCGTATATTGTCCCTGACGGGCCGAACACGTCCTCGTCTCACCAAAGCTGCGCGATTCAAGGTAGCAGCCCGGACACACTGATTGTACAAGGATCGGACTATATCAAAACCGCCTACACTTACTCTCGGTCCCACCTGTGGCGAAATTTCGGTATCATCATAGGTTGGTTCCTCTTTTTCGTCTCTTTGACCATGCTTGGAATGGAAATCCAAAAGCCCAACAAGGGCGGAAGCTCTGTCACGGTGTTCAAGAGGGGCGAGGCACCGAAAGCAATTCAAGAAGCAATAGAACACACTGGACCACCAGCGGATATAGAGTCGACCGAGAAAGGTGGTTCGGCTTCTGACATGAAGGATGGAGAGGCCAATCGAAAGGTTCAGCATATCGCGGAAAACACATCAATCTTCACATGGCAGAACGTGAATTATACCATTCCTTACAAAGGCGGACAGCGGAAGTTACTACAGGATGTTCATGGTTACGTCAAGCCTGGTCGACTCACGGCGTTGATGGGTGCATCTGGTGCAGGGTGGGTCTATTGCAGTTATCGATATGTTAACAACACAACGATCAGTTGCTAATTTATTCCTAGAAAAACTACGCTTCTCAATGCACTAGCCCAGCGAATCAACTTCGGCGTCATTAACGGGACCTTTCTGGTCGATGGAAGGTCAGTAGCAGATTATCATTTACCAATAAGCTCACGCTGATTTGAAGTTTGCAGACCCCTTCCAAGAAGCTTCCAGAGAGCGACCGGGTTTGCCGAGCAGATGGACATACATGAACCCACAGCCACGGTCCGCGAGTCTTTACGATTTTCGGCCCTTTTGCGACAGCCAAAAGAGGTTCCCTTGCAAGAAAAGTATGATTATTGCGAGAAAGTCATTGATCTTTTGGAGATGCGTCCAATTGCCGGCGCTACCGTGGGATCTGGTAATTCAGGGTTGAACCAAGAACAGCGGAAGCGCCTCACCATTGCAGTAGAGCTGGCTAGTAAACCAGAGTTATTGCTCTTCCTGGACGAGCCAACTTCTGGCCTCGACTCACTAGCGGCGTTCAATATTGTCCGTTTCCTCCGGCGATTAGCCGATGCGGGTCAGGCAGTTCTCTGTACCATTCATCAACCGTCTGCCGTTCTATTCGAACAATTTGACGAACTGCTTCTGCTCCAGAGTGGAGGACGGGTCGTATATAACGGTGATCTTGGGCACGATTCCAAGACAATGATTGATTACTTCGAGCGCAATGGGGGGAAGAAATGCTCGCCAAGTGCGAATCCGGCGGAGGTCTGTCTCTTAAATCTCCGCGTGTTTTGTTTATTCACTCTAACATACAGCCTCAGTATATGCTTGAAGTGATTGGTGCCGGAAACCCCGAGTACAAAGGGCAGGACTGGGGAAATGTGTGGGCCGATTCCCCTGAATCCACACAACTTTCCGAGGAACTGGAGAACATCATCAGTTCTCGTCGCAACACGCCGCAGGATGAGGCAACCAAAGACGACCGTGAATTTGCTATGCCGCTGTACGTTCAGATAGCTGCAGTGACGAAGCGTGCCTTCGTGGCTTACTGGAGGCTTCCTGATTATATTCTTGTGAGTTGTTTAATTGCTGCGGATTGCTAATACATACTAATATTTTTATCTCGCAGGGCAAATTCATGCTCCACATCTTCACGGGCCTATTCAATACCTTTACATTCTGGCATCTTGGCAACAGCTACATTGACATGCAATCAAGGCTCTTCTCCATTTTTATGACTCTGACCATTTCACCACCTTTGATTCAACAACTGCAGCCACGCTACCTGCATTTTCGAGGGATCTACGAGTCACGCGAGTCTAACTCTAAGATATACTCGTGGGTTGCATTTGTAGTAAGCACGATTCTACCAGAACTGCCGTATTCCATCGTTGCTGGATCAATCTATTTCAATTGCTGGTAAGAAAGTTCTGAAGTCTCGATAAATTCAGCTGGCTTACAATATTCAGGTACTGGGGAGTATGGTTTCCCCGCAACTCCTTCAGCTCAGGTTACGCCTGGATGCTTCTGATGGTCTTTGAATGCTATTACATTGGATTTGGACAGTTCATCGCGGCTTTTGCGCCGAACGAACTGTTCGCATCATTGCTCATTCCTTCCTTCTTTACCTTTGTCGTTTCCTTCTGCGGCGTCGTTGTTCCGTATGCTGCTCTGCCACACTTTTGGCAATCGTGGATGTACTGGCTCACTCCATTCCACTACCTGTTGGAGGGATTTTTGGGCGTTTTTACCCATCAAGTTCCCGTTCGCTGCGTTGAACGAGAAGAGGCTCATTTTAGTCCACCGCCTGGCTTAACTTGCCAAGAATATGCCGGTCCATATGCGCAAAAATCCGGTGGCTATGTCCGAGATGCTGCTAATGGTCTATGTGCCTTCTGCCAATACTCCACAGGAGATCAGTTTGTGAGTCACTGCATTTGTATTCAAGCTTATCCATCAGATGAAGACTTATACTGACCAAAATCCAAGGCCGCCAGTTTCAACGTCTTCTACTCTCATAAGTGGAGAAATTACGTGAGTCCTTTTATACTGTCCTTCGCTCTTACACAGTCTGATGCATCTTTGACAGGGGATCTTTTGGGCTTTTGTCATCTTCAACTTTGCCGTTGTTTTCCTGTTTTCCTGGATGTATCTTCATGGTGCTCGTGATCTAAAGCGTTGGCTCAGTGAGCGCAAGACAAGGAAGGGCAAAAATGTCCCAGTTTGAGATGCACACTATACGTCCCCTGTGAGCAGCTATGAAGTCGCAGGATCTTGCAGTGAGCCATGGGAGTATCTAGACAAGGTATCATTTGGCAGGACTTAATTGCATTCTGGCGGGAACCTACCTAGATATATGCGTTCATGGGTATTGTTTACGCTTTTTTCGGATGTATATAATTATACGGATGGAGGCGAACTATAAGTAAACAAATTGTAATATGGTACGACGATTGCCTCTGAAGCTTCTACTCACCCTGAGAATACCCTGGCCCCGTCTAGTTGTTCGCCAAGCTTTTCTTGAGCTCCTCGAGTAGCGGAATACGTCCGAATCATGTTTCTGGGGGCGTGTGGACTTGCCATTCAGTTTGGGATCAATCAATTCATCCAACATTATTCTTATTCTAGACATATTTTTAGTAGATTTCTGAATCGCAATGGCACATTCTTCACAGAACCTTGAGCTGGTCTCAGTTGGGTCACACTAGGGCCTTTGACTGGATATGATCCCATCTAGAGACCAGAGACGTAAAAACGGGAGTTATTGAACATTTCCTTTGGGAGGAGCATCGTGTGCATGACTCGACACTCATTGTACCAATTTATCTTTTAGACCTTTCACCACTGGGGAGTTTGCTAGTTGCCTTTTCCCGACTGTATACAGCCCCTTCCCTCGTGCGGGTGTCTCCGCGCCGAAGCTTGGCATCTCTCCTCGGATCTTCGCTCACCACCTCTCGCCCCAATTCCTGCTCCCAATCATCCGCGCGTGCGAGGTGCGCTCCTCCTTGCCATGATTGCATGAGCTTCGGAATTCTGTATCCGTTTGTCCGCCACACAGCTTTCTTATCCTCATCCTGCCTCTACCTTTCCCGTCTTGCCGACCATGAAGGAAGAAACCCTCAGAGAGACAACGGAGGAGTCGCATGGCGATGATCAACACGACCAACAGTCGGCCTCCAAATCGGCCGCAAACCTGGCCGCCAAGGATCGGAAATGCCAGTACTGCAACCAGGCGTTCACCTCCTCGTCTTTGGGTCGCCATCTGGACCAGTTCCTCTTCAAGAAGAAGCCCGATGGGGTCCACAATGTTGAGGAGATTCGGCGCATCCGCAGCGGCATCACTCGTCGACAGGCCCGCACAACCTCCGGCAAGCGCGAGGGTAGCCCCGATCAAACTCGGAAAAGAGGACCGTCTGAATCCTTTGCCGCTGGGGATTCGGCTTCAAAATCTCGCGAAGCGCCTGTGCGCATGATGTTCAACACTCCGACCTGGCACGCAACCGGCGTGATCAATGACATACCCAACCCAAGCCGGACCCTGGACGGACCTCGGATTGCACCAGCTCAATCGCGATCGGGGTCGTTGCAGCTGCCGGACTACACGACCCGAGGAGCCACTGCGAATAATCCAGATACAATGAAAGCACTGGAGCTGGCATTGCGCGAAGTGCTAGATAACATCAAGGCAGCAACGTTCGCATCCTCTCGACCCCTACCTACTTTATTCTCTAATGCTGACCATCAAATCCAAGTTCCCGCTTCCGACCACGTCTATCGCCATTCGATTTCGATATCCAAACCCAGACATTCCCCTCCCTCTGCCTGCAGCTTCTCCCTCCACCTCCGAGCCTGTTCGCGTCACATCCCTTCTCCTCTCCCACGTCATTTCCACTCCAACCTCCTGGCGGGGAACACCTCGACATTGTTCGTCAAGCGCTTCGTTCCAAAATCTCACAATGGCAATCTGATCAAATCGCTGGGGACGCAGCATCTCGGCCAGGGCATATCGGGGGTAGTCTCGATCATTCAATGATTTATCGGACGGCACAACAGCATGAAGAACTGGGCCTCCGGCACCTCGAGCTAGCTTTCAACCATTGGAATACGCTTCCTCATGAAACTCGCCGCGAGGCGTGGCAGCTTGAGATCACGCGTGGGTTCGCCCGCGAAGTTGAGAAGCGTAAGTCTGTGGACGAGCAGCTTGCCCGGGTGCAGCAAGAAGCGAACCAGCTCCGCGCTCAAGTTGAACGCCTGGGCTCGTGCCAGTGGCCACGTGAGTTTGCTCTCTTTCCACCTGACACGCTCCCTCTCTCCCGAGACGTGGCGCGTGAATTAGACTCCAAGGGGAGCCAGATTTGCCCCGATTCGTCGCGATGGGACTATGACAATGTGGTCGCCAAATGGAAGCGTGTTGTTATGCATGATAAGAGCATGGGCCGCAGTGGAGTGGGCTATAACTCGACCGCAAGCCCCTTGATGGAATCCGATAACCCTCCGCAACGACACAGCCCAGACATCCGTCCTCCGCGGCCGGGTGAGGATACCTCGTCTCATCCGAACCGCTTGCGACCCTTGCAGAACGCTGTTGCGATGAGTCCCGATCCTGCAACCGCATCTACCCCAGCGTCGTCAACCCACTACGCCTCGCCTTATTCTCACGCTGAACCCCGCAGCCCACCGAGCGGCGGCGTACCGGGTCAGCAGGCTAAGCGTCCGCGGCTGATGAACGGATCCGAAGGCCTCCTGACTGCTGAGCCAGCGGCAACTAAACCCGCTGGTCCTAGTCCCTGGCCATCATCCACTCCTATTCTATCGAACTTGGCTGCACCGTCCGGCCAGACGCCTCCGCCTTCTTCTCGCGGTTGATCCATCTTTTGTTTAACTGAGAGGGGCTTGGCTCAGTTGGACAATTCTGTGGACTTTTTCATTATTATTAATTGATCCATGTCGGTCTCCGCTGCAAGTAAATAAATACCCATTGTATAGTTCATGTACACTTGATGGCACCCGCATCCAGGATTTCAGCTGATATTTTTGATACCATCGCCATTCTTTGAGCTATTATTGATGCTTGTCAAATATAGAAATCGAGCGAAACAAAATTGGTAGATTGACCGGCACCTAAGACTAGTCGAAGAATATTTATCGTTTCCATCTCAACTGAGCTATTACTTCGCTCCAACAGCCCTGGAAATCTCCTCACCGAGATACTCGGTTAGTGTCAGGATCTTCTCTTCTTGCAGCCTCCGTCCCACAAATTGAACTCCCACCGGGGCGCCATCGTAGGTATCGGCATCATCTGCGCTTCAGTCAGCTAAGTCGAGTGATCGGCCACGAAAGATTACTTACAATTCCACTCGATATGCTCCTCTAGAGCTGCAGATGGGTTTGTTGGGCGAACATCGATAGTCTTATCGGCAAAAGTGACTGGAATAGATACGCTGGGATAATCCAGTACATTGACGAAGCCAGTGTAACCCACAGCGCCGAACTGATTGGGAATTATGGCAGCATGTGGAGCGATTGGACAGAAGATTCCGTCAACAGGGCGGCCAGTGCCTGTGAGTTCCGCTGTGCTGTTCCAGTAGTCCAAGTATTGCTTCTGATACTCGCGCTTGGCGACATTGAGCTCTGCCAGCTGGCTGACAGACAGCTCTATGCCGTCCTCGACGATGAGGACCTGTGATGCTTTCGGCTCACCCGACAGACCAAAGTGATGTTTTATATCTACGCCGCCGTCCATGAAGAATGTTTTAAACTGGTGAATATTAGAAAGCTTTCAAGTTGCCATCTGCGGGGATCAAGAAAGTGTCTCGATAACTTACAAGTAGCTGGTCAGCGGTAGTATGGGATGGTGGATTCCAGGGAATCACTCGGTGCCCCATTTTCTGTAAGGCCTGTTCGACAAGCTTCAATCCACGAGCAATGGGTGGGTGAACGCGATCGACGCCATTCCAGTGCATGATAGCGAATGCAAGAGTCGAGTTGCCGGCCTTGGCCTGCTCAATCAAAGAGCGTGTTTCCTCGACGATTGCATCTCGCCACGGCAGCTCGAGCACAAGTGGATCATGGTACCATGGCTGTTGACTGAGTACAGCCTTGAACAGCAACGTCAGAGAACGAGCTGTAGGCGCAAGTGGCCCAATAACAGACAAGACAGTACTTTGTCCATCCATCGAGTTGGCAGCACCCTCATAGGGCATTCTTCCAGATGACGGACGCAGTCCATAGAGATGGTTGAATCCAGCAGGGATACGGATACTTCCTCCAATATCAGTCCCAAATCCAGCAGGCGACCCACGCAAAGCCATCAATGCTCCTTCGCCGCCGGAACTGCCGCCAGAGGACAAGAGGCGATTTTTCGGATTCCAGGTATAGCCAATGATATTGTTCACAGTTTCACCGGCCATCAACGTAGTCGGCACACTGGTCTTGCAATAAAGGACAGCACCGAGATTGCGCAGCTCTCGCACCAGCTCGCTTTCTTTTGTCCCAAAGCGCGGGTCTTCCTTTTCGCCTTGGAAGGTGCCGATCCAACCGACATACCCCATAGTAGTATCAATGCCCTTGATATGGAATTGATCTTTCAGACTAACGGGGAGGCCGTGTAGTGGACCAACGGCCTTCTTGTGCTCTGCAAAGTACGCATCGAGCTTTTTCGCATCTTCAATGGCTGCGTCGAAGAAAACCTCATGCAAACAACTGACCTGAGGAAATGTTAGCCATGTGTAGCTTGAGTCCGCTGAACATCAGTGGCTTACTAGCTGATGAGCGAGAGCAGCGCGGTGACAGAACGCTTCTGTAACTTCAACAGCAGACCAGCGACCGGTAGTTGTCTGTGCAGCGATGTCAACCGCATCGGATTCTGTGATTTCAATCTCGCGCTTGCTTAGGAACTGCTGGATATAGCTTCCGGTAACATCGCGCACCTCCGTAGCGGAAGGAACGGGAGTTGCCAGTCGCCATTTCTCAGGGATAGCATCCAGAATAGACTGGCGTTTAGCTTCGGCTTGGGCGCGCCAGGTCGAATTGGAGGCCATGGTGGGTTTATTGAAGAGTAGACAGTAGGTGAATGGGAAATTGTATAAATGTGCCGTGTACCTTGGTTATCGGTCGGCTCAGTCGGCTCAGATGATAAGACCGATAAGCCGAAGTTCCCCTCAACCCCCATTTTTGATTATTGAACCTACGAGATTACTGGTCACCTCCCTGTTTTACAGTCGGCTCAGTCCCTGACGTGATAATAAGTCCAATAAGCAAAGGGGCCCCTCAACCCATTTTTTACTTTCCCTAATCAGGTCTAGTGGAGTAAATACCCCTCGTTCGTGTTTGCGAATTATTCTAATCTACAGCACTTCGTAACTAATTCTCAGCTTCACTACTATAGCTACACTGGCCGTTCATTAGTGTTTGAAAAACAGTATTTCCGCCCACGAGCAGAAACATAAGTGGGGCATGTAGCAGGTTCAAAAATTGACTATAACTACTCCGTACAGGTTCCTCCTTATCTGATCGACCGGCCCTCTACTCTGCAAGCAGATACCGTAACGGCCGCGGAGACGTTGGTCGGTAACTCCCTAGCTCTCTTTTCTGCCATTTCCTTTTGTTTGTGTTATTGTCCTTTTTGTTCTGTTGCACTACTATCTTCTTCGATCTGGTAGTAGCGCCGCTAATCTCGGTGCGGGTAGCTTCGCATGCGCACTGTGCTGGCCACCGGAAGGCGCAAATCCCCACACAGCACCTATATCTAAGAAAGCTCCATCGAGAATAAGATGATTGATTGATTGATGCACGATCAACGTTCATCAATAAACCCTGATAGCTGACTTAATCGACTCTAAAGGTGTATGATGGAGCCCTTCGACTGTATATCCATACTCTGACCCCAATGAAGCCCTTTAAGGATATAAGCAGCGATACCTCCAACCCACGATGGCTTCTGGAGTGAGTCACAGGCCGCAACGGGGTCAAGCGCAATGCCCGTGGTAAATGTAGCTAGGTATACAGGGCCGAAGCAGTACCCTGAGCAACATCAATGGTGTGAGGTAGCAGTGCAAGTAGCACGTTTCTCAGATCGTGAAGCAGAGCCACACGCCTCTTCATGGAGCAGCACTGATCATCTGCCGCACATTCAGGTTGATCCGTTTCCCGGACATCCATTCTTTCCACATCTGATAGGGCGCAGGTGCAGGGCCGGACGCATCGTCTACAAGCGATGGCCAGTCTGCGAGCCAGTTGGGGCAGGTGGCTGGCAAGATCTTTGGCACGCCATGCCAGGCAAACCGCGACGTACCATTCATGTACACAGCATCGCCCGACCGGAGCCGAATGATCTCTGCGCCATTCCCATCATCATGGCTAATCAGAAATAGACCATCGCAGCCAAAGCTCACACTGATGAGGCCTATGTCACACTCTTCACTTACGTCTCGATGCGCGCTGAGAGTATCTCCGGCAGAGTATAGATTCAGGATCGCTGCTTGGGCATCCGTGTCCGGGAATGCGGCCTTTAACAGCTTCGCAACGTCCTGTGGGAAGGGTGGCGGGGCTTCGGATGGGTACCTTTTGGCGGTCCAATCGTACTGACCACCCAGTGTAACCCAGCGTAACTTCTTTTCCAAGACGCTCTGGATGCTGAGAGGTTTATGCATCTGGGAGTCCTTCGGCTGCAGTAGCCTCATTGGGTCATCTGCGAAGAATGATTGCGGGGCATCCGGATTTTGCGACCTTCCGGGATATGTGACGTCGTAATGAAGGTGGAGATTGGTCTTGTGCTCGGGATTAGGGAGATCTCGATGGAGTAGACGAGATAGCAATTCGACCTGGACGGTAGGCGGGAATAGGGAGGGAATCATCAAGAGGCCTGTCCGGAGGTTAGGTAGATGTTCATTTATCCTGCTGGGTCAGTCAAAAGGTAAATGAGGCAAGTCGAAGCTAACCGGAAACTGCATTGTGGGTGAAAACCGGTATATTCTCTGCCAAAGGAGCATGCTCTTGGTCCGAGGCGTGCCCTCCGCGAATGAAATCATCGAATGCAAGCCGGAGATTTTGACTGGACATATACTGCGAGATAGTGATGCTCTCGGGAAGCTGGTCCGGGTCGATCCGCTGCAGGTCGAGAATTCCGGGGTCATTGTCGATGTCCGACAAGGGAAGTTTGGTATACTTCTTGTAACATTGCCGGACAGCCTCTGGCGGGCGATCATGAGCATTGAGGCCTCTGATCTGGGCCATGACGAAGATATGTTCGCTGGAGAGGATCGACGCTACGAGCACAAGGTACGCGCTCACCGCCTTTCGGCGGCGCGGGGGCTTGTTTGTTTTTGTGGCCTCCCCACCATGCAATTCCGGCTGCGAATATCTTCCAAATCGACAAACCGACAAAGTCCTGGTGTGGAGACCTGGGGCTAACGATTGAAGCTATTTCAAAATTCAGCGTCCACACACGGGTCCGTCTCACTGGCTCTCTCCCCTCGTGTTCCTCCTTGCTTCCTACTCTTTCCTTCTCCCCCGTCCCCCCAATCTGCTTGTCATCCCCGTTTCCACGGCCCCCAACACTCTGCTAATACGACTGAGAGCAGACCAGACTCAGCAGCGGAATTAGCCATGGAAAACTACCAGAAGATTGAGAAAATCGGTGAAGGTTGGTGTTCTTGACACGGGTTGGTTGAACTAGGTGCCCAGGACTTCTCAGCTCACGCGTCGATGCTCCCTAGGAACGTACGGTGTCGTCTACAAGGCTCGGGAACTGAATCACCCCAACCGTATCGTTGCTCTGAAAAAGATCCGTCTTGAGGCCGAAGATGAGGGTGTTCCCAGCACGGCCATCCGCGAGATTTCCCTCCTCAAGGAAATGCAGGACCCCAACATCGTCCAATTGCTCAACATCGTTCACGCCGACGGTCACAAGCTCTACCTTGTCTGTGAATTCCTCGACCTCGACCTGAAGAAATACATGGAGGCTCTGCCGGTCAGCGAAGGCGGTCGTGGCAAGGCTCTTCCCGATGGGACCATGATGGGCGCCAACCTGGGCCTGGGCGAGGCCATGGTGAAGAAGTTTATGGCACAGCTGGTCGAGGGCATTCGCTATTGTCACAGCCACCGCATTTTGCACCGTGATCTCAAGCCACAGAACCTGCTTATCAACCGTGATGGTAACCTGAAGCTGGCTGATTTCGGTTTGGCAAGAGCTTTTGGTGTCCCGCTTCGGACTTACACTCACGAGGTACGTACCCAGTATTGATCTGCATCAATGGGCTCGGTGGTACTAAAGACTGTCTCCTAGGTCGTCACGCTGTGGTATCGATCCCCGGAAATTCTGCTCGGTGGTCGCCAGTACTCCACTGGAGTCGACATGTGGTCCGTCGGCGCCATTTTCGCCGAGATGTGCACACGCAAGCCACTCTTTCCCGGGGACTCTGAGATTGACGAGATTTTCAAGATCTTCCGGTACGTCCTTGCTTGTGGACTGAGCTAGTGCATGACTCTAATACCTTCTTCACCTTTAGCGTCCTCGGTACCCCGGACGAAGAGGAATGGCCAGGTGTCACCTCGTTCCCTGACTACAAGGCTACTTTTCCCAAGTGGAAGCGCCCCGATGCCCCCATCGTCCCCGGTCTCGAGGAAAATGGCCTTGCGCTACTAGAGGCTCTTCTTGAATACGATCCGGCCCACCGGCTGTCCGCTAAGCAGGCCTGCTTGCACCCATACTTCCAGAACGGCAGCTCCTTTTACTCGGGCCGCACTGTCGGCGCGCGCAACGGTTATCACTAAAAGACGATCTGCTCCCTGATTTACTCGTGTCACCTTATTGACGTCGAAGTGATCGCACGCACGCTGACGCCCCCGGACCTGTGATGTTTTTCCTTCCTGTTTCTTCCTTTCATTTTATCTGGCGTTCGAGGGCGGGTGATTAGGTTGGTGGGTTTCCTCTATTATCAAGTGCTTTTAGTCAAATACATGGCGTACATACCCCTTTCGGTGGAACAGTTTTGATTCCAAATTCTTCCTTGGGTACTCCCGTGGAGACCTGGTGAATGGAAATTAGTCTCAGCCGATGTCAGCTCCATTTCAGGTGCAGCAGCCAGTGGGAACGGCAGTGTTACACCGTAGCTCGGACTGCAAAGCCATAAGAAGTCATCTTCAGCCACGGTTGACCCGCCAATGGGACGGCGTAGGTGCAAAGAGCCCAGCTCGTGTCAGAGCTGAATGTGAGCCCCACACAACGGACAGAGCGGATACGGAGCAGACCTGACATCCAGGGCTTGTTTATTCTTGGAAACGCGGACCCAGCAGGTACTCACCGTGCATATGCTGGAAACCATTCAATGCCGGATTTCTGCAGAAGGCGTCTCCCCCTATTATGGGCCATTGGGGGCCGTTTTTTCCCCTTCTTTGAGGGGACATCCCAAGCTGAAGGGGGCGGTTTGGGGGCCTCGATGGGCTGGTCAGCGCGCCTGTTCATTCGCGGCCCACCCGAGTCTAACGCACGCACCTGCAGCCTTACGGCGAACACCTGAGGGCCGATGATGAATCCCGCGAATCCGGAGGCTGCTGGCTGATAGGCGCGGCCGTGGCAGCGTGAGGCCGTGCAAAGCGGGACAAGAATGGGGAATGGGGCGAAATGGAGCGAGTCTTGGACTTTTGGAGTCATACTTATTTAGAGCGAGCGCCGCTCATTTTGACCCGTTCGATGTGATCATCGTCGGCGCATGTTGGTCAGTGCAGGTATAGCGAAAGAAACTCGCCGCCCCGCCCAGAGTCTCGGTCAATTTTCTTCCTTCCCTCCGTCTAGCTGTATAGGCATCTCTATTTAGAAACCAAAGTGGGGTACTCACAATGGAATTCGACGACGAGATGGGCTTCGGCAGCTCGGCCCCTCCGGCGTCGTCGCGCTCGAACAGTCGGGCGCCCCGCGCCCGGTGCCAGGCCCCGCAGGAATCGGTCAAACAGTTCTGGGAACAGTTCAACACCAAGTACCCCGGGAAAGTGTATACGGTGTTACCAGATAACCCATATGCACGCACGCGGGCCAAGCGCGTTCCCAACGGAGTGATTCAGGGCCACGCGGCTGTCAAGTCGTACGAGCAGGCGCGGCGAGAGTGCCAAATCTCGGTCGAGCGCATCGTTAAGGAGTGCCAGCGGGTCAATCAAAAGTATACTGACCCGCACTTTGATATTGAGCTGGATCTCAAGTCTAATCGGAGACACTACCTCGATGAGCTGGACAAAGTCAATGATATCATGAAGCCTCGGGGCGTGAAAAGAGTGACGGTATGTTGAGATGATTACCATTGGGTGGGAGAGTAATGGAATCGCTGATTGGGTTGTTAGGAGATTTTTGAGAACCCCCATTTCTATGTCAATGGGCCCACAGCGTCGGACGTGCGCCAGGGGTACGATGGCGACTGCTGGCTGATGGCAGCGCTGTGTACAATGGGCAACAAGGCCGGGCTGATCGAGAAGATCTGTGTCGCCCGGGATGAGACGGTTGGCATCTATGGGTTTGTCTTTTATCGCGGTATGTGGAAAACTCCATAGAGAGACTGCGTCTCAGTCTGACTGACAGGGCGTGCTAGACGGCGAGTGGCAGCAATGTATCGTGGATGATAAGCTGTATCTGCGTGCGGCCGACTATGACGAGTCCAACGAGGAGCGAATGACTTGGGATCTCATCAACCGCACCGACACCGAAGAAGAGTACCGCCGCGTATGGCAAACAGGCTCACGGGCACTGTACTTTGCCCAGTGCGTGGATCCGAATGAGACGTGGCTGCCCCTGCTCGAAAAGGCATTCGCCAAGGCCCATGGCGACTATACCGCGATTGAAGGCGGGTTTGTCGGTGAAGCCATTGAGGATTTGACTGGAGGCGTCACCTCTGAGGTTCTGTCCAGCAATATTCTTGACAAGAACCGCTTTTGGACGGAGGAGCTGATGAAGGTCAATGAGGAGTTCCTGTTTGGCTGTGGCACAGGTCTCTTCTCGAACTGGTTGGATGTTCGATCTCCGCCGCGCGACCGTAAGGGGATTTCGGAGAATCATTCGTACTCGATCATGGAGGCGAGAGAGGTGAAGGGGAAGCGTCTGCTTCGGCTGAGAAACCCGTGGGGAAAGAAAGAATGGCACGGTGCGTGGGGTGACGGGTCGAAAGAGTGGACGGCGGAGTGGATGGACTTGCTCGGACACAAGTTTGGGGATGATGGATTCTTCTGGATTTCATACGAAGACCTCCTCAAGAAGTACCAGCACTTCGACCGGACTCGTCTCTTCGGAAACGAGTGGACCATCACGCAGCAGTGGACCACCCTGAACGTTCCCTGGTCGGCCGATTATCACAGCACCAAGTTTGTCATGAACGTGACCCAAGCCGGGCCAACCGTCATCGTCCTTTCCCAGGTATATACTCCTGACGCCGCGTTGCCCTATGTCTATTATACCCATGATACTAACCGACACAGCTTGACAACCGCTACTTTAAAGGACTCGCAGGCGAATATAGCTTCGTGCTCAAGTTCCGGGTGCAGAAAGATGGCGAGGAAGACTACATGGTGCGCAGCCATAGCAGCCATTTCATGGCCCGGTCCGTGAACGCCGAGATCAATCTTGAACCAGGCCGCTACCAGGTCTTGATGAAGATCACCGCTTACCGACACGAGGACATGGAGTCAACCGAGGAGACTGTGCGGCGTCTGGCCTCGACCCACCGCGAGAAGCTTGTGCAAGTCGGATTATCCTATGATCTAGCCCATGCCAAGGGCCTAGTTGCCGAAACGGATCAAGAGCGGTATGACGCGGAGAGACGCAAAGGGATTGAATGGAAGAAGCTCCGTGATGAGACCAAGCGCAAGCTGCAGAAAGAATGGATTCGAGAGCGCAAGATGGGCGCTCGGCAGCAGCGCCAGGCTGCACGTCACCCACGCAGGATGACCAACGGCGCATCTCCCGAGCGAGGTCCCATTCCTGGGCAGATCCTGGCAGAGAACAAGGCAACTCAATCCCCGACGGAAGTTGGGAGCATCTCCAGTGACACCAGTGACCGTAAGTCCACTAACAACGGCTCGGTCCCGACGATCCAGTTCAACGGACTTCATGCACGACCTGCAAGTCGTTCGGGGCACCGGGGAACCGAGTCTCCTCGCCCAAGCCTGAACACACGCCTTGCCAACGACAGCCTGGACATGAGTGATTTGGAACTGCTTGATGGTTTCGAATTCGACAGTGACTTGGACATGCCGCTCGAGGAGCCGAAGAACCGGCCTCCGTTCTCTGATATGGACAGCCCTGCCGAGGATCCCTGGAACGCGGTCTGTGTGGTTGGAATGCGTGTCTACTCCAGGGATTCGAAGCTGAGCCTCCAAGTAATGCACCCAAGGCCAGAGGATGACACCGAGGCTCCCCTGGACCGGGATGATCCTGCGGCGTCGGCCACCCTTGAGAAGTCCTTTTGGAGTACCCACATCTCGCCGTGATCTGAGCGGCGGGTACTTCTACTGATACACGGGTCGGAAGCCAAGAAATCTAGAGATTGAACACCAGCGCTGGCTGTATGTAACTATATTTAGCTCTACAGATTATTTACAGGCGTTTCTTATTCTTAAGTGGGATTGACTTCTGTTCACAATTTTTCTGTTTGAAAACCTATATGATAGCATTCGCAGTTGACTGCATCTACAACAACATTTTTGATTTGCTGTTAGAAAAAGAAAGATTCGAAAAAACCTAGGTTTGAGCATTTTATAGTGGTAACTGACATTCAACGTTTAAACCAGCAGCATAACATATCTCCTACATCCTTCGGCCGCAGCTATTTAACTCGGGGGTGGGGGGTGCCGCCAAGCCTCGGCCTTGCATCTCGCCCACCCGCAACATCACAACTTGACAAACAACCATGCCATCACCTCCATCGGCGCTATGCGCTTGATGCACCAGTCGCGCCGTCTGGTCCTTCCTAGGTCCAGAAATTTGGGCTTCTTATATGCTGCCTATTATCATGTACGGTTCATCTCGAAATCATCCAAATGGGTCGACGACTCTTTCTGTCTTCCCGTTGGAGGCAATGGAGCTGTATCATTAAGGTGGGAATAATCCTACGATCTCATTGATATGCCTTATTGTGTGATATCCGAGACTAAGTATGTTACAGTGTGACACGGCCTGCGCCATCAAGTTTGCCCGTCCAGAGCCAATCGCGCGCTCCAGGGCCAAATGTTATTCTCTACCTACCTGCAGGTACCATGTTTCAAGGACGCGCGGGGGCTGTACAGCGAGGTGGAGGCTCTGATGTTCAAGTTGCTGCACGTGAGAGGAAAATCGACACTGCAGATTTTACTGGACTGTCACCCCAGCATGCCTTGGCCACCATGACTTCCGCGACAGTTGTGACGGTCAACTATCGCCTAGGCGAGGTAGCGGACGCGGTCAGTTGGGATGAAGAAGCCGCCCCAAATACCCCCGAAAAACTTCCATTATCTGCTCCAGAACCACCCACAAAAGGGGCTCAATCATCGTACTTCACATACCCAACCCCAATCCACGATACCCTCGCGGCATTCGACTGGATCCAGACTCACCTCCAACCCGCCCAACTAGGAGTCGTCGGCACTCACATCGGCGGTTCCCTAGCTATCATGCTCGCCCTAACAGAAGCACAATCTGTGAAAGCCGTCGCTGCCATCGACCCAATCTGTGACTGGCCAGGACTCGACGAGTACTGCACCCCCGAGCCAATCGGCCTTACCGAAAGCGCCGGCGCAACGATAACCAGCCAAAGCCCAGCACGGCTTATAAAGCCCAAACGCTCCTCCAAGAAAGGGGCTTCCCGCGCCACAGCACCCCCAGACCTTGTCTCCCTCCTCCGTGCCCGCGAAGCACTCTTCGCATCCCCTGAGCGCTACTTCGACGCCTTCGCCTCGCCGATCCTGTTCCTCCGCTCTGCGGGCTGCGACGTACCCCGAGCTTTCCCGCAGTACCTGACAGGCCCGGAGTACCCGGTGCCTGTGCTGAAGCGTACCCCGAAAGTCACGGCTGCGGAGCAGCACGATGCGCCGGATGGGTCCCTCTGGAACCGGGATATCTACCCTGCCGCTGACGCGGAGGACGCTGACCTGGGCGAGGTGACTGTTGTTCGGCGCCGGAAGGCGCTGTCGCGGTGGCCACCGTTTGGGCTGGATTATGGGTCTGGTGGGGGTAGTTGGTCGGGGGGTGGAACTGGGGTGCAGAGGTTGCAAGTTACGTTGCCGTGGGTGAGGATTTTTGCCGAGGGAGAGACTGTTCTTGCGGACCAGGGGGGAGGAGATGGTGTCTGTTTTGCGGCGGGCGTGTGTCTTTGGGAGGGAGAAGGGCTTTGGCGAGCGGAGAGTCACTTTTGAGCGAGTGACGGGGAATGAGCCTTCGGGGAAGGAGGTGGGAGGTTGGATTGGGGGTATTTTTGCTGGGTCAATCCGGGACGACTGACCGAAGATAGGATAATGTACTATAGTCTCATTCAATAGATATACATGTTGCGTTCGATCTGTGCACTGTGCCAGAAGATAAAGGTGCTACTTGACCCGAATAAGGTGATAGCCAGAGGTCGTAACCTTCCAAAAGACATGTCCCACAATATACTTGAAGTATCCACAAATAAAAGAAAATGGAAGACCAGAAAGTGCTATCCAAAATAGGGTTTGATAGGCTAATCCATCTAACGCCAGCGCTCTCCCGTAGTATAGTGGCCCGCAGCCTCACATCCCCGAATTCTGATTGGGCGGACTCCACCAACCCTCGATATCGCCCAGATCTGCAAGCATGCCCGGGTCACCGGGGAACTGGGGTGGCGGGATCGCGCCCATGGGATGGCTCAGGTTCCCATTTACATGGCTTGCAGGGAGGAGGTTCAGGTCTGTGCTGCGAATCCACTCGAGCTCGCCCGATTGCGCTGGTGGTGCAGGGGAGGGGTGTTGTGGAAATGACTGTTGCTGATGAGAGGAGGGTTGCTGGGAAGAAAGGTAGGGTTGGTTGGCTGCAATGGAGCTGGAGGGGTTGTGTCGTGTGCGTACGTGTGCACTCTCATCCACGAGACGAGATTTCTTGCGTGATGCATCGGATCCATGTCCGTTGCGTGGTGTTTGTACGGATGATAGGTGCTGCGACGACATCGACAGCAGATTCGCGCTACTATTCTGCCGCTTTGCAGCCGGCCCCGTGCGCCGCATATGTGCCTGCCAGCGCCGCTGGAGAGTAACGAGGTAATCGCGCGTGCGCTTCGCATTCTCAAACGACTGGCCTAGCTCATCGAGTGCGCGGAAGCAGAGATTTAGATACGCGACCATCTCTGCATTACGCGGGTGTGCCGTGCTCGTTTCGCCGGGTTTGGACGGCATGAGTGGGGAGCTGGTGACCGTGACGAAGAGCAGCATCAGGGCGGCGCTGAAGATAATTGCCACAACCTGATTGTTCATACGCCGGAAGGTATAATGCTTCTCATATATGTGCAGAAGACGGGCCACAGCAGTAGCGGAATCCACGCACATGCGGCGCGCATGGTGGTAGCCTGGTCCTTGCCGTGGGCTGCGCGGCTGGATGTAGCTCTTGGAGACCCAGGGGCGGTGGAAGAAGATGATTATTTGGTGATATTGCATGTGAAGGATGAGGAGGTGCGGGAGCTTTGGTGTGGAGTCGTCGTTTAGGTCGATCTCGAGCGTTGAAGGTAAATTAGCTTTCCAGGCGAATAGATCCTCGGTTACCTGGAAGCATAGTCTTTGCAGGTCATGTCGAGAGATGTCCGAGCAGCCGTACAAGATATGTCCAACGGGAGAGACCATCTCCCATAAAATAACAAACTGCCGGCTGATTAGCTCGGTGGGGATCTTCACTCCTTCCTCCAGGACCTTGGAGGTGGATTGAAGCCCGTACGGGTGCCAGACCCCTTCTTTTTCCGCACTAAGGGTGGATGCAGGTTTGGGCACACTGACATCTCCAGCATTCATCCGGAACGGACGTCCCAGATAAAATCCCCAGAAATGATCGGCAACATAGCTTCCCCAAAACGCTGCCCGCCGAACATCTGCTTCGTGGGGACTCATGTCGCCTTGGTTAACATAAGACGTCATGTCTAGGTGCAATCCCAGATCGAAGGCAAGTCGCATCGACATGCCACTATATAACCAGCCTCGGGCATCACGATTAGATGCTCCTTCATGGCAGCTCATAAGAACCAGGGCCTGGACAGTCGCGACACAAGGCGTATCGAGTTCAATCTCTAACAAAGCCTTGGCTCTGTCGGCGAAGAATTCGGCTAGAGACTTTGGAAACGTGATGAATGTCGGATGATACCGTGCTTCAAAGGCACTGCCAATCGCGCACATGGCGTTTGTGAGGACCTCCGAATAGAAAGGGGTGTCGTCGTATTCGTTCCGCCATTTTGATCGAGCGGTCATGTACATCTCCTTGTCGACAACATAGATGCTCGGATTCTGCCATGTAAAGTAGAGCTCAACGAGGTGATCTTCCAGAGCCTGATCAACCGGCTGACCCACGCGGAGGTGGTTGAGGATATCCTGGCCATCGTGACGCACGGTGCGCGCATCGGGTCGCTGCCGCTGCTGGGTCGCCGACACATCGACCAAATTTAGGTTAGATGTAGCTCCGTAAAATCGTAAATGACCATCTCCGGCAATTTTCAGCGTGCCGATGCGATGAGACAGTTGCTCAATCACGGCACTTTCTGCCTCGTTTTCTTCACCGCTGTCCGATTCATGGTCTCGATCGTGCGGCACCTGGCTCAGCAGCACACCGGGCTGTTGGGCCAAGTCCATGCCAAGCTGGAAATTGTCTGGGCTCAGCCCCGTGCTGACTGGCAACCCCGGCCCTCCGTTGATATTGGCATAGATCGAGTCCAGGCTCTCAGCCGTCGGCAGCGTGAAGCCCCAGTGAACAAAACTTTGATTATCTGGCGCCCCTCGCACCACCCCAAACGGGCTCCAAGGCTCCACGGATGACAGTTGCTGACTGGGCATGATGCCTTGCGCAGGCACGGCATCACTTGTGGCGGTTTCAACGGTGGGCTGGGACTGGCCATCTGGAGATGTGATTGACGAGCTCTGGGCCGCAGATGGGTCCAGAACGACGGGTGCCTTCGTATGGGAGGCCAGCTTCTGGTCATCCCCAGAAGAAGTTGTGTTTCTGGTGATACCACGCGGGATTTGTAGGGTATCCAGAACCCTGTTCATGCCCGCCTCGTCATCCGGTTTCATCGGCGGGGGCTGCAGCCCCTGATCTTGAATGAATTGAACTAGCTGGTCAATTCTCGCAGAGAATAGCTCCGTGGCAGCTCGAAGTGACACCCTATTGTTGGGGTTAGCCGACCAGGCGTTCCATCTTTCCATTGGCGGGATGCCGAGTCTCGCCAGTAGCGGGCCGAGAGCAGTTTCGCGTCGGATTATGTATTGTAAATGCAATTTTTCCAGAGTATACTCACTTGCGCTTATCATCTCCATGCTGATACTTGCAGTCTCTTCGTTTCCGCTGGCAGTTTTGGCAGTGGGGCGTCGACCCATCACACTGGAGGAAGCCGATGAGAATGTGTTTCACTGCCGACCCCCGCAGGGAGAGAGGAAGTACATACTCTGATCTTGCTTTCGCGACACGGCACGCAGGCCGTCGTGACGTGCTTCCGAGGCGCCTTCTTCGCCTTCTCTGGCTCTGGTGACATGATGTCCAGCCGTTTCTGAAAACCCCCAGAAGCTTTACGTCAGAACCCGGTGCAGTGATGCGACGTTATGAGTCGGGCGTGGGGGTGTTGCTCGAATTGCGGCAGTCAGATTGCGCGGCCCTGCAAAGTCGGAGCAGCAGGTCTAGTCATCCCACCTCAGCATGGACTGATGCAGCCATGGTCTTTATATGCAGGGATCTAATATCGAATCGATCCGAGGACGACAGGTGCGAGTTTGGGCTGGCGAAAATGTTCGTCTGGGGTGGGGAGAGGGAAAGGGTCCACATGGGCCCGCCTATGAGGGGAACAAGAATAAGCTGGTGCCCCATCCCTGTCGGGGTGGAGATTGGGCCTTGCGCTTCACGAGAAACGGCTTGGATTTCGATCCTCCACGACTAGACCACTACATCCATGTCTGTATGTACATTATTTTTGGTTTTCATTTTACGCGCCGTCTACCAGTTGGAGGTGCGCTTGATCCGCTCATTCTGGATCACCTCGATCCAGTACCCATCGGGATCCAAGACGAAAGCAATGTTGTTCATGCGACCATCGGTCAGACGCTTCTTAAATGGGACGTTCAGAGAGTCGAAGCGGTCGCACGACGCCTGAAGATCATCGACCGTGATACCTATGGGAAAAAAGGGCCAATATTAGGGACGGGTCAAACAGCACCGACGTGCCACGATGGAACTCACAGATATGGCCGAATCCTTGCGGCTCCGTGTTACCGTTGTGGTAGACGGGGCCCTCCTGCTTCTCCGTACCGTAGTTCCAAGTCAGCTCCAGGAGGCCCTCCCACTCGGCGACGCCGTTCTTCGCACCCTCTTGGATCTTGGGGTTCGAGTTGGGGTATCCGAGGAAGTACAGGTTGAACTTGGCGTCGGGGTTCTCGACGGTTCGGACGAGCGTCATGCCCATCGACTCCTGGTAGAACTTGAGGCTGGTCTCGGCATCCTTGACACGCAGCATGGTGTGGTTGAGACGATAGGAGCCCGGGTCGGTGGTGGTGGACAGATCCTCGTCGGCGCGGCGGATGATCTCAACCCAGTACCCATCGGGATCCTTGGCAAAGGCAATGTGTCGCATCCGACCTTCGGTCAGCTTCTTCTGGAAGGAGTACCCGGCGTCCTCGATGCGCTTGCAAGCGGCCTCGATGTTGTCCACGGAGATGGCGATGTGGCCAAAACCGCGGTAGGGGTCGGTGTTGCCATTGGCCACACTGTAGTTAGGATCATCTTCGGTGCCGTAGTTGTGGCAAAGTTCCAGCACAGCATTGCGATCGGTGAAGTGGCGGTCCCCTCCCTGGAGCGAGGCGGGGCCGGCGTAGGCGAGGAAGTAGTTGCAGAACTTCCATTCGGGGAAGTCAAGTTTGTAGATTTCGGTCAGGCCGAGAAACTTGTAGTACTCCAATGATCGCTTGGGGTCCTTGACCCGCAGCATCGTGTCTGAAGGATCATCACTGTCAGTTCAATGGTGGTGGGCGGGGAATAACAGGAGGAGGAGGGGAATGACGAACGGTTGAGTTTATAGGTAGAGGGATCGGTAGCCATGGCGGCGAAGGATCGTGCGGCTGGGAACTCATGGTTAGCGATTGTGTCGGGTCAGGATCGGGCTGCATTTACCAGGAAGACGAGCGGATGGAGTGAGGGTCTTTGAAAAGAGACGTGGAAGGCGGGCCAACATCGTTGAGAGCTTTAAGAGGGGGCTTTTGTCAGCGTGAGGGGAACTGCCCAGGCGGTGGGGGCGCGAGTACGGAGTCGATGGACTACGTCAGGTTCGGACCAACCTCGGGATTTGGGGACCTGAAAACCCTAGCTAACAGGGATGTGACGGACTCATGTATTTCGAGCAGATCTTCTCAACCCCTCCAACTCCCTCCAGAAAGTCTTTAAACCCAAATTGTGAATCAACCCGTTTCCAAAGTTCCAAAACAATCCCTCACCATCCCACGGACCTGATTTCATGACCTATAGCATCCCCGAGGCCCTTCGGTCTTTATATGCAGTAAATCGTTTGGTGCCTACCATAATGATGATTGTTCCATCACAGTCTCCAGTCCTGTTTAGCTCGGTCCAAGAGGAATAACTATCTTTCGAGTATGACGGGGCGCATGACATCGAACTAGTCCAGGTACGACACAGTACGACAGTACAACAGTACAGTGGACTCGACGGAGAGCACTACAGTATGTACTGCTGTACCATACCATTCTTCGAGGAGATCAGATACGAGAAGATGCTCCGAAATCCGTAAATCATGGGAGAGCATATTATGATTGGATCACCATCTGACCCCCAGATGCGACGATCCCCGTCTACTGCCGAGTCCAGCATTTGCTGACAGTTCCACACGGCGCGGCTCCGGCGCGAATCTCGCGGATCGCTTTAATGCCCTGCAACCATTCACCATTCGCCATTTACCATTCATCCCTCCTTGCTCAAACTCTCCCATCTCTCTCCACCTTCACCTCCACCTCCACCTCCACCTCCACCTCCATCTCCACTTCCACCGTGTCCCCGTCCTCTTCGCACAGGCCAGGTTCGTCTGATTTCCTTGTGCCCTTCCATTTGCCCTCTCCCACACACCCTCTATTAGACCCTGGCAACCCACCTCCGGCTGATCGTCCCCTGCCATGGGCCTAGCCCCCGTGAGAGCTGGTCCTGGGCCTAGCAGTGCTCGAGTGCCCCGAGTGGCCCAACGGCGTCGGACCGTCGCTGCCTTGTGGGACGGTCTAGCGCACCGGCCTTTCCTTTCTTTTTCCCAATTCCTGCACACCCGCGCTTAGCACTGCCAGATCCTCACGCGTGCTGCTTCCTAATCCAGGCTTCCTCCTTCCTGCCTGCCCCCCAATCAGAAGCTCTCTTTTGCACACGTTGCCCTCCCCATACTGCCCCCTGCTCGTGTTCTGCACGATGTTCGTGGCGCCTCATCCGCGGAGCCTCGTGCGATCGCATGACTGCAGTACCACTTGGGCCGCTGTCACCACCCGACCCATGCACCTTTAAATACTACTTCCTCCCTCCAAACCTGCTCTTGTCGCCCCCGGGCGTACCTGGAACGATCGTGACTTGCCATCTCGGCCGGACAAACTGTCACCTTGACGTTGAAGTCCCCAGATTCCGAGACGCCCTTCTTCCCACCTGTGTCCCCGTGTCAGCTATGAAAATATTGCCCTCGTGTCTGCTGCTCGATCTCGGTGGGAAAGAAAAAGACGCGACTGGCTTCCCCGTGCACACCTGTCTTGCCGGCCAGGGGTCTAAAGATGGCTGAATTCGAACCGTTCCCAGTGTCCCTCGACTACTTCGCCGCGAAACCCGAACCCGCGCCCCACTCCGACGCCCCGTTCCTCCCGTACTGGGCCCGCTGTCGCGCGCAGTGCGCCCAGAACCTGCTCGACTACTCCGACGAACCCATCGAATACGATCACGACGACGAGGACTATCGCGATAACTGCTTCTTCTTCCCCGAAGACTGCTCGTGGACTCCGCCTAAGGACTGGGTCGTGGAGGCGCACTGCCAATCGCTCAAGAAGGCCCCGGAGATCCAGCACGCAGAGACCCCGGCTGGCCAAGACATCGCCGACGACACGATGATTCCCGGTTTACCTGATATCAAGATGCTGGACTCGGAGGCGCTGGGTGACCTGCTGGAAGATAATCTCTCCCCGCCGGAGATCACAACGATGATGTAGAGTTTCCCCCTCCCCCTCCCTCCCCCGCCCCTTGCCCTCCCCCCCTCTGGATTTTTTGCACTGGTGGAATATGGGCTCATCATTCTCTTCTCACAGCGTGTTCGCTACCAACGGCGCTGTATTTGCCTACGCTTCCTCCCTCTCCTCTCGCCAGCTGCGTAACCTCAGCTCGACCTACGGTGCCGCATACACCTGCTACGCCAAGACTGCTTCAAGCGGAAACCTCACCGGAGTCAATCCAGCGAGCCACCCGTCGTCCTACGTGACAGCCCAATCGATGTCGCTGGGTGACGTGGGATCGATCGTGTTCGAGCTGGATGACTCAGTGGCCGTGGTGACCCGGATCGCGGACAAAGTCCTCCTGGCCGCTGTGGGCCCTTCCGGTCTCGACGCCACGGCAAATGGCGCAGTCCCCGACCACCTCGCGCTTGACGGCCCGTGTGACGCAACAGCAAGTAATGGAGTCATGTTGGATGAGTCACAAGGCGACGACCTGCGCACAGCACCCGGCGCACCCCCATCTCCGAATCCACCCGTGCGCAACGGCAGCCTCGAGGCCCAACACGAGATCGACCGGAGTGCCGACCTCTCCCGACTAGCTAGTCTGAACCTCTCTGCTTCCCCTTCTGTGCTACTGGCCCTGGAATCGAAATGTGCGGCTCTGGGCCGGTTTTTGGGAGAAAAATTGAATGATTTGGAGAGCCCGGAGGATTTTTGAATTTCGAGGACGTGTTGTTACTAGCGACCCATGTTGATTTGGCAGCGCTGATTTTCCGTGTTGGGTGGTATGTTGGACTTAGCTCTGTCAAGAGCCACTGTCTACTCTAAGTGTATTAAATGCATGAACTCATGACAATCCGAAAAACAACTTGACTGGCTGATTCTGCATCCAATCGCATTCACGCAATTGATGTGTGTTAGTTCAGGAATGTAGAAAGAAATGTAGAAAAGAGTTGTCTCCCTCCCCTCTTGAATTGTCCTCCCAGGCTTGTTCCAATGGCCCCTCGGATATCATCCGAGGAAGTGACACTCTACCGAGCTTGAGGAAATCAAACCGGGGAGCTGCAAGATGTCATGTGCAAAGCGTGATGTTTGCTAAGATCACGCCTAGATCTCTCGTTCAGTGATACAAACGCCCAGATATTCCCAAAAACACTTTCCAAGTCTACTTCTATTTCAAATTGAAAAATTATTGCGACATTTGATTAATCTATCAAACCATCCGGAAGACCACGCCGTGATGATCAAGCCAGGGTGAAGAATTCGGTTTCTGCTGAGGAACAGTAAAAGTTCAGCCAGTGCCTAGTCAGTGACTATAAAAGAGGTCACCTGGCAAGAGTTATGCTACCGAGGATTTAAGGGCTCTACAACACGCTAGCCTCGACCAAGCTAACGGGTCTAACGAAGCTGCGAAAGGGGGTACAATATAAAATACTTAGGCCATTGGCGAGATGTCCTTGATTGACCTACCTACGCCGAGATACATCGACGACTGCTGCTGTTGCGAGACCTTTCCGGCCCAGCAGCTTCCCTTTGGGGGAGCTAGATACCCGAGCGCAATTATCAGGGAGTTTCACCAGAGTTCCCCCTCAGTTCACGAGCGGCCACTAAATAGAACCGTCCTGGCATTTCGCAACCGCTTTTCAATATCTAGCGAGGGAAGACTGCGATATGACCCGGTTCCATGTATGTCAACCCGAAGTCTAAAAAAAGCAGGTAGATTCATCAAAACAAAGATATTTGCAGTATATTAGCCAAACATATATAAATCAAGAGAAGTACGACCAAAACCCAATCGAAATGTGGGAAGCTCTGACTGCTAGGGACGACGAGGGGTTCTCTCATGAGTCCAGCAAAACGGTGCAGAACATAACGAATCGAGGATAATCGAGAAGAAACTGAATCTAAATATATTGCGGAAATCCAGTGCGTATGTGGTGGATGCCCCAAGCAGCAAAGCATAGCGAAGACCAGCAGCGCTCATGGAGAGGGGAGCAGTCAAACATAATCAATCGACTCGTCTCACAACTTGTCTGCCGCGGAGCCACCAGGCGATGTGTGAAAGTGGCTTGCCGTGCTGGCAGTGCGGCTCAAGCCTGCTGTCGGACTGGCGGCGGCATGGTCCTTAGCATCAATGGCCTTGTCGGCGGCCGGGGCCGGGGCCGTCGCCGTGGATGAACTGGCTACGGCGGCCGATTTCTCATTTTCGGCGTAGACTGGGGGCTGGTTCTGCGAGGTGCTGCCATCGGGGCTCGTGGCGGTCGGGCTGGTGGCACCGGCCGAGGCCGGGGTCGGGGCACGGGTGCAATCCTTGATGACGGTCCACCACTTCTCGGCGTCTCTGGCGCTGTGCGCCTTGAAGCTCAACTCGGTGGTTGTGTGGAAGGCGTTGCCGACCTTGCCGCTAGACACGTCCTTGCCCTTGACGTTGAACTTGACGCCGTCGATGGCACCGACCACGCAGTCGGGCAGATACAGCGACAGCTCCGGGGTGGGGTCCTTGCGGAAGTCGTCGGTGTCCTTGAACTCGTGCAGGTAGCGTGCGGGCGTCACGACGTAGTAGCCCGTGCTGTAGCCCTTGATCATGGCGCGTGAGCGGCGCTCCAGGGAGCCCTCGATCAGAGGCTGGGTGGACCGGTGGTCCATGTTCGGGAAAGTAATGCTGGCGAACGAGCGCGGCGGCGAATCAGGGTTCACTAGGGTGGCGTCGTTGCTCACGCAGAAGTTCATCCACTCGAAGTCTGGTGGGATGCGCTGGGCAGTGCCCAGGATATCGGCGTACATGGCCCGCTGGCGGTCCAGCTGGCCGCCCATGAGCTGGAAGAACTGCTCAAGAGCGCCCTGAATGGTTTGCAGGACATGGGCTTCGAACTGCGCGAACGAGTTCTGAACTGCCAAGATGTCATTGCGGTGGTTGTTCTCCTCGGTGACCTGCTTGTTGAGGCGGTAGTTGATGCCACGTTTGAGGATGTAAGGGTCGTGCTGCTGCTCGATCTTGTTGCCCGCGGCAGCACCGTGTGAGGCGGAATGATGGCCCAGAAGCTCAATGTGCTTCTGGGTCAGCTGTCGGGCCTTCTCGACGGCCTTGGCGCCCTTGACGGCCCCGGATTGGAGCTCCTTCGACTTGTTCTTGATTTCCTTGTGTAGGCGCTCCAGAGTGGGAAGCACGCTGCCCTTCAGGTTCTGTTCGGACTCGAGATGCATGTTGACCATTCCCTAGTTTCAAAAGTTATGAATGACCTGTCGAATCCGGGTCTGAGGTATATTCATTCCAAGCATACCTGCGAGTTGTTCCGCATATTCTCGAACAGACCGGTTATACCACCATCGCTGGCGCTGAAGTGGTGGCTCTCTTTCAGCGGCTCGCTCACAGTCTATTTCCAAGACCATGTTCAGTGATTGTCCCCCCACATGCGTGGTCCGCGATAAGCTCACCTTCAAGATCTTCTCATGATCCTTCGACTGAGACTTGGCCACCTTAGCCGTCACGGAGACATAGTCCTCGAGGTTCCCACACATGTGCTTCCATGCTCGCAAACGCTCCAGCAGGAGATTGGTGGTCTAGTCAAGACAAGCGGTGTCAGCCATAGTTGCCCTTCGCGGGGTATCGACCCCTCCGCAATTCGCTCGGTCGTTATCCCGCGTAGGAAACCGGGTATCAGACACACACCTCACTGCTATCGGTCTGAGGGATTGCCTCGTCGTCGCTCATAGACGTCCGGCGGGTTAAGCTGCTGCTCATCGTCGCTGACCGCTGCGGGAGCTTGTGCTCCGCGGGAGTCGACATGACGGTTAGCGGGTGGTCGTCGAGACGCCGGGGAAAGGTGACAAGAGTCGTATAAGCTGGAGGAGAGGAGGCCCAACAGTTGGCAGCAATTCAAAAACTGGACGTCGTCTAGTCCCGTTCACCAGAGCCGTGGGGAGTTAGGAAGGACGGAGAAGCCAGGATGCGGGATCGGTAGCCTCGGAGATGAGTTGTGGCACCTGTGTGGCTGAGAGCAGAAGCCCGGATCGTAGTGCAAGCGCTAGTCTGTGGATGGACTAGTTGGGGGTAGACCGCACCTCTTGAGCGTCGCAGACGGGTGAGTGGGGTCGTTTGGATTGTGGTGAGGGGCTTGGAAGGTGGGATGTCCGCGCATTCTTAACCCTGCGATCGGCGAAAAACGCCGATGAGGTCACTTCCTGCAAGTATGGCTTGTCCGGCCCAACATTTGAGTCAAGGCTGCGATGACGATGCAGATCGAAAACTGTAAATCATAGGGCGTCATTCAGCCTTTCAGAGCTCAGTTTATTTTGTGCCTGTGTTTCCCCGTGTTGTCGACCATAGTTTTAGCTCTACGCGCTAGTACCGCGAACCAAGTACTTGGGGCTGGACGCCACCCTTGGTGGAGCCCACCCGGAGACTCGAAAGCGGATCGGAAGGTTGCACAGTTCACAATGGAATTGACCGGGCGCAGCAGGCGATCGATCAACAGTAACCTGCCCGATCTGACTCGATACGACTGCGTTCTGGTACAGGAAAAGAAGAATCGGTGGGTGAAAACCCAAAATATTGCTCCGTAATAGGGAATTTAGGTAGACGTGGAATTAAAGTACATGCGTCTCAACCAAAACACCATGCGTGCTTCATGCTGCGGGAATCTGGTTCTCGCGTTCAGCTGGTTCATATTTCCGTAAGAAAGCGAAATGATCATGTCTGTCTATGAAGATGGCCCATCCTGTCTATGACATGCGAACGCCGAGGGAAAGAAAAAAACAAGAGCTGGGTATAACCACTGCCAAGGAAGATCTGTGAAAGAGAGCGAGGGCCCCCAACGGAACAAGATACACTTCAAGCATGGTCGCAGAAGTGTCTAGTCCAAGGAATGAGAAGAGGTAAATGATGATGAGAGGGATGTCGTGTCCAGCACTGACACATGGGAATTTTGGAGGGGCGGATAGGAAGATGGAGAGCGGGGGAAAGATGGGGAAAGGAGAGGTAGAAGATGTCGTCCGGGTGATCTTCATCCTCTAGCGCGGGCTTGTACTAATCGGAGCCTGCGTTCGGCATCGTCAGCATTGCTGCCGGGCGCGGGGAAGGATCCGGGGCGATTAACCTCCAAGAGTTGGGAGATTCCGTTCATGCGGCCACTGCGCAGGTAAGCCTGCTCCGGAGACTGAAGCACCGGCGGCGGGGGCAGGTCACTTGCAATGACCGCGTTGTAGTCGGGGAGGTTCGAGTCACAAGGACCCACAGCGGCACGCACCGCGGTCGAGTAGCTGGGTACTCGACTCAGCGTCTCAACTTCCGCATACTGAGGGTGGAAGGGCGTTGCCATGCCGGAGGGGATTCGCTCGTGGTCCACCTCATCAGAAGCTCGGGAAAGCACGGGGCTGCCAGGAGTGTGTGGACTGTGTGAGTTGGAGCCGGAAGAGGGCCCGAAGTAATCTCCGAAATGAACATTCAGCTGTCGGGAGTTGGGGGTGCTCTCGGTGGGCGAGTCATGAGACTGGTCGCCGGGGGATGGTTGACCGAAACGGCTTGCATTCAGTGTTGAGAGACGGCTGTGCAGTGCTGAGGCTGAGATATCGGTGGTGGTGAGAGCGTTCATCGAAGCAAGGTTTTCGGCCGAGATGTTGCGGCTGAGAGGGCCGAATGGTGTTCCAGGGCCACCGCTGCCGGGGCCTGGGGTGCGGTAGCCACTCGGGTCGAGCTCGCTATATAGTTGATCGAATTGGTGCTCGCTGTAAAGAGGAGGAGCCTGGTGGGCGACTTCGTCCGCTTCTCGCCGAGCAGCTGCGGGGGGTTGGTCGCGAAGGTTGTTGTTCTCGTCAATGGGAATGTTCGGGGAGATGAAAATGGAGACGGGAAGTGTAGCGCGCAGCTGAGAATCGCAAGAGTTAGCTCGGAACCAAGCAGGCGGTAGCATTTCCACCCCACTCACCTCACTGATATGGCCGTCGGGGTTGTGCAGTTGGATGCGGAACTTCAGTTTATGGCGAATTTTGATGCCCTTGGTGTCGGTATCCTGGAGGCACCGGGTCAAAGTTTGTGGCATATCGAGATAGCGCATGAACTGGTATCCCTCGGCCGCCTCGTCGATAATGTCCAGATTATCTCCATCCACTTGATGATCGTCGGTTAAAATGGTCCGGGTGGTTTTGTACGTGTTCCGGATGGAGTCGGGATCTTCCGGGTTGAGTGTCAGGTCGTGGCTTTCGATCAGTTGTGACGTAATCTGGCCGATGTGCAGCCCCTTGAGCAGCGGGACCAATTTGAAATCGACCCGAATGGAGGTGCCGAAGATGACTGCCTTGGTCGGAGTGCTGATCGAGTATTCAATCTTGTTCGGCCAAATGTTGTCCACCGACTGTGAGCATCTTGTTAGCATCGTTCTCGCGGGCCCGGACCGGCGCCGATCGCCCACTTACCATCGCGTGGGACAGCTCCAGAGCGCTGGGATCGAGGGTGCGGATAATCCGCAGGGGTTTCCGTGCGACAATATCCTTAGCGTACTTGCGCCCGATCTCGGCTTTGAAGCGGTACATGACCCAGGTCTCCGATAACCCCTCCACGCTCTCGGGCATGGAACCCTCCAGGACCACGTCGAATGGGTACTCGTAGTTGCCTGCCGCCAGAATTTCGGTCTTGCTCTTGCCCGGGTCGCGGAATCGCCATGTCTTGTCGTAAAAGACTCGTTCTCTCCACGACTTGCGGCCGCCGGCGGTCGAACTGGAAGGGAGGTGCCAGCTGCAGGAACCAACTCGTTAGATTCTTGGTTTTCTTTCCGGTCGCATCATACTTCGGGATCACATACCAGACTCGCGACATGCCGGTGAGCTGTAGTCGAATGTGCTTGATGGTGAGGGGTTCTGACAGGCACAGCACCAGAGTGCCTTTTAGGTGAGCGCTGGCCGCCTCATGTTCGCCGCCGCGAAAAACGATATACTCATCGTTCAACCTGGGACTGGTCAGCGTAAATGTCCGCGCGCCGGCGTGACGCGGGTTACTACTTACCGAATATCGAAGTACTTGGCATTGCTTGCGCTCCCGGCGCCACTAAAGAAGCTGAGCGCCATTTTGAGTTATTGCCCACCGCTGCGATCGGGCGGCGATGAATCACCGAAGGGAAGGACCGTATGTGCACGGGAGGGTGAGGCAAAAGGGAAGCAGAATGTCGCAGTTTAGGAGTGTGAGAGGGCAAAAAATCCAGCAGCGGAAAAAAAAATAAACCACCGGGTCAGGCTATGACAAGAGTCGGATTTTGGTTTATCGCGCTGATCTACCGGGAAAATGTCCAGAATGGCTGTCTGGTCCGACTGAACGGGTCCCACTGCGAAGTGGAGTGCCGTTTCCGGATACAACTGTGGGTGGCGATAGGACCGGAGGTGCAGCGAGGCCGTTGACTAAGCCACAAAGATAAGGGAGGATCGAAAAAGTTCTGTCGGAGTACGGAGTACGCAGTCCAGGATGGACAAAGAAAAGGCGAGGGAAGATAAAGAAAGACAAGATAAAGTCAGCGTGAGACGGGGTTTGGGGATTGACGTTGATCTGGCACAATGACTTTTACGTCAGCTTACTGATGGCATCATATGAAGGCCTGCAGCATGTGCCTCATATAGTTATACGTTCAACTACTTCATGCTCTACCTCTACTGTACTTGCGCTGGTACATACAAAGTACAGGATACCTGTCCGTGAAACAGTCTTCCCTCAGCCCACCCTTCACTTTTCAGCCCGACGGGGCCTTCATTTATCCATAATCCATATCATCCCATCACGCCATCCCTCGGGATCGCCGCTGCCGCACAGTCCCTCGATCGATCCTGTTCGACGATCCCTCTGCACAACATCCAGGTTACACAGCACAATCACCTTTGCCTCGGAGCTTTGCCTGCACTTCATTCCAGGATGTGATGCAGCCTGCCACCAGTCACGGTATCTTGCATGGTCTATATAGACTTCTGGCTGCAGGACCCCCCTGGCCCTACGTTCGTGCGACCCGGCCTGCAGCTAGTCGGGTAAGCTCGGCATCATGCACGCCCTGACGCGCAGAGGCTAGGCGTGGCCAAGGCCCATGCGGATCGCCAGCAGTAGTACCACAAAGCCACAGGGGCCGGGACGATAACCCTACATGAGCTGCCGCATTCACTCTGCAGAAGAGACTCTTGTGGACGATGTAGTAACTCCCATGCACCCTTGTTCGGAGCTTCTGGTCAACTCTGCACTCCTCTGCTCTCCTCTGCTCTCCTTTCCTGCAGACCATCATCAAAGTGCCTGAAAAGCATATGGACCTTCCCGCCCATGCGAGCCTGCCATGCCATCCAGCACCTCCGTTAACTACCGCAGTAATGACAGGCCTAGCCTATCACTTCAGCTCTCCACTCCCGATCATTTCCCCTTCGGAACGATCCGTCTACTAACTACTCCGTACGTGTACTCCGACTCCACCCCTAGCCCTAGACCTTGACGGGTCCCTGAGCGTTTCGTGCTAAGGGTCAGACCGGGCATAGCCTGGGCGCGTAGCTGATCTGCCCAAAAGGCCCACTGTGCAGATGTCAAAACTACTCACCGGCCATGCCAAAACACCACGCCCAGCGTGGTCCTTGGGCTATGGCATGACGATTCGCTAGCCCTGACGTGAGTGGTGTCCAGGAACCATGGCCAGATGGACCACGGCCATGCCCACGAGAGATAAGGTCTCGGGCACTGTATGGATCCCTCTTGCTTGTCAGGGCTTGGCTTGCATTTAAGCGGGCTGGATTGAACGGGCCAATGGCCCGCTGGAGGTGGTTTGTGCGACCGAGATCAATGCCGCGTCACAGATTGGATGCCACTACGGAGTAGGCAATGCGGCCCTGGCCTTGTGGACGGGCTTGGCTCGGGCTGTCTGCCGGCCACGGGCGCGGTCGGGATGCCTCCGCCTGTAGGCTCGGGCATTCCCGCGTCACCGGAATCCCGACTTCATCCCGGTTTTTCTGCCCGACGACACGCCTCCGTGTCGCCCTGCTCCTGGCTGTGCATCGCGTGGGTGTTTCAGGATGTCGCGCACTACCCGAGCTTCTACAGAATAGGAGACTAGGGAAATACCAACCATAGCCATCATCTGGTTTTCGCCATCACCGACATTAGTTGCTTCGAGAACAAAGCAAGTACGTAGTCCATGACATTGACGGAGTAGACACGGCTAAATGGCAAATGTACTCGCCAGTAGATCACCGATCAGCCCCATTGCCTGCTAACCATATTGACAAATGCTGTCCAGTTTTCAAGGTCCTCGTCAGGGTTTTCCTGCCCGGCCCCACTACGGAGTAGATCATTGACGTGAGCTTTTTCCTGGGTCGGAACTTTCTCGTGGAGCGCGCCCCTGCCCTTTGGAGCGGCTTTTCTAGCGCCCGGTGTGAGGCCGTTCCAGAACCAGGCCCAGTTTCCAGTGGGGCAGATATTATCACATCATCCGAGTCATCGAAGTCAAAATTGTGGGCACCCTCGATAGCGGGAATCGATTTAACTCCTCGACCTTGCAAGATCCGGCAACCTGTACTCTGTACTCCGTAAATATCTCGGTACCCTCCCCAAAAGGACCACCTGGACAGCCCAAATGACGCCTTGGTGGCAAGTCCTCTTCGAAGCACCCAACAGCCCGCACCGGAAGCCCCACGAGCAGCGCAGGGCAAATTGCAGCTCCGACACAGAAAGCCGCCTGGATTGGCTAGCCTTATCAGCTCGGTTGATATCTTCCGAGCTGACCTGGCAGATAATGAGGCTGGGCTGAGCCCGCCAAGCCGGTGGGGGTCCGCAGCGTTCGCGCCAGTCGCCGCCCAGGGATGCGGCACGCTCGACCTGTGTGGATCAGATCGCGACCCACCGCGGGCAAGCATGAGGCAAGACTGACGCAGAGCTTTGCGGTGAATTTTCGCTGTCCCTGAAACGAACTAGGTAACTTTGGCGGTGCACTAGCTTGGATTCTTGAGATAATTGCTTGAATGTTCCATCCGATGATCGACGGCAAATATTTTGAGAGATGGAGTAACCGCCGAGCTCAGGTGGGACCCGGCCTGCCAAGGGGGGATAAGAACTTTTGCGCTGTCAGCGGCGCCAGCCGTGCCATGCGACCGAACCATATGGGACAGATTTTGAGGGGCCTTCGGTCGGGCTGATGGCGTGAAATTCCTTTTCTGTACAGGTAGCGTGGAAGAGCGGAGACTCGCATTTGACGGCAGCGCGAAGATGTATAAAACAGGGTTTCTGGGGCCCTCCCAAGCCACACCAGACACAGCACAAACACCAGTATATTTGGTAAACATGGACAACCGAAGCTACTCCAAACGGAAGACAGATATCAACCACCAAATCTAGATTGTCGAATGGGGGTGAGGCAATGGACCATTCCTGGTGGCCCACGCTACCAACAAAACAATTCTCTCATGCTCCAGCCTGGAACCCAGACACATTGACCTGATCAAGCACATAACTTTCCACAGTTATCGTCCTGACAGCTTCATTTATGCGGATAAGCAAGACTTACAGCTGAAACGCCTGGAATCAGCCGGTGACAAGGCCATATCGAGGATATACTCCGAGCAAACTGCGACCTCCCGGATGAAGATGATAAGCATACCTTGTGCACATTGGCCTCTTAGCTCGTTCATTGGGCCGGTGATTGCTCTGTCTTCAGGAGGCTCGAGGGTCATGTTGCGCAGTTCAACTGTACCGCGAACGAATTTCCAAAGGACAAGAGACCAATGCAGAATCGGGAGTTGCGCCGCCTCAAAGTCCAGATTCGAACGCACATACTGCTAGACCATGTGCGAGGTATGATTCGTGGGCAGAGCTCAGCCTGATGATCTGGATGTAGCTGTCGGAGAGGGTCTCGACCATTCGGGCCATAAGTTCTTATCGTCCCAGGCATCATCCCACTGTTTCGATGGCATGGCTGACGGCACACTCTTTGTCTGACTGGCTGCTGACGTTGCTCGAAACTCAGGCTCAAGGTGTTCGCTGCCTGCTTCATGCAGCTTGGGCTTGTCGCTCACTGCGTACTCTGGAATTGGTGGTAGATGACCGTGGAACATGGCCATGCCACCATGACCGTGCGAACGTGTGAATTGAGCTATCAGGAACAAGAGGACTGTAGCTATGGCCGCGCCAGCCAGTAAGGCTTGATAATGCAGGGATGGCATCATGATGACTGGCCAGTGCCAAAGCCAGATCAATGGGGCGCGAGAGATAGGACCAGTGGGCCCGATGACCCAAATGCCTGGGCAAGATTGGCAGCGCGTGTGTGTTCTTGGAGGTAAGCGGAAGGCGAGGTCCGGATAGGAGAAGACGACGAACTACCCGCAGTCATGTGAAATTGTCACCTCCGTATTAATCGTGGTCTCCAATTTACCCCATAGATGATATCCTTGACGGACTTTTCCGCTTCGAGCAATTTGTACGACTTTCCTCGAAGACCCTGGTCCGCCGAATCTGGAGCTGGCATTCCAATGGAACTGTTGCCGAAAATGGCATTCCCGGGCTTGTGATGATGCCAAACCCGATCAAATCCTGGGAATGCCGAGCGAACAAGTGCGGCATAGCATAAATTGAGATATCACATGCACCCTCTCGAATGACTTGGCGCGGGTCGAGAACTCGCATGGTGCTTGGCGGAGATCTAGACTTGCCGCTATCTTCTCGAACATCTAACCACACTGAACATGGCTGGTCACCAGACGAACACTTTCACCCCCAAGTGAAAAAACGTTGTTGGACGAATATATTAGGCCCAGGAACAATGTGGGCAATAGTTATGTTGACATATCAAAATTAATAACACAAGAATCGAAGCAGCCTGAGAGCAAAGTATAAGATGCAAACACAAGCTATTTCCTTCGCAAACAGAGATAATCCCACTCGGTGATTTTGCACAAGTCGTTAACGCGTCAATCTAGTGATTGAAAGACAAAATATTGACAGATTGTTCAAGTTTGATCCGCCTTGCTGAAACTCTAGGCTCATCTCATGGTGTGATGGCCCAACGGTGATCAAATCCAGGCTGGGAGAGGAAGACAAGGGCTAGGAGTGTTGAAGTACGCCGGTAAATATGGCTTGGCATGGCTGAAATATCGAGGTATCGGAGCGCATCTCGGACCAGCGAGAGCGTTCAAGGTTGGACAGCACGTAAATTTAGGAGCGGCAATGCGGAGGCGACCCAGGTAACCAGTTCAAGATCATAGGACGCGCGGCCCTTCAAAAGATCCAGCCGAGAATGATGTAGATGAGAAGGCCGGCTCCGATGCAAATACCGGCAACCTTCAGCACTGCGACAGTGTCGCCTTGCCTGGCCATCCTTGTCAGGCGGGAGGCGCTGCCTTTGAGGTTCGTCGAGAGGGAGGAGAAGACTTCGTTCTGTGCAAGAAGTGTATGTCAGCCACGGTGAAAAGAAAATAAACTAGTCTCGAATGCCCAGGGACGCCCTTCTTAGCTCGTATGCTCATCCATCGAGACGTACCGAGTGGTCGATCGTATCTTGATCGCGCGCGTTGTCATGGATGTCAATGGTCACCGATCGGAGAGCGGAGACCTTGGATGAGAGGCCGTTAAGAAGCGCATTATTCTGCCTAGACTTTGAGCATTAGCAATCGGTGCTTCAGTGACCAGTCGGCTCGAGAAAGGTAGATCGAGGGGGCGTTTAGCTGGAGGGAGCCACCCGACAGTGCTAGGTGAGCGGGAGGAGAGGGAAACATACTGCTCGCGTTCATAAGCATCACTCATCTTGGGTGGTTTGAAGGGAAAGCCGCTTGTGTCTTGTAGGTGGTTTGAGAAGTTGGGTGTTAGTTAGGAGAAGGGACGTCGACGCCTGGTGGTGGCTCAAGACGAGGAGCGGCCAATGTGACAGGTCATGTGACCCACTTTGGCCTCGGCCGGAGTGGAGTCTTGAACTTGAACGTTCTTCAATTGTCTCTCTTGCCATGCAATGGCCAATCATCTCTATTACTAAGATTGGAGTGGGAGAGCAGCCATCTGCTGGAGAGAAGCAGGGAAAGATAAGATAAGATCAATGACCTCAAAGGAATGGAACTGAGTCAGACGTAGATCAGCGGGGTCACGTCTCGATGGCGGTTCACGACCCGAGTGGTCAACAGCTATTCGCATTGATTCCACGATGAAAGATGCGAATCTGCCATCGTATCATGTATCATATACAACAGTCGCGCGTAATTGGCCATTCAGTCTGTCCCGACTTCATCGAAAAAGGCTGGAAATTCTAGAACCATTCTTTGGACATGACGAGCCCCGCGGTCTATGATCCTTTCCATCGATCACTATGGGCCGAGAACTTTCTTAAGTGGGATTCACTAGACAATGATCTCCGTTTGTAATCATGCATTCCATCTTAACTCCAAGGTATTCGGCTACGACCATGATGTCTCCGATCCTACACGGTGGAAGAATCCAGAGTTGGCGACCAAGGCCAGGTTGCTCGTGCATTCTGGTCGGGAGGCCGCCAATATATGGGTGAGATAGTAGCCATGACCGATATCTACAAGTGGATGAGCATCTTGTTAAGTGAATTTGAGTTTGGGGTCCCAGAAACGCAGGAAAAAGGCAGGGCTCGGAGGAATGGGTTTATGGGCGAGATTCAGGAGTTCATAAGCATGGGAATCAGTGATCTAGCCATGCCTTTTATGGTGCATGTCCATCAGCGAACGAGAGAGCATTCTTGATTACACAAGGTTGCTGGGGAGCATAGGTAAGCAGTGTAAGTGGAAATAGCTTGAAATGCCCTGCTGTTTGGCTTCAGTATTGTAACTCGGGATGATCTCAACAATTTTCTACGTTGAAGTGGGAGTTGACACGGCTGAATGTGGCTCCTACAACAACCACGTAAACTGCACTGCTTACTTGAAGATGGGTCAGTTGAAAATATCTAGTATGTAGGGAATGTGGCTCATAAATCTATTTACAGTTTGGCCTTTTCCATTGTAGTGAGCTTTCTCAAAGGGGGACCAGCCCGACTTCCATCGCCTTTCATGCTATACGCACTGGAGGCACCACGAGGTGCCGGTTGGAGTCTCCACTTCTGTCGTAGTTCCTCAGGTGCTTTGTTCTCAAAGCAGTCGGCAATATATTTGCCCAAGACAGGGAGGAATTTGAATCCGCTGAGAAACGTGTTAGTGTGGCATCACCAGCGGGTGGAAGAGATGAAGAGATTGAAACACTTGCGGAGAAGCAACTTACTGGCCTGCTCCTCCCGTAGCCACAAAAAGACCCTGTAGTGTGGGATGGTGGTCGATAATGAAATCGCCTTTAGGAGTGTCCGTATACCAGCATAAACGGCGGTTCAGCCACGGCCGGTCGGCGAACTCCGGGAAGAACTGACGCAGACCCTTCCGCAGATCCTCATCAGCATCCTCGGGCAGATATCCAGTCTCTGAGTTGCTGCTGTCGAACTTTGGCGACGAGATGGTGCGGCTCGCACCGCCATCCTGCACCGTCACCTCATTGGCATATCCGTACCCGTGACGGGCAACCTTCAAAATGTTGCTGCCAGGCGTCGGAGGAAACACGAAGACACCAGTCGACATGTTGATCATGACGGGTGTGTTATCCAGAGAACGCGCTTCATCTTGAGTGAGTTGAATGAAGCCAACCGGCTGCCCAGAAGATGATGCGGCATGTGCAACGTCCAAAAGTCGGTTCGTCCATGCTCCAGTGCTCAGGATGACCTGAGAAGCACGAAGAGAGCTTCCATTCGCAAGATTGACCCCCACAACCCTAGAGCCTTCCCGAACAAGAGATACCACACTTCCGCGAGGCCCGCTGATGATCGAGATGCCTGCCACACTGCACCGAGCGGCCAGCTTTTGAATGCTTCCAGCAGCGTCGGCCCAGCCACCCCTCCGGTTGAGATATCCACTCATGCCACCCAAGTTAGACTGGATATTCGGATACGACTTTTTCAGCATCACCCCATCCTCTAGATCCTCAACCGTACCGCCGTTGGCCCGCACAGTCGCCGCAGACTTCGAAATCCAGTCATTGTTGGGTGTCTCCGACAAGAGCGCAAAGCCTGATTCGTAATATTGATCCTTGTACTCGGTCTTCCATCCCTGATATGCCTCATAGGCCATTTGACAATAGACGGGATCGGCATAATCAATTCGAATAATCCGTGAGATATCCACGCTGCTTCCATCGACAGCTGGAGGATTGTACCGGTCCAAAACGGTGACATCGCTATAGCCGCGACGCTTAAGTTCCAAGGCGGTGCTGAGGCCGAAGACACCAGCGCCAACAATAATGATCGAGTTGCTCGTTGAAGCAGACATTTTTCACAGTGATATGATGACTTCGAGCTTGACAGGGGGTCACATTCTTCAAAAAAGATCCATGGCGGCGGGGTGGGGCGGGTGTTAAAACGTATGGAACCTCACGGTAAATGTGGGCACCTACTGTAACGCGCCATATCCGAATTTATATGGGGCTGATTACTTGACATTCTGGGATAATCGTTCTGCCGAGGTATTGATCAGCTGATAAGCCCAGTTAGCCCTAGGCGCCCCTCCCTGTCTATTATAAGCCCCCTTCTCTCTCAGCAAGCTGATGGCGGACCACAACTCCTCAGATTAAAGGTATCTTTTTATAGCAGAGAAGGCAGGGGATCATGCAGTAGCACGCAACCGAAATACAACCTTCGAGGAATTCATGCGCAATTGCCACAATGAAATCCCCCTCCACACCAAAGTCACGCAACATTCACCGCTGGAGGTGGAGCTAGTATCTCAAAGGACCTTTATCTTTGAGCCTAATCAAACAAGTAGGCGTTGATAGAGCATCAAGGCTCGCCCGGTGAGACTTGAAGGCTTTGAGTACTGAGTCAGTAAATGCTTGCCAGTCACTCTCCATTCTAATTTCGGATTGGCTTCCCCTCGACACCAGCAGATTGAAATTCCCGTGCAATGGTCCCTCGCTGCTCAGTTCCGTGGTCTAGTCGCGTCCTTCAATATCGCATCTTTCAATATCGCATCTTTCAATATCGCGTCGTTCAACATAACACATCTGTCTCTGGGGAGTGTTCAAGGGGACACTGGGGTCTCACGGTTCCTGCCGAAGTCTACCCCTTTCACTAAAGCGTATCGTCAAATCTCGAGAATGGCTACTCTCATGCCCCGCGGATACCGCTCTTCTACCGAATTCTGCTTGGACAACGAACAAAACGACGCCATTATTCGAACCACCGCTTACCACCGTAAAGACTACTGTCTGTCCGTGATCTGGTACTCGCATCGCGAACACAACGATTTTCATCCGTCAATAGCAACACCCTTCCAGCGGACTTCAAGTATTGGACTTGGCTCCCTCGACCGGCTATCCCTCGAGCTCTTGTTTGACACCTTATACCGTCTGGATATGCATTCTTTATTCAAATTTCGACAGATAAATCTCAGGTCGAGACAGATGGTAGACTCTCTCAACCAGTATCATAGGGCAGTCTCCCATGGGCTGAACCTTTTCTGCGCCTTAATACGAACACGAATTGCCGTCGACATCACTCTACTCGACTTTGATAAGGCATTATGTACCAAGGCATGCACTCTTTGCGGCGAATTCGGCGCATTTATATCCATACTAGCCTGGAAACGATACTGTTTTAAATGCCTCCAGGAGTCTCCGGAAACCCAAGTGCGGACTCTCGCCTCAGTCCGAAAGCAATTACACATGACCAAAGCCGAATTAGGCCAACTGAGGTCATTCAAGTCCTTGCCTGGAATATACTCAATGAATGAATCTGTACAAAAGTCCCGCATTACGATCGTTTCTCTTCATCAGGCTACTTTAGCTTGCAGACGGCAATCGCACGCACTCCCTCAAGTTCAACCGGGGAGCTTTGACCAAAATCAAAAATTCAACTTCATGGGGTCATGTGCACTCCCTTATTATGATAAACAAATTGGCAGAGTTGAACGCGGAATCTCACATGTGCCGGGTGTCAACTTCCTATTGAAAAAGATATTATCGGCACCAGGGGCACAAAATGGGGGTACGAGGCTCGAGACAAAGTTCATGCGGAAGACGGCTTTCTGGACTGCATTCGGTGGTGTGAACAGGCACAGCTCCTATGGAGATCGAGTGGCGAAGGAAAAGTCCAGCCACCCGAGCTACCTGTGTCTGCTCGGACAGGAGGCTACTTTCGAAGAAGAGAATGATGGTCATATACTGTCCATTTGCTAATACATTGCAGCCACACTACCGAGCAGTGACGAAGGAGAACCCAGAAGCGGATCTATTCTAGCCATCCCAACCTACAATACAGCTCGACCTCACATGCAGTGGATTATTCTTCCATAATCCGCCCCATTTGATCCGTAAATTTCACCTCCGCGTCTGGCTTGACCAGGTGCCTCGAGCAGTAATTGTTCGAGTTTTTACCAAATACCTTCCTGACTGGATGGCATCTGACGTTCGTTCCGCGGCGCTCGTCGCATTGTTCAAACTCCATCTTCTTCTTGCAACCACAGGTTTCCTGAAAGCCCAAGAGCATGGTGACACAGGCACAATTCACGACGGCGATAATGTCGAACTTCACTTATAAGAGTAACCGTAAACAATGCTTACACTTAGAAAAGTGGGTGCCTGGAGTTGCTTGATGTCGCTGACCATATTAGCGTATGTAGGCTCGTGCTTGGATATATTGATGACGATGTCTATTTTCGGACGTTGTACCCCGCCCACTTTCCTCTATCTCATGAATGAAGACCTGCCTCGGGAATTCTACCACTTCTCTGTGGTTGACGCTCTCAAATAATTTGTCAGCAGCCATGCTGTACGGACCAAAGCTCCACTGGAGCTAGGATAAAATTATCTCCCGAGGGCCAATTAACCTCTCTGTCCAGAGCTAGACAAACTCATCTTTAGGTAGTCAGGAGAGGTAGGTAGTCAGGAGAAATCTGTATGTTGTGTGGACTGCATTTCTTGTGTGCTTTATCTGCACCGCCAGTCGATTATATTGACTACTCAAGACTCCTTGGGTGGACTCAGGCTGTAAGTGCAGCCTGGATACCCTGTTTGGGCAAAGTTCTACTGCTGGTTGACACGCTGGTCGAAGCATTGTTACAACCGATATAGGCCACTATTCTTTCGATAAATAATATCCATGCGCAAGAGATTGGGTCTACTGTGTTGTTTCCTATCCTTGCAGTCTTGAGTTCTTTCTATTCTTGAATAGTACGATGATTGCCGGTCTCTCCATAATTCCCAAAGGCAGTCGCTGGCTCTGCCTGTGGGCTACCATACAAGTGACACCCACTCTCCAGTAACATAGATCAATAGTGAAATTTCCCCTCGTATTTGATGCATCCACAACTTAATGGTTAAAGTTGCCCATTGTATCATTTTAGTCTAGATTATGGTCCACAGATTTATGCATGTAACCTGAATCAAAATATCAGTTCGACACCTTGGAGTTTTCTTTTCGCATTAGCAGATCAGGTCCACATGTTCGCGACTTCTGTGAGTCAGGTAGGCAACGACTCAAATCTCACTTGTCTTCCCCGTTCCATCTCTTTCTCCTTCACATCACCACTTTTACATCAACACCCTTCATTCAAAAAACTTATCGGGTTGTTTACCACCCTGAAAGCTCCCCTCTTTGAGCTTTTTGGAATCATCTGAGCCAGAGGATTTCGGAGAGGCTCATTCTCACTGCATTACCACTACGCAATCTACTCCTCTCCGCGGTTGCGAGTCCTCTCACTGTCACCAGGCAAGAAATCACACTGTGGCACTTCTCCTGATATCCAACACTCACTTTGATCCGAGAGGATCATTCCCACTTCCTCCTCATTGCGCAAAACACTCCTCTCTACGTTTAAGAATTCTCCCGCTTTCACCAGGCAAGTAATCCCACCGTGGCATATCTCCTGATATTCCAACTCTCACATTCAGTTGAAACCCTCATTCATCCATGCACACTATTACAAGCCCTCTCTCCCTCTCCAGCTTGATCCTCACCACTGAAGCTCACTTTGTTAAGCTTGTTGAAGCCATCAGCACATTAAGCCACGCAAGAGACACACTTTCCCACAGAACGCATCGTCGAAACTCGTCCGAGGCACCTGGCTGACTTGAGAGACAGACCATCCTGAGACCAAGAGAACAATGGCCTCCACTGCCAGCAAGAGCCCTGAGGCGGGCAAAGCTAGCCAGGTAAGCTATCAGGCCCACATCCCATGCTATATTTCTCCAAAGAAGCATGCGTTAACGCATGTTGAAGGCCGACCCACCTCTTCTGGTTCCCGTCGCGGCTAGCCGGTTACCTCGGCTTTGACTGCACCAGCCAGCTGCGAGCCTTTCTGCTGACATGGCCCGTCCTTGATGCTGTGGTGACGGTTCACCAGAACACAATAACTTATTTGAACTGAGTGATGGAGCTGATTCACATGCATGGGAGCTGTCACCCGGTCAAATTGAACACGATGTTCTGCGGAATCATTTTTCCCATCTTGCGAATATCGGCTTCAGGCTTAAGCAGCGACCTGGCAATGGCTCGCTGGGTGGCTGCACTAATTTGACCGGGCGAAGGCTCAAGTCAAAAAGGAATTCCACAACAAATAATCCTCAGCAATATCCATATCACCATCATCTTCTCTGGGCTCGTAATCAGGGTCAAGGTGTGCTGATCGTAGTTGTTCCTTCCTCCTTATCCGATTGAGCATACTGTCCTGGAATATGCGAGTAGCGAAAAAGAAACGCAGTGCAGCTATCCAGGAATCCAACACGGACGAACCCACTAGTTCAGGCTCCCGCCACTCGTATATTTCAGGACAGTATACTTAATCGGATAAGGGGGAAGGAATAACTACGACCAGCAGACCTTGACCCTAATTACGAGCCTAGAGAAGATGATAGCGATATAGATATTACTAAGGATTATTTACAGACTAAGTATATAGGCTTTATGCACCTAATATCTAATAACTATATTAAGATTTAGCAGACGATTAAGAAGGAGTTAGCTCGGGCAGAGGGGTTTGCCGAAGAGAAATAGCCTAAAGAAGTAATAATACCGATCTTTACCAGTACCTTCTTATTAGGAAGCCTTCTATATTTTAGATAGATAGACTTTCCTGTGTCTAGAAACTTAACGCCGTATATATAGTTATACAGTAGACGTAAAGGACGATACTATAGCTCTAACGTATCTAATAGCCTTACGTCTGCTCTATAACCGTATATACGGCGTCGAGATTCTAGATATAGGAAAGTCTATCTATCTGAAATATAGAAGGCTTCCTAATAAGAAGGTACTAGTAAAGATCGGTATTATTATACTTTTAGGCTATTTCTTTTCGGTAAACCCTCTACCCGAGCTAACTCCTTTTAATCGTCTGCTAAATCTTAATATAGTTATTAGATGTTAGGTATATAAAGCCTATATACTTAGTCTATAAATAATCCTTAGTAATATCTATATCGCTGTTATCTTCTCTAGGCTCGTAATCAGGGTTAAGGTATGCTAGTCGTAGTTATTCCTTCCTCCTTATCCGATTAAGTATACTATCCTGGAATATACGAGTAGCGAAAAAGAAACGTAGTATAGCTATCTAGGAATCTAATACGGACGAACCTACTGGTTTAGGCTCCCGCTACTTGTATATTTTAGGATAGTATGCTTAATCGGATAAGGGGGAAGGAATAACTACGACTAGCAGACCTTGACCCTGATTACGAGCCTAGAGAAGATGACAGCGATATAGATATTACTGAGGATTATATACAGACTGAGTATATAGGCTTTATACACCCAACATCTAATAACTATGTTGAGATTTAGCAGACGATTGAGAAGGAGTTAGCTCGGGCAGAGGGGTTTGCCGAAGAGAAACAGCCTGAAGAAGTAACAACACCGATCTTTGCCAGCACCTTCTTGTTGGGAAGCCTTCTATATTTCAGATGGATGGACTTTCCTGTGTCTAGAAACTTGACGCCGTGTACACGGTTATACAGCAGACGTAAGGGACGATACTATAGCTCCAACGTGTCTGATGGCCTTACGTCTGCTCTACAACCGCGTACACGGCGTCGAGATTCTAGACACAGGAAAGTCCATCCATCTGCAATATAGAAGGCTTCCCAACAAGAAGATGCTGGCAAAGATTGGTGTGGTTGCTTCTTCTTAAGGAGATTCGTCGGGTGAAGAAGGTTCTCCAGGCCTTGGAGATCTGAGTGGTCTCGGATTGAACTCCGTTCATTAACATGATTCAGCATTTTTTAATGTTTTCTGCCATTGCAGATTTTACCAAGCGCCTTACTATTGATTTTCAGTTCAATATTCTTACCCAGCTCAGACTTTTTACGTTGAATGGCAATGTCCTTTATTCTTTAGTTTCAAATGACCATTCAAGTTTACTCCATTTCCCTCTCTTCGTATTTACCATGCAAAATCCAGTTCCAGAATGAGTAACCGAGGTCATAACAATCAAGAAAATCTCGAGGTTGATAACAACAATATGTGCCTATTATGACGAACAAACAATATCGTACAATAGCATGCAGCCGTAATTTCTTGCAAGTAGATTACACTTTAGCAGTAAGAGACAAGTTGTGAAACTCAGTTGTGACTCTCAAGATACCTCTCGACTAGAAACCTGCAAAGAAGACACCGTGCTGAATGACTTGGAGTCGGTAGTCTTTGAGTGAGGATATGTCGGCGTCAGATCAATATCGCTCTCTGGATCCCGACAGTATGTCCCGGTGACAGTCTCGTCCGCCATGCTTGCTGGAACTGAAGCACTAGGCTTTGGCACAACTGACGGGTTGAGAGCATAGTCCGAAACAGTCGCCAGAGCACTTTCAGCTGGAGAGTCCTTGGCAGATATGGCAGAACGCCGGATTGTCCGAATTCCGGTTTTCAACTCCTCATCCAGGATATCCACATAATCATATGCCGCGTCGCCAGCAATAACCAATCTCTCGTATGAGTCCAATCCTCCCAGTTTCCACTCGGGCAGGGGTTTGAGACAACCCCCAATGTCGTATTCAAAGAACGGGTTGCCCTCCTTATCCACCACCTTCCGGCGTTCATACTTGACCTTCGGGTTAATTGGCTTGTATAACGGATGGGAGGGGTCCTTTTGGTTCATCTCCTCAAACCACTTGACTCTAAAATTCACCACGGGGTGGATGTACTCGCAAGTATCGCCAAGGGAGTTCCCGAATTCCTTGGCATATTCGCCCGGTGTGCGTCTCTTCTGTCCGTTGAGCCAGTACATCATGGTGAAGCTGTCTGTCATATGGCCTGTCCCCCAGCCATAGGTCCGGAGCCGTGCTTGGGTAGCCTGTTTATGCGTTCTGGAAGGATGCCTAATTGCGGATGCTGTGGCTTTTGTCGTGGCCCACATCCACTTTGCCCAAGACTTCGCATTTTCCGCCGCAATGGTGGTGTCCGCCTTCATGATATTCATGTTGAGCATTTCGACATGTCGTTCACGATCATCCTGTTCCGCAGAAACAATCCGCTCGTTGACCGATACATAGCCCTTGATTTGATCCAGCATCCACGCGAAAGTGATGTTGGACATGTTTTCCATATCACCTTCGTCTTTCAAGGTGTCATTCGAACCTCCACCGATATTGATGTGGTATCCGGGCATCCAGACTTGCCGCAAAACTGGGTGCAATTCCAATCTGTTCTGGTATTTCACTCGCTTGCGGGTGGCCCTATTCCAGGCTCTTGCGGCCTGGTTGACTTCTCGGGCTGCTGAATTGACATCCTCGTCGGTGGCTGTTCCTCCGGCCTTGAGGTCCATGGCCTGCTGCAAGATCTCCCAGTAGAGCTTTTCCGCCCGGTCCTCGTCGCGTATTCGAGCTTCCACCTCTTCCCTCGTAGCCGTCTTCTTGTCAAGATACCAAAGAGTCGGTGTAAATGCCTGTCGCCTCTCATCTAACGCTAAACACTGGAAAGCGTTTTTGATATCTGGGCAAGCTCGTGATTAGCTGTGTGTATGGGAGGCGATATCACGACGGTGGAAAAAGCATCAAGTCTTACTATGCGATAGGCCAACGTTGTGCCATCCTTGGGAGGAGGGGAGCTTAATGCCTAGCACTTCTGGCATTCCCAGTGCACCCACGGTGTCATAGACACCCACCACTTCCACCTCGCGGGACCCCTCCTGAGCCCAGTCGCCCTGGGGAGGCTTCTCATAGACAAACTCTCGATGGTCCTGGTCGCCGGCGCCTTGATGTTCATCGGCCTTGCCCCACATCCAGTCGAACCATAGATCACTGCGGTGGAACCGCTTTCCATGCTTGACCTTTTTGTAGACCGCCCACAGATCCGGAAACTTGTTGAGATCGCTCTTTTGACATATCCCAATGTCGGAGATGAGTCCAGCAATGGTCCTAGCGGTGTAAGCCCCTCTCGAAAACCCAAAGCACATGATTTTGTCGCCGGGATTGTAGTTGAGGACGGCAAAATTGTAGGCTTCAATGACGTTCGTTTCCATCCCTACTCCGGTCGCTCCTTCAATGGCATCACCCAGGGCAAGCGCAGTTGTACCAACTCCAGAATCGTACCAGACAACCTGCTGCCATTGATTACCATCTTTGTCGGTTCCAACCGGATTCAACGTGCGGCACAGTCGGGTGACATTGGATGGGACGTTTTTCTCTCCTGAAACAGCAGACTGCCATGTGCCATCACAACAGATGATGATGCGTTTCCGCACAGGAGTAAGCTTCGTATCTGACCTTTGGTGAAGAGGGTCATCACCGCGGCGCTCACAGAGATCCACTGCACCCATTGTTAAGAAAGGCCGAGCAAGCGTCACCAAAATGACTGGCAAAAAATACGAAATAAAAGGGTCCGCCAGGTTTTATTTATGTACTCTTTCCCTGCATGCTGGGTTCTCGGCTAGGCTGACTTCGTCGCGTTGATCCATCCCATTACCAGACCGTCTGCATGAACCGACAGGACGCTTATCCACTTTCAGCACGCTCGGACGAACCCCTACTCCACCCGTCGAGGCAGGTTAGGACACTTGGCCGAGTGAGAATCATTCAGCTACCCCGCCATTTCCGCTTATTGTTCAGCCCCTACATAATACGATAGTGGCGCGCCTGGGGCCTCAGCTGAACCTGCACCAATAACCAATCGCGATGCGCATTTGCCACGGATGGAAACCATCCGTCTATCATTGGTGCAACCTCCGCATGAGCTTCCTCATGCTTGCCCACGGACACACAGTGGGGTTGCACAAGACTGACTATTGCGAGGTCCACACCCACATAGAAAATCCGATCGGCAAAGTGGGAAACATCTGAAGCCACTTGTCATGATCTAGCCGTCTAGACGGGGCGTCAGGCTGACAGCCTTCAACTGGGCCTAGCGGGTGGCTGGGGCTGAGAGTGTAAAATAGACGTCAGATATAGTATTCAATGCAGCAGTGATCAATGGTTGTAACACCCTCCTACGCGTGCAGAATATTGGGGAAAGGGTAGCTAAAGAGGTCAGGAGAGCAATTAATGCGACATTAGAGCAAGAAAAGCAGGCTGGAATTATATTCTAAGAGATCAAGTTCGAAGTATGGACTTTTGGAACGACTATGCACCGACAACTGACACAGGTACTGCTTGTCTATTCATAGAAGTGGTGCGATTCTTCTCGCCCTAGTACACTTTGTGCAAATGGTTTATGGACCGTAACTCCGTTACATAAATTGGGTGGTCCAGGCTCGGGATACACCGTCTCCCGTCATCGCGAGAGTTGTGTGATTGTGGCGGAGATACTGGATTGGTCACAACTATCTCGCTATTGAGGTTTAGATCAGGCCTCCAATAGCTCGGACTGGGGGCGCTTTTTAGGGTTTCACTTCCCAGGCAGGAGAGTGGCTGATCTTGACGGCTTGGTGCATTTCGACCGTAAGACATACTTCCATTCAACAGCCAACGGAACAGCGGACGAAGCGTGATGAGGCTACCTGCCGTGTTTTCGAGACCACTTATAAGGACCGACCATATAGCAATTTGGTATATGTTGCCTGGAAGAAATTAGTCTTCTCTCTTCCTCAGAGTAGGCCGCCAGTAACTCACGTCAGAGATCAGCACCCACATAATAATAAGGAATGGGAGCCTGATGATCACAGCAATGCTAGCACTGGTGGATAATAGCCTCCTTTTCGTACATAGGGCCTTAACTGAGAATTCCTCCAACCATAATTGGGGTCCTGTGGTTCATTTGTAAATCCAAAATGGCCCAAGCAGTCGCTAAATTTCGACACATAACAGAATCAACGCCAGGGTGTAGGTTAACTACGACAATCTCCTCTAATTGGAGGGGAAACAAAGGAAGAACAAGAATGCGTCCCAATTCTAGACCTGAGAAGCGGACAGAACATTCTCTTTATTCGGCTGGAACGACTTCACATTCGAGGCAGTTCCCTCGGCAAAGCTACCGTCTTTGCAGATAGGCCACTCCTCGGATCTCAGCCAGTACTTGTCATAGGAGACTTCCCCCTTCATCATTCCCTGAAAATCAAATGGGTCGATAGAAGTCTTCCACGAACCCCGCCGATCATTCCAGCCAGGTCCCATCCGCTCAATGCGACCATCAAGTCCAAGATAGCGTGTCTTTTCGCGAGCCAGGTAGCGGCCGGGGTGCAGTATATTCATCCAAAATGTGAAAATCAACATGGGTCCCAGCTCGAAGGCAAACAGGTACCACTCATTGCTCAGGATGGGCCCGCAAGTTTCGGTGCAGCCGAGGTTGTCGAACATCTCAAAAGTCTCGACAGCGCGGAAGATACAGCGTATTAGAACCAATGTCGAAGTTCCGTATAGTGTCAGGCAGAGGATGGTCACATTGCGAGGGACTATTCCTGCTTTGGCGGCCCTGGTATGAACCATCGCCACAATCGCGATCACCAGGCTTTCGACGACTGCCTGTAAGATAAGACCAACGGCAATCAGGACACCGCCACTTTTATATTTGTCCAGGTCGTCTCCTGCACCGGCGTTCTTTGCTGCGCCTGCTACGGTGATACCTTCGACAGCAGCACCGGCATAGATGAACACGAGAAGGACACGATTGGGGTTGAACACGGCGTGCATTGGGAGGTAGCTCATCAGTCGACCAACAATATTGTAGGCAGCGGCGGAGTAAACGGGTGGAGCCAGATAGATGAAGATAGCTTGGGCGATGTAGAGGTTCTTATTTGCCGGGTGATAGCTGCTGAAGCATCTGAGGATCCAGCCTATCGTGAAGAGTAAGCCGCCCCAAAATGCCCAGAAGGTGATTTTCCAAAAGCGATATCGGCTGCGAGATAGTCAGTGTGCAAGTTTAAAGATCTTTGTATGTGATTTCAAACCCTACAAGTTTTGCCAAGTGTGAGCAACCAAGCTCAGAAACACGATTCCGGCGAAAACCGCGGGGAGTGCATGGCTCGGGTCATATTTATAGTAGTTGACTACCTCATCGTCAGAACTCATTTTATCGGCTTCGGTCGTCCTTGGAGAATGAGTCGATGATTCTAAATGGAAAACTGACATCTTAAATACCATTTGCCTTGGCGTTCCCTAGCACAAGGTCAACTGCTCGCAAACCAAGCGCTCCAAACATCCAAGTCCAGTAAATGATCACCAGCCCTGCGCCTTCAAAAGCTGCACCTTAAGCCTCACGAACCACAAGAGCCCAATTTGCTGGAGTGTGGCCCCATAGCCTCCTGAAATGCTAATCAACTCGCCCCGGAGAGCCCGAATTAGCCCCAAACAATTATCTCCGCATACATCAAGATGAGCCAATCATCGGAAGCTCTGCTGGGCCAGCGGCACATGCGACCCCATGCGGTTAGATCGAATGCCGAGCCTCCTACGAAGATGACGCCGATGGCTGTGTCTTCAGCCCGAAATTCTTCGAATATCCTCACCACGACGGTTGATAGCGTTCCGTCGGACTCAAAATGGACAGGCTCGCGTCATATTAAGCTGCATTCTGACGATTTTGCTCCTGGCTTCCTTCCACGCCTACTTGCTGCGATTGCGACTAGGTACATCGGTTCGCTTTACCTCACACAGACGTGCATTCCAGGGTCTAGCGCCCACTAGAGAGACCAGACATGCCTGGGGTTCCATCCGGAAAAGCTTGCGAGGCATGCCGGAAACAGAAGAAGAAGGTACTTTCATGCAGCAAACTCAATTTATAGTCCTGCGAAATTGACCCGGTTGATACAGTGCGACGAGAAACAGCCGGCCTGTGGAAGATGTCTCCGCTTGAAGATACCATGTGTAGGCTCTGGCCAGCAACGCTTCAAATTCCAAGAGGATAAGCGGTTCACTAAGCAAATCCGAAGAGATCATAAGGATGCAGTTATGCCTACTATCAGTAAATCTAATGCTTCATCATCCGATGGCACGCCTTCGCCTCCTGGCGGCGGCCACGTCCTGTTCATCCATGCAAAGCCGAGCAATGGCATCACATTATTGGCAGCCGCCTTTACCCAAGCCATCAAACGCTCCACTGATATCCGCTACAATCTCTGGTGGAGCTTCGGCTTGTTCCTCGAGGATGTTCCGCGCCGATTGGGCACTAACGAGGCGCTCGACCGCGCCGTCGATGCCGTTACTAGCGCCCATGCGGATTTCTGTACCCGCCGGCAGGGATCAGTGCAGTCATTGACTAAGTACTCGGCCGCGCTGCGCACCCTGCGGGTCTACCTGGACGATCGGGTCCATGCGCAGGAGACGGATACTCTGGCCGCGGTAATGATCCTGCTTATCTGTCAGACAATGTTGGGGCAGGGTAACCAGTGCTGGTCTGGACATGCGGAAGGGGCGACACAGATTCTGAAAGCACGGAAGGAGTTCGGACCCCGAAATGAATTTGAGGCGAAGATATATTTGTCTTTGCGGGGCAGTGTGGTATGTCTCTACTTTTTTGCAATATCCCTAGGTGGAAATTTCTATTACCATGGGCCTTCAGTCTGGGTTCGGTGCTAATAATATCATAGCTATTTGAAGGACTCTTTAACGAAAGAATTCAGCTCACGCAGGAGGAATGGGATTCTCTTATCGTGAATAAATACGATGGAGGAAACCCCGAGGGTCGGATGCTCTTAAACCTCTCTCGGGCTCCGTCCATCCTGCGTCGTGCCAGGCTCTTTGCCCGAACCGCATCCGACCCAAGCGGCGTACAGGATGAGCTCTGGGCCGTCTATCAGGCCTGTATGATCAATCTGGACCAACTCAAGGAATCTAGCATAAAGAAAGACCTTTCTGTCGCGACTGCGATGCCCAGACCGGACCGAGCATGGGTAGAGCGATTGCTGCTCATACACTACGATCGCATATACGGCATTGGTCTTGTGATCACGTTATTCTTCAACTGCATGCTACAAGCGCTGGGGTTACATAACGATGCGGTGCAGTCTGATGCCTGCTACTTTACTGAGGAGATCCTCATGCTTGCGGAGACATCGGAGCTTCTTCGGCCCGTTGGCTCGGGCTATCTTATTATCTGTCTCACCACTGCGTGGGCTGCGACGAAAGATCCAGAACAGCGAGCTAGAGCTATGATGTGGTTGCATGATTATCACAGTGACTTCAATTTCCGACAGTTGGATTATTTGCAGAAGGAGCTCGAGTGGACCGCGGGGCATCTAAACTTAGCGGATTCATTTCAGATGCATCGTGATTTAGAGTACCCGCGCGGCTCTTTGATATAGAGGGAGCAATTCTGTACAAGGGATACCAAATTCAGAGGTCCACGAGAACTGGGATCTATCTACAGTAGTTTTGAACTCGCTTCCATGGCAAGGAATGTATTGATGTACGGGTTCTACCGCCGACATACTAGGGGAGCTTGACTCCGATGGCACAGGGGTTAGAACCCCTGGTATTAATAAACCTTTATCCAGTGAAACTGATTGCAGGAATTATGATTAATGCAATGCGAAAGGAATCGTTGCTCGGTGGTATGAAGAAGGTAATGATTTAGTTTGAAGGGGAAAAAAGATACAGAAACAGTCCTCGCTGTATGGACTCAACGAAGAACCAAAGAGGAGTCAGAAGACAACCAACACAGGGCGAAACGAAAGTAAAAAAAGAAAGGAAAAAAAAGAAAACAAGTCAAAAGCAAACCCCAGACGCTATGCGAAAAGAGAAATCAGACCATGTGTGTGAACAAACTATATGGCAATGCACAGGCCAGCGCCGCAAAGACCAGAGCACAGAGATCGGGAGAGGCCAAACAGGATAAGAGGAAAAAGGACGAAAGTAAGGGCATCACCATGGGTTCCAAGCCCGGTGGAATGATGCGGATCAAAGCAGATATGTGTAAAGACATGGGACCACCACTAACAGATGAATGTTGCCGTTAGTGTGGTATGGGATGCATGGACACCACGAGAACGAAAAGGAACGGGATGGTGGGAAGAAAAGGCTTGTGTACAGGTTCTAAGAACAACCAGGACAAACAAACGTGAGGGTATCTCCGTGCGGTAGCAGAGAATGAGACTAATGAACGCAGAAAGACACGCAAAACAGCTTGAAAATGGAAAAATGAGTGAGGACGCCGGCTCCTGATTCACCACATATCATCGTCATCGTCGTCATCCAGCTGGACGTCGTCGCCAAAGGACGAGTGTCCGTACTGGTAGTGGCCCGAGTCGTAAGCGTGGCCATTTTCGTAGCCGTGCTTACTGTTTCCCCCCTGGGCCTGGTAGTGATCGTGCGGATCGTCGTCGTAGTCGTACATGGATGGGTCATCGTATGCGCTGTCCCCGTACTGTTGTTGTTGCTGCTGCTGCTGCTGCTCCTGCGCCTACCAGAGCCGTTAGTCAGTCGGTTCTTCATCAGAAAGCGAAATCTCTACATACTTCTTGGTATCGCTGGTATTGAAGGTACTCATCTGGCTGGTCCCGAGATTTGGATGACCTCTGTGAACCAGAAGACGCCACCGTCATCTGGGGGTGCATCTGCTGCACCTTCTCCAGGTATGAGTACATGAAATTGCTCAGCAACACCTGGGAGTATAGAGCTCGGCGGGGATTGGCAAGCTTAATGTGGGCCATGCGATAGATGGCTCGTTCTTCCAGTATAGAAAATCGAGTCCACGGAAAATCGACATCGGCCCGCAGCTCCCGCATTGGAGGGTCAGGAGACAGGTTCCGGGACGAGTTCTTTCGGTGGTGGCCTTCTCCGCTGTGCTTCTTCCGGCCACCGCCAAAGATCGAAGAGAAGATGCCATCCTTTTCTTTCTTAGACTCGCCAGAAGCTCGCCGGACACCATCTTTCCGCCGCTCTTCCTCCAGCTTTGGATCGAGGCGGTCCAGAATGAGGCTTTCCCGGCCCTTGGGAGTGCTGTCCATAGACGACTGCAACACGTCCATTCGCGCATTGTTGTGAGATTTATCGGGATGCTTTGATTTTGTCTTTTTCGAGTCGCTGTCCTTCTCCTTTTTCTTGTCCTTCTCCTCACTTCCCAGCAGCCAGTGCCAGCTGGACTTACGGCCTTCAGTATCCTTCTTTGACTTCTTGCCTTCGGATTTCCGCTCCTCGGGCATTGTTGGGATGAACGAAAGACTGTCGGTCCGGGTGCTGTTACCGGGTATCATCTGGGGTTGGCTGGCAAAGTCATCGAGTGTGGTCGTACTGTCTTTCCCGGACTGGCGATTCATCAAGGATCGCTTGCTAGGTGTCGAATCGTGGGACGGAGATATCTTGCCGGAGAAGGTCGAGGGCATATCTCGGTCCGGTGCCCGGGCGGGTTGAGAACTTGAGCTGGGTGGTGTACGGTTGTTATCCGGGGGAGGAGTTTCGACAATCGCAGGGACTTGTTGTTCAGTTGGAGGAATAATCAATGTGGACCGACCGTTCGAGCTGATGCGGGAATGCCATTGTCGTCCATGGGACCCTGCATTGCTTCCGGTTGAATCAGATCGCTCAAAAGATGCATCAGACGGATGAGAAGATGACAATTCTTCTTGCTGCTCGGCTTCTGGGTTATCAAGAATTGGATCGAAGGTTGAACTAGCCATCGAGCCTGGCGTATAGGCCGTGCTGCGGGACGAAGTAGACGGAGACCGGACTGCTCGACCTGTTGCTGCAGAGGTAGAATCGGTGGACACGCGAGTTGTTCCAAGTATTGGCTGATCGTCGAAGGAGACAACCGCAGGCGGTCCTGTGTGGGTAGATTCCGAAAGCGCTCTTCCAACCCGTTTCGAATATGGCACCTTCTCGCCCTTTTTCAAGCTCCCCTTCTTGTATTGTGTCCGAGTCGAGCGTCGTAGGCTGTGGCCCGGTGGTGCGGGCGGTAAGATCGGCTTATCCTCACTGGCAGCAATGCTCGCATTCTGCATCCCTCTCACTAATGAATCCTTGCTCTCCGGCTTTGAATCGTCCACGAGTGTCTCCAGCTCCTGCAAGTTCGGACTCAACATCCCATCCCTTCGACTCGATTGCGAACGCTGGCATTCCAAACGATCCGCGCCATCTTTATAGCCGGAGGAATCGTCGATCTGCTTGGACAGCATCGATCGCTTTCGGCGGAGCCCGCTCCCCGATCCCTGTCGCTCGGGCCCAAGGGACGAATAGTCGCCCGATTTGCGTTTGATGACATCGGCTTTGCTCTCAAGAAATGACTTGAACTCCTTCGGTGCCAGCTCCGGATGCAAGCTTGCAGGAACCCAGAATAACCGTGACGCATCGTTCTCATCGGCCGAGGGTGAGGGGGTAGGGACGGAATCGAAAAGTTGCTGCCAAATGAGGGGAGATCCGGATCACCTGTCGCCGCAACGTCCATCGACATGCGCCGAATCGCAGCTAGGTTGTTCAGCTCCTGGACCACCGCAGCAGGATCTGACTCATAATCGATATCGTTGAGAGGAAAGGAAGACGTGGCGGTTTCGGAAGGCGATCGCGTCGAATCGGGGGACCCAGTATCGCTGTCTCGGTCAAACGACCATTGGCCTACGAGAGGCGGCCGTAAGTGCCCATTGGTCTGCTTCGGTTGCCCATCGACTGGCGAGATTGGCGAACGTGGTGGAGGTGTCGAGGGGGAGAGAGAGGAGTCGGAACCAGCGGCATGGCGCGGGATGGTTGTTATCGCCTCGCCGAGGGGTGATGCTATATAACTGAGACGCCTGGGGTCATTGCGATCATAGTCATCGTCGTACATATGCCCGATGGCCTCAGTCACATGGTGGCTAGGGTCGCTAATCGACAGATGGGGTGCATGGCCTCTCCGCGTTGTGTGTCCTCCGCCAGCCTCAGGGGCGCTCGTGGAAGCCTAGCCGATAAGAAAATTGTGAGCATGAGTCAACTCGCGTGATTTCTAGCCCTTTTGTGTCAATGCAACCAATCTCGCGGCACCGTGGCGTCGGTAAGGCCCCTTCGAGACCGAGGGAGACAGCCCAGGCAGGGGATCATAGAAGCCGGACTCGGGTAAAACCAGCCAGCAAGGGAGGTGAAACTTATTGAGGACACGCACCTGCATGGGAACCAGCTATACAGGAACCAAAAGAGCCCAAAATAACCCTGAAGACCAAAGGGCGGGCACAGCCAGGAGGGAGGGGAGGAGGGGGGGGGATCAATGTACCACCTGGGGAAGAGGATGAACGATCATCGAAGCGGGGGACACAGAAAGAAAGAATCGGGGGCTATCCGGTAGCTACGGTGTTCGAGCTGTCATTTGTGGGACGATGGAGGAGGAGCCAGATGCAGCGCGGGTGAGGGAGCAAATGCAAAAGGCGAGACGAAGAAGTGCCCAGGTTGTTGTTGGTCGGAGGGTTTGGGAGTTTTGGAGAATTGGCGGGCGGAGAGCGCGGGCTTTCTTTCGGTCGCAAGCACCTGACATCCACGCTCAGCAGTTATCTACTTCTACCTTCCCTCCAACTTACGAACGCGCATGATGAACGCCTTATTTGAGCGCACGAGGAACTCGGTGCCTGGACTGCACTAGGCTTGGCCGTGGACTCTGCTGGCTACAGCCTACACGGTCAGAAGACGGGAGAGCCTGGCCGGACCATGGACTCCATGGACTCCATGGGGTCTGGCTGCGTCTCCATGGCCGATCGCGACCCTGTTTTTCCTTGTTTGGCGGTGTCTGGTTGGAGGACACCGACGATCTACGACCCTCTTTCTTTGTAGATAATTGGACTTCCTCCCACTGCCATCAACAATCAACCTCTTGTCTTCGCCAGTTTTACTCGGCTTTTGTTTTCTCCCTCACATTCACCCATGGCCCATCTTCCCGCTCGCACACGATCGGCCATCGACGGTGGTCTACCCCGGTTCAGATTTTAAACCTCCTGGGACTGAAGTATACAAGTACGACCGTCCAGGCGGCAGGCATTGGCATCATAGTTTTTTTTATTCTCAATTCGTCGCACGGGCATCCTACAGGTCAAGGCTTACGGCTTCGCCTCCTTCTTACTTTCTCGACTTTGCGTTCAGCCCCATTGCCATGCATCATTGATCTTGAGATTTAACTCGGGAACGGGGCCAGATCTACAGGCACACCTACGCATGAAAAACCCTCCTCGATCACCCCCTTCCGGCCGGGGGACAAGGGCCCTGTGACTCTCAGGCGCCGTCTTGATGTTCCGTCCCCAATCGCGCAGGGATATGATATCTGTAGTATCACTTGACTACCGCCAGTGGGAAAAGTTTAGGCAGCGGTTATGCAGGTGTTGGCGTAAGCCAGCCCTGTCCCGAGCGCGGATGGTGGTAAGAAAAGCTATTAGATTTCGCTGCGCCTGAGCTGAAGAGATCAGGCTAGCTGGTTTAGAGCTGAACGTAGATAATCGGCAAATAAAAGGTTATTTCCATTCGAATATGATAGAGAAGATGGACAGGCATGAGGCCTCTAAGCTTAAGAACGTGCGCTGACGGGAGGCTCCGCTGCGCGCAAAACCACGCCTGAAAAACCAACCCGAAAACCTTACCAGATCCTAGGAATGCCCCCCCCCCGGCGCAGAGAGGGGCTAGGCATGAGAATGAGAAAACTCCAGCGCTCAAGAGGATGAAGCGAATACAGGACCACAAAGAAGACGATGACACAGATCCAACGCCCAAATATATTCAAGCCAACCAGTCAAGCTCTGTATGTTCAGGAAGAGGGGGGAATCAAATAGGTGCTGCCGACCACCTATACACGTATAGAGCAGACTACTCAGGGAGAAAAAAATCTTAAGAAGAGGCATCAACGTAATTGCTGGGAGACCAGATTAGCCCAAGTCGCGAGAATCTTTGGAGCGCTGCACTTACCTGGGGAAAATGCCGACGCGATCGCCGATCCGGCCAGTCCACCAATCCTCCGCTTTCTCTGTGCGCTTCAAAATCGTGATAATCTCACCTTTCTTGAATCCTAGGTCACCGTCTTGGTCCGCATCGAAGGTATAGAGTGCAATCGCTTGGTCCTGCCGCAGCGCCGCACCCTGGCCCGTCCGTTGCCCGAAGACCGGCTTGGGAGCAGTCGGGCGGGAAGGACGGCGGTCCGAGTAGCTGTAGTCCTCGTCGAACGGCGCGGTATTGCTCCGGCTGCGTCCATAGTCACCATATGAGTCATTCATGGGAGCACGAGTTGTCGCGGAGCGGGTCAGGCCCCCCGCGGGCCTGTCATATACATCATCGTCCCAGGAGGTAGTGGCGCGGCGCGGCTTGTCACGGTATTCGTAGCCACCAGTATCATCAACGGTGCTCGAACGGCTGCGATTGCTGCGTGTGCCCTGGCCATAGGCCTCGCCTTTCCGTCCCTCCCAGACGACATCGTCGTGGCTATCATCATAGACGGGCATGTCATTGTACATCGCGTCGCCGTTCGCGCGTGCAGTTCCTTGAAAGGCGCGGGAATTGAGGACATGCATCAGCGCATCAGTTGACGGCGGCGGTCGCACGCTACCGGTCAGAAGCTGGCTTGCGCTGACACGGCTGCGATACATCTTCTCGTTGGCATCCTTGCGCTCCACAAGCATGCTACCCTCCAAACTGACACCAGCGAAGAGACCCTTGGTCTTCGAGTACGAGAAGACCGCAGCGACTCCACGGGTGCTAGCCGCGCCGGCGGCTTCGGCGTTGCGGCCGACTGGTCCTGCGGCAAGCGAGACGTTACCGCCCAGGGTAAGTGTTCCAAACTGCGAGAATGCGCGCACGGCGGAGGCGTCGTTGAGAATGAAGACGAAGTCTGTCAGCTCGAACCCAATCTGTCCACCAACACCAGCGCCAGCGGTCACAATCGCCGAGGGGGCCGACCAGGAGCCATCAGCGAGACGGGCGACGACGATACCGGAACCAAATCGACCAGAACCGATGAATCCAGCTTTGAGAACTGTGAGAATGGCGAGGCCCTAGAAGAGTCCAGTGTCAGCAGGGATTCAGCCTCCGAATTACCCCGCGATGGTAGCATCTTCTCACCTTCGCATTAGCCAGAATTTCTGGCGGAATGATCTTGTCGGGACCGAAAGCCTGCCTGGGGTCCACGAAAGAGGTCAAAATCTTGGCCGCCTTCTTGCATTCACCTGTTCACATGGGTTGCGGATTAGCCGGACATGCCGCGAGGCATTTGCGGGGAAGTGGGCAAGGGAGATTAGGCGGGCACGTACTGCTCAAAGACGACGGCAGCGGGTTATGAATCCCCAGCGGCATCTTAGCGGTGGGCGACGAAGGGGGTATATGAGCAGGGACTCAAGGGAGAGGGAGGTTGGACGGGGAGGAGGCTGTTAATCAGACTCCCAAGGTCGGGCAGGTTAGTCAGTAGACGGGGCGGGTGTGGGCCTGATGGCGGGCGACGCGGAACAGCGGCTCGTAGAGCAGAACGACCTGCAGTTCGTCGGCTTCCGTGCTCCCAACAGTGAGTACGAGGGATCTTTCGTTTAGGCTGGGGGATTGGTATTCCTGATCGTCATTGGAGCTGTCATTGATAGCACCGCGATCCGACTCCGAAGCTGTTCGCCGCCGCTCACGTACTGTGGCGCAGCAGCGTACCGCCTCGCTGTTAAGTGCTAGCCAACCCGATGCCAAGAAAATATCCAAATGCCCAGAAGGGCAGGAAAGACAACATCTCACAGGCTGTTCAGGGCAAGACTGCCGCTTCTCATGCATACTTGTAGGGGCCGTCATATCAACCTTCGCAGTCTGGGTAGGGTTACACTACGTCTGCGTCGAAGGCGATCAAAAAGAATATTTGTTGATTCACACATGCCGTCTCGCCTGGACCCTACAGCCTCGGTTTTGGTCTCAGTCGCATTGTGGTGGTCCATACTGTCATTTGATACTTCTGTCCCTAGGTTCCACTCGCATACCTTTCATGGTTTCCATGGCTTCTGGTCTACTTCGACAACAACCTTGCATCTAGCGCGATGCGGTTCTTGAGTGAATTACGCTATCCACCTCGGGGCCATTATCGACATATATATCTTAGATACCTAGTAGTAAAACCTCCTAATACAGTGATATCGTGATATCCAGATACTGGAAACATAAGAGTTGAGTTATGCCATTTACCAAAAGAAAAGAGAAGCTACGGAAGCAACTTAGAGAAACTTAGAGACAATAGGATGAGGTCATGGGGAAACCGAGGCTAGCACCGAACGCGCCGCGGATCCACAAGTCGGCTTGGCATCGGCCATGCGCGACCCCATTCCCGTTATCGCATCGCCGTCCCTGACACTCTCGGAAACCGCGGATTGTTGGCGCCACGGCCATGCTGAGAGTATAGTGGCTGTTAAGTTTTATTCGACTTGCAGATGGCAACAGGTAAGGGGGAAGTCATTGTTTGAAGACCCATCTCGTGCTAAATACACTCAGTTCGGATCTGCGTCTGTGGTGACGAGGGCACTGGCAAGTCCAGCCTCATCACCTCGCTGGTGAAAGGCGTCTTTGTCACGAACAAAATCCAGCCTGTCCTCCCCCAGATTACCATCCCCCCTACGATCGGAACACCCGAGAATGTCACTACAACCACCGTCGTCGACACCTCGGCACTGCCGCAGGAGCGGAGCAACCTGGCGCGCGAGATCCGGAAGTCCAATGTCATTCTCCTGGTTTACTCCGATCACTATAGTTACGAGCGCGTCGCGTTGTTCTGGCTGCCCTACTTCCGCTCGCTAGGAGTTAACGTCCCGGTCGTGCTATGCGCGAACAAGTCGGACCTGGCGGCGGATCACAGCGAGGCGCAGGTCATCGAGGAGGAGATGCTACCGCTGATGTCGGAGTTCAAGGAGATCGACTCGTGCATTCGGACAAGTGCTCGCGAACATCGCAACGTCAACGAGGCGTTCTTTGTCTGCCAAAAAGCCGTCACTCATCCGATCGCGCCCCTGTTTGATTCCAAGGAGGCCGCCCTGAAACCCGCCGCCGTCGTAGCGTTACAACGCATCTTCTACCTTAGCGATAAAGACCGAGATGGATACCTGTCAGACAAAGAGATCAAGGACTTCCAGACACGCTGCTTCGGAAAGCCACTGAGCGAGGAGGATCTGGCACACATCAAGGACGTTATTCAAAAGGGTTACCCAGAGTCTGTGAATGAATCTGGAATCGACTGCCAAGGATTTATCCATTTGAACAAGCTTTACGCGGAGAAGGGCCGTCATGAGACGGTATGGATTATTCTGCGCGCGTTCCAATACACCGACAACCTTTCACTGCAAGAGAGCTTCGTCCACCCCCGATTCGAAGTCCCACCGTTCGCGTCTGCCGAGCTCTCTCCCGAAGGATACCGCTTTTTTGTGAATCTTTTCCTGCTGTCGGATAAGGATAACGACGGAGGTCTGAACGATGCAGAGTTGGCATCCTTGTTTGCCCCTACTCCGGGTCTCCCTCCCTCATGGGCTGATGGCTCATTCCCATCTTCAACCGTCCGCAATGAAGCCGGCCATGTCACCCTTCAGGGGTGGCTGGCTCAATGGAGCATGACGACTTTCATGTCCCCGAAAACCACGCTAGAATACTTGGCCTACCTGGGCTTCGAGTCCTCCGACCGAAGCAATCCCTCGATTACAGCTGCACTGAAGATGACAAGACCTCGCAAGCGCCGGCGGCGTCCTGGGCGGGTTGGACGAAATGTTGTTCAATGTCATGTTCTTGGAGCGCCTGGCTCAGGGAAGTCGGCATTGCTTGATGCCCTCCTCTCACGCGGTTTCAGCACCACATACCACCCCACCATCCAGCCCCGTACAGCCGTGAATACAGTCGAGCTCCCTGGCGGCAAACAGTGCTACCTGATCATGGATGAGCTGGGCGAATTAGAGCCCGCTCTTCTCGAGAACCAAACAAAACTGCTGGACCAGTGCGATGTCATCGCGTACACATACGACTCCTCTGATCCCGACTCCTTTGCATATATCCCTGCCCTCCGGGCCAAATACCCGCATCTAGAGGAGCTTCCTAGTGTCTTCATTGCCCTCAAGGCGGATTTGGACCGAACGACCCAGCGGGCGGAGCACCAGCCCCACGAATACACAGCCATGCTCAACATGCCCAGCCCTCCCCTCCACGTGAGCGTCACTTGGAATTCAATCCAGGAGGTATTTGTCCATATTGCAGAAGCTGCCATGGAACCCAGCACTGCGTTCCCCCGCAGTGAAGAAGATGTCGAAGGCAAATGGATGGCGTGGGGCATCGCATTTGGGGCGGTAGTCTGCGCCGGCGCCGCTGCGGTGATGATTTGGCGACGAGTTAGTGGCAGCGGACCATAAAATGACTTTGGATTAGATAGTACTGTTTGAATAATACCCCATTGAATGTTCAATGTTCCATTTCTTATCATGATCATGTATGAGTTATAGTTGGGGATGTCCTGTCGATGCCAAGCTCGGCTCGCCCGGAGTTAGCCCGGGCCCCCGCCAGGCACAAGACTTCTCCGCTCTGAACCTACCCCGGACATCGCCTCGCTGATCCCAACACCTCCCCTCCTGCTGCTCGACCTCCGATCCTCTCCCACAACCCTCCGTCTGCCTGACGGCCATCTGTACATAACTGTACTCTCATCGAGTGCCACCAATCCCTCTCGATCTTTTGTGGACTGCCACCGACGTCCTCCCGGCGTGACAAGCGCACCGGTTTTCTCCACCTCCAGGGGTACCTTCCACCCCCATTCGCATCCTTTCCCGCGGCTCGAATAGACGCGATATTGGGCTCTTTTTGTAAACCGATTTGGCTGCATCTGCAACGAAAGGGTATTGGCCTAGTCTTATTCCCTGTCGGAAGGCAACGGAACTGCCTGTCTTGTGTCACCCCGCTTCATCTTGGTCAGAATCGAAAGTAGGACTCAACCAACCTATAACCATGTTGTAAGACATCCTTTTCTTTGAATTCTCCCTTGGTTTCTACAGCAGCCAGCCGTCTCCTTGGAGCTACCCCGAATACGTCTTTTCAGAGCTCTACCCTACGCATCATCCTACATCGGATGTTGGAGCACGCAATCGTTGGGGGCGCTTTGAAATGAGCCTTTTCGAGGCGCTGCTGTGATAACTCAATAAAGGACCTCTCGACTGACTGACTCGATCACCAGCGTCCTACCGCCCCCTCCTCCTCGTTACACCATCCCTGTCGCTTATGCGGCGGGGGCTGCGAATGGCATGGCAGTCCCGGTTGTCGAAACGAACAACATAATCACCCACCCGGAGGGTGGATGCCCGCTGCAAGTTGGAGAGGGTATGTGCTCACGACGGTTTGGCGTCCGCCGATTGCCCCATTAGACGCCACCGCTTGCAGCTTAGTCGAGCCATGTTGCTAATCTTAATGTTGCGATAGGTACTTACATACTCAAAGACGATCTTCTGCTGGCAACACCACCTCCGCATCCATCGGAAGCGCCTATTATCAATCCGAATCCCTTGGCCACAGTCCCGTCACCTCCAACCGCTGGCGTCAAGGTTTCCTTAGTTAGCCTCGACCCGCGCAAGAAGCCCCCAACGTTTCTCAAGACAGCGGTAACGGCTCCGCCATTTGGGGATGGAAACGCAGCTCTTGCAGCTCCAGCTCCTCCGGCAAAGGATGCTAACAAGAGACGAAAACCGAAGAACAATATTATCAAAAGCAGCTCTTCCTTCGTTTCCAGAGTGATCACCCACGAGACCTCCGCTAAGCGCCTCAATGATCGCGACCCGAATGGCGTCTTCGCTTTTGCTAATATCAACCGAGCCTTTCAGTGGCTCGATCTCAACTCAACACAGAAGGAGGAGCATCTTACCAAAGTGCTCTTTACTAAGGCGCACATGCTTTGCCACGATATCAATGAGTCGACCAAGACCTCGTCCCATCTGGATATTGTGATGGGCTCCTCTGCTGGGGATATTATTTGGTACGAGCCCATGTCGCAAAAGTATGCCCGCATCAACAAGAATGGTGTCATCAACAATTCCCCCGTCACACACATCAAGTGGCTGCCCGGCTCAGAGAATCTTTTCCTTGCATCACATGCCAATGGTGTTCTGGTGGTCTATGATAAGGAGAAGGAGGATGCGTTGTTTACTCCCGAACCTGCTGGTCATCCCGAGAAGAATCGTACCAGACTGCCTCTCGAAATCCTGAAGTCGGTCAACTCGAAGAACCAGAAAACTAACCCAGTATCGCTGTGGAAACTCGCGAATCAGAAAGTCTCACACTTTTCGTTCTCCCCAGACCAGAGGCATTTGGCCGTGGTTCTCGAGGATGGGTCCCTTCGTCTAATGGATTACCTTAAGGAAGAGTAAGCGCAATTGCTGGCTTGAACCTTAGTATTACCTGCTAATCGAATACTCAGAGTTTTGGACATCTTCCGTAGTTACTATGGCGGCTTGATCTGCGTCTGCTGGTCTCCCGATGGCAAGTACATCGTGACTGGCGGCCAGGACGACCTTGTCACGATCTGGTCCTTCCCCGAGCGCAAGATCGTCGCAAGGTGCCAGGGCCACAACTCCTGGGTCTCTGCGGTTGCCTTTGATCCATGGCGCTGTGACCAGAAGACCTACCGGTTTGGCAGTGTTGGGGACGACTGCCGCCTGCTGCTGTGGGATTTCAGCGTTGGAATGTTGCACAGGCCTCGAGCTGTAGGTTTCCATTTCAAAGATTGTGTATTGCGCCTCTCTAATGGATTGAACAGCACCATCAGACTACCGCTCGTCATCGGTCCAGCCTCATTGTGCCGGGTACGCAAACATCGAACCGCCACCGAGCGGACAGTGGCGGTAATCGGCTGCGATCAGACTCGGATAGAACTGAGAAATTCGATGGAGACTTGGACCCGATGGCTAGTCACCCGGTTGAGCCCCGGGCACGGACTGCCCTGCTTCCCCCAATCATGGTGAGCTATCCCTCCAGAGTCGTAATTCTGTTTTCAATCTAATGATACATCTAGTCCAAAATCGTGGGTGAAGACCCTACCTGCTGGCTTGGCTTCCAGAAGGATTGCATCATGACATCTTCCCTTGAGGGTATGTATTGATTCATACGGATCCTGCTAGCCCATACTGATCTTTCAATCGCAGGCCACATCCGAACCTGGGAACGACCAAACGACAGTGTCGTCTAGCATGACCATCGCGTCGGACGAGAGCACGACGGTACATCGCGGGCTTGATGTGGTCCAAGCTGATCTCCCACCTTTTGATGGCTGTTATCAGCGTGCGAGTGGAATGTTTTTTTATTTCCGTTTTCCAGATACCCAGTTAATCACCCAAAGCCAGCCCCATGATTTTTTATAGTCTGAAGGAGGATTTATATCCGTATCATTGCATTATACGTAGACTAGATCACAGCTTCGATGCTCCCAACCCTTCGACATCAAATTCAGTCGTGCACAACAAGAATGTGTCGCGAAGTGCCTATATTGGTCAGCAAAGCTCCATTGCAGTAAAAGAAGGCAGTTCAGATTGACCACTCACCGACAATCGATACTTCTCATTGATGGCCTGATAATCCTCCCCCGCTAACATATCACAAAAGTGGTGAATAGACGGATAATGCACAATGGAAATCTCATTCCACCATTCCTGATGCGGCCTGCCCCGATGCCCTCTGGAATCCTCCAGCTGCCCCTCGCCCGGCGGCACCACATTGCCCACCAACTTGGCGTCCCCGCCGCGTTTTCCTGCAACAGGAATGAAGGCCTGCCCGTACTGGTAGTAGCTCTTCCTCCCGTCAGGAACTTGAAAATGCAGTAGGTTCAGCATGGTGACAGGCCCGGTGTGTGTCTTGGAGAGCTCAGTCATGAACTGGAGGAGTTCGGGGGAGACTTCGAGGTTTTGGGACGTTTCTTTGCTTCCCTCACGGAGTACTTTATCGAGGGAGCCGGTCAATGGAATCTCGGATGCATTTTGCTTGAGGGTTTGGTCACGGGATGAGTAGGTGGATAGTAGTTTTGAGGGGACGCCGGTGGTTAACTTATACTCGTTTGTGACTGCGTGGCGGAGCGTGGGTGGGATTGGGTCCTGGTTGGGGGTCTGGCTGCATAGAAGGAGGACAAGGAGATCCCACTGGTTTGTGGCAAGGGGATTCTTGTCCAGCGTCGTTGGATGGATCACGACATGTCGTGGACGCGAGGCCACGATGACTTGAGTGTTGGGTGATTGCTTGAGTTGCTGCAGGAAGGATTGAGGGTCGGTTGATTTGGTGAGGGAGAGGAGATGAAGAGTGGCTAGGGGCATCGTGGATGTTATACTTGTATGTTGAGAACAGAGGCTAGGGAGCGCGGGGTTGAAAAGGCAAGTGTTCCTCCGGGGACCCTGCTTTCTATAAGTGAGGAGTTGAGTTCATAGCGGAGAAGGTGGATCGGCGATGTGCCGAGGTCCACTCCCCGCGTATCTCATTGGCTGCGGGCACTACAAGATATAGAGGTGGTATGAACACGTCAATTCAATGTGGCAAACAAAGGAATTTGAAACAGGGAAAATTATCTTCTTAAACGTTTTTCCTTTGCTGTTGACTAGAAACTCTCCAGGAACCAGGTGGTTTAAATAGGGAACCCTTCTCAGCATGAAGCGCTCATTTTCTGCCCGGCCGTGCTGCTAGATGTGTCAGGGAAATTATGGGGACAGGTATCTAAGTGACTCTCATCGAACGACAGATGAAGAAGCTGTCACAAATTTGAATCACCATGCAGTTCAACTGGCGGCAGCTCATGTCCATGTTCGAGTACGAAAGCGCATCACTGAAGAAGGGGTCGAAGTCTGATTGCGCAGTGAATGGATGCTGTGGATGTTGTGGTCACGACCCTAAAGCTGCACGATCTAACAGATACGATGTAATTATCATGCAAGGGCAAGGGATATGGTGTCCAGTTTTATCTAAGATGAAGACGACCAGAACCGATTGATATCCAATATTTGTCGTCAACCACCACATAGGCAAGCTGTGATCTTTTTTAGAAACTGCGCCAAGACGCTAAAAAGGCCGATGACGACGACTTTTTGGTCCAGAATAGCCGGAAGTTAATCCGAATCAAAAGATTGAGAGCCAATTCCAGTCCGACCATCATGGAGGCGCCGGATAGAACACATGCGTGTCAAGCCAGACAGGACCATTTCCGAGTGGCAATCAGACAAGGATCCACAGTCGTGAGGGTGCAACCTAGGCCACCGATGAAGGCATTTAATTATCACCAAGTCGGTTTCCAATCAACACCATTCCGATGTCGCACAGAGGACCTCGATCGATTCGCGATATGGAGAAGCTAACCTGGAACCAATCTATTTCCCCTATGACGTTGATAAAGCATTTACAACAAAAAGTTTTCAAGTTCATATCTTCATGCCGCGGTAATGAATTATATGACTTGTTGGCGATAAAGCTCTCGTATTGCCTGAGCGTGAACGTCGGGTTGGAAATGCAGTTGGGCTCGGCCATTCGCCTTGTCCTACCCTCCTACCCAATTCCATAGCTGTCACCCGAGATCATGTGTAGGGAATCCAACTGTTCCGAGGTGCTAGGATTCCCTGAGATGCACTCTCTGACATTGGGGCATTCCCATGTCCAACGTTTGCTTTGAATCTCTCAATTTGTCCCGTGGGTGCTAAACCAAGTGTTTTGCTTTTTCTTCATGCTTGAGGCTATATATATTCGGAACCTAAAGTCTATGTTATCCAAAGCCTGTTTTAAAGATGAGCAGTGTATTTGAGTTTGTTGTTGGCAGCTGGCAGTAACGACAATCATACCTGCGTAACGACTTTCTCTCTTAGTTAAAAGCGGACTGACCAGTGGTCATCCTAAATCGGCCCCAGCGGCGATCCTAGGCCAAAGTACCTCGGCCAGTGGCCTGCGTGCTTGAGGCATGAGGATTCAGTAGAGTCCTTTCACTTGACATACAGATAGGTGCTGGAAAGGAACTGTGACGCGCGGTCAGTTGGAATCATACAGGTTGTGCAGCACAAATTCGCCCTTTCAGTTCAGGCCAAGAATAGATTCTTGTAAGCTACAGCATTCACAACATTTGCTTCAACAAGTGCTCACTACGATACGCCGTAGACCGGCACCGGTGCCTAGTGTAATACCGCCCCTGCCATATAGGCTCTTGTACTCCGTTGAAGCTGGAAGCACAAGATATGACGCGTTGTGGCATCACAAGTACCCTGGTCTGGCGATGAAGGTTGCTATGAAATTGGATGAAGGTTTTGAAAGGAATATCAGCGCTGATATAAAGGCTGTGAAATTGCCCGTCAGTCATCCCTCCCTTGGTTTCTTTTCTCTCACCCCAAAGAACCCCCCTCTTCTAAGTTTCTTGATTCCCAGGTCGAAGGGTAGATATTCGCGTATATTTCTAGTACCTTAGTTTCCACTCATTATTATCTGTCATTGATTCAGCTAATCACAATGCGTGTTGTTTTTCTATTCTTCTTGGTGGCTTTCACTGTCACAACTACAGGTATGGCGCAAAGCATATGCGGCAGAGACTGAGCCTAATGAACAGTTCTTCCCAGCCATTCTGGTCACCTATCCGCCAAAAGGCGCAAAGGTTGATTGGAGCCAGCCTGTCATCATCAAATGGCGGTCGGTGGAGTTAGTTTGCCTGCTATCGACAGCACACGCCCCCCCACCTACCCCAACTTCCCTTTGAGACGATGGGAATGTTAATAACCGAAGCTAGGACTGACCCCACCACTTTTGACCTCTACGTAGTCAACCAGGCTGTTAATCCTAGTGTCTCGACATTGGTAGCTTCCGATGTGGAAACATCCAAGGGTTCCTATACTATCAAAGCCAATCATAAGGATTTGACTTCGTCTGACACTGGGTAGGATGGACATTTCTCTGCACTGGAACATAGTAACTCCGACTAACAGGTTCAAAACAGAGGTGGCTATCAAATTGATCTCAAGTCGAGTAGCGGCGATGGTATTCTAGCCCAGTCGCAGCAGTTTCAAGTGACTGATGGAAAGGCTGAATTTTCTTCAGCCTCCAGCTCTGGTAAGGAAACCAGTACTGCTAGTGAATCTCTATCTACCTCTACTATGTCGACTTCTATGCTTTCTACATCCGTGGAGGCATCGACTGCTGCCAGTACACCTTCAACGTCTGCTTCCTTGACTTCTTCTTCGACTGCTTCTTCCACTCCTGCGACTACTGCTCACTCCTCCACCAGTGCGTCTTCCCATACCACTTCTTATTCATCTACCACTACACCTAATTCTACTTCTACCTCATCTTCTATGATGTCTTCTTATACCAGTGCGTCTACCCCCATCCATTCTTCTTCTTCCTTTCATACTACTTCTACCCCATCGGCCATATCAATCTTTAGTACTTGCACCACAATTACCACGTCACAACCTACTCCAACCCCTTCCACTACTACTTCCTCAAACCCCATCTCGAGTACTTCCACATATTCAAACACGGCCCCTTTATGCCATTCACATAATACCCATACAAATACTCATTCATCTACGTCTTCAGCCCCCACATCTATGTCTACGTCGACGTCTGCTTCTACATCTACCTCTACATCGTCGACATCATCAACATCTCATTCTACCACTACTCATACTCCTACCTCTACATCACATTCCACTACGAAGATTCATACCAAAGCCCATACTTCCACTTCTTCTTCTACAAGCACCAGTACTCCTGGTCAGTATATGGTGCCACTTCTAGTCTTCCAAGATTTTCCGATTCTGCTTTGCTTACCGACGCCTGTAAATGTCCGAGACTAACTCCGTTCTCTACAGAGACGACTTCCACGACTACAGAGACCACCACGTCCACCACCAAGCACACAAAGACCATGGAAACCACTTCTACCCCTTCGGCTTCTACGACCTCCAATGCCGCCGGCTTGCTCATGCCTCCCGACCAGGCCGGCAGCCTGCTTCTCGGTCTTGCCATTCTACTTCTTTGAGATTGTCCAAACAGCCTACTTACGACGATATCTATGTTTGAGCTGCAGGTGGTTTAAAATATATGCGATATTAACATGTTTCACCTGGCCTGCGATAGGACGAGGTGGAAGGGTACAGTTCTAATTCGGGTGTACTTCCATTATGACCGGGCTTGATAATTTGTGTTTTATGAATTTGGACCTCGATAGGTCCCTGCAACAATCATATGCATGCCCTTCGCTGTGTGATTCGTGAACTCTAGTCTAATAGCCCAGACATTGCTATCAATGGACAATTATTGGGTGGGATCTCTCGCAAATAATATGTCAGCTTCAAGGGCTTTCCGTTACTGCCAATTATACGTATTTCTACACATATCCTTGGTCCGAGTATTATAGCAAAACCATGGAGTCCTAATCCTGCATGGACCTGCAGCAAGTACATAGCCGTAAGGCGGTGGGGCGAGGGGACTCCGCATCGCCGGCAGAAAAGGGGCAGCGGGCAGCCCCAGTTATGTCATCTTTCCAAATTGTCAAGCGGCCTTTGCGCGCCGCACAGTCTGTGTTCCACAGCCCTTCTCGAAGGATTTGTCCCTTTCTATCCCTTGTTTGATAAAAGGTTGTCTTGTGCCACTGTTTTTACGTTGGTCACGCCCATTTCGGGTTGAGGAAGGCGTATCGTACCCCGCGTCATCCCGCAGAACGCGTGCGTGTCGCCATGGCGGATTGCAGCGACGATCTGAGAGATGTACGTCTGTGCCGGGGGTAATAGTCCCTTTAATCTCTTGCCTACTGACACGTCTGATCTCGGCAGGAGCTCGAGAACCAGTATTGTCCGCCAGTGGACTCTGCCTTGTTTGCTGCAATTGTCACCGACTTTGACCTTGGGAACCCTCACCAGGTCAGATCATTGCGCGAGACACTGGATTCGATCAAGGAGCTTGCGATGCAGCAAGAAAATCTTCCTTTCGATCCTTCGGGCACCGCCAATCATCACCTGGATGTCGCCGACTTGGGAGCAAACTCATCTGCGCGCACATCAAGTCCAGGCCAAGACACACTCCCCACCAACACAGATAGCACTAGCCAGGCATCACACCTTCTTGCGGATGAGAATAACACGAAAGGCTCAAATCTTCAAAATCCTTCACGCACAGCATACACGGTTGCGGCCGATGGGTCCATTCAACTTGTCGGGGGCAGCGATGAAGACAAGGTGAATATGTTGGTGGAGATGTTCCCAGATCTTTCCTCGTTCAATATCGAGCAGAGTTTGAAAAAGAGCGGTGGGGACATCGATAAGTCGATGGACATCCTGCTAAACTTGTCTTTCTTTGATCAAGCACAGACGGACGAAGATTGTGTCGTCATCCCTAAAGGACTTGATGGGTTCCTGGATGGAAATCCCGACATTGGCCGCCAGAAGGGACGAAAGAAAAAGCGCAACAAGAACCATAAGGTCGCATTTGGACCGGCATCTTCTTCTGAAGATGCACCTGTCACGAATCTGTGGGAGACAGGAAAGACTGATGTGGAGTTTATTTGCTCGCGTACTCCTGACCTTTCCCGACACAGAGTCGCATCCGCATATACTGCCAACAATAGGTCTCTGTCTGCAACGATAAAGGCCTTGGCTGTCGAGGATGCGCCGAAGGATGTTGGCGAGATTGAAGATGATCCCGTTGTGCAGTCGCAGATGATCGAACTTGCCGGCGATTACCCTAACCTTCCCCAAACTACCCTTGTTGGTTTGCTTCGAATCACACGTAATATGATCTCCGCCGCAAACGAGCTGGCAGCTGAGATGATTCGTCATCCATCCGCTGTCTCGGTATCTGAATTAGTCAAAATCACCGTTCCAAAACTCAATCTCGACGACGAGGCCGCTGTTGTGGATACCCGAGGTCGCGCTAAAGAGAATGTCCGCAGCACACTCGATTATGAAGATGAACAAGTAGTTGCAAATACTTATTTCGCGGCAAGATCTGTTGCAAACATGCAAGCAGCACAGGCCGCCAGGAAGGCCAAGTCTGACCCCTTGTATGGAGGTGCTTCGCAATACTACCGCGAAGTTGCGCAGCAGCAGCGTGAGCTTGCAATGCAGCATCTCTCTGCAGCCTCTGAGCGGCTTGTGGATCGACAATCCTCGAATGGGGACCTCGATCTGCACGGTTGTCAGGTCCCTCACGCGATTCGCATCTCGCGGGAGCGTGTTGATGCCTGGTGGGACGGGCTAGGAGACACCAAGTACGTGCGCGGCGGCGGCAAGCATGTGCACGGCGGCTTCAAGATTATCACTGGCGTGGGGCTTCACAGTCGAGATGGCACCTCCCGCCTTGGCCCTGCCGTGAGCAAGGCTCTGATTAGCGACGGCTGGCGCGTGGAGATTGGCCGAGGTTTCTTGACGGTCATCGGTGTGGATCGTCGGTGGAAATAAAAGGCTTGATTTCAGCCAGTCTTTTGTTACGACTTGGATCCGCATGTCCCATTGCAAAGAAAACAGAGAGACCAGGACCCATAACGACCTCCATAATGAGCACGGATCTTTTCGGCTTGTTGGCGTCATGGGGGAATAGGGTCGATGTTGATCAAATTGTCGTGACATATTAGAGTGGGAGAACAAGGTTGCTATTGCTGGGCTTGCAGGCGACGCATCAGCACATCACGCCTGTTCGCATTTGATGGTGTGAGACAGCCTCAACTCCGCCAATAGCATAGGCGAGGCTACTCGGTGATCACATGTATGAGAAATGATCTTATGCTGCATGGAAGATGAGGCCGTGGGCTCGTCTTCTCTTTTCGATTATCTGCATCTTCGTTTCCTCGCATTTTCAAATTGCCTTGGCCATATCCCGGCCAGAAGATGCTGGAATTTGTCAGGGACGAGACGACTGGACATATTAGTGGGTAGTGGAAGGTGCTTTTGTTAGGTTTTGGGGATTTCTTTTACCCATGTGGCTGCATTCACGATTGATACCCTGCATCGGCGGAGTTTTCATGATTTTGGTCTATAGGCATCAAATATCTTCTACATTTCCTTTATTCCGCGCTTTTTCATTCTGAATATCGTATACAAGGCCATTCAGCTGAATTGACTGTTATGACTGTAAAGATTCCGTGCACTATCAAATTCCTCCAATCTCTATGCAGCGCTTCTGTATCGATTTTGGAAGGGCAGCTCCAATCAGTTCCCCGCATGATGACGTAAAGGGCCGGGATCCGATGGGTCCCATAAGATTGAACTTCGACCCCTCCAGTCCGCAGAAGCTGCATATATTCCACAGATAATTCTAGTCTCCTTCATGCGCTCCCAGGCAGTCCGTGCAATCAACTCTCTCAGGCACCGCGTCCTCGCTCACTCTACATTCTCCCTCCGCCCCCATTCAACTTCCGCGCGCAGAGGTCCTCGGCTAACACCAGGGGCCAAAGCACTGAGAGCGGCACCGACTATCCCGTTCTTCGGCGCTCTCTTTAGTTCGAAGAGCAACAGTGACGAGTTGTCTGGAAATATGTCATACCCCGACCAGCGAAGCGATGACCAGTGGAGGGCTGTTCTGAGTCCCGGTTAGTCTCCTACGGCCCTCCCCAACCGACTCTGCATCTCTGAGTCCAGCTAATGAAGTTGAGTAAAGAGCAGTTCCGAATTCTTCGTGAAAAGGGTACCGAGGCCCCCGGCACGGGCGAATATGATTCCCATTACCCGTCGAAGGGTGTGTACACCTGCGCGGGCTGCAATGCGCCGCTCTATACGGCCGAGCACAAGTTCAAATCTGGCTGTGGCTGGCCCGCTTACTTCGATTCTATTCCGGGGGCCGTCAAGAGGCATGTGGACAACACTTTCGGCATGAAGCGGACCGAGATTGTTTGCAACAACTGTGGCGGCCACCTTGGCCATGTCTTCGAGGGAGAAGGATACCCGACGCCCACTGATGAGCGACACTGCGTGAACAGCGTCAGCCTGCGCTTCACCGAGGATGAGGCGGCTGCAGGAAAGGGGCCACATGAAAAGGCCAAGGCGTAATCGGGTGCAGATAATAAACAATATTTAAAGTGTTCTAGAAAACGAAACGGGGAAGGCCGTTATGCGCGGACCAGGGGCATGGCTGGTTAGAGATTTGCTCGACGGTCCAACCACGTCGTAAGGTCAGGTAATCTAATGCATTGGCAGTAATTAGGGTTGCATGTCCCTTGTCGTACTTTGCAGAAAGCCACCTCGTGGCTGAATTCCCTTGGGTTCCTCTCAATTTACATCGAACTGCGTGGCTGGCAGTCACCGGCCGCCGTAGGCACCGGAAGCCTTAGGCCGCATTGCCGACCGCCACCTGAGCATGCGAGAGAAGTCACCCATTGTTTCTCCTTTCCCACTCTCTCACTTCCCTCGTGTCGACCGATCCGAAATATGTCTCGACGCGCTACGCCGGGCCAGGCGGCTCAGAATCAGCAGACCATCAAAAGTCTGCTGAAACTCGAGAATAACAAGATATGTGCCGATTGTAAACGCAACAAGCGTGAGTGTCCCTTCTCCCCTCCGAGATACCGCTCCGCCCGCGCGGCGCCGAGTCGCCCTTTCTTGAGTTTCCTTGTACTGACATTCCAATCTTTCAGATCCACGATGGGCGTCCTGGAACTTGGGTATTTTCATTTGTATTCGTTGTTCGGGCATTCACCGTGGCATGGGTACACACATCAGTCGGGTTAAGTCCGTTGATCTTGATGCCTGGACCGATGAACAACTACAAAGTGTTCTGAGATGGGGCAATGGGAGAGCGAACAAGTTCGTCACAAGGAATTGAGTATGTCGGATTCGTGCTAAAGATGTATAGGTACTGGGAGGCCAAGTTGGCACCTGGGCACGTTCCCTCGGAAGCGTAAGTGGATTGTGGCGATAGTACCGTTGATGGTAATGTACTAATGCCCCATGCGAACAGGAAGATCGAGAACTTCATTCGAACCAAGTACGAAGCCAAACGCTGGGTGATGGATGGAGGAATGCCCGAACCCTCGACCTTGGACGATGGAGATGACGACGTGGTGAGTGATGGAACAGAAAGCGATATGATATGAATAGCACACACTGACTTACTAGCCTCTTGCGGTGGTTCAGGAAAAGGCGAAGATTGAACGTTCCGCATCCCAGCGAGTCGCCGCCCCCAGCCAACCCCAGGCACAACGTCAACAAGCCCCAATCGACCTGTTCGGTGACGATATGATTTCTGCCCCACCCCGTCCTAGCACGACCGAGCCTACACCTCGCGCCCCTCCCAGACAAGCTCAGTCTGTGCAGCCAAAGGCTCAGAAGCCGGGTGATTCATTGCTCGGTCTCGACTTCTTTGGCAGCACCCAACCCTCGGCCGGCAGCCGGCCTACGAGCACTGCGTCTACACCCGCTGCTCCCAGCGGTATGTCTCGACCGGATCTGAAGCAATCGATCCTGTCGCTGTACTCAAAGCCCCAACCGGCTCCGCCCCAGCATGGGCGGACCACCTCTTTTGGAGACTTGGCCTCCCCGACACCTCACTCTACCACTTCGTCGAACATGGGTGGCCTCACTGATGCGTTCAGCGGGCTGAGCTTTCCCTCTATAACCTCCCCCCCGCTCTCCAAGCCCACCGAGAAGCCATCTCCATTTGCTGGTCTGACCAACTTCTCGCATACGAAGTCGACTCCGGCGGCTCCCAGGGTCACCTCGCCGTCTAGCTCGGCCAGCGGTGATCTTTTCGATAGCTTGACCTCACCCACCATGTCTGCACACAAGCCCCAATCGCGGAACGCTTCTATTTCGAGTGGACAGGACTTTGGCTTTGGTGGCTTTACCTCCCCGACCACCAAGCCTGCAAAGCCTAACCCTCCGTCTTCATCTCTCTCGAACGACTTGTTCGGCCTCTCTTCCCCGCCTCTTGCTCCTGCAGCACGTGCGGCACCTCCCAAGCCCACTGTTTCTTCCCCTCAGCTAGATATGAGCTCTGCATTTAACCTCTCCAGTCCTCCCATCCAGCGTTCAGCGCCCGCCAAGCCTGTCGTGCCAGTCGCAGCAGCTGCCGCCACCGGCGTTATGTCTTCCAGCATGGATCCCTGGGGCGGCAATGCCTGGAACACCCCCGACTCTGTGACTGAGCCTGCACCTGCGCCACGCGTACCATCTACATCTAACATGATGAAGGTCCCTGATACCTTGACCGCCAATGATATCGGGACTGGCTGGGGCGCACCACCCAACCCTACCCCTACTGTAGCAGCGGACGAGGATTTTGGCGGCTGGACTAGCGCCGCCCCCGTCTCCTCCGGAACCACTGCAACCACGACCTCCAAGCCGGCTGGCGGGTTTGGTGGAGCTGATGATCTCTTCTCGAATGTGTGGGAATAAAGCGACCATCTTCTTGGTGAATTGAGACATGAGATATTAATTTGTGACCGCGCCTGTACTGCCCAGCATCGGTGGTAGTTCTATGTATTGGATGTTGCACATACGGTGTTGTTACTCGCTGACTTTGCTTGCCCTTGGTACCCTTTGAATTCCCCCTTGTCTTAGCATGCATGTTTCCACTACTTCTCTTGTTACTAGATGCAAAAACGGGCTTCTCTCTCTCTCTCCTTTTTGTGTGTGTGATGTGGCCATTGACATGTATACGTCCTTATGTACGCTTACGATGAATATGCATGAGACCTCATCGGGATATCTGAGGCACTCTATATTGAATATTGACAGTTAAGACTATAAACAGTGGACCAAGCTGACCATCACATTAGCATCATTGATGTAGATGGAATTCATTTGGCCACAGCCCCCAGATCATATTGATCGGAGTCGAAGTCTTGCTATCATGGCGCGAGATAGGTAACGGCGCCGATACATTCGGATGGCCTTGCTAATAATGGTATGATTGACCAAATTTATGTAATTACCATATTTGCTTAATTGTTGAATTCACTGTTTGTGAAAATTTTCTGTATTGTAGCTAGAGGCCCGAGGTGGCATGTACAGGGCTAATGATATCAACAGAAGTGGGTGCCCAGTCAAGTTTGCACAGGGGTGTCAAAAATTGGTCCACCTGGCAACTTCCACCGAGAGTACCCCTTCCCCATAAAGTCCATTAGAAGAGACATAAAGAAATAATAAAGGAAGAGAAAGTAAAAAGTGAAGGCAAGAAGGGGATATCAACATGAAAAACGACTCAAATGAACGACCATACAAAAGCAACATGTGGATCATAAAGCAGCATTAGAAGTCATGCTTATGCACGAGATCATTCGTGCTTCCTGTGTCATCATCCGCCACTGGATGTGAGGAAGACTCCTGTGTGACAAAAGTCGTGACCTTGATGCCGGCGAGGGGGGCCTGGGCGTTGTGCCGTTTATCATAGCTGCGGAAGGACGACTCCGAGGGCGAAAGTTTGTCAAGATCGTAGTCATGGTCAGCATCGCGGCCGCCGATGATGGATGCTTGCATTTGAGTGTTGGTGGCTGTGAGATGGCTGCGGCCTGTGCGTGATGGGCGGGTCGTTCTGCTGTGGTAGCCGTTGCTGCCGGTGGAGAAGACGTGGGGGAGTAGTCGAGAGAGGAATGCGCGTGTACTGGGGAGGGACGCGCAGATGATGGCAACATTGCATTCGACAGCGGACCAGGCGGCAGCGCCAACATTGTCATCTACATGGGTGTTTTGATTAGATCACGTTTCTGGGATAGGCTGGTACTTTGAAAGCAAGACTCACAGGTTGGGTCGGTAGAGTTGGCAATCACGAGCAGACTCTGAAGACGCAGGATACTAGTAATCAACACACTGTAGTCCATGGTTAGTTTGTGATTTCCGGTCCAAGAACATCGCTGCAAAAACATACAATCCACCCAGCGCGAAGACACCCATCAAGGCGAACTTTTGTCTCTTCGGCAGCTGCAGAGACTTGAGCACCGGCATGGGGTAAATCAGAATCATGACATCCGTCAAGATGTGGATGGCGGAGTTCGAGAACCACAACGCCTTTTTGTCGAAACAAAAACCGGGCACAGATGGATCCCAGAACTTGGCGAGAGGTACGCAGGTGGCCCAAGCGGTGACAACTGTCCATGTTCCGTATACAGCGAGCAAACCGATCAGGAGGTTACAGGCGAGGCGCATTCGCGGCGTTGAAAAGACTCGTTGGTATTGCAGAAGAATCGACATCTTGGTAGCGATCAGACTAGTTTGGTACATTGGGATCGATATCCAGAAGTACTGGATGTGGACCAAACTAGTCAGCTACTGCGTCGATTTTCGGATGAGGCTCTGCTCTGAAGTGAACTTACGATCATCTGCGCCTTGTAGACTGCTGCTGGGATGAGGATGTAATGTTCACCCATGGCGTGGAAGACCTCTAATCAGGCGTTAGAAAATGACATGATCAAACATGAGTTTGCCAACGTACCCCCAATAAACATCCCGAAGAAGACCCATGAGAATGCCTGGAGCCGATATGAGTCAATTGGTTCATGGAGATAGTGGCCAGTCTGAAAGTCTTACCAGGGCGATACAGATAGCATAGTCATCCGCCCCCATTTGCTTCACCATGAAGGCTCTAGTATAAATCCGAACCAGCACCAAGAGCGTCGCCAGGGTTGTAAAGACGGCGCTGACGGCCAGGGCCGAGCGGCCACGAGTGGTGGAGTGTGTAGTCATTGTTGCATGTAGACGGTAAAGACTGTGGTTGAGCCTGGACAGCAGAACTGAGAATCCAGGTTGAGGAAATACCAAGATCGAGCCAGCGCCACTACCTTTAATATCCATAACAATCCCTGTCCGGGGCCACGGCACACAAGCGCAATCGTAGGGGATGGCTTGCCGGCCCCTCTTTGAGTGTCACTGAATGAGGCAAGTGATGCAGATCTTTCGATTGGAAAAGCACACCGAAGCAGACTAGCTGGTGTGTAGGGGGATCCATTTTCGTAGCCACTGAGCAGCCACCGAGGGGGTTTCGCATATAAGCTTAGGGACAAGAACAGGGCTATTGGAAACTCAGGAGAGATTAGTGGTTTTGCATGATGGACATTGATCTTGGCAGGATGGTCCGCGAGTGTATGAAAACTTAGACGACCCCGTTTTCGACCAAACCACGCAGGGAAAACTCCCGACAGAGTTCGGTTATCGCAGCGCGGCGTGGGATCTACCAAGAATACCGGTGATGATCAGGTGGCCCGCGTCAGAGGCCTACCAGTCGTGAGTTTTTGCCTCTACAATCAGAGGTTCTGGACTGTCGGCGCCGGGCAATACCCATGGATGATGCCGTTTGAGCGGCGGATATGAGCCGCGAGGGGCGTGCATGGTTCGCTCTAGATCCACAAGGGGAAAACATGCGGGCCCGATGCGGTGCGGAGCTGCGGGTGCACGAGGATGTTGGAGTAAGTAGAAATGGCAATTGCCAATGGAGTCCAGGTTGGAGTGGAGACTCTGGAAGGTACGCGATGCGCTTCGTCTTCTGCTGCCGCACTGACATCTCGTACCGTCGCTGGTACCCTCATCGATCCATGGAATGTCCGCGCCCTAGTGCGAGCATAATTATCCCACTGGCTGCCATTAACACACACCGACCATGCTGAGGGCTTTAGGATTGTGTTTGGTGTTTACTGCTGGCCGGGGAATCCCATTCACCGTATGATCACGGAGACATCATTTTTCCCCTAAGGCGGGATCAGCCGTCCGATGTCCAGAGCAGGATCGATTCGCAGCATTGGTGGGCTCACTAGCGTAATCCCGGGATCGGGTTTCGAGGGAAGTCCCCGAAACCGCGTACCCCATTTCCAGACGCGGGTAAAGCGACCATCGGGCAAGCTAGCGGCGTTAGCTCGAGTTCCAATTTGTGCTCGCTTGACAGTGGCGAACGCCCATTGTGTCCGGAACCACGGGAACAATGCCCTACCCTGCACGGAGACGTCTTTTCCGCCCGCAACCCCATCTTGGGGATTCGGGTGGCTGCCAATAGGTTTCAATAGCGCAGTAACTCCGGGTTGGTGGCTGAGGGCGTAAATAAACATCTGCGCCAGGTGCCTTGACTTTTTGTATGACTTGCAGGCCGCCCAGGCCGCCCAGGCTGCCCAGGCCTAGGCGCCACGAGAGTGCCAGACATGACCGAGAATCCCGTCTGCAGGAGTGCTTTCATGTTGTGGCCTTGTCATGTCATCTTTTTCCCCGGGCGACCGGGAATTTGGCGCTGACAGCCGGTGTGCCCTTACAGCAACACCGCAACAACCCCGTTGTCGCGCCATTGTGTCGATCACCACCAGGTCTCCTGCGGGCCCTGCGTTCCGCCTGTCCAAACGATGCGCACAAGTCTTCCAGACGGGATGTCCATGCTGGACTCCATGATGGCAATGCAGTCGGGAGCCCCCGAGCCCCCGAGCCCTCGAGTCCCGTTTACCGTTTGATTGACGGATCATCGTTCAGAGCGCGCGCCGGGATCGCACGAGGGTTGACGGGCTTCCTTGGCTCTGACTCTGGCTGGCATGGCGATCCCGGAGTCCGCTCATCTTGAGTAAAGATCTGCATGAGTTGGGTCTCCACTGTTGCTGGACCATTTCAGTGGCACTGCCTTTGGCGATAGGAGCCGAAGAAAAGGGAGGTTCGGCGATCGCTCGGAAAGCGTGGGAAACCGTGGAGAATGCAGCCACTTGGAAGGAGCGGGTGGGACTACCATGCCCCCATTCGTAGGGCAGGCGCAGACTGAGTTTGAGTGATTTGATCATTTGATGAACACGGCCCTGGGACTTGAGCGGGACTTGAGCCGTGCAGGCGCACTAATGGTGGGAGATTAGGCATCGATTCTTCCATGCGGCTTGCCCATCTTTACTTATACTGTCCGTAACGGGGGCCGCGCACTATTGCATTTTGAGTTCGGTTCCTGGGCCCTTCCAGCCAGCTGATTGAGCGTCAAAATGGCGTATCCGAGGTCGTAAAAGTGGTTCTACAGTACATACATGTTCATATGCCAATACCATAGTTTCTAACATGAATCGTAGGAGTCTGCGCATCCGTTACACTTCATTATATGGAAACCCCTCACATCAAATGTGTCTCAAAAATACAAGCGCATCTCCGGCCCGAACAGTATCACCTGGCTGGACGAGTACTTTCTCAATCTTGAACGATTGATCAAGACCATCCCTCTGGTCCCCATTATAGGAGACGGCGACTTCCATTTTCATTGCCTCAAGGATGGCCACAACCTTCGTAGAGCAGATCACACTGCCATCGGAAACGTTCACCTTCCACACGTTTGCATCGAGAGGAGCATACAATGTCAGAATGTCAGGGTCTGGCGGTCTTCGGTTAATATTTTCAAGTGCTGAATCAGTGGCGAGATCTTGAGCTCACCTTCTCTCAGGAGTTCAATTTCATCAGCAGGAACGTGATTCTGCGCTTTCTCGGCCATCCACCTGTCCATTGATTCCTTTTCCATGGCTAACATTTTCACCTGCGAAGTGGCTTGGCGAGACTTGAATGCCGCTACTTCGTCTCTAGTTTGCTGAAGCAGACGATTGTGGGCGCTCATATCGAAAATGACATCTTCGTACTGGAAATTATAACGACCAGACCGGAAACGCGCCAAATCACGCTCCAATTCTTCCTTCTCGACTCGGTAGAAGGTAATTTGGTCGAAGTCACGGAACAGACCGGGTTGACTCGGTGAGAAATCGGGTTTGACTCCCAGTTGGTCGAAGCAGGGAATGGTTTGGCCCGTCATCTGATATCCCCCAGGGGAATCAACGGGGTAGATGCTGTGGAAAATTAGAATTAGCATGTTAACTCGATCGTCCCCTTTCGCAGTATGGGAGAATGCTTACTTCATGCATGAACCACCCCAGCTGACACTTCCTTCTGGGGTGTACACGCGACTAGGGTTCTGCTTGGGACATGTCAACCGATAGCGGGGATCGACGGGGAGACAGATTGTATCGCCACAGAAGAACCCGACACAAATAGCCATGAATTCGACCGAAAGAAAAATATCCACTAATTCATCATACGTAATGCCATTGATATTGGCCACGAAGTCCATGTTGTTCGGCAAGAATGGAGCATGTGGTCTCTGAGTCTCCATGTATCGCTTGACAGCTTCCTCCTGAGCCGGGCTTTCGAAGCAGATGGGAAGACGAAACTTTCGGCTTGGGACGTTGGAATTGCTGAGATCGCCGATCGTTTTTTGTAACGATACCAAAAGTCTGACAAGGTTATCCTGGGAGAGCTTTAGACCATCGTAGTGGATTACGAGTGCTTGAATGGGCCAGTCATTAGTTCAAGTCCAGTATGATCGAGCCTGAAGGGGAAACGCACAATTGCAGCATCCGGTGGTCTTGTACACAGCGCCTCTCAAGCCTTCGTCAGACTCTTGCGATTTCTTGAGGGCTTGGTCCAATGCCGTGACTCGGCAGCGATGATTGAGATCAAATTTTCCATCGCCAAACTCGACCAACAAGAACTCATCCCCTCCCTGCCAGTGGCGGTTTAGAAATTGATGGGCACAGTAACCTGGACTATCTCTTACCTGTCTAAATGTCATAGGAATTCCGGATTCACCCAGATCGGTGGAGTAAATCAACGCCTTTCCCCAGTTTCCAGAAACAGTTGATTCTGGCAAGGTGGAATTGGAGATTGGCTCGACGCTATCAATATCGCATTGGCCGGCTACAATTGCTGAGACACTTTCCAAAAACCGTTCCAACTCAGCTCGAGCACGAAGCGCATCTTTCAGTGATACCCTGCGGTATTGAATAGTGTCGCCAGATTTCAGTTGACCCATACGCCATAGACTGGCTTTCACAATCGTCGTGGAGGAAATGAAGCCACCAAGATCAGGGGCGTCCACGGGGAAGATGCAGGGACTGAAATGGTCAGTTGAGTAAGTGGATTAATGTCAAGGCATTTGGAACCAGGACTTGCCTGTCTCCCGTCCAGTTCAGCGTTCCGTTCGGGTACCCATATTCAATAACGTTGCTAGGGTGCTGTCCACCCTCACCTCCATCTTCCCTTGCCCATCTGGGAGCAGGTCCAACAAGGCGAATGCCACCTCTCGTGGCATTATGCGAAACATCCCTGTTATGAAGCAATTAGTAGTGTCCCATGATGCATTCTTCACTCTTGCTACGGGAATGTCATACCAGACGGTGTTATAGATCATGTCGATATCTTCGGATACGATATACCCTTCATCGAATGGCCCAACCATGGCATCAATGTCCCAGTGACGGGAGTATACGGGGCGCAAATGGGCGGGCAATGAGATCTCCAGCTCTCCCGCAACTCCGTCGAGCTTCGAAATGGCCAACATATCACCCGGGGCGAGCGATCTTCCTTGATACCCACCAATTCCAAGTAGAGGGGAGGTTGACTTTGACCCAAAGTATGGGGCACTGCATATATAATTAGTTCTAGAGCCAAGAAGAAATATTCAGTCGTAACTTACATTGCCGGAAAGCCTCCACGAACAGCGAGATATGCTACGAGCAAGTTAGCAGATTAAACCCGGAATAGAGAGAATATCCTACATCGACACCCTCCGGATCCATTCAGTTTTCCGATTGATAAGGTTTGACCAGCTTTGACATAGAGTCGCGTCCACATTGGGACGTCCGTACCGTCGAGTGACATGTCCATTGGAGCACCACAGACAGATATGCAAGCAGGGGCTAGAAAACGTAGCTCCGGCCCTTTCAATGTGATCTCTAGGCCTTCGGTGTTGGGAGGGTTCCCAGCCAAGATGTTGGCAACTGCAAGCAAGATATATTGTCAGAACTCCATGCAGACAGCACAGCACATAACGTAGGTCATGGGTATACCTTGAAATGCCAAAGGATCCTGGTATCCAGATGTAAGCGGATGAATTGGTTCAAGTCTCAGGGGTTCCAGCTTACCATTGGCCCTGCTTGTGGAATTCCCCGCCCCGCTGTTGGGCGTCCTGGATAGTCTTGTACTGTTGTATACACCCCTGGTGATATGACATCGATCGCAGCCGGCGTGAACTCAAAATCGGTTAAGAAGTTGGTCAATGTATGTCCTGCGCGGAATTTACTGGAGTTAATGATGGCGTGCAAAAAGTCCAAATTTGTCGGCGGTCCACAGATGGTTGAGTGCGACAAGACATCTCCCAATCTTTCAATAGCCGCTGTCCGGTTGGAATCATGTACCATGACCTTTGCGATCATAGGGTCTAAAGTGGTCACGTCAGTTCATGTCTTCAGATCACATCTTTAATTAAGCGACAGACCGTAATATGTGGAAATTCGAGTTCCAGTAACGACCCACGTGTCAATTCGAGTGCCGCTCATCTCCCTCCATCCAACATGTTGAAGCAATCCAGGAGAGGGAGCATAGTTTCTCGCAGGGTTCTCTGCGTATACACGAGCTTCAATTGCACAGCCCGAAGGCTTGTCTGGTTGCAAAGTTTCCAGATAGCCCTTGTCCAGACCTCCGAGACCGCACAACTCCCGGTCGGCTTGTTGAAGCATAAGCTGTACAATATCAACCCCGTAACAGAGCTCGGTGATACCGTGCTCGACTTGAAGACGAGTGTTCATCTCCAAGAAAAAGAAATCTCCCGATGTGTCATCGACTAGGTACTCGACTGTGCCTGCAGATCCATAGCGAATAGATTTGGCTAAAGCAACCGCCGCAGAGGTGAGCCTTTCACGAAGACCTGATTCTCGTCAGCCAAAGGTGCTAACGCAATCCAATAGAAAATTGGTAACCGACCTGGGTGGTTTTCCACGAACGGGCTGGGGCACTCTTCAACGACCTTTTGATGGCGGCGTTGAATTGAGCACTCTCGCTCTCCGATATGAATTGCATCTCCTAGGCCATTACCAAAAACCTGAACCTCGATATGATGACTCTCAGGATAGTAACGCTCCATGAAAACGCCCGCATTTTTGAACAACGTTTCTCCTCGGGAGCGAACTTGCGTCCAAGACTCTCGGACCTCTTCCACTGATTTGCATATCATCAATCCCATACCACCACCGCCACCGGTGGCTTTCAGCATGATCTATAACAAGTCGAATTAGTAGGCATTGGCAGCTGATAAGAGAATGGCAGGGAGTAGTACTGGATATCCTAATTCGTTCGCCACTTCCACTGCCTCGTCCTCTGTAACGAGCAGTCCCTGTGTCCCGGGAACAATTGGAACGCCAGCTGCCACAGCGATCTCCCGTGCTCGATGCTTCAGCCCGAAAGCTTCAATGGCTTCGGACTTTGGGCCCACGAAAACCATCCCGGCATTGGCGACAGCTTGGGCAAATTCCACATTCTCCGACAGAAAGCCATAGCCCGGGATGATGGCATCAACTTGATGGGCACGCGCGATTTCTATGATTTCATTCCTATTTGATTTATCTTTGTCTCAGTTTCATAAACCAAGCCTTTTGACACTACCGAGGAACAAACCCGTTGATGTATGCGGTAGAATCATCGCCCGGTAGTAGGATCGCTTCATCTGCCGCCAGAACATGTTGTGACGTTGCGTCGGCGGCCGTGTAGATTGAAATTGTACGGACGCATAGCTCTCTATTGGAGAGTAAGTGTCAGTTTGGCTGCTTCGATAAGCGATGGACCTCTTTCTTACTTGGCTGTTTTGATGATACGAACGGCGATTTCACCGCGATTTGCGATCAGCAAAGTCTTCAATTTCTCCATTGCGACGGCGTTGTATCAAACTCCGGGGACTTGCAAATAGATATTAGTATATCCAAGTTTTATTCGGCCGGGGTTCATCCCCAGATAAGCTTATCACGAGACCAAAAGGGGAAGTTCCGAGCGTTGGGGTAATTGGCATCCGACTGGCCGGAAAACACCGCTTACCTCGGGGATTAATAAAGAGCTTGGATATCCCCGGCTCGGATCCTTTAGCATATCTCTTTGCCTTCCATGTCGTCTCCTGCGGAAAAACACCGACGAGTGTACCAGGTATGTGGGGCTTGACCCCTCAATCCCCCCCCCCGGCGTTATTCTGGCGATCCTCTGACAATGGACGCAGGCTTGTGAGCCTTGCAGGGAGAAAAAGGTGCGCTGCGAGCTGGGATCTGTCGATTGCCCCAGTAAACCACCCTGTGCGCGATGCCGCAGAGAGAGCAAAGAATGTTTCTTTGCCGCATCGAGGATAAGAAAGAATGCGTCCACAAAGCGAAAAGCACAATCACCTCTTGTGCCAGAGCCCATCCGATCTCAACCTGCGACTTCTTTCCCCGATGCGGCACGTTTGTATAACAGCAATCTAACTCCTGGATTACAAGAAGAGGAGGGCCAGAAGTTTCCGGACAATGGACGAGCTGCGACAGCTTTGCTTGAGGGTCACCCCCGAACCTACCATGATGCGTTGACATTGCTATCGAAGGCTTGTGAGCACAGTGAGGCTCAAAAGGGGACGATTGATGGCTTACCCTTGACCAACCGTCCTCCAAGCGTCAGACCGCATCCGAGTGACTCACCTCTAGGCAGTCATACCGATACCAACATCAACACCAACGAAGGCACCGATGAGGCCCTCTGCGCCTGGTCAAACCTACGTTTTGTCCGTGGTGGGCTTTTCACGGCAGAGGAGGCGCTGGATATGGTTGATCATTTTTACAACTTCCAGTCTGCCTTCTCGCCTGTTGTGCCGGAATATTATCGATGCCATTCCCAGCACGCGATGCTGATCGAGGAGGAGCCCGTGTTAACCATCGTCATATTGATGATTGGGTCGCGATACCGAAAGTGGTCAGGACCGGCTGCGGTCGCGCGCTCCTATATTGTTCATGATCGAATTTGGAGATATCTACAGGGGATGCTTTCGCGATTGTTTTGGTCGGAAGACCTGTTCGTGGGGGAATTTCCTTCTCTAAAAGGGCCGCGACCGGCATATACGGACAGTTGGTCGCATGGGTTCCGCACGTTAGGAACGTGCGAAGCATTATTGTTGTTGCTGGATTGGCATCCTCGGGCCCTCCACTTTCCGCCCCCGGATGAGGATATGTCGTCAATCGTGATTCCAGAGCCAAAGAGACTGCACAAGAGGGATTGTGCCACTGGGTATTACGGTCCTGGGTCCGGACATGACTGGCTCGCTCGATCAGATCGCCTATGCCACTCCATGCTCTCCACCGTTTTGATGCTGGCAACCGAGATGGGGATTTTCTGCGAAGATAGATCCTTCTGGCAAGGAGATGAAATTGGCCATGACCATCTGAAGCTCGCTCGTGACCAAGAGAGACTTCACCGCATACGGTGCTTGATATGGGTTTACGCGACACAGCAACCGGGTCGGCCAGGTATACACACTCTCAGCAGACAGGCCCCATGCGATCCTTTTGAAAGATTCAGGCTGACAAAAAACCTGAATTACTGTAGGACGAAGAAATCCGACACAATGCACTCCCAAACCAAGCCCCAGCATTAAGAATGATGATGCAACGGAATGCTGGATGCGCGTCGCAACTATTATGAAGAATGCAAACGACCTTCTCTTTGTGTCGCCGAGGTATACAGGGGAAATTATCCGCAATGGAGAGTACCTTCAGATTGTTCGCGGTCTTGAGCCACTTCTGAACCAATCGCTTATTGAGTTCGATTATGCCAAGTGTAAGTATCAACCATGGAATTGTGTGAATCAACGCTCATTTGAGTCTAGTGGCGAAGCAGACGCGATATATCTTGACCATTGAGTATGAGTATGCCCAAGTCTGCGTCTTCGGTCTTGCTTTGCAAGCTGCAATCAATCGAAATTGCGGTGACAATACAAGTAGCAGACTAGAGAGCTGTTCACGAGGTGCTTCCACAGAAGAGGAGAAGCATCTCAGAGTAACTGTTAGGGCCGCTCGGACTGTACTACGAACTGTGCTTGACGATCTACTTCCACATGGGAGCTTAACCTATATTCCCGTTCGATCATACTCAAGGATTCTCGGAGCGATTTTAATTCTTCTCAAAGTAAGTGACTTCGTCTTCTTCAATTGTCCGGTCTTTTATATTTGATTTATTGTGCTAAACTGTGGAATTAGTGCTGCGCGGCCAGAATCAGCGACGTCAACATACCCATGTCCCTTGATCTAGTTCGGCGAGTTGCTGTTGGCCTTCGTGACTCTGCAATTGATGATACACACCTGAGTACGCGCTGGGGCAATCTTCTCGAAAACCTCGCTAGTCGACTGCAGACGCGCCTAACCCAGCGAAGCACTCCGAAAACGTGTAACGTCAGACTCCCAACGTCAGCAGCCCTGTCAAACCATAACGCAGACGCCTCTCAGGTTTCTAATGAAATACATCGATCGACCATACATGATGACCCTCAAGGTATACAGGCTAGAGCTTATCTTGAAGACAACGATATCTTGGATCTCAACCGGTCGAGTTCAGATGCTAACCAGGACCCGCAATCTGATGCCTGGTCGACGTGGTGGGACGATCAATTTTCTCAGGTAAACCTCAATTACATGCCTTGGTTTCCAACTCTGGGGCTCGTGGGTGGAAGTGATCCCCTCTTCTTCAGCGACGCTGCTGATGGTCTTTTTGAAAGCGCTGGACCGGCCCATTGAACATTGATTTGGCATAGCTAGGGAAAATATATGGCTGCTTGTATATAAAAAACCACACCAAATTAGTCAGCTTTACACTCGTCCTGATTCCATGTATATTCTTCTTTTTCCACCGTAAGACAAGAAGCCACTGTGTCTTTGATCGGGTGCTTTTGCACACCCGTTTCTAGCATCTTCAAAGGCCAGAACAAAAGTGTGTTTGATTGCATGTGAACCTCGTGTGACATTCATTGCTTCCACAACGCAGATCTTTGTAGGTCGTAAACGGAAAACAAATTACATGTGGGTTAATTGAGTCGGCACCGGATAATGCAGGAAAGCGGCTTGATTCCGAGCCGACCCCAAAAAGTGGACTCTACGAGTCAAGTAAATAGATAAGATAATCTGCAAGAGCATGACCTTTTAATCTGACCAACTTGATTTACATTGTTCCTGAAATATTCACTATCTTATTCACTTCCGGACGATTTGACCCAAAGCCGATTACCTAATTGAAGGACTTCCCGAGCGAACCTTGGAATGTCTCACTTGTAACTTCCATCACTCATCACGATCGAGCGACAGTTTCCAAGCACCATTATGGGACCTATCAAGCACAAAGCCCTGATCAACGTTGATCTGGGAGAGGGGTTTGGTAATTGGACCATCACTTCAGATGAAGACTTGCTTCCATTTATTGATCATGCCAATATTGCGTGTGGTTTCCATGCTTCGTATGTCCTCTCTCTTTACTCTGTCCGACCCTCAGAATCGCGACAGCCAATCGGTCGCTGGAGCTGTTACGCGAATTCACATCGAAAGCATGATGGCGTTTTACTCACCCATTTTCCTTTAGGGACCCCCTCATCATGATGGAAACCGTTCGCAGCTGCAAGCAACACGGCGTGAAAATCGGAGCACACCCCGGCCTACCAGATCTCCAGGGCTTTGGCCGTCGTGAAATGAAACTATCCTTAGATGAACTTACTGCAATCACTGTTTATCAAGTTGGAGCACTCAAGGGTTTCTTAGACCGGGAGGAAGTTCCCCTTCACCATGTCAAGCCCCACGGGATGCTCTATGGTATGTGCTGCAGAGACTATGAGACTTCGATGGCCGTCTTCAAGGGCATCCCTAAGAATGTCAAGGTGTTTGGGCTTCCGGGTACTTGTATGGAACAGGCCGCCAAAGATTTAGGACTCGAGTTCGTCGCGGAGCTTTATGCGGATGTCAAGTACAACGCCGATGCTTCTCTCCTAATCGAGCGCAAGAAGGAGTAAGTCATTCCCTTCATCTTCTTGTTCTTACTCCTGGGTCTAATGTTGTCTCTGTTTTCACTGTTGCAGGGCTTGGGATCTTGCCGAGGTCCGAAGACGCGTGACACAGCAGATGGAAACATGCACTGCTTCTGCAATCGATGGATCAACCTGTGAACTGCCCGTCAAGGACCATCCCATCTCCATATGTTGTCATTCCGACGTTCCTGGGTGCCTGGAGTTGGTGAAGGAGACACGAGCCGCTGTCGACAAATTCAACAAGGCCTACTTCCCCAACAAGTAGATAAATAGAGAAATGAACCTATTTTGGTCCTTGCAGGATTGAAAGAACTTGTGATAATTAAATTGGGATTTTCTTCTGCTGTCATCCTGTTGCGGGCTCCTTACCTCAGTGACGACAAGCCAACTGGTCTAAATCATTGGAGCTTCATAGTACTATCCCACGTTGTTTATGACCCCCACTTACCCCAACTGCAAATGACCCCAAATACTCCACAATGTTGATTGGCCACAAGTCGGATACCGGGGAAAGATTAGTTGGAGTCGAACCGAGAAATGGGGAAATCCGACTGGACAGCTCTGTCTCCGCATCTTATCAATTAATATCAAAGTGACTCGAATCCAGTAGCCAACTCTAGCTTCCACCAACGAGATCCCGAGATCCATATTCAGGGTGATAACGTCAGGAAATGGAATTAGATCGGCCACGCGTTGCGGGGTATCACTTGGCAACTTTCGCTCCCAACAATATGGTCAAAACCCTGTTAGATTTCAACCCCCACAGCCGCTATCGGTCGGATGGTTTATTCTTATCCTTCTCCGGCCGTGTATGATAAGCCATTTTAAGAACTCTATGTGATTAATTGGACGCTGAAGTTATAACGGAGTTGGAGAAGTCAGATAAGACACACGTATTAAAAGAGTCGATTTCTTTGTTTTTCTATGCGTTTGGCATCCTAAGCAAAAAAAAATTCAGACTAGAGGATTCTGGCAATATATTTTGGTATGCACCAAGATTATATATGTCCGGTCTACAAAATCACTAATTCCTCCAAAATAGGGTTCAAATCAAATCACGATTTTGACCGAGGGTCTATAAAGTTGGACTCTGGTGATACCATCGAAACGAACTCCCGCAGCAAGATACCTATAGGTATAGGGACTGAGTATCTCGAAAAGCTGCACTACCTCCGCCTATCAGCAAATATGCACGATCCTCTTCCCATCCCCGGAACGGTCCAGCAGGTGGATGTAGACCACACCCTGCGCCTGAGACATAATAAAGAGCAACAAGATATCGTCCTGATTCCTCTCCCAAGTTCTCATCCCGATGACCCTCTCAATTGGTCCCGCTATCGCAAATTGCTCAGCAGCACCTGTCAAATGGCCTGGTGCTTCTTCGCGGCCGCCCTCATCAGCGGTCTGTCATCCTCCTATCTCCTGATCTCCCAGGACACGGGTATTTCCGTGGCAGATCTCAGCACAGGAAATGGCCTCATGTATCTCTTCATGGGCTGGGGCACTTTGTTGACCCAAAACCTTGCGCAGGACTTTGGTCGTCGGCCGGTCCTGTTGGTTGGCATGCTGGGGTCATCGCTGTTGCAGATCTGGTCTGCGTATATAACTTCGGTGGGTGAATGGTACGCCAATCGAATTCTTCTTGGCATTTTTGTTTCACCTCAAGAAGCCTTGATCGAGCTCTGTATTGCGGATATCCACTTTGCCCATGATCGAGGTTTCCACATGGGTATTTACAACTGGACTTTGTGGTGCGGTGCTTTCCTGTCACCGATCGCTGGTGGCTTTGTTGCTGAGAGGTTTGGCTGGAGATGGATCCAATATATCCTGGCCATTATCTGTCTCTGCTTCACAGTTGCAACGTTCTTCTGCTTTGAAGAGACGATGTTCTTCCGCCAAGTGAATATTCAGGAACCGATATTTTCCACTCCCAAAGACAGTAGCACTCTGGAGTCTTCGCGATACACCGACGGCAAAATTGAATCCGAATCCAAAAAGCCAGACAGTCCAGGGGTTGCTCCTGTCGACTCTGAAGAGAGTTACCCAATCAAAACATACGCGCAGAAGCTGAAATTGTGGGGATTAAGATATCCTTCTCAGCCCTTCAACTTCTCTCGGTCAATCATTCTTTCCTTCCGACTTTTATGCTTCCCCACGAATATCTTTTCCGGCCTTCTGGTGGGAAGTATTCTCGCCTGGTACAATGTTTTGGGAGGCTCCTTGGCGGAAGTTCTGGGCGGTGCCCCCTACAACTTTACCACGGAGGAGATTGGTCTTACCTACTTCGCAAGTGTGATAGGAGTCTCGATTGGATGCTACTTCAGCGGCTGGCTGAGTGATATCCTTGCCATCAGGCTGGCTAGAAGAAGACATGGTATTAAGGAACCCGAAGACCGTCTCTGGATGTTTTTGATTCCACTCCTCGCTCATCCTCTAGGTTGCCTTCTTTATGGCGTTGGGGCGAGCCACCATATTCCATGGATTGGAGTGGTCATCGGAATAGCCTTCATCTGCATCACTCTCCCGATGGGATCTGGCCTAGCCATTACCTATATCATTGACAGTCAAAAGGAGCTAGCTGGAGAGTCGATTGTGACTGTTATTCTGATCCGTAACACAATTGGTGGGTCACAATGCCTTCTCAGATCAAACAATTCTTCTTTAAAGAGCTAACAATACTTTGCTAGGTTTTGCTTTTGCATATGCAGTCAATCCCATGATTACCAACATGGGGCTGCAGAATACCTTTATTCTGATTGCAGTGCTGGGGGTAGTTTTCTGGAGTGGTTGTTTGCTATGGATTAAAATTGGGAAAGCGGCTCGGACATCCATTGCCAAATCCTACTGGAATCTGGTTGAAAGCCACGGACTTACTGCTCACTGACCCTACTTTGGGATATGTTTGGGGAGTGCAGAATATCATCTCTTGATTTTCTGTATAAAGTGGCATAATGTACATTCATTTTTTAATTTGAACTTGACAATAGAACACACGTGGTCCTTAATTCTTAGAGGCAGGCCGTTCCCGTTACCTTTGAGTCGTCTTGCACCCTTTATCATGAAAGCTCGTCTTCCGTTCCCCTCTTGACATCTTCCGGCTATCACATCACACTTGACATCTCGCAAGTCTAAGTATGGTACCACCTCCCACACCTAACCACATTATTTGATGTCGCATTGCTTTCTATCCCTATAAAGCTGATAAGGCCTACACGTTCGATCACATTCGACGTTATTCAAGCGGAGAGAGCATTTTGAAGTCTCCAAATCTTTGTCGTAGGCCTGTAGAGCTTCTAGGGAGGATGAAGTGCCGCTTTGATCGCCTCGTGAGCTCCTACAGATCAGACAAATCCCAGTCGGACGGGAATAACGGGCGAAGTAATTCTATCGGACGTGGATTGTAAAGGGCAGGAGCACGCTAAACTGCATTCCGTAATTCACGGTCACTGGAGACCACGGAGTGTAGTTAGTAAAGAAGTCAGATCATCTGTTGCGCGAGGCGCGATGCGGCTCTCTAGCCCCACCCTTCCCAGTTCGACATGCTCGTGAGCTCTCCACTAGCCCCTCGCCATGTAGACTCTGAAGCGCTCCACAAAAGGAGGCGTCTTTCAAGCAGAGCGGTGTTGCCAATCATGGTGCATCTCCGGCCCAGCATCCGCCCCCAAGCGGTTAGCGCCCAACGCCACGCCACGCCCCGCCCGACCAGACTCCGTTCAGCTTCCCCAGCCACCTCGATAAATAAAACACATGGCTGGGAGGATCAGGTTTTCCTTAAAACCCTTCACATTCCAACAGGTGTAATATTTTTTCCTTCCCATACTCCTGTTCTTGAGCAGCTCTACCCTAGCTGCCGGAACTTCTATCGCAAAGGGGTGGTGCATTGAACAAACTTTTGCGAACCTCACCGCCGCTTGTATACTTGGAAGTATACAGCCCCACCTACGCCAACAGAGTGCCAACGAAGCAACAACAAAAGCTTTTGAGCTCAGCTCTGCCATTTCCTACCAATCACAATTGCTTGCCCTCCACCTCATCGGGCAGCGAAGCGATCGAACTTGTTCTCATAATACCGACCGCCGTGCACCGCGTCGGTCTCTTTCCTCGCTGCGTCTTTCCAACCCTCCCCAAACGTACCGGCCGACGACCCTCGCGGGACTTCCCTTGTCAAGATGGTGCAACGCAACATCACCATCGCGATAATCATCATTGTGCTCTTCATCCTCCTCGCCCTCGTCGCTCTCACGATCTACGCCATGCAGAACCGTCTCGGTCCCTTCGGAGTCAAGCGAGCTGTCGATGAGGAGAGTGATGGCGGCGGATAATGACCGCCGTCAATCCAATTTGTCGCTGGCGTCAATCGCATGCGCCCCTTAGCCTTGACTCCACGAATCCCATACAATTTGGAGAACCCGATCAGAAAAAAAGACACGATACCCCTTTACCCTCACGACTTCCGACTGCTACAGCGACGAGCTTGATTCGAGCGTCTCCTTTCCACGGTCCCTGCGCATGCATTTTGTACAATTTGCAGACATATTTCTGTGCTTTAAGGCGTTGATGGATACATATGCTTCCTTTGTTTTCTTTTATTTTCTCGGCTGTACTTTTCACGAAGATTTTCCGATGGACATGGTCTGCCTGGTATATTTCTGCGGCCATGGGACGAGATACATGATTTTATATGATGAATGGAACTGGCAGGTCCGATAGATGGGCCCTGCTGATACCTGAAACCAGACATATCCGGTAGAATGATGTAGCTTTGAGAATCGCTGGGATACTCCCTGGGCTTGATCGACGGTGGGCGGGGTTGGGCCACCCGATGCTCATCAACAAAATATGCATCACTGACGAGCCGTTATGGCAAAAGGAAGCCAAACGTAAACTAGTAACGAATCGAATTCGTAGCCTACCACAAAAGAAAGAACGTAAAGTAAGGAATCTCGATAAAGGGGTTGAAGCCAGAAGACGACTCTATACTATGGATGCCATGCCACTCCCGTCCACGAAAATCGAAGCCATGCCGCCAATGGTATCTTCCCTAATCCTGAACAAGAAACGCATAAAATGCACCCATGCTGTTCACGCTTCTTATACCATACAACCTGAAACACCGCTAAACAAAACGAGCAATAAAGGATTCGTCTCCGCGCTTAGAAAACATAACTCAGGAGCTCCTGGGCTCGCAGAGCCGTCACGATATGCCAGGGCAGCGTGTTGCCCTGGACACTGCGCATGCCCCGTGCTCGAGCAAGACATGCCAAGTCCCGATACATAGACAAGGTATCCTTGAGAACATTCTCGTGAGACACGGAAGGGCGCTGCGAGAATAGAAGGTTAACGGTAATTGAGAAGACGCCCTCGCTGTCGGTCGCGCCCTTGCGCCGAAGCAGATACCCGCTAGCCAGAGCGGGGCGCAGTTCGGTGACATGGGGAGAGGTGTTGAGGCGGTGTGAGAGGACGACTGCCCAAGAATCGTCGTAGATATCGGTGAGAACGGCCTCAGAGTCGGGTTCAAGAGACGGTTCGGTAGGTGTGGGCGCATTGTAGACTGCGCTTGGGGTTGGAGCATTGCCAGCTTGCTCGGGAGAGGCAATGCTGACACTTGGGTTGGGTGTTGAGACAGGGGTAGATGAGAAGTGAGGGTTGACAACGCCTGTGCTCATCGGGGAAGCAGGAGTGTTGAGGGTGAGATCGGGGAGAGTGTTAACGGTCACAATGGTCAGCTCCAAGGATCCCGGTCGCATCTTGTTTTGTTGCTCAGCTAGATTGGTCCATCCTGTTATAAGTTAGAGACAGCAAATCGCCTATAAAATGGTGTCTTCGTAGCTTACCGTCAACCTCATCCGGATCCATCGGCTCGGTATTGACGAGCACAACCTTCCACCGAGTTTCAAACTTATCCATGATGTGCTTCGTGGTAGCCCAAATCTCATTGCGCACTTCAGCAATCGTCCTGGCAGAGCCTCTGTTACGATAGCGAAGACAATAGGACATGGTCGTCTGGAGGCATCCTGTTCCATCGGACCACGCTGCGGACACCCAGCGCTGGTCAGCGCTTTTGGAGCACGCGATATGGAGACTTCGCCCATCTTGCAATGGTGATCCCTTCTCGGGGGCAAGCCGGAAGTTGATGTTCTTGGGTAGGTTTTCAGCTAGCAGGATCGCCGGAGCACAGAGTAGAGGGTTGGTATCGGCGTCCTTTAGGCGACAGCGGCTATAGACTTCAAGAGCCAGATTCAGATATTCAGTCTGAGTTGGCACAACTATAGACTCCTCTGACATGATGAAATCCATCGGAATAATCTGCAGAGCAACCTCATTGACCTGCTTGGTCTGTCGACAGTCGGCATCGGTAACCAGTTGTTGGAAAAGATTCCAGAAAGCCGCACAAATGTCCGCCAGGGCTGCTGCATGAGGGAAGGGGTTTATGATATAGACAACACAAGTATTCGTGCTGGGTATAGCAGATTGCGACAGGTTGGAACCTAATTCCTCACACAGCCTCAGGAGGGACTGCATCATGGAAGCGTAGCCTGACAACTCCGAGGCCCATTCCTTCAGACCTCGGTTGAATCCTGACGATTGGTTCCCTCGGGCGTGAGTACCGAAGTTGCAGCTTTGATAGGAAAGGCCAAATCGATCCAGGAATGCGTCCGCTGCTTTCCCAGCAGCTTGAGGATGAATACAGTAAGCCGAGATGTCTTTGGTTCCATGAGCCGGCTCCAAACCAAACGTCTCCCAGAAAGACATGGCAGGCGGAAGAGTCTCCAAATATTCCTTGCCACGACGAACCCGTAGATGCGGCGCAGGCAATTTTGAAATAGTGCCTCTCACCGAGTCCTTGGTGGGCTGCTGCGAAGAGTTTTGTACCACGTCTTCTTGCAACGACATGTATCCTTTGAGATCGAGCTTTTCGATGTGACCCAAGAAGGTTGCATCTTCGAGACATTCCCGGAATGACGTGCCCTCACTTTCAAGAGCAAATAATCCAATCTGTCCACCCAGTGGATGATCCAGTGATGACTGTGTAATTTGATCGACAAGTAATTGAGCGATGGGAATCTGTTCTTCACGCCGAAGAAGGATGGGGAGTTGTTGAATTTGAAGAGCCGAGAAGTAACCAGGAAAACTCCAATCGGAGAAGCTGGCAAGAAAGTTGCCCAGAAATGTGGTGTTCTCGACTTTGCTTCCCGCGCTCCCATCGGGGGCAGCTGGGGATTTGGCTGGAGACGCAGCGGATTGAATGTCCGATTCAGAAGGAGCACGCTTTCTCTTCAATTGAGGGGGTACAGCCGGGGTTGACGCATGTTCCGAAGGAATCTCATCAGGGTCTTCATCTTCATCGCTGCTGCAGGCACTGGAACCCGAGGACTCTCGGTAGCGGCTGTCTATGACAGCCTGCATTGCATTGTTACCACCAGACTTATTGCTGGCAGAATTCACAATTCGACCACGATGCGGCAAGCCGACGGTTGGAATCGCATCCAAGTCTTTCGCTGAAGGTTCTGTCGTACTCCCGGGAGAGAACCAAAACTTTCCTGTCGCCCCATACTTTTGATTCCAGTCTCCCAGCTTCCTGCCGAAAGTGACAGCTTGGTAATGACCCTGTTGATGATCCCCTTCACTGTATCTGCGATCCCCTGCCCGAGAGCTTGAGGAAAGAATCTTTTTAATCTCCACAGGACTTAGCGGAGGACTGATGGTTTGGCTGGCAGGGCGTGGAGAGGGCCGCAGGGGCTTTTCCCATTCCATCGGACCATCGGCTGGTTCGGGATCCGGCTTGATTTGAGGAGGAGGAGGAGGTTCTTCCAGCTTGGGGACTTCTTCAGCTTTGGTGGCTTCTGGTGAAGCAATGGCAGCAGGTATTTTATCACCCAAACCGACTTCTTCCTCACACTGTGTACTTTCCATTGTAGCCTGTGGCGTTTCATGAGCCTGGTCAACCTGCATATCATCATTCATGTCGTCGAGATCTGGATCGTCAAAGAAGCTGAAGTCCGCATCGGTGATTCCCTTGGTTCCGAAGTCTTTGTCATTCATCTCGCCAAAGAGATCTTCATCGTCGCTTGCATCATATCGCCCCGTACCTATACAAATTTGCGGGGAGAGTTCGGTTTTTGGAAGGGGTTTGATTTCCTGAGGCACAGAGGGAGAGAGAAAATCGTTGTCCTCAGGAAAAATATCGGATGGATTTAGATTATTGATTCCAATTGCCGCAGCTCCGTCGGGTGGAGTAGGGTAGACCAAGTTGGTATGTTGGAGGTCTGGATATTGCGCCATTCGAGAGAGGCTCTCAATATGTTCCCCGTTATCCACCCTCGGCGAGCGCATGTCCTCATCTTTGAGTTGCGCTTCCTCAAATGCTCGAGTGTTTGGGGGATTTTGGTTGGGTTTCAGTTGACTGACATCTGGGGACCACTGCTCCGCGAATTCGAGTGGGTCAGGAAGAAGAGTCTTGGGCCAAGAAGACCGTATCGACGCAACAGCCCTCCTAAAGCAGAATCTTGCAGGCCAAAGCATGCGTTTTAGCGGAAGTGCAGATTGGGGCTCGTCATTTTGGCGCCATGCATCTCCAGCGAGTCTTGCAAAGAAGGGTTCCCAAACCTCCACCTCAACCCAGGGTTCCTCGTCGATTGAATCAATCTGCAATCCGAAATTGGCTAACCATTGCACAACGTCCCATTTCCATTGTGTCCTTTTCGCAGTGGTATCTGCCGAGCTAGGAAAGCCAGGTGAAGGGACTGTCGGCGGTTCGATATTCGCCGTGACGAGTCTTGCGATAGCTCCATTGGGACATAGCCAGAGATCAGTCCCTGGTTGCACTCGGAAAATATCTGATATATCGTCATGAGGGCTAAATAATCGTATAATGCCAGCCTGGGGGATTGTCTGTGTCGAGACGGTCAAAGTACCCGGCGCATTCAGTTGAACACTTAGTGTTGTCAGGCTAGGTGTAGAGAACAAGCTCTCATTATCGATTCTCGGACTTTCATATCCAGTCTTGTCCACTGCAGTAAAGAGGCTTCGCGATCCAATGGGTAGAGCGCCATAGTTTCGAACCAGATGGAGACTTAAAGCACCGGTGACTGCTGAGACGAAGGCGGCGTATATGGCAGCTGAACTACTGTATCCATCAGATCGCCGCGCAGAGGGTTGAGATTGCTGCGGCCTTTGTGATGGTGCAGGTTGAGATCCTTGTTGATTCTGGGTCTCCGACGAGAGGCCCTTTATCAAATCTTGGCATGCGATACTTCCCGATGCCGAGACTGCTGGGGGAATTAGCAAAATGTATACCAATCATGGTTCTATATGAGTGAGTAGCCTGCCTTTGAGGGTGGTTGTATCCACAAAGATCTTCGTGGTTTCGATGTCTCCATCTGTGACATACACGGGCCCCAAACTCTCGAAGGTTGGGGTAGGTGAGAACACCCACAAGCCTAGCCGCCTTGGGCATGATGCTAAACAGGCTATATTTCTCAATCGAGCCTCTAGATGCTTGAGACGGCCGAGATGTTTCAATATCGTATAGCCATTGGCAGGCCCTTCCTGGGGATGAGTTGTGATGCCAGACTCCTCCGTGTAGATTCGCCAGTAGATGGTGGAGAAGCCATCCTAGAGTCTCCGATCAGCTGCCTGCCGTGCATTTCAGGCTAAGATGCTTACAATTAGATGTATGTTGGTGGTGGCGCCTCCGGGAAAGTCCATGATTCAACGGTCGCGGACAGCCCCGGGAAGCAGGCACGAATAGAGAGAGGGTGAATCGAGGCTTATTCGAGGAGTCATTTCCAGTTGTGAGATGCTCCGCAGCAAGTACCCTAGACGCACAGCAGCAGGGGCAACCCCATCAGGTGTAGATGACCTTCGTAGAGATCATAGACAGATGCGACAACGGGTGAATCTCATCGCAAATGCCGGACAGCGCTGTGCAGCGCAATTCCGGGGGAAGTTCGAGGGACGCTCGGGCCAATCACCGGGATCCGCACGAATGTGTCACGTGGCCCCTATCGCTATCTTTTTTTTATCGCCGCGTATTTTTTTCTACGCCGCCGATTCAAGTCCGAGTTCAAAGCTATTTAACGTTCCCTCAAGACACAGCTCGAGGTTGTGAGTACGCTGAGTGTCTGCTCACCTCGCCGCCATGAAGCTGTCAAATCAGTCTGAGGTACCGGTCTACACCATCTCGGGCTCCAACACTGCCCGACCTTTGCCGGAATGGCTTGCCAGACGCCGTAAGCGCAGCTTGAAGGACGACCCCGAGTATGCGAACCGTATCGAATTGCTGCAAGACTTTGAGTTCGAGGAGGCCAGCCAGTGCGTGCGTGTCAGCGAAGATGGTGAATGGGTCATGAGCACAGGTACGACGACGATGAAATAGCGACTGTCACTATCACGGCTCAACTCACAAATTTTCTACCAGGAACGTACAAGCCCCAAATCCATGTCCACCAATTGTCTCAGCTTTCTCTGTCTTGGGCGCGGCACACGGTTGCCCTTAATACAACATTCCTGCTTCTCTCTTCCGACTACTCCAAATCCCTCCATCTTCAGTCCGACCGTTCTCTTGAATTCCACACCCCGCAAGGATGCCACTACACCACTCGACTCCCACGATATGGACGCGATCTTATCTTCGATCGCCAGTCGACGGAGGCGCTGGTTCCTTCTGTCGGTGTCAACCAGGATGGCATGGGTGAGGTCTTCCGGTTGAACTTGGAGCTGGGGCGATATATGCGCAGCTTTGAAATAGACGTCGGAGGAGATGACTTCACATCTGCTGGAGGAGGTACCTTGCAAGGAGGTATTAACACTGGTTCGATCAACACGGGCGCTATTGCGGAGGACAGTCACAATCTGCTTGCGTTTGGAACATCGATAGGAACCGTGGAGCTGTGGGATCCTAGGGCCAAGGGCCGGGCGGGCATTCTTCTGCCACCCACGCAGTCCGTGGCCGACGAGGTGCGGTCTGAAATTACCGCATTGGAGTTCCACCGCTCAGGATTGACGCTGGGCGCCGGCTCGTCCAACGGCCTGATTCACCTCTACGATCTCCGATCTCCGGTACCTTTCCTGAAGAAGGACCAAGGATACGGGTTCCCTATCCACACCCTCAAGTTCCTCCAGCCGTCAACTGAGACGCGTGAGGCGACTTTGGACCCAAAGATTATGTCTGCTGATAAGAGGATTATCAAGATCTGGGACCCTCGTGACGGTAGTCCTTGGACTTCCGTAGAGCCAGCGGTAGATATCAACTCGGTGGCCTGGTGCAAGGATAGTGGCATGCTGCTCACAGCCAACGAAGGCCGACAGCAGCACTCATTCTTCATCCCGCAGCTCGGCCCCGCACCAAAATGGTGCTCGTTCTTGGACAACCTGGTCGAGGAGATGGCCGAGGACCCGAACGACCCGAACGCATTTACCAGCGCACAGGCTGGCTCTGTCTACGACAACTACAAGTTCTTGACCGTACCTCAGCTGCGCACACTCAACCTGGAGCATCTTATTGGCCGCACCAACCTCTTGCGACCATACATGCACGGTTACTTCGTTGCTCAGCGTCTGTATGAGGAGGCGAGATTGATCACCAACCCGTACATCTGGGAGGAAGAGCGCGCCAAGCAGGTCAAGCAGAAGATTGACAAGGAGCGCGAGAGCCGAATCCGTGGCAAGAAGAAGGCCGCCGTCAAGATCAACAAGAAGTTGGCCGAGAAGCTTCTCAATGCAGAGGAGAAGAACGAGCGCCGGAGGGCTAAGCAGGTGCTGGAGCGTGGTGGCGATGCCGACATGGTTGATGCACCTGCTGCCGAGACCGACAAGAAGGGCGTCCTGGGCGACAACCGTTTCAACAAGCTGTTCGAGGATGCTGACTTTGCTGTTGATGAGAATTCCTTCGAGTTCAAGCTCATCAACCCTAGCACGATTCCTGACGCCCCCGAGCGCAAGGAACGTGGTCTGACCGCCGTTGAGCAAGAGGCCGTGGATGATGTTCCCCGCTCCAGCGATGACGATTCAGACTCCGATAATGAACCCGAGAGGCCCGTGAGAGAGAAGGCCCCCAAGAAGATTTCTTCCACCGACTACAAGCGCACGAAGCGACCCCCGCCGCGCATGCAGGTCTCGTCTTCGACACGCACGAGCTCCACCCGGGATAGGTCCTTCGGCTCTCGTGCGCAGAACATGAAGACCAGGCAAAGGCCATCTCGCCAGAGCGGTGTCGTTGGTGAGCACGAAGTGAGCTTCATGCCGGCTTCCAAGTCGAAGAAGCAAAAGCCGGAGGTCCAATACGATAAGACCGAGTACCGGGCGAAGGATCGCCGCAGTGCCTCGAACAACGCGTTCCGTAAGATGTGATTTGGTGGGTTTGACCACGGTGGCGTTAGAAAAGGATCGATTCGGATTGACGGGCCTGATATTCGGGCTTGATATGTGTATTCTTATCATGGTTATGTTGCATGACGGTGTCACCTTCAGCATTTAGAGCCTTTTTTTGTTATATACCTCAACAAGCACCCAAAAGTAATTCTTTTTCACACAACATCCGAAGCATTTAAATAGCCTCTACGCTGGACGTACTTTATAGCTTTAATTTGCCAGCAGTAGCACGCGCTGGTGACGCAGAGGAAGTCGGGAAAACGAGCGAGAGAAACGTAGTGGATTGTCGTGGATTCAGCATATCGAGAATCTCGTCTGAAGGAAGGAAAGGATCACAATACAGAAGGTGCGAGGCATCACATGAGCGAGACCTGGAACATGCCAATGAGGACGGCATTGGCTCTTCCATTCTGAGCATAGAGCATGGTCGATCCACCTTCGCCGGGGCTTGTAGATTGGACTTTGACGCAAAACAATCGTCCGACAATACCAGTCTAGACTGTCCAATTACCTGAAGGGTATCTGCGTGTAGATAAATTTGAATTGAACTGAATTTGTCTGCTCTATGGAGTAGATATGCGCAAAGACGAAGTAAAAACCACGTACATCCAAGATGGCAAGATCTGAAGGCGCATGTCACGTTATCATAAGAGAAACAAATATTGAATATGGCCACATGGCCAAAGCAACCAGCAGAAGGATCGGCCCTTGAGAAAAACGGACATCAATTCGTATCGATCAGGCAAAGTCCGGCAAAGATTGCCCAATCAGAACAAGAGTTCTCAAAGGAAACAAAAGGGAAGGAATAAACGACAATATGGAGGGATGAGCAACAACCGCACCCGATCTCTATGCACAAAAACAAAACAAAACTGCTTGAGATAACGGAAAGTCCAGTCTATAGAGCAGCCAAATCAAGCGCATGTAGATGGCAATAGTATGAGAAAGATGGAGATGGAATGTTTTAGAATAATTAGGAAAGGAACTTGAAGCAAACCATCCAACAGTCAACAAAACGTAAAATAAAAACAGCCGCGGGGGTATGTCGCATGAACGGGAACAGATCGGACGATTAAATATCAACTCCAACATATCTGACCTCACCTTATCTCACCTCTCTACCAACCACCCGGAAGCCCAGCTCCCCGCCGCCCACTGCCACGCCGCGAGCTCCCGCTCGAGTCCGCGCCGCCGTGGTTACCATGGCGGTTTTCCTCGAGGCTGCGCCGTGAGGCACCGAAATCGCTCATGGCAAACAGCAGCGGCTCATCGTCCTCGAATTGAGGCTGCGAGGGCGGCGCGCGGCTAGTGCCAGGACGCTGGGCTGAGCCGCGGCGGATCTCGAGCGTCGAGTTACCACTGTTGCTGCCGCTGGCGTTGCCGTCACGATCGTCACGTTCAATGAGGTGCGGCGGGATGTTCGCGCCCCGGGCGAGGCTGCTCGATGCAGAGCTCAGCGAATGACCGCCTGAGAAGCCTCGGCCCCGTGAGCTGGCGAAGCGCGGCTGGTAGACGTTCGACGAGGATGACGCAGCCGAGGGTCCCGTGATGGTTTGCCCGCGGCTGGGAGTGCCGCTGGTGGCGGCGGAGGGTTCCTCTGATGGCAGGCGTTCTGTCAGAGCTTCGGAGTCGGGGTTCTCGTATTCGGGCTGCTGCTGTAGCGGGCCAGGGGTCTCGGCACCGAGGCTCATGCTTCGTAAAATGAAGGGGAACATTTCCTCCTCGTCGCTGATTTGCGGCCGCCGGTGCTGTGCGGCAGAACTCGAGCGCCGGTATGCGGGTGAAAACACCCGCGGAGATGTCGGGATATCTATGGCGCCGGCCGTCGAAGGGCCGGGTTGGGGGTTTTCGAGGCTTGGGTTCTCTTCCAAGGGTGAGTCGTGCCCCACATGTGTTACTCGACGTTCGCGCTCGGTGGATATATCGTCCGCAACGCTGTTGGAGCTTAAGCGTGATCGGATGGCTGGTGTGTGTGGCGTATGGGGAGAGATAGGCTTTCCGGGAGACGAGGCGGTGGAAACAGAGGTGCCGGCCACCATGGGCGGCACACCGGACAGCTGCTTGCTTGAGGAGGTTGACGAGCGATGCAAGTGCATAGACGACGACATCGACTCCGAAAGCGCAGCATTAGAATCTCGCATGCGCTGGAAGCGTGCGAGGGCTGCCGAAGTCGCTGTAGGCCGCCGTTGGCCAGGATCAAGCGACGAAGAGCTGGACGGATTCATCAGATCCTTTTTCGTGTCCAGCAGTTTCAAGAACTCGGATATATTCTCATCATCTGCGTGGATAGACTCGGCGCTCGTCCCGGTGGCTTCTGCGAGCAGGCCAGAGCCCGGCTGCACATTAGACGAGGTGGCACTGGCTCTACCACTCGAGGTATCATCCTCGATTCTGTTCGTTCCGCCAGAGGATGGTCGGCCCCGGCGGTGACTGAAGGAACTGCTATAGCGAGTGAGAGGGGCAGGTTTAGGAGAAGCGGAAGTCGACGAGGAGATAGCTTGCTCAGACGCAAGAGCGGCCGGTTTGCGAGCAGCAGCGGCTGTCGAAGGGGGCGGCATAAAGCGCGAGTCGGCAGAAGTTCCAGTATAAACGCGCGCGGCTGCAGTACGCGGAGATACACCAAGAGGCGTTTCTACCAATGCGGGGGATGCGGACAGTGGAGGGGCTTTGAACGCTTGGAAGGAGATGGAGGGGCGACGAGGGGAGTTTGATACTGATACGCTTTCACTCGCCAGCTGCGCTGCACGCCCGGTAGGTGCAATTCGTGCCGATGGTAGAAGTTTCTTTGATGGCGAATCTGACGGAGATGAAGATTCGATGCCGGTATCTCTCACGGCACGCAAAGCAGAGATGGGGCTTGTTCCACCTGTTGGGCCAACCTGGTGAAAAGTTGACAGACTCCCGTAGGCGCGAGAACGATCGGGGTTCTCCACCGTCCTCCGCTCCACGGGCACCGATCCAACTTCATGGTTCAGGCGATGGGCGTCCTCTGACGGCAGCGAGGGACGGAAGATATCATCGTCGGCACCCATAAAGCGCGAGCTCAACAGGGCTTCTGAATCGTCCACGCGAAAGTCGCAGTTCGTCCGGTAGGTGACTTGCACGCTAAACGGACCGGCCGGGGACTCAGTAGTCCCAAAGCGGTACGTGTCCACCGTCTTTCCATTTCCCTCATAAAGCGGAAGCGTCAAGCGATCCTGCGGCGTTAGAAGGCGATCACTGCGAGCACTGCTCGGATCAACCACGCGGTATTGGAGCTGCAAAGCAGGACTGCTCCGCACCTTGGTGTTGCGCCGCGAGAACTTCCATGCCGGCAGGAACTTGGAATATGTGAACAGGGACCGGAAGAGGATGATGCTCTTCTTATAGACGGTTGGCAGCATGGATCCCAGCTCCGCAGTAGGCTTACTGGTGGCCTCTCCCAACTCGATCCTCCACCGCTCCAGGATGATCTCGTCTGCGCCTAACTGGTATGGAGTTGCGTCCACGCCGCGCGAACCGGCCATCGAGTCTTGTACATCCCAGCGCTTCCCATTGTCATCCAGAATCACCAGACTCTGGTTATTTGTGAGCCCCGTGGCATCCAGATAGGTCTCGATGACCAGGGGCGGGGGTCTGTTGGTGGTGGCATCACAGGTCCGCCAGGTCCACAGTTGTTCCCGGAGGACATCGGTATCTTCTAGCTCGACGTTGAACTGTTTCATCCGAGCCAGTATGTCAGTATCTGAGCTTAATGGAAGGGTTACAGGAGACCGATGTGGTCGTCACCTACCCAGCGGTTCACTTTCGGCACATCGGAGGCCTTAGCATATGAGGGAGGGAGCTCGACACGCGAATGAAGGATGATCAGGGCGGCCTTGGTGTGGTAATTCTGCCATGAAACGAGAAGAAAGCTGTCAGTCTACGCTGGCTTTAGGCAAGATGCGCTCCCCCACCCGACACATACCGAGATAATCTGGTTCAACTTCGTCATGGCCTCTTTTCCCGGCGGCCCAGGGTCCCTCTGGGCTTCCGACGCCTGTTCTGCACCAGCATCGATGCCTAAACCTTTGGCAGGGTGGGATCTGCCGTCGGTACTGGGGGACGGCGGGACGGAGTCGGCGTCCTTGCGGTCATCCCGGGCAGATGCGGGTTTGGCGGTTATCTTGGGCGCCGGCGATGGGACAGCCGGCGACCGGGGGTGCTGATGCATGATGGAAGACTATCCGATCGTCGGGCAGGGACGAAGTGTGAGGAACCGACGGCAGCAGAGGTTACCCCGACCAACGGGGCCGGAGCGCGAGTGCTATCGGCGGCGGCGGAGGGTGTTATCAGGAGTGCAACGAGACAGCGGTGGAGCTGGTGCCGCAGGCCATGCTCATGCTAACAGGGCACAGCTTCACGCAAAAGAAAGAGCCCAGCCCACTCCAGGCACAGTGCAGGGTAGACTCAAGCACGAACAGTTTATGGGCAAGGGAGCAGGCTGCGCGCATCGTTTGGCCGGCCGAGGGGACTGGAGATTGCGGACCTTCGGAGCCTATAATGGAGCTTCTCCGCATCGACAACAGCGGCGTCTGGGGTTCACAGCGTAGGCGCGTTGTGGGACCTACGGGATTCGGAAGGCCATGGTAGGAATTTCCAGTGGGTCGAGATGGGATATGTCTATGAGGTATAAGGGAAGGGGGTGGAGAAGGTGGATGCAGAAGAAGGGGAGGAGAGGCTTTCGGCCTGCCTCGTCTGTGACGCACACCCGGTGACTCGACTGGTCTCGAATGGTCAAGTCAGCCTGGAACGCCACACCACAGCTGATCAGAACACAGAACACAGAACACAGAACCGCCGGGGGAAACTACACGTTATTTCTTTCCTTTTTCTGCCTTGCAACTTGCAGGGAGAACAGCAAAGGGCGAACGGACAAGCTGCAGCCTGTCCATGGCCGCCTGTGGGTTTAGTACCCGGTCGCAACACGCCTCCTTTGCCAGGACAGATAAGAAGCCGCTGATCACGCCCCCTCCCAGCGGCGTGACCGAGCGCGCGCCATGTCGCGAGCCGAATTATTGGAGCGGTGACTCCGGACAGGGTGACTGATGGCTGAGGGCGGATAGCTGATGGCTGAGGGCGGAGGGGCATAGTTCATACGTAGTACATCACTTGTTCACCGTGCACCGTTCACCGTGCATACTACGGGGATTCGGGGGTCTTCCCCTGTTGTCGTGCTTTTTTGCCCGTAGTTAGGATGACGGCTGGTCTCGGTCTCGACCGCCACGGCTGCCTAACGATGATTCCATCCGCACGAGGGAATTCGATACGCCATCATGGCATAAGTGTCAAACAGAATGGCGGGGCCTGGGATGTGGTGTCCCGTGCTGGGCAGAACTGCCAGAGAAGGCCGCCGCACGCACCGCAGAGCCGCGAAATGACGCAAGCAAGCACGGAATGGGGCTCATCGAAGTTTAATTGTCCGTTCAGACCGGCCCAGATCCCATACGAACTACTGGAGCATGTTGATCATCGTTGACCATGCAGTAATGAGGAAGGCAGCCAAGCACATACACATTAGAAGCTTATATTTCCTATATTCCCCTGCGATATATTCCCCAAATGATATATTCCGCAAATAGCCACCGCATGCACCAGGTTCCTACCTTCCTCCCACCATTACCAGTTGGTAGGTTCGACGATACACCTTCCAGTATGACCGCATTCTCATTCGGTCACAACATCCGTGAGCACCTCCAGGTTCTGCTCGACATTCGAATCCCGCTTCCCCAGATGAGCAAGCACCTGAATCAGGTTGACCAGGATCGGCTCCAGATCAACCCCCAAGGCCAGAGGGTTGAGAAGATTGTCAAGCTCAGTATTCTTCGTGCAGCCGCTCGCCGTCGTTCCGGCGAAGGCGGCCTTGACAAAGTCAATCACGTCCGGCAGAGCAATCATCTCCGTCGTCGCGTGGCCGCCGTTTGCAAACGAGGTGAATTTCACGCTGGCCCCGTTGTGGCACCACGAATCGACCATCAGCGACGCGTTGGAGTAAGGGATGACCTCGTCTTGTGTCGCATGGTAGACAAAGACCGGCGCCGTGGGGGTCTCCGTCTTGTTGACGCCCAGCATGTTCTTGCTCATGACCGATCGAATGGTCGGTTCGTAGAACATACGGTCGCCCAGGGTCTGGAAATCGGTCGACAACACGGAGAGATCGGAGTAGGTGAGCAATTCTTCGACGCCACAGGTGGTCCGGGCCGTGTCCAGTATCTTACGGCCTTTGTCGGTCAAGATGCGGTTGAGGATGGGGGTGAGCTTGGCACCGTAGGCGCTGGGCATTGACATGCCGACAATCGCAGGGAGCATGAACCCGCTGAAGGGGGTGTCGTCACTGAAGGACAAGGTGCCCGTGAGATTGGCAGGGGTGCCACCCTGGATCCAACCTTTGATATCCAACTCGGGGGCATAAGTGGGATGCAGAGAAGCGGCCCAACCGGTAGCAATAGCACCACCCGAGTACCCCAGCCCAACAATCATGGGTTCGACACTGGACAGGCCCAGCGTCTTGAAGTTAGACACGGCTCGCATGCTGTCCAGCACACCCATTCCTGCCAAGTGACCCGCTCCAAAGGCTGCTTCGGGCCCTTCATAGTCGGGCGAGACGGTAATGTAGCCCAATTGCAAGTACATCTGGAGAATCAACTGCTCCGCCGAGGAAATGATATCGGCCTGCTCGGCACCCAGCCGGTAATTGTAGCTAGGGTTGCAGATTGTCGCCGAGCTATCGTAGGCCGTGTGGAAGGAGACAAAACGATCCGTCTTGGGGAACGAAGGTACAAAAATGGTGGTCACCGTGGCAATGGCAGAGCCATTGATGGCCGTCGTGCGGTACAACAACTGGTACGCCGTCACCGGGTCTTCAATGAAGCCCAGGAAGGCGGTGCTGACGTTACGCTGCCGCAGAATGGCCCCGGGTGCCTTGGACTCGAAGCCAGCAGGGGGTTGATAGAACGGATCTTCACTTGGAACGGGAATGGAGCGCGGTAACGTCCGCATCGCACCTGGCCGAGCAGAAACGACTGCCAGCATGAGGGCCATAAAGGCCATCATGACAACGCGCGCCGACGAATGAAGGAAGGCGGCCATAGTGAGTAGGAGCTTCTAAGCTGGACGGCTGGGGCCTGGTATTTGGGTCAGACTCGGAAGATTCCCACAACATCCAGGAACAGGCCGGAGGGGAAAGCCATAAATATGCCCCTTTATACTCCATTCCGTGAATATGATGTCCAGGATTCGACCGAGGCAGCCCAGCCCTATTTTTGGGGGCGGTGATCCCCATTTCCCCTGAAGATCGTTCCTGCGGCAGTCAGCCAGAGACCACCAGTTCATGGCCACGATGTTCTCATCGCGGAGCCTTAGGAGTCCCGAGCAGGGTGTCTTCTGGACGACCAACATCTTCCGACCAAAATCTTCCGGCTAACATCTTCCCATGCATCAGGCGTCGCCGGTGACCCCTTTGCCTGATCAGATTCTGCAGTGAGTGCGCCTTAGGGATTACTAGAGAGAAATCACTGGGAGAAATCCTTTGAAACATCCGCGCTGATCCCACGCACCCGATGTTTTCCCATGGTTGGGATCGACGCCTTAGGGCACCGTATTTCCTACTCCGGGGTGGGGTCTTCGGAGATAAAGTCAACGATGGGACGTGCGATGCTAGCTTTCGAGGTAATTGATGCGCCGGTGAGAAGAATCCTTCCTTATACTGACATGTGCGTGGTACGTACCCCTGGGTAGGTTTGAGTTCTGGCGGGGTGGTTAGGCTCGGCCGGGAATAAACTTAGGGTTAGACAGGCTTCGTATTCATAGCGTATCCGGATCGTGCCCGCACCACAACCTTAACCATACAATTAAGAGAGATGGATCGCCGGGTATAGCAAGCCGTTGACGAGACATCCTAGGTTATTCTCACATGTTCCTGATTTCTACTTCCATTTGTTGACCGATTGAGCCTAGTTATACTCCGTGGCTGACCATGGCTCAATCACCCCCTTTATTCAGACTACCATCATGTATCTCCCGCCCGAGAGGGCCCCACCCACCCGAATGGCCCACCCACAACACATAATAGATCTCATAAAATATAACTTAAGATCTTAACAATGATTGATTTATACTTGATTCTTTGTATACTAGCGTTTCTTAGTGAGAAATGTGCCAATTTTAATCTAAGGTTAATTACATTTCTGCTTTCTAACTGCCCCACAGATAGATTCATGTAGCGACCTGATGTCTCCGTATATATCTCTAAAACGTCCTAAGTAATTATTGAACTCGTTAGTTTGTAGGTTATGTTGTGAGGATCTATAGGCAGTAATAAGGCTATACACCAAAAGGCTGTTGTTGAAATATACTGTTGTATTTTTATCGCGTTTACTTTGTGTTTTGGGCTGGGCCACTCGGGCGGGAGATACTGTATGTTGATTTACGGTTAGAACCTACTGTACAGTACAGTATGTATAATCCGAGGACTCGAATGGGACTGAAATTTGAGCACACTAGCTACAAATCGTGCAGACATTGTGGCATCACGCACGCTCACACTCTCTGATTTGTGTTCCTCTGGATCGGCCCAGTTTGCTATAGTATCTCCTAATTGTATATTTTAGCCTCAAGGCCGGGGATAATCTCGAGGGTCTTTTCTCCGTAAGTGTATTTTCCATCCTTGGAGACTTTGACATCCTCGTGGCGTCGCTGCTGTTGGGTCTGTCGCGCCTTGACCCACTGCTCCGTGGTGAGATGCTGACCGAGCTCGGTGAAGACGTTCTGCGTCAGCCCAAGCCGGTTGAGCAGCGGACTGTTCTTTATAGGATTAAGGATGACATGGTTATTGGGGCTAGATATAGAAGCGGTTAGTCAAGGGGCTGTGTAGGCCAAGGTATGTGTATGTATCATGTCCAATGCCGAGCACTCACCGAGCAAAATATAGAACGCCCAACCGATCGACATGTGCCTGGTCTGCAGGCGGCGTGTGCACACGGTGGATGCTAGACTTAATCAATCCACCCGTGAGCGCGGTGAGGGCATCGCAGGTGTTAATTGTAATAGTCCCATCTTGCGGGCGCACCCACTTCCAGTCGCCATCAGAGTTGAGGATCTGTAAGGCAGCCACAGGCTGACGGAACAACAGTGTCACCGATCCCAAGTCAGTATGTCCAGGGCTATAAAGACCGCCGACCTTCTCGTTTTCTGCGGCACTACGGGCCGCATAATGCATGTAGCGCAGATGGTCCTCGCCCTTGATATCGTACTTGTGATCGCGGACAAGCTGATCCTCATCGGGGAGTTCGAGAAGAATTGCGAAGAGGCGTAGTAGCTTTTCTACTACTTCAGTATGGCATTTCTGTATTTTGGCGAAATTTAGCATCTAGAAGGCTCACGTTCAATCTCAATTTGGGCACGTATACGCACGCGGCTAAATGCCTCGATCTCAGCAATATTGTCTGAAAGAACGGGAGGCTGCTGTCGCTCATGATATCCATCAAATTTGGGAATGTTATACACCTGCACATTATCCTTGACACCATCCCCGAGGCTGATTCCGAGTAAGCGTGGATGTTGTTTTTTGGGTGTGCTTGTCTTACATGCGGTGGCCAGCAGGTCTGTATCCGTTATACTCGCCGCGAGCAAGGTCATCTGCATTATGATACTTGAGCTTCTCCTCGAGCGGTAAAGCATAAAATTCACGGCCTAGAGCGAACTGGCGGTCCACGTCTTCTTGGCTAATGTTGAAGTTCTTAACGTAGAAGAACCCTATTGGAATTTGCTAGTCAATAGTTGGGTAAGAGGCTGAGCGACTCGTCAGGATTTACTGACCAACATGTCGCACAGCATGATCTAGCTGCTTCACAAGTTTTTCCTTGCCACCAGGTTGCTCGTACGTGCCAAGGTCAAGAGTAATAAGCTCCGCCCAGTCCACTGGTTCGGGTTAGCAAGCAGTAGATCGCACACTGGCACATTAACTATAGGCCAACTCACGATTCTCCTTTGTCACAGGGACATGGTCGTATCTGTCAAGAATTTTCCCCGGCATCTTGATGTTTATTTAGTGGGTTGTTGCCTTGCAGTGGTGGTGGTTATGCTTCGACTTGGGACGGTTGAGCATTACCCACCCCTCATGAGCAAATGCGGCGATGCACCATATATATACCGGACTAGAATCCCGGCATCAAAGCCGAGACCAACCCCGCACGTTTTGACATATGGTGATGATTGGTAAACAAAGCACGTCATAAGTATGTCGCATGAGTCGTGCGCTAACGGCTCTTCTTCGGTGGCCAAACCAGGAGTTTGCGCACGCCATACTTCGTCAACATCTCGCAGTCAACGACTTGAGGAAGTGCTTGTCTGCACCCACCGCTTAGCATCCTGGGGCGCCCATCTCGTCCTGTGTGCTTTGATTTGTTCTGCTAAAGGACTGGGAGGCTTCTTCTGGACGAATGAGATGGCTAACGCGATGGCTAACGCGATGGTGTCACTGGGTGCAGGAATTGCAATGATGTCCACGAATGATCTGGGGCTCTGAAACGCGACGGGGTCCGGGAGAATATGCTATATAATAACCAGACCATTGTTCTAAACTTTATTAATTTTGTTGACAGTGTAAAGTTTCATAGACACTGGGTGGGCGGTGTTTTGTGAGCTATGTCTGAAGCGAAGCCAAAGCCTGGGAACTCCGTTCTAGGGGTCTTCAAAGAGATCTTCAATTGGTACCCATCTGCCTATTCGTCGGAAGAGAGAAAGTAAGCGGGTTTCCTACCCCCTGGGTCTTGTATAAGATGCTAAAATTCTCAGGCTGCTATTCAAACTAGACGTATCTATCCTGGGCTTTGCCAGCTTGTGCTGTTAGTCTGATCCTTGCTTCCAAGATGAGTTTGACCACTAACGGGCCCTAGTTTTTGTGAAATATCTGGGTAAGCCTCTTTGTCACCTGCTTTACGAGGATTAAAAAAAACTGAAATTAGTACCCAGATCAGACGAATATCAGCAATGCCTACGTCAGTGGCCTGAAAGAAGACTTCGGCCTGTACGGGAATGAGCTGAACTACTTCAATGTCTGCTATTTCACAGCCTATGTCATTTTTCAGGTCCCCGGATTGCTACTGATGTCGCGACCAAAACTGTACGTACAAATAGTTACTCACCAGCATGAGAAACTGACTAATAAATCTAGGGCGCGATGGCTGCTACCCGGACTTGAGGTTCTGTGGGGAATATGCACGTTCGCTCAGAGCCGTGTCACCAGTGTCAACCAGCTTTACGCACTTCGTTTCCTGGTCGGCATGCTGGAAGCGCCTGTGTTCGCCGGAACACATTTCATTCTAGGTAAGCGCAGTATGAGTCGCAGAATAAGAATCATACTAACCACGAGACTAAAGGATCATGGTATTCTGGTCCAGAGCTTTTCAAGCGAGCCGGCGCATGGTTCATCTGCAATCCATTAGGGACGATGGTCAGTGGCTATCTGCAGGCGGCCGCCTATACCAATTTGTCCGGTGTTGGTGGCATGCCGGGCTGGAGGTGGCTGTTTATTATTGACGGCATATTCACTATCCCGGTGGCCCTGGTTGGCTTTGTTATTTTCCCGGGAATTCCAGATTCGCCACGACCTTTCTATCTGACGGAAAATGATATTGCATTGGCCAAGGAGAGAACTCGCAAGGCCAAAATCCGTCGGCCGGGAAAGTTAGATCTTGGTGTGTTCAAGCGCAGTCTGAAGCGCTGGCATATCTGGGTTTTCATTACATGCTATGCGTAAGTGCAAACTTGACCTATTCTGTGTGCATGACCGGTAGCAAAGGCCCTGGGAATTGATATTTGGGCTTGTTCTTAGATGCATGATCATTTCTTCCTATCCCATGGCTTACATGAATTTGTGGCTCAAGGCTGAAGGATATTCGGTCACCAAGATCAACCAACTGCCAACAATTACGTACGCGATCACTATTGTTGCCTCGTGGCTCGGATCCACCCTTGCGGCTATCTATCCTGAATGGCTGATTTTCACTGTTGCATCGGCATGTTGCCTTTTTTCCGCGATCTGCATGATTATATGGAACATTCCAACTGGATTAAAGTGAGTGAACATGCGCTTTACACATGAACCATCACTGCGGAACGCTATGCTAACACCTGTCGCATAGATTCGTAGCGTGGTATCTGTTCGGTGTTTCCGGCTGCCTAAGCCCCATTTTATACTCTACGGTCAATACGATCGTCAAGGATGACTCTGAGGAGCGAGCACTGATTCTGGTATATCCAATGTCTACTATCATGCCCTTTGATAGACAACACTGACTCTGGTAGGGATCTATGATGACATTTGGATACTCCTTCAATATCTGGGTCCCGCTTCTGCTATTCCCTACTGCAGGCCCATATGGTGCCCCAAGATGGAAGAAAGGCTGGCCTGTGGCCTTTGTGTTCTACTTCCTCTTATGGGCAGGATTTATTGTTGCCATTATCTTCCATCGCCGGTATGTATATCGCTGGGGATGTAGGAGCTATCTTATACTAATTACCTAATATTCCAGTGAAGCAAGAAAAGCAGCTGCTGTGGCCGCTCAGGAGAGCACGGAAGAGGAGGTGGAAACCATCATTGTTGATCGGGACGCGGATGGCAAGCTGTGACAAAGCATTAGTTTGACCGAGAAGGCCCGAGTTGCATCAGCCCGCGTGGGGTCAGGAGACGGATTGAGCGGAGGTGCCATGCTGTTTAAAGAAATCACTTTTCAACACACTGGTAGCTCATTCTAAAAGACAAATTCAGATTCGACCACCAGGCCGTCCTCGCCCCTGTGTAACTGTAGCTATCTAGATAGATCCTAATATCGTTTATGAACTCCTCGGAGATGTACGGATGAAATGAACAGACTAAAATTGCGCTCACTTGGCATTGTATTCCCTTCTATTATTTATCTACTCTCACTACAGATAGCTATGCTGCGGCAACGGCGGACAGAGGGGCATTTCTGTTGGGAGTGTGGGGGATGCAACGAGGAGCCGGGGAAAGCAAGTCCTCCTGTAGATCGAGGAATGTCACGCAGGAAGGGCAGAGGCCGGATGCCAACGAGTCAGCTTTTGCAACTCTGCAACGGTGCAACAACCAGCAGCAGTTCCCCTTTCCCCCACGGGCTCGACCAGCTTGGAGCCGATCGTCAGCTTCGTCGCCTGTCGTCGGGGGGCATGGAGGGACGTGCGGCCCGCCATTGGCCAGGCGGCCGGAGGGCCCGCGATCCATGGGTCAAGCATGACGATAGAGAAATGCGGCTGCGATCCCCTCGACCTTTTCGATATCCTCCATCGGCTCGACCAACTCGGCAAGCTGCACGCCGCCAGCTCTGCTCCATCGCGCGCTTCATCCCCCTCCTCCCCCTCCTCGTCGCGACCCGAGTCTTCCCGCAGGCATCTCGCACATAAGGACAAGTCATCGCCACCGCGCGCGCGCCCCGCAAAACCCACACTCGAATTTGTGTTACCGCGCGTTTGCTGGGAATCCCATCGGAATCGCACCGGTCGACTGCCTGAGGACGCGTCAATCCATCTCGAATCGAATATCCCCCTTTCCCCTTCGACTCCAGAATCCTCTTATCACCCAGCTCCCCCGTCGCAGTCAACCCGGTTGTGGTGACGGCGACGCTCTGGCGCGGGCTTGATAAGAGATTCTGCGATCCGACCACTCCGGGCACATGAGTAGCAAGCTTTGGGAATTTTTCATTCACGATGATGTGGAGAGCTTCCAGCGGTACCTGGCGAACGCCACGTTTGCGGGACTGCGAGCTTCAGGAGCATCCGGAGCAGCGGCCGCTGCCACGACGGCGAATTTGTCGACCAAGACTGGAAGTCCCGGGTCAATGATCGCCTCATCCCCCAATCCTATGAAACAGAGAAAAGCCTCGGCCGCATCACCAGGGACCTCCGCACCGGATCGCCTGACCTTCGCGCGGGGCAGTGCGACCTTGTCGCGCGCTGATGTAAATGCTCGCGATCACTTCGGCAGGACCCTGCTTCACCATATTGCCTCTTCGCCGAAACCGACGGCCTCTAGCTTTGCGCGCGCGCTGCTTGAAATCCCGTTTCTAGATATTTATGCCCAGGACTGGGAGAGTGGGTGGACGGCATTGCACCGAGCACTGTACGCTGGAAATGCCACCATTGCTCGGGCCCTGATGGGACGGGACACGCGGGATATGTCGGATTTCAGCAAACTGGGGCACACAAGTCAGATTGGAAGTCTGATCAAGATTAAAGACCGCGAGGGCTACAGTCCGTTCGATGTCTATGGATCCACCATTACATCCCGCGATATCAAGCAGATGATCTCGTCGGTAAGATGGCCTGGATCCACAGTCCTCGATTTGGAGGGCAGCGATACTGCCTCGAATTTCGGATCGAATAATGGAGAAGATGGTGAGGATAGCGTATACCCTGCACGAGGTGTTTTGAAACCGCGAACAGATTTTTCTGCGGATGAGGTCTTTACTCTCGGCAGCAATAAGAATCTAAATCTGGGACTCGGAGACCAAGATGATCGACAGTTCCCGGAGCGGATTGTGCTGAAGCGCCCCAATCATCTTCTCGACCGATTCTATCGTGAATATGAGCAGCACATGGAGAAGTTGGGTCTGGGGGACCTCATCGACCACAGCAACTCCAATGAACTGCCCACTCTCATCACGAACAAGCCAATCAAGTTCCAAAATGTGGTCATGTCGAAATTGCACACCGCCATAATCACGGATGATCCTGAGGCTAATCTGTTTATGTGCGGATTCGGACCCGGTGGCCGTCTTGGAACTGGTGATGAATCTACGCGGTTCAGCTTTGTCTGTATCGAGACAGGCGGGTTGGCAGGCAGGAAGGTCGTGTCTGTTGCCCTTGGCCAAGATCACAGTCTGGCGATCACTGAATTTGGGGAAATCTTCAGCTGGGGAAGCAATAAATATGGCCAGCTTGGATACAGTCTGCCCAGAACAAGCAACAAGAACGATGTGCCTATACAATCAACTCCGCGACAAATCTTCAATCCCTTCAAGAAAGAAACAATCATTGGAGCCGCAACTTCTTCCATCCACTCGGTTGTTTTCAGCAACTCGGGTCTCTATACATTTGGCAAGAACGAGGGCCAATTAGGGTTGGTTGACTCAGACGCCCGGTCACTTGAAGTGCAGACCACACCGCGACGAGTCGGTGCTTCTCTATTCAAGTGCCCTATTCAGATGGTATCTGCCATTGACCGTGCCACAGCTGTACTCCTGCAGAACCATGAGGTCTGGGTCTTCTCACAGTATGGCTATTCAAAACTTTCGTTCCCGCTGGAGGCCAGTTCGAGGTTTATACGGGATAGTTTCATGGCGACAAGATACGACACATCAGTGAATCATGTCGTGAAGCTTGCGTGTGGCGGAAACACAATTTGTGCATTGTCTAGTTCCGGGGATGTCTTCACAGTTCATGTCAACAAGTGTGAAGATCCATCGGCTCAGACATCTACAACAAACCCTGCCAAGATCCGCAACTCACTAGCCGCTCCTGAGAGAGCGTGGTCTGTCAAAAAGTCACATATGGCTGCCCGCGATGTTGACGTCGGTCAAGACGGATCGATCATCATTTGCACTACCTCTGGATCGGCCTGGAGAAAGGAGAAGCGAACGAAGAATAAGGAAGGTGGCTCCAAGGACTACAAGTTCGCTCGAATTCCGGGTTTGTCCAGGGCAGTGGCCGTACGCAGTAACGCATTCGGAGCATATGCGGTGGCCCAGCGCGACTGTGACGTGACCAAAGAACAGATTCAAATTGATCGAAGTACTCTTTGGGATGATCTCCTGGCCCTCTCCCCATTCATGACCCCTGGGCTTGAGGATGTGGAGGCAGTCTTGGAGGGGGATATTACAGATGAAGTAATGCCGCTCTCTTCTGCAACTGCCATCAAAAAATCCATGCTGCTCTCCTCGGACATCGAGAGTCAATATCTGTCTGCTTGCTCCAAAGGAACGGTTTGGGTTACTAGCTCCCTCTGCGATGCACGCATTCCAGTCCACGAGTTCCTTCTAGCTGGTCGAAGTTCGATTCTTCGGAAGGCGCTGCAAGAGTTCCGGGAGTCGTACTACGCTTCCGTGCCCAATGTCCTTGATATTGAGTATGGCAAAGATGGAATCACTCAAATTCGACTCCTCGGTGTTGATTTCCTGACGGTGATGAATGTGGTCTTCTTCTTGTACACTGATGGTATTCTCGACGTCTGGCATCAGGCCAGGAGCTCTGCTCAAAATGCGGCCCGGTACCGCCAAGTGCGCCTCGAGATCATGAAGGTCGCTACACATCTTGGTCTGCCTACGCTGGAACGTGCCGCGAGACTAATGGTTGAGCCCCAAAAGAGTCTGAAGACCGACATGGCACATGCGATCAATTGTCCTTCATTTTTTGATGATGCCGACGTCGTTGTCGAATTGAACGGTGACGCTGTCAAAGTACACAGCCAAGTGGTGTGTCAACGATGCCCCTTCTTTGATGCTTTGTTCTATGGCCGCTCTGGTGGCGGCTGGGTCGCGTCGCGTCGAGCGAACCCTTCAGACAGAGTGCATGTCGACCTCAAGCACATAGATCGGTCGACATTCGACATTGTCCTGCAGTATTTGTATACTGATACTGAAGAGCAACTATTCGACCAAGTTCGGACCCAGACCCTCGATGATCTTATCGACTTGCTTCTGGATGTCATGTACGTGGCCAACGAGTTGATGATCGACAGATTGTCGCAGATCTGTCAAAAGATGCTGGGCCAATTTGTCCACACTCGCAACATTTCCTATCTTCTCAACTCGGCCGCTCCTATCTATGTCTCTGAGTTCAAAGAGGCTTCCCTGGAGTACATCTGTCTAAACCTCGAAGCCATGCTTGCCAACCGGTACCTTGAAGATCTAGACGAGAACCTTCTGAGAATGCTTGACATGGTCTGCCACGAGAACCAACTAGCTTGTTTCCCGATCTCGCGTGGGCGCAACTCAGAAGACTACGTGTTTGAGAAATACCCTGAGATCGTTAGCTTGATTGAGATGGACAAGCAGCGACGCATTGATGCAATGGCACTGCAATCTCGTCTCAGTGAAGTCGAATCATATGACTTCCGACCACGACCACCTGGAAATGACAGAATCAACGCATTGCCATCAGTGCGCAAGGCCAAGGGCAGCTTCTCAAGGGATACTGCAAGCTCTGTCAGTAGTCCACTGCTGAAACCGAGACAATCCACTGCCGACCTCATGTTCCAGATGGACGAAGAGGCTACTCTTATACCCGGTGATTCTATCAAGGGTAAAACCGTGATGCGTGGGGCTGCCAATGAAAATCGGTCTTATCCCGACTCTCCCGCTCTGGGGGCAAGTAATCCAGAAGCAGAGTCTCTTTGCGACCGAAGCTTCTTGGATGAACAGATGTCCTCTCCGCGGGATGTTTTGCTTTCGCAGTCTCCAACTGAAATACGAGCAATCGCAATGCACCGGAAGCGAGCTATGGCTTCGCCCCTCGATTCAGGACCTGTACCATGGGGTTTCCCTGTCATCTCAAATAGCAAGAAAGACCTTAAAGATATCATGGGCGAAACTTCACAGCCCCGTGTGTCCAATCTCACCCTAGGAATGGAGGACCGACGGGAAAGCAACGGCAACTTCAACGCCAAACTGTCCCAAAAGGAGCGGAAGAAGATGCAGCAACAGCAGATGCAGGAGAAACTCGCCGCACAGCACAAGGCGAAAGATGGACCGAAGAATCCCTGGCAGTTGCCACCGCCAACAATCCCAACGACTCCTGGTAAAGACCCTCTGCCTGGCCAGAATTGTCCCAGTACACCGCCCTCTGAGCCCTCCAAGGCTGCTCAAAGGCCCGCAATGACTCTCCGGCAAACCGTTGCTGGAACGCCTCCTCCTCGATCAATGCCGATGGCCACGCCGGTGCACTCCCAGAGCTGCAGCGTTTCGGACAATATACAACCCCCTTCCTTCTCCAAGCCTTCTTCCTCAGCCCTTTCAAGTACTCCCTCCGCTCAGACTGTTCCAAAGACATCGCCACAACCTGCAATTCAGTCTATCCGTCATATCCCTCGTCCAGATCCACATATGCGGTCTCCGTCCGGTGGCTCGCTCTCTCTCGCAACTATCCTGCTACAACAACAATCCGAGAAGGATGAGATCCGCGAGGCCGCAACTGCTAAGCACAATCTGGAAGAGATCCAAGCTGAGCAGGAGTTCCAGCAATGGTGGGACCAGGAGAGCAAGCGTGTGCAGGGTCTTCTTGATCCCGAGCCCAGTCCGCAGCGTGGCGGGAAAGGCGGGCGTGGTGGAAAACTGTCAACCGTAACTGGAAGCTCGCGCAAGCGGGGAGGCAACAAAAGTGCCAGCCCTGACGGTGCTGGCACGCAAGGCCAGAAGCAAACTGTCCCAGGACAAGCACCTACTACATCAAAAAAGAATGTGAATGGATCGGCCTCGGCTCATGTTCAAGGCAATCCTTCTGGGAACCACACTTCTGGTGCGGGAGCTGGGAAGAATACCCGCCGTGGGGGACATGGAAGCCAGCGTGGCAAGGGAAGAGACCGTTCATAGACAAACCTACCCCGGATAGTTCACCCTCACCCCATTTACCTTTCTTTGGTTTGGCCTTTGTCGTGGACTACTACTGTTCTAGTCCTTGACTCGGCCCGCATTCGGGATCTAACCTTTTTAATTCCTTGATCTCAACTCAAACCTGTTCAAATTCGATTGTGAATACCTCTCCTTTCAGTTACCTTTGTTACATTCAGATCTTTATATACGTGATCTTCATGGGCGATTTAGAATTCTGCTGGGCAAGCTGGCGTTTCGGTGCTATATAACCATGAACATACACATGCAAGAGTTGTTAGGTAGTGAATACCTTGTTTCTGATAACCTACAATAAACCCGGGTTGGCCCTTGTTCTCCATGAAATTCAAGGCAAGTGAACTTTTAGCCCCCTAATAGCACTCCGCCACTTTCCACAACCAGTCACACGCCAGGCTTCGAAGGATGTCAAGGCAAATTTTCACAATATCGGATGATATGCCCTTCTCCTTTTCCGCCGGTACAAAATGTCTTCGACATGAGGCTATCAGAGATATGGATCTGAGTCAGGGCACACAAAATTCCCAGATTTATCAAATGAACAGTTATATTATTGCGGTAGTAATTGTTTTTGATCGGACGTATTCAGAGAAAGCAAAAATCTTAGCTTGACCGTACAGGACACTTATCGACGTTCCCACCGAACCGTCGCGTGCGGCATTGGTCGTGAAAAAAGAGACTATGAAAGACACGAGCGGTTAGTATAATTCACACAAGCCTTGGAGCTAATCATCTTGATATCATACCGAGTAATCTGTCTCTGGCACACCCTCCCGATCCTCCGGGTTGTAAAATCGGAAGTTTCGTACAAGCGTCGCAACAATGATATCGAGGTTCAGATAGGCAAACTTCTCGCCAATGCAACGGTGTCTTCCCGCGCCAAAGGGTAAATAGGGACTACGCGTGCCCTTTGACACAGCGCCATATCCATAATCCACGGTATCTGTCTCGTCCTCAGCTTCCATGCGAGTCTCCCACCGGTGCGGATCCCAAGTCATGGCGTTACGAAAGTAGCGCTCATCACGGGCTGTTACACCTGGTGATGAGAGAAGGTTGTGCGTGGTTGGCACAACGTAAGATGTTCCAGGAATAGGCATCGGGTTCTTGACCTTGCGCATGAGGGTATGGATGGACGAGTGGATACGCAGCGTCTCTTTGATGACGTTGTGGAGCAATGGCAGTTTATCAAGATCACTGTGCTTGAGAGGAGGGAGACCCGCACCCAAAGCGCCGGTCTGCTCGTTGTATAGTTTCTCTGTCATCTCAGGCTCGGAGGCGAGACGGTGCATGATCCAGCAGCTGATCGCAGACGACGAGTGCTGTCCGGCCATAAGCAAAGTAATCATCATGTGCGCAATCTCCTTGTCTGGAATAGGGGTTCCATCACGGTATACGCAGCGCATCAGGTTCCCGATCATATCCTTAGCTTGGGATTGATCGGATGTACTCGCCATGCGTCTCTTGTGGATGATATCCAGATAAATCTCGCGCATGCGAGCATGAGCCAGATCTCGCTTGCGGTTATGCGGGAGCGGCGCCCAAGGAAGCATGAAGTTGATAGGCGAGAAGCCCAGGTCCAGGTCGTGGTAGAGGTCGGCAAACTCCGAGGTAAGCTTTGCACGAACTTCGTCGCCCTGAAGGGTGCGACCGGCTGTGAAGATGGTGATCTCTGCCATTACGGCACCAAGGTCAATCGTTCCGGATTTACCTTTGAATTTGCCGGACTTTTTGATGTATTGATTGACTTCTTCTTCGATCAGGGGTACGTAGGACTCTAGGGCTTCTTGGCTGAGGCCGAACTTGATGAACTGGTAGGAAAATATGGATTAGAGTAATTCCACATATCTCGGACAGGAGACTGTTGGGGGTAAATAAATGAATACCTTCTTCTGCTCTATGAGCTTAGAATTCGGACAATCATAGACAACATCCGATCCGAAGACGGGCGTGGTCAGCTTCCCGTAAACCTCTTCGGCATTAACGTCCTTCAGCTTCCCGTTCAGGATAAATTCATTACCATCTGTACCAAGGTAGACCGTGGTCTTCTTGCCCAGCAGTATGAAGGTAAAGATGTCACCGTGCTAGATTGACATCAGTACTTCGAATCCTCCCTCTGCCGGGTACTAGTGAGTTTCCTCAGACATGAACATACCTTCTGTCGACACGAGAAGAAGAACCGGTAGGGATCCATGCCATAGCTAATCGTACTGCCCACGATGGGAAACCAATGAAATACCACAGGGGGCTCATTTTTGTTGTAGAAAAACAGCTGATTGACGACATTGAGGACGACCGAGGTCAAGACAAGTGCAATACCATAACCTGAGATTCTCAGGATTTGGCCGATGACCAGCTGAGCTAATAAATCCATAGTGTTCCAATGATTCTTGTGGTGTTTGATGGAAGTCAATAACCGAAGAGTATAGTTGAACAAAAGGGTCAATCAGAAAGCGAGTATTAATCATCTGAGGGCTGGGGGTCACGCCATGGTCGATCCCCCGGAAGGCCGCGCTGCCGGCTGAGTACCGAGCGCAACCAAATAGTTTAATGGATAGTCCTCATGGGCTCTGCCCAATAGGCGTAGGCCCAATAGGTTGAAGAGCATTCCAGTTCATCCACTTTTATTTGATCGTTGTCGTGGTTCACTCGGTCTTTTCAGATATCTGGATTCCAGGCGGCCCCGAGCATAAACTTCAGCGAAAAAGCAAAGAGCAAATAATCATCCCTCCATAGATCAAAAAGATATAACGGCATGTGGCTAGAATTACTACAAACAATTCTTTTGTAAGTTTGAGATTAAATTAGCATATGAATCTCTAGAAAGATAGCTATGTCCATGCACACACGGAAGGAAGATCAGGAAAACCATGTTCAGTCTGATCAGAAAGTAAAGATGCCACCAGCGCCGGGGAATTGCACAACAAATGGTAAAGTCATAAACGTAAACGCAGGAGGCAATGGAAAATCATAGTCAGCCAGAAGTGGCCACTTCGCGAGTCTCCCACATACGGCGAAGCATCATATCGGTCTCGTTCACGGCCGGGAAGTCATCCGAAGAATGGTCGCCGGTCAAGCCATGTGCGGCTTCGTCGGAGGTAGATAGAATGCGGTGGGATGGGTGGGGGGATTTAGCTGCCTGGGCAGTGTCGGCGGATTCGCTGTGAGTAATTGGGTCTTCGGAAACCGAGGAGTGGGGATCAGGCAACTGCGACTTCGACTCGGAGCTCGAGCCCAGCCGACTGGGGCGACTTTCTTGTTGGAGAAGAGGTAATGATGGCGCGGACTTAACTGGCCTGCCCATCGCTGACGCTTGCTCGGCGCTAACCGCGCGGGCTTTGGATGCTCGGGCCACAGCACGTAGTCGGTGGAAGCTGTCAGCCGTAGGGGACTGGAAACGACGTGCCACCATTAATTCCAGCGAGGTCTTCTCGTAGGCCTTGCGAACATGGCGCGCTTCGGTATCGTGACCCGGCACTCCGACCCGACCGCCGCCATTCATGCCTCTTCCTCCATCAAAGGTGTTCGAGCCAGCACGTGAGTGGCCGCCGGCAATGAAGGCAGGATCGATAGTCGACGGTGACGCAGTCGAGGACACGCCATGCGAGTCGGGCGGGGAGTTATTCAGAGTAGCCGTGCGTTGAAGCCAAAGCTTCTGCTGGGTTCGCGAGGGTAGATCTGCACCTCGAGGCCGAGCCGGAGACGCCGTAGATTTGCCACTGCTACGGTTGGGAGATGGGGGTGTTTGCGGATGGTAGTGGGGGAGGAACGAGGATGGGGTGTTCGGATCTGAGTCTGTTCGTGAAGATGACTGAACCCCGGCCTTGTTGCTCATGATGAATCTTGAGACCCCACCTTCCATTGAGGATGAAGTAGCTTGAGGTTGACTGCCGGGTATCTGGGCCAGCCCGAGATTAGAGGTAGAGAAAGTGCGTTGAGCACCGTCCTGGGCGCCCGTCAGGCTGAACGAGGCATTGCGCGACGTGGAATCCGATGGTTTAGCCATCGCGGAAATGGAAGACATGGCAGGCGGTGCCTTGGCGGAGTGCGAGGGGCTCAGGAGGCGAGTAGCGATATCACCTTGTTCACCCTGGTAGTTGGGGACTTGTGTCTCGTCTGAGTTGTCCTCCACCTCGTCGTCGTCCTCGTCGTCGTCGTACTCCTGTTCAGCGTCTTCGCGTCCAAATCTTTTCGTAATAGAATCAGGCAGACTGGTGGCGCGTGGCATTTGCGGGTAGGGACGTTTCACAAATGTAAGGGGATCAACCAGGACCTGATTGTTCTCCGCGCTTTGGTTGGAGGGTACAACCGAGTTGCGCCGCGTACTTTCAGGTGATTGCGTGGTATCTTCCCACTCCGCGTCGTCGTTCTCATCGTCACCCAATTCAAACCCAACTGATTTCTTCTTTCCCGCGTGGGAGTGCGGCCGTTCGGTGACCAACGCTTTCTTCCCTATGGCCGATGTATTCCGTCGTAACACAGGTGTGGAGTAGTTCCTCTTCATCGAATGGTCCTTCGGGTGATCGTCCACGGCACCGTCCCAGCGCACATGTGTGTGGCCCTTGGGACTGCCGATAGGAGTGGCGGGAGCTGACTTTTTACGCTGATGGTGTCGGCCAGTGGTCTCGGGGCCCAGTTGGAAGCGCTGGAGTTTGTTCAGGTTCTTTCCGAATGAGGGGTTGCGGTGGTGATTGCGTCCACCACCCACGACGTGGGCACGGAACGGCTTATGTTGCACGGTGGTCTTGGAGGAATGAGACTGCGACAGCTCGCTGGGGTTGGCGCTGGTCCGCGTGATAACCGCATGTGAGGATACAGCGCGGCGGCCCAGACCGGGGCGCTTGACAGGGGAGGAGGTGTTGGTCGGCATGGCGGCAAAAGCTCCCCAAAGAACGGGTAAATCAGCGATGTACCGGGGGCATGGAAGGGGATTGGCCGAGGCAGAGAGCAGGTATCACGGCAGCTGGGACGTGCAGGCGAAAAAGCAACAAGAACGCAATAGTTCGAATGCAGGGAGGCGTTCACACCGCCCCGCTCGAGCCCAGAGGTTGCAGAAACAACCGTCGGCGATGAGGTGAAGATTGGGGACCGAGAAGACACTTGGAAGAGCTGGGGAAGCTGGACGGAGAGGGACGGAGGAGGATGGAAGTGTAAGTCGATCTCGCTGTCTCCGGCGATTGGGGCCGAGTCGGGTAATATTCCGAGTCGGGTAATATTACGGTACGGGCTCTCACTCACCCGGTCCGTGTGGGGAAGTTTTGAGTTTGCGTTTACAAACTTGCAACCAGGAGGCCCGCGTTGAAGCTATCGTAAGCAATTACTCTAGCACTAGCAGTATAGTAGATACATTCTGCAGAAAAAAAGAGACTCAGGTATCATCAAGTACACAGGCGGCCAAAAATAGAAAAAGGGGCAGATCGAACGCCGTTGGAGAAATGCAACTACACTACAGCTCAATCAAGCTTTCTTCCACCGGTCGGGTTGGTTGGTGAGATGCGGGGACTTGCCCTTGGCTGGCATCCGGGTATGCGTCCGGTTGGCCTGCAGCCATTGGCGGATACCCCGACGGTACTGTGTTGGGCTGCTGTGGCTGATAATAGTAGGATTGAGGCGGCGGCCCAGTCGGCTGCTGGTGAAGCGCAGGACCAGCTGGAGGCACAGTCGAGTAGGTAGGCGATTGCACATGCGTCGGCGAGTGCGGTTCAGGAGCACTAGGGACTAGACCAATAGGCGGTGCATTCGCCTGATACTGCGAATCCCGACGCACAGTTGAGGGAGGGTGGTATGCGGGTTCGGAGAATTGCGGTTGGGAGAGATCCTGCCCGGGCTGAGGCGCGTAGTACTGAGGTACACCACCCGCGCCGGGAGCAACATGGTTATTGGGGATGGCATTGCTCTGCGGCGGAGGTGATCCCAAGGAGGGATACGGATTCTGGCCCCAGTTATTATTGTATGGCTCTCCGGCCGGGGAGGCAAGGTGTGCCTGTTGTTGGTAGGCGGGGCTTGTGACTCCACTAGGAGGTGCATCATGGCCATTGCTATGAATTTGCTGGGAGGCATATGTCGATGCACGAGGAGTGTCGGATGTGTTCGCATAGTAATAGTTTTCAGCGCCAGACTTCGCATCGAGTGCTTGTGATGGCACACCGGATATACTCGGGTACTGAGGAGCACCTGGAACTGCTCCATAGCCAAGTGTCTGCTGAGAATAGGCACTGGATAGTCGCTCCTCTAGCATTCTATCATAATAACGGACAACTGTTGATAGCTTAGAATGAAGATCAAGGAGTGTATCTAGTATGGTTAGCTTTGCCAAGCCAAAGTATGAGCGGGTCCCGAAGTCTCGACTTACCGTGCTTGCTCATAGTCTCTCCATAGCTCCGGGCCAATTTAGGCCGAAGCGCGCCGATACTCTCATAAAGCTCCTGAATTTGGGGTTCCCTAAGGATGGTTCCTGGGGGCTGGTGCTGAAGTCGATCGACCAGAGTAGAAAAGAGGTGGATGTTCTCCGCCTCCACAGCGCTGAGCTCGTACGGGTTCTTCGGCAATGTAGTTGGAGTGCTGGATGAATCGTGGAAAGTGGCAGTCGGCGGGACATTGCTCTTCAATGCAGCCGCGTGCTTCTGCTTGTGTTCTTCCATATCCCGGAGGGAGGCTTCAATTGCAGCCTTGAGGTCGGCATCTTCCTCCTCGACATTCGCAGGACCAGGAGCCGGGGTCGGCTTCGCTTGTTCATGAACATTGCCGGTCTGTGGCACAAATCCGGTCGGACCTCTTCCTTCTGCTTCCTCGAGACTCATCTGCAACGCCCGGCGAAGGTCATCATCGAAGCTAGTGTCTGCTTTGGCACTCCGAGGCTCTATAGAGCCGGACTTGGTGATAGAGCTATTCTTGAACGCAGAGCGATCTGAGAGACCGGCCGACGTAAATGGCTTTGAGGTCAGTTTGGTATAACACCCATCGTCGACTCTAACAGGCTGAAGGATGCCGAGATGCGGAAGAGGGAGGGTTTTGCTGGAACATTGTTGGTCGAAGACATTGCCACAGTTTCGACAGTGGTGCTTCCTGTTCATGAAGCTAAAGGCGGTGCGGCATCGCATGCAGACATCTGAATCAATCCACTCTGGTGGCTAAGGAGGGGTATTAGCCTCACTCTCTCTTTGTCGCTTCTCTCGCCTTCACGAACAGAAGTCGGGACGCGCCAAACTTACTGCATTGCTTTCCAACATAGTACCGCTCATCACTGTCTTCGGCGGGAACTGAAATCCTTCGTTTTGCAGCTTGCGATAGGTTTCCCCCACGTACATCAGATCCATCCGACCTTGAGCAGCCATGGCCCAATTCTGAATGAGCTCCAAGACCTTGCGCTGAACATCCGGATTCAACGGGGCACCTTCAGACTTCAATAGCGACACCAGATTGTCCATAAATTCACGGGATGCGATCTCGGCCAGGAAGTGGGTGCCTCCGTTCTTGACACATGTATCGGTCAACTAGGAGATAAGTGGATTTATCAGCATGAATGATTCAATGTTGGTCCAGAAAATACCAAGCACAAACCTTCAATGTTGCTAGCTGAATATTGGGATTCCGGTTCTCTAATCGACGCTTTAAGGACCGCATGGCATCTTTGGGCTGGACGCTCTTCGATCGGACCATATCAGAGATCTCCAGATTGAGGGCAATGTCCTCCCTATAGATTCGGTCAGTCCTCCATCTTTAGCAAGTCCAGACAAGCCGCAGATCGGCGTCCAAAATCTATTAGGCAGCAGGTGCCGATCGATGGGTGACAGACAACGTACAGCGAGGAAGCGGTCGCCCGCTCGATCTGCTCATCGAGCGGCGACGTTGAAGAGAACCAGCTGGCCATGATGAAGAGGTGAAAGCAGCACGCAATGAACGCGCGCGATCTTCAAAGAGAAAGGTATGGCACGGGCAAAGCAAGAGCGCGCAGAGTGAATCAAGGATGAGATGGAGCTCCAGGCAGCCCGCCATCGTAGTGACTAAGCTCCCTGGCGTCATAGGCGCGGGGCGGTGAGAAGCGTATTGTCACCCACTTGTACCCCAGATCCGCTGTGGTTCCTGGATCGCTGGACTTGCGTTCATCCTCTCGTTATTGTTGGTGCCTTGAGTGTCGCCTTCCACTTTCATTCGACTCCCAAACCATGCGCTAAGATCCTATCCTACGCTCGCTGCCTCGACCATGCCCCCTGATGCGGCGGCTTTACCATCTCCACCAGACATACCACCGTGGAAGGACGGCCTGCGTCCTTACTCGGTGGGGGCAAACATGCATTCCAACGGCCAGGTCAGCAGATCAGGCTCAGAACAGAATGGCACCCTGCCAGTATCACCACCCAGATTCCCCAATATCAAGGATCTGCAGGATCAGGCCGCTTTGTTGAAGGTGGATGAGAGCACGCCGGTTAGTATGGATCAAGACCATCGCGCGGATGACACCTGGCTCATATGAGACTTCCTAGATCGACGTCCTACTACGAGCCGCTGCCGAGGCTTTCGAACAAGCAAAGATCCTTGCGGACGGTGACGATTCTGATAAGGCCTATGTACAGTACTTGCGCGCCTCGGAGATCACCGTCAACCTCATCCCTCATCACGCTGATTATCGGAATATCCAAACCCAAAGCCCTGAATTGTACAAGGAGTTTGCGGCTCTGATGATGGTAAGCTCTTTCAAACCAGCGGATTTGGTCCCATATTCGCACTTGGCAATGCGTGTCTGGCAGTATCTACCAGATCACATGTACGAAAGTTAACCCCACTATTTGAACATAGGCGGTACGAACCAAGCAAGCAACGATGGATGCGATCAAGAGGGAAATCATTGAAGACAACTTGAACAGCAATGCACAGCCGACGGGGTTCCTCGCCTCTACCTCTCTGTCAGCCTCGAGCCCTCAGAGGGGCCGTGAGTATAGCGCGCCCCCGAGCAACTCCCTGAGAATGCCGAGTCCAACTCAGTTCCAGCGGATACCTGACCCTCAGGCACAGCCAAAGCGGTTCTCGAATCCTGCAGAGGACATGCTCGCACAGCGTTTTGCGCGACTAAAATCCTCGCAGGCTCGTGATGAGTCCATATCGAGCGCGGCAACATCCACCGGACAATCCATTCCGGGATCTGCTGGCCAGTTCTCTGCCTACACTGATGATACCCCAGCGACAAGCTATGGTACCCCTTATGGATCGCCGTCAAAGCGCCCTCTGGGGCCTCGCAGTATGGGAGCCTCTAGCCATGTCCCTTCTGTTCCCCCGAAGCTCCCGCTTAAAACTTTTATGCCTCGTGCCCCCGACCCGGCCTATAGTCCGATCTACACAGTACCCTCGCAACTGCCGCCCAATCCTCCACGAACCTCGACCGAGAGTACACGATCGTTTAACCAGCGATATTCACAATTCACCGACTCCCCTCGTGGCAGTCCTAGTCGCGGCGTCGAGGATAATCCATACAGATCGCGAACCCCGAATGGAGTCAATTCTGCCGGCGAAACACGGAGCAACTCTCCCGAATTGCCCTACAGCACTTACATTACAGTTCAGAGTTTGATGGATTTCTTGCGAAAGTTCAATGTCTTATTGATAGACGTTCGGGCCCGGAGTCAGTATGACGATGGTCATATCTACGCCAAGTCGATCATTTGCATTGAACCGGTTATCCTGAAGGAGAATATGTCTGCCGAGGAGCTCGAGGAACGTCTCGTGGTGTCTCCTGAGCATGAGCAGACTTTGTTCGAGCGGCGCAACGAATTCGATGTTGTGGTCTATTATGATCAACAAACGGCCTCGGTGAGCTATCTCGCGGGTTCTCCTGTGGGAACATCGGCACCGCACTTGCGCGCTCTTCACGATACCCTATATGAATTCAACGAGTATAAGCCATTGAAAGCTGGACGGCCGCCAGCTCTGCTCATTGGTGGATTGGATGCATGGATCGATCTTCTTGGGCAGCAATCACTTGCTACCTCTTCGACTGCAGCAATCATGGGATCACTGCAGACTAAGAGGCCTGCTCCTAGGCCTGGTCGGCCGCTTGGCCGGGTTCCCACCATGGCGAGTGCCAATTCCAGCCTGGAAGTCCGCAAGAGGAGATTGCGCGAGTTCACGCCGCTGAATTCGGAGGAGCTCTCTGCGTGGTTGGAGAGGTCAAAGAATGAAGAAATTGACACGAGCCACTATCTCGAAGAGGAATCTTTGACGGAAGAGCCACAGGAGGAGGACCAACCGGAGCCTCCGACTCCATTTGTGCATTCTTACGAAGCCTTTTTGCGCCGCTTCCCGGAGCCGCATCACGTCCAACAGTCTATGATGCATGCGGAGGCTCGGCCACCTCCTGCCCCCAACTACGCTGCTTCTACCCCCGTGGCTCCCTCACGACCACCTCCTGCAGTTCCTCGCCCCAGCTATAGCGGTGTTTCCGATGGTCGACATACCCAGCCCCACCTAGAGCGACAGAACTCAGCGAATCGTGCTGCCTTGTACACCTCGAACTCGTACCTTAACCGCCTTAAGCTTCCTCGAACGGGACTGCATAATTTCGGAGTGACATGTTACATGAATTCGACTATCCAATGTCTCAGTGCGACTGTCATGATGAGCAAGTTCTTCATCGACGATCGGTTCCGATACTGGGTACAAAAGAATTGGAAGGGCTCACAAGGCGTGATGCCTGGGCTATTTGCTAATCTGATTCGCTCCCTTTGGAAGGGCGACGTGGAAGTTATCATGCCGACCTCGTTCCGCAACTTCTGCGGTCGCTTGAATCGGGAATGGGCTATCGATCGACAACAGGATGCGAAGGAATTTTTCGATTTTGTTGTGGACTGTCTACACGAAGATCTTAACATCAACTGGCAGCGCAATCCCCTGCGGCCCTTGACTTTCTCCCAGGAAATGCAGCGCGAGCGGATGCCTGTCCAGAAGGTGTCCGAAATCGAATGGAACCGCTACTGCCACCGGGAAGAGTCTTTCATCTCATCGCTGTTTGCTGGACAGCACGCCAGCCGGCTGAAATGCACCACATGCCGCCAGACCTCCACCACCTACGAAGCGTTCTACAGCATCAGTGTCGAGATCCCACCCACGGGTACTGGCGACATCTACCAATGTCTCCAGAGCTACTGCCACGAGGAGATGCTGAGCGGCGAGGAAGTCTGGAAATGCCCGTACTGCAAGTGCAACCGCATTGCCACGAAGCAGATTATCATCACGCGGGCCCCGCAGATCCTCGTCGTCCACTTCAAGCGCTTCTCCGCGTCCAAGACGCAAAGCGCGCGCAAGATCCACACCCCGATTGAATTCCCGCTCCACGGGCTCCGCATGGATGACTTCGTCGTTCCCTACCCGACCTCCGGCCCGCCGCCCGAGTCCAGCGCCCCCACCATCATGGGTGCCACCACGCCCCCGTTCACGTACGATGCCTTCGGCGTGCTGCGGCACATCGGATCTTCCATGAGCAGCGGGCATTATATCTCGCTGGTGCGCGACGCGGAGCGGCAGTGCTGGCGCAAGTTTGATGACGAGCGAACGACGGATTTCAACCCGCGGGACCTCCGGGGGCGCGAGCGGTTGCAGAATGAGCAAGCGTACATTGTTTTTTATGAGCGAGTTCCAGCGAAATGAGCGTTCTGTTTTAGCCTCGGCCTTTTCTGTCCCGACATTTCCCCTTCCCATGCTCCCTTTTGGGGATCCTGTTTATTCGTCTTTGGGACCCTTTGGTCTCTTCTCCTTGTTTTGCATGTCACGATAGTCACGATTGGATAGAGATGGCGCTGGGGCGTCGTCCTGGGACATATCTGTATGTACTCGCATTCGGGTCGTGCTGAAATGCATCGTGCCCTCTGGTCTATGACCCGCGGCCAGAAGTGCCAACATCGATGTCTCTCTACGTCCTGACTAATGTCTCAGTAAAGTGCCTCGTTCGCTTCACATGCCTTACTAGAGTAGTATAGTGGGATCGATGGATTTATGCAGATGGGGCTAGCTTTATGCGTTTGACGTAGACTCCACTGCCGATTGATAATTAAATCGCACAGTTGTTGCGATGGAACGACCGTGAGAAATGGTTACACAGACCGAGCGGGTCGTCCGAACTTCACGGATGCACAAAAAGACGGTGAAGAATGCAATAAGGGGACAGGTCCATAAAGATTTAGCGGACTTGGGTCTATGGCCCTAGGGAAGCTACGTATAATTATCCGGCACCGGTTGCAGTAATGTGTAACTCAGGAGTGGACGGAGTATAGCATCCGCGATCAGACAAAATTATGCGTCGGATGAGGGATCAGGGGGGTTTATGCGGAAGACGGGCAGATTGGCGAGGGTGAGATTCCAGGCCAAAATCCACGGGCGGGGCGTGTACTCTGTACAATGGAACCACAGAAGCGCGAGGGAGTTGGCATGCGGAGTCCGTGGGATGGCCTGAAGGGTACGGAGTCCATAGCGGGTCCCGGGGGCATTACCCGAGCCACGGTGGACCGAGGGTAGGGGATGGGCTGTGAAGGCTGGCACTTGAAGGAACCAGCATGTATCACTGCGAGAGTGCCGCAGAGGGGCAGGTCATCTCCCGACACGAGGGCCGGATTCCGAAAGTCGGCATTGGTCAGAGATACAGTAGAACATAGGAAGTAAGGATAGGATTCCTGAGGATTGTGAGGCTGATCTATGCACTCGGATTCCTTCGAATTACGCTATGGCAGCCTGCCTCTCAAGCCACTCACTATGCACTATCCATATGCGCATCCTTTTCACACCCTCGTGCCCCTGTGGCAGCAGATGCGGGCCAGAGGGCGGAGGCAAGGGGAGGCCAACTCCTCGTCTGCTTCATATGCGAGGCCAATAAGCAGACGCTGATAGGCCCGGGCATCGGATCATATTGACTTGGCTCGTCGTGTGCACTGGGGGCATTCTGCCGGGGCCAGGTCTGCGCCAGCGAGCCAGTCAAGCCAGCAGATAACCCAAGCCCCTCGCCCATCGTCCATGGCCCCGGGTACCGGGTTCTAGTCGCCTCACCGGGTGGCATTCACGGCAGGGGAAAGGAGGTTGAGTCGGGTCCGCCCGGTTAGTAATCCACGTCCCAGCTTCGACCCGCTTGGGCGGAGTGACCGCCTTCTGCCGTCGCGGCCCCAGTCGCAAGGCCCCGTCCAGGTACATGTCAACTCAACGCTCAACCCTCTTCCCTCTTTCTCCTCGTCTCTTCCGTCCGTGCTAGCATTCATTCTTGCACATACGTCTCGTGCTCTGTCTCTTTTTTTCCCCTGTGAGTATCCCCTCCTGCGGTTCCTCCCTTTCCACCAAGGCCGTGTTGTGGCCGTCGGACTCCTTATCGGGCTTTTTTTCGCTGCCTCCGACAGAGAGATTTCCCTCTTCTGCCCGCCGCCGGACACTGACTACGTGGCGTGAAATCGATGCGGCGTCACTTTCTTCGAAAGCCTTGCCCATGCGGACCCGGGACACCTGGCTAACTCTTCCTGCGAATGGCGCTGCTCTAGGTCTTTCTTCCTAGCCCACCATCACCATGTCGGATTCCAAGCAATTTACCCTCCAGGAGGTCACCACCCACAACACCAAGAAGGACCTGTACATGGTCATCCACGACAAGGTCTACGATGTCACCAGCTTCGTCGATGAGCACCCGTACGTGTTTCTGTCCCCCTAACCGTTGCTTGAGCCAATACGGGTCGGCCGCTGCGACACCGCGTCCCCCCCTATCGCAACACCCTCGTGCCAACTGGCCGATCCGGGCCGGATCTCTCCTCCCGGGCCTTTCTATGTTCGTGAACATTGCTAGAATCCAAATTGCTAACAACTCCTCCACAGCGGTGGTGAGGAAGTCCTCCTTGACGTCGGTGGCCAGGACGGCTCCGAGGCCTTCGAGGACGTCGGCCACTCCGATGAGGCCCGCGAGATCCTCGATGGCCTGCTCGTCGGCACCGTGAAGCGCATGGTAAGATGGTCCAATCATTTTCTTTTCTGCATCTCATGCTGTGGCTTACACTGCTCCAGCCCGGCGATCCTGCCCCCAAAGCCCAGGCCTCCACCGGCTCCTCGTCCGCCTCCTCCTCTTCCTCTTCCGGCAACTTCGGCGTTGGCCTCTACGCCGTCATTCTCATCGGTGGTGCTATCGCATACGGTGCCTACAACTACCTCCAGGCTCAGCAGCAGCAGCAGTAAGTTGCCCACGCCCAAGTGGGGTGTGCGCAACTGGGGCTGAGGAGAGTGAGTGGGGGGGGGAAGGTGTTTACGAGCAAAGAAAAAAAGTTGGAGAACAGTGTCCCGGCAACAGAAACTCCCGCCGAGAGACCTCCGTGAGGGGAAGCGCTGCGACCAACAGAGCACAGTCTGCCGGGATGGGGAGATAGGAGAGTGGGGTCACACTCCTCTGGGCTATCGTCAAGGGTCCAATTGTTTCGGGTTCCCGGGGTTTCTACTATTTTTTTTTTGTACCTGTGATTGGGGCAGATTCTTTGATTTTTCGTTTTCCATGGATAACTGCTGTCCCGCTGGCTTGCGTTCTCTGCAGTCGCTTTAGATTGGGTGCAACCATCTCGTTCTCCTTGCTTGGCTGGGACGGTCTGGACTCCACGGTCCCGTTGGAGGCGGTAAGATATGGAAGCTTCTAGGGGCCTGGAAGCACTACGCACTTGCGATTTAGCCCGGGCGGGATTCTTTGCTGTTTTAGGCGTGGATTTCCGTTGTGGGGGAAGGTCTGCACGATTCAGTGTGGGGTAAGGGAGGGGGGAGGTAGATGCTGTTCTTTTGGATTTGACGCATATATTAATAGATCGAGATGGAATATTTTTTATTCGATGGTTCCGAGTATATGACAGAAGTATGAGATACGGGGTGGAATAGCGCAAGATTCTTAAAGTAAATACGGGTGTTGAATGCGCTGTTCAGGCGGGTCAGCAGAGGGGGCTATATCAAGTCGGCCCTTGCTTGATGCAAGACGACGCTGAAATCAACCCCCCACTCTATCCGGAATCACCATTCTATCAAACAATAATCCGATCAAAATCTTCGGTAGGGTCTATATCCCACAACAACATAACTTGTCTATTACCAAAAACTCCATACAATACATGATAATCCAAATCCAGTCTGAAGGTATCTAGTTAATCCACCCCTTAGGTCCAGCCCAGTTGCCCTTCACCATAGCATTGTAGTACACCCACGGGAAGAAGTCCTTCTTCAGGTGGTAGAACGCTCGGCGCGGCGTCGCCTGGTCGATGCCAAACCAGTCCCCGAACGTCTCCTTCGGCTCGCCACCGTACTTGAACTCGGCCAGCAGCACCTTGCCATACTCCGTCAGCAGCGGGCAAGACGTGTACCCATCGTAGATCGCATCGGGCTCCTTGCCCTCCATTGCCTGCAGCAGGTTGCGCACGATAACCGGCGACTGCGAGGTCACCGCGGCCGCCGTCTTGGACGTAGGCAGGGACGAGGCGTCGCCCGCAGACCAGACGTTGCCGAACTTCTTGTGGCGAGCAGTGCCGTCGTCGACGTCAACGAAGCCCGCCTCGTTCGCAAGCGCGCTGTTCTTCACGAACGCGGGCGCGCCCATCTTCGGCGTGACGTGCAGCAGATCGAACTGCTTGGTGACCTGCTCCTGGCCATCAGGTCTCGCAAAGGTGGCCGTGTTGCCGTCCACGGCAACCAGGTCGTGCTGGAAGAGCGCGTTCACGCCGCGCTCCTGCTGCATGGCCGTCAGCGCCTTGTTGTACTTGGGCACGCCGAACATGACCGGCATGCCGGTTGCGAAGTCGATCTTGATCGGGGAGCCGGCCACGTCGGCGGGATCGTACAGACCGGCGCGCTTCCAGTGGTCCAGCGCCAGCCACATGATCTTCTGTGGGGCGCCGGCGCACTTGATCGCGCCGGCGGGCTGGGTGAAGATGGCGTTGCCCTGCTCCAGCTTCTGGATCGTGCCGAACACCTTGCTGACGGAGTCGTAGCCGTAGATGGAGGACACCGGTGCGGCCGGGTCGGCCAGCGCCTGCGGCAGGCCCTTGATGGCGCCCCAGTTCAGGGCCAGCCCCGGCGCCACAATCAGCTGCTCGTAGCTGAGGTTGTCGCCGTTGCCAAGCGTGACGAAGTTCTTCTCCGGCGAGAACGTGGCGACGCTGTCGCTGTACAGCTTCAGCTTGGGGTCGACCAGCTCCTTCATTGGCCGCCGCAGCTCCTCCTTGGTCTTGAGGCCGCCGCCCACCAGCGTCCAGCCTGGTTGGTAGTGGTGCCACTCGGCCGGGTCGACGATCGCGATCTCGTCCTGCGTGAACTTGCCGGTCAGTAGCAACTGGTGGCTGATCGCCATGCCGGCAGTTCCGCCGCCGACCACGACGACCTTGTGGGCGCGGCCTGCGGCGTTGACGGGCGACGCTGTTGCGAAGTTTCGGATGCTTGGCATGGCGTGCGCGGTGCGGCCGGCCGCACGGGCTGCCGATGATATTTGACGGCCGTACATACTAAACTCGCTTTTTTTAGGATGTTTCTTTGTTTTTGTTCCGATGGAACGTCGGGAATTTGACTGGATTGAAATCAAGAAGAAAGAGAGGAATTGTCGAAGCCAGCTATTATGAGGTGGAATGAGCATCTCGTCTCGGCCGTGATCGACCGCCCCGTAAGTTTACGATACGCCACGCTTACGGGCTCCACTGCTTGCGGCCTACAGGGCAACGTCCGGGGATTAAGCCCGCTACAGTAAAAGGGCTACAGAACATGACTGGGAAGCTTAAAAGATGTCTCATGCTCTACCCGGCACATATTGTAATTAGTGTAATCAGTCGGCGACTCGCGGGCAATCGGCGACCAGGGGGCAAAAAGCCCGAGCCATGCCTGCTTTCGCAGCTGTTCATATATACGTGGTCCCGTGCCCTCTGGGAAGTATGTCTGGTTCCCATTCATCGTCTTGGACTTGGGACTTCATCAATCATGAAATCCCTTCGGGCCCACATTTCAAGTCGCCCGCCCGGTGTAGCGGGCCTGCAATTAAATCCAGGCATCGCGTTCGTGCCGTTCATCCCGGGTATCCAGCACGCCAGTCCACGAGGCCCGCTAGGCAATAGGGCCACATACGGAACTCAAGGTCCTCGAAAAGCACTATTTCCTTACAGCCCGCACTCAACGGTTTCAACACATTGCACAGGCTATCCTCTCCACCAGGACCTAGGCAAGCGGTCAGGTCGCGCGCCATACAGCACCAACGTCACCGCAACACACGAACCAAAGATCCACCATGTGTTCGAAGCCAAGACCGGCACATGGCAGTACATCGTCGCAGATCCAGCAACAAGGACTGCCGTAATCATTGATCCGGTCTTGGACTACGATGCAGCCACACAGACCATCACAACCGGCTCCGCTGATGCCTTACTCGCCCTTGTCCAGGCAAACGGGTACCGGGTGGAGAGAATCCTCGAAACACACGCCCATGCAGACCACTTGACTGCTTCGTCGTACCTCCAAAAGCAACTCGTGCAAAGACAAGGCTTCCGGCCTCCCATTGGCATTGGCAAACGCATCGCGCAAGTACAAAGGCTATTTAGCCAGCGGTACGGGCTAGCGAAGGATGAATGGCTCGGTGTCTTCGACAAGCTCTTTGAAGACGACGAGACCTTTCGTGTGGGCGAATTGACCGCGAAAGTAATCCATCTTCCCGGCCATACCCCCGACCACTTAGGTTATCAGGTTGGAGGTAAGTCACTGCCACGCTCCCCCAGATGGTCCTTATTCACTCTCCCCCACAGACAACGTCTTTTGCGGCGACTCCCTCTTCCACGCAGACATCGGCACCGCACGCTGCGACTTTCCCGGCGGCGATGCAACGCACCTCTTTCAATCTGGTCGCAAGCTGCTAGATCTCGATGACCATGTGAAGATCTGGCCGGGCCACGACTACCCGCCCGAGGGCCGGGATCCCGTACCCTGGATGAGCGTGCGTGATCAGAAAGAGCAGAATAAGCACCTGAGCGATGTCGTGACCGAGGAAGAGTTCGTGAAGATGCGGACGGAGCGAGATCGGCATTTGAACGCGCCGAGGCTGCTTCATCCGTCGCTGCAGATGAACATCCGGGCTGGGCGGCTGCCGAGGGAGGAGTCGGGACACCGGATGCTTCGGTTACCTTTGAAGTTGAACGGTTTGAACTGGTAAGAGGTGGTCGGCCGAGGAAGACCGATCCTGCTTTCTTTGGCCTGGTCAATTTGGCGTTCTGGTGTTTATATCGCTCGGCTTGTTGCATACGTCTACATTCCCTATTGTCGAATTCGTTTTAAGTTGCACTGGCACCATTCATAGCTCTATCGAGTATACAAACATGCCAAATTCACCTCAAATTTACCTCCAGCCCACACATGCGGCCCGTTATGATTGTATTTGGACACTGAAAGAGCGACAGTAACAATACTGTATAGCCCCGATGGTGCAATCCATCTCTCGCCCGAGTAACCATCTCTCGCCCGAGCGACCCGTTCTCGTCCGAGTCGCGCCCCTATGCCCGAGAGAGTCATACGGGAAGTCGCCAAAATGTTTGTACGGCCTCGGAAGAATTCAAGGAGAAGAATAGAGCAGTTCCGGAGCTTCAGATGACTTGTTTTTATACCAAATGCAGGCCCTGAGATCGAGGGGATCATGCAGGCCTGTGGGTCCTGCGCGGCCAATCAACGGCGGCCGGAGCGTATTTGCTGGGTGATGAAACGTCATGGGCGTAGCTCCGCCAGGAACGCTTCGGTTTTACCGCGATTTGAGCCAAACTCAAGGGATATGAGGAGAAAGGAAAAAGAATGGATCTATCGGGGCCAGTGCGTAAGCCCCACATCAATCGGCGTTCCAGGGCCCCTCGGGGCCGGGGCAGGGCTGGCTTATAGTTCGGCAGACACGGAGAGATCTACGGGCATCAACAAGCCCAAGGCCACAGCCGCCGTTCCCCCCCCCCCCTCCCATTTCCAGTCCGAAGTCCCGCCGTGACTGGCTGTCCAGGATCTACTCCGTACAGTTTCTGTAGATCCGAGTGGCTCTTTCTCTCATTCTCTCATCCGCTGCTAACATCGATCATTTCTTGGGACATGACCGCCTTCTTCCGGCGCCTGCTGCCCGCGCGCATCCCCAACACGGGCTCTCAACAGCGCGACCACCACGCCAACGAGCGCACATTCCTGTCATGGACCCGAGCTGGCCTCGGCTTTGCAGCGATGGCCCTCGCATTGGACCGACTCGATGCCATCGATCGAGTGCTCTCCTCGACGCGGGGACTCGGGGGATTCATCCCGCCTGATAGGCACGGCGTACCCTCCCAGCAGCCAGAAGCCCCACCCCAACCCGCAAAGGAAGCAAGCAAGAGTGCAAGTACCCCGACCATTCCACCAAGCACAGTCAACCGGGCCATGTTCGCGAATGCTGTTTCTGCATCTCGGCTCTGCCAATTGCTGGGGCTGTGGTCGCTGGGCTACGGGTTTCTTCCGGTATTGGGCTATGAGGCAGTATCTGCTGAAGGGACAGTTTGTTCCTGCTTTTTGGGGACCGGTTCTCATGACGGCGGGTAGTTTCGGGGCGTTCATCGTGCTGGGGCTCCAAATGGATCGGCGACATCCGCATCATGAAAGAGGCTAGAGTCTTACCTTTGGGTACGAGTCGCCGGTTTCCCTTGCATGTAGAACTGCTCAAGCGAAACCACACTTCCGTTCTGAGAGTACACTGTAAAATAGATCGGAGGGGGCACAGCTGGGGACATCGAAATCGGCATCCTCCCTCGAAGATTAGGACGGTGGAAATGTTGTTCAGACACAATCCTATATCAGATTGAAGAGATATAAGACTCTGAGGACCATCAGGGGATTCGACAGAGGGGTATCTCCTTTTCTCCGCGACAACGGCGCGCTCTTATATTGACGCCAAGGCTGAACTTAGATTCTCCTGTGGGATCAGTCTACATTTCTACATGTAGTACATGTAGACAGGGGTCATTTTGATGAGATTATCGGAGCCTGACAGCATCAGAGAAAATTAGACAGCACTCTGCGGGGAGAGACCATAGAGAATGAACCCTGGCTGTCTCAAACCTAAGATGGCAGTTCTAGGGTTCACTAGCGAATCTCGAGTTCTGTCTTTCATGGTTGCTTGGTGCAAGGCCTCCGAGCCTCTAATAGGTTTTAGCTTCATTAGGACAGGGCAGGTAGAAAATAATGTCTCCCCAGGCCTGGATCTATGCGAACAAGAACCAAAAAAAAATAGATATTCCGTTAAGAGAAGAGAACCATTCTTTTAGTATAAGAAAGGGAGAAGCACTAAATACCATGGTAATATAAGAAATAGAAAAAAAGAAAAACAAGTCAGAAAAAAGTAAACACAAGGATTCCCCGCACCCACAGCCAGACAGGGAAAAGGAAATAGAAAACAGGAATGGTGTATATATCTGGTGCAAATATGTCCTGTCGATCTTCATTCTCAACGTCGTTCATTTCGCCTCACGGATATGTTCGCAAAAAAAAAAACAGGAGAATCAACTATTCCGTACCGTACCACCTGCTGCTGTTCACCGAGCAGATCCGTTGAGCCCGTTCTGAACAGCTTCCAGGATCATGTCCCGGGCCTCCTCCAGGCCGGCGGCGCTGCCGCGGATCTCGATAGCCTCGCCTTGCGCCTGGTTCTTGGGCACGTTGATGCGGCAGCCGGTCTTCTTGCGGATCGTGTTGATCTGGCTACCACCCTGGCCGACAACAAAGCGGTATGTCTTCGGGTCCGGCAGGATCAGGTAGCCGGTAGCAGACTGCTGAGTGGCCGAGCTGATGGCCTTTTCAATGGCCGCACGGGCCTTGGCGACGTTCTCGGGCGAGCCCGTGAGAACCCACGGGAAGGGGGTGGTATCGGCATCAGCAGTGGCGCCGGTGTCAACGACCTTCCAGGAGTGGGCGTCGGTGGCGGCACTGGGGTCATCGGTGATCAGGGGTAGGGATGCGCCATTGGCGCCGCTGCGGGTCTCTTCAGTGGCAGGGTTGGCGGGGACGGACTGACCGGCGTGGTCGACGGTAACCTGGTGATCGTTGCGCAGGCGGCGGAAGAAAGCGCCGTTGTCGGCCACGGCATGGTGCAGGTTGCGTGGAATCTCGACGGTCTCAGCGTGTTGCTCCTTCAGCATGCCCTTGACGTGCTCCTTCGCCTCGGCAACGGCGGTGCTGGGGCCCTTGAGCTTGATGTCGGTGCGGCCGGACCCCTGCTTGGGGATATCCAGGGTGACGTTGAACTTGGACTCGATGCCACGGCGTGTCTCACCACCACGACCGATCAGCATACGATGCTGAGCGGTGGGGACATCCAGGGTCTCGGACACTTGGTCCTCGCGCTCCTTGACGAATTCCTCGATGGCAGCGATGATGTTGTCCACGATCTTGCCGTTGCCCTCAAGGCGAATGGTAGACTCGGTGCTGTCGGGACGGGGGAAACGGACCATGCGAGCGGCACTGCCGTCGTTTGGACCTCCAGCGTCAACGACGATCTTGCGGATGTTGGCACCTATTATTGATAGTTAGCAAGGATACCTGGAATGAGTCGGTTTAGCAATCGAGACATACCGCCCCCACCAATAAGAGCCTTGTGGTACTTCTTGTCGACGTCGATAGACTTGGTGACCGTCGCATCAAACTCAGTGGCACGCTGCTGCAAGATCTTTTTAGCCTCATCAACCTGCTGCTTAGTGCCCTTGACCCGAATCTGCACACGGCCCGAAGCATCAGGGGCATCGTTCGCGCTGGGAACATCGATCTGGGCACCGGTGTCCGCGCGAAGCTTATCCATCTCACGACCACGCTGACCAATGAGCGATGCAACCTGGCTCTGGGCAACAGAGATAGTAGCAGCGTGAGAGTGGTCAATGACCCACTGGAGCAAACTCATAATCTCATCTCGAGCCTGATCAGCACCCTTGCTGGGTCCCTTCACCAGGACCTCATCGGCGGCCTGCTGGGGACGACCGGGCCGAGTAGCACCAGCATCACTGCTAGACTCGGTAACGGACTGGTCATCCGCAGAGACAGCAGCACGAGGGAACTGCACGCGAACCGAGTACCGGTCCTGGAGGCGGTTGACCTGGTTGCCACGCTGACCAATCAGCTCGCGGTGGTATTGGGCAGGGATCTTCAGAATATGAGTACTCTCATCCTCCAGTTTCTTGCCCATGCTGATGATGCGCATGCGGGCAGCATCAGCCTTAGCCTTGGGCCCCTTAACCTCAACCTTGCCATTCTCAACCTTAATATCAACATCGAACTCCTCGCGAAGCTTATTGATGTTCTCGCCGCGCTTGCCGATCAGGAAGTTGGCGTACTTCTGGGGAAAGTCGAAGGAAGTGGTGTATCCGCGCTCCAAATCGTCCTTCTCCTGCTCCACGACAAAGGTATCGAGCTTAGAAGCGAGGTCCGCCACCAAGCTCGAGGGGCCGCGGAGCGAGACCTCACACTTCCCACCCTTGGCGTCACCAACAAGAGCGCGGACAGGGATGCTGTCCTCGCCCACGGCGTCCTGCTCACGAAGGATAAACTTACGAGTCTTCTCGAGGTACTTGGCAGGGACGGAGACAGACTTTGCAACGATGTCCTGCTGGTTGCCAAGGGTAGATAGCAGATACTCCTGGGCCTCTTGCAGCGATTGCTCAAACGCGGCAACCTCGGCGGGAGAGGGACGCTGCCGGGGGACCTCAAAGTTGGAGGCAGTAGCAGACGGGCCCTCGTAGACAAGGACGACATCGGGGCTGTTGACATCGTCGGGAATCATCAGGTGGACACCATAGTCACCCTGCAGCTTGGAGGCACCCCGGGAGCGCAAGTACGGGTGGAAGTACGGGTCTACGGAGACGTGACGAAGGCGCGACGGAGGGTGGGCATGGACCAGGTTCATGATATCGGAACGAGCACGGATAGTGTTCTTGCCATCACGGGAGTAGACCTCCCAGGTGACGGGTCCATCAACGCTCGGGGGTAGAGCAATGCGGGCATCATATGCCGACTCAAGCTGCTTGATGATCTGGCGGCGGCGAAGATATTGGGTCAGAGCGCGGGCGTGCACGTTCGAACCAGCGGGGGCACTGGGGTGCTGTCGGGACAGGTCAATGCTCGCCATCTGCATGCTAGTAGCGAGATCCATCGCGTGGTTGACACCGGCCTCAATCTGGTCCAGGGGACCAGTGATGGTAAGGAACTCGCTCTCGTCGGAAGCAGGGGGCAGGATGATGCCACATCCAGTCTGCGCAAGGAACTGGTGCAAAGCATCAGCCTCGTTTCCGAGGATGAATTGGTGCTGGCCGCGGTTGATAGCCAGCTGGCGAATAGCCAGCTTGCGCTGCAGATCAGCGGCCATGCGTTCAATCTCAGCACGAGCATCCTGTGCCGCAGCCCGCTCTCCGGAGATGAGAATGTGCTTGTCGGCGCAGGGCACAAACTGCACCTGGCCAGGGTTGGCTTCCTGAGGAGGCGGCTGGCCGGACCAGGTGTCGTAGCGGGGCACATGAACCTGCGCCTTGGTACGCTCCTCGATTTCGCGCAATTGCGCATCGTGTGCACCAGCAATGAAGGGGAAGAACTCCGGAGGGATTGTCTTCAAGCGCAAGCTCATGTTTGAGCCACGCTCCTTGACAATCGCCTCGATCTCCCGTCGCGCCATCTCCGCAGCCACCGCATCACCCTCAATCAAGACATCAATGGTATCATGGTCATCGTCTTCGGTGGGGGCCGAGTTGTCGTTCGTGCGGGGAACGTGCACACGGGCACCGGTGCGGGCTTGGATATCTTGAACAACAGTACCCTGACGGCCAATGATGTGGGCTCGCGCAGAGGTAGGAATGGGGATGCGGACAGATTGCTATTCGAGTAGAGAAAAAAGTTAGAGATACGAATTCAAGCCTTGCGAATTCTGCTCGACGCACCTTGGACCCAACCTGCTGTGCAACTTCCTTGAGCGCCTGGCGGACTGCATCCACCGAACCTTTTCCTTCGAAGATGATCGAGCCACCAGGGCCATCGCGCATATCAACAGTGGCCTTAGATCTCCGAGAGATGTCGCGCAGGATATCTCGGAGGGGCTTCTTCAGTTGCCCGCGCGGCTGCATCTGGGATGGGGCCAGCCGAAGCTGCTCCATGTGCTTTCCTGGGAGAGACATGACCCGGGGGACATCTGTTGTACTAATGTCAGTATCCGTTCAATATATCACACATTTCTGGGCTACAATCACATACCCATTGGCTGGGCCGGGCGGCCATTGGCAACACTCGCCGCCGCAGAGGGCTTTTTAGCACCCCATGTAGCCGCCGCAGGAGCAGCGGGCTTGGGTCCGCTACCGAGCGCCGGGAACAGCTCCTCCGATTGTACGTCAAAGGCTGGGGCCTTCTTTGGGGCGGGTTTTGACACGGGCGACGGAGCCGCGGTCTCGGCGGGGGTCAACGATTCCGAGGCGGGGGCGAGAATGGGAGCCAGGGGTTGGCTGTTCGCGGTCGACGAGGGAGGAGGGTGCTTGAGGTCCTCCTCATCCACAACTTCCTCAACCGTGGGCTTGTGGGTCTCGTCGCGGGCGTGTTGCTCCTCCAGCATGGCGGCGAGGGACTTAGAGGCGCCGCCATTGGCAGCAGTCGATAATTCAGCGGCCATTATAAACAGGAGAGAATTGAGTGCTGAACGATGAAGGGAAAAATGGCAGAATGGTGATGGGGCTGTGCAAAAAAAGCTGCCTACAACCAAAGCTAGCCTGTATTAGTATGGCTATGGCAGCATGCACCGACTGGGCTGGCCGGAGGAAGCCAGCAAGCCAGGTGGAATGGAATGGTACTCACGGGCTCAATGATACCCTTTCGGATTGAAGATGGCGAGGAATCCGAGGCCCAGATTATCAACTTGGCTGAGGGCAATTCCCCGGGAAGATTGGAGGGGAGGGGGGGAGGAAGGGCGGTATCCGGAAATATATGGGAAATCTGGACTGGCCAAGCACCCAGTAGAAATATACAGCCCGAGGGCAGGACCCCAAAAGGACGGGAGGAGAGGGAGGGAAAAGAGAAGCGGAGGTGAGGTGGAGGTGGAGGTGGAGGTGAAAGGTGGAAGGTCAAGTCGAGAGATCCCCAGAAGTACACAAAGTAATAGAAAAGGCCAGTTCGAGGCTCCGGGGAAGTTTTCTCCGAGTCCGATGGGAACAGCCACGCCAAGGTCCACTTCCACCACACCCGACGGACAATTGATGGACTATAATTTACAACCAATGAATTAAAGGCTTGAAGACTTGAAGGCTTGAAATATTCATTGACTTCTTTGACAGGGTCACTCAGGCTTCACAGCAGTGGATGTGACACCTCTCCCCCACGGGCAGGGTCCGTCGCTGGTTCCCCCAACCCGTCCGGCCGCCTCGGCTAGGTTTCTCTCCACCGCAACCACGAACAGCTGCAATTGAGGGCCAATTCTTTGGGATGAGGGCACAATTTAGTCGGTCGCTCCGTGCAAGTGTCCCGATTCCCGTGGGCGACTGCTGGCGCTTAGACGTCGTACCACGTGCCCGCCTCGCACGCAGGAGGCAATGGCGTTCAACCTTCTTGGCAGCTACATGCGCCGGTCCAGATTGGCACCAGGGTATCAAGTCAGTGTTTGTATGGGGCATTGATCATCTTGCGACTGACACATGTCCCGAAGAAGGGTCAATCTCGGAGGACCAAAGAAAACAACTATATCCACCAGCACAGACGCACCGGCCAAGTGTGGCAAAGCGGCAACGCCTCGTGCCAGATTGCAATGCAACACCCTCAGAGGGCCCAAAGCCGCAAACAATCCGAACCAGAGCAATCTTACTAACGTGAATTACCTCTAGTTACTTGGCAGTGGCCCGTTTCTACAAATGCCTTCCAATCAGCACGCCAGCCAGCAAAAGGAGACAATCAAGATCGAAATGCCGAATCAGCAGGGCTCGGCCACTGCCGACCCCACCTGATTAGGAAGAATTTTCGTCGGACCGCCAAAACCTTAACCCAAAATGCAAGCTGATCCTTGCCAGTTGGTCGTGTGAAGAACTTTATTGCTCCGTACATCTATTATAGAGCCTCTAGATACAGTCCGAGGGAAAGTGCAATTTCTAGAATTCTGCCACTCTACTCCTGCAGCTCATCCACAATTGGAAAGAATAAAAAAGCCTTTGTATAGTCCCCCGACAAGACGGCCCACCCACCCACTAACAGAATGGGGACAACTCGAGGTGAAAAATTGGCCGACCAGAGGGACTGCTATTGAGACCGTTAGCCCCAGGTTTCTGCTCCTCGCGTGTGGAGAAAAAAAATAATTGTCATTATTTTCTTCCCTCCAACGACTTCCCCCCTCCCCAACACACAGCAGTCCCAACTCCCCGCGACGCGACTGACAAGCACCGCACGCGAGCCGTCGCAACCATGAGCACCACCGAGGACATGGAGAAAAAATTGCAGCCCGAGCCGGCCGTCTCGCCAATCGACGATCCGGAGTCCGTCGAGAAGCAGAAGGTGCGCGGCTTCTTTGCGACAATCCGATACTACGAGGAGTTCCTGGATCGCAAACTAGGCATCGAGTCGAATAGTCTGGATCGCGTGCTCCCCGAGAATCGCGATTCGCCGAGCTCCGTGGTGATGGCGCTTATGTGGGCGTCGGCGACGATGAATATCAGCTGTTTTAGCACGGGGTTTCTAGGGAATGAATTCGGATTGTCTCTTGGGCAGACCATCCCCATTGTGATCTTTGCGACGCTGTTGGGTGCTGCTGTGACGGTGCGCATACAATTTTCTCCCCGTTTTCGCGCTCATAAATTCCGCAAGGGATATTGTTGCGGTGTCTAGCTGGATGAAGGGCTTACTCTTTTTTTTTCTTTTGTTGATTAGGGCTGGTGCGCTACCATGGGCCCTGGGACTGGTCTGCGCCAGGTCGCCATCTCCAGATACTCGCTCGGTTTCTACCCATCGTCTATCATCGCCCTGCTGAACGTTATCGAACAACTGGGCTGGGCCTCCGTCAACTGTATCACCGGCGGGCTTGCGCTCAGCGCCGTCTCGAACGGACACGTTTCTGTCGCAGTCGGTGTTGTGATCGTCGCCTGCATCAGTCTGCTGTTCAGCTTCGTCGGTCTACGTGGCGTCCTGCTGTACGAGAAGTACGCATGGATTCTGTTCTTCATTATCTTCATGATCATTTACGGCGAGGCTGCCCACCGTGCGAACCTCTCCGCGCCAGCCACAGTCACGGGCATGACCAGGTCGGGCAACGTGCTGAGTCTGATTAGTGTTGTGTATGGGTCTAGCGCGTCGTGGAGCTCAATTGTGTCCGACTTCTATGTGCATTACCCCGTGGACACGCCCAAGATCAAGGTGTTTTTGTACACCACTTTTGGCATCACGATCCCTACGTGCATTGGCATGTTGCTTGGTGCGTGTATCAGCTCGGCGCTGGGCACGAATCCGGAGTGGGCTACTGCGTATGAAAGTGGCATTGGTGAGATCTTGAAGACGATCATCTATCCGAGCGGATTCGCCAAGCTCCTGCTTGTTCTGCTGGTCTTGTCTGGAAGTATGTTTCGCTGCAACCCCCTTCTTCCATCCTGTGTATGTGTACTAATTCTCTCTCGCAGTCGGTGTCAACTGCATCGCCATCTACTCCGGCGCCCTTTCCGCACAACTCTTCGCTCCCTCATTCGCTAAAGTACCTCGCATCGCCTGGTCCATCGTCGTCTTCGGCGGCATCTTAGCCATTGGCATCGCTGGCCGCGACCACCTGCTGGACGTGCTGGAGAACTTCCTCTCGCTGCTCGGGTACTGGAACACGTCCTTCTTCGCGATCCTTTTCATTGAGCACTACTACTTCCGCAATGGCAGCCTGGCTAACTACGACCTCGATGCCTGGAATACCCCGTCCAAAATGCCTGTCGGGTATGCCGGGCTCACGGCATTCCTGTGCGGTGCGGCGGGATGGATCATCGGCATGGTGGAGACTTACTATGTCGGAGTGCTCGCGGCCAAGATCGGCGCCGACGGGGGTGACATTGCCAACGAGCTGGCGCTTGTCTTCACGTCCGTCTCGTATCTCCCCCTTCGGGTGCTGGAACTCAAGTACGTGGGGCGATGAGTGGGATCGCGGAGGGATGGCGGAGGGATGGCATGCGTGCCAAGCATTCTCTTTTAACCAAATACCCAGGGGTCATCGGGTCGGAACATTTTTATCTACTCTTGTGGCGTTTAAGTTTCATACGGCGGCATCATTCATAGATACAGGGCAGGATACGATATTGTACAAAACTTAGGATATAGAATAGCCACGAAGAAACGAGCGCTCTATTATGATCTTTATATATAACAGTGAGATCGTAGATGGATAAGAGTGATCGTGCATTAGCATTAGCCGAGCCGACCTAGGAGAGTCACAACCCTACCTAGGCAGACCCAAAACTCCCCCTTGACCCGGGCCACATTAGGTATTGGAATTAGTATGCAGAATCTGTCAGGCAAGCACGCCGCGCAGACGGCCTACCATGCATGGGTATCGAACAAACAAGTGCTCTGCGGTACTCGGAAAGGGCAAGGATAAAAGCCTAACCATTGCCACAGGGAAGAGAATGAAACGCAGGCTGACGCCGGCCTCGGGGCGGCGCCCACTCCCCACGCGACCCATATATATATAGAAACGTCGCAAAATCACAGTGCATATAAACACATGCTTGAATTAGACGGCCTTGACCACCGGCCAGCCGCTCGAGAAGTCCAGCTCATTCCAGCCGTACAGGTAGCCATCGATACCATTGCCGCCGGCCTGTTTCGCCGCGAGCGAGTAGTAGTGGTAGTACAGCACCGGACCGAGGTACTTATCGTTCAGAACACCCCTGTTGCAGCCGTTAGATTGGATTTGCCCGGGGGGTTGCATCAGATTGGGGCGTGGGGGGTCCACTTACTGTCCGCCAGGAGCGTAGACCTGGTCGTGGCTAGCGAGGATAATCGTGCCGCCAGACTCGAGGCAAGACCTGCCAGACTCGTCCACCTGGATTGCGGCATGTTAGTGTGCACCCCGTGATTTGCGTGCTCCGCTCGCAGATTCACTTACGAAGCCTCCGAGTCCACTCGATGAGCGGCACACATGCACACGGTACTCCTCGCCCTGGGCGGGGTACGTAGCCGTGTAGGAGCCCGCGATGCCGCCGCTGAAAAAGAGGTAGTAGTAGCTGCCGTGTTGGTACAGGAATGAGCCCTCAACGCGGTGGTTCAGGCTGCCGTTGTACGCGATCTGGTGCGGCGTGTTCGAGCCCACCTGCAGCGGGCTCTCGAGCGCAACCTGGTAGATGTCCTGCCAGTAGGAGCCGAATTGCAGGTACTGCTTGCCGCCGATGGTGATCCAGTTGGGGTCAATGCGGTTGTAGGCGCTGTTGGCGGGGATGCCAACGATGCCGTGGTCCGTCCAGGAACCGGGCTCCATGGTCGTGGAGGTGGCAACGCCGATTTGAGAGGTCTGCGTGCCCAGCTTGGAGAGCACGTAGTACATGTAGTATGTACCACCCTGGTAATGCACATCAGGGGCCTAGAGATGGAATGTTAGTGGTGCAAAAGGGGTTGGCCAGAACTAGCGCTAGGGCTGGTTCGTCGTAGAGCTGGTTGTGCATACCCAAATGTCGCTGCTGTCCGCACCGGCGAGAACAATCTTTGAACCACCTGGCAGAGCCTTGCCCACATCCGTCCATGGGCCCGTCAGCGAGCTGGAGGTCATGGTATTGACACCAGTGCCCGTCGAGAAACGGAAGTACTTGCCGTCGGACTCACGCTGGATCATGGAAGGATCATGAGTCCAGCAGTCCCCCGTACAAGGCCCCCGCGCCGGGTAGGCGCTTGCCAATGCTATAAACAGACTAAATAATATGGCAAGCATGATGGCGGTAGTCTAAACGAAAGAGGGGGCTAGGAAAAAATTGTCGAAACGGGCCGCTATACTTCTAGAAGAAAAAGCCTCGAATGGAGGGGAGGGGAAGGCCAGTTATTTATGTTGGCTTTTGCTTATTCCCCCCTCTCTCGGGCGTTCCGAACTCATGGCATAGGCAAGGTCATGCAGATGTCGTCTTTGCAGGTGCGACTTTCACCTTGGGAAGCAAAGGAAGGTCGTGGGACCAACCAGGGCACCCCAAACACAGCTCCATTCCTTGGACATACCCACCCTATGAATGTAAGGCACATGTCAGTAGTTAGGCCTACCCCCCGACGTGGCTCGGGCACCACGGCACAGTAGGGATAGTGCCGAAGGCAAAGGTAGAACTAAGAGGGCCGAGACAAAGACGACAGGGCCAAGGAGAGGAAAGGGTGCGATGGCGGTGGATCATCGACGCTCTAATTTGCAAACAGGCCCGCTCTGCTGCCTGGGGACAGCTCTCTCTACACCGTCGAAGTGGTCCGAGAGTCATATTCAGACACTAATGTAGGTCGTCAACTTAGTCACCCGTTATTGAAGGCTCGAGCATGTCTTTTTCCGTCGATTATTGTATGAGAGATCAGATGGGCTATGCGGCGCTATCCCTTTTGTGATGTCTCGCATCAGGCTTGCAGCCCCCCACATGGAAGCAGACGAGCACAAGTTATTCTTTCGACGCGAGAGGAGGCGCTCCACTGCACTCAGGTCCGACTCGAGATCGAGATGTTGGGTGACCCTACTTCGTAGCAGACAGGGGGTGCCGTGCATGATTTGCAACCTGGAAGTGCGCGGCGCATGGGCCCACATTCTCCCCTGCGGGAAAAACGAAACCTAGGAGCTGTCGCTGGTCGGCAAGGGGATTTTCAGCGGGTTGCACTATTGATTTGCTTTTGGATTGACCATGTTTCCTTTCATTTGTTTTCTTGTGTGTCGGTGAGATGCGAATCTACTTCAACTGTTCGATATAATTTGTATTCTCGCCACTTGCCCATCGTAGTGCATTTCTCATTTGCACTGCCAATCCTCCTCAAAAGCCCGCCCCTCGGACTCGGGCATTTCCTGGCTTTGTGTGGGTTCAACTGGGACACTTCTGCCCCCCCCATCAGCAGTGTTTGGCGCTGGGGACAGGCCAAGAGTGCTCCGCCCAGTCCGGGGAGGCTGATGATCGGCCCCATGTGGACCCATCCCCGGCACTGGGCCACCAATGAACTTGGCCGCGGGAGCTCCTGCGATCGCCAGCTGAACAGTGCTCGGCCGCAAGAGCCGGTCCTGGCCATCACTAGGATCGCGTTGAGCACCTTTGGTTGAGGGTGGGGAAGGGGGGAGCCTCCTCGCGATAGTACAGACGGGATTCCCGGGCTCGCCATCGGTTAAATGAGCCGTATCATAAGCCGCGAGAAGGGCGCGATAAGGACGCGAGACGAAGGGAGCAAGATACCCTTCCTTCGCAGGATCGGATGGGCTGTGAGACCGACAAACAGCAGGGCTCTGAAAAGGGCGCCCACTTCCGAGGAGCTGAAAGGCCTGCATCTGTCCCGCCCTAGCGAGCCTGACGCCCTGGAAACCGGCGTGGCAGCGTTGCTGGCCGGCTGTTGTTGGGACGTGGGGAACGTCGGTAAAACCTGCCAGCCGACGGCCGACCTTGGCTATCGTCATGCAGCAGGCAGGCCGGTCAGGCGCGCATCGCTCGTTGGTTGGAGCGCAGCTCCATGTTCGTCGGCCATTATCGCGCGAATGGTGGGGAAAGTTACGAGTTGGCACGATGTGGAGAAGCGGCGCAGTTAGGGCTGGGGCCAGCGAATATCAAATTCCCCTCGGCGGCCAGGTTTCCCCGCAGCCTTATTATGACTCTCAGTACTCTCGCGAGGACTATCCTTGGGCCTCATCGCTCGTCGTGCATGACTGCATGAATGCGCTCATCGGGCTGGACTGCCAACTCGACACTCATGGCGTGCTCGGTTCGTCGACGTCGTCCAAAGAGAAGTGCCGCTGGCCCTACTCTCCCCCACTCTCACGAACCGCTAACCACAACCAGGCTAACTTTTATTCCCCTTTCCCTAAAATGGAGGGTGTGATGATGCTCAAGTGGGATCTGACATCAGACGGTCGGCTGGCGAGGAAGAAATGCAACCTGGGTTGAATATAGTGAGCCCGGATCACTCGGTTCGGGACACGGGGTAGTGCCGCAGGCTCTCAGTGATTCCACTCGGGCGGTTTTAATTTTGGCGGACAGCCAGCGACCGCCCCAGACTAGTGAGTATCTTGTAGCCATATTCCGAACCATGGAGCGTGGTGTTCGTGAGACACTCATTTTTGCTCCGATATCCTCGCGATCGGCTGCTGCAGGCACCGCGTCCACATTGACGACACATTCCTTACATTTAAGCTTGTTTTGAAATAATTCGTCTTCATCCGTGATGACGCGGCAGGGGCGCTCGCAGGGCTTTTCCATCGAACCTTGATTTCGCCGCAGCCAATGGTGCCTCCGAGGTGTCCGTATACCTTCCCGGTTACAGTTCCAACAAACCTGGTCGACAAGATAAGGGAAGCGAGTGCGAAGAGTCATTCGGATTTGACCGTTGAATTATGCTAGAATTGTGTCACACGAGAACCTCGGTACCAGTCCGGATGTACCTGATCCCAGATCCCAGATCCCAGATCGATATACATATGTATATCATTTCGGGTGGACCCCATCTCCACGAACAATCACGCAATCCAAATCCCACCTTTCTGTTGACTGCGTCATTTCGAAATCTCGATTATCTCATATCGCGTACCGCGTCTCTAGTTCTAGAACAGCGTGCCGTGGACGCTCTGATTCAGCTGTGCTGCGAAGAGCTTATTCTCGTTCATAATGAACATGCGACCGTTGCGCCCGAACGCGAAGTTTGCCGTGCCGTCCTGGACGAGAATCTTGCCCAGCAGCACTCCCCCAGCGGACCACACGTTGACGCCGTCCTTGCAGCCCGCGTACACGTTGCCCTCCTGGTCCACTTTGATGCCATCGGGAATCCCGTCGCCGGGCATCGCGAAGACGCGGCGGTTGGTCAAGAACGGCTGCCCATGGATAGTGGCCACATCGAACGCATAGCTAGTGAATTGCATGAGCAAATGATACTCCTGGGGGCGAGCGGCGTGTACGACCGGGGCAAGGGAGGTGTCTCCAAACTCACATCGTAGCGGGCTGCAGCATGTCTACTGACCCATCGCCCACTGTCTCCGCAGTATCGGTGATGTACAACGTCTTCTCATCGGGCGCGAACGAGATGCCGTTCGGTCGGCCGAAGCCGTCCGCGACCACGCGCACGTCCTTCGTCGCCGGGTCATAGCGGTACACCTGGTTCGGCAGCTTTGGTTGCGGGCGGAAGCCCTGCTTCCAGCCGTAGATCGGGTCCGTGAACCAGAACGAGCCGTCGCTGGCCACGACCACGTCGTTGAGGGAGTTGAACTGGCGGCCGTAGTAGTTACCAATCAGCAGCTCGGACTGGTAAGGCGCCGTGCCGGACATTTGGAAGAGGCCGCCCGTCTCGTTGAGGGTGCCCTGTCCCGCCCATAGGATGCCGTCGCCGTGGTTCACCCCGCCGTTAGGCATGGGGATCGTGGTGTTGATGATCTCGGCTGTGACGGGGTGCGCACTCACGTTCACCCTGGACACTTTGATGGTCGACTGGTTGGTGACGGGGTCGGTGAAGACGTTGCTTGACATGAACAGCGAGTCCGAGGAAGGGAGGTACACGCTCGCCTCGTGGGCGAAAGGGAAAGCATCGTTTTCGAGGAGGAGCTCCAACTTCGGTGCGGAGCCGAGAATGCGCAGGAAATCGTTGTTGTAGACGCTGAAATTGGAAGAGATGATGCGGGCGTTCGCCTGCAGGCTAACGGGGGAGATGCCGGACACCATGACTCCTCAATTGCTCGATTGCGTCGATGAAATTCTTCAGGGGAAAATCTGGGGCCAGTGGATTCTTAATTTCGTTTTGTTGCAGATGGAAAACGTGTGGGAGGGAGCTTGTGGCGCTAATAAGGAATGTCAGGCGAATCCATTCGAAGCACAGTCAATTGCGGTGGATATAGTTTTCCGGCGACTGCTGAGAACTGCTTGGATCGGCGGCGAGCCAAGATGCGCCACGGGAATTTGCCCGAGAATTTGCCATGGAACGTTGTCAGCCCGGAAGGAATGAGGCTGCGGGGATCCTGGTTCGGTCAGGAGGATCGTTGCCGAAAACTCCTGTTCGATTCGGGACGAGAGGTTCTCGTGGGGAACTCCATGTTCCAATGGAGCCAGGGGGAAAACATCTCAAGGAAACGGTGCAGAATCGGCCTTGGCGCAACTAAGACAACACGCAATAAACACGCGCGAGCCTCGATCCAGATCCAGGTGCTGTCAACTCGGGGAGTTGACAGTTTGATCACCAACACAACCGACGTTACGGGCTGAAAGTCCGATCGCTCACTCTTAGCGGCCTGGACATCCGAACGCCTGGTTTACCTGGTACCCTGGTAGCGTGGCTAGGCCCCCCTGACCACATCTAGGTCGATGTTGAGTCCCATGCAAGACAATCACGAGCCGGACGCGTGGCCATGGGCCTGGAAGCAAGCTGACAGGTCGGCACGCTTATCAGTGCCAGAACGCGCAGCTGCCGATCTTCTAAGCGTACTGTACTCGTACTCTGTACCGTGCTGTACCGTATACTTAGTTCCTTCGACAGCACAGATCAGGGCCAGAGTCTGAGGAGGAGACTAGCTCGGACTGGTCCTCGAAAGCCCACGCCAGGTGATCTTTTGATCCGATGGTGCATGCTGCAAACGATGGCACGAGATCCTGAAACCTTGGGTCTCTGGTAGTGAGATAGTGCCACTAGCCGGACAATGGATGGCATTGAACCACAAAGACGCATTTGCGCCTTCGTCAAAGGGGTGAATAGCTTTCATGATGTAGTTGTAGTTGTCCGGCTGCTCCACATGGCTGGCAGTCTCGAAAGCCAGCACAGCTTTCAAGGCTGGGTGGGTGAGCATCTCAACACTCACGATGGATTCCTCGAGAAAGCCTTCCAAGGGATGTAGTCGGGTAATATGAGACTTCGAAAGTGGCACATATTGGGACTATGATTCAGGTTGCTCACAACCTGGCCAGGTACGTTGACCTGTTGAGTACTACGCAGAAGAGTTCCCACCATAAAATCAACTCCACATCTCACTTAGAAAGCCAGCAGATGAGGAGGAGGAGGAGGAGGAGGAGGAGGAGGAGGAGGAAGTAAAGCTCAGGGGTGGGAATGGGGAAGAAGAGCAAGAGAGACAGAGGTGAGATAAAGCAATCTTTAGAAGCGAGGCAGGGGTGGTCGCTCTCGGGCTCGCTGAGGAAACAAAACTAAGCGCGTCCACAAAAGCTCCCCTCGGCGAAGGAGCAAGCGCTGAGGGTTATGTGCTCAGCCAGTTATCCAGAGGAACATGCCGAGAGGCTGGATGTCCAAAAGACAAACCCAGTGGACAAGTGGTGTTAGCCTCTCTTCCGAGTATAGTGCCTATCTACAACAGGTACAACTTCACTTCCGATAAAGGCCACGATACATGAATCATTGATAGAAGGCCCACACAAGCAGTAAATTGCTGCAACGTATCTCATTATTCAAAGAAGAAGAAAACTCTATATCAAGGACGTGAACGTCTACCAGCATCCGGTTAGTGAGGACAGCTACCACGCTCTAACCTACGCCCAATCATATTAGTCGGCACAGCAGCCTTCACACCCTGTGAGGATCCCAATCGCATCTGTTCAGTAAAAGATTCCAACGGGCCATCAGGGCCATGGGGCTTGCTGAAGAACGTCACTGCATAGGTGGGTATTTCTCCTGGCGGCGTGGCCTGCGCAGCCACGAGAAAGTCGCGGATCCGGACGTGCTCTGGAGGTAACCAGTCATCTCCTGGCCGAACACCTAGTGGTAAGCCGCACTCCGCTTCCTCGATTTCCATGATGCGCGTGAAGATGGCATGATAGTGCCCAGCCTCGAAGAGCCACTCACGCTTCGGAATCCGTTGCAGCAGATCAAGGCCCTGACGGCGCAGTCGAGGCCAGCGGCATTTCCACGCCACGGCATGCAGCGGAAAGATCATGCCGAAGTCCAAATTGATCGTGCGAGACAGGTCATCCGGGAAGCGGACTCGATCCGAGATAATGGCATCGGCGGACCGAATCAAATCCTCGTACTCGGCACGGTGCGCATCCCACTCGCACTCAGCCTCGGCCTCGTACGCTCTGACGCCGAACTTGGTCGCCAGCCGGATGATGCTGATGACGTCGGCCACCTGCTGCTCCTTCCTGTCCCAGGTATGTTTCTGCCGCCGGATCAGTTCGTCGACGTTGGCCTGCCATCGCTCAAGATTCCGCTGCACGGATTGGGAAAGCACGACGGCGTCAATGTCTGTGAGCGGTCGGTGGATGCGTCCGTCGTCTAGGCCGTCGCAGATGCACGTCGCGTCCGTGATCATATCGATGAGCCCGATGCGGGCCTCGGCCAGGGTCTCGAAGCGGGTGGCGAGGAGAAGCACGCCGCGCTCGTCTACTGGATTCAAAAGGAATTTACTGCGGCTTCCGCCGGCGCACTCAACCGCGTTGATGTTGAACAAGCTGAGCAGTGGGGCGATCTCGGTCTCCATGAAGTGCGACTCGAAGGATGTATACCTGCGGCCCCAGGCTGTGATAGGGCCGCCATGTTTGGCGCGCCAAGCTTGAAGCAGGTTGATGCCAGCTGTGATATGGGTCGCAGCGGCGGCGACGTTTCCCTGGAAGATCTCGAAGCAGGTGAAGAGAACGTTGGTTGTGGCTATTACAGGAGATGCATTGGGTCCGGCGACGACCTTGTTGATGATCGTGCGGATGGATCGATTATACAGCTGGATGTGGACATTGGGCGGGGAGTTTCCTTTGCTGGCCCACTTTCCTGTCGCTGTGCTCTCGTGCAGAATGCCGATGGCCGCAATAGCCTGGCGGATGGCCGGTTCGGCGAGACTCAGCTGCAGTACGCTGCCCTGGAAGAACGCGCCCCCGAAGTAGCCGGCCAGCTGCGGTGCCGTCTTGACGAAAAAGAATTCCAGTGCGTGCGGTTCTCGAGTATCGTCGATGGCTGGCGCAGGGGCCAACGCTCTGAAGAGGGCGGTTGATTTGGGCGTCCCGTAGCCGTCACAGATTCGCCCAGTGCGGGTGCACCTACCAAGGCCGAAGATTAGAAGAACGAGCCCAGAATGATATCGGCTGGGACGGCAAAAGAGATAGAGAGAAGAGAAGAGGTTAATATACCGGGCGCATGTTGGTTTTGCTTCGTCGCATTTCACTCGTCGAGCTCTGGACGGAGTTGGGTCCGGCGTTCAGAAAGTAATTGCAAATTGACCAGGCGCTATCACGGGCAAACAACTAACTTGCAGGTGGTGCAACCGGTGCGCACCTTGGGCTTACTGGCACGCTTCTGCTTGGAGCTCGGTGCGAGTGCAGAGAGGGCTTGGTCCTCGAGAGCCATCTCGGGCTCCCCTGGGCGGTCTGGAGAGTGACCGAAAAAGAGTCGAACTATCGGTATAGCTTGTCACACGAATGGAAGACCTTTGCGAAGGGGCAGGCTCTTGGGGCTGATATGCCGCGGCGAAGTATGGGGGCGAAAATCACGGGCGGTCGGAATTAGTCAAATTAGTCAAATTAGTCAATTAGTCAAGAAGTCAATGAGTTGATTCGTGGATTCGATGATTAGACCAGTTGGTAGGGCGACCTGCCGAGTATGCAGGAGAAAGGCTAGTAACGAGGCGGTGCACGTTCCTGCAGAAGACAGTTGGGGTGGTGTGCACGGAGTCCTCCGTACTATGCTTTAGCAGAGGTGGGAGACCCGTTGACGGATCAAAAGGTACAGATGATAGGATAGCTCTGTTCCCATATATGGTGTAGTCCTATAATCTCCGGATAGTGTGGTGGAAGCAACCCACTTCTATTCCTGTCCCGCGTATGGTCAATGCCCAGCGCCTAGTGTCCACTTGCTGCCCACTTGGGGCCCGTCCGTCCACTTGGGTGAAATGAGGAAATGAGCGGCCGGGGGGTCGAAAATCTAGAATGCGCCGAAGAAACCAACAGGGACAGAATGCAGTCAGGTATGGTGGTGAGGGTACTATACTGCTTATCCTACGGAGTACTCCCAGTGATAAAACAAAATGACTGGGAAGACCGGACAGAAAACGAATGGTGCTATCAACCGTTTCGGATCTATCACCCTTTGCTCTCGAATCACGACAGAGTAACCCTAGTTATCGTCCTGCCAAACCTGCCAAACCTGCCAGACCTCCTCCCCTCGTCGGGTCCCCGCGTCATTGCCCGTTCAAAAACCCAGCCACTGGCCACCAAGCCAGGCCCTCCTTTTCGCTCCGCTCTCCACGTGCCAATTGGACAGCCCGGGCTTTTTGGCTTCCCCCTTCTTCTCATCCTTCTCATCATTCCAGAACTCGATCCTCTCCCCAGCATCGTCATCTCTCATCAGAGCATTGATTGTACCCCGGGGAGAAAAATTACTGCCGGGCCTATTCCACCACCGCCTCCCGACCGTGTCTTCACGACCAGCCACTCTGGCAATCTCTGGTCGCAAAAGGCATCCCGAATTGGCCTTGGAAATTTCTCCTGAACCCCTCCTCGGCCCAATTCCAATCCTGTCTTAGAGACAGCACATCGGCCTGCCCGCCATGAGTTCAGAAAGTAATTTCTCGCTGAAATTCCGGCGCCCGTCCAGCAAACTGCACAAGGACCCCCCTAGTTTCAGCTCGCGCATTCTTCGGAGTCATCAAAGCACGACCGCACTCAAGCGTCACCCCTCCGCTCCCGTCTACCCGCGTTCCTCCCCCAGTGGCAGTCGCGAGCATGTCCGCTCGCGCTCCAACGCGGCCTTCGGTTCCTCAAACTCCTCGCTCGAACAGCATAGTCAGCATAGTGGCGGTCCCTCGCCCGTCCACGACGAGGGGCCCTCGTCCTACTTCCCCAGTTTCAGCACCTCGCGCTCTCGGACTCGCAGCTCCAACCGCTTCTCCTATAACGATCAAAGTTCGGATGACTTGAATAACTCCTTTGAGACGCGGGGCATGCTCAGTGCGCTCGACGAGAATAGCGCCGAGCCTGACCATCAACCGCAGGCGTACCAGCAGCAGCAGCAGCAACAGCCGCCACCCTTGCACTCCCATCACACCAGTCCCGACCCGCGCGGCCGCCAAATCCTCCGACAGTCGGCCAGCTTCACCGCCCTTCCCAATCGCATGGATTCCTTCGCGCATCGCGAGACCGAACGGTCTCATCATTCAAAGCGCTATTCCGATGAAGGCAATCATGGTAATGCGGGCCCGGCCCCTCTGCGGACGGGGAGAAGCAAAAAGGCCAGCTTCTCCAGTTTCGTCAATAGCATGCTGGGCTCGCCCCGCAACATCAAGATTTCGGCTCCGGAGAATCCGGTGCACGTCACGCACGTAGGATATGATAACCAGACCGGCCAATTCACCGGTCTGCCCAAGGAATGGCAGCGATTGCTGCAGGAGAACGGTATCTCAAAGAAGGAACAGGAGGAGCATCCACAGACAATGATGGACATTATGCGGTTCTATGAAAAGAATACGCGCGGAGATGACGATGAGGTGTGGCACAAGTTCGATAACGCATACAAGGGCAGCACGACGACCCCGGCCACCGGGACATCACCGCCCGGAAGCCCACGATTCCCGCAAAATCACGAAAGCAGTTTCGAAAACCCCCGTTCGCCGCCTCCGATTCCTCGTGGTCCTCCCGCGGCATCGCCCGCGGCTGCCATATCTCCCCCTTTAGGTAGTCTGGTTCCGCACCGTGCGCCTCCCAAGCCACCGACGGGCATGACACCGGCTCGTCCGCCTCCGCAACCCCCCGTGTCACAGTCTTATGGCGGTGCGACGCAACAACGACCTATGCAGGATTCATATGGCGCATCATTTGGTGCACCACTCATCCCCGAGGCCGCCCCCGTGGCCACCGGCTCGCCCAAGCCCAGTCGCTCCAACTCCCGTAATGGCGCCTCTGCGCCCAAGCACAATGTTATCGCCTCCCCCACCCAATACCAGCAACACCAGGAGCAGGTCATGGCAGCTGCCCAGCAGGCAATCGCCTCTAAGCAGCTGGATCGGAGTACCAGCCAACGCACACAGCAACAACCACCCCCACCCCCACCCTTGGCCACGAACCTGGGCCCTTCGTCAACGGATCCATCTCCTGCTTCTGCCTCTCCGAGCACACGGGCTCCCCCAGCCGCTCGCCCGCGGCAGCGCCAGCAGCGCCAGAGCACTGTGATGGATGTTCGACAACGCCTGCTCCAAATCTGCCATCCCGGCGACCCAACTCAAATATATTACAACCTGAACAAGATCGGCCAGGGTGCCTCTGGTGGCGTCTACACTGCGTATGAGACTGGCACCAACAATTGCGTCGCCATCAAGCAGATGAACCTCGATCTCCAGCCTAAAAAGGATCTGATCATCAACGAAATTCTTGTGATGAAGGATAGCAAGCACAAGAACATCGTCAATTTCCTGGAGAGCTTTTTGCACGGGCTGGATTTGTGGGTTGTCATGGAGTATATGGAAGGTGGGAGCCTTACAGACGTGGTCACTTTCAACATTATGAGTGAAGGGCAGATTGCAGCTGTTTGCCGCGAGGTAGGTTTTCAGTCGTCCGACTACTATATGATATAACCGACTTGCTAACAGCTCTCCTAGACTCTGAGTGGTCTCCAGCATCTGCACTCGAAGGGCGTCATTCATCGTGATATCAAATCTGATAACATCCTGCTTTCGTTGGAGGGTAATATCAAGCTGAGTACGTTCATCGTTTCCTTGATGTATGATTTAGGCGTAACGATGCTAATTCAATGCAGCCGATTTCGGTTTCTGTGCCCAGATCAACGACTCGCAACATAAGCGAAACACCATGGTCGGCACCCCGTACTGGATGGCGCCCGAGGTGGTTACTCGCAAGGAGTACGGCCGCAAGGTCGACATCTGGAGTTTGGGTATCATGGCTATCGAGATGATTGAAGGCGAGCCGCCTTATTTGACTGAATCGCCACTTCGGGCTCTGTACCTGATCGCCACCAACGGAACCCCCAACATCAAGGATGAGCACCAGCTGTCGCACATCTTCCGCGACTTCCTCTACTTGGCCCTGAAGGTTGACCCAGAGAAGCGAGCGTCGGCCCACGACTTGCTGAAGGTATGATGCTCATACTCTTTTTCTCTTGTTTTGTAGTCAATTTACTAACGTCTTCCGCAGCATCCCTTCATGGGCCTATGCTCTCCACTTACACACCTCGCCCCTCTGGTGAAGGCTGCCCGCATCAGCCGCGCCCAAGAGAAAGCGCAGAAAGGCGGCGCTTAATCTCCCGATTCTCCCCTGCCTTCAATGTTAATGTTTCGGTTTTTTATTTCATTCCCGTCCTCTGATTCATCCCCTTCCCGTCTCGTTCAGATACCCCATCACTCCCGATGTTACTTCTTCTAGATTCCGGCATGTCAACATATTCGCATCACCATGTCGTTGGAGTCAGTCCCGTTTCTGTACCGATATATCCATTATACTCCCATCCAACCATTTCCATCATTCCATTGCGTTTCTTGACGAATATTCTTCCCCGCGATGAAAAGAACGATCTACTTGATCTCACGGCCTGTCTTTGATGGCCCGCCCCCGGTCCTGGCCTTCCAGGACTGGGCCGGGCTTCCTTGTTTCCCAGTCTATCTATCCTATCCCTATCTTGTTTTTATACTCCTCCCTCCCCTTGTCCCCTTGGGTGTTTGTGTCTGTAGCATTGTGTAGTTCCCCCCACCCCTACCTACATCTCTCCAATTTTGATGTGCTCTCGAGTGCTGGTCGGGGCGTGGCTTAAGTATCTCGCACACTGCTTCTCTGCCGCCTGCTCATTATATTACTGTGGTAACACTGTACCGATTCGGGCTTAGAATGTGCACATTTCGCATTCGACGTTGAGGGTTTGCAAGAAGGTCTTCGACCGTGCTGGTGCTGGATATTTGTGATAGCACATTCCTTCCACTTTTCGATGATATATTAATCAGATAGACTTTTACTAGATGGTTTTCTGGATAATGTGGTCTACCTCTTGTTACTTTGTCATTTAGGTATATTGAGCCATTGGCTATCTCTAATCTAAAGCTGTCACGGCATCGGAAAGAGCATACAGACGGTATAATACTGTAGCTTGCGGGTGGACTAGGTGGATATATATTTTCTGAGCCACAGCGGGATCCGACAAATCAGAACGAGAAGAAAGCCGGAGCCTACATATGACAGACCTCATGATCGCAAATTGAGCGAACTCAGGTCGGCATTTGGGTCACGAAGATTTGCGAAATCTTCAAGGCAGACACCATTCTTCCTATCTTTGAGCTAAGAATATCCGACACAGGTCCGAGCTTGGCCAAAGCTCCCCGTTCCACCGTCGTCATCGCCTCTGCTGACTCAGGCTTTCCGCCCGGACACAACACGCAGCTGGTAGGCTTCCCTGATCATCGCCTGCAGTGAACTCCCGTTCGTCAAGAACAAGCGCAGCAGGTACCTTGGAACGCCCACTTCCAATCTCGCTTCCTCATCCCCCACCATCCAGCCTCTTTTACCAGCAGTGTTGGCCAAACTCCCAGCCACAGCCGCACCCTGGTCCCCCAATCCGCTCCCCGCATTTAGTGTTGGAACACGACTCCTACGATCCACGTGGTCCCTGATACTCGGTGTCCTTGGAGAGCCTGGCTCTGGTTGCTTGAGCCGACGACGCGCCTGGAGTTTCGCTGGTGCCGGTGTGACTGAGCTATCTGGTCAAGGCCGACTTCCCCGATTATCGAACCCTCCACTGCACCACCTGTTGCTGTTCGGTCTCTGGAGGAGATACAGTCGCAATGTTTCGCGCACAGCAAAGTGCATTTGACGATGCCGTCGGTGAGTTTTGGTGCGCTAGGTCTTTGGTGTGGGTCCTGCGTTGCTGGTCGCAAGTAGCATTACATGGTGGAGCTGTGGTGGAGAGCGACGGACCTGTTTACTTTCGGATTATGCATTATTTCTAACACTGCATGTCTATTTACAGCCAAGGCGACGGATGAGAATCTGACCTCCGAGAATTGGGAATACATTCTGGTGCGTCTTTCCGAGCAGCGGGATACCTTGCGGTCGAGGCGGCTTGGGATCCTGGGAGCTGACTTGACTGTATGGTGTGATGTAGGATGTCTGTGATAAGGTCTCTGTGGAAGAATCAGGGTATGTGGTTCAGGGTTCACACTGGGAGCCGAGTTGTATACTTCTGCGAGGGAACTGCGCTGATCATTATATTGGCTGAACAGCGCGAAAGAGGCGGTTGCTGCCATGATCAAGAGGTTGGCTCATAGGAATGCCAACGTGCAGCTTTACACTTTGGAGGTTCGTCTTTCATATCCGGAGCGTGTTAAAGGGTAAATAGTCGTTTGTTGTCGGTGTTTACTGACTCGGATTCTAGCTCGGCAATTCCCTATCGCAAAATTGCGGCCCCAAGATTCATCGCGAGCTGGCCTCGAGGAGCTTTACCGATGCGCTTCTGCGTCTGGCAGCTGATCGCGTAAGCAGATTGAATACCTTATCGTGAGAGTAATGGTTGACAAGATTGACATGTCTTAGAACACACACCAACAAGTCAAATCCAAGATCCTTGAACGGATGCAGGATTGGACGGAGATGTTCGCGTCGAACCCGGATTTTGGGATTATGGAGCAAGCATATATGAAATTGAAGACTCAGAGTCTGTAACCTTTTTAGCAGGACTTCGCCTTGAATTTTGGCTAATCGTTTCTAGATCCCAACCTGCAGCCCCCGTCCAAGCCTGTTAAGAGCGCAATGACCGATATTGATCGACAAAAGGAGGACGAGGAGTTGCAGATGGCACTTGCCCTCTCGATCAAGGATAAGAACCCGCCACTAGGTTCCGTGCCCCAAGCCGAGTCATCCGCAGCGGCCGCTGCATCTGCTGCGTCTGCGTCCACTCCAGCCCCAGCCAGCCAGGCCGAGCCTGCGGTTTCTCAGCCTGTTCCCTCGGGCACCTCTGCAGCTACTGTGTCGCGCGTTAGAGCGTTGTTCGACTTCCAGCCCTCGGAACCCGGAGAGCTTCAGTTTAGGAAGGGCGATATAATTGCGGTCTTGGAATCAGTCTACAAGGATTGGTGGAAGGGTTCCCTACGTGGTCAGACCGGCATCTTCCCTCTCAACTATGTGGAGAAGCTCCCCGACCCGACTGTAGAAGAACTGCAGCGAGAGGCCCTGATGGAAGGAGAGGTCTTTGGCCAGATCAAGAACGTTGAAAAACTTCTGACACTGCTGGGCACCCGAACCTCAGACTTGAATGTCCAGGAGAACGAGGAAATTACTACCCTTTATCATTCCACGCTCGCCATTCGACCCAAGCTGATTGAACTAATTGGAAAGTACTCACAGAAGAAGGGTAAGTATCGTGTATCTCCTGCGATCTACAAATGCTGATTGTGGCCTAGATGAGTTCACCCAACTCAACGAGAAGTTCATCAAGGCACGCCGGGATTACGAGTCACTGCTGGAGGCCTCGATGGCGCACCCAGCACAACCACAGTATGGACGCCCTGGCCAGCCGCAGTACGGATATCCTGGTGCCGCTCCCGTTGGATATACGCAAGGCCTTCCTCAAGCTGCTCCTCAGCCTGATCAGCGATACTTTAGTCCTCGACTCCAAGGTGTGTACCACGTAAACTACCGGTGGAACAATTGCTCATTGGACTCCTAGAAACCACAGCTCCGCAGTCGCAGCCCAACGCATACTACGGTGCGGAGCAGACGATACCATACCGGCCTGCGTCTCACTCCCCCGATCCTCGCGCTCAGTACGCAGGGGGAGCACAACCGCTGCACCAGCAGCAGATCCCGCAGCAGCCCCCTCAAGCTGACCCCTACCAGCCTGTGCACCACCGTCCTCAGTCTACATATGACTCCCCGCAAGAACTCGGAACGTCCGTTTATGACTCGCCAGTGGAACACCCAGCTGCTGCTAATCAACGTCCCCCTTACCCGCCTACCGGCCAAGCACCACCGACTGCCCACCAGCAATTCCAACAGCAGCAACAGCAGCCGCAGCAGGACTACTCCCCCTCTGTCTATTCAAGTGACGACACCGCTCAGCCGCCCTCAGCCTCTGGAATGCATCAGCAACCCCCGCATCAGTTCCCTCCCCAGCAGCACCAGGCGCAGCAAGCCCCCTACCCGACCTCCCCACCCCATCAACAAGCCCCACCCTCGCACCAACCACCCCCCGCCCCCGGCGCCGCGCCTCAGCCCACCCAGTACACTGCCTTCAAACCAGCGCCATCAGCACCCACCACCGGGGAATACCAGGCATACCAGCCCTCGCAGGCTGGCGTGCCTGCGTCGAACCCTGCTTCGTTCTACAGATAAGCTGTGTCACGAGTTCTCAGATTTAGCAGCCGGTGGATGATACCAAGGGAGACTTGGAGGCGTCTTTTCCTTCGACGGCTGATTTATGCACTGGGTTTCCCCCCTGTCTTACTTGTTTCCTTGCTGGGCCTTTCTGTTGTATTTAGCCGATTGATGACAGCCGGCCAAGTTGCATGCCAGTACATATGCTTTTTATACCTTGGGATCCTTAGTAATGGGATTACCCTGTGATGTTTGAAGCTCTTTGATTATGGAAGCTGCTTGCTGTATTCGTAAATTGTGGGTTTATTGAGTTGACCGTTATTCTTGCACATTTATGACGATATTCACACGATGCCCTGATCGACGTCGTAAATCCATTTGGTCAGACTTGAGTGCTCTCACTTTTCCATTTTCAGCGCAATTTGCTCGGTATAATCACCGTATAGTGTCCTTTTAATTCCATTTCTTTCTCAGCTCATACTTCCAGCGCCTACCGGTCAATAGTCACGTGACCATCTCGACACCTCAGTCCTGCGGCGGTCTCCAGGCGAACGACAACAAGCAACGTCAGGCCACGGCGGACTTCTCCTTCGAGTTTGCACTGGGGCAGGGTCAAAGCTGCCGCTGCAACTCAATACCTCATTCAACTCTCTAATTATACGCGCTATATTTCGCCGGCGCTCGACTCGACAGGCTCCTGATAGCTTCCCCGCAATCACGTCCCCTCGCAGACGATGCTCGGACTCGGTCTTTTCTCATCAGGGTGAAGGTCGCAGATCCCGAGCCAGCATACAAACCGCAATCCAGGCGCCAAAGGATTGCGTAATCTGGGCGAGGTCGCCCAGATTAGCCTGCCGTTGCAATGGAGGCCGACTGGGATGAGCTGTCGCGTATCCCGATGCCACCACCGAGTGCGCATGGGATGCCTACGATTGCGACGACATTGGCATTTGACGATGTTATGGAACTTCTGTGGACGGGAAATGAATATGTAGGTCTTTTTTGCGCGATATGGAAGGAAAGGACAATGGGCTGATGGAAACTTGTTTTCGTTTCTTTAGGGTAGAGTCTCGTCTTTCTACGGACCCGATCTGCAGCGGTATACTTCTGTCCGCGCACACCCTGTATCCGAGGGCATGGTGCGGCAGATTATCTTTCACGAACGCGGGGTTATATCCTTGTCCTCGCAGAGCGTGCATATGATTACCCGGCGTGGCTTGACCCAATGGCATCTTACGCACGAGGAGATGGTCGACCTTCGCTGCATGAGCTTCACGGCGCAGACGAATCGGATCCTTGTGGCGGGCTGTCAGCGATCCATGTTCACAATCGACATTGACAAGGGCACGATCGTGGACAAGTTGCATACCGATTCTAATTATACCCTCATGAAGAAGAGCCGGTATCTCTGCGCGGCGACCGACACGGGCTCTGTGAACGCGCTTAGTTTGGCGGACTTCAAAGTTGTCAAGTCGTGGAAGGCGCATGGCACTGCTGTCAATGATATGGACGCGCGGAATGACTTGCTGGTTACCTGTGGCTTTTCGGTTCGCCATCTCGGGTCGCCGATCGTGGATCCGTTGGCCAATGTATACGACCTGAAGACGCTATCGCCGTTACCTCCTATCCCATTTCATGCTGGTGCAGCATATGTGCGGATGCACCCGAAACTGCATACGACGAGTTTCGTGGCTTCGCAGACCGGCCAGCTCCAGGTGGTGGATCTGATGAACCCGAACGCGATCAATTTGCGACAAGCTAATGTTTCGCTTATGATGGGACTTGAAATTTCATCGTCGGGAGAGGCACTCGCCATTAATGATGCGGAATGCTCCATTCATCTTTGGGGCTCGCCTTCCAAGGTCCACTTCAACGAAATGAGCAAGGAGATCGAGTTCGCGGATGTACCTACCCGGCCACCACCAATCGACTGGTCTCCCGAAACACCCTTGAACATGATCGGAATGCCCTATTACCACGATCGTCTCTACTCAGCATGGCCCAGTCATCTCGTGTTTGAAGTTGGCAGCCCACCGGTTCAACTGGATCAGTCTCTGCTCCCATATCTACGCCCGGCTGAGGTTGGGCACGGAGCACCGAATCCAAGAAAGACGCGGCGATATCAGGTCGAGAACACGCGTGCGCTAGCTGCAGCCGAACCCGCTCTCATTGCGCCCAAGTTCCTGAGTGAGAAAGCTCGGGATCAGAGCAAGTCAGACTCAAAGGGCTTTGTTAGCGATGTAGCTGAGGCATTGGCGGGTGCAAAGATCAACGGCGAGAGTGACGACGACCCTCTTCTTAAGTACAGCAACGTCGAGATCAAGTATAGCCGATTCGGCGTGGACGATTTCGACTTCCGATTCTATAACCAGACCGCATTCTCCGGGCTTGAAACCCACATTGCGAACTCCTTCACCAACGCCCTCCTCCAGCTCTTCAAATTTGTTCCTCTGTTCCGAAACCTCGCCCTGACCCATGCAGCTGGTTCCTGTATCTTCGAACACTGTCTCCTGTGCGAACTGGGTTACCTGTTTGACATGTTGGAGAAAGCGAATGGCCAGAACTGCCAGGCGACCAACCTGTTGAAAACGTTCAGCAGTTTCCGCGAGGCTTCTAACTTGGGCCTTCTAGAAGAGAACCTCACCAACAAATCCCTTTCGACTGCGATCCAAGCCGTGAACCGCTTTTTCCTGACGCAAATCGCGCACGACTTCCGTATGATTCAACCGAGCTCTGAAGAACTGGACCAGCGCCTTGCCACTATTGCCTCTGAATCCATTCGCTGTATGTTCTGCCAAAATGAGACTGTGCGCCCGGGCAATTCCCTTGCCAACGAGCTGCTTTATCCGAACTTGGACATCAAGCACGCACGCCGTAACCCGGCGTTCCGTTTCTCCAGCATCCTGCGTGCGAGTATCGAGCGTGAAACGCAGAACCGGGGATGGTGCAACTATTGTCGACGCTACCAGCAAGTGATGATTCGGAAAACTGTTCACCGGATGCCTCTTATCCTTGTACTCAATGCGGCTTTGACAAACCCCATTTGTCGTCGCCTGTGGGCTATTCCCGGGTGGTTGCCTGATGCAGTCGGTGTGGTTGTAGATAACGGGCAAGTGATGTGTTATGAGGGCGAGGATCTTCGCTTACACGAGCAAAACAATACACCCGGCCTCGTGGTATACGACCTGGTTGGTCTGGTGTCTGAAATTGATATTCCTGAGCACCAAAAGCCGCATCTGGTGTCGTTCATCAATGTTTCTATCTCGGCGCAGGAAGCTCAAGAACAGAGCAACAAATGGCACCTGTTTAATGATTTCCTGGTTACCGAGGTGGATGCCGATGAAGCCCTCCGCTTCACACAGCCTTGGAAGCAGCCTTGTGTGTTAGCTTTCCAGGTGAGGAATGCGCGCCATGGGGTCGATGACTCGTGGAAGGATTGCCTTGATACCACTCTGCTCTTCCGCGAGTGGTCTTTGAAGTAAGTATTTGATCCGAAGTCCCAGAGTGGAACTCCTGTCCGGAATATGTGCTAATCATCGGATGCAGTGGTGGTCACCATGTGGAGTCATGTCGCACCCTGACGGAGGAAGAGAAGCCCCAACCCGGCACGCCTTTGGCCCTCGATACTGAATTTGTGGACCTTGAAAAGGCCGAGATTGACGTCAAAGCGGACGGATCACAGGAGATCGTGCGGCCGAACAAGAGTGGCCTTGCCCGAGTTTCCGTTCTGCGTGGCTCGGGTGTCGACGAGGGTGTGCCGTTTATTGACGACTATATTACCATTCGTGAACCGATCGTCGACTATGTCACCCAGTACTCCGGTATCAAACCCGGTGATCTCGACCCGCGGACCAGTGAGCATAATCTGGTTCCACTGAAGGTAGCATACAAGAAGCTCTGGCTCCTGCTGAACCTTGGGTGTGTCTTTGTGGGCCATGGCCTGGCCTCGGACTTCCGCAAAATCAACATCCAGGTGCCCAAGTCCCAGACCGTGGACACACAATACCTCTTCTTTCACCCAAGCAAGAACCGCCGTCTCAGTCTACGATATCTCGCTTGGGCTGTGTTCAAAGAGTACATCCAAGAAGAACCAACCTCCGACGTAGTCCACGGCCACGACTCTATCGAAGATGCCCGCATGGCGATGCGCCTGTGGAAGAAGTTCCAAGAATACGAAGACGCAGGCATCGTCGCCCAGATGCTGGAGGAGATCTTCCGCGAAGGATCTAAACTGGGCTTCCGGCCCCCTCCCAAGAACGGCGGAACAGCAGTTGTCCTCTCCCGGCCCGGCACTGCTGTCACCCTGCAGAACAGCGGTCGCAATACACCCAGCACCCCCGAGGCATCTGGAGCTGCAACTGCATCTGCGGCAACATCCGCGCCAGTGAATACGGCCACACCGACACCGGCCCCTACTAGCGCCCCTACTACTCCTCGTCAGGCTTTCCGGCGATCAATCGCCTTGACCCCCAGCAATGGCAGTTTCTCCGGCCCTGGTGCCGGCGATTTTTTTGGCGGCAGTCCGCTGCGATGAATCTGTCCACCTGTTTCTTCGTTTCGTTGGATTTGGAAGCCGGTTGGGAGTCCTTTGTTGTTTAACACTTTTTTGGCGATGACCCTGATGGCACAGAGCATGATCTTTGGAACGGCATGGACGCTGGGGCTTAGTTACCTCACGGATGCAATAGCAAATATATACAGTTACACTTTGACTCTTCCCACTTCGCAGTCGCCAATACGAGTATACGTCGTCTAGATAGTACTGTAGACGGATGGTGGCATATCTCCATTGGGGTCCTACGGGTAGTTAGCGTACGCTTGACATATTGCGGGAGCCTCCGCAACGCCGGTGGGGAATGGACGTGGAGCTCAGAATCGCTTCCACCCAACACAAACCCTCCGGCTCCTGCTGTGCGCTCGACTGCACCTCCCCTACTGGGATTTTGTCTCAGGAACTAACATCTTCTTATCGATCATTTATTCTTGCCATCCCCTCCAATTGTCTCACTCATCTCACTTCCCGCAGCATTGACAACAGCCCCTCCCCTCCCCACCAAAGGGCGAATACCCCTCTCGCTTCCCTACCCACCCCGCGACAACCCCCAATGTCGAGACACCGCGTCAAGAATGTCGGGTATGACGACGATGACTACGAGGACGATGATGGCTACGGCTCGCCTGATCCTGAGGAGCAGGAGACCCTGCAGCAGTGTACCGCGGCGGTCCTGGAGCAGCTCCGCGCGGGGGAGCCATCGGTAACGGCGACAAAGGAAGAGATCCAGGAAGCGCTATGGCATTACTATAACGATGTGGAAAAGTCAGCAAATTATCTGAGAGGTATGAATTTTTCACTGTTCGTTTCCTCTGCCAGGGTAGCCGGGTGTTGGTGATGCAAGGATGCTTTGCTATGACTCAGTGGATGGAGGCTAATGCTGGAAATTTCGTGTGCGCAGGCAAGAAGGAGAAGGAGATTAAGAAGCAGAAAGCTCCTACTATGCAGAAGGCCAAGGGACAAGCTGGTGAGTTGCATAATCTCGTCTCTTTGTTCATCGAGGTGTCGTGGCTGGGCTCGGGGGGAATACTTTGCACGCTTCCCACTGGTGACTCTTGATGTGGGCGAATTATTCAAGGTGTGTAGTCAAGGTCCCCAGTGGTTATATGCCTTTTCAATCGATCAGCAAGACTTCAAGACTGACGCCGCCTGGAGGTTTCGACATTGTTCTAACAGGTCTCCCAGTGCCAGGATATCCAGCGCCTCTACCTGCTATATCGCACTTTTCGGCTGCCGATTTCTTTCGCGACTGTCCCTGGCTTAATGTTCCCGCCCACCGCAAGGCTGATATACTGGTCGAGCCCCTCTATCCGCGAATTGGCCTGCTAGGAGGCGCGCCAGAAGCCGGCGGCAAGGTCTCCAAACTCGCTGCTTTGGCTGCAGCGCGCAAGAAGAAAGAAGGCGAAAAGGCAGCTGCAACACCGGAAGCACCATCAACGCCACGGCCTGACAGCTCGGCGGCTTCATCACCAAAGCCACCGGGGACGCCACTATCTCTTAGTGAAAGGCTTGCTGCCAGCAAGTTGTCGAGGCCGTCTGATACAAATGGTTCTTTGCGACGACTGGGTAAACTGGAGCCGTCTGTCTCGACACCAGGTAGACCGGAGCCAGCGCCTGGGCCGAGCAAACCCGCTCCACTACCTATACCAGAACCAGTCAAGTCAGAAGAGGACGAGCCAAAGGACGAGCCAGAACCCCAACAGCCAACCCCTAATATACGCGCTTCCCCATCCACTTTTGCCAGCGCTATTGTAGGCAACGCAGCAGGGCCGACGATGGCGGAGCCCAGCCACCTCAACTCGAACGGCGTTGATTTGCTTCAGATCTACGGCCAGGACCATGCTGAACCTTTTGACTTTGCAGCCCCCAGTCCCGATGACGTGGTATTGAATGCGCAGAACACAGCAAAAGGTTTGGCGATCCGCAGAAAGGGTTAGAAGCCAGTCGCCTAATAACGTGTAGGTCTCAAATCTAAACAGGCTGCTTCTAAAGCAGCGAGTGGCCAAAAGGGCCAGGCCGATGTGGCTGGTGGCATGAAGGATCTCTCTGTGGAGGAGAAGGTCACCGTTAAGAGCAAAAACCTGGATGTTCTTGCGGAGTACAACAAGTCTAGGCGAAAGAAGTCGGCTAATTTTGTGGTGATTGGTGAGTTTACTTCTTCCAGTGAGGATGGAAATGGGGCTGACAGGAAGTAGGGCATGTCGATGCTGGAAAGAGTACACTTATGGGCCGGTTGTTGGCAGATCAAGGAGCGATTGATCAGCGTACATTGGACAAGTATCGGAAAGAGGCCGAGCGAATTGGGAAGGGCTCTTTTGCCCTTGCCTGGGTTTTGGATCAGGGTTCGGAGGAGCGTGCACGAGGTGTCACCATTGACATTGCGACTAACAAGTTCGAGACGGAGAACACCGCCTTTACAATCGTTGATGCACCAGGCCACCGTGACTTCGTGCCGAATATGATTGCCGGTGCCAGTCAAGCTGACTTTGCGGTGCTGGTTATCGATTCCAGCGTGGGTAAATTCGAATCCGGCTTGAAGGGCCAGACCAAAGAGCACGCCCTTCTGGTCCGCAGCATGGGGGTCCAGAAGATCATTGTGGCCGTGAACAAGATGGATACGGTGCAGTGGGACAAGGAGCGGTTCGAGGAGATCGAACAGCAGATTTCATCGTTCTTGACGACGGCAGGTTTCCAAGCCAAGAACATTTCCTTCGTGCCCTGCTCGGGCGTGCTTGGAGACAACATCACCCGGCGCAGCGACGACCCGCAGGCTACATGGTACACCGGCCGGACGTTGATTGAGGAGCTGGAAACCTCGGAGCCATACACGCACGCGCTCGACAAGCCGTTGCGTATGACTATTGGAGATGTGTTCCGTGGCGGTGTTCAGAACCCCATTTCGATATCTGGCCGCCTAGATTCTGGTAGCCTGCAAATGGGCGACCAGATTCTCACCTTGCCTAGTGGCGAGACGGCCTTGATCCGCAGTGTGGACGTGGACGGCGAACCCAGTGACTGGGCGGTTGCGGGCCAGAACGTGGTGCTCAACTTGGCCAACATCGACCCAGTGCATCTGCGTTCCGGTGACGTTATCTGCCGCGCTTCAGCACCAATCAAAACCATCACGAGTTTCACGGCTAAAGTTCTTGCCTTTGAGCACTTAATGCCCATGCAGGTGGATGTGCACCGCGGCCGCCTCCATGTGCCCGGCCGGATCAGTAAGCTGGTGGCTTCGTTGGACAAGGCCTCGGGCACCGCGCTCAAGAAGCGGCCCAAGATTGTGGGCCCCGGGACTGTGGCGCGTGTGGTGGTGGAGATGGACCAGGCTGTGCCTCTGGAGGCGCCTACTCGGATAGTCTTGCGTGCCGGGGGAGCAACGGTGGCGGCTGGGCTATTGGAGTAGGGAAACTTGCCCGAGAGATATCTCGAGGAATTCTCCTTATCCGCCCCAATGGCCTTTTTATGATTTAGATACGAACATAGAAATTCAGAAAAGACGAGAGCATTCCTGCGCTGGCCCCTACTGTAGTGCCTTACACATACTTTGGAGACCCTGCACTCTGGGGCTCCGTATGTAGATCCCTCTGGTCCAGTTTCTCGGCCTCATGCTTTAGGGTCGGCGGGAACTTCCAGTCCTGGCATGAGCGGAAGCGCATCCCACAGAATACTATTACGTCAAACGGTGCAGTGGTATCCTCATATGTCGTACAGGCCACTTGGCCAGTCGTTCTACTACCAGTCCTGTTGATACGTGGCTCCCAAACTATGAGTAACTAGTTCAGATGACCCCCAAATTGGGGCAAAACGCTTAGCTGCTTCTAGCAACTTCGACACCGCTGGCGGCTCCTCATTGGCTGAGCACGCGCGCCTTCCCTGGCGAGGGATCCATTGCGCTTACCCGATTTCGATTAGCCTAACACTCAGAGGGCAGGCGGTCGCCACATGAATAAAGTTGGGCCCTGGCGAAAGCTGACTCAGCCCCTGTCGCACCCCTTCTGGCCAATCAGCACGCGAGGAGTGACCTCTGGGAAAAGGCCAGCATGGCCGCTGCGCGAAGCCGGTCCCTGCGTCTCCATACAAGAGGGCCTTTCGTCTTCTTCTCCCTCTTCCCTTCTTCCATCACCTTGCCCTTCGGGTATCTCCCGCCTATCCACCTATCTCGAGGGTTTAAAAGAGTTCGACACTCCTTGACTTCCGCGCGACTCACCTTCCCACGCGCCTGAAGCCTTTCGACTTCGTTTCTTTTCTTGATACCCTCGAGAGGATCGATTTTCTCTTGAACGCCTCTCCCTTCCCTCGTCATATATTTTTCACCATGGCGCGACTAGCAAGCCGCGACGGTGCGTCCAAGGGTTTTACCTGGACCACCGTCTTCTACCTTCTTCTGGTCCTGATTGCCCCCATGGCACTGTTTGGCACCACCGCCCACGCGGAGGAGGACAACTCGCCTGAGAACTATGGCACCGTCATCGGTATCGATTTGGGTACCACCTACAGGTTCGTGGAAGATTGATTTTGGTTATGTGGAGCAATTGGACGCGTTTGACTAATGGCATCTCCAGTTGTGTTGGTGTTATGCAGAACGGCAAGGTCGAGATTCTCGCCAACGATCAAGGAAACCGTATTACTCCCTCTTACGTGGCTTTCACTGATGAGGAGCGCCTCGTCGGTGATGCCGCTAAGAACCAATACGCCTCCAACCCCACCCGGACAGTCTTTGATATCAAGTGAGTTTTTGCCAGCGTGGCCGGTTCTTCCCGACAGGTCTAACTGAAGCGATATCCGACTAACATGACTTGTATAGGCGATTGATTGGTCGCAAGTTCGACGATAAGGACATCCAGAAGGACGCCAAGCACTTCCCCTTCAAGGTGGTCAACAAGGATGGCAAGCCCATGGTCAAGGTCGAAGTGAACAAGACCCCCAAGACCTTCACCCCTGAGCAGATTTCCGCCATGATTCTGGAGAAGATGAAGGATGTTGCTGAGAGCTACCTCGGCAAGACTGTTACCCACGCCGTTGTTACCGTCCCCGCCTACTTCAACGACGCCCAGCGTCAGGCTACCAAGGATGCCGGTACCATCGCTGGCCTCAATGTCCTCCGTGTTGTCAACGAGCCCACCGCCGCCGCTATCGCCTACGGTCTGGACAAGACCGGTGACGAGCGCCAGGTCATTGTCTACGATCTGGGTGGTGGTACTTTCGATGTCTCTCTTCTGTCGATCGATAACGGCGTCTTCGAGGTCCTGGCTACCGCTGGTGACACCCACCTTGGCGGTGAGGACTTTGACCACCGTGTCATGGATTACTTCGTCAAGCTCTACAACAAGAAGAACGACGTTGATGTCCGTAAGGACCTCAAGTCCATGGGTAAGCTGAAGCGCGAGGTGGAGAAGGCCAAGCGTACTCTGTCTTCCCAGATGTCCACCCGCATCGAAATTGAGGCTTTCCACAACGGCAACGACTTCTCCGAGACCCTGACTCGCGCTAAGTTCGAGGAGCTGAACATCGATCTGTTCAAGAAGACCCTCAAGCCCGTTGAGCAGGTGCTTAAGGATGCTAAGGTCAAGAAGTCCGAGGTTGACGATATTGTTCTGGTCGGTGGTTCCACCCGTATTCCTAAGGTCCAGGCTCTCCTCGAGGAGTACTTCGGTGGCAAGAAGGCCAGCAAGGGTATCAACCCTGACGAGGCTGTGGCTTTCGGTGCCGCCGTTCAGGCCGGTGTTCTCGGTGGCGATGAGCACTTGACCGAGGTCGTTCTCATGGATGTCAACCCCTTGACTCTCGGTATCGAGACCACTGGCGGCGTGATGACCAAGCTCATCCCTCGCAACTCCGTTATCCCCACCCGCAAGTCGCAGATTTTCTCGACCGCCGCCGACAACCAGCCCACCGTGTTGATCCAGGTGTTCGAGGGTGAGCGCTCGATGACCAAGGACAACAACCTGCTCGGCAAGTTCGAGCTGACCGGCATTCCCCCCGCGCCTCGCGGTGTCCCCCAGATCGAGGTTGCCTTCGACCTCGATGCCAACGGTATCCTGAAGGTTAGCGCCAGCGACAAGGGCACCGGCAAGGCTGAGTCTATCACTATCACCAATGACAAGGGCCGTCTCTCCCAGGAGGAGATTGACCGCATGGTTGCCGAGGCCGAGGAGTTCGCCGAGGAGGACAAGGCCATGAAGGCCAAGATCGAGGCCCGCAACGGGCTGGAGAACTACGCCTTCTCCCTGAAGGCCCAGGCTAACGACGAGAACGGCCTGGGTGGCCAGATCGACGAGGACGACAAGCAGACCATCCTGGACGCCGTCAAGGAGGCCGTCGACTGGCTCGAGGACAACGCTGCCACTGCTACCGCCGAGGACTTCGAGGAGCAGAAGGAGCAGCTGTCCAGCGTCGCCTACCCCATCACCAGCAAGCTGTATGGCTCTGGTGCTCCTCCCGAGGACGACGAGCCGATGGACCACGACGAACTGTAAAATTATCTTTTCAGGCATTACCCATGGAGTTTTCTTTATCTTTCTGTTTGCTTTTTTTTGTGTGTGTGTGTTTCTAGTCCTAAAGGATTGCGCGGGCGAAATCCCCCGTCGCTGGAGCCTGGCTTTTTGAGTGTGACCGGCTCCCAAATACCATGATACCTTCTGCATACACCTAGTTCTTCCGTTCTTTACTCTCAGATTCGTACTATCGTCTTTTCAGCTAAGCTACTCTCGACCCTCAGTATCCTCCTCATTATCAGATATAGTCCTCACAGTCTTAATGCCCCTCTGCAATCACCTGCTTAATCGTCTCCGCCACCACGGCATGGTCATCCTCCTGCTTCAACCCACTAACCACAACCACCGCAACAACACCTTCAACGCCACGCACTCGAATCGGGAATCCACCTCCATGAATGGCAAATTCATCCGCCACCGCCCCGCCATTCGCACTTGCCAGCGCAAATTTCCTCACAAAGGCGCCCTCAATCTCATTCGCGGTCGCGCCCACCTTCAGCCCCGACACCGTCTTCATGCGCATCGCCCAGCTCGACACGCCCCACCGCAGCACGGTGTTGCGCTTGCGCCGCACCCAGATCTCGTTGTCGGGGACCGTGCCCTTTTCCGTCGCGCACTGGAAGACGACGTGTAGCGGACTGGTGCCGGTTGTCGCGGTTGCGAGGGCAATGGAGATGAGTGCGGGCCTGCGCTGGCTCGCTGGCAGGGAGAGGAGGCGGGTTCGCAGGGCGGTGCCGAGGGTCCAGGCTGTTTCGGAGGTGAACGTGCGGAAGGTGTAGTCGTCGCTGGTTTCTTGGGCGATGAGGACCGCGGGCTGGAGTGGAGGATGTTAGTCTATGACCGTTGCTTTGCTGCTGGGGCATTGGGAGGGTGTAGATGGACGTACGTCGGTGCTGGGTGCGGAGAGGGCCATTTTGTATGAATTGTAGGCGTGTGTAGAGAGACGTATGTTGCAGAGAGGAAGAGGGGACCTCATGGAAACATGGTCGATAAAAGATTCCAGATGGTGTGGGTTGCGGGATGCTTCGATGACGTCGGAGTCATCGGAAGTAGGCTGGACCTTCCTTCGCTCGGAGGATGTGGAGCCGCCTGGACCGTGGCTAGCAGCGGACAGGCTTTCCTCGCCATCTGTGGAAATGCAAGAGTGTATGGCTTATGGTATCGCGAACGCTACCTGCTGAATGTATTTGCAACGCCCCTGCCATGCAGGTGGTCGAGTTCTTCCGTTTGATACACCGGTGCTGATTGTCGCCTTGAACACGTTGAACTAAAACTAATCGAATTGAATAACATGGAGGGTTTACCAATTCTCATGCGACTGTTTCCCGCAGAGCTGTTCCGACCAGCAAATGAATCCGTAAACTACTGCACTTTGATTCCATATCTGCTATGAGTGATGCTCAATTTGGTGTAGTTTCTGTGTCATCAAAATTCATCTTCTGCTTCCGACAGGCCCCGCGTCTAAAAGGAACTCTTGGGAGCGAGCAACTGGTCCAACATGATTGACTGAGCACACACACCCTGGAAAGGTCATAGAACGTTTCGTCGACTTAGCAGCCATTAGGGAAATGTCGCGAATCGGATAGCATCGTTCTAGATCTTCAACCAGGGCAGATGTGGAGAATTTGGGGATTTCGCAGGCCGACTAACAAGAATCCCTCTATCATTTGCGGGGATGCCCCACTGATACGACGTCGCATCTGCTTTAGCACGGGCCATTGGATGTGCGCTCTGTCCTTGTATTGCACATCTGTCATCGCCCTGGCTTGGTCACAAAAGGACTAGGCCGCTTGAATTGGTCAACGAACGAGCTATCGATCATGGCGAACAGAGTTTCTAGCTTATTACCTTGGGAGATCAATGGGATATTTAATTAGGTAAATTTGATAAACTAACTATGTCTATATTCAAGGACTAAGTACGCCTCATTTCTGGATGGCACTTAAGCCCTCCCTAGGTCTTCCATTAAGCACCTATCTAGCGGTAATATATGCCCTTCGTAGGTTCCTCCATTCTGATGATAGGTCTGGCAGCTTCTCCTAGTAAATATTCACGTTCAGAATGTAAAGGGACCCGAGCTTTGCGCCTATAAGATGCGCTACGACTAATCAAACCCACTTTCTACGCTTAGAACTAGCCATACGCTTGACCTATGAGCTTAGAAATAAACGGAATACGTCGACTTGATTTTGAATAAATACCCTACTGATTTATGCGTGACAGATCCTGTGGTCTTGTTAGTATGAGTTGCCTTGTTTGATGTGGCCTTTAAATGTGTTTTGGTGTATTCTGTTTTCGTCTCGTGGAGACAAAATTGACTTCTAAGAGCGGGTTCAGAAGAGTACTTGCCATATCTCTATCCTCTTTCTACAAGATTGAATCTACTATACTTGGCTCTCGTAAACGTCTGATTTTTCAATTGAATTGGAATTAATGGTCGGCTTTGGAGTATGCATATGCTCCGCTGGATCATTACTATCGGCAGTCCTAGAATTTGTTTCCAGGCCGATCATCGACTCTATAGTACCGCTATATCGCGAGGAACCCCGGAAAAGGTTCTTGTAGGCTCTAGAGAACTACACTCGGTTCTCGGATTTGGTAGCATAAATTCTAGTGGTAGTGGTATACAATACTCCCGCAACGTCGGCATTCTATATAGAAGTAATATCATTGGAGTCCTACCTACGTAGGCGAACCAATATAGATACGTTGTACGTTTTGAAGGTCCGGGTAAAGGCGAAAACTGGACTGTTGTGGTCTGGAATAAATTTGGGCCCGATGGTATAATAGGAGGTTGGTATGGAAAGGACTTCTCTCTGAGTTCTCGCTTAGTAGGGTGACGATGCGTATCGTATTTTCTCTTACCGCAGATAACGCCCAAGTCGTCGCCGCAGACTGGTTCGAATCGACTTTTGCTGCTGACCCCCGGTGCCAGTTAGACGTTAGTCTAGGAAAGATATCGTATAGGAGTGCTCTAGCATAGCGGTAGCCGGGATGAACTTACCGCAGATACTACTTACTCCGAAGCTTATCCTTGTAGCTAGTGTGATAGTTTATATGGGTTGCATTAGCTCGGCATGAAGTAATCTGCTAACTTAGGAGGGCCGCCGGCGTCCGAACCTAAGTAGTTGTCGAAATCTGTCGATTTCTAGCTTATCACTAGTAACTGATTGGTTGCTAGAGGATCTGTTTTTGTGTATACTTTAGGAAATAAATTTGGATTTTCCGGGAACCCACAAGTCCTAGGTCGATTAACGAGGACACCTCAACGAATGCTATTGTATATAGTCTCTCATAGTTATAGATCCCTATCAAAACTAGATATATTAAATACACCCTATTACTCCCTATCTTGTATATTACTAGATTACTACGCTCTATACTTATCTATATATTACACTACCTACTTAGTTGATATACACCCTGGCCCCTATATAATTATTAAAATAGCTACTGTATTTTAAATATAGAGTACACAAAACTCAATGCTAATTAGGTATAAGGTCCACAACCGTCGGGAGACCGAGGGGGAAAGTGTAATCTAATAATCACAACATATCACCAACGCTTAGACCTCGGCAAGGGCCACAAGGGACTAGACTAGACTAGGGAGCGGACCGCACCATAGGGGACCGTGATGTGGTCTTAACTACTTTCGCAAAAGACCAAAGACTAGATAGTTTAGTCTCGGTCCTAAAACTAAGGACTAGACCCAGTCCTTGCCGAGGTCTAATAACGCTATCGCTAAGAGCCACCCGTAACTCACGATGAGGGACGAAGGTATAAGATACAAACATTTAATATTCGAGGTAGATATACTTCGAGCTACTAGCGTGGTTTCTCTATCGTAATCGCGCAATGTAGACCAGTAAAACCCTCTACGGGTAGAGAGTTCTAATCAGGCGACGCCGAATCAACTACAGGAAAAGTTATATATATCATAAGCGAACCTGCTCCTCTTAGGTTCGACGAATACTCGCAATAGATGCACCACCCACAACATACGACCAATTGCTGTACGTCAATTTGACCCACGACCATTTGATAAAGCAGGTAATCAAAGCAGCAAAATGTCCCTACCGCAGCCTCTTCCCCGTGTCCCAACCGCGGAAGAAATTGTTCCAGCTATGCACGGGATCATCAACCAATTCAATAGTGTTCGCGACCAAATCCTCAAAACCACTACCCCCTCCATTGCAACCTTCAGCAATACCATGTTTCCCATAGCGCATGTCGAAAATGCCACCCAGGGCGAGCTAGGCATGATTTACATGCTTCAGTATGGATCTCCATCTCTTGCGACACAGGAAGCTTTCAACGAGGCCCGGAAGCTATATCTGGAAGCCTTGGCGTTGTGGATGGCGGATGAATCCTTTTTTAAACTCCTTCGGGCGGCAAAAGAGAAGCCAGAGTTTCATATGCTGGACCCGGAATCACAGCATTTGCTGGAGAAGGAGCTGCTAAAGCATAAGCATATCGGACATGGGATCCTGGAGCCTGATGAATTGGAAGAGTACCTGAAGAGACGGACGGAGATTGCGGAGTTGGAGAAGACGTTTAACCAGAATCTGTCAATGGAAAACGGTGGCGTCTGCTTTACGCTGGAGGAACTGGATGGTGTTCCGGGCGACGAGTTGGCGAAGTGGCCAGATGGTCAAGAGGTAATGAATGAAAAGCACGAGAAGAAAAGATTTGTGCCTTTCGCCAATGGAGGGACGAGTGCTGTCCTAACCTATGCCCATCTCCCCGAAACCCGGAAGAAAATGTTCTTGGCAGACAATTTGAAGTTGAAAGGGAACAAGCCCATATTTGAAGAGATTGTTTAGCGTCGTGCGAAACAGGCGCATTCCCTCAAATATCCTACTCATGCGGAATTTAGGATTGAGAATCGAATGGCGAACACCACAGACTGGGTGAAAAGTTTCCTGAGTCAACTGGAGGCGACTCTTTGTCCGCGTGGCCGAGATGAGATTGCAGTCTTGCAGCATCGGCGGCTCGAAGATATGCAGCTGAGAAGAATTCAGCCAGTGGGAGATGGATTTCCTCCATGGGATAAACAATACTACGACCGGCTTGTGAAACAAGAATTTGACATTGACCATCTGAAGATTTCAGAGTTCTTCCCGTTGGAGCGAATTGCAACAGGCATGTTGGGTATTTTTGCCTCTCTGCTTGGTCTTCGATTTGACCCCATCCCAGCAGAGAATCTGACTGCGGGTGTAATTTGGCACGATACTGTGCAAGTGTACTCAGTATGGGACGCAAGTGACGACAGATTTATTGGCTACCTCTATCTCGACTTATTATGGCGCAAGTACAAGTACCGCGAAAACCAGTGTGTCAATATCCAATGTGTACGTATTTACACGCCCGCCTTTATATCTCGCTTCGCTGTTGCTAAGTATGTCAATGCAGGGCTATACACGGCCAGATGGAAGCAGACAATGTCCGTCGACGATTCTGATGTGTTCGTTCCCGACTTCAACTCCCACGAGCTGCGCCTTGCTAAAGCATAACCAAGTTGTGACTCTCTTCCACGGCAAGTTCACACCACCCAGTCATTCGAACATATCTAACACCAAATAATAAAGAGATGGGGCATGGTATACATGACCTATTAGCCAAGTCTAAATATGTTCGCTTTCATGGGTATAGACTACCACCTGACTTTGGTGAGATGCCTAGCATTCTACTCGAGAACTGGTGCTGGATGAAAGATATTCTACGGGGACTCAGCTGCCATTACACCACTCTTCATGAGAGTTATTTGGTGGATTGGCGGAATCGGCACCCCGGCTCGCCCGACCCATTCAAGAAAATTCCGGAGGATTTGCTAGACAACCTCATCAAACATCGGTACTTTAATACGGGCCTCTACTATTTACATCAGCTGTATGTTGGTCTTGCTATTGTTCCCATGCGTCCGGGTACTAATATTCCACACAAGAAGCGTATCTATCTTCGATCTACAGATACACACTCTCAGCACAAACCAGGAAATTGCCGATCTCGATGTTGGGAAGCTATGGTATGATCTCCGCGAAGAGCTAGAGGGAATGGATTTTTCGGAATGCAGAAATGGATTTGAGTTTGCGACGTTCAGTCATTTGATGGCTGGCTACGACGTTTGTTACTATGCTTACTTGTGGTATGTTTGCCCTTTCCCTAGCTGCTTATTATTTTAACAGACTGACCAAAGAAGTTGCACGGCTATGGCCCAGGATTTGTTCCTTTCTACCTTTTCTCACGACCCTTGTAATATGGACACTTGGGCTAGCTATCGCCGCGGAATTTTGGAGTATGGTGGAAGTCAGCAGAACTTACTACAGATGTTGGAAAACTTTCTGGGACGTCCTCCAAACATGTATGTCATTGTGCAAGGCTTCTTGACACGGTCAGAAAGTCAGGAGTAGTTTGGGAGAGCGTGGGATGTGGAGGATGAGACAGTACTGTTTCACTATCGGCTGTCTAATTCGTTCATTAGAGATTCGTTCTATACTGTCACAAAGTTTCTATACTAATCCTATGGTGAATAATGGTGATTTCGAATAATGACAAATCATGCTAGGATATTGGTAAAGTTAAGTGGATGTCAATATGGCTTTATTCAATCAAAATCCGTGGCGTTCATTAAATTTTAGTTTTCTAGAATAATTAACTAGTTATCGCTCACCGACTTTCATTTTGCCTGTTAAATAACATTGACATGGTGCCCAACAAAAATGCCTTCCTTACTTTGATCGTCCTGCACACTTTGTCGTACCCGCTTTCTGGTGAATTCCGAGTACCCAAAATGTTCGCGGATTATTGATGCCTGCTTACTACGAATGCGACGGCTACTTTGACAAGCCCAATATAATCTTTTGAGCTACCAAGGATGTTAGATGCTCCATGAGCGCCTGCGTCCAAGGCTACTTTCTATCAGATAGTGTTTGGTAGAGAATCTTCCAGCAAAAGATGAATGAATCCGAACTGTTTACGATGAATCGTCCACCCGCATAAGGTATTCTATTTGAAGCGGGCACGATTGGTTACCGCAAAGGCTTTGGATTGAACGAATTCGCGAATCCACCGGACCTGGTTGTTCTCGAGCTTTTCCTTTGACCAGACGGTTCGGCCTGTGATGTGATCAGGCATCGACTCGAAAGGTGTCAAGAGATCATATTGAGGCTCCATCTGGCCGGAACTCAGGTCGAGTCCATGGCCCCAGACTGGTTCCGACCCGGTCCTTGTCACCGAAGACATGATGGTCAGAAGGATATCAGACGCGCGAACTTTCGATTTGCGGAGCAGAGCGGTGGTGATTCCATGGAAGAGACTCTCTGAGCAGCTTCCGCGGGGATTCGATGCATTTAGTCATTCGTTGAAACGCGTGCAATGCAGTTCCACTGCATTTGTCGGGGTCCCTACCGATGTCGTTGCGGGTTGGTGTTGATTGGTCACCGCGGAATCCGCACGAGAACTTCCGCTTGCTGATTGCGCGGGGTTGGCGCAAGATCTGGCGAGGCTGGACACGACTGTGATAGTCGTGCATTCTGTGTGAAGCATTGTGCATCGCCTCGCCGTCTTATTGGCCCTGGGCGCTCCAAGTTCGAGTATGCCCAGCCCGCCCACGCATCAGCACCCTCCCACATCACGACTGTGCAGCCCACGGCCATTTCCTCGCTGTTACAGCTTGTGAGACCAAGTGGGCAGCTCAGACAAAAGCATGGAGATACCCTTCACCCTTCAGCAGATCGCGCAACTAAGCCGGCGGTCGTTCTTTCCCGTGCGCGTTGAGAACGACAGTGCCATCTTCCAGATAAGCTCGGATACCGAAATCAGAGTTGCAACGAATGGAGTCAACCCAAGCATTTGTGTCCAGTGCCAGGGGCCGAACTCCGACTACCAGCACTCTTTGGGCATGCCAATGAGTTTACTTTTTCGAGCTGGGCTTATGCTTGATGAGTCGCCCTATGGTCGCCTCTGGCTTATCAATCTAGATCTACGCGGTCGATGCGCGACGTGTCGGTCCATGTTCTACAATGCCTTCGTTGCAATCAGCTATAGGTGCCAGCCACCACCGACGAGAATCAACCAGTGGTTTTGGAATGAAGGAAATACTATGTTCAAGGCGCTCCTGATGAGCTCGACCAACCCATTCCTTCAAGAATTTCTGTTGTCTGGCAACTGGAGCACAGGTACGTCACCGCACCATCCAGTGGCCCCTCCAACTCTGGGTTATGGCTGAGTTTATGTGGTGGAGATCCGTACAACCAGGATCAGGATTGGGGCGCTCCCTTTGTCTGGATCGACACTTGTAATGCCACGAGAAGCGAGACAGAACTCCAGCTGGGACACGAAGAGAGAAACGAAGCGGCCAAACATCCCAACTTGCCCTACGAGAGCTGTGAATCGCTGTGGGTTTTTGACGACTGGAACTTTTTCCAACTCACCGACCTCGACGCCTATACCAAAGACTACGCTGCGGCTGTTGCTCCGGACATGATGAAACCGATCAGCGTGTTCAACAGCCACTGGTGTCTCAATGAGATTCTGTTGGCCAGGGGGCGAGGCAAGCGCATCATGTACCGGAGTCCAGACGAGCTGGTGCCTCTTTCTGATAGTTTGACGGACGAGGAGCTAATAGCACGAGCAGAGAAGGCGCGGCAGATAATGCGGTAGATTATGCTGGCCCCTTCCTGATGGCACTGACCAGTGCCGGTTGACGAAGACACTACGGGATGCTGGCCAGCACCTGTTGATAGCATCTATCTCCCCTCTCTCTGATCCAGGCATCAAGATGTCCTTTCACATCATGAGGCTGTTGCATACTCTGGAAGCTTGCGTCCGTTGCAAGATTGATTGCTTCACTTGAAGACCAAAACATTAATTCTTCTCCCTTTCCCCATTCATACGAGAGCCCGACCTGTCTATTTATCATAAATATCGGCCCTATCTACTTATGAAGATACGGTCTATAACTCTATGTTGGTTAGGGAAGCCTAAGGGCTATAAAGGTTGATATCCTATAATAAGCTATGATGAAACCCTAACAAGCCTCCTGCTTAGATCTAACCCGGGGTAGGTCATGAGGAGGTACACAGCTTAGAGCGAGAAGGTCTAAGAGCTAGAATATTAAGAACCTTAATATTCTCTCCTTCCTCGACAGGGTCGTTTAAAGCCTCTGGGTACTTCGATAAATGCTAAGGGACCGGAGCTACTGAGTATTCCTTGATCAATACTAACCACCTTTACCGCCACAAGATACCAACTTAATATGTTAGACGTATGAGCCTCCGAGCCGATATTTAATAATCGAGTATATAGGGCTGTTCGCGCCTCGATACTATCTCAAGGATCTAGTTGCATAAATTCAATTCCCTGCCACCAGGCACATAGCTCGAGTTACCCGCACGCGGTTTTTCCCGGCGATGTAGAGTCTGTGAAGCAGGCGAAAACGGCGCCGGGATATCATCTTTCGTAGGTTTTGGACACGGAGATCTTGGTTACGTGATCCGAGAATGTTCAATACTCACCGCGAGGGCTTTCTCGATTTTCACTATTAGTATATCTTGAAGGAAATCCAGCGGATAGTGCTGCCACAAACAGAATCCGTTTACATTCACAACTCACTTATTTTCGATAAATAAGTCTTAGCCCTAGGAACAGAGAAGCAAATCACTAAATTGTGACCGTATTCCTAGATTTGTCAAATCAAATCCACACGCCGTCATTCTGCCGGACATCAGAACTACAGGGCTTTTCTCGAGCAGGTCGTAGGGGAATACACGAACAAAGGCCTACAGTGGAGACGATTCGGGGGTTTTTAGGAAATTCGCCACTAGCATAAAGAGAGAAAGAAACTTTGAAAAAAGGTGCATACTACAGTTAGTCATCCTGTCCGTTGAAATTCTATTTGTTAGGTAGAGGGTTGCAACCCACTGAGTTTACCCATATATTGTGGTTCCATCAGATTTCTGTCATCTTCGTGTATGCCCAAGGCAATCGCAGCCAACTTAGCATATCGCTACCGCCGACACTACACAAAGAACCGTGATAATATCCTATACTCATCGCTAACCTGCCCACCCCACTTTAGCATCTTTTGTACCATTTCCGCTTCTGCTTGTAATATGCCCCCGTGTTGACGCAGGAAGCACAGGGGTACGGCAAATTTTGTTTATTCGGCCCGATGGCCTCACCAATGATAGTACTGCAGAAGTACCAGCACCCAGTCTTTGCCGTGTGAGAGAAGTAGTGATTGGAATGGCCGCATAGGTAGTGCGCCGTACCTAGGACCCGTATGCACATAGCGGCCCTCGCGTTATATGTTCCACGAGGGCGGAGGCTGATGTGGGTCTTGTAGCGGTACGAGGTGCGAATCTGAGGTCCTGGACCGATTGTTGAATGACAGGCTTAGCGATAAAGAATAGCAATGCAAGAGTCCTTGGTAGGCGAAAAGAGAACGGGCGATGTTAACATGATACCACGAGGGAGGGCGGCCTTTATAATTTCTTTCATGTGGCTAAGATATGAGGCTCATCTATGACCAAAATGAATAAATCACTGCGGCCAAGTGTGGCGATGACCCAGCATACTTTCCAGTCCAACCGCCCACTCTTGGCACTGCCACTATAAGGGTAAGGCCCTTATAGTGATTGGTTTTTGAAGACGCTGGCCAGCGTAGAGCCACCTTCTTCGTATTGGGAGGCGTGCCAGGAAGTCGCTTGGGACTACATGACAGGTGGCTCAAAAAGTGAGGCAAACTACCCCTGTTTAGTGCGGCCTTGGTGTAAGCATTCAGCTCACCCCGCCCTAAAGAAGACCAGCCGTTTATCAACCACATCTACCTTAATACCACTAAAGCCAAGGCAAGACTTGCGAGCCGCGTGCTATATTAAGCCCCACACCAATCTAACATAATTTGTTACCTCATTCTTTCCATTGGCTCAGAATCAATGATGATCTTGGTAACATGACAGCAGCAAGGATCCCGATTAGGCATGTGGGGCCCTTCTTGGTCGTCGCCCAGGTGCATCGTGACCAACAACCCTCCACGACAATACAATACATGCTACAACAGTTTGGAAAGAACTGCCGTAAGCAGATGGTGAAACTGATTTCGATCCATCCTGTATGGATGACGTGCACAGCAAGTTTATGAGGGCCTAATACGTGGTGTGCTACGGCAAGTGGCTGGACAATTTAGTGTCGATACGGTGCCCTATGAATCCAAGGCGCTTTAATATCGAGGGCTCGATCTTTTAAAGTTTAAGCCGCGCTCCAAGTAGGATTCTGCCGCAATATTTTGGTTCTTTGGTGCTTTCTCTGATCTCATGGTTTACAAATTGACAACCTTAACTTGTAGCGATTGGTCGAACAGAGAATTATCTAGCATGAATGAAACCCCCCAGCTCCCCAAGTAATATGCGCTTCGTCTTGTCTCTTTACCAGACTTGGCCTCGTGACTCAGTGCGCCAAGTTTATCTAAGTTAACAAGTCCAACTGTTAGTCATGGGATCTACATGAACTTCTTTTCTACCCCCACCTCCAAGGTTTGACCCAACATGTTTGAAGCTGACTGCTTGAATTCAATAGCTGGCTAGATCGTCGTGTGCATAGCCGTTATTGAGTGCATCTACGAGGCGGGTTTGGCGTTTTGCTTTACAGATTAAATTTCAACGCAAACGCGCTTGATTGGACTAGATGTGAACCAGTCAATTTTACACATACTACTGTAGGTCTTGGCAGATGAAAAACAAGGCAAGCTAGTGCATCCACCAAATGGGATGGTTGTCTTCGACCTAATCTTTCGACCTGCTCAGCTTCAGGGCTGCAGTCCCTACATTGCCTTGCTTTGCAAGCAGTTTAGCGCCTCTATGAGGCGTCTGCACGATGCTGTATATGGTGAGAGGCCGTCTGCTAGATTAAGCCCCGTGGGGTTAATTTTAGTAGTTTGGGGGCTCTATTTATGCACTAACATTTTTTACCAGGGTTGGCTGTAGGACAAAAGTAAAATGAGATGAGGCGGAGTTACATGACCTACTAGGTGTAATTCCGTACGGCTGCAAAGGCACCGAGCTAGGTACTTTGATATTTAAATCCTGGGAAGCCCAACGGCTAGCCACTACCTTTGATTTATGCAGTAACTCCATAATGAGTTACAGGAATAGTATTGAGGTGAGCTGCCTAGCCGGTACGGTGGTAGCAAACGAGAACGATGCTCTCCTACAATCTGTCAATGCGACCGACCACGCCATATCGATGCTATTAATAACCGTCACGGACGAGGGCCAGGCCGGACAGGGGATGTCGAAGAACGGTCTCCGAACAAGAGACCCTCCTATGATGTAGACGAACTCTGTCTTACATACGCAAGCAAGAAACTCCTAGGTCAATATATTCCCGAAATCAACGATGAGCACGTGCAGTCGAACAGACCAAATCGGTGTCCAGCAGCAATTCTAACGACCAGGCGCAGTTCTGGAATGAACGAATGACAGCAAGCGCTTCACCTCACCTTCTGCCTTCAATCTTCCAATCGCTTCGCCATTGGTCAAGGCCCTTTTGGCTGATGAGGCTGGAAACGAACAACTCACTCCGACCCCGGTCAGGAGAGAATTTTGCGTATTTGCTTTTTCTTCTGCCTGATTCTAGACCGCAAACTCTGGTGCTGTTGATTGCAACTTTTCTATCCCGTGTGTTTTGTTTGCAGCTCATCATCAGCTTCTCAAATCCCGCGTTGACGGCGCTAGCTGTTGGTTGTGCTTCCAGGAATGGCCTTGTAAATCACTCAAGAGTGATTTTCTCGCTCGTCGCCTCAACTCGGTACACACGGAGAAACCCCAGTGCTGAGGGCATCTTAATCATGGACGATCCCTGCGTATTCAGGGATGCATTTGGATCGACCTTTCAAAAGACACTTTCGAGAAAACAGCATGAGATGAATGGTATAAAGCCTAGTAAGATCTAGTTACAATATATATTGCCGGCGGTTGCTGCAAATTGATAAAATAAACCGAGCCAGCTGTGAATCTGCCAGCGCTGGGGTTTCGCTGGAGGCTGCCCTTTCCCCCGTAGACGAGATAGTAGCCTGACAGGACCAAAGCTGCAGGACTGCCCTTCTCTTCAGCAATTCTTTCATCTCAAAAGGTTGTGAGAAGTGAGGCTCGAAGCAACTGATGTGGCGCCAGCCTGCCCGCGTCGCCCTGCTGCTCAAACAGTTAGAATTGAACAGTTGGGTACAATCAACGGTACATTACCCTGTAAGTCAATATCGCTGGCCTGAACCGTCAGCAGGCGAGCTGGAGCCATGATGAGAATTTCTGCTGTCTTGCTCCGAAGAATGGAATCCAGCATAGGATCCTGCGCTAAGAACGGCAGAAGTTTCTGATACAACGCATGAAGGAAGTCAGGAGGCCCTAACTCAAAATGAGTTTGATAACTAGGTAATGAGAGTAGAATGGTATCTGCTAGGGAATTTGCTACTTCAAAGCATTTCAACAGCTAAAGGAAATTTGTTCATCAGATTGTGCTGTCAGTAACCGTTTAGAGTTGTTCTTACCTGATCCCGTCCTAGCGGCAGCAAATCCTCTTCGGTAAATAATCTTAAGGATTGAAGGAGATTATGTCCAACCTTGGCAGGGAATCCAAACGTCATGGCATCCGTGGATGATGCCGAAGATAGCAAGCCAAGAGATAAAGCCTCCTGCCAGACGATTGTCCTCATCCATTCACGCGTGATATGACAATCTGCCGTCCGAGTGGAGATGGTGTCTGCTATTTCTAGAGAGAGCAAAGATAATTTGCTCTCCGTTTCAACCAAGTTTGTGATGAGGCCAGCTTTAGTTGTGCATTTCCGGTGTCTGGAGATCTCGTCGAAAGCAATGAACAACTTCACTAGATCAACGAGACCCCGGACATGAATATCGGCAGGAGTGCCCTGCTCGAAGAATTTGAGTGACGGCGTTTCTCTATAGGACGGAGAGAGCCCCAGATGAAGAGCGTATCCTCTATCTGAACATTAATGAGAACACTGAGTAGATCACCGCAATAGGTAACTGACCTCTCTGAAACCCATAACAATGGAAAAATAAGATACTTATTTGCGACGAAATCATCCTGGGGGAGATAGTTAAGGGCCAGTGTTGAGATCGACAATTCTTCATCAAGGCCCAGAGTTTGCGCCCTTCTGATTGCCTCCTGAATGTACATCATCGCCAACGAGCATTGGTTCATCTTCGCATGGTAGACATGCAGGAAAAACGAGACCAGGATACTGCTCAAATCAACATTCTCCTCGTAGATTCTGCACCGGCTTCGAATAGACAAACAGGCTTGAGCCATTCCCGTGCTGTCCACTGTTGCAGTGCCGTCCTTTACTGGGGCAAGATGCAACTGAGCCATTGTTGCGGCAGAGAGTGCTGTCGCAAGACAGGCCAATTTTGCGGTATCATGCTCTATCGTTTCGGGCTCAATATCATCAAGACCTTCTAGCAGCGCACCTGCATTGACAACTGGCCAAACACTATAGGAATGCTGTTGATAGAGATGCACAATAGGGCTGAGAATAGCTTTCGATATGCGCCGAGATGTACAGGCTGTTTCAGGGAATGTGGTCGACTCCGCGTGAAGGATGGGCAGGTCATTTTGCTGAGCTCCTTGTTGATCACCTATATAGCCTGGGATAATCGGCCACGAATCAAGATTAAGATCCAGATCCTGGTCCTTCCTGGCCATCCGTCGCGTCTTGGGCCCTCGCTTACGGACAGGCTTCAGATAGGTACAAGGGACTCGCTTGACAGCATTGCGGCAGGTACCGCAGGGCCAGGCGCCATTGCACTTGACCTTGCGCAAAATACACGCATCACAAGCTCGCTTTGGGGGCATGAGTTTTGTGTCACGGTGTTCGCCGTAAAGTAGCATGCTAGCTCTAATTGCGGGGAAGGAGGGAAAGCTGGACTTTGGCGCGGGGTAGTCTAGCCGTACGATCCTTGACCCTGGTTATCACCGTGGTTTATGCAGATCGGCCCGTACCTTCCAAGTGGGTCGTTCAACAGTACACAATTGATGAGTATATTCTCCAAGATACCATCCGGCACCTTTTTCGGAACTGTTTCAATCCCAGGAATGTCCATGTGGATGGCTTGCTGGTTGAAATGGACTGCAGATTCAGAGACCGAGATTGTCTTAAGATAGAGGCAGGAGGCAATCGCCGCCAGTTCTGCAGCCGTTGAGGGATGCGGGACAGGGCTCACCACATTTTGAAATGCTAATGATATGCTGCTTAGTAGGCTCATCGCCACAGTCACCGATCCCACATATCACAAGCGGTTCATGGATCTTTCCCGCGGTTAAAGATTGAAAGAATTCTTCCAAAGCTATGTCGGGCGTTGGAGGTAGGGGGAAGAGAAAATCGTGGGGTGCTAAGCTGGGACTATCTTTATTGCACAAGTCGTACCTAATCCAGAACAGGCGCATCAAATGTCAGAGCTTCATGGCCGTTGGAATACGGTAATTTGACAGAGTGAAGACAAGAAGGGCTACCCAATGCATGTAGTATTTGTATCTAGTGGCTCAAGTCCTGTCTTACAAGATTGACAGTCCCTTCGACTCTGAAACCACGGCCAGAATAGAGGTATTGTCTATCATAGGATCAACCTGAAGATTTGATTGTAGATGAAAAATCCACCGGCTTGTCCAGGGATAGGATCCAGAAGGAAAGTCGCCGTGAAATTCATGGGCTTATCAAACTCGTTGTCGATCTATTTCGCTCACGACCAGGCATCAGTTGTTATCGACCATGGTCTGAGAAATGGGCTGCTTACAACTAGAGTTCCAGTAACTCCCACCAGTACATTGTTGTTACTAGAGGGCGCGGGATCGATCGAAGTGACTTGAGTCTTCACAGTACTCAACTCTGGTTTCTAAAGATATTGTGAAAGTCAGACATGAATGATTTATTACGCAACCACTTCCATGGTGGGAAACTCACCTTCAATTGTGCTATGATGTTTGACGCGCCTTGGACGTTATTACCTTCCCAAACTAACATTGACTCCGGACGCTATTCTAAAGTCAGTGGCTTCATAGATTCTGTAATCCCTTCTTATCTTGCAGAGTAATCCTTATACAGGACCTACATAGAAGGGGGCCAGGTTGTCCCTTGCTTCATAATTATCGAACGTTTTATAGTAGTGACTAACAAATGCATCTAGACAAGAGTTAACAATGATCAGACAGATAAAGATAGTGATGCGAGGGTGATTGGAAGTGGATGGAAGGGGAGAATATAGGGCTGCATACGAGCAATTCCACTAAAATCCATTTTGACTGGACGTAAAACAAGTTAGCAAAGCTGACTTAGATGTTGGGTAGTCGGCTAGCTGCATTTCGAGGTTCGCAAGACGTACAAATGTGACTCTCAGAGTAAACGTGGTTGAAAGGTGTGTGAAAATGGGAAGAACGTAGGTAAGAATCAGTTATATATGTACCTGGGAGAGGCACTTCCCCCTCCCCCTCCCCACTATCTTACTACCGATGTATCTATTGCAAATATGTTGGCACTCATGGGGCTGCATCAGGGCCCATACTATGGAACCCGCATGTTTTGACCGCTGTTTCGTCTCATGCAAGAAATTGACCACGATCTCTGTGTGAGAACATGTTGCTTAGTACCTAAATGTTCGATGAGTCGGCTATTGTTGATACTTTTACCCCCCTCTACGGTGTGTGTAACCATCTGCGTCTGATTTAGCGGTAGATGATACCCGTCATGCATGAATGCGTGGCTTAGGTACTGTGCCTCCGAGCCCCCTGTCCACTCATACCACCGAACCACCATGTCAGCAGGATACTTGCAGATCGGGCATCGCTTCTCATTATTTTTCCTTTCACGCCCTGGTCTCGACCCTGGTCGGCACAAGATCCAGAGGTTCTCGCTGAAGAGGAAATAGCTTCGACGAGCTATCATAGGCCCCGTTTGACTCCAACCCTGTGTTTAATGATACGCAGTATCAGAGGTCTGGACTTGCGATAATAGGATTAGATAATATACAATCCTATAGCCCCTGTATTATATCGTGGTTTCCTTATTTTCGTTCATTTTCTTCGTTCTTCTGTTTTTCTTTTGGGTTGATACGAGGGTAAACATGGCACAAAACAGATAGACCGGATTAGTGGCCGATCAATATCTTATTGCAGCTAGCCGGATCGGCTGGATATGCGGACTGGCCAAAAAGGGCTCAGAACCGAAACTCTTTTTGCTCCACTGCATTTGTACTAAATTTCGGCGCCACTTCACCATAGGTTGCACTACAGTATTGCAGGAAGCTTGGCCGTAATGCGCCTACACCAACCCGTTGTCCAGCCAGCTGCCAGAGACTACTAGACGCACGACTTCTCACCCATGGGTCATTACCTTCCCCCCCTTGTCTTTTCTTTTGGTGGAACTAGAAGGCCCGCAGCTTACAGACAGGTCTCCAACAGACAATCAATCTCCTAGGAACGAGGAGACTGACGGTCCCAATGCCTCAGCATCCCCAGAACTTCATCTAAAAATAATTTCGTCCACTCACTAAGCAGAGGGGTGAGCAGGGGTGAGTAGGAAGAAATTTCTTTACCTATAGTATATCAACGCCCCCTCAGTCACATTCCACCACCCCTCCCAAAAATAGCGCCGAGGCTCCCTCTATCTAGCTTGAGATAATTGGTGATCTAATACTTAGCGAAACACTGACTACGTCGCAGCTAGCCGAGGCCGCGAAGTCTAGCGCGCGTTCAATCATCAAGATTCACAACAATCTTTGCCAGTTCAGAAAAGTTGGCGCACCACTAAGTCACGTAGACCGGCGACGAAGTATGACGCCTCCAATGATACAAACCTTATGTGATTTCCGTTAGGTGTGACGCCATTGCAGGTATCCAAGGTCCATCGTGACCAGCCATACCAGATCCTGCCTACATAGTGGGCTACCATTCCGACATGCGACATAGCAACGAAAGGACGCGGATTCATTATTTGAAACCCTTCGCAACGAACTCGCGTTGCCTGAAAGCTATCGGACTGAACTTCAACAAGAACTCAGATGATGATCAGAATGTCGAGCTGAACCCGTTTCATCATTATATCACCATCACTCTGCAATTTTCAGCACCACACGACCCGCAATATCGCCCTTCTCCATCTCCTCATATACCTGCGGCAACTCTCTGAATGATCGAACTTGGATGACAGGCTTCACGACGCCTCGGCGAACCAAATCAACTGCCTCCATGCATTCCTTCAACGAACCAACCAAATTTCCCGTAATTCTTAGTCCTTTGATTACAATTGTGCAGATGGGCGTCTCGAGACAAGGACGGCCGGGAGGAATTCCAACGCAGCTCAAACTGCCTCCAATACGTAGCATTTCGCAAGCATGGGCAAAGGCCTTCGCGCTACCCGCTGTGACAACCGCAGCATGGGCCCCCAGGCCAGTAATTTCGTGCACCTTTTTCACGGGGTCCTCAACGGCAAAGTCGATAAACTCTTGAGCGCCAAGCCCAAGAGTAAACTCCCGCTTTCCCGGGCCGGTGTCCACGCCAATAACCAAAGCCCCCTGTGCCCTAGCATATTGTACTATCAAACATTTATCAGCTTGCATCCTCATATTCATTACACCGTAGGCGAAGAATCCATACCTGCCAAGTGCCCAAGTCCACCCCCGGCGCCAACGACGACTAACCAGTTCCCCGGACGAATATTGGCATTCAGAACCGCCTATGAAATGTCAGATACAATCAGCACACCCGCACACACTTTCAATCCATTCCTCATGAGTAAGTACCTTATATGCGGTCAATCCCGCACAAAGCACAGGACCCATTACCATCGGATCAACGTCATCCGGCAAGAGAGTCAGATAGTCCGCGTCCAAGGCAATATACTCCTGAAAACTACCATCTTCGTGATGCAAGTGATTCGTGCTTTGTACACAATATTGTTCAGTGCCTGCGAGACAGAATTCGCATCGCCGACAGATGCGACTCGAGAATCGAATGCCGACAAGTCCGCCGACTTTGATGCCTGCGCTATGCGTGATGTCAGGGCCAAGACCCACGATCCGGCCGATACCTTCGTGGCCACCGACGTGTGGAAGCTTGATATCGGTAATTGGGTTACCATCTGATCCCGCCGCTGTGCCGGCCCTAGTGTGGAGGTCTTTCGGTGTCATAGTGTTAAATCTGCAACCTTTGACTTGTAACCCCGATGGCATAGGTGTAGCACGTACCACTCTGGCAGACACCGGTATAGAGAACTTTAGCGAGAACTTCATTGCGTTTGGGAACAGGGACCGGGTAGTCTGTTTTGAACTCGACGTTACCGCCAAGACTGTTCACCAGTGCGACAGTTTGTGTTTGGGGAATATGGATGGGCTCCATGTTTGATCTGGGAGAGAGACTCAAGGGAAATAGCCCGCGAGAAATTGGTCGACGAGGCAGTGAAGAATGTGGATGTACGCGGACCTATTTATGTGAGCCGTGCCAAACCACGGAATATATATTTCTTTGCTCTAGCGAAGTCCAAGTCCCACAGTTGACTTGACTATTCAATCGGATCTGTTGGGGAAGGGGGTTGGTCATCATTGTGTGGGATGCATGTACTTTAGACCAACGAGTCGAGGCCTTCCACATATCTCTTTGTCTTCATTTAGAACGCTGTTCTGATCAGCAGATCCTAGCTCAGGTTGTGAGTGCGGGGTTTCGTAGAGCTTGAAAGGGCCATGCACACTGGTTCCTCGAACGGGTGCACGGTTTCGGAGAAATACCCGATCTCTCCGGGCATTCAGGAGTCATTTGGCAATATACCGCGCGCGCGATTATGGTGCCGACTATGGTCATGTACAGAGCGGGTTCCCTTTATTTCTCCGAGCCATTTCTCCGGTTAGGCGGAAGCGCTGGTGGCAAAACCCGTCATCTGCATAGTCGCAGAAACCTTCCTATCTAGTGAGCGGGGAAGCTTCTATATCTAACGATTTGCGACGGTACTGGCTGAGAGTGAAGCAACTGGCATGGCCGTGTTCTATTCTGGTACTCACTATCTAGTGCTTCCGTTGAGATAAAGTCGCCAACCGTGACTGCCCGATGAAAAGGCTGCTTCAAGGCATCTCAAGACTTGCTTGGCATTTTCAACGGGAGAGACATAGTCCCGACGGCGTGTCACAAACAGCTCCACCGCGATTGGGATGTTTGTCTCCTCGAGACTACCGGTCTTGATCTGAGTGACACCCGGCATTGATTCCGGCTGTGAATAGAGACTGGTTCCACATTCTGCTGCGATCAGTTTCTCGAGTGAATGCATGGTGAGAAGTAACATGGACTTACCTCCACAAAAGAACAGTCGATGCTCCTTGCCAGACGCGTCTCCAATTCGGGCCCAGCTTTTGGGCACTCCCTTGGTGACTGAGAAGTTCGCAGTCGGAACTGCCACATTAGATGAGAATGCACTTCCGCCCCATTTTTGGCAGCCTCTGCAATGACAGAGTGCCGTCAAGGCTGGTTCTCCTGAGATTTGAACACGTCAATATCAAGATCCTCTGGCATTGAGACAGGGAAGATGGCCTACCAGAGTATTGGAAAGACACGTTGCCACAGGCACAATTTCCAGAACCAGGCATCTTAGATTTTGAATATCTGAGGCTTTGTTGGATGAAGAAGTGGTTTGTGTAAAAAAGGATGGTTTCATGGGGAGAATTTATCGACTTTGTAGTTCTGCAGTTCCAATTATTCCGCATTCTCGGGGTTGAAGACGGATCAATTGATTCCAAAGCACTCCTAGTCCATGCAAGTCACTAGATGTCCATGAGGAATCACTTTGGCTTGAGATCGTGGCACTGCCCCATGCTTTGGAATCATTTGGCTCTGACAGGGCCCACCGCTTCTACTGGGCAGCCGGAACACCGGAAAACACACCCCTGGGAACAAATAGCCTAATGGACAAGAAAAGGATGACGTGCCGATTGAAGCGGGGTTTTTTTTGCTTTTTGCTATTATTTCGTGCTATACACGCGATCTCGAATGGACTAGCCTGCGAAATGCATATGTGGTTGTGAACGAAGCTATTCTTCGTACATCTCAGATCATTCGTGGAATTTAGATTCTTCACCAAAAACAGTCTCCAAGAGTTCTTCAAAAATCTCTTCCTCCATCAGTGCCCCAAACCTGTGAGTGTCTTGTCAGAGAGATGCACATAAGAAAACTAGAGAGACAGACGACAACATGAAAATCATCACAGTGCATCTGAGGCACGGTCGAACTTACCCGTAACATTTTATGTATGGTATCATCGCAGATCTCAACGTCTCTAGTCTCGTATCCAGGATACGTGTAATGTCTAGACGACTGATTATGCGATTCCATGCCTGTACAGGGGTGATGTAACCATCTAGCCCAAGACAGCCAGAGAGCTCGAATAGCTTTTCGAGCTGGCGAGCGGGGACTTCCCATACAGTATGGTCATGCAGATCTTGTGGAGCCCCCGAGAGCAATATCCCTTGCATCGACATTGCATGTCCAGATGGTTCCTCGGTGTCTGGAGCGCGTGTGTGAGACAGACAAGGCCGTTCCAGCCTGCGACGTTAGTATTTGCAGTGATCGGGGTAGAGTGAGGCTACTCACGAAAGAACAAAATCGACGCCGATTTGTGCAAGATTAACACCTTTAGGATAGTTTGTTTGATCCCTAGATCATCTGGTAAGAGGACATTATCGTGAGTAAGTGCTTCAACTTTGCCATACCTCATTTCCAGTGATTGCTTTTGGGGCGCCGTTGACTGGCTAGGTAGAGAACTTGAATCCACAATGGCATGGGTATCCAGCCCAGGAAAATTATCGTTCGGGGGGATAGGCTGACTTGGCCACTGCGCGTAGTCTGGCAGTTTGACCTGTAGACACTGGTGATGGCCACCATTGCTAATAAAGGTTACCTCGGCTAATGAGGGTTCTTGCAGTGGTATTCCTGGGGGAATCGGTATCGAATGGCGTGCCATGATTTCTCGGAGGATCTCATTTTCAAAGTGGAGATTCTGCAGTTCATCATCCGTCGTAAACAAGTCATATAGCCGGTGAAGCTCATCTTCAAGCATACGGCAGCGATTCTCTTTGCGCTCGCGATGCCTCCTGAAATGATTTAGTACGATCCGAGCAACTTCGGTGACTTTGACCCACTTCTGTGCCTGTCGCACCTGTTCGCGTCGCCTATCATAGCTGGCTTGAGCGGCGGAGGCATCACTAGGTACTTGCCCATGATCACTCTGGGCGTCATCCTGGAGGGGCTCTGCCATTGGTACAAAGGGAGATCCAATGGCGTAAAGGGTGGATAATGTGTGAGGAACCTTGGGAGAAGACTTGTGTTGAATAAGTGGCTGTCAAACTTCTGCGCTGGATGTGCCCGTCAGTCTTGTCGTGAATGCGCCACTCGCCAGCGAGGAGTCGGTAGAGACCGGTTTACTCTGTCAGTTTCGCACCGAGTCCAGTGACAGGATAGAATATTCGTTGACTTCCATGTCATGTGTGCGACTCAATCAATCCAATAAACCAACCATGGATACAGCCCTCTTCCAGCCGAGGCATCGTGGCCCTTAACTGAGGGGACAGCGGCAGGACCGGACTCCAGCCGCCACTTTTCCACGTAAGTTGTGAGGCCCAGCCACGTAGTCTTTCATTGGCTGTCATGGATGTGGACGTGGAATCTTTGAAGTCGTTTTGTCCAATGATATTTGCTCAATGGACAAAGGTGGGGCAGGGGACGGAATGATTCCAAACCCCCGTGGATCTTTGAGTGTCCAGGGAACTAATACTAGGCACTCTATGGAATCAATGGAGTCGCGCTGGATCGTTTCCCACAGACCAGAATAAGGGGTTCGCTTGCGAACGAAAAACTTTCTTGGATTTCCTTTCCGAGGTAGCTCGCGTAGATATATTTATATCTTCATTTCACAAAAGGCAACTGTCTGCATATGTTCAGCTATTTCCATTCTTCTACGTTCGTGGTCCTGCATACAAACCTACAACCTACCTACCTCCCACTCTTTACATCACAAACACGGATCATCCCAAGACTACAGCAAGTACACAACCTAGGATCAAAAACATGTCAGCAACGACAATTCTTGACACCATTGGAAACACTCCGATTCTCGAGCTTCGTCATGTAGCTCCTCGCAACGGTGGCCGCATCTTGCTGAAAATTGAAAGCCAAAACCCAACGGGAAGCATGAAAGATCGGATGGCCTTGGCAATGATTTCCGCCGCCGAGGCAGACGGACGTCTCAAACCTGGTGGCGCTGTGGTCGAATACACCGGTGGCAGCACAGGCGTGTCACTAGCACTGATCTGCTCCGTGAAGAATCACCCACTCCATCTCGTGACATCCGACGCATTCTCAAAGGAAAAGCTTGATCATATGAGGCTGCTTGGCGCCAACTTGACCATCTTGCAGAGCGACAATGGCAGGCAGACGGAGAAGCTCACGAAGGATATGATCATTGAGGCGCATCGCATCGCCGAGGAGACGGGGGCGTATATCACGGCGCAGATGGACAATACAGACCAAATGCAGGCGTACACGAAGCTTGCGGAAGAGATCTGGGAGCAGACGGGTGGTCGGGTCGATGGGTTTGTGCAAAGCGTGGGGTCATCTGCTTCGTTTCGTGGTACGTCAGAGGCGCTCAGAAAGTGGAAAGCAAGCATCACTTGTGTGGCGGTTGAGCCTGCGGAGTCGGCTGTTTTGTCGGGGGGTTCATCGGGCTCGCATGGCATTGATGGCACTGGCGCCGGCTATATAGTGCCGCTATGGTATGATGGCGTCGCTGATCAGATCGAGAAAGTGTCTACTGCCGAGGCGAGGGCGATGGCATTCCGGCTGGCTAGAGAGGAAGGCCTTTTCTGTGGTACTTCGACTGGAGCCAATGTCACGGCAGCACTGCGCCTGGCAGAGCGTCTCGGGCCATCTGCAATTGTTGTCACGATTATGTGCGATACGGGCATGAAGTACTTGAAGTCGTTTTCTCAGGAGGGTTAATAATTAAATGCAGAGCAGCTCAGAGCATATGCGTTTTAGATCATGACCCACATATTGCTCCCTGGATCCCCTTGCCAACGTATTTCATCTTCTAATCATATCATCGGCAATCACAACACACCATAACGCCACGCTGGACATGTTCGTAGCTCAGAGTATGTACAAGAATTCAAAGACACCACAATCAAGAACTGTCCCTTGATTTATCCTATACGGTATCCTTTAGCACCACCCGAGGTATGGAGAAAGACTTGTTGTTCTGCACCAGCTGATGCGTAACAACGCCACCAGGTGCAGCCTCGATATCCTCAATCTGTTGAGCGCCTCGACGCGGGGATCGAGCTGTGTTGGGGTTCGTGAGAAGTATTTCGCCACTGGCTTGTTTTCGGAGCCAGTAAGCGCGCATCCGATCAAGCGCGGTCTTGAAATCATCAAGGATAACTGTGTCGCAAAGGCACTTGAAGATAAACGAAAGCTAGGGCACCGAAAAAAACATCAGTCAGACTTTCCATAAAAGCGACATTGGCGTGTCGCCTAGAGGAAAGTGATCAAGAGAGCAAGTACGAATGAGAGATGCATACCTTCCAGAATGGCTCAATGCCCTGAGGGAGTGAGTCGCTAAAGGCATTCAAGACACTACAAGTGTCTACAACGATGAAAGCGATTGAGAGGCACATCGAGGCCAACATCAACCCAAATCGCGGGCTAACAAAAACCAGCTCCCAGAGTCCAAAGTTATATTCGCGTTTGATCGTGTAGAATAGGGAAATAGTCGTGAAAACCCACCACGGGTCTCTGAAAGCAGTTAGTAGTGAAGGAGAGGTAATTTCAGCTGATTGCACCAAGTAAAGACGACTGGAAGGCAAATGAGGTGAGGTCTCACCTGAAGATCGGCTCAAGCGGGCGGGTCGTATTGAAAATAGTGTTGATGTTATTGAAGTAGGTGAAATTGGCATAGATCTCGACGATCCAATATGGCCAGCAAAGAACAACAGTGACAATATAGAACAGCGAGACTCGACGAGACAGGAACGGTTTGTTCTTCATCCAAGCAATCACATTGTGCAATGCCCAGGAGACGTTGAGACCGATCGCCGTGACCGACAGGTACCAGCCATAGGCGGGCTCATGCAGGAAAATAAAGGTACCATGGCCCATAGCGAGGATCAACTGTGGATCAATATTAGCCTCAAGGTCACGAAGAGCAGATTCATGCAGGTACGGCGTGCCGCAAGTCCTGTATACGTCTGTTTGATCCGGGGTCAATGGGATGTACTTACTTCGGCCAGGATGAGCTTGTGCAGGAGGATGTGCTTCTTCATGTTCGAGATGGTGATAGCCGCCATGATGAGCAAGCTACCAATCATCAGTCCCTGGCCCCACGCCTCCAAGACCAGGCCGTCTCCAGAAGGCCGACCAGTGCTCTCAGACATAGCGAGTTTCGTTCATGGCACAGCGGGCAGGGAGAAGGGACGTGGCGATAACAGTCGACAGCGTCGGAAAATACAGGGTGACTGGATAGGGAGCGAATTTCGCGACGGTGAGCTACGAGAGGAAAGAATAAAAGGAAAAGAGAAGTTCATCGGCTGTCAAAATGTGCCGTCTTATTTGGGTGTCGCACATACGCACCCGTTAGAGTTCGCTGTTCTGAGGGCAAAAATGCCCGAGGCTCGTCTTGCTTAAAGCAGCCTGGCGTGGCTAAAAGTGACTTTTACGCAACAGCTCGGACCAGGCGACCCATCGATGCCAAGTGTATGCAAAGTGATGTAAAAAAGAGCGAGACCAGGCCTGTTTTTGCTGAAAGATGGGACGAGGGCGTGCCTTATGGTGGCAGCTGCTGACCGCAAGCAGAATAAAACCTGCACCCTCCCCTCTTCGGTTGATATCCTTGGCACTTAGGGGCTGTATGGTGACTGCCTTTGGTGACTGGTTCATCTTACAGGCGAAGTGCGTTGAGTGCGTTCTAATTTGATATACGTTACGTGGGAGCTGGTAGGGGGGGGGGGATTCGTAGCGTCGCTTTCGAGAGAGATTCGCTGTTACCTTGGGAATCATAGTTCAGTCGGCTTACCTTTGGCGGTTGTCAATTCATCCGAGGGTTCTCTTGAATGGAATGGGGCCGACAGGCGAAAGGAGTCATGTCGAATAAAAGGAAACGAGAATGTGAATAGGGTATAGTCCGGTCCAGGTCAGGGCTTGGGAGCCAATGCTCAATGGCACGGCCCCCGCCGGTATGAAACATTCTATAGGCTGGCGACCAATCTGTCGCGTGCTCCGGGCCAGAGCCAAGGGTTTTCTAACAGTTAGCCAGGGCAGCCTGCCATTCACAACGATGAAGGACCGGGCCTGTGGAGGGGCCGTGTTGGTGGCGTCGACTAAGGAGCTAAGACTAGGTTCGGCTTGCGGGGCTTTTCTTGAAAATCGCTCAAGTGAACATGCAAACATGCTAGAGCAGCAGAGGGCGATAACGGTACTAAAGAAGAGAATGAAGAAGCGGTTATGAATTGCATTACTTGAACGTACTTGTTTATACTCTGCTGTAACACACGGAGAGGGGATGTTCCTGGGAGCCGGCCCGGTTGATGATAATTTGGGGGTGGCTGCCCAGGGGCTGTCTCCGCTATTTCCCCGTTAGCGCGGGGCCGAAACCCGGGGAACCACGCCAATCCCCACGAGAGTCGCAGGAATAGCGTTGGTCGATGCCGTTACGGGACTTAGTGTCTCGTGATTGTGGAGTATAGGCAGGAACCAATTTAGTACGTGAGGGGCATGGTCGCGGTATCTGCGTAAATTATTGTGTAGAGACGGGTTGATGGATATCGGAGCACCTAGTGTCCACGTTCCATTCAGCCCGATAAATGGGTGAAAAATGCTGCTCGATTTACGATCATCCCTTCACCTATTTTGAGACCGGCTCGGTATGTTCTTCGTGAACGGCGCTCTCTACATGCTTCTGCTCCTTCGGCTTCCCCCCGAAGACCTCCTGCATCTCTTCCAGCGAGTGTTGCGACGTCTGTGCAAGTCAGTCAGTACGGACTTAACGAGACCACACGAGACACATACCTCTTTGAGGACTATCCAGGAGTATACGATGATCGCGTAGTTGAAGATAGCGAACATCAAGAACATGCGCCAACCAATGTTGTTAATCGCATGCGGCGTGACCTGCGACATCATGAAATTAAAGAGCCACTGCGAGGCAGCGCCAATAGTCACGCCCAGCTCTCGAGTACGGCTGGAGAAGATCTCGCCGACGTACAGCCAGGGAAGCGGGCCCCATGACATGTTGTAACTGAAGGCCTCAGCATAGGTCATGATGATACAGGCGATACCCGCCGAGGTCGGTCCGGAGGAAGTGGAATTGGCATTAGCCGGGTGAGTGGCTAGGATGCAGGCAATGATGAGCATGAACGAGCCCATGGCAAAGGCTCCTGCCATGAATGGCACCCGACGGCCAATGCGATCCAGCACGAACAGCTGGAAGATGCTGACGCCACAAACCTTGACGACGCCGAAGAATCCGGTCACCAGCTTCGCGGAACTGCCAGCCCCAACAGCGCTGAAGATCTGTGTCGCATAGTACGCCAGCGAGGTGTTACCCGTAAGCTGGGCCGAGAGCTGGATGGTGACAGCAATGAAGAGCCGGTAACGGTTCATGGGAAGGAGCAACTCTTTGAAGGTAAGATTTTCCTTAATGCGCGCCTCTTCCTCAATCCCAGCCAGAATCTCATCGAATTCTTTCTGGAGCTCGTCTGTCTCTTCACCTCCACGCACCCATTTGAGTGACTCACGCGCCTGGTCAATCTTGCCTCTCGCAGCGAGCCAACGCGCGCTCTCTTTGACCGTGCACATGCCGACGAGTAGCAGTGTCGATCCGAGAAGTTGCAGTCCCAGCGCTGTCTGCCACTGGTTGGTACCCGGCGACTGATCCTTATCGACCGCATACGTCACCCAATAGGCAATCATGACTCCTGTCGCAAAGAAGAGCTGGAAGCAAGCACCCAGTCGGCCACGAATCTCCTTCGGTGACATCTCAGCTGAATACATGGGGATCAGCACCGTGGCGGCACCGATCCCCAATCCCGCAATCACGCGTCCGGCATAGAATGTGCCCAGACTGCCCGAGTTGATGACCTGCAAGATTGTGCCGAGTGTGAATACGAGCGAACTGATAATCAAACCAGTGCGACGACCGAAGAACTTGGCAATGGGAGAGACTAAAAAACAGCCGAAGAAGGCACCGGCCTGGAGAATAGAGACCGCGTTGGAGTTGACATTGGTTTTTTGCGCTTTGGTATAGCCAAAATCTTTTTGGAAGGATTCAAGGGATAGGACACCACCTATTCAGAATCAGCAAGTCAGCATATGGCGTTCAAAAAGGGCGATCCAGCTCGTGGGCTGACGCACTGACGACACCAGTGTCGAACGCGAAGGCAAACGAGCCCATGCAGCTAGCCGAGACCAGGTAGGCTGCGCGAAAGAGCCCGAGCTTGCGACCCATGGTGGTGTTACACCTATGGCCAAAGGTATGACTTGAGCAGGAGCGAAGGAACGTTCAGCTAGAGGCGTAGCAGGAAGCTGAGTCGCACGAGCTCGCCTCTTCACAGACGGAGGTATCCAGTTCGAAGCCCCACGAACCCGAGGAGCCAGCACAGCTAATATGAGGGATGGGTGAAAAATCCCGGGGAAGGTAAACTACGGAAAAAGAGGTGACGGCTATGGTAGGACCTTTATGGCTCGCCGATCATCTGAGAGTATTAGGTGACAAACCGCATGGATCACGTAGGCCCCTGCCACGTAGTAGCGCCAGTGCGAGTTCGCGCTCAGCTTGGGGCCAGGCAAGCTATCAGCCACGCGAGAGCCGATCGGCTCGCAACCGAGTCCGATGCAGCGCACATGCCCGTCATTGGCGGTCGGCGAATAGCTTAGAGCTTAGGGGAGGGGTTTGGGCAGCGGAAGTTTGGATTCTGATTTGCCGGGGATCAGTGCCATTGCGGTGCTAGGACGAGTCAAGTAAGCGATGAACATATGATGGGGATAAGCGCAAGGGGGGTCAAGCTGCTGCGGTAGATGGCTTGGCCTGTGGTCTGAGACCTGCATCCCTATTGATAGAAATGGTGCTTGGTTAGATGCCGAGTGATGGGGTTGGATCGCTCGGACCAGGCAGAGTGGCGGCATTGCTTGAGATCGGAGTGGATCCAGCCATTGCACGTCCTCCGGGGAGATGCGGTGGCTGTGGTATGTGTTTGCTTCTTTGCTGTGTTTCGTCCAGGACTGTGGGTGTGGAGAGAGGCGGCCCCGGCAGAGGATGACCATCCCCGGATTTGCGCCACGGCGGGGTCTTGCACCGTGGGAGGCTTACCTTTTTTTGAGCTAGTATACAACAATGATCTAAAATGGCGACCTTGCGGATTCGTTGTATTTTCCTAACCCAACACCCGAGATATTGCCTACATAGGGCAGAGTGCCATTCGGAGCAATTCTTGCAATCTCTCGAGGAACCCAGCCCATCATTGTATAATTTTTCGGACTAAAAAGTCCCTGACCATCTTTAATTCCAATCCAATCTCAATTGACAGCAAGAACTCTACCTGTCTTGATTGCGATATTCCTCTTTTGATGTGACAGTTACCTTAAGCAGGGAGCAAATGCCACAGCGTCGATTCTGCGGGGTTCTCGAATTTGAACTGGATCGACAATTTGACTTCCCCTGCAACTGCTGAGAAGATGTGATTCCGCCTGATGATGACTGCACTGATATAAAAGTATAGATTTCTCTGTGTACTTGATAGTATCTGCCGATTCCCACAAGTACATTGCTGTACTCCATCACCCAATATTTCTGTTCAATACCATCATGCGATCGCCTGGGCCATAGTATAGCGCATATATCAATCAGTTTGTATATCAGTCACCTGATCAGTGAATGGGAGATGTGGAAGGCTGCGACAAATCTCACATTCCTTAGAAGGCCCGGTCTGATATGACCACAAATGATTCAGTTATTAAGCAGATGACAACCTGGTTTCTTCACACCGTTGCCAGTTGGTATCCACCAGGCTTATCCATCCCCATCATCTATCCACTATTAATCCGGCGACGATCCCCAACGGCCAGACCGACCAGCCGGACTCGACACGGGCATGACCCGGGGCAGGCAGCATCCTTCACGGATCGGATTTGACTGGAATCAGACGCTACACACAGCGGCCGTCAATTCTTGACCTTCCACAGTCGCTTTCTCTGTCATGGCTGGGGCCGATCGCTACCCAGCTTTCGCTCAGGGGCGACATTCGGCTTCCGGGGGATTCCAGCGGTTCCCAAGGTTCAGCGCCGGTGGCACCCACCACTTGCCATCTGCAGTCAACCCCTGCTCCACCGCGCTGGCAGATCGGCAGAACCGCAATTGCGGCGGGTAGAGGGCGCTCTTGGCAATTATTTCCTCTCCGACGTACCACGCAGGCGATTCCCGCGTGGAGTACGGCGTAGATATCAGCCATGCGAAACTCCCTGCCAAGACCGACCGGCCGGCTGATCACTCGCCTTAGGGTCAAGGGTGTCCCTGATGCCGCGCCTTGGTTGGATCCGGCCTCGAAACTTAGTGGTCACTTGTTTATTCTCTAACTAAACAATACCAAGCTGACCCTTGTTACCCGCGGAGGAATATGGCCTCCATCACCCCTGTCCTGTCTGCAGGTGAAACGTCCGTTCGGCGCTGTCCCCGCATGTCGCGGGGACCATTGTTCCAATGCCTCCAATTTGCAGATAGAGGAAGAGCTTGGCTGGTCGGTCCACCCAATGACGGCGGCCAAGGCCGGGTTTCCAGATTTCCGGAGTGTTGTCTTTGCGTGTAACGAGAAGGCCGGGAGACGATCATGCCGGATACGCAGTTGGTTGGACCATAGCCCGATTCCAACCCACACACCATCGCCTGTGGTACGGCAATGATCTTCTGCGGGTTCGGTTTTTCCCTCACGGATCTGGCGGACGGCTGAAGAAGGCTCTTGACCCGACTTTCTTTAAAACCAAGTCGCCCGTCTGGAGTTACCGGGTGTTCTGGAAGAGCCTACCTCACCTTTGCAGTTCTGACTGCCGTCATTCTTTTTTTTAAAATCGGGAATTCGTCCATTTCGTTCATTTAGGTTTATATCCCTCGCTTTTTTGGATTTATTTATTTATTTGTTTTTGTTGGCATTGTGAAGTCTCCGCAATCATGGCTCCGTGGTGGTATACCGCTAGCAGCACTCTGCTGCTGTCGTCGCTCAGCGCCGCGGCCTGGCCCTACTCGACTTATAGTTCGATGGACTTCCAGCCGCCGCAGCTGCAGGTGAACAGAACTGGAACCACCGAACCTGGTTATATCTTCCTTGGCCCTCGTGGGGGCGTCCAACCTGCCGGTCAGGCGGCGCTCATCTACGACGACGAGGGTAACCTGGTCTACGAGGGCCCCGACGAGGTAACCGCCAACTTCCGTGTCCAACAGCTGAACGGTGAAGATGTGATCACCTTCTGGGCCGGTGAAATGAGTGACCTGGGCTACGGTTACGGCGCTGTCCACATCCTCGACAATAGCTACAAGGAGATCCACACCGTCACCTTGACTGGTGCCTTCGTGACTCCGGACTCCTCAAGCAAAGACTCATACATTGACCTACATGAGAGCTACATCACCCCCGACAATACCTTGCTGGTGACTGCCTACAACCTGACCCAGCACGACCTAACCTCCCTCGGCGGCAACTCGTCGGAGTGGATGCTTGACAGCCACTTCTACGAGATCGATATCGCCACCAACCAAATTCTCTATTCCTGGAGCGCCCTCGACCACGAGGACCAAATCCCGCTGACCAGCTCGCATCAGAAACTGGGCGGCGATGTCGGCTCGCAGGAGAAGCCCTATGACGCCTACCACATCAATGCTATCGCCACCACCAACAACGGCTACCTCGTGTCTCTGCGCCACATGTGGTCTGGCTACTACCTGTTCCCCAATGGCACCATCGCATGGCAGATCAGCGGCGAGAATGGCGGCGATTTTGCACAGGTTGGCAACGCCAACTTCAGCTGGCAGCACGATATGCGCGTGTACAATGAGACCGACGAGGGGCTCGTCCTCAATCTGTTCAACAACGCCAACACCCCGACCGAAACTGAGGCCCCTACCACTGGCGTTAGCCTGGCAATTGACCTAGTCAACAAGAAGGTGACGGGCCTGCGCTCACTGACGGACCCGAGCGACCCCATTCACTCTGTCAGTCAGGGCAGCTACCAGCTGCTGAACGAGGTCAACGGCCACGTGCTCATGGACTACGGCTCCATCTCCAAGGTCAAGGAGTACGACGGTGATGGCAATGTCGTGCTTAGCGCGCAATTCGGCGAGGACAATGCTGTCGCGTCATACCGCGGCTACCGCTGCCAGTGGAGCGCCGTTCCCTTCTGGAAGCCCTCTTTGATTGTTACCAAAACTAGCGAAGGAGCTACAGTGTACATGAGTTGGAACGGTGCCACCGATTACGACAACTGGGTTGTCTACTCGGCTGCCACTACGGACTCGGCGAACAACCAGCAGATCAGCGCTGCGAACCGTACGGGCTTTGAGACCACTGTGAACATTACCAGCCCGCCCACAAACTATATCCAGGTCGCTGCTTTCCAGGGTACTAAGGTTCTTGGTACTTCTGAGATTGTCTCCTTCTAATCTAGGTGCTTTTGACTCTGCACCTACTTGGACATTGGGATACCTTTTGTCCAATTTTCTACTGTTTGATTATCTGCGAAATCTTCCCTGAAGATGCGTTCGGTATCTATATCCGACATACCAGTTTTCTTTCTGTACATATTTTTTTTTTATAATCGAAGACGTAAATATCATCTTGACCTTTTTGCATACTGCCCTGATAGGAGGCGTTTCTAGCAAGACCCAATCTACAGTGCCGTAGCGATCAGAGTGGGTATACAATGCAGGATGCCAATTTCTACCTGAACCAGAAGGTACTGAAACACGGGGTATGCCCTTTGAGACGCCATGGCCCATCAATCTAGCTCGCGGGGTGCGCTCTTCACATCTGATCACGTTTCAGAGTCTCCGCTGTAGGCTGATAGAAGAGACCATGAGGCCGAAGTGTTCTTTTGTGTGTGTATAGACTAGACCAGCACAAGGCAGGAGGATCTAAACACATGTGAAACCAATGATGACCCATACTAGCACAGAGATAGTAACTCCTGACTGTGTTCATTTGAGCATGAAATATCCACGCGTTTTGGGTGCCGTGCGGGTATGGTAGTCCTTGCTTCAATTGTGGACGTTTCAAGTGGATGTAAGCGAGTCTGGCCGATCTTCATCAATGCGTCCGTGTGGGAGTGAGTATCTTTTCCTGGAAAATGGGGGGACCCCCGTGTTTTATGGACATGAACCGGCCTAATTTCTTCCGGCTTGTCTTGATTTAAGGATAGTACTGCATTTACGCCACTGCATTTACTCCACGAGAACCTCACAAAGTCTAATCTCTAAAGTCACACTGTCATCTCAGAAAGACAGGAGCAAGATTCCCTGTTGTCAGGAGCCCGCATTCCACAGATGCAAGGCCCGAGACTTTGGGTGGTTGGAGAAAGCCACGCCACATCCGGGCCCTTGCGTCCGCGGTTTGATGGCAATCCCTATCGGTTGAAGTCTAGACCACGGGCCATTTGAGCCATTCAAGTTTGCTGAAAATGCTCTGTGGTCCGATGTTTATTTCAACCATTGACATTACGCTGCGTCTGCATGGGTTCTTCATGCGCCTAAAGCGATAATGGAAGAGTTTCGGCAAGAACGAGGCCCGCGAAGACTTACTCTTGGGCTCAAAGGCTGCCCTTGTATAATCACCGCGCCTCCTATTAATTCGTGAGGATTTCTTGAAAAAGCCCTATCATTCTTTCTCCGAATGATAGAGGGGTTTGTGGTAAGCCAGCCTCCAGCCGGTGCGCAGTCAGTCCGGTGTGACTGTATTCGTGCATGAGACAACGCAACAGCAACTTTGCATCTTCCTCTGAATGTGCCAATTTGATGGCACGGTAGAGGATTGTGATGAAGATTGCAAAATTCCGATAATATTCCCGGTGATGGATAAAGGACTCTCGGCATATGAGAGCCCTCGGGCATAGGTGGAGGTGGCTGACATGGCTTGAAGAGAGACAAAGGGTTCAAATTGACCCAAAAGGAATATTCAAACTTCTCGAGTCATCATAGGTCTTCTATTCGAAACTGGTCCGGCTTGATCAACTTGACGATCAGTTTAGAGCAAAGGTTCGGGCCTTCAGCGAGTGATGATTTTTAAGGCGAAGGTCGTTGTCGAGTGAGAGGCGGACTAGCTTATTTCTTTCTTATACGCCGTCTTCAATCTGATACTTCACGCGTCCTGATCTTGCCCGACCCATATACTTGAACATCCCCCGAACGCGGTTTTCGGAGCATTACTTACCCAAGCCACATTCTACTGTGCCACCTTTGTCGCCAAAAATATCCGAATCGGTCAAACCACGCAGAATCCGGCAAAATTCGCCCGTTCACATTCCTGTTACTGACAATCCTGGAATCGAGGGGGCAATCCTGACAACCACATTTCAATCTTCTGCGCCAGACTGTATGTTTCTGCAAGTAATAGGCCGCGATGAGGTACAGTAACACTCTATCGTATTTCTATCCCCAAGGATGGGACTATGGCACCTTGGTGGAGATATGGTGTGGTACAGGTGTACGCCCTGGATTGCACACCATCCGTACATTATTTAGGGGACGCCTTCATGGTTCAGGAACGGATGAGTAGATGTGCACATGGAACGCGATACCCTTCGCCACGTGGATGTTTGAATCCCCACATATTCAAGACGTAGAAGGTCTTTTCTACCGAGGAATTCTGATCGGGAGAGATATCTGTGGCTTGTGCATTTGGATGCGTGGCTGGTCAATCATTGCCATTGAGGTATAAAGCTTAGTGGGTTCCGAATGTGACGGATATCGCATACCCTAATCTCCAAGTATAGCAGAACAAACCGTCTACGAGTGTCACTATGACGATTTATACCGCTCTTTCTATCTTTCTTCTCGCCGGCCTGGCCATCTCTCAACCTACCGTGCTCAGCAAGAACGACGGAATCCCATACGGGGCGTTCCCCTCGTCCGCTTCATCTGCCAGTCTTCCAAGCGCGACACCCATTACATCCTCCAATGCCCACCTCGGCCGTGCCGTGGTTGTCAACCATTGCCAAACGCCAGTCTACATCTGGTCTGTCGGCTCGACTGTCCGATCTCCGGCGACCGTCCGTCCAGGAAACCGCCACTCTGAAACCTTCCGCCATGATGCTGCCACCGGGGGCATCGCACTTAAAATCAGCACTGTCAGCGATGGTCTCTACACGAGTGCGCCACTAACTATATTCGCGTATAACCTCAATGGCCAACAAGTGTGGTACGATCTGTCAGATGTATTTGGGGATCCATTCAAGGGTCATTCTGTTGTGGTATCGCCGGCCGAACCTGAGCTTAGCTGGGCAAATGGAGTCCCGCCATCTGGAAGCCACGTTCGGGTATCAGATGCGTCAACAGATTTGGTGTTGACGCTTTGCTAGAAAGAAGAACGAATTGGGAGATTGACGTGCACAAGGACGTAATGGAAGGGGCTGAAGTGGATTATGGCGCAGATTGTATACAGCTCACGCTGATGCGGGACATACACGGATGATAGTAACGTTAGCTTACCAATTGACAATATATTACACTCTCAATCTTGCAAGCAATCCCATGTAAGCGCTAGATGCATCCTGTTCGAACCTATTCGAACCTCTCCAATTTGGAGGCGAGCTTTGGGGTTCCCCGGGCTGATGTCATGCAACACCGGGACCTCGGCTGTTCTCCATCCCCGTGGGAGGCGCACCCCCGCAACAGTTCGGTAAAGCAGCCATAGCGGCTGTCAAAGACAAAGTTCGTTAATTGCGAGAATCCGTGATCTAGATCCACTCTAGTGAAACCCCCCAAAGACTCCACTGAGCTCATCTCGCAAGCTACTAAGCACTGCAGGCCCCAAATATCGGCCAGAAGGCCGACTCGGCGCAACCCACGAATTCCCCGCATTTCTCCCTTTCTCCGAACGCAGAATTCCACACCGCGTCCAGTTCCTTTATCTACCTCTCCTTCCATCTCACCCCCGTCAAATCATACTATCGGCAGCAAATATGGCCGCTCCAGCAGTTCGAGTGGCCCGAACGGCCGCCACCCGCGCGCGCAGCCTCCTGGCTACTGTGCAATATACACACCCGCCCAACTGTCCCTGCCACTCCAACCCCAACCACCACCATCACCACAAGACCCCATCGCTGATGAACCACGTCCGCCGGCACTTGGCTACGCCGACGGATCCCGCGCGCGAGAAGGAGTATGCCTTCGAGATGGCGGCGTCGAGTATCCGGTTTGGCCCTGGTTCAACGAAAGAGGTCGGCATGGACTTTAAGAACATGGGCGCGAAGCGCGTGTGCATCGTCACCGATCCCAATGTTGCCAAGCTGGATGCGATGAAGCAGGCCGTGGAGGGGTTGAGTCGCGAGGGCATTGAGTTTACTATCTTTGACAAGGTTCGCATTGAACCGAAGGATAGCTCCGTCAAGGAGGCTATTGCGTTTGCGAAGCCGTATAACCCGGACGCCTTTCTAGCCGTTGGTCGGTTCAGCTGCACCATATAGATCTATATCGATCGCGATCATTACTAACACACATTCTCTTAGGTGGTGGATCCGTCATCGACACCGCCAAGCTCATGAACCTATACACCGTCTACCCAGAGGCTGACTTCTTGGACTTCGTCAATGCCCCGCTGGGCAAGGGTCTGCCCGTCGCCAGACCCCTGCGCCCTTTAGTCGCCGTGCCGACCACAGCAGGCACGGGCTCCGAGACAACTGGCACCGCCATCTTCGACCTCGTCTCCAAGAAGGCCAAGACAGGCATTGCCCACCGCAATCTCAAGCCAACCCTGGGCATCTGCGACCCTCTCAACACCCGCACCATGCCATCCGCCGTACACGCCTCGTCCGGCCTCGACGTGCTCTGCCACTCGCTCGAGTCCTGGACCGCAATCCCCTATAACGAGCGCACGCCCCGTCCAACAAACCCCATCAACCGCCCCGCCTACCAAGGCGCCAACCCCATCTCCGACATCTTCTCCCTCCAAGCTCTCCGCAGCACGGTCAAGTACCTACCGCGCGCAGTGCGCGATCCTGATGACCACGAAGCACAGTCAAACATGCTGCTGGCCGCCACGCTAGCCGGCGTGGGCTTCGGCAACGCAGGCGTCCACCTGTGCCACGGCATGAGCTACCCCATCTCCAGCCAAAACCCGGGGTACAAGCACGCCGGCTACGAGGTCGACCACCCAATCATCCCGCACGGCGTGTCGGTGGCCGTCACCGCGCCGGCCGTGTTCCGGTTCACCGCGGCGTCGAATCCAGACCGCCACCTTGCGGCAGCGGAGGCGTTTGGCGTGGATATCTCGAACGTGAAGCGTGAAAGCGCAGGCGAGGTGCTGGGTGATGCGATTGCGGACTTCCTTGTCAAGTTGGGGGATCAGCCGCGGGGGTTGAAGGATTTGGGCTTCAAGGCAGCGGATGTGGATGGGCTTGTTGAAGGAACGATTCCGCAAAAGCGGGTTTTGATGCTTGCGCCCAATTTGAGCGAGGAGTTGGAGGCTGAGAAGGGGGAATTGAGGAAGTTGTTGGAAGAGTCGATGGAGTACTAGGTTTTGGATTGATTGATTGGGGTTGGTGTGGACACCTTGAACGTGGGGGTGTGGTATTTGAGGATGATGGCATCCATTCATGTTGCATAGGTATATCATTGCGTTGCAATATATCGCACGGCGCCGAAGAAAGTGGATATCTCAAAATTCAATTTGCACCGATGGCCATGTTGGTACCTAACCACGGCGACGCAGACAGGAATAGACAATTGTTGAATAATCGGATCCTAGAGATCGGCTCGGATGGAGCGAATATGTGTAAGAGCAAGGGTAAGTCTTAGGTAAAGGGTCTAGGATCTGGAAATGGTTCATGTAGAGGGTCATAAGCAAAAAATCCATCAACGGGCGGACGAAGCCTCGGGCGAGCTCTCCTCCTCAACGTAGCCCCCCGCTTGGCTATCCTCATGGATGATCCTCGTACCAAGCATACCCATGGATGAGGCTACACGGTCCAGCCAGATCACTGCTCGTGGGTCATTTCGATCCGAAGTCTGCGACGGGCCGCGCCCAAGCTCAGAGTAGATCCGTAATGGTAGGGGGGATGTCTTTGAGCTGGTGGATGGGGGCGATGGGGAGCCTTCGCTGCCTTCGCTGGGTGGTGTCCCTGCGACTGACTCTGGGGAAAGATCTTCGATGACGCGACAGCGGAGCTGGTCTTCAAGACGCTCACATAGCTGGCGCAGAGTCTCTTGTATGTCCTCCGCGCCGCGGAAGAGGAGTGAAGGTCCCGTTTCGGGGAAGATCTCGGGAACAGGACCGACGAATGTGCCTGGGCGGCGGATGATGCCCTGTTGGCGTTGGCCATGGGCAGCGATACAGAAGCGCAGTTCTGTACTGAGGGTCTGTAGTTTTGAAGAGGTTTCGTGGATGCGGTGCATGAGGCCCTCGCTGATATCCCGCTTTGCATCTACCTGGCCTGACAGGATATCTCGCGCCTCGCTAATATACCGCGGGCATTTGGCGATTTCCATGAAAACCTTGTCAGAGATGAATGCATAGGCGGACCATTCCCCGGGCTTTTGGGCATCCTCTGCCATGATCCGCAGTGCATACTGCTGCCACTCTTCTTGATCCAGGAAGCAGGGCTTGCCTTGGTACACGGCAGTGGCAAGATGGAACCCTCGAAACGCGATCCAGCACGACCGGCCAAAGCCCGACTCGTGCAGCGCAGGGCCTCGGCTCTCCATAAGTCGTCTGACCGCGTCCGAGTGCACAACCCATGCATCCGGGCTCGTCTGGGCGTACATCTCGTAGACACTCAGCATCATCGTGGTGCAGACCATATTATCCGATAAGGCCTGGTCATTTTTCGACAGAGCGCGAACTACCTCACCCAGTGAAATTCCATACATGCGCCGACTCGTGCGCAGCAGCGCCGGATCCTGCGTCAAATGCGCCAGGTACACCGAGCTCAGGCAGCAAATGGCGGCATCAAGGAACGCATTCTGTCCAAAATTCAACACAATATACTCCGTAAAGCCCGGATCACTGCCCGCCCGAAAGGCATTATGGAAGTACAGCGTCGGAAACGACGCGCTGATAAAATCCAAGAACAGCTGCGGCTGCGCCGCTGGAAGGTCTTGCGCACCAGCGACGGTGACACGCTCTCGTCCAAGGTGACCGTCGACGAGTGCCGGCGCATCAGAGCGATGGCATTGTCGCGCACGACGACCGCCGCGCCGGTGGCCTCCTCGACCGTTTTCCTCCGCGCGGGCGTGGCCGTGCTGGCCGTGCTGGCCGTGCTGGGGGTGCTTGGGGTGCTGGGCCCCGTCGAGGCACCCCGGCCTCTGCCGCGGGGGGCGGAGCGATGGCGGCGCTTGAGACTCGGGCCTTCGTCCTGGAAGCGAAAGGTGCGGCGGTACCCTGGACAGGTACGGCCGTAGCGCTGGCACTGGGAGCATTCGGGGACTGCTTCGTCGCACTGGCATTGGCCCCGCCCGTCAGCAGTGGTCGCCTCTGGGAACCAGGGAATCGGGGGTACATGCGAACATGCTGGCCACCAGACCGTCTCGACTCACCTTGATGTGTCTCTCGCGACAAAGGGTACAGCCAGTACTGTGCGGGACCCCCACCATGATGCGCGTCAGGACTCAGTCAATCGCTCATGGCGCTCACGCAGGAGGGGGTGGGACATTTATCGCATCGCCAGCACCACGACACCCTTCGCGTCTTTAAATAGAGCGCCTGCGGGAGTGCCGAGCTAGCTGGTAGCTGGCCCTGGTGCAAATCTCGTCCCTTCGGGGCGGACAGGATAAAAAATAGCACCGATCTGAACAGCTTGCAAGATCGCGAGCTGAAGAGCGCGGACTCGAGGGTCGCGACAAAAATAACCACAAAGTGAGAGGCGGGGACGTTGGGGAAGATCAGTCTAAGTCTAGTAAGCGTAGATTCGGATTGCAAGAGGCTAAATCACAACGTGCCACTGCTGAGGAAGGCCGGGGTGCCAGCCGACAGGGCCCTGTGGAGATGAGGCCCTAGTCCAGACAACGCGCGGATTGGTCCCACCGTCAGCCGTCGGGGCAGTCGCTCGCCGATTAGTGCTGTACCTAGCAGTAGTGGATGCCCCGATGTATCGCTCGGGGGGTCGGTCGTGTTTCAGCAGGACAGGACCAGCCAGTCGAAACCTCACCTAGGGTCATGTCGAGGCTCGAGAAACTTCGAGATTTGGCCCCAATAGATGCAGCCGGACTTGGCCAAGAATACGGGAGATTAGCGCGATCGTCTCCTTCTGGGGCACGTTCTATTTTGGGCGCGGAATCCGCTGCGGGACACGAGATGAACATGATCAAGGCCTATCGGACTACCGAACTATCGCCGGGTATATGATGAGAAGAGGATTGGATGACGAATGGCATGAAGTATTTCGGTGAAGCCAAGCCCGCAGTTGGCAATGCTAAAATAAGCACGAAGGAACGAAACTACTAAATCCCGACGACTAACTGGGAACGGAAGTTCTCCCTCTGACTCTAACTAGGATTTTAGCTATAAGATAACACCCTGTTGGCCGCCTTGAACCCTTAGGGCCTGATACGGTTCGCTTGGATGGGTTGGCGCAGATTCTTGTGGGAAGTATAGCCTGCCCACCCCAGGTGTTTAGTCGGCTGCAGTGGGTATCGAGATGATTCTTCAGACATCCAACTCTGCGTCCCACATATCGTCAGGCTCTAACTAAGTCATCAACCCCAAAGAAACCACCTCCCCCTTGCTGGTAGCGAAGCTGAGGCCGAAAACCGCAGGCGAGTCTCCAATCAACTGCGCCGCTGCTTACCCCGCGTTTTATGTCGCCACAGGGTGACGAACTGGTTGGCTCCGGGCTCGAAGTAGCTCCATTGGGAACACAATGGGTACTTCTGCAGTTGCATGTCCGGTTGTGATTGGGTCTGCCGCTGTTCGGTGCTCGGCCAGAACAACTGCGAGATCGCTGCGATCAATGGGATCGCGGGGCGCGCCTGCCGCAGAGGAGGAAACAATGCCTCCCTTCTCTCTTCTAATCTGCTCAAGGCGCTGACTTTTTTGTGTCTGCCTTTACATACCCTGTCTCCAGTTGCAATTAATACGCCCCAAGGAGATTCAAATTGGAATCGCTGAATCATTGGACTCTCTCTCGCACACACTACTTCCCACTATGCCTCTCCTCAAAGAAGCTCCTCCGAAGGTGCTTGTGCCCGAGAAGCTCTCCCCCGATGGCCTGGCTCTACTGCGGAGCTCGCTTGATGTGGATGAGCGCAAGGGTCTCAGTCCAGAGGAGCTGCTGAAGATCATTCCCAACTACGATGCACTTCTCATTCGCTCCGAGACCAAAGTCACCGCCGCTGTCTTGCAGGCAGCTCGCCGCTTGAAGGTGGTTGCTCGTGCCGGGGTGGGGGTGGACAATGTCGGTACGTGCTCTTCCAGGGCATTCGGTGCATAGCAAGAACTGCCGCTTATCTCGGCTACTATAGACGTCGATACCGCTACAAAGCTGGGCATCGTCGTGGTCAACTCACCCTCGGGCAACATCGGTGCCGCAGCAGAACATACCATCGCATTGATGATGGCTATGGCACGAAAGATCCCCGAAGGCTGTGCCAGCCTCAAGGACGGGAAATGGGAACGTAGCAAGTTTGTCGGCGTGGAGGTCAAGGGCAAGGTTCTGGGAATCATTGGGCTAGGAAAGGGTATGTCGCCTCAACACGAACTAGGATGTTGCGTTCTGACAGATGTTCCCAGTGGGGCTAACAGTGGCTCGCCTGGCCAAAGGCCTCGGTATGGCAGTCAATGCATTGGACCCCTACGCATCGCCGGCGGTGGCATCGTCGGCGTCCGTGACCCTCGTCGCGTCCCTGCCAGAGCTGCTGGCCTCTGCCGACTTCCTCACCATCCACACTCCCTTGATTGCATCGACACGTGGAATGATTGGGGATGCTGAATTGGCCCAGATGAAGGCCGGATCTCGTATACTGAACGTTGCTCGGGGTGGCACAATCGACGAAGCCGCTTTGCTAGCGTCACTGGAGTCTGGCCATCTGGCAGGCGCTGCTGTCGATGTGTTTACTTCCGAACCACCAGCTGCTGACTCCACCGCTGCAAAGTTGATCGCCCACCCAAGAGCAGTGGTGACACCACATCTCGGTGCATCTACCGTGGAAGCCCAGGAGAATGTTTCTGTGGATGTATGTGAGCAGGTACTGGATATCCTGAAGGGATCACTGCCCCGAAGTGCAGTCAATGCACCTCTCATTCTTCCAGAAGAGTATCACAAACTGCAACCCTTTGTGCGCCTGGTCGAGAAAATTGGCAGTCTGTATACCCAACATTATGCGGCCCTCCCTGGGGGATCCATGACTCGAAACACTTTCGATCTCATCTACCAAGGCGAAGTTGCCAGCATCAACAACACAAAGCCCCTGTTTGCTGCCCTCATCAAGGGCCTTTTGGCGCCTATCAGCGGCTCCGAGGGGATCAACATCAATATCGTCAACGCTGAGCTCGTTGCTCGCGAGCGTGGAATTTTCGTCAACGAGCAGCACTCCCGCGATCCAGCGGACACTTCATCTTATTCGTCGCTGGTCACTCTGGTCGCACGCCCGCCATCGCGAGCCTCCTCGCGTGCTCGTGGCCCCGCTGATTCATCCGGCCCTGTCCCTCCAGGACAGCCACCGCGAATCATCTCCGGTACTTGCTCCGGTGACCAGCCACTGATTACCCGCTTGGGCCGATTCGAAGCTTCCTTCGAGCCCGAAGGCACGCTTCTCATCTGCGAGAACTACGACTCCCCCGGCAAGATCGGCGTCGTGGGCAGCATCCTTGGCCAAGAAGGGGTGAATATCAACTTCATGACCGTTGCCCCGGTCTCGCCCAAGCTGGCGACCGGCGGTGAGCTGGCCGATGTCATTCCTAGCAAAGACGGCAGCGCGGACGTCGGAGTCAAAGAGGTTGCACCTGGCTTGAAGGAGGCACTTATGATCCTCGGGGTTGATCGAGCAGTGCCACCGCAGGTTACTGAGGGCTTGGTGAAGGAGGGTGGTGTTCTAAGTGCATGTGCTGTTACGCTGTGAGATCTTGGGATTGGTGTTGGGGTGTGGTGTTTCAGAGGGTAGGAGAGGTGCTCAACGCCGCATTCTGCTTTTAGTTTTGTGTCTCTGCCTTTCAACTACGGTAGTCCCACGCATTGGAGCTTTATTAGGGTTATGATAGCAATACAGATTATGATTATGATATGCCACAGGGTCTTGTTGATCATAGCACTGCTTACGATAATGACAGTACGTTTAAATATCTTCCCGTCATTCATGAACAAGAGAAACATTTCGATTCACCATCATCTATGCAATGAACCAAGAGAAAACCAAGGACCAGCCCTAATGCAACCAAAAACACCACAACCCATGCTCCACGGTAAGAAACAAAAAGCAGGAGAGAAAAAAAGAGCCTGCAGGGTAACGATGCTCTCAAGAACGCCAGGGTATCGCAACGCAAAACAAGAATATCACATCAAAACATCGAACTCCGTTTTTTATCCAGCTTCGTCCGCTGCCCACTCTCCTCCTTGCTCCGGCGGAACCCAAAGAAACCGCTCTTCTTCGGCTGTATCTGCTGGGGGGCTGGCCTCGGACCCGGTGCCAGCGCTCCACTGCCTGCCGGCGCAGGATAGAATCCCACGGTTGACTGGGGCCGCACCTGCTGCAGCTGCGGCCGCGGCCGCGGCTGCGCGAGATGCATCGTCGACTGTGCGCGAGGGTCTAGACGGCCGGCGGAGCCGTGCATGTACGGGCTGTTGGCGAAGGTGGGGACTGGTGTGCCGGACGGGTGCTGCGGGCGTGAGTGCCGGGGTGGTTGACCGAGTGGGAGGTGTGAGTGGGACTGTGAGTAGGACTGCGAGTGTTGGTGCGAGGACGGGCGGGAAGGCCCTGTGTGTCGGGGTGGGAGGTTGGGGCGGGAGGCTGGGGAAGGGGTGGGCTTCGCAGATGCACCGACGCGAACCTGTTGCTCTTCGCGGCCGTAGAGCTGTTGGAGGCGTTGTGTTTCGGCGTTGACTGCGGATTCCCGCTGGCGGCGGGTTTTGTCACGGGCGCGCTGCTCGGCTGCGAGGAGCTCTTGCGTGCGCCGGGCTTCCTGCTTGGCCCGCTCATCCTGGCGCTGGCGCGCTTGGGGTGCTGGGGATGGGGTCTGCGGGATTGTGAGGCGTGGTGGGGATGGTTTGCCGGTTTGCACGGCGGTTGCGGATTGGGGTTGGGTTCCTGGGCTGTTACGGACTGGCGGGGCGGTCTGCTGTGGTCTGGGGGTGCCGATGGGGGGTGCGCCGCCGACGATGTGGAAGGCTTCCTTCGCGGGGCCGAGGAAGATATCGCGGATGGCCACTGCTGCGAGCAAGAGCACCACCTCCAGGCCCTTGAAGTCCTCCATCTCCACGCGGTATAGATTGGGCTCGTACAGTGTCAGCTCGCGCAGGCTCTGGAACAGCGCCACAGTGATATCCGGCTCGCGAGTCTTGGTTCGAGTATCCGGGATTGTCGAGGATTTACCGTGCAACAAGCACGATAGGTCCTTGGATAGCTTTCCATCCTTGCGCCAACTAAACCGCAGTTTCGGCGTCACATCCGCAGCAGCGGGGTCGCTCTGTGTCCGATCTAGGGTTGACGAAGATGGCACCCTAAATGTGCGCTGCGGCATCTCGAATTCCCACCGTGCTGGCTTGTTCCATGACTTCGGTTGGTGTGTGATCACGATCTGCTGGTCCGGGTTGTAGAGCTGGATGGAGAATGTGGTTGGGAGAATGGGCTCCGGCAGAGGTGTGGCGCCGCCATTTGCCCGAATCGTGTCGGCTGACAGGCTCGGCTGGGTCCATTCAGGGATCACGGCGACCTCACCGTACACGATGTCTGGCACGTAGGGGTCGTAGAGGGCGACCCCGTAGCGATTTCGGGACGTGGGCAGGTTCGGGTCCAGGAAGCGCAGATTGTAGGCGGGTTCCGGGTCGTTGCCATATTGTCGATGGTATATCGTACTCTGTTGACTGCCCTGCAGGGTGTTCTTGAGGAAGAACGCTGGTCACGGGTCAGCGGTCGGTGCAGCAGACAGACTCAAGCGGGGTGCAATGACGTCGTCGGGAACAGACAGGGGCCGCGATACAGACCCAGGGAACGCGGCGAACTTACTCGGCAGGTTTTCATCAATCATGTTCGGCCCGTCCACTGAATTCTGGATGGAAAGACGGGGGTTTGCTGGAGTTATAGTGAAGGGGACCGGGACGGGGAGGTGCAGAGCTGCCAGTCTGCCCTGCGCCACGGGATGCGATCGGCGGCTAAAAATAGGGTGTCCTTCCGCTCGACGGCTATTTGCGCCCTTGGAAAAGGAAAAGCTTACGGGAGGCACCAAGATTCCGGCTCCACCTTCCCGGCTATGCAAGGCCTTCTCTACGGAGTATATCTGATGTTGTCTGTCCCCAGTGGTGACGCGGACTGGGCTAGTTTGCAGGTACCCGGAATTCCGCTGCCTACAATGCGCTCTCGATTGCAATCTAGCTCCACATTGGCACGCTAACCTACCAAGCTCTGTTCGAAGCGGCTAGTTTACTCGCTAGACTTGTGGTTGCCACGCAAGGAAGCCCTGGGGTCAACCGATCCGCGAGCAATATTCGACAATTCGAGTCAGCATCCAGCGTAGACAGAGGGTATACTGGTAGCTTACCCGTGTTTGGGGGGTCCCCAGCCACCATCCTCCATACGATTCCCCCGCGCCTCCACCATGTAGACGGCGTGAGAATGATCAATCGACAAAGATGGGTTCTTCTAGTTTCATCAGCCACCACAGGGGCAAGCATAGTGACTTACCTGCATGCTGTTTCCGTTCGGTGGGGCCCTACTAGCGCAATTAGCTTGGAAGGTTGGGGGACTAGACTGACCTTGCCGAATGGATTAAAGTGCGCTAGCTTCCCGATATCGCTCTTGGGTTAGGTGTCTATCTAGATTTCCCGGAGAGCCGAGAATATGTCAGCCTACGACCGTGGGGAGAAGATTCTTACCTGGAGGGCCATCCAATCGGGAGCGGTTTCAACCAGCGTTTCATGGGACAAAGTCTTGGGACACCTAATGCTTGTTAGTGGATCCCCATCTATGGGCTTGACAGGAGAAGAGTGATCAGAATAGAGCTTAGCTGCGTTTTGTTTTGATGAAGACCAAAGAAGTCGACAATCCACCCGAAGTCTAGGATATCCGTGTCTGTGTTAGAAGCAGCTATCAGTAACAGTGCCCGATGAAGGAGGAACCCACCCGATACCTAGACGTGGATTCGGGACAAGTGACGAAGTGGCGGCGAGACCAGCATATTCACGTTGGTTCTTCTACATGGTAGGAGAGATGCTCAAAGACATATGGTTGGGTATCCGCTCGCAAGCGAGCCGCTCCCCCACAGAGAGGGTTTGTCCGTCGATCTATTTGCTGGTTGCTGATTGATTTTTGGAATCTACTTCAAGGGAACTGACCGGCATTATATAGCCACCCGGGGCAGAATGATTCACAGCGAGACGCTTTCGGCAAAGAATATCGTCGTTCAAATCCTCGTCGAGTCTGTATCGGATTATCTCGAGATCAGCAAGGAAACGCATTGTGAACCCCATTCTCTGAAAGACGCCGCGGGATATTCGAAACGAGAGACAAGCCGGACCGGAAGAACAGTCTTGTAGACCGTTGTTCGATTGTTGGTCCTGAGACGGCTGTTTAAAAGCGATAATAATAGACCAGGGACACTCAGAGCCGTACAAAGAGAGACAAGAAATTCAATCATTCGTAGTTGTTAACTTTTGTTCTATTTGAATCCCACCAATCAATCGAGGATCTATTTCTATCTCGATCCATCTCTGTCCATGTACGTGACAATGCAATCCCGCAAAAGAAACAATGCCAATGTTCAATGTGATCCAATGCACCACAGCCCGTGTAGATGATATGGTCCGCAGGCCCTATATCCGGACACCGTTGACCTCTTTTCCTTCGGGCACCTTGGCGGCATCCCGCTCCTCCGTGCTCATTTGCAGACCCTGATCATCCCAGCCCTGGGTGCCGAGCTTGTACAATGTCTTCTGCTGCTCGCGGTCAGGGCCAGGACCAACCTTGCCACGCCGTTTCCGAGACTCGAGTGTCTCGACAAGACTGGCGTTGTCGCCATCCACCGCAGCGCCCTCCAGATCGTCGCTGTGCGCCTCATCAGAGAACGTGTAGGTCCGGTACTCGGTGTTGGTCCAGCCGGTGCCTGCAGATAACGGTGGTCAGTCATGATCCCTTAAGCACGCGACCACAGTCGCCGTGTTACGTACCCTGGTACTGGCTGCTGTCCTCCCAGTCCTCGGTGAAGTAGTGCAGGAACCCGCCGTGGGTGACGAGAACAATTTCCTTTTCGGGCCGAGCTTTCAACCAGCGCCGCGCAGCACGCGCGCGCTCCTTGAGAGCATGGTTGGTCGGCGCATAGCGGCCGTTCTAATTCGTACGTACCCGGTTAGCGATGTGGCGTTTTAGAGTCTCGCCGCCGAGATAGCGACACACCTTGGTATTCCACCCATCATGCACCAGTTGCAGGTCAACGGGCTTCCCCGCAAACTCCTCCTGCAGAGCCTGTGGCTCACTTCCGGTATCGCAGGGCACATCGGACGTCTCCTGGGTGTCCGGCAGGGCAATCAGCTTCATGTCTGGGTGGGACTCGAAGACAGGCCCGAAGCTCTCAAGGGCCGTGTAGATGGTGCGGCGAAGAGGCGATGCAGTCACCAGGTCGACCTGGGCGTGGAGAGGGAAAGTCTCGCGCAGCTTGGCGCATTGCTCGTGGCCGAGGTCGGTGAGGAGGGGATCGGGGACGACGTGGTTGGCGGTGCAAAGGTTGTGGACGCCCTGGCAGGATCCATGGTTAATTCAATTGCTCGTAGAAAAAGATATCGCGAGTACATTCGTCCACCGGCAGCATACACCTGCGATAGACGAGAAAGATGAAGAAGTTTTGGGAAGTTTTGGTGCCGGAACCTTGCATATTGATCATGGAGAGGTATGGACTCCTGACGTACCTGGGCGTGGCGAACGGCGTGGATGATGGGCGCCATGGCTGATTGTGAATTGGAAGCAAATTGAAATGACGGCTGATAGAGAATGCTGTCAGCCCTGTCGCACGAAGCTTCAATCGCAAGGACCCTGCAGTGACTCTTATCGGGAAACGTGGGGCAGCGGGAAGTTGGGCGAGTACGGGGCGCGCACAAGAATCAGCGCAGAGAGGGCAGAATGCCTACCGAGAGTAGAATGACAAGTCCAGCTGTTCAGGACGCACCTAGCGAAGGTAATTGAACAGGCGGATTCAGGAAGAAGAATAGGCAGGGGCAGCGCAGCAGTTGCGAAGAGTCAGAGTCGGAGGGTACCACTCCGCCTCTGCATATTTGGGTGGTCGCCACTTTCCCTCACGGCGAACCACACGGCCAAGCTGGGGCCGCTGGAAATCTACCCCCGTCTGATTCGCTTGGTTGGTATTTGACCCCCACGTGGTTTTTGCAAGGTTTTTTATCTCAGCTAGGATTAGCAAAGTTCGCCGAGGATTGTGAAGTGATATGGACTACGATGTTCCCTATATTTGGGTGGCCTGCACCTATTGCACTCGTTGATGGTCATCATGCTTTTGTTCATTCCTGTGAGGGGGGAAAATATATGTAGACCGAAGAAATGGGTATGCATAGATCAATACCGTTCTCCAAACAAATCACTCTTACGCAACACCAAATCCTCGTGCGTTTTCAAGTGCCTTGTCCAGCTTCTCGGCCAGTGCATCCTTGGACGAGTACTCGGGCAGCAGGAGACGGCCGAAGCACGTCAGACTGGTCGGAAGGCGCTAAGAACAAGATTAGTACAATTGTCAAGACATTTTCAGCAGAAGGTTGATTGCTTACCAGGTCTCCAACGCCATTTTTCTGGATCACGAACATAATACTCGGGATACCGTTGACGGGAATCCGGTCACTGGCTGTGACGAATTCCAGGAGCTGCGCCTTTTTCTCCGACGGATACTGCTGCACCACGCCCCAGAAGTCGCGGATGAGACGATGATCGGGCCCGAATCCACCCTCGTATCGAGCGTGGTTCTCGAGTTCCTTGACGTCAATCTCTTGAAGTCCTTCAACGACAGTCTTAAGTGCCTCTGGAGTGAAGACTGACAGGGCTGATCGATCGAGACATGTGTGAAAGCCCCGAAGGAACGCCTCAAACTGTAGTCGAATCGACTTGTCAGTAAGCCAAAAGATATAATCTTTGACAAACTGGGTGCGATTCTGATTCGTCACAAGGGGTGCCTCATCAGCAGGAGGTGTGGGTGATTGAAGAGGCAGAGACTGCATGAACTTTGCGGCCTCGCCCGAGGCAGAAGGGCTGAGTGGATCGGCCGCTTCACCCGCCATGGGTGATGGAGGGCTAACCGTTGCTAGATCACGGTAATGAGAACCGTCAGGCCACGCTGCAACTGCTTCCAAAGGACATCCACTCGGCGCTCGGGTGGTAGGCCACGCTTCGTCGCGACCGACCTTTTGCATGTCAACTGTCTCCACGCTGCCTACAGATTCGAAGCTGAATTCGTAGGTACGCATAAAAATGTCGCTCACATCGCCATCCTTCCAAGTGAGAAGTGAGTCAAGACCCTGAGTGAGTTCCGGCCATCCATCGCGGATATGGTCAAGATGCTTCACCTTGAGTCCCAGCAGCTTGCGGTAGAACGCAACCGGGAAGTTGATCGGGAGTGTGAGACCATTGTACACGGCGATAGACATCAAAAGCCCGAGAAGCTCAAACTTGTAGAGCGGTTCCCAAGAGCAAGGCCGGAACCAGGAGATACGATGCCGGCTATCCATGGTGAACATGCCGTAGGATGGGTCGAGAGCTTCGGCCATGAGCACCCGGAAGAATTCTTGCTGAACACCGCCGTGATCCAACCCTTCCTCTCCTTCATCCATACCCATCTGAACCTTGAGTGGCCGCATAAGCTCCCGCCTTTCTCGCCGCCAGAGCTGATTCAGAGCATCCGTCAGAACACTGTCTCGCCGGACGACAAGAACAAGAAACGTCGACATTGAAATTTTCATGCGCGCTAAGAGTGCCGCGTCATCCAGGACCGAAATGCTGCCAAAGGCAGTTTGAGTGACATGTCGCGTGGTGGTCATAGCTGCCTCGTAGTATTTAGACATTGCCGAGTAGTTGAGGGCTCTGAAATATATGACCAGGAAAGACGGGGGGAAGAGGAAAGAGTATGATAGGAGGTGAATCGTGCGGTTGTTTGATACATTTCCCACCCAGGAAACTGGCATCTCGAGAGGATCCAGTCGCTCTGCGAGGATGGGAGTCTGGAAGTCCTCAGGGAAAAGGCCCAGCCGATTTCGTTCCTTGTACATCAAAGCCAAGATCTGTATTGCGCCTCCGGCGGCACTGCTGCGAGCCATCTCTGGATTGCCATCCCATTCTCGGAGGAAGAGCGTTCTGAGCCATTCCACGATGAGAGGGATGGGGCCAGTAGAATAAGTGGATGTACTGTCGATCTCCGAGTCTTTGAGAGGTTGGTGTTCGCTAAGATGGTCCACAATACGATCAAGCACATTCAGCCGTCGTTGCTTGGGTAGGTCAAGGCTATAGACTTGACGAGCTTTGGATATCTCGTGATAAGCGAGCCTGGCGGTAAGAGCACGGACAAGACGATTGATTAGGCGAAGGCCTAGTTCATGTTCTAGACGATCGGTCGCTTCCACGGCTTGCTGAGCATACTCGGGCGATAGTTTTTCCATATCGGCAGAAGAGGCAACTGTACCAGCAGCACGCATACGAAGAATACCACGCCAGGTGCCAACATCAAGATCTGGGACCGAGCTAATCAAAACAAAGAAGGTGATGGTGGCAATATAAGCGGCATCTGCGTCAGACAAGGGGTCTTCGCTGGGAGATTCGGAAAGTCGCCGTACGACCGGAGCAACGCTGGCAATTGTGGAATTGCGGGATGAACGGCGAGAAGGTCGGCTAGACGCAGTAAACTCGTCCGGAGGCACGAAGAGCTTATCCAGGGCACTCCATAGACTGTGCAACGCAATGTCCCAGGGGCAGATGGTAAAAAGGCGCTGCAGGGATTCTCGAAGTTTTGGAATATCCAGTCGTTTGTTAATATTGTTGGTTGCTGTGCCCAGCTCCAGTGTATCTTTTCCAAAAGAACGTAAAATCTGCCTGGTACTGCTGAAGACGAAATAGACGCTTTGGGCAACGAAAGGAAAGACCTGACGCTGGCGAGGGGTTGCAAACCTCCAGTCCGGGTTGTCAAAGCTACCCATAGATTGGATGCGGTCGAGTTCTTCTCGCCAGTTCTCTGCATCTTCCTCGGACGCAATCATGATCTGGCTAAGGCCATTAATAATATCTGGAGTGAAATGCGTCACAGACTGGGCCAGTGGCGTCACATCTGCCGTACGACGCATGGAACTCGATTTTGGTTTGCGATTTGTTGGGGTATCGACATCAATATCCGGTTGAGGAGGCGGCAATTGAGGATTTCCTGGGCTTGCGGAGATAGCAGCCTGACCCAAAAGCTTTTCGCTGTCCCAAGAAACACGTCGCTGATTCTTAGACCGCTCTTTGGGACGTGTGCTGTCTATATCCCCTGACCTTCCGCGATGCTTTTGCGCGCGATGTTTCAACGCGGGCGGGGAAGGCATGCTGGCAAACTCATTTGGAGCAAGATGCGAGTTGATTGACAACTTGCGGTTCTTATATTCGGGACATTTCTTTTCCTCCAAGCTAGACCGCGGTGACTGCCGCCAGTGATCCACTTCAGTGATAGAAAGTCGCTTCACGTGCTGGTTTTGAAATTTTAGCTCCACTGCAGAGGCTTGGGTTCCAGAAGTTCGTGATGAAGGGGTGCGTGGCGGAGGGTTTTGGGCATGCGAAGGAGTGGATTGGCTGCCATTTAGTTTCGTTTTATCTTTTTCTATGTCTTGTCGTTTCCCGGGGTTCGTTGCCTCAATGCTTTCTGGATGTGTTTCTGGCTGTTTCCTCGACGGCAAAGGTTCGGTTGTCCGTCGTAGTGGCAGCCATTCAACCATGCGTAGAGATAATGTATCGAAAAGGTTTTGAGTAAAGGATTTCGGATCTTTGAGTGGTTGTTCCGCAGTATAGTTAAGGTCCTGAAAGTTGTAGGTACTCGGGTGTACATCCTGGGCAGCCGGGCGTCCAGCATCACCCGGAGCAGCCAATTCACCTGTTTGGACAGCACTCGCTCCTGTGTGGAAATCGGGACCATCGGTTTGAGCATGCTGGGGTTGGGAAACGTTGCCTTTTTCCGCCGCAGTCGCAGCCGCAGCCTGCACCTGAAAGGCACGAGATCGTTGGAGGGAGATACGATGATAATCATGGATTGTCAACTCAGACGAGTACCTCGGGTTGTTGCAACAAAGTCCACTCTCAGCATCCTCCTGACTGGCGAGGTAGCAGGCGAGGGTTCGCGCGCTGAGTTCTGTGTACCGACGATACGGGCCTTCGCTTACTCTTCGGCGTCGACTGGCGCAGGTTGGAGTCCGACATCCCGGGTCATCACACCCATGGAGTAACTGGTTTTTGTACCTATTGTTGAGTATTGAATTAGCATCATGACACCGGGGGGAGGAAGGTCCATCAGCCACGTCAATACTCGGCGCTACCGAGCACATACCTTCGCACTAGCACATTAAATCGCCGCCGACGTTCATCCCGATACCACGGTAAGACCCTTGATGAATCTGAAAGCTCAATAGTGTTCTGGACAACGACTTCGGGCGCATTTGGTGGTATCTTGGACCGAGAGTATTGAGGGCGTTCGCCGCCGCCGCCCGGCTGCGCGATGTCCGGATTGTCGAGAGAAGCTCCGCGGAGCCTGGTCATCGTGTAAAAGGTCGTCGCATAGCCAGGCTAAAGGAGATCACAAATAGCTCGACGGATCTTCAGGACCTGATAATGACTACCGGTCAAAGATGCATGCTGCGAGAGTAGAGGCTCAGCTCACCTGATATCATCGGTCCTTCCACCTGAGGCATCACAAAGCGGATCCACCTTTGTCCGGGTATCACGTGCAGGATAAGGCGGTATGGTTTCGCATATTTACCCAATGAGGCTTAGCGCAGTCCTATGAGGAAAAGCGCCATCTTTCCATTCTGTGCGGTTCGTTTGATAAGCGTTGCTTGCAAATCAAATCCCAAGTTCTATCAAATACATTTTATTTTCCCTTTACTTGACGACTACCTGATAGCGTCGGCGATTTATCTACTGTTGTCCCCGGCTTCACAGCATTTTTTCCGGGTCCGCCTCTTGAACCAAGCGAAAAATCGACTTGCGAAACGGAACTTTCATCATACCCCGCCAGCGATAAAAACTTCGCTCCACACTTACTTTTTCACATCAAGTGTCGACCCGATCTTTCGACTCTCCACGATATTTGGCGACAAACATCAACATGTCGACCACCACCCAGCAGGCTAGCAGCTCTGCTGCCAACCTTCCCTACACTTGCAACACCTGTCTCGTTGCCTTCCACCGCAGCGATGCGCAGAGAGATCATATGCGAAAGGACTGGCAGTAAGTGGGGATTTCATAAATCAAATACTACTGCGACACTGACTGAAACTAATATTTACAGCTTGTACAACATGAAGCGCCGTATCGCCTCTCTTCCGCCAGTGTCCCTCGAAGTATTTAGCGAGAAGGTCCTTGTCGCCAAAGCAAACTCAAGCGAGGCAGCCGCCAAAGCCTCTTTTGAGAAGACCTGCCACCCCTGCCAGAAGACTTTCTTCAGCGAAAACTCATACCAGAACCACATCAAGAGCTCCAAGCACAAGCAGCGCGAAGCTCGCCTGAAGAAGGAGGGTGACGATGCGTCGGTTCTAAGCTCCGCGTTCTCTATGGGAGAGCCGGTCAGCAAATCCAACGAGAACGATGTTGCCAAGGTGACAGATAGTATGAAGGCTGCCACTATTCAGGAAGAGGATGAGGATGAGGAGATGCAAAACGACAAGACCGAGTACTCGGTATCCCGGTGCCTCTTCTGCTTGGCCGACTCCGCCGATGCGCAGGCCAATGTCGAGCATATGTACAAAGCTCATGGCATGTTTGTCCCCGAACAGAATTACTTGATTGACCTCGACGGCCTCATCCACTATCTGTACCGCAAGATCACTGAGAACCACGAATGCCTCTACTGCCACGCAATCCGAAACAACGCAGAGGGAGCTCGCACCCACATGCGCGACAAGGGTCACTGCATGATCGCTTTTGAAGCTGAGGAGGAGCAAATTGAAATTGGCCAGTATTACGACTTCCGCAGCACCTACTCTGATGGAGAGGATGATGACGAGGATGAGGATATGGCCGATGCCGGTGGCGTCAAGGTGAAGGGCTCGGACGGAGACGACGATGGATGGGAGACTGATGCATCATCTGTTGACGATGATGAAGTCGATTCGCACCGGAAAGCACCTCTCATCTACCAAGACGAGTATGAACTCCATCTCCCGTCCGGCAAGAGTGTTGGTCACCGTTCGCTCGCCAAATACTATCGCCAGAACCTGCACAGCTACCCTACCGCCGACGAACGAGCTGTTCGCCAACTGGCTATTGAGAACGGAGAGATTCAAGAGGAGGACAAGCCCCGTGGTCGCAATCAAAACCGCGCCCTCATCTCTCGTGCCAATGGCGGTACAGGCATGATCGGTGCCACGGATCACCAGAAACAGACTGTTTTGACTTCGGAGCGCCGCGAACGGACTCGCGCACTTCGTTCCGAAAACCGGTACCACGCCCGCCTCGAGAGACAAAACAACCACCAGAAGCACTTCCGCGATCCCCTTCTCCAGTGATCGTTGCAACTGCTATGCCCTTCTCAACGGCCAGCACGACCGCTCTTGAAGCCAATTTTGGTCCGCTTGACAAACACCTTGCCTCACTGGACTTCAAGCATCCAGCGACCAGCTCCCGCAGTGACCGGCCACCCCCCCAGCGCCGGTTATATCATCTGATCTCTTGTGATGCCGAACATGATATCGCCGATGAGGTCCTCTTTTCCCGCGCAGGTTAGCTTCGCCTTCTTCTTCATCGGAGGTTTTCAACCCGCACGTTTTTATCGTGGCCTCCTAATCCCCGTCTCCGAACTCTGTATCTTACGACGGGATATACGTGCAATATCTGTTGATGATTTGAATTTTTCATGTTGTGGAAGCATGTCTAGACGTCTGCATACTCGTGGCGCATTGATGAATTTTTCGGTTTGGTGATTGTTTTACAGGAAAAGCATGTGTTTAGTCTTGATATTCCAATTTGATTCTTACTCCGTCATCATTCTTTACCTTGTGTACACTTGCAACTCCCATTTAGAAAGGGGTGGACAGTCTATAGGAAGCTGGGGAGATAATTCTTTCTGCTCTGCGAGGACCGACACCGAATTCGGTTAGCGAAATTCTGTCGCCTTAAGAATAACTTAAACCTAGTGAATGTTCATGTATGGCAATATTATTGCTCACGTGTCCTACAAACCTAGACAGTGCTACAGACAAGTTAATATCTGACAGTCTCCTAACATCCAGCACTACGCCGGATTTTAGAATAGATATTGGTCATCCGTCAACCATGTCGATTTTGAGTGTCCCCTATAGCCTGAAATTAGCTCTCTGGAATTCAAGTCAATAGCTGAAGAGTATTTATATAAGCTATCAAAGAAAATACTCTTAATTTGAGTCGGTGCGCCTGAAAAATGACATGGAAATCGGCCGGTAGTACAAGAACGTGCATATTTCGGGAGGCAATTCTGGCATCTGGGTGGTCTCTTGACAGCAAACCACCCTCGCCAGCTAGCAGCTTCCGACCCGCCGCCGTGGGGGGGGTATAGCCTATTCTGCACTCGCCATGATAAATTGTAACACGACCTACTCTAATTTTCTACAATCTCGAAGAGTTAAGGAATGTGCCTGAAAATAATGCAACGTATCGAGTGAGCGTGAGCATCGCTTCGCTTGGACGGTGCATTCTGGAAATGAAGACAGTGAAAACCCGAGAACTGCATCTAAGATAGATCTTGGCAAGAATGTTGAACAAATTGAGACCTGAGCCCACAGAAACCAATTTAAAAGCCATGTGCAGGGTATGAAAGACACACTGTGGCAAACATAGAAACAATAAATGTTAAGGAAGCAGATATACAAATAATGTGCCGGCTTGAATACCAGCGGCAAATGAAAAGTAAAAAATTATAAGAAAGTTTCAAAACGAAAACGAAGGAATCGACGTGCAGGCGACCCAGCGCAACATTAGAGCCCGAAAGGAATACACGAGGCTTTGGGCTGCCCGGTGAGATCAATTTGTATTTAAAAAGGCGGTTTGTGTTTTGTACACCTAGTCATGAGTTAGCACATCCTTCAGTGGAAAGAAATGGATTGATATAGGCTGACCTTTTTCGGCTCGGTATTGCCGCAGATGAACTAGAGGGGAATTGATCTTCTGCAGCCTAGTCTCCAGGATTTTCGGTTGAAGTGGATATTTGTTTTGGCGAAACCTTCCTTTTCTCTCTCCTACTTTTTTTCGCTTCGAAGAAGAGAGGAATCAATTCTCTATAGCTTCGCCTCTAGGGAATTAGGCGACCGAAAGTTTATTTGGCGAGCTTTCATTCGATCTGTTTGATTCAAAGATGAATAGAGGGACTCTGCAGCTTCGTCTCCAACTTTTCGATTGCTGGATATTATGTGGGCGAGAGCTCGATCTGTTGTCATCTTCATTTTGTTCCTCTTGTTTTTGGTTTCTTCTTCATTGCATGACTGGCTGTGGGATGGAACTGTCGTCTTTCCTACGAATTCTGGATCAATGAATTTCGAAGGAACAGTGGGGTCTCATATTTGAGCCGGAGGAGCCTGAAAAGGGAGATTGCGTATTCTGCACCAGTGTCGCCTCCCGGAGATCGAGGGCCGTTCATCTGTTGGGGCGACAAGTGGGTTTACTTTCGCGTTTTGGCTTCATTCCAAAGAGAAGTTGATCCTCCGTCGCCTCACCTCCGGTAAACGGTAACAGTGCACCAGCTATTTGTGTCGGCGGATCCTGGTTGCTCTAGGTTTACTGCAGAAGGGGTCGATCCTCTGCAGCGCCATCAGCACCTGTTGACTTGTGATGATTGCCATGCTTCTTTTTGCGTCGACGTTTCTTGGCATGGGATTGAGACTCATGCGCTGAATAATGCGGGCCGGTTGTATCTGTAGTACTGTCTTTATGGAGAGAGGGGAGGAGCTTCCAGTTTTACGAGAAGGTGTTCGAGCCTCGCCTTCAGAAGAACTGCTGCAATTGGCGTGGAGGACGACTTTTCGGATGCCGTTCACGTCCACGATTTGTTCTGTAATGCTGCCGCTGCGAGTTGGTCCACGAAGGTGGTAGACAAACTCAGCAGACTTGGAATCCGTTGATCTGATGCTTCCTGTGGCGCTGCTGCTCTTGCTCTTGCTAGTAGAGGCGGAACGGGTGAGATCCTCGCGCTCTTCACGAACAGCTTCAGGAATGGAGACCTGCGGAAGGTCCTTATACTGTTGGGCATTTGTGCTCTTGGTGACATTGTCATGGGAGGAAATAGTGCCATATCCAAGTTTCAAAGCATGAGCTCCATCTTTGGCGTCCGCCCCGGAGCTAACGAGGCCTGCTCCGATTCCACCTTGAAAGCCAGCTAAAGTGATTAGACGCTGGGAGTCAGATATACTTTGCCCGGATTCGAAGTCAGTTTGAGCAGATAGAGAGGGTGAGGCTCCGCTGTGCTTGATTTTCACTGCACTATAGCGAGTGGAACGTGGCCGACTCGCGAGATTTGACGGACCAAGGTGTTTCAAATGTTCTCGAATCTCATCTGTGGCGCCTCTTTGGGTAATCCAGGCATCTGTGGGGTTTGAAGAACTATCGGCATTCTGTTTGCGGAGTTGGAAACGAGGAGGAGGAGCTTCGACAGAGCTGCGTCGGCGCATGAGGTCGTAAGAACTTCTTCGAGCGGAGGACGGTGTCTCCCTATCCAAGTCGATCAGCTCTCCATCTACAAGAGAGCCCGCCGTGGGTGGCTCTTCGACAATTTTTCCCTTGGGAACTCGGCTTTTGGGTGCGGGTGCCATGCGACGAATCGCTTTGTGGACGTCAATAAAGACGTCAGATTCGTCAATAATCTCTCTGTTCTCATAGTCAGTAACTTCTCAGACAAAAAGGACCAGCCAGGATGAGGTGCAACCTACTCTCCGATCAATTCTTCAATAACATCTTCAAGGGTGACCACACCGAGGGCCCCCCGATCCTCGCTTGGATACTCAGAAACAAGCACCATATGCGATTTTCCTTCTTGAAAGAAGTTGACTATGTCAAGACAACTAGTTTCGGGACGTGTCTCTGGCAGGGTGGCCAACGCAAATTCACGGACACGTTTGCAATCTTCAGGGTCGTAGGTGATAAGCATCTTCACAAGAAGCATGCCCACAAAGTTCTTGGGGTTGTCGGGTGCGTGGATGGGAATGCGAGAATAACCTTGGGACAAAATCAAGTCCATGGTTCTTTCGTCGAGGACAGTGTCGGCAGACATGGTGAATACATCTTCCATCGGCGTCATAATACTGCCCACAGATTTCTCTTTCAAATCGAGTACAGCACTGATGATTGTGACTTCATCGGAGTTGAGTTGTTCTCCAGCCTCGCCTAGGGTCTTGTGCAGGGTGACGAGGGTTTTCAATCCGGCTTTCTTGTAAATGGTGCCGTGGTCTTCGCCGAGCAGCTTGTCGAGCAGCTTGGCGACTGGCCAGGCCACTGGGGACATGACGTACATGAGAATCAGCACACAAGGTGCCATCCATGCCCCAATAGGTAGACCGTAACGGACACAGATCGATTGAGGGACGATCTCCCCGAAAATCACAATCAAGGCTGTACTTCCAAGGACCGCTGGCCATCCACCGCCGAGGGTCCGATCCAACACGATGGGCAAGGTCTCATTCGTGATCACGTTGCTGAGAAGTAAAGTGACGAGGACCCAGTGCTTTCCCCGCTTGAGCAGATTCAAGACACTGCCCGCATTCTTTTTCTCAGAAGCCTCGCCGGAGGTCTGGATCACTTGTAGATAAACTTCATCTTGACCCATCAATGCAATTGTAAGTCCCGCGAACGCCCCGCCGCTCAACACGAGGGCTGCGCTAATACCCAAGTACAGCCATAAACTCGGGTCGTCGGCTTCTTTCGGGGGTTCGGAGTCGCGGTGTGGCGAGATGTGGGAGAGCGATAGCGTGGGTGCGGCTGCCGCCAGCGGAAGGTGAGAGAATAGGAGGAATATGAGTTTAGCCAGACTCAGCACGATGGGCCGAGCGGCGAGAACACGCATGGCAGTTGGCGCCATCGTCATCGGGAATCGTCACCGCGAGAGTGTCGTCAACAGGGTATTTCTATCCCTCAAAGTTCCCGACAGGGGGAGGGGGGCGCGCTCCACGATCGTAGAAAGAGGGGTCACAGTCGGGACATTGCTGAACTCAAGCTGGTGGTGATCTCCCGCGGCTGGGTGAGAAGGTCGGCGATAGGCGTCAAAGATTTCACGAAAGGAGAGGAAGGGAGGTGCCGTGAGGTCCGCAAGAAAAAACGCGCTGGAAAAGGGTGGATCTGGCGACACCACCATGGGCGTATTGATGCGCAAGGTGATCGAGACGGGGCTGAATTAGGTTTCGAGTGAGAAGGCTGACGAATCGCAGGGGTTGAAACCCGTGCGGCATCGACACCTGGAGGGTTGGGCTCGCAACCCGCTCCACCGTGGGTCCCGTACTCGGCAATGGCCGGGCAATCGCAGCGATCCGCCAGAGATAATCTCGGCGTTTTCTTTGTTGCAGTTCCTCAAAACTACAGTGGCGTTCCATAGGGCTTCGATTAACCGGTGATGACATAATATTCTGCCCGTCAAACAACTCCATTATGCTTGCATCACGCGCTCAATAGATGGCTTTCTAAGTTTGTAGATTAAGCTTGGTTCATATTCCAATTGGACTTCTTAAGAATAATGATCTTAGTTCACTTTCATAGCGGTTTCTTGACCTGTAAACTTTCCTCTGGGAGCGGAAGACTAGGCGGTAGACCAATGGGAGTCGAAAACGTAAGAAAATCCACTGTACTCCTCCCAATAGGCTGCGTGCTGTACTGGCCGTGCTGGCCATGCTGGGTGCTAAGTTAACGTTAATGGTGTCGGAGCTTTGTCATCACTGGGAATAATACTCGGTCCAAACACCTCGGCCTGGCGCGAGGATCCTGCCGATAGGGTTCTTTCCTCCGGGCCCGCCAGCGGAGTTATCGAACGAATCTCTCGCAGATCAGCTGGAAACCTTTCTGGGGGTCCAAGTCTCAAGGACGACACATCAAAAATGCTCAGGGGGCCCTCAGCAGGAATATTGAACCCACGGTTCGAGCCTTCTGTAAGACGAATCGCGTCTCCCCGAGCTATCGTCGGTACTCCTTTCCCAGACACACGACGCAAGCCAGGTCCGTGACCTGAGAGTGCCCCCCTCCAGCTGCTCCAACTGCCCATGCAGCGTATCAACTACCGATATCAGCATGCAGGTCTCGAGCATGCTGGCGTGGTTGCCAGTCCTGGCCCCTGTCTCAATCTGGGCACCTGGATGCTCATGCGCGACTTCCATGGCCTCCAGCCGTTCAATGTCGTTCAGAGCGGCCCGGTAGGATGCCCGGGGGTTGTCGTTATCAGGCATGGGCATATCGTTTTCCAGGTTGGGATAATCGCCCCGCCCATGGCAAAGGAGAAATGTATGGACACGACGGTTGTCGGCAGACTCCTCTCGGAGCATCCCGCACTCATCAGTTACGGTTTGGACGGTTACTTTGAGCTCGGCAACCTTGGTCTGAGCCGCTGCAAGCTGGCGTCTAGATTGACACTGGTCGTCCAGTCCTCTCTCTCTCGGGCCTGGAGAAATCGCGGCCGGTGTATACCGCGGACTTCCATCGGGACTCCCTTTGCGACGTGGCTGCGTGATACGCCATTTGGCGAGCGCTTCAGGGAGGTCAAGTCCCGGCCCTGTGCGTGGCTGATCAAATTGGAGTTGCCTAAGTTCTTATCGACCGCCTCCTTTAAATTCTTCTCCAGGACGGCGGCGGTAGCCTCAAGGGCATCCTGCTTCCTCAACCTGTTGCACTGGACTAGGGCGGCGGGGGATCGTCATCGGGGTCACCTCTAGAACACCCGACAGTGTGCCTTCGTTGTCGGTGTTATTATCGTTGCTGATCATATTATTAGCCTGAGGTCAGTCATCTCATCAGGGGGTGTATCAACCAATCTCTCTGTGGCTAGAGAGGGGGCGAACGCAGGCATGTTCTCTAGGGGTGTCACGACTGCGGAGGCTCCGACCGCGATTGACGCGATCACAGTCACCAGCAGCCGCCAAGGGCCCCAGAGGATGGCCCCATGACTCTCACTGTGGGGAAGATGAGATAGTTCAACAGATTCATTGCTAGAGCTGTTGGCGAAAGGGGATATAAGAACGTCAGGAACGTTCAGCGCGCGGAACGAACTCCATCACGCTACCGAAGTAGTGGGATTGCGGCAAAACTGAAGCTTTTTGCAGATGTGGGAAACGTTGAGGGACGAAGAATGTCGTGGACGTGTCTGGGGTTCGAGTGTTATATTTTCATCGAGAGGCCGCGTCCTCACTTCGCCTCATTTCACCTCATTTCACCCAAAGGTATTTTTTCTTAAGAAATTAGATCAGTACAATTAGTGGTGCCCACCATTCTTCAATCTATCAAAATCATTAGGATTTCGTTGAATCTAGTGGTGCGTTGCAGCTGAGAAGCCTCCTGATTCCCCAGAACCCTCCTGTAATTGAGTCGCTCGATCACTGTGAAGCTTTACCATCACTGAATTTGCTTGTTCATGTAGTGAATCATGATGTTAAATATCGGCTTCGGGCTTCGTGGCAGCAGCCCCCGAGCTTATTACGTTCATCATAATTTGATCGTTGTGAATCGGGTAGACTGTGGACTCTTGGCCTGCATATACGCTCTAGTGGTGACTGGTGCTGGGCGAAAGTCTGGAGCTCCACAGTCTTATGGCGGTGATGAGCCGCTAGGTTTCTTGGTAATATTCGAAGAAACTGCGAGGTATATGAATGATGAGGCATTGGATTCAACCGAACTAAAATGTTGGAAGCGCTGGTCAGCTGAACAAGCCGCCTGAGTAAGGATAACCGGCTCTGAGTGCAACATTTCTGCTTGTCTTTAGAATCCTCCTGTGTACTACCTGTGCGGATATGCTTCTGCCTCGTTGGCTGCCTCGTCGGAGTCTTCGTCGTGATTGAGTGTGGTCGTCGTCCTCGTCCGTGGGGCCATCCTCATGTGATTCGGTGACTCGGTGAGTCGGTGATTCGATGCCGCTATCCTCCCTTACAGTGGTAGCAAACCCGAAGGGGATTTATTCCTCGGTGATGGGGACCTTCGCCGTGCTACGCCCGATCAACTTACTGTGCGGCGCCGAGCCAAGTGCCAATAGTCATGGTCCACGATACATGTTGTGGTGCATGTGACTAGTGATGTACTAGCTAGCTACTTGCCGCCATCCGGCTACATTTTAGAGGCTCAAGAGCTTATGACACAATCACAGACACTTGATAGTATGGTGGAAGTAAAGAGTTCACGCTATGAGAAAATAGGCTTTCTGGACATCCCATGTGCTTGCATATGTTAATGTCGATCGCCCAAGCGGATAATGTGGGCCAATCACCTCTAGTGCTTTCCCGATCTTGCGCAGGACGGCTTTCCCAATTTTAGCCCTCTCTGCAACGTCGCTGCACTTACCAGGATTACGAGGAAGCGCGGCCGAGAGGAATATCCATTCCTCGTCAGTCAAGGCTTATAGTCATAGGGTGTGCTGTCGTGATAATACTTTGATGTTTTCACAGCTCAATATACTATGATCATATTTGAATAACAGTTTCCTTTGAGTATCTATTATGTATCAATCAATTAAAACTACGATTCGATTCATGTTTTGAGCTAATTTGGGTCGTGGTTGACTTTCCATGTGGTCCGAGCGTGGTTCATCGAGGTGTTAAGCTTTCTTGGGCCGCGTGGGGACATGCCCCCGGTGGGACGGCATGCCGTGGAACTGGTCACGTCAAGACTGAAGAATCGGGTCTTCGCAATGGCCCAACAAAGATAAATAAAACAATACTCAGAATCCTTTCGCTAGAGTATGGAGAAGATGCCATTTCGCATTGTTCCGGGCCTCTAAGCGTATAAGATCATGGCTACCTACAGCACGTAGACTGTAAGTTGCCACTCGGGCATACCCGGTTCTCTTTCCAGCGACCATTACCAGCTCGAGTTGGTAGCCGATCATTGTTTGACGACTAGTTAACATTTTTGCTATTGTCTCATATCGCATGGGGGCATCAACGGAGTTCAAGGATCAAAATATATATCTGTCACCTTGTACGTAGGTAAGCCTGTTAGGTTGTCGTTCGGAGGTCTACCGAGGTACCTGGGCACACTGAGCCCTCTAGACAATAAGAGACCCAGAAAGGATACACCCAAAAATGGTTAAGACGGATGACAGTTGTTATTTATGATCTTTGGTTCTAGTGGACATCTTTAAGCTCTGGTGCATTATCAGTGAAATTGTGTGGGAGGACGATCTGGTCTAAGGTGTTCTTTCGAAGTGTATCACCTCAGTATTCTAAGGTCTGCTTGATGGCATCGTAGATCCCTGTTGGAGAAGATGCTTAGCTTGAAGAGACTCTAAGCAGGTGTCGGTCAATATGCTTACTGGCAACATCGGGCAGAACAAACTGCTCATAAGTCAAGCCTGTGTGTGTGCTCCAACCGGCAACTCGTTTGACCGGGGCTTCCAACCGAAGGAAGGCGCCTTCTTGTAGTGTCGCAGCGACCTCGGCACCAACACCATAGTTGACCATACTTTCGTGGACGACAACGGCTCGTCCCGTCTTGCGGACGCTCTCAAGGACAGTCTGGCGGTCCCAAGGATAGATCGTCCGGAGGTCAATCAACTCGATGTTGACACCCTTCATAGTCTTTTCGATCGCAGAAATGGCAGAGGAGCAGAGGTAGAGTGGATGACCATAGGAGATGATCGTCAGGTCCTTGCCCGGCTTGATCACCTCCGCCTTGCTCAGGGGTATTGTGTAGTATTCGTTAGGGACGTGCTCCACAGCAGCTCTGTAGAGAATCTTGGGCTCCATAAATATCACCGGGTCATTGTGTTCGAAGATGGAGGATAGGAGGAGACCCTTGGCCTGGGATGGGGACCGCGGTATTACCACTCGGACGCCGGGTATGTGTGCAAAGAGTGACTCCGGGGATTGTGAGTGGTATCTGTGCAATTAATAGGTCAGAATATGTTCACCGCAAGGTAAAGTCGGGGGTACTGCATCCGAACATACAGTGCGCCATGTCCCACTGCACCACAGGGCATCCGAATCACCAAGCCGCCTACATTGCCCCCGGTACCGCCTTCCCTGTAGCGAAACTTTGCCGCTTCATTGACGATCTGATCAAATGCGGGAAACACGTAGTCAGCAAACTGGATCTCTGCGACGGGCTTCATGCCCTCGGCTGCTGCACCAATAGCAAAGCCGGCAATTCCTTGCTCGGTCAAGGGTGTATTGAAAACTCGGTCCGAGCCAAACTCTGTCTGTAGATCCATCGAGCACCGAAAGACCCCGCCGAATGCGACGTCCTCGCCGAATAGCATGACCTTGTCCGAAGTCGAAAGAGCCGTCCGCAGGGCAGAGTTGATGGATTGGAACAGGTTCAGCCTTTTGCTGGTAGCTGCTGCGGGAAAGTCGGGAATGCTAGATAGGGAGGAGGGCGTGTGATGTAGGAGCGGCGTAGACTTATAGTCAATGGGCAAGTTGAGCTTCGCCGCAGGCGACGGAGCCGCTGAATAGCATCGGCGGGAAACTCGAGGGATCAGAGTCCGCGACGATCGAGGTGACACCATCTTTCAAAGGCGTATGAGGGACGCGGTGTACCGGCGAGCAGAGGCATGAAGAAGACCCTCCCAGGACTCTGACTCTCGCTTTATAAATGGAATTCCTCCTGTCGGCCCTTTCTGGGGAGATTGCGGGGATGCGACGCCGCGAATAACCGCGGGTGCAAACAAGCCAAACGCGGCGCGGAGGTATGACGGATGAGCAATTGTTGCCCGTTGGATCAGTGCGGGCGCCGGTCCATGGGGCTCTGGTTGCTACTGCAGCAAACCCAGGAACGCTCAGACGGTTCCCATAATTATGATGGGATTAAAAGTTCTATCTTATAGTGAGTAATGTATGGAGTAGCCTGCCCTATGAATCCCTGTACGCTTACGTTCTCAATCATCGTTATTAGTCATGATCGAGGATCCCGCGGGAACCCATATAGTCATCTCTATTGTTTGTATAGAATCGCCCTCGTGAGCCATTGCTCGGGCCAGCAAGCATAGCTAGGGTGGATACCGATTAAGCCGGCAAGATGCATTCGGTAGCTTGTGGAATCAATCGAAAAGCCATCAGCTCAACGATCGCTCCTTCCACTTTTCCGCCGGAGAATGCGGTGAGGTCGTCTTATCAGGGCTTATCATCTCCCACCCGGTGTCGGCGCCAAGAAGTGTGACTCGCCCGGCCCGCACCAAAACCCGCCTTTTTTTCGGGTGACTCAATTCCTTCGACCTTCAACTCAGTACTTTCCCATCTTTTTCAAGTTCTGTTCCTAAATATCTCATTCCACTCACAATGTCCAAGGGCAAGGTATGTTGACTCATTGCATCTGTTGCTGCTGCGATTCCCATTGTCTACCCTTAGACCGCTACTTCATCCCACTTTCCACACCTCTAGTTACCGCGTTGCGCGACCGAACTGACCCATTGCTTTCACAGGTTTGTCTGGCCTACTCCGGTGGCCTCGATACTAGCTGCATTCGTACGACATGACCCCATAATGGCTTCGCACAATGGTAGTCGCTGATACTCGATTCTAGTCAAGTACCTGATTGAGGAGGGCTATGAGGTCGTCTGCTTCAGTAGGTCACACGCGCTAACGTGAGCAATGCGCCCCAGGAAAAGATGCTAATATTATATGCAGTGGCCGATGTTGGCCAGGAGGAGGACTTCGAGGCTGCTCGGGAGAAGGCCCTGAAGATCGGTGCCCTCAAGTGCGAGATTATCGACATCCGCCGCGAGTTCATTGAGGAGCTCTGCTTCCCCGCCATTGCTTGCAATGCCGTCTACGAGAACGTGTACCTTCTCGGTATGCTTATACCATTTTTGCTTGGCCTAACTAGAGCTCTCCTTTGCTGACCCAAGTTCCTAGGTACCTCCCTGGCTCGTCCCGTCATCGCCCGTGCCCAGATTGAGGTCGCCCAGGTACGTTTTACATCCATTGCCTCCACAATTTCGTACATGGTTTCTGAACTTGCGGTTATTTCTAGCGCGAGGGCTGCTTCGCCGTCTCCCACGGCTGCACCGGCAAGGGCAACGACCAAGTCCGCTTCGAACTCGCCTTCTACGCCCTCCAGCCCAACATCAAGGTCATTGCCCCATGGCGCGACCCCGTCTTCTACGAGCGCTTCGTCGGCCGTAACGATCTCCTCGCCTACGCCGCCGAGAAGGGTATCCCCGTCTCCTCCACCAAGTCCAAGCCCTGGAGTATGGATGAGAACCTGGCCCACTGCTCCTACGAGGCCGGTATCCTGGAGGACCCCAACATCACCCCCCGGCCGATATGTGGAAGTTGACCCAGGACCCTCTGACTGCTCCCGACCAGCCTGAGGACTTCACCCTCACCTTCGAGAAGGGTGTTCCCGTCAAGCTTGAGTACACTGAGAAGGGCCAGCAGAAGACTGTCACCGACTCCGTTGACCTCTTCCTGACTGCGAACGCTATTGCCCGCCGCAACGGTGTTGGCCGTATCGATATCGTGGGTTATCTCAAGCGTCTATAACGTCCTTTGGACAAGTTTGCTAAATAGTCACCCAGGTCGAGAACCGTTTCATCGGTATCAAGTCTCGTGGCTGCTACGAGACTCCCGGTCTTACCTGCCTGCGCGCTGCCCACATGTAAGCTTCCCTGCATACCATATTGCTTCACGACCCCCACTGACTCTTCATAGCGACCTTGAGGGTCTTGTGATGGACCGTGAGGTCCGTGCCCTGCGTGACTCTTTCGTCACCTTCAACTACTCCAAGCTCCTCTACAACGGCATGTACTTCTCCCCCGAGCGTGAGTTCCTGGAGGCCTCCATCACCGCCTCCCAGAAGTCTGTCAACGGTGTCGTCCGCTGCCGTGCCTACAAGGGCACCGTTTCCGTCCTCGGCCGCTACTCCGAGACTGAGAAGCTCTACGACATGACCGAGTCCTCCATGGACGAGATCGGTGACTTCTCGCCCGCCGAGACCACCGGCTTCATCAACGTGTCTGCCATCCGTCTCAAGAAGTACGGCCAGATGAAGGCTGCCGCTGGTGAGAAGCTGTAATTTCTCTCGCCTTGAGAATTCTGGAGCCATATGCTGCGCGTCACTGGCCTTCCATGAGGCAAAAATGCTGGGATTTTAGTTTTACATGTTTACCACGCCTGATGTATACTGGAATGGGTCCCCGGTCCGAATGATTGTATAATGAAATAGAAAAGTCACAATTGCGGGATTGCCATGTTTTCGCTGTTCGTTGAGTAGGCTAATGATCTATATCTGGTGGCCGTCGATGCTAGTATGTACGATTTCTCCGGTGCATATGTACCAGGACTCAAGAGGTCCAGTAGTCGCGAGATAAAAAGCCAAGAACACCTCTCATGCGTCCCGTCGAGGGCCGAGCATGATCTATCAAGCGGTGCACAATGGTGCTTGATGTTGAATATAGTGGGTGCGTAATGTATGCACACTACAAGTTAGCGTTGAACTTCAACCCGGCGCTGGCTTCTGATTAAAATGAATTAGCAATTCGATCAAGCAACACTTAGAGGCGCGAGTCATACCATTCCACGTATCCAAGGCCGCCTTTTCTGCATCCCACCCCCACAGAATCCGCTGAGTCTCGCGGTCAGACCATTTGTCTGGGTTTGAGCCCGTCGTCGATGCCCGGAACTGCTCATCACGGACCATTTGTTCAGGACCATCCGGCAAGTGCAATGTGATGCGATTCTCGGATCCAGATTGCTGCACCGTCTCCGCACGCTGCTTCCGCGATTTCTCATACACCCGCAACGCGTGTGGGACATCCCGCCGGGATGAGATGGTCGACAACAGCACTCCAAGCGCGGCAGCATCTTCGACGGCTTGCGCCGCCCCTTGAGCCACGTATGGGCTGTGGGTGGTTAGCGGTGCGCAAAAAACAAGGCTCATGGTGGGACGTACAGCATCGGGTGACACGCATCGCCAATCAAGGCTACCGATCCCCGAACCCAAGTCTTCAGCGGGCGATGCAGACACAACTTCCACTCCAGCACTTCATCATCCTCCACCAGATTAATCAGCTTCCTGACCCTCGGTTCCCACCCATCATAATTATCGACCATCGCTTGCTTGGAGCCCCTCGTCGTCCAGGACTCTTCGACTTCATGCCGGTCCGGATGCAGCAGGACAACATTGTACAGCTGGTGATTGCGCACGGGATACGCGATGATGTGGCGACCCGGGCCTAACCAACGAGTCGCCTGTGGCTCGTCGATGAGCGCTTTTAACTCCGGATCCTTCATCATTACGCTGCGTGGCAGCATGATCCGGTATGCGGCATCGCCAGTCGCGATGGCTTGGAGTGATGGGTCCCCCAGCAGGTGTCCGCGAATGGTGGATTTGATGCCGTCGGCACCGACCACGACGTCACCGCGGACAACTGTGCCCGCGGCCAGTGTGACAGATGCTGGGCTAAATTCCACACCTGTGACTAGCGAGTTCACGCGCAGCTCCACGTTAGGCAGCGCCAGGGCCTTTTCAATTAGTGCGTTGTGCAGGTCTGCACGGTGGATGACCGTCTGCTGCCCGAAAGTCTTGTTCACCGGCATGGAGGCGAGGAGTTTGCCGTCTTCCCATCGCCGGACGTGGATGTGCTCCAGGGCGACATCCTGGGCGTGAATCACATCCGCAACGCCCCATCCTGATCAGGGGTTAGTTTCTTAATCATGCTTGAGAGTAAGGAAAGCCACTCACGTTCCAACATTCTTAGCATATTGGGGGAGACTTGGATGCCAGCTCCAACCTCCATTAGCTATACGGCTCTAGGTTAGCAGTGCTCATAATCCGCATATGAGATGGACCACGCCACATACTTTTGGGGCAGCCTCGAGGATCGCGACCCGATGGCCTTTTAATCCCAGTGTCAAAGCCGCAGCTATGCCGCCAATACCTGTTGATGGTCAATTGAGTTCTTGTTTTGGGACTGGGGCAGTTCGATGCGTTGCTGACAACACATACCGGCCCTGTTCAGGGTTAGCATGCGGCACTTCACCTCCAAAAGTCCAATCAAACTCACCCGACGATAATCACATCGAGAGGAACATTGGCCCGTGGCACCTCCATGACGAAGAAGTCGAACCGCAGCAACGATGTAAAATAAGCCAGGAAGCCGCCAATGCCAGAACAGAAGGGTGTGTCGGACGGAGGAAGTCCACCACTTCGCGGGACCAGTTCGGGCTAGACTAGCACGCCAGTGGCTATTTCAGAAAATTGGCCCCGAGCTCAGTTGTCCGACGGTTTGCCGTTCCCACCCGTGCCACAGGCACACGATGCCCCAGCAGGACTGCAGCTTCCATCTGTCTTACGACCATATTACCCCTTGGAGTGTGGACACGCTGATCGTCCATTCGAGGACCCTCTTGTTTCTCCACAGGCCGGGGAATGCATGGCGGAATGCCATGCTTTGGTCCTACGACTGTGCTGTCCACGATGTCCCGGGCATCGGCGTTGAATCGGGCAGGCGCCAACCGGACGGCACTTGGCGGCTCCGGGCGGGGCTAACCGCCGTTGACCACGGCCTTGGCTCCGGCATGAGCAATGCACATTCACGAGTACGCCGGACTACTCTTACACTTAAACTCGGGCCACACTCTCGAGAAAGGAGGGCATATGTCTGACAATTCTGAGCAAATTCCTGCTTGGTGGCGTGCTTTCGGACCGGAAGTCCTTGAGTCGCCGCTCGGCAACAATGGCGACCAGGGCGTCTCCACAGCCCGCCCCTGGATATTTTCCTCCGATTGCCCTTTGCTTGGGAAACATCTCTCCGGCTCTTTCTGCACTCTTCATCTGCCGAGCCCGGCGCAGATAGAGCCAGTACCTCTGTATTGCCTACTTCACCCCCGACGTGCGTCGTCTCCTGCGCTGCCTCTTTGCGCCCGCAGACTCGCAACCTCGTTGCGCCCCCTTCCTCTCCCCGGCTTCGATCCGGGGATGCATTCTAGCCTATTATCGCGGCAAATGCGGGGATCAATCATTGCCGATTGCTTGCTGGGATGCCCTGTCCGGTGCTAAGACAATCTAGTTCGTCCTTGGCGTGGCACTAACTGCTGCATTAGCATTAGTCGCGCAGGTTAGATATGTATGCCCGTCACACAGGATTGCAAGCTACGCGGATTTAGAAATGTCCGGTCGTCCGACCTGATGGTGAAGCGGTCACTAAGTACGGAGCACAGGGCGCTCTTTAATTTTCTCCGCAGTGATTCCGCGTTGGCTCCACTCGCTCCTTCTTTCAGGCCATCGCCCTCCCCTTTCTCGCAAGGCAAGTCTGAACAGGTGTCAACTTATACGATGGATAGCGAACGCTGAGCACTCACGTTCCGGGCATCCATTTAATTGTGATGGGTCTTCATCTGGAGTAATGGCGTCATCTGGCGCTGCGCATGCCGTACCGCACTGCACAGACTCCACAGTCCTCTGTCCTGACCCACAAGCATGAACCTCCTCCCCGGCGCCGAACCCGGCTGCTTTGGAACACTGTAATTGCCGGAGTATAGGAGAAGGCCCGGGAAGCCTAGAAGCGATGGCCGGAGGCCGGAAATTCTTCTGCATTGCTCGTCATGTAGGTAGCTGGCTAGGACCTCATAGTCCTCGCTTCACGGATCACGAACAGACCCATCACAATTTCTCCGTGGCGTAATATGTGCTCATGCGGTATTTAGTCTCACCGTTGTAACGAGACAAGTCCTGCAGAGCCTGCCGACCCTCCCTCTCAATGGCCGCCCGGATCTCCGGACTGCGAGGAGTAATCCGGCATTCAAACGGATTGGGGCGCATGTTGAGGCCATTGCTGGACGCGAAGTGCGGGCCCGGCCCCAACGATCAGCACAAAGATCCATCGATTGTTGAGGTCCCTTGAAGCGGGGAACAACTTACGTGAAATCAAATATGTCAACCGGGATCTCATTGCCCTGCTCATCGAGCGCCTTCTCGATCCTGAACCCCCAAAGCAGCCGTGCGATCGTGATGAAAGTCCCCTGCTCCGCCAATCCCTGCCCGCTGCACACCCGGCGCCCCCATCCAAAGGTCATATACCCCTTCTCGCCAGGGAAGGGCCGGTGATGGGGACTCCCCTTGAGATAGCGATCTGGATTGAAGCGGTCCGGCTCGGGGAACTCTCGTTCATGGTGGTGGATGGCCCAAACGTTGCCCTGGACCCAGGTCCCGCGCGGGATCAGCCATCCCTAGATCCATCACTCTTATTAGTATCTGAACCCTCGAATCTCCAGCCGAAGCGCGTAACGCCTTAGCCGGCACGGGACGGTGCTGGGCCTCCTACCTTATAATGATCGTCTTTGATCGGCGCGTGCGGCTGCCCGCCGATGATGGCGACGGATCTCCACCGCAGCACTTCCTTCACGAACGCTTTCACGTACAGCAGGTCCGGCTCGTCCTGGAACGTCGGGCTCCGGTGTGGTCCCACGACTTGGTCGAGCTCTGCCCAGGCTTTGGGGAGGGCGTCGGGGAATGCGCAGCAGGCGAGGACGAAAGTGACCAGTGTGGAGCTGGAGGTGTCACTGCCTGCACCGAAGAGGTTGCCGGAGAGCGAGGAGATTTCCATACGAGAGAGGTTGTGCTTTGGGCCTTCTTCGAAGAGCTTCTTTGCGTAACACTGGTCTGTCGTGGGGTTCTGCGCGGCTTCTTCCGCCAGCGCGTAGAAGAATGGTCGACCTCGTCCTTGTCCTTTTCCGAGACCCTGTTTCCATGGTGCCATCCAGTTGGGAAACCGTGCGAGGACTACTCTCCGTTAGCTTTTGCTCCTGACCAATCAATTCTGATGTGTGTTCGCAGGGCGCTTCACTCACCAGGAAACGACTCCATGAGCATCGGGAACGTCTTCCCAGGAACATTCAACTCGGCGGCACGCTGCATGACCGCAATCACCTCCGTGATCAGAGGATCCGTGAACCTCGCAACCCGCCTCCCAAATCCAATAATGGACACCACACTCGTGGCATATCGCTCAAAGTGCTTCACATACTCCTTCGGCTGATCCAACAGATCCAACGCAACCACCTTACTCTCGTCATTTTGGAAGCCGCGGTACGTTCGCACCTGCTGCAGACCCACTCCCATATGCGTCAGTTTCCTGTGCAGCCGCCATCGATCTCCGTAGTACATATTGACTAGATTCGACTGGCCTGCGCCGAGCTCGCTGAAGACCACCATGCGTGGGCGCGAGGCGTATATGGCGGCCCGTTTGTCGAGCAGCTCGCTGGCGACCCAGGCATCGCAGATCCAGATCGTGGGGCGCCGGCCGGTCCAGAATGTTATCATGGGGGACTGGTACTGTTTTGCGAGTTCCTCAAAGTAGATCCAGGGTTTGCTAGGGGGCAGCAGATGCGTGTTTCCCACTATGGGCAGTGGAAGTGGCCCAGGTGGCTACATGGCTAATTAGAACATGTTCTGTGTGCGTTCTTGTCAACTCATACCATCTTGAAGTGCAAATAGAGCATGTAGCCATAGTCTATCACGACAAACAATCCCAAAGCTATTACCACAGCCGGTAATACCGTTGCCATGTTGAAATTGCTCCATCCTGTAAGCGTGTGCATGTGCTGGGTTGAAATAAGAGCTACTAGCTCCTCGGCCTTTTCAGTAATCATATTCGGGGGGCTCCGCGCTTGTTGGAAAAGGATGGAAAATAGTACGTTCAGCAAGGTCGAGGACGGTCTCAGGTGCTGCGTTATCCCTGCCCTACATATAGTAACCAGTTGACCAGTCCTAACAGGAATCTCGCTAGTATCATCGATGACCTTTGCTCGGTGTGTTAGGGCTGACCCCGCCATCGGGTTGATAAAGCCGAGATGGGTCCCAATACCAGCGGGGCAGGAGGATCTAGACGGCTTCGCAATGTCGATGAAACATCCTGTTCAGCTGGACAGAGGCCCCACATGACCAGATACCACCCACAACCTGCTGCATCATGTTTCCTGATACGCCTTCTGGGGTAATCCGTCTGCATCGACAGCCACCACTTCCTCGAGTCGAGTGGGGCCCGCCGCCCCGGACTGTACTGTACCTTGCGGGGTGTGCGGGGAGACTCCCGTGGCCAGCATCTAGTTGACTACGCCTTGGGGCCGATCTATTCCCCCAGCCTGGATAAAGAGGCTAGCGGAATCGTATCTCTCTCGAACAAGGCTCTTGAACGAGGACTCGAAAGTCAGGGATGGCCCATGGCCGCTTCCCCTCACGAGTTTCTCGGCACAGGAGGCGTGCTTCTGGTGCCGGGCTGCCGAGTGTATATGTAGGAGGTATTCAGGGATAAGGTTAATGTTTGATTCCCTCTCCGGGGACAGGGCAACCACTGGCATTATCATTTGGTGAATTGTTCCTAGGGCTTATTGGCCCTGCTCCACCATGGCGGATAACAGTCTATCGTCGACAACGCTCTGGCAGAATCGGAAATGCCTTTTTCTCTGCTGCCTCGTTTCCATGGCCAATATGCAGTACGGATTCGATCTCGCAGCCGTGGGCTCGTTGCAGGCCATGCCCGGCTTTCTCAAAGTATTCGGGTACCCAACACCGCAGAGTGAAACCGGATATGCCATTGACGTGCGTCTTCCGAACTGTGTACATCCCCGCAAAGCACCAGAGCTAAACTAACCAATCGGAACATCGCACAGAGTACGGTGCAACAACTCATCACCTCCCTCTTAACGCTGGGCTCATTCGTCTCGTCTCTCGTGGCGGGGGCATTTTCGACTTATCTTGGTCGCCGGCCGGCCTTGTGGCTTGCCTGCGTGGTGAACGCAGTAGCATGCGGCATTCAAATTGGGACGTCGACCCCAGGAGTGCTGTACCTGGGCCGACTGCTGCTCGGCTTTGCGAACGGGTTCCTGGTGACATTCTCGAATATCTACACGGCGGAAGTGGCTCCGGCACATATGCGCGGAGTGATGGTCGCTCTGTTCGCATATTGGGTGAATATCGGGAGTATTATGGGCGCGGTGGTGGATAACAAGACGAAGGAACGCCTGGATGCATTGTCGTATCGCATCCCGCTGGCCTGTCTGTATATCGTGCCGACGCTGCTCTTCCTCGCCTTGTTTTTTGTGCCCGAGAGTCCGCGGTGGCTGCTGCACCGAGGGAAAGAGCAGGCTGCGCGGAAGGCACTTGAACAACTCCGCGGCGCGAGCTATGCGACGATCATCGCGCCGTCCAGCGGTAGTGACAGCGGAGAAGGAGAAGAGAATGGCTGTGTGGACGGCATGAGTGTCAGGCCGACGTTACTGGAGATCGAATGGGCAGAAATGATCAAGGGAGTGGAAGAAGAAAGGCGCGAACAGGGCAACGTCGCTGCGCTGGACATGTTCCGAGGCAGGTCTTCCGAAAGTCCACCTCCGGTCTATGCCATGACGACCTCAATATCCATCTGACACAGTTCCAGGCACCGACCTCCGCCGCACCATACTATGCTACTGCATGATAGGCTGCCAAACCGCCTCAGGCGTCTGGTTCCTCATCGGCTACCAGACCTACTTCTTCACCGTAAGCGGCATCACGAAAGCCTTCGAGTTCTCCATCATGAACACCTGCTTCGGCTTCCTCGGCGTCAACGTCGGCATGTACGCCATCCGCGAGCTCCTCGGCCGCCGCGCCATTCTCATGCTTGGCGCAGTAGCCTGCGGCCTATGCCAGATGGCCAGCGCCATCGCGGCGACCGTGAGTCCCAATACGCTGCCGACGGGCCAGACACTCGTTGCATTCACGGCGCTGTTCATGTTCTTTTATAACGGCTGCGTGGGCGCGGCGAGTTATCCCGTTGCGACAGAGCTGGTGAGCTCGAGGCTGCGTGCTTGGACGGTGGGAACAGCGACCTCGTTGGGGTATCTGCTGGCGTGGCTGGTGAACTTCTGTACGCCATATTTCATCAATCCCGAGCATTTGAACTGGGTGAGTCGGAGAATTTTGCTGTTGCACCGTTGATTCTAATGATGCGGTTTAGGGCGCGAGGTATGGGTATATCTGGGCGGCGTCGAATCTGGCCTGCGTCGTTTTCTTCTACTTCTTCATGCCCGAAATGAAGGGCCGATCGCTGGAAGAACTGGACGAGATCTTCGTTGCTCGAGTGCCGGCTCGCAAGTTCGACTCGTACCAGACTGTGATTCGGGCGGCAGCGACAATCGCTGCTGTTAATGCCAAAGGCGAGAGCCAGCATACGGGGAAAGTCTAGGTTTTCTTTCCTGTGGCGATTGTCTTGACTTATTCATGGGACTCGAGCAAAGATTGGAATAATGCCGAAGACGGCGGGTTCATTTGTATGTAGAGAAAGGAAAAGAACGAAATTGACCAGGCGCCGTGGGTAATGATAGATTTGGAAAACCATGCTAATCTGACGCCGGAACATGCTTGCATAAACTCAACTTCATGACGGAAAATCTCAAAATCTTTTCAAAAGTACAAAAATTGGAAAATAAGGCCAGGATGAATGGGTGAAAGTCATGTCGTTGTTGTTAGAGCTGGGTGGCGGATGAGGTGTATCCAAGTATTGCGCTCCGCTGAAAATGTACAGGGTGAGCTGGAAGTATGTACGTATGTACAAGCCAGCTCGCATATCGTATCCATGATGCGCACTGCGGATAACATAAGGGTTCGTTTCGCGTAGGAGTCTGAATCTGGTGCAGACGGGGATTGTGTTTCTGTCGACCGGGTGGTGGATTAGGGGGTGAACATGAGGCGCAGGCGGCTCGGGCCCTTCTTCTTTTTCTTCTCCGTGGGCCGCTTCTCCTTCTCGGAAATGTGCGTGTCAGCCTTGGAGGCGGCTCTGCTCGGTGTTTGACTGGGTGCACGGCTGGGAGCCTTTGTCGGTGCCTTGGAGGATCGCCCGAAGAAGCCAGACGGGGCCTTGGAGCTGGTGTCCGGCTCTCTCTTGGAGCGCCCAGTTCGGGACTCGGCACTGGTGGGTGCACGAGAGGTGCGCGAGCGGTGTGATCGCCGCGACGATGCGACAGAGCCGTCATCAAATCTGAAGCGCGGGTCTCTTTCTGCCCGGGCCGTGGACACGTCGATGCCTGACATGGCTGCAGCCCTGGGTGTGATGAACTCGCCGTCGACAGAGGTGCCAACGCTTTCAGCTTCCACGTCGGCCACGCCGCGACGCCACATCTCGACTCGGCTCTCGGATTCCATGTTCAATTCCATCATGTCGTCCATTTCGGTCGACTCTTCCACTTCCACTTCGGCTGTGTTGCCGGACTGGATCTTCTTGATGATCTTGTAGCCGCCGAACATGACGATGGTCACCCCAAGGCCAACGCCGGCGGCAATGAGGAACTGTGGGCAGGCGAGAAGGGCGAAGACAGTCGGGGCAGCGGACTTGAAGGCGGAAAGGGCCGCGGGGCCCATCTTGCTGGCCAGGTTGCTGATTTCAGCCAGGGTGAGGGCGACGGCAGCCATGGCATCAGGATTCTTCTGCAGATGAGATATGGTGGCGGTTGCGCTGTGTTGGACACAGTGGGCTTCTTCTAATAGCCACTGTGCACGGCTCACAAGCCCATCCAGCTGCTTTTGGTCGTCGACGCCAGGCTCCGGCGGGCTGTATCTCGACAGGGCCGTGGGATGGGCATCGCCGTAAGCCAGGTCCATGTCGATATGGGCATCTGACTTAGATCGGGCAGTTACTGGGCGAGTGGGCTCTCGGACGGAGAGTGCATGGTGAGTATGACGCCGGGGAAGGCCCTCGCCCGATCCATAGTAAGACTCGGGCCGCCCCGTCGCGGAATGTAAATCCTGTTCATAGCGCGAGGGAGGCCGGTGGGGATGCTGGCTGCGACTCGTGTGATGCCGCGACTTGCTGCGGTGACTGCGTCGAGAGCCTATTGACGGCGAGTCATCGATCTGGTAGGTGGCCAGGGCCTGCAGGGCCTGCTGCTCCGCAATCTTGGCATTGCGCTCCGAACTGAAATGCGACTTGCGTTCCTTGTAGGCTGCCTTGGCTTGGCTGAAGACCCCGAACAGGTGTTTACTCTGGGATCGGTATTAGAGGACTGGAGCTTCCTTTGGCAAAGGGTGAGGGGATATATAATCAGGGATTTGCATCTGGGCCGGGGCGCTTACCGTGCTGACGACCTTGCCGGACTTGTCAATCACGGCGATCGTCTGGCCGAGCGGCGCCATCGCTAGCGATAGTCGTAGACGACTGGGAGTGTAGGAAGATCACTCATCAGAGAGTTTGCGATCGACCGCAGGACGAGGAGCGGTGCGATGAGCTAGTAAAGGTTGTTCTTCTCGAAGTCGGGGTCCTGACGGGGCAAGATGCTCAATAGTGGATGAGATGTATAGAGTGGCTGGAACAAAAGCAAGGGTGCTTCCAGGGGGCAGCTGCAGGCACAGTCTTAAAAGAAAAAGAGGGAAGAGGGAAAAAAGCAGACCAGGCCGAATGCCCAAGATGATCAATCGGAGGGGTGAGAATTAAATCCCCAGATAGCAAGATCAGCGGGCGGACTCGGGAGGTGTGAGCAACACGAGGAAAGAGGGAATAGGAGACTGGTCTTTGAAGGAGAAATAAGGAAAATAAGGGAGAATGATGCGGGACGGAGATGCAGGAGGCTGGGTACAATGGCATCAACGTGCAGCGGAGGTGCAGCAGTTGGGCAGAGCAGCGAACGAGGGCTTGCAGGGAAGATTCTTTAGGGCGAAGTGACCCAGAGGGCAGAGCGGTTGGGTTGCCAGTGATGCGAAGGCACCAGCAAATCAAGTCTCGGCAGGGCTCGATTGGAAGCTCACATCACTCTGATTCCCCGTCATCAGCCATTCAGGGTGTTGGGCGCGAAAAAGTCGGAGAGGATTGGTGGGGAAAGAAAGGGAAGTAGGTGAGTTTGTTGGCCACGGGTGATTAGCTGGTCGAGGTACAGCATGTTCAGCCAGCGGCTACTCCGAAGTTCGCGGGTGAGAGATAGAAACGATCACTACGGAGTACAACGATTCGGAGTACGGAGCACGTCACGAGGCCAGAATCTGATATTCACAGATCTGAAGGGGACGAGGCTAGAACCCAGTCCCGAGAATAGAGTCAACTCACACTAACACAGCAACCCACAGCTCCGCCCGGTTCGCAGGGCAAAGAGGCGGTGACCCACGGTTTGTGATTGGTGGAGTTGCGTCACCGCCACTGTGGCTGGTGACTCTCGTGGGAGAGCTATCTTTAGCACCAGCCACATGCCTGGGATGGTGTGGCGGTGCAGCCTTGGTGTGCTCGGCGCGACCAGCAAGAGACGTGTACTCTCCAAGGTACTCCTGATCACTGCCGGAGATCCTGCAGGATTCATTGGAAGGCCGAGGTCGGCAGAAACCAAAAAGAAAGGAGGTATTCCAATCCAGACCTGGAGGTCGGATGGTATCATCACGGCTGTGCCACTACTACTTCCAGCGTGAGAATCCGTCCGACTCTGTTCCCATCAAGCCGTCTTGGCGTCAAGAGGGCAGCTGCAGGACGAGAAACCGGCAACCGAGTAGGACATGGTTTAGGTGTTCCGTAAGTATCCACGTACTCACGACGAAGACCCTATGACTACCACCGCCATCAGGGGCCCAGCCGCAGCCCAATTCCATCCTTCTTATCTCCCGGAGAGCTCCTTGTCCGTCGAGCAGTCGGTGTATCTTTCCGACATTTTCCTTTTCCCAGGACTCTCTTCTGTAGACAATGCCCGAAAGCGAGTCCTTCCTCCTAAACCAACCTACTCAACACGATGGCCATTCTAAGTGATCATCACGCCCAGCCCCCGCTAGCCCGACTCCTCTGGGAGCCTAGGTGCGTGACACATTTCTTAATTAGAACCCAATCTACCCCGGCAGTGGCCGATCGGATCCTCATTCTCCAGCAGCGCGACCGGATAGAGGGAGATGGGCGGCGAGGAGCATGCGACCGTATGCAGTTCAAGGCACTGTATACGGAGTATTCGGCTTCTAAACCATATTGATCATCCCGGCCGGATCCTGTAGTAACTGGCAAGTGGACGCTGACTGGTATTGACCCCCTTAGGCCCGCCGGTTGCCCGAACCACACGAAATATGCTATGGGTGGTGAGTCGAATCCAGGATCGATGGTGCAATGTTGTGGTGGTCGCTCTGTTTTTTTCTTGTTCCCGTTCCCGTTCCCGCACCGCCACTCTGATGATTCATTTCTGTCCGCTTGGAAACTCGCGTTCCTCACCACCCCGGACTGATTCGCGCTGCCCCAGTATGGTGTGCAATTGAACCAGACTGGACAAGTGTTGTGGAATTAGCTGAACCATTCAGCGCGGGAACACCATCTCCTATTTTGTTTGCTTTTGTTTGATTTTCTATTCTTTTTTCCATCCAGTTACAGGGTCGAAAAGGAGCCCCCTAGCTAACGGTTCTTCCCGCAATGGACACAGTGGACTCGGGGGCCACCTCGGAGGTAGAGGACCAGTCGAAGACCTGGGGCTCTGATGCTCGCACGATCATCTCGCATGTAGTGGACGATGCCAGCAGCGCCCATCCGCAGAGCGACTGTGGTATCGGCCACCGGGTGCTGGCGAGCCGCTCGGTCCTGGCCTTGGTCATTGACGAGGAGTGTGTTTTTGCGGGTTTGCAGGGTGGAGACATTGTGGTAAGTTGGACGGAATGGGTCCCTCCAATTCTAATAGCTTTCCTTCCCCTAGAAAGGTTCCATCGATACAGTCTGACTCATTGCCTAGGCCTGGTCCCTTGCGACATACGACCTGGTTCTATCCGTGCATGCCCACGAGGAGAGCGTTCTAGGCCTCTACCTGTCTGAAGATGGCAGTTTGCTCTTCTCCAGTGGCGGGGATTCCGTTATCAACGTGAGTGCATTGATTTTCCAACAAGTAATCATGGGACGAAAGTAATCGAACGACACAGGTATGGTCAACGAGGACTTTTGAACGGCTGTACTCGATCTACTCCCACCATGACGTGGGCGACATCTTCTCGGTGGTTTATTCATCGAGTAACCAGACCATCTACTGCGGTGCTCAGAACACCAGTATCCAAGTAAGATGCCGGGTCTCTATCCGTTGGACTGATATCTAACCCTTCCGCAGTGGTGCGACCTGTCGGAAGAAGGGTCGCTGAACCAAACATCGGCGGCTCACCCGTCCAAGCGGACCCATCGCTTCTTCGACTCACGAGGCCCAGATGGGACCCGCGCACCGCGCTGGTCCGACGGCGCCCACTCCATGTCAGAGGGTGGCAAAGCCCTGACCTTCAAGCGGGACCGCCACAATCTTTTCGCCCACCATGGCTATGTCTATTCAATGCTACTTGTGAAGGGTTTGATTGAATCGGCACCCTCCGAGGAGGCCCTGTTGACTGGCGCCGGAGATGGCGTAGTTAAGTTATGGCGTCTTGGCCAAGAACCCGGCGCCGCGCCGACGCAAATTGCCAAATTGCAGAACGGAGACCCGGTGCTCTCGATCGCGGTCGAAGGATCGCTCCTCTACTGTGGCCTTGCGGGTGGCGCCCTCAATATCTGGAACCTCGACTCCCATCAACTTGTCAAGCGGATCGCGCAGCACACTGGGGACTTGTGGGCGGTCCATGTTATCCAGGGGGTTGCTATCTGTGGTGATTCGACTGGAACAGTCAAGGTATGCAAGAGTGGACATGTCAACCAAATGATCTGGCTGTTGCTGACAGCTCTAGAAATTCAACTCCCGGTTTGAAGAAGTCGGCGGTTGGGTTGCCCATGAGGGCACCATGCTCGCTTCCGCTGCCGGCCGCGTCAAGGATCGACAAATCTACGCCACCGGTGGAAATGACAACAGTGTCGGGATTTGGGACCTGACAGAGTTCTTCCTTGGCCAGGAGGAGCTACCTCCCATCAGCAATGGTACGCCATCATTTTTTCCTTTTTTTTCCTTTTTTCCTCTTTTCTTTTATCTTTGATTTTTTTTTTTACGTGTACCGCTTTACTAATGTACCTGCAGATGAAATGGTGAATGCTCTTGCCAAATTTGTCTCTTTCAAGACCATCTCCGCAAGCCCCAAATTCACAGGAGAATGCAACCAAGGTGCTGCATTCCTTCGTCGGCACTGCAACTACCTTGGCGCTAAGACCAAGCTCTTAACGACGGGCGACGATACCAACCCCATCGTCTATGCCCGATTCAACGCTACATCGCCTGATAAGGTTGAGAAGACGATCCTCTTCTATGGCCATTATGATATAGTTGGGGCCGATACGAACCGAGTCAAATGGAAATCTGACCCGTACCAACTCACTTCGATCAATGGATTCCTGTATGGTCGTGGTGTGTCAGATAACAAGGGTCCCATCTTGGCCTCTCTCTACGCCGCGGCAGACCTTGCCCGCACAAAGTCACTTCGCTGCAATGTCGTGTTTCTCATCGAAGGCGAAGAAGAGTCTGGCTCTCAGGGCTTCCATCAGACCGTGCGAGAGCACAAGGCCCAGATCGGACCCGTGGACTGGATTCTGTTGGCGAACAGCTACTGGCTGGATGACTATAACCCCTGCTTGACTTATGGGCTGCGCGGTGTAGTTCATGCCAACTTGGTAGTGACCAGTGAGCACCCTGATCTCCATAGTGGTATTGATGGCAGTGCGCTGCTGGATGAACCCGTCAAGGATCTTTCGATCCTGGTGTCTACCTTGGTCGGACGCAAGGGCAAGATCAACCTGCCTGGCTTCCATGACCCGGTCCGGCCCCTGACAGAGGCCGAGCAGAAGCGATTCGAGGCGATTGCCGATGTCTTGCTACCTCAGCACCCCGAGATCCCCGACAGCCAAGCCCTGATCAAGTCGCTGATGTACCGTTGGCGCGAGCCATCGCTTACCGTCCACTCGATGGAAGTGCCCGGCAGCAGGAGCGGCACGACCACCATTGCCCGCCGGGCCAAAGCAAGCGTCTCCATCCGCATTGTCCCGGATCAACAGGCCGACGAGGTCGCCGCCAACCTGACAGCCTTTGCGCAGGAGCAATTCGATCTCCTCGAATCCCAGAACGAACTCACCGTGGAAATCACCGGAAAATCCGATGCCTGGCTCGGAGACCCGGAGAACGAGATTTTCGCCACGCTCTCCGAGGCCATCACCGCCGCATGGACCCGCGACCAGCAGACCTCGAAATACCAGTATCCCGCTCCCCAACCCAGCACCGGCCGCACCACCCCGACTCCCACACCCGCTGGCCCCGCCAGCCAACTCCTGCGCAAAGACTCCTCCGACAGTCTCGCCTCCCACGTCGATCGGGTCATCACGTCCACAACCACCTCCTCCGGGGGCAGAGCGGCCGCCCGCAAGCGCGCTGCCCAAGGCACCGCGCCCGTCCCGACCTCCTCCACCCTCGCCAAGTCCGCTTCCACACCCTCCGACGACTCTACCACCCTCCCCATTCGAGCCAAACCAGACCAGCAGCCATCCTCGACCGCCAAACCCGACGCCCTCGCCTCTGCGGCACCCGTGCACCCCATTTTCATCCGTGAGGGTGGCTCCATCCCGACCATCCGCTTCCTGGAGAAGGAGTTCTCGGCGCCCGCGGCGAATCTACCCTGTGGGCAGGCTAGTGATAATGCCCATTTGGATAATGAGCGTATGCGGGTTGAGAATCTGTATAAGAGTCGGGAGATATTCCGGTATGTGTTTGCGCACTTGGTTGATAAGACGTGAACACCAGTCCTTGTCGTCTCTGTCCAAAGTTGGTGGAGTGGGGTTCGGAATTTAGCATTTGGCAAATTGGCGTGGTGCTCGGTATCTTTTGCTGTTTTGCGCTTGCTGGGCTTGGGCTTCGGCCTCGGCTTGCAGCTCGCGGCTTTTGTGTAAAGTATAACGTATCCCCTGCATATGATACATCGCGTCGGGTTATTGGTGAAGAAGCTATGGTTGGTCGGGTGTGCTTTCGGAGCGGGGGTTTCGCTATTGACAATGGAATTGTTCGCGATGCGGGTCCTTCCTTTTGTCTGTAGGATGCATGATCTGTGGTGCTGACTGATCCTTCACGGACATCCTCTGCCAGTTTCCGACCTATGAAATTAGAAATTAGATTATGTTCGACCACGGAGCGCCACTTTGCGGCTTCCCCGGGCAGGCGTGCTGCACGCTTCCCCTCTTGGTTTCCCCGCACGAGGTTCACCTCCCGGTGGACGTGGACAACACGATCCACACGCTGCCTCTGCCGTCAAGATTCCCGACTGCCTGGTACGCTGTTTCATATGGACAGTTCTGGGAGCAATCCTCTGATCCTGAGAGTGTTTGTGAGGCCGATTCCGTGCGCCGACGCCCGTCGTTTCTGGTGGCTTCGGGCATGGCCCGACATCGACAACGCGCAGCACATTTGGTGACTGGGAGTGCGATGAAGAGCAGTTCAGCAAGGCAACCCAGTCAGGTTAGGCAAGTCGGCCAACACACACGCTTGGAGTGGAGTCGGCGTTCTTCAGGGCTCGCGCTCTGGCCAATTGACCCATTCGCAACCGCGAACTGCATATCATCGGCCCTTCCCAGAGGGGCCGGATCATGGCCTTGTTGTGATCTGTTCCACCTGCATCAATCAGAAACCCGATATCCATTCCTGATGAGTGTTTGGCAGACTGCCTTGTCTGGGAACATGGTGGTGAGAGCGTTAGCGAAAGTATAACATGCCACAACAAACCACTTCAACCTCCCAATCTCTTCTTCCCATTCACTTCCCGTTTCCTCCTTCCACGGGTTCCCCTCCTTTCCCATACACTTTGTCACTCCCGCGGACAACGCCAGTCGAAACAATGGGTGATTGCGGACCGGATGACCCCTATTTTCTAGGCCGGGATGAGGCCGAGACCGAACGGTATGTGTATGCTTCTTTCCCTGGTTGGGAGCCATTTGCAAGACCCCAATGCCACACCGTCGTGAGCCCGCCCCCCCCACGACACCACCGTTTCCTTCCCCCTTTACGCTAGTCACAAATTGGCGTGAATCCTGCTGGCTGGCTTATCTATCAGCACCTTTCACGACTCCCACTGCCCCTCCATGACACCGTGGCGGGCGGAGCTCCGGTTGCCTTCCCTTAGGTTATGGGCCCTGCAGGGGTCCCGACACTATGGCATCCAATCTGCAGCCGCGCCCACTTGGTGCACGCGGTTCCCCCCTCGCACTCGGCCTGACAGCGCTGATCCTGGTGCTAATCATGTTTCCAGGCTCAATCAGCAGCATCGCTTTTTGCTTGCCATCTCGGGCGGCGAATTGATTCACCCTTCCATTCCGAAGGAGACAATTTCTGCGGTCGCGGATATCGGCGCCGGCACTGGGTACGTTGATGGCTCGGCACGCTCCAACTTCTGGCAATGCTTGCAGGAGCCTGGAGTGGCATCTGATGTGGAATGGATGCGAAGATGCACCGAACATCCCACTGCTCGGAGATTTCTGCTGTGTGATGCACCAACTGACAGCCATCGCAGGGTCTGGCTAGCGGATCTCGCCACCATCCTCCCGAATACACCACTCGACCTACACGGCTTCGACATTTCCGCGGCACAGTATCCTCCGGACAGCGTAATTGTAGTTCCCGGAAAAGCACGAATTCCGCTTGCCGTCCACGATGCCTTGGTCCCATACCCGCCCGAGCACCTCGGGCGCTATGATCTCGTACACATCCGGCTTCTGACAGCCGGTCTGAAAAAAGGCGACTTTCCGGTCGTATTAAGGAATGCGCGAAGTCTACTGAGTATGCGCAACCCTGCATATCCCCAACCAGTGGAGAGTGTTTGAAGGACACATGCTGATTGTGCTCCACAGAGCCAAATGGCTACATCCAATGGGAAGAAGTCGACACCACCACATTCTGCACCAACCAGGAGCCTGAACTCCCTGCAATCACGACAATGCGTAACACGCTCATCGACGCGATGCTCAAACTCGGTCTCTGGCCATACGCACCCCCCACCGTCTACGAGGAAATATGCGCAGGAGGCTTCCACAAGATCTACCGGGAAACCTACACGACCGAAGGCAAGGAGGACTTGCGCACGATCGCGCCCAAGTGGGTGGCTGGTGTGATGCGGGCGCTTGTACCGTCATCCATGGTCGTGCTAGGGCAAGCCGAGAATGACGAGGATGCGAAGACCCAAGTAGAAACCCTGATTGCCGAGTTTGAGGAGCACTGCAAGTCGGCACTTGCGCTGGCTAGCTTTGGCGTTACGGCGGCGCAGCGGTGCGAGTGATTTCAGAAGATAGTGCCGACACTCTGTCGAATTGAGCGGTTGCAAATGATCGTGTTGGCTGCCGCACGCTTGCTTTTTCCCAACTCTCCCACAACCGAAATAGGAAATTAGTTTTTCATGGCTCTTGCCCAACAAATGCAAAGCTGTATCAACTCACAGGGCTATGGCTATGAGAGATTCCATTGGTGCCCGTCAGGACGTCAGCAAGGACCATGCTGCACTCTCCTTCCTAGCCTACACAAGAAACAGAGAAGGGCAATTTCACGGGGTTTGCTATGCTCTACAGCTGATCTCCTTCCGCTCATAGCCGTTTCCCCGGAAAGACCTACTGGCCCACAAGCCCTCCACATCCCGTAAACTATCAGTGATGTAATGATCAGTATCTTTTACCGGCTGTCTATACGCGTAAGCGCAACTATTTCCATCAGGGACTGTCCTGGGTCTGTACAAGGAAAGAGACAATTGCTTATTTTCCAATGCGTCCATTGATCAGGTTGGGGGATCCCACCCTTTGACAGCGGACCTTTAGCTCCTGTCCACCAGTAAATACTTTGGAAAGAGCTGACATTTACATGCACCTCGGCCTCGCCTTCAATTTCTTCCTTGGAAATAGCAGATCGACTCAAACCTGGATCCAAGCCGGACTTATCACTAAATTCGTCAAAATCATCCCATCCACATAGCTCTAGTCCAGCCTTTGTGGGATTCACCGCTGCCATGCTTCCTGCATATCCATATCCTGCTAGCAACACGCCCGCCACTATCACTGGCTCCCGAGTCACTAGAACAACAGTTTCTTCGGTCCGATCTGCCGCTGGTTGTGTAGTTCTCGATGCATTCCTCATTACTTAGGCATTCGAAGGTACCGCTGAGGATGCTGGAGCACAGAAGGGTGGTGTTCCAAGCAAGTCCTTCCTCGGGCCAGCAGGCTTGCTCTTCATGAAGGGATGTCGGAGATGAATTTGAGACAGAATCTAGCGCACCAAATGCTGGGTAAGAGTTGGTATGGCATTGAGAGAGATGTAAATGACGGTTGAACCTGATGTGCTAGGTCAACCTCATATGGCTGCAACGGATCTGTGCAGTTCAGCTGAACTGACATCATCTGCATTATTGTGGGAGTCTCGCCGTTCTGATCATTGTGGCCGGTATTAATACCAGTGTACCTGATTCCAAAAGACAGGGTGCCCTGCAAACCCGCAGAGGGCATGGCCGGGCCAGCTGTTTTGGGAGAAAACCCATGTCGCGGCCACGTAATGTCAATCGTAGCTAAGCTTTCTCGTGATCCTGAGCTTTGCGCTGCTCTCCTGATCCATTTCCGAGAAAGCTACCAACTATACTCCGCAAGGAACGGCTCCCACAATTTGACCACTCAGGGCGGATTGAAAAAGGACGCTTATGGTAAGTGTGCGAGATCATCGTGAACTAGGATCAGCCTGGACTCTGCTAGAAGAAACTTCAAAGTGAACAACAGCGTTAGAGATACGTGCGACATTTTCACTCCTGGCGCGGTCACATCTCGGTCCGTTATACTCGGTGACTTGGTTCACCAGGACGAGGACCTCGAGGTCAACAGAAATGCCACGGGATTATTGTTTATCTAACGGAATTTCGGTTCATAGGCTCTGTTCACAGCTTCCACTGGATAGTGAAGATGAGAAAACAATGTTCGATGGCTTCTATTTACACACCAAATCGTGAAGCAGATGAGTCCAACATTAATTCACCACTAATACAAAGTCCCCACAACGCCGTTGCTAAGCCCATCAAAGGGGCCTGTAATGTCTGCGGCCGTAGAAAGAGAACACGAATTATAAATCAATCCCCTCTTGGATCTCAGCGTTGGGGTCTCCCTATGCCGGGCGACCTGGTTTCTCTTGGAGGTGATCTTGCTCGATCGGGCTGCTGGGAACGTCTTCACCACCATGATCATTCTTCCAAGACCCAGCGTAGTGATGCTCAACGAGATACGGCCCCCGGTCTGTCGGCCACCCGCCTTGCATGGCGGCAAAAGCAGCATTGGGAAGGACGAGCACATCATGCAGAAGAACGGGCTCGTGCAGGTTCGATATATTCGGCCATCCTACAGGCTCCCCGAGTTCGGCAGATACACTGCGCAGGATTGCACGCGTCATCGCCTGCGGGCCCGTGACATCCACCACATCGCTGATTGTCTTCATCGTCAGTCCGGAGATGATCGTGTTAGCCTTCTCGGCCTCATCCTCCAGCGTATCCATGATGTATTCAATAGCCGCAGCGATGTGGCTTGTTTTCGGCTTCGCCATGACCGTCCAGCTGGCGAACTGGCTCCCGTCGAACTCAAGGCCAACCACGACATTGGCCCTGTTCCGGAATTGAGGGGGGATCCATGACTCGATGGGTTTGTGGCAAGTCACGTCGAGGTCGCTCCAGACGCCGCCGTCGGCGTAGAGGATCAATTGCCGAAGGAAGTCGGCTCTGAGAATCGGGACTTGCAGGTCTTGGTAGGTGTCGAGGATGTCGGGGAATTTGGCGTATTGGTCGCGCACGTATTGATCGGCACTCCCGTCGGTGAAGACCTCGTGCCGGAGGTTGGGGTTGTGCTTTTGCCATGATTTGATATTATTCTGGGAGTTTTCATCGATGCCGTGCGGGCCGGCTTTCTGCCATAGCTTCGACGGGAAATGGGACCGAACCAGCTCGTGGTAGGGTTTGACGGGGAGATAATATGCTTGGGTTGGCTTAGAAGGCGAAGGCGAAGGCGAAGGCGAAGGCGAAGGCAAAGGTGAAGGTGAAGGTAAAGGTGAAATGAGTGTGATGCCTTCACGGGGGGATGATTGCTCCAACACTGGCGAGGAAGGAGTGGAGTCGGTGTCGTGGGGACACGGGCATGTACCGTATGCGAGAGTCAGGCTCGGCACCGAGGCCTTCAGGCTTGAAGAAAACCAGAGAAGAGATGCGATGCATAACAGCAACAGAGCCAATAGATAGTACGACGAGCGCGCCATGTTGGGCAATAATATGCGCCCCCCTGGGTAGAGGAGGGGGCTTGGAATGAAGGGATGGCCGTAAGGGAAGAGATATCTGGCCGACCAGGAGAAAGAAGATGCCTCAGTTCTCGACAGCCTCAGCTTCTCTTGGTCATTGCTTTTGGAAGCTGTGAATGGCCACTTGCCCGAAAGTGTCGCTCTGAGTGGTCAGTTCCAGAGTCCTCGGCGTCAATGGAGCGGCTACGCCCTGCAGATTCTGTCAGCCTGGGTGTACTGATCCTCAGGATCCATGGCAAAGATTCGTATTTAGAATTTGGCGAGTGCATGAAAGAACAGCGTCGTCAAATATATGAGATGGATGGTGGTGTACATACCGATGAGCACCGTTTGGACGAAAACGGCGGAGATGGATGCAACACATTGTGACTATTGCGACCTGGAACTAATCACATTTGCAGTATGGGCTTAGTCGGCAGAGTGTGATGGAAATAGCAGAGTTGGCCGGACAAAGATAGGGGTCGATCCACTTACGCCTTCGGCGGTGGGTCGTGTACAGCTGAAGTTCGGGTACGAGGATTCGAAGTTATGGAGGATCTAAGTTTGCGCACATTCCCCCCGTAAGGCTATAGCACGGAGTCAGTCAGCGTGGATAGACTTGAACTATTTGACGAAACTCATAAATTTCATGCTGACTGAATCTGGTCCTTACGCTACAGGGGGGAATGGTGTCGTCGACTGCGAAGGAAATGTGACCTATGGATGCGTCGGCGGTTCTACAGCCAATGATCCCCGTGCGATGTCTGAGACCCTTACGACGGCGCTCAGCCACTCGTAAAGTGGATGGGCCATTGGACCCCTGTGGATCGAAATATTGACTCGTATTGGGATTGATTGAAAGCTTGAATTCGCCAATCAGTTCGAAAGAGGAAGTTGTTTATCTCGTGTTCTTATTGGACACGTGTCCAGATCGCTCCTGCAGACAAGGGATCATTACTATTACTATCTATCCGTCCCATAAACCTGATCAACCCAGTCTGGTCAACAAACCGCTCCACCTTTTATTCTGTGGATGCAATTGAATTCCAAATGCGAACTAGCTGGACCCAAGCGAGAGCTCATTGCCCAAACCGGCTAGGGCAATTGCGTGATCGCTGAGATAATCCCCCGCGATGATGTAGCCGGTCTCCCAGCACAAACCTCCGGGGGAAACAACCTCCAATTCACATTCGACATGGCTGCTATGATCGCGTCCCAGATGGCTTTCCGGGCCTTCAGAGCTGCCCCGAAGGCTGCACCCTGGGCCAGTCTCTCTGCCCAGCTGCCTCGGGCTCAGCCTGCCTTCCGCCGGTTCTTCGCGGCTCCCACCCAGGAGCAGCCGCGGCTGCGCCTGGGCTCGACTGGTATGTCTGGATGGAATCGTATTAACCGTTGTGCTTTAATTACATGCTAACAAGAATGGATGATAGCCCCCAATTTCACGGCACTGACCACCAAGGGCGAGATTGATTTCCACGAGTTTATTGGCGACAGCTGGACCATCCTCTTCTCCCACCCGGCCGACTTCACCCCCGTCTGCACCACCGAGCTGGGTGCTTTTGCGAAGCTGAAGGATGAATTTGAGAAGCGCGGTGTGAAGATGATTGGCCTGGTTAGTCGAACGTTGCTTTGCGCGATTGTGGTTCCGATCTAACATGGGCCCTTCTCCGCTAGAGCGCAAATGACCTCGGGTCCCACGGCGAGTGGATCAAGGACATCAACGAGGTCTCCTCTACCGAAGTGCAATTTCCCATCATCGCGGATGCCGACCGCAAGGTCGCCTATCTGTACGACATGATTGACCAACAGGACTTGGATAACATCGACCAGAAGGGCATCGCCTTCACGATCCGGTCCGTTTTCATCATCGACCCGAGCAAGAAGATCCGCCTGACCATGATGTACCCTGCCTCGACCGGCCGCAACTCTGCCGAGGTCCTCCGTGTGATTGACTCCCTCCAGACTGGCGATAAGAAGGGCGTTACGACCCCGATCGACTGGCAGGTCGGCGACGATGTCATTGTGCCTCCCTCCGTCTCCACCGCGGATGCGAAGAAGAAGTTCGGCGAGGTTCGCGAGGTTAAGCCCTACCTGCGTTACACTAAGATCTAAAGGCCGATCTGTAAGATGAATTAGCACATGTAAATCAATTTTAGAGAAATCGACTATGGTTCCGCAAATAACATTGTCCAGAAATGTGGGTCTGGCGGCCGTGATTGTCTTGCAACCCGCACCCAACGGGTTTCTTGCTGGATGGGGTAAACCCGGGGTAAATCTCTGGGGCATACCGAGTATTGCATCTGAGACATGCGGAAGCCTGCTGCGTCAGGTCTGCACGCTTGTTGCCCACTCCTGCCCAGCTTGCGGGGGTTACCCCTGGTGGGCGCCCTTGAACGGAAGTGATAGGCCGCGCTGCGCGGGTCGCTCATAGTGCTTGCTGTCTGCCGTCAACACCTGCGCCAGCTTGACGCGGCCTGATGCCGAAGCGAGTGCTGATTTCCACCTATGGCAACTTTGAATTATGGTTATCCGTCCTTGGCTTTGCAAGCGTATTCACCACGGACGATGTCGCCGAGGACGATCCAATCCAATGAGCAGAGATCGTCTGCAGAATACTCCGGTATGGCACGTGGATATCACGATGGGGGTTCCCCCTCCTTTTCTCGAGGGATAAAGGGAGTCGCCCTTGAAATCACACCTCGATATCTTCATCTGGATCATCTTGCTTTCCCTGCCCTAAGCCGCACACGGCGGGTTGGTCGTTGCAACTGGTCTACCGTGACCCGTACCCCATATCTTGCTGGACGCCATGGCTCCTTGGACGCGGCTGGCACTTGTGCCTCTTCTTGCGCAGGCTGTGACCGCAACTCCGGTGCCAGATGCAGCATCCGAGGACGCTGTGCAACTGGACCAGCGTGACTCGGTCCCCGAAGGGTATGAGTCTCCACCATACTATCCCACGCCTTATGGCGGTTGGGCATCCGACTGGGCTGAGGCCTACGAGAAGGCACAGCAGGTAGTTGAGAACATGACCCTCGCGGAAAAAGTGAACTTGACAACCGGCACGGGTATCTTTATGGGCCCTTGTGTTGGCCAGACGGGAAGCGCGCCTCGATTTGGGATCCCGAATCTGTGTTTACAAGACTCGCCACTGGGAATCCGGAACACGGATCATAACACCGCGTTTCCGGCTGGAATCACGGTGGGTGCAACCTTCAATAAGGATCTGATGTACGCTCGGGGCGTTGGCATTGGCCAAGAAGCTCGTGGGAAGGGAGTCAACATCCAGTTGGGTCCCGCTGTTGGACCCCTTGGGCGCAAGCCGCGTGGAGGCCGTATCTGGGAGGGCTTTGGTGCAGACCCATCTCTGCAGGCAATTGGTGGCGCGCAGACTATCAAGGGCATGCAGAGTACTGGTACTATTGCAACAATCAAGCACTTCATCGGCAACGAGCAGGAGATGTATCGAATGAGCAGTGTGCTCTCAAAGGGCTATTCGTCCAATATTGATGATCGCACACTGCATGAGCTTTATCTTTGGCCCTTCGCTGAGGGTGTTCGTGCTGGAGTCGGGTCTCTCATGACTGCGTATAATGATGTAGGTTTCAGTGTTTTTGTGGACTTGCGACATTGGACTAATCGCATTTTAGGTCAATGGCTCGGCATGCAGCCAGAACAGCAAGCTCATCAACGGCATCTTAAAGGATGAGCTGGGGTTCCAGGGATTTGTCATGACCGACTGGCTGGGGCACTACACTGGCGTCGGAGCTGCCCTATCCGGACTTGACATGAGTATGCCTGGCGATGGAGCCGTACCATTGTTTGGCGACAGCTACTGGGGTTCTGAGCTGTCACGGTCTATCCTTAATGGCAGTGTTCCGGTCCCAAGACTCAATGATATGGTAGGTGGACATTATACTTCGAAATTCAGTGAACTCATAGTTCTATTCTGGGCCCATGTTAACAGAAACCATAGGTAACTCGTATCGTGGCTACGTGGTACAAAATGGACCAGGATGCAGATTATCCTTTGCCTAACTTCTCGACCAACACTGAAGATGAAACCGGCCCTCTTTACCCAGGTGCTTTGTTCTCCCCCTCGGGAGTCGTCAATCAATATGTCAATGTGCAGGGTGATCATAACATCACTGCACGTGCTGTCGCTCGCGAGGCCGTAACCTTGCTGAAGAACGAAGACAACATCCTTCCTCTTCAAAAGAATGACTCCTTAAAGATCTTCGGCACTGACGCAGGTGGCAACTCTGATGGACTGAACTCGTGCAGCGACCAGGGCTGCGACAAGGGTGTCCTTACCATGGGCTGGGGCAGCGGCACCGCCCGGCTGCCTTATCTCATCACTCCCCAGCAAGGGATCGCAAACGTGACTAATAATGCGGAGTTCTACATCACAGACTCATTTCCGTCTGATGTGACGGCGTCTGCGAATGATATCGCGGTTGTCTTTATTAACGCTGACTCGGGCGAGAACTATATCACCGTTGAGGGCAACCCTGGAGACCGTACCGACGCTGGGCTGTATGCCTGGCATAACGGCGACGAGCTGGTAAAGGCGGCAGCAGCGAAGTTCTCCAATGTCGTTGTGGTGGTTCATACCGTTGGCCCTATCCTGATGGAAGAATGGATCGATCTCGAATCTGTCAAAGGCGTGCTTGTTGCGCACCTTCCCGGCCAGGAAGCTGGCAATTCTCTCGCGGATGTTCTCTTTGGCGACTACAGCCCCAGCGGCCATATGCCATACACCATTCCTCGCAGCGAGTCTGATTACCCGGACAGCGTAAGCATTATCGATCAGCCTTTCGGCCAAATCCAGGATACCTATACCGAGGGTCTATACGTGGATTACCGGCATTTCATAAACGCCAACATCACTCCCCGTTATCCGTTTGGTCACGGCCTTTCTTACACTACCTTTAATTTCTCGAATCCTTCCATGTCCGTGGTGACAGCGCTCGATACCGCCTACCCTGCTGCTGCACCCGCGAGAGGGGCCACGCCAGTATATAACGATTCTATCCCAGCAGCCTCAGAGGTTGCCTGGTCCTCGACCACGTTCACCCGTATCTGGCGCTACCTGTACCCTTACCTTGACAACCCCGAATCTATTACGGCGTCGGACGACTACCCTTATCCGGACGGGTATACGACGACCCCGCATGCGGAGCCACGTGCCGGTGGTGGCCAGGGTGGAAACCCTGCCCTTTTCGACACGGCATTCTCCGTCCAGGTCAATGTTAAGAACACCGGCTCGCGGCCCGGCAAGGCTGTCGCCCAGTTGTATGTTGAATTGCCTTCTAGCTTGGGCCTTGACACGCCATCGCTGCAACTGCGGCAGTTTGAAAAGACCACGACGCTTGTCCCCAACCAATCCGAGACGTTGACACTCGAAATCACGCGGAAGGATGTGAGCGTCTGGGACGTCGATGCACAGGACTGGAAAGCGCCCGTCAATGGCCAGGGCATCAAGCTCTGGGTTGGTAACAGCGTGGCTGACCTTCCAATTCTCTGTGTTGTTGGTGGAGACTGTTCCTTCCAGTGAACATTTTACACATTCTTTGTCCTCATTCTGTTTCTTTCTTGTTCTGTATATCTCACAATTTTTTCCCGGTACTGTCTTATGCTGAATACTGCCAGTACTCGACCACTGCCTTCTTCTCTCTCTCTTTGGATTGTGTATATACCAGAGCTCGCAGCATATAATTTTGTTTGTTATTTCCTTGCTCAAAAATAGAGAAAAAAAAGCAGGAACACTATGCTCAGATGGCAACAGGCTGTATATCCTGAACGACTGTCCTCTTTTCCTGGTTAAGTCCAGTCACTGTCTCCACATGCTCCTTGTTCAAGCGGGCCTTCAAAATAAAGGCTGAAAGGAAAAGACCAACGGCAGACATGCAGGTATACAAAATCCACATATTCCTCAGGCTCCACGCAAAAGCCTCTTTCACTGCTAAAAGCTGCGTCGTGTTCCTGATTTGGCCAATGTACTCAATATTCGCGGCCGCAGAGTTGCCCGTCATACGGTCAGCCAAGCTCTCCGACATACCTGTTGCCAACAGGCTAGGCTTCATCTTGCCCATACTGTTCTGGAAAACAACACCGCCAAGAACGATCGACGAGGCGGTGGCCATGTTGCGAATGAAGCCCAGGGTGGCTGTCGCTGTCGCTGTGTCATCTTGGGAAACCATAGCTTGGATGGCAATGATGGGTGTTTGGAAGAGGAAGCCGGCGCCAATGCCGCTGAGGAGCTGGTACCCAACAATCTCTCCCAGCGAGGAGTCCACGTCAAGGTGGATGTACAGCCCGTTCCCAATTGTCATCAGGAGCATACCGATCCAGATCAGTTCCAGGTATCTACCGGTCCTGTGGATGATTGCACCAGTGGCAATGCCCGAGAAGGCCTCGGCGAGAGGGAGCGGGAGAATCAAAACACCCGACCGCATAGGAGATGCTAGCTTCACGGATTGCAGGTAGAGAGGCATATAATATTCGCCCGCAATGAAAACCTATGAATCGATTAGTCAAGGTCGGCATTTTTGCTCCAAGGCACTCACGAATCCATGCGCAAAGGTTACGCCCAGAATGGCAACGTTAGATAGCCGGGAGAAGAGATTGAGGGGCATCAGGGGATATTTCGCAAGTCGCTTCTCACTGTAGATAAAGAGCAGAGAGCAAAACGAGCCGAAAATGATCAGGCAAATGACTTGAGGTGAGCTCCAGGCAAATGTTTCTCCACCAAAATCAAGCCCAAGGAGAAGCATCAATGTGAGGCCGAGAATAGACAGGCTGCCAAACCAATCAATGGCTCTGACACCGTCCATGATTTTAGTCTTGGGGTTGTGCACATCCAAGAAGAACAGCAAGAGGATGAAGGTCAACCCGGAGACAGGTACATTAATCCAAAAGTTCCACCTCCAGGAGACATACTGCGAGAAAGCGCCACCCATCAGCGGCCCAATCCCACCGGCAAAAGCCCACATGAACTCCATCAGTCCAAGGTAGAGGCTTCGGTGTCTACAAACATATTAGTGTCAGCCCAAGGATTTACCGCGGACAAATATCATACCGAACACTGAAAAGATCCGAGATGATGATCGTGATGAGCTGCAGCAGTCCACCACCAGCAATACCCTGCAACGCACGACCAGCAATCAACATCTCCATATTGACTGCAACCGCGCAGAGTATGGAACTGAGGAAGAACCAGGCCACAGCAATCAGCAGGATCAATTTACGGCCCCAGATATCCGAGAGCTTGGCCCAGATGCAAGCACCGGCCGCATTGGCCAGCAAGTAAGCACCGCCGATCCAGGTATAACCCGCCGCAGAGTGCAACTTGGCTGCGATTGTCGGGATAGCCGTCGCCAGAATGGTCTGGTCTAGCGCAGCAACAAGCATTGCCAGCTACATTCCTGTCTTAGAAGCATGAAGCAAAACAGATCGGGATTTCGGGGTTTTTCTTACGGAGAGTGCAGTCATGATGGCGACAATGCGAAGCTTGCCCCGGGCTGCGGGAGACGCCTCGATCACTTCCATGTCAGCGGCCATTCTTCCCCCTCACAAGAGCTGTTTCTGCTCAATCCCAAGGAATTCGCCTTTGTCATGTACTGAAGCTGTCAGAGATTGCGGGGGCCCTGAAAATATTTTGCTGGGCCCCAGACCCGGCTGCGTGGTTCCTATCGGAGTCAAGTGGGGCCCGGAAGACGCCGCGGCATCGAATCAGCCGGATGGACTATACGATCGAGGTCTAGCCGACGCTGGGCATGAGTCACTCCCTTTTCTGATCGATATTATTGAGACTAGCAGGGTTATGAGAATGCAACCTTGCGACCTTCCTAGCCGCCTAAAGAACGTATGAGTTGGGAATCGCAGGACCGTAGAGCCATCTCCGAATACTTTCTCACGCGCTAATGCAGGGAACGATGGTTGGGAAGGCGAAAAGATCAAGGAATCAAACATCGAGGTGCATAGCAAAGCCTAGATTACCCTGTAAGTGTGATACGATATCATGCCAGTGGCGCGGGAAGGCTACGAAACGATGAGCCTTGGGCAATTTTATAAGATCTTCGTAATTACCGGATACATAGGGAAATATGGAACTGAGGGGAGAATATCGGATGGGTGGCTAACTTTTGTTGATGAAGGAATTGGGGGGAAAGTGGGAATGCACTCAGAGTGTGGAGAGACCGGGTGAGATATTCGCGGGGTAAGAAGGTACCTATTTTACAAGATCAAAATAGCGTCATGATAGAGGTGCTGGAAAAGTGTGTTTCGTGTGTAAGCCATCATGTCCCATTTCATTACCGTTATTTAAACAGGCCATATAGGCCATCCATGATCTACGAGGCTTAGACACGCTCCAGTATCACTATTAAAACGTGCGGTGTCCGTAATGATTCCCAATTTGGACAACATGATTAATCATTTCGGCCATCCACTCCGAAGAAAATGCCCACTTTCAATGCATTGTACAATTGTACCACAAGAACCACAGAATTGATCAAATTGTTGATGAAAGGGAGACAATTGCCGGTGCCAATTGTACCAGCCTCCAAATAATTAGCCTTATAGGACGTGGTGGTGTTGTTAGGTTAGGCCGGCTTTTCCTTTATGGTTCAGCCGGTAATTAAGAAAAAAGTGAAAAGATGAGACTTGGTACTATGTTACGTGCTAGTAAGGAGATTAAAGAATTTGAAGATTAACTTGTAAATCTCAACGAAGGTATCAAGACTGAGAGAGAAGAAGACGAGAGAGAAGTATCTACCTGGAGTTCTCTCCTGAACACCTTCTTGCCAGATCGGGCAGCCTTGCCTCCTACGGCCATGCCTGATGTCTGAGGCTAACGCAATTCAAATCGCATAAATATCTCATGCCGTCACATCGTGCTCTTTGTTTGCAAAGAAGGTCATATTGACCAGAGCTAGTAGAAGAGATAGAACCATATACGTATTGGATGATGTAGGGCAAGAAGAATAGCATTTAGACGTCCTGGATTGCTTTATAGCTCTGATGCGTGATCTTGATCTGTTCTCGTGTGGTGCGGCATTGACATCTGAGAGTCCCAGCGTTTCTCATGAAAATCAAACTTCTCATGTTCATACTGCCTTGCATCCGGCCCAGTCCAAAACCCATGGTCTCTGAGGAGCTTTGCTGCACCGAATTCAGCATTACTTTCCGCCAATTTGATCGCTCGAATGTACTGGCGACGGCCACGTCCCTCAATTGATGCACCTTCATTCAGAAGAAGCTGTAGCATCTCAATGCGGCCGTGTTCCGCAGCGCCCTCCAACGCTGTTCTGCCATATCGCAAGGATTTTCCTGCGTCGACATCTGCTCCCTTTGCAAGCAGTTTGCGAGCAATACCGATATATCCTTTGATTGCAGCGAATTGGAGCGCTGTTCCGCCCCAAAATTCAGCCGCGTCCTGATTAGGATCTGCTCCAGCATCCAATAGCATGTCCACTATTTGAGCACTTCCCTCTTCCACCGCGTCTTGTAATGCCGTTTTTCCATGGTAAGACGAGGCTGGTCGGTTGATGTTTACCCCTGCGTCAAGAAGAACCTTTACTATGTGCCTGTTTCTGGTCTGCACTGCAGTGGAGAGGATTGTTTGTTCTTTGCCATTTGGCATCCGCAAGACGCTCCATTCTATATCAGCACCGAGAGCAATAAAATGCCTTGTTAGAAAGATATCCTGCTTTTCAACCGCGAGCCAAAGTGGCGGATACGCGTTACGCTCTATCTCGACCCCCTGATTCACATCCGCACCCGAACTCAATAAATCCTCTACCCGGGCTTTACGCTTGTAATACAGGGCTGTGGTGAGCGCTCGTCCTTTCTCAACGGCAGTCCATGTTCGGGCATGTAGAAGAGTCCTGAATAACCCACCATCGCGGCAAGTGACTGCTATCTCTAGGATAGAACCGAGCATTGTGTAGTCGATTGTTCCATGCAGCTGGTACAGGAAAATACCGTCCGACCTGCTGTCGGCAACGACTTTGCCTCCGGGGTCAAGATCAATTTCCAAAAAGCGCCGCACAACCATGGGATCATACTGCAAAGCCCTCCCGAAGGCATTTGGGACAGCACAAGGCTGCCGTGACAAATTGTCCAACAACAGTTGTAGAATTCCAGAATTTTTCGGATGGAATTGATCCTGATCGACTGCCCTTGTCAGTTCAAGGTCTCCGATGCTTGCTCCTCGTTCAATCAAAATCTTTGCAAATGAAAGTCTCTCTGGAAAATCCAAGAAGCCAATTGCAGCTTCAAGTGGAGATGTGCAGACCCTAAAAAGATGCAAATGCCACCCAGGCCATCTTTTCGAAAAGCGAGGCCGCTCCTTAGAAGACTTTGCCGTCATAGCAAACGGCTTAAGACCGACATTTTTGGGCTGCTTGTCAACGTTACGATCGAGCAAATATTGGACAAGACCATCATCTTTTCTCCAAGATTTATTGATGATGGCGGACACGAGTATCGGTTGACCATAGCGATGGAAGATTTCAGGCAGCAGTCCAAGCTGTTCCAAGTATATTGCAGTTTTCAAGTTTCCAATTTGAATCAGTCTTTGCCCAGTATTTGTCGCTCCGGCTTGAAGAAGAGATTCTATCATTTCACAATGCCCACCTGCGATGGCTGCGCCGAGGATGGTGTCTGGAGCCTCGCGGTAAATTTCATCCTTCCTTGCGCCCCAACTCAATAGAGAAATTGCAGTGTCAAGATTGTTCATCGCGACATTCTCATACAGAATGGAAGTATAGTAATCCTCCATCTGAGTCGGCTCTACTCCGGCTCCGTGGGAGATGAGAAGCCTGGAAAGTTCGAGATCATCTCTCTCAAGAGCTCGCTGCACGAGGGTCATTCCTTGGATTCCATCACCAGTAGAGACATCTGCACCCGCGGATAACAGACGTCGTGTTAGATTGGTGGCGCCATATCCAACCGATAAAACGATTGGGGGGATATACCGATCTGATGCTTCTTGGTGGTTGATATTTGGATGAGCTTCCAAGAGAAGATCGATTATGTCGTCGTTACCTTCCCTGATCGCGAGTCCAAGTGTTGTTGACGTGAAAAAGCCATTTTCGCTGAACCTCACACCATCGATCGCGTCAACATCTGCGCCTAAGCCAAGCAGATACTTTGTCAGAGAAGCATCGTTTCGGTATACAGCAAGTCCGAGGATTGAAAAGGCGCCTGAGGCCCGTTTGTTGATATCGGGGTCAACATCAAGGAGCACCGAGAGAAGGTCGGGAGCTCCCGTTTCAATCGCGGCCCCTAGTGCCTTTCCTGATATAGGAATATTTCGAGCCAGAAAAGTTTTGACCAGCTCAATATTTCTTGAGCGGATTGCTTTGCAAAACGCCCCTTCCATCACTTCGGTATCCTTGAGCCCAGAGCCATAGGAGAAGAACAAGTTGCACATGTCAAGGGCTGCTCGGGGGTCTCTGAAGCTGGAAACCAGTATCAAAGGTGGCATAAGTAATCCCTCATGGAAAATCGGGGTATCAGGGCTCATTCCAGCTTCCAAAGCCATGCGAACCGTTCTTATATCCTGAGATCTCACCGCGCTCGCAAAAAGCTTGTGCGATATGGCATGTGCTGTTGCTCCGGGGAGGGACAGTAGATATTCGAGGTTGCTGACGGTATCCAGGCCGGATAGATAGAATATTGCCATGATCGTTTGATCTTCCTTGCTGATTCTGGGCTCTCCTAGCTTCCCATCATCCGAGTATCCATCCAAGGAGATATTTGACCGTGAACACTCATCAGGCTCACCGATTTCAAATCCGTTGGAAAGCAGGAAAAGAGCCACTTGTAAGCGCTCCACAGCATCACTGCCACCTCTGAGGCTACAAAGACGTTCGGCTAGGTGAAGGTTTTGACCTTCGTTTTGTTCGGGCATTATTGAACTCAGAGCTGCTGCTACTCTCGAGATATTGCGTCCAGTGCGCAGCACTTTGGCATGGTTTCCGATCATAAGTGAACCGAGAGAATTGATGAGACCGCGTTCAATAACTTTGGAAGGTAGCTCTTCTTCTTGAACCCCTGGAAGATGACCCAGTGAAATAGATGAGTTGCCTACATCAAGTTAGTGATCAACAATCTCAACAAGTATAATGTTGAGTCTTACTATGGCCATTTTGTAACCTGCTCAGCGCAATATTGGAGAAAATGAACCATGGGAGATTCGGTGGCCATGTAATCTGCAAGATCGACGGACCAGGAGAGCAGACAATAAGTCCTTCAGGGGTTGGGGATAATGATTCTATATTGTGTCAATCATCTATGTTGAGCATACATGACATCTGCGCAGGCTCACCTCGACGATACTTGTCAATCTCTCTCTGAAAACCCTGTCGATGAATCTCAAACTGCACGGTTTTTTGAGGGTAATAGACCCCATCGAACCAAACTTCGAGGTTCTGTCCTTCTGCTGCCCTCTTTTGCATTTCTCGGTTGACGTGTCTCCACTTGATAGCGCCCATGCGATATTTCTTGAACCCCCATTTCTTAAGCCTTGCCGTGTATTGATTTTTCCTGCATGATATAAGAAATTGACCGATCTTAGTCCACAGAGGCATGGGAGTCCATACGTTTTGCGAAATCCGCGTGTTTTTTCCATGAACTGCAAGACCGCTTCTAGCTTTTTGTTCTCTCTGAGGTAAAGGCGCTTGATCTCAGCTTTATGAACCTCCCATTCTGCGTCTGCCATGGTGTCATTTAGCAATGGGACTCTATCAACGGCAGAGTTGAGGAGCAGAGGAACTGAAGAGCGCAGCCGGAGCTGAGTCAAATATTTACGTTGGCACAGTTTAAGTATTTATTCGCATGCGGGCTATGGCGGAGCTGAGGCTCAGCGAGGTATTCGGGGGCTGTAAACCCCTGATTTCCACGTCATCACCGCCACATTACTTAGCAAAACTGACTCGTTACCTACACAAGCACACCCAGTGTGAGGCCCAGGAATATCTAGTTCCTGATTGGATATAATCAAAATTTGGTGAGCCGAGGATGCGCCCGCCCACCTTATTTAGCATGATCGGGTTCATGGGTGGGTGCTAGGGCCCTGTGTGATTGGCTGATATCCAATTTTGGGGTCCACTATGCTGATCGGCGCGGCCGGCGCCAAACCTAGTTCTGCAAAACGGATCTCCGTATGTGCTTCTTTACTCAAGAGCGGGATGTTGATGGAATACGCCGATTGGCCCCTATCCAAATTTGCGATGGAACTGACGTGAAATATTGGACTTTATCAAAATTTGCGATGGGAGGCAAGAAACGTTCACTGACAAGAACATATCTCGGATGGTCTACTGAGGTAGATGAACTGTTCGACCAGGTCACCAACGCCATGATAGCGTTGTATATAAGTGCCCTTTCCGTTCATTCAAGCTCTTCATTCCTTTTTTCTCAAAGCCATAACGCTCTCCAGCTTCAAATTCGTTTCTTTCTAATTATCTCCTTGTCCTCTCCTTGTCCTTAACCCGGCTCAATAGCTTGATCATGTCGTGGGCTTCGTTCGATGTCGATAGCTGTGTGCCCGGACTCTGGACACAAGATCCAGATCAACTGGTTGGATGGCTCTCAGACTCCACAAAAACTCTTGTTCAGCAATCGCTCTTCCCGATATATGAAGGACGGGGCATTCCATCCCCCAATCATTTATTGTACAACCATTCCGTCCAGCGTACCTCAGTACCGCCTCTCTTTTATTATTATACAATGGCCCCAGTCACCTTTCAGGCCGACACGGGAACCTCTGGCGCGATAACGAATGACATTTTATCGGAGTGTTATCAATATGATGGCAAACCCATCCAAAACGGTGACCACCGTCCAAGGGTGGACCATCCCCCAGTGCACACCTATATCGATCAGAGCGGTTGGACATATCAAATGCAGATACCGCAAGTCCAAAATATTTCTTCCAATGATATTAAACCTTGGTATTGTCTGCTTCTTTTGTCGTCCTTAGCAGCTCCGACTGACAATTTAACAGTATCAGATGTCTGTGGAAAGGCTGCAAATACACTGGCGAATTCACAAACGAAGCCTCACTCAAGCGACATATTGAAACACAGCATGTAGCTCCAGGAACATATCGATGCCCAATCTCTAAGTGCCACAAATCATTCAACCGGAAGGATAACCAGGAGGAGCATCTGCGTCGGAAGCATCACACATATCGTTGAGATTTCAGACATTTGAGCTTGTCATCTCAAAAGACTCTCCTTCACAACGGGATTTTGTTTCTGTTTTTCAATTTGGAAGAGGACTTTTTACATTGCTTTCTATCCTATGATAAAGTTCCTTCCTGGGTAGACATCGTCATAACCCTAAAACCCCCAGAAGTAGGTGCAAATAATACAAAGTAGAGTAAACTCGTGACTGCACAATTTACAGTATGCGATCTTCATCTGTATTTTGAAGTATTTTTTGGTATATACATCACATCTACATTTTCTACGTAGAGTCTGACAATAATATTTAGAATTGAGGAATAAATAAGTCTTAATCTAAGTAGGGATTGTGAGGTCCAACTGAATTCGAAAACTACTGTATAGGCCAACTGGCTGGTCACTACTCGGCGTGACACCGGTCCAAGTGTCACAATTTCATCAGGGCCAACGCTACCAGATACTGCCAGCATATGCCCAAGACGGTATCATTCTATCTCGTATTTCCAAAGGTGAAACCGATGCGGCGTTCATTGAATTGTTTATTGAGCAGCTTCTACAACATTATGGGAGGTGGCCGGAGCCAAAATCCATGCTTGTTATGGACAACGCATATTTTTACCATTCCACAAGGCCCAGTTTTAGCGGTGTGAGAATCTGGCATGATGATGAAAGTTCACCGCCGTTTTTGATAACTGTGCGCCCGCTATACATGAGATTATACATGTCCGTTTTCCAGATCGGGAAGTCAGACAGATGCATCCACGATTGACGTCATGCATTCTTCAAAGCCACATTTCAAGGACAGAAATAATCTGGGGTCTGAGGGGGATGTCGATTGCTAAATTTTATCCTAGCAGATCATTTCCCCACCCCCAAAGGAACCGATCATCAATTGAAGCGGCCAGCTACGTAGGGAGTCCGCGGAACACGAGCACACAAAGGACAGACCAGGGAAATGAAGTCCGGCTCGGCCTCCAACAAGGTGGTGTTATACTGGCATCGGACTGATCTGCGACTTCACGACTCCCCAGCACTCCACGCTGCGTTGGCCTTGAACCCGTCTGTGTTCATCCCGATCTGGACCTGGGATCCTCACTACGTCTACCGGTCCCGAGTTGGCCCCAACCGATGGAGGTTTCTCTTGGAGTGCCAGAGCGACTTATCCCACTCATACTCCCAGCTCAATTCCAAGCAGAAGCTGTGGGTCGTGCGGGAAGCACCGCTGACCGTCCTTCCAAAGCTCTGGAAGCAATGGGACATCACCCATCTCGTGTTCGAGAAGGATACGGACTCCTACGCACGCGACCGCGATGACGCCGTCCTGCGTCTGGCCCACGAAGCTGGGGTTGAGGTGATTGTGAAAATGGGACGAAATCTGTTCGACCCAGATGAGTTGGTGAGGAAGAATGGCGGCAAGCCGACGATGAGCATAAGCCAAGTCGAAAAGGCCGCTGGACAGATCAATCATGCGCAGCCAGACCAGCCGTGGGACACGCCGAAGAGCATCCCCCACCCATGGGAGCAAGACAAGATGGACCTCGGAAGCATGGAACATGAGATTGCAGAGCCCACGCCCGACCTTAATTCAAATCATCGCATTGCCAAAGATACACAATACAGCCTCATCATGGGCCCCAAGAACGACTTTGCCGTGCCGACAATGGAGGAAATCGGCATCGATTCCTCTCTGGCGATCAGTCCCCATCGGGGCGGCGAGTCCGTGGCCTTGACGATGCTGAGCAACTACATCCAAGACGATGAATACATCGGCACATTCGAGAAGCCCAAGACCTCCCCCGCCGCCTTCGAGCCCCAGTCCACGACTCTGCTCTCTCCGCACCTGCACTTCGGCACACTCTCAGTTCGGAAATTCTGGTGGGACGTCCAAGGCGATCTGAACAAGCGCAAGCAAGAAAAGAAGCCCAACGCAACCATCCCCACAAATCTGCTCGGCCAATTACTCTTCCGCGACATGTACTTTGCCGCCCAAGCCGCGGTCGGCGAACCATTCTCGCGAACATACGGCAACAAAGCCGTCCGCTTCATCGACTGGCACTTACAATCGGAGCCCCAGCAAGGCGCAGACAACGTGCTGCCCGCGCGCGCGTACGAAATCGACTCTGCCGAGGCGGAGGAATGGTTCCAACGGTGGAAGACAGGCCGAACCGGCTTCCCTTGGATCGACGCGCTGATGCGCCAGTTGAAACAAGAAGGTTGGATCCACCACCTCGGCCGGCACAGCGTGGCGTGTTTTTTGACCCGCGGCGGGTGCTACGTGAGCTGGGAACGGGGCGCGGAGGTGTTTGAGGAACTGTTGATCGACCGTAAGGCTAGCCCTAACCCCTTCCCCGGCCTCTTCCCCTTCCCGTCCCCGGTTGGAGTCGGGTTGCGTTGGCGTTAGTGCCGTACGGCACGCGTCATGCGCCGCGAAGCTGCGAAGCCGTCACTGATACTGACACGAAAATAGATGAGACGGCCTGTAATGTGGGGAATTGGATGTGGCTGTCGTGCACCGCCTTCTTTTCCCAGTTCTACCGCTGCTACTCTCCTGTTGCCTTTGGGAAGAAGTGGGACCCGAGTGGCGAGTTTGTTCGCCGCTATGTGCCCGAGCTGGCGAGGTTTGATAAAAAGTTCATCTATGAGCCTTGGAAGGCGCCGATCGCCGATCAGAAAAAGTGGGGGTGTAGGGTTACAAATGACGACAGCGCCGGGGACGGACAGGTGTATCCGAAGCCGATGTTTGATTTCGATGAGCGGAGGCAGGTTTGCATGGATCGGATGAAGAACGCGTATGATGTGGGATTACATGGGGCTGACGAGCAGGTCTTGAATGGGTCTTGGAGGCAGCTGTTTGGGGAGGATGGGGACGACCATCAGGGGCCAAAGGCAAAAAAGCAGAAGACCCTGGAGGGAGATTGAACAACAAGAAACGCGATCGGTTTCTTTTTTTCTCTTTTCTTTTCGGGGTAATGATTGGTAGTTTGGGGGTCTCATTAAATCCGATAGAAAAAGCTATTAGTGAGCGTATGGACTCGTAATGCATTATATACATGGAACACCTAGAAGAAGAACGAGTAGACAAAAATCAAAATAGAGGCAACCGTGGCAACCGTGTACTCCAATTCGAACCAGGCGGCTTGCCCGCCAAATGCAATCTTCTTGCTCTTCTTCGTCGGGTGCGCAACGCCGGTCTTCGGGTCCCGGGTCAACAGCTCCTCTCGCTCCGGCATCGATGGCGGGTCGATGGCGTAGGAGACCGGCGTCCACAGCGAAGTGCAGATGAAGAGGAAGGTCAGGGGAGGCCAGAAGGCGTGGGTGATCAGGCAGATCACCACCCCTTTGAAGCCGCTCTCCGTCGCGAAGCAGCGGTAAGTGGAGATGACCACCGCGACGAGGGTCACGTAGACGAAGGCGAAGTGGAAGAGGGCCATGAAATTGAACAGGATGACGCGCATGCGGACGAACATGTTCTTCCGCTGCTTGGGGTCCCGCTCGTTCAGGGCAGAGCCCAGCGAGCCGGTCGGCTTGAAGGCCTGGGTCTGGCCGCCGAGCCACGTGGGAAGCATGAAGGACCGGACAATGCACAGGGCAATGTACGGCGACATCCAGAGCTGGTAGCGAGAGCCTCGCTGGCCGGTGTGGTAGCCGGCGGGAATGAACAGCGCGAACTCACACAACCGGTTGGCGATAGTCGTTGCGAAGCAGGACCAGATCAGCCAATGCAGCTGGTCCTGGTTCGCGTAGGCGACGAGCTGCTTACCCCACAGCAGGATGACCGGAATGGCAAACAGCGACGCCGTGAGGAGAAGCGTGTACAGACTGAGCGTCGCATACAAGAAACCGGAGAAGCGCTGGGCGACAGTCATCTTACGCACGGCATCGCCCCACAGACAGAACTTCAGCTTGAAGGCCGTGTCGACGGTTCCAATCGCCCAGCGAGTCCGCTGCTTGAGATGGCCACCATAGTCTTCGGGCACAGTACCAAATTGCAGCGGCTCGTGGATGTACGCGGTCTTCCACCCCTTGCCCAGCATCAGGGTTGACGTCGCAACATCCTCCGCCAGCGAGCCCAGGGGGAAGTTACCGATCTGATCGAGAGCCTCGCGGCGCACCACGTAGCCCGAGCCGGTACACCAAGCCACACCGAGCGCGTCCTTGATCGGCTCAATCACATGGACGAAAAAGTCTAGACTCTGTGCGAGAGGGTCGGACGCAGGGGTATTGTAGAAAAGCTGGGGAGGGCACGCAAGGGCCATCTTGGGATCCACCAACAAGTGGGGGATGATCGCCCGCAGCCACTGTTGCTCGGGGATCTGCGACTGGTTAGATTCCAGGGAAACACATGGCTGGCTGATCCTTGACGGCGAAACAAAAAAATCGCAACCAAAGGGGGGTGGTATTGTGGTGACTTACCATATCCGCGTCCAGGGCCGCCATGAACTGGCCGGCTCCACCGGGTAACGCAAGCGTCTGGTCCAGGCCATAGTTGAGATTACCGGCCTTGAAGTGGTGCGGCTTGCCAGGAATTTTCTCGCGGGCCATGTAATACAGGTTGGGGTGGGTGATCGCCAGGTTGTTGACGGATTCTTCCAGGGAAGCCGACCTGCCGTCGTCCAGGACGATCACTCGAAACCGGTCGAATGGGTAGTCTTGATCAATCGCCCCGCGGACTGTGTCCAAGACCACGTCGTCTTCTTCCCCGCAACAGGTGACGAAGACATCCACCGTGGGGCAGTCGTCTCCGGTCAAGCGCAGCTTGGGCCGACCGCGCTTTTTCAAGGCCATCATGGTCCAGCAGTTGTGCATCAGGGAGGGAATCATGACCGCAATCTCAATGGCAACGAACACCCAGGCGCCAGCATAGCTGACGCCCGCCGCGTTCTGGGCCGAGATGATACAGTAGATGCGCAGACCTAGATAGAACAGGTACAGAGAAGTATTGGCGAACGTGAGAAGCGGGGTGAACTTGAACACCCATCGCTTCCAGCCCTTCCAGATATCGATGTCATCGCGTTCACTGATGCGAGCAATCGACCCGGACTGGATCCAATCCTTCGAGAATCCCGGGGAGGCTGGAGTGGTCACGAGAGGCGCAAGACCGAGACTGGCGGAGCTTTGGACCTGAGAATGGTGGTACTGATGGTTGAGACCGACCTCGGTTAGACGCTGACTTTCTATATACTGGTCGAAGAATGAGGACAAAAGGGAGGTCACCTACCAAGGTCGGGGAGGCCGAGCGCGAGTCATAAGGAGTATTCACAAAGGAGTCGGGACCATAGGAGGTGCGAGGCGTCGGCAGAAGCCCGGGAGAGGAAGTGTAGTCCGGGGGATTTTGTCCCAGTCCTGGCCGGTACGGAATCACCGCCGGCCGCGGCGATGGCTGTTCTTGGAAGTGAAAGTCGAAGTTGTGTCCCTGGTGATCATGTCCCTGGTGATCATAGCTGGTCGGGCTGCGATAGGCCCTGGGGCCATTCAACTCAACCATTTCCTCGGGTTCCTCATGCGCGTACGGGTTGGTGGCATACGGCTCGGCATAGTGAGCCGCATAGGGTTGTCCGCCGTGCTGTCCGTTCATCTTGAAACCCTAGGCAGCGTTCGCAAGATGGGACTCGGGTGCGGCTGCGGCTCAAACGAAAGAGGTGGCGTAGATAGGAGGCAGAGAGGTAGGGGAAAAAAATGAAATTGAAGGTCGAAATGGACAGTAGATGGAGAAGCGAACCGAACGATTGCCCCAGCCCTCACGTTTTCAAACGAGTGTGATCAGCCCCAGAGCTGCAAGGTGCGAGAGGTATGGGATGGCGAAGGTAAGGTGAAGGTGGACAAGCGAAGGTGGACAAAGGCTGGGGAAAGAAAGCAAAGTCGAGGACGAGTGGATGGAGCGGAGGCGGGAGGAGGAGGGAGGCTTAGCCACTCTCGCACTACTGCAAGTTTGCAAGTTCGCCGTACCACGAAGGACCAGGGACCAACTACTACGGGTTGCCATGCTTATCGCTCGGCTCCATAGTGGGCGATCTGGTCTCAGGTTGAGGATGGCTGAGTGGCTGTTCTAGCCTGGTTATCCGGCCGCTTTGGGGGGGCCAGCGGCCGGGGGCGACTCAGCCAATCCGCAGCCTCGGTGAGACCTCGTCATTGGCTGGTCATGCACGTCGGACGTCTCCAGTACGTGTGATGAGTGCAATTTGCCCCGAATGTGAGCGCCAAGCACATAGATCCCCACCGGACAACCCAACCCACACAGCTGCGTTGGGGGGGGAATCGCAAACGTAGGCGGTGGTCATAGGGGTGCAACTATAGAAGGGACCTGGGCTGTGTGGGAAACATGGATGGCGATGCCTTTGTTGCAGCCACTTCCGCTTGCGTCATCATGGCCGGCCACTCACATCACACCGCAATTGCGCCGTCGGAATATGGTTGGTCCCTTGGTCCCTCGATGGCCCGCATGGATGGAAACGGTCGACGAAAATTTCGGTGTGCCAGAGTTTTCCGCACCCCACTGCTTAAATTTAGAATCTCCCAGGCACAGCCGCGGGCCGGGTCCGGTTCCTGAGTCGTGGGGGCTCCGATTGTTTTGTTGGGAGCCGTGAGGAGGCGTGGGAGGAGGAGGAAGAGGCGTGAGCCAGTGTGGCCAACGCGCTCCTCTCGATGATCGCCCTCACCCCAAGTTAGTGCAGGTGCATCTGACTGGTCAAGTCTCAAGCAAAGGTGGTACCGCGCAGGGGACTAGCAAAGCAGTGTGGCGTGCCACTAATCAGGCACAAGCGTCGGATCCGACCGTAGTACCTGCCGCTAAACCGCTTCCGGATGGGCCGTGGGCCGCTTGATCGCTGGTTCGGCGGCGACTCGCGCGATTGGCGTTGTGTGGCCTGCGGGCGGGACTCGCCTGATAACCGTCTGGGAGGTGGTTGGTGGTGTGGTCTCCGTTGCAGTCTGCTGAGGCGCCCTCGCGCTGGCGCTGGTTTCCTCCATCTACACCTCCACACGGCATCCGCTCCGCGCGACCTCGCGACCCCTACCATCCTCACCACACTCGTTTTCTTCGCTTCTGTTTGCTCCTGGTTTTCTTGGGTTTTGGCTCCGACACTCGCTCACATCCACATCATGGCATTGCGGTTACTCGTCAACACCGGCCTGTTGGCGATCCCGATCGGGGGCTCCATTGGCACCCTACTGGGGATTGATGCCCACCGATCGGCCACCGGGCAAGCGCCGCTCTTCACGAGCGGGGGCTCCAATACAAGCACTGGCGGCGATAGCACTGGCGGCGGCTCCCGCAGTAGTGGCAGCGCGACGAAGAACAGTGTTTACTGCGAAACATCCTGGGGTATCTCCCCACCGTCGGATGGTCTACTCTATACACGTGAGTTCACCAGATCTTTTCCTCCCGCCGAATGGCACCGTCCGGCACCCGACCTCCCTGGGTCTCTCTAGGAGGATATCCCCCGTCCCTCCTCGGGCGGATTGAAAACTAACGCCTGTGCTAGTGAACCCCAACCAGTGGGGTGTGACAGATTCGAGCTCGGGGGCCCTATGCATGAATGTGAGTGCATGAGACGATTTGACTCTCGAGTTCGCAACTAACGGGAAGGTCCGCGCCAAGATCACAACGTTCAAGAATGAAACGTATTCCACCAAGACCACCGCCCCGGAGTTCTCCGTCACCTGGCAATATGACCCCGGCCCCGAAACCGCGCCCGTCCACGCCTATCCCAACATCATGGTGGACGATGTCTTGCCGGTGGAGTTGGGCAACATGAGCCAAGTCAATATCGATGTTCACTGGACCTATGGCGTGGGCAACACCGCCGCATCCTCCACCGATATATCGGCCCTCACAGCCGAAGACCTCCAGACCAACGTTGCGATCGATATGTTCTTTGACACTGACAAAGCAATCGCCCAGAACAGCACCCAGGCGAAGTACGAGGTCATGGTCTGGTTTTTGGAATTCGGTGCCTCCGCCCAACCCATCGGTCTCAATGACGGCGTTGTGACGACAAGGACCTTGAACGGGGTACTTTTGTGAGTCGAGTCGATCCCACGCCTGGATTGCAATGCACGTTATTAACATTTCTCGTCTAGCAAACTCTACACCGGCACAAAAACGGTGACGGGTAATCCGACGCAGAATGTTCTGTCGTGGGTCGCCTCTGAACCGCAGGAGACGTTCACGGGTGACATCTACCCCCTCATCACCGATCTCTACACCCTGACGGGCGACGTCTACCCATCCGCTTCGGACTACATGGGCATCTTCCAGTTCGGTAGCGAGGCGTTCTCGGTCAACAACAATGTGACCTTCTCAGTACCGAAACTCTCCATCGACATCCAGACATAAGCCCTCGGAATCCTGTACATACATATCTTATATTCCTAATCCTGTGCAATAGTTTACGACTCATCAAGCCATGACAATCATACATCTTATATGCATTACCTTTGATTCCATCCCGTCCACTCGCGGCCAGTTGTCCTCTCACTCAAGACCAATCCCTCCCTCACCAGGCAGGTGCCGACCAGGTTGGTTCACCGGCTAGAAAGGTTGCGTCGATCGGGAGGTCATATCATGCATAGTCAACTGCTGGAGGACGGTCGCATAAACACCAGTGCCAATTTCAGATCTGTTAAGAGTCTTGCTGCTTACCCATCGGCGAGGATCCTCCCGGTGGCTTCTATACACCGCTCCGGACGATGCTGCTGTCCACCACATGGACTTTGCAGCACAGCCTCGCCCCGCAAGGGATAAAAAGCATTTTTGAAGCATCTCCCTTCGATTTATAATGCCACAACAGCTTTGACGGCTTGGAGTGCCCATCCTTGCTCATCCACTCTTCTCCATGGCCAGAAATGGGACGGCAACGCCCCCCTTTTTACCGTCTCCCCGAGGAGATCATGATGACGAATCGTGGACGCGATTATTTGTTGGCAAAAAGCCGCAAAGGATTAATTGAAAAAGAATAATGCAGTCCTTCCGCCTGGCACATTCCCGATTCGCCCATTTAGCCCCAACGTAGACATTCCTTTCCAATGTTCAAGTCACCAGGCAATCCGGGAACACGGCGACACCCTCCAAACCAAGCAACGTCTCGACAGTAGCCCCGTTCGCGAGATACGTCATCTTCGAGCCATTCCAATCTTGCTTGAGAATGACGCATGAACAGACCCGCGGGATCATAATCCTGCGGAAGCTTCGTGCATGCACAACGGAAGCAGACAGGCGGGAAATGCGGCTGGGACATACAGCTGCGATGCACCGGGAAGCCTTGCTTGAAAAATATGCACTCGACAGAATGCATTTTTCCCAAGCAGGCATTGAGCCTGAATCTTAGCTGCATCGAGCATGAGCCGACAAGATCGGAAAGCTTATCGACACAGGAGATCTCCGGGACCGCCGGTGGACAGGATTCTCTCCGGCAGGCCCGGCCCCCCGTTGTCACGGTACAAGTCGGCTGGCATCAGAATCGACGACCATGAGCATGAGAATATCCATTCATCTCTGACCTGCCCCACGAAACTGCCACGCCCGTCGACCACGCACTCCTCATGACTGCGGTCGGCGGTGTCCGTCGAAGTTCTCCGAAGATCAAAACTCGGGAAGTGAGATGTCTTGTCGGCTACGAATTCAGCTTCAAGGATGGCCCTCGATTAGTACATATCGCTCTCAGCATTGTAGAAAATCTCCAGTGGATTCCCAGGAAATCTGGATCCAAGATGATAGTTCGTGAGCACAGTCAAGGTCGAAAATGAAGGTCGGATACACATAAATAACGAACAGGACGATATAGCCCGGAAGGCTGGCGGGAAAGCATCAACGCTCCTGTTTGAGAAGTGCCAGGACACCCTCGTGGATCAGAACCAGGCCCAAAGGCAGAATGGGTTCGTCGGCTGCTGAGAGGGCACTGGAGATTGAAATCAAAATTGGAAGGTGTGGTGTAACGATGAGGGCGACAGTGAGGACGACAGTAAACTACATACTGCGTGATATTTATGATGTTGGGTATGTTGGAGCAAAAGCCATCGCTGTTTGAAGCACCTAATGGATGCCAAGACCTCATCTATCGGAGGTCCTGCCCGTCCTGCCAACTTGTCGTCCCAATACCTATTCTATCCATATACCGCTACCGTGACAATCTGACTGCGGGAGTACCTAAGATTGTCCTTGAACCTTTTTAGTCTATGAGTATCGTCACGTGAAGAGGAGCAGCTTCCGATGTCATCCCACTGCCTGTTATATCCCGCAACATAACCCGCGCAATATATATATAGTCCCTGAGACTCATCAAACATAACTATCTTTGTCACATCCTTCATCGCAGATACGCTTTCCCCCTTCTTCTGAGGCAGCCAGGATTCCCTTCTCAAGGCGCAGTATCACAGAGAAGACATCGCATCTACAATGGAGCGTCCTCGGGCATATCGTCTGTCAGTGTTCCCGCACTCGCTGGATGCGAAGGAAGACGGGGGCAACCCCACCACGATCTTCCTCGATGCCGACAACCTCAGTTCAGGGCAGATGCAAGCTCTGACCAAAGAAGGCGGCCATGAGTGTGGTTTTGTGTTACGCGGGAGAGCCGGAGTCGAAAACCCCTCCAATTTCACCATGAGGTATTGGGTGCCGAACCACGAGATGGAAATGTGTGGCCACGCAACGGTCGGTGCAGTATGGATCATGGACCAGCTGGGGTTACTTCCTCCGGATGGAAGAATCCTCATTTCGACCAAGTCTGGTGAAGTTGAGGCACGAGTAGATCGTGAAGGTGGATCGGGATCGGAAACACGGGTTTTTGTATCACAGCCTGCAGGTGCCGTGGAAGACCTACCCGACAATCGTGTCCTCGAAACTCTATCCTCTTTGGGAATCACTCCGGATGAGCTCGCGCCGGGCTATAAGATCCAGAACGGTTGCACCTCTCGAATGAAAACATTGATTCCCTTGAAGAACCACAATATCCTCGACAGACTGAGGCTCGATCCAGACGCGGTCCTCGAAGTATGTGAAAAGATTCACTCTACTGGGCTCTATCCTTACGCTGTTATCAACGCTGAGGATCAAGTCGTCGAAGCACGACAGTTTCCAAAATCTGCTGGCTATGCCGAGGATCCTGCGACTGGTATAGCGGCAGCCGCGCTGGCTTTTGGCCTCCTGCGCAATGGTATGTTGCCTATTCAGACGACTAGACCTCTCTTCGTGAGGCAAGGATGGTTTATGGGAAAGCCGTCCGAAATTCACGTACTGTTCAGGCTGAGGCAAGGCAATGTTGAAGGCTGCTGGATTTCTGGGAAAGTCAAATGGATGCGAAGCGATAAACACAATGACGAATAAATAAGCCCTCATATAGGTGTATATCATTTTTCACGCTAGACATCATCGCCATAACCAATTCCAACTGACAAATCTCATGTAACTTTGCTGACCCCGATATTCAAGGTGGTAGGATATATCTCACGGTGCTATCAAAATGTCCGGTGGCTGGGCAAATAGGCGAGCTTGCCGGCTAGATAAGTTTGTGCTCAAGATTCCAATGATGTCGATCTACATTCCAATATAGTCAGCTACGACGCCTCGTGGTTAAAATCTACGATGAATGAGACTACTCGCAGGTCTCACAAATTCCCTCTAAGACCAGCCCTTGATGATTCATATCTTGCTAGGGTCGATGGTCACGGGATGCAGGTGCTTTGTTCGGCCACCGTTGCAGGTTCCGGCCGAAGGCGGAGGCCGGGTAATTCTATCCGCATTCTTCGCCCTTGGTGCGCGTACCGGAGAGACAGCTCCGAGAGATAAAAATGGAAGTCAAAGCTCCCCACTTTTGCATTCCGCTGCTTACTGGTCTCTTTGTGAGCCAAAAGGCTCCCCCATACTTGTGAGTTCACCAATGACATTAGCGGCCCCGCGGCGTGGCAAAGCCTGGTCGATGGGGTATGGCTTACGAGGTCATCTAGCGATATGAACATTCAATCCTATCCGGCTGTAGGCTCCTTTCTTCCGATAGGTTGACTCACACTATCTTATGCCAAAGTAGGGTTGGGATGGAGGAAGCGATATGTCATTACAGCTTCCCGTATGGCGTGCACATTTGAATGTGTTACAAAACTACCTGTTATAGATAGCGGATGCACATAAAACGATCGATAACCGGTCTAATATTATATTCCTAGGATCGTGGCCAACAACCTTAGCATAGGACTTATCTTTGAAGATGATACCGACTGGAATGTAACTATTAAAAGTCAACTCAAACTGTTCGCGCGTGGTGTACGCGTTATGCAAGTGACCAAAACACCACCACACCCCCCCTTACGGCGATTAATTAGGACATCGTCTGGCTAGGAGTGGGTCGCTCGAGAATTAAAGATGCACATTGCGTCTCTGTGACTCCAATGACCCAACTGAGTGTCGGCAGGGCTATCTAACTTCCTATCCAGAGGTGACCTTGCATAGCTCGAGGGACATGACTAGGGGATTTTCTTCCATGTATATATTTATTAGAGTGTGACGAGACATTCACAAACATATAGTAGCACGATTTACGAGCATGAGCATTGAACTGGAATTTGTCCTGAAACTGATATAAGAACACAATGATGAAATTTCAGGGAAAAAGAAACAGTGCCTACCTACAGCACAGGAAAGTGGTCATCGTGAAGCTGCCGATGGGCCATCATCATGGATATTCGCTAGTCTAGACTTACTGTTCTTGAGTTGGCTTTTATACTATTCGCCGACCAGATCCCGCAAATCTTTAACTATAACCGAGAAGCTTCGGTGCAAGATCTAGTTAAATATAACTACAGGGGAGTATACATCTCTTGCTGCGCCTTTCACGCCAGCCCAACAGTGATCGCTTTCATATATACCTGTTGGAGATAATGGCATTGTTGTATTCATAGGTGGGGACGTTCCTTCGATTAAGGATGGAATAAACGCTACCATAACCCCGGTAAGACCTCGCGATAATACATGGCCGTTTTTTCCTTTCTAATCATCGACTCGGAATGCGTGGGATTATGTTCAAATATGTGACATACCTGCAGACACATGGGATAACTAACCTACGACGGGCGCTATCTCGTCCCGGACGCAGTTTTGTGCTTCTGTCCAACACAATGAATCGTCGGCCTCGTATGAGATCTACATTCTCGGAGCGGCGGATTTTAAGTCTCAAAAGACAATTTTGGATACGTAAGTGCCCCCATGAGTCTTTTGTCAGTAGTTTATTCCCAGGCTAATAAATTGATAATTAGTAAATATCTATCAATACCATCCTTCAAGTGGTTCTCTGCGGCCTCTCTAGACGATGCGCGTATGTCACTTACACGGGCTACGGTTGGACGCTAGATCTTTGGAGTCGGTGTGGGGGGCGGGGGACTTGCTTGGGTAGATGGTGAAGGAGTAGGCTGTTATGATATGCCTGTATTTATATATGATGCACAACCTGAACTACACAATCGTCATTTGAAGTTAGTATTGCCTCTTCAAACCCCTGATAACCAGAAGCTACGATTTTCCCCTGCCTTCCTTGTCGTCACATTCCCTCTCTTCCTCTACGAGCAGAGCCCCATATCCCTCATCATGGGCTGATCCTGCTCTTGAAGAGCTCTTCGTCTCCACCAACACAACAAGCAATTCTAGCTCTTCTTTGAGAGAGAGCAATACATCTCATCCGGTAAACAAAGGCGCTATCGCTGGTGGGGTTGTCGGCGGTGTCATGATTGCGGTTCTTATTACCACACTCATTTTGTACTTGGTTTTGAGGCATAGGCGAGATGCACAAGGAAATCCAGAAAATGCCGTGGAGGCTTTAAGTTAGGCCCTGAGGTAGGGGAACTTGCAGCCGGAGGGGTACGGGCAGAGCTGGACTCGCAGAGATACATGAGTGCAGAGGTACAGGGAAGTCAAAAATAAGGCATGAATTACAGTAGATCTGGAATAATAAAAATTGGCTTACCCATTTTTGTAAGATCTCATTCTATTGATTGCAAAAATGTTGAATCATGCAGGGAGAAAGAGAAAGACGACGGTGACGACCACCGGAACGATCAGTACTTACGAAAGGCACGTTGTTTGCCACTTTAAATGTAATGATAGGAAAGCTCTATGGAGAAGTTCCGCCATTACTATACGTGGGTTTATAGGACAAATCTCGTCTGGCACCTACCGCTCCTATCCGCCTAATCTTAGCCGCGCCGTTTAGTTTTGGCGTCCGTCACTTAACCTTTTACCCCTTCTTTGGACCCTGCTGAACGCATAATTTTAAGTTGAGCAACCGTATAGACCAATCATTTTTGCATTCTGCGGGAGCTTACGCGCCTGGATGCTAGTCTAGCCACGGTAATTTACACAGCGGGATTAAATACGGTCTGATAAGCTTTTTCCCATATCTCTCACTGCCATCGGTTTCAGAATGAAGCAACCGTGTTAATTATACTTGACAAAATTACCTCCTCACGGATTGTGTCGATTGCACGTCAACCCGATAAGGTAAGACTGGAATGTCACGATGCAATTCCACCGATAAATCCGAGGCTTTGCAGTAGCTTTAAGAACGGTGAGATCTACAGAATGCAGATCTGAAGGCTTTTTCCAGAGCGACCGCTAGACTTGGGCTTCCTCTATAAGAAAAATTACACAGATATTAACGATGTATGTAGATCAACAGGTCAGCCTCTCTGAGAGATTGCCAGGGCCGTGGATAAAGGGTGGGTACTAAATGAGTGGGAGCTAGGAGTTTCCGACACCGTGCGGTGTGGAGGTGCTCGAAGTTCAATCTGTAAGGCCACAGTCATTACTCAATGGTTTGACTAAGATAATCTTAGTGGACACAAAACTTGAGATTTAGGTCCTTGCTAATACTTCAAACAAGGGTCGCCAATCTCTTACTGTACGATCGCCGGCTCAACTCGCCGTGGGGCCGCAATGTACAGGGTTTGGGGAGAACTATGGGGAGGGAAAGAAAGGCTTAGATTAGGCGGATACGAGCAGCCCAATCACCTCAGCTGGATCGGCTAGTGCGCAATGAGAACGCAGCCAGTGCGCATCAAGGGTGACTCTGTACAGTGTACAGAGAGGTCGGGAAGGAATTTCCGCTCTTTCTCTGCCACCGTACTTATCTCGCCTTCCGACCTCAGTCACGCGTAGCAACTCGTCCCCATTCATGGCGATCGCTAGATTCATGTTTGAGCTTTCGAATAGTATAATAACTGCAGTTGTACAGAGTCCGTAATGTCATAATCCATATCTAGCCGAGTCCTGAATTTTTTTGAACCAGTCAAGGGATCTTTGCCAATCATACACGTGAATCTGAGTGCATGCGTATGCGGATCCAGCATATCAAAGAACACGAGTAGTGATCTCAAATTTCGCTACTTAAAATACATTCTTACTGAGTTGTGCCGTCCTGGCCTTTAGATGGGTTGCGTCATCGGACCAGGCTGCCGAGCTGGTCACCCTTCTTTTAGAACTGCTGAAAATCCGTTTAGCGCTGGCACCGCGGTCGTGAGCTTAGCAAAGGCTGGAAGCTAGCTCAGTCCTTGCATATTACGAACTCTAACAAGCTTGGTCAATGCCCTTCCGGTTAAATCTCTTGAAGTGATTCGTTCATTCGAGATTTCACCCTACATTCCTGTCTGTGCAGTGAGAAGGCGTGACCCTAGTTAGCAGGATCGGCACGAGTCAAGTCATGAAGAATGTAGAGAGCTTACAATTATCCGATTAAATGTCCGCTTAGCTTTAAAATAAAATAAAGCCCGCCTGACACCTGCAAGTAGCTAGAGCTCTGGCAGGAGCTGTCGAGCCACAACATGTCACCATTTTCGAAAGCTGACGATGGATTGCGAAGCTTGAATATAGGTATTGCTTTGATGCTAGCTGCATCTGCTACTTCAGGGTACAACGCCAGCCAGATCAATAGCTTGCTTGTGCTTCCAGAATGTCAGTATTCCTTGCCATGCCAGGAGCCCAGAACGAGCGAACACTGACATGGATAAAAGTTACGAAATTTCTAAGCGGTCTTAATTCCAATGCCACCGGTCTCATCATCGCAGCCGTCTCTCTTGGAGCCTTCCTTTCCTTCATTCCCGCCTCTTATGTCGCCGATAGACTGGGTCGCCGACTATGCGTTAGCATGGGAGCCACACTCTGTATAATTGCGGCTATATTGCAATTTGCGTTTGAGCACCACTGGGTATATTTTGGTGCCCGTGTTGCTATGGGCGCCGGCGTTGGCTTCTCCCAAACTGCAGCACCGTTGTTGATCGCGGAAACAGCTCACCCGAGCCAAAGGCGAACTCTCACTGGCCTATATAATGCTGTCTGGTTTTGCGGGTCCATTACAGCAGCAGCTATCACATTTTCTACATTATCCATGAAGAACAGCTGGTCGTGGAGAGTACCATGCCTGCTGCAAATACTATTTCCGTCTTTGCAACTAGTGGCACTTTCCATTATTCCGGAGAGTCCAAGATGGCTTGTGTCAAAAAACCGGAAAGGGGAAGCACTCGCTATGCTCACGCGATATCATGCCAACGGAAATATGCACAACAAGTTGGTGCAAGATGAATACGATCAAATCTGTGCCAGCATTAATGCCGAAACGGACCAGAAGTCGGCCTCGCAATGGAGCGCCTTCTTTAAATCTAAAGGGGATATGCACCGCCTTACCATTTGCATTCTTTTAGGGTTTATGCAGGAATGGACTGGCAATGGTAAGAACCTCATTTTCAATTCTTGTTGATGCAACGTTAATCTCTAACTTTGTTCCCTGTCAATAGGTGTCACCTCATACTACCTGCCTCCAATTTTGGGATCTGTCGGCATAAATGCTGCAACCCACCAGGCTGCTGTCAACATTAGCCTTCAAGTTTGGAATCTGATATTTGCCGTGGCAGGAGCCAGCACCTCGGATAAATATGGACGTCGAGTTCTGTGGCTATGTGCGACAACACTGATGATAATCTTCCTGTCGACAGCAACTGTCATGGCTGGTCTCTTCGCGGAAGTCCATATTCTGGAGGCAGGGATTACAGTGGTTCCAATGCTGTTCCTGTTCTGCGCAGCTTACGATTTTGCCTACATGCCACTCTTCATTGCATACCCAGCGGAAATCCTGCCTTTCCAGCTTCGCGCCAAGGGCCTTGCCGTCACTCTGACAACAGACTCTCTGGCCTGCTTCTTCAACCAGTATGTGAACCCAGTGGCATTTTCAGCGCTTCGATGGAGATACTTTAGTATCTACGTAGGCTGTCTTGTTATTGTCCTGGGCCTGGTTTACCTCTTCTTCCCGGAAACCCAAGGAAGGTCCTTGGAAGAGGTCGCACGGATATTTGAAAGCAATAAGATTGACGACTCGGAAGGAGTACTGAGCGACACAGATGGGTCCAAGGATTCATCTTTTGCTATTAAGTATGAAGAATAGAGCATTCTCGGACATGGATTCACAGTACCCTTGTTTTCGACCTGTTCAGCATCAGCGTCTGCGTTCATTGTCTTTGTCTGCTCTCACATCTACTTTATGGTCTCTAATCTCTGTTTGTTATTTGCTCCACTCAATACACGGCCATTTGTCCTAACCTTGTCCTCAACCCTCAGCAGAATGACAATATAAGAAGTTTACCATGTACAGTGAAGACCTTTATTTCCGCTCCCGGCTAACTTTGCCTCACGTAGGGTTTGGTGCGCTAATCCGCCATCATGTAGCCTCCCCTTCCGTTTCCACGATATAAAAGTCCCGCGATCGCACTGTTCGACTTCCACTTCTCCGTCCTTTGCCTCCATCCTCTCTATCCTCTACTCGTTCTTGCGCCCCTGGGATTTCGTCCGCCCAATCAGCCTCGCCGTCTCCTCGCTTTCCTCTTCTTTTCGGTCTTGAACTGGGGCACGATTATCCTCCGTTAACAACGCTTTAACGCGTCGAAACACAACCTCGGGAACGCCAACCCTCAATGCTCTATAAACGGACGAGTCTCCATCACAACGACAAAGAAACCACCAATCGCTCAGGATTTACATTCGAAAACGCGACACATCTTGCGAACCACACATTTAACCTGTATTCGAGCGGACAATCAGTTCAAGGTGACGCGCCTCTGACGCGTCAGTTTGTTATAACAACGCCTCAATGGCCTCAAGTTAGCACCGATCCAGAACACATCAACGAGCAAGCCACAAACACTGCCGCTGCCACGATTACAGCCGAGTTTGAAAAGAAATTCGAGATATCGCAGAGTAAGCCGCAAGGTTGAAACTTCCAACATGCAACTCCCCAGACTTCAACAGCCAAGAGCCCCATGTCTAACCTGGATAACCACTTCATTGGAAGAAAAGAAAATATACTTGATTTGCCGAATATTTACAGAAAGAAAGGCCAATTTCTATCAAGCAGATGCGAATTAGCTGGCATCATGGCTTCGCATTCCTTTATTGTACAGTGATTTGATGGCCACATTCGTGAGCTCTTTGAATCTCTCAAATTCAATAAAGACATCCTCAGAATGCCAGTCGCCCGCCTTAGCGGAAGGAGTATTTGATGCATGGCTACTGAAGTATTCATGGCCTCGAAGTGCAGCAACGTTACGGAACCCCTTATGATTGAGACCGGGCGGCAAAATCTCCACCATGACTGAACCAGGGGGCAGGAATATACCATGAGTAAGACCGGCACCGTGGACGCCAGCGAGGATGTCCGTATTTTGAATAATCTCCAACTGCTCTTTGTAGGACATTGAAGCAAAGTCAATGGACTGGACTTCGATGAGAGGGAAGTCTTCTTGAAGCCGCGCCAAGTACTCCTCCATGTCGATAAGTCTTCGTCCGGAAACTCGGTTGATAAAATTGAATGTGATTTTCTCACTTTGTCGTGGCCTGGTGTCATGCATACCGTAGAGGGCCAGAACACGATTGGCGAAGGCCTTCAACGTTGCTGAATTTTCGCAAGAGTTGATTTCCCAGTCCCCCTGCCACAAGGTATTGCTTCCACCGGAGAGTGGGATGATAGTATTTTCAATGGTCATGTTTCCTGAGATATCCTTGAGGCGGACGACTCCTTTCTTTGCGTAAAGTGACCACATGTCGAAATATGGCCCATCCGGCTTATCATCGAGAATGACCAACTGAGTGTTCGCTGCGTCACGCACAGGAATATAGTGTGCAGAATTCTTGTTCGACGGCTGGCCCATTTGCAGTACATCCATGGTCAGCATCATGGAGAATATCTCCATCAACGAGTGCCAGTGGTTAGTGGCACCCTCTCGCTTGACCAGAATGCTGTAGTTTGGGGTTTCTTGTGGTGAACCTCGGGTTTCATCGTCAAGGTTAACCCACCCATTGAACACCACACCAGGGCCGGTATCATACATATATCTATGAAAATGATCGGGATATGGATAATCTGGGCCGGAGTCGGACTTTTTGTGCTGATGTAGATCGCATTCTAGATGGAATTTCCCATCCTCTGGATCGAACTTGGCACCTTTTCCAAAACAGAATGAATCCCATCGATCCACAGTCTTTGAATGAAAGCAAGTCAGCGCGGACGATCCATTGCAGTACTGCGTCGCCGAATCACGAAGATTTTCGAGGTATGTCGTTCCAAATCGCTCTGCACAGAAGCGTTGTTCTTCGGGAATACCGGTGTATTCAGCCGGAAGATGGGGCACTGGCTTTCCTTCGGCAGAGATAGTTGCTTCTGTCTCCAGACGCCCATAAGTGGGTAGCAATGGATAATAATAGGCGAGCAGGATCAGCGAAATCAACACAGAGGACGCAAGAAGCAGTGAAGCACGTCTGTGACCGAAGCTGCTAAGGCTTATCAATGGCATTTTCAGTATCTCTCAAGAGTGAGGGGGCACTCAAGAGCGAGTCCGCAAAGCAAGAGGTTCCCGCACAGCAACAGGGACCTGAAGAAAGTGGAATCACTAGGCTGGCGGCTGGAGTTGGCCCCTAATCCCCTCCAGCCTAGCCTCTGCCAGATGCGGGCTAGCCGAGCAGACTCCATGTGTGGTGGGCGATTCCTGATCCTTTCTTGACCACAGGGTGTAGGCGAGTGGATCGAGGCTGTGTGTGTTCTGCGCGGCCCAATCCTGCAAGCCCGTAGAGCCACCAAAATGGCAAGATCAGTTAGGCTTCATTAGTGCTGGCGCCAATATTTTAGCCTGACGCCTGGGGCTGGGACTGGTGTGGTAAGAAGCTTGATTGGCTCCGAAGGCGGGAAGACCCGGTGTTGCGGGCCATCACGATTAGTCGCTTCTCTACGATTAACTAGTCACTTCTTATGCGAGACTACACGTGACGCAGTCTCTTAGTTAGCGGTTCGCAAGACTTAGCCTTAGAAGAATCCAAGAGCTTTACGATCAGATCACACATCACAGGGCGCAAATGCAGATCCCGTTTGGATCTGGCCTCCCACACGTGGACCCTCCTTATTAGTGCTCAGACACGGAATATGGTACTCCGTAACTATGAGTTATACAAAATTACAAATCATGAAATTGCTGTAGCGTGTTGGGGCCATTCTCCTAGATTTCGGCCCCGAAATGCCCGACCCATTTTCTCAATCACCGAGAGAGTACAGTAGCACTGGAGGTTCCAGTTCTGGATCCACGAGCCTAGGGCCACGACAGTGAGAACCAGACTCAGCGTTATCCAATGTGAATAATGATAGTTCCTGCCGTGATCGATATTGGAGAGCATTATTCTCGGGTGGGACGGCCCGGAGAGAGGGTGGGGGACGTTCCAGTAATACAGAAGCGCAAATCAGCCCCTTAGCGGGTCCCAATTAGGACTTGGCCCCGGCAAAGCGGGTTTATATTACCTCATACAAGTTCTGGTGCTTCTTTTGCCTCCTGCACCTCAAATCCTGCAGAAAAGCAATACATTCGACTGGCTCATAAAGTTTTGGCCCTCCTCATGGACCCCAAATATGCCAAGAACTCACAGGGGCTTACATGACTTGGCTGAAGCCTGTGAGATTAGGCGGTAGGGAATCGTTATCCAAAGCCACGTTTTAGGAGATGCCATAGATAGACAGTATGCCTTGGGAGGTGTTGATTGCTATGAGGGCCGCACTGCACTGTGTGCCGTTGTCGACCAGCGAGGAAAGCATGCTTGGCGCTAACAAGGTCTCGCATCGCACAACTTGATGCCCAAGCGCAGAAATGGAGGTACAGTATTTAAACGATGGACAGGTCAAAACGGAGCGCGAGTGCCCTTTACATGGGCTTATGCACGCACTTGAATGAAGAGTCAAGTGCGGGATTCGTGGCCCGAGACTAATCACCTAGCGTGGACTCGCTACGGTGTAGTGCCTTCACGAAAGCTGGCTATGTCGTAGGTTTGGACGATCCCCATATTGAGTCAAGGTATTTTCTTTGAGCCGCCCTCCTCTTCCCTCTTTGTCCGCTCGTGACTGCATTCAGCGAGTCCCACGGGGCGCCTCCAGCTTATACTTCAGTTACATCCTACCATCCAAACCCCTTCACTTTATATTCAACTTGCGATCTGAGACGTTCACTACGAACGCACTATGAATAATAGCGTTGGGGTTGGCATTCCCAGCGTCCTCCTTGTTCTAGGCCACTGGCTCTTTTTCAATGCGAGAATCACTCAACCGCTGTCACCGCTTATTTTGACCTGGTCTGACAAGAGTTATGGCCCAGATGGTCCATGGCAAGCTGTCTCTGTGAAGATAGGCACGCCATCACAGACTGTTGCACTGTATCCCGTTGGAACTTGGTCCTGTGCCATTCTTCTGTCGACTATCTGCGCCAATCTGAGCGAAACCACAACGTGGTATGCAAGCAATGCTGGCTTATACGATCGAAATGCTTCGATGAGTGCAGGACCAGATGCCGTTGATTCCAAATCATACAAAGCACTCGACGATCTCGCAACTCCGGGCATGGCTGGAAGAAGTGTCTTCTACGATGATTTTGATATCGGTGGCCTCATCATCCCTAATGTCAGCATGACTGGGATATATGATGGCTATCAAACATACCCGAATGGTCGGAATTATCCGATAGAGGTCGGAACCTTATCATTTGGAGCCCCAACTTTGACTCACCAATGGGGCTACACTATGATGATGGTGGCTAGCTACCTGTACACTTCGAACGACACTCCATCTTATTCCTACGGAATGCATATTGGATCAGCAGCTCTTGGAATCCCTGGCTCGGCTGTACTAGGCGGATACGACAAAAATCGGATCGCGGGAGAGGTGTCAGCCCAGCCCTTTGCGCCCTTCGACTCCACTAATCCAGGCGGGGACTTAATAATTGGGCTGTTCGATATTGGAGTCGGTGTTGCGTCGGGAGGATCCCCTTGGAGCTTCAACGAGAAATCAGGACTTTTGTCTCAATCGAACTCGAGTTTGATGGCCCCTGTTACGGTGCAACTGGCTCCCATAAAGCCCTATATGTACCTCGCACCAAGCACATGTGATGCAATTACATCATTGCTACCTGCGACATTTGACTCGGATCTTGGTCTCTATCTCTGGAAGACAGACAGCGATCAGTACCGCTCGGTTCAGTCGCCTGCTTACCTATCATTCACTTTCGAAAAGGACAGCACGAACAGCAAAAACATAACCATCAAAGTGCCGTTTGCCCTTCTGAATCTTCCATTACAAGCACCTCTGGTCAATGAAGACACCCCCTACTTTCCTTGCTTCCCGACCGACGGCCCCTATTACCTTGGACGCGCCTTTCTTCAAGCAGCCTTTGTTGGCGAGAATTATGGTACGGGAGATGGATCTGGAACGTGGTTCTTGGCTCAAGCACCCGGTCCGGGTCTGGTTGATATTTCAACTTCGACAACCATCGCAGTCGGGGATTCCACGATCCCGGCCACAGACAATTCGTGGGAGGTTAGCTGGAGCTCTCACTGGACAGAGCTATCGTCTTCTCAAACAGGCAATATCACCGCATCTAATTCCAATTCAACCTCAACTTCGCCTTCCTCTTCCGGGCTTTCCCAGGGTGCCAAAACCGGCATTGGTGTTGGAGTTGGTCTCGGGGCAGCAATTGTGGTGTGTGCTCTCGCTTGGGCGCTTAATATGCGCCGTCGTCGCAAGGACGAGAAGGATTCAGGAGACCCAAGCAGCACGTCCTCTCCCGGAGGAACTTCGAGTGGCTACTGGCAGCCTGTTGCCCAAGAAATGGCCAGGAGCGACGATCACAGCAATCTTCATGAGGCCCCTATAATGCCAGCGAAACAGGACCAACACTACGAACTCTCTTAATGGATATTATGCAGCTTCATGCGATTAATTTTCGCTAATATTTCTTTGTATTTTCATTTGGTGAAGATCTAATAGTGTACAAATAACAATATCGAAACCAACTAGGTCACTTTTGAACCAGGTGTTAATCTAGTCCAGAGAAGGAAGCATCGCCTGATTGGCGCAAAAGGCGCCCATTCATCGTCCCACTATACTACGGAACAGGGGGTTATAGGCAACTTTAAACATGTGAAACAGGAAAGGTTCTCAGCCCGTGGCTTATGTGTAAGTGAAGTCGATATTTATGATTTTCTTTCTCAGATTAGTTTGCCTATTCAGCCAGCAAATGTAATATAATACATCTCAGATGCACGACTAATAAATATGTTGCCAACGAGCAGGTGATGAAAATGCATTTTATTTTTGCACATTGCTAAGCCTTTATGGTATCCGATGGTGCTATTTCCCATATGAGACGGAGACGGGCCAAGTTGGGTGATAAGCCGTGCATTTCATTTTCTTGGCCTCGTATTCCTCATTTTAGACCCCGTACTAAGACGTCTTGGCATGTTGGGTGATAAGCTGTGCATCTCATGGCGTCGTATTCCTCATTTTAAACCTCGTATTAAGATGTCTTGGTAAGTTGGTGAGACGTTGTTCCTATTGTTAACCCACCAGTATCAATGCAGGCACGAAAAAGTGGCTCTCCCTATAAACTTATTTAGGAATTGACGACCCCCTCAATGATGTAAGTTTATCTAGAATGATAGTTTGTGTCTCCATTATGCACAATCTACCCCTTCATCTTCTCTTCGCTTTTACAGTAGCACAGCCATCCGCCGCATGGCTTCTCACGTACTATGCCACCGAGACAGTCTTACCTCTGTTGGGGGGAGGCTCAACAACCACTCTCACTCCAGTTGTGACAACTGCTCCACTCACTGTCACGCCAAAATCAACGTCTACTGATTACTCCACCGACTATGTGCAAGCATTCGAACTGAGTAATAGAATAATCAATGTCACAACGGAATATCTTGTCTTACCAAACGTTACCGGCCTCCCTGTTTCCGCATTTTATATCTTCGCACCGCCAAAGGAAACCCAAACCGCGAGTCCGACCATTATCACCAATTATTATGTCCCGGTTACCCTCAGCAATCCTACATCATGCACCAAGACAAAGTTCACCTACACTGATTCGATTACGGTTGCGCTACCCGATAGCCTGACCGCGCAGGCAACCGATTCAAGTCTTGCAACGTACGTCACGACCTATGTGTCAACAATCAGTACCAACCTGGGCGGCCAGGCTGTGACCACATCACGATGTGATGTGTATCTTAACGACAAAGCCGTCCCCTCAGTTACAATCTTCAGCAATGCTTATCTCACCGAATGTGTTGACCCTCGACGCTCTACCTGCAGTGTAGGAGAGAACCAGAAGGCTACGGGCTCAGGAGGCTGCAACGGTGTATATCCGCCAACTAGTACTGGAGCTTCGGATAGTACGTCTACATCTACTGCTGAAGCATCAGCAAAAACGGGTGGCGCTTCAGGTGGGGGGATATCGAGAGGCAAATTATGTCTATACAGTTTCCTCGTCAGTGTCTGGGTTGGGCTGAGTTAGCATCACCTTATTTTTCCTTTCACCTTTCATAGTTGTTAAACTTGCAGATGCTCACCTGCCATTTCGCACTATTCGTTGAATTTGGAGGTTTTGACTTTCGATGCTTAACATGTTCGAGATGATGAAATCGGAATCAATTGCTGTCTACTTTTTTTGGGGCAAATCAAGCCAAACTCTTGATAACAATCAAGAGCAGTCATTTTCTCCCCACTCTGTGCCAAACTCGAGAACAAGATGCTCCCTGTCCTTTAACATGAGTCCGCTGGTAAATCGTCATTAAGTGTGAAGTCGGCCTTTTTATTCTATACTATACGACCTCGATTTATTCCACCGCTCGCATTGGCAGGGCGTCCACTTTCCCCCGCACACATAGCAGGAATGATATCCGCAGCGGCAACTAATAACCAAGCGTGTATGTGTCATTATAGAGTATGGAGGTGCTGAAACTTACCCACGTTTTACGATGAAGCCGGCGGCGAGCTCAATGATATGATATGATATAAAGAACCACACCGTTGCCATTATCTTGGCTTTTGCAAGCTCCAAGTCCTCATCCTTTCCTCCAATCTGTACCCTGGTGACCAGTGTTCTTGCAATGAGTGCAGTTTTCAATGCCACATATTTTGCAGGTACCCAAATTGCTCTCAATTTGCACCGAGTGGATGTAGGCCATGTTGAATCTGAACAACACGTCTTGTCCAAGTCATCAAGCTCAATCTGTTCCCTTCTATGATTTCACGGTCCATTCAGATACCCTCGATCCAAATACGCAGACGGAAAGCGGGATTCGTCAAGCAGAGCATGCCTAAACAACTGAATCAGGTAAACCTGCTAATACCTATGTGAGCAAACTGTTTTCACAAAATCAAGGTGATTAAGCATCTCATCGCAAGCCTCGCACCTACGTTCGATCTGTGTGGGCCAGCTATGAGCAACTCATGTCGGTAGGCTCTGTTTGTTGCGCGATTCATACTCCCAAGACTTGGAGGTTCAAGTATTAAAATATTTTGGATATCTGAGTGACAAGTATGTTTCTGACAGTGGTATGCCTCACTTCTCGTATATCTCGGCCATGCATCATGTTGGCAAAGAAAATAATTTAGATTCCAGGCCACAACTATGTGATGTCCTGTCCTTTCTTGCTAGAGAGAGGTAGCTCTCTGCGCGCACAGGAGGCAAAGAGGAGTGAAAGGAACCTTGTGGGTTGAGCTATCAAGGAATTGCTGGATGTATGTCTGCTTGGGGTTAAGGGGAGAAAAGAGAGAGACGCAGGACTGGGAACTCCCAAAGAGGATTTCTTAAATCTTGAATAATAAATAAACTTAAATAAATAATGGGAAGATCACGGGAGCTTCCATCACTTCCAGTTGTGGTGTGTGTAAGAGAGCTATTCAAAGCACATTCTGAGATTATGAATATGGCTCTTCCGTAGACGAGTCACTTTTCAACAAATGATATCTCTCCCTGCAAGAGCTGTAACTAAGTGCAATCAGAAACTAAATGGGAATACTTTCCAGAATACTTGGCATTGCGTAACCGCCCGGCAGGCCCGGCGGACGAAAAGCCGTATTTCCGGCCGTACACAAGTCGGTGTTGAAAATTGCCCCGTGGGTAAATGCTTGCAGCGGACAGGAAGGCGGGACTCTCGCTGCCACGGCATAATCTTGATCTAAACAGTCATACCACATCAAATAAGTGTGGCGGATATCCAATACATAGCTTATTGATCCTGCAAAGAACAATAGTCGGGATTCGGCATAAAGAGCTTGGCGAAAGGTTGTTTCCACATATCAAGCCGGACATGTTTGCATTGCCCGGAGTTAGAATTGGATTTGTGCTGCAATGTCACTTTATCTCCGGAATAAGTAGTGCCACGTGATTCAACAGTCTGGTTGGATTATAAATGGACCCTCATACCTCATTTTGGACCCTAAATCAGTCCTTATTGCTTGCAGTCTTTACAGCATCCTCACGAAGGAAAAGTTACATCATGGCCCCCAAGTACACAAACAAGCTCGTCAACCAACGAGTGTTGGTTTTTGGAGGCACCTCTGGCATTGGCTTCGCTGTTGCTGAAGCCGCCTTCGAGCACGGTGCTCATTTGGTAATTTCGAGTTCTAATCAGTCAAAGCTCGATAAGACCGTTGCTCGCCTGAAGGAGGCCTACCCTGCGGAATTCGAAAAGCAAACCATCACCACCCACGTCTGCGATCTCTCTGATACCGCAAACCTCGATGCCAACCTCGAAAAGCTGTTCCAAGCTGCTACTGACGGCGGTGCTGTTAAGCTCAATCACATCGCCACAACTGCCGGCGACGCTCTGAATCTTCCCAAACTCGCTGAGCTCTCACCCGATGCCATCTACGGCGGCATGGCCGTCCGCTATGTGGCGCCGGCCATGATGGCCAAGTTCATTCCAAAATACATGGAAAACTCGCCATCCAGTTCTTTCACCCTCACCGGTGGTTTGCGTGGCCAGAAACCTTACCCCGGATGGACCATGGCCACGGCCACCTGCTGCGCAATCGACGGGCTTGTCCGCGGCCTGGCTCTGGACCTCAAGCCTGTGCGTGTGAATGTAGTTCACCCGGGCGCAGTCAACACCGAGTTGTTCAGAATGTTCCCTAAAGAAAAACTGGATGGCATGCTGAAGATGTTCCAGGATGCTTCGACCACCGGGACTGTTGGCAAGCCGGAGGATCTGGCGGAGAGCTATATCTACCTCATGAAGGATCACTTCGTCACGGGCAGCACCATCGAGTCGAACGGTGGCGCAGCATTGAAATAAGCCGTCAAAATCATTAGCAATTAAGTCCGAATGCTGAAAGAAAATCAACTGATCTGTCTTAATGATTTAACTAATTCTGATTGATTCAATCTATTTGAGAAATAGAGAATGCGGCACCATTTTAGTGGGGCAGCAGCAACTTCTTAACTAAGCCGGACCTTGGAAGGGATGAGTAAGCCTCAATTACTCCGTAGGCCCGTTAAGTCCGACCGCGACGCCAAGCTTTGACACTTTCGCCGCCGAGACACTGGAGTTGGCTGGCTCTCAACAGCTTCTGCAGGCTCACCATACGCCCTCAAGTAGGGCGCCGCTTCTCTCCCTGAAATTTGCAGCATTATCTGGGTCGTTAGCGTCCGCGTCGTCCAAAATGCAGGGGTTTAGTAAGTCCGCGCCCCACGATGAGTTGCGCAGAAAGGGCTGACATGTTCGCTAGATATGGGACGGTTCGTTGCAGAGCACCCAAAACATATCAAGATCCAGTCTCACTGACAATACGTATAGCTATGTCCCCCCGGACCAAGAAGGCGTCACCTCCGCGAACAAGCTAGCGGGCAAACACCCCCTCGGCGCCCGCGCACGCCACCTCCACACGACTGGGGCCCTCATAGTCCGGTTCGAGATGCCCTTCGCAGTATGGTGCACAACCTGCAAACCGAATGAGACCATCATTGGACAAGGCGTCCGCTTCAATGCGGAGAAGAAGAAAATCGGCAACTACTACTCCACCCCAATTTACAGCTTTCGTATGAAGCACACCACGTGTGGTGGCTGGATTGAGATTCGAACAGATCCCCAAAACACCGCTTACGTGGTTGTCGAAGGCGGGAGAAAACGAGACACCGGGGAGGATAAGGAGCTGCAGCCGGGGGAGATTATTATTCGCAGGCAGGACCCTGCGGAGAAAGACCCGTTTGCGAAGCTCGAGGGGAAGGCCGAAGATAAGCGCCGTGCGCAGACGGAGACGAGTCGCATTTTGGAGTTGCAGGAGCGGCAGAGTCGGGATTGGGATGATCCTTATGAGAATTCGAAACGGCTGCGGCGCACGTTTCGCGCTGAGCGGAAGGGGCTGGAGAGGTTGGAGGCAAATCGCGAGGCTTTGAAGGACAAAATGAGTCTTGGCTTTGATCTTGTCGATGAGACGGAGGAGGATCGCCAGCGGGCTGGCATGGTGGATTTTGGTGACGGTCAGTCCTCAGCTGGAGCGGAGGCTGCGCGTGCAACTCGCACCCGACCCATGTTCGAGACAAACGACTCAAGCAGCTCCCCCGGAAATGAGAAACACGACAAGCATAAACGCAAGTCTAGGCGAACTAGAACAGCGGATCTAGTTGCGCAGCGCAAGGCGTCTTTGCGCAATGAGCTGACGGGGAACACGCGCGCTGCGGTGGATCCTTTCTTGAATGATGTTGGAGATGAGCAGGAGATCTGGAAGCCAGGCGTCAAGAGGAAGAAGCCTTCATCTACAACATTGACATCTCGGACAGGCCCAGAGAGTCCAGCAAGGGCCACCGAGATCAACGACTCCAGGGACTCAAAAGTTGTTTCGGCTGCATGCGAAGCGCAAATTGAAAATGATGTCAAGAAACCACCTGGTGTGTCAGCAGCACCGGCGCTAGTGGGCTACGATTCTGATACGGAGTAACATCTATACTTCCTGCACATTGTATTATTACTTTGATACCCCGGACGGCGTTTGAGTCTCTTCTCAGATCTCATGAAGATATGCAAGCCTGCATGTTTATTGCAAGTCATATTGTATTGGATTACATTGGTTCTGATGTACATCGGGTATCATTTGCCCAGTAGCCTGTTTTCGGTTTCATTTTGCCCAAGGGGCTTTTGTAAGCCCACCATCACCTGGTGGGGGCGGAGGAGCTTGTGTATTCGCCCAGGGAGCTCTGGTAGAAGCAACTGAGCCTGGGGGCAAGCGCGAAGTATCAGGGATGGTTGAGGGTGCCCCTGGTGCGCCAGAATGTCTTCCGGTCGCCCATGGCGCTGTCGTGGATCCCACAGGGGGAGGTGCGCGATTGCCGGCTCCAGCTGTAGCCCAAGGAGCTTTACTGCCGGGATCCATGCTTGGGCGTGCACTGGAAGAGGATGGCGGGCCCGCATCTGGTACAACAGGCCGGCCCTGTGGACCGGTGGTCGTGTGGACAGTCGTAGGAGGTGCGGCTGCGTTAGGATCACGTTCAAAGCTGAAGAGAGAACCAAATGGGAAATGCTGCACGACGGGGAACTTGGACAAAACCTCTGCGTTATACATTTTGATCATGCCCTGGAAAGCAAGTCGTCGTCGTTGTCAGCCATCTCGTCGCAAATAGAGATCAAAGCAGGTGCAAGCAGTGCGACTCACTTTGTTGATTTTACCCCAGCCAGCTCGAATACCAGAGATATCATAAAGCATTGGGCTGTGCTCCCAAAAAGGGCCTTTCTTCACATCGTAGATGAACCCAATTGCTGAGAAATAAAGATTCGTTTTCCTTTCGCGTTCCACGACAGTTGGCTTAACAACTGCGCCTGTGTCAGGTGCGTCAGGCAGCGAACCTTCTTCTGGCGTAAGGTCGGCGACATCAATAGCCGGGGATAACTGAGCGGAGCCGAAGATAAATGGAACGAAGGAATGGTCGTCAAGGCCCCAAACGCCGTGGGAGCCTGCAGGTTCAAGTGTGTATGTTTTAATAAGGAGTCTCACAAGCTCCAGATATCTAGGCAGCGGTTAGAAGATGCGAGGGCCTTTGGCTATGCATAGATTATCTCACGGTTCGATCACTCCAAGAACGAGAGCTCTCTCCTCGACCCCAAAATCGGACTCGGGAAACCCGTTGAGTTTCCAAATTGCACCAAGGAAGGCTAAGAAGCTCAATTCATGCCCAGTACCATAGTCCAATCTCTGCCCGCTACCCCAGCTGCCGAGGAAGTATGCTCTGAGCTCCGCCTCTGCGGTGACTCCTTCCCCGGTTGGCGAGCGTTTGTCCAAGAGTTCCGCGGGCAAGCACTCTCTCAGCAAACTAGATGCTCGGCTTTCCAAGACCTCATGCCATTTCCGAAAGCTGATGTTTCCAAATCTCCTTGGTCCCGTGTCCGGCGGAACCTCCTGTACGATATCTTCAATCTTCGAAAGCAATCGTTGTAGCTGGCGGACAGGCGCAGAGAATTGTACGGCATCAGTGCCCAAGGGCCAGGTTTGCACGGTACCATCGGGGAGTTTCGCAGGGAACATGGCGCGATTTAGCTGCAATATGAAAGTCACAATGTCCGAGTAGGCTTTTGAGGCGAGGAAAGCCGATACATCTTGCGACTCCTGGATCTTCTTCCTAGGATCGATGAATATGTGTGGTTCCTCAGAATTCAACACCGCCAGTATGCGAATAGACCTGCCGTCCGGATTCATCTTGGCTGATTCGGGTGGACGAGTTAGTTTAGAGAACCGAGGGAGAGATGTGCGGCCGAGCGCGGGTGGAGGGGAAGGAAAGGCGGGATGACGATGTGCGGGCGGCAGATCTCCACTGGAGCTTCTGTTCAGCTGCTCTCCACCCGATCAGATGGCCATCGCCTTGGCCCCCGCCAGTGACAACGCTTTGCTTCCTGCGGGGATGGCGCCCTCTAGAAAGCGGAAGATGCGCAACTCCACCGTTGATTCTGTGGACATCTTCAATCAAATTAGTGGATCTAACGCGCGACCGAGCAGACATACCACTCAGGGCGCGTCACGCCGAGCTCAAAATACGCGTAGCTCAGATATCTACGAGATCCCCCGGACGCCGACACCCGAAAGACGAAATACCATCCCCCCTCAAAACGAAGATCTCCCGTCTGGACGACTTGTGACGGGACTTCAAAGCCGTAGGATCTACCTTACAACGCCCGAAACTCGGCCTGTGCTTGAAACCCAGCCCCTCACATCGTCATCTTCCGATCGTGAGCAAGGGGACGAATCCTCACAAGCGAGCGGTCACCATAATGGCGAAGAGGATCTCGCACAGAGTGTTTGGAATACGGGTCCGGACCAGGAGGAAGCTCTTGAGGATGACCCGCTACCCAACGGCGTGCATATCTTCGAGTCAGATGATCCCCCTGATCAATCCAGCGACGAGGCTGTCAGCCTCCAAGACGAACCAACTTCATATCAGGAAGGACACAAATCAGAGGACCTTGAGGTTGTGATATATAATCAACATGGCGATCATCAGACAAATGGTCACGCCGAGGATGATGGTCAAGACGGGCCGCATGCCTTTGAAATCGGAGATGAAAGCGAAGAGGGCGGCGACGAGGAAGACGGAGATTTGAACGAAGATTCCGAAGGCGAATTACAACGGGCCCGACAACTTGCGGAGGTTGACTCGGTATCCCTTCGTCCTGATGGAACTCTCGACGAACCTCCCGATGAACAATCTCCCGAAGAATTACCAATTTACGTTCGGCCTCCTAGAAATGAACACCTACAGGACCTGAGCCGGTGGATGGCCCAGGAGATAGAACGATCTCCCCTTGCCGAGTTGTGGAACATTCTTCGCCGCGAGAAACGGTCCTTGCGAAAGGTTGCGATAAGACCCACACCGGCATACCTCCGAGGAGCCAGTCTAGAGCTCACAGAACTGCGACAACTCTACTATGAAATGATCGAGTCCCTAACCCTGTCTAGAGAAACCCAGAGGGAACTGAGAAATCTTCGTGAGGCCATCCGTACAGAATCCACCCGAGTCTTCGAGTACGCTGCCGAGGAGGTCCCAGAGGAAACCAACGAAGGTAGTTGGATGCTGGATCAATTTGAGGCGCATGTGTGCTGCCATCTCATCACCCTGGTCATGTTTGGCTTTCGAGCTTACAGGACGTTGGGCCAACCAGCGTATGACCAGTTTGAAAATATACTGGAGCTGCTGCTGTGGTGCTGCACTCAAATCTCCAACTACGCGCAAACCACGTATCTGAGGAGTACGAAGGCGAGAACGCGGGTTCTTCGCTTGCCATTGAAGCGCATCATGAAGGCCCTGGAGTCAGGCCAATTGGCTGCGGGAAGAGCTACAGGAAGCAACAATCAATCACAGGCCACACCTGGTGACTCAATCTGGACTCAGAGTAGCATGTTGTTGACTCAGGAGGGGATTACTTCCACACCAGTTGATATACCACCGTTGCCACGGCCATGGACCCGTTATGAAGAGGATGCCCTCCGTGCTGGTTTACGGCAATTTTCTGGTAGGCCGCTCCTTGTTTCAACCCTGACAAAGCCAATCTGATGGAACAGCCGGACATGACAATCGCATTTCCTTGATCTTGGGCCGTTATGGCCATCGACTCCAGCGGCGAACCTATCGGGATCTGGAAGCCAAAGTGGAGGAGATGACCCGTTTTGAAATTGACTTCTAGGCCTTGGGGCCGGGATAATGGCTTTGTGGTGATTTTTTTGCATCTCTTACTGCATTATACCTTTTTCGTTCCGATGAAATTTAACGACCTTTTCATGACCCTTTCCCTCGGCTGTTTCCCCTGCACCGCCGTGTGGCTGGCCCCGTTCGGGTCGGCCGGTTCGGGCTGGTGAACCGTGGATGCGGTTGTTTTGGTCAACAAAAGGGGCCACGCGTGTGGGATCTTCTTCAGCGGCCGGTTCCATGGCCATCAAGACGCACCAAAACGCGAGCCCTCGCATAAAGAATGAAGAATGGCAAAATCTCGGAGTACATTCTTGATGATGCTGCTGCATCAGCTGAACCCGGGGGTCAAAGTTTAATAGATACGATCGGCACAGTCGTTGGGCACCGTCTTTGGGGGAGAAGGCGCGGCCACGTATTTGATGGAGATAAATCCCACGTCAATGAGACAAAATAGAAAGTAGAAGACCAAAACTCTTTCCATCTCGCTCGTGGGATTGGATATCGGCGGGTCCCTGAAGTCGACTTGCTGTGAGGCAAGCGTGCATGGAGCAGCGACGATCTCCCCCTCCTCCATCGACACCGCTTTTACTTTTCCCGCTTTCTCCTTTTCCCTTCCCTCTCGAACCCTTTTGCGCCGTTCGCGACTCTTGTTAATTTTCTCTTCTGGTGGTCCTCTGGTCGGTTGTCAGCCCTTCAACTGAGAATCGGCCGTGTCATATCCGTCGAACGAAGCCCCTGAAGCTTTCAGAGCGAATCTACACGCGCCGCGTGAGTACCGTGCTTTCCCCCAACCTACACAGCTGGCCACGCAGCTCCCGGGGCCTTGTTCTATTCAAAGGAGCTATTATCCTGTTGGCCGTGGCTATATTGATGCCCCTGGGGAAACAATGGCTGCTGGTTGCCGGGCTTGTCAATCCCTGGTCGGACCACGTTCCGGCGCTTCAGTCACAGGACTATAGCTTCGGGATGCATTGCATAAACCTGTTGCCATGCTGCGACGGGGGCCAGAAGAATACATTCAATGTTGCTATTGCAATACTCTGCTTTGTTTGAATTGTATCGGTCAGAAGCTAACCAGACTGGTGTTGTGCCTAGGCCCCTTTTCGGTAGATCTTAGCCGCCTACGCACATTACCTCGGCTTAACCCAACACGCTCCCTACAATAATCATATCAATTGACTATTATGGCGTCGACCGAAGAACCTGTTCCTCTTTCCTCCGATGTGGACATCGAGAACGCACCTCCAGTGACCCCAGTGGACTCGACTGTGCTGTCTGGAAGCGAGGACATCAGCAAATCCAGCCCCGAGGCATCCAAAGAAAACGCTCCAGTATCCTCGGCCAAGACCAGCACTGCGACTGCAACTAAGCGTCCAGTGTCGAGCTCTACAACTGCTACCAAACGCCCCACCTCGTCCTCTGCTGCATCGAAGACGGCAACCTCGACCACGCGAACGAGCACTGCTTCCAGCACGTTAAACAAGCCGCCTACTCGGCCCACGACTGGTACCACTGCTACGCGCAGACCACTGAGCACGTCGACTACTGCTTCCCATCGATCTCGCCCGTCGATCAGTAGCTCTGCGGACGAGAAGCCTCGGTCTATTGCCAGCTCTGGAGATGAGAAGCATGGCATCTCGGGGACCGCCAAGCGCATGTCGATGGCTGGTACCACCTCCACACGGGCCCCATTGAAGTCATCCTCTACTATTGACCGTCGATCGAGCGTCGCTGGCTCAGCACTGGAGAGGAAGCCTGCGTCATCGACGACAGCCCGCACTGCCACCTCCACCTCCACCTCCACGAGCAAACCCGTAGGCAAGCTGACATCTTCGACAACGCCCAGTACCCGCGTCACTCCTTCATCCACTGCGACTCGAACCGCGACCCGTCCGATTTCCTCTACTCCATCCACTCGGACTGCGACCTCGTCGGCAACTGATCCGAAAAGGCGGCTGAGCATTGTGCCCGGTGCCACTGCACGAAGCTCTGAGAGCGCCGAGAAGCTCCAAGCTCTGCATATGAAGCTTTCAGAAAGTGAAGAGACCATCGCCAGTCTCAAGGCTGAGCTTGAAACAGTCAATGACAAGCTGAGCCAGCTTTCTGGAGCAGGAGAGGACGGTGCTAAGGATAGCGATGCAACTGAGTCGGTTCGTGCGGAGCACGCTGCTGAACTGGAGAAGTTGACTTTGGCTCATGCCGAGGAGCTTCAGTCTCTGCAAACACGGTTAGAGGAGGCTGAGACTCAGCGCAAGGGTCTTGAAGAGAAGTCTCAGAAGGAGCTTGAGGAGGCTAGGCAATCTGTTAATGACCAAGGCGATGACAAGACCGCTGCTGCTCTTGATGAGCTGAAGGCGACTCACAAGACTCAATTGGAGAGCCTCGAAAAGGACCTGGGAGAGCACAGGGCTGCCTCTGCCGCATTTGAGGAGCAGATCGACACTCTGAAGAAGACAATCGAGTCCCAGAAGACTACTCTTGAAGAAGAGAAGGCTCTGGCGCTTGACGTTCTTGAGCGAGAACTGCAGGGACAAAACCAAGTGTTGAGTGAACTCAAAGCTGAGCTCCAGAAACTCTCCGATGCCAAAGATCAAGAGATCAGCGCCGAGAAGGAGGCCATGAAGGACATGCAGAGTCAGATTGCTTCCCTAGAAGCCAAGCTTGCCGAAGCTGAGTCTGCCACTCAACAAACCTCAGAGCAGACTGCCAGCACTCTTGCCGAAAAGGAGAAAGAGATCACCGACCTCAAACAGGCCCGCGGGAAGCTTCAAGAAGAGCTTGACGCGTTGCAAAACGGTGCTGTCACTGAGCATGATGCTAAAATGAAGGACATGGTGTCCACCCACGAAGCTGCTGTTGCGAGCCTGAGGGCTGAGCACGATGATGCGTTGAGCTCCCTGTCTGCCTCCCATGCGGAAGAGCTCGCTGCTGTCAAGGCCGCTGCCGAATTGACGGCCTCCGAACACTCTCAGCAACTCCAGGAGCTTCGCGATTCGCTGGATTCTGCCAAGTCGGCAGCCCAGGAGGATCATGGTCATGCCATCTCCGAACTCAGGTCAGCTCATGAGATCGAGCTCAAGTCCCTGCAGGAGAAACTTGAGGCCTCTGAGAAGGCCCTCGATGAAACTCGTCACGCCTTGGAGGAGGGTAAAGCCTCTGCTCAGGAGGACGCTGTCCACGAGATTGACGCTCTTCATCACAAGGTTGAGTCGCTGGAAACCCAACTGTCGACCGGAACAACTGAGATTAAGGCCCTGCAGCAGGCGATACAAAGCAAGCAGGCCGAGGCCGAGGAACTGTACCACAGTCTGAAGAACCTCGAGGCCCAGTTCAAGTCCAAGAACGATCAGCAAGATAACCTAATTAAGGAGCAGGACACCAAGCTGAAGGCTTTGGAAGAGAAGGCTGCTGAAGCTAGCCGTCTCCTCGAAGAGCACCAGTCTCAGGGAGCTACTACTTCCGAGAAGCACGCCAAGGATCTTGAGACCCTGAAGGCTGCACACGCCTCTGAGCTTGAGCGCGTTCAGCAGGAAGCTTCTGTTTCTCACGCCAGTGCATTGAGCGAACTTCAACAGAAGCACGATGAGTTGCTTGCCAAGAATCGCGATTTGGAGTTGGGCCATGCTTCCCGGGTTGAATCGCTGGAGGCTGAGCTGAAGTCGACTCTGGAACGCCATGCTGCAGAGATCGCTACTCACACCGAGTCTCGGGAACTGCAGTCCTCTGAGCTGCAGAAACAATTCGAGCAGACCAAGGCTAAGCTGCGGGCCGAAGTCGAGGCTTTGCAGGCCTCCGGCGCGGCTGACAAAGAGTCCCATGCGAAGGAGGTCGCTCAACTCCAAAAGGGTTTCGAAGAAACCAAGGCCAAGTTCCAGGCCGAGCTTGAGGCTTTCCGGGTTTCCAAGGCGGCCGATGCTGATGCTGAGCACGGTAAGGCCATTGAGGAGCTTCTGACTCTTCAGGAGGCAAAGATTTCGGGTCTGAGGGAGGAACTTGAGGCATCCAACAAGACCAAGCTCGAGGACCTCCAAAAGTCCCACGAGACCGCCCTTGCGGCCGTTAATGAGCAGCTCTCAAAGGCGAATGCTGCTGCCCAGGATACATCTGTCCTCGATGGTTTGAAAGTCACAATTGCTGAGCTTGAGCAGAAGCTGGCCAGCGCCGTAGAGGCTCACGTTGCGGTACAAGAATCAGCAACCACTGCTTCTCGGGAGCTCCAAGACAAGCACACCGCAGAGCTTTCCAAGATCCAGGCTGAGCACGCGGCGCTTTCGGACAAGCATCAGGCGGCAGTCATCCAGGTGGAGGAGCTTCGGAAGTCTGCCACTGCCGCTGCTAGCGGTAGCCAGTCTCAATTGGGGTCCATCCAAAAAGAGCTTGCTCTGTCCAAGGAGGAGATTGACTCGTTGAAGGCAAAGCACACCGCCACCTGCCAGCAGTTGGAGGAAATGCGGGTTTACAACAAGACCATTGAGGAGAGGCTCGCAGCTGGCGAGCAAGACTTCAACGACCAGATCGACAAGAACATGCAGCTTCTTAACCAACTCGGCGATGTCGACAATAAGGTTTCCGCCAGCCGCAAACGTGTACGGGAGCTCGAGGCTGAGTTGGCTGCTCTGAAAGCCGACAACGAGAAGAGCATCTCGTCCGGTCTGGACGCAAGCCGATGGGCGTCGGCAGAGGAGGGCAGCGAGACAGCTGAAGAGGGAGGTCCAGCCGCAGCGGAAGGTGAGGACCTCGGTTCATCCATTGAGGGAACGGTGGGAGATCCCCGTTTGAAGTCCTACTCCTCAGAGTTGCCCAATTTCCATCCATTTACATGAAGATGAGGCCAAACATATTTTTCCATACAAAAACTAATCGCAATCGTCCGTAGATGGCAAGCATTCAGGAGCAGCTTAAGCACATCCGCTCCGCGAACGATGAGTGGTACGGTGAGCACCGCAGGTTAGTCCCCGAACGAACTAGATCCTATACCCCCTTGCGTTTCGGAGAATTTATGATAACCCTTGCAATGCAGGCTAATCGGCGAACTGGCTCAGCTATCCCGCCGGGCTACCCCGAATCCCCCGAGCGTCTCATCAACCCCTCATCCTGAAACTACAGCATCGGCGTCCGAGTCGGAAAGTAGCCGTGGTCGGCCTGAGGAGGTCCCTGCAGCTCGGTAGAGACTTAATTTACCGGTCTTGGCGGCTTTCGGCGCGCCGTCCCTTGCTTGTGCTTCGGGTGTCGCATGATTTTCTTTGTTGGATCCTGTTTCGCTCGTTTCGTGTCGTTGCTTCGTTCGCTGTATGTAATAGGACCCAGGATACCCTGCTCTTCTTTTTATGCCGGATTCATCTGGTATGTTCATGTTTAATACGTTCTATTGTTTAATTCCACCACTTGGTCTGTCTGCCTTTGGTTAGACTGGTTGTCTGTGTATACGTTCAAATGGTTGATTGTCCAGATATACAAGATTGTAGTAGCATGTCATCAAGAGTTGTAGTATTTTCACCCTCCTGCTAGTCAATGATGCTCCTTTCAAGCAGCTTTTTATTGCGTCGCAAGTCATTACAGCTTCAGACTGTCGATGTGGTGGTGCCTCGGCGGTCATATGAATGGCCCGATTCGACTCGGTCCAACTTCCCCCCTGCTCACTATCTACACGAAGCATAAAATTCAGTGTGCTGACTCGTAGCGGAGATTACCGGCCGCATCATGTTGCTCATCCCAAGAAGTCAGATCAGCCTTCGGAACCTTGACGATTCTATGTGTGATAGCTCCATCATCAAACTTGACAATGGTCTGTCTGTGCTCGTATCCTCTCCACCGAGGAATCAAATTGATCCAGAAGTAATAGTAGATAGCACAGATCGAAAGGCTGGTCACAGTGTCAGTCTCAGAAGTTATGGAATAGATTAAGCCGATGTGAAGAATACTCACAGTCCAATACTCACGACCAGATAGGTCCCATACCAGAAGCTAACATCTCCGCCATCTGCGCCTCCAGTCGGTGGGTACCAAGGTGCAACAAGCATATACGCATTGGCTAAGAGGGTAAATCCAATCGCGACAGCCCATGCTTTGAAATCGGGTGGCGGTAAATTGAGTGCCTTGCGGCGCTGTCGAAGAACCAAAAGTCCAATAGCTATCAAGAAGTTGAAGATGTTGGAGGGATAGACGGCGAGGTCGACAACTATGAAAATTTCGTGAGTAAGCTGGTATTCTACAGATATTTGGTATGGCAGGAGCTCGAACCGAAATTAAAGGCATCTCCGGCAGGTGGTCCGATGATCATGATAACTGTCAGTGACCATTGGATGGTGTAGGGGCCCAACGGGGTTCCAAAGGGTTTTGTCGATGTCCAAAATTTGGGCCATGGAAGAAGACCTTGTCTACAAGAAATGGTCAGCTCGTTCGCCTTCTTGATTGAGTTTAGGTAGGTAACAATGACAGTGGAAAAGCAGGCTAGCTCTTACCTTCCTGTTTCTCGAAGCATCCGAGAGTAATTTATCATGACAGCAATCAAATTTCCGAAGGCACTGATGACAATAAGGACACTCAATGCCCGAGCAGCTTTAGCGGTGCCGAAAACCTTTTCGAAGAAGAGACTAGCCGCGATTTGTTTAGAGGCCATAATTTCTTCCCTCGAAGCAACGGAGAAATATGCGACATTGACTAGAATATATAGTATTGTGACGATGATAAGTGAGAGGGGAGCAGTCCAACGGAGCTTTTTCACGGGGTTCTAGGTACATTGATATTGTTATTATCACACTGAAAACAAGACTGAAAGGGTAGGTTATCAAACCTTGATTTCATTTGCAAGACCAAAGACGTTTTGGTAGCCAGCGTAGGAGAAAATCAGCTTGATCATGGCGTTTGTGGCGCCATAGGCGCTCGCTTCTGATGAGCCTTCCCAGGCATTTCGCCAGTTGATCTTAGGGTCTTCCACTTTGGTATGTCCGCCCAGGACAACCAATCCAATAATGGAAATTCTGCATCAAATGGTGTAAGCATGTGGTGTAATCTATTGCGAGGCTAAATCGTACAGCACCAACGTCAAGATCTTGACAATTCCAAACCAAACGACGAATCTCAACGACCATTTTGTATTTGAGCCGACCACTGTGACTTTCAGCTAGTTGAACTTTCGTAAGCTTTGTGTTCGTTACCAACCAATCAATGCAAGCGTATATGCCGCGACGGCAACTCCTTTCAATTGCCAGGTCGTGTAGGATATTCCACCGATTGCGAAGACATACTCTGCGAGTACTACCGCATTGCTGCTTGCAAACGAGAAAATGACATGCTTCATCGCAAAGACTGTCGGGAAGAAGTACTTCGGCTTCAGGTATGCTTGTTCGAGGTAGACAACTTCGGATCCTGATCGACTGGGAAAGTAGGCCGTGTACTCCAGATATATAGCCTGACTACTCTGTGCAATCAAATATCCAATAAACCAATAGATCATGGAAAGTCCCACAGAGCCGACTCCCTTCAGGATAGTGGCCGCTTGAGGTATAGTTCAGCATAGGGAATTGTATCAGGAATATGAATGACAAGCTCCACTCACGAGTTGAGAAAATCCCCGTCCCCACCATTTGATTGATGTTTAAACAAAACCCCACCAAAATATCTACCGAGTAGCCCAGGGGCGAAGCTGCTTCGACAGGTGCGCCGCTTGCATCTTGGTAAGTCACGGTCGAAGAGTTCAAACCCTCGGCTGCCGTGAATTGCAGATTCCTTTCTCGAATTGCATAGTCGTCTGACTCTGAAGTTGGCCGAGATGCCGTCTTCGCTGTTTTCCCTTTGTCTTCCCAGGACGCCATGTTTATCGGAATAAACCACAATGTAGTTTTTGTGCAACTTTACTTCAAAGAACGCTCATGGGGGATGGGGGGGCAAATATTGCTTGCTGGTGCCGAGGGGTGCTCGTAGGTGGTTTCACATTCAACAGAAATACTGTCAGGTTAAATAAATGAATTTCTTTCGTTCGAGACTCAAATAATTCGATGGCTTTGCTTCATCGCCAGACATAAGCACGTCATATGGGGCAAGAACAGAACAATCACTCGCGTAGTTAGGAACACGATGCGCTACCTCCGCCAATTAACGTACGCCATAGGCTGATAGGCAATGCCATGCATGGCGATATCTGATCCCACAATTCTATCATGACGGCTGCATCAACTCCACAATTACCGGCCACGAGAGTGGGACTTGCTCGGCCTTTCAAGTAGACTTAAACAGAAATGGGACTCCGACGATCCTCACGTCCCTCGGGTTACACCCCAACCCCCCTCAATTCGTCATTCGAGCCAGAAGCATGCTCATCAGCTAACAAATAATGCAACAACCATTAGTCGCGCAAGTGTCTTTGGTTCACAAGGTGTCTGCAGAAATTCATTTATCTATCGTACTCCTCGTCATCGGCGGCAACCTATTGGTTTGAGCCAATAAAGGGCTCCACGCGCTTGGAATATCTGGTCAGTCAATCTCGTCTAACAGCCTTTGCAATCTATCATTCATTAACGTACAATACGGAGCTAGGAAAATAAGTTAATCCTGTGATTGGACCGTGTGTCCCCGTCCATTCAATTATCCTGTCTTATTTAATATCTTTTGCTTCAAAGTTTGTTTCAAGTGTCACCCTAGATTGAAGTTCCGCCCCTTCCATCATGCTCACGGATCTTCAGCGTCTTAATATCAACCCCAGACAGGGTTCGAACCTAGAGATTACTCATTTAGCATTGTCACCACGGTATTGGTGATCGAAAAGTCTTACATTGACAGCCATGATGTGTCGCTGCTCTGGAGCCTCAGCTTTTCCGTACACACTGGTTCCGCAGTTTGTGCAGAAATAATGGGGGTAGTTCTTGGTTCCAAAGCGGTACTCCTAACATACATGGTTAGTGCCAGATCCGAAAGTTTCTTTTCGCCTCAGCGGACCTTTACTGCATCGTCAGCGTGGTGGAAAGTGACATCGGCTGTCTTGGGGTAAATCATCAGATAGCCGTTCAGGTGACAGATAGAGCCTAGAAGCAAATATGCATTTCAGTGTCTGAAGAGTTTCACAAATGTATTCTCCGTTGACAGTGCTCCATACAATTGCACTCCATTACTTCCTGCTCCGATACTGGTGGTGATATTTGCACCGTGAACTTGACCTGTCCACAGTGGCAACTACCATCATAGCTTTCTGAGTTCGCCATCCTGTCCGACCGATCAAGGCTGAGTTGATTGCTTGAAATAATGGAAATCGTTGATGAGTCTGACTTTGCTGGTTTGTTGGGACGGCCTCTCTTATTGAATTCAAGGGTGGCGCGAGCTTCCTCGTATTCGCGGGGTGGATGACCAGTCCTTCCCTCAGCCGTTGAGACCTCGCCAAATTGTACCAATTAAATAGGAGCTCGTAGCTGGTCGTTTGCGTTCAACATGACAGACATGCGATCCAATCAGATACTATGGGGACACTTGCTGCCCAGTCCAGCCAACCATGCCGAGATAGTCGTTCTATCGCTTGGCCTTCGCATCTACTGCTGCCAAGTCGTCTGACTCAGCCTACTGAGCTTTGGCGATCAAGTTGAGCTGCTGCCACATTGAATGCTCCCATGAAGAGGTTCGAATCCAAGCACGATCTCACGGTAGTGCCAGCCCATCACTGTTTGGGTCTGAGAAGTGCTTTTCGCGCCTTTTAAACTAAGAATTAAAGTCGGTGCATACTCGAATCTTCAAAGTGATACAAAAGATATCAGGACATTGCTGTCTTTTCAGATATCCTAAAATGATATAACATTTAGATCAAATCGCAATAGCCTATATGTTGATGTCCAGGTTTTATTTTCCCTAAACTCAAAGCTCCATCTCTACATGAAAACAAGCGTTTGATAACATAATAAATGCACAGCTTGATGTAGCATGATGATTGAACGCGATCACAATTGCTGCTATAGTCTCGCATTCCTCGGTACTGATCATTGTGAACCACCTAGAAGAATGCAGTGGCATCCACATCGTTTTCTCCAAGGCTTCCCAGGTTCCAATTGGTCTCCACAGTCTTCAACAGACTATAGTGATTATATGCGGTGCCGTCCGTGGTACCAACCTTCGCGCTTGAGACCGCGCCACCCAAAAGGACAGCATAAACTTGGTTCGTCCCGGTGGTCAACCCCTCGTCAAATGTAAGGATTATCAAGGTGCGATCAGTGTTGAAGCTCTCGTTGGAGAGCAGAGGGGTCAAAAAGTTACGAGACCAAGTTCCAGCTGTGGCGAGCGAACTATCATGGCCATCGTTGGCTAGAAGTCACATGGAATCAGTACAAGTCCCAAAGAATCTAGACAAGAGAAGAGAGAAACACATACTCATGTTGGGTGTGATGAACATCCATTGAGGCAGCTTGTTGTTGTCTAGGTCTTCATAGAACATGGTGAAGTTCTTCGATTTAGCAAGACGGTCGGTATTCGATGTAACCGAGTTGTAGCTCATCAGGGGGCTTGGAAACAGTTTGTTAGTCACTTTGTGCTCTCACACAATTTTGGTGTTGGGAGGTTCACTTGTGCTTTCGCATGTAGTCATTTGCACCGGTTTTTTGGTTGACATAATTTGCCTCGAAGCCAGAATAAGGCATATCCTCTTGATACAAACTCCAGCTGACGCCAGCGTCTTCCAGGAGATCAACAATTGTCTTGGTGCTCGAAGAGATATAGTGCGTATTGTCGTCAGCGATCCCGAAGGTACTACCACCAACAGCGGCCACATAGTTAGGCTGCGACCCCACGTGAGCAAGAAGGGATAATCCACAAAGCTTGGGTCATCTTACCTGAGAGGGATGGGTGATGGCAAAATAATTTGTGAGTGTTATGCCTAGAGACGCAAGATAGGCGAGATTTGCTAAATTTGAGGTTAGCAATATGCATTATATTTGAATCCCATGACATTATTCACTCACTGTTCTTGATGGCCGCACTATAATTTTCGTTCTCTAGCCAAATTTGAACAAAGCGATCGAAAGTTAAACCGGCAACGCTTGATGTAGGGGATAGAGTTAGCGCGGTGGCAGCTGCCTTGGCTACAGCAGCCGTTCCAGTAGAAGTATATTGCGACTGGGCGTAAACCCCTGATGCCAGCGCAAAAAGCGCAGTAGTTCGTGAGAAAATCATGGTACCGAAAGGGGTGGTGATAGTGAAGAATAGGATAGAGCTGGAAGATACAATATAGTCTGTGGCTACATTTCCCTACCTATTTATACTCATCGAAACCGGTAGCATTGAATTCAAATGCTATAATTCTTCCTACGACGCTTCTCACTTCGCGTTGCTATTCAACTAACCAAAGATGCAAGTGAGGTAGTATCATCGCAATATCAATTTATCGTGTTAAATACCGACAATCGACCACGTGTAGCGGCAGAGTGTGTAGCACTAAACCTCACTAGGGACTTGCATAACGCCACTTTTCAAAGTAGAGTTCTCCTAGCACGAGGTATTCTATACAATGACCAACAAACGAAAGGACGGGGTTGTCTATATTATTAATAATGCTATATCAAAAAACCATATCACCTTGCTAATGATATCAGTAGTCGGAGTGCGAAGTGAGATTTGGCAATTATTTGGTACAGGGTCAAGCGGGGGCACGGGGTTTCCGGAGCATGGTGGGGATATCTGCAAGACCATAGAAGCTTTTAGCCTCTTCGTATTACAGAGTAACATCGGGGCTAATTCCCGCGCATGCGCGCAATTCGTACAGTGGCTAGGGCGCACGTGTACCAAGGACTTGTGTTTTTGATCTTCTTCACATTGTCAGGCTAACGATGTACCGTGGAATCTTGACATGTTGGCAATCTGCAGAACGCCTATGGAAGTGCCTTAAGCAGATTCCACTGCACCAAGAAAGTCAAAACCCACGATACGTCAATAAAACGTTACTTATCACCCAGCATGTGGGTTAACGTACCTGACAAGGGTCTGGTTAACGATAGCGCAATTCAGGATGCTGATTAACCTCCGTATGGATCCTCATGTGACCGACGGTTTACTTTCTTCACGAAAATCATTAAAAGCATTTTGAACTCACAGATAAGATCATTTGCCTTGACTTCCACCCCATCGAGGTTGGCGGGGTCACTCACTTTCTTTTGTCGATCGACTGTTAGTACTTGTTACGTTCTTACTTTGGCTCGCTAGTTCTTCGATCACGTAATCATTTGAAAGCTTGGTTTCGCTCCCAATTTAGTCTTTATTAAGATATTTATTGCGATAGTGACTAGTTAATTATAGAGTCTGTATTAGCAGCCACTATCCCATTGGACCCAGTGCAGTGAGGCTCACTATACTCTACCCTAACTCCTTAACTATAGTATCTAGTAGGTGAATCGCACGGCATTCCTGGTTCCCTCATATCCGTGATCCTTGTCCACTTGATTGGTTATAGGCGCCCGATCTTGCTGGGCAGGAAAGGAGGGGGCCCTGGAGTTAGCTCCGGAGGGGAGCCACTTCTGGCGTCGTTTGGTCGAGAGTGGAAACGGGTGGAACAATCGTTGAACTCAAACAGCAATATTAGGACCATAACATAATGGACTAATAGTGCTGGGTGGGTGTAGGTGTAAAGAAGCTCTTCTTGTCAGGGTAGAAGCTGTCGATCAGGTAAGGATGGCACAATGGAACCAAGAGTAGGTCTTCATTCGAACACAGGTTTTGATTCTTGAGGAAAGGAAAATAGATACAATGTGCGTGCGCCCTGTTATCCCTTCTATTGGATCATCTAACCTGCGAGGATTGATGCCCAATCTACGGGGCCTGCGCTTGATCTTCCACATGGGGTCTTGTAGAGGAAATCCTGTAAAGTGGAATAGTGGGGGGTTTAGCGGCGGCTCGCCCTCTAAAGGTACGGGTGGAAAGACGGCCGTTTCCGACGCTAGGAGCTGTTATTTTGGGCACCGATTTCATAGGTCCTCAGATTCTATATGTAAATCCTTGCTGGAGGAGACTGTCACGCCAGCGGCATTCTGGCACCTTTGATGACAGTTGTGGGGTGGTCTGCGCAGGGCTATGGCTTCGCTCGATGGGCGCCTCTCCACAGCTTGACTGCACTTGTGAAATTGGGAGTGGTTCTAGATTCTTGCTCTGATCTGTCGCCCAGGTGTGTTCGTTCATCTCCATCCTCATATCGAATATCCTCTTTGGACCAGGTGGACCGGATAATGTGAAATCCTCGCAAAATGCAGCATAGGACTGGCGCACACGCATTTCCCGCTCTCTCTCGAGGTCTGGCTCCGGCCTCGGCTCATTGATGATCTCTTCAATCGGGTGAACCGACGTCTCACGCCCCTTGACCAAAGAGTAGGTTCCTAAATCTGTGTGAGATTTGTCGAGAGCATCCCTCTCCATTTCCGCCATTTCCGCTTCTGTCGCCTTGTTCAGCTTATTGAGATTCTTCTCGCTGAGCTCGTTTCCCCGGGCGGTGGTGGTCAATGATGGGCGTGATATTCTCTTGGATACCCATCGTGTGATGGATGTCACGGTGTTTCGTCGGCGAAGTTGACGAGGAGGTGAATGGTTGGATTGATGGGCTGTAGAGAATGAGGTGATTGTGTTGGAATGGACAGATGCATTGTCGCTAGTAGGAAGTAGTTCAGGCATCTTGTGAGATTTGTTCTCAGATGGCAGGAATGAAAAGGACAGCAACGGAGCGGAAGGCTAGAAGTAGCCCATGCCACTCTTATAAATGTTGAAACGGGAAGACCAAAATTCAGCTGTTGAATTTAACGTCGACCATGCACCCGACACGCTTGGTTCAAGTCAGTGAGACCGCAACGCTTTCGAAACACGTTCGAGAAGGAAGACCTACCCTCATACGGCGTACTTGCGCGGGAAGGGTGTTCAAGCACGCCGAGCGCCAACGGCTCGAAAGACAGAGAACCCATTTACAAGACATATGGGGTCGAACCGCAGGATTTATCAAGTTTAGCATGGGACCCTGCTTCAGGTGACCCAAGGCGGTGGCTTGCCTGGGTTTGCGATCACAGGCTCCATGAGCATTCCCCTCTTGACCGTTTCTATCCTCGGGGACTTCCACTGCAGCAAGCCACCTGCACGATACCACTAGGGCCCGGGCGTACAGAGATTGGCGCTGGTTCGCAAAAGAACCGGGAAACGCTGACACGAGAACAGCTGCTTACACGGCTACTACATGTGGACCCTCTGCTTCCGATGCCTTGGATCTGCTTATCCTGAGCAATGAGGATTTAGAGACGAACTGTGGTAGCGGGAGGCCCTGCGATGGGACCGCACGGCTGCAGGAGGTCTTATCGTGCGCTGAGACACTTCACAGGGAGTGAGACACATGGGCCGCCCGCCAAACCACCACCCACGAAGCCGGGCTGAGAAATGACTCGTGTGAGACAAGTTCATCCAATGCGAACATGAGGCTAACGCATCCTATTCTGTCAGGTCTGATGGGGCTTGCTGCTGCCAAGAGCGCAGTTTTCTTGAATGATCTACACCGCGGGCTAGACGTGCGATGCCGGGTAGAGGCAGATCTGGACAACCTCGTGGGGGGTTCAGATGCAGGCCGCCATAGGCGGTTGAGAAATATATGGGATATCATTATACAGTAAAGTTACAGGCCCAGTAATATATTCAGCCAGACATGCCATCTCTGCCGAGGCCCCAGCGGCCAACCTCGCGCATGGCTGCGTCGCGACCTTCAACCAATCGGCCATCGGCGTTGGAGGGGTTATGTTCGCCCAAAACACCTGCTACGCACTGCCAGCCAGTGCGGCCACCTCCCCAGCGGAGAACCTCGTTCTTATACCGCTCACCAGCGGCGCGGTCGACGGAGCCCTTTCCAGAGAGGAAAACATCCTGCCAGATCTTGTTGGCGATAGCCCGGTCAAAGATATAGCTGTAGTAGGTGGCGCCATAGCCATACAAATGGCCGAAAAAGCCTTGCCAGGACGTCCGGGGCTCGATGCCATCCGGGTCTGGCAGGCTGGAATACTGGTTAAACACCTTGTGATAGATGTCGGTAGTGTCAATGCCGCGGACTGCCTGGTCGCAGGGAATCGAGTGGTAGGCTTGGTCCACGAGAGCCATCAGGATCTGTGTCTCGTTTTCCACGGCCCCATATATTGAGCCGTGTGCAGTGCGATCCTGCTCCATGCTGCGCATCATGCTTTCAGACAGGGGCTCATCAGTCTTCCAGTGCCGCGCATAGAGAGAAAGAACTTCCGGTGCAGTAGCAAAGCTCTCCATCAGCACCGAAGGAAGCTCAGCAAAGTCGGTCGAGCATCGAGTGCCGGAAATGGACTGAAGTGGAGTCTGTCCCAGTATGGAGTGAACAGCATGGCCCATCTCATGAAACAGTGTGCGCACGCTTTGCTCGCTCAAGAGCGTCGGCCGACCAGAACCATTTGCGACAGGTTCCTGGAAATCGCACACGAGAGCGATGGTGGGCAGTTGGCGTAAAGTCTTTGTCCGTGGGTCTACCGCGGTGGCCATGCCATCGTTCGGGTGAGCAGACTGGTCCATCGAGGCGCATTCCGCAACCTCTTCAGCAGATATCTCACGCGAGCAGCGCAGGGTGAAATGAGCAGGGTTAGGGTGTTTGCCAGGTCGCGAGAACAGATCACAGTAGACCACTGCGATGTGCTGCTCCGACTCATTCACGACATCCAACCGGCGGACATCCGCGTGCCAGGTCTCACCAGGAGAAGCCTCCTGCGGGACGAGCCGTACGCCGTAGAGACGATCAAAAAGTCGGGAAAGACCTTGCATGACTGTACCCAGAGAGAAGAACTCGGGCACGGCGCTCAACTCGCGAGATCGTCGAGCCTGCGAATACTCCATCACGCGCTTATGCACGTAGTATGCATGGTCCCATGGCTGTAGCGAGCTTCCCTTCATTTGCTGCAGTTGGGCCAGCTCTTCGCTGACGGGTCCCCGATTGCTCGAGATCAGCGATGTCAGGAAGTTGGAGACCGCCTCTGGTGTCTTGGCCATCTTATCGCTCAAAGCCATATCGGCGAAGCTGTTGTAGCCGGAAAGTTGCGCCAGCTCTGATCTCTTCATCAAAAGCTTCTCTAGCCGGTGGATTTGGCGAGAGCTAGAGGTTCGAGTGGCGAGATATACCTCTTTCCGCACAGACTCATCTCGGACAGATTGTAGCACAAGCCGGGGGATGATTCCCATGGTTGGTACGGGCGCTTTATTATTCCACTTTTTAATTCGTTGGACCATCAATGGGTCCAGTCCCTGGAGGCTATTCGCGCTGAAAACCACCTGGGATTTGGCTGGCTCTGCGCCGCCGAAGAAATCGGAGCCGACCTGGCTGACATCATTGGACAAATTCACAAATCTCTGCCTATCACTCGGTGGCATATGAATCGCCGAGTTTGTGAAGTCCTTCATGAGAATCTGTGCCACGATTGTCTCCGCCTCGGTCCAGTGTGAAGTAACCATGGGATTCGCGACAGCCTTGCTCAGCTGGTCATGAAGGCCCGTAGTCGTATTCAGGACATTCATGTATTCGAACATCAGCGCGTACGCCTGCGTCGCTGCTTCTTGGATTCGTGGATCGGGATGCATCGTTCGAATGAAGTCGGAGAGGTCAATCACGCGACATAGGAGGTCGCTCAGCCGGTCGAGATTCCGTGCCAAACTCCGATACTCGTCCAGAGTGGAAGCTTGCAGCACCTTGGCCACAATCGCCTGGCATTTCTGCAGCGAAACGTTGGCAAAGGCCCTGAAGCCATCTGGACTGGTCAAGTATTGGTTCTGAACCAACCCAGCCCTTTTGGGAGCCGCGCTGCGCTGGTGGGAGAACTCTCTCCAGAATGGCTGCGAATCGAAGACACGGCGTAACGTCTCATCATCGGCATTCTTCCTGGGTGCGCAATTATCCGCTGGAACATAGTCGGCGTGGGATCTGGGAGCTGGTGAGGCGGCGCTTTCGAAGGCTCGTGATTGCCCCCGGAAAAGACATTTACGGCACGTCCAGGAGCGGCGCCCGACAGGGCGGAGCATGGTAGGATTTGTATAGACAGTAGAAAATAAATTCAAAACACGAACAGCCGCTGATGTACAGAAACCGCAAGGAAACCAGAGCAGGGAAATGAGTAGTTGACAGAAGGAGTTGCGGGCAATGACGGAGTTTTCTTGCGTTCCGCCGAACCGAATAATTCCCGTCTTGGCTTCGACCCAACTTTGCTTCATCCTCACCCATCACCCTCTGCTTCCTCACCCCACACCCCCAGGATGTCATTCCGGCCGATGTTGAAGCAGGTATGTTCGGCCACCTATGATTGCATCTGGTTATTACTGCTGCAATTGACCTGTCAATGGCGTACTGACTTGTTGCTAGCGGGCTGTGGCTCCGATCGCAGCCACCCTCCTCGCAGGAGGCATGGCCCTGTACCCCAAGCAGACTGCTTTCGCCGAGGAGCCTCGCGAGGTTAGACCACCTGAACCTGTTCTTTCTTGATATTTCGGTTCGCGAATAGATGTTTCTGACACACGACTGCTTGCCCAATACAGCGGAAACCCATCTACGACGACTTTCCATCTGACATCCCGGAACCCTCCAAGCCCGCGCCCCCAGCTCCCAAGGCGATCTCTCTGCCCACATCGCAATCTTCCTCTTCCTCGCCCACTCCGACAGACATCCTGACCGCTCAGATCCGGCAAGCCCGGCTTTTCCTTTACTCCCACTCCCTCGCCGCCGAGAACAGCTTCAACGCCTTCCTGTCCCGTGCCCTGCACATCGAGAATGCGTTCACCAACACCGTTGCATCGCTCGCGCCTTCCCCCGAGTCTGGTGAGCGCCTGACCCCCGGCGGTATCTACGTGGTCGTGTCCGCCATGGCCGGCTCCATCGTGTCACGTAACCGCGGCATCTTCCTCCGCACCCTGTCGCCAATCACTTTCGGTACCGTGGCTGCTTTCACTCTCCTCCCTGTAACGATGCAAAACGTGTCGGATCTCGCTTGGGAGTATGAGAAGAAGTTCCCAGCGGTTGCCGAGAAGCACTTGGCTGTTCGAGAGCGGGCGGAACACATCTGGTACACCGCTATTGCGCACAGCGGGATGACCCGCCAGATGATGGAGGATAAGATTGGTGAGGCTCGGAAGAAGCTCGAGGAGATGGTGAGCAAAGGTCACTAGTTTTTTTTTGCTTGGTTTGATTCCGTCCACCCTGGGTGGTCTGGGGGAGTTTCATCTTTTGCATGTGTACGCTTAGAGCTCGTAGATCCGATGATATAATCCGGACGTCCCCTTTGTTTAAAAAACATTTGTTGGTTCCAAATTATCTGCTTTGGTGTGGGTTGTAGGTGATGCTGTTGCGCTGAAGGAAGTATTGTTGGTATAAGGGTAAAATTCATCATAATCTACATCAAACCCAGTGCCGACGCACATGATATCATTGTTCTTCTTGTGCTGGCCCTGGTTCTCCCTCAACAGCCTCCAATGACTCTGTTCTTAGATCTGTTGCTGGAGCCGGGCTGCCCGACATGGTGGGGGAGACGCCAAGTTTAGGAGGAGGTGGCAGAGCGGTTCCCTTCCGTGAAGGCGCAAAGTCTTGCTCCCGGCTCTTCTGTTCACCTTCGGCAAAGTAATCATCAAATGCTTTGCTGGGGGATACTCCCTGCCGCGGCTTTGCACTCCGACGGCTCGCAGGCGATGTGCCAGTTGGGGGGGAGGTCACTCTCGTCTGAGCCGCAAGAGGAGGTGGTGATGCCATGTTTGCTGGAACCAAATAGTTCCCAGAAGATCCAATTATTGCCGAGGGGCCGTTAGGATTTCGCGTTGCCGTAGAGCTGCCATCCTCGCCCGTTTCAAAGACAACCTCGCCCGGTCCTTCCACCTCCTCACCCAGCCCAACCGGTAGTCGATGCAATGCCCCATATCCTAGCTCGGCACCAAGGGCACCTTCGCCACCCCATCCTCTAGTTGGAACAAGCTCGACCTCCCGTACAACGTCAAATTCACTGTTGTATACCCATAGAACGAGGGTGCGATCAAGATGGTCCTCCACCAACTCCCCGAGAGCAGATTCCCCGCGTAATGTCCCACTCGGCGTTCCGATGATATAGTCTGAATGTGGGAGCAGCCCTGCACGGTAAGCCGGGCTCAGAGGCGACGGCGTCCCAAGGACATGCCAGATGTGCTGGGTGGAGGAAAGGGGGGCAAGTTGTAAGGTCAGGCCGAGGGAGGGGTTTGCTGCTGGTACAGGGACTGTGACGCTATGCGTTCGCTGACCCTATATAGAAGGTGGGAAGTATTAACATTTATTCCCTTGGTGGCATATTGGAAAGCTTCAAAGTACCTTGGCGCTCCAAATTTCCAATGTTAAGCTAGAGCCGGCGCAATTGCGCACTTCTGTCGCAAAGAGGCTTGGGTCTGGATCTTCCTGCACATACGTATCAGCTACCGCCCCACCTTATTGTCAGAGATCTCTGAGAACATACAATAGGATGTCCGTTAATTCCCACGATAAAATCAAACCACGGCTCCAAGGGCAGCTCGGCGTCTTTGTTGCGGAGAACTTGGAATCCAAAGGCGTTATCGCTCGGCCCGTTTCGAGGCTGCTGGACGGGCTCACCATCCAGCCGACCAATGAATCGATTGAGCGCGCCGAACATCACGTCCTAATCTGCCTTTCGGTGGGGTCGAGCTCAAGAAGAAGCGGGATATCGAGGCTAATAGTCGGGGGAGCTACGCGGGCATGCGAGCTGGCCAGATATTAATGCAAACGATGCAAACAACCCTATCTTTATCGGCTGGCGCATGTTATCGAAGACTTGCGATTTGTATCGCCACAGGACTTTACGACATGGCAGATACAGACGTGGCACCGCCTGAGGTGCATCATTACAATAGTATTGAGGAAGTCCCCTGGGATATTCAAAAGTGACTTTCCTCCGCATCTTGTCTAAGCGAACCGCAGTGCTGACTAGCCACTTAGTTATTGGGCCCAACGGCACCGCATCTTCTCCCAGTACGACGATGGAGTATGGTTGACAGATGATGCGTGGTTTGGAGTCACGCCTGAACCGGTCGCCAAGTATGTGCCTTTCATATACCTCTGATCTCAAACTAGTATAGAGCTTACATTCTGAACAGCAAGATAGCAGCACATCTGGCGGAGACTGCTCCCGCTGGGCGCTGTATCTTGGTTGATTGCTTTGCTGGCGCCGGGGGCAATACCATCGCTTTCGCAAAGTCTGGCAAATGGAAGCGCGTTTATGCTATCGAAAAAGACCCGGCTGTTCTCCAATGCGCCCAACATAACGCCAAGATTTACGGTGTTGATAATAAGATCACCTGGTTTGAAGGCGACTGCTTCCAGATCTTGAAGAATCAACTTAAAGACCTCGCACCTTACAGTGTCATTTTTGCAAGCCCTCCTTGGGGCGGTAAGCGCATCGTTGACGTAGATTGTGAGAATTCTTGCTGACATGATGTGTACTAGGTCCGGGCTATCGCTCTGATGAGGTATTCAATTTGCGGACCATGGAGCCATACTCGCTTGAAACTCTCTACAAGGAGTACTCACTCTTTACTCCTCACATGGCTCTATACCTGCCTAGGACGTCGAATGTGAAACAATTGGCGAAATTTGTGCCTGAGGGTCGCAAGGCAGAGGTGATGCACTATTGCATGGACGGCCACAGTAAGGCGCTGTGTATTTTCTATGGTGACTTGACTGTACAACAATAGGTAAATGATAGGTAGACTACTTCTTTTTCACACGAATCACAACGAAGAAACTCATGAAATGAACAATAGAGACGTCGTGCTCCCACTGCCATACGTAGGTCAACAAGTGGGTATTAAGCTGATTGCCTAATTGGGGTTAGTGCCATTGCGGCTTTTGCGTGTCACTCGCCGCGCTCTTCAGTCTTCCGTCCCGCGCACCTGGCGACACTCCTCACCACCCCACCCCTTCGTTTTGATCGCGTTGGCTAGGCAGATATTCTATCCTCGTTGGTGAGCAGGATAGACTACCCGATGCGCGCGACTTAATATCGTCTTGTTGCCTGCCCGCTCGGCCTACGTCAACAGCCTGCACCAGCCTCTGGCGTCCTAATCCGCTCAGTTGACCTTGACCCCCGAGCGACCACGTCCTCATCATCCTTTCGCTTCTCTTTACACCGGTCTTTTCCTCATCACCAATCAATCATGCCTCACGCGACGCAGAACTCGGCCTCAGCGGCCCCGGAAGACTCGGAATTCGACAATGTGATGCGCCAGCTGAATAACTACGAAGGTGGCCCAGAATTTGACTTCTTAACGCGAGATCTGGATGTCGGTGAGAAAGCAGATGATGCGGTCGACTACGAAGACTTTGAAGATGATGAACTCCCTGAGGAAGAAGAGACTGACGTACCTCCACGACTCCCCGGGAACGAGACATCGCAAGACCCTTTCGCGGACCTAGGTGCAGATGATGCTGGACTTTTTGGACCGGGCGACGACATATTTGGAGGTACTGGCGAAGATGCACAGACTCAGGATGACAATCTCGACGACTTGTTTGGCGAAGGGCCCTTTTCGCCTCCACCTGCTGGTCAGGTGGATGATACCCAGGGTCTCTTCGAAGATGAGGAAACATCATTTACAACTCAGCCTGTCGAGCTACCGCCTATTCCTTCCGTATCAGAGCCCCATGATCAGTTTATGCAAGTGGACGATGATGATTTCTTGGATGATGCTAGTGTACTTTCGGAGGAAATGGATGAAGCAACTCTGCGCGCGTGGAAACTCCAACAACAGCTGTTTGCGATGTCGGGCAAGGGAGGTCCCGAACATCTGCCTGCGCCCCCGGAAAACCACGAGGACCTTCTACACTCCTTGTTCCCCAGCTTCGACCGTAACACTCTTCCGCGTTGGCTGGAGCTCATCCCACACAAGAAGGCGTTTTACCTTGGAAAACAGCCACTCAAGGTCCCCAAACCGGTCCTTCCTACGAAAGTCAACATCGAACTGGCCCCCGACCAAGAACGTGTGTTCAGAACAGGTCAGCCGAATAAGCGCGGCCTGGACCAGGAGTCGTTAGGCATTGTGATGATCACCGAAACCGCCCAAGAGGAAGAAGAGGATGCAAAGGAAGACTTCGAAATGGGTGACGTTGATGCGGATGAGATGCTCCCCGGAGGATTTTCCATGCAAGACCTTCGAACTATCTGCGTTGACTGGGATGTTAAGGATGAGGACCTTTCTGCAACAGAGGAGCCAAGTCCGCCTGCCCCAAGAGAGTCCGCCGATCTTTTCGACGACGAGGAGGCGGATTGGTTGGTGGACGATAACCAACCTTCAAAGAAGCGCAAGACCGGTCCGACTTCCATGGACGTGATCGCTCTATCTCATACCGATATTCCACTCTTAGATGACCCCGAGCAGGCTGTTTCTCAGATCGCGAAGAAGGTCACTATCGATATGAACGACCCCAATATTCTGGTTGAAGAGTTAAGGTCAGAGGCGACACTCCCCAAGCCGAAACAGGCTGTCCCCCGGGGCAGGGAAGAGGTTGACACAAATCTTACTCGCCGGCTCACTCAACGATACAATATCTCGAATGACCAGGCATACGACATGCTGAAGCAAAATCACCAAAATAAGATTCGGAGTACCCTTGGAAACGTCACTCTTGAGCATGCTTTGCCTGCCCTGCGCTTGCAGTGGCCTTACTACAAGACGGAGCTGCAAAAGGCCGAAGCCCGATCTTTCCACAGGCCTGCCTTGAGTTTCCGGGTTGGTCAAACCTCGTGGTTCAAGAACCCTGCACATGTCAAGCGCAAACATCTTAAGGGCAAGGATGCCAAGTCTCTTTATGAGTCGACCAAGTCGCTGTCGATGGCTGATAATTCCAATGTACTGTTGGTGGAGTACTCCGAGGAGGTTCCTATGGTGCTCTCCAACTTCGGCATGTGCAATCGCTTCATCAATTATTACCGAAGAAAAAACCCAGATGATCCCACTCGCCCCAAAGCTGAGATTGGTGAAACGGCCGTCTTGTTGCCGCAGGATAAGAGTCCATTCTCCATTTTCGGGCATGTTGACCCGGGTGAGATTGTCCCCGCAGTCTCGAACTCGATGTACAGGGCGCCGTTGTTCCCACACCAGGCCAAGTCGACAGACTTCTTGGTCATTCGCAGCACCACTGGCTCTGGAGGAATGAGTTACTATCTGCGCAACATTGAAAACCTCTTTGTTGCCGGTCAGCAGTTTCCTGCCGTTGATATCCCCGGTCCACACTCGCGCAAAGTTACCACCGTGGCCAAAAACCGCATGAAGATGCTTGTCTACCGACTTCTCAAGAAGAGTGCTGACGAACGACTCGCGATCTCTGATGTCACGGCCCACATTCCTGGCACCACCGATATGCAAAATCGGCAGAAAGTCAAGGATTTCCTGCAGCATGACAAGGATACCAAGTATTGGAAACCGCTGGATCCCGTCCTCCCAGATCAAGAAACCATTCGGTCATGGGTTCAGCCAGAGGATGTATGTCTGCTAGAGTCTATGCAGGTCGGCCAGCAACATCTTCACGACACCGGTTTCGGCAATGACGCGGAGAACGGCGGTGAGAACGAGGAGGACGAGGAAAGCGAGAGCTTCGAACAGCTGATGGCTCCCTGGAAGGCTACCCGCAACTTCTTGCTAGCTTCGCAGGGCAAGGCCATGTTGAAGCTTCATGGCGAGGGCGATCCCACTGGTCGTGGTGAAGGCTTCAGCTTTATTAAGACATCAATGAAGGGTGGCTTCAAGGCGATCGGTGAGAGTGTTGAAGATAAACTGGACGCACAGCGTCTTAAGGAGCTCGGTGGCCACAGTTATAACGTTGCACGCCAACAAAAATCATATGAGACGTCTATCCGGCGAATCTGGGATTCGCAAAAGGCAAGTTTGTCTTCTACTGTCGAACATTCAGACGATGAGAGCGATGTCGATCAAGGAGAGGTGGAAGAGTTTAACAAACCGACTCCGCGATCTGAAGCTCCGACACCGGCTCCCACCAGGCGATACGACGATGAGACAACCAGTCAATTCAGCAGAATGAGCTTTGCGAGCCAGAAAGGCAAGGTACTGCGTATCACCCGCCAGTACAAGGCTTCCAATGGCGCGATCATGGAGAAAGAACAACTTGTCTGGGACCCGCGAGTCATCAGACACTATATCCAGCACCGCCACCGCTCCGAAGCCCTCACCACTAAGCTGGAATCCCTTCAACCAACCGGTGACCCCGAGGTCGATGCTCGCAACCGCAAGTTGATCGAGGCCGAGCTAAGTCGTCTGAACCGGAACAAGGAGCGCCGCTTTGCTCGCGAGAAGCAGAAGGGTATTTCTCGTGCGGGCGACTCGCCCGCCGATGGCAAACCCGCCGGAACTCAGCGCAAGTGTGCCAACTGTGGCCAGGTCGGACACATTAAGACAAACAAGAAACTTTGCCCTCTTCTCAACGGCACCATGAAGCCAGAGGATCGGATCACCGACTCGGCGTTCTCCATGAGCGCTCCTGTTCTCTAAATCGCTTTCTCTTCAAAACTCCCAGGTCCCTTCTGCGGAATCTCCCCTTCTTCACGTGGCCCCACCCTGCCTTTCAATATGATACCCATGCCATGACTTCACTATCATCGGGATTTCTGTTTTTGTCCGCTTTTGTCCGCTTTTTCAACTCGTCCCTAAGACTGGCACTACTTGATTCTGCACGTTGAGTTGTTGATTTCCTTTCTAATATGTTGGCCAGCATGGTCTGACCTCAAGGCATGTAGTATACGATGCCTTTTCTGTTCTTGTACATAATCATTAAAATACAGAAATATCAACAAAGTCATCCGTATGGGAACCCCATATGTCTAATTCATTTGGTTGTGAACGATGAGCAGCGAAGTCCTCAACCAAGGTCTATAGTTTCCCTTCATACCATTACTACGCTGGCGCCAACTTAGAGGAACTGACAGAATAGGGTCTCTGAAGTCTTTGTTCGTAGCATTGTAAGAGCATATAAAAATGAACAGCACCCTCGCATTCATGCAGGCTTTCCAAGCACGGCTTAGCTCCAGTATACGACGCATCGTGTAAGGGAAAGGTTCGGGGTATGAATAGGCGAATCAAGGAAAGTCGTGTTCTCCGGGGTCAGAGGCTATAGTCGAATCTTTTCCACCAACAGAAAGGGCTCCCGCCAGCATCCTGCCCCATCGCTCTCACTGCACATACAAATCTGTCAGTGCCCCCCTGGCGAATGGCTGTCGTCCTCGCTCGGGACTGAGGGCCATAGCCGGCCCCTTTGGTCGTCGGTACGTATATCCCAAGAAGGCCCCTCTTTTGCGCATCTCCAAGGCTACTCTGCCGGCTTTCTTATCTCGCAAGATCTTGTCACGCGGTCGGTTTCTTTCCCTTTTCTTCTTCCTCTCGACTCCCTGTTCGGGGGCGTCGGGGTAGACTGGGCAAATGCCATCGCCACCTAGCACCAGCGGCTCGATGGGACGAGCATTAGGAGAATAGACTGGATTCTCAGCAGGCCCAGCTTCTCGTTCGGCTTGTGTATTTTCGTCAGATTCTTCCTCGGTGTCACTGTTCTCATATCGCTTCTCGATATTGTCGATTTCCTTCCAGTCGTCGAAGTACCGAGTATCTTCACAATGCTTGACTCTGGGAATGAGGGGCGGCTGGGTTAGATGGAGCTTATTCCACTGAATCCCTCTGAAGAAAGGGTGAACCTTGATGTCAGCTGCATCATCAGGGTATACCCAATAGCTGTTGATCTTCCGGTATCGTGGATGCATCGAGTATAAGAACTGGTCTGAGACAGGGCGTCCAATCAACATGTCGTTGGCGTGGTACTTCTGCGAGCACAGTCGGAATTCACGCTCTTGAAGAATTCGTGCGATTAGATCAATGGCGTCTTGCGACACAAGTTTATCCGTCGGTGTTTCTCTCGGAAATTGCAGGGTTCTCGAGTGTTGCTAGAAGAGCACGTTGTTAGATTCGAGCTCGAACATCGCGGGGGGTTTTCATTAACGCTTACCAAAACCCTTATTTTGGTGCTGCGGCGGCTCTCGCAAGCAAAAGGGGTAAACCCATACAGACACTGAGTGTGTGAGACGGTAATATCCTTCACATAGGACCTTTGGGCTTCACTCACCTCGTAGAGAATAATGCCCAAGCTCCACCAGTCGCATCTCCCATCATACATCTCGCCCCGAATCACCTCTGGTGCCATGTATTGACTGGTCCCAACCACACTCTTTGCAAACCGCCGTCTTTCTTTGATGTTGCGCCGTTCGAGAAGATCCGTTGACGGTACTTGATGGTCGGGAAGGTCATTTGGCCCTTGGGACGGCATATCAGAGTTCGGCTCTTTCTTCGCTTCGGCAGTTTGGGCTTGATCTTCGGCATCACCTGCGATGGCAATACCTAGTCTCTCCAAAAGGGAATAACGGTGGTTATTATAATACGTTTGGTCGTAAGACCAATGTCCATTGAAAGCCAACCCAAAGTCAGAGATTTTCAAGTGTCCAGATGCCGAGATGAGGAAATTGTCCGGCTTGACGTCGCGATGAATCCAACAAAGACGATGGGCTTCTTCGATGCACAGAACCATCTCAGCAATATAAAACCTTGTCCATTCTTCACGCAAAACAGCCTTGCGGATCAGCAGGCCGAGAAAATCCCCGCCAACCATGTAGTCCATGACGAGATATAAGTAACTGTCATCCTGGAAGCTGGAGATCAATGGAACGATCCAGCGAGACTTTTCAGACGCAACGAGGAAGTCTCTCTCCGCTCGAATGTGACCCTCTTGGCAGTTGCGGATCATCTCAGATTTCTTGATAACTTTCATGGCATAGACTTCTTTGTCCTCGCCTGCCATGAACCTGCGTCGCCTTTGCATGGTGTCAACAATTGTAGATCTTATGATTTCAAGATGTCTGCGTTTTGTGCTGGAGATACGCGCATCGCGCGTCGAGGGTTCATCCTCGGTCTCAATTCTTTTGTTGCTCTCTCTTTCGCGTACCAAATACACCACGCCAAAGCTGCCTTTTCCTAAAGCCTTGATGACTTCATAGCCAGCAAGCGAGACCATGGTATTCACTCGAGTGGACTTGAAACAAGTCTTGAGAATTCGACACTGACGTAGATATTCATTCTCCTGTAGAGCCCAGTTGCGTCGAGTTGCTATCTGCTCTTTGGGACCAAGCTGGAACGCATAGATGTGCTGTTCTAGTTCATGCTGGCGCTGCACGCGTGAATCTACATTCTCGAAAATGGAGTTGAAACAGAGTTCGAGATATATCTTTGCGACAGATGCAGCTTCTACCGTCATGATCGACGAAGCAATGATGGGCGACCTGCTGTCTGATTCAGAAATTGGACTCAGAACACGGTCTGACGGGGCGGGCCATTCCGTCGCCTCGGTTTTGTATTTCTCTAACGAAGGTGATGGCTCCCCAGATGTCACTGGTGTCGAAGTTGTGGAGCATCCGATCGGAGAAATGCCACTGCTCGGCGTGGTCAAAGGATCCGAGCTGTTATTGGCTTCATCTCCTTGCTTGCTGGAACTCCTCGATATTGGAGATTCCAAAAAGAGAACACTAGGTCTCGGGCGCAGATGGGTACGACGAACAACCGTTGGCTGCCCAAATGTCAACGAAAGCCTTTGGGAAACTCGGTCCACCAGTCTCGAGTTTGACGCAGTTTGCGGCTCGACAGTAATGCTGGGACGACCATCATCGTCTTCAACCCGGTACTGCTGGGTATCCTCCCCGTCAGCTTGAGCATCAATCCTGCGAACCGGAGATTGGCAATTTGGCAGACTGGTGACCAGATTCTCTGTCATATCTAGCGGTGCATTGCCAGGATAATTGGCAATCGGAGACCGAGTGACCGGGGAGCAACCATCAGATATATAGATAGGGGCATCTTGCTCAGCAATGGGGACTGGTTGCACCGGGTGGTCTCGCGTAGGGCTGTGTGTTTCGTCGCACGACGTAGTCTCAACGCTTGTCTTGTTGCCTGTAATCCCTAGTCAGTATCATACAGAGGTGAAGAGTCCCATAGACGTACTGTTGGAAGAGGTCCGCAGCCCGAGTAATAATAGAAACTTGGAGCCGCTTCGTGTCAATCGAACTCGAAATCGATCTCTGCTGCCCCATCCGATGGATTCGGGGGACACAGGACTGTCTGATACTGCAGAATCTGCTGGAGAGGGGTATTGCTTGCCGCGGTGTGAAGTGACTTTGTTCGGAATCCAAAGATTGAAAACACTTCGTCGACGTGGTATTTTCTTTCCATAAGGGACTGTCATCGTGTGATATGCTGAGTCTACTTCGCTCGGCGGGGATCAAGGAACGGTGGTCATCGATGGCGTAAACATCCGCGCTGGGCCATTAACGATAGGATGCGATCGCCGATTGGAATCAAGTGTTCGGAGGACTACGAGTCCAGACTTTGGACATAAACCGCGGCCAAGAATGCGGAAGGCGAAACAACCTGTGGCATCTCGAACGGCAAGCGCCATCGAGGACCACTCGTTCGTCCCAGCCTAACGAAAGTTTCCGCTGTGAAAACATCTGGAAAGATACAAGGTACAACATTATATGAGAGAGAGAGAGAGAGAGAGAGAGAGATGTGAATGCCAGACGGCTAAATGGATTCAAGTACAAGGGAACACATTCAAATTACAGAACAAAATCGGTCACTTTTTCCATGCAGGGCGGATTCGAATCCTTCGTGATAGCCCCATCCCCGCCGCAGCAGGAGAGGCGTATAAAGGACAAACAAGCCGGATATCACGGAAATCATGCAATAAGACCGGTAAACCCATCAAACAAACACCTTTGCGAAACAGCAACACATACAGAATAAATTAGACGGGCGTTTACTTGATCTCCAACAGCTTGACGTCGAAGATCAGCTTGGAGTTGGCGGGGATGCCGGGGAGCGCCTTCTTGCCGTAGGCGAGGTGAGAGGGAATGGTGATGCGACGCTCACCACCGGGGGCCATGCCAGCGATACCGATGTCCCAGCCCTTGATGACCTCGCCCTTGCCAAGCTTGAAGGAGAAAGGCTTGCCCTTCTTGTTGGAGTCGAAGACCTTGCCATCCTCGAGCTTGCCGATGTAGCGCATAGCGACAGTGTTGCCGCTCTTGGCAGCAACACCCTTGCCGAGCTTCTTATCGTCAATCGTCACGCCCTTGACCTCCTTCACGCCGAGGGTGCCAGTGGGCTTGTCACCATTGGGGGTAGGACCCTGCTCCAGGTTCTTGGCGAACTGGACCTTCTTGTCAGCCTTGGCCTCCTTCTTGTCAGCCTTAGCCTCCTTCTTGGGCTCAACCGGGGCGGCATCGCCGTTATTCTTCTTCAGCTTCTTCTGCTGGGCCTTGGTCAGAGCAGGCTCCTCCTTGGTAGCCTTTCCCTTGGCTCCCTTGGCCATCATGTCGTCGAGGCTCTCCTCCTCAGCAGCACGCTTCTTGCCCTTGCCCTTGGCCTCAACCAGCTTGGGAGCCTCTTCCTCGCTGTCGACCTCGGTGATACGGGGATCATCCATACCATCCAGCTCGTCGCTCTCGTCACCATTCATGGCCATCAGCTCATCCATGTCGAGCTCATCCTCGTCGGGAGAGAGGTCATAGTCGTCCTCGTCCTCCTCATCCTCATCGTAAGGCTCGCGGCCCTCGTCGATGCCAATGACGTAGTTACCAGTCAGGAAAACGGTCTGGTTACCAGTGTTCTTGAAGAAGACAGGTTCACCCTCGCAGACAGTGATGTCAAGAGGCTGCTGGCAGTTCTGTGGCAATTGTTAGGATTATTGTAAAAGTTTGGGGAGAGTCTCGGATCAATATCAACGCTTACCTTGTCGGCGAACAGGGTGCAGATAACGTTCTCGTCAAGGTCCAGACCCTCTTCGGACTCGTCATCCTCCTCGTCATCATCATCACCGGTGAGGGGACTCTTGCCCTTGATGAGTTTGGAGATGGCAGCCTTCAGATCGAAACCGCCCTCCTCCTCCTCCTCGTCGTCCTCATCATCCTCCTCCATGGCCTCCTCGAGTTCCTTCTGGGCGGCGGCCTGCTTGAGCTTGCGGGCCTTCTCCTTGTCGCTGGGTCCACCGTTGACTTCCTCATCATCAGAGTCTTCCTCCTCATCGTAGTCCTCCTCGTCACTGTAGTCCTCATCGTCGGAATCGCAGCACATGTCGAGACCGGGAGGAGGGCGAACAATCTTCAAGATGGCGCGCGCAGGCTTGCTGGAGTCGCCATCTTCGAACTCAGGCTCCTCATCGGGGTCAATAGCAGCCATGCTCACACGGAACTGGAATCGCAACAGTCAGCCTGGGTTTTGGATTGCATTGTGAGTTCTGATACTGACCGAGGCAGCGGCGTTGGGCACAGCGGGCACCATGGCGCCGGCAGGAACCCGGAGGGCATAGACAGCAACCGGTTGGACGGCAGACATGTTTGAAGGATTGATTGAAAAATGAAAATGCAAATCAAACAATGAAATGAAGAGGGAAGTAGAGAGGGAAATGAACCACCGAAGAAAAACGGGCGTGGATGAGAAGAAAAGATGCGACCCGCAACTGGCAGCAACAGAGATCGCCCGGAGCTCTGCTTTTTTTTAAAATTTAGTTTTTTTCTGCCCGGCGGTTTAGCCCAATGACATTACATTAAACGCTCACACCGCTTCTGCATTGGCTTCCACTGACCGTTCCATTCACCGCCCTGTCTCACCTGCTTTCTGCCGGTGACGCGTGATTCTCTCGTGGCGTGAAGCTGGTGTGAGGCATCGACTTGACGACTTGACTGTTCTGGCTGCACGGACGGCTGTGGTGGTCCTGCTGGCCCAGCATGGGCTCCCGTCTTGATGCATCATCTAGCGCTGTACGTAAACGCATTGAAAGTCGTATGTGCTGCTCCTGGCCGGCTTTCGTTGGACCTACGTTCTAATCCGAAACCTGTGTATAGATGATTTCCAAGATGAGGCGGGCGAAGAGTATGAAGCTTCCAGCTTCGGTGGCTTCGGCGACTATATGCGACGCAAAAAGATCAAGCTACAAAACCTAGATGCAGAAATTCGTGCCTCATCCGGCGATTTTCCACCAATATTCCGCGGAGTCGTCGCGCATATCAACGGCTACACGCAGCCTTCCCTACAAGATCTCCACCGCCTCATTGTCAGCCATGGTGGTGGGTTCCTGCAGTATTTAGATAGCAAGACGCTCGCTACCCATATAATTGCGAGTTCTTTGACCCCGAAGAAGCGGGAGGAGTTCCGACGATACCGTATCGTGAAACCTGCATGGGTTACAGAAAGCATCAAAGCTGGGCGATTGTTGCCTTGGGATGAATTTCGTGTCGTGGACGAGGGCCAAACTCAGAAGGTTCTCAGGTTTGATGATGGGCGATTTACCAGTCAAACGAATAGCCCTCAGGTTGGCTACCGAGACCAGTCCAGCACCAGCTGGTACAACGCCCAGCTCAACGGTGTAAGAACAGCTGATAGAAGCTCCGTCGTCTCCGCAGGTGCGCTTAGCGCACCATCCAAGCCACCGCAGGTACCGCAAATACGGCAAGTAACTCCCAACTTGTCATCTCAGCCATCTCAATCGGACTATGGAGACATCCCTAGCTTCGCTGTTCTGGAAGAGGATGCCGCAATAAAAGCTCCCCTAGAGCAGCACAAAGCAAGCGCCCCAGTCATGCCCCCGGCATCAGTCGTCGATGGCCCATTTGGCGATACGGGCAGCCATATACCTGGAAATATACCTCAACAGCCGCAGGACACAACTCACATCTCCCCACCTTCTGATCAAACAAGTCCTCCGTTTCCTCACATGACCTCTGAGGAGTACAATGCACAGCTCTTGTCGGATCCTCGGATGAGAAAGTCAAGCGTGGTCAATCCTGATTTTCTTCAACAATACTACCGAGAGTCTCGGCTCCATCATTTGTCAACATGGAAAAGTGAGTTGAAGGCCCAACTTCAAGCCGCCACCAGCGAAAAGTCCAGCTCCCGCGTCCCTCAAAAGCGGCCTGCTCCAAGGGCCAGGAGATACATTCTCCATGTTGACTTTGACTCATTCTTTGCTGCTGTTTCTATTCTCAAACATCCCGAGCTTCGCGAGAAGCCCGTTGCCATTGCCCACGGTTCAGGGTCTGGCTCGGAGATCGCAAGCTGTAACTACGTCGCACGTGCCCATGGGGTCAAAAATGGCATGTGGATGAAGGGTGCTATGCAGGCATGCCCAGAGCTTCAGGTATTACCTTACGACTTTCCTGCCTACGAAGATGCCAGTCGAAAGTTTTACAGCTCAGTCCTCTCCATTGATGGGGTTGTTCAAAGCGTGAGCATTGATGAAGCTCTGATTGACGTTACCAATCAATGCTTGGAAGCCGGTGGATCGGATGGGATCACTATCTCAGAAGGATCCATCTACCGCGAGCAAGCTAAAGCTGACGAGATAGCGCAGGGTCTACGTGACTCGATTAAGGAGAAGACTGGGTGCGCGGTCTCTGTGGGGATCGGTGGCAACATTTTGCTTGCCAAAGTGGCATTGCGAAAGGCAAAGCCAGCCGGACAATTTCATCTCAAGCCGGATGCCGTTTTGGATTTCATTGGAAACCTCACCGTTCAAGATTTGCCGGGCGTTGGATACAGTCTTGGTACCAAATTAGAGGAGCTTGGAGTCAAATATGTCAAGGACGTTAGGGAGCTCACCAAAGAGAGGTTAAGCTCCTGTCTCGGGCCGAAGACCGGGACGAAGATTTGGGAATACGCCCGAGGTCTGGACAAAACAGAGGTTGGCAACGAAGTTGTTAGGAAATCGGTTTCGGCAGAGGTCAATTGGGGGATCCGATTTGTCAACCAAGATCAAGCAGATGACTTTGTCAGATCTCTCTGCGATGAATTGACTCGGAGACTGGTTGACAACCTGGTCAAGGGCAAGCAACTCACGCTCAAGGTCATGCGGAGATCCATGGATGCGCCGCTAGAACCAGTCAAGCATCTCGGCCATGGCAAATGCGATGTCTTTAATAAAAGCGTCGTTATTGGCGTAGCCACGAATGCGTCCGATATCTTGGGCAAAGAAGCCGTCTCTATGCTGAGGAGTTTCAACTTTTCTCCGGGTGATCTGAGAGGCCTTGGAGTCCAAATGACCAAGCTTGAACCGCTGAAACCGAGACCTTCGGAAAATCTTGAAAGCAGCCAGCGGCAACTCAACTTCCAAAAATCTCCGTCGCACAAGAAGGTTGTCGCAAATGTCGATCCTGATGAACTGGAAAGTCCTCGCAAAGGCGATACTACCCGTATACAATGTGACCCGGTACTCAGCAATAGTGCACACAAGCCGCTGAACATTTCCGGGTCACAGTTCATTTTGCCCACCCAAGCGGATCCGAAGGTTATCTCCGAACTCCCAGGAAACATCAGGTCAAGGCTCGTGGCTCAGGCCAACCCTCGACATGACTCGCCGCGCTCCGGCTCCCCTTGTCCACCTCCACGGCGTACACCGGCGCCTTCTGCTGCAGCTCCGCTGCCTCCTCAATCTCAATTGGACCCTGAGACTTTGGCTGCATTACCTGAGGATGTTCGTAACGAAGTCCTTGGATATTACAATCAGCAGCCCACTCGGCCTGATCTCCCAGCAGCTCCTTCGGCCCCTTCAGCGCCTATCTCGCGCCCTTCATCATCATCTGGGCCCCTGAAACTGAAAAGACCAACCTCACCACCAAAGAAAAGGCGTGGTCGTCCTCCGAAAACAGTATCAGGTGGCAATAAGAACCTAACACTGTCGAATTATGCATTCCCGCGGCCTGCAACCCCCTCTGCATACATCCCAAGTCTGACCAATCGAGACTCTGTATCACGCCAACAATCTCCAGCAGCCGAGGGAGAGCCGGAAATCTCTGCTGAATTTTTGGCGGCACTTCCCGAAGACATTCGCGAAGAGGTTCTTGAAGAGCAAAAGCGCGCGCGCCTCCAGCGAGCCCGTGCAGCCGCTGCGACCGCATCTAGGCCAACATCTCAGCCTCAAGCATCTGTTCCCCCGCCACCACAACCTCCTCCAGTCGAGAAAACATTACTTCTTCCTCCTCTCCCCCAGCGGCCCGTGTTCACATCCCGGCGGCTATCAAGCCTACCGGATCTGCGAGATGCAGTAGGTGCCTGGCATTCTACTTTCGCATCTGATGGTCCTTATGGTGAAGACGTCGAGGTACTTTGTACGTACCTCCGGCGTGTCATTGCCGAGGAGAAGGATATTGACAAGGCAGTATCTGTGGTGCGTTGGCTTATGTGGTTGGTCGGTGAGCATTCACTTCAGCGGGGATCGGTGGAGAACCCAAGCCCCCCGTCTGGGCAGAGTGGGCAACAGGGTGTCGTGACTTGGACGGATGCGATCGAGATAATGCAGCGCGGTGTACAGGCTGCATTAGAAGCGAGAGACCTTCCGCCAGTGGATTTTGACTAGCTTTTGTGTATAATCAAGTGATTACGATGCAATGAATGACGATATGCCCTTTCCTTATAAACAAAGACGATTGGTTTGACATGAGTCTGTACCTTGTCTCGAGGGTTCATGGCATCCCACAGGGCTATACATACCCGGGTACTGCTTTGATGCGCTTCCGATGCTTGTGGTGCAGATGGTTTTCTCTTTTCCCCTGTGGAGAAGCTCTCAGGGATTTTGGTAACTTATAGGCAGATCGTTTCTTGATTTGTTGGTATTTCCATACTTGGTGTCACCTAATATGTTGCCGGACGGAAGAATATAAATTTAACAGCATGTGGGTCTCATCACACAGTATATATCTCTAACTGGAAACAATTAGCTCGAATTACTGTTATTTCAGCCTAGCTAGAAGTCCATGAGCCACCTATCATCCCAACTGTACCGAATTTCGGAGATATAGGTATGTGCTGATAATCGGGAATCTTCGCATGAATTCAAAGTAGAATCACGTTTCTGAAGCTAGATTTGAAGGCAATTCATATATACCTGGGCTTGTGGTTTAGTGGTATAATACTCCCTTAGCATGGGAGTGGTCCGGGGTTCGATTCCCCGCGAGTCCAGATCTTTTTTACTTCGACCAAGTTCTTCCCGGGTGCGATAAGTTGGATATGGGATGGGCCCCGTCACCTGGTGGGTGGAATGGCAGATTTTTTGCGTCGGACGTAATGGGCAATCTCGCAAAATACAGTCGCACCAATTGATTCCACAGCACGTTCCACCGCCCATTCTTACCGCCTACCGAATCTGCCATAAACGCGTAGCTACATTAATATGATAGATCAATAGTAACGTCAACAATAACATTAATAACGCGTCTGAAAACAAGGGATATATAAGGTTTTCCCCCCCCATTTTATCATCCATACACTATATCTTACACATACACACACGCGCGCACACACACAAACATACACATCCATCATGGGTGCAGGTGAAGAACTTTCACCGTCAACACGCTCGCGTATCTGCAGCCTTCGAAATTCAGCCAATTTCTCCTACAAGCGTATTAACGACGAGTTTCCACATATACCGCGCTCTACAATTGTCAGCACGTGTCGAAGGGAGGCTATTCGTGGCAAGGAAAATACATCCCTCAAGCGCTCCGGTCGGCCACAGAAGCTAAGCGATTTCGAACGAGATCTAATATACGACGCCATTCAATCGAATCCTAGCATCAGTTATGATACTTTGCTTGATCTTGTTAATGATAAGATTAGCCGCGAAACGCTTCGAAAGCTTTTGAAAGATTTTGGCCTACGAAAATGGCAATCTAAACCCTGCGGAAAACCTCTGGGCGTTGCTAAAAGACAAGCTTCTAAAAATGTTTCCTGAACTATATCATGTGCCTAATGATGAAGGACGCGCTGGTATCTACTATTAGTTGCGCAGACTGCGTGGTCTGGCATAGATCACGAGACCTTACAGAGACTGTCCGAGAGTATGCCTACCTAGAGGCGTGTGCAGGCCATTGTTGAGGCGGAAGGCTGGTATATTAAATACGCAGAAATGCGTATATTTTGGTATGGCTATTATGGCTGCTATGACAACTTTTGCCGGCAGAAAATGAAGTTTACATTGGGGGGCGGGGGGCTGTGGAAACATATTGGTAGCGACTGTAGATACCGCTCAATACTTCCTTAGCATGGCAAAGGGTCCAGTTCACTTTCAAACTCATACCCGGCACACATCCATCACGCTTCTTGCCCTCGTAAGCCTAGTCTCTTCATGCAATGCGCCGCCTTTCGTTTTCTTCGCGCTTCAGTCTGATACGTTGTATACGCTCCGAGGGCCAGGCCGCTTCCTGGTAAAAATCACCTTATTGAGCTAACATATCATACCTCTCCAAAGCTTGGAGCACTATTTGATGGGAATCATGTGGTCACAGTTCTTCCCACCGGGCCAATGCTCACAGAAGCCAATCTACGTAGTCACACAAGGCAGGGTCTTGATAGTTACCGGTGGCTATTCAAGCGTGGGGCTAGATATGCAGGCTCGGGTATATCATTTTCAGGATGAAAGTGGCTAGTGATAATGTCCAGTTTAACTAGCAGCCCGCTCATAGAAATGGTGTTGTCCGAGGCACACAAAGTAAGATGTGTTATGTAGCAACCGTGCAGTAAGTATACAGGAAATTAGATCCTTAATGACAGCAGATACTAGGAAGAAGTTACACATAGAAGACACGTGCAGCGTGGAAAACCTTAAATATATAGCCAAGTGGTGTATATAGGTTACTTGCATTTCTCGTCCATTCAGAACAGTTGAATTTACAAACCAGCTAGCCCTGCATGAAAATCGTAATCCGTAAACCTTGCATGGAAAAGACCGAGGCTGTTACACTACAGAGCGCCTCTAGAAGTCAACTGAGGACTGGTCATTTGCAAAGCTCGACAAAGCCTGTAAATGAATCAGTAAAGAGAAACAACGAAGAGCGAGAGAATGTAAAGAGCTATACACATACCCAGGAATCGAGTTGAGCCCACCAAATGGAGCCTTCGAGGTTCTCAAGCAGCCCCGCATCCTCCGCAGTATTGATGGGCGGGCCCAGGTCGGTTGGTGGCAGGATATTCGACATTGGGTGGAAATCCAGATTCGGAGGAACAAAGGATACTGTGCGGTCCACATGATTTGGCGTCATCGTTTTCTGCTCAGGAAGCGGATCATCATTGTGTATGACCGGGATCTGTCCTATGCTAATCTGCTGGTCTGAGCCTATGTGCCGATGGACTTCCTTCCTGAGCTCCCCAAGAATGATACTGTACCGTCTGCTGGGACAGTTCTTCCGCGTAGCTTCCGCAAGGTGTTGCTGACAGGTCTCTGCAAGCAAAAACAACGAATGCAGTTTATCGGCGTCAGCAGGACTCCCTGCCGTTGGGCTTGGTGCTGTGGCCTGGCGGTGCTGCTGGATTATGTGGATGTAGACCACTAGGATGGCGCAGAATGTCACGTAGTGGGTGAACCAGAATGATTGAATAAAGATATTCTGCTGCGCGAGATCATCGATGAGGGTCATGGTATCCTCAGCCGCTGCGATGCATTTTTGCACGTGAGCGCTGACCATTGGGTGTGGCTCTTTTGGTGGGCGACTGAGGTCAGTGAAATCGTTGAGGAGGAACGAGCGAGTGACGTGGATCATTGCGTGTGAATAGGCCAGTTGGAGGACTTGGCTTTGTCTACAGAGGGGCGGTATCAGGCTGGATGGTCGAACGCTGTTGAAGAGAGGTGGTACGCTTTCTTTCCATCTTTCCAAGTCAGAAGTGAGGCGGACGGCTGTTTCGAGTGGAGAGTCGCGGGAAAGAGGATTGATACTATATAGTTGCCGAGATATCTCGCCTAGTATTCCACCGAGGCTGTGGCAGGTGTTAGTAGACCGGAGATCGCCGGACTGCATAGTCAACGTAAGAATGACGAACCGGTAATGTAGAACAGATGCAATCATCATGCTGTCTGTGGATCCCATTCGCCGTGCTGGGTCTTCCTCCAGTAGGTCCTCGTCATTCATCTCGTCCGGGAACTCCTGATCAATATCCTCGTCATGAAGCAGCCGGGGCCGACCGAACATGATACTGAGATATTTGTCCAAAGTATATGCGCTCCAAAATATACGCTTCCGCAATTCTAACTCCAGGTAAGAACATCCGTTCTTGGATAGCTTTACGGGACATTTCCGGTGTAATCCCAGAGCTGTCACAACCTGCAAGGCCGTTCCAAAGGAATACCAGCACTCGTTAGCTCGTGATGACGACAAAAGGTACAGGCATTGGATCAGCCGAGCTTGAATCGTTTCCAAGCGTGGAGGTCCTGACTCCAGAGAAGCCATATACTTCGATGCCGCATACCATCGCTCACTCTGGCTGGGACCGTTCGTGGGCTGCTGCTCCTGGCATAGTGTGCTGACCGCAAAGATCATCAGAACGATAGCCGTCCTGGCCACCATGATACCCACTGGCAGATTCGATATCGAGATATTGTTCTCATAGATTTGCTTGACCCAATTCTCGACGCTTCCGCGATGCAAGAAGCGATAGGTCACCATCGAGAAGTCAAAGTAGATTGCGATCAGCTCCATCGCGGTCTCCAGGGACGGCAGAAGAAAGTCTACATCCTGGGGGTGCGAGTAAGGCTTATCGCCAAACATGAACACAGCTGTGTTGGCGGAAGACTCATTGCAATTTTGCAATGCCTTGGGAATCTGCACTTTCTCATCCTGGTGCAATCTGCTCCAAACGCGATTGATGAACGAGACCCCAGACGCAGGCCCGATGTAGTTGCCCTCGAAGTCAGTCGACCCCGGCTCAGGCGAATTGCGCGATGACACGGGGTGGCGCTGGCTCGTATATCCAGTATGGCTGCTGACGGCATCTTTACCTGTCCCAGCGGCCGTACTGCCACGCGAACGCGATCTCTTGGACACACCACCAGCCTCGGAAGCATGACGCCCAGTAGCCGTGGTAGTAGGATCCGCTGGACCTGGCGATGCAGGAAGGGGGTCCGGAGGGAGGCCTCTGGAGTAGGCTGCATGGTATCTACATGAAAGCGACAGCCGCGTGCACCTCGTACACGGGAGGGTGCCGGTGCACCTAGTCTTTTTCACCTTGCACGAGTCACAAGCTCGAGTAATTTTCTGGCGCACAGCATCAGTTTTGTTGGAGGCAGAGGGCTGCTGCAGCGGGCCACCAGATAGCTTCCTCTTGCGCCTGGGGGCCGGCGGGAGTGTGTGCGTTTCCACCGGAGCAGCGGCCGCCTCCTCGAGCATTCCAGGCCCGACAGATGCTTGCGTGGCGGGCCAAGTCACGCTAGTAGCAGTCACCATTCCGGGATCTGCGATGGGCTAGAGCTTCCAAGAGGCACATGAGAACTTTCATTTGGGGGATCCAGATGCAAGCGGTGTGCCGAGGGTCGACTGCACGCATACGACGGGGGGTGGAGGAGAATAATGCGGGAGGAAACTGTAGTGAAAGGCTAGCAGGAGTAGGGACATGGATTAGTCTTTTTCCCCTCGGCGAGTTTCCGCCGCGGGGGAGGCTTCACCTGATCTCCCCGGATTTTGGACTGCATTCTGAACGTAAAGGCGAGAGGTCGCCACTTGGATGCGATCCCTTTGTTTAGCTAGTCTGACAAAGAAGGATGGGATAAGCCCTTTGTCCCGGCTAGTTGCTGCCCCTCGAGCATGAACAGGTTACCTTTGAGTGATCAGCACTGCAGAAGCGAGGTGATGCGAGTCGCCGAGCCCAGGTACCACTGCATGGGCCGCCATCACACCTGGCGCGAGCGCTGCCACCACACGGGGCCCAAAACTATTGGACAAGATTCTGCCCACGGTTTACCTGTTCACCTGTTCACCTGTTCACCTGTTCATCTGTCCTACAGTGCTACGGTGCTGCCCAGGGACTAGGGAAGATTGACTAGCTCGAATCCAGGTATGCGCGACGATTGGATTGTCTCCGAGGAGAATGCTTTTTAGAGCTTATTATAGTCGGTCGTATATCACGATCAAGAATGATATAAATCGACCGGCCCAGACTGGCTGACGCACCCTTCCGTTGCATCGAAGAATCAAAATCCCTCCCAATACTTCCTATCTGTCGCGGTCGGACACTTGAAGCTGCACGGTTGTAGATTGGGATTGTCTGCCCGGCTTCGAAGATTCAGCAACAAGCTTGCTCCAGCCAAAGTCCAACGCAAAGTGAGTCTTCAGCCCATGCACAAATACCATGCGATCATCCGTGCCGATAAATCTGACACAGAGTCCAATGCTGATGCCGAAGTAATAGGTAATAGCGGTGCAAGACAAATCCCCACCCTTTCTCGGTAGGCAGTCGATATTTCGTCATCAGAATGGTTCCCGTCGTTCTGCCCCTTCGAGACTCCATTTGATCATCGTGATGGGCAACAGGATTCAGCGGGTCAATCATATTCGGACACCGTCGTAAATCGCGCCGCCTCGTCCAGTCGGCATAATGAAAGTCGGACAAATGGGGCCAAAGGACGCATCCCTGCCAGCACCGTCATAGAGGTGAGCTGGGCTTGACTGAGTTTCCATCAGTGAACATCATGTGAGCTCGCTGCATCGAGGATGAAGGGTCGTAGGGTTCCACAGGGGTCTGGGGCGTATGTCATCTGGCCACGCGGCAAGACAGCCCCAATGTTTCATATAAGTAATGGTAGGAATAACAGAAATACAGGACTAGGGTAGTCAGAGAGACATGTATAGTGCCTAGGGGTCATTGGCTTCGAGATCCCACCAGGAAGGCTTGTGGTGCAGCTCATTTTTGATGGACCCGTCAGCCTCGTGTGGGGTGGGAAAGGACTGGCCCGACAGCCGACGGTTCTTCAGGATGGGATTGACCCATCGCACACGGAAGGAAAAGAACAAGAACAAAGAAAAGCAAAGGCTCATTATCAAGATGAAGAGGACAAAGCTAGCAAATCAAGGAAGAAAGATAAGAAATACCAACCACACATGTCCAATCTGGGAGTTGATGGATGAAATGTTCGAGGCGCAGGATCATGTCGTAGATAGCTGATCGTGTAGCAACCGAAAAGAACAAAGATCAAAGAGCAATGTGTAAAGATCAAAGATCACGGGCCAAAAAGAATCCCACGTCACTCCAGTAGTAATGCAACAGGTCATCCCAGCACGGCTATGGCTGGCAATCCGGGATCCCATGACGCTATCGGGAATCAAAAAAGTTGCCCATGTTATTCGGATCAATATCGCTGCCAGCGTGATGGTGATGATGATGGTGATGAGGATGATGATGGCCTTGCTGTCCGTATTCGGGGTGCTGAGCCAAGAGAGATACTAGGACGGCCTGTAGCTCCTCCTGCGATGCGCCAGATCGGATGACATTGCAGAAATGCTGTATAGCCGCGGTATTGTAGTTTCCCAGGAATCTCAGGATCTGCTGGAGGAATTCCTGCGTGGTCGCGAGCTCTTCCTGTGTCCGGCGCGCGTTCGCCTTGCGACGCCTGTCGGCCTGTTCGTCAAAGGCACACTCGCGGCCATGGGCATCGCATTCCGAGCATTTGGGTGGTCCTGTACACTATTTGCGGTGCGAAGGGAATGGTTAGAAACTCTCACAGGTCCGAGCTGATTGCACTGAACAAAGGGAGAGGGGAAAAGGAGGAAAACCAGTGGGACCACAAGGAGAAAAGGATGGTGGATTGAACTGGGTGGTGATGGTCATTACCCTCGTTCGACGTTTCTGGCACTCTTTACAAGCGGTCGACGCTCTTTTCATCCGGCCGTCCTCCGAAGGCCCGCTGCCACCGAGGGGCGGTTGGCCTCCTGCCCCGCCGGGAGGCATAGTCCGGGGAGCAATGGGCCTGAAGGACCGGCCAATGTCGCCCATCGCGGAGAGCGGAAGGGAAGGGGTCGAGGAGGAGGGGAGAGTGGGAGAGGGGCAAAGGCGAAAGGGGGGGAAAAAAGAAAAAAAAAAAAAAAGAAAAGAAAAAAAAAAGAAGACCGAATTAGGGCAACAAAGAGGAGCAGAAAGAACGAGAAGCAGCCAGGCGAGACAAGACTCTATCAGGCAAGGCGACCATCGAGCAACATACAGTGTTTCCCACGTGGAATCATATCATCTGATGGGCCCGCAGAGCAGTTCCCGATGGAAAGGAAGGAAATAGAGCCGAGTAGAAAAATGAGATAGGGCCCCAGGAAACACAGATCCAAGTCCTACGGAGAATCAGGAGGGGGCGGTTTCCACCGAAGCCCCGAGGAATTATGAATTATTTGCTGCACCCAGTTGAGGCGCACAGTCCCGGTTGACAGCCCAAAGGGTGAAGTAGGTGGAGGGCGGAAAAGGGAGGGGGTGAAGGGTCAGTAATGGCGAAAACTGAGTGGGCAAAAGGGAAAGAAAGCAAGATCAAGACACTGCGTGTGTGGCGGACGAAGAGTGGATCTTGCTATTTGATCAAGCTGACATTCTCCCTGCAGGAAGAAGAGAGGGAGCTAGGGGACGAATAGAAGGACGGCCTAAGACTCGACTCCTGAGGGAGGAAAATATGGAAATCCCATTACACAGTATTAGTGCGAATGGAGGGGTTACTCTCCTCCGTACTCGAGTTACTCGACCGCTCCAGCTGCGACCAAAACAAGCGGAACAGACGACACAACGGAACTTCAATGGAGATCAATGACCAGTCTGACTTAAGACCCATACGATCCCCGGGTTGAGGATCCCCGTCAATACGCCATCGACCGTGGTCGACCGCGGTCGACCGCGCTGTCGGCAACTAGCGCCCAGGGACATGAACGATCCTGCCCCGGTCTTGTCTGGTCGCATCAATCGCAACGTCTCGGTTCGAGGGCGCCACTCCATACCGACCATTGTCCAAAACGGGAGTCTCTATTCGACGCAAGCTAGGAAGGGGCCGGGCGCTCGACGATCGAACGGCCATGGGCCGCGATTGGGCCCGTCGGGAGTTGGATGGGATTTTGCCATCCAACCAACAGCTTCGAGAAGCACCCCCGGGCCAAGCGCAAAGTGCAAGACGGCCATTCATGCCAACCGCAATCGGTGGTGCCACGGGGCGTCGCCGCATCCACAGACCCTACCCGTGCTCTATACTGCTTTGGTATTGTTTCCCCGGAGCCTCTGTGACTAGTTCAGAAGCCCGTCCCAGCGCCTCGGTTCAGGCTGATGGGGCCTCTGAATGTGCCTGGGCCGTGTCCGTGAACGACGCGAGGATTCGAGCGGATTCGAGCCGCGGACTTGGAGCATACACCATCAGTGCGTCTGTGGCTGGACATCGCCACTACCGCCTGTAATCTTAGTGATCGTATACGCCTCGGACTCCGCCTGCCCGGGTTCGTTCCCTGCCCGCGCGCAAGAATTGCAAGTTGAAGCTACCAGGGCGACCGACGGAGTGGGGACGGGGTCATGACATGTTGAGGTGGGCATTGGTTCATAGCTTCGGGACTTTTTCCCGACGAGATAGGACCAGGTGCTAAGCCTAGTCCTGTGGGCGTCATCTGTTTTCTTGGCCCTCTTTACATGGGGTGTGGTTGAGACGATCGGGGCGAACCAGCAATTCGGGTGCTGATCATTGGTTGATCTGGATAAGTCAACCGGGTTGGTTCCAGGGTTGCTACGGTTTGTAGGGCAGAACTTTCCGGTTAGGGCTTACGGCTTTGTCCCGTGGTGAACTTGTGGCTGGTTTCAAGAGCCCCGATCCCAACAGTCGACTGTGGGTATGGCTCCCTCTCCAGTTCCTTCGGAGGACCGAATGCCGCAAGGATATGATGTTGTCGACTACGTTCATCTCCATACCAGAGCCACAGGGGCTCATACCTCACCTCAGATAAGCTGTTGGCGATCTGCATTCCATTCAATCAAAGAGTAAACCGAGATAAACCGAGAGCATGGCTACTGCCCAAGAGGGTATAGTCTGGTCGTGAAGAAAATCATCTGCATACCCCAGCGCAAGGCACCGGAGCATTCGTCGTTATGCTGGGACCATATTCGGGCCCCCTCCCACATCCAACCGCCACTGGAACATCACAGCGTCAGGCCGCAGACTGGTAAGGGCAATCTCCACCAAAGCGAAGCGCCCGGCCCCGACTCCACTGTGGCTGTCCCGCCACTCCACGGGTCGACGTGGTAGAATCCCGAGATTCCGCGTCTGAACGTGTAAGAAAATCGTCCGAGACCGTGAATTGTGTGTTTGCGACGGTCATGCGAGCAGAGGCGAAGGCGAGCAGGAGAACACAGACCTGTCTAGACTTCGTGTTGTGGGCGTTCGATGCCCGCGTTTCGACTGTCCCTGGTTGAGCGGAAGTTTTTCGCCGCCGCCATCGGACGAATGATGCGCAAAGACCGAGAGGGGCTGGCGAGATCCGCCACCGCTGGCGCATTGCCCTGCTGGCCTATGGTCACTCTCCTGGCACCAATAATGCACGGTGTTGCAGGCGAAAGGGTGGAAATGTGATACAGACGACCCATTCCCCACGCCTGCTACGGGCTAATAACGGCATGGACACCAAAGTTGTCTGCGTGGCGCTGTTGCGGTGACAAGCTCCCTTGATTCCCCATGGTCGGCTGATTTGCCTAGTTGATCGAAGTATGTACTGTATATTATATACGGTATGATGTTCGTGTGGTCTTGGATGTCATGCTCAAGCGGCATCCAATAGAGCATGTGCATATTGCCCCCAATCGCACTTCTGGCTGGGAGAGTGCATGATAATCGGGAAACATGTTCAGCCGTGTATAATGATAGTTAACTAAATGACGACCTTTTCAATGCGACCAGTTCAGACTCCCGATTGGGAACATCCTCAACCTCCTCAAAGATGTCGTTGTACTTACCTTTCATCCGTCTGACCTACTACGATATTTACCACTATTATTACTCGGGGTTATTGCCAGCCCTGCCCACGGCCCAAGAACCCCACCTAACAAACTTGGCAGTTCCCAGACGCACTGCCCAAGTACAACAAACGGCCTGCATATGTGGATCCAACGCCGAGGGTCGTAATTGGTGTCGGCGAGGGACTCCATCTTTTTTCCACATCCCAATCTCAAATCATATGCAGATGTGGAGATGAAGTCGACCGTGAGTATCTACCTATCTGGCTCACTTCTCTGCCCAGCACGGGCTCCCTAGGTGGTAGGAGTAGAATCAACCGTTGAAAATGACAATAAGAAAAAAAAAGAGAATATGAATCTAAAAGGAAATGGCCCGTAAGGCACGAACAGGTGGGCCCTCAACCCTAAACAGGACAGAGACTCTCACTGCGCAAACTATGGACCATGCGTGACCAACAGGGACGGCCCAGTTCTACAGGCTCAGCAAAATCTGAAATGCCTCGGGTGCGGCGCTGCGGTCCGTTTGACATTCTCCCCGCTGATCGCGGGAGAAATATTCCCTGTTCGCGATGATTTGCTTGTGAGATGTCGAGCAGCTCCTGCTGCAGATGATTTTCCCTATTATCCCTCCTCATCATACTTTGCACATACAGTACTGCTGCCCCTTGAGAGTTTTACTATTCTAGGACCATCGAAACCAGACCGAGCTGCTGGGTCGCTAGGCTGAACCTGACTCGGATCGGCGTTGCGGCGTCTGCAACGTCAGAGAGGAACTGTCACAACCCGAGCCTCTCTCCTCTCCGACTAGTTAGACGATCGGTCCTGATGCGACAATTCCTGCCTTTCCATGCTAGGGTTTGGTGAGCAGAAAGTTATCTTGTGGGAGCGCGTTGTTGTTTGCTCTCGACAGTTGCCCAGAATGGGTTATAGGCTGGGTGCATTCTCCGGTCGATCCCGGCCTGGTCAAGGTGGATGGTGGAATATACAGCCCCCGACTGCGTAACTACGCGATTTGCGTTTCCTGCCAAGTAGGGCACTACGGAGAATGATCCCACTTTGTGCTGTGTAGGTGAGACGTCCGTCTCATAATACTCTAATCTCGTATACTATACTTTTAACTTGCCCATCTCGATCTCGCTAAACTACAGCCACGTGTCCGGCGCTGATCCCACTTTCGCCTAGTGGAACTAACTTCTAGAAATGACACTTCCTTGCCTAGCACGTAAGGAAGTTCCCCGGGTTGTTCATTTAGACCGCCTGTCTCATACTTGCCCACAACGGGAGAGGAAGTTTAGTGCGAGCTACCGTAAGTGCAAAGAGCGGGGCATGTTCGTTCCGCCATAACGCCGCCTCCTCCTGGTATCCACCCGTTTTTCCAAGGCTGACCGTTGATAGGATACGCCTTGCCGACGATGTTCGCCTCCTGCCAGATGGCACAAGGAGCGGTCAGATCGAACTGCGGTCTGCCTTGGAACAAAGGGAGCCAGACTATCTCCGTAATTGAGCCGTAATTGAGTCGTGCTACGCCGGGGACTTCGCTAATGCCGAAGCAAGTGGGCGCGAACATCTCACCAAGCCACCGGGCACCAAAAACGGGCCTGCACTGTTCCTTTGTCAATCCATTGGTTTGCATGGAGCGATTACCCATTGGCCCGAAAACCCGTCTCCCTGGTCGTCAAGATATACGGTTTCGGCATCACGCATCTGCACTACTCCTTCCTCCCGTGCGGCGTATGCAATATGCCAGACCGAAAATCACTAGCTGACGGGATTAATGTCTCCGTACGCTCCTCGACAACACCTGCAGCCATACTGCATACCATTCTTTCGGGAGAACGCCCAAATGCCTAATCCATAGCCCTAGGCCTAGTATATCTTAGAACACCCGGAATTGCGCGGCGCTCCGGTGCCACACCGAGGTCGGACTGGGGACACTTTCAACGTTCAGCCTATAGAATTTCCGTACAGAATCGTGAGTTTGAGCAAGCGGAGCTAGAGCAGGTACTACTCAATAAGCACATTGACAACTAGGCCTCAGGTAATCCGCCAACTCGCAATTCATCTTTTCAACCACCCGCTCCCTAAGGAGCGCGTATGCCGGTGCTGCTTATTTGGGTATCGAGCGACAGGGGTGTTCTGGCCCCCAACCGTTGATCTTAGCCCAGATCAAGCATAGCGTGCATAGCTCTGCAGAAGCGCCTCTCTGTGCGATCCACCTGCTACGGGTGCCATGCACATAAAGTAACCGGGGTAGGTACGAGCAGTAATCAACGCACGAGACACTAGGACTGCTCGGGTACTAACTATTCGCGGTTTCGAACCTAGGTTCAAGAACCAACAGGGGCGGCTACATCGATCATTGAGAAGGATGGAAGAATGGCTGTGTGAGGGGGGCACGGAAAGGGCTGGTAAGATATCGATCGGTCCTGTTCGACTGTGGCATTCTAGCTAAAGTTGAGTGAGGTATCACACCGGGATTCAGGGAATTTACTAGGTGGTAGAGGCGAGAAGGACATGAAAAAGGGGGTATTGAACATCCTGAATAAAAAGACTAAAATAAACAGAGAAAAGCAAAGGTAATATGTACGTGAAGTCAGGCTACTGAAAGTTGTCACAGAAGGGATATGGAAACTGTGCGGTGAAAGGAAGAAGAAACAGAAAAGAGAAAAAAGGCCGTGTCTCATCCAGACAGGAAACAAGTCTTGGGATATAACAATGCATCCAAAAATGCAAGGCTGCCCGAGATCAAATCCCGTCGGTCAACGAGTGGGACCGTTATCTTAGTAGATCGGACGCCCCTCATCCCAGCGGCTGGACTGCCTGTTACTCGTCACAGGTACATCCTTGCTGGCAGCACTCATGTGATGATCCGCATCGACATTGGTCGAGGGAGAAGGCAGGGAAAACCGTGCACTGTCACGGCGGGGACTGCTGCCAAGCTCACCGGGACTACCGTTAGTGGCGTTGACACTGCCAATGCCGCCAATCCATTCCCAGCAGCGGGCGACATCGCCGCTGCGGCCCTCGCGGACGGCCGCACGCACATTAGCATTCTCCTCCACGACACGCCGGACACGGTGCCACAGCTCCTCGCGCCGCTTGCCGTGCAATTCGGAGCGCAGGACATCGTCGCGAAGCTGGCCGATAGGGATGTAAGGCTCTCTGGCGCCACCGCGGCTATGTAGCGCAGCTTGAGTCGCAAGACGGTCGAGGGTTGTAGCGACCAGCTCCGGCACACGGGCGATATCAGAACGACGGGCAAGAACCCGAGCACGGGCATAAACCAGAGCACATGCTGCCAGAACTAGAAGTGAAAGAGGGAGTCGATACGCGAGGAGAGCGAGTCGGACGTAACGGCGGGAGGCGCAGCTGAGTGGGAGTCGGGCAGTGGATGTTGAGCTGAGGACGAGGACAGCGGAAGGTCTGTGATGACAAGGGCGCCTCTGTTAGTTCCGGTACACAGTGTCAGAACCAAGACCTTTGTAAAAGAGTGGCCGCGGGATATGGAAACCCGGAACAGTAGTAGCCAAGGAGACATGAAAAATCCGTGAAGAGGGCTGAAACTTACTTCTTGGTGTTGCTCACGACTTCTTCCTTTTCAATAATCTCGCCAATGGCACCCTTCCAGAGGTCATCGAACTCTGTGTCACTGAGACCCTTGCGTCGCTTCTTCGCAACTTCTTCCTTCAACTCAGCCTCAGGAATTTCGGGGGATGCGACTTTGCCATCCTCGTTCAATTGGCCACACTCCCATCTTGCCCTTCGCTCACGAAGCTCCTCGACAGCCTTGTCCGCAACAGCCTTGACACGGCGTGCCTTCTCGCTGTCCGGTTCACAGGTTGGCGGAAGAGGCACCAGACCACCTAAAGCCAGAGGGTGAGGCTTGAGAATGAAATCATGCTCACAACGAGCTTCAAAGTCGGGATAGCAGAACGCATGGGATGGGCAGGGCTCGCATCGAGGCTCCAGGACGTTAGCCCACTCTGGCACGTTGGTTTCAGCCAGGGACCAGGTGGGCTTTCCAAGGCCGCAGTAACCAATTTCAATTTTCTCCTTGCGCCACCAGGCACCGAACCCGCCAAGAACCGAGAGAATAATGAACCAGGAAGCAATTATACTCATCGAGCCCTGCTTCTTGGGTCGCTTTCGAACCTGCGTAAGCGGTGCATATTGTTCAGTCTCTAGAGCGAGCTGATCCTCTGGAGTAAATTCCTCGCCAGCACTTAATTCGCTCTCATCTTCTTCAGATTCCTCCTCAGGCTCCTCCTCGGTAGGCCTGAGGCGAGACGCAAAATCGAACGACTCCCTTGAGGGCGCGCTATAGCCATCTTCTTGTTTGACGTTAATAGGGGTGGTTGATTTCCGAGACCGCAAGCTGTTTCTCAAAGCAGGACTCTCTGTAGATAGTCGTCCGCCGCTCTTCCGCTTTCCATCATAACTGGACGTTCGGCGGCTCACAACTTCTGAAGGACTGCCGCTCTGGAAGGGGTTGTCATCCGTGAAGACGGTGTCATCCCTAGGCTCGGTCTTGACAGACGGTGTGTATTCATCGACTTCGGTCGACGGCAAAAGCGAGCTGCGCCGCAGCTTCCGCACAGTTGACTTGCGGGGCGAAGCACCCACAGCAGCAACCGGAGTCGCAGTTGAGTCATCGCCAGTTTCTGTATCCGAGGCACGTGGGTGCTTGCCCACTGATCGCGCAGCGGTCTTCCGCTTCGTCGTAGCAGGTGTAGCCGGAGCGAAGCCTCCATCAGTTTCTATGGTCGACGCACGGCCGCTCCGCCGCGATGTCCCTCGTCTGGTTCCGGTTGTCGATGGAGTGGGTGGCAGGGGTAATGAGTCGCGGTCGTCTTCGTCCCCGGCGACAGAGTTCTCTCTACTCATATCTGTGATACCTGCACTTGTCCTCCTCACCCTCTCGCGGTCTCGCAGGAGTTTCCTCGCCCGCGGAAGGACTTCGTCCTCCAGAATGCGGATCAGTTGCGCCTTTTTGGCGGAGGCCGGATAGGACACATCGTGATTGACCAGGATGGAGCGAAGGCGAGGCACAGTGAGGGAATTCAAATCGAAATCCGGTTGTAGGTAATCCAGTTCGTCCGCCATGGTGTGCTGTGTGGGGGTGGTAGCGCGACGGGTACGATGTCTAGTCCGTTAAGGCTCAAGTCGCCAACACACGCAGTCTCTGACCGATACGGTCACCGCAGCTGAGCGATAGGATGCAAGAATGGTGACACGACGCGAAAGGGTCCAGTCAGGACTTTAAGACGCGGAAAAGGCAAGCCACCGATCGCTCCGTTTTTGGAACTTGGCCTGGGGTTGTGAGGGGAGCAGGGGCGGGCAAAAACCGATGTGGATGTTTGTTCACTTGTCAGTCAAACCCGAGGCGGTTGGTCGGGTCCGTAGCCAGGGCAACAGGTGGGGCAGATCAAAATGACACGATAGCCCTACTATTGTACTGACAAAACAGAGTTCGGCATCAAGGTTGAGGAAAAGAGGTAGCTGAGAAAGATAAACGCGACGCTACGAAAGAGGGAGCAAGGATGAATAAAGAAGTCATACGATGACGTACCATAAAAAACAAAATCCACACGTGACTTATTTGCCACCCGAGGCTTTCCCTATCAGGTAAACAGCTATACTCCAGTAATTACTCCATGCTGAAAGATGGATAGAACCCAATAGTAAAATAATGTATTCACAGCCCATGCCAAATTCACACCAAGTAACTGGGCATCGAAAATACGTAAAAGCAAATCCAAAAGTAGTATCAAGAATATCCACCGTGGCTCCATGCCCCTAATGCTGCGTAAAAATCAGTCTGAAGACTTCCCACCCTGTGAGACGCCGCACACAAAAAATGAGATGTTGAAATGAAAGTTGAGCAAGAATAAATAGGTGTGAAAGGCGTGATTAGAGTGATCGTAGAGTGATCAAAATATGTAATATATGTATGCGCAGCAGACCAGATCAATGGTTGTTGCGGTGAAGGTCGAAGGAGCGAGGTGTATCCGCAGAACGGGACAAATTGAGGGATGAGGATGAGGCGGAGGTGGCGGTGCTGTTTGCACTCGGAGTTGAGTGCGTGTCAATGCCACTATAATTGGGGGCCGGTGGTCCGCCGGGGATGCCTGCAGCCCCAACGGCCATCTGCTCTTTGAGGGCGCGGTACTCTGCAAGTTGCGTCGCCAGTTGTTGAAAAATCTCGCCAATGGGAACGGCGTAATCCTCAAGCCGATCGCCAGACTTGAAGGGCCGCATCAAGTTGCGTACAGAGAGGGTGTTGATGGTTACCTGGGAAGTGCGTCAATTCAGCAAGTCAAGTAGAAGATCAAAACATTAAAAGTTTACCTCGATGCGAGTGACCTGCTGGTCAATCAAGCTAATCACAGTCGAATCATTCAACTCGCCTCCGTGATTCTTGACCATATTGAACAGTGCAACATTCGGCTCCCTAAGCCGTGGCTCTGCCGGGTTCTCCAGAGCGCCGCAAAGCCGCTCTAAGCGGAGAGTGACCTCCCATAGACGCCAGATATCATCGGTGTCCACGTTCAGCTTGGACTGCTTCTCTATGGTCGCTGGCCCTTGGCCTTCTGACTTCTGCTGATTTTCTTCCAAGCTTGTCAAGCGACCTGCCAACGAGTGAGGATAGACGAGGTACAGGGGTTCTGGGTTCTCCAGTCCCTTCAACTTCCGCTCGCCCTGATCCTTGATCACGAAACCTTGGCTATTCAGCTGGTTCAACTCGCGGCGGATATTTTGACCAAGGCTATCGACTCGCGGATGACTGTCACTTGAGCTAGTCGATGCCGAGCGTTCAGAATCAGCGAAGATTTCGAGATTGCGCTGGATATCGCTCATGAAGTCTGACGATACGAAGATCTGTCCTCCGTCGGCGACGGCAGAAATTCGGGAGGCTCGATTCACCATGGGGCCGAAGTAATCCATGCGGTTGGTGACGGGGTCTTTCTCGCAAACGGGTTCACCCCAGTGGCCACCCATGCGAACAGATAGACCACGAGATATAATATTACCCTCCATATCGGACGTGACTGCGCACTGCGGTTGGTCCAGAATTTCCGTAGGCCACTCGGCTTCCAGAAGACTGTTCTGGCAGTTGAAGCACCAAAGCAAGGCGGCAGTTGTGGTCGAAAAGGCAACCATGAAAGCGTCACCTTCAGTCTTGACCTCATAACCACCGATGATTCCGAGTTGTCGTCGCAGAATATCATTGTGAATTGAGATGGCTGAGCGCATGGCATCTGGACACATCTCCCACAAACCAGTCGATTTTTTTATATCAGTGAAGATAATAGCCAGTTCGCCCGTCGGAGCATCGACATAGTCGAAACGCGCAAGGCGAGTGTCACCTGGCATATCACGAGGCCTGCGCCGAATCTTGGTTGAGGGGACGATTCCGTCATCAGGGAATGCAGAGCGTTCTAGGTTCATGCTAGGACGCGGCCATTTCTTCTGCCGGCGTTGAAGCTCACTGACACCAAGGATCATGACCATCAACTTGTTTGTTGCCCCAAAGGCGATAGCCAGATCTCGGAGCTTTTGGGCTCCAAGCATAAGGTTCGGATACACGTCTCTAGCGACATCGACGACCAGCTCGGGGGCCACGTACTCCCATAGCTCTTTCGATCCCAATATGATCATTTCGTCTTGCTCAGTCAAGGTTGTGTGTAGAGTGAAAGGAGCGGCAATAACGGAAGGCATCATGGGGAAATGCCCAAAGCACCTCGAAACCGTGAGGATATCGTTGAGCTTACCATTGCGAGATACAAATCCGCCAGCAGCACGGATACGTGCCCGTTCACTAGCTTCAGCAGGATCATGAACTCGTGTCAACGGGCGCGATGAACCATCTTGCTTGACGAGAATGGCCTGCGCATTGCCAACATTGGCCGCATACAGATCCATATTGTTCAAGTACAGCACCGTAGCGACGCCACCAGACTGAATATCGTCCTGGTTGAGCTGCTTCGAGGCAGATCCGCGATGATACTGGCGTAGCTCGCGATCATCAATCGATCGATACGCAGACCCAGCCATATTCTTGTTTAGGGCTAAGAATGCGCGTCTCAGGGCATCGAGCGGTGTTTCATCCCGATCTGGCTGACGCTGAAGCTTCCTAAGCTCGGACGAGAAGGTCGGAGTGAAGTTCTCGTGAAGGTATTTTGCAACGCGTGAGCCACCACTGGACAGGGTTGACCCGTCGAACATACCGAGTAATGTCTCCACGTTATCGGGCTTCAACCGGGGGACAATCATGTCAATGATGGATAGATGCTCAGTACGACCGAGAGTGTCCGCCATTCCGTAGGCAAGTGAGCCAGCCAAAGAGGCCGAAGTCCTCACACGGCGGTCCTCGTTTTCATCAGGGATAGTAGGGATTGTCAAGGTCACATCCATCAATCCCAACACTCGGAGATGAGTGAGAGACGTGAAGTCAGTCAGATCAGTGCCATTCCCACCCTGCTGACCAATAGTTGCAATATTGGGCTTGATCTCCAGACGCTTGTTGCCTGAGAAGTTGAGGTACTTCAGGCTTCGATTCCAGTTCCAGTTCCAATCATAGGGCCAATTGGAGATGTTGTACTTCAACGCGTTGCTTCCAACATCAAGAATGGCCAGCTTGCTGACCTTGCAAAGCTCCGCGGGCAGCACTTGAAATCGGTTCGCATTAATATGAAGAACCTTGAGGTTGCTTCCTTCTTCCAAATCATCGGATGGAAGTGAGGTGAGTTCATTGCCGGACAGGTAGAGCTCGGAAATCAAAGGCCATCGCTTGAGGACACCCTGTGGCAGCTCTGTTAACTCATTGTACGAGAGATTGACGATACGAAGCTCAGGAAGGCGGGCCAGCTCGCGGAAGATGTCATCATCCAACTGGTTATCAGCAAGGTATAGGTTTCGAAGAGACCCCGCAAAACTCGAGGTCGTTGCATGCTGCGAGATATTCGAATCCTTCCGAGAGCCGTTGCTTGTATCAGTGGCAGTTCGTGATGCTGTGGAAACCTTTCTTCCTCCAGTTTGACCGATGGATGGAGTGTTCGACGGGTTTCGATATGAGCCATTTGGAGATGAACCAGATCCCACAGCACCCCCCGAGGGCTGACTATGACTAGGTCGACGGAAGTCGACTTCGTCTAGGGGACCTAGCTCCTCATAGTTTGGAGTTCCGCTCAGAGCTGGAGTTGTCACAGGAGTGGTGGTCGGTTCACCAGGGACTAAGGGCTGAGGGGCACCATGTTTCGGGAAGGTGGTTAAGAGATTTGTGGAAACATTCAGTGTCTCCAGCTTGGCGCAGTGCCAGATCTCATTTGGCAGCGCCTTCAAGTTGCACTCACGAGCGTTGAACTCCTTGAGCTCCGCCAGGCACCCGATACTGGCAGGTAAAGACCCGAGCGGATTCTTGATGATGCTGAAATGTTCTAGTCGACGCAATTTGCCAATCTGGGCTGAGATCGAGGTTAAATGGTTCTTGTCGAGGATAAGCTTGGAGACATTGGGTAAGTTCTCAAACATAGCATCACGGAATTGCGACAGTTTCGCAGAGGCAAGGTTGAGAGAGCTCAAAGTTGGCATAGGGGCATCGATGTCAAACTGCGTCAGCGGGCAGTGATCCATATGCAAGCTGCGCAGCTTCGGGAACGCCCCACGGAACCGGGAGATGAGGTTATGGCCAAAGAAAACCTGCTCCAAACGAGGAAGCCGGGACAGATTATCAATACTAGTGATCGCATTAAAGCGTCCGTCAATCTCCTTCAGGTTCACCAGATCCCGGAAGGTCTCGTCAAGCGACCCGCTGATGTTGTTGTTGGTCATCCAAAGGCGCTCGAGCGTAGCCAGTCGACCAATATTATGGATCTCCTCGACGCTATTGAAGCTGATATCGAGGTCGACCAAGCTCCGCAGCTTACACAAGAACTCAGGGAAGACCTTGAAGCTGTTTGAAGACATATTCAAGCTTCGGAGATATTTGAAGTTCCCAAAGTAGCTTGGGAGTTTGGTCAGCTGATTGTTCGCCATCTTAATACTGACTAGGCCAGCGAGTCGGTCAAGCTGCGCGTGTTCCAGCTCCTCCAAGAAATTGTTGGAAATGTCCAAGTAAGTCAAGCGACTAGCCAAGCTAAAGCTAGCTGGAAGATGCCGGGCCTCATTGCCGATGAATTTGATTTCCCGTAAGTTGATGCAGCTCTGGATGAAATCCTTTGGCACATCGAGAGACAAATTCCTGGACAGGTTCAACGAAATGATCTCCGAGGATTTCTTGTACAGAGTAATCGGAATGGTGACCAAGCTTCGGCCCTGGAGATCCACGTGGCTGAACTTTGACATCTTGCTAAAGCCGGGATCGCCCTCCAGACTGGTATAACCGCTGAGCTTTGTCGGCAAGAAGATAAAGCGACAGAGGTAGCTGTGGTCCTCACGACCGATGTCCTCTATGCGATCCTTCTCTGTGTAGCCAACTTGTTCCAAAAGTTGTTTCTGCATGAGGATCGGCCGCTCATTGTGGTCAAGCTGTCGCGATAGGTCATTCCTCCGCAGCACGATTTCATAGTTGTTGAGATGATCTTGTAAAAAGGATTTGCGGCCCAGCATGTACAAGATCTCCGCAACGGTCGCGTTCACACCAGCCGAAAGGGTTGCAAATGTTCCGTCTATGCGGAAAACGCGGATGAAATAGGAAGCACTGGAGGGTTGCGGTGCGGCTTCCACAACAGGGTCATTTTGCTTCTTGACTGCCCAGCTGTCCGGAGCGGACCAGGTGTCGATGCCACCCGCTTGTTCAGACCTGGTCGAATCCTCACGCGGGGTGATTGTACTGTCAGCGACGGCTTTTATGTGACTGGGAGAAGCTGCGCGAACAATGTCGCCAAGATCTTTCAAGTTGGTATCGAGCTTGAAGACATGACCTTCATCGCGAGTTGTATCCTCTCTTGAGGAGTGGGGGTCTCCGCCGATGGGGAGCCGCCGGTTGAATTTGCGCTTTGCAGTGTCCCTCTTTCGGTCTGAATCTGCTGAATCCACACGAGCAGAACTTCCTTCAAAACTTGGCTGCCGGCGCAGAGGATGATCGTGCTTTGACCTTTCATGCGGCTTGTGTGACCCCGGCAACAAGTGTCGTACTCTAGTAAGAAGACCTCGCTTATCTTGCGGAGCTCCCGGAGAATTCTGACCGTGATCACGGTAGATAGCGCTTTGCACGCTGGGAGTCGGACTGGTTGAACGGCCACCAAGGGTGCTGGACGAGCTCATAGCAGTGGAGGAATTGAGGTAGTGTTCATTGAAGGGCTTCAGTCCGACAGAGAAGTCATCCCGCCCACCTGAGGGACGAGATTGATATCCGGCCAGATCGCCTGCAAGTGTTGGCTTTTCTTCTTTACTCCGAGAATGGCGGTGCCCGTTGGCTGCTCTTCGACTTGAATCTCTGTGTGTACCACGGGGTAGACCCGCGGCAGAAACGAGACGCTTACCATCAGGGCCGATGGGCAGCTGTCGTATGGGAGCCTCCCCATACTGTGAAATATCGTGCACGTTTTGATATAACCACGGAGTGACTTCACTTGAAGGTGCGGGGGTTTCCGCTCGCGGTCGCGACGGCCGTTGCGATGCTTCTGAACCATCCGAGTTTGCTCTTTCTCGAGCTTTGACTTTGTCAATTGGGCCCCCACGCCTGCTGGGTGGGTTCTGTTGGGCATCTTCATCGGGTTCATCGGGGATAGGCCACTCATCACTAGCCGAGGCCCTGGATTTCTTCTTCCAGAGCTTTGCACCTGTGCTTGACTTTGACCCTTGGCTACTCGTCATGCTCGCGGCGGAAGGCCTGCGATTGTCCCCATTCCAGTCCAGATCGGCCGGCTCACTAGAGAACGTCCGTCCAGTAGCTGGGCGAAACGTCGTCGATGCAGGTGAAGCTTCATATTCGGAGGCGGAGTTGAAAAAGGTTCCGGGTCCTTCAGAGTTGGCTGTTGTGACCCACGGAGCGATCGAGTCGAGCTCTTCAGGGCTGGGGCGAGATGGGTTAATGGGAGGGGGCCGCGGGCTAGGAGTAATTGATCGGGCGGGATCATCACCAGCTCCAAGAAGTGCCAGGGCCTTCCGATGATTGCTGAAACCGGAGCCTTTGCGTTCTTCGGTGGGGGAAATTTCTGGGGAGCTCCATGTCCACCCCCAGTCGATTCCCGGAGCGTTGGAGGACCCAGGCCTGCAGTGATTTGATTTAGCACCTATTTGTTTGTCGTGATGCTCACTTCGCTGCACGGGGCGCAAAATAGCGCATGTGATTCCTGGCAGGGAGAGAGGAGGGGGTTCTTACTTGTCCATGATTAGGCTTCCAGGGAAAGGGTCGGCATTGCGACCGTCCGAGGATGAGTTATTCTGCTCCCGGTGCGACTTCTCGATGTCCCTGATTGTTTCTTGTGATTTCCAGCTGCTGTTTGAGCTTTCTGAACCCTGCCGGTCGGGTAGCTCGTGCTCTCGCACGGGCATGGCTGGTCCCAGATTCCGCCGTATCTCCCCGTGAAGAACTTGATCAAACCGCGGCCAGCTGCGTTTTCTAGGTGTCGGGAGGCTTCAGTGTGGCTCACCATCAATAAATATGGTGTAAGTCGGATGCGCCGGAAGAAAAGGGGAGCTGGCGAGGTGCGGTGACGGATTTGCAGTGGCGGATGCTCGCGTCACGATGCGGAGCTCGGAGCCGGAGACGTCGAGGCAATCCGTCGAACTGAAGATGGGGTAAGTGCTGATTGATTCCAATCGAAGGTCTTCAAAGCACGATTCTGTGATATGGGAGATCTCATCGACGGGCGGGGCGTTAGGATACGGATCCCGGAGGAGGAGGGCGCGTCTGAAAAGCCAAGGCGGGGGGCGGGCGCAAATGTCAGGCGTCGTGATGGAGAGGGAGAGGGAGAGAGCGAGCGAGTGTGTGTGCCCCTAGAACATGTCCTGGGAGGAGAGCGATCGTGTTTCAAGATGAACGGTGCAGATGGTCGGTGAGGGGATCAGAGCCGGCGTCATTCGAAGCAGGTACCAGGTGGGCGTGCGAAGAAGAGGGGGAGGGGGTGGAGAGGTGGGTGGGAGTCGTGAGTCGTGATAGCACAGCGAAGGAGAGAGAAACGCCTGCGATGGACTGGACGTGGACGTGTTGAGATGAGGGTGTGGTGGTGGTCGGTGGGTTAGGGGATGATGAGAAGAAGAGCTGAAGAGGGATGAGCGCGAAGGGACGAGGATGAGGCTCTTGCGCTAGAGAGCTTCAGTGGGAACGTGATTGGTTGTAAGGAAGTTCCGTCTCACTGAGACCGTAATTCGTCGATGCATCTGCTGCAGCAGGAGATCGATCCGTTGCAGTATTCTGCCATTCGCCGACAGGACTGGGACATGGGGGGTTGTGTCTGGGGGATGTGGTCCGTGAGGCTGTCCGTGCTTGACGGGAGTTCGGTGGAGCTCGGGAAGTCGTTTTTGCGTGGCTGCGGTTGGTATGGTAAGGTTGGTGTCATTGTACCCGTGGATGACAGGTATCGTGGTCAGGCGCGCCTTCGAGCAGGATCGAGCTCGCTCGTAAGTTATATACTAGCTATAGCTAGCTATATCTTCGGCACACTGTTGCGCGATACTTTCCTCGCGACTGAGCCTCCCAGGTCCGTCTCCTTTTCCAGACCGGACCTTCGGTAGATAGTTCACTAGTTCACTAGTTCAGCCACAACCCTGTCAGTTCACTCGGTTGGCCAGTGGAGCTGGAGAATCATATCTGACATGGTTATCATGGCCCTTTCTTGTCCAATGTCCAGACTCGAGGGACTTAGAATTTGTCGTAGGTTTGATGGTTCAGAGAACCACTACCTCCCGCCAAAGGGAGCAAAGCTGCCGTTAACCAACTCTTGCGCATACCTACTATGGGGCTGACTACATCATGTCGGTCAACACACCTACGTACCGAATGAAGTCTTCCACTTCTTGGATTTCCCTTCCGCTTTAGCGCTCATCCCGCGACGTTTTGCTCGCCCGTAGAATTGAATACAGCTCTGACCGATCTGACCACGGCAGATAAGAGCACTAACTTCCTCAGTGGCCATCATTCAAACTAATCGGATCCATTTATTGATTCCTCTCATTCGCTTATACTTTAGGCCTGAACGGCGAGGTAACCCATCCCAATAAACCGCTCTCTACTAGCTCTCTTCATATGAGAGACTACTGAGCCTACCCCTAGGTCTCCCACCAAAAATGTCAGAAATCGAATCGTAACCGCTCACCTGCGTGGTATCTAATCAGTTGGGATTGTTGCCTGACTGACCTTAGTGCATCTTAAGAGTACTGCTCCAAGGTCTTCCCCAATCCTACGATCATCTCGGTTCATGATAGCACAATTGTTCTATATAGGATGTTGTGATTCCGAGATGTTACTATAGGTTATACGTATGGCGTACGGTAAAATCAGGTTCTTGAGACCCCGCTGGAAAAGAGGTGAAGAGTACGGCTTCCATTCTAATTTGGTACCAAGGGATTTAAATTCTGAATAAAAGTTTTCTCCAAATCGATGAAATATGACGGCTTCGGCATGAAAGTACCTCTCTACTGATGAGTGGTCCAGCTTTCTGCCGGCAAGGTTGAGGACCACTTTTCTAAAAACATCAAATCACGCTCTCGCAAATAGTTCTTTAGGACCGGTCGCACAAAATCCATGATAAATCAATATATTGATGGCAGCTATCCCACCACTATGCGTAGCAAAGGCATCAATCGCGGAGTAGATCACTATGCGAATTTCTCATTTTACGAGTTCCTGGAACTTCATGAGAATGCTGCTCAAAAAGCACGCAGTACCACAGAAACTGGAGTCAAAGCGACGGTAGGGTATAGACCAAAGACCAAAGACAGAATAGTTCATCTCTATCGAATTACAGAGCAGCCAGGATATATTCTCAATGAATTGGAAGATTCGGGCGTATTTCCTAGGCTACTATCTACCAAGGATGAAGATCTCAGCGGCGTCCTTGAGCCATCTGCCTAGCCTTGAAATAGGCCTAGGTAGGTAGGTGGTAAAGAATTCCGGCAGCAACTAGGTAGGCCATATTTAAATGAACGATAGCCTGTAGATGATCGTCCTCTATTCTATGATACACTGCCATATCTGGCAGCGGAAGTGACACTAACCATGTGGCACGTCTGATCTCCAATAGCATCGACATTGCGATCGATCCGATTGGAATCGGGCCCAACCATATTGCGACGGGTGGACCAAGACATCGGAGTGTGCTGTCTCATGGCTAGACTTGTCTCGCCAAGGTCTTGTACTTCTTGGCTGTATATATGGTGAGATGCCACGAGGTCGGACATCACGTCCTTGCGTCTCAACTACATCTCAACCTGATCATCTATTTTATATTTAGATTAGGCACCGATGAGCATCAAGGCCAGGGAAGTCTATCTGAAGCAAAATTTTCATCATCTGCCCAGATCTTGGGTAGCTAGCTGGGCCGCTCAGTGGCTGATGATGATGCAGAAGGAAATCGAGGGGCTGGGGTGGATGCTCCATACTGCCGCCCGACAAGACGTGTTCCCCGCCACCTTCTTTTTGCTGTTGCTGAGAAAACTCTCCGTGATGCGAGGATGAAATAGGAAAGATATGGAGTTAGGTAAAGTGCATCGCCATTTGAGGACAACCATGAACGCTCTGATTTTGATCGGAGGAACACTAGACACTGTTGTGATTTGGCCGGTGTCGGCCTGGGGACATGAACAATGCACAACGTGGCGAAGCTCACCCCCCGGCAGCCCGCTAATTGGACGGATGACAGCCGCGGGACCCATGGATCTGCGCGCAAAAGGGTAGCCTCGAAATGCCAAAGACGGAAGCTGCGATGGACGTAATGGAGGTGGCTGGCAGGGGCCGCCCGTATAAATCATGGCCTGCCAAGATCGCACCTGCTGGTATTAGTAGCTGGCGGTAGTTATCATTTCTCTTTCTTCCTCCTCATCCTTTCCAGCTTCACATTCACAGTTTCCCTCTGCTCACCCCGATCGACGTCAGTACCTGGGTCGGTTATCTATACTTGGTACATCGAATTTTTAATCTCACAGTCGATTCCCGCGAAGACATCGCCCACCATGAAGTTGGCTCTGGGTACGGCCCTGGGCCTGCTTTGCTCGTCTGCCCTGGTGATGGCGCAGACTTACACCGACTGCAACCCGCTCGAGAAAAGTGAGTCCATAGGATTAAGGCGTGAACGTCAGTATACAGCTAACCAGTACACAGCTTGTCCTGCAGACCCCGCGCTTGGGAAGTCTGACCAGACCTTTGACTTCACCTCGGGCTCATCCTCGCAATTCGCTGCCACAGGAGCCGTCACATACGATAGTACCAACGGTGCGACCTTTACAATCTCCAAGAAAGGCGATGGGCCCTTGATCCAGTCCGGCTGGTACATCATGTTCGGCAAGGTAGAATACACCATCAAGGCTGCATCGGGAACGGGCATTGTCAGCAGTGCCGTGCTGCAGTCGGACGACCTGGACGAGATCGACTGGGAATGGCTGGGAGGCAATAATGCCCAGGTGCAGACCAACTACTTCGGCAAAGGAGACACCAGCAGTTACAACCGTGGCGCCTATCATGACAACCCGGGCAATCACGACGGCTTCCATACTTATTCGGTCGACTGGACGAGCTCCCAGATTGTCTGGGCCATCGACGGCCAGACGGTCCGTGTCCTCACCCCCTCCACTGCCGACAGCAACCAGTACCCGCAGACACCGATGATGATCAAGGTCGGTGTGTGGGCTGGTGGTGACCCAGACAATGCCCAGGGAACAATCGGTGAGTTTGCATCTGAAATCAGAACAACACAGTCGTGGTGCTAACATTTCTGTAGACTGGGCGGGTGGCGTGACCGACTACAGTCAGGGTCCATTCAACATGTACCTCAAGTCGATGACCGTGACCGACTATTCGACCGGAAACTCGTACAGCTATGGCGACAAATCCGGTTCGTGGGAGTCCATCACTGCCGATGGGGGCAAGGTCAATGGCAACAGTGCCAATGAGCCTACATCTACCGCATCTGCTCCCACTATCACCGCAACGGTGGATAGTGTCCCTATCCCTTGGAGCGGAACTCACAGAGAGACGTCCAGTTTTGTCACCCCCGACGTCTGGCCTTGGGTTGCCACAGGCTCGCCAACGGCTTCCACTGGTCTCTCCAGTGGTTGGGAATCTGCCTCTCGCCAGATTCAACCTCCCGGCCGGGGTTCAGTGAGTGAGCTCTACCCTGCTCCTACCAACCCATCTCTAGTATCAACCACTAAGAACGGAACCCCCATGTCACAGTCTATCTCCCCATTTACATCAGCACCCTTGGCTTCCTCGTCGGCTGCCTCTTCCCGCTCTGGGCTTAAAACGCCTGACAAGAACGCGACCCGAGTCGCAAGCAGCACTTCTGCAAGCATGAGCACCACGACTAGGCACAGACAAATTACCGATGAGGCTGACACGACGATGATGAGTGCACCTACTGCTACGGTGAATTCCTCTCCTGGTGTTGCCGCTTCGGATGTTGCCCCTTCGGTTGGCAGTGGGTTCAGCCTGTACCAGGTCCCTGCTGTGCTTAGCACTGTCTGTTTTCTGCTCGGCGGTATCTTTGCTGTGCTCTGAAAAGACGATTTTGATGGCATTGTCAAACTGTATTATTATTCATGATGGGATGAACCCGGCACGGCGTTACGACATACTTTTACTCGACCCCCAGCGCAAATGTTGCTGCATGCGCAATGGTTTGTTTTATGGCTCACCATGACAGAGGGGCTGCTGCATATTGGCGCTTATGATCCTTTGAGCTTTTCCTTTGGGTTTATACTTTTATTGTTCCGATGCATACATATGGTAGACTTGATAGCAGTCCTGTCCGGTGGTGTGAAATGGCCCGGTTTTGTACGCCTTCCTTAACCCTTCCTTGGCAGCGTTGATAGATAGTTCATGAATTACACGGGCCTTGGTGCAGAGATTCAAGCATAATTAGAGCCAATGAACAAACATTTCTTGAATAGCTCGATCCGTAGATAGATATAAGGCATTTCCAATTCGGTTAATCTGTGGACGGCAGGAAGCTCGGGCGATCAAATCAGACATTGTGAGCGAGGTTTCAGAAGACCTGTGCGGCAATCGATTTGGATGATGTGAGCTGTATGATAACTTCCCCGCTAGCTTCATACTTTATTAGGATTCGAACTCTTCCCTGGAGAGGCCCGCAGGGTATAGTAGTATCGTTGGCCACTAAGCTCGGGGGCAATCTAACGTCATGTTGATCCACCGGCCACACTTCCGGCGGCAACAGAATTCAGCACAACACCTCGATCTGAACCTAACAGTAACGCCAATGTTAACGTCAAGACACCCGTTAAATTGACTGATTGCGCAGCTTGATAATCTCTCTACCCAATATTTGCGGAAGAGTCCCACAATATCCAACATGCCCGAGGGCAAGAAGCCCAATCCCGAGTATGGGACGCGCAAGTCTGGTGAGCCCGGCACCAGAGACTTCCGCATCCACATTGTCATGGGAGACGAGCTAGTATCGCCCTGGCACGGGATACCTATATCTCCTCCCGATAATGATCTACACGTTATCAATATGGTGCTGTTGATTCCGAGGTGGAGTAGTGTCAGAATGGAGGTAAGTCTCGAGATTTCGGGAGGTGGGCTACCAACGAGCAGAATGAAGTTTATTGTCTTGTGCCCAGACGCGCTCTCAAAGTGTTTTGCTGATTGTACAATACATCCACAGCTTGCGAAAGACGAGTTCCTGACCCCAATACGCCAGTCTGTTATTGAGAACCACTTAGAGTACATTCCGAATGTCTTTCCGTACAAAGGGTATCCCTGCAACCACGGGGCGATCCCACAAGTGAGCTCCTAAGCCCTTATAATCCTGGCGGAATTCAATGATAACCTCAGTGTTAGACATTGCAGGACCCTGACCTCCTAGATCCCGATACCCACATCCCCGGAGACTCTGACCCTCTCGATATATGCGAGCTAGCGGGCATGGTCGATCAAACGGGAACGGTGAAACAAGTTAAAGTGCTGGGGGCATTTGCCGTTTTACAAGAAGGGGTGACTGACTGGAAAATCCTTGTTGTGGACGTTAAAAACCCGTTGTCTGAGAGATTAGATGATATTGAGGACATCGAGCCTAATGTGCCGGGGTACCTGGATGCAATGCAGGAGTGGTTCCGGTTCTACAAGGTACCCAAGGGAGGTGAAGAGAATACAATTGCTCTGAATGGAGATGTGGAAGGGAAAGAGTGAGTGGCTGTCTTCTACATTCCTGCTGTCTCGTGGAGAACATCTTCCTGAGGTTGTGGCACTGCCCTATGTTTAGTTTCGCACTATCCCTGATTGCAAGGTGTCATGAGAGCTGGAAAAATATGCCCACAGGCCACAACATGGAAGGGAAAGTGTCCTGGTTAGTGATATTCGCACAGAACCCGAGCGCCCATAATAATAAAGCAAGAGGGAACATCCCCAGCGAGGACTATACTCTCATCCAGAGACTCAACGAAGACCTCGGCAATGGAGTCAAGTTCAGCGACCAGAGCCAAGCAGAGAGTTATGTTATCACTTCTGCCACCTCCACTGGCCACCACGGCGATCCTACCCAGATGACGGCCCCAGTCTCAGCACAATGGAAGTCTCATGCTACTCCGAATCAAACTCTGCAGTCAGAAACGCCCATGATGAACCACCACATCCCCAGCAAACATTGCTCGCGTCAGGTGCCAGTCAAAGCCTTCGCCCCTCCGCAGCAGCCCTACTTATACACTTGACCTAACATGCAGCCCAAATTGCGAGTCAGCATGACACGCAAATGCGAGCGGAGGAACGCGGGTCCTTTAGGTACTACAGAATTACGTAGAGATGAGCCTTGCTAGGTAGGGTATTCTGCTATGGGTATGGGAGAGGTGCTGGCGGGCCGCCTCCATGACTAGCTGGACGTCATGGTTGATACCAGGTGGCGGTTCAGCACGGAGTTCTTGTGGTCTAAGGGACGATGTCATCGAGGTAACTATGCGAACAAGGGGGGTATTTTTTGTTTTTTGCATAGAGGCTATTGTTGGTGACTGAGTTCTCGTGACATCGTACATATCCCACGTTTGAAAACTCTTTGTATGACTCTGAGGGGGCGAGTGGAATCAGTCGACCAAACAACAATAATTTTATTGTCTCGTGGATAGTGGTCTTTTCTCGTACATAGTGATCTTGGTAATCAAACAGGGCTGGGAAAAACTACTTGCTTTCGGCTCAGGGGATGGAACAACCGTTTGATTCCCATCCAGGGTGTGTTGACCGGGCTGTCCGGCCCAGTATACAGAAAGACATCGTAGACCCACCCGCCAAATGTACAACCCAGAAAGGGAGCAACCATTGGTACCTAGTTGAAGAAGTGAGTGAGAAAAAGACGACACACTCTTCGCGTGATAATGGACCACGTACCCAAAAATAATAATTGCCAGCTGCCCAAACTTCGTGTCCATAGCCCAGCATATAGGACGTGAGGCGCGGGCCAAAGTCTCTTGCCGGATTGATTGCGTATCCCGTCTCCCAGCCAAAGCAAGCGCCAATTCCGAAGATCACGAAGAAGAGTACGAGGGGAGTAAGAGGGCCAGCCCCCAGGTTGCCATCATCCTTCAGCGCAAAGATCATAAACATCAGAATAGCGCTCGCCAGGAATTCCGAGAAAAATTGACCGGTCTTCGTCATGAAGTCCGCTGGATAGGTACAGAAGATGCCCGCCGTTGCGGTAGCTGAATACCCCGGGACGGAGCGAATATCTGCTCCGCCTTCGTACACATCAATGGCGGATTTGTAGTTGCCGTAGACGATGGCCGCACCACACATCGCACCGAGGAGCTGCGCCAGCATGTAGACTGGAAACCGGCGCCAGGGAAACCCGCGGTAGACGCAGTTCGCGAATGTCACTGCCGGGTTGATATGGCCTCCCGAGGAACCGCTCACATACACCCCCAGCATGACACCCAGTCTGATAGACGGCTATTGTTAGAGAGTGACATGAAACTGCGCAAGTCGACTCACCCCCAGCCCCACGAGATTGACTGATAGTCACCCTTCTGCCCATGACTGAGCAGCACCTGCGCGACGACCCCATCACCGAAGAGAATCAAGATCATCGTGCCGAAGAACTCGGAAAAGGCATCACGCCCACACGCCCGGATCTTGTACCAAAGCAACGAGTCCCCAGGCGCGCTATCAAGCGCCGAAGCCACCTCACGAAGAGAAGTCTCATGCTTACTCCCCAGGTACAGAGAGGCACACCCGCTATCCTGACATCCAGGCGACCCTCTCTCTTCGTGAGCCGTCGACATCAGCTCGAGAGTAGCTTCAGTGCTGGAACCCATTCGCGCTCGACGGGTATGAAAGAAGATATTAAAAACAAAAAGATTCCACTCAGCAATGTATCAGACCAGCAACAGGAAGGGCAATGAGGCCCCTACAGCGCGATCGTCCAGCGATATATCAGAGCGGCAACCAGTTCACACCGTGTAACCCTTGCCGCCAAACTTTGCTCGCGGACTTCTCGCAAATCGGCTCTATTGGACAATGCAGGGTCTTCGGAGATGTCGTCTCTATCCTCCTCCCACGCCCGCGTGAATGTGCAGGGAAGGGGGTTGACCGGCTGATGCCGAGGTGTCGTGCAGACTAGACAATGGTAGGTACAGGCTCGGGGCGGGGGCAGTCATGCAGTTCTAATTCCAGAGAAACCAGGTGGGAGCTACAGGCCCCTTTTTACAGTCTTCCTCTCGCCGTCCTAGAAGGACTTCGATTTTCTGACAGTACAGATTCTCCCCACGTCTAATGGGTGCGTTTGTACGAACGGCCGTTTGACCGGGAACTCCCGGCCAATTTCTGATTCCTGCCAGAACAGGGTCGGTTCAGAGAGTCATTGCCTTTGCGATAGACACAGAATATCGTCTCTGAGAACCTGAGGAGGCCAAGTATGGTGTGGTGAGACCGCTCATTGCGCGGTATTCCCAGGGGTTCCACAGACGGCACCTCTTCCTGGTCGCTGGGACAAGAAAGCCAGGACCAGGAGGAGGTGGGGTGCACAGAGAAGCTTCTATTGCTTCTGTTACCCACCGTCAACACTAGGGGCCCGAAGACCATGCAGACGCAATTGCAATTTCTAGAAGTTCGAACCGAGCGGCAGGCTGGAAGCTTTCGCAATGCGAGCGAGGAAGTTGGAAAGAAGACGGGGCTTGGGGGTTTGAGAGCTTCACCGTCTTCACGGTACTAATGCCGCCGGTGACCGTAGCCGGGCCAGACCATGCCCGCCGACTGTTGGTGGTCCTGGACAGGACGTAGCCATGTCCGTGTGAAGGAGCGCGGTGATGGGTGGCATCTTCTTTTCATGCCCTTGTTTCCGCGTGATGATGACACGCTGTTGCCCAACCGTGAGGCTGTGCGACCATTCTCCCTATCTCCATACTCCCCTTAATCCCCCTCTTCTACCATAGTACCCATGTAGGGTCGCATCACGACGAGGATGGACCCGGGATGACATGACATACATGACATCGGTGGGACGCAGTATTGCCCTTGTCCTCCCCGAGAAGCCAGGAGTCGGTCGGTGATCGCCTATCTCACCGACAGGACCAAAACCGGCGAGCCAGGCCGGGACGTGCAGTCCAGATGGTGATGTTGGTTGACTCGCAGGCTTGCAGGTTTGTAGTCTGGGCTGGGTCGGCTGAGGGTGACAGTTTGGGTTAGGTGGTAGGCTGGGTGCGTGGATAGAGTGAATGATGATGTTGGGCTGGTGGTGCCAGTGATACCAGTGCTGCAGACAGACATCATATCGCAGAGTGGAGTGGCTGGGGCTCCACCGCTGGGCGATGAGAGGGTCAAAGAGGAAAGTGGAACCAGTTCAACTTCGTCAGTGCAGCCGAGTCGCCAGCCTCGTCCCCGCAATCTCTCCGGCATGAATTTGTTCGCTGGGCCGTCAGTCCAAGGGCAGTGCATTTGTTGGGAAATAGCTTTACCGGATCACCAAGAGAGAGAAATGCGACGTAGTGACCACCAGAATGGCGGTGGCCGCTGCATTTCTCCCTCCGTTTCTCCATTCGTGAGGCCGGGTTATCCCCCGGAAAGATCGTCGCGTGGAGTGGAGTGTTCATCTCATGTACGGCGATCCCCCGTTCCTTGTCGGTTGGACCGACTGCACTATGCGAGATGCGCAGGTAGCAGGAAGCATGAAGGATGAACCGTATCGCAACCTCCTCGAGTCTGCGCTCCTCGGAGCTGGTCACACCGAGTCCGCAGGGCCCCTGCTCTCTTAGTCTCTTAGTCTGGTCGCTTGGTCGCTTGGGGCCCCTGCTCACTGGGCAATCTGGCAGGCTGCTCTCCCACCAACAGTAGGCTGCGCCGCCAGTCCACGGAGCTCAGGACCCCGCGCGCGGGAAGACTGTGTGACCGGCCCTGTGGATGTTATTTAAGAGCCCTTTTCTCTCCCCTGGCCAGGCTATCGATCTCGCTATCTTACGCGCGATGTGGTCTGTTCCTTCCACTTGATACCCTGCGCATGATCCCGTGCATTTGCATTCGTCCTTAGGAGCGTGTTTCGCTTCTCCTCCCCATCCACCTCAAACATGCACCCCGCAGAGAGGTTCGTCGGATCAATCGACCAGGGCACGACCAGCACCCGCTTCCTGATCTTCAATCGCGACGGAGAACCAGTCGCATCCAACCAGGTGGAGTTCCGCCAGATCTACCCGCACCCAGGGTAAGTCCCGCCCCGGAGAACCAGACCAGGCCGAGACTCATTGCGCAACGTAATCAACCAGCTGGCACGAGCACGACCCCCTCGAACTCGTCACCTCCGTGGAAACCTGCATCGAAACCGCCGTGCGCGATTTCGAAGCCCAAGGCCATGCCCGCACCAGCATCGCCTGCGTCGGCATCACCAACCAGCGCGAAACAACCGTTGTCTGGGACCACGAGACGGGGGAACCGCTCCACAATGCCATTGTCTGGACCGACACACGCTCACAGACCATCGTCACCGAGCTGAAGCAGCGCCCCGGGGCTGCGGCCCTCCAGTCCCTCTGCGGCCTCCCGCTATCGACCTACTCGTCCGCGACAAAGCTGCTCTGGATGCTAGCCCATGTCCCGAAAGTGAAGGCTGCATTCGACCGCGGCACGCTGGCGTTTGGGACCGTCGATGCCTGGCTGGTGTACCGTTTGAACGGCGGTGCCGCGGCCAACGTGTTTGTCTCGGATTCGACAAACGCCTCGCGCACCATGTTTGTCAACCTCGAGTCGTTGGCGTACGACGATACTCTGCTCGATTTCTTCGGCATCAAGGGCAAGGTCCACCTGCCGCGCATCGTGCCCTCGAGTGACCCGCGTGCTTACGGCACGATTGCGAGCGGGGCCCTGGCGGAGATCCCGATTACGGGATGTCTGGGGGATCAGTCGTCGGCGCTGGTGGGGCAGAAGGGGTTCTCACCGGGGATGGCGAAGAATACCTATGGGACAGGGTGCTTCTTGCTGTATAATGTGGGCGAGAAGCCTGTCATTTCGAAGCATGGTCTGTTGGCGACGGTTGCGTATGACTTTGGCGGGAAGCCGGTTTATGCGCTGGAGGGGAATATCGCCGTGGCGGGGTCTGGGGTCAAGTTCTTGCAAAACAATTTGGATTTCTTCCAGGATTCGACGGAGGTGAATGACCTGGCATTGTCGGTGGAGGATAACGGTGGTTGTATCTTTGTGACCGCTTTCAGTGGGCTGTTTGCTCCTTACTGGATTGACGACGCTAAGGGGACTCTTTGTAAGTTTCATCAATGTGCCTATATTCTATCTGCAATATCTGATGCATTCATCGACAGTTGGCATAACCCAGTATACGCAGAAAGGCCATATTGCGCGTGCAACGCTTGAAGCCGCCTGCTTCCAGACCAAAGCCATTCTTGACGCAATGGAGAAAGACAGCGGCAAAGCCCTCTCCGAGCTAGCAGTCGACGGGGGTATGAGTAACTCAGACCTGGCCATGCAGGTGAGGAAACTACTCACTACTATACCCCGAACTAAAACGATGAGGGAGTGCAAAAAAGACTGATAACCTGGACGTCTAGACACAAGCTGATCTCATTTCCATCCCCGTCTACCGTCCCCAGATGCGTGAAACCACCGCCCTAGGCGCCGCAATCGCCGCCGGCCTTGCCGTCGGCATATGGCGCAACTTCGCCGAGCTACGAGACATCAATCGCGCTGGCGGCGCCGTCTTCGAGCCCCAAGCGACCCGCGAAGAAAGCGCAGCCAAATTTGGTGAATGGGAGAAGGCTGTCCGAATGAGCAGGGGCTGGGTTGGATCGGACAATACCAAAAACCACGAGACGAAGTCCGAACCCCCCGAACCCAAGACGAACGGAACGCCTGCAGCACCAATAGAGAAGCGTGATGTTACTGTCCCCCGGGCGGCGCCTAGACAGAGCCAATCTCCTCGAGTATCGGAGCTCGTTACGAGCGGCAGTCTCGGTGCGACATTGAATATCACGACGCGGACGCTGACTAGTGATGCGGAACTTCCGCCGGCAAAGACGCCGGTTATTAGTATCTCTGGGGATTTGAACGATGCTGATGAGGAGGATCTGTTCTTGGAGTTGAGAAAGGTGGAGATTCTGCAGAAGCTTAAGAAGCTACGAAAGCTGAAGTTGAGCTATTATTAGATCTGGAGAGGTTGCCTTTGGCTCTGGATATGAATATCGTGATGGGTTTGAATCTAGCGGGCTGGGGATTTCTGGGTAGTCTTGAATAGCAGAAGGTCTAGGCGCTGGCTCTCGTATATCAGTATTAAATATCCACTGTATTAGCGATTCCTTCTTCTATGTCAATTCTAGGCTAGAGTGACATTCTGAGACAGTAGCGAGTGTTCCGTTGATGCGGTCGCCTAGAGTAGACCTAGGCACTTCGTATCGCGTAGCTGCTGCAGGGATAGAAAAAAGATAGCCATTCTTATAGGATCCTACTTCGGGAAATATATACCTAGTAGTCCCAGGAAATGGGTCACCACCTTCACTCTTTCAATGTTTCTCGAACCCTGGAGCAAATCAGAGCGCTCAGCTGATCATCAGCAAGTGGATCAGACTTGCTCACTAATCAGATCACGGCGCTCAGAGAAATGCTTGGGTCTACTTAGTGAACATAAGCGGCGAGGGTCCAATCACTAAAAGGAAATGAAAGCCAAGACCTGGCATAGGAAATCAAGTCGGTAGGCGTCAAATGGTGAGGATAGGTCTTTGATGGAAGTGGTCCATTTCGACAGGAATCCTTGGTATTTCAGTATCTGCAGGATGATTAATCAAGCTATTTGATGCTAGCCAGCTCAGACATTGCGTTTGTCTTATATACATTACAACATGTGCTGGTCCCAACTTAGGGTAGAAGTGGAGTAGTTAGTTCCAAGGTGAAAGAAAACAATCGAGACCACCAGCCATCCCGTCCCATCTCAGCATACCTCCCACAACAGGAAATATATACTCGGCAACAATGCCACTTACTTCGTACCAGCCGTTTTGAATTCCTCCCCGTCCTTGACAAACACACAATTAAACTCCGCCCCAGGGCTCATCGTAACCTCTAACCGCAACACAGGATCCTTCACGCAATCCTCCCCGCTGACCGGGAGCGCAACGATTCGTTCATAAGCCTGCAGAATCCGAATAATCGTATACCCCATCTCAATCGTAGCAAACTGCTGCCCAATACAGATCCGCGGGCCACCATTGAACGGAATGAAGTGCCAGGGCCGCGGCTGCCACCCTTCCATCCAGCGTTCAGGAATCCACTGCTGCGGATCAAAAAAGTGCTTCGAGTCTGGCCCATCGTACAAATCCGGATCCCGCTGCATGAGCAGCGTCGAGTAAATGATGCGCGTGTTGGCGCGCACGCCGACGGGCGACATACCGTCGGGCCCCCCACCGCGCGGGAGTGTGGTGTCTTTCAGCGAGTAGCGCACGTTGAAGGGGACGACGGGGTAGAAGCGCATGGTTTCATTGATGACAGCGTTGAGGTACTTCATGGCCTTGAGGTCGTCGTAGGTGGGTTTCTGGCCGGCTGCGCCGACGCCGAGGCGCTCACGGATCTCGGCACGCAGTTTGGTGACGACTTCTGGGTGCCGTGCGAGCTCGAAGAGGCAGAATGAAAGCGTGCCGGCGGTTGTGTCGCGGCCAGCGAGGAGGACGGCTACGAGTTGGTCCCGCAGTACTTGGGGGTCGCGCGTGAAGCGGGCGAGGGCGTGGAGGAAGGTCTCGCGCTTGGAGAGCTTCTGGTCTAGTTCGGCGGAGGACATGGATAGTACGGTTTGGATGTACGGCTGCAGGAAGCTGTCCATGATCTTCAGGTTGCGACGGAACTCGGTGCGTGACATGACGAAGTTGAAGACTCTGTTTATCGTTAGAAGAGGATCCATTAGGTTTCTCTGTTTCCAATGGGATCGAACACTAGCATCACACAAGATCGAGCCACTTACCCAAAGCGGAAAAGCTCTGCCTGGCGCTGTTGCACATATCTGAAGGCCTCTGCGAACCCTGTCGCTGGGTTCTCTAGGCTGTCTGTCCCCTGGCCGAGCAGGTAGTCTGTTGCGGCATCGAGGGTATACCGGAAGAATAGCGAGCCTACGTCGACCACCTTGCTGCCATGTGGGCTCCCACCGAGAAGAGGGATCAGCTTTTGCACATGCTTCTCGAAGATCTCGGTGTCGACCAGCCGCTCGCGCGCGAACATGGGGCGAATGAGCTGGCGCGAGCGTGACCATAGTTCTCCATCGGTAGCGAAGATGCTGTCGCCTAGGAACTCTTTCCACTCGCGGTGGAACGGCTCTCCCTTGCCGTAGTCCGCGAACTGTCCCGTGAGCAGCGCTTTGATGTTCTCGGTGTCCTTGGTGAGAACCAAACGGGTGGAGATGCCGGCGTCAAGCTCGGCAGTCTTGCAGTTATGTCGTCCACTGGCGGCGAGGATGGTTTCATTCCAAAATTCGATATCCTCGTGCTTGAGGTTAGCTAGGTGGCTCTTATACATGAAGTCGAGCGCTACCGATCGTTAGACATGCACTGCAGCCGACATCTATGTCCGATTGATTATCTGGGATTGACCCTACCATAAGGAAGACGGAATTTGACCTTGGGAGCGCGGACACCGAGGCGCGCGATCTGCACAGATGCTTGGAACTTGCGGAACACGCAGAAGAGCGTGAAACTACCCAGAAACCACAGGAATGCCCGGATGGGCGTCATCCCGACCAGAATTTCTTCAATCATGATGGCGGCCGATGGCTGTTTGAATGATCGAGTCGTGAATATCGGTGGCTAGAATTTGGCGAGGTCGCAGGGCCAATCGTCTTAATATGAGAACGTGGGGTTCGGTCGGACTATGCAACCAACACATGGCACACTAACGAGGTCGATGGGGGCCGTCCACTTCTGCCGTCGCATGTCGGACGCTGCGGTAGGATCGAAGATCCTCTCAGCCGGCTATGCAAGTACTGAGAGGGCCGCGCCTCCGCCAGACCCTACATATGCAAAGTTCATGGGCTCCCAACCTTCAGGGCTACGGATTGGACCATCGATATGGATCCGTTCATCGACCGGGGGGCACAGTGGCCCCGGTTCCCCAGAAACTTCGACGGCGCGCCCTATGACCGCGCGTTGATCCTCTCGGCGCGGGGGAACCGGCGTGGCTGCTTCGAGACATTCTTGCGAGGTGCTTGCGAGCCCCGCTTGGTGTCCATCATGCCACCTGTGCACTATCATCACCTTATTCTTGTTCTGCCTCCACATCTTAGTCTGGGTTGGTCTACATCTGAATTGTGGACTCGCCATTGTTGCGCAGTGGAGCACCCCATTCCGGCAGATCCTCCTCGCCATTTGCAAAATTCGGAAATGCTGGGGATAGCTTGGACAATCCGGGGAATAATCGTCATGCCCCAAAACCACCTCGGCTAGACCCGGTTTCATATGATTCCGACGTGGAGCTCGGCAATTGTTCGTCCCGCCAAGAGTTACGGTGTTAGTATGCCGTCACGACCCTTGGGCTATGAAAGAGCACTTGACATTGCCCCTTGTTCTATTTTGGGGGGCGCTAGGGTTCTTGGAAACCCCGTATAACCTGGCTCAGTGTCGAAAATCTTAACATTACTTGCCTGCCAAGCTGGCAGCCACTCGAGGATGTGGGTGAAGGCTATTCATGGAGTATGTCTGCCACGCATATCTGGCCACCGACTGGTTTTGAATCCATCCGATCCATCTTATTATCAAGCCAGTGTTTATTATAATGTCTCATCGTACTCTACAGGCTCGGCGAATGTTGTCTAGTAAACTTTTTACTCCGATCGGATTTGGGCGACGAGCTGATTGATAAGAGCACGGAGTAGGCACCTTGTAGGTCTGCGAAAGTAGAAAATGACGAATCTGCAAGTCGTAATAAAGGTGCATCTACTGCCTGGCACGGCTGCACGCGCGCGGAGAGTTTACGTGCGCTGAGAATTCCACCAGTTGAAGCCACACTGTCTATTTACCCCTTAGCAACCGCAGATCCCTTAAGTATGCTGGCTGTCTCAAGGATTCAGGAACAGCTCAGGTAGCCAGTGTAGAAGTTAGAAACCATGAAATAGCGCAGGACATTTTCTAGGTCTATAAAACCGGTTGATGAAATCCTACGAAAGATACAGGTTTAGCAGCAACCAAAGCGAGGGAATAGTCTGATTTGAGAGGCAGACGTATTAGGCCGACAGAGAACCACCGAACTTGGACAGAAGTATAGATGTAGAACTACAAACTAGAAACCAATAGCACGAAAGCAGTCACAATGAGAGTGGCTCCTGTTATAGGATGCATCAACTCCATACCTCTGAATACCGCACGCTTAGATCTTTGAATGTGGAAATCCTTTTTCTTTTAAGTTTAGAAAAGAAAAAGCATACGAGGCACTAGGTGGCAAGGCAGAAGTACCTGTCAAACATACTAGTTTTGTGATGAGTCTGTGTCCGGAAACTTCAATCTAAGGCATTGTTTGCATGCGCCAAAGCAAGGGTTAGTTGCCGTCTGGAACATGAATTGTACCTTATAAACATGACGGTCTGCTACTGTGGAAAGAAAATTCTTTGAGATCTGGTTTCAAGTGCAAAGCAATGACTTCAGCCTATTTCAGGGAACTTCCATCACAATGTCAGGGCCAAAAGCGAAGATTGCCCAAGCAACGTCTCGTTCAGCTTCCCAGTACACCTGGATGTTCGAACTTATGTGGTACCAACAGCATTTACATCGGCTTCTTCACATGAGTCTTTTAGGCCCAATAATTTTCATCCATTTAGCAGCTCCATATGTCCTCCCTAGGCAAAATACAATCATCTTGGCTATCGCTTGGGGTATTATAGGAGGCTTCAGCATTACGATTGGTCAGTCGACTACTGCACCCGGAGACTTTCCCCGCCATGGAAAGATGTGGCTAATGCGACCGTAGGATATCATCGACTTTGGGCTCATCGGTCCTTCTCCGCTTGCATTGGTGTCCGGATTATGCTTGCCATTGTTGGCGCTGCCCAGAACCAATGGCCCATTCTATGGTGGGTGAAACATCATCGGGCCCATCATATGTATACGGACACAGATCAAGATCCATACAACGCTAAACGAGGGCTGCTATTCTCCCACATTGGTTGGCTACTCGGACTCAATGAAGCCATATGGGGTCCAGTCGACTTGTCAGATCTCAGGGAGGATCCAGTGGTTATTTGGCAAGACCGATTATATTGGCCTATTGTCATCGCGGCCGGCATTCTTCTTCCTGGGATGGTTGCGCATTACGGCTGGGACGACTGGAAAGGTGGAATGTTATATGCGGGTCTATATCGGATCATCGTGACGCAGCATATTACTTTCTTGATCAACTCAGTGGCTCACGCATCCTGGGCTGGGACTCAACCCTACTCTTCAAGCACAACCGCACGGAATGTTCCCCTTCTCGCCGTTATCACACTTGGGGAAGCCAACCACAACTTTCATCACACATTCCCGACCGATTACCGGAATGGAGTCAGTTGGACAGAGCCAGACTTCTCGCGATGGATTATCTGGCTATGGGGGAAACTTGGGTTGGCGACTGACCTAAAAAGTGCCACCCCTCTTCAGATAGAACAAGCTCGTCTGACCCAGCGGAAAACAAGGAAGGAACGCCAAGGTGGTCAAAAGGCGAAGACTCGGGCTTTGTCCAAGCTGCCGCAGATTAGCTGGGAAGAATACATGACGCAGTCTGAGGATGGCAACTTCCTGGTCGCCATAAATGGGATTATTTACGACGTGGCAACCTTTATGAACGATCACCCCGGAGGTCGCGATCTAATCCAGCAATCCCTTGGGAAAGATGCGACCGTTTTATATTACGGAAGTCACCTACATTCTCCACAGGCTGAGGATATTCTGCAGAGTCTACAAGTGTTAAGATTGGAAGACCCCTGTCGCTGAATTTTTCTTTGTTTCCAGACCTGCTCCCCAGACTTAGTCGTCCCACGTTGACATGCTGCATGTAGCCGATTGAATGGCAGTTGCTGCTTCATGGAACTTGGCTATGCACACATAGAGTTAATCAGCGAACTTCCTGACATCAAAGCAGCATCATTGGTCTAGTGGTAGAATTCGTCGTTGCCATCGACGAGGCCCGTGTTCGATTCACGGATGATGCACAGCAATTATCTTTTTCTTTTTTGTCCCTTCCCCCGGGTTCCTAGGCCACCATTCGGGTATCAGGCACAAATAATTAATCAATTAATCTATCCATCCATCCATCATGAATTTGAGTTCCAAGTTTAGTGTGTATTGGAATACCTCTAGGCAAATTACTCAGGTTGATTGACGAGTGATGCTTCGAAAACTAACTTCATTGCATAGGCCGGGCTTCTACCATCTCATGCGCTAGATTCAAGACCTGACGGAATATTTCAGAATTAGTGCAGCCATAGTCAGAGAGACAACGCCGTGAACAGTGCCTGCTGTCGCGATGTCAACAAGGCCAAGCTCTACTCCTAGATTGCGCTTCAACCATGCTCGAGCTTCCACGGCCACCAGCGAGTCTACCGAGATTTCTCCCATTGCGGCCCAGTCTTCATTTTTGACCGCCACCGTATAGGGCCCCATCAGAAGTGCCATTTCCCTGGTGATAAGATCAACCGTTTCGGCAAGCTTCAGAATCTCGGGATCTTCATCCACTGAGCGGAGAAGGCTTTTGATAGTGCTGTCCTCTATCAGTCGTGATTCGAGGCGGGCGACTTTTACTGCTGGGTCGTGACGGTAACGGGCGTCTTTACATCGGACGTCATTGGAAGCCTGGGCCCACAGAAGACCCAAGCCAATCGAAAGATGATGCTCGTCAAGGAATTTTGACCGAGCCCCGTCGACCACTCGGGGCGGACACAGAACCAACTGCATGGCTGACAGGAGATGGATCTCTCGTAGCGGAATAAAGCTCTTGGATCGCATCACCTCCAAGAGCTCTGGGCGCTGACTAACATAGCCAATGTCAGTGATCCAACCAATATCAAGAACAGAGGCGGGAAGCCCAAGAGACTGGCGGTAACGGGCAAAGGCGCCGAGGAAGGTATTGGCTGCCGTATAGTTCGCTTGCCCAGCAGATCCAGCCGCAGCCGCGACAGAGCTGAACATGACGAAAAAATCGAGGCTGCTGGACTGCAAGACCTTGTGCAAATTCCACACCCCCTCCACTTTAGGCCGGAGTGCTTCTGTCCACTGCTCATGGGTCATGCTGAAGAATGGGGAGTCCTGGAATTCATGTCAAATAAGTTCAGCCCTTTCCGATGGGTGTCCATTAGAGATTTATGCTTACCTTCATGAGCATTGCCATGTGTATCATCCCCTTTATAGGCCTGCAGCTGGCAGCGACTGCTCTCTTGGCATCGGCGAAATTGGCAACATCACCCTGGATCAAAAGAGAATGACACCCCTGGAGCTCTAGATTATCAATAAATTGGCGATCATGATCTCCAGCCCCGGCGTTACGTGAAAGGAAGACCAGGTATTTGGCCCCTTTTTCGACCATCCATTGCGCCACTGCACGACCAAGACCTCCTAGTCCACCGATGAGGAGATAGGCGCCATCACTGCAGAAAGCGATATGGGTCGGGGCCTTGGACATTGGAAGGTGTGAGGTCTCTTCTGGGATTTGAACGACTATCTTCCCCATGTGTTTCCCGTCCTGCATATACTTAAACGCCTCAGTGATTCTATCACCTGCGAAGGTATGCATGGGCTGAATGGGCGCGATGGATTTCTTGGCCAAGAGGGCGGAAACTTGATTCAAGCACCTGTTCGTCCATTCTGTCAACAAATAACCGCAATCTTTACTTGTAAGATAGTTGGACCAACTCACGCTCGCACAACTTGGGGTCGTGATTTGGCAAGTGAGAGAATATCAACTCCCACAAAGGACCTGTTGGCAAGGAATCGATCCATGGGCAACATAGCATGGCCCATCAAGTCTCGCTTGCCAATTTCCACCATCATGCCCCCTTCTGCCACGCATTCCCATGATGCCAGCAACAGTTCTCCGGCTAGTGAGTTTAGGACGAGATCAACACCTCGCCCACGGGTTCGTTTCAGCAAATTGGGGGCGAAGGATGTACTACGAGAATCGAAAATGTGTTCTTTTCGAATTCCAAACGTGTCGGTAAGATACCGTGCTTTTTCTTTGTTGCCGACCGTAGCGAAAATCTGTGCCGATCAGAAAATATTGCTCCAAACTGACGAGACGACGGAATTCATAACTCCTTTTTGTCCAACTCACCTCTACACCGAGCATCTGGCACAGCATGATGGACGCAATCCCCACTCCTCCAGCAGCGGAGTGAATCAATACAGACTATTATGATCAGCAAGCAATATGACGGATGCAAGCTGGAAATTTCATACCTGATCCTTCTGGAGTCGTCCAACGTTCAGTAGACAATACGCTGCAGTCGTGTATGCACACCCAATGGTAGCCGCTTGGTCCAAGGAGAGTTCAGCAGGTATCGCAACGACTAAGGGCCCTGGAACAACAATGCGAGTACTGAACGCCGGCGTGGCAAGGAACATCACTCTATCCCCTTCGCGGAGATGTTCGACATCGCATCCGACGCGCCGAACCACCCCGCTGCCCTCCAGACCGATCTCATTCTTAGCTTTTAGCATCCCCAAGGTCACCATCAAGTCCTAGTCCTCAACATCAGCTTTGAGTCATTCCTTATTGGCAAGTGTGCTGTGGCTAACCCGGAAGTTGAGGCCCACGAATTTCACATCGACCTCTACCTCATCCGCGCCAAGAGCGGGGAGGGTATGTTCGATCCATCTCAGAGAATCCAGAATCCCCGGTTGCTCCACCGTGAGCGTTTTGGAGGCCTCTGGTGAAGCATCCTCGAGCAAGTTTTTCGAAAGGTCACTCCAATGGTACCTTGGAATATGAACCACACCTTGTTGGACGGAATACTCATGGTCAACTGTTTTGTCACGGTAAACGCGCTGTTGCTGAAACTTCTGGTAGATCTCAACAAGACTATCTTCTGCAAGCTGGTCGAAGTCCTCCACCTCCACCGTGGCGAAGTCCATTTCGTATTCTGTGCGCATTGTTCGCGCGAAGCCCAAGGTCAGTCCGTAACGGGGATCAGAACAACGCATCTGAATACTGCGGGTGACCCATAATAAGCGGGTTGATTCACAAGACGAGAGATACTGCTGAAGTTGTGTAAGTTGATAGTTTGTGAGGGAGTATAAGAACGGCTCTTCCAGATCGAGAAGAGAAATCACGTCTTGATTGGCGGGCGGTGGTTCTGAAATGGTGCACCAACGGACGGAGAAACCGAAGGTCTCTATTCTGTTGGCAAAATTAGTTGCCCATCGGTTCTTCTCTGGGTGAGAGAGAATGTTCACGACGCTTTTTTTGGCGTCCTGTGACAGCGGTGGGAGAGAAGCTACTATGGAGGTCATGTATATCTCTGTTTCACCTGCTGCCGCCTGGATACCTTCAAACCCAGCTGCTCGTAACTCCGCAGTCCAACGCTCCACCGAAATATATGGTGCGTCAGCACGATTATCGCTCTCACCTATCCACCATCCAGGAAGAACCCCCTATGACCATTAGTACTATAGTTATTGCGCGGGCTGGCAAGGAAGGAATGTATACCATTATATAGTCGATAGGTTGGGCCTCTGTAAATGAGTTAGTTTCCATTGTTTCTGCATCTTCGTTTTGTTTACCACTCACCAGAGCAGATTTCTTCGATCAGTACACGACCACCGGGCTTGAGCAGGGATTTGACGTTTTTTAAAGATTCTTGGATACTGGAAGTTGCATGGAGAACCTATCAATGTTAGCGGTCTGCTCCTAAAGTTCCCTAAAGTTCCCTAAAGTTCCCTAAAGTTCTCTTTAACCAACACACATTCGACGCAACCACTAGATCAAATCCTTCATGCTCGATCTGCTGGCTCTCTGGGGCCTGACTGATATCCAACACCGCAAATTCAATCGCATCATGTTCTTTAAATCTCTCTTTGGCCGATGGAAAGAAAGCCGAAGAAATATCAGTGAAGAGATATCGCGAATACTGGCGGTTGCAGCCATTAGGATGGAAGCATTTCAGTGCCCTTGCAGTCGTTGCTCCAGTGCCTGCTCCAATCTCGACAATCTTGAGGTCCGGTTGGCTGTGTCCTAAAAGTTCTAGAAATCCTTCGTAGTTTCTGCTGTCTCCAGTATTGTAGAGCCTGGACAAGGCCTGATTTTCCATCATCAAACCTAATGGCTGACATTTTCCTCGTACGATGTCGACGCAATTTTCCAGAACAACAAGGGACAGCTCCGCAAAATGTTTGCTTAGTGGCATGGCTTCATCAATTTGCCACTTGAGTGCTGCCAGAATTCTGCTCCAATCATTTCTGGGCACTTCTAGGAATGATCTGTCTTCTGGAGAGAGCGCAGAATTGAGACTGTCTAAGATTGCGGCAGACTTTGTGATCATCCATTGCTGGTATTTGTGCAGATGCTCCGAGGCGGGCTCCAAAGAAGCTATGCGTCTTGCAGTCTCGATTATGCACATGTCGAAAAGCTGTTGTCTTGGCCCATATGGTTCGTTGGCGATGGCTACAGCTGGTTCTGGAGGCGATAGAACATGCCCCTCCGGTAACAGATCCACATCAGGAGCCCACACAAGGTTAGAGCACAGTTGATCTCCACCTTGCGAGAGGCCCTCGTCGAACCCTATAAACTCGACACCATCAATTTTCACTGTGACTTCGCTTCCCCATTGTGCAGTCGCGGACCCAGAAGTCACACCTAGAGGGGTTTCGGTTGCGGTCGCTTCAAGAAACAGGTCCGGTCCTGTCTTGCCGACAAAGACTTCATGAATATAAACAGGGAATCCAACTGATTCACACTTCCGGGAAAGGCCGTTGGACATGGCAACTGCTACGAGCTGCAAGCACTGATCGATTGTAGGAGCATCGACTTCATACCCAATTTCCTCTATCTCCAGGTTGGCCGTCGCTGATAGCTGTATCGGATGAGCCGATATATTCTGGAGCAGTCTAAACCGTGGCCCATACTCAAGACCGCGTGCCTTCAAATTGTCATACCAAAGCTGGGGCGTTACGGCTCGCGGCAGACCCCTGATATCTTGCGAGGCGGGTGAAGAGGCTTCACTTCGTACCTCTCCGGTGCAATGCTTCACCCATGAACCTCGCCGAAAGCTTGCAACGGAGAATTCATACCACCCAGACCCTAGCTCTTCAGTTGGTCGGACTAGCCGAAAGTTAGACAAGACTTCTGCTTTCTCACGATCATCGAGTGTCAATGCTTTGTTCATGCGGAGGCGTCTCAGACAATATTTGGAACACCCGGTGATCTGCCGAATGGCCTCACCCGCCATCACGATATATCCTGCGCAAGGAAACACAGTCGAGCCCCCGATTTGATGGTCCCAGAGCCAAGGGACGTCGTCAATGTGAAGCATATTCCTCCACGATGGCTCAAATGGTGTCGATTCGACGACTCGGGAACCCAAGAGCTCGTGGTGTGCATGTTTGCGGAATCTCCACTCCCGTGTAATCCGGCTCTCAGACCATTCTGCCTTTCCAATTTCCCAGGGATAGGGATCAAAATCAGTGAGAACATGCCCATGACCGTTGATAGCGGCAAGGTCAATGGGAAGGCCGGCGAGAAATAGCTCACCAACAGCCGTAAGAAGAGACAATTCCTGCTCCTGCCCCCGGATGAGGCATGAAGCATAGGACACTTCCTTTTCTGCGTCACCCAATGACTGGAATATGTCCCTCAGAGGTGCCGCAAGAGCAGAATGTGGACCAATTTCCAAAAAGAATGGCTTTATATTGTCCTGCATAACGAACTCAGCAGCGCCCCGGAACAGGACCGGTGACACCAGGTTCTGGATCCAGTATTGAGAGTCAAGCTGTTTCGGGTTCGAGATCTTTTGCCCTGTCATACTGGAAAACATTGGAATCATTGTGTGCTTAGTCGTGATGTAGGATCGAATGTGGGTCTCATATGCCTTCCCAATTGAAACCATGGATTCTACCGTAAAGTTAGCTTTTCAATTGCGCTGTTGTAGAAATTTAACTGGCCCATATTACCGGAATGATATGCTCTGTTAACACGCAGCAGTCTACACAGCGCATCTGGGTGATCTGATTTGATTTTTTCCATCACTTCTTCGACTTGGCGTGACTCCCCAGACAGGGTAACGCTATTAGGACTGTTTTCGCAAGCGATCACCACGGCTTTTCGTAAATAAGATGCTACTTGCCTTCGACCGAGGCCAATAGCTGCCATCGCTCCAATCTTGCCCAATTCGTCTACTAGCAATCCACGGTAGTAGCTCAGAGCGATAGCAGACTCGGCTGTAATTGCACCCGCGGCATATGCAGCCGCAATCTCACCACTCGAATGACCAATAACTGAATCAGGTTTGACACCCCAGTTTGCGAGAAGATTTACCACTGTAATCTGCAACGCACAGCAAACAGTCTGCGAAATCTGGGGCATATTGATGCGATCACTGTCGGCACTGGCAAGCACTTCTATAAGGTTCTTCAGTAAGCCATTGTTTGAGATTTCGGGCTTGTTTATTCGCAGTAAATTCACCTTCTATACTCCACGAAGGCCGCCTTTCTATGCTTTGTAAGACGCTGTCTAGGAAGCGTACATCCTCCCGCAAGCTTTGGAAGCAGTTCATCAAACCTCTACCCATCCCGGCCCACTGGGCGCCTTGGCCCGTGAAAACGAATGTTAATTCAGGGATGCGGCCGGCAATCCCGCGTTTAGTGCTCATTATGCTGGAGCCTCTACCGGCAGGCTTGATTAAAAAGCGCCTGTGGGAAAGATGTTCACGGCGAGTGCCTAGGGTATACCCTAGATCGCCAAGGCGGGTCGGATGCAACTTCATGTACTTTAGCAGACTCTCTTCTCGACGCAGCAGCGCCTCCTGGCTCTTTGCAGATATAACAAGCAGCAGAGGCTTTGATTGGTTGACCTCATCTTCAGTTGCAGCCGTGGAATATAATGGGGAAAAGGAGTCGAGAATTACCTAGGCTTTCGTCAATGAACCGTGCATCTTCGAGAATTAGGGATGGAATACTCACATGCGCGTTTGTACCTCCAATTCCAAAATTACTGACACTGATCCTCTCCTTTCGATTCTTGGGCCATGCAGTAAGTGTTTTAGGGACATGCAGATGTCCATCTTTCCAAGGGACTAGAGTCTCTATTAGCAACACGCACTGGGAATTAATCAATCAATACACACTCCGTGGATTTGGTTGATGGAAGTGGATGTTGGGCGGTATTAGCCTGTTCTCCAGGGAAAGTACTGCTTTTATGAGGCTTGTGAGCCCAGATGCCCCTTCAGAATGGCCAACGTTGGCTTTAGCCTGGTATTCTAGTCAGAACTTCGAGCTCATCTAAGTGCAAGGATGCATGGAAAAACCAACAGAGCCAATATATACTCCATCTAGAAAGGTCTTGGCGATCGCCGAGCACTCGATTGGATCGCCTGCTAGTGTTCCAGTACCGTGGCACTCAACGAAGGCAGTCTGTGAGAGATCACTAATGAATGCCCGCTTGTATGCGTCCCTAATAAGAGCTTCTTGAGCCTCTGCAGATGGTGTAGTAATTCCGGGGCTTCGACCATCGCAATTGACCGTGCTAGAGCGGATGACAGCTCGAACTGGGTCACCATCTCTGATGGCATCATCCAGCAGTTTGATACAAACTGCATTGACAGCCTCTCCCCTTCCATATCCATCTGCGGAGGCATCGAAGCACTTGGAAGTTCCCGAGGGTGAGAAAACACTAAGTCCTGACCCATGCATTGCGACAGTGGGCGTGAGGATCAGATTAGATCCCGCAACAATGGCCGCAGAGCAACTTCGCAAAATTAGAGCCTGGCAGGCTTGATTCAAGGCTACCATGGATGAAGAACATCCAGTCTCAATTGTCATACTGTTTTTCCCTTAGCGAAAACGCGATTTTGTTTATATCACAGACCATTCTCACCTGGGACCATTGAAATGGAATTCATAGGAGATGACATTTGCCAGTGAAAACTTTCCGTGTCCAATCATATGGAAGTTGTGTGCATTTTGGGAATCCCTGAACTCGATCTCTTCCCAATCTCCTCCATACGTGCCGACAAAGCAGCCGATGGGCTTTCCACGCCAGTCAACCTGCCCACCATTCTCAAGGCAGTCCCATACCACATGCAGAAGCATCTTTTGCTGGGGATCCATTCGAGAAGGCTGCAGCCCCTCCATGTCAAAGAATGATGTATCCACTGTCTCCAAATCCTCTTGAAGGTAATAACCATGCCGCATTCTTACTGAATGCGCTCCGGACTCTGAAAAAAATCCTTCCTCATTATACCGTGAATCGGGGACGATGCACCTCCCATCACGTCCTTCACTCAGTAGCTGCCAGAAATCTGCAGCAGATCGCACGCCTCCTGGCAACCGCATTGCCATCCCTATAATTGCAATTGAAGGTGGTGCATCTTCTCCAGCTGGGCCAGAGATATCGCGGCTCATGTCGATAGCGTGGGTAAAAATGCTGAAAGGTCCGTCTGTAACGGGTGAAGTAATTGAAATCTATTTGTCGCCGGAGGAAAAAGGTATCAAAAGGCCTTTTTCTACTTTTATTTTTATTTTTTCTACTTTTTTATTTTCTGAGAGAACCCGGTTCCAGTCAAAATACCCATCCGAAGTCTGTTTCGCGCAAGGGGTAATTGTGTCCGAACGGCAAAAGAAACTACAGACGTGCATAAACTATTGGCCCCGTCAAGATCCGATAGTTTGGTGGTTTGCACGACCTGTCAATTAAACGAATGTCAGTGTCCACTTCGCGGAAGCTCACAATTAGCCCATCGGTATTTCAGGTCATCTCTGTGTCCTAAGATGGAAGGCTCGTCCGTGCGCAATGCCAGAATTGTGACTCGATGCACTATGCAAGGCCCGTTGCCGCCATCATGCCACTGCTGGTAAAATATGCGCAAATCTTCAACTAGAAGACCGAAATAGCACGCAGGGATAACGAGGGATTAGAAGAACCCCGCAGTCATTTTGCCATGCTTCTACAGCACTGCGGAGAATTTGTTTCAAGTATTTATTCTGCTTTGATGTTGGCTGCGGACCGATCCAAATGGCGGCACACTATCTCGACCTCATTATTTCTGTGATTTGGATGGTTGTACCATTTGGTATCTATGGGTTTGGTCTCTTGTTCTACGAGTATCTTGTGGACTCTGCTCGCTTGCGATATGGATGTTGCGGGCTCAGTATTCTCTACTCTTTGTACTCTGTACAGCATCCAGACGCAAGCCCGCTTTTCAACTATATGACGGGATTTATGTCGGTCTATCACCCAGTGCGGGCCGTAGAACTTCTCGTCGTCTCCAATCCACTGTCCATGCGGCGCCTGAGAAAGGTGGGCAGTTTCTACAGCTGGGAGTCTTTCCCACCACCTTGTACCCTTCGTCGCATTTTTTGCATCATCGACATCGTCTCAAATCCCCGCTCCATTGGCTGGAGTCACGGGTCCATACGCCATCTCCCTCCTGTGAGCCACATCATTGATGTGCAGGGTGATCGTCGCTCCTGGAAACGGGTCAGTCACTGGCAGCCCAGCCGTTGGTCCTTTCTCTGGACCCAAGCACGACGGATGCTACTTGCATATCTGTGGTTCGATTTCTATCTCATGTTGTTTGTTCATGATAATGGCATTTCTGTGGAGAGGATCATTGAGAGTGCTGCAGAGAGGCTTGAAGCGCATCCAACCGTGACGGTAACCCAAACAATATGCAGCTGGATAGGACGCGTCGCGCGTATCGTCAGCGCTCAATTTTTCCTTGACGGGTCTCACGCATTTTTCTCTTTCGTTGCCGTCGGCATTATCTCAAGTATCTCCCATGATATTGCTGGAGAAACATGGACACATCCGAGTCTATTCGGAGGTTTCCGATTGTCTACTCCTAACTTGAAAGGTGAGTGTTTAATTAAAGGAAGTTGAAGGATCAGGCTAATCGGGCCTTGGTTACAGACTTCTGGGCCAACTGGTGGCATGATGTACTTCGACGTCCAATGTGGTCTGTCGCCCAGTGGCTGATGCCTTCTAACAGCTCCAACAAAGCACATATTTGGGTTGTTTTTGCAATAACCGCTGCTTCACATGGTATGGCATCATTTACATCCTCTCGGCGTGTCATACCTGCATCGAGGGTATTTGTCGCCTATTGCCTTCAGCCGATAGCAACAATCTATCAGAAGGCAAACGCCAAGTGGCTTTTATCTCAAGGGAATCAAACCGTAATGGCTAGGCCGTTCATACTCTGGCTTGTTGAGGTGATATCGTCAATTACCTGGCTTATTTTTATACTTCCTTGGCAGTTGGATGACCCTGGCCAAGTGGCTTTTTTTGCATCCTTCCAGCTACCCTGCAGTGTATGGGGCGCAAGGAGCACCAGGTAGCCTAACATCATGCTACACTTTGTCGCCTGCCAAGCGGGACATACTATGTACCCCTGTCCTGATCTGTTTTATGCTATGGCAACCCACACTTCTTCGAACCACAATATATCCGTTGACTCTCTTCCATATACAGTACAATGTGACCTCTCTCCATCTCTGCATCTGCTCTGTCGATGGCTGCGGCGAAGTCACTGTGCCACAAACTCGTCCATGGACATGAGCAAGATGTTGCCCTGCACCACCACACCCATAGAGGTGCATAAGATAGATCCACGTCTCGCTTACAGTTTTGGTGAGGAAGACAGCACCTTGTGTTCTTCGACTCGGATTCCACTGTACCTCGCAAGAACCGTACCAGAGGTTCTAACATATTGTATTAAATAATTGATTTCCCATATGAAGAGGTCTCCTCGTAAGATAAACACTATATGCTCTGTCCTTGTGTGACAAGGTAGCAAATCTTGTGCCTTGAACTAGGAGATACACTTTTCAATAATCGGCTACGAATCGGAAGTCTACAGTAATTTTTGTATTGTAACCACCGCGTCGCTGGCTGTTAAGAATTAGCTACATAGAAAAACCACCGATCAGTTTGCCGAAGAAATTTACTTTTTAGACCATTGTTGCAGTGATCGAAATTCATCCACGCTGGTTAATCACGTCCATACTCGTTTAAGTAGCAATAGTGACTGCGCCACCTGGTGTCTCGCTGATCTGGCTTCCGATGCCTCTTTCCAGCACCAGCACCATTACGATTCCTCAGTGGACGACTTTTGTCAGGTACTCAAATCTGACAACCCTGACCAGCACCCTCACGGATGCTTCGACCTCGACCTACCCCTGGTATTAACTCCGTGTCGATCCCTACGGTCATCGCCATCCCTCCTGGTAAGTTTGTCTGTAAGACCGGTCGAATTGAGAGGTATACATACTGATAACACAATGCCCGGGACGATGGGCCTCTTTAAGGGTGATTGGAGGCACCACTGCTATCATAGATCCAACCATAGCCACTAATCTCAATTCTACTCAGTGATCAAAATGCGGCGAGGAGTGAGCACTAAAACGGAAAGGGAAAGTCAAGCATTGCCAGACATTTCCGGTGCATATGCACCGTAAGGTAGAATATTCTAGTCTGGTCTAATGTTGGAAAGTAACACATTATTCATGCCCCTTTTGTCAGAATGCCGCCTTCTGGTAATTGCGACCACTGCGTGAAATATGTCTTGATCAGCTCAAACATGGTCTTGCACTTAAGAATGTCCGGTCGATCCGCCAAAGCTCTATGGAGATTCTCAGTTCCATGTATCACCATGCCGCCCTGTTTATTATTCCACCAAATAGATCCTTCTGCTAGCCTCTCGGCAACAATCGGAGCAATACCACTTAGACGATGGCCCATAACCTGCGACATTAGCCTCACCCATTCGGACAGCTCCACAGCGTGAAGGGGCGGGGTGGTCAATTGACTGAGCATTTTGAACGTCGTTGAAAGGTCGATATTTTGGCTTTGGTCCGGATGAATTAGGTTATAAGCTTGGCCGAGATTCCTGTTCGACATCGATATGTGCAATGCGGCTGAACATACAAAATCGACCGGAACAAAACAGTTTCGTTGAGCCGGGGGGATTGGGTATGAGCCCAAACTGATACACGTAGACATGAGGCGATTGATAGCATCATCTGCATTTCCAATTCCAGTCACACTGTGCCCCAGAACAAAGCCAGCCCGATGGATCGCGAGTGGAAATCCGTTCGAGATAGCATCCCACGCGATGCATTCCCCAACGTACTTGCTGAGCGAGTAGCCAGTATGGTGCTGCAGTGAGCCAGAGCCCGCCACTGGCCTCTCATTTTCGGACACGTATGTTTGACCGCTTAAGAACCCAGATGGGCCATATGCTGCCATGCCAGAAAAGTAATGAACGGGTTTGAGACGATGGGTATTGGCAAAGTTGAGGACGTTGGTGAGACCCAGAACATTGGTGTCTCTGTGTGTGGAGTAAGGGAGGGTGTAGTTGACGAGCGCCCCCAGATGGAAGATGGCACTGCATTCTGTAGATAGGCGAGTGAACTCAGTGCCTTGCAGACCAAGGCCTTGCTGTGTAATATCTCCTGTAACGGCCTGAATCTTGTCCCAGGAATCCATTGGAATCTGAAGCTTGCTAAATGCCGTTTCAAGTCGCCTTATTGCCGCTGTAGTAGAGGCAGCGCGAACCAAGCAGGTGACCGTGTTGACTTCGGGCAATGATACCAACATTGACAATAGGAATGTGCCCACAAAGCCTGTCGCGCCTATTAACAGTACATGCCCTTCTGTGTCAGTATACCACTCTGGAACTGGCTGTGAAATTGGTCGGATACTCCGTCCTAGCACTGTATCTTGCAAAAACTGAACGTTTTCTCCATCTGATGGGCGACTGCTATCCACTTCGGAAGACTCCGTGTTATTTGCTTGGTACTTGGCACGGAGAGCCTGCACGGTGACGTTTCCGAGACCTCCAATTGTTTGGGCGTTAGAAATCTCCACGATGGGCAACTCGAGACCCAGGTGGCGTCGGTACCAGCTTCTGATCTCGATCATAGCTAAGGACTCGATCACGATATTGAAGACCTCGCTTTCATCCATATCCTCGATTTTGACTAGATGAGAGCCAATTTCCATTCCGATGATTTTGGTAATTCGTTCCTTGGTAGCAGGGTCGTCCAGTATCTCGGGATTACTTTTGACAGCCTCCATCAGCTCCTTAAGATCTCCATCGATCCCAGATGCGCCTGCCTCGTTTGCAGAAACAATATTTGACCAGAGGCTGTAGCGCGCATCCCGAGTCCAAGGAGGCACAACACCCGAGGTGGATAAGGGCTTCGTTGTTCCAAGTCCCACCGCTACCTGACCCGGTCGACAGATTGCCAATTCTAAAGTCTGGAGCAGCTCGCGCTCCTCAACTGTTTGCATAGACGCCGATTTAGCTCGTTGGATGAGCTTCGGCGCATTCTCGTATGCGAATCCTGCATCGTTCATCAATCCGAGGTCGATCACACTTGCCACAAGGCCCTGCCCCAGACGATATTGAACAAAAGCATCGAGAAAGGCATTTGCTGCCGCGTAATTTGACTGGCCAGCATTTCCACAGAGGCCAGCCAGAGAGCCAAAGCATACAAAAAAGTCCAGCTTGCAGTCGGCAACGGCATTGTGCAAATTCCATGTCCCTTGGACTTTAGACACCAGGACCGAGATCCATTCGTCATACGTTATTTTAGAAAGTAGTTGGTCCTATTATCTTTATTAGCTTGTTCGTGCATATAACAGGGGCCACCTTTACCCTTAACACCATGGGCATGTGTATCACACCCGCAATCCGCCTCTTACAGGCCGAAACTGTGCGTCGAACATCCTCCAAGTTGGCCACATTTCCGGCTATAGCTGTCACAGAACAGTTTTGACTCCGAAGTTCTTTCATGTAAGATAGAGACTCTGGAGAATCGCTTGCTGATCGACTGAGAAAGACTAGGTCTCGGGCTCCCTTCTCTACTAGCCAGGTCGCGACCGTACGTCCCAACCCTCCCAACCCGCCAACAATAAGAATAGAGGCATCGGAGGGGAGAGAAATGAAGGTTGAACTATGGCAGACAGGCAGATCTGAGGGATTTTCGGGCATCCTCATTACAATTTTGCCCATATGGTTGCCTGTCTGCATGAAGCGAAACGCTTGATCGACGTTCACTGCATCGAAAATGGTGAGCGGTCGAATAGGCTTGACCTTGCCTTCTCTCAGGAGGTTCATGCTTTCCTGCATCATGCTATATTCCCGGCAGAATTAGCGGAGGAGCAACATCGTGCCTATAGTTTCCAAACCAGATCACTTACCTTCGGTACTGACCAATGTCTTCATCCATGATCTGTTTTGCATCGACTCCTGTGAACGATCTATTTCCCGCAAAGACCTCCATATCTAACTGGCCGTAACCCAAAATATCACGCTTTCCGAGCTCGATCATTCTTCCAAACTTGGCAACGCACCGCCAAGAAAGGTGCAGAAGCTCGCCCGACAGGGAATTGAGAACAATGTCCACTCCGCGATTTTGGGTTTGCTCCATCACACCCTGCAAAAAAGAGGAATCGCGTGAGCTGAATATATGATCCCGAGGAATGCCAAATGTGTCTATGAGATGCTGAACCTTTTGGTCATTCCCAACCGTGGCAAAGATCTGGCTTGTTGATTAGCTTCTGATATCTCTTGGAAGACTGGACCACGCCAATTTACCTCAGCTCCTAGCATCTGACACACTTGAATGGCTGCGATTCCGACGCCGCCACATGCACAGTGTACCAAGACCGACTGGCCTTGCCGCAGGTTGCCGATGTGGACGAGTGAGAGGAGGACAGTGCTGTAGACACATGCTACGGTGGCCGCATCATCCAATGACATTCCATCGGGAACAGGAAAGCAACGCTCGCCCGCGATTACCTTGCGAGTGCACAGAAGCCCATCGCCGGCGACAATGACGGCATCACCAACACTGAAATCTTTCACCGATGATCCCACTCGGCGGATGACACCGCTGGCTTCAACGCCAAATTCACTCCTATCACCAACGACACCCAGAGCAACCATCATATCCTGAGTTTTTCTGGTCAGCAAGTAGCTTTCTTGTACGTTTTTCAAAGCCACCACTTACTCGAAAGTTCAGGCCCACGTACTTCATATCAACCTCAACCTCATGATCTTGCATTGGACGGAAAGGCTGTTCTAGCCAGGCAAGCGAGTTCAATAGTCCATAGGAGCTAATGTCAAGGACCTTATTGTCGCAGTTCTTAGGTTTCGCGGCGGACAACTCCTGCCTAGCACTGGCCCAGTGGGCTCTGCCAACGTGAAGCTTGCCTTGCTCTAATGCAAATTCGCGGTCTGGATCCAGCAGTAAACAGGCTCTCTGCCGATTAATATGCTCCAGAACGCGAATGACGGCGTTCACTGAAGTATCGTCGAAATTATCCAGCTCGAGGGTGGAAAAGTCGGGCGTCACCTCGTGTCTGATTGTCCGAATAACTCCCAAAGCCAAGCCAAATCGGGCATCATTGCATGACATTTGCGAGCTCTCGGTAATCCAGAGAACATGGGAATCTGTGATGTGGCTAACGAATTGCTGAAACTGAGCAAATCTTTCTGTGGAGATGTTGTCGAAAAACGCACCCTCCAAGTCAATGACGGATATCACATCCATTTCTGGAGGTGGCCGTTGTCCTAAGGCGAACCACGTTACAGAGTGTCCTTTCGTAGCTAGCTCGTCTGCCACCTTTTGAGCCCAGACCGGGGCAGTGGTCAAATAGAGAAACGCAATTTCTCTTAAAGGGGTGATCGGAGGATATGGCCGTGATACAATCGCCGTGCCGACATGGTATAACGATGAGTCGTTCACAGTCAACATGTCAATTTCATCAAAACCGTTATCTTGGACCTCAGTCTTCCATTGCTCGGAGGAAATTGAAGGCTTGCTGCAGTTCATATTTTGCTGTGCCCACCACTCTGGGAAAACACCCATAACAAACGTTACCAGCGGGTTGGTCGAGAAGGTTCCTTGGTAAAATAGCCGTCCGCCAGGTGCAAGTAGTGTATATAGATTTTTCAATGAGGGGGACATAGGCATGTCTGCATCAAATGCCTCGGAAGCGACGATCAAGTCATAGCTCTCGGGCTCCAAGCCCTGTTCAATGGGATCGCGAGCGATCTCAAGCAGCATGTAATCGATATCGGGAGCCCATGTGAGTTTCCCTTTTGCATTGGAGATGCATTCTTCCGACTTGTCGGTGACTGTGTACCTCGAATACATGGGAGTACCGTCCTTTGACGTCAGACCACACAGAGCTTGGATAGCTGCAAATCCATTGCCTACCCCAACCGCAAGCACTCGTATCATCGGGTTAGAATGACCAAGAAGAGAGAAAAAGTCTCTACAGCCTGCGTTGGCTGCCAGTGACTGGTACAAACATAACAGGCTTTCTTTTTCATCACCCACATCTTCTGAGGTAATGTTTCCTTCAACAAGATCGACTGAAAGCGCTGCAACCTTTCGTGCTAGGCTCAACACGGCAGACAGTTCAGGGGTATCCCTCTCCATTTCCTTGATGGCCTCAAGTAGATGATCATCTTGACAAAGAGCGTTCTTGCAGTTATCAACATTCTCCCTTGAGTCCGCCTGCAAACAGATCCATCGTTGATATTCTTCCAAGTGAGGATTGTTTGGCTGCAGTGACCGAATATTTGCCGCAGTCTCCATGATTATGGATCTCAAGACCACTTCCATGAGCTGTGATGAGCGGCCGTTCAACAAACGAGGCAGCAATTCCTCGCTTAATGAGATCAGATCGATGTGTGGTTTCCAGTCCAAGCTGGCAATCATGTAATCACTTCCCTCTGCTCCATCTGACTCTTCAACTGCAAAAAGCATTCCATTTTCCATTGAGAGGATTACCTTGTCATCTGATACCATTGTTGCATTGCCAACGATCGAGTCGCTGGCAGGATTGCAGGACGCATCGATGTGCATTGTGCCTTGGCCCGGGCCGATGTATATGCTTTCAATCGCCACGGGCATGCAAAGCTTTGTCAAATAACGAGACACTCCGCGTGTCATTGCAACGCCAAGCATCTGAAGATTTTGGTCGATTATTATCGGATGGAGAGCATATGTACTGGATTTTCCTGCATCCTTCTCATTGCTATATTGGACACGGGCACCTGCCTGGGGGCTGCAGGGATTGGCAGAAATATTCTCCAGTCTTCGGAACTCAGGGCCAAAGTTAAGGCCGTGTTTTTTCATCGTCTCGTACCAAGCGTTTGAAGAGACCATCCGCGGATAGGAAATGCATTTGTGAGGTTGGTGCTGCTTCACCGCGCCCGCTCTGATTTTTCCACTGCAGTGTTTTTTCCATGACCCGCTCTGGTATGCCGTGATGGTAAAATCGTACCAGGCAGAATCGGCAGTAACAGTAAGCTTTGCCGGACGAAGGCTGGTCACTAGCTCTGCAGCTTCAGAATCTTGCAGCAGGAGGGGTGTCTTTAACGTCAGGTTATGAATAGTGTATTCGTCCGATCCCGTCGTCTGTCGAATTGCCTCGCCGGCCATGGCGATGTACCCGGCGCAGGGGAAAACGAGCTCTTTTCCGATCATGTGATCCCATAGCCAGGGCACGTGTCCCACGAAGAGAACCCTCCTCCACGAAGGCTCTATATCTGTGGATTCCAGAGACCGAGGACCTAAAAGCTCATGGTGAGGCTCGTTAGGGGCTCTCCATTCTCGGACCAGCCTAGTTACGCTGAAAGAACTTTCCTCGTGTAACCAAGAGTAAGCCGGAAGATCAGTCAGAACTGAATTGCCTGTTGTGCCGTTGATCACTGATAGGTCAACAGACGCGCCGTTTGTATGAAGTCGCCCAGCAGTAGTGAGAAGAGCCTTCCATTGCGGCTGGCCACGAACAAGAGTTGGAAAATACTTTGAAGCCTGATCATCGTCGTGTTTCCGCAGGATCTGACGCAATGGGCTTAAAAGAGTTGAGTGGGGCCCGATCTCGACAAAAATCGTTGGCGAGTGTGTATCTCGAAGCAATCGTTGGACGGCTCCGTTGAACAACACCGTGGATTGCAGATTCTCTCGCCAATATTCTGCATTCAGGATCAATGGATCAGATATGACGCCTTCTGTCACGGTTGAATAGAGTGGTATCATGGCGCCATTATGAGACATGAATGGTATCATCAACTTCTCGTAAATTGTCCCCGCATCCTTCATGCTCTCTATCGAAATGTCAGACGCATGCTTCTCAAGCGGAAGAAGGGGACCACACTACCGGAATGATATGCAACAGAGACCTTGAGTCGTTTCAAAAATGTATCCGGATCATCTACCTGAATCTGATTCAGGCCCTGGTCCAGCGCATCCACATTCCCAGAGAGTGTTACGCTCTGTGGACTGTTGTCACACGCCACGGTCAGACCACTAAGCAAGTACTTTCGAACTTTCTCAATGGCGAGGCCAACCGCGGCCATGCCACCGGGCTTCACAGTCGACTCACTGATGGCCTTGCCTCCGGAAGTAGGATATGGCAATGGCCACTCTAGCATTGATTGCACCAGAGGCATAGGCTGCCGCAATTTCACCACTAGAATGTCCAATGACTGAAGCCGGTCGAATGCCCCATTCTGCGAGAAGGTCGACCAGTGCAATTTGGACTGCTGTTGAGAGCGGCTGTGCAAATTCGGGGTTCTGGATCCTGCTTGATTCATCGTCTTTCAAGAGCTCTTCTGGAGTCGCCGTTAAGTCATTATCTGAGCTTGTCTTTGGGATGGTATATTGGGAGTTACCTTCTAAGTTCCAGGAAGGAGGATTCGTGAATCTAGACAACTCGTGATCCAGGGCTTTAATACTGCTCAGAAAGCGAGTAGATGCCGACATCAACTCCTTCCCCATACCCGCCCATTGTGCACCTTGGCCAGTGAAGACAAAGGTGATACTGGACGGTACGTCACGCGCCCTTTCAAAGTCCGACAACTCGCCATCTTGGTCCATAATCGCGAACGCTCGATGCGCCAGATGCTCCCTTCTAGTGCCCAACGTATATGCCAGGTCATTCACTGAACATGGAATCCGCGCAGTGTATTGCGTCAACTCACCAATGGCCTTTTGCAAAGATTTTGTGCTCTTGGCAGACAGGACCAAGACTCGAGCGCCTGTTGGAGGGGATGCTTGCTCCGTGTTGGTTTGGGACATTGACGAAAAAGACTCCAAGATTACCTGAATAAAGTGAGTAAGCATAACGGCAATTATTCAATACGCCCGCGACAGGAGACTCGCACATGCGCATTCGTTCCGCCTATCCCAAAGGAATTCACGCTGACTCGTTCACATCGATCCTCAGGCCAAGGGGTTGGCTCTAGTGGCACTTTTAGGCCTGCCTCCTGAAACGGAACTTTCAAGTAAAACTTTCAGTGAGTAGTAGTTATACGAGGTCAGTCAGTAGAATCAACTTACTGTTTGGATTTGGGCTTGAGAAGTGCACATTTGGGGGAATTATCCTCTTCTCTAGGGCGAGGGCAGACTTGATGATGCTAGTTAATCCTGACGCACCCTCTGAGTGTCCAACATTTGGTTTCACCTAGCACATCCTTAGCAAATTGGCAGATAAGCAACATCTGGATCGACAAACCGCCCCAATATGGATACCGTCTGGGAATACTTTAGCAACAACCGATGTTTCTGCCGTATCGCCAGCAATGGTTCCAGTTCCATGACATTCAAAAAAGCCTGTCTTGGATATATCCTCAATTCCAGCCTTTCGGTATGCACGGCGAATAAGGCGCTCTTGGGCCTCTGAGCCGGGCGTTGTGATACTTGGTGTCTTTCCATCACAGTTGACAGCGGTGGATCGAATCACGGCGCGGATAGGGTCACCCTGTCGCAGAGCTTCCGATAAAGGCTTAATGTAGATAGCGTTGATCGCTTCTCCTCTACCATAGCCATCAGCGGTGGCATCAAATGTCTTACATCTTCCATCGGGTGATAAAATCATGTTGTCTGAAATAGACATGGTCATGGTGGGCGTCAAGATAATGTTCGATCCAGCGACAATGGCGGAGGCACATTCACCACTATACAATGCCTGACAGGCCTCATGTAACGCGACCATAGACGACGAGCAAGCCGTTCGATATGTGATGCTGCCGGTTATATGAGAATCCAGATCATTTATGGTGTCTTAATCGGTATCGCTCACCTGGGTCCTCGTAAATCATATTCATACGACACGCGATTGGAAAGCGCAAAGTCTCCGGCGCTTACGACGTGAAATCGATCAATGTGCTGCGTATCCTTGCTGGACATCTCCAACCAATCTTCACCAAAAACACCAACATAGCATCCGATGCTCTCTCCACGCCAGTTTGTCTGGCCGCCAGACTCCATACACTCCCATACAACCTCCAGAAGGAGTCTCTGCTGTGGGTCCAGTTTTGCTGCTTCAGTCTTGCTCATGGAAAAGAACGACCGGTCGATGTGGCCGATATCTTCCTCCAAGAAATACCCATGCCGAGTTTTGACTGTGCCCGGTCGAATGGCATCGTAAAATGCATCCGCGTCGTATCTGGTTTCTGGAACCTTGCAGTGTCCATCCTTTTTGTTGATCAACATCTCCCAGAACTTTTCCACCGTGTTTACCCCTCCGGGGAGTCGCACAGCCATGCTAACGATTGCAACCGGAAATGGGACCTCCTGAGCGCTCACTTGCCCGCATGCATTTTGGAACGATTCACTTGACGATGCATGAATTCTTGCGGCTGCAGAATCGATAGAAACTTTTGGCCGTGCTGATACATCGGGAACGGGGTAAGGTGGAATAGGCGGCATCTCGGACAATTTTCAGTCAGGCTATAGGTTGACCGGGACGGGGATTCAAACAGTATGGAAGTAGAGTCATGATAAAAAAAAGGATTTAAAGGGAATATCTAGAATTAAAATATGCATCGGATAATTGGACCAGCAAAAACATCGCTTGACACACATCTAAACGGTCCTCAACGGGCAGTCATCTTCTCCAGCCAACATCACATCGGCCCACAATGGGTGATGTGTAATTTTTTAGGATAGTCCAAGAATCTGCAATTATTGACACGTCTTCATCCAAGGTTTCGTGGGAATGGAAATCATCCAGGGCTAGCTTTGACAGCTTGTCAAGTGGGCCGTGGGTTTAGAACAGCCAGGTTGAGCAATCAGGTTCTATTGGCAAGATAGACACATCTTTAAATTTTTCACTGTGGCTCTAGAGCATCTATGCTCGGAAGATCTTCAGTCGTCATGCAGGGGGAAAGCCCCTTGCATGTGGCACCCCTAGTTCGATAGCAGCTGTATTTCCCGCATCAATAAATCTGCTGCTCATCTGAGTTGCAGAGCGCTAGGCTTGGAAAGGTCTAGGCTCGCCTTAATTTCCTGTGATAGCTAGGTATATCTAGGATGGCCGGCTCAAGTATAGGGCCAAACTAGTTCGCTGCTGTCAATGGTCCAGCGACAGACTAGCGAATCCTAAGACCTGCCACTGCTGCAATAACAAGCCGCCTAAATCCTAAATCCTCCTGCCAAAAACAAAAGTCTCTCCTTTTTGTAAATATTGGCATGTTAGATTTTTAGTACCGTAGTATATAACAGTCTATTGAATTGACTTTTCCGTAAGACTCATCCCCTTATTACTTCTCAATTGCTCAATCCGATTTCCCATCATCATCTCCACGATGTGTCTACTGAGCACTTTGGTCACTCTCGCGTCTCCGTTTTTAGCGGTCTCCGCTGCATTCTCAGTGCAGGCAAACAATGTCCTTACCAGCATCTCTGCTATCTCCGAGATCGTGCAAGCGAATGAAGATGCCATAACGCGCTATCAGGGCGGCACAATGGCCGCTATCCTTATGGGGCGTAAAGCTACGATCCTTGGCATGCTCTGAGAGAGGCTCATGCCAATCTCACTGACACTAAATTCTCTCCGAAGGAATCTGAAGAATTGTCCGCCAATTTACCTCCCTGAACCAAGCTTTTATGAATTTGTTGGATTTATATAAAGAAAAGGCTTATGCTCTCTAAAATCTAAATACAGTTTACAAGTGATCTAATCTTCAATCTTGACTAGGCTTCCCTGCTAAATCAGGCTGTTGTAAGCTTTCTTGTTCGGATTATTATGCAGGCCTTGTTCCGAGAGGCAGATGACTATTCTGCCGCGCTTCAACTGCTGATGCCTGATAAATGCATCGCTCCCATGAAGCAGATAACTATTGATCATAAAGCTGCCTGGAATGAGGCGTTCGAAGCGTATGATCCTACGCGCAACTCAGAGCCAACCCAGCAATGGAGAACAGCGTTGTCTGTATTTTCGCCAGCTCTGTCCTATCTTATTGGAGAAAATGTAATCTCCGGATTTCTACCTGAAGCGAAACAGATCCTGTGGAGTGCGAAGATTAACTTCTATCCTCAGCCGGCTTGGCTTACGCTTGTGTGTGTCACTGTGTGTGTGTGTGTGTGTGTGTGTGTGCTATACTTGTCATGATGGAATATGTCGAAAACTGCAAAGCTCGAGGTCGGACATGAAAGACGGGCGAAAAGGGATATCGGCCATTAGCTTTTTGATTTAATCAAGACGGCATCCAGCATCCAGCATCTATGAAGATAACTCACGTATAATATGAACTGCTGTCTAGCTGTATTTGCTGTCTATCTCCCCTTATTAAGATAGGGATGATGATGAAAATGAGTTTCGCGGCATTTATAGCGCATTTAAAACTCACAAAAAAAGATGATAAGATCCTTTATGAGGAGTTCGATGCCGCTCTCCCGGCCTTTACAGGACTTAGGAGTATATATTCTAGCAAAATGAAAGGTATGTACGGGTTCAAATTGAGAGGCAAACACGTCGGGCGGACAGAAATCATCGACAGCGTTCAAAGATAAGATTACAAGAAGGATATTGATTGTATAAACCCGTTAGTTATGGCTTCAGACGTGATGAACCATTGTTGCCGCGAAGTTACAAAGAGAGGGGTGAGTATATTCTCCATCCAACAAGGCAGATATACAGGCAGAAATAGGAACCATTCCTTTTTGGGAAGTGTTATGTTTGGTCTGTTTGCATACATAATCACATGACCAGCCTCGTCGCATTTTCGACCGCCTGATGAAGCTCTCGTTGTCGCGTCAACTTCACCTACCCAGCTCTCGCTTGCTGCCTGATCAGACTCTGGTGAACCAATTTTGATCTTCGCCCTTTAACGAACGCTTATTTAATTGTGCGCTCAACTGATTGCCTCGCGCCAAACCGATTTGCGAAGCGCTTTTGTTCGGGTGGCGCAACGAACCGTCTATCTTACGTTTCTCGAAGTCTGTCACTTGAATCTATCGCCTCTCACAACTCCCTATCCAAAATGCTCCCAACAATTACTCAAGACTCACCGCTTGCGGCTGCGGTCGCCAACGTTGTTCGCCCAAAACTGGTGGAAATGGGCTGGAGCACGGACGACGGCCAGGAGTCTGCTCTCATTGAATACATTGTCCTGATGCTTGTTAACGGCAAGACTCAAGAACAACTAGCAACTGAGCTGTCTAACGATTTCCTGGGTCTGGAGGAAGGTGATACACAAGCACTTGAGTTTTCCAGGTGGCTTTTTGGACAAGTTGAGATCCTCGACCACCAAATGAATGGAGGTGCAGCGGCAGCGAACGACTCTTCCACCCAGCAAGTGCCGTCTGCTATCGGCCAGGATTTCGCTCAGCAAGGGAACGGACTTGATGCAGAGATGGGCGATGCGGTTGATTCTATGTGAGTTTGCCATTCCTTTTTAAGGGTGATTTTTGTTCACTGACCATTGTCTTTGATAGCCCCACTGGACCCAAGGCGATGCGCAACGGCCGACAGGGTGGCCGAGGACGAATGCTGAACCATATCAACCGCAACATGGACCGCGCAGGCGATGGAGCACTTCATCGTGTCCGCGGACAACAAGGAAATGCGCGCATCGGAGGCCAGGGCCAAACCCAAATGAAGGGTGGCCGAGGTCGTGGAGGTCGACACATGGGTGGAACGGGAATGTACGGCAACATGAATGCGGGCATGCAGATGAGCCCCGAGAATCAAATGCAGATTATGTCCATGCTGGAAGAGCAGGCACGGATGATGTCTCAACTCATGCCTGGCTTCGTTCCTCCAGCCGTCAACCCGGCCTTCCAGAATGGTGGCCAGCAGGGCCGTTCACTTTTCGACCGTGTCGAGCACCAGGGCCGACGTGGTGGACGTTTCCAGGGGCGCGGAGGATCCCAACAGCGAAATAAGGGTGGGGACGCCGCTGATGTCGACATGGACACCGGAATGGACGGCGAGCAGGATGAAAGCAATACCGACAGCATTTGCCGCTTCAACCTCCGCTGCACTCGCAAAGACTGCCCATTTGCCCACCAGTCTCCCGTGGCCCCTGAAGGTACATCTATCGATGTAGCAGATGTCTGTTCATTCGGTGCCGCTTGCAAGAATCGGAAGTGCACTGGTCGCCACCCGTCTCCAGCCGTCAAGTCTGCCCACCAAGCCGAAGAGATGTGCAGGTTCTTCCCGAACTGCACTAATCTACACTGTCACTTCAAGCATCCCAGTATGCCACTCTGCCGTAATGGCGCCGACTGCACGACTGAGGGTTGCAAATTTACCCATGTTCAAATCGCCTGCAAATTCAACCCCTGCATGAACCCCAGCTGCACATACAAGCACGCTGAAGGTCAGCGCGGATCTTTCGGCGATAAGGTCTGGACCTCCAAACAAACAAGCGAGCGCAAGTTCGTTGAGGATGCAGACGCGACGGAGGAACTCATCAAGCCTGAGACGGCGGACGGTTCGCAAAGCCAGGAGCTTACCGCGTGACTACGCCTGAATTGATGGGTGTCAAAACGATCTAACTGCGAGAGAGAGAGAGAGAGTGCTCCTCGATGGAGTAATATTGTACACAATCTGATCCGTGATGATGAATGGTGATTAGGAAGGGCGTTCATACTTTATGCATTTGCTTGTTTGAGCAGGACGTTGGGGTCCTAATTTCTGCCTGTACATAGATATCCCCTGATATTCATGAAAAGAAGGACGCGAGCGCAAAAAATTTCGCTTCGCACGACATTTCCAGATCTTTTTTCATGAATTTTTGTGAAGACCGTAGAACCGTATGACATCTAAGGTGCCCAGCGGATGCCGGGGGTTGGAGTGGCTTAAGTAAGTCGTGGCGCGGACTCCCCCGGGACTTTTGAGATCGCCGCATTTCCACAACACCTTGCAGCCCCATTGTCTTTCTGTTGAGATGAGGCTACTGTGCGCCTCTAATGGACTTCGATCCACTCACAGGGCGTTAGTTTCCGCAACCCGGTACCAACAACGCGCCTACAATGCCGCCGTGATCGGCGCCGGCATCACTGGCCTAACGGCCGCCTGGCAGCTAGCTCAAGACCCCACATGCTCCAAGGTCACGCTGTATGAGAAGTCAGCACGCCTGGGTGGTTGGCTCGAGTCTGAGACGATTCCAGTCGACGGTGGAGATGTGGTCTTCGAGTATGGCCCGCGCACCTTAAGAAGTGCCATGCCGGCATCGCTGCCGCTGCTCTATTTGGTACTTGTGCTCCGGGGGCCGTCCTACCTCGCGAATTGGAAGTGCTGATATTGTCCCTGTCTATAAGGTCTCAAGCCTAGGGCTATTCAACGAACTTATCACTACCTCCAGGCGAAGCCCCGCGGCGTTGAATCGTTACATCTACTACCCGGATCACCTAGTCCGGCTGCCCACGCCAGACCCAGGTCTCTCAATCACCGAAAATATCCAGAATATTTACAAGGCCGTTATGAATGAACCACTATTTGAAGGATTGGTGCCAGGTATCCTCCTTGAGCATTCCAAACCCGCGCGACCGCCAGAGCTATGGGGTGGGGATGAGTCCGTCGCTCAATTCATTTCTCGGCGATTCAATCACAAAGTTGCGGACAATCTGGTTTCAGCAGTGATGCACGGCATCTATGCTGGTGACATTGATCGATTGAGTGCGCAAATGCTCTTGGGTGGAATCCGCAATCTTGAAGATGGCGGCGTCCTCTACAGTCTACTGATGAACTCAATGATGGGCAAGAAGACAAGGCTAATGGACGATTTCCTGGCCGTGGACGCAATCTCCAAAACACCGGAATCTTTAGATCGCTCCGAGGATATTTTCAATGTGGTCAAGAAGGCTAGCACCTTTACCTTCAAGCGAGGAACACAGCAGCTTGTCGAGAGCTTAGTTGACGCGTTGAACACATCTAACAAAGTCGATATCATTATCAACGCAAATATCAAATCCATGGATCGGCCGGAGAATCCTGGCCACAAAATAAAGGTAAATTTTAACCACCACTCCCTTATATCAAGCTAACCATAGCTATAATTAATCTAGATCGATTCCGAAGCAAATGGCGTCCAATCCTACGACAATGTCATCGCTGCGGTTCCTGCGCCGGCTTTGGCCCATATTATGGACCCTACGGCCCGCTTCACCATGGAAGAAGTTGTGGATCAAGTGGGCAGGACTTACTACCTCGACGTGCAGAATCACTCCAAGCCCGTCACAGACACTCTTGCGAGTCTTCAGCTGCATAGCAGCGCGTCAACCGTAATGGTCGTCAATTTGTATTACCAGAATCCCAACCTTCTGCCCGTCGAGGGCTTTGGATACTTAATCCCGCGCTCTATCCCATTCGAGCAAAATCCTGAATGTGGTCTGGGCGTTATCTTTGCCTCAACATCCAGCGTTGGCCAGGCTGCCATGGCTCCATATGAAACCGTGTCGCAAGATTCGGCCCCTGGCACGAAGATCACGATCATGTTCGGTGGCCATTACTGGGACGGGTGGAAAAAGGAGGATTATCCAGACCACAAAACCGCCGTGCGCATGGCTCAAACCATGCTGGAGAGACATATCGGCATCACAGATACCCCGGCAGTCGCCCGGAGCCGTTTGCAAGAAAACGCTATTCCGCAGTACAGACCGGACCACCTCACAAACATGTACAAGCTGTCATTAGCCGCCAAGGAGGAATACCACGGCCGGCTTGTCCTTGCTGGCAACTCGTATAATGGTGTCGGCGTGGGCGACTGTGTCCGACAGGGGATTCTCGCTGCTACTTATGGCGTTGGTCGACATGAGCTCCAAGCTGGTCCTGGTGATTGGTGCCCCTGGAAGGACTGGGATTATCGGAGATGGGACTTAAGAGGTGGCATTCCTACTGCGCCCGTGCGGCTGTTCGAGTCCAGTGTTTGAACTAGTCACGATCATTCATCCTTCACCCAACCTTCGCCTTGGATGCCCGGTTCTCTTTCATGATCAGTTTTTTCTCTAGCGGGGTCAGGATTTACTTGGTCATATTGTACATTAAAAATGATTGTAACATAAGTGTGCATTGAAATCTAGACGCTAAATGTAGAACCTCAGGGATAAGAGACGCATACTCCGCACGTCGGATTTTCAAGGCACGGTTTGTCTAAGAAAATCCACGGCATGATACCAACAAAGATCCTTTTCTTCCATCTCTAACGATTTAATGCAAAGATCGAGCTGAGCGACATTGTCTGCTTTTTAAGCAAGCAATGTGGGTCATGCGTGGAGGCATTGCCTTTTGTCGTATGGTGACCGTGGGTTAAGGCTGACAAAACTGCATGGCACATCATAGTGCAGGCATCTTGGTAGGATTGAGTGGCGGGATCACCATAGATAGGTGTGGGATGGGATGGCGCCGCCAACCTGCTGGCGGTCCATCGAGGTGTTCTTGTTTGACAGCATCTTTATTGATTGAGGGATGGTTGGCTTGCGCAACATATTCTCGTGTTGGCAAAAATCATAGACGATAGATAATTCAGGCCTTCTCCTGACTAGCTTCTTCCTTCTTGTCACCGTTAGAGTCAAATCCGAGCGACTCCAATTGGCGGACCAGCTCGGGGATTTTGATGAGCTTTTCGAGCTGCTCGGGTAGCAGGACCTCGCCCTCATTCCTCTTGTCGCGCAAGTCCCGGGCCTGTCTCAATTTCTTCTTGAGGTTGCGAGCCTTCTTTTCCTTCTCGGCTTCGAGATCGACATGGTCCTCGCCGAGCTGCTCATTCTTCTGTGTGGCCGGAGTGCGCCAGTTGTCGGAGTCAGCTCCCTTTTTCTCAGAAGTGGCCTCGGAGCCCTCGGCCTCCTTGGCCTTGCGCTTAGCCTCCCTGCGCTTAGCGTTCTTGTTGCTGCTGGCTGTGCTGGCCGCCTGAGCGGACTTGTCGTCTTCGCTGCTCATGGGTTCCGCACCCGGCACCCCACCTTTTCCACGGGTTTTCCACGCTGCGGCCGCACGGTTCTTGTAGAGCTCGACATCCTCTGGGGGTTTATATCCCGGTCGCACGCGGATTTCTCGACGCTTGGAGCCGTCAGCACGAAGTGAAGAAGGAATGTAGCGTTCGCCGGTCGTGGCGTCGGTCGTAATGCCGGCAGAGGAGATGTTGGAGGACATGGTGATTGATGGACGATCGAGGGTGAGGAAGGGTAGAGCGAGGATTTTAGAAATTATACAGTCGCGCGACGGACAGGCTCGAGACACGAGCCCCCGTCGAAACAACCAAAACCGAAGTCGGCAGGAGCGAACAAGTGCAATTGCACAGTAAAATACTTGCGGGAGGTAGTTCACGAGTGATGGGCAAATGGGAGGGAGGCCCGGAGTGTTGCGGGCGGCCAATCAGCGAGCCGGGAATTCCCGTGCTTTTCGTCCTCGCGAACTTCGACCTTCCACTTCCAACCTCGTCTCGTTCTGCCTCTTGTCCTCGACTCAACCTCCCACTCCTCCGTCACAATGGCCGGCGTATGTCCTTCTTCCCCTGCCGAAAGGCGCTCTGCGCTTTGCGCTCCGCAAATTGAGGTTCCTGACTGACTTCGTTCGCATCACAGCTCTCCAACGTTATCTACCAGCACGTCTTCCCACCCCGATCTGACGGTCACAATTGCTCGCCTAGAGTCTAACCGTGGACCTTTTTGCCGATTTTAGGTCCATCATCCGCAGGAATGCTGTCTTCCTGACCACCATCTTCGCCGGTGCCTTCGCTTTCGAGCTGTGCGTTACATTCAGATCGCCTCTTCTTGTTGTATAAAAGCCCTGTCCTAATCTCTTGAAATAGTACCTTCGACACCGTCTCCAACAAGGTCTGGGACACCTGGAACGCTGGCGTATGTTGTCTTGATCCTATCCCTCTCCCCCGTCTCCCGAATCGCACCGGTGAACGCTCGGTCACGAATCCAAGCGGAGCTCTTGCTAACTGCTCTCCTTCACTTACAGCGTCAATGGAAGGACATTAAGCCCCGCTACCTGGTTCAGGAGGAGGAGGAGGAGTAAAGGAGCCGGAGAGCTCTCGGTTGCGACGGTATAGATCTACCGTGATTAAGGGGGCTTAGTGATGGAAAAGCGGAGGATAGGACTCGCTATCACCCTGTTATTTTACTCCATCCAGCTGCGGGATTGTACGCGATAGAATTCGGAAATCTGTATTTGACACGATCATTAATTTTCCCTTGTTGACGTGAAGGTGGTGGTGGATGACGATGATGCCGGAGCCTGGATCGCAGTGGCGTTTCAGCGAGACCGCTCCGCCGATGTCATAGCGAAAAATGCTCGATCGTCGACATCGGCAACTCCTTCTCCTTAGAATTGTACCTTCCTGTCCTCTCTTCTTCATTCTAGACCCCTTAAATTGATCTTATCTCTTTCATCTGTCAGTCTATATCCGTGACGTGCTTGACCTGGCCCGATCTGCCTGTATCGACCTCATCGATCCACAACTCGCCTGTCTCTCCTCCCCCCACTACGGTCTTCTGTTAATAAGAAGTGAACGCAATATCTCAACAACTCAACCCACGCTGGGATTTGAAGCTGATCGAGATCGCCGAACTCTCTTTCCCGACTGCATACCTCTCACGGATTTGATACGCTTGCTCCTCCTGATTCTGACTACCTCGAACTCCGTTCAACGCGCCAACGGGCTCTCCGTCCCTCACACGCTTGCGATAGCCGAGCGGCACCCTGTCCTCTGCCTGCGACCGACGCTCAAGCCATGCACATGCTCGCGGAATGTGAGAGAATCCTCGGCGATGGACTTTTACGATTGCCTTCGCAGCACAACTACCGCTATGGGCCGCAGGCGGAACGGGACTTGCTAGAGCTTCTCTTCCGGTCGCTTGTGGGGCATAACGAGGGGCTCATACAGCACCTGTTCCCGGATGGCGCGCCCACAGGATCATGGAAACTGGCCGAAGCTCAAGGTGCTCGCGAAGGAGCCGAGTATAGCGAGGCGGCGCGAGGCAAGCGATGCGGGCACATATTCCGTGCGGGAGAGGCGACCTACCGCTGCGTAACCTGTGCCGCTGATGATACATGTGTTCTGTGCAGCCGGTGCTTCGACTCGTCGGATCACACGGGGCATCAGTATCAGATTTCGCTGTCGTCCGGTAACTGTGGTTGCTGCGACTGCGGGGATGATGAGGCATGGCGACTCCCGCTTTTCTGCGCGATACACACCGATAGCGGCAATGTGAAGGGCAAAGAACGGGCGGAGCGCGAGCTCCCAGCGGAGTTGGTAGCTACGATTCGATTGACCATCTCCCGTGTTCTGGACTACTTCTGTGATGTCATTTCCTGCTCGCCGGAGAACTTGCGGCTGGCCAAAACTATTGAAGGCATTAAACAAGACGAGGAAGCGTCTCGATTGCGCCCAGATTGGTATGGTGCGGGTGACCAGGAGGAAGAAGAGCCCGAGTTCGCTCTTATGCTGTGGAATGACGAAAAGCATACCATTCGCGATGTGGCTCATCAAGTCACACGTGCCTGTCGCGAGCGAGACAGCTTCGGTGTTGCACGAGCGCATGAAACCAACGACATTGGTCGAAGTGTGATCAAATATTCAAAGGATCTGCAACGGCTGCTGGCAGTGTCTAAAATCATCGAGGAGATCAAGGTTACAGTCTCGGTGCGGTCTGCTCGCGACACATTCCGTGAGCAAATGTGCGGCGCGATAGTCGAATGGCTGGCAGACATTGCTGGTTGCAGTATTCTGGAGGACAACGAAATCTTCCGCCAGATCATTTGTGAAGAGCTGCTCAGCCCATGGCAGAAGGGAAGCGGCGCTTATAACGCGGATATCGGTATGAGAGGCATTGATGACCACCAAGAGACGGAGAACCAACTTTCCGGTCGCACTATCATGCTCACTCTGCCTCCGCACGGTCAGATAGTCCTCGCGACCGCTGACGAGGACGAGGACGAAGACGTGGACGACGGCAATGAGCAGGATGATGATGAAGACTACGTCGAAGCGCACGATGATGCGGATGACGAAGATGATGATATGGAACTGGAACTCGCCCGGCTTCAAGCTGAAGCTGACGGAGACGACGACGAAGTAATGGACTTGGGCAACGACGAAGAACTTGCACTAGCTGAGCGCATTTTGGCCGGACTAACTCGCGCACATCCCATAGCTCCTCGGCCAGCGCCACAAAATACGGAGGAACAGCCTGCTCACCATGATCAGTCCGATATGGCGTCGTCTCGTGAGGCTGACAGCCAGCCATCCGCATCCAACAGTTATGTCTCTATCCCGAAGACCCCGTCGGGTGTGATCCGACCGCCACCGGCCAGAACCGAGGGCCATTGGCAAGTGCGGCCTCCCATACCCGCCGCTGGTGAAACGGTCGCGCCTTATGAAGACTTGTGGCAGCGTACCCGCCTAGACTGGCTGGTACTCTTTGACTTGAGGCTTTGGAAGAAGACTCGCACGGATCTGCGGGATCTTTATATCAGCACTGTGGTCAATGTACCTCAATTCAAGCGTATTATGGGTCTGCGGCTCTCCGCGTTGTATACCGCTCTGGCTCAACTATATCTGATTGCCGACCGAGAACCAGACCACTCAATTGTCAACCTCTCACTCCAACTTCTGACAACGCCTTCCATTACTGAAGAGATCGTTCTTCGGGGAAATTTCCTCACCAAGGTGATGGCTATCCTCTATACATTCTTGACGACAAGGCAGGTCGGCGAACCTCAAGCTGTCAACCCGAATGCCACACTAGCGTTTGATGCCGGTTCGGTGACAAACCGGCGTCTTTACCATTTCTTCCTTGATCTGCGATACCTCCTCCAGTCCGAATATGTACAACATCGCGTACGGACTGAAGAACAGTATTTGCCCCAATTCCTAGACCTCGTGAAGCTTTCGCAGGGTATTTGTCCCAACGTGCGCGCGGTTGGTGAGCACGTTGAATACGAGACAGATGCTTGGATCAGTGCATCGATCCTTATGCGAGAAATCAACCGTCTTTGTCGACAATTCTGCGAATCCTTCCGGAATCCGGAGATTGACAATGGCCAGAACCTGTTGCGGGCAATCAAGACCACCACCATCACCGCAATCATTCATTCAGCAGGCGTGGAGCGAAAGCGTTTCGATCAGGCAGAGATCAGGGAGGAAGTTAAATTCAAGACGCTTCCTCCATTTGATTTCGAAGTTGGTTCCTCTGGGCAGATTCCATGCCACCGTGTGGTTGAGTTTGTTGTTGAGAAGGGATCAATCAGTTTTCACCATGCACTTCACTATACCTTGTCATGGCTGATCGAATGCGGTCGTGGAGTGAGCAGCGAAGTCATGCGGACTGTCCTCTTCGAAGCCGCTGAGAGTGCTCGTGAAGAGCTTCACGCTACTAAGGTCGCCAACAATAAGCAGATTGACGACAACCTTCTCGCTCTTGGTCCAGAAGATCTGCTATTGACCATGTTTGATTACCCTCTGAGAGTCTGTGCCTGGCTTGCTCAGATGAAGGCTGGCATGTGGGTTCGCAATGGTCTAAGCCTTCGCCACCAGATGTCACAGTACCGCGGTGTGTCCTCCCGGGACTTTGCCTACTACCGTGACATATTCCTTTTGCAGACAGCCTTGGTGACCTGTGATCCCAGCAGAGTCCTTGCATCTATTGCTCATCGATTCGGCATGGTTGATTGGATGTCTCGAAACTACATGCCTCGTACTGGCTACGAGGATTCTCAGATTGTCGATGTTGCCGAGGAATTCGTCCACCTTCTGGTCATTTTGCTGACGGATCGCACCTCCTTGACCGCTATCGATGACAGCACCCACCTTACCAAGGAAAACATAAGCCGTGATATTGCCCATGTCCTGTGTTTCAAGCCGCTATCTTTCTCCGACCTGTCCACCCGTCTGAGTGACAAGCTGCTTGACTCGGATATGTTCCAAGATGTGCTTGAAGAAGTCGCAAACTTCCGTCCACCGGAGGGCCTAAGCGACTCCGGAACATTTGAGCTGAAGTCTGAGTATCTTGACCTTGTGGATCCGTATAGCGCACACTACACCAAGAACCAACGAGATGAGGCAGAAAACATCTACAAGGAATGGATGGCCAAGAAGACGGGCAAGAAGGCATCTGACATTGTCTTTGAACCGAAGCTTCGATCCATTAGCTCTGGTGTTTTCTCTGATCTGCCACGTTTCACGGGAACTATGCTTTTCTCGCAACTTGTCCACCAATGCCTGGAGTACGTCATCTCGTTCAAGGAATGCACTCCTGCCATCCCGCCAACGCGTGTGGAGACTTTCCTTCAAGTCATTCTGCACCTCGTCCTCGCTGCAGTGCTGGAAGACAACTCTGAAGATGGCAACATGGAGATGGAGCAAAGCCAGTCATTCAACTTGCATGCCTTGTCAAAGGCTAGAGAGATCAAAGCGGGCAACTTGACCATTGTTGGTCTCCTGGAAAGGATCTCCATAACTAACGAGTTTTCTTCATGCGGTCCTAAGATACGTCACATACTCAAGCGGCTGTGGCAGAAGCGCCCCCAGACCTACACTTCGGCAACTGCTTCCCTCAGGTTCCCGTTCGATCGTATTGATACAAATTCACCCGCAATCGACCTGGACAATGAGAAGGAGATTAAGAAGAAGCAAGCATTAGAGAGACAAGCACGGGTGATGGCTCAGTTCCAGCAGCAACAACAAAACTTCCTGAACAGCCAGGGAGATATTGACTGGGGCGAGGAGGACTTCAGCGATCTCGACTCGGAGACTGAAGCTGCCCCTGAGACCAAGCTCTGGAAGTATCCTAGCGGAACATGCATTCTGTGCCAGGAAGAGACCAGCGATTCGAGGCTCTACGGTACATTTGCTTTAATTCAAGATAGCACCATCCTGCGACAAACCGACATCAGAGACCCTGACAGGATCCGCGAGGCACTCAGAACACCCACGAGTTTGGATAGGTCTTCTGCGGATATTCGTCCCTTTGGAGTCGCTGGAGAAAACCGAACAACCATTCGCCGACTTGACTCCTCTGGGGGTGAGGTCATCAGCGAAAAGGTTGGGCTTAGCAAGGGCTTCAACCCGAAGAGCACCCTGCGTGGACCTGTGACGACTGGCTGCGGTCACATCATGCATTACTCGTGCTTTGATGTCTACTACACAGCAACGCAAAGACGGCATAGTCAACAGATTGCTCGGCACCATCCTGAGAATATGACGCTCAAGGAATTTGTGTGTCCACTGTGCAAAGCCCTGGGCAATGCATTCTTGCCAATCACCTGGAAGGGCAAGGAGGAGTCGTACCCTGGTGCACTGCACACTGCCACGTCGTTTGATGAGTGGATGGCTACTGGACTCAAAAACGCTCTGAATCAGTCGCAGAACTTCCCCGTTCTCATGATTGAGAAGGAGAAGGCGTACCAGCAGCCATATTCTGACATGTTTGTCGATTACCTCTCTAAGACGCTGGTGCCACCACTCTCCTCCAAGGTCGGGCAGCTTATGACCTCCTTGCCGTCGTCAACTGGAGCCTCTCACTTTATGTCATCTGCACCACGGATGGCCATGCCAGGCCTTTTCCCTACCGGCGAAGAGATGTCACCATCAAGTCCGCTGCAGCAGGTGTCGACTCCCTCGGATAGCCCCATGTCAGAGCTTCTCCAGATCTACAAGCGTCTTAAAAAGACCATCAAGATGAATCACATCAACTCTATCTTCAACAATAGCCCGGATACGATGGTCAATGATGATTTGGTGCATACCGACTCCCTGATCCGAAGCTTCGGTTTCAGTATCGCCTCTGTCGAAATCGCTCAGCGTGGCATTGAGTCAGAGCCGGGATCGACTCTGCTGGACAAGATTCCACCCCTGACCTTGACCCATCTTCGCGTCTTGGCAGAGACAGCATTAACTTACGCAGCTGTGGGATGCGTACACTCAAGCAACAACCCAAAAAGCCGGCCCACGCACGAGTTCCAGGAAATGCACCGGCAGAAGATATGCCAGTTACTTGTTGGGCATCCTTGCTTGAGCGGCACACCACTATTAAACGATGTTAGGAACATCGAACCGCTGCTCGCTGTGGATACCTTTGTGTTCCTGGCAGAAAGCTCGCTTTCTCTGCTGCCTGTTCTCCACATCGATGTGCGCCACTTGATCCAAATGTGCTATGTGGCCGAGATTGTTAAAGTTGCTGTCACCTTCATCCTCTGGCCTTTGGGTCTGAAGGAAGAACTTGCACATGAAGAAGAGGACGACTTTGCTGATTCTGAGCTTTCCAATGAGCGATATAGTGTCACGAAGCACTTCTTTGACTCTATCGTTGGGGAACTCAAGGCCAATTCCGTTGGACGCGCAGAAGGCTCCTCGTTCCCTGCTGAGAGCGGCTACGTGAAGGATGGAGAAGAGTCTGCTACTCCGAAAATCATCATCTCCTTACGACGCCTTGTTTCCAGCTACGCTCACACGTTCCTGCGCAAGGTTGTCATCCTCCTCCACGTGCAGCATGGCGTTGAGTTCCCAAATACGGGCTTCACAGATGTCGGTGCGCCGGAACTAGATCGACTTACTAAGGTTCTCCACCTACCTTCACTTGATGAGATTTTCACGTCCGTAAATCCTGCACGGAAAACCAACAGCCCCTTCGATGCCGTCATCTCCGGATGGATCTTCCACTGGAACGCTTCACGCTCGGGTATTCGGTTCGAAGATCACCGATTGTGGCCTAGCCTCCCACACCCGGCTATCTTCGAGCTCGTCGGTCTGCCCAAGTACTTTGACAGCTTGATTGAGGAGGCCAACCGGCGTCGCTGCCCAAATTCAAAGAAGGAGCTGAGCGACCCGAGTATCTGTCTCTTCTGCGGGGACATCTTCTGCTCGCAGGCAGTGTGCTGCATGCACAACAAGCTGGGCGGCTGCAACCAGCATCTCCAAAAGTAAGACCCACTCCCGCCTCAGTAATCTATCGGGCAATGCTAACAACAATCTCTCAATAGGTGCGGCAAGAACATCGGCCTCTTCATCAACATTCGCAAATGCACCGTGCTCTACCTACACAACCATAACGGCTCCTGGCATTACGCGCCTTACCTCGACCGTCACGGCGAAGTCGACCCCGGCCTGCGCCGCAACCGTCAACTGATCCTGAACCAGAAGCGGTACGACCGACTCCTGCGCGATGTGTGGCTGTCGCATTCGATTCCCGCCACCATCAGCCGCAAGCTCGAATCCGAAATCAACAACGGCGGATGGGAAACGATTTAATGAACGACATTGATAAGAAGCTGAATTGTTTGCGTTTGCTGCACTAGATGAATCATTTATTGAGCCGGATGGGCGTGTGCATTTCTGTCCGAGGTTTGCTTGCTTTTTACTCCTGCTTTAGTCCATCATCTCTTCTTGTACTTCTTTGGGGTCGATGTATATCGACCTTAATTTCATTATCAGTCCGGTCTATTGATTTCAATACCATCATTCCACTCGCTTTAGCATGATCCAGCAATTCGTAGGGCTTACTGGTTCAAAGCTACCGATAACTCCCTATAACAAAAACAAACTTCATTCGCCACCCCGAGGGGGAGGAGTCCAACGGTCTAGGTGGCTTGGAATGATACACGATTCCATGTGAGCGCGATGGGAACAACATACGACCATGCACCAGGCCTGGTTTGAATGGAATATCTCCTTAGAATGACTGTAATCCGGACTGGGTATCTTGATCTTTTGGACGAACCTTTGATAGCGCGATAAGGGTTACCTTATCGAGCGCCAAGACGGACCTGCTTGATCTCAACCTTTTGACGTCGACAGCTGCAATTCCTAAGCCCAAATCGCAGCCATGAACAACGAGCAGTTCCGGCGACTACTTGCCGATAATTCGTCGACCTCCAACTCCAGAGATAAGCCTGGAGCATCGGCGCGCAATGCAGCATCTGGCGGCGCTACCCCCGCGGTGCTGGGCTCGCGAATGCGCTCGAGCATCCCCATGACCCCGTACGTCTCTAATACCTTTGACTTGTGAGACGGTTGATACTGACTCTCTGTTCCTATATAGGCGCTCTGTGACCGGTGTAGATTTTGCTCGACAGCTTGCAGAGCAACGCCAAGATGGCGGTCAACGTCCTGCAAAGCGATTCAAATCCTCCGCCGCGCCGAAAGGCACCAAACTGCCCACAGGGTACCAAGACCGTGCCTCGCTTCGCAATTCGTCGGAAGCTGAAAACGAGGATGACCTGCAAAAACGGATCAAAGCACTCGAGGAGATGGTGAAATTAGGCCAGATTGATCAGGCGACCTTCGACAAGCTCTGCGCAGAGCTCGGTGTTGGCGGTGACACGGGAAGCACACATATGATAAAGGGTCTGGACTGGGAACTTCTGAGGCGAATCCGGGCTGGTGAGGATGTCTCGAAATCGGCCGAGAAGCCAGCTCCGCCCGCAACAGCAGAGGCCCTTGTTGCGGAGGAGGATCCCGATGAGGAGTTCGAGCGGCTGATGGAGGAGAAGGGCCAGGAAGAGGTCAAAACAGCACCCAAAGAGCATAAGGAGAAAAAGAAGGGAACAATGGCACCACCTCCGCCACGGCCAAGGACACGCGATGAGATCCTCAAGGAATTGAAGGCTAGTCGAGCTGCGGCTGCGACTGCAGCCGCCCCGAAGCCCGAGTCAACACTGAGCTCCAAGTTCAAGAAGCTTGGTGATGGCAAGCCCCAGAAGAAGCGTTTTATCGAGGCAGATGAGTATGGCCGCCGCCGAGAGGTGCTGCTCATCACGGATGCTGATGGCAACACGAAGCGGAAGGTGCGCTGGCTCGACAAGCCAAACGAGCCGCGTGGCACTCCTTCTCTGCCCATGCCCGACAAGGATGCTAAACCTCTTGGTATGGAGATCCCAGCTGAGTTTGCTGCCCGGGCTGCAGCCAGTGCTCTGCAAGAAGACGACGACGACGACATCTTTTCTGGCGTTGGGGCCGACTACGACCCCCTCGCCGGCATAGAACAAGAGGACGACTCCTCATCTGATGAAGAGGGTGAGAAGACGGACAAGCCTTCCGAAGAGCGTGGTCCAGCTCCCGCCTTCGAAGGGGACCATAAGCCAAGTGAAGGCTCTGAAGCTCAACCCGCCAGATCACGCAATTATTTCGCAACCGGGACATCCTCCAGTGCTCCCGAAGAACCCGAGGACCGCTCTAATCCTCTCACAAAGGATCCCACAATCCTGGCTGCTCTTAAACGAGCTGCAGCTCTCCGGCAAACCTCTCCTTCGGAGGACTCTGGCGAGTCTGCAGAGGCCGCTCTGCGGCACAAGAAGTTCCTCGAGGAAGCTCGGCGGCGCGACGCCATGGATGCTGCAGATATGGACATGGGCTTCGGCAGTAGCCGCATTGAGGACGGCGAGGATGAGGAAGGCGTCTTGCTGGAGTTTGAGGGCAAGCAGCACGGTGCGACTAAGCGGAAACGTGGGCCCAAGAAGAAGAAGGGTGATAAAAACAGTGCAGATGATGTGATGCGTGTGCTTGATGGGCGTAAGAAGAAGGATGCTGAGTAGCATGGTTGAAGCCATCTGTGTCTCTGCTTGTCTTTTCATCCGCTCTGTATTACGGGTGCGATTTCTGCACTGGATCTACGCGATGTCCTTCTCCGCGAGTCTGTCTTCGAGCCACTAGATACCCTTTAGTCCCTTCTATATCGCTTAAATCATAGTGTTGACTCTAGCATCCGAGTTCACAGACTGTGACGTGTCAAGCCCCTGTCAACCACTAGTGCGGCTCACAGGGCGCTGCTTGATGCCATTCCCATGAACCAATTACTATAGTTCCGCTCCGCCAACGATATTTCGCGCTGGCTGGTCGTTTTGGGCACCTTCTCTACAAAGCCGTAATACTAAGTCTAAGAACAGCGCATTCCCCTGATGCTGTCAGTATTCTCCCCCACCAGACCACCGCGGCCGCCTGCTTGGGAATAGTACCGGGTTCACTGCTTGCGCGACTTCCTAATCGGGAAGGAACTATGCCTCATTTCACTTCACCTTCCCACTGGAAAAACATAAATACCTTTCTCCCCCAAGCCCACCCACTTCTTGTCGGATATCTGCATGCCTTATCCATCTGTCCATTATGGCCTGACTTCTCTCCTCACAGCTCTCTTTCTTTCATGATTACAGGTCACATCGCTGGGCTGGACTGTGTTCTGCTTCTTGGTGGGTTGGCCGGTCTTGTTGGAGTCAGGGCGTCTGGATTTCCTCACCTTTTTTGCTGACGCAGTGACACGTTTCTGTCGTCTGCTTGCGAAGGTTTCCGCGGCTATATCCTCTTGACATCTCTGGCATTTCATGCCATTCAGTTCTTTGTCTTCCAGGTAAGATGGCCGGTCACTCGTGGGTTGGCAGGAGGGAAGAGGGACGTCTGGGTTTCCTTACTCAGCTTTGCTGACGTAGATGTATCATCTACCAGGTCTCTGCCGGTTCTGTTGTGCATCTTCTGATACGCAGCCTCTCTCTCCCTCTCTTGCCTTTCAGCTCGTTCCTTTCTGGTGAGTCGGTCCGTCTTGATCGGGGGCAAGATGACCGACATCCTTCCTAGCAAATGCTGAGGAGAGACCTCGTTATCTTCCTAGTTGTCTAACTCCGTGCACACTCGAGCTTCTCGCATATCTGATGCCTATAGATCTGATCCATAATCCCGAAATCATTATTTAGGGGGGTGCGGTCCTGCGTTGCTCAGGGTGGGACCAAGGTCAAAGACAACTTGTGTCACTCTTAAGTTTTGTGTGGAAGCTTCATGGACTCGAAGTCGTTGCGGGTGTTGAGAAATTCAAGGGTGCTTTGTCGGTGGGATCCGTCCATTGCATGCAACTCAGCAAGAGAGATCGTATGGTCCGTGCGTCATCGCCGTCTATCAAGATGCGCCCATACTGCTCAGATGACATCAACTTCCAACTCCGCCATCAAGTCTATAGACTCCTGCGGATGGGCGCACAGTGGCCGTGGAGGCCCTTTCGATCCTCCTTGACCTTCCTCAGCAAATTCCCAAGGTACTCTACTCATCCGAACGCAGCCATGACTGGAGGCAAACGGCACGCGCCAAAACACCAGCAGAAGGAGCAGCAGAGGCCGCGAAGGCAACGGCCTGAGAAACGTCCTCAGCTGACTCATTTCCTATGTTTACCACTTGTCAACTCTACATCGCTTCCGCAGCTCGAAGCGTCGATTGCGGCGTTCAAAACTGCTTACCCGCCAGTCCCATTCGCGGACTTCAGACACAGCCAGCATCAGACACCGGAGCAAGATGCCTCACATGCATTCATCCCGGAAGGCGCTGTGCGGCCCGTCGGGACCCTGCATCTTACTTTAGGAGTTATGAGTCTCACAAACAAAGAACGACTCGACGAGGCACTTGCGTTCTTCAAAGCACTCGACCTGGTGAGCTTGATGCGGGAGGCGGAGCGAGTGGCCGATGAAGCACGACAAGAGCGTGACCTCAAACCCTCTTCTAGATTTATTCCAGATTCTGCGGACTCATCCCTCCAATTGAACTCTGACGCTGGCTCAACAGAGGCCACGCGACCGTTTTCTGTTTCTTTGGAATCCTTGCATGCTTTGCCGAGGGCGAAAGCTGCAACGGTTTTGCACGCTTCTCCGGTTGACCCCACGGGCCGATTATACCCGTTTTGTCTAATGTTACGTGACAAGTTTATCGAGGCTGGCTTTATGCAAGCCGAATCAAAAAACGGACTGCCTGGGGAGAAGGGAGTACAGACTGTCCCTGATATCCAGGAGAAAACAAGAGCCTCGAGCTGTGAAGACTTGGTTGGTGATGACAGGGCCCTGCTTGACGAGCTGCCAAAGCCACTCTCAGAAACTGAGGGTGTTGCTGCTCCAAATAATCAAGATCCCTACGCTGCTGCTCTGGCTCGCAAGCCAAGACCACGTCCTCTCCTCCTGCATGCAACACTCGTGAATACAATCTACGTCCGTGGCCGGCGCAAAATTGAGTCTAGCGACACGACGAAATCCACCAAGAAGGGGAAGAATACGCCGAAGCGGCTTGAGTTCGATGCACGGGATCTCCTGGCCAGATACCGGGACTACTATGTTGATGAGGCACGGCGGACAACGCGCGTTAGCACCGCTACTCAACCTGGGATCTCAACTGAATCTCCCTCGCTTTCTAGGTTGGTCTCGGAGGAGCACGAGGTTGGACCCCAGCGCAAGAACGCAACTGCAACGTCTCGATCTCAATACCCCTTTGTCTGGGCGCACGAGATCCCACTTGATTCGGTCTGTATTTGTGAAATGGGAGCGAAAAAGCTCGATATTGGCGGCCCTGAGGATCAGGGGTGGAACGCACGTTTGGGTGAGAAATATACTGTTATCGCAGAACGAAGTCTTGATTCCTCACCGCGGCCGTCACCCACGGGAAAGGAGAGCGAAAAAGTATGGATGGAGGTGTGAAGTTGAATAAGCGCTTACGGGAGAGAATACTTCTAAAATGCTAGATATGCCCCTTTCTCTGAAGGACATAGTTCATTACGAGTATTCATAGCTACACTTGGTTGCTAAATCAGAGGAATGGCAGGGGTATTATATTCCAAGCCAGCTTGGAATTTCCAAACTGCAACCACGCGCTGGCTGCAATTCAGCAAGGGGGTTTGCTCATCAAGAAACTCCGTCTTTCGAAGGTCACCACGCGGTCCCAAACTCATGATACACAGCATGGCTGGCTAGACTTGGTGTTCTTTGATGTCTAACACATTCCTTTCAGGCAACACTTCTGAAAGTGGCTTAAGGCCGGACGAAGGGGCCGATGGCCACCTTTCTTGTAGTGGAGATATATGGAAGACAATGACGATCCTCTGATGAGGGGCCGCTGTGTCCCAACAAGGTTGTAGGGCAGCCTTCCGAGTGGCCGATCGATCTATAATCACAGCCCTTATCTTGGCTGATCACCTCAGGCGGCTCATGATAGTTTCCATACCACGCTCGACAGACAGCTCCGCGGCCTTGGCCTTGATAGAGCTGACCATACTGCGCTCAAAGTCATCCCGAGTCCGGAGCACGGCCTCCACCCAAGACAGCTGAAGATCCCAGTACTCGTTCTTGAACGCCTCGTAGACGTTCACAAGAGCTTGACCCTTCTCAGCCTCAAGCAGGCGGACAAGCCAGTCAACCAATCGCCACTTCTGCTTGATGGTAGATTCAAACGAATCCTCATATTTCTTGAAGAAGTCAAACACGGTGAGAACGTCATCCTTGAACTTCTCTGTGAAGGGGTCGACCTGGCGGCGGAACTTGACACCTTTGTTACGGACGGACGACAGGTACCGTACGAGCAGCTCGTCTGATAGTTCTTCGACCAAAATTTCGACGAGAGAAGGGTGCAAAACGGGGCCGTAGTCGACCAGATAATCCTCGAAAGTGGTGGTAATTCGTTTGATGGCGAACTCGCCATACCATCTGGACGTGAAGAGGTCTGTGAGGACAGAGCTGAGATCCACGGTGAAAACGACGTCCACAAAGAGTGCTAGACAATGGGTGCTCAGGTCGACATAGCCATCACGCAAAGCCTCTAACTCGGATGCTGCCCGGGTCGCCATGTATTTTGGTGTCACAAAAGGCTCGATGTCGGCCTTGAATCTGGTCAAGTAGCCCGTCTGGCCGGTCTCCTCATTGTCGTCGATGCAGGCAATCTGGTCATTGGCCACGCCGACCAGCCAGTCCTGCAGCAGTTGCACTCCCTCATTGTCGCCGCCAGGGGCCTTAGCTTTGTTGCATTCGTCGTCGATAAGTGCCTGCCAGGCACTCTGTCGGCCCTTCAGGGCTCGGAACATGGCATCGATGACACCCTCGACGACGTCAGCTCTTTCTGATTGCCCGGCGGCCTGAACTTGCTCGTGGAGCATACGCCACATATCTGCCTGTGTTTTGGTGCGGAAGTAGCCATCTGCATTGGTATCCAGCGAGTCCGCTTGCCGCTCCACAAGTCCTCTCTTGTCTGTTTCGAAAATGCGGTCCATCCACTCCTCCACGGCGTTGATGATAACACTCTGCCACTGTCGCACCAGCTCCGGCTCGCGGTCATCCAAAAGGTTAGGCTGGAGCTCGCCAGGGGTCCAACCCAGCTTCTTCATTTTCTTGTAGTATTTTTCGCTCCAGTGAATTATCTTCAGGAGGTTGTCTGCTGGAACCTCGGGGTCGTCGATGAATTCGACAAGGAAATCGTGCATCATGCGGTGGTAGATATCAGTGTATGTCTTGTAGATTTTCCACTTCTTCGGCATCAGAGCCTGCATGCCCTGCTGAACTGTGAAGAGATCATTGAAAAACCAACGGAAGCTCTTCTCCATATGGTCCGGATCCTCGAGAAATTCGTCTTTGGTATTGTTGAACTGGTTCTGCGCGTAGAACTCGATCGCCTGGAGGAATTTGTTCTTGTATCCCCGAACAGTCTTAGGGCCGATATTCATAGACTTGAAGCGGCTCGCCAGGTCCTTGTGATCCTTCTGGGCTTCCTGTAGGGCTTTGACGGTGTCATCGTTCTTCTCCTCATTCATTACAACCACCGCCAATCGAACCACCATGCTCCTGTTGTCTTCCTGGACCAACGGGATCAGGTTCATACACGCAGTGCCAAGATGGTCATCAAACCAATCAATCACCGAGTCCAGTCCTTGGAAGTACTCTATGAGGGTCTCCTCACTGCTCGTGTCGTGCGATTTGTGAATTTGGTCCATAGCTTCATCACGGAAGTCTCGTAACCGGGAGATCTGCATATGGGCCTTGAGGAGATTTGGTTGGTTCTCCAGATCATCGTCATCCTCCCTCAGCAAGTCTTCCACCTCCTGAATATCCGCACTGAAATTTTCGAGACCCTTCTTCATGAGTAGTGTGGCATCAAAATGCCGTTGAATCCGGGCCAGTTTGTCGATCTGGGCGAAGTCCTCCACGCTCTCCTGCGACTCGGCGCATAGTTTGTCGATGCCTTGTAATTCATCCTTGGTCTTGGAGACTTGTCGCTGGCCCTCGGTGAGAATACCAATGCTGCGCTGCACTGCCTCAAGCTGTTCACGAAGCCCCTCGCGGAGCCGGGAGTCGACAGCAGCCTTTTTCCGCTGGTACTCTGCTTTGAGGCCATTGATCTTGTCGAGGTCCTCGGGATGACGCAGGATATCCTCCAACCGCGGCATAACCACCGTTCCATCGGTGTTTGTGTTTTGCGCCATGTTCGATAGGGCCCTTATCGGCTGAGGAATAGTCGTTGTAGATACAGTCAATGGTGGGAAGCACCCGCCAGGCTAGCTCGACTGTTGGATACGTGGTCTGGATTGTGCTGTGGGCGTAGGCCAGGAAGCCCGGAAGGAGTCGATATGGTGCGACGCTTCAACCGGATTGAGGGGTCATGCCCGGACAACACACTGCATAGGCGTGAGCTGCAATCGAGGGTCCACCCGCGTTCCAGAGCTGCGGAGCTGTCGCCTTGACGATGCCGGCAGAATATCCCCACGTGACCCACCGCTCTTGATTTTGCGAAACAGTCGCGCATTCGCGTTTCAATAGACACAAACGGCCTTCGACGCAGATTCCCGCAGATATTCCCTCGTGGAGCCCCAATTACCATACATTCATACTTGAATCACCTCGGGTGCTCCAACTACACAGTCGAACTTCCGGACCTCCCCGATCCACGAGGACCGACCCAAATTCTACGAAGCACCTCCGGCGGATCAGAGGCATATTTCCTCCCTCCAAAACGAGATCAATTCGAACTACTCACCCCCTTCAATCGTCCGTCTTCGCCTTTTCAAAATGAGCTACTTCCGCATTACCCTCCTCCGCTCCGCAATCGGTCTCCCGCGCCGATCAACAGACGTCCTGAAGGCCCTTGGTCTCAAGAAGCGCATGAGCATCGTCTTCCACCCCGTGTCTCCGTCCATCGCTGGTCAAATCATGAAGGTCAAGGAGATTGTCTCCGTCCAAGAGGTGGATCGGGCGCTTACAAAGCAAGAAGTGCGTCTTGAGCGGAAACCTGATCCGGGATATTATATTGAGAAGAGTGGGGTGGCGGAGCGCAATGAGTTAAGCGGGCAGTAAGAGAGGAATTGAAGGATTGCTATCTTCGTCACGTACTTCTTGCATACTGCTTGATGTTAGCTGGGTGTGGTGGTTTCTCGATACGGATTCTGCGATGTGTCGTGAGCACCGTTGAGCCCTTTTCTTGTGTTTTGTCTTGATTATTTTGCATGGAGCGGGCTTCTTTTATGTCATGTACTCTATCTGTTGTCCACCTATCTTCTGACGGGTCTTCTTTACCCTCAACTGTACTATACGGGATGCCATTACAAATTTACTCATATTTGAGAGAAATGGCCGGAGCTAATGTGCAATTTGAATTAATCCGATGGTAATGAGGTAATGATAGACTCGCTAAACGTTTTTTCTAGCGTCGATAGGAAAGGCACGAGCAAAGACACCGCAAAACGCCAAGGCACCCCGACGAGTCGAAGCCAGCTAGAAGGTGGGTATGTGAAGCCGGTAAACGCAATCGCCGATGGTGTACACTAAACAGGAAATTTCTTGTTCTGACAAGGGGGCTTAGGCTTTGTACAGGGTATCAAGGAAGCCCTCGGCCAGACGGCTGACAATGCTCTTGTCAGGGATGCTGCCGGCAACACCGTACAGAGCGGAGGTGTCGCCGCGCTGCAGAATGTACGCCTTTCCTTGTCGGCGGCGCTCCTCAGCCTTCTCCAGCTCTTTCTCGATGCACTCGACCACGTCGTTGATAAGCTGGTCGACAGCTTTGGCGGTGGGGATAGTGAAAGCGCAGTGCAGGGCGGCAGGCGACTGCAAGGCATTAAGGTGCCAGCCCTTGGCGGAGAGGTCATCGGCAATGTCGTAGATATCAATTGCGCCATTCTTGCTGCGGAATGCGACGACACTGACCATTGGGTTACCCACAACTGCCATGTGCAATGAGATCACAGGGTGTCCGCGGACAGCAGAGTCGAACTTGCGTGCAGCATTAACAATCTCGGTGCAGCTGTTGATGTATCCGGTCTCGCCCACGCTCATCAGGCTAGCCCAGCACCCGGCGATCAGGGCACCAGGGCGCGAGCCAGCCACGGAGGGAGAGGCGTAAACACCGCCGGACCAGTCGGGGTAGATGAAGTACTGGTTGCTGCGGTAGGCCTTGTTGCGGTAGAGCAAGACCGAGTTGCCCTTGGGCGCGAAACCGTATTTGTGAGTGTCCACACTGATGCTGGTGACGCCGGGTTGGCGGAAATCGAAGCCACCCTCCTCCTCGTACGGCGAAGGGAAGCCAGCTTTCTTAAGGAGAGCGACGACGAAAGATCCCAAACAGCAGTCCACGTGGAGTGGAATCTTATACTTCGTAGCAAGACGCGACAGGGCTGGAATATCGTCGACGATACCGTGGGGGAAATTTGGTGCCGAGCCCACGAGGAGGACGGTATTGGGGTTGATCAGACGACGAACAGCGTTAACATCGACCTTGAACTCAGGCTCAGGGCAAGGCACCCGGTGCAGCTTGATCTTGAAGTAGTTGCAAGCTTTGATGAATGCCGCGTGGGCGGTATCCGGGATAATCCTGCGAAATGTCAGCAAATGCATATTTCAGCGCTCGAAAGAATATCCGAGCTTACATCTCAGGCTCCGTCACTCCTCGCTCCAAAAATGCTTTTTGCCGGGCGGCCAAACAGGCCATGAGAATGGACTCGGTACCGCCGCTGGTAGTGACACCAGCGCCCTCCGTGGGAGCATTGAACAGAGCCAAAACCTGCGGGAGTGTTTTAGTCAAACGGTTCCAAGGCAGTCACAACATATAGCGCAGAGAACATCATACCATAGCAACCACCTCAGCTTCCATCTTCCGAACACCAGGGAAAACATCAGGGTGGATCGGGTTCGCGACGCCGAACTGACCGAAGGCCTCGGCCTGCAGCTTCAGCAAATCCTCGCCACCGTGATAGACAGCACCACTGACACGGCCATCCTCCCATCGGGTATGCTCCAGCCGAGCGAGCCTATTGAGTTCCTCGCGGATCTGGTCCGAAGACCAGCCTTCTGTCGGCAGAGTGAGATAACGTTTCACATCGGGACCGCTCTGGACAAGCTTGTTCTCGAGGCTTGCGATCGCAGTAGAGACTTGCTTCTCGACCTGGCCGCGCACGCCGGGAGCACGCAGGAAGATGGAGTAGCAGAAGAGACGGGCGGCTATGTAGACATTGCGAATGCTTCCGAACAGGCCGTAGCCCCGGAGCGAGTAGAAGGTCTTGCGCGTGTATCGGAGGATGAACAGTATAAATACGATGTTGCGGATCCTGGAAACATCGAGCGTCGGTGGTCAGCGGGCGATCGTTGTTCGGCGTCGCGGGGAATAAGCAGGTGCCCTCCGGTCGGGAAGGATATACTTACAGGTCCAAATTCAGTGCGGACAAATGCGCGCTGGAGGCCCGGCCGTAGCCCATTAGCTTGTTCTGCAGGGCGACAGGGAGCGCCGAGGAACTCATGGTGCCCAAGAGGTACGCTCTGGGAGTAATGATGCAAAGGGCGCTGGGGAACTTGGCGCAGAGGTGGACGTTAAGTAACGTCCGGACCGCCCGCGGGCCCCGTTGGCCAGTCGCAGTCTAGCGCCTTCCAAGCCGAGGTTCGGCTCGAAGTTGGCCACATGAAGAATGGATGGACGCAGGCGCAACGAGAGAAACGGGCCGCATAGCCTGTTTACAACTGCGTTTTTCGTTCTTAATAAAATGAGCTCCTAAATACAAGAAGCACGAGTGGAGTATGTCTTAAATCGAGTTGTTGTAATTGCTACAGCCCAACCAGGCTTCGACGCTTATATACAGAGTAGAGGACTCTCTCCAAGCACCCCACTAGTCCAGTCGTTCTTTTTTTTGAACGGACTCCAGATGAGAAAAAAAAAAAAAAAACAAAGAAAACAAACCAAAGACTTTTCAATACCTGACAAAAGGAAAAGTCCCAAACGCATCAATCACATCAAATCATCAGAGATCCTCCTGCATCTTGATTCTACTTGCGGGGTATACCGCAGAAGAGACGCGGGGATATTCTGGCGAGCAAAGAAGCACGCTTATCGAACACAGACAATGGACACCACTTAAGCGGAAAGGCCATTCTCCTGAGCCTCGACGGCAATCTCCTTCTCCTTGGCCACAAACTGGGCATGCTCCTCGGCGGTCAGGTCCAGCAGAGGCTTGTCCTCACCCGACTTAAGGTTGCGGGCAAAGGCACGGATGATGGAGTCGGCATCATCGACGGCAATGGGGCGGATATCGGCCAGAGCCTTGATCTTGGCAGTGCACTCCTTGCACTGGGCGTCAGTAAGATCGATCTTGAGCTGCTGGCAACGCGACTTGATCGCGTTCCAGCCAGTCAGGCGAGAGGCGAAGTGGACGTAGCGGGTCATGCCGAAGTCGGCAGGGTTGATGATCTCATAAGTGCTGGGGTTATTGAGGATGGCCTTGGCGTGGATACCAGCCTTGTGGGTGAAGGCACAGAAACCGGTGATGTAATTGTTGAAGGGGATGTTGACCTGAACGGCCTCGGCGACGAGGTCCTCGATGTCCTTGAGCTTCTCCAGCTTATACTTGCTCTTAACGTATTCGGGGTCGGCAACCATCATGCGGGCCATCAGACCACCGAGGGGGTGATGCCGTTGCGCTCACCAATACCAAGGACGGAGGTATCAATGTGAGTGGCACCGGCCTCCAGGGCACAGTAGGCGTTGGCGATGGCGCAGCCAGTGTCGTTGTGGAAGTGAGTCTCAATGTCGCAGCCGACGACGCCACGCAGCACGCGGACAAGCTCGTAGACTTGACGAGGGGAAGCGCAACCGACGGTGTCAGCGATACCAACACGCTGGACGCCGACCTTGTCGACGGCAGAGTAGATGGAAAGCAGGTCGACGAGATCCGAGCGGAAGGAGTCCTCGCTGGAGAAACGGATCTCAATGCCCTTGGACTTGACAAACTGGATAACTTCGATAGCGGTGTTCTTGATGTAGGTCATGTCCTTGCCGTGAGAGTGCTCACGGAGGTAGGAAGAGGTGCCAATGACGACATCGCTTCAGTACAAAGTCAGAAACCAATCCGGCAATTTCGAGGGAGAAAGCAAAAGCGTATGTGGGGTGACTCACACTCCGTCAACACCGGTCTCAACGGCAACACGAGCATCGTCCATGTGGCAGCGAATGTGAGTAAGAATCTGTGAAACAATTAGATCCTGTATGTCTAACCAAAATCATGCGATTTTGGCCACACTGTCGTTCAAACGTACCTTGGCCTTCAGACCAAGCTTGCAAATGGCCTCGCAGTCAGCACGAGACTGCTCGGAAGCGCACGGGCTGGTAAGCTCGATCTACCACCACCAAAAAGATTAGTTATGTGTTCAAGAGATCGTTTCGGTCTAGAATTTTTGTCGATGACTCACGTAGTCCACACCAAAGTCATCGAGAGCCCTGGCGATCTCGATCTTCTTCTCGGTGTCGAAGAAAGCGTTGGCGAACTGCTCGCCCTCACGCAGAGTGCTCTCAATGATCTTGAAGCGGGAGACATTGCTCAGGAAGTCGGTAACACCGACATTGTGGCCGTAGGGGTTGCGGGAGGCGGAAGGGTGAGGGTTCTGGCGGGTCTCGATACCCGTGTAGCCGGCGAAATCAGCTGCAAAATGTCGAGTTAGCATGACGAGCTGCGTAAATAAACTCTCCAGAATGGAGTCATACCACCATTGGTACCGTTGGCACCGTTAGCTTGCCCATTGGGCTCAGTGTCGGCACCAGGACACATTGTGCGTAGAGTGCGTAGATGGTGGGGTGGTGATAGGTGGAGGGGTCGGGATGTTGCGGGGTGCTTCGAGGAGAAGGCCGGGGGTTTTCAGAGGCAGGATACAAGACGAATGGACGAGCACAGCAAGTCCACGGTCAAACAAGTAATATTTAAGTCTCGGAAATCTGGAAGGGAGCGGAAGCCAGGAAGAGTCATAAAGAGTGGAGTGGGCGGTGTGGTTCTCTTTGCGTAGTAATCGTCCTTCACTCGCTCGGCGGCAAAAAAACGAAAAATTTCGCCTTTTGGGGGTGGGGAAGTGACCGGAGTCGCTCACTGGCCGCCCTGCCCGCGGATTGTACTCCATACGGACACACGACCTTTTCCTAGGACCGCCTCCTATGGCTCAATTGAAGAGTTCACTCATTTATTCTCACCGACATAGATCCTACACACCCTTCGTCTTTGCATTAGACGAAGTTGTGTACATCCGATATCCAGTTGTGGCGTAGAGATTTAGTATGCCCGTTCTGCCCTCTTTCTTAGCCCTTGTCCATGCGGGAACCGACATCGGCCAGGGCGGGGTCTGACTCAAGGTACTGAGGTATTCAGGCCGCTGCTTGTGCCCAAGCGGACGTCATCGGTGGGCAGAGTAGTGCACGCTCTAGTCTCCTCCGATTGATAATCTTTTGACAGTGCATCACTTACCCAATTTCTCGCCCCCTCGCCAAGTGATAAAGTGCTACCGAGCTGGGCCGCTGTAGTCATACTCCCCGTGTCCTCGCTCTCCACCCCCACATCGAGCACCAGCAACGAATTCTGTCCGTGAATTCTTATTCCGTGCTTATTAACACCTAAATATTTAGGTCTTTACACGTTTATGGTATATGAAAGGTTTAGTCCTTGATTGAATTCGTTGGGCTCTTGTGGACCCGCTGAAAGACTGCTCCTTTCTCGCGTGCTTTAAGTATACCGTACGACTTCGTCTCATATCCTCCCACAACCCCCCCCTCCATAGCCCGTCGCATGCCAAGCTAGGTTCTCCTATGTTCAGACGACAGAGCGACTATTATCCTCGCTTAGGGCACCTTTCAACCGTAGGGTTGATATCCTGGTCCCCAAATATTGGAAGCACAACATCGATAAGAAAACCTCAACAACGCCCAAGCTGGCTCTATTTGGCAGGCGACTTTCTCCGCGTGCATAGCGTCTTAAGAAGCGTTTTATTAAGGATACTACGATACACTATGCTAAATTGTTGCTGAGTGCATAACACAACCGTTTCATCCCCTTTCCCAGCCTCTCGGGGTAGCAATCGTCAATGTTCCTCCTCATGATGTGATCGTTCCGGTCACTGGCTTGACATTGCAGTGCCTTACATTGGAGAGGTACTTTCTTCTCTGGTAGCTTCCTCGATCGAGGCGAAGCTTTCCGTTCGAGCATTTAGGGGTTGGAGGACCGCAGACATTGGCCGAGCAGGGGAAGCTGGACGGTGGTAGGGAGGCGGAGTGGATGGTGCGGTAGGATGGCAGAGATAGACTGTCTCGGCAGCGAGTCGATTTTCGCCAGTACATGCAGCAGCTTGAGTGCCCAATGAAGGTGGTACCATCCGGTCAAACCAACGACCATGCGTACAAAGCACAGAATGAAGATGGGCGGCGAATCATCGAGTTCAATCCAGTCCGTATTACTTACTATTTGGTTTGTCCAGGGGTTTGCAGTTAACTTGGCAAACCTCGTGCCGTCCGATCTCTATGAGATTACTTTGGCACATACTGTCGCTCAGCGTGCGGGATAGGAGACAGCCTAAGGTAGTTTCTACATCTTTTCCATACCAGATATACGTCAGAGCATTCATCGCTTGGAATGTCTTCATTCAGATCTTGATTCATCATTACCAGGGACAATCGTGTCAACTCCCAGCCACAGGCTAGGCTCGCGGCAAGAACTGCGAGGCCAAATGAACAGCATGGCTACGAGAATAACCGCAGTCGTCTGCTTGGACACACGGGAATGAGCGGTATCCATGTTGCTGAATGGTCTTCAGATGAAATCAGTGATGGGATGGACGATGATGCAAGACGAACCCGTCGATGTCTACTCACTTCATGTCAAACCAGATGCTGATCTGGCGACAATATCTTCCTCTTCTGTATTGCCCTATGTCCAAACACAATCACCCGTCTGCCCCTCGGCTTCAAAGATACCCAACCCCCATATGTGACATGTTCTGCTTATCTCGCCAAGACATGCTGGCATTACAACAGGGGCCACTTGGAAAGACCACGCTCTGAGCACCGATCAGATATAAGCCATACAGCTGGTATATAGATGCTGGCGGGTCTGTGGAGGAAGTAGGTAGAAGCCTCGGATGGATTCTAGAAAGCTGCACATCATATTTAGACTAGGTGGAGAAAGGCGCAGGAGCTATGGCAGTTACGGCTTCCTACAACTAAAGGTATTGTTCTATACATGAGTGGCTTTCGAGTCCAGACCTACCCCGGTCACAGGCCGTGGGTACTAGCCCTTTCGTAATCAACCATGCCAAACAAACATGAATTGCAGCGGTGCGGAGTGCGTGTCATGGCGTGCGGCTGCTGAGGGTGGATCGGATCCCCCCGCGTGTCAATTGCGCGGCTGTGGTTGGCCCGGGCGCTCAGGCCAGCTGTCGTCCTTCTGGCTTGACACGACCGACTGCTTTCCCTCCTTATCCCCCGGGTGCCGTTCAATTGTTCTTCCTTTGTGCCAACCATAAGGTGAGTTTCCAGATCTCCCGGTGATATTTTCCATCATCACTTGTGCCTGTGTCTGTTTTTCCCTCCGCCAATCCCAGCTTACCCTCCCGCGCGTCACAGACTCAAGATGCGTTTCACCTCGCTCATCACCCTCCTCCCTGCCCTTGCTCTGGCACAGGAGCAGGTGCCCCTCGCCGACCGTGTGCAGGGCTGGTTCAACAAGGCCAAGGGGCTCGTCCCGACGGCCGTCCCGGTTGATCCCATCCAAAAGATGGCCGAGAAGGTCTCCGAGAAGAGCGTCACTCCGGTGACCATGCAGAACTGGCAGTCCCTCCTGACTCCCGCCGAGGAGGCCCAGGACTGGTACGTTTTCGTGACCGGCGGCAACAAGACTTGCTTCGGCCGCTGCGAGGACGCCGAGAAGGCGTTCAAGGTACGTTGGCGCGGGCGCCCCTGACATCATGTGTAACCGTCGCGGACGTGTGCTGATCACATCAACCTCTCTAGGAATCTGTTCTTCTCTTCGCCGCCGACCCTACCTCCCCCAACCTTGGCCTGCTGAACTGCGAGGAGGAGCGCGTTCTCTGCTCGACTTGGTCCGCCGGTCCCCCCACCGTCTACTACTTCCAGGTTCCTCAGGCCCAGGCTGAGGGCTCTGAGCGCCTGCCCACTCCTCTCCACATTGTCTACATGAACAGCACCACCGTCACCCCCGAGGAGCTCTACGAGGTCCACTCCAAGAAGAACTTCGAGAAGGTTGACGCCTACGAGGGCGCTCTGCACCCCACCGATGGCTGGCTCGCCCAGTACAACCTGAATGTTCCTCTGGGCTACGCCATCTATGCCATTGGCGCCATCCCCAGCTGGATGTTCATGATTGGTATCAGTTTCTTCAGCCGCACTTTCATGTAAGTTGAAATTCGTCGAGCCGACGCGTGTACAGCTGTCACCCATGCTAACCACTGTCGCAATTTAGGAGCCGCCGTATGGGTAACGTTGGTACTGAGCCTGCTCGTCGTCCTGCCCCAGCTGGAAGTGCAAACTAGAGGCTTTCTTTCGCGAATATACCATGCTTCCTTATTTTTGGGTTGTAAATAGTGGGCGGTAGGCTTTCGATGGAACCAATGCATCGGGTGAGCCTGTTCCCCTTTCTGGAGCGGTTCGGAGGGAGCTACTGTCTCCTGGTCTATGGCTTTGCTGGCTCCTATAGGTGTTTTAATCAACTTGATCGGAATTCAAAACATGGGCAGACCCTAATAAAATTGAAAGTTGGTCCTCAACGTGGTCATCGCAAATGAGCTGTCCCCATGCAGACCTGTTCTGAGGATGACGGTGGGTTTTCACGGATTTATTTTCACATGGAATTAGTTGCAAGAAAAGTAATAATGTGTGATTGAGGTGTTCCTCATCGTGGACTATCATCTATCCTAGTTCAAGCCTAGTAGGTACGGAACCCTAGGGAGGTTGTGAAGGAATGAAATGCATGACAGAGAAACTTGTGTGTAAACATGACTATATATTTTGGGCGGCGCACCAGGCTCCACGCCCACTATCATGCCAACCATATTTACATTCTAGTGATTGTAGTAGGACATTTTCAATCTCAGTAGCCTTTTACATTGTTTCAATACCAGAATGCAGTATCATCCGCATAGGTTGAGGCAATAGCTCACGAATGTGTAATCACAGTAAGGCGTGAGGCCGCCAAGCGCCACCGTGGAACCGCGCTGCCAAATTATCGCCGCAGCACCACCGAACCTTGTCCAATTCGCTCCAACATCCCCTTCCATCTCACAGACCAAGATGGCGGCCCCTTTAGATCGCTTCCCTCCCACGACAGCCGCGTACGTGATCGCGACGGCCATTATCGCCGGCATCACGGGATATTTCATCGGCCAAGGTGCCTCGCTGGGCCTGTTCAGAGAGAAGCAGGGCTGGCCCAACGGCTACGATGTCAAGGTCCACAAGGACTCCTCCGACGAGGAGGAGGACAACGAAGACTCCGAGGACTACGAAAGCGACTCGGAGGAAGAAGGCAATGGCGAAGAGCTGTCCAACTTCAAGGACAACGCCGAGGAAGTGAAGCTGGTGCTGGTTGTGCGGACGGACTTGGGCATGACCAAGGGTATGTGCTCGTCCACGAAAGAGATTGAAATTCAAGCCTTCACGGTGAACCAGCAGCACTAACTGAGTATTCTTGCTTTCTCTACAGGCAAAATTGCCGCCCAGTGCTCCCACGCTACCCTCGCCTGCTACAAATATTTCCTCGCGCACTCGCCTGACTCCCCCATTCTGCGCCGCTGGGAGCGCGGTGGCCAGGCAAAGATTGCGCTGCAGATCAAGGCTGAGGACGAGCTGCTGCTGCTTCAGGCCCAGGCTATGAGCCTCGGGCTCTGCGCGCGCGTTATTCAGGACGCTGGGCGCACTCAGATCGCGAGTGGCAGCCGCACGGTGCTGGGCGTCTTGGGACCAAAGAGCGTTGTCGACGGTGTGACTGGTCACTTGAAGCTGCTGTAAACTACAGAAACATCATACTATACATACATACCCTCTAGGCGATAGGCAATGACGATCATGATGTTGATGATAAGCTGTGCGAGCCGCGATCCGCGATCCAGTTCAACTAGAAAGTGACTTAGGTGTAGATTCTGCCGACGCGGGCAACCTAATAGGATGTTCACGTCTGGCACATGAGAACTCTGCATGCGAATGAGAGCTTTTTCACGACGAAAATCTGCCCAAGTACCCAACACGTTCTGAGAGTGGCTGTCTTTAGCTGCCCGTCTACAAGCGTAAAAATTCTACAGTATGTAGCTAGAAAATAGGTATGTTGGCTGGTCATGGTTTATCCCTAACCTCACTGGCCAACGGCCAATCGGCAAAGAGAAATGGAATATGACGCCGTCCGCAACCTGGCTCTCAAGCCGAGCTCACCAGAGGGAGCTCAAGACCCGAGGAAACCCGGCGCAAACATTTGATCTGAGATCTGTCGACAGGAACGCGTAAATTCGCCATACACGTGGAAGATGGATGGCTCCATGGTCGTCGATCTGCCCAGCTCTCAACCGAAACACAGAGAGACCAGGCAAGCTGGTTCTCCGTGAACAGGAGTGCTGGACACAGATCCGTGGTTGTAAGAAGAGAAGTGAAGGAGCGGCGGCAGAACTTTCTTATTTATCGTCTGAGAAATTTGTGGAACTAGTCTATATTGGGTATAGTGCATAAGAGTTAGATCACATGATGATACCTGGGTTCCGTTATCAGGGTCGACGGACGGGTCACGGTCTTTCTCTCGAAGAGCTCGGATCCCGCCCTTACATTTCTTTTTTGTTTTTTGTTGCCGTGCTCGCCCACACCGTCAATATGGCGGACGCTCTTTCCATCGAGCAGAATAACAAAATTCGAGTAGCCCTTGGGCTCAAGCCACTCCCCGTCCCCGGAGCAAACGCCGACGACGCCACCGGTCCGCAGTTCAAGGACGACGCGAGCGGATCCGACTCCGACGATGACCCTGCAAGCACTCTAGAGACACGACAAGCGCAAGGCTACGACAACTGGAAGAAACTTCAGGATGACGCCGATGCAAAGCGGAGACGGGAGGAGAAGAATGCCGCGATCAAGAGAGCGCGTGATATCGCTCAGAGAAATCTGAAGCTGCAAGGCGCCACACTTGGAGATGATGATGGCGCAGATCTGGATACCAAGGCATGGCTGATGCAGTCCAAGAAACGCACCAAGAAGGTGGAGAAGGAGCGGGCGCGCAAACTTGCCGAGGAACTGGCAGAGCGAGAGCGCGAGGCAGCTGCTCAATACACCGCCGAAGACTTGGCTGGAATTAAGGTCGGACATGCGATCGGCGATTTTGCGGGAGGCGAAGACCATATTCTTACCTTGAAGGATGCGGCGGTGGATGACGAGGAAGAAGGCGATGAACTCCAAGACATTACCCTGGTCGAGAAGGACAAGACTGCGGAGAAACTCGAGCTCAAGAAGCGGAAGCCCGTCTACGACCCTAATGCCGAGAATCAGGGAATTCTTGCACAATACGACGAAGAGATTGAAGGCAAGAAGCGAAAGAGATTTACGCTGGATGCTAAAGGCTCGACCGAGGAGGAAAGACAAGCTAAGCGACAAGGAGTTTCAGAGGGCTTGAAGAGAGGTGTCATCAGCCTTGATTTGGAACCGGAAGTCCACACATCCGATTATATGGACATCAGCGAGGTCAAGATCAAGAAGCCCAAAAAGAAGAAGAACAAGACGACAAAGCAAAGAGCTGTGATGGATGACGAGGATCTCTTCCCTACGACTGAATCCACGGGTACACCGAATGGATCATCGATGGACATCGATTCCACGAATGGAATTTCGGCTCCAGCCCCTCGGAAGCCGATTAACGAAGACGTTTCCTTTGTGGACGATGACGACCTTCAAGCCTCGCTTGCACTGCAGCGACGCGCTGCATTCAAGAAGCGCAAGAAGCTGCGCCCGGAAGACCTCGCTCGCCAGCTTCGTGAAGAGGAGTCTCAAACGCCCATGGAGACGGACACCCCGGAAGAGGGTGCAGAGGAACCTGGTCTCGTTATTGATGAGACCTCTGAATTTGTCTCCAACCTACAAAAGCCAACCCTCCCCGAGCGGGAGGAACGCCGAACTGCGACTCCAGCTGAAGAGACTGGTGTTCAGCCCGAACCCGAAGCGGAACCTGAGGATGTGAACATGGAGCGGAGCTACAATGATATTGAGGATGGGGAGGATCTTAAAGAACGTCTCAAGCGCGAAGAATCCAGCCGGGCTCCACAAGAGCTTACTGGCACTGGCTTGGAAGAAGAATCTACTCTGGACCAAGGTCTTGGAGCTACACTTTCGATGCTGCGGCAGCGCGGCTTGGTCAAGGAAACCGACAGCAGCAGCTCGAACTCTCTGTTACGCGATCGCCAGCGCTTCCTGCAGGACAAGCTGAATCGTGAGGCCGACGCGGAGCGGCGTGCTCGGATGCAGCGTGAGCGCGACCGTGCATCCGGCAAGCTGGACCGCATGTCCGCCCGGGAGCGCGAAGAATACGCACGCTGGGAGAACAAGCAGCGCGATCAGCAAGAAGCCCGCCAGGTGGCAGAGATTTTCAACCGCGAGTACAAGCCCGACGTGCAGCTCAAGTATACAGACGAATACGGGCGCTCGATGAACCAGAAGGAGGCGTTCAAGCATCTCAGCCACCAGTTCCACGGCAAGGGCAGCGGCAAGATGAAGACCGAGAAGCGACTGAAGAAGATCGAAGAGGAGAAGAAGCGCGAGGCGATGAGCGCCTTGGACAGCAGTCAGCACACGGGCATGAACAATGCTATGGGCCAACAGGCGCGCAAGAACCGACAGGCCGGCGTTCGCCTGGGCTGAAGACCTGCAGCTCGGGCGCGGCCTCAGGACCCTCTGTTTTCCAAGTTGATTGTATGTATAGAGCAGCGACATGTCCACTTCACGATATTATTCCCCACCCCCTTTACTAGTTCTACTGCATCAACAATTTTATGGATGCCACTCGCCTATCTCTGTCATGGTCCTCCCGAATCTCCGCCAACCACGTAATTGAAGGCTGAGGTGTCGGTCGGGGGTCTCCAGCGCCGGTCGATCAGACAACGCCTCCTCCAGCTGTCTCTCCGCGTGTGGGGTTGCCTCGCTCCCGGCTAATTTCCTCCCTCTATTTTACCGAGTCGTGTGCCCTGGCACCCTGCCCCTGGTCATCAAACAATGGAGGTCATATCCAGATATGGCCTCCTAGGATGGATGAAACCCTCGAAATCCTGAATCTCCCGGGTGAATAGCTTGTTCTTGGCTCTTGCCCACGCGAAACTCGGACTTACCCCAACTGTGCGTGAGGGGAAAATATTGCGCGAGTGGAGCTGCCCAATCTTATTCAGCTCACCGGGGAATGGGCTTCCGGCTTCATGCAATGTCGGGGAGAGCAGGGCGAGATTGGAGATATTGTGCTGTGTTCGTCTACAGTAGCGGTGTATACTAGAGAAGCTAGTTGTGAGAGGAGAGAGACAATTTATTCACTCTATTCTTGGCCCAGATGCCAATCATCAGAACCATCAGAACCAATACCAAAACTATGTTCAAACAACAAAGTAACCTAATAGCGCAACAAATCATACAAGCAGAACCCCTAGCAATCCCGATGACGAGGCCGCAGGATGCGCCCTGCTGCGGAGGCCACAGCCAATCCGACCGGGTCGCAACCGTCGCCGTACCGTCGCCGGGCGGTGAAGTAGATGGTACTTCGGAACGTGCGGTACCCCACACTATGGCTGAAGTACCCGGTACCGCTATCACATGAGTCAGGCCTAAACACCGCAGCATCTCCGATCTTTTTCTTCTCCGGCTTTTCCCTTTCCACTTCATATCCCTAGCTCCTAGACCTGCAGTCTATCGTCCTTCTTCGCTCCATTCTCCGCGATCCCCTGCTATCTCACCATGCTCTCCACTCTGCGTGTGGCCAGCCGGTCGGCTGTCGCCCGCGATGCGAACATGCGCACCGTCGTCATTGGTGCCAGACACGCCTCGGCCTGGTCCAACGTGCCTCAGGGTCCTCCTGTAAGCTTCAATCAATGGATGTGACTGGAGTCGAAGCATGGGAATGCAATTTTGAAGACCAATGCTGATGCGCGTTGTGCGTGACAGGATGCCATTCTCGGTATCACCGAGGCTTTCAAGGCCGACTCCTTCAAGGAGAAGATCAACCTGGGTGTCGGCGCTTACCGTGAGTTCTTCCATTGATGGAGAAATTGAGAAAGTAGAATATGGAAAGAGTGCATCGGTCGCTAATTGGGATATTTTGGGGCTTTCAGGTGACGACAAGGGCAAGCCTTACGTCCTGCCTTCCGTCCGCGAGGCTGAGGACAAGGTCGTTGCTTCCCGCTTCGACAAGGAATACGCCGGCATCACCGGTGTCCCTGCCTTCACCAAGGCCGCTGCTGAGCTGGCCTACGGCGCCGACTCCTCCGCTCTGACCGAGGACCGCCTCGTCATCACCCAGACCATCTCTGGCACCGGTGCCCTGCGTATCGGCGGTGCTTTCCTCCAGCGCTTCTACCCCCACGCGAAGAAGGTCTACCTTCCCAACCCTAGCTGGGCCAACCACAATGCCGTCTTTAAGGACGCCGGCCTCGAGGTCGAGAAGTACCGCTACTACAACAAGGACACCATTGGCCTGGACTTCGAGGGCCTGATCGCCGATATCAAGGCCGCCCCCAACAACAGCATCATCCTGCTGCACGCTTGCGCTCACAACCCTACCGGTGTGGATCCTACTCAGGAGCAGTGGCGCCAGATCAGCGATGTCATGAAGGAGAAGGGCCACTTCGCCTTCTTCGACATGGCCTACCAGGGCTTCGCCAGCGGCAACGCTGACCAGGATGCCTTCGCTCCCCGCCACTTCGTCAAAGAGGGCCACAACATTGCTCTTTGCCAGAGCTTCGCCAAGAACATGGTGCGTTCGGGTTTGCTCCGCGAGTAGTTGGTCGGTCGTACAGGGGGTCAATTGGCTAATCAGAGTTCCGCAGGGTCTCTACGGCGAGCGTGTCGGTGCCTTCTCCCTTGTCTGCGAGAACACCGAGGAGAAGAAGCGCGTCGAGTCGCAGATCAAGATTCTGATCCGCCCCTTCTACTCCAACCCACCCATCCACGGTGCCCGCGTCGCCTCCACCATCATGAACGACCCTAAGCTGAACCAGCAGTGGCTCGGCGAGGTCAAGGGTATGGCTGACCGCATCATTGAGATGCGCTCCCTGCTCCGCAAGAACCTCGAGCAGCTCGGCAGCAAGCACGACTGGTCCCACATCACCAGCCAGATTGGCATGTTCGCCTACACTGGCCTGACGCCTGAGCAGATGGATGTTCTTGCCAAGGAGGTAAGCTCTTTTACTCCCCAATCGCTTCTGTCTGGCTTTAATCGCAGCAACTAAATCTGTCGACAGCACTCCGTCTACGCTACCAAGGACGGCCGTATCTCCGTGGCTGGTATTACCTCCGGCAACGTCAAGCGTCTGGCCGAGTCCATCTTCAAGATCACTGGTTAAACAGGGAATAGACGCGACGGAAAAACAAAAAGGTAAAATAAATTGGATATAGGGCAACTCAAGGGGGGAAACCGAAAGCAAAGCGGGCTCGTGCGGAGAGGAGGATCTTTTTTTGGGTGGCTTCTTTCTCGCGGCCCTTGTACTGATATCTAATGTCTCTGTGTGTTATATTTAGCATGGCTCGGCTTAAGTCCATCTCAATGGGGATTTTGGATCGATTATTCATTTAGCTGCTCTAGTGAAGGTGTAAATGCGTGGCGCATCATGGGTTTCCAATCTACCTCTGTAAGCTAGGCCTGTTTCCAGAACTGCCACCAGCTATTGGAAGCTCCCTCCTGGCTGGCATTTTTGCGCTGCTCCAACTTCTTAATCCCTTCGTCCACCACGGCGACAACCTCCCGATCTCCAGACCCGCGAGCCTTCTCTAGGATGGTCTGAGGATCAAGCTGCCCGCTAAACTCGGCCTTCTCAAAAAACAGCCGCAGCACATCCACGCGCCGCATCCGAACCGCCGCTCCAAAAACAATGATACCCACCACGGCTCCCCGAGCTAGCATCTTCTTCATAATCTCCAGCGGTACCCATCCAGATTCGATGGCCGGAAGCAGAGCACCGCAGCCTCCTAGTGCCCCTTCATCCGGAGCAGCTCCATGGTCGAGCAGATAGTCTAGCAGCGCAACCTGGTCTGAGCTCGCTGGTGTAGACGGCGATTGCGGGCCTCGGCAGGCTTCTGTTAGGAATGTGCGTAGCGGGTCGAACTCGAAGTTGACTATGCCGGGCGAGTGGCGGTAGAGCAGGGCCAGGATTTCCAGACTTGGGTTATTGATGATTCCTTGGACGATTGTGCCGCAGCTGATATCGCCTTTCGAGTAGATCGAGAGGATGAATGATATTACCGGGACGTGGGCATGGGCGATGGCTGCGGTCACTAGTTCGTGGGTTGGGGGTGGGCTATCCTCGGGGCTATCACTCGGGCCCTGCCAGCGGACCTGTGTGCCTGGCTTGATGTTCTGGGACTGGAAGAGTTGCTGAAGTGCTGGGAGGTCGCCTGCTTCGCAGGCTTTCAGCATGCGGTTCGCGATGGTCGGTTCGGACATGCTGAATAGTCTAGTCTCACGATTTGAATGTCTCGTTCCTGGAAGGTGTTTGCATATTATTGACCTGAATGATAGCAAAACCGGACGTGATTCGCGATGGTTCTGGGGCGAGACGTCAATTGTCGGAGCGGCAGGAAGAGCTGATGTGCTGATGTCGAAAGATGGAGTGATAACTTACCGCTAGCAAGTGGTAGGTCACGTTGGAGGCCACATTTGCTGCGTTGTATATAATTCTGGATCAGTTATGAACTCTGGCTTTGTAACAGCTGAGTATCAGCCCACTGGGCACGGCCGGTCGCACGAGCCATGGGGTTGTCTCCACAGCGTTACTATTTTCTTCCTTGCTTCAATCTTTTCATCCTGGTTTGATTCCGCTTGATCTTGTTCGTCCTGGATGCATACTAGGGTATACTGTGCGTATCCAGCTTGTTACGGCAGCTTACAATAAGGCATCTGATTTGTCTGGGATGAGAATTTATTCTAGTCATCTCAACCGCACTATTACCTGTAGATGTGAAACATGCATTTTGAACCCTAATCGGCATTTCGCAAGGCTTAGCCCCCACGTCTATCATTCTCTGAAAAGGGGCTCCGTGGCGCAGATATCACCTTTTGAGGCATTGGCAGGGGCCATTTCCAAGCCTCTGGTGTCAGAAGACTATGTAGCGGAAAGTGAACGATCCTTTTGATTACGGCCGGCTCATCAGGGTCAGCTTCGCCATCCTCACTATAGAGCCCATTAATGAAAGCTTCACATGGATGATTGCTTCCTCTTGAGTGGCCAGCCTTCATGTTAACAAACAGACAATAACGGAGCTGCAATTTTCAACCTTCGATGTATCATGAAGGGCTTGTCCAAATCTCATCGAATCATACAAGGCGAGCTTTGACTGCGTTTCATTCCCGGCAGACCAACACCTTTGCAAGTATAACGTGAATGAATCTCTTAGCTAGTCCATTCGATAGATCTCTAAGGTTGTGCAGTCCTGCTTCCCCAAATCGGTTGCAAGGATCTGTTTGATGAACATGAACCTAACTCGAAGCAGCAGGATATACAGTCAGATTTTGGTATGTTTTTTGGCCCGCAAGTGGGTACTAAGCAAGATGTTAACAAAACTGACACCGAAAACAGTAGGCGTATCGTTTATTTTAAGGGGCAACGCTGGTATAAGATGAGAAATGGTACCTAGTGTGATCCAAAGCATTAGCTTACCAGTTCCAATTTGATCGAGCAGTGTGCGAACCAGCCCGAACTCTGAGAGACCATGCTTTCCAAGGCTTTTCTTGCAGTACTTCTGACACTGGGAGGCCATCTTGCGCCAGCCCTAGCATGCTTTTCCGCACCTCGCGACTCCGATGATACCACCCCCGCCAGCAGACCGGCCAGTGTCTGGGCCAGATGCAAAACCAGACCCGCACAATGGGCCTGCGCCGCCGAAAGCGTCTCTTTCCCCACCGTGGAGTGCCTTGTTGCCGATATGAAGACCTGCGGCACTGTAAGTACTGGCCCTTCCGTCTTCTACTCCTTTGGCGCAACCACAGTCCAAGTCCGAACAGGCTTCCGCGACAAGCTCAAACCGGTGCGGTGTGATGTGGAACGACGCCCTGGACGAGCAGTACGTGGATGAGGTCCTGCAAGCCCGGTTTATGGACTTTAGACTGGATCTACCCAACCGACTCATAGTCTATACGGCGAGGTACGCCGAGGCCCTTGCAATGGTGGCTTCTGGAGAGGTGTTCTTTGCTGTGAAGAGCTTTGATGGGGAGGGTGGTGGACAAGGTGCCTATCAACTTCCCCTGCAGGGTGCGGCAAATGTGTGGAGATCCTACGAGTTTCCGACCCTGCAGCGCAATAGCGCTGTTACCAAAGTTACGAGCATCGACATCTCCAACAATAACCATAAGAGTGTAGATTGGCAGCCCAATAAGGGTTTGGAGGAATTGCCTGCGAGTACTGCGAGCTCGCTTGTGCCTCCTGCTCCAGCTACTTGTAACGCTAAGTTCAAGAGAGACAGCTCGGCGTGTGTGGTGCCCACTCTGTGCTCTGAAGAATGTGAGGATGAGGATTAGTTGCAAGGCATACATTGTTTCCCCACTCCCTTTTAACAAAAGGTTACTAATGAGTCGGGGTAGAGGGATCTGTGGACTAAATTGCTGCCAGCGTTGTGGTCGAAGTGTAGAGGGGGTATGAGGGAGAGTGTTCGGAGCGTGGCAATTAAATGGAAACTATTGCAATTGCGGATGACCAATACTACCTAATTGCCTCGATTTAATCTGGAATCCTCGTCATTAGACCAAACGGTAGATTGGGAAGCTCCAGAAATTGGGGGGACACGAAAGCGAACTCATTGAGCTCTATCAATCCCTTGATAATGGCTGTAGCCTTATCCAACACTCCTTCAAACCTGGATACCTCATTCGTGGGGCCTACAACCAAATATACACGCCCTATGCATCTGTTAGATCAACCCCGGCAACTCGGTCTCCCGCACTGTATCAGCCTTGCATGGCAGAGTCCACAGCGTTCACAACGCCAGAAACCTCGTCAATCATACTGACCCCAGCAAGCATCTGACCGAGAGCAATAAAGACATCGGAGTCGACCTAGTTCCCAGAATAGTCTCGATCAAGAGGCTGAGTCAATTCTACCATCACAAGTTTATCACCGGATTTCAGCAATTGATGGAGTTGGTTCAACGTCATGGCGATATACTTCACTGGAGAAAGGGTAACTATTTGTGCAATGGAGCAGCCTACTAAAGACAAGCGGTGGCGAGATCGGGTTTCCTCGCACTGGTCCGATCTCACTTACACTCGCACTGACGTGGACTCTCCACGGAGATACCTGCCATGGAGGATCTGCTTTTCTGTGAAAAAAAAGGACGTAAGGTCCCCCTTTCCAGATATGTGACATGACTAACATGCGATTATGGATATCATCAACGGGTGGACAAAGGTCCTGGACCCAGGAATGGGGATATCACAGCTAGAGGTCGACGAGACCTTGCATACACAAAAGGTCCATGATGCCTTGGAGCGCCTTTTGGAATTCGGAGACTGGAGATAATTGGAGCTCGTCTGCATATGAATGTAAGCCAACAGCCAGCTCCACTTATAAACCCCGGATAATAAATCACGCAACAGGAAGGGAAACTAGAATACCATCTTCCTCCAAAGTACAACCGCGATCGACTAGAGTACATCTTCACCACTGCTCACCATGCAACGACCATGGCCTCGCAGCAGGCATACATCGGGAATGCAACAATCCCTGCAGTCACAGTCACAGTCACAGACTTCCAAGCACATAAACTCCAAGGAACCCCCCAGCGCAACCGCATCCAAAGTTCGCCGCACACGAGCGAGCAGCGCGTCGCGAAACAAGTTTTCGCCATGTCCCCATTACGAAAGAAGACGCTCAATGAAACCGGAGATCTACCGCTAACTGGTGCCGCGTGCCAGGTTTCCATTACATGTACGAACTGGCAGCGGGCCTGGTTCTTCGAGCTTGATTTCTCGGCGGCAAGGGCGGATATCGCGCAGGCAGGGTCAGGGTCGAGGTTAGGGTCAGGGTACGGTAAACTGACGTATATTAATGCAGCCCAACGCCGCTCGGGTCCCACGTTGCCCGCAATCTGGTTACTGTGACTGGACGAGATGGTGTGGGGAGTTGGTGGGTGCAGATTCTTACGTGGGAGGGTGCATGGGTGAGAATTAAGGAGATTGTACGTGATGAGTTTGAGGGTATCAAATTGTTGTGAAGGTAGGGTCAACTGGGGTTGGTGGGATGTAGTAAAAAAAAAAGAAAGAAGAAAAACGTGATGTGCGAACCATATGCAATAAGAAAACCATGTGTCCAGTCCGATTCATTCCATATTCCCCCGCCCAAAACACCAGTAGCACCATGTTAATAGTATCCGAATATTGCATTGCATGTACATAGAAATTGGCTGATAATACGACCCAATTGTTGAAATATCAAATCAAAGGCCCAGCCCCATGATCCCGCCCATGTTCAGGTCGGATCCGCCAGCGGACGGGATCGACGGGCAGATACAGCCTGGTGGCGCATTAGCTGGGGTGTAGGACAAGCCCGAGGGGGAGGCGCGGGGGGTGCGGCCCATGACGCGGGCGATGATGGCTGCCGGGGATGCGGTGGCGCCTTCTCGGGCATGGAGGAGGCCGAAGCGCAAGAAGACCTCGGAGATTGTGACGAGGATGGAGATGACGATGAGGACGATGATGATCCAGGTTTGATCTATGGCTATGTCAGTATATTGGCGAGGGCTAAGTTACGCGATGAGAAACGTACGAGAAGTCCGGTTATCGGCAATCGAGTCGGACAGGATCTCGGCGAGATCCAGGAACACGCGGCAGCGCTCGTTGAGGACTTGGATACGCGGCTTGATCTCGAGATACTCGCGAACGGCGATGTACAGCGGGTACAGGTTTGGTTCGCTCTCCCAGAAGAAGTTCGGGACGTCCAGCATATTAGATGCTGCGGATTGAACAATCAGCAAGAGACGCACGCGCTAGCAAAAAAGGCATACCCAAATAGGGAGTTAACTTACAGAGATTGACTTCCACTCTGCTCTTAAACAGACGACCCAAAATGCGGAAGACTTCCTCACGCTTCATACCCAGTTTCCCGGTCATAGCCAGTCTGCGCGGGACATCCTTTGCATCTGCCATCTGGCGGGCCATAACCTCCTCGAAGAAGCACAGCTTCGTGCTCTGAGAAATGCCATGACTAATAGCCAGCTTGATCATATGGTCACCACTGCGGAGCGTGATCATATCGTTGTAAACACGAGGCCGAGATATCTCAGTCGAATACTCGAAATGGAACTCTTCCGTTTCAAAGTCCTCTTCGTGGAGAGGCATCGTAGCAAGCGGGATGGGCGTGCCAGTCGCCGAGGACGTGGCGAACGCTAGATCCGCCAGGAGATCTTTCTCCTGCCGCTCCGTGAAATTCCAGAAGACTACCACGCCGTAGCTGAAGACGAACATCTCGGCGACATTGTAGAGAGTTCGCGCCGGTGTTTCGGGCCTCAAGGAAGGTGAGGTCGACTGTGGCGGGGAAGCGCTTTCTCGCGGCCGAGCGTGGCCATCATCGGAGCTGTGTCGGCGGCGTCGTGGGGCCAGTTCGGGGCTTCCTTGAGCCGGTTCGACGGCCGGCTGAGCCGTGCTGTGCGGATTACCGCTATCTTCGGCGCCAATAGCATGTTCCTGCTCCTCATGAATGCGACCATCCTCCTCTGAGATCCGGTCAAGGAAGCCCTCCCGATGCTCCTCCCGGGAGCGGGAGGAGCCACGGTCATCCTCATGCTGCGGCGACGCCTCAGGATGATGCTCATCCTCATGTCGGCCATGCCCACCAACCGAATGCTCCTCCGCCTCGCCCATGTAATCCTCGTGATGGTCGCGCAGCTCATTCCGCTCGATCTCCTCATCAAGCAAAGATTTTCCGCCGGGGAATTTCAACACAGGACTACTGCACAGACGATACCCCTCGTGGCCGGGCAGAAGAGGCAGGTGGTATGCCGTGTACAAACAATCGTCATAAAGCTTCGTCCTTGCACCATGCGTTTCCTTCACAAACGCCGCCACAGACCCCATCTTGTACCCCTGCGCCGTACAATAAGCCGTTACCCGCGCAAGCTTCTCCGTCCGCCGGGCCTTAGGCAACCGCTCAGCATAGCTCTTCGCGCGCTCCGGCCCAACACGCCTCTTCCTCAGCAGCTCCTCATTCGCCAACAAAGGCGCAGCATCATTATCAACCCCAAAGTCGCCACTGAGCTTCTTCTGCGCCAGCAATTGCTGCCGGATCGCCTCAGGATCAGTATGTCTATCCCGCGCCAGCCGCTGCACAAGCTCCTCATCCACGAGATCGCGCTCGCCGCTGCCTTCCTCGTCTTCCTCTTCGCCCTCATCCGGCTCGCCAACACCGCCGGTATCAGGCAGTAGCACCAGCTTCTCGCTGACCTTGGTCGTGCGCGGAGGCAGCCGCGGCTGCGCCGCAAGCCGGCCACCCTTGCTTGATGCACTGGCCGCAGCGCCCGCACTGCTTCCGACTGCACTACCGATCAAGCCGCCCGTGGCCGACGCAAGACGGCGCGACCGCGACGCCGGCCCTGGATTCCGCTGCTGCATGGACGGGACATCGGAGGCATACTGGAGGATGTTGTCGACGGTGATAAAGCGGGTGGCAGGGGACCGGCGGCGGCGGGGCGCCGACGCAGGCTGCTGATCGCGGGAATCTGTGACCTAAGGACGGCGCGTGCCTTTATGTCAGTACATATGTGTGTAGTTGTATGGGGGGGGGGGGGGGGTGGGTTTGCAGGCAATGCGGCAAATAGTTTGCTTTTGCTTTTGCTTTTGCTTTAGCTTTGAGCACGGCGGGCGGGCGTAGCTTACCAGGACGGTCGGGCTGCGCTGGTTGGTACCCCGTCCGCGGGCAGGGGGCGTCATTGTCACGCTCCGTCGCTGGACTTCCAATTGCTGGAGAGCGTGGGTGGACAGGCGTGGTGTGGAGGTGTGGGTGGGATTGATTGACTTGCTGGACTTTGCTCGACTCTCCGGGAGAATGGACTTTCCCAAGTTCCCGCTGGCGCTACGCCTGTTGCGGAATAGTTGGGCCACTAGTGTTGACGTAATTTGATACTGCTAGTGTATTGTGACAGAAATCTTTCAGTGATGGGTCCCGTGATGTGCCACGTGTTTTATGAGCCAATCGTGTGGCATCGGCGCGGCGAACCAAAGATTCGCGGATCCGGGGTAAGCTGTTGTTGGGATCTACTGGATCTACGAGACACAAAGGTAAAATGGCTTGGTAGGCATACTTCATTGAATCATCCTATCGATCGATCCTAAATTCTTGGGTACTTGTTGCTTAAAATGAAAGCAGAAATGCAAATGTCTATGCCACAGATCACGGTGAAATGTGTTTGAAGGGGGGGGGGGGGGAAAGGCACAAGATGAGAAACCAGGCAGGGAATCGTAGAAACAATTGGGGTTTCCAAGAGAAACAAAACAAAACAAAAAAAGCATAAGCCTCAAAAACGCCGAGCTGTCGATCTGTCGAGTACCTGGGCAGGCACCTACTGTAGATGATTGTGCCGAGATGTATCGGCACAAGAGTAGGTACCTAATGTAAGATTCATTTTTCGCTGTTGGGGGGTGAGAAACAAGTGTCGTCGTCACCATGCAGAAATGCGAGGGGGAGATGAAAAGAAAAAGATGCAAAGCCCAAAAAGTTACTGATGAAGGCCACCACGGAGTTGTCGATCTTCTTCCCAGATCTCATTCTTCATCCGCTTTAGTCGCGAGTGCTGTCGCTGCAAACGTTCCAAATCCTCCGCGGGAGGGTTGGCTTGGCCCGCTAGGGTGTCATGCAAGGAGCGGTATTTGGCGTAATACTGCTTGAACTTCTGCGACTTATCCCATAGCTGGCGCCGAGCAAGCTCCTGGCTCATGGGTGGAGAAGCGCTGCCCGTGCTGCCTCCGCTCGAGGTGCTGACCGCTCGGCGCCGCTTGTGGTCGAGGTTGCCCGTCGTCGCACGTGCGCCCGTGGGGGTCGGGACTGCCAGGCGGTCGGGCTCCGCCTTGCGCTTCAAGGGGTTGGCGGCAGCGGGGGCGGCCTTGCTCACACCATTGGCTGATCCTGTGGGCTTCAAAGGACGGACAGCGGGGGCAGTGGTCTTGTTGGCTCGGGCAAGTTGGGAAATAAGCGGAGAGGATGAAGATGAGCTGGAAGACTGGTTCTGGCTGTCGGAGCGGCTACGACTGGTCGCATCGGAGACATTGGTCGGAGGCGAAGACCCGAGGGGAGAGGGCTTCTGTGGTGAGGTGGATGGTCGAGCGGAGGGGGGTCGCTTGGAAGCTGCCTTGGTAGGTTCGAATTTGGGCGTGGGTGCGTCGGCCTTGGGGACCTTCGGTGTAGGGGCCGCAGGAGATTTCTCTTTGGGGACAGGTTTGGCCGGGGGCTGTGTCCTTCTCGGCAGGACAACCTTGGTTTGTTTGGGGACAGAGGACGGTGCCGGAGCCGGAGCCGGAGATGGAGCTCGTGCAGAGGGTGGGGAGGCATCCATATCATCGCCGGAGTCATCTGAATCATGAACGAACTCCGCCGACTTGTACTTGGTCTCGATCGCCTTTGCGGGAGGTCTGCCGGCTGCCTTCTTGGTGATCCGACCGGTCAAGGTGCTGTTGGTATTCTTGTTCTTCGGGCCTCGCTTGGTGGTGTCCGTCTCCGCTCGTGCCTTGGCGGGTGCATTCGAGGTCTTGGGAGCTACAGCAGAGCCCGCAGCCCGATCCGTCTCGTTGCCCGTGGTATCACCCTCCTTGCGCTCCTCGGTGCCGTCCACTCCCATCCGGGGGGCTGCGGCCTTCTTGGACAGTCCATTCTGGAGGTTGAGCTTCGATAAGCACTTTCCCTTGCCTCGTTCCTCCCTGGGCAGCAGAGTCTGCCACAGCTTGTCGGTCCGAGACAGGCGCATGCGATCAAAGGCAGAAATCGCCTTGTCAATGGCTGCCTGTCGGTCGTCCTGAGTCGGGTAGGGAAACTTCCACACATCGAGGTCCTTGTAGAACTTGTCCTTGAGGTCGAATTTCTCCCGGTCAATTCGATTCTCGGTACCGTATTTCTGGACGAGGACGATGCAATCTTCAATCGTGGAGCGGGTTTGGCGAGCCAGGAACTTAGCCGAGACGGGACGAATGGCGAGGAGGTGGATGAAGGGGGTCTTGAGAGCCTGCAGGCGGGCGTGGTTCTTGGCCAGCGAGGATGGCGCCGAGGTCGGGGTCAGGACGGGGGGGGAGACTTGGGGGGCCCCAAGGTCGGACTGGAGGTCACCGATCGACTGGGGCCCGTCCGGAGCAATCGGTCCTTCTCCAGATCTGCCTTGGTCTTCGGGCCACAACGATTCGATTTGCCCGCATTGGCAGCACGCAGAGTCCTCAATTCATCGGGGTGCTGAATCATGTGGGTTTTCTTGGACTCCTTCCCTCGCTCGAAGGCATTCAGGCTTTCCTCCAAGTTGGCCAGTGCCTGGTCGGTGGCTGCAGTCGCTTGCTTGGCCTTTTCGATTTCCAGGCTGTGGCTCATGACCCCCGTAAAGTAGAGGTTTCGCTTGTCGGCGGAGGTGCGGTAGATCTCAGCCCGGTGAGTTTCGGGGTAGGCATGGACAGATTGGGTCTTGTTGCCAAAGTGAAGGGTGGGATGTTTCCCCAGGCGGACTTTGGCTGTCGAGTCGTATGATCGGAGGCTTGAGATGAGCTCATCGAGGGTGCTTTGGACGAGGTTCAGCCGCATGATCTGAGCCGGTTTGGCGGCTGTGTCGCCGGACTGATCTCCGGGGCGGAGAGACAGCCCGTTCGCGGGAATATCCAGGCCGGTCATGGTGAGGTGAGGGTTGCCAGGCAAGTACGGGAGAGAGATTAGGAAGGGGGAAGGAGGGTCGACGTTGTGAGGTGAAGAGGGCAGGGTGAGGCGCTGCAGGTCAGGCGGCCAACTGCACGGGGAAGTGAGGCAACACCGGCATCAGATCGAGTAATCGAAGAGAAAGCCGGAGAGTGGCGACGGGAGTGGAGGGAGAGGAGAGGAGAGGATAGAGAGGAGAATATGGAGAATGGAGAATAGAGAATGGAGAAGCAGAGGAAAGAGTGTGGTGGAAAAGTTTGAGAAGAGAGGTCAGAGAGAGAAGAAGAAGGAATGAGGAGAGGGCGAGCAGGGCGAAGCGGAGAGTGGGGAGAGGAGCTGACGGGCGTTTCCTTGGGTACACTCGTAAATTACAGGGGACTCCCGCCTTTCTTTTTCGGGTTCCTTCAGCGTTCCTTCAGCGGTCTGGTGGATGGGGCTATTCGCAGCCTTTCCTGTAGTCAGTCTTAGTCTTGTTTAAGTCGGTTCTTCTTTTTTGGGTCGGCAGCAGCATTATTCTTAGTCCAGCTAGCCCATGATCCTTAGTCCCCATTTTCTGACAATTTATTGCATTTGGCCCCCGTCTTCCTGGCAACCGCATTGTGAAGGACTCGGGCTGACCTCCGGAAGATCGATCCGGCTTGTCTCAGGGCTTGTCCCGGGCTCCATTAAAACCAGTATCAGTCGCATACCACACCACTGCCCGGGAACGGGCAGCAGAACAAAGAGAGGTTGGAACGGACTATAATTCTATGATTATATTTCTTTAGTCCTTGTAACTAGAGAGTCCCCCTGTTGCTTTTCCCTGTGTTCTTTCGGAGTCCAGGTGGTAACGCTGTACGGAGTACACGACCCTGTGCCACCCGGGGACTGCAACGCGAACTAAGCGCAGCCGACCACTAACGCCATACGATACCGCGAAACAATCCAATACGAGGTCACTCTACTGTAGAGGGAGGAACCCCGAGAAACTAGAAAAAAAAAAAAGCCTCGATCACTCCTCGGCTCCGACAGGACGTACTCAAGCCAGAATGGTAGGATACCCTCTGCCTCGTGGTAGACCCGAGTCGTGTGAGGAGAAGCTGTCTTCATCCGCGGGCGCAAATGGGGCTCCCAAGTCCAGCCCGGGCACAAACCCCCTCCCGCCGGAGTCTCCAAAGGTAAGAAGAAACGGGTGTGGCCGGAGCGTTTCCTGGGCAGCATGGGACGACGATTGATTTCCGAACGAACTCTGCCCACCTATTAGCGACCTCGTCACTGTCAGATTGGCCAGGCCGGGACCTACCGAAGTATCCGCTCGCTGGACCCAGGTCGAGGGTCGAGGTCGGTCGTTCCAAGTTCCAAGTTTCAAGGTCCCCTCCTGTCTGGCCGGGCCATTATCCTGGCATGGGACATACCAAGTCCAACAGGATCATCCATCGGTCCTGGACTCGTCGGTGACGGCCGATCACCCGCCGGACCCCCATTGATCCCGGAAGAATGTGCGCTCTGGATTTCCGCCCCTCGTTCATGCACCGCAGGCATGGATCCCGAGGCGTACAACAGGGCCGGGGTCGATGTGGCTAGGGTTCCCTCGCAGGTTCGCATGTACCTGCGACGTACCCCTTCTACATGACGCAGTCGCTGGCATTATTCTCCCTTTTTTTTCTTTCCCGACTTCTGGTCCGGGGACTACAGGGTAGTCAACTACAGTGCCGGAAAAGGCGGTAAATTTCCCGTCATGCCACTGAAGACCAAGGCCCAGCTGCCTCGCGCCCAGGCGTAGGGCAAGGAGCTGGCCGTTGAAGGAATGGGCCCACCCGTCCGCTGATGATGGTTCACCCGTGCTTTGAGCCTGTGGAGAAGGAAGTATTTCCGAATATCATTCAGGACTCCTCCGGGGGCCGCCCAGAAGGTAAGCGAGTTGGCGTACATCCCGTCGGAGTATACAGACGAGCAGGGCAAAGGGCAAATCGCACGCAAATCTGCCGGTAATCGCGTTACAGACTGTAGTTCCGGAGTGGCCATACCGTAGGGGAAGGGGATGGATCACAGACCCTCTTCTCACCACAGGCAAGATCTTTCGTCCTCTGCCAACGAGACACAACCCAGCTCGCCCCTACCCAGGTCGCTGATTGGGGGCGGCCCCGTCGCACGGCCGCATGGACGGAGTTCATGCGCATGCCCAATACGCCGTGGGCCCAATAAGCCGTCGCGCTCCGGACCTTCTGACAGGGCGGTTTCGGCTGCCATTCCGTCGCAAAGGGCCCAGTCGATCAGCTCGATCCAATCCCGTCGATTCATGGAGCTTGAGGCGGATTACAGGGAAGATCGGGATCGATGAAGGGTAGTCGCAGAATGCTCTCTTAGGTTTCCTACTCATGCTGTCCCTACTCCTCAGCCAGGGCCCAACGCCCAATCCACTCAATCCACCCAGCTGCAGCCCAGCCGGGCCGAGAGGGGGAGGGCAGGAGGGCAGACATGCTGGGCGTGGACTCCCCTTGCTGCAGAGTCCGCCCCAGTAAACTCGGCCGCCCGCTACGCCACCAGTCGCTAGTCAGAGTCCTGCGATGCCGTAGTGCCCTGATAGTTTTGGGGTCCTCCCTCCGTGCTACATATTAATAACGAGTCCTAGGCCTGCAGTGCGTTGTCAGACCGCCAAACCCGGACCCTGGATCACCAGGATCACCAGGATCACTACTGTACCACCAAATATCCTGGTCCTGTCTCCCCCCACGCGGACTTTCCTCTCCGCCCAGGATATAACCTTGGCGACAACAGCGGTCCACCGTTCCCCCCGCTTCAGACGAGCTAATTCCTGGATCGGTGGGGGCCGTCAAAGCTACCGGCCGGGCTTGGCGTGACCGCAATACGAGAGTATGGCGCCATGACTCCAAGATCCGCCAGACACGACCAGTTCAAATAGCAGTATAGACAATGGCTCACGGGCTTGACCTTGACCATTGACCTCGCACCACAAGAAGATCACGATCTGCAATTTCGCGGTCCTCCCTCGCCGTACGACCATCGACCATCGACAAACACGCAGCACGCAACCCGCAAACCACCATGTCCCAGCCCACCCAAAACGACATCGCCAAACACCTCCGCGCCCTCCACAAACCAGGCCACCCCCTCATCCTCACCAATGTCTATGACGCCAGCACCGCCACCATCATCGCCTCGCTCCCGGCTGCCCAAGCCATCGCGACCGCCTCCTACGCCGTCGCATCCACCCTCGGCGTGCCGGACGCCGACCTCAGCAAATCACAAAACCTCGCTGCACTACAGCGCATCGTCTCCGCCGCGAACGCCGTCAACCCGTCCCTCCCCGTCACCGTCGACCTGCAGGACGGGTACGGTGATCACGCCGCCCTCGCGTCCACCATCCGAGAGGCCATCGCGCTCGGCGCGGTGGGCTGTAACCTCGAAGACGCGGATAGTACGGGCAGACTGTATCCGCTGGCAGAAGCGGTTGCGCGCGTGAAGACGGTCGTGGACGCCGCCGCGGCGGCGGGGGTTCCGGATTTCGTGCTGAATGCGCGGACGGATGTGCTCTTCCAGGCTGGGGCGAGTATCGACGATGCAGTGGCTCGGGGGAGGGCGTTTTTGGGCGCGGGGGCGTGCACGGTGTTCGTTTGGGGGGGGGCCGCGGGGCCGCGGGGTGTCGAGCGAGGAGATTCGGCGGTTGGTGCGCGAGTTGGGGGGCATGGTGAATGTGAAGTGGAGTTGTGGCGAGGGCTTCTTGGGGGTGCAGGAGATCCGCCAGCTCGGCGTGGCGAGGGTGAGTGTCGGGCCGGAGCTGTGGAAGTGTGCGATGAGGGCGTTTAAGGAGCAGGCGGAGCGGTTGCTGGCGTAGACTTCCCACTCCGTACTGTAGGCGCCATGGGGACTGGGACCGAGCCGATAGGCTTGGGTTCTAATTCTACTTCGTACTTCTAGGAGAGAGAGGTAGGAAGGTAGGAATCCGATCCTCATGCGAAAGCGGAGTCGATATGCCCGACTCCATCCGCGATAGCAAGAGCATCTACGAAGATGGAAACCAAGCGGAATGGATACAGATCTGAATTCATCTCTTCATGCGGCACAGGATGGAGGCGTCGGGGTCGGACTCTGGCGCGTACAGATGCCATTCACACACTTGCGATCGCTATAGCAACAGTTCTCGTCCGCCAGACAGGGCCCATTGTCCTCCTGGCAATTGGGCCATCTCTCGTCCGTCGGCCGGCACTTGCTCGCAGCACAGTACCCTGAGCAGCAATTGCCGATCGTGCCATCCGGCAGGTAACAACCGGCTCGGCACCGTCAACAGAGGCGGAATGAGCGGGGACGGAGAGGAAAGCTTACCGTAGACAGCCAGACAGGTGGCCGTCGGCACACAGGTTGTCACGGTCGTGGCAGTCGGTGTCGTGAAGGTGACCGTAGTGCAGGTTTCGGTGCCCACGCAGGCATCAGCGGTGCCGCATCCTGCAGCTGTGCCAGAGGAGGGGCCCCTGGAGTTAGCGGTATTGGGGTGAGATATAGATCTATAGAGAGGAACATACAAGAAAGCGCGATATGGGAAACGAAGAGGATCACGGAGAAGTACATGGTCACTTTACTTCCACTGCCCGGACTCGATAGTATGAGTATCCACTTCCTGGTGGAGAATAGATATAGATATGCGTCCTCACTCTAATTGCATACACTAACGTCGTGCTACGAATATATATCATATCCAACCCGTCTCCCCTCTCCCCTCTCCCCTCTCCCCTCTCCCCTCTCCCCTCTGCTCTCTGCCCTCTGCCCAGACATCCCGAGTCATTTGAGATTTGAGACAAGCGACCAAGAACAGATGACCAAATACGAAGCTCCAACAGTATGTTCACTGTGACTATGACCCCGTTCACTCTTCATGATTTCCGTTTGCGGGGAAACGTCACGGAAGCAAAACTGCGGTCAAGAGCTGTCCGCCACTCGAATACGAGCAGCCAAGAACGAACCAGCCAAGCGCCAGTCTGCAATTGGTATGCATTTGAGACATCTCAGTTGCATGTCTCGGCTTCAATCATTCCTCGGCTCTTCGCTTATTGCAGGCTGTTGGCGAGAGTGCGAATGGTGTTCGATTAGGGGGTGAGTCGGGTTACGTCGGGAGAGTGGGGTGCTGCCGCTCGCAGGATTCCAGGATATACTTACTACAGTACTATATACTGTACTACTCCGTATAACTATGTACTACTCCGTATGTACAGCCTACTCGGTAGCCTAATGACGACCTGCGAGAACTCCGATCAATCTACATTCCCCCTAGAAATAAAACATCCCACACCATTACTCCAGCGCTAACAGGGCACCAGGGTTTAGGGCTGAGACGGATGTTTCAAAAGGACCTGGGCGCCTGATGCAGCCAGGCCGTGATGGTGCAGGCACCAAGCCCAAACGCAGGGTCCTTAGCCACACAAATCCGAGCTGCTGCCGAATACGAGTCGTGTCCGAATCTTGCAGAGCCAACAGGGTAGATCCAACGGGGTGAACTCGACGAGTTCCTTCTCACCCTAGTGCCTGTCGCGTTCCATTACGGCCAGTAGAAGTAGTCTAATTACAGCATGTATTATGGAGGGGAGGGCAGATTGGAGTACCTCCTAACAGCACGCTTATGCGCGGCGTGCTGCATGCTTTATCGTTGTATCTACTTGATAGATCTACGGAATCGTACACTGAAGCAGGATGGATATAAAAGAATAGCGGGTCTATTAACACACATATCGTACAGAAATGGGATTGCCAGACATCGACCACACTCACAAATTGGTATTCGATGTGAGAACAAAAACACAGCAGAAGGAATCACAGTCAAGAGAGAAGCAAAACGATACAAAAACACAGATATTAAGAGGAGAATGTATATGAAACACAAGAAACGAAGGGAAAGGGGATATAGCCCAGAAAACAGAGAAAGCGACAGGAGGTATGCAAAGAGACTAGAAAGGAAACAACGAGGAATAAAAATCAGCAGCAAAGAAAAAAAAGACCAATCAAAATGAAACCCAGATACCAACCAGACACCGCACACAATGGGTCTTTCCCAATCAAAGAACCCCGGTTTCCCTGTTCCCAAATCCAGTACAATGCTAGCCCATAAAAACCCTCAGTCCGGCGCTCTATCTATGCTGTTTCCTCATCTGGTCGTGTCTCGGTAAAGCCAGGTCATCCGCACGCAAGCAATCAAACAAAAGAGATGGATGGGGAAATGTGAAGGCGGTGGGATGACAGCTTGATCAACAAAAAAGCAAACAATGAAATAATTTCCCCGATCAGACTCCAGAGGGGGAATTTTTTTTTTGGATCCCTCGGTATAGGTATAGATACAAACAAAGGAATAATTAAAGAAAAAGATGCAGTCACGTAGTAGTAGCACAGGGAGATAAAACGAAGAACGTTGGAAAGGTGTTTACTTTCCATGGGAATCGAGGGGGACGATGCAATGAAACAATGTCAACAAAGGAAAAACGGTGGATGGATGATAGATGCGAGGAAAAACATAAGAAAAGTTGTGACCTCCCGACAAGTGACCCGCATCATACCGGGGTCGACCAACTGTGATCACCCATTCGGGGCTTGGTCTCATAGTTCTCTGGCTCGGTGCTCGTGGGTCGGCGGATGGTGGAGTTGGGGAAGTACATGTGGGGAGGCATCGAGCTCGGGTACGCCGGGCCAGTGGGCTCAGGATAGGCGAAGTCGTTGGCCGATCCAGGCGAAGGCATGCCGGCGTGAGATGGAGAGGCCCATCCAAGGCTAGTCATGTGGGGACTGCCACTGACGCTGTTGGGTCGGTGGTCGCTGTTCGCCGGGGGCTCAAGCGGCTGCGGAGGAGCATAAGGGTGCGACGTCATCGAAGGCCGAGCATGGGGCGCGCTGCCAAAGCTCGAGAGTGACGGAGAAGTAGCCGTGGGCGAGGCACGAGGGCTTCCTTGGGGGAAGTCGCCTCGGACGTGAGGTGGAATGGGCCCATTTCCCATGTAGTAATCGCCGGCAGAGCGGTGCATCGTCAGCGGAGGAAGATCACCACCCGGCGACATGGATGCGTGCTGAGCAGGAGATGGAGTTGAGCGGATCGAAGCATGATCTGAGAACATGCCCTCCGGGCCACGTCCCCGTTCCTTGTTTTGGCGCAGATTGGCCTCCGTCTCTGCAGCCGCCTCCTCAATGGTCCCAGTGTGGTGGTTTTGGTGACGGGTCAAAGTGGTGCGGCGCGTGAATGTCTTCTGGCAATTGGCGTAGGGGCACTTGTAGGGTCGCTTTCCGGAGTGAATACGGCGGTGTCGAGCGAGTGATGACGAATCGCTGAAGGGCTATATTGGAGGAATGATCAGGATGGATGATTTCAAAACCACAGGGAAAATCTTCGGAGAGGTGTAACACACCTTGCCGCATCGCTCACACATGTGAGGTTTCTCTCCAGTGTGTACACGCGAGTGTACTGTCAACGCCGACCGCTGGATGAACTGCTTTCCACAGCCAGGCCAGTCACAGGCATGAGGTCGGATCCCGGTATGAATTCGCTCTACAGAAAACCCCCAAGTTAGTTACCCGAAAAGGCCGTCCGCGCCAGCCCGACAAGGACACAATTACACATACCATGTCGTGCGAGATCGCTGCGTCGAGCAAATCCCTTATTACAGGTCCCGCAGTGGAAGGTCTTCGGCGGCGCGTCGACAAGAGTCCTGCCGGAAGGAGCAGATGCTTGCTGCATCTGAGCTTCACCAGCATATCCACCAGGGACGTAGCCCATGTTCCGAGGGGTCGCGCCCGGGGGTTGCCCGTAGTAAAAGGACTCGGCAAGCCCTTGGTCCATGGGGACGACTGGAGGGTGAGGAGGGTATGCGTTGACAGGGTTGTCCGAAGCACCTGGCTCGGACTTCATGGTTGGCGGTTGGTTCAACTGTGAATTTTGCAGGTATTGCTGGTGTAATTGTGCTTCTGCAGCGGCGGCTGCAGCGGCAGAGTTCTTTCGGTTCAAGATGGTCGTGAAGTCCATGACCCGACCCAGCGAGTAAGCGAAAGGACCGAAGTCAAGGAAAGCTCAAAGGAAGCCTCCTGTCCTGCCTGAACCGTAATGACACGGTCTGCGCCTGGTAATTTGACTCTGCGGCGAAGAATGGAGCCGGTATTCAATCCCATGCACTGGAATGCAAGGTTGCGCCAAAAAGTGTCCCTCAAAAAATTACGGAGCCAGACGGTGAAGCTAACCCTTGGGAGAATGACCCGGGGCAGGAGAGATGGCACAGCTCGTATGATCCCTTCTCGCTCTGTCTTGGATCCTGACCGAGTTTGGACTTGGCCTGCGGGAATCGTGTTGCGGCAGTCGGACGCGCTTTTCGGTGATGGATCTCCGAACTTTCGGCAAGGCCAAGATCAGAATACAGGTCCCTTAATCGTGACAGGGACAAGGTATAGGAGGTGTATGGTCCGTGGAGGCGACCAGTTATAACCGGAAGGCGTAATAGGTGGTCGGGGTCGTCGTGAGGGAGAGAGTAGATAGGAAGAGGCAGTAAATCCTAAAAAGGTCACGGCGAATTAACTCGAGGTGTTCAAAAACAAAATGTATTGGAGCTCCCTTCTACAGCTCCGCCCATCTGTCCCTCAAAAGTTGAGCGCAGGCCCGGTGTCTTTGTTTTCCGGTGGTTCGCAGCCTCGCCATGAAAGGGGAAGGTAGGCACGGACGCCCGAGGATCGATGCAGATGAAGACAAAGACAAACAGCCGGTGTGCAATGTAGATTCCGAGCCAGGCGCGTTTCGGAGGGAGCAGTCGGGCGTTGAAAAAAAAAGTGTAGTCGGCCGGGCAGCAGCATCACAACTTGGAAAATCGCAGGGTGCGCAGGTCACAGAGACTAGAGGGTACCAACCTTTCGCAGAAGCCAGACAACCAAGGCGCAATAATCGGAGGGAGGCCTGTGTCGGTGCCGGCGGAGAAGCGCTGGTTGACAGAGGGAGGGTGGAAGAAGTCGGGACGTCAAGGGAAGGGGACGCGAGAGACCAAGGCAGCCGGGAGTCCTGAGTCGATGGGCGGAGCAGGAGCGCGGAAAGGAGAGTCGTGTCGGAGGTCGAGAATGGAGGAAGGGGGGTGTGGGGGTTGGTGGTTGGAAGAGGCGAAAGGAAATCAGGGGACGAGGGCGAGGGAGGGGAGACGAGATGATGGTTGAATTATTTAGGTGTGGTAGGTGCCACTGCGACAGCAGCATACATCATTATTTACATGGCTTGGGACTTCGTGGTGGTCCCCCCTGTGGGAGTTGTTCTGGAAATGGTTTCCTTACGATGATCTGAGCTATTTTAATGATTTTGATTTTCCTGCTGATTTTCTTTTAATTCGATGACATGTTTGGGTCTTTCGCGTCTTATTTTTGGTTTTTTCTTTTGATATGCCGACTGTCTGCCTAATTGCCAACAGCCTGATTATGCTCTTCCGTCCCAATCATCCCAAAATATTCAACAAATCAAAATCAAAATCAACATGAGCCGAAGAATATGGCAATAATAGGAGAAAATCAGAAAATCAGGATGACGCTGCACAACCTCCTATTTCCTGCCCCTGGTAACCAAAACCTCCCCCCAAAAAATAACCGCACTAAGTGTCTTAAGGCTTCGCCCATCCCTGCATCGTCAGTCCAACAGTCCTGCGTACTTGGTCTAGTTTCTCCTAGTCGGCCCCAGCGAAGAGCGCTAGAAGGAAAACAGGCCGCACCAGAAGGCCGCCGTCAGCAAGCGGGCTCCACAACGTGCGTTTCCCCCCGTCCCTGCGGCCGCGCGACGAGTGGATACGAGATAGCGACGCCGATCTGAATCACAGAATAATCGCCCTTTTTTTAGTTTGCCTTCTCTAGGCCCGCCAAACCCAACTGGGGTATTGGGCGAGAGAGCTAGTCAAGGATCCCTGCCATTGGCAAGTCTTCACGGCCTCCTCGACTCCTATACTCGGGGTCTTGGCCATTTGATGCAGGTCCACGGAGTCCTCACTACCTAAATCCCGAGGTGACTATACGGAGAACATAACACCACTAGCCTAGGGGTGAAACGAGTGCAGAGTAAACTTTCCGGCGAGGGGGCGCGACAATTGACGCAAGTAGAGTCTACTCGAGTACAATAGGCCCGGTTTTTCTGGACTAACTCAACTCATGTAACTACTGTATGAAGGGGACGATGTGATCGGGCAGATGTGGACCCCCCTTTACGCCCGCTCGTCCAGCTTTCCCCCGTTCGTGCTTGAAACAGCCCGTCCGCGCACTGCCGGTGCTCCCCGGGCTGTCAAAAGTCACATGTGGCAGCTAGGGCTACCATTCTCTATGCATCTCCGTCCGTACGTTCGGTATTATGTTACAGTACTAGTAGTAAAAAGGAAGAAGAACCAGGGATTTTGCTGGACTCTGGAGTACTAACTACTAACTATGATGACCTGCCTGTTTCTCTCGGGACGGTGCGCCATGAGTGACTCACATGGTAAGAATGCGGAGGATGCCATGACGAGAGGTCATTCCGGCAAATCTCTGTCTGCGAATCGCAGCAGATCATCTCGATGGGAACCGAGCCGAGCAAGCCCTGTGGATTGGCCGCTAACTTTCGGGAGGGAGGGGATGTGCCTCACCATCGCGATAGTCGGTTCCCACTACTCCATACGGAGTATGCTAGCGGATACGGATGGCGGAAACTACTGTAATTCGGTGTTTGCTTTCCTTCTAGAAAGCTTCCTAAACCCAACCCCAAAGACAGGACGCATACTGCGCCCAGCACGTGTCGATGATCATGAAACTGTGCAACGGTTTCCCCATTCCCCGTTCCCCATTCCCCTGCCTCTTCACCCTGCACCCTGCACCCTGCACCTTACACCCTGCATCCTCCGCTTCTCCAGAGAGATGACTCTATCCCAGCCGTGTTATTTTCGTGATGATCTCCCAAAAAATAATAAGACATCGAGTGGGGCTTTGGTCTGCGTCGGTAATTACACCCCCATCTCGTCCATCTGGCCCCCCTTTTCCCACCCTTCCCACCGCGCTAGAAGGGCCATTCAGCCTCCAGGGCGAGGAAACCCCGCCACACAGACGGCACGGCACATTGATCGCTCCGGATTGGTTGTGCCAAACCTTCTCCTGGGCTTCTGGTTGCCTTCCAGAAGGGTTCTGGAGGCCTGTCGAAGCAAAAAATCGCCGTTGGCCTCCATTCGGGACGGTGCGCCAGGGTCCGAGCCCTACTACTCCTCCCGGGCCTTCCCCTGGCAGCGTACTGGCCCGGAGGCATATATCACTCAGATCTAGTCCGAGGCTGTGCACTTGTTGACGAGTGCAGTACCTGGCCTAGTGCCCAACGGCTGCCCAGGAAAAATCCGGTATATGTCTGAAAATGCTAAAGGGGGGGGGGGGGGGAGTTTATAGGGCAGGAACTAGAATAGGACCGGACACACGGAGTTGTTGGGCCGTCCGATCCTGGTCGATTGGCCCAGCCTCTTCTCCTGGTTTCTCCTCGTGGTCGCGATCTGCCCTTCTCCTCCAGTCGCCGTCCATCCTCGCATCCGTCCTCACCACACCCCTGACCACCCGTAGACCAGTTGCGACGACACTACGACCCCTCCCCTCCCCCCTGCTGTCACCCTCCCGTGCTCAGACAGCCTTCTTTTTGGGATCAGCGCGGAGTTGCGGAAACTGTCATTCCCAAGGAGCTCCAGGCACCCTGCTTTGGGGCCGGCACGTCGCGGAAGACCCCATGTACCGGGTCTCAAATTTCGAGTCAGCCAATGATCATCACATAATATTGGATTTTATCATTTCCTAGCACTTAATTGCAAGCATCGTCGGTGGTTCCTAATGGACGAAATGGAGGGCTCGGGAGTAGCCTTCATTCGCCGCCGAGCACGAGGCGATGCCCACATGGTTGTGGCTGAGACGTGTCTGGGTGTATCAAGTCCACGCTAGTCTCCATAACCATTGCTATTAGTAGGACAAGGGACTCGCGTACGGATGAAGCGTATCCCCCCCTAGTTCAGCGCCGCGGCCCCTTTCCGCTCAATCATGATCCCAGCGCCGCGGATTTCCTATCATTAGGAAAGTCGCATTGCGTGGCTGGCTCCTGCCAGCCACGGTGGCCAGGGAACCGCAACACTACAGCCGGAACACGTCAGGGCCGAACGCCCAGCGCTAAGACCAACAATGGCCCTGGCATGATGTCACTGGGGAAATCGCGCACTGGCCCACGCGGTTCCTCAGACTATGGACCCATCGACATTAATAGTTCGGATCGATCAACCCTTCATTTCAATAGTGGACGTAATTGAAAGCGCGCCTTGCAAGGTCCTCGGGAACGCGAGATTTTCAGGGATCTGAGCCCGCGCATCGCGTTTATCAGATAATTAGATGATCAGAAAAAGCAAAGATGCGGGAAAAAGCAAGACTCCCTTGCATTCGGTTATCTACGCGACTCATTTTTGGTCGCCTCGGGCGTCTGAGCTTTAAAACTCAACTGCCGTACCGGGCCTGGAGATCAAACATGGTCAATTCTCAGGTGGGTAACCACTTCCAATTCGGCCAAACAAAGTATGCCACAGCAGGAATATGTTCCCACTTGTGTTGTGATATTTGATCACAAGGTTCTTTAATCTTTTTAATTTTGGAAGACACGTTCCAAAATGAGACATCGCAGTGGACAGACAGTGGATACACCATCCAAGCATGCGTAGTATCGCTCTGGACTTCGCAGATGTGGTGACTGTAACCTTGTAGGCCGCTTACGGTTGGACAGGGTTATCGCCTGTTAGAAGGCTGCTTTGTTTTGGATATGACCACCTAGCGGTCAAATTCATGAGATAACCGAGGCAAGTGTGCTCGGGGTCGTGGGGGTAGAGCGGATTCTTCCATCTGCTGGCATTGATTGTCCAGTCTGCCTGAATTGACCCGTGCTGGGCAAATCTCGATGCCTCGGATATCCCCGCGTAACCCGTAGTGTAAAATATGCACTAGCCATAACATACGGAATCAGTGGTTCCACAAACCTAGCTTACGATAAGTACAATGGATAGATAGATCTGAACCTAGCACATTGTTAAGCGGATAAGGATGCATTACTTGTGCAATATCATATATTGTCCTCTAGAACGTTGCCCCCACTTGATGAGGGGTGAGTATATGAAAGATTCAGCAAGCGAAACTCCTATTCTACCAGATAGCCAATAACTCGTGACGCCCGTCGCTCCTATAATTCTCTTCATTGCCCTTGTCTCTCTCATCTTACTCAAAATCCATTATATCAACAAGGATACCATAGCCTGGCCAATCGGATCTAGGTCGCCATGATTTCCCTTCACCTTGAAACTCGTCTAGGCCCATCCTGCCGATGCGGAGAATAGCATGGAAACTGTGCGCCACGCGACCCGTAATCGGAACACAGTGCGGTCCGCGAATGCTAGAATCTGGCAAATCTGGAAGAACCCCCTGAACGTCGTTGATTTTCTTTTCAAGGTCCATGATAGCAGAGTGGTTTGGCTTGGAAAACCCCTCTGCTGGCATGGAGCTTGAAACGAAAATCAACGACGTTCAGCGTCTCTACCAACACGGATTGGACATAATAAACAACGATCTATTCGATGGGGATATACGGCATCAAGGTAGGAGCATGGTGGGCCACTACCCGCAGCATTTGCATGCCATGAACAATACTCGATACCCAGGTTGTGAAGATTTGGTGTTAGTAAAAAACAACATAATGGTAGCCTCAGCCCGCACCTAAGTAATGTTCGATATCCTTGAGAGGGATACTTTTGACGCGAGTGAAGACCAACTCTTGTGCTGTTGCGAACTTTGGGGTCATGATTGAAGAAGAGCCATCGTTGTTTCTCAATAGCAATCAAAAAATGGGAACAGTCTTAACGCCGTATGACTTCTCCATCTGATGGGCGTCAGCGTGATATCTCACGAGAAGGGTGAGCGACAAAAGCTCGCTTAAGCGAAGACATTTGTGAGTGTAAAAAGCTTCGTGCAGGAGATATAAAGAAGAGCGGAAGCAAGTGAGGCCTTATAGGAGTTAGATGGTATTACCGGATAACGGGAGGTTCCATGTTGCCTCACATAATTAACTCCTATGCATAGCATCGTTTCCCCAATAAAGTGACAAGAGAGAGAGAGAGAGAGAGAGAGAGACAGGGAGAGAAAGAGACAGGGAGAGAAAGAGACAGGGAGAGAAAGAGACAGGGAGAGAAAGAGACAGGGAGAGAAAGAGACAGGGAGAGAAAGAGACAGGGAGAGAAAGAGACAGGGAGAGAAAGAGACAGGGAGAGAAAGAGACAGGGAGAGAAAGAGACAGAGAGAGAGTTGAAGCCACGCGCGCTAGTTGCTTTGTTATGAAGGAGCCGGCTGGAAGAACCGGGTGCATTCAACGAAACAAGTAGAGTGAAGAATGGAAGAAACTACGGGGGAGAGTTCGCTATTATGTAGAGAGCTTCCATGCAAACGGGCCCAATTAGGTTAGTCAGGTCAGTCGCTCCATCAGTCACACGTCCCTCCGGTGATCTCCAAGTCCATCGTCTGTCATGCGTCACAGCCTTTATCTGAGGAGTATTAAAGCGGAAGTTACACCATGAAGGAATAGACGTATTACTTATCTGGATTGAAGAGATAAACCACGAGAAGAATTAGCCATCGTGTTGCATAGGGGTTACGTTGCTGAAAGTACTACCAAGTTATCTACCCAGAAAGCTTGCAGATGAGATGAGACGCAATTCCAGAGAGAAAAAGCGCCATATATTCCATGTCACATTAAAAGTGAATCGTCCCTAGGCATTATAACAATGTAGACATAAAGGTGTATCACCGATCTATAAACAAGAAAATGCAAGGTGCCCATGACCAGTACGCCAGACTGATGAGAAGAAAAAAGGGGTGAGGCAAGCTGCCCAAATACAAAAGCCATGGCCCTGCCCGCCGACCCTATATATGAGGGGCGGGGGAGAGCATATGCAAGAGACAATCGCAGCAAAACATCCAAGATCGCAAGCATACAATATCCCGATCCCATCATCCAGGTTTACCGCTTTCGCCATGACAGCTCTAGAATCTGGTCGCCATCCCTCTTGTCGCGCTTGATGTACCACTGGGTGACACGGCCGTTCTCCTCAAGGACAGAGTCCTCCAAAAGATAGCTGATCTTTTCATCATCCTTGCGGCGGAGCGGACCCAGCTCGTGCAGGTAGGATTCTTCTGTGGCGCCGTTGTGTGGCTCCCACGTCATTTCCATGGTGACGTCGTTTGCCTCCGGAGGGAAGCTGTACTGGACGACCGAGAAGCCATTGGTCAGGAACCAACCGTCGCTAGACTGCCACTGCCGCAGTAGACATGTGTCGCCACACAGTGCTGAGATCACGCTGAGCTTGGGCATGTCTGCGTGGAACCAGGACTTCCAGTGGTGCACGGAGAGCGGAGGTTCGCGACCGGACTCGAAGAAGCCCGAGGCGTCTTCCATCAGGTCGAGTTGGCGCAGGCGGTGATCCACAGTCAATCGGGTCGTAGTATATTGATAAACGCAGTTGGCGATGCGGCGGTCGCCAGTATAAGTCATTTGCTCACACTGGTCATATACGGTGGCTAGATCGGACAACAGCGGCCGCGACAGGAAAACGCCAGCGCCTCCAAACGCGATCATGCCGAACACAGCGATCTGCGGGATACCCTCCGACAGGCCGCCAATATACATGGGCTGGGTGTGGTCGTACTCGCCTAATGCCTTCACTAGCGCAGCCATGGAGAGGAAGAATGTGTCGTCGTCAATGATGCACCCCCATCGTGTCTGTTCACGCATGTTCTCCTCCAACAGAGCAACGAGCGCAAAGTACCGGTGCAGGTAGTCATCCTCGGACTCGGTGATGAACAGGTTGATCCCGAGATAGTCTGCCTTGGCCTTGAGGTAGGCAATGCCCGCCTTCGTCTTTGACTCATCCGGCTCTATCAGTGCGAAGACGCGTGTGCGGGTGTATCCAGCCCAGTGTGCAAACTGATCCAGCGATTCGTTCAATCGGGACACCGAGGTTGCCACACCAAAGTCAATGTGAGAGGCGTCGGCCATCTTGGGGGGTTTGGGAGCCACGACGGCGAGAGGCATCGGGATGGTGCAACCATCTTGTGGCTCGCCGAGCTCATTTGTGTGACTGGACCCTCGAACCTTGACGTCCAGCAGTGGCTGATCAATCCGTTGTTTTATAGGCAGCGGATCCTCCGTGAAGTCCACCACGATTTCTCGGCGGGTGTACTGGGCCAATTTGCGGACGCCGAGGCGGAGCAGCATGTCGGTATCTGGGTCGCATTTCACTTTGGAGGAGATCGTGACGTTGGAGTGTGTGCGCATCGGGGCGACAATACTGTGCTTCGCGGACGAGGGCCAGAGCAGGGCGGCAAAACCCGCAATGGCGATGAATGCAACCACGAATCGCACCATTTTCTTCCATGCCCATGAGGCCGGAATGGGCCCTTCCCGACCCTTGAACAGCATTTTGAGGGCGTGTATCGTGGGGATTGTCTCTCGTTCCGCGGCGTGAGGGTGGTTTGTTTGGCACCTAGACTCGGACTAGGGAAAGATTGGGGCAAAGTCACCGGGCAAGCATCCGCATTGCGGAGACGTGGAAGTCGATAGTCTCGAACAGGGTCCCTGGACCGGAGGAGACGCGGCGCCGAGGAGGGAGGGAGACGGTATATATTCGCTTGGCAGGCGCAGGGCTGAAAAAGAATGTCAAAAACCCAAGAACGAGGGAGCAGGGGAGTGAAATCCGCTCAGGACCAAGGCCGGCAAACGAGAGACGGGAAAACGAGGGACGATCATGGTTCCATGGGACTCGACGAGGCAAGACCCATCTGTCCTAAGGGGCAACCTTAGGGACACTTTTGGCGCGGTCGGGACCTGCGACAATGACGTAGCCATCCCGTGGCCCTTTGTTTCTCGCATCTCGCGGCTTTGTGACTTCTCTTGACTACTCTTTGAGATCCCCGCCACGGCCATTCACTCGGCCTCCGTTCCCTTTGAAGGCACAGTCTACATGTGAGTTATGCGCGCTGGACTGTTGCTCCTCCAGCATCGCGCTCCCCCAAACCCTGCCTGTGCGAAAGCGCCAAGACCACGGAGTCAACACTCCCCACTGCGACTGGCTGTCACTCGCTGGCCCCGCCGTCGCGCCGCTCCACGTCCGCGCGTCACTCGACACTGCCTCGGTGGACCGTCCGTGGGCTCCAGGGGTCCGGAGACTAGACCCAAATGGCACAGTCGCTCAACTCCCTGGGCACTGGAGTCAAAGAAGACGCTTCGCCAGGGACCATCTATCCCCGCACGGACCACTCTACACAAACTTCCTTTCCAGCAAATATCCTCCTTCAGATGAACTCTTCGGACTGTTGATAATCACCGCGGACCCTCTTTTAACAACCTTGTTGTCGATCCACCCCTGTCGATGAGCCCCACCGGCACAGCCAGTAGCCTTTCAGGTGACCGACTAACCGGGGGCCCCCGGCTAATGCCAGCCGGTGTCCCTGTAGCCGCTAGATCCATCGCAAAGCGAATTGGCCTCCAGGGTCCAGCCGGGGACCGCAACCGCCTAGTGCTTGTTATCTATCGGGTGACCCTGGGATAATCAAGCATTGAGTCCCCAACCTCCCTTCGGGCCCAATTGCAGCCCCCAAGGGAAATGGCAGCCCCCACTATGCCCCGTCTGATTCAGGGGATTTGGGGGCGCTTAATAAATACTGACGCTGGGCAAGGCGCAGACATTTACAAATCCCTACAGAGTCGTCCACATCGGATGCCTTATTAATATTAGTTGTACCAGCTGTTAACGCGTTTTCGTTACCATCTCTGCAGAAGCAGATCACAGCACTGGATTCCAGCGCTCAGCAAATCACATTCCTGCATGGTTCCCTCTTGCTGACCCTAGATGAGCTGGAGTTTGTCAACCACACTTTTGCCGCTCCGTCTCCTCCCTTCCCTCCAGCGATTGATGTATTTCAGAGGAGAATAGATGGCGCAGTAGACAAGTTCGGCTACTCCTGTGCAGACGTTGCTGTCGTGTTCCTATAGCTACGCACGTCGTTAGATAATTGGTAGGTAGAGATTGATTTCCGAACGCAAATGGCTTAGCCCTGGAGTGATACCTGGACTACCAGAGCCGTAATTGAAGTATCATAGCAAAGATATTCGTGTACGACGTCTGGGCTATAGCCCCCAAGATCACTGCTTGCTAAGCACTCTGAAATAGTCAAACAGCCTAGGACTATATTTGGTAATATGTAATTAGACTCATTCGCGGCTAAATTAGATATTCAACGAGCAGTGGCAGAGATCTGCCTCATCAGAGGTTGCATCCCTTGCAAGAGTTTTTGAGTGTAAGTGCCGCGGGCCCAGCAAGGTCTTGCAGCAAAAATTGGATGTAGATATTTCTGGTAGGTGAGATGCTGCATGTCTTGGGTGCTCTGCTACCTTCAATTCAGCTCTGTTCAAGACGTTGTTTCAACGGGTTAACGATCGTGGTTTAAGTCAGATCTAGCTTATCATGTGACACAATCTACCGGAAGACACAGCCAAGAAAGCATGGTATGTAAACATAAACGGGTAAGTAGTTAACTAGTTTTGTTAACTTACTATATACAACAACAAAACCTAAAAAGGTGGAACAAGTCCCCCAAAAAAGTACACCAAAACATAACCAGACTGCATCAAGTCGGGGTATCATAGTCTGTCGAAGACCCTGCAACCAGGCATAAAGGAAGGAAAGAACAAAGACACCAACGCCTTTTGGGCCATCCCTTGTTGCAGGTGGACGGACACGTGAGGAATGATGATGACGGCGATAATGACGAGGTAAAAGCAGAAGGCAAGGACGGACAAAAACGCACGCTATGAGGGAGTGAAAGCCGAAAGAAAAGCCAATGCCAATAAAGGAACAAGAACCACCCATATGTACAGGATATACAGCCGTTCCAAACAAAGAAACGGAGAGACGAGGAGGAGACGGGGAAAAAAAAGCAATGACAAACACAATCACTTCAGCTGGCCCTTGCGAATCGAGCCAAACCCTCTGCTGAAGAGCTCGTGGATCTCGACCGAGCGGCGCGGCGCGCACGACTCGGTCGGAGACATAGGCTCCGCGTGTCCCGCATCGGCAGCTACAACAGATGCACTGCGGTCGACGGCCTCGCTGCCACTGTGACTAGCAGTCGCGCTGACACTCGTGTAGCCCTCCATCTCAGTCTCGTGCGCAATAGGCTTTGAGTCACTCATGACGCGCGGCCGCGAGAGGAGTTCCTGGACATGACGCTCGCGGGCGTCCATCTCGGCGAGTTCGGCGGCTTCACGGGCAAGCTCGAAGGAGGATTTCTTTGTGCCGTGGTCCCAGCCCTGCTGCAGCTCGGCGGCGGCGGCTTCCTCAAAGCGTTTACGGATGTCCAGATCCTGCTCGTACTCTTGGAAGATGTCGACGTCTGTGGGGAAGAAGAGGGCGCGGAGGGTGGAGACGGTGAGTTCAAAGAGGAGGACTGCGGCAACGGAGATCAGGAGGACCAGCCAGAAGAGCAGGTTGTCGCCAGTGTGGTGAAGGAAGTTGCCTGGTACGGCGTAGACGCCTTTGCCGGAGGACATCTTGTACCGTTCCGAGAGGATGATGTCCCATAGGAACCAGCCACCGACGGAAATGATGATCACGGCTAAGGAGAGGTAGGTCTTATTGTACACTTCCAGGAGCTGGAGCTTGATGTTGATGGCTATGATGCACGCGGAGAAGGTGAGGAGGCCTAGAGCGAAGGTGTCGGTGTCGGTGAAGTTGATCTTGACCATGCCAAAGAGGCCATACATCGTGAAGAAGATGATCATTGCTTCGCAAGTTGCCATGAATGTCCAGCCGAGATAGAGGCGAATATTGAATCCGCCGTTCTGCTGGCCCCTGGTGTAGAGCTCTGGTACGGCGAGGAGAGTCGACGCGGAGAGGTCCTTGGTGAAGATACCCAGGAAGATGACAGCCAACGAGGTGAAAAGGGTGTTGAACATGCTCAGACTCCACGGCTCGTAGAGCGAGGTGCCGGTGTACCCGTTCCAGCGCTGGTACAGCGCCTGCGTCAGGTAGAAGAGCATTTCCTTCCAGAAAGTGCCGAGCGTGTACTTGCAGACGCGCATGTAGTTCCAGCGACCGTGGACGAGAAGCAACTTCAGCAGGAAGCGGAACTGCGCGATTGAGTAATCCGAGATCCGGGCGGCCTGGAGACCTTCTTTGCCGGTGATACCAATGCCGACGTGGGCTTCCTGGATCATGGCGATGTCGTTGGCGCCGTCGCCAATAGCCAGGGTGATAGAGTCGTTGACGTGTTTGCGGATGGTCTTAACGAGGAAGGCCTTTTGTTTAGGGCTGGCACGGCAGCAGATGACCGAGTCGACGCGGATAGCGAGCTGGAAGAATTGTTCACGGACCACATCATCTGCCTCAATCTCCGACAGAGTCTGACCATCAACAACAACCACAGAGTGCGCCACCTTCTTGTGGGTGAGATCTGCGGTCAGTTGGACAATGGTCTGCTCGACATCGCCGTTCTCATGGTCCAGAATCGTCAAGGTCGAATACTCCTTAACCAGACGGCAGGAATGTCCAACATTAATAGCAGTCTCACGCTTGTCACCAGTAAGCATCCATAACTTGATGTTCGCACGGCGCAGCTTGTCAATAGCCTCGGGAACGCCCTTCTGCAGCTTGTCCTCGATAGCAGTGGCACCGGTCAGCTCAAGCTGGGTTTCAAGCTCCTCGCCAACCTGCTCAATCTTCTGCTGGCGATCGACAAGGCTAGTGCAAGCATCATGATACGCAGCCTTCCAGCTCTTGTAGGTAGTCTCGTCCAAGAACCGATGTCCGTAGAGAAGAGTGCGCAGTCCATCGGTGGCAAAGTCGTTCAGGTGTTGGAAGCAGCGCTCGAAAATCGCCGCCTCGTTCACTACAAGGGCCTCCTCTACAAGGTCCTCGTCCTCGTCGCCGTTGGCGGAGCTGCCGGAGTCTGAGATCGCGGTTGAGGTGCGTCCCATCTGGACAGAAGACCGAGGGCTGTAGTAAGCGCTGTCATCTTCGCGATTCAAGATACCGCCATCAGTCTCGCGGTCGCGCAGCCAGACATCGATACTGTCCCGCAGAGTGGAGACGTGGTGACCGGACACCGAGGAGCGACGGCGGGTGAAGCTGGGCCGGCTTAGGCTGTTGCGGACGCCGCTATCCCTCCGGCTCTGATATTCGCTGTTGCGACGAATGACCTGGTTAGCCTCGGCGGCCTTGCGTTTGCTGACGCGGCGTTCGATCTCGGTGGCCTTCTCATGGGCCAGCTCCGCTTTCTTGAGCAGACGCATAAGCGTGGTGTCGGCGCCCTTGCAGAAGAGGCAGATGCGCTGATCGGGCATACGCACAACAACCGACATGCGCTTCCGGGCACTCGAAAATTCAATTACATCCATGACCTCGTATGTCTCGTCGACGGCAGACCCCTCGGTGCCATTGGAATACGTGCGAATAGTCAAGGAATTCGACTGTCGGTCCATGACCAGATACCCGAGTTCCTGCGCCGCCATGACCAGTGCTAATTCGTCGGGCGAAGCAGCCTGGAAAGACAAATGGCCGTTCTTATCCTCTTCAGGAATACAAGTATGGCAAAGAGCCATAGCCAGAATCAACAGCTTAGCCTTTCTCGCAAACACGGTGTAGGGCTTGCGCTGGATATACTCCAACATCTCCGTAGTCCGGCAAGGAGCCGATCGAGCATACCGTCGCAATTGATCCGCCCCAGCCGAAACATTTGACAGCCTGGCAGCGCCCATACGGGCCTCCGAGACATTCGACTTCCGACTAACAGCCTTCTTCCCCTTCAGATTCCGCTTCTTGTGAATGAGCTTCTCGCCTTCGCGGGCAGCTTCCTCCTGGAGATCGTGATCGTGCAGCCATGCGGTACCGGCAACACTCATTTTCCGGAAGCGCATTGAATTGTTCGTCAAGGTGCCGGTCTTGTCGGAGAAAATGTAGCTGACTTGGCCAAGCTCTTCGTTGATGGTGGAGGTACGTGCCTCGAGGGGAGTGTTGGTTTCCGGGTCGTACATGTCGATATCGTTCAGCAGGAGCATTTGTGCGACCTTGACGATCTCCATGCTAACATAGAGCGAGATGGGGATCATGGTGTTAAACATGATGAGGAAGGAGGTGAAGATAGGGCCGTACGAGACGTTGGCGTCGGTCAAATACCAGGAGTCACGCTCCACACCTTGGAACCAGTACTTGTAGGCGAGGGTGCAGGCAACGGCCAGGGTGACCACGAGGAGGACGATCAGCATCACGACACGGTTGACCTTGGCTTGCAGGGAGGGTTTCTTGATGCGAGGATTCTTGTTGGCATTCATGCGGATCTTGCACTCTTCGCCGGTGTAGATCACCATGCCGATGGCGCGATCGGTGTTGCGGAGAATACTGCCGCGGTAGACAATCTCATTGTTGGTGAGGGGCAGCTTCTCCTGGGCATTGACGGTGACGTGGCCGTCGAACTTGTAGAGATCAAGATTCGGGTCCTCGACGACGAAATGCAGCGCATTGCTGATGATATCATCCACGGTGGAGCACACCTTAGCCACAGGCTGGCAGGGCTGCTTGTTTTTCAGGTTGGTCTCTCCATCGAGTGCCATGGTTTCAATGTAAGCGACCCCGTTGGGTCCATTGGCATGGAGCAAGGCGAAATCAGCGGGAACAGGCTGGTCGCGCTCAAGTTTGATTACATCTCCAACACGGATATCCTGCCACTTGATCTCAACCCAGTCATGGATAGAAACACCGGCCATAATTGTTGCACCGTCTGTGACAGGTCTTTGACCAGGACGAAGCACCCAGGCATACCGGTTGTTCTCTTCCTTGTCCAAGCGATACCGGCGCCAATCATCAAACCCTTCCTTGCCCATGGAGATACCAACGAAAATCAAAAGCGGGATCAGAGTCGTGAACGTTCCCGTCGTACTCAGACCGGGAATCATCTGCAAGATCGCCACAACCAAGAAGTAAAAGTTGGCCAATTTGGTAAACTGTGCGAACAGCTGTCGAGGGAAGAAACTCCAGAAGCTGTAGCGGCTCGACCGAATCCAATTGGCACAATACGCCTTCCCAGTGCGCTCATCAACGAGCGTCTCCACGAGTGACGGGTTCAGGTCGATGTGCCGGCCGTCCTTGGTCGGTGGAATGTCCTTGATGCGCAAGATAAATTTCCGGACCGCGGTCTTAACGGTTTCCACGCGGGCGACAATCACGGCCGTGGCCGCCTTCTTCTTCGTCCAGTTATTTTGCGCGAACGACATGTAATAATCCTTGAGGGGTCGATCGGAACCGGATGAGGGGTATGTCGAGGCTTCTTCCTTGGTAGATTCATATTCGAGTGTCGCCGTCGGCGCGACTGCTAACTCATTATTCTCCTCCACGGGGCTGGGCGCATCTACGGCATTGAATGCGGCCGCACCATGTCCAGGGTGCATCGGGCCCTTGACCTCGCCCAATTCCAGCGCCGAGAGGTCATCCTGGTCCTCCGACTGCGTTTGAATAGTCTTGGTGAAGATACTGCGGCGAAGCGAGTAGCCGCGGTTTCGCGATCGCGAGCGACCACCAGCGGAGTCTGGGCTCGTCGGGGAGATCGGGGAGAGAGTCGCGCCCTGCGCGGCATTGGGGGGCGAGAGAGGGGAGGTCGGCGAGTGAGCAGGGTGGCGGGCCGACGGCGGTGCCAGCCCGGTATCGATAGTGAGGCCCCGCGAGCTGGGACGCCGGTCGGCAGTCGTCGACTGGCTCTGGGGTTGCTCGTCGGCGGGTTGGTCGAGGTCGGTCGAAAATCGAACGTGGTACTGCTGCGAGGTGCGGCGACCAGCGTCGGACATGGTGCGCGACGAAACGAGGGACGGCCGGCGCATGACGTCGGGCAGGTTCTGTGCTTGCGACGAATCCTGCGACGGGCTCGTGCCGTCGGAGGGCTGGTCGTCATGGTTAGACATGACGAAGGCTGTCTTTGCACTCGAAGATGATGCCTGGCGCGGGACACACCCGGACGATCACTTTTTTCTTCTTCCCTCTTTTTGTTCCGGTCGCCTGAGATCCGGGTGTCGGTTATATCTCTTCTAGACTGGAATGAGGGGATCGATCGCGCTAGAGGTCGGAGGAGTCGCACTCATGCTTTTTCCTCAACACATCGGCCTTGATAGTGACGTATGATCGCAGGGTGCAGTGAAGGTCGATTGATCGAGGGTCGCAAAACGAAGGTTCGACTCGACGTAAGGATGAGGGTGATCAGAAGAAGGACGCAATCGAGGGTGTGCTCAGGAGTCTCCGACCGCAGCTAAAGCGTCCTTGAGGGCAATGGCGCAAACAGACGAGCCGGAAGAAAGAGTGTACAGTCGGAAGGAAATTAATTGTTGACAGAGCGCTGGAGGAGGCAAAGTAAGACCGGATGCGGCAAAGACCCGGAGCCGTCGACCAGTCTCACTTTTTGCAGTCTTTGTGACTCCGCAGCCTCTGGTTGGAAGGCAACAGACGATACAGCATAGAATCTCCTGAGCCACAGGAATTAAATTGGAGAAGTGAAGGATGACAGGCCTGTCAGAGGTGGAGGGTGGTTGACTTTGATCGAGTGGAGCCCCCAACGCGCAATCAGGGTTGCGTCCAGACTTGCCTCGCCGTGACGTTCTCCAGTCTAATACTAGGGACCAGGCACCCGTTCCCAAAGACTGCCAGGTGCGAGGGGTCTTGCAGAGCCATTGTCTCGCCATCTCTGGTCTTGAGCATAGCCCCGTCCACGTACACCCCCTAAGAACCCCCGAGCCAACCAAGATCTGTCCGTTCCTGTAGCCCATCCATGGAAACGGCAGCAAACCCAGCTGCAGGCGGAACTCGCCCCGATAGCCGCAGCCGGTCATTGGGCCAACCACACGGCCACCCCAGCGTGCGTGGCCCTCCAACGTTTAAATCTGCTAAGAATATCGCTAACAGACATACTTGGGATACTTTACGCTTCTGCCTGGGACATGCATTGGTGGTGGCAACCTCGGTTCTGTACCTTCCGACCGTGCCCCTGGAGCCCACCCTCGCTATCTACTCCGTATCCTCTACCGTACACACGACTCCGTCCATCCTCTATGTAGCAGGCGTCTCGCCCCTCTCGCGCAGGCGTACTCTCAGGCCTCCCCTAAGCGAACTGGTGGGCTGGTAGGGTGCACCTCCCGTCGTTGTCCGGCTTGGGCCCTTGGCACAACAGCCGATCCCTCCCAGTCCAGGCGGCCGGCAGATGGGGGCACAGATTATTATATGAGCACACATGGCGAGCACTGACGCTGACAAGGGTTAGGGGGCCATATCGCGACGGGATCGCGACGGGCACCACCTATCATCATGGGCCACCAAGCGCCAAGAGGGGCCATGCGACGCGATTGCCGGTCCGGGCTAACATCGGAGTTGCACCGCCTCGTCGGCTCAACGCATGGCAAATAGATACACAGTCGGAACACGCAGAGTTCATGAATTGCCATTCTATCCTATCCTGTCCGGTCCTATCCTAAAACCGTCCATCCTATACCGTCCGATGGTCTCACACGCATGCAAATCCGACACCCTCTCAGCCTCAGAAATAAAAATAAAAATAAGAATAAAAATAAGAATGGTGGAGACACATGGGGAAAAAACCTATGTCAGGACTAAATATTTCTGGAAATCATGAGTGCAGGGAACATGCCAAGAGTCAAATCAAAGCCGCACGGGAAAAGTGGCCCATGACGTCATACCGAGGTCCCTTTAGTAGCGACGCGGCGGCGGCGGATAGCCTCCTGGGCCGCTGGGCGATGGCCCACCGTATCCATAGGGCGGTTGGGCCTGGCCATAGCCAGGCGCGCCTCGGTTGCCTGGGTATGGCGGCTGCTGCGGCTGCTGCTGCTGCGGAGGGTAGCCGGGCTGCTGGCTGTACGAGCTGGGGGGATAGCCGGCCGGGGGTGCATTGTATGGTGCGCCCTGCTGAGCAGGCGGCTGGCCGTAGCCGCCGCCGTATGAGCCTTGCGGAGGGGGGCCTCCGGGCGCGGGGCCTCCTGTACTGCGTGCAGCTGCTCTCTCGTCTTTGGAGTCGTAGGAACGGTCGATGGAGCCCAGCATGAGTTTGGCACACTGCGGAAATTTGGTTAGTCCTGGAACAATGTATGCCGCGATATGTGGAAAACGAACCCAGGCCTCCCGAGAGAAATTCACTCTTGGAAATTTCCGTGCCATTTCATCCTGCTCGAGCTCGAAGTCTACAATCACACGGTCAGTCAAAGTCCGGTTAAGCAGGGTTTTAGCAGCCTTGTGCGACTTACTTGAGGTGCAGTCAATCAGGTGTCCAATCTCAGGGTCTTCATCCAGGTCGGCCAGGAAATCCCGAGCACGCAGGTCATTGCCGACCTGCGAGAATTGGAAAGAGGCAGCACCGGCGCCATACCCAGAGCGCTGAACCTCTCCCACGGCATGGATGATGGTATCGCGTACAGCGCTGCGATTCTCGCCGGCAGGTTGACCGTCGGTGATCGTGATAACAAGCACGGGCTTAGAAAGGCGGCCAGCACGAGCCGGCCCTACGATCAGCTTGTCCACAACCTTCTCCCTTAAACCGGTACCAAGCGGAGTCAAGCCCGAGAAACGAACACGGGACACGAGATCGTTGACATCATTCGGGTTTTTGATGCCATGGCCTTCCTCAATGGAGTTCATGAATCGCACCTCGATGCCATCCCGGTCGAAAGATGATGACACAGTGGCGACAATGCTCAGAATTTGTCGGAGTTGTTCCTTCCGCAGTCCACGCTCTTCGAACTCGATTGAGCCGCTGTCGTCCACATAGAGAACGATGTCGAAGAGCGCGAGCTTCATTAGATCAGTAGCCACTTCCATAGGCAGCTCCAGCTCTTGCACGATTCCCTGTAGCCGAGCTGGGGCTTCATTGGCAAGGAACTGCACTAGACGTTCCAGTTCCTGCGATCCCGGGGGATAGAATTTCTGAAGCTGATTCTCCTGGATGGCGGCATCTAAAACCCTTCGATACGCATCGACCTGCTGTGGTGCGGCGGGCGCACCACCGGGGGGCCGTATTGACCACCGGGCGGGCCATATTGACCACCGGGAGGTCCAGGTGAAGGCCCAGGGCGTCCCTGGGCGGAGTAGTGCCCAGTTTGAGGGGGGCCACCCAGGCCACCCTGGGGCGCACTTTGGGGCGGGTAAGGTGCCTGGTTATAGGTCTACCCGTCAGCTATCCGTTCAGATCCGAAACAAATTGCACAAAACTCTATCAATCATAACAGGAACGAGCGCGAGATGACAAGGCAAGGCATGGGGCTCATCTGTACATAGGAAGGCTGCTGTCCGGGATAAGGTGATTGCTGTCCGGGATAGGGAGGCTGTTGTCCAGGGTACGGCGACTGTTGACCGCTGCCAGGGTATGGTGGCTGCTGTCCAGGGTATGGCGATCCCGAAGATCCATATGGCTGGCCTTGAGGCGGCGGCGGCGCTGGACGTGCATAACCCTGTTGCTGAGGAGCCTGTGCGGGGTAGGGTGATGGCTGCTGCGGAGGAGGCCTAGAATAGGGCGCCCCGGCCGGGGAGGGTGCGTTGTAAGGCTGGTAGGATTGAGCTGGTGAGCCGCCGTACGGAGGATTGCCTTGTTGGTAGTAGGGGCCCGACATGTTGGTGGTTGTTGTTTTGGGTAGTCTGTGGGTTGTCCCGGAGAGCGCTAGAGAGGGCTCCGTGGAAGACAGGATGGAGGGGTAGAAGGGTGGGGAAGAGAAAAACGAGACGGGCAGATACGAAGAACGAGGAGAGTGGCAAGTGAAAGCGATCAGAGAAGGCCGCTTACCGATCCCTGGGCAGGCGGCCCCGGATAAGCCTGGTACTGCGGAGGTTGCTGCTGCTGCTGCTTCTCAACCGTCAACTTCTTGCTTTGGTCGGACGAAATGACGTCGGGTCGGTCGACAGCGCTGAAGGAGCTGAAGGACAGGTGATCGGACTTACGTATCCACCAGGCCGCAGTGCTGCAGGCGGAGGAGGGCCTCCAGTATAGCCTGATGGCGGAGCACCGCCATACGTGCCAGAGTTGCCCGTGTTGGACAGCATCGTCTGCTGATTCTGCTGGGCAGCGGCGAGCTTTTCGGCGAACTATCTCGAGCAGAAAGTTAGTCAGTTTGCTTGCGGGTGGGGGCGGAATAGCGAGGCAATGTGGCACTTACACCCATGTTGAAGAAGGCAGAAGAGGTAAGAGAGAAAGACAGAGAAGGCTGCCAAACGGGCTGGAACAGTCATACAAAAATCAGAGATGACGCGAGCTGCTGGAGCGGCACCACTCCCAATTCGGGTATCGCAGAGTCTTACTCCAATGGGCCGCCGCCAATCCAGCCAGGCTGGGGCGAACGGTGGGGTACACAGCCCAGCCTCGGATGCACCGCGAACATACACAACGGCTGGAGATGTACACTTGATAGGTAACTGTTTTGCATCCATGGTTCTTGATTATAGGTATCCTATCCAGCAGAAAGTAGAACTATGGGCAAATCTGATGTGCTCTGGGTTGGATCTACTCATATATGGAATGTGCGTCATGATTCCAGTATTGACATTCCTAGGTAGTGAAGCGGTACGGACTCAATCAGGTAGATAATAAGTAACTAACGCACCCAGCATCTAGTCTCTTACTATCGATACATAGCCACGCGATGGCCGCTTCCAAGGAAATACCAGAAAATAGAGAAAGCGGCTTCTTTGCATCTAGTGCTTTGATAAGTATGCAGACAATTCTCTTCACTACGACCTCCGAGGTAGCTTCAAGGCGCTAAAGGGACTTAAGAGCAGCTAAAATAAAGGAGACAGCAAGAAACCAAAGCAGTAACCGTTCGAATACACGTGGAGTCATCTGCGATCAAAAAAGAGAAAGGATGCAGAGGCACCAGGCCTTGACCCTAAGGGCCCCAAAATTCCCGTGGCCAATCTTCGGCAAATAACTCATGAGATGGAAGTTCTTACAGCAGGTTTAGTCAGGATAGACAACACTGCATGGTCTTTCCCGAGACTCTTTGCTGCTCTCAGGAAAGGAGTCAAGCCATAGTGATCTTGGGAATGTGGATTGGCGCCTCGATCAAGAAGAGCTTGAACCATATCTGAAAACCCCTCCCAGGGCCATCTGGTCTCCCAGTGCTCATTTCCAAACAATCTACTATCCACGGCATAGGAGAGTGGAGTTCGGCCTTGATTGTCCTTGGACGTAGCGTCGGCGCCCTTTTCCAGCATCATTTGAACCAAAGAGCAGTCAGGCCACTCGGCGGCGTAAGATAATGGAGACCTGCTATCCTCATCCTCACTGTTAATGTCGGCGCCGTGGCCAAGCAGAAATCGAATAATCTTCGGTACCCCCATATCGTCGCTCGTATATGTGCGAGGATGCGAGTCTTCCATGGACCCGATGGCAGTTGTAATTGCATGAAGCAATGGAGTCCGGCCACGTCTGCATCTGCTCTCTATCTCCACCATTCCTGTTTCGAGGAGGAACCGCCCAAAACCCAAGCGAGGATAGCAGAAAGGCAGAGAACTTGGACTAAAAGTGACTGCATGCATCAGTGGACACATGTTGTCCTTGTCTTCAATGCTTGGATCAGCATGATACTCTTCGACAAGCATCTTAACGGTAGCCTGTTGCGTGTACCTCGTAGCCAAAGACAGTGCCGTTCTGCCGTTGGGATCCTTGCCATTCACGTCCACCCCATCAACGGCGAGAAGCCTTCTCAGCACCTCATTCCGCCCGCTGCTTGCTGCAGAGTACATTGCCTCCTGAGCCTGTAACATCTTTTGGCTCGGATGCATCCTATCAAGGAGCAAGTTGACGAGAGGCAGCTTTCCATTTCGTGCGGCAATTGAAACGAGGTTCCCTATTATACCTTCATGTTGTACTTCGGCTCCCCACTCAAGCAGAAGCCCGGCCATACTTTCGTGGTCATTTCGGACTGCATATGCCAATGGTGTATCTCCCGTCCGATCGGGGGCATCCACATTAGCCCTGGCCCTCAGCAAAATCTCGCCAATATCCCTGTCGCCTACTCTCGCCGCTTGGTGCAAGGGGCCCGCCCTTGAAAAACTGTCTGTGGGCTCAATTGCGGCCCCATGCTCTAGAAACAATTGAACAAGTTCTGCAGGACCGCCATCCGCTGCGAAAAACAGAGTATATTCTCCTCGGCTATTCTTTGATTCAACATGCCCACCCAACCCTTTCTCGATCAATGTTTTAGCCACTTTGGTGAGTCTAAAGATAGCTGCAAGATGGAGGCCTTGCCAGTCTGATCTCCGCATCAGCTTAAGCCAAAAGTTCTTGGGAGTAAATGTGTAGAACTGAAGATCGAGCACCTGAGCGCAAGCATTCACTTTCGCGGGATTAGCAAGAAGTCACAAGACAAGATCCATCTTAACCTCTTGCTGTCGGACATGATGTCCCCAATTCTGGGCTGAGTAGACAAACAAAGGATTTTCATCGATGCGGGCCTTGAAATCTTTGGGCTCAGGTACTGAACCGTCCGCAAAAACATCAAAGCAGAGATATTGAATGCATTTTGCTCCAATTTCTCTATGCGCATCTGGGAAATGGCGCATTCGGTGTCGGTCGAAATATTCCTGTGCTGTATAGTGGACGAGCCTGACAACATCACTCTGCTCATCCACAGTAACAAGGCCTGCACAGACAGAAACTAAATCTTCTATGTCGGGGAGGTTTTCTTCATCAATATGAGGCTGGTCATCTTCAATAGCGAGAGCATGCCGTAGCTCAAGCGTCGTCAATGGCCGTGCTGCAAAGGAAACCCAAGAAATAACATTGAAGGCCTTTTGTCTTTCCCAGCGCTTCTCACTCTCTATTCGATAAATTGCTTCTGAATATGCGTCATCCAGTTCAGTTGGCAAAACCTTCAGACACTCTCGGATCTCTTTGGCCGATGCTCTCCCCTGCAGGGATTCAATCTGTAGTCGGGCGAGGAGAAACCTAACGAGTGGTCAGTGGTTACAGCATTCAAGCACGCGTGGGTGTCTGTTGACGAACATTCCGTTCGCTGCCTCTGAAATTGTTGTAATGATTTCTTCCTGTAGGTCCTTTCTTTTTGGACAATTCGAGGCAGAGCTTCCATTTGTCCCCTCAGAAACTTTCCAACATCTTCCACATCTGCATAAATCCTGAGATGTAAGCTCTCTTGGAACATCTCCGAGATGCTCATAATATCTCTAGATGTCGCGAACATGCCGACATTATGCATTCTTTGTAGAGTAAATATCTCGGCGAGAAGCCTGTTCAGAGATCCAGCGGGAAGTTGACTTTCATCCAATGCATCCAAGACAATAAAAACCCTTGGAAAGGCACGAACCGCAGACTCTAGAGTGCTGAGAAGGCTCAGTGCTGTCGGCCGAGTGGTCCCTGTCTTGTTCTCTTTGTAGAGCCTGTCTGACACTGGGAAGATGTTTGGATTTTGTTCGACTAGTTGATGTAGCATCATAGCGAGTATTTCGTCCTGCGTTGTCTTCTCGCGAAAATTGAAATAGCAGAATGCAATACCGACACCGCACTTGGAGGCTCTGTCCTGAAGCTCTTCTATCACGATCGATGTCAGAAATGTCTTTCCGGCACCTGGCAGACCTGGACAAAACAAAGTCTGCTGGCCTGGAACAGTACTGCAGTCCTGATTTATCCATCGCTTGAATTTGTCGTCTTTTAAGAGCCAGTTCCCTGTGCCCTGCTGAACATGGGAGATAAAGTCGGCCTGTTTGTTTGCATGGTTGGTTGGGGAAAGCCAATGAAGAACCTCTTGTCGCCTCTTGTCTTCTTCATGCTGAACTAGCTGGGTGACACCCCGCTGAGTTATATCCCACTGCTCTTTCCCTGCTTCTAATTTTTTGCTAGTTTCACTTTAGCTCCCTGTTGAAGACATTGAGGGTCTGGTCTTACATCTGAATTCCATTAAGCAATAGACCAAATGCAGCAGTAATCCCAGCAAGTCGTGGTCGGAACGCGTCGATTTCAGCCTGATCCCATTCTAGCCTTTTCACAACTTGCTGAAATTTTTGTTTCCATTTATGTGTACGCGGCTCATTCGGCGTTAGGTCCTGAAAGCTTTCCAGAATTTTGTTGAGATCCTTCAGAATATCCCGGCAGTGTTGGGAGGTGTCATTCAGTGTTTGTTTCTGTTGATCCGACAGGCTTTTCTCGGGCTCGATATCCTCGATGTCTCGTAATACATTTGACAGGCACTTGACACTATCAAATATTCAACCAAGAGGTTAAAACCTCGTTAGAATAGGCCACTACTCACTCATCAGATATAGCTTTGAACTGGCTCGGGGCATCTATAAATCTCTTTCGCGTCTCTTTTGCAAGCTGCAAAATGGCCAAGAAATCGCCGATACTAAAACCAAAAGCTGCCATCTTCCCTTTGGAAAAGCTCGCTCCATTGATAAGTGAAAAAGGGGGAATTGGGCAGCTGATCTCTTAGGAAGATGAGCAATGTGGACTACGGTGAAGTGGGGTTTCTACCGAAGCCCCTCAGAGCTGTGACTTCTCCTGCATAGCCGCCCAGATGCCGTGATAGGAAATAGTTTGTCCATGTCTTGTGGGATTCGGTGGCGTAGCAAACACTAAAATTAGAAACAAAATTAATTTGCGCCTGGAGTCATTCCGTAGAGTAATTAAATGGGTCTGAGGAAGCTAGAGAGTCATCGAAAGGAAAGAGAGTGGGATAAAGACATTCAAGATTAATGGACGCTTGAATGAACCATATAATTGATCCGTCAAGCAAAGGCAAAGACAATCGACACAACACGGCCCAATTCCTTGGAATGAAGGATTCGACACGGATTTCATTAACCCCTCAAAGATACAAACAATTACCTTCTCGAACCTTGCCGCTGATAAACTTGTTCAGCCTCCACAGGACAGGGTCGCATAGCGGGGATTAGGGATGGGACCCAATCCAAGGCTACATTTCGGTATTTCCACGAACGTGGCGAAGCAGGACTGTTGTTCGGTGGCATTGCCCTCCTTTTTGCCCGCTTTGGAACTTTACTATGGCCCCTCCCGCCCGATGATACACGGCCGAAGAGTGGAACGAATGTTCTGTAGGCATCACGACCTGATGATCTTTAAAATCAAACCGTGGAATGAAAAGCTATCCTTCTACTGCTATATCTTGAAATTTGATAATTTGCGGTCGCAAATTCTCTCAATATCATGATGCACTCTACATGTTTGTCCATATTTGTATTTACTAGTTCCTACTGCACCTATAATGGTGAATGGTGGCATGGACTATAGGGTACGCACAAGAATAGGGTGTAGAGTGAGACGCTCGTTTCGCGTAGTGACTATGATTTTTATAAAGCTGAAAGGAAGAATTTTGGCAACATTGCACGATCACGCTATCAAAGGAGTTGTAACGTGTCAGGACTACATCAATTTTTCGAAGCTCATAGGTTGCTGTACCTACCGTCCATCGGTACCTTAATGTATAGCTATAGCTCGAGGGCCACTCGCTCTACCACGATGCTTAGGTTGCAGAGCTTGGTGTGAACTGCCTGGGTCCAACATACACTATATATTATATTATACATATTATCTCTCTCTAGGGTTATATTTTCCTGTCTCGCCATTGTCCCTACCCCTATTGCCACGACAGACCGACATTTCGTCCTCTTCTTAACCCCCTTAGTAATGCCTGCCCCCACTACCACCCCTCCATCCACTAGAAGCCCGGCATGCGTAGTATAGCTCCGCAGCACCTGAAGCAGGCGCTCGTGGATAGCTCTGGCGCCCCAATCTCCCCGATCCCCCCAGATCGGCGTCACGACCCATGGGTTCCAGTCTGGGGAAACGGTTCGACCCAAACAAAAATTCCTAGCTGTCACAGGGCCGACCGGCCCACCAGTCAATTCCGTCCCCTGGGCCGCTGGGCGCGATCGGCGACGGGAGCCGCTGATGTCACCCAAAGCTGGCATGCGCTGCGTGGAAATGACCAGCTGAACGGTGAATCATTGGGATCGGCACTTGAAAAAGTCAGGCCTACTTCTATCAATTGCAGCGTCGTTTCCGCTATCAACCTCTTCTTCGACACGAAACCTTAGTCTCACATCCCATCGCCCTATCAGAAACGAAGCTCTCTCTCTTTTGTTCAAACTCAAACATTTCCATACACGTCCCCCTTGGTCGCCACATCACCTCTCGGACAAAGGGTGATCCCTTCTGCCCCGGTATCTCCCAGTCAAGGCGATCAAGTCCCTCCTCATACCTCCTAACGCGATCAACCCATCTCAAACCGCCTGCATGTCTACCCCTGTCATACGCATCGGGATCCTGGGTGCCACCCACGCCGCCGAATCCATCTATCTGCCAATATTAGCCTCTCTCCATACACACTACCATCTCACCATCCTCCACACCACCAGTGACGATGTCGCAACCGACAGCCAGAAGCAATTCGGCCTCGCCAACACCACCACAGTCGCCGACGAGATCATCAACCACCCTGACGTCGACCTAGTCATCAACCTCCTCCCCTTCGACCAACATGAGCAATATACCCTGGCCGCGTTGGAAGCCGGCAAGCACGTCATGGTGGAAGTCCCACTCAGCCTGAGCATCCACGGCCTTCGTCGAATCCGCGATGCACGAAAGAAGGGCATGGCCGCGCGATCGCATCGACCGCACAACACCGGCCCCAAGGTCTTCGTCGGCTGCGCGCGTCGCTACGCACCCTGCTTCACAGACATATTCAAGAAAGAGCTCGCCAGCCTGGGGCGCGTGTACTACGCACGCTGCCGCAACATTGCAGGCCCGTTGACCAGGCCCGCAGTTCAGAAGAATAATGACAGCGGCATCGGATACACCCGTGGAGCCAATGTGGGGAACGGCACAAACGGCAGCATCGCCCGTCCACAGCGCCACGCCCTGCTTGCCGAGATCTTCGGCTCAGACGAAGACCTCACTTGCGATCGCGAGGCCTTTTGTCGATTCCTCGGCACGCTGGGCTGCCATGATTTCTCGCTGATGCGTGAATCACTCGGCTTTCCCGGCGCAGTCTCCAACGTGTCTATCATCGAGCCTTTTTACTCTGCCATGTTCCACTACACTGACGACTTTGGCACTCGTGACGGGCACCCTTTCACACTAGTGTACGAGGCGGGCATTGACGCTGTTCCCCGCTGCGACGCGCATTTGACGGTCTATGGCGCGAAAAAGACGCTCAGTGTAGAGTATGACTTATCCTGCCTTAGTGAGGCCGAGAAGGATGTTGCGGTGCGCGTTGTTGTTGAGGAGGCCAACGTTGAGACTGGGGATGTGGACGTTGAGATGCTGAGCAGCGGCAGCGAAACGATCAATGGCAGTGCCAACGGCGATGGCAACGGTGACAGCGCCGCGAACAGAAACGGTCCCCTCCGCCCTCGAGTTAAAAGAACTGAGTTTGTGAGTACTGCCAGAGAAACATTCGAGCAGGAGTTCTTGGCGATGCACGCGTACCTTGTCGGCGACCGCGGTGATAGCCAAGTTGAGGCGAAAACTACTGCGGAGGATGCTCTGGATGATCTTAAGCTCATGCATATGATCTTCGAGCACTATGATCGGCAGTGCGGGACGATCCGGACGCCGCTTGGTTAAAAGGGCCGGGGGACGAGCGCCGATTGCAAGTGATTTATTATATACTCCATCCGAGATTGGACCTACGAGTTATCTTCGAGCTAGGTGATCTGTTTTTGTGCCAAAAGTGGGAACTAATGCTGCAAGCGGGAACCTATAATGCATTTTCACTACGTCTTCTAGATTTGGAGCCCCTTTAGCTGTTCAATCTGACGTGAATCGATCATTGAAGATCCGAAGAAATGAGTGGACTATTGCCGGACTGGAAGATGCAATATGAGTATACGCCCGCACCTTGGGCAGCAAGAGTCTTTCCGGATTTTCATCTATGCATCGAAATAATATACCGCTCTCCACGTCACCAAGTGGGTGTCTGGCCAGACACTACCGGCAGCACACCACTACCGCTTGCCCTTCTTCTTAGTCTTCTTCGAGCTACTGCCACCTCCACCGCCAGTCTTTTGCTGCGACTGTGCAGTGGACTCTTCTGCCTTCTCACTGACAGGGCCACCTTGGGTACGGTCCGCGGCACGCTGCTTGTTCTTCTTGCCCTTGGGCCGATAAGAAGATCTGTCGCGCAGCGGCAGCCAGCGCTCAGGGTCGGCTTTCTTCTCTGGGTCATAATCCTTGGGAAGGCGGGACTTGCGCACGCGCTTCGCGGCACGGCCTTCTTTGTCAGATGCAGTGCGCTTACGAGCTCCAGCAAACGCGGCGGCAGCGGCAGCGGCCGACGAGGCCGATGGCATGATACCGGCGGACTCTAGGGCAGAGACGTCAATGTCGGCTACGAGATCGCCAACATCGGGGAGACTGTCGAGCTTCGACTCCACCTGCGAATAGTCCAGGGTTGCTTGAGACGCGACATAGCCGGCCATGGCAACACGGTCGCTGGGATCTTGCTGGCATAGGGTCTTGAACAGATCCCCTGCAGTCGCCAGATCGGCCCGGTCATCGGAGTGGAGGAGGGAGGTAGCGGCGGCGCGGAGGAGAGATGCGGGTGGCTGGGGCTTCTTGCTCCAGTACGCGGCGGCCTGTGCCAGGGCGGAGCGAATCTGGAGCTTCCGCCCCTCGAGCTGGTACAGTGAGATGAGGGCGCTCAGCAGGCCTGGGTTGAAGCGAGCGTCCTGATCCGCCTCGGAGATTGACTCCTCCAGAGTGTGGAGCGTTCGCTCCATGGCGGTGATGGCAGAAGTGGTGTTGCCCTCGTTAACGTAGAGCTGAACCACGGTTAAGAGCAGGCCTAGATCCTTAGGTCGCCGCTCAAGGAGCGGGAGAATGTGTTTCAGAGCTTTCTGTCCGGTTTGACCTTGCGCTTGCGCCGCAGCATTGTACACGGAGAGGAGGTTAGTGCTGGCTGCTGTAGAGGGGCAAGGGCTTTTCGACAGCGCCTTGTTCGTTGATCGAATTATGCCATCGAATTTCTGAACGAGGAGGTCTGCGGCGTGTGAGTTGCCCACTAAAGCATTTTCCTGGAAGGCGAATAGACGGTCATTGTTGACGGCATCCGGTGTTTCGTGGAGGGCCTTGTACAGAATAAAAGGGTTGATGTTGGTCTGGCGAGCCAGGACCATGTTGTTGCGAGCGATCTTCTTTGTGGACAGTTCGGAAATACTGAAAGAGAACGAGAAGAGAACAGAGTTAGCCCCTTGTCACAGTTCATCAAGGCATGTTAAGACAGCAAATAGCTACTCACTCTTCCACGGAGATCTCCTTCAGTAAGGATTCGGCCTGCTCCGTCTTGCCCAGCCGAATCAGGACATACAGATACTGTACTGCAATCGGTAGCAACTCGGCGGCCCGATCCTCAGGCGTAAGTTCCTCTGATGTTTGGCAGATATCTATAGAAGATTGTCAGATGGACTCCGCAATACGCAAGGGAATGGGTGATGCTCACTCTTTGCACGGTTAAGAAGCACTTCGCCTTGAGCAAGCCCGCCCTTGGCAATATTCAAACACGCGGCATTGTATGCTGTCTCAAAAGATTCCAGATCCTCCCTTGAAGGCCGATCATGGCGAACATATTCCGGCTCTCCACTCCACTGTAGCTGCGCATCTGTAGCCCACGAGTTGATAGCCAGGTCGTTCTCTTCGTGCGAAAAATTGTCCTGGGCCAACTGCTCATATAGATCTGCGGCGTGGCTAAATTGCTCAGCTCGGTAGCTCTAATCAGAGTGAGAAATATTAGCATATTAGCGCAAACACGAGGCTCAGATAATGGAAATTGCTCATCATACCACTTGGGCCTCCAAATGGCGGGCGCCTCTCCCGGGGCCGCATTGCGTGACAGCATTTCGAGCCTCCTCAATCTTCCCACACTTGTACAGCGCATATGCATATTCCAGCCCGGCACTCTTCTGCAGCGCATCGCCTCCGGCCTCGAATACTCGCAATGCATCGTCGTATCGATCGAGTTTTAACAGGGCGATCGCCTTGATGTGCTGGACTTGTTGATCGTTCTTGGATTTGGTAAGGGTCTCGTTACAGGACTGGAGAACCTCCTCATGGTCGTCAATCGTAGCTCGCTGCAGGAGCGAGCTCAGCGACTGCGCAACCATGGCGGGGTTGCGTGAAGAATGTTAGAGGAACCGGGAGCTTGCGACCGATGACTCAAAGTTGACGGGTGGGACGTGCGCTAGAATGGTCTCGCTGTCGAGCAATTGACGCAGCAAAGACCTTTTGACGAGACAGCGGTGATATCTATCTCCACCGGAAGACCAGCGTGTGCGGGAAAATGGTCTTTCCCCATCAGGCAATACTGCGCTGAGTGGCCTTTTACCCCACCGTATTGAATCACGTGATAGTATTCAACTTGCCCATATCGTCCCAGGAGCTGGTATGCACAAATAAAAATCATCATTTAATGCCGGGATTAGTGTCTAGACACTCTGACGACCATCCACACGAACCCAAAATGCTATCCACTGCCAATTGGTCCAAATGTCCGTAAGCGCTAGATGCTAGAGATTGACCCGCTCACCTTTTGTTGACATCCTTGGTTTATGTCCAGCATTAAATGGCCACATCTTGTCCGTCTTTCTACCGTAATGTCTTGGTGAGACCTGCCTGGCGAGACCTGTCTTGTGGGGAGATTATTGCCAGCGAAAGAATTATCGACCACAAGGAAACCGAGCCGCATCAATAAAGAATTATTTATACAATTCCGAAACGGATGACGTGGTTCACCAGTTGCTCAACAAACTTAGCTAAACATGAGCCCTTTGTTTGCTGTCTCGTACATTTTCTGGACCGTATCTTGGGGATTGAACTGCCCGTTACGAGATTGTTCTTTGTCGGCGGTTACCTGTAGATAGTTATGTCAGCACATGAAGGGATAACTTACCGCTAGCAACTGATTGGTTGCTGATGGGCCCACATTCGTTTAGTATTTCATATGTAATTAGGGAGCTGAGCTGCAATGCAGCCATTATCACAGCTGAGTGACGAGACACATCGAATAGCGGTGTGGCTCATGGGGTTATTTTAGCAGCGCTTTCGGCCCTGTTTTTCTGTTGATTCAATCAATTCTATTTATACAAATTGGTTCCGCTTGATCTTATTGGTTATCTCTGCATACTAGGCTATATAGTATTAGCTTGCTGTGACAGTTATGAGCCCGATAGCCCGTTGATATCACTAAGAAAGATACGTATCAATACGCCTGGATCTTTCTGTCAACGTAAGCTTCCTGAATCAGCCCTGTATAGCTATCTAGCGGTGGTTCGATCAACACCGAAGGACTGCAGGACCCGCTTAAAGACCCTGTAAATCAGCCTGATTTATATACGAAGATGCCGACTTCTGAGATAACTTAAGCGTTAAATGTAATCCCCTAGGACTAACGGCTCCGGTCGGAGGCTTAGTGGAGAGTATAGATCAGCTATATAGAATCAGCAGCGATAGCTATAAAGGTATAGGGGTATATTAACCCTAAGCTAACAGACGATAAGGTCAAACAGCCACCTACTAAACTAAGGGACACCTTCCCTCGGCCGAATAAAATTAACAGCGAGGTTAATAACCCGATAAAGCTCTCCGATACCGAATACCTTCGTTATACCCGTCTCGTTATACTAGTTAAAGAGGAGAGAGCGTTCTACTACGCTATTCAAAAGAACCTCGCCGACATAAACGCCTATATCCTTAAGATAACCTATCCTAAAAAGCGTAGTATCCTAGCCGACAAGAGAACTATAAGAGAGAAGATAGTTAGATTAGTATAGGAATTTAAGCTAAAGGGGGCTACTAGGGTATAAGGCCTCAGAAACGCATAGAAACAGTAAGTAACTACTCTATTTAGTAAGGCCTCGGTGTCGATAGCTAAATAGCTAACAGACTAGTTAAATCTATATAATAAAGTGTATATAGCGAAAGTACCTAATATCTAGCGTTATTCCTACGTCACCGAGTACCTTAGGGACGCTTTCGCCATTAGAGACTTCCTCTAGGTTATCCCTAGCTAGGATAGCTAGTTCAGTAATCAATATAGGGCTCTGCTAGATAAGAAGGAGAAGCTAAAGTTCTAGGATATCATCTCGGAATACAGGACTTACCGAGAAGTACAAAACTAGGACAAGAAGGGCTATTTAGGTACTATAGCCTTCGTAGCGACGCTATACGGGCATTAACAGCCTGATTAAGGGCAGTCCTTATCATTATCGAATTCGAAGAAGCTACGCTATATATATAGTAGTCTAAAGTATTACTAGAAAGACTACTTCTATATTAACGCTTCTAAGAGGCCTTAGGGATAGTAGTAATATAAAACCTCTCGTAAGAGAGTCGAGGACGGTATTAAGAAGCTAAGCCTCGCTAAATAGTAAGAAATTACTAAACTAATAAGTACCGAAGTCTCGTTATTATCTAGGAAGGCTAGCTAGATAGCTTAGCTAGCTATTACCGATAGAGATGATAGCTTTAATAATCTACTAACCGAATCCGTGAGCTTCTTTACCTTCGATATTACCCTAGCCGTGTATAACGCCGCTATATCTCTTCCGCTCGAAAATAGCTAGATTATTGACTCGGGAGCTAATATCTATATTTGTAACCGTCTCGATCGTTTCGTAGGAGGTATAAAGGAAGAACGCCGTATAGTTACACTCGGTAGTGGTAAAATCGCTGCTTATAGGAAGGGTACTGCCAAAGTTATTATTGAAGACCCTACCGGTAAGATTATATAGGTAATCTTACTAGATATGTAGTATGTCCTAGGCTTTAAAACTAATATCCTATTAGTGTTAGAAATTAGTAAGAACGGCTTCTTCTTTAATAGCCGCTTCCCGGCTATTACTAAGGACGATAAACTAGTAGCTATATATAGTAGGAAGTTTAGACTCTACCTCCTAGAGTATTACTAGGGTAATAAACGTGTCCCGACAGTTAAAGGCCCCCTAGTAGCCTTTCCTATACTTAAAACCTCTTAGAAACTACTTATATCCGTCGCTTTACCGTAGATTTAGCACCGGAGGCTTAGGTATATATATAACCGACGTATTAAGACCCTCGTAAAGATGGTTAACGGTATAATAATTAAGGGAGACTTTAAGGATAACGCTTAGTGTAACCCTAAACGATATAAGACCTATTAGCTAGCGAAAGTAAAGAAGTAGATCTCTCGGAGGTTAGTAGTAAGAATAAAGACCTTCGGTAAGTTTAGAAAGCTTCATTTTGACCTGTTATAGCTAGAGGAAGCTTATAACGGTTATAAATAGGTCTCTCACCTATTTATCGAAGGTATTCGCCTCTATATAGCCTAGACACACGAGAAGAAGAGTGGTTATATCGATGCTATTATTAGCTTTATTACTATCTATCGAAATTAGCTTAGTATAGATATTAGGGTCTTTAAAAGCGACAATAAATAGACCCTAGGCCTTACCTTCCGCCTATACTGCGAGAGAGAGGGTATTTTAATCGAATTCAGCGTCGTAGGAATACCTAAATAGAATAGCTTCATCGAGAGAGCAGGGGGTGTTATTATCCTTATCGCTAGAGCTCTTATTATCGATATAGGCTTACCGAAGAAGCTTTAGCTAGAAGTAGTGAATATAGCGGTCTATTTAATTAATAGAGCGCCTACGATACTACCTAACGGCTAAGAGATTATCCTATAGATTAAGGCTATTCGGAAACCTTACTACTAGAATAAACTACGCCTTAACCTTTCAAACCTCCGGGTGTATAGCTGTAGAGCGTATATACGCCGTTAAGGGATTCCCTAGAAAGATAAGATAGCGCCGTACGTAGAGATAGGGTATTTAGTCGGTTATATTACCTCGAATATCTAGAGAGTATAGCTACTATATCTTAATATAGTTAGAGTAGTTAGGGATATTATATTTAACAAGAACGTCCGATTTAACCTATAGGAAATAGAGAGACTACCGCTAATCGATATCCTCGAGACGATACTATAGACGGTAGGACATAACGCTACAGAAATGCCTATTACCGACGATGAGGGCCTTGAGATAACCCTTACGATACTAGAAAGGCAGCTAGAATTGCTAGAAAGGTAAGAAGAACGGAGGGAAGTAGAGCAGAGCTCTACGAAAGAATCTATATTAAATTCCCTAGTTCTAATAATAATAATACTATCGCCGACGCCCTCCCGTTAACCGATAGTGTTAGAGAGGTTATTAGAAGTCCTAGGAAGCTTTCTAATAGAGCTAATGCTACTCTTAACCTCTCTAATAATACTAGAAACCTTAAACCGCCTCGAAGCTAAAGAGGTAAGAGGGTAAGGGCCTAATAAGTAGCTCCTCGGAGAGCTTAGATAGGTATTAGAACCACCGGAAGTATTAGATCTACTACCGCTAGGATACCGTAAGTATAGATCTCTTATACTAAGAGACATTAATACGTCGCTTTCGGAGAGTAATATTATCGAGGGTAAATATATATATAGGAGGGCTTATTTCGTATTAGTAAACGATCTAGAGGACTATTATAAAGGTATTCTGTTAGCGTTTTCTATAGAGATAAGCTCGCCACAGACCTACTAACGTCCTTACCGAGACGACCTACTACTAGAGCCGAAGAACTAGGCAGAGATAATACGTCACCCGTATAAAGAGGGCTTCGTAGTAGTAGCCTTATAGGAAGTTAAAATACTAGAGAGAAAGGGCACCTATAAGGAAGTCAACCGACCGATAGATAGAGGTATTTAGGTCTTACCGTTAACGTAGGTGTTTATATACAAATTCGATAGCGACGGCCTATTAATTAAATATAAAGCGAGGATATACGTAAGGGGAGACCTCTAGAAGATATTAATAGATAAGAAATATTCAGCGACACTAGCCGTTCGCACTACTAGAGCTATCTTCGCCCTCGCCGCTATATTTAACCTCGATACCGCTTAATACGACGCTATTAACGTATTCCTTAATAGTTAGATTAATAAGGAAGTGTATATAGAACTGTCTCCTAGCCTCTACCCTCCGGGACGAAGACTAAGGTGCTAGAAGCTCTTAAGAGCGCTGTACGGCCTACGGAAATCACCGAGGCTCTAGTAGTAGGAAGTATTAAGAGTCCTAACAGCTTTAGGCTTTAAGGTTATTTATAAGGATATTTACCTGTTTACCGCCGACGGGATCATTATTATCTTCTACGTCGACGATATCCTTATCTTTAACTATCCTTTAATACGTTAAGAGGCTACGAATATAGCTAAAAGCCTTAAAGAGACCTAGGAGCTTCGCTCGATAGGCGAAGCGTAGTAGTTTCTAGGCATCCGTATCGTGAGAGATCGTCAGCAGGGTAAATTATAGCTATATCAAGATGCCTATATCTCTACGATAGCGTATAAATACTATTTAACTACCGAAAGACACCTTAAAGTTCCTCCTGTTAATATTACTAACCTCGAAGCTTATAGTAGAACGGCTACCGACGAGCGAAGGTATAAGTTCTCTGCTAAGGTCGGTTCCGTATAGTATACTACGACTATTACCCGGCTAGACGCAGCGAAGGCTATCTTATATCTCGCTTAGTTCCTATCGAACCCTTCCCCTAATCACGTTAACGCTATTAACTAGGTCATCGCTTACCTCTATCACACATAGATAAGGGCAGTCTGCTATCGGAAGCTACCTAATTCAGACCCGACGACCGTTTAGTTCTTTAGTAATATATTATATAGGGATAATAATAACCGGAGGAGCTTATCTAGATATATCTATTTAATATACGGAGGGCCGGTAGATTAGAAGGCTACGAAGCAGAAGACTATAACAACGAGTACTACTAAGGCTAAATTACTAGTAATATCAGACGCTAGCAAGTCTCTATATATATAGAATCGTCTGTTCGCGGCTATTATGTTCGTTCCTAGTCACCCTATTATCCTATAATATAATAACTAGCAGACTATCAACCTTTTAACGGGCGAATTACCTCAGCTACGCATAAAGCTCCGATATATTAATATCTACTAGCACTAGCTGCGACAGGAGGTTCAAGCCGAACGTATACCGGTGTAGTAGGTCAAAACGTCGGAGATAGTGGCTGACGGTCTTACGAAGCTATTACCTCGCTAGAAGTACGTCGAATTCGTTAGATAGCTAGGGATGGAAGATATTAGACGGCTATTAGAAGGTGAAATCAATGCCTAAGGACGTCAGATAAAATAGTGTAGTAAATTGCCCACAGCCATTTTGCTAAAGGGGTGTGTCAGCACATAAAGGGATAACTTACCGCTAGCAACTGATTGGTTGCTGATAGGCCTACATTCGTTTAGTATTTCATATGTAATTAGGGAGCTGAGCTGTAATACAGCTATTATCACAGCTGAGTGACGAGACACATCGAATAGCGGTGTGGCTCATGGGGTTATTTTAGCAGCGCTTTCGGCCCTGTTTTTCTGTTGATTCAATCAATTCTATTCATACAAATTGGTTCCGCTTGATCTCATTGGTTATCTCTGCATACTAGGCTATACAGTATCAGCTTGCTGTGACAAGTTATCAAGGCTCGCACCCCTTCGTCCTTGCTCTTACGTCTGGCTGCGTCTTTTTTTACACCTACATGTTCAGCGCTCAACTACAATTACTTTGATCTGGACAGTTGATCAGGTTAGGTTCAAAAATTCATTCCAGTTGCTCATATTATTGGCAGAAACGATGCCGAAACTCCCCGATAAAGAAAAGAACCGCTTACCTTTGGCCTTGGGGGGAATTTGATGAATGAAGAAAATTTCAACTTACAAAAGAAATGACCACTGACCTTAAATCACCATCAATCTGTCCCGCAATACTCACAGCCGCATTCAATGGTTCCAAATATATTATCCCACACGGTTGCGAGATGGGGCCCAAGGTATGTTGGAGACGTTACGACTCTATGGTTCATCTCGCGCGCGGCGTCCCGCATCCGCCGGACCTCGTCGTCGACCTGCTTGCGGTAGTGCAGCCGACCGATACTGACAGCTAGCATGCTCATTACTTCCGCAAGCTCAGCGCGGTGGTAGTACAAGGGCGGGGTGTCCAACTCTCGGATCAATGTCACCATGTGCTCCCTGATGCAGTCGACCTTGGTCCGGAAGCAGGCTGTCAAGCCCTCGCGGTCGTTATCAGACATAATCCAGGAGCTCCAGATCTCGAATGTCAGCGTTGTGAACTCATCGAACTCATTCAGGAGCTGCGCGACCCGGGTGGACATGATGCGGCTGATACCTGGATCCCCAATGAGATTCATGTTCCAGCGCACCAGCTTGTCGCACATTTCCTTCCGCATGCGGAGGAAACGGTCGATGTTGTTTTCTGGTGGAGATGGACGGTTGGTATTGGAGGACATCTTGGTGGATGTTGTTGATGGGTTCCTTCTTACCTAATTCCAAAGAAGCTTGGTGTTTCAAACGAGAACTGGAAGATAGCAGTTATGTGGTTGCCAGTATGGATTTGGAGAGTCTACCAGGAGAGGGCGTTTAGGTCATATTTATAGGCGAGGCCTGATGGGATCTCTTGATCCAATATTCTTTGTTAGCAGGAGCTGAACGAAAACAATTCTTCTGAACAAAGAAACTTCTTGGACTGTTCTTTCTTCGTTGTATACAGAAGGCATGAATGAGCAACGGCTAGCAATGGGCTTTGTTTCCAGCAACTGCAGAGGTAGCCGGGCTTTACACCTAGAATCTGAGGATATGTGAAACCGACGCTGAAAAGATAGCTTCTGGCGCCAGAAGCGGTGCCATTTCCACGCGTATCTCTGGACGGCAGGCCGTCGCTGGACCGCCGGTCGCCCTGTACCAATCCTCCCTCAGGGCATAGTTCGGCAATCAGCAATCTTTGGCGAAGATCCCACGCCCAAGTCTGTGTGCATCTCCAACACGACTCACATGGCCCAGGCCGAAGACACGTGCGACGAGCTCGCCGAGGAGTACTTCACTGCCTCCGCCGCCATTTCCTACGCCAATCCTACCATAGTCGTCGACTGGCAAAGCTGTTCCCCGGCAAGGATCCCCGTATGCGGCTTAGCCGTGACAAACAATACGCTGTCCACGACGCCGACAATTGCCGGCAGCTCGAGAACAACTACATACTCCCACCCGGTGCCATACGTCAGTACAATCAATTCGTGGTGGTTGAAATATAGAGGATTCAACATTCAACATCTAGTATGGTGTTTTGGGGTGGCCAGGACGACCGGGTGGCTACGTTAATTACATAGGCTACAGTCACATCCTGGCCATTTGTCGATCCAACTAACCCTTTTTTGGACCCCGACAATATTCCAGTCATTTCTTGATCCATCTAGCCTTTATTTGGAGCCCGATAATCCTTCGGCCACCTTGAGAATATATAAGGCATAGCTATCCTGTTGAAAGCTGGCTGAAGGAAAACCACACCTGAAGACTGAGAGCAGCTCTCTGTCAGATCTGCCTGCCATGGCTCCAAAGTACACCGAGGCCAGCATTATTGAAAAACAAATCAGTTTCTCAGTTGTAAAAATCACATTCTTAGGGCTCTATCGATATGCGACCACAATCGATGCTGTGCTTCTTTTTATTTGTGCGGTCTCAGCCATTCTCGCTGGTGCTTGCCAGCCCGCACCAACTGTAAGCCCTTTTTTTCTCTTCTTGCATTTTTGGGGCGGGTTTTATTAACAGTGGACAGCTAGTATTTAGTCGCATTGCCTATATTTTTGTTCAAACCGAAGGCACAACAGGGCATCAAGACTCTTCTAGCGCAGTTGATCATTACACCCTGCTCTTTCTCTACATTGCCATCGGCTCATTCGTCACACAGTATGTATCCACCACTGGATTCATCTACCTTGGCGCAAAGATTACGCGGCGCATAAAAGAGCACTGCATGGAATCTATCTTAACGCAAAATGTTGCGCTGTTTGACGAGCGAGGCGCGGGGGAGATTGCTACTCAGCTTACCTCTGATGCCCACCTAATCCAGGAAGGCCTGTCGCAAAAGCTTGCTCTCACCCTCAGCGCAGTTGGGACTCTGGGTGCGACATTTATCATTGCATTCACTGTACAGTGGAAGATTACGTTTATGCTTATTTGGTGCATTGTCGTGGGTGTGATCCTCTTGCTTGGAGGCAACAAGATCGCTGCACGCTACAGCGGGAAAGCGTTGGAGGCATACTCGGCGGGCGGATCTCTGGCTGAGGAAGCCCTCAGTGCCATCCGATATACAACAGCCCTGGGCATGCAAAGAGATATCCTGGACCGGTATAGCACGCAGATTAAATCCGCTGAGAAGCATGGTTTCCGCCTAAAGAGCTTCATGGGTGCAATGGTCGGCTTTGCCGTCGGGATTGGGTATGTCAATGTTGCGTTGGCCTTTTGGCAAGGCTCTCGATACTTGTCATTCGGAAGTGCTACCTTTACCGCAGTTGTGACCATCACACTGGCAATCAAGTCTGCTGCTTTTTCAGTCCTTGGAGTGGGGGCTAATGCAGGCGCCTTCGTGTCAGCAGTTGCTGCAGGAGGGCGCGTCTTTAGCCTGATCGACCGCATCTCTCCAATTGACTCATCTTCCGCAGACGGCCTTGTGATTAGTGATGATATTGTTGGCCAAATCGAATTCCGGGATGTGAAGCATATATATCCATCTCGACCAAGCGTCGTGGTCGCAGACAATCTGACCCTGACATTTCGACCTGGACAGATGACTGCCGTCGTTGGCTCGTCTGGAGCCGGGAAAAGCACAATCGGACATCTTCTCGAGCGGTTTTACGATCCTGTCGCCGGTCAGATATTGCTGGACAACCTTGATATCCGCGATATTAATCTCAAGTCCCTCCGCCAAAATATTCGTCTGGTCGATCAAGAGCCCAGCCTTTTCAACACGACAGTGGTGGAGAATATTGCATACGGCCTGGTCGGCACAAAGTTTGAAAGTCATACGCCGGAAAAGAAACAACAAATGATTGAGAATGCGGCACGACTAGCCTGCGCCCACGACTTTATTATGCAACTGCCAGATGGATACCTTACTCGCGTTGGAGCTAGAGGATCAAAGCTATCTGGCGGTCAGAAGCAGAGGATTGCCATTGCTCGAGCACTTATTGGGCAACCGAAGATTCTTATCCTGGACGAAGCGACCTCGGCATTAGACACTACAACGGAGATTCAAGTCCAAAATACACTGAAGGCAGTTAGAAGTACCTGCACTACAATTATTATTGCACACAGACTGTCCACTATTCAAGGGGCAGATAACATCATCGTGCTGGACGGTGGGAGAATTGTTGAGCAGGGTAAACATGACCACCTCATGCAACTTCAGGGAAACTATTTCCTCCTGGTAGAGGCCCAAACTCACAGGGACAGCGCTGGAAATACTATTGATGCAAAGGTCGAAGCTGATCTCACTGAAAAAAGACTCTCCATTAGCAAAGCGTTGGATACACAGCTTGCTTTGGATGGTGAGCTGCCAGCTAGCTGGTTGAAGACCTCCCCAGATGACCTGATCGATAAATCGAACGGGGACTCATCTCTCGCTCTGGCTCGATTTGTTGCTTCTCTGAATTTAAAGGAGCTACCTATTATCTCGCTCGGGTTGGTTTGCTCGATCATTGCTGGATTCGAAGAGCCAATTTCCGCCATCTTGTTTGGGAAGGCTATTACAGCCATCGCTTTACCACCCAGTGAGGGCAGCCTCCTTCGCCGCCGTGCAGGGCTCTGGTCGCTCATGTTCTTGGTCCTGGCTCTAGTGGAATGTTTGGTATTCATTATTCAGGGAGTTGCCTTTGCCTACTGCTCCGAACGCCTTGTATACCGGGCACGCTATCGCGCTCTGGAGGCAATTCTCCGGCAGGAAATCTCTTTTTTTGAAAAGGAAGAAAACAGCATCGGGGCCTTGACATCCCTTCTCTCGGTTGAGTCTACTAATCTGGCGGGGATTAGTGGAGCGACATTGGGGACGATACTGATTGCAATTTCCACACTGGTCACCGCGTTTGTCGTGGGTTGTGCCTTTGGATGGAAACTGGCCCTTGTCTGCTCTTCAGTCATACCGGTCCTTGTTGGTAGCGGGTTCTATGGTGTCTGGCTCGTCGCAAGGCTACAAGAACAAACTGATAGGGTTAGTAAAGAGACTGCTGCATACGCGACCGAGACAGTGACCTCTATCCAAACTGTCTTTGCTTTCACGAGAGAGCAGGATGTGCTGGCGTATTTTAAACAGGTGCTTGCGATCTCCGAGCGTGCTGGCCTCAAAACCAATTTGAAAACCTCGGCGCTCTATGCCCTATCTCAGTCACTCCTCTACGCCTGTATGGGGCTCGGATTCTGGTTTGGTGGCAGGCTGATCCTTTGGCGTGAATATTCAACTTTTCAGTTCGTCACGGTCTATTCGTCTATCACCATGGGTGCCTTCTCTGCTGGCCTCGTCTTCTCATTTGCCCCTGATATCGGCAAAGCCAAGAAGTCCGCTCAGGATTTCAAGAGGCTCTTCGATCGAAAATCCAAGATCGATCCACTAAATTCCAGTGGATACAGCGTTGGAAATGTCCAAGGGAGAATTGAATTTCGAAACGTTTCTTTTCGGTATCCATCTCGGCCCGACTTGGTCTTGGATGGTGTCTCATTTACCATTGAACCTGGACAACATGTCGCGCTTGTTGGCGAAACAGGAAGTGGTAAAAGTACCATTATTTCTCTTCTCGAAAGATTCTACGACCCGACGCACGGAGAAATCTTGGTGGACGGCCAGCCGATCACCACCCTGAATGTGAAAGAGTATCGACAAGCCCTGGGCCTAGTTATTCAAGAGCCAAGCCTGTATGACGGCACGATCAGGGAGAATTTACTTCTTGGACTCAATCCGGAAGCCACTTCTGATGAAATGATTGCATCTGCTTGCAAAACCGCAAATATCTACGACTTCATCCTATCTCTTCCGTAAGTGATCTCAATCCCTGTCCTCATGAGTGCGCCAGTCAGTCACGTATTATTAGGTTATTCTAACCCATGAATTCTTCTAGGGACGGATTTTCTACCACAGTAGGCAATCGTGGCAGCCAACTGAGCGGCGGGCAGAAGCAGAGACTCGCGCTGGCTCGTGCCCTGGTGCAGCGGCCCGCCATTCTGTTACTGGATGAGGCCACCTCAGCGGTCGACGCGAAGTCCGAGAAGCTCATTCAGGAGGCGTTAGACAGCGCGTCTGAATGTCGTACCGCTCTTACAATTGCCCATCGTCTGAGCACTGTGAGAAATGCGGATGTCATCTACGTACTGGATCAAGGCCGAATCATCGAGGCAGGTTCGCATGATGAACTCGTCGCTCGACGAGGGAAGTATTTTCACTTATACACTCGAGGTGGGGAATAGAAAGAAGGGCCTACTAAACTTGAGTAAAACAATTGATATATCAAAATAAATATAGACTATGATTAGAAATTAAGTAGCGGCTATAGCTCTTCTTCTTAAGCGGGGCGTAAATGCTAATACTACGGATATCTTTAGCGATATAGTACTTATTTATACCTCGATGGTAGGTACTTTAACAGCTATATAGTTACTTCTCAACCTAAATATACAATAAGCTCGCCATAGAGTACTCTATTGCCTCCGCGCTATTTCCTACACCAATCCTACTATAGTTGTTAACTATTTAAAGGTATTCCCTAGTAAGGTTTCCTATATATTACTTAGCTATAATAAATAATACGCTATCTAAGACGCTGATAATTGCCGGTAGCTCGAGAATAACTATATACTCCTACCTAGTACTATACGTTAGTATAACTATAGCTTAATACGGAATACACAAACCTATAGCCTACCCGCGATATACTTAGTAGCGCTGTCTTCCTTTCTCCTTAAGGTAGTAATAGCAACGTGACTAGTAATAGCGTGAGGACTAAACCCTATAGTAGCGGGCATGTCGAGGGCGGCCTAGCAGCGCATACAAGCTTCACTGTTGTAAATACCAAAATTTGAATCTAGTCGGATATTTCCACGAAGCTTTTTTCATATAAATTTTTAACAACAAGAATAAGGTGTACACTTAAAAGGAGACATAATTAAGTAGATATAAACCTCCAGCCGCAGAGTAACGGGCATTGGCTTGGCCCTCAGCCAGTTGATGTAGATTTCTAATTCAGTTATACCTCTACCTGTCGAAATATGTGGAGTGGTAACTTACCACTAAGAACGGGCTTATTCATCAAGCGCCTAGGTTTCTTATATTTTTATATGTAATACTAGCTTACAGAGAAACTCAGGCTTTGTAATAGCCGAGTATCGGCCGCACGGACAGAAATACGTCCGTACAGCCAGGGGATAGCTATTTAACAGGCAATCCCCCTAATTTTCTATCATCATCAATCTGATCAATTATCTCTCGTCCTATTAGATATCTTTTATACTAGCCCATACAGAATCAGCCTATTCTATCAGTTATAAGCCCGAGTGTACACTAAAGTATCAAGATATAATCAACGAAGACCGTTACTCTATATCTTAATAGTAAGAGCCTTCCTACCGCCGAATACCCCTAAACGACTATATAAAATCCTAGAAGAGATTAATAAGGACTTAGACCAGAGGAGATACCGTTAGGATTACGGTAAAAGATATATATAAAGATATCTAATAAGACTAAATCTTAAGTAATTTAACCTATCCTATAGGACTAGCGGTTAAGGACGAAGGCCTAGTAGAGGGTCTAGATTAGTTACTTTAAAACTAAAGCTATCAAAAAGACCTTTAGGAGTATCTTAACCCTATAAAGATAGATATAGAGATTAAAAAGCTTCTAAAGAAGGCTCCCCTACCGCCGGTTAGTAAGATTAATAAGAATATAATAGACAAAGTTAACCTTACCGATAATAAATACAAGAAGTATATATATATTCTTAATAGATATAACCGTAAAGAGGCTAAATAAGTAAAGACTACCTAAGCCGTTAATAGGTTTAGTAATACTATATCCTATTTATTAGCCGTAGAGTACTATTATATACTTATAGACGTTATCTCTACTTATAAGAAGCTAGTAAAGCTAAGATAGGAGTTCGTATAGAAGGAAGTTAACCGTATAGAAGATCTCCGAAGATAGTAGTATTAAATACTAATATATCTATCTAATAATATATCTATTAATAAGTAGTTAACTACCTAGATATCTCTATACGAAAAAGCTAAAACTACGGGTATACTAGATATCTTATATAGTCTAACGCCTACTAAATTCGCTATTAGAGACTTCCTTAGAGCTATCTAGATCTAGGATAATCTCTTCTACTTAACCTAGAGTAATAGGTTAGAGATAGAGAATCCTACCTTTAGTAAGGTTATATCTATATACTATATATAATAAAGTCTACTAGAGCGTTTAGGAAAAGAAAGGGCTAGAAAGCTAGCTATATTAATACTAGATAGCTAACCGAAGGTAATACCTAAATAAAGAAACACTAAGGGTTAGTAAGATACTAAAAATTATTAGAAAGATAAGAAAAGGACCCCCTATATATATAGCAGAAACTATCCCTAGAGATTCTACTATTATATTATCGAAAGTATTAGGCTAGATTACTAGAAGCTATAAACCGAGATAGAAGAACTAGTCGTAAAGGCTATTAAGAAGCTTAGTAAATTCGACTAAGAGAAGATCGCGAAGATTAAAGAGGATAGAGGCACTACCTAGGCTACTACCTAGCTAGTAGTAACCGAAGAGATATAGGGATCGATTAGGAGAGTAGCTATATATATAATTAATATATCCTATTAGGTTAACTATATAGCTAAGAGATATCCCCTTAAAGACTCTTAGATACTAGACTTAAGAGCGAATATCTATATATATAACTACTAAGAGAGCTTTAAAAACCTTACTAAGGAAGAATTTACTATTAAAACCGGTAATAGTAACTCTATTATTAAGGATAAAAGAATAGCTATCCTCCGGTTAATAGACCTAAAGATAGGTAAAAAATAAGAGGTAGTAATAGAAGCGCTATATATACCTAATTTCTATACGAATCTACTATCCCTCGGCTATATTAGTAAGAAAGGCTTCGAATTCTATAGTAGAATCCCTACTATTATTAAGAATAAAACGCCTATTAGAGTATTAGAAAAGAGATATAACCTCTATATCGTAAGAAATACCTAAGATAGATAGAAACTACCTAAGAGCACTCCTCTAGCGATAGTAATAGATTATCCTAGGTATAGCTAAAAACCCTTTATATCTATTACTATACCGAAGCGATAGTATTAACGACTCGCCTATATATATAATTAATAGATTAAGAGGCTCTCTAAGATAGTCGATAGTATCGAGATTAAGGGAGATACTATAGATAATATAGAGTATAATCCTAAGAGATATAAGGTCTATCAACGTAATATAGCTAAGTCTTAGCAAGCAGTAAGGCTGCGTAGGAAGTTATATTAGGATAGTTAATATAGGTAGGTGTGATATAATAAAGATACTTAGAAGGGGAAGAAAAGATATAAAGGAAGCTTAGTTCAATTATTATTTGGCTAGGGATTTGATGGATATTTATATCTGATTCTGGTTGCCACTGGTTGTCACCAGTTGCATAGTATTGGTTGCTATTGTATGGTTATGATATAGCTTATGATATCGTTATGATATAGGTGGCTGCTATGTAGTAGCTTATGATATCGTTATGATATAGGTAGCTGCTATGTAGTAGCAGGAGGTAAATTCATGATAAGATTTCTGGCCGAGATATCTGGCCGAGATATCTAGCCGTTTTGACCACATCAAATATATCTTATAGGTAGGCCCTTGTAGGCCCTATATCTTAGAAGATAGTATATAAATACTTTATCTAATAAAATATTAGGAAGATTAAGTTCTATTAAGTTTTTATATCTTAGATAGGTACTAGCTTAATAGTGATTATTTAGAGATTATAAAATATATTATAGTGCTAAAGACTTATATTTATATAGACTATAAGATAGTAAATCTTATTTAAGATATAAGATATCTTATATTTTTAGTACTATATATTTACTTAGACTAATCTTATCTATTTCTCTATTTATTTTATCTTAGCTAAGTTATTTAGTAATACTATCTTAATATAGCTAAGAAGCTAGTTAAGACTAAGCTAGATAATATAAATAAGATATAGAATTCGGATAATAATAATACTATCTAATAGAGCTTACTAGAGAGAGTTAACTAAAGTCTTATTATTAGATATATTATCTATTATTAACCTAAATATTTAGGCTTTAAGATTATACTCTATAAGTATTTCGAGAAGAATATTACTTAGATTTATCTTAGTATATATACTATAAAAAGGTCTAAAACTAAGTAGTACTTTATAATATATCTAATTAAGATTAATAAAATAATCTATAATAGCTATAAATGCCTATTAAAATAGAGATATCTAGTAATTAAGTATAATTAATATCTTTATACTATCTAGTAGTATCTAAAAGATACTTTTTTATTAGTTTTTAACTAGGCTCCCTAGTTAGCGATAGATTATATTAGTAAAAAAGATTATTAGGGCTAATAGGATAGACTAGGCCTAGGAAATAAGATACTAGAACGCTAGATATTTAATAAAATAAAAAAAACTAATTAAGTATAAAAAATTATAATAGATCTTCTTCCTAAGCTTCTTATAAGAAAGGTTTATCGGCTATAGTTTCTTCCTAAGATTAATAGCTAGAATATATTAGTAAGAATTAGTTTAAAGATATAAAGACTTAGGAATATATCTCTCTTTTTAAAAGTTATATAATCTCGTCTTTTTTCTATTATTTATTTTATAAATATCTAGCTATTTTTAGATATTTCTATATTATTAATATACTATAATACTATATCTTATTTACTATTTTAAGATTAATAGTATAAGAATACTTAAGAATAGCTCTATAATATTAATATATAACTTTTAATATACTATCTATACTCTAAGTAATCTAATAGTAGCTTTTCTAAATCTCTATATAGTAGATTAAATCCTAATTAATCTTACTTTTTACCTTAAAATTAGTCTATGATTACTAATCTATTTATTTATTATATATTATTTTATTATAAAGAATAAATATCTTTCTTCGGTTAGGTCTAATATAGGCTAAGTAAAAGGGAATAATTAGTAAGTTATTTAGTTAGAAGAAGTTAGAGTCGAAGGGTTTAATTATATAGTAGCTACTAGATAGGGTTACTAGGTAGTTTAATATAGTAAGATAGCTAAGATTATCTAGATTACTATTATAAAGAGAGAATATAAAGTTAGACTACTAGTTTTATAATATAATAAATTAGCTTAGATATAATATAAAGGAGAAAGAGAGAATAGAGAATATATAGTATACTTAGAAGGTAAAATTAATAAATATAATAGATCGATTTAGAAGAGGATATACTCGCGATCGATTAGTTAGACTACCCTATTTTTATATATATTTATCCTAATAACCTAGTAATAACCTAATAACTTAGCGATAACCTAACGATAACCTAGCGATAACCTAATAACCTAGTAATAATCTAGTAATAACCTAATAATAACCTAGTAATAACCTAATAATAACCTAATTCCTACCCTAACTCCTTCTTTTATCCTTAAAAATTTTTTATCTAACTATACCTATAGTTATAGTTTAGCTTTAAAAGTCCTAATACTACTAGACTAAAGACCTTATAATTTATATAACCTTAATAGCTACTAATCTACTATAGGTTTAAAAGGTTTAAAGTAATAATAATAGGATTATATAGGTTATATAAAGTCTAGATAATTAGACTAATATTATATATTATATATTAATATATATATCTATATAGTTATATCCTAAATTCTAATAGCCGGTAGAAATATAGTAAGGAAATTAATAGTCTTTATATAGTAGATAGCCTAATTTCTAATAGCCGCTAGAAATATAGTAGGGATATTAATAGTCTCTAAGTAGTAGATAGCCTAAATTCTAATAGCTACTAAAATATAATAGGGATATTAATAGTCTTTAGTAGTAGATAGCCTAAATTCCGATAGCTATTAGAAATATAGTAGGGATATTAATAGTCTCTATATAGTAGATAGCCTAATTTCTAATAACTATTAGAAATATAGTATTAGATCCTATATAATTAATAGTAATAAATTATAATAGCTATTAGAGAAATAGTACTATAGCCTAAATACTTATTTATCGTACTAGTTTAAGGTATTAGCTAGAACTAATATAAAAAATAGTATTTTATTTTAATAATTAAGTAGCTTTATAACTAGAGTTATATAAAAAGTTAGGTCGAATTAGGTCGTATTAGGTTTTGCTAGGGCCCTAGTATTAGGTCCGGGTTAGGTCCGGGTTAGTGAAGTTCGACCCGGACTGTAACGATTTTACTACTTGTCAGGGTAGAAGGCCTATCGATCAGGTAAAGAATCGATGGCGAATAGATAATGAAACAATTATGATACAGTTCAGCCGTTCTTCTTTTCAAAGACTGAATCTTGCCGATTCAGATTGAAAGAAAACGGGACACTCTCTTTTATTAGGGAATAACGATACCGAGTGATGATAAAGAATGATATAACCACTTTTAATATCAACGCTTCCCCATATCAGACTAATACATAATCCTTCATAATTTATTCCCCCTCTAATAGTAGCTGTCCTCAGCTACAATAGAGAAATAGGGATGTTTCACTTCCGATTTGTATAAGC